GTCCAGGCTGATGGAAGCAATAATTAAGCCGGACAGGCCGTGTATGTACCATGGGCAGGTGCTGTGTACTACGGTACTTGTACTTTTCAGGGTGGAGGTGCGGGGAGAGCGGCTGTGCCGGTTCTTGAGCCTTCCAGCTTCTAGAATCAAAAATTCGCCCGGCCACTCGCGTTGCTTGGAGCTTGGCTGGCCGGATTATCGTTGTGTGCAACAAGGGGCAATTATTGGAATGCAAGGTACGCGGACCGGCATTGAGCCAACCAGCGAGCTGCGGCAGCCCCAATAACAAAGGGATACCCGTAGAGACTGGCCTGACTGGCACCCCACCGTGGTCTGACGCGTCGAGAAGCACTGTACTGGCCAGTTGCCTTGCGCGCGTGTGTGTACCTGCCTTCGCGACGTGCTGCGGTTCAATGAGTCTGTATCGGGCCGTGCTCTCTGCAAGAAGTGGGAATCTGCGTGGACACACACCGTGTGGCTCTTGTGGGAGTTTTGGGGACAAATCCACCACTGTTCCACCAGCCCCCCAGCTTGGGAATAAACTTGGATATGTGTAATAATTCTATGGGCGAATTTAACAAATTTATCGACGGGTTCTGGGAAAATATGCTCGCCGGTGGGTTGATCTGTTTGCTATTGGTATAAGTGCTCTTGGAGCTTTTGAAGTTGTCCTTCACGATGAGTCAGCTTTCTGCCTGACGGGTCCTTGCAACTTGACTCGTGGCAGTGGTTTTCGTTTGTACATATATGTGTATGGCCATCAGCAGGTATAGATTGCGAAGAGCAGTAGACCGCACAGACAGAGAGGCAATCACCAGGCAAGGCTTGAGCAGTTCATTGAGTTGCCGGTGGTAGTAGAGCGCAGTCATGCATGGCCTGCGGTCCCAAGGTGGAGGAGGATGTGGTAATCAACTGCGCGTAGGCGAGTGCAAGTCAAGATTGTCTGAGGTTACTGTCGGCTTCTGGAGCTATGGATTCAGAGGCGCATGCTCGTGGACGGGGAAGAGCGGACTCGCAAGTCTTCGTGGTCAAACCACGCCTGGGATACAGAACTGCAAAACCATGGTCCGCGATTATTACTCTCTGTCTTTTTCTTAATTTCTTTAGGGTGCTTAAATTTTTCAAATAAATGCTGCATCTTCAATGTCAATGCCTCAATTTCGATAAATCTCAAGCACGAACTTTATTCCTTCCACCCCGCACGATCCCCAACTGATGACCACCGTTCTAGTCTGGGGGGGGTTTTAGACGACCATGCCAGACCAGCATCAACAGCGCGCTCATCTTGATAGAGTTCAAACCGGATCTTCAGCGCCTGCATAAGGTGTGGTTGCACCGTCCCCTTCCCCGGGGCCTGCTAATTCTCAGCGCCTCCTCCCCCATGGGGTCGTCCTCAGTAAGCCCCGTAGTTTTGTTCTTCCTCTTTTCCCCAGAGCCATCGCGGCTTGTCCGAACACTTGTTTAGACTTTTTTGTCCCTCAAAAAAAAAAAAGCCAGGGTCCCTGTCTTCCCCGGAAAGCCTCCCCGAGCGAAAATCACGCGGAATATCGCGCATGCGCCACGCCATGACTGAGAGGCTTGACGCTAATGGTGCGCCATCTTGGGCTTTGCTGGCTGGGTGGGCGAGCGTTTGGCCGTGGAAAGCTAGTCTAACGTCTCCTCGAATGCAAACCCCCAAGGCCTTGTGGAAGCTGATTGACGGGAGTTCCAATTGGCTTTTTCTTCCTCTGGTTGTGGAGCTAGCACTTGAGACCGTGAGTCTGTCAGACTGGCTTTACTGTGAGCTTTGTGCAGGACAAATGCAAAATCGAGAAAACGCTTCGTGGGTTGACGTGCACTCGCCTCGGGGAAAGCTCCGCGGAGGGACCGCCGCGGAGACGTACTACTGTTGATTGGTCCCCTCTTTGACGAAAGAGAACTGCCCGTCCAGGAGGAGCATGGAAGATTCGCCAGGAGCTTGCTATTCCGAGACTACCGACCTGAGTGACAGTCAATATTATATGCGAGGCTTCCCGGGTCCTTAAGGCAATGCAGATTTCGTGTAGACAAGCTTTCGTGGCAAGTCGTGCATGTCTAGTCGACTTCGTGTCAAATAGCTATTGGTACTGGCGCTCCTGATGTTGAGATGAACTGTATAAGACGCGTGCTTCGCGCAGAGAAACCACTTTGCAAGCGACCAACGATCCTTTTGGATGAAAAGCTACATATGTCACAGTTCAGATGGCGAGCAGGTAGTGTGCATGTCAGTATTAACTTTGACTACTATCTCAGTTCCTCTTCTTATGAGTGGTCCTGGTTGGGTCACCGCAGGAAAACACAACGGGCCGTTGATGGGGACGGCCACCGAAAGACTCCTCTCGAAAACCCTCGATCCCGGGGAACGTTGACCACATCAGACTTAAACTCTGGCCCAGAACCTGTTGGATGTTCCCCTATATCCCGCGTTTGCTGACGACATCATTGATGATGCAAAGAACAGAAGAGACACAACGCGCGTCAACTAGATCCATGAGATAGGGTGGATGAAGGTGGATGCTTCAACTGCGGGAGGAGCTTCAATAAATGCAGGTGACAATGCCCAGCTCAAGCAACTCATTAACACAGTTGACACTGGCCCAAAGCATGTTGTAGAACTTACGTAAACTCATTGTTATTCAGTAACCCCGTGATGACACTTGCCGTTGCCATTCGCCCTATGTAGGCGTGCCGATGCTGCGACCGCTTACAGAGTCGCAATGTGTCGCTGCAGTTGCTGACTCAAAAGGAACTACGAGCTCCGAATCACATGGCCGTGATACACACAACTCCTGGTTGTCTACAGTGTGCGACCCCCACACGCCGTGTGTATGCATGCAAATCAAACGAGCAAAGAAGCAGTTTGCAGCCGCCGCATCCCGGCAGACCGGTCTGAAGGGCTTGCAGTAGTTTGCTGCGGATGAAACATGACTTCGCATGTGGTTCGATGACATCTGCAACGCGTTTTTGGATTGTGTGCTGTCATCCGATTTATATTTTTGTCCTACAGTAACGAGACAAATATAATTTCCCAGTTGTTCTGAAATTCAACTATTTTATTTTGTTATACATAGACAATACATACTTTGAGTCAAGATCGCATAGAGCGCGTATCTCACGTGGTTGTTGTTGGCTTTGGTAATAGCCGCGCTCTTCAGGATTTTTCAGGGTCATTGTGTGTCCATCCATCCATATTGCATCGCGACATACGCGCAGGGGTTTTCATTGTTACTTGAGCGGCAACTTCCCCGAAATTATTCCTTGTAATTAAAGCAACTCATCCAATTCAAGGTAAACCAGGTTGGAAAGAATTCTCATGTCGTCCTTGGTGAACCAACGTCAACGTAATTCACACCTAGACACTCCCATGCTGTAGACCTTCGGTCCAAATGCGAACGACCTAAGCCACTCGTCCTCTTGGACCTGTTCGCGCGCGCGCGCGCGGCACACAATAAGCCGCCAGCGGCCCAAGACGGTTTCACGGTTTCCCATAGCCGGGCAAACATGCAGTTCTCGGGCCCCCCTTGTCTCACCCCGGCCGGCCGCGCCCCCTCAACATGCACGAGCACGGCTCGGTCGTGGTCATCTGCCACAGCCTTGGTGCGCTGGCAGGCAGGCAGGCATGCATGCATGCAAGCGCACGCCCGCCGGCCCGCGTGCATGCATACACATGCACTTCGAGGCATGTGAGGCCATTTCCTGTTTTTAGCAACGCCACAAGAGGTTGAGAATGGTTTGACGTTTCCAGTTTTAGCACCAAAGTCAAAAAGGTCTGATTGCTCGCACCCCGCGCAAGAGACGACGCCATCGCGCTGTTTTGATTGACATGGGGAACGCTTCCGAGTGGCCAGAGGGACGGCCAATAGACGGAGAAAAGATGAAAGACACGATGGGGCTGCAGGATATACTTGTAATTTGAAGAATGGTGTGTAGGGCTGGGCGGCAAGGTGCCGGCCGGGAAGGGTTCTCATTGGCGTGTGTAAGTAGTGACGGCAAAGCATAGACTTGATCGCCCAGGTGCTCGGCAGACCGGAGATATTACATTTCGTACCCCTCCTGACTGCCCCATCATCCGACCCGTGCCGTTTTCGACTTTCCGGGCTTATCGACTCGAGATTGGTCCATTATGTGAAACGTTTCGTCTCATGTGGCGATGAGAACTGTCTTATTGAAATGGACGAAAGATACGAAAAAGTCCAGACGGCTTGCCAGATCCTTCACGATGCAGCGCAGATCATACCATAGTTCCGCTGGACGCTGTTTGCTGACATCGCACAACATCCACACAGGATCATTGGCTGGTGGGCATCCGCGCATCCTCACGATTTACACCACTTCATCCACAACAGCTGGTGAGGGTTAGGCCCATTACCGAAATGCGGCGGGCGATCATTTCTTAAAAAAAAAGAAAACGCCTGATGGCAGAAGCGAGCGAGTATACTGTTCGGCAAATTAAGTCCGGGGGTTTAGAGCCGATGGCTTTGGATTCTAAGGCCTCTGCTCTCGGGTTTAAGCGGGTTTGTACACTACCTCCACGGGCTTCGTTGTTCGGCAAACTCAACTCCTAATGTCGACAACGTCAAGTGGTAATGACCTGAGACTGAGCATTTCATCATGAAGTAATGCAAGCATTCAACTGGAAGAGCATCGGACTTTTCAGCGGCCAGCCATTTGCAATACAACATTTTGTGCTTCGTTGTGGCGCCTGTCGTACACCTTGGGGGGCAACATTCCACAGTTCATAGGTTAGTTCACATTCAACTCTCAACTTCGTGTAAGACCACACAATTTCTTTTCATAGCTTCCGTCTTCGAGGAACCAGCTGATCCAAAACATTTGACACAGTTGAGAGTCGTCACCTTGAGACACGGCAAATCAGATTGAAGAGAGACTACCTTAGGCAACAAGTAGAAACTCCCGAAACACGCACCACACAGCAACACAACAGCGCGACCAGTCACGCAACAGCGCAACTCCCAACAATCATGGACTCTAAAACTCCCCGATCATGGCTGATCACAGGCGCCTCATCCGGCCTGGGTGCGGCCCTGGCACTGGAGGCTCTGGCCTCAGGCGCGAGAGTGACGGGGGCCACTCGAAACATAGACAGGGCCAGACAAGCAGTCCCCGAGTTTGAGGTACGGGGCGGCAAGTGGCTGAGGCTTGATGTGACGGGCCAAGACTGCGAGACGACTGTCCGGAGTGCGGTCGAGGAGAACCAAGTCGATGTTCTGGTCAACTGCGCCGGCTATGCGCTTCTCGGAGCCCTGGAGGATATCAGGTGCGTATGTGTATGATGAAGCGCCGGGGATACTCATATGGCGCAGCCCCCCTTCAGATCAACGCAACATATGACCTTCGTCACTGACCAGAGGGCCACGCACGGGAAACAGCGACCACGAGATATCGGCCCAGCTCGACGCAAACTTCACTGGCCCGATCCGCTGCATCCGCGGCGCCCTCCCGGCCTTTCGTGCCCGGGCAGTGAAGACCGACGTAGCTGCTGGCCACGATCCAGAGGTCACAGCGCGTCCGCATCCCTCACCTGTGATTGTCAACTTCAGCAGCGGCGCGGCTCTGATCGGCGTGCCAGGCCGCTCGCTCTACTGCGCCTCCAAGTTTGCCCTCGAAGGCATGACGGAGGCCCTGGCCAAGGAAGTTGAGCCGTGGGGGATCCGAGTGTTTCTGGTCGTACCTGGGGCTTTCAAGACGCCGTTCTCGGATACATGTGTGGTGGCGGAGCGCGGCGGCGAGGCGGTCTCGAATGCGTATCGTGGTACGCCGGCGGACAGGATTGTCCGAATGACAAAGAACATGGCTGCCGAGGGCCTGCTCAAGGGCGACCCGGACAAGGCTGCGCAACGAGTGGTTGAGGCGGTGGAGGGGACTGGGATGGCAGCAGGCGTGGACGAGTTGGCGCTGTTCAGGCTGGTGCTCGGTTCCGATTGCCTGCGGGCTGTGAGGATCAAGATGGATGCGCTCCAGGCGAACTACTCGGCGGTCGAGGCCATTGCGCAGAGCACTGATCTGAAGTGATCGCTTGCGGCCCGGGGGGGGGGCTACAGTTGCCATTGTGGCCAGATATCCTGTTCCTTAGGTCGCGAGGCAATATAGTTCATGGTCTTGATGCTGGACCTCGCCACGGGTGTGTTTGTGATGGTCGTCGCACATGTGGATGACCCGTCTTATAAATTGCATTGGAAAATTGTGCCGCCCAAGCTTGGTAGTCACACAAAATACTCGCTGAGCTCACAAGGCTCCGATACAAAAGCATCCTAGGCTATCCTGGCGCTCATCCGAGTCCCAGCTCAATAAGCCGTGTTGAAGTGGAAGTGTCTAGTAGCTGGGACGATCGTAACCACTTTGAAAAAGCTGCTCGTATACGTAATGAACGAGGTATCCCCAAACATGAATGATTACACCGCCTCAAGATCCCGGATCTTTTTCCAACTGGTTTAGTGCCAGAGTCTGCTGGGCTCAGTGAGGATAAGTGCTTGAACTGAAAAAGCTGGAGGTTGCCGGGAGTTGTCTCTGACGTTCGAGTCTGTGTGCAAGGTGAATAGCCGTACATCCCAGTACCTTCCAGGGCTTCCGGCACTCAGCGGACCCACTCCTAGCGCTGGCTTACCGTACCCACAGGGACCCAGCTGCCTGGCCTTTAGCACGACGCAGGGGCGACGTCACGCCGGCCCGCCCCACTAAACAGCCTAGGACAACCTCTGTACCAGAGAAAAGCTTTTGCGCAAAACTCTTCACGGATATAGACAATCTTAAGCATCACCAAGCTTTCAAGAACAACCCCCAACAGCTCTGAAGCCCGGTTAGCTCAATCGGTAGAGCGTGAGACTCTTAATCTCAAGGTTGCGGGTTCGACCCCCGCATCGGGCTCAATTCCCGGTGCGCTCCTGACATATCAGGAGCACATCAACCTTTCTCTTTTTTCTTTTTGTGATTCATGCTTTTGTTGATTCTTTTCGTCCTCGTTGCCTGTCCAGACTGACCTCGGGACACATCCCCCGTTTTGTCACTCGTTGAGGAACAATCCGTCGTCTCTCCTGAGGAAGAGGACCTTTGATGAAGGCTCCACAACTTCCGCCATCTTTTGCAAAAGGCTGCGCGACCTTTCGCCTCAAGTTCAGCCGTGACATTGTTACATCTTCTGTGTTTCCCAACTACCTCGAGGCTGGGGAGTGCGGCCCAACGACAAGAGAATGAACCACATTCTCGATATCAAGGCTCAATCCTAGGTCTTTTGGTTCTTCACCAAGGTAGCCCGGACGTGACTGGATGTGAATCTGGCCACATAGCCGGACCGCCTCGCCGGCACTGCCAAGATATCTTTGAGACTTGAAACTGTGTATTCCCATATAGAATATAGGTATAGCCCGTTAGTTTAACGTCTCTGAGAACCCTGTGTTCGTCCCCACGGCTGGAGTAGCAGTGTGTGTGTGTGTGAGAGTAGGGAGGTATAAATCACATAGCACTCTCTCTCTTTTTCGACGCACCTCCATTGCAAGCTCGCCCTCACGACGGCCTTTATCCCCTCCCCGTAGTGCAGCGCCTGCCCCCCCGCGAGACCGGGTCGTCCAGCCACGGAGACTCCCTCAGCCATGTTGCTACAGTCACTGCTGTTGCTGTTGCTGTTGCTGTTGCTGTTGCTGTTGCTGTTGCTGTTGCTGTTGCTGTTGCTGTTGCTGTTGCTGTTGCTGTTGCTGTTGCTGTTGCTGTTGCTGTTGCTGTTGCTGTTGCTGTCTCGTTTCTGTGATAGCAAATGTCCCTCGAGAGTGGTCAAGTCGACTTGGAAACTCAGCACGAGGTGTTGAGGTACCAAGTTGTTGTTTTCCTGACACTTTATTATCATGACTACTACTTTCTCGGTTGGTCCCCTTTCCGCGAATGTTCTTTTCTCTCTGAACCCGCCCAAGTCAGTCATCAATTCGTCATCCTCTCATTGATCACCTCAACCGCCCGTGAGGCACCATGGGAATGTATAGCAAACAGGGACTACGGTCCATCAAGCAACGAGACGCGACTCATTTCTCATAACCCCCCCCAAGAGGAACCTCCAAGTGTGATAAAAGTCAAGGTGAAGGGGACCAAGATCTGCACCCACCTAAAAGCGTAGCAAAGCAAAGTATCCCCGCCGCGCGTGCAGACATGCCCGCCAATCGAGCCCAGAGTCGAGTCGTGATGCAATGTACTGGTTTTCCTCGTGGCTCAATCCACAAAAGCGGAACCGTCTATTGCTGCTTGAGCAAAATCTTTACCTAATGCATGTGCCTAGGATTGTAGCAGGGTTCGAAAAGCACCGAGGGTTTCTGGCCAACAGCGTCACCGTACAGGACGTGCACTCCTGCATATTTCGCTGTTCACTGGAAGTACTGCCTTGAAGAGAAGGGAGTCGATCACTACATTTTGCTATGGCGGTACCTAGGCAAGTGTCCTAGCTTCGAGTACATGCGAGTATATCTCTAGTACCGAGCAGGCCAAGATCCCGTTGGTTGTACCCTTTCCGCCACCACGGCCAGCCCATGGTCAAAGCACGACAGCCTCTCTCCCTGCATGCTCATCATAAGTGATACTCCTTAGAAGTTCTCCTTCCCCGCGAACCGCTCATTCTGCACGACCTCGACCCAGTATCCATCTGGGTCCAGCAGGAACGCGACGTTCTTCATCCGCCCGTCGGTGAGGCGCTTCTTCCAGTTGGCCTGCATCTGCTCGAAGCGCGCGCACGCGGCGTCAAGGTTGTCGACCGACACGCAGATGTGGCCGAAGCCCTGCGGCTCCGAGTTGCCGTCGTGGTACTTGAAGTCGGCGTCCTTCTCGGTGCCGTAATTCCACGTGAGCTCGAGCAGGCCCTCGCGATGGGCGGTGATGCTGCCCGTCTCGTTGTCGTTGGCGCCGTAGCCCAGGAAGTACAGGTTGAAGCCGGCCTCCTTTGCCTCGTGGGTGCGCAGGAGCGTCATGCCGAGGGTCTCGGTGTAGAACTTGAGCGACTTCTCTGCGTCCTTGACGCGGATCATGGTGTGGTTCTATGGTCACGAGGCGTATAATGTTAGACTTCAATGATGAAACCTGCAGTCTTCGCAGAATGGGTGGTGTCACAAGCAAGAGAACACTAAGCTTACCATCCGGTACGTCGAAACATCCGTCTCAACACCCTGCTCGGCCGGATCGTCGGCGCCAGTGCTCTTGATGTTCTGGCTGACAATCTCGACCCAGTACCCGTCCGGGTCCAGCGCAAAGGCAATGTTGCGCATGCGCCCGTCGGTCAGCTTCTTCTGGAACTTGTAGCCGGCCTGCTCGATGCGGTCACAGCACGCCTGGATGTGGTCGACGCTGATGCAGACATGGCCGAAGCCGCGGTGCGGCTCCTTGTTGCCGTTGTTGACCGTGTAGTTGGGGTCGTCCTCGGTGCCATAGTTGTGCGTGAGCTCAATGACGCCCTCGCGGTCGAAGGTGCTGGCGCCGTGCGAGACGGCCTTGGGGCTGTCGTACGCCAGGAAGTACAGGTCGAACTTGTTGTCAGGGAACGCGAGCTTCTTGACCAGCGACATGCCCAGGAACTCGTAGAACTTGACCGAGGCCTTGGGGTCCTTCACACGAAGCCTGCAGATGGTCCGTGTCAGTCTTGCCAGCACATCGTCTGGGGTGGAGTGGGCTTCCGCCTGAAGTCCTGGGCTGGCCTTACATCGTGTGGTTGAGCTTGTAGTTGCTCGTGTTCGTGGCGGACGCCATAGCTGCGAATGTCCTCGTTGGTGATACTATATTCCGAGAAAATCAACTGGTTAGCACTCCCGCCCGCCGGCGTTGACCAAACGAAACACGACCAACCGCCCGGAACCGCCATCCGCTGGTACAAGCCGAGCTGACCGTGTCACGCCGGCACTGAATTTGCACCAGAGACATGGCCTGCAAACACCATCGCGCACCGCCTTCGAGAGACTCATGCACACCTCCACCGCCTAGCAGGTTGCCGCCTCTCACCACTCCTCCTCACCAAAGTTGTCTCCAGCAGTGCAGATCAGACGCTCAAGAGCTAAGAAGCCTCGCCCTCCACACACCGACCAGCTATCATCGGTCCGAGCCGAGTACAGTGTCGAGAAACCCCATGACCGGGGTGATGTACAGTCGGTATGAGCGGCAGCGTTTCTCTCCCTGAGCAGACAATGATAGACCCCCGCTTGGGTCTATGAATGGTCCAGGTGCGGTTGTACGTGGCCGCTGGAGAACCTACCTGAAGTGATGGTGTTGTTCAAAGCCCGGAGATGTCTCGTCTGGAGCTGTATCCTACGCAAGCTAGTTCGCAGCGCAGTAGACATATAAAACTCGTCGTCGCCGTTGTTGTCGTGCCTGAAGGTGTTTCGGCCTCCCAGTGTGTGTTCGTCTGTGTATGTGTGTGGTGTAGTGATTGCATACGTACGCGAGGTGGAATAAATGCGAGACTTAAGTTCCCCAGCGAAGGAAAAGAGCTAAGCTACAGTGCTAAAATAATGATCTCACAGGCGCAGAAGCACAACGTCAGTTGGGGTCTGCCCGTCGCGTACGTAGACTGACGAAGCAGCAGCGGGGTAGTTCCGCTCCGGTTCATCACTGGCTGCTCATGCCCCACAAGAGCTCCGAGACCGCGGGCCAATCAGCACCGCAGCGCATTTGCACACACATGGGTCCTGGTTGGGTGACCTCAGGAAGCTTGCAAACCCTTGGACGGCCGAGGGACATGCTCACTCACACATTGAGCTACTTGGGTGTGAACCTCTTGGAACTTTTCCCCGGCCGTACTTGACTGCGCAACATCTACTATATGAACGGAAGACTGTCAGTCCTTATTCCGAGACGGTTTGGGGACCTGTCCAATGCTAGAGCACGTCCCCTGCTCTCGAGTGAAGCTGGGCAGCGCCGCATGACGTCACTTTAGTTTTTCCAGATGCTGCGTCGGAGCAGACCAGCAATTGAAATCAATTCTTCATGTCGTATTTCTTCACCTCGTCCATCCCGAGGGGAGCTATGCCACATAATGCTCAGAAACAGTCTGCTTGCGGCGAAGGATGCCTTGCGCGCCCGAGTCGCTCGCGCGCATCATCTCTCCTGCCAGTTTTAATAGTACATAATGAAAAGATAAGGAAATTCAAGACTTTGAATGTCGGTTGGTATGCCTCTCCCGTAAAGGCAAATATGATTGCCTGCTGCACATATTCTTTCCAATGTGCACAGGCGGGGGGGAACGCCTCCTCCAAGGGCAGAATCCGGGATTTTCAACCGTGGTTAATCCCCTGCCAAATTCTTGTTTGTCGTTTCCACAAACATACTGACAGCTCAATGCGAAGCCGTAACGTATTCGGTTTTCCTGTACGCCACCTCTCTGCTCTTTACTCCTAGGAAGACCCAAAGATGCTGCGCACGGCGTGGGAGAGAAGAGTAGCGTTCTCGTTGTCGAAGTCCTCGCTAGGGGTTACGAAGAAGGCGAGCGCAATGATAATGTAGAGCGCCATCAACTACGCGGCGTGTCAGCACATGATGCAGCTTCCCACTCTCCAGACCTGCAAGACATACCATAGCACCCTCGAGGTAGTTCGATTTTCCATCCATGACGGTGTAGATGACGACAAGCACGGATAGCGCGAAAGAGACAGTCTCGACTACGTGAGGGTTAGCAACTGCGTGCACATCAATGAGCAGTCTGCAACTTACAAGTCTCAAAGTGCAGGTCCATGTCGCGGTCCATAATCCAGCCGAGAATGACGAGGAACGGCGTGACAAACAGGGCGATCTGGATGCTGGAGCCAATAGCAACTCCCATGGCCTAGAGTGGACGATATTAGTAACTGTGACTGACCGAATGGGCCAGACAAGGAGCTCACCAGGTCCATCTTGTTCTTCACAGCAACCACGACAGCTGTAACGTGCTCAGCCGCATTGCCGACAATAGGAATCAGAATAAGACCGATAAAGTTGCGGCTGATGTGAGCGCGCTCCACTAGAGAGTCGATGCTGTCGACAAGGTAGTCCGCGCAGATGGAGACCAGAACAGTCGTCACAATGAGAACGACACCAGCCGACCACGGGCTCATGTGCTCCTCCTTCTCCTCTTCGTCGTCGTCCTCGTGGTGGTGGTTTGCGTTATTGCTCTCCTCATCGGAAGCGTTCTGCGAGTCGGGCGGGGTCGTCGCGGACTCGAGGCTGAAGAGGTTGTGGTGCGTCTTCAGCTGGAAGAAGAGATACATGACGTAAAGAATAAGAAGGATGATTGCAGTACCACGAGACAGGGCAAGGATCGTTCGGCGAGTCGACTTTTCGTCATCGGCAGGGTTGATAATCATGAAGAGCTGTATCACCATGTACTGTCAGCATAAAATAGAGAAGGCCGAGGTGATTATGGGCCGATTATTTCTTACAGTGCCAGGCAAGATCATGGAGGCGGCCGACAGTGTCATCAGCGATGAGGTCGTCTGCGCAGTGATGGAGGCAAATGACTGCTCTGTGCCGTCACCATTGCCGTCGCGCATGTTGACAATACCGCCGAAGAAGAAGCACATGCCCATGACGAGGAGGATGTTGGAAAGAATCGACCCAATCATGGAAGACTTGACAACCTGGAGCTGGTTGTTCTGGAGCGCAATGATGCTCACAATCAGCTCGACCGCATTGCCGAATGTCGCGTTCAGCAGTCCGCCGAGCGACTCGCCGAGCTTGTCAGAGATCTCTTCGGTCGCAAACGACAGGACAGCCGCCAGGGGAATGATGGCGAAGAAGTTGATGGTGAAGACGGCGATCGGGTCCCAGCCGCCCTGGCCGGCAATGATACCAATGGGCACGCAAACGAGGAGGATGTTGACCGGGCCTGTGAACATTTGCGGTCAGCTACGTGCGCGGCGCGGGGCATTGCGCATGCCATGCGACGACATTGGGGACCACCACTCACTGCTCAGCAGGGTCATCTTTGTGATGTGCCACACGTGGGCGGGATACTTGACCCATGGCTTTTCGCTCTCGAGGCCCGGGGTGACCTGCGAGTTGAAGAAGAAGTCGCGCGTCGAGTGGCTGCCATTGGCACTGCGACCGCCGCTGCCCAGCAGCGCGGTGTGCTCGTCTGGTGCTGCTCCCCCGTTCATACCTGCGCGGCGCTTGGGTTGGGTGGCCTGTTTGCGTAGGCTGTGGAGGAACGACGGTATGTCTGTTGTGCGGCGGGTAGTGATGACGACCAGTCAGTATGTTGATACAGCGTTATGACCGAGCATTGGCACGAGCAAGACGACGAGGCTGTGGAGCTGTGCAGTGAGATGCAGAGAGTGTGAGGCGGGAGTTTGTTGTGGCCGAGGATCGCATAGCTGTTTGAGGGAATGGAGTTGGGCGATATGCAGTTTGCGACAGACCGGGTGCACGAGACAATTCGAGCAAACGGGGACAAGGCCGACTAGAAAAGCATTGACACAGACGGCAAGTAAGGAAGGAAGGAATGAACGGACGGATGACTGGAGAATGTTGGGCTGCGCAGTAATACGGCAGCCAGAGGCTTGGAAATGCTTGGCTCTGAGTGGCAGTGGCCCGTTGCTCGGCGGCGCGCGTGCATTGGGGGTTTGGCTTTGCGAGTCAGATTGGGGCGACGGGGCCTGGCGCCCGAGGTCAAGTGGTGAGGGAAGGGGGGTGCAGGTACGACGCGCGCGCGCGCAACCTCAGCCACAACAGCGGAACGGGAGGGACAAGAGGGAAAATCAGCGGATCGCCGGCGACTTACTCGACATTGGGGTCTAGAGAAGTGCCCCCCTGGTGATGGGGGAGGGAAGGAGAGGGAGAGAGAGAAGGGGAGCGGGAGAGAGATGGCGGATGATGTGGGAGTATGATGAGGAGCGGCAGTCCCAAGAACGGCGACCAAGAGACCGGAGCGCCCTAGAACGTCTTGTCGGGCAGGCGTGGTAGCAACAGCCAAGCTTTTTGGTGCTGGGCAGGGTGGTCCCTGGGCAGGCGATCGTCGTGCAGGCGGGCGATGGGCGAGCAGGCGCAGGCTTGCCAAGACGAGGACAGGCGGCAGACTACGTACGTATTGAGCCGGCTGGAGCGTGGGGGAGGAGGAGCGGGAGGACGACGACGAGGGCAATTGGCAAGTAATTAAGTGGTGGAGGTGGCTGTCGAGTTGGTGGTGGCAGTGTTGCGCTCCCGGTGGTGATGGCAAGTTGGCTCACGATGCTCACAGTCCTTGGCTGGACGATGTCATTGCCAAGAAGCCCTAGCCCGCGCGGCCAAGGAAAACCAAGAAAGCAATAGCTACACGGAGCTCGAGTGTGCCCAATTGTCCCACAGGCGCAGCACTCTGGCTCTGGACTGTCAGTGGGCAGGGAATGGCGGCCGAAACTCTAATTGCCCATGCTGGCTGCAGCGACACGGGCATGGTCAGCAATGGCCACCGACAGCCGTCGTCGTCGTCGTCGTCGTCGTCGTCGTCGAGCACAGTCTGTCCGGCAGAGGCAGTGCTGCCAGTCAGTGCAGTCCCTGGCGATGATGACGACAGGCACCACACGCGGGTTGCTGTGTGGGGACCCGTCCCACTCTTGCTGCCCTGAGGCATCTCTGTGTTCCACTCGGTGTCTGTTCGCCCGTCTGAGATTCAGTAGCACCAGCCAATGGGCTCGGTTCCATCGCCCACCCGCAACCGACCATTCCTCCCCCCTCTGTGCGACTGCCCAGATCTCAAATCATTGCCAGTGTTGTCAACCCCCGTGGCGCAGCATCACAGCATGCTCATTTCAAAAAGACCCCTCACCTTGCGCCCAGCTCTTGCCAGGGAGCGCAGTCGCCATCAATTTGTCAAGGGGTGATTCCAGATCTGTACCATGAAACTCGGCGCGTGTAAAACGATCACTGTTCGCCCGAGGTCGCAATCCGCCAGGGGTCTGGTAGTCCCTTGCTCGGAGCCCAGGTTAGGCTTATTTTTTGTTGTTTATCGTTCTTGTTGACCTATCGTGCTTCTCGTCCTTTGCTCGGGGTAATCCGCCATCGTACCTAGCCTGCGTCAGCATTGTGGAAACGCACATGTGTCAACGGCTGCCCGCATCATTTCTTGCTGCATGTACCCGTGCTGTCAACGCGCATCTGTCTGTCTGTCTGTCTCTGGCTGGCTGGCTGGCTGGCTGGCCGCCTGGAGTAGATAGGACGCTTCCCCCACTGTTTCGACTGCTCGGGGTCTCAAGAAACACCACCTTCAAAGCTGCTCCTGCAGGGATCGCCAAAGAGGCCTCCCGGCCGCAGAGCTCTGCAGCCAAATGTGCACTTTGCTTGGCGCCAAGCCATCCCGCCTGTCAGCCCGTTCTCATACCTCCTCCCAGCATTGTTACAGTAGGCAGAAACAGCGAGCGAGATATCACACATTGCAGTCGCATGCGTGAGGGAGTTTAGTATGTGGCCCTCTTACTGGTTCCGAAAACATAGGTTTCAATTTCTGTTGCAATCTGCACATCCGCTCATTCATCTCTAAACTCCAACCTCTTCAACTCGAAGCCCGTCACAACAATATGTGTAGTTGGGTGTGCAGAAAACAGCAAAAGCAGAATATGAAAGTCATGTGCAGGGGTAGTGATAAGAAGGGTGACAGGTAAGACAAAATGTCAAAGGGTCTACAGGCGGTGAAGAAGGATACAAGTGATGGGGAACAAAGACGAGGTAGACGAGAGACATGTCAGGTGCTGCGTGAACAGAGGCGAGAGGTGCCAAGTCAAAAACAAACACAAAAAGGGACATCTATATCCATCGCTCTTCATCAGTATGCCGTGCGTCCGACGGGTCGCGGGTCGTCGTGTCATGCAAATCGTTGCCATTTGTCGTCAGAATCGTGGCTCTTTGTCGTGTTGTTGATCGTGGTCGGGGTCGTGGTCGTGTTATCGTCGTTTGGGTCGAAGTCATCATCATGACAAGAAAGCTGCCGACTCCGTTAGCAGTTAGATTGCACCAAGTCATTGAAACAGCTTACCAGCCGCATATGCCTGATACCATGTCAAGCTGGCTCCACCGTCGAGCCAACTCGGGTTGAAATCTTTCCTCGTGAAGAATTGCCATGCCGTCGTGGCATCAAAAGTCGCCAGGTTGCCATAGAGAATTCCTCGCCAGCCTCCCTCAATCTTGTCGGCCCGGCCCTGGTTGAATAGTGCCGTCCATTCCTCGCTAACGAAATTCGACGGTCGGGTATATTTCGTGCTAGGCAGCAACGGCAGCATGTGGATGCCCTGGATATACTCAATGTTTGTGCCAAAATATGTCGTGTGGTCAATCTTGTTCTCGAACAGGATGCCCGCCACCTTGTTTCCAATAAATTGCGGCGGCTGCACCTTATTGTCCGCCGTGTAGAGGTAATAGTTATTCAGAGATCTTGACAAAACAGCAAGCATGAGGTTTCCCCTAAATATGCAAGTATTAATTTAACCTGTTGTTGTTACATTTTTCCGTCAAGCAGCGCAGCACGTCGACTTACCGGGCTTCCATGTTGGCATCCTTGACGGTCCTCCCCCACATCTTGATGGCATAGGCGTGCATCGCGTCCTCGGAGCTCGACTCTTGGTCCTGTATCTGATGTTAGCTACGACGCGGGTCGTGCCGTGTCGAACTGCGGCTGTGTCACGTACATTGCCATCGGCAGTCTCATAGAGACCATGTGCCCAACTGTGTCCATGAAACCAGTCGAAATTGCGTGATACTGGGAAATACTTGTCCGCGGTGGAGGGGTTCGCGATATCTCGGACCAGCGTGTTGACAAAATCGACATTCGTTTTGGTCATCCATGATGGGTCCAGGTACCCTATGATGGCAGCAGTGAGCACGAAATAGCCATAATGGAAATGGTGGTCGTTATAGAAGGTGTTGCCAAAGTCGGCTCCATTGTTGCCAGTCGTATATGTTGCCGACGACACGATTCCACCCCAGGCGTCTGGATTCTTGAGTTAGCGGCTGGCGGCACTACAGCATGATCATGAGACTTACTTTCGTAGTATAGCGGAAAGACCTGTTTGTTAAGTGCAAACCTGCTGAAGGCAGTCTTGAGGTTGTCCAAGCCGGCCTTGGCCGTGGCAGGATCTTTAAGCAAGTCATTTGCCACATAGCAAAGGGAGGCAAATTTGGCCAAGGCCTGAGATATTCGTTAGGATTCTTGCTCAATAAGGCAGCAGCCAAAATACCTGCTCACCTTTCCTCCATAGTACATGGAGTCCTGATTTGTCTGGGCATTCATGTCTTGCGATAGTTCCTTGATCGCGTTGGGCCGAATAGCTTGGATTGCTGCGTTGCTCAGCGTGCTCTTGGGGCCCGAAGCAGGGTCCCATGGGGCAAAGTCCATGGAAACTGGCATGTTTGGCTCCTCCAAGGTCCAGGAATCTGCAATGACGGCCTTTGCCATGCCCTTCGTGGTTGTTTGAAGCTGTATCTGGTTCTGGACAGCTTGAAGTGTCGTCTGACTGAAACTGGCAAGATGGTGGGGCAGAGCGTACATGAACAATTTTGTGCTCTGGTCGCCAGTTTTCTCGAAGGTAAATGTATAGGAGCCACGCTTGCCGGCTGCGGTGCCAGAAACAGTGACACCGACAGGGTACGCGGAGGAAGCTGCATCAAGCATCGTCTCTGCACCACCAGGATCTTTGGCAATTTGGATGTAGCCAGTGAACGGCTTCGCGGATCTGGCAAGTCCGTTATTGATAACCCTGAGGTCCAGATCGTCGCCCGACTGTGCAGTAGCATAGACGTGCCAAACCTTGCCGTCCTCAAGGTAGATTGTGTACTTTGTCACATTGGGCTTGGGCGACCTGTTCGAACGCGTCACTGTCTTGAAAAGGATACCCGAAGAGATGACGGGCGTGCCCGAATGGTAGATGCCTGTGACAAATCCCATGCCCTGCACGAGAGGGAAGGTCATCATAGGTTGTGCGTTGGGATCCTTATGCAAGTTGATGTTTGCGGATTGTGCCTTCAGATTGTCCGTCGTCAGGATTGTGGTAGCTCCAAGCTCAACAGCCGAAAGACATATGGACTGGATGCCGACGGGATTGAGGAAGTACTTTGCGGCACCCGTGTCTGGAGCCTTATCACCAAACACTCTCTGGCTGGCCTCAATGTGTGACACACACATGCCCCAGCTGGACGTGGCTCCCTGACCCTTCGCCCAAGCCACAGAGTATGGGTGTACAAAAGCCGAAGAGCTCTGGCCGCCAAGGAAGAAATTGCCGTAAAACTTGTTCGTCCCAATTGGTGCTGACTGCCTGATGCCTTTGCGAGGCACAGGGTGGTCATTTCGCACGGGGAACATGTTTGATGGCGCATTGGTCGCCACAGGAGCGCCGAAAATATTGTTGAGGGTTGCTGTAGGCTGTGCCATGGTAGGAGTCGTCGCTTGGGGTGGGCTAGGCGACCTTGTGGATGATGGCGGCGGCGGCGGCTGCGAAGGCGACGTCGGGCGTCCGCTTGTACTGGACGGCGAACTCTTCGACGAGGGCTGTGGATTGATTGTTGTGCCCTTTGTACTTGTCGGGTGGGTGGGTCTTGTCGTGCTGCGAACCGTTGTCGATGTCACTGCTGGTCCCTGCGTTGAAGTGGGTGCCAAATTGCAGGAGCAGGTGACAATGGGTTCTGGGATGGGCTTGGTGTTGAATGGTGGAAGTGTTGGTCGGCCGGCCGTCTCGAGGCTAGATATGCAGGTTCCGCTTGTATTTGGCAGTGGGCCTGTCGATGGCGGAAGGATCTGGTCGACGCCGCTGGAATGAGTGACGGTAATCACAGCGACGGGTGAATAGCCTTCCTTGTACGAGCTGGCAGGCGTGCCGGTCTGCGGCGGTCTGACTACTGTCGTCAGGGAGTTTTGAGAGCCGCCAGACTGTACGGGTTGTGTAGTGATGGAAGCTGGCTGAGCGGTGCTGGGCGGCACAGGCACCAGTTTGGTGGATGTTGACTGATCGCTCAGAGTGCGTGTGCCAGCGGGAGCGAATCCTACTTGATAAGGATTTTTGGAGGATGAGATATCGTTCACTTGTCTCGGTCGGTTTTCTTCTCCAAGTGGGCTATAAGGAAGCGGCCCTAGCTCATGAACAGGAGCAGATTGAGTAGGTAAAACCTGCCATATCGTTAGCAGCAAATACAGAAACAGCATTGTCAAATCATATGCGGAGGGGGATTCTGGGTGGGCTCTTAGGCTTGTTTTCGTCGTCTTGCGCTGATGGTGATATCAGGCCGAGTTGTGTTGTGAAAAAGTAGAGAATATGGTGAAACTCGGCGGCGTCGTGGCGGGTAAGTGTGAATCTTTGGATTGTTGTGAACGTCGTGGGGCTGAAGTCCAGCTGTCGTAAACTCGTGATCATGAAAAAAAAGGTAATCTAGAATAACGATGTTGTTCTTTGTTGTCGTGTAGTCCGTATGGAAGGGCGATATCGAAGCAGGCAGCTGCAGGAGTCGACTTCGCTTTGTACCAACTAAGGGCGTGGTGTCACATTGGGAGGAATGAGAGCGGTTGTCCAGGCGAGCGTTTCGTCTTCCGCCGCTCCGGCACGCCGGCCAAGGGTCGGTTCGCCATGAGTAGCCAGGCTCAGGTGAAGGCCAAGGGTTGGCTCGTCATGTGGTGCGAAGTCGTGGAATGCTGTGTCTTGGTGTAGGTGGACCAGCAGTATCGCTTACCTTGGCTGCACAGGCAGGCTGAGCTCCCAATCCTGCAGAGGAATGAGGTTTCCCGGTCCAGTTCAGGGCGTGAGATTTGGTAATGATGCACAAGCTGTAGGATAAATGAATGGGTGGACGAGGGCTGAGTGGAAAGTGTGCAGTGTTGAGCAGATGCTGGTGTTCGATCGATGTCTGAGCAGCGTCTGAATTGCTCATCCATTCATGCGAACAACGACATTTGCCGGCACGGCCCGTTGTCCTTCCTCTCGTAGAGGAGTTCGTGTCATGTTTCAGGCGGTCGGAAGGATCGACTGTGGCGCGATAACCAAAAGTCATGGAGTGCCACTCTCGTCACTGGCAGCATCACAGGAAAGCGCATCCAAAGTAGTACGAGACACGGAATCCTGCCTCCAGCCCTACTGCCGGAGCGACGGTAGCCATTCGAGACCTGTCTTGGTCTGAAGCATTTTGTCGCATTAGGGGGCCGCACAGGTCCCTCCGGGATGGTTTTCCCTCGTGGCAGTGAACTTATTACTATCTGTGGCTTTCTCAACTCGCCATCTGCATTGTTCGAGCGATGTGTTTGCCAGTGGTCCTTCTCAGCCTCTGAAGCCAGTACCAGGACCACGGTCTGTGGAGTCTTCCAAGGTTATACCGATCGGTACCGTTACTCCGGAAAGTCGCAAGCTACCTGAGACGGAGCATCCTCCTGCTCAACGTCTATTGACACCGCTAAATCCCAGGCTTCCCCTGTACTGGAATTCACCTTTGCGCTATTTCTTGGTCCGGTGTGTTTTGACATTGCGCTGGTTCCCACCGCGGTCTCTTTGTCGGAGATCAACCTTGGCATCCCTCGCGTTCGCCTTGTCCTTTTGCTGCACCTGGCGATGCTGATCCTTCAGATATTCCTTACGGCATTTGCGCAGCTCCTCGCTGCTAAGCTCCCATGGCTTCACTAGAAATTCCTGGCGGAAGCTTGCGATCTTGTTCCAAAACTGGACTTCCTCCTCAGTTGACCTGACGACCTGAATCTTGTGAATCTTCATCTGCTTTTGGTCCCGGAAGATCTGCACGCTGCCTTTGATGATGACAACCATGCCAACGTCATACTCAGACGCGGGGGGCGCCGCGAACCCAGGAAGAATTGTCTCTGTGGGATCACTGTTGCCAGTCTGATCCGAAGTTTCCCCTTGTTTGGCAGCATCTCGAGCCGGACGACTGGGTGCATCAAGGGCACACTCGATGCACTTCCCCGAGCTGTCGTCTATGGTGTAGACGAAGCGGCCATAGTAATAGTCCACAGCGACAATCACACCAGCGATGCGAACCCAAACAATGGGATGGTTGGAGAGGAAGAAGATTCCCAGAGCTTTAGTCCAAAACTTGATTAGTCTCTCGAGGCATGACACGGCATGGCGCTATATGGATTTGGGGTTGCCCCAAAGCTACCTTTGTGTGCGTCCTGGGCATGCAGGTCATGAATGTCGACGATGCGAAGCGGGCACCACTGGTCGATGGTGCGGGAGAGGTGGAAGCAGTATTGCGGATAGTACACGCAAGACTCTTCGCCGGTCATTGCATTTTCGAGTCGGCGCGCATCGCTTCGAGCAGCAATGTACACTAACCTTGGCTCGCAGGTGCAGGCTCCGTCCTCGATCCTGCTGCGGAGTGAGGCGGCAGCGAGATAGTGTGAATGTGGTTGACGCGTCAAGCGCGTTGAGTGCGTGCTGGTACAGATTGAGGCGGGGCGCCTTGGTGCCTGATGCAAAAGATATTGGGAGGCATGCGGCGGCTCAATATAGCACTTTGTGCCCCACAGGGTGCAGTAAAGTGCTGGCATGAGCACTCCACCACGAACTGTACACGGCAGCACATGTCTCAGTATTTAGCGTAGTTGGCTGGACGACTGGCACCTTTGTCGATTCATGCCCACAAGACACGAATCCGGATGGGAAGTCGGTGGCAAGGGTCCTTGAAGAGTAATCAAGATGCTCCGAAGTCGTTATGACTGATGCAAATGAGGCGACAGACAAGGCTGGTACCAGACTTGGCAGGCGAGATATGCTTCCATTTTCATATTACTGGTGACTTTCAACATCTCGCACTTCTGGGTCACGCCGCCTTGAAGAGAATCCTTGTCCCCGCCCATTCCTAACCAAATGCTGCCTGATCCGAGTCGTAAATGACGCCATGCAAAAGGCTTTCCTGTCCCACGTGCAAACCTGAAGAACTCCGACCCTGAACGCCTTTGAATTGCTGATTTTCACTTTCGGCCCTTCTTCAACTTGGCCGCCGCAGCCTGAAATGCTTCTTCGGAGATGTCATCCTCATCCGCAACTCTTTTCTTGCCCTTGCCGCCCTTCTTGGCTGGCGCAGCATACTTGGCAGCGATGTTGTCCAGGAAGTCATTCTGGGCCTGTTGCCGGCTCTTCTGGTTGCCCTGGATGAGGGCGAGCAGATCGGCTTCAGATGACTTCTTGCTTTTGCCCTTCTTGCCCGCGTCCTTCTTGTTGCCGAAGAGCTTATCGTGAACGCCGAGTTCTTTGGCGTATTCTTCTGCTTCGTCTCCTTCGTCCCTGGCTGCTTTTATCCTGGCTTCTTTTGACTTCTTGCTCTCCTTCGTGTACTTCTTGAACGCGGGGACATCTTTGTTGGTAATGGCCTCGTCGATGATGGCACGGAAGCGGTCGTCGTCCTCCAGCACGTTGCTGAGCATCACCGTCTCGTAAATCGCATCCATGTCGCCCTCGAACTTCTCGTAGGCCACGAGAATATCATCCTTCTCCTCGTCCGAGCGCTTGTAGATCTTGGCGAACTTGTCGATCGCATCTTCCGAGACGGCGTCTTTGAACTGCTCGCGGTAGTAATCTGACCAGCTGAATCCGTCCGAGTCGACGATGGACTCGGATGTCGACCCCGTCTCGTCATATCGCTTCCGACGCGCCGCATCGGAGAGGATGGCGTAGGCAAGTGCGATGGACTGGAACTTTTGGTGGGCTTCGTCGCGCTCGGCCACGGGGACCTTGTCTGTGAAGAAATCTCGTCAGCAAACTTGTCAAGCTTTAGCTGACCTCGAGTATGTCCACTAGTCGTGCTTACCTGGATGGTGCTTTAGAGCCGCCTTGCGGTACGCCGTCTTGACCTTGTCCGGAGAAGCATCCCGATCGAGCCCCAGAACCTCGTAGGGGTCGATGACGGGAGGCTCTCCTTCGAGCAAGTCCTCTGGCGAGCTCATGATGTCGGCGTGAAGGTAGACGGGAGATTGGCCAGAGTGGTTATCGACACAATGTGTGCAGGCCGCTCAATTCACTGTGACCGAGAGTTGGGTTGTCGGAGTGACGCGTGAGACGCGTTAAGCACTAAAGACCCACTGAAGCTCCTTATCAGTGTAGTGATAAGAGCTGTGATGCACTGCCAAGCGCCGGCTTGCACGCCATTGAGCAACGGATCTAGAAGTCTGGGGTCGAAAGTGGTGGGGTTGATTGGATCGACTTTGACGATCTCAAATTCCTGCAGCTTGCATTTTGTACTGAAACACCGGAATCTGGCGTCTCCTAGACTTGGCCATTGCATTCTAAACTCCTGCTGCTGCATCTGAATCGCTTCCATCAGACAGTACTGTTTACAGGATTCGTATGAGAGCCTCCACCATACCACTTTGCACATCTGGAAGTACACACTAAAGCAGGCCAACACAACCAAAATTTGCGCCATGGAAACACAAGCCCAGATCACAGGGATCAAGCCAGGTGACCACGACGCATACATGCGCCTCGCCCTCTCACTGGCCACAAGATCACCACCCAAGCCCACAAACTACCGAGTTGGTGCCCTCGTGGTCGACGTGGCCACAAACGAGATCCTCGCGACTGGATACACGCTCGAGCTGCCCGGAAATACACACGCAGAGCAGTGCTGCATCGAAAAGCTTGCCAAGCAGTATGCTGTAGATCCTGCACTGCTCAGTCAAGCTCTGCCGGACGAAGTGGCCATTTACACCACTGTCGAGCCGTGCATTCTGAGGCTGAGTGGAAACAAGCCTTGCGTGGAAAGGATTTTGGATATTGGCAAAAGCAGAGTCAAAACGGTTTATGTTGGCGTGCAAGAGCCAGATACTTTCGTCAGCGGCAACTCGGGCAGTCAGAGGCTCAAAGACGCGGGCATAGAAGTTGTTCATGTGCCAGGATTAGAAGACGAGATCTTGGCGGTCGCTACGGCTGGTCATAAAGCTGCAACTTGATTTTGCTGAATCAGGTACATAAGTCTATGAATTTCTTCTGCGCTCATGCCATGTTCTTCGTGAATTGGACTTTGAGAAAGTGATGATAGCCTCAACTGACCTAGGACCCACCACGACATGTCCGTTTCCCTCGGATTTTCGCACGGTAATCATGAGCAGCCATCACTTCTCATTGCTCTCCTGGGCTCAAGTACTGGTATTCAAAGGCTCTAGTCCTCGCTTCAGTCTCCGAACCTGAGTTTCGCTTCGCCGACTTTGTCTCCACGGACAAGTACCTTGAACTGCATGTAGCCAAGGTCATCCTCGGGCACAATGGCGATATCGTAGTCAACCCTGTAATATCTCTGCGCCTTGTATGGATGCACAGAACTCAGTTTCCTCTTGCTGGGAAATCCCGTCAGATTGACTGCTGTCAGGTCAATGTCGATAGTGCCCAATAGCTTGACATCTGCGAAGGAATCCACTGTTAATAGGAAGCTCTATGATTTCGCATGGCGCTGCTGGGCTCACCTTCGTCAAACCAATCTGGAGCTACATGTGATATGCATTGCCATAAGTCGAGTTGCCACTTTTTCTCAGAGTACTTGAGCCACTTCCTTTGGAAACTCTCCGTCTTCTGTGTCTCGTTTGTGATATTTCCACCCTGTTCTCGTTAGAACTATTCTTCCAAGTATGTGGATAAGACGTACTCGGTTGATGACCCAGGACATTCGATTTGGAGTTCTTTTCACGCCGTCGAACCAGTCAATGATGGCTGTATGCTCATCGTCGATTCCTGAACGGAAAGGCATGTTGAACACGAAGCCAATGTGGTAACGAGCCTTTCTGTTGTGTATGCCGCGGCCTTCAAGCCCACAAAGCGCAGCACCAATGCAGATGGCCTCCCAACTATGGCTTATCAGCAAATAACGCACAACGGAAAAGTGGTGTGTTGCAAAGCCTACTGTTTCTGCAGCTTTGGAACCTCGAGTCCCAGATTTGTCTTTGCCCATGCTCTCACTTTGTCCTGCAGATAGGCTGAAGAGCCAAAACCGCCGACAAGAATGATTGTCTACAAAGTTAGTCGACGATCCTGCTCTGTAACGATAATCATCATATTTGCCACATTACCTTGATTTTGACTGCCTCGCCCGACTCTGAAGCATTGACCTGCTGCTCCAGAAGAGCGATGACATGATCAACCACGGGGTCAAAGAGTGAGCGCATGTCGGTGCTATGATTAATAGTGTCATTATCGTGCACATTCGCCGTAATGAGAGGACTAACTTACCTGGTGACCAGCACTTCCGAGTAGGCTTCATCATAGTGAGCGCTTTGCTCGACATCGAGCGGAAGTGTTATGCCATAGGTCGTGTCGTTGGTAAGGGAACCGAAAGCTCGTTTTGTGCGTTCGAAGTCGCCCATGAACTTCGAGCTGGCACCCTTTCTGCTTTGTGGAAGCTTGGTAAAAGACTCTCCAAAGCGATCTTGCATGAGTCCGTGGAATGCACGATCGATTGTTGTTGAGCCGCATTTTCCACCTATAATCATTAGTCGCGAGGCTTGAAATAATGCGGAAGAAGCTGATACTACATACCCTCACTGACGCAGACTTGGTCCAGTTGCAGTTTTGGGGTGATCGATTTGATGAGGTATGACGCCAAGTCCTGATTTATGCACGTCAGCTCCAGTATTGGAATCTAGTGCCTCGGATACCACTTACCACAGTTCCTCCGCCACAATCACAGATAAGGATGCCGTCACCAACCTGGATTCGTGTTAGAATTTCATGGATGACGCGCGGCTTCAAACGTGGCGCATGCTCTGACCTCGATCAATTGCTTGTTTTCCCGTGTTGTCAAGTGCAGGCTCGCCATGGCTGCAGCCTCCGGCTCCTTGACCATATGGATTGTATCACCGGGTCTCGAGCCGAATCCAGCCTTACATGCGGCCTTTCTCGTGGCTTCTTGCGCCCGAATAGACCATACTGCAGGCACTGTGAACCACCATTCGATGGCTGTGAGGTCCAGGATTGGCGCAGTGATGATTGTGGCCAGGTACTTCATGACATGCTTGTACAGATGGGTCAGGAAGTCTGTCACGACTTCTTCAGCAGACTTCCACGATGGCAGCGTCAGTATGCCGCCACCATCCACTTCTCGCAGCCTTTTGTCATCGTATTCTGTCGCTATAGTATGGCGATCCAGCAGCAGCTTGGTCCAGCAGAAGGCTTCTGCGCGCGGCTCAATGGCGTAACCCCATTGCTCGGCTGGCTGGTAGCTGATTCTGCTTGCCACCTGGCTCTGGTGGCCGTAGTCCCCGCCAGTCGAACCGGTTGAAGGCCAGGATGAAACGATGTGGATATCGGAGACATTCTCAGCATCGGACCATGCGTAGCAGACGCCTATATCTTGGTCAACCCTCGTACAAAATAGATGAAGTGTAGTGCTGACCTATGAAAGTTGTGCCGTAGTCGACACCGCAAATCAACTTCCTCGACATGGTGTCGATGACTTGGTTTGCGAGTCGACCTCAGAGATCGAGAAACTTGAAGCCGTGGCTGAGTTTATGTCGGTCTGGTTGCATCTGGTGAACTGTAAGTTCTTGCCGGAAGGTTGAGGCGTTTGCGGGCAAGCCACACGAAGATGGCGGGTGAGGTTGTTCCTGGGCAAAAAAGACTGTGCTGAGTGGCGAAGGACAATATGGAGTGCCTCAGGCTGTTGTCGGGGTTTCAATGGTGCAGCCAAGCAGCCGTGAGTGCCTGGCCGAACCACCAAGTTGTGTTGCAAGTAGGAGTACGAGGGGACCATACTCTAGGAGGATTCTAAAACCGAATTGCCCTTGCGGCATCAAACGACGAGCAGTTTGTGCGCCAGAATTGTCGCGTGCAGCCACCCAAGGTTTCCGCTGAGGTTGTCACCAGCCTCTCACGACTGTGTCACCTCCCGCAAAGTTCTCGATAGCGAAGGAGAAGAGACACTGAGAAGATACTTCAATCCCATTCAGACCCATGTATTCAGACCCATGTACCTGGTTATGCACCCAGATCTTAGGGCTGTCATTCATTACTCCGGCTCCGTAGTTTCCCTTTCACTCAGCACATTCAGACGTTTTCATAATCTCCCATACCACGGGGACCGTGACTTACAGATTCCTCCTCTCTGACAAGCACACCACGCATGATCCTCACGCTTTCACGCTACAGACAAATCGTGCAAATGGCTTATCGTCGAGATGGCGAGAGCTGGAGCCTCGCACAGCCCGGTAGGTTTGTTTCGTCCCACGATAATATTTCCTGGGTGCTGAATATCGCCATCACAGAACTCAACAACCAGACACAAGGTCTTGGTTCTTGCACCAGTCATGCAGCCAACCCTCGTACTCTTCCTGCGACAGTCCCGATTATCCACATCAGAGGAAGTCAAACCTCTTCGCTAGGAAGGCACACAAGCGCTGGCGAAGGTAGTACCATGGCATCTACCCAGTCAGCCACAAGCAACGGTCCGCAGTCTACGGCTTCTGGGAACCGGTATCTTGAGCTGCCTCCGTCCGTCGCCGATCTCTACAGACTCGCCATCACGCAAGGGCCTGGAGCTGCCATCCAAGACGCGTACCAAGACATCCAAGCTACCTGGTATCAACGATGTAGAAATTTTCTTGATAAATTTGGGAGCCTTCGAGCGGTCAACGCACACATGGAGAGACGCCTTGGTAGACGCGACGCAACAATCAATGCGCTTGCGGAAGAATTGTCCAGGACATGTGGTATAGAGGCTACACTGCGTGAAAGTAACACTGCTCTGGCGTGGAAGGAAAGGAGCTTGACTGTAGAAGTGGTGAAGCTCAGGTCCGAACTCAGCGGTCAAGCAGAGAAGCTGAGCGCTGCACAGGATGCAGCGAAGGCTATCATGGAGCAGTCACGCACATTTGCCATGTCTGACGATGACATTCGAATGAGACTCGCAGCTGTGGCCGCGGACTGGCAGGATTGGGTCCGACAATATGCCCACCGAGATGTTGCCCTGATCCAGTCACTGTCCAGAGATGACAAGACACTCCTGGAGAATTCGGTGTCTGAGTTTGCGATTCTCGACACCAACTGCTTGCAAGAAGTTCTTTTTCAGGGGGCTCAGACGAAGGGCACACCAGGCTTATTCTTGCAAGGCATGCTGGCCAGCTTTATGTCTGCCACCATGTTCAAGTCTCCTGAGACCGCGTTGCGACTCGTGGCAACCCAAGTCGGCGGTATTCACGACACAGAGCAGGAGTTACAGACTAAAGCCGATACGATCTCGGAACTTCTCAGAGTCCTAACCACAAGTAAGTCTGGCACAAAATCTGATCACCTCCTATTCAAGTCTAATAATACCTGGCAGCCGACGAGAAAGGCGGTCATCAGACCCGTGCGATGATCATCCGCACACTCAGCGGTTTGTTGTCGAGCCATACTGAAGGCTCTTCTTCTGCCCAAGCCGAGAACCTGCACAAGGCTCAGCTACAGATCAGCAGATGCTACGCAGAGGAATTCCTCAAAGGAGCTGCACGGTTTCTGTGCAAGGAGCTCGATGCGGAGAACATGGAGCTACGCAATGCGCGACTAGCCGAGCTCGTCGAGCAGGCTTTGATCATGTCAACTCAGCTTTGGAGCCAGCGGTCAAGAGTGTATTGTGGCACTATGGAATTCTTCGATGCGACAATCCCTCAAGATCAGAACCATACCGAACCCCACAAGTCCCAGATCCGCCTTGTCGAGGAAGACGAGGCCGCGTACCATAACTTACCTCTCGGTATGGTCGTTCAGCCAGCGATCCTCGCTATTGGCACCGAGGATGGTCAGAGATACCACGAGGTTACCCGTGTGTGGCTCAAGGCGCAGCTCTGGCGCATCCCACATCCCACCATGTGAACGTGTCACGGTCGGCCTCAAACCAGCGACCGGCTGAGGCGGTTGTCCATGAGAAAACAGAATCTCGCAAGGATGACACGATATTTGGGGCACAAAGCACTCCGTGTTCATGCGACGGAACGAAGTTCCCGCAGGAAGAAGGACTGAGAAGTGAGAGCAGTTTATTGTTCAAGTTGGCACGCGGCAGAGAAGCTAGTGATGATTAAAGCCATTTGACACAAGGAACACATCGTACAGCGAAGTATGGCCCTGATAGAGATAGCCGGATTGATTCAGCATCAACAAAGGATGTTGATTTTATGTTTTTCCACTGCCGTGCCATATCTCCCCTGGTCTGCCATAGTCCTGTCTCAAGGATAGCCGCCTACGTCGGTCATGTCGCATAAGACATTCCACGTGCTTTGAAAAGGTCGTCTCTTGCATGCTGGACATGCTCCCAACTGATGGGTTTGATACTTAGGATAGCGTAGGTCCAGCCAATGGCTGCCCTCGGATCTTTGACAGGTTTGCACAAGCACCAGTAAAGCTTGGGCTCACCGCAGACACCCAAGAACTGCCCCGCCTGCCTCTCAAAAAGGCCGCCATTTCTCCAGCCTGTGAGAGCCGCATGTGGATATGGAGGCGTAGCTTTGAACAAATCTATAAGTAGAAAGTGTTGTTTTCGTGTCAAGTTCTCTCTTTCTGATTGCTTTACTCGCGCGTAGAGCTCAAAAACAACATCTTGTTGTTGTGAATGACACTTAGCAGTCTGGCTAATCATCTCACCAACACGGAAGCACGTTCGCAGGACAGTCAGTGAGGAGACACCTGGGACTTGGCCATTGTCGTTGGCAGGGCCCGGAAATGGTGGTCGTAAAAAGGGAGTCACAGTCAGAAGTTCAGAACTGCCTGCCGCCGTCGTATCAGTCAGGGGAAGAGTAGAAGTTTCGCAGTCGGTTTCTGCTTGTAATGCTTTCAAGGAGCATGCGGCATCCCAGTCAATATCTTCCTCGAATTCATTGTCGGTGTGAGATTCCAGCGAAGCTGCTGAAGCCTCCAGCAGGCAACCTCTGCGGTCTAATGCAGTAAGAGAATCAATGGGACACACGAGAGACTCTTCGTACAGTGTCCGTGTCGCGGTCGAGACAGGCGACGCCGAACGAACCTCCACATGACTCGTGTTTGCGATGTCAGTGAGACCTGCCATATCTGTCTCAGATATCCCCTCGAGAGGATACTCATCAGACGCTTGAGATGCTTCGGTCATGACGAAGCCTGCCCTTGGGAGACGCGGGTATTTATGTCCTAGAGACTTGATGTGATGCTCTGTGATCAGCCAATCATAGGAGAGGAGGAGAGAACGCTTCGCTTGGCAGGAACCAGTATTTTGCTTGGCAGGAACCAGTATTTTGCTTGGCAGGAACCAGTATTTTGCTTGAGGAGTGCTGCCAAAGGCTTTGTTGAAGTTACCAACGTTGTGGAAGTGTCCAGTTGATGTGGCATGATCTAGGATTTTACCAGCGGAGTTCTGGAGCGAGTTCCAGCGGCTCAGATTGGAAAATGGAAGGTGCGACCTGTATATTTTGGTGAACCGCCGACGATGGATATGATGTCATCTGGCATTCAGCTCCGATCATCGGAGAGGACGGCAACCTGCTCAATACCGGCCAGCATCGCAGACGACAAGCAGGCGCAACTCCAAAGTCGAGCGACAAAACATCTGCACTTGACACTGGCGGTGTCGCGCTTATCCAGGCCGGGCATGCAAAAGAGGCTGTGCATGGCAATCCTAATGGTTGTCGCCAATGCCGATGTCGACTGACAAGAGTGGGGGGCGGGGTCAGCTGGGAGCTTGGGCTGCCATTGCTGGTGCTGGAGCTCCTTCCGTCGCGTGTCTCATGCTGCACGATTCGTGAGCTGTCTCATTCGTCCAAACCCTGCTTGTCTTTCCTTCATGTTTTGTAGACTTGCGCGTGATTTGCTTGCCGTCTTCGTCTCATGACAGCGTCCTGTACAGCTCAACTGAAAGCTCGACAGCGCGCAAAGGTACATCAAGTACGTAAGTAAGCATCCCGGCGAGGCATTCCACATGCCTGCGGGCTGTCCCGCTCCTCACGATCGCCCAAACTGAGGCCTGGACGTCATAGCTCGTTACCATCCCGCCTACGCTTCCCGAACTGCAGCATTCTTCCCTTGCACAGGCAAACAAGCCAGTCGACTAGTTTCGAAAGCTATAGCTATCTATTCAGTGCGAAGAACGTCTCAGGGACTGCACCAGAAGCATGTTTTCTCAGGTTGGTCGCCGCTACCCACCCACGAGCTCCACGCGGCCTGCGCTGTGATCTTGTTCTCACCAGCATCCCAGAAAAAACCATACTCGGCCGTGACGGTCACGGTCGAGCGCCTCACTAGCGAGCAGTACGAAGAAGACGACCTCAGCGGCATCCCTGACCTCGTCGAGGTCATCAAGCTGCAAGCTACTGGACCAGCAGAGGCCGCGCGAGCGTTGCGAAAGAAGCTCAAGTATGGAAATGTCCATCGCCAGATCAGATCGCTTGTTCTCCTGGACGGTCTCATTCAGAATGCCGGTCCGCGGTTCCAGCGCACCTTCATTGACGAGCCCCTGCTCGAGCGCCTCCGTGTATGCGGTACTTCTGGCTTGTCCGACCCAGACGTGCGGAAGAAATGCTCCGAGCTCTTCAGAAGCTGGGCCGTCGAGTACAAGAGCACTCCTGGCCTCGAAAGAATTGCGGTTCTTTACAAGGTACGGCCTTGCCTGTCTGGACCCCGCATAGTCGTAACTACCTGCTGACTTGCCAACACCACACAGGAACTCCCTAGACGCAAACAAGTCGTGACGCAAGACAAATCCAAGGTCCTGCGCGAGACTGAACAGAACCCCTTCCACGATTCCGAAGATGAAGCCGAGCAGCGTCGAGCCCAGGCTGCGACCCAGCCTCGATCACAAGCATCCACCTCACGGCCACCTGCCAGCGCCGCGCCTGCTCCAACAGGCCATGCACGAACCCAATCCGCGTCAAGCTCGTCCTTCTTCTCGAGCTCGAAAGATAAGAAAAAGAAGGACAAGAACGGAAAGAGTTCAAGACGCCCGTTCAACCTCGAAGCGGAGAAGGAGGCCATGAAGGTGTCTATCGCGGAGTCATCAATCGCCGCGACCAATTTGACGAACGCGCTACAAAGTATCAACCGTGAACGAGAACGGATTTCTGACAACGCGACTGCGGTCGAGCGGTTTGAAGCCTGCAAGCTGCTGCGCCGCAAAATCCTTCGTTATGTGAGTCTGCCAGCCAGGACGCCACTCCAGCTGGGCGAGATACTAACAATCTGCAGGTGCATCATGTGGAGGACGAGCAGTGGCTTGGAGGTCTCCTGCATGCCAACGACGAGCTTGTCCAGGCCTTGATGACTTACGAGCAGCTCGACCGATCTATTGACGCAGATAGCGACTCTGAGGATGAGCTTGCAGAGCAGGCTCACCTGTACCGGAGTAAGTGTCACCATCACAGCACCGATGGCAAGCAGATACTAAACACAGTCCATCCCCAGTGGCCACTGAGAAGGGCAAGGCCCTTCTCGCAGCTCAAGGCACTCCGATTGTTGACGATACTCCCGATGTGTCGGAGCTGAGCATTGCGCCTCCACCCCAGCCCCCGCGACCGTCGGCGCCTCCAAGGCCCTCGGCTGCATCTAAGCCCTCCTCCGAGAAACGGCCGCCACCTGTTCGGCCACCAGTGCAAGATGACTCGGAGGATGAGGACGAGAACGATCCATTTGCAGACAGGAACGAGGTGGAGACACCCGCATTGGAGAGAGGAGAACCTCGATGGTAGGTCCATTCTGGGGGTGTTACTGGAACATGTTTGTCCCTTCTTGATATACCGCGCATAGCGTGTGTCAGCAATTTACTTTTGTGTGCTTGAGATACCATGAACAAATAATGCTGCAAGATCCCAGCACAGAATCCAGCCGGTGTTGGAACGTCTGAGTATTCAAGGCTGAAAGCAGAATATATCGTGCCGACAAGGCATCATTTGAGAGGCTCCCCGGGAATGCGACCCGTTTGTTCGTCCTCGTCTACATGTGCTGTGTCGCCAAGGTCAAATCCGCCTTGTGTAGGCGCTCCAAGTCTCTCCAGGCCCACCTGAGCGTTGGTGAGATGTAGTGTGAGTGCCGTGGAGCACGCTAATGATTGCTTCTCCACCCTCGACGATGATTGGGGCTTGGTTGTGGGGAGCGCGACCCCTGCTGAGCAATGTTGTGCCGCCAGCGCAACACCATCGCCCGCCCGGCAGGGTGCACCCTTAGGCAACCTCTGCATTGGTTGCCGCCTGTCAGGCGTTCAGCCAACCTTGAACCTAGAGAGTCTTCGAGACTGTATCAGTATTAGGCCTTTCTATGCCCCTCGTTCATGCCCAAGGTGCTGCTGACATTCACAACTTCATGTTCAACACGCTTTCCGGATCCTGATCGTGATACATCATTGACACTGGACCTGCTTGGTTCGTGCGCCGACACGTGAATTGAGCCAAGCCGTTTTTGTCTTCCTGCTTGCCTCTTCGTGCGTCTGACCGCGCCGCCTCCATCACGATCACGACATCCAGCACCAAAGCGATCCCCCAGACGAGCGTCATCGCTGTCAGCTCTGTCTGGCCAGAAACATTGACTCGAATCTCCAGCCGACGATCCGAGCTGTTGGCGCTAGCGACTCTAGCGTGCATGCGCGATGTCTCACAATCTATTCTCTCCGCCGCCCGGGCTGCCGGACACACAGCGTGCCGGACCACACATTGACGCAAACGCCGGGTATCTTTCGCAACATGACCCTTCTAGCATCCTGGACCACTACCTACGTGTCGATACAGAGAGGCAGAATTTTCTTCAGGTATGTCCTTGGAGGCAATAGCCTGTTGTGATTGCCAGGGACGGAATTCGCCCTGGCTCACGCTGGCTGCTCGCTTCAATTCAGACAGCTCAGCAGAGCTCAGCTCATTCCGGGCACCAACACATTTATTTCCGAGCTCTTTCTAACCTCTTGGTGGCTCACAGTCCTTGATTGAGAGGATCAACTCATATACGCAGAGAATCACGGAGCTTGAGCTTGACCTGGACGATCAGAAGAGGTCGAGGAGTAGATACCAGCAGCAGTCTGCTGAGTATGAACGTGGTCTGCAGCTGTACGAACACCGCCTTGTGAGGATCACCCGTCATGCGATCTCTCATATCCATCTAGACTGACTCAGTGGTATAGAAAACCGAAGCTTTTGTAGTAGTTCTGGTCGATGGCGATGGCGCCAAGTTTAGAGATGACCTAGTCCGCGATCTAGCTGATGGCGGCGAGAGAGCCGCCCAGTATCTCAAGCGAGCTGTTCGCAAATATCTCGCAGACGCCGGGTTGCGACACGAGGACGTTCCGATCCTAGTTCGGGTGTACGCTAATCTCAATGACCTTTCGAAGTCGTTGCGAATGTCTCAGATCACCCAGTCTGACGACCACATGCGGATCTTTGCAGAACGATTCACTAATAGCAGCGCCGAAATTGATTTTGTCAATGTCGGCAAAGGAAAGGAGAATGCCGACTCGAAGATTCGCCGTAAGTCCTCCCGGGCGCAGCCCACTCCTTTTGCTTCCATGTGCGCGCACACGAACTTAACCTGGCTTGGCATTTCCAGGCATGCTTAACCACTATCACAAGAATCTCCAATGCCAGAAGATCTTCCTCGCGGGCTGCTGCCACGACAACGGCTATCTCCATGACCTTAGAGAGTATAGAGGAGTCGCCGACGAGAAGCTGGTTCTGCTTGAAACCACGACTGCAGAGCCAGGTTTTAGGAGCCTGGGATATCCTCTGATCCGTTTTGATGATGTCTTTCGTTCGGAACCGCTCGCGAACGAGCACAAGCGAGGCTTTATGTCACCACCGGGACTGCCAGCTTCTGGACAGTTTCAACGTCATGTTGTGCGAGAGGTGAACGATTCTCAACCTCTACTGACTCGACCTGCTCAGTCCGTGGCCGTTATCGAACACCGAGCCAATCCCTCGCCGCCGCCATCCAATTCTGACAGCACTCCTGTAACAACTACATCTTCCCCTGTCCTGGTAGATTTGACGGTGGACGAGGGCAGCGCCAAAGCCCCTACAGCCGCCCTTACTACTGCTCCTGCTGCTGTAGCCTCCAAGCCTCCAGTCGCGGCGGCGGCCGCCAAGACTGCGGCACCCAAGCCACCGTCTCGCAGTCAGAGCATCATTACTTCAGGCAATGGCGGCACCTCAATCAGCTACGCGAATGTTGGGGGAACGACAGAGCATAGCAACGTGACCGTCAAGCTCGCCAAGAAGAAGGATCCCAGGGTTATTCTCTGCAATGCAGATGGCTTCCGGATCGACCCGCCTGCGCAGAGACCGGCGCCTTCGACCCCGGCCCAAACCAGCTACCAAAGGAAGCTTGACAGCATCAAGCCGTCGGTCTTCTGCAACGACCACTACCTCCGGGGACGCTGTCAGTGGGGCACGAGCTGTGACAAGACTCACAACGTGGAGCTCACACCCGCGGAACTGGCCATCCACCGTTACAAGGCGCGTACCAGTATCTGCCCGGCCGGCCCGACGTGCGACGACTACGGCTGCTATCTCAGCCACCACTGCATTCGGGAGCCATGCAAGTTTGGCAACCAGTGCCCATTTAATTCTAAACGCTACGGCGACCTGCACCATTCCAAGATGGATCTTGTGGTCACGTAAGTCTGGACATCCTCCGAGGAGGACACGTTACCATGTGTTCTGTGAGCTGTCGCTAATTTGACATTCTGCACATAGCACCAAGTGGACCGAAGGCAACAGCATTCCAGACAAGATCCGGAAGTGAGATCTCATAGTGGCCTTGCGTCCAACATGTGATCGGTTTAGGCGTGCAACTGTAGTGAAGGTGAAGACCGAGAATCTTAATTTTTTAGCATATTGTAACCAGGAATACTCTCAACAAGTCCCTTCCTTCCGCATAACTGTATGGGAGTCTAGCTAGCAGAATTAGGATAGCAATTTCTCGCAGGCGGCCAAGCTTGTCCCCGGCGTGTTACTGTGGAAGGAGCCACAATGATGGAGGTGACGGATGGATAGCACAAAGTTTCATAGTTGATTTAGGAATACCACGCTCTCTCTTTCCCACTGCTCTGAATCAAAGAGATGCATGCATGTCATGGCTCTGTTTTATCATATCAAAAGACATGCTCTTTGCTGTGGCCGTTAACAGTCCCATAATCCAGATGTGTGTCAGCGCCCGCCTGACCAATGCGGCCCCCTCCCTTGGGGGTTTAGCCAGAATCACCCGCGCAATGCAGAACAGACTACGACCGGCCAACACGGATGGCCTGTAGTTGCATGCCAACAGCATCAGACCAAAGAAGAAAAAAGGGGGATAAACCCAATGGCGGCTACCCAACCTCGAAGCAAACCAAACCCATCCCACCTGGTGCACAGGAGGCTCGACTACCCAGCTATATTAGTACTTGTAGAGCCCCTCCAAGCACGAAGATCAATCGGCCTGATGGTCTAGTGGTATGATACTCGCTTTGGGTTCATCCTCTGTTGATTGTGCTCCCCTGGTGTTGTGCAAGCTTGCGGTGTGATATAATCTGAATTGCGAGTGGCCCCGGGTTCGAATCCCGGTCAGGCCCTCTTTTTGCTGCCGGGTTCTGTGTGTATGCTCTTCATTCACAGGCATGTTTTCAATTAAGCTGCCCGTTTCCGTTTCCTTTTCTTTTTCCTGAACAAGTCACCTCATCAGGGCGCGAAGACCATTGTGTAGTGCTGAAGGGTGTTTGCGGTCATGACGGCTCCGTCTCCAGCACTAGTGTGGCCCCATGTGCATGTATGGGTTCACCGTGGCGGCCTGCCGTTGTAAGTCTGCCCGGTTCCTCCACAGAATGCAGTCATTGATTCGTTTCCATTCACCCGTCTACAGTTATGGAGGGAATAAAAACTATCGTATTGGACACCTACGACCGGCAGGTGCCATTGCAGTCCTGGCCTCAGACGGGTTATCAAGCATGCTGCTCCATCCTGTCCTCGAGCCAAGTCTTCACCATCTCCTGCCCCTGCTGCGGGAGCTCAAAGAACTCCTGGCTCAGCCCTACGTCGGCCACCTGCACCCTGCGCGCGGCCTCCTCGTCAAACTCGCCGCTGTCGTCCTCCCACTGCCTGCGCTCCCTGATCTCAAGCCTGTTGATGCTCTTGTGCATGACCGCCGCGAGCTCGGAGGCCTGATGCGCGAAGCTGTTCGTCGCGGTGACCGCCGGCTTCTTTGCCCCCTTCCTCCTGCCGCCTGCTCTGGTCTGGAACGGCGTGGGCGGAGGAGAGGTGTGCAAGAGTAGCGCCTCGGGGATTTTGAGCGTGGAGGTCCGGGGTGGGAAGATGAGAGGATGTCTGCGTGGCGGTCTGAGTGGCTTCAGGGCTGCCATCTGGGCAATCATCTCTTCGTGCTCTTCCGTCGATGATGATGCTGATGCTGGTGATGATGACAACGGCAACGGAGTATCTGGGAAGGGCTCGTCAGGTGCTACAGAAGGCGACGGCGAGGGCATGGTGGCTGCGTACACGGCCCTGCTGATGCTGGCGTTGTCCTCGTCATCAAAGGACGGTGGGACTAGCAGGCCCGGTGTGTGGAAGAACAAGCACGGGCTGGCAAAGTGGTCAAACATGTTCTCGGGCGTCCTGAACAGCGACTCTGCATGCTCGCCGAGCTCCTGGAGCTCGGCGTCCTCGGGCGGCGTGATGAACTGGTCGAGCACACTGCCACTGATGCCACCACGAGCCCTTGCCTGGTGGTGGATCGGGTGATTGGGCAGGAACATGGTCCAGTTGTAGATGCCATTGAAGGCGACGCAGCCGCGCACCGCCATGCGCAGGTGAGGGTGGTTCTCGGTCAGGGCGAGGGACGTGGCGAGCGAGGCGCCGAGGTAGGAGCCGTAGACGTAGACACTGCGGCGCGTGTAGGCTGGGGGCTCGAGCTGTTCGAGGAGCCATGAGTACGCCCTGGTCGTGTCATGTATGGGTGCCGGCCATTGCAGATGCTCGGACGGCAGCGTGTCGGCAACCTCATCAGCTGCCACGGAGGAAGGCGAAGATGGCAATGGCGTCACGACGTCGTCCTCCCATGGCGAGAAGCCGGCCCATCTGTAGTTGATGACGGCAGTGGGCAGCTCACGACAGAACGGCGGCAGTTGGACCGGCTCAGATGCAGGGGTCGCATAGAAAGGCGGCAGGTAGATGAGCAACGGGGCAGTGTCTGTGGCAGTATCCAAGTTGTACAGGCTGAAGAGGCAATTAGCTGTATGATCTGCAAAGACGCGAGATATATAACGTTAGACTTGCTCGACAATGACATTTCCAGACATGCCACAAGGGACAGGGATACGCTGGACCGCAGAGCTGTAGGGACGCCGAGAAGGCCGCACCACGAGCCGGGCCAAGAAGCGAGGGCTATGTGTGGTCCATCTTGTCATCGTGCAGTTGTGCGACTCGGGAGGAGCTGAGTGGGTGGCCTGCGACGAGCGGGAGGCATCAGGCCAAGGAAGAGGTGTGTGTGTTGGTGTGTCACCGCAGATGTTCTTTGGGGGCGGCAGACGCGTCGTAGGCTGCCAACCGTGCAGCAGTGGCATGCATGCACGTCCTCTGGCGGGACACCACGCCCCGACCCCACTAGAAGAGGATGGCGTCTTTAGGGGTCTGACAGTCTGGATTCAGTGCAAACAGGGATTCGTGCACTCGAGTCTGGGTCCGAAAGCTTGATTGCTAGGGCCCCTCTAGCTTAAATCCCCAGCGGGCATCAATCGCATCGAGATGGCAACACAACCCCAGATCGGCACGGACAGCCAGGCTTGCGCCAGTCAATGCTTTCCAGGTTTCGTCTGAAGCTTTCCTGTGGCTCGGGTCTGCCTGCGAAGGCACAAAGCCTCGCGGCAAGGCAAGTTGGGCCGGAGGCTGACTTCTATCCCGGACCTGCCTTTTGAGGCTCTTCACCTCCAGGGTTCCTACGTACCTTAAGGTTTCTATGGGCCGTTTGCACAATAGCAGCCCACTACGTCACTGGTCACGCACCGTACAGACACACTGGGCCGCATGACAGGAGCCGCCCTTGCCAATGCTGCATTGTGCTCCCACGTGCACATCGTGCGCCCACTGCCGGGGCAATGCCCTGGTCTCGCCCAATACGAGCAGACAGCAGGGCAAGGGTCTAGTTGTCCACTCCTGCAATCCTCGATAGATCTTTATCTTCTAATCCTCCTCCCCTCGTCTTCTGCCTGGAGGTCGCTGGTCCTCGACCTGACGCCAAAGACCCCAAAACAAGCGACTCGACCGAGCACGGCCCAGAGACGCACCACCACCATCGTCCTTTCATGCCTATCTTCCCAGGCAGGCGCTGGCCCGACGCCGTCTCCCTGAGTGCACACTGGACTTAGTCCCCCAGCCACCATGGACGACGGCGACCTGGGCAAGCCCATCTCCGAGACCTGCAACGCAGTCGACTCGAGGGTCAACGACAAGGATGGAGACAAGCAACATGATCCCAGCCCGCCAGATGATGGCCCAACGTACGTCTCGCTCTCTTGCGCTTCGCTGGAGCTCTCTTCGCTGGAGCTCTCTTCGCTGACCAGCACCACAGGCGCTATTGGCTCATCTCGGCCGCGTTCCCCATGATTGCTGGCACTCTCGGCCCCGTTGCCTCGGCCTTCAGCATCTGCGCACTCGTCGAGAAATGGAGGGCGGTGATCCCTCCCGGGGCCGGCATCCAGGCTGCCTACCCGATCCCGGATCCTCTCTGGCTCTACATCATCAACGCCGTGCAGCTCGCCATCGCCCTAATCGCAAACCTGTTCCTCCTGCTCAACATGGCCAAGCGAGTCCGCTTCTCCATCGCTCAGCCAATTACCATTGCCGGTTGGTACTTCTCCGCGGTCTGCCTCGTCGCCCTCGCGGCAACAGCAGCGGGCCCGCTCCAGGACGAGAAGACCGAGGGCGACATGATCTGGTCACAGGCATTCTACTACGGCATCTTCGCGGCGCTGCTGTACTTCATCGTGGCATCTCTGATGTCGGTCACGATCTGGGGTGCAAACGCTGGCCACTACTCAAAGGACTTCAAGCTGACACCCAGCCAGCGCACGCTCATGCTCCAGACTATCCTGTTCCTCATGTATCTGCTGCTTGGTGCTCTCCTCTTCTCCAACATAGAGGGCTGGGCATACCTGGATGGCGTGTATTGGGCAGATGTCACACTCTTCACTGTTGGTGTAAGTATTGTCCATCTTTGCTGCTCACATCGCTCTCGTCTGACCTCTCGTGCCAGTTTGGAGACTACTCTCCCGCCACCACTCTTGGCCGCGCCTTGATGATGCCATATGCCCTAATCGGCATCACAAGCCTCGGTCTTGTCATCGGTTCCATCCGAAGTATGGTTCTCGACCGCGGCAAGACACAACTCGATGCCAGAGCTCTTGAGAGGAAGAGAAGACACTTCATCCGCCGCCTGCTGCGCAAGGAGCAGCAAGGCATCCTGGAGCCGATCGACGGCGACGCCCTTGTGGTTTTCCCAGAACTCAAGGGTAAGCGGCTCGTGCGTTCCGAATTCGAGCGCCGGGGAGCCGAGTTCAACTTCATGCGCAGGATCCAGGCGCAGGCGTCCAGGCGGCGCCGCTGGACCGCCATGGGCATATCGACGTCGACACTGCTGGTCCTCTGGCTCGTGGGTGCCAAAGTATTTGAAAGCTGTGAGGCCCAGTGGCAAGGGTGGTCGTACTTTGACGCCATGTACTTTGCGTACACGGGCCTGACGACGATCGGTTTTGGTGATCTCACGCCGGTGTCTAATCCTGGCAAGGCCTTCTTCGTCATCTGGTCCCTCCTCGCACTGCCGACGATGACTGTGCTTATTTCGAATGCCGGCGACACTATAGTGCGGCTGATTCGCGACGGGACGCTCAAGCTCGGCAATCTCACCATTCTGCCTGGCGAGATGTCGTTCTCGAAAGAGGCCAAGATGTTCCTGCACAAGGTGACGCTCGGGCTGTTCCCGGCACCAATCGAAGACTTTGAGCCATCTCCGCCGGGATTCTTTGGCTTTGGGCCTCGTCCACAGCACCCAGACTCTGAAGCCGACGAGGAAACTGCTGACGGGCAGGACTCGGGAGAAGGTCTGGGAAGGGCGCGGAACGCTAAGTACCATGATGCTATGGGGGATATGGAGCATGAGGAGGACGATGTAGTCCCCAGCAAAAGCGCGCCTATGTCAAAAGCCCACGACGAAAAAGAGGAGATTGGGGGGAAGGAGAAGTCGCCGCCGTATCAGCCATCGCGCGCCGAGTACCATCTTGTCTTGATCGACGAGATCTGCAAGGTCACACAGCATCTACGTGAGCAACCACCACGCAAGTATAGCTACGCCGAGGTATGCTTCTTCTTGCCGCTGTTTTGGTACCGGTACCACCGACGCCACTACTCTCGCTACCCTTACACCCAGAGATGTAAATCATACGGATAAGCAATAAGCTGACCCTTGATATTGTACAGTGGGCGTGGTACCTCCGCCTTATCGGCGAGGATGAGGCCAGCGCCGAGACACATGGAACAGCGCACGCACCAAAAAAGCGGCAACTGGCTTTTGGGCGTCGGAGAAGGGCGGTGCGAATTGATGGTACGGAACAGGATGCGGACGCCAACGAGAATGCGATTGAGGAAGAGGACCATGAAGACATCGATGTGCAACAAGAGGAGCATGAGAAAAAGGAACAGCTCGACCATAGCACCACAGACACCCATAACGGCGGCGGCGGCGGCGGCAACAGCGAAATCAACGATGGTCAAGGCGGCGAAGCAGAAGCGGCTGCCTCCTCGTCTGAAACTATCCGTCACACAGCGCAAATTGTGCCAGAGACCCAAGGGCACAGAGAGGGAGCAGAAGCGGACAAGACGAAATGGAGCTGGATCGGGACCAAGTCGCCGCTTCTCGACGCCCGTGACGAGGCAGAATGGATCCTGGATAGGCTCGAGGAGAGACTGCGCAAGGAGCTCGCTGCTGTCGCTGTCGCTTCGGGCTACGATGGCGTGAGAGTGACAGCCGCAAGGCAAGGAGAAGACTTGGAAAAAAGAAGGTCAGAGTGCCAACTCTGGGATTGAAAAAGTTGTGGAAAGCACAAGGCGCGAGCATTTGGTGTAATGGCGACTTCACACCTAAGGGACGGCTTGTGCCCTTTAAATATACTTTGGAACAAGTTGTCATATGCATCTCTTGGTGTTTTGCCGTGAGTGTGTGTAAACATGCAAATTGAGAAAATTACGGTCGAGCGACGTGCATCCTCGGCATGCAATACAGTCCGTGAAATGTGCATCTGTGCTTCTTCAATACGTCTCTATATACACAAGGTATTTATGTGTGTTGTATTTGACCACTTCTAATAAATTAATTACATCTTGACTTGGAAGGAAGCGGAGGTTGGGATCACTTCCACTTCCAGAAACCCTTCTTCTTCTCATCACCTTCCTTCTTGTACCCTTCCTCCAGGACGTTGTGCCGCCCGACGATGGTGAGGAACACCTGGTCCAGCGTTGTCGGGGTCACGCTGTAGTGCTCGATGCCCAAGGCGCGCTTGTTCTCCTCGAGCAGCACGACCAGCCGCCCTATCGCGCTGCCGTCTGCCCGGGCGGTGGTTGTCGTAGTAGTAGTCGTTGCAGTAGTGGTGATGGTGTTGTCGGCGCCGGTGGCTGGGGTGGTTTGTGTCGTTGCCGGCGGCGCGGCTGCGGGAATGGCGCTCGCGGGGATGGAGAAGCGCATCTGGCCGTGGTACGTCTTGCTCTCGACGTCGACGACGCCCTCGCCGGGCCACTGGGCGAGGACCCAGTCGCGGATGCGCTGCATCTCGGCGTCGGTCGAGTGCGGCGCGGACGAGCTGACGAGGTGGACGTGCAGGGCGTCGCCGAAGCGGGTGCGCAGGTTGTCCACGGTGCCCAGGGCGAGCATGCGCTTGGCCAGGATGCCCGCGCGGGTGGCGAGCGCGTCGGCCTCCTCCATCGAGTGCGTGGTGAGCAGGATACACCTGCCGGGGACGATGGCGCCCAGGGTGCGCCACATGATGCGCTTGGCGGCGGCGTCGAGGCCCGACGAGGGCTCGTCGAGCAGGACGACCGACGGGTTGCCCATGAGCGCGATGCCCAGCGAGAGTTTGCGCTTGTTGCCGCCCGAGAGGGCCGCGGCCATGCGCGTCTGGAACGACGAGAGCCCCACGGCCGCGAGCACCGCCTTGACGTTGTGCTCGACGTCCGAGACGCCCCGGATCCGCGCGTAGAAGCGCAGGTGCTCGACCACCGTCATGTTGTCGATCGCGTCAAACTGCGGGCACACGCCCAGGTGCGACCGCGCGGCGGCCCAGTGCCGCGTGATGGACGTCTTCTCGAGCAGCACGTCGCCGCCGTTCCGCGACGGCTGGATGTCGCCCCGGATCAGCGAAATGGTGGTCGACTTGCCTGCGCCGTTGGGGCCGAGCAGCGCAAACACCTCGCTGTGCTGGATGCCGAACGTGACGTTGTCGACGGCTGTGTTCTTGCCAAACGACTTGGTCAGGTGCTTGACCTGCAGCCCGTCAGAGTGTTCCGTGGTTCCCGTGGCGGCGCCGTCGATGCGCTCGACTTCCTTGATGATCTCCTCGTCTGGCTCTTCGCCATCAATCTTGGTCGACTTGGCCCGGCGTCCTACGAACCTGCCCAGCATCCGGCTGGCGCCGCTGTCGTTCCACAGCAGGAAAAGGAATAAGAGGACAGACTGGACCACCAGGAACAAGATCGGGCCGCCGTAGAAGAGCATGCCCGACGGGTTGCTCGTGAACGCCTCACCTGAGCACGAGCTGGAGAACAAGTTGAGCGTGACAAACAACGTGCGAATAAGAGAGCCGATCGGGAAGAGCGCCGAGAGGACAAAATGTGCGATCACGATCGCACGATCGACGGTGGGTGCAGGAGCATATACCATGATAGAAAGATATGCGATCAGATAAACGAGGAAGCCGACAGCCTGACTGCCCGCGGCGATGGCGTACGTCGCCAACTGAGACCGGCAGTACAGCGAAACGACGTAGCCGAACAGAATCGTCGCGAGGCCGTAGAGCATGAAGACGACAAACAGATAGCCAACATGGAACCAGACTGAAGACGTGGCTGCAAAGATGCCAATAGTGACAGCCGCAGCCACCAGAACGATGGAGAAGTCAAAGGCCAGATGTGCCAACCAGAGCGGCAAGGATCGCACACCGTTCGAGTACTGCAGCCCACGTACATTGCGCCTCCGTTCGATATTCGGGTAGAGCGCGAAAAAGCCCGGGAACGCGGTGGACGCCAGACCAAAGTACACGAGCAGTTGGAAGGCGTTCTCGACGGTAGGCTGCCACAGGCTATCGAAACTGGCATACGTCGTGTGGATCGTCATGTTGGCCAGCATCATGTCAAGGGCATTCAGACCAAAGATACCCGTGAGGACGCTGCCAAAGTTGCCGAAGTAGCTGAGAGTCGGTGTCGTGTTGTCCGCACCGAGCCACCAGCCTGCGGGCGTGACATTCTTGCGGTTGACCTCGATGTACTGTTCAAAGTCGGGCAGAGAGTCGACCAGGTGCAAGCCATTGATGAACGCTTGCACAGCAATGCCGGAGACGACCGGGTTGGAGCCGAAACTTGGTCCAAAGACCCGCTGCAGCTCCTCCGCGCCAAACTGCGACGACGGCCCGCCCACCATGTACAAATCATTGTACAGTTTTGTAAAGCCGGTCGAGACAGCAGTGTCCTTCTGTGGAGGCTGGCAGCTGACGGCGCTCGAGTTCCGCACGTACAGCTGCGTCAGCGCGGCAGCGATGACGGGGATGAAGAAGGCAACGACATAGGGGAACCAGTTCTTCTTGAACACAACACAGCGCTTGAGGATGAGGATCCACGTCTGCTGGACGAATCCGATCGGGCGGCCAGCTAGGAGCTCGAGGTCCGCCTTCTCAGGACTGTCCGAGTCCTCAGGAGTCGTCGCACCTCGCTCCTTGGTCGACATGCCGCTGACCGCAGCATGCTCGACCTTACCAGCGGCAACCTCGTCCCTGACCTCCTCGGCAACTTGCAGGAAGGTGTCCTCAATCGTCGGGCCGGAGAACTTGTAATCAGTGATCCCGCCCGCTTCGAGCTTGCGAATCACCTGCGCGGCGAGCTGGGATGTCGGCGCCAGATAGCTAATCACGTCAAAGGACACCTTGCGCTCGACACCCTCGACGTCGGGGGCATTTTTGACCTCGCGCGCGTTGAACACGTGCACGCGGTATCCCGCACCGGACTTGTCCTTGAGTTCGACGGAGGTACCCGAGGCGCGCAGGGAGCCCTTGGACAAGATGGCGATGTGATCAGCGAGGAGATCGGCCTCGTCGAGGAAGTGTGTTGTCAGGATAATGGTGCGCTTGCCTCTCTCGGCGAGGAGGATGTCCCAGATCTTACGCCGGGACAGAGGGTCGATACCGGAGGATACCTCGTCGACGCAGCATACCGCACTTCCACCAGTCAACATCATGCCGAGCTGCAGTTTTCTCTTTTGCCCACCAGACAGAGTCTTGGACAGAGCCTTGCGCTTCTGGCCTAGGTCGATGGCATTGACGAGATCGCGAATCTCCTGCCTGGAGGCAGGGTTGTTGGGCGATTTCAATCGGTTGAAGATCTTGATATGCTCCTCCACCGTCAGCTGGTCCCACATGACATTCTTCTGGGGCGCAATGCCAATTCCGCCGGTACCGTCAATCGTGATGCCGCCGCTGCTAAGCTTGGTGATGCCAGCAATGGAGTCTAGGGTTGTACTCTTGCCACTTCCATTGGCACCGAGCAGGGCGAGGATCTGCCCACGGCCGGCAACCAGGCTGAGATTGTTCACAGCCAAGACAGGCTCCCTGGGTTTCGCGATGAAGGAGAAGAGCTTCCGGACGAAACCCGGCGCGTACACCTTGGTAAGACCATCCAGGCGGACAGCCTCTTGTGGTGGCTCGGCCGGGTTACGAAGAATGTTGCGGCCCTTGGTGGCAGAGCTGTGCAGCCAGCGCTCCACGAGCGAGCCGAGAATAGCATATGCGAAAATCTGAATGATAAGAAACACCCACAGGACGATGCCAGGTAATTGCCACGGACTTCCGGGGGCAACCCTGACCAGATCCGTGGGCTGCAGGGCCTGTTCAAATCTGGCAATGTTGGTGATCTGCCAGACAAAGTTGCACGGCGCGAACAGCAAGCTCAAGACTGCGACGGTGCCGGTTCCGGGAGCGGTCAGCGACTGTGCGAGGATGCCGAGGAGCAGGTATGCGATGATGCTGACGACCCCGGACAGCTGTGACTTGTGGAAGAACGAAGCACCAAGTATGGACATGGACGCAAACGACAGGCCGGTCAGGATGAAGAGGATGATCACCACTGCGACGTTCGAGTGAGCAAAGACACCACGGGCGACGATGAGGGAACTGATGACCCATCCGGGCAGATACACAATCGTGAAAGCAATGTGATGCGACAGGAACCGGATCACCTGTGGCTGCCAGAGATACCTGGTCGGCACCATGGCGTCGATGAGCTGCGACATGCCGATCTCTCGCTCGGTGGCCATCTCGCCGGTCATGTGGTAGCAGATGCCAATCATGATGATGATGAAGGCGACACCGAGGGCATTGGTGAGCTGCGCCTGGTACTGCTGCCGGACGAGCTCCTCGCGCTCCTGCTCCGTGTTGGAGGTGAAGAGATACTCGTCGGGCATTTCTGCAAATGCCGCGCGGGCGCCCTCGGTGCCGTCAATGTTCACGATGGCGGCGTCGACGGCGCGCTGCAAGGGAAGTGCATAGATCTGGACGTCATTGTCAGCCGAGCGGGCGTCCATCCTATTGCCGAGGGCGCCGTCGGCGCGAATGGTATAATTCCAGATGCCATAGGGGCCCTCGGTCGGGGACGAGTAGAAGACCACGGCGCCATAACAACCGGTGACGCCGCGCAGAGAGCTCTTGCAGGTAGACCCAAGCTGGTAGGTCGCGTCGAGCCGCACGACAATCTTGCCGGCGGCGGTGACGCTGTCTGCGAGGGAGTCAATGACGCGGTCAATGTCGCCGCCAGTCAGGCCGTTGTTGACAAAGGCAACAGTGTTGCGGCCAGATCCAGCAGAGGCGCCGAGGCCTTGGCCCAAGGTGCGGATGGGGCGAGGGTCGGCGATGCCATAGTAGGCAGGGGGCGAAAAGAGGTTGCGGACGAAGCTGAGGAAGGCGGCGATGATGATGGGGAGGAGGAATGCGTGGAAGAAGGTGGCGAACCAGCGGCGGACGAGGAAGACCTTGAGGTTCTTTGCCGTCAAGGTCCAGGTCTGGCGGAGGAAGGCCATGGCGATAGGATTGCGCGGGCGCAGGCGAGCGTGGAGCTCAGGCGCCTACTAAGTACGACCTGTCGTCGTTGGCGCTGGTGGCGTTCAACGGCGGGCGCCCATGTGCGTGCGGGAGCTGGAGCGGGCCGGCACGACAGTCAACAAACAGGTCAAAAATGAGCAAGGAATGGATGGCGGATCTCTGAAGTGTGCTACAGAAGCATCGTCGCTGCGGGGAGGGGGAAAGGGCAAAGAGGGCGGCCACTGCCACGGGCAGGCTTGTCTTGATGAGGTTGAGGGAGGGCAGAGCAGAGCAGTGTGCGCGTCGTCGAGGTCGCTGCTGGTGGAGTGCAGTCGTGGGCACAGGCAGTGAGTGGGTGGGCAGTGCTGCGGCGAGCTGAGTGCGGCTGGTTCCGAAAGCGAGATGGCGATGCGAGGGTCCAGTCCCGGCGCCGGCTCCGACTTCTACTCTTCGGGCAGGTGTCCACAGGCACGACAATGAGCGAGGCAGGCAGGCAGCAGTAATTTGTCAAGATGGCACTGGTTGTCAGAAAAGGCGCAAACAGCTAGGACTGACGGCTGGGCGGTCTGTGTGTTGTGCTGAAGCTGCGCCTCGTCTGATATCGCGGCCCACGGACGGCCAGCGGAGAATTGGAGGAATCTGATGACGCAGGCATCATGGATCCCCTCTTGGCGCGCCTACTTGCCTGCCTGCCTGCCTGCCGCGGGCCGAACAGCTGTCTGTGCTGCAAACCGACGCCCGTGGCGGCCGTGGGGAGGGGCCGCGTTGTGCCGTCGGACTCTCTGCACGTGCTAGCTACTGCCGCTACTGGTCGCAGACCTAAGATACTTACCCAAGTACGTTCTTACTTGCCCGAGCCTGTCCACGCCATGTCATGCATTGTTCTTTGCAGCCGCTCACTAATAGAAGAAAGTAACCTAGGAGGGAAAGGTGTGAGCTGCCATTCACCAAACACGACAAAGCCGACATTGCCGATGCCCAGACATTGTGTCGTACTGCACCGCCCACCAGCCAAGACCCTTCCAAGTACATGCCTCAAGGTGCCCAAAGGGAATGCGAATGACTGGGGACATCCACCACGAAGAGCCCATCCATCTCCAGGCGCAATAGTGCCCACGCAAACCATTCTGAACACTCGGTCTGTAGCAAAGTCCATCCATAGCAGCCTCAGACTCAATGCTCCATCACTTGAGCATAACTAATGCTGTGTTGGCCATGCCGGTTCTTCAAAAGACTACAACCCCTCCCTTGCAAACGCAATCTCAACTTCCAGGGGCTGCTGCTGCCAAGCCGATGGTCTGGATCAACATAGCCCCCGTCCCCTCCCTTTCCCCCCGCGACGACTCGGCCATCGGATGTAATCTCATGCCGAAACCCCCCATGGAGGCGAAGACGACCCTGCATCCACAACCCTGCGCCCGCCCAATCAATCGAATCAAATGTTGCTGCTTGCCGCCGATTCGGGGGTGAACAACTCGGGCCCGAGTCACCAGAGGCTATCATTCCGACGTGGGAAAAACACAACAACTCCCGAGATCTGAGATTCAAGCCGAGATCAACAATATCGGAACACACAAGTCGTTATTTGTGCTAGGATGTGTAGAACCTGGTGTGCATTCCTACACTTCGCAATTACTCCACGATGAAACCACCAGCGTAGTCGTCGTCAATCATGAAGCCTCCGCCTTCTTCCTCGTCGCTGTCGGCCGCAAGATCCACCTCCAGATCCTGCTGCTCGCCCTCTCCATGGCCATTGCTACTCGGTGCTTCCCGCATAAAGCCACCTTGGGTATCATCATCCTCGTCTGCCTCGGCGTCCCCAACGTCGTGTCCGTCGACCGCCATATCGTGACCGTAATCATTATGCTGTGACTTGCTGGCTTGCTGTGCCTCCTCCTCGTCATCGTCAGATCCCACCCCGGCCCAGATGCGCTGCCGGACCCGGAGGTTCATGAGCATGCGCTTCCACGCCCTTAGCACCTCGCGAGATCGCATTGCCCGCGCAAATTCGGCCTCCTCGTCTTTGAGCCCTTCAATCACCGCGCGGACGGCGTCCTCGTTCTCGGCGGGCACAACAACGCCATGCAGAACAGCCGTGCCTTGTCTGCCGCGAAACTGGAAGCCGGTCAATGCTGGGGCGTAGTCAATCCCCAGCATAAACGCAGCCCGCGCCCCATACTCGTCGGCGACGTAGGCACCGCCCTCAGGCACCATGCTCGGGACATAGACGTCAAGATTACCGAAGCGGTTCTTTGGGACCCTACCGTCCACCACAGGGGGGGCTTTGTACAGCTCAGTCTGCTCGATCGTGTACAGGGGATTGCCGGCCGCGGCCCCGGTATCATCCATACGGCTCTCGTCGTCGTCGTCGTCGTCGTCGTCGTCGTCGTCGCCGCCAAATAGATTATCTTTTCGAACTCTCTTCGGCACAAACTTGACCGGTATCTCGTTCTCGCGAATTGTCCTCCCCATGCGGTACCACTTCTCCCGGGTTCGCGCTACCCGCACATCTCTGCGCCGATATATCTTTTCGAGCGGCCCGGTGCTACCAGCCCCGACAGTTCCAGCTGCCGAGGCTCCAGGAACCAAGACTTCGTTGCGTCGCAGGTGTCGCTCCAATGCGTAGACGGGATGGTCCTTGAAGTCAGCGACATTGCGAGGCATGGGTTCCCTGGCTTCTAAGTTGTTCAGCTCGTTGCTCTCGATCTGGTCCATGTCCGTGGCATAGTCGCGTGAGTATGCTCGCAATGCCTTCCTCCACCACCGATCACCCCTATCGCCAACGCTTTCCACCCTCATCTTGCGCGTCTTTGCATTGTAGGCCTTGGCATATCGCCTGGTAACGTCCCTGGCCGTCCCGTCAGCCTCAAAGGCGACGACGTACGTCATGCAGTTCTCGCGGTCATTGGCTGGCGGCTCCAGCTTCTGCGGGCGCCAGAACGATTCAGTCACGATCGGATCGACAGGTTGCCATTTCTGGTGTGCCTCGTCGAGGACTTCGACCCAGTATATTGGGAAAGGCGACTCTCGAATCTTCTGGGGTGCCAGTGATGAGCTCGACGCAACAGGACCAGTCATGACTGGCGCGTTGAACGCCGCAGCATTCGGATGACCCAGCCGCCTCCGCGCCGAGAGAGGCGACGGCGCTGCAACAGGCGACTCGAAAGAGCTGTCATATTTCGGTATTCTCGCATACTGCTCTTCCAGTGATAACCTGCCCCGGCTCTTGGGAGGCTTGCCCATTGGGGGAGCACCGGGCGTGCAGGCCAAAGGCTGCAGTGAACAAACGAGCCGGGCTTCGACCCCGGCACTGCGGAGTAGGGCGCAGAAAAGCTGGGCACCAACGTCTCTTGAGCCTTCAAGGGTTGTGGCCATTTCTCGAAAGTCGCTTTTCTCTGGAGGTGTCTCGATGTCGTCTGGCAGTTGATAGTTCTTGAGATGTTCTTCCTTCTCTGCCCACAAGGCCCTTCGCATACCACGTTCGGTGATCTTGTATCGTGTCTTGAACTTCGTCATGACGTCCTCGAGGCCCCGCTTGAGAGAATTTGTGCGTCCAAACTGCGTCAGTTCTGTGCTGGGGTTCAGGTAATCGATCGTCTTGCTGCTTAGAAGCGGTCGCAGATTCCTCTGCGTGACAGGGTCATTGCACCACCGATTACGTTGCGACACGTGGGCAAGCAGGCAGAGCAGGTGCGTCTTATGCACCACTATCCGCCGGTCTTTCTCCTCCCTATTGATTGGCTTCCGCCGCTCCGCTACCTGTCGACGCTGTTTTGACTGCGCCGCAGCAAGGTCAAGCTCGAGCACCTTCGGTGTCTTCTCCTCCTCTTGCACATCGCCCAGGCCAAACGAGTTCATGAGCGTAAGGTCGACATCCTCAAATTGTATCGGCTCCTCATCTTCGTCATCATCTTCCTCCTCGTCTGAGTCTCGTTCCATTGTCTGTATCGTGGGGTCGGGGAGCGCGACGTCTTCGAATTCGATTTCATCACTGTCTGATTCGTCGCTGTCGTTGTCAGCAACGCCAGCGCCGGTCTTGTCATCAATCCGCTGTGGTTCCCGCCGGCCCTTCGAAGCTGCCGTCGCCGCTGCCGCCGCCTTCGAGGCAGGCTGCCGTGCACCGTCAGCAGGACCATCCTGTTGCGCCCCTGGTCCACTAAGCTCCGGCCTGCGCGCTCCTGGCGGCCGCCGTTTCTTGAGCGGTCTTTCCGGCTCGCTCGGCGCTATATCCGCCGCCACGAGCATGTCGCGGTATATATCCGGCACGCCGGCACCATTCGATCGAGAGGCGGTCGCACCGGCGGCAGCAGCTGATCTGCGCGCGCGCGTCGTCGTCGGTGTTGCTGTCGCCGCTGTCGCCGCTGTCGCCGTGGAGGCTGCGCCAGCATTGCGCTGGGATGCGGTCCGTTTCCGACCCGCCATGGCCTTCCTATGTAGTTGTCCGTTCCGGACCGCTCGAGGTTCAATGCTGCAACCACCGCGAGCTTCAGAAGTTGCCGGTTGTCATTTGATTCGCGTCCTCACTGGTGCCCTCGTCGTCGCAGGGTGTCGTCGCACGCATTGCCTTGACAGCAGCTGCTCTCGTCAGTAGCGGTAGCGACTCGCCATGTCGTGCCCAATGTCGAAGATCGTTCTTGTTCTTGTCGTGCAAGCATGTGATGGCTGGGAGAGATGAAGGCTGCCTGGCAGGTTCACAGTACTTTTTGGGGGAAATGGTTGCCCCCCAAAAAGGCTTGGCATTCCGTCATTCTTCGCGAGCGTGCACCCGCTGCAGGTGCGACCGAGGCGCGAGTCACCCCCACCCCAGGGCATTTTAGTGTCTACCAAGTGCCTCTCTGGAAGGCGTAGCGTCCGTACCACTCCAGCTCGTTCTTCAGCCTTTGAGCTACTGCAGGATATGTTCCTGGCTCCCGGGTCCGTCTCATGGAAAAGGCTAGCGGTATGCCATTCATCAGCCCAAGTCGTGTCCCTCCCTGGCCAGCTGCACCTCTCTGGGGGAACAGGGGCGTTGATCCTTGTGCAGAGCATCCCCAATTGGGAAATGGGAAGACCAAGGACATTTGATGGGATCGTCGCGACTTCGACATGTCCCGACGGAAGACACTTACAGCAGGAGCGACTTTCTCACGCTCCTTTCAGAGAACACCGTCTCGGTGCGGACTCTTCCCGTGGCCTGCATTCGTTTCTCCCGAATGTTATGCAATCCACGGCTCGCCTCGACGACCTTATACTATGAATCGTTGTGTATTGCTATCTCGGGTATCTCGAATGGAAAACGACTTGATGCTAAGGACGCTGTGAACCCTCCTCCTGACTACTAGATCTTTTGCGACAAGACGACTTCTCGGCCCAATTCCCGTCGTCTCTCCAACTCATCGCCGTCTGTGGAGCACGATACGCAGCCACGAAATGTTACCCGATGGAACCTCCCAATCTAGGCTTCTTTCGCCATGGTGTCAACTGCTCACCGACTCCTCGTTGAGTCGAAGAAGATGTGGCCGCTGGTTGTGCTGTTGCTTATGGAAGATTGGACACTCGGCGATGACCCCGTGGCGGAAGCAGCAGCCAATGCTTCCGCTTCGGCCTCTGCTTGCGCCGCCTCCCGGGCCTCTTGCATCTCCCGGTAGTGGCATTCGTCGCACTGGCCGTCGTGGAAGAGAACGACCTTTTTGTCCTCGTCCGTACCGCCAGGACCGAGACACGTCTTGAACAGCCCCGGGCAGATCTTGATCTCCAGGAATCCTCGGCATTTACAGTCCATCCATTGTTGGTAGTGCTCCTGGCACATGCCCGCGGCTGCTTTCTGCTGGACCTCGAGGTTCCCGATTCTTGCTCGTACTTCGCTCAGCGCCTTGTAGATTTTTCCGTGACCGCACCCTTTCTTCGGGGAGGATTCGTGTTGGTAAGGTGATGCAACCGAAAGATCTTGAAATCGTTTTCCAGGTGAGATTCAGGCACCTTTATGGCCTCGCGACTGTTTCTACCAGGCAGAGCGAGGGCCCTCCCATGCGCATTTTCTCCCTTTGTTCGGTCTAGGTCGATGGCGAAGTTATGCCAATGGTAGGACGTGAACTTTCTTCGAAAAGGTTGGCGAGACGAGAGCGTGGTAAGACTGCCGTCCAACGGTACAGATTTCCGTCCTGGGGTTGTATGTGATTAAGGTTCTGTGCCGCAAACAATGCAACTCCCTGCCAGGACTGAGCAAGTAGAATTATTTGATTCGATTGCGGCAGGTAGACTCAAGGCTGCCTGTGGACGACACTAGGGCCTAGAAGCAACGTCGTTATCACAGCCAGAGGGTCGCCGTCTATCGGCCAAGGGGCGTGGGCAAGGTACTTTAGGTGAGACAGAGTGCGCTTAAAAGGCACCAAGAGAGACCACGACCTCGCACGAGAGGAAAAAGACGAGCCTGTGGGTTGTGGCATGATGCAGCGTTCAGTGCAACGGAATCCTCCGGTCAGTGCATACCCCCGTCGGTTCATCGACGATCCCGAGCTGGTGCACGCCCTGAACCTTGGGCTCGCTTGGCCCGCGTGCATTGACTCGAGTAACTACCCAGAGTGCCTGCATGGTTCCCAGCATTCTGTTCTGGAAGCGCCGAGAGACCCGGCCGAGGAATTTTCAATCTCACTTGGGAATGGAAGCGACGTGTCTTAGGGATGTTGCAGGACTTTGCGGTGCCGGTGAGGTTGCCCACGTCATGCTGATTCGGGAACGTTCTGTGACATGAGGGGATCGAGATTCCACAGTTGCACTATGGAGCCCCGAGACCGTGCAGTTGCATGGCTGTGTAAACTAGCCCGGCACACTCCAAGGGCTGCCTGCCTTCCAGGAAGCTGCTTAAGACAGCTGAGCTGGGGCACAAGACACGAGCTCCGCTGTGATTCGTGTAGAACGGCCGGCACTAGATCCGGTACTGCATGACCCTGCTCTCATCGTCGATACCAGCCATCCCATGCCGATTGGATTTTCGAGAGTCCAGGAACCACTACTGGCAGTCTAATATACTATGGTACGATGCTCTACTCATGACAGGACTCCGATCGGATACGATGGCGAGATGTTGTCCTTGGCGGGCCGAATGGCCGGCACCGTGGAATAGGTGGACATTTCAACCATGTCTTGTGAAAAAAGGGGAGCTCTGCGTAGCGGTCGGGTATGCGTTATTTGCCAAGCCATCTGCAGCAATCGATCTTCCGAGTATGGCATTCCAAGGAGTTCCAAGCCTACGGGAACACCAAGTGGAGCGTCCTCGGTTGGAGTCGAAAATCCAGCTGGGATTGTCACGACAGGATGTCCGGTTAGTGCTGCAAGGATGCCGTTCCTCCCGACCTGCGACAGCGAGCCAAGCTTGACGACGAGATTTCTCTGCTCGGGATACATGATCGCGCTTAGCTGGTTCTCCTCGAAAGTGTCTTTCAACGTCTGTGCTAGCACATTGACGCCATGAAGTGCTGCTTTGTAAGATTCGTTTCTCGTTGACGAGTACAAGGCGCTTTGAATGAAAGTATACTGGTAAGGCAACACGAAGAACTTCTTGCTTGCATATAGCTCTGCGAAGCTGCGCGGCCCGTCTCCTTCGAGGCCCGGGCTGCCAAGGTAAGCATCAAGGACTTCTTTGTACTCGTACCTCTGTACGTCGAGAGCCGCGCCGATCCGTGTGGCATTGTAGATTGAGTCGGTGATGTTGACGATGCGAACTCCTTGGCCCTTGAGGAATCCCAAGGTCTCTTCCATGACCCTGTTGACTGGCGTTGTTTCGTCAGAGCCCGTGTGGTTCCAAAAGCCGTCGAGCAGCCCAATCCTTAAACCTTGCAGCTGGCCCAAGTGAAGGTTCTCAGAGTAGTCTTTAGCTCTCTCATCAGCTGGAACCATCAGGGTCACGTTGTCAGACGGATCGCTTCCCACACTTGCCATCACGGTCAGCGCGACGGCAAGATCATCAATTGTCCTCGCAATGGGCCCAATCGTGTCCTGCGTGTGGCTGACTGGGATGACCCCGGATCTTGAGATCAGCCCTCGTGTTGGACGCACGCTCACGAGATTATTCGCACTTGCGGGGCTGCGTAGACTATTCATCGTGTCCGTGCCAGTACCGAAGACGGAGAAACTGGCAGCAACTGCTGCCCCGGTACCGCCGCTGCTGCCACCAGGTGTGCGAGTATGGTCATACGGGTTGATGGTCTGACCGCCCAGAGACGAGACGGAGATGCCTTCGAGGGCCATCTCGTGGAGGCTTGTCTTGCCGAGGATGACCGCGCCCTCTTTGCGAAAAGCGTCGACGACGGGGCCGTCTGCCTGGGGAAGGTTCCTAGCCAGGGCCAAGGAAGAACCCGTTGTGTACATTGGGGTTGCGTCGAAGCTGTCCTTGAGAAGTACCGGCACGCAAAACAGCTTTCCCGTGGTGTTGCCCACTCGCAGCCGCATGTCGAGGTTGGCGATCTCCAGGGCCCTGGGGTTGAGGGTCATGATTGCGTTGATGGTGGGGTTGAAAGCCTCGATCCGGGCAATGAAGGAGGATACAATGTCTCGGCACGATGCAGTGCCTGACATGAGGGCATCATGGACGCTCGCGATGGTCGACTCGCTGGCATCAAAGCTGTCGAGGCGGGCCTGGAAGGCGTAGACTGGCTGGGCAAGAGCGATCAAGCAGGTGGCCAGCAGCACTGCTGCCGACGCCCGGCCGAAGACGCCCCAGGCGGTAGTCTTCGGTCTTGCACTCATTCTGCCGGGGTGCATGAGCATCTTGAGGTCTTTCAAGTGAAGCTACTTCAGACTGCCGAGATGGTGTTCTTGCTCCAGCTCGGCTTGTCACTTGCGGCATTAGCCAAACGGGTTTGTGTCTGTGGGTGGGTCCAACTCACGAGTAGGTACCTTGTGATAATTGTCACGACCTTCACAAGCAAATCTGACAGTGCTTGAAGTCGACTCTGAGCCACTATTGAGGACATGGCCTTGGCCGTGGTATCTACAAGCAGCTTCTCCTGGCACTGGCGCCACGCAGCACGGAGTTTATGCGAGCAACCATTTTGGGAATACAGGCAATGTCAACGGCTTGCGGAATTGCAACCTTCACCACCATCACTACACAAGATGTCTATTCCCAAAGAGCGTATGCGAAATAAAGTAGATACACACGGAGAAGCTTCCAGTTCCCTTCCGTCCTTACCTTTTGGCAGTCTCTTATAGCCGTCACCGAAAGCGGATTCTTCAGGATGTCTCCGGCGAATGTTTGGCGTTGAGCTCCTTTAGTCAGGTAAAAGGATATGTAGTTGTGTAGGACTTTAAAGTTCTTGGGAAAGTAGCCGAAAAGGCTCCGCATATCCCTGTCGTAAGACCTGACGACGCTTACAGCAGGGCTTCTACCCAGATCGCCAAGGTCAGAGCTGCCCAGGATCACACCACCACCGGGCGGTGGATGGCACTGCACACTTTTCCACACTTCAGAGCTGTACCCTCTTCATCGGACCCTCCGTTAGACTTGCTCAAATGGCATGCGCTTGCTGCCTTGCTGTCAAGGTGAAAGGGGACTTGTTACTCCAAGGGCAATCTCGGGTATCTCGGCTATAGGCTATGTAAGGACCGATGACTGTTCGTCTCGGTGACATAAACCCAAGCTCTAAGACTTAGCAGTGTCCGGGTCACGTATAAAGGAACAACCATCCGCCTCTGGTTTGCGAGAGCAAAAGGAAACGCCAACGAATTCAAGACCTCGTTCTCCCCAGGTACAGATCTTTGCTCATAAGCCCCGCGATTGTCGAGAGAAAACAGTTCGTCACAATGAACGGAGCACTTACAGACAACACTTTCTCGCCGAAGCAGGCGCTGGCTCCGACACCCGAGCTATACAACGAGCTCGCCTCAGGTGGCGCGGACAAAGTAGCAATGGCCTCACTCGCCTGCACGGCGCCGATCCCCGCCGGGTCGGTAGTCCACGACAACGGCTGCGGCACAGGCTTCAGCAGCGCCGCCATACTGGCCAGTCTCGCGGACGGCGTCAAGCCGGGGGATATCGCAATCAAGGCCACGGATATGTCCGATGACGCGCTGACGGCCTACCGCATGGCTGCTGAGAAGAGGGCTGCCGACTGGCCTTCCACGGCCTGGGAGACGCAGCAGATGGACGCCAGCAACCTCACTTTCGCGGACGAGACTTTCACGCACTCGTTCATGTCGCTGGTCATCTTCGTGCTGTCGAACAATGGCGTTGATGCCATGAAGCACGTCTACCGCACGCTCAAACCCGGAGGAACAGCCATTGTCAATTACTGGTCGGATCTGCCGAATTTGCCCGCATTACGGGCAGCGGCTGAAGCGACGCGTCCGAGTGGCACGCCGCGCATACTTGACATGATGGGGGATTGGTTTGGCCCGGACAAGCTGCGCAAGACAATGGAAGAAGCTGGGTTCTCTCCCGAAAAGGTCTCGGTGCAAGAGGTCGATATCCCAATCAAGCTCCCTGACAACAGCATTGACCGATTTGCCTTTATGCTGTGGAGTTTTCTCGGGGGGTCAACGTCGGCGGGGTGGCTCCGTTCTGATGAGGAGCGCTGGGATGAAGCAGTTGGCATCGTTGCAGACAAGCTGAGGGCAAGCAAGGGATACAAGAAGTTGGAGGACGGTACTGAGCATCTGGCTTTCAAGGCGGCCATTACCGTCGCAACCAAGTGAAGGACTTTGCCTCTTGTGTAGCATCCACATCGGGCTCGTATCCTTACAAGGACTAGTTCTGTGTCAAATCGTTGCTCACGTCGATTGGCAGCCGCTCACAACTTCGTGTCAAAGACACAATGTTCGTACATTAGACGGCCACTTCAAATCTTTCGTGCAGGACTAATCGTGCTTGATGCATAGCTAGGTCCTTGAGTGAATTACGGGTGATGCAGTGCTGTGGAGGACCGAGTACCGGTAGTGAAACGTCGTGCCACATGCAATCTTCTGGACGCGATGGTCTGTACCATATTGTGTTGTTTTGATAACTGCTGGCAACTGTGCTTGTGGTCCTCTTGGCGCCGCCGGAATCAGAAGCCGAACCCCGTACTGATCCAGTCCACGTTACATGACCAGGTATGTCAGTTTGGCAAACCTAGTTCAAGCAGTCAGAGGAAGCTATCGCTTTGTAATATGCAGATGACATCTCGATGTGTCGTGAATCATGTTGAATACTGTGGGCAGCCATGCCAAACAGGCTTGATCATCGAGGTAGAACATGACCGCGATGTGGATTCGTGGACGGTGAAAGGCAGGGCATCCTCAACTTTGGTTGTGCACGTAGTGATGATTACTACAAGGCTTCGAGCTTTGTTGGCGGCACCAACAGGGGTCTTGGCCGACAAGTTCATGCTCAATGGATCTCAATGGACACCGGGCGCGTCTGTGATGTTTCAGGAGCGGTTCCTGAATGGCTGCATGCATGCATGTATGCTCTGGAGTAACGGTTCTGGAGTCTTTGCAAGATGGCGGTCAGCTGGCTCGTCACGGGACGCAGGCCTGGGCACTCATACATGCCGTCTCCGTACAATTGTCCACGTAGTGCTTCTGTGGGCTACCTAGGGGCCCGGTGAGCCTCATTGGAACTTTAATTGCTCAGCTGACTGACTACCTTGAGGTGCTCTGGCGAGATTGCTCCTGGCCAGAGGGACCTTGGGCACGCATGCAGCCAGACGAAAGGGGCATCCAGCGTGGACCACCAGTGAACATCCACAAGCTCGTGGTGGACTGGAGGGCGTTCTCCGCCTGCGTGCCTCCAAATGCGAGGTCTGAGATGTCCTCTACCCTTGGTACCTTGACATTCTCTTCCGGCTGGATTGGTTGAACGGATTGGGAGTGCTGTGCGGGGTCGTCGTGCCCAGGGCCTCTGAATAATGGCAGAGAACAGGAGCCAGCCCCGGAGGTGGAGTTTGACAAGGGCCCCTCTCGACCGACGCATGGCAAGACGTACCTGCCGCATTCAAGCCTGGCCCAGCTGGCCAGGTGCCCGACTTCGGCTACAGTATTCAAAAACGGACAAGATGCGCAGCATTGCGAATTGCCCTGTGCTCGTCTCGCAAACACGTGCTCGGATCTACACCCAGCAGTTCGGGCTCCTGGGGAGGCGAAGTCCGCGTGGGGGTTCACCGTGGCGGCCTGCCGTTGTAAGTCTGCCCGTACTATGGTACGTCGCAGAGGCTGGACTCTGGAGTCACCTCACAATCTTCACATGGCGCAACGGCGACGTGGCCATCCAGTTCGGAAAGTCAAATGGGGAACCTTTGACACTTGGATCAAGTGGCCGTCATGGTTTGTTTGCCTTGACAGTCCAATTCGTCTTTTTCACCGGGACATCCCATTGATGGCAACCAAGAGAGGGTCAGAACCTCGTGGCTGATGCGTTGGAAGCACTCTTGATTCTTGCAAACGTTCCATTCCGTCAATGGCGGTGTGTCATGTGGCATGGCACGTCGTGTCACACGCGGAACAGTGCCCGACGTGGTACAGCTCGCCTTCCGGAATCACGACCGATGCTGACCCAATGTTAGTCCTCATGTCAGCAGGGAGGGGGTGAGGAGGGTACATCCGTCAAATCGGCGTCATGATCCTCACACAAGCCCGGCTGCTGGCTGCCTGGGTCCTGATCTGGGGGAGGCGGAGGCGGGGGACGACGAGGCGCAAGTTGCCTTTGCGTAACCCCCACACTCTACCTCGCGTGTCGACAAGCACCACGATGCTACTATTGCATGCATGCCATATCCCGGTCTGCCAATCAGCATCCTCGCCGACATTGTGCTGCACAGGTCCGTGGGTCGATGTTCCGTAGATCGACAGGCAATACGGCTCCGAGGGATGCAAGCTGACGGCCCAGCTGCCCAGCCCATGCCTGGGAAGGGCATGTGAGCAGTCCAGTCCTTATACCTGGTTTTCATTCGCTCATCCACACTAACAGGGTTCCCCAGACGGTATTCCCGGAGGCATGACTGGCTCAAAGTCCATGGAGGGTCTGACATCTCTCCTGCATCTTGCCACTCGCCCGCTTCAGCCGACCAGGCCGCACTCTCACAATCCGGCAACTCCGCCTCCCTGGTCTTACGTGTGAGGTATCGTGAAGCCCGCTGCTCCTCGATTATAAATATCCCAATTCGACTTGATCGTTTTCCTTCGACATGTCCCTCAATTCATCATCTTAAAATACTCAAACAAGGCCCTCCAGGCGCAATCTTGCACTTCTTCGTTCTCAATCCGTCTTACTGCTCTTACACGAGACATATGCTCAGTCTGGTCAACCATGGCGCCTCATAAAGACACGTCATCTCCTGTCGGGAGCTTCTCCGCCGGCTTTGTGCCGTACTCTCATCAGACTAGCTCCAGGAATTGGGATTCGAATGCATACACACTAGCAGACGACTCGGATTCTGTTCAAAGCGTATCGCTCTCACTCTCGAACAGTGATTCCGAGGTTCTCCACGTGCATCGGCCTCTCAAACAGGGCGTCTACGTTCCTACGGTCTGCTTCTTCGACGACACCACCGAAGACCTCGACTTGGACACCATTGCCCGCCATGCCGTAAGGCTCGCACAGAGCGGTGTCAGGGGACTAGCCACTCAAGGCTCCAATGGCGAGGCAGTGCACCTCTCAAACGAGGAGAGACGTCTCGTCACTTCCACAACGCGCAAGGCGCTCAACGACGCAGGATTCCCTCAAATGCCTATCATCGTAGGCTGCGGCGCACAGAGCACTCGAGAAGCAATCACACTATGTCAGGAGGCGTGGGAGGCCGGAGGCGACTATGCCCTGGTCCTCCCGCCGAGCTACTACGCGGGCCTGTTCGCACCCGGCTGCGAGACCGTCGTTCGCTTCTTCACCAAAGTCGCAGATGCCTCGCCGATCCCGCTCATCATCTACAACTACCCGGGCGCCGTCAATGGCATGGACCTGTCGTCCGACGTAATTCTCAAGCTCTCGCAGCATCCCAACATCGTCGGTGTCAAACTCACCTGCGGCAATACCGGCAAACTCAACCGCATTGCTGCTGCGACGAGGGTGGCTGCTTCAAAGAACGATAGGCTCGGGCAGTCGAGTTTGAAGTCGGCGAACAAGGATTCCGTCTTCGAGGAACGCCTTTCACCAACGACACAGCCGGCCAGCACCGACGACGAAAACACACCCAGCTTCCTCGTCCTCGCCGGCTCAGCAGACTTCACGATGCAGTCTCTCATCGCCGGTGGCCACGGCATCCTTGCCGGGCTCGCCAACATTGCGCCACGCGCGTGCGTGAAGATCATGGATCTCTACCAAGCCCAGAGATTCGGCGAAGCCCAGGCGCTCCAGGAGATTGTCTCGCGAGGCGACTGGACGGCGATCCAGGGCGGTGTCGTCGGCGTCAAGGCCGGGATGCAAGGGTGGTCGGGCTATGGCGGGTATGGACGAGATCCGCTTCCGCGGCCCACGGCGGAGGAGGCGAGCAAGTGGAAGGAGGGCTTCCGCGAGCTCGTTGTACTAGAGAAGTCGCTCTGAATAGGGGAATATGTTCGGGACGAGCATTTGTGGCAAGTCCTGACCAGGGGAGTGTACGTTTGAAAGTCTGGGGGAAAGCCGACTTGGTTGGCTTCGGGAGGTTAATCCACACAAGCATCAAGCGAGCAACGTCATTTCATTCATGCTGGGGTTTTGTATCAAAAAGTTCCGGGTTTGTCCCATCAACAACTTTCTAGCCAATGGCAATGTCATATCATGATTCAGTAACGACATGTGACTACAGACAATGTCAGTGCCATACATGGAATGATTCACAAGTGCAGCCTCATAAATAGTCAGAGTTGTAAGCGGGGTATCGGGTATATTATATGCAAGTGCCTGTAGACGGCTTATGGTCGCTGGCTTTCTTGTTCCAATTGTTACATTAGCCCATGGCATGTTTCCCGTCCATCACCAAAAGCGTATTAGGTCTTTGAGATCAAAGCCCGTCTGGGTGGCAATAGTCTAATGCCCCAGCACTAGGTAGGGAGAGTTGGTTCAAGCACCGCCGTCGCGTTTGGCGTACTCGTCCTCCATGGCCTCCTCGTAGAGCCGGTCGGCGTCCAGCTCGGCCTGGGTCTTCTCCCGCGTGACCCCGGCGCCCGTGTCAACGCCCGCACCCGTTGCGACAGAAGCTGTGTTGTTGTTATTGTTGTTGCCTGTTTGTGTGGTGGTGGCGGTGGCCTGCTCCGAGGAGCCCTTTGCGGAGGTGGGGATGGGCATGGTGGTGGTGTAGTGTGTGTGGTGTGGTCTTGAAGTCCTCTTCTTAAGAGAAAGTGGCAGTTGTGCGGGGTCCTGTAGTGTTTGCGGCGTTGTCTGGACTCTGGGGGTGATGTTGCAGAGTAAAGAGCTGAGGTTGGCAATGACTGGACGTGTAAAGTGCACACCGGCAGCACACGATTTATAGCAGTGACGTATGGTTGTGGCTGGAAGTTGGTCGCGCAGTTTGGAACACACGGATTCGCCACTAATCGCTAATAGAGAGTGCTCAAGTGCAAGCTTGACAAGCTGGGAAAGACCCGATACTTTCCGCGGCTTCTGATTGGCCAGGCTGCCAATTCGGGCAACTCGCTCCTTCCCTCTAGGGCGGCCTCAGTTCAGTGGGCAAGACACGTTTCTGCTGGGCGGTGCCTGGCATGGTGGCAATTGTTAGTAGTCATGGCGGAGACACATTGAATGGACCGTGATCCCTGCAACTCCTTTTCTTCTACGGCTAGCATAAGTGGTATTGGCAGCTGGTGTGAGTTATGTAAATGCTCGACTTCACCTGGGCAGGCCCTATGGCGGTGCCTGCGAGCTGCTGGCCTCGGCGAGTCCACCAGGCCAGGCACCCAGCGCTCCTTCAGCCGCCCCGCTCCAGCTGTGTTTGCTGGGGCTTCTTGCCGTTGACTCACGGCTGGTGCCTGCGCTAGTCAATGTCGATGCGGAGACGACAACCCCCAGCTTTCCGCAACCATGTCGTGATGCTCGGCCACAAAAGTCACGATGCCTTGATCACTTACCAACGCTTCAGTCTGTCGTCTTTGGATGCTCCAGATCTCGCTGCACGATTTCCAGCCTGAGCACGTCATCCCTGAGGAAGTGCCGCTTTCAGAAGGACACCACATTCCGGAGTTTCCTCCCACCCAAAGCCATCACTAGTCGCCCGAGCAGATTGGGGCAAGCACATTCCCATATTCGCAGACCCTCTCTCAGCCTGCTCTCACGCATGACTAGCCCAGGAAACACATTTCCGTCGACACACAATGCCCATACCACCACACGTCCAGGCTCGCCGAGCTGCACTCTCGGCAATCGCAAAGGAGACCAAGGATGTGCTCCCGGGAATCCTCAAGCAGCTCCCGCACCTGGACGCCACCATGTCGTATGAGGAGGACCTCCGCGAGACGAAACCCCTCGACCCAGCCGAGTGCCCGGGCTTCACGCTTGCATCAGATCGAGGCACCTACGGCACCCTCGTCAAAGTGCTCAACGAGGATTCGCTCGACGCGGCCATCATGATGGGCGAGTCGCTGTCGCAACAAACCCGGGCCTCAACAACAGCCCCTGGACTTCCGTCTCGGCCTCGGAACCAAAGAGTCGCCGTGCTCAATCTCGCGTCCGACAAGCAGCCCGGTGGTGGCTGGCTGACGGGTGCCGTGGCGCAGGAGGAGGCGATATGCTACCGCAGCTCTCTTGCATTGTCACTACACAAGCAATACTATCCATGGGCTCCTCTGACGGGATTGTACACTCGAGACGTGGTGGTCATCAGGTCATCCATGGGCTCGGGTCACCGCTTACTTCTCCCCCGAGGCACTCAAGCATCCTCCTCAGCACCATCTGCAACAACGCCAGCTTCGTCACCATCAGCGACGACAAGTACAACCACACCATCAGACCTCCCAGTCCTTAGCGTCATCAGCATCGCCGGCATTCGTCGGCCAGAGCTGCGAAAAGTCTACTACGGTGGCCTCGGCAGCACTATGAAGGAGAAGCACATGTTTAAGAAGCAGAGCGACCGGCAGCTGACCAAGGACAAAATGCGCCTGTGCCTGCGCATCGCCGCCAATGAGGGCCACGAGCTGCTCGTCTTGGGCGCCATTGGGTGCGGCGCGTTCCACAACCCGCCCGGCGAGATTGCCGACTGCTGGGCCGAGGTGCTCGAGGACGCCGAGTTCCAGGGCGGGTGGTTCCGGGAGATCTGGTTTGCCGTGTTTGATCGCAAGAACGAAGGCAATTTCGAGGTGTTTGACAAGGCCCTGGGCGGGAAAGAGGTCGGCAAGGTGGCGAAGACGTGAGGAACTATAATGTTTGAGCGGACGAGATGTCACAAGGGCATGGGCGAGGTACGGGTATCGTAATAATGCTCCTCCCAGAGAGATCAGATCGTGCAGCAATTGTCCGACTCAGCTAATGACAACGATGTGCATGATTCAATCCGCCGCATTTTGCTTCTGGCGATGGCCAATCGTCAGTTCGTGCTACAGACATGTTAAGACACTTGTGAACGCCACACCTTCAATGCAACCTGGTTTACTTTTACAACATGAAAGTGCCAACAGCACACATGACGACAGCCAACAACCACGTTGCCGCCATCGGCCCGTTCCGCCCGGCAGCTCCCGTCCCGGCACCAGTGCCGCCGTTCCCACCACCACCACCACCACCAGGAGACGTGCCGCCGCAGGGCGAAACATCGTTCATTTCCAACAACACGCCCTGCGCCCGCACAACCTCGATCTCGACCACACCCTTCTCACCCACGCTGACCACCTCACTCTCCAAACCCCCACCTCCTGCTGATGCTGATGCTGATGCTTGCACGTCTCCGGTGAGCGGATCAAACGTGACCCCAGAGACGCTGACCTCGCTCTTGGCGTTGGTCCCGGGGGCCTGGAGCCGGACCACGCTGGCGTTCCTGCCGGGGCACCAGGGCGTGGCCACGCGGAACGTGCTGCTCGGGCGGCTGCCGGGGCTGAACGCGGTGCCGTCCGTGACGCTCAGGGTGGACGGGTTGCTGAGCCCCGCGGTGCCGTTCCAGACGCCCATGTCGAGCAGGACGAGCTTGCGGAGCGTCTTTGCGTCGCCGGCCGGCTGCTGCTGCTGCTCCGTGGCTCGTCTTGTCCGTGGTGCAGTAGTGCTGCCGCCTCCGGGTTTCGTACTGTTCAGAGAAGCGATGGGAGGAGTACCGTAGACGGCGAACCCGCTCAGCGAGCTCGAGTTGGCGCTGGGCAACCCTGCGATCTCGAAGCGCTCGCCGGCACCAGCGCCACCGCCCCGAACAAGCGGCCGCACGACATGCGCGAGGAAGTAGTGCGCGTACCACCCGGGCCTGATGCCAGCCTCCAGGGTCTCGTTCTTGTACGGGTAACCGAGCGGCGTGAAGCTGCTGTACTCGCTGTTGCCGCCGAGATGGAAGTAGATCTTCTCGATGCCGACCGACGCCGCCGTGAGGACGTAGTCGACGCCCCAGAGCGCGGCGCCAAACGTGTCGCTGATGCCGCTGCGCCCGCCGCAGCTAACCGAGTTGGTCTCGCCCATGACGAACGGGTGGCCCGTCACGTCGGCGGCGGCGACCTGCGGGGCGTACTGCGAGACGTTGAGCCACAGGGCCGTGTGGTTCGAGAGCAGGTCCAGCCGCATCCGGTGCCAGCGCGCCGGGTCGCAGGTGGACTGCGGGTAGAGGTGCATCGCGTAGGCGCCGATGATGCTCTGCCCGGCCTCGCCGCCGCCCGTGGCCTCGGTCTGGGCAATGCCTGCGTGCGTGATGTTGATGATGTCAAAGTCGTCAAGCTCGTCGTGCTGGTCGGGGACCCAGGGAGGGTCGGCAAAGACGCCGGCCTGGAACGTGAAGGGCGGCGCGAGGGTCGTACTGTTCCCGTCGTCGTCGTCGTCGTCGCCGCCGCTGCCGACCAGACCGGACCCGTCACCGTTATTGTTGTTGTTGCTGCCGCCGCCGCCGCCGGCCGACCGGGCCGCCTGCTTGTACCACTCCGAGTTGACAATCTGGCCTGTCAGGTTGCGGAACTGCTCAATGTACGTCTCGACACCCCACGTGGCGTCACGCCAGTGCTTGTTGATGTAGTGATCGATTTCGTTGCCGAGCTCAAACATGACGAGCTTGTCTCCCAGCGCGGCGTATGCGGCCTCGGCCTGTGCGACAGCATTGGCCCACCCGGAAGTATTCACGGCCAGGTTCAGCGTGTAGATGAGGTCCGTCCCCGCGGGGAAGTAGTCACCCCAGGTGCTGTACCACTCGGGCGTGACGTTGAACGTCTTGGCATTGGGCAGGCCCGGCAAGGCGACAGAGAAGTTGCCCGTGGGCAGCGTGTCGAGCTGGTACGTCGCGTCGGCCGTGTTGCCGCCCACGCGGATGGGCGGCGGCTTGCCGGTGATGTTGGCAATGGTCTGCAGCAGCTTCGCCGCCTTTGTCGTATTGGTAAACGAGTCGACCCAGATCGGCTCGATCGAATAGCCGTAGACGTCGGGTAGGAGCACGCGACTGGGCAGGTCCAGCGGCACGTCAATGTCGACCGTCTCGGCTGCCGTGGGCATCACGCCTGCTGCCACGAGGGCCAGCAGTGCCGTTGTCAGGACTGTCGCCATGGTGTTTTGAGAGGTGTGCTCGTGTGCGTGTGGAGTGCGAGTCCTGCCCAGGAAGAAGGAGGTTACTCGGCGGGCTCTTATACCGTCGGCCAGATCGTCCTCGTGCTACATCATGGCCTGCCTGCATGCAGCAGGTGCCTTTACCAGGCAGGGACCCATCACGGCACAGCTACGACAACGCGGGTGAAGAGAACCTGGTCGTGGCCAGGACCTTGGAAGCATCCATGGTGGTGCTTTGCAAGGTGGCAGTGTGGAGAAACCTGGGGTTGCCGATCAGTCCAGACAGGCGGTGTCGGCATGTTGATGGCCCGGTCACTGGAGCCCGATGGCTGGTCGCGATGCCTTTGCCGGGCCACTCACAAGCCCTCGCATTGTGGTGTTTCACGACCAGGTCTGGCAAGGCGACGGCATTGGGGTAGCCTCGGTGAAATTTTGCGCCAATGGGGAGCTGCGCTGGCTACCCCGGTGACGACATCTGCTTCCCCAGGCCAGGTCCAATTGATCCCCTGCAAAATATGCACTTAGAACCGGGGAATAAGTGCCGTGCAGTCAGTCGTCTTCAGGCAGTATTACGTGCCCCCCCCCTCTTAGTAAAACAGCCGGGCATCGGGCTATCGACAATCCGGTGCTTCTTTCTTTTTGCATGCTCATTACCCACAAGTCAGAACCAGGTCTTTGTTCATACCCTTCCAAGTACTGAAATAGTTCTGTAAAGCATAAAACCAAAGTTGAGCACCACCAATGTCAAGTGAGTAGCCGGGGAAACAACACCGCCAAATTGAGCACCAAGCAAGTTTCTTCATTATTGGACGATATGGATTTATTTGCTTTCTTTTTCATGACTTGGCAACCAGCCAGCGTATCTCAGCTCAGGGGGAAGAGTACTTGTAGCCGTACTGCTTCTTGGCATCGTCCAAGAACTTCTGGTTCTCATCGGCCTTCTTCTTCGCCTCGGGGTCCTCGGCACGAGTCTTGGCCAGCGCCTCGTTTCTAAAGCTCGAAGCCGAGGGGATGGCCAAGCCCCTTGCTGTAGCAGGACGGGCGACGATCCGCTCGTACCAGGCCTGGACGTTGGGGAACTGCTTCAGGTCGATGCCAGACAACGTCGCGATGCTGACCCAGCCAATCATCGACATGTCGGCAATGCTGTACTTGCCCTTGCCGGGACCGGCAACAAAGTCACGGCCTTCGAGACGCTTGTCCAGAACGCCGTAGAGGCGCTCCGACTCGCCGACGTACCGCTGCGCTCCATAGGGGATCTTCTCCTTGGCGAATAGGAAGAAGAGGTTGGCCTGGCCCTGCATGGGGCCCAGGCCGCCGTGCTGCCACGCCATCCACTGCTCTGCAACCGAGTAGTCGTCCGAGTCGACAGGAAAGCTGAAGCGGTGCTCCGGGTCGTAGTGGCGGGTGAGGTAGGTCAGGATGGAGAGGCCCTCAAACACGGCAAAGTCATTGCGGTCGTGGTCGACAATGGCGGGGATGCGGCCGTTGGGGCTGATGGCGGTAAACCACGGCTCCTTCTGTGTGTTCTTCATGATGTTGATGCTTTGCCAGGTAAAGTCCTTGCCGTAGGCCTCCTTGAGCTCCTCAAGGAGGACGCTGACCTTGAAGCCATTTGGCGTGCCTACAGCCTGTCTGTTAATAAGAGGCCAATCACGAGGCGTTCGCCAGGAGCGGAGCAGATCGACTGCGCCACTATACGTACCAAAAGTGAGGAGCTCGATGCCGCTCTTGGCAATAAGTCCAGTAGGCTCCGACATTTCTTCTGGCTGTGGAGTTGAAGGTGACGATGTGGATTGGCCCTGCTGGAGCTGTCTCGTGGTAGAGTACGCCGGGTGTGAGCTTCCAGGTGGTCGGCGGGAAGCGTGTCGTGATGTGTGAGGAGTGGCTAGGTGAAAGAGTCTAGGGCTGTTGCCTTGGTGGAATGGGAATGCTGAAGCACGAGGAGCAGTAAAAAAAGCCCAACGGAGGGGCGGGCTGGGGCCCTTAAGAAGTCTCGTGGGCCCGGCAGCAGGCAGGCGCAACTTGAGTGGTGACAGCATGTTACACAGAGATGGGGATTGAGTTTCTACGTGAGGAGTTGGAGAAAGAGGGGGCCTGGGCCTTGGACGCGGCAAGTGTGTTGCACGCAGGGTGTACTCCTGGATTCAGGTGGCTACTCAGCCTGCTCTATGCAGGCATCCCTCGAAAGACGAAGCTTATCATGCAGCCGTACGACGGGACCTCTGCGGCTATGTCATCACAATGTGACTAGACCCGTGGTGGATGATGCTTGGATCTCGGGTTCCCCAATCTCCACAGTGGCCCTGGAAACCATTGGCATCTCAAGGGCTTGCGTACGATGGATGACAAATGCACATGCATTGCCCCGCTCAGTCGCAAGCTTGAAGCTCGTCCCCAACCCGCAGGAACCATTTTGTTCCGCTTCGGGCGGGCCGTCCTGCACGTATCTCGTATCTCGTATCTGCGTACTGTAGCCATGGATGTCTCGGGTCGGACATTCATACCAGATTTAGGCTTTGTAAGTCGACGTGTGGGACGAGACCCCTGGCCTGGCTGCCTGAGTGGCACAGTCTCGTCTGCGTCTTTGCCTGGGCCTTGGAGCGCCTCACAGCTTGGTAATGCTACTCATTTTGTGGGTATCGAGAAACACGCAGTAGCATTGCCTGGTACGAATGGTGATCCATTATTCAGCACTTCCAGTTGCGTGTGCTCGAGGCGTCCACGTGGCTGCGACTGTCTCGCAGAAACATGCTGAAGGCCGCCCCAGTCGCTTATACGTGCGCTATCGACGGTGTTTGGCAGGGACACTTTGAAATCCCACCGTCAGGCTCTCTTGTTTGGATAGTACCAACTTGAAGGTGATAACAAGGACGAACGGCAGGGGAGCACGGAGAAGTCGCTGCCAAGCACGGTGAATTTGGCGTAAACCCCTGCCATTGGTATCATTATCGAAGACCAACACATCATACACGACGGAAGGAAATACAGATCAGTCATCAATCTCCTCGGCAATTCGAGCTGAAAGCAACCAGGACACATTGCAACTTGTCGTCAACATGAGCATTCTGACTCGTTCCTCCAACGCACAGACACAGTGAACCCCGGGGCATCCGGGAGATCTGTGAGAAGAGGAGAATTTCACCAACGAAAAGAAAGATGAAAATACATGGCTAGGAAATCCCCTGTCATAAGAAGCTGAACCTCGTGACCATTTTTGAGAAAAGAAAAGAAAACGAACAACACAAGCATGTCTCCAGGCCAGTTCATTTGTTACACACAATCTCAATTTCCTACCAACGACGAAAAAAAACAGACCAAATTAAAACCACAAACGCGAAACGCAGACATTACCCTCTGTTCATGATCACCGCGCCCGAGCCTCCGTGCGTGGAGCTGGGCAGGATATTGCTGACGCTGACGGGGCATCTAGAAAGCGTAAGGCTGTGTGCACGTCGTAGTGAGGAATGAAGAGGTTTACCAGTAGCCAGGCGGACCACCATTCCCACGTCGATAGTCCTCACGCGGGTGCGGTGGATAACCGCCAGGATCGCGAGGAGGGTAACCGCCATCTCGTGGAGGAAAGTCCCTCGGGGGACGGTCGTAGCCTCGGCCGTTGGCGTACGGGTCGGGAGGAGGTCCGTATTCACGTCGGTACGGATCGTCGTAGCGGCCACGAGGGGGCGCTCCGTACTCCTCCATCGGAGGTCCGCGCCGCGGTGGGGACCGGTACCGGCGGTCATCGTAGTATTCACGACGGGGACTTCTGTCACGATAGTCTTCACGGTAGCCGCGAGGAGGACTGTAGCCACCAGGAGGGGGTCCGCGGCGGTCATATGGATCGCGGGGCATACCGTATGGCTTGCGAAAACCGGGAGAGCGAGAACGGCCTCGCTCACGGAAAGGCATATCGGGCTGTGTCTGTTCTTCGTGTGAGCTAGAAGTCGTTCGAGAAGTGTCCGGAAAGTTGTAAACTCACGTCCGCAATGCATGTGACGCGCTGACCCTTGAACTCACGCTGGTCAAGCTTCTCAATCGCAGTCCTCAAGTCTGCTGCAGACTCAAACTCAACGAATCTGGCACGATGGGGTCAGTTTGATGCATCAATCAGGTCAAAAATTCTGATTACTGTAACTCACCCACGTCCATTGCCGTCACGGCCGGTCTCGGAGTAAACCACGTCAAGGCTCGACTGCCGAGCGAAGTCTTTCAGATCCTAGAGCCAGAGTCCTTGTAAGTCGTAATCCCCAAGTTGTCGAATAGCTGTCATGTGTGCGAGGTCGAATGTCGGATGAGCGCTCGCGGGAAACCATGGTCCAAACCGGTCGGCCAGCCCGCCGGCCTGGGTTGCTCTCCAGGGCAGGATTCCTGGATCCTTGGAGAGAGCAATGACAGAACCCCGAAAAATTGACGGCGTCGGTCATCCATACGGCCAGGTCCCGGGAAGAGCGTTGGTAGTTGATGAAGGCTGAAGAGCAAAGCTGTGAAATGCATTCAACCGGCATCGGCGACACACTCTTCGAGCTGCTAATCCAGAGGGAGGGAGTGAAAACGGAAGCTAGAACAGACCTGCCAGCTGGTATCATTGGGAAGTCCAGTAATCTGCATGCGGTGCGGGGTGCGTCGAGGCCGAGGTGGCTGCCGTTCATTGTTGCCACCAAAACCACCCTCTCGCTGACGAGAGCCTCGTGCGAACTGAACCGTAAGGCGCTGGCCCATGAAATCGGATCCGTCTTTATCGGTGTTAATAACTGATTAGCCGGGGAATCGAGGCAGGATCGATCGGAAGCTGGGAAAGACAGAGCCGTTTAGAACGTACGGAAAGCTGTCATGACAATACACCGTTAGCACAAGTTCGAGGACCGGAGAAGGTCGAGTGGGAGCGGTTGATCAGAGTATGAATCAATATCGAGGTTGAGCTTACCAGGTACGACGTCACGCGCGTCCATTGGGTCCTTGTATTCGACGAAGCCGAATCCATTCATGAGCTTGATCTCGGTGATTTCTCCAGTTCCATGGGTTGCGAAATGAGTTTCCAGGTCCGCCTTGGTGGCTGAGAGTAGGATCGTCGTCAGTTAGGTTTGTCCTCGTGGTAGAAACTATTGCTTGGGTACGAGCGGCCCGATCCATCCAGCGCTTCAAGTCGGAAAGAAAGCTGCGTCACATACCGCCCTTTGGGAGGTTGCCCAAGTAGAGCCTGGTGGCCGAAACCTCGGTGGATGCCATGGCTCCGAGGAGGCAGCGCAGCGCTGCGTCGTTTGTGGAAGTAGAAAAGCTGTCAGGTCCAGGATTATAAGCCTTATGGGCAGGTAATGGCTGTCGGGCGCAAGCCTATGCGCACTCAGGCGCGGTCCAGTCCTGGTTCCTCGACAGTCGCCGGAGAGTGGGTTTGACCAGATGCGCCAGCCTGGGAAGTAGAACGAACCGGTCGTGCCTTGGTGTCTGGCGATGACGATCGTGGCTTCAGCGCGCGCGGGGAGGGCAACGGTGCCAATCCTTGGGCAGGTGTGCGGCGAGATGGGTTGGCTATTGCAAGAGCGCGAGGTTGGTGACGCGTCGTCGATGAGGGGGACGAGCCAGTGTGGCTTTGCGATGTTGACGACACAGGAGCTGAAGTGGGCTTTGCGGCGGCGATGCGCAGCACGAGGAGAAGGTGGAGATGGCGACGGAGCTGAGTGGCGGGTGGGCTGCACGGCCGCCCCATATCGTCTCGAAGGTTGCGAGTGGAGTCACCCAAGTGCCGTAGGCGCCCATCGCGTGCACGGACCACCCTCTGTTTCCAAGGCCCCCGTCCTTATGAAACAAAGACTTTGTCGGCTGGAGCTAGCAGCTCTCACATACATACAAGCACACGGTTGAGTACTTGATACTTACTCATGGACACCCATGCTTTGACCTCGTCAGTGCGGCTGCATCATTTCGCTTGTGTCGCATCACGATAACACTAGGGAGCTCGTGCAGATCAACTTCATTTAACCGAGCTATGGTGAGAGATATGATGGGCAAGGCAAACAAGCAGGTGGGATATAATGATTCAAACGCCAGGACCATGCAAATATAGGATGTGTATCCAGTCGTCCGGAAATGGTCTACTGTCAAGGCAAGCTGCATGCCACAGAAACTCGGCAATATCAAGTTGAGGCAGGCGACGTGCACGCCAACTTCGTTGCATGCGTTGCCGTGCTCGCTTTCCCACATTAGGTATTTGGGAAGAGGATGTCGACGACCTCATCCGCAATCGTGAAAATGAGATGAGTTCTGAAAGAGATTTCCGTACTTAGTGAATGCTCTCGCAGCGGATGGGTTCAGGCGGGATGGCAATTGGGGGGGGTCACTCACGTCAATCTTTGATTGTTGAGAGTTGCAAAGATGCGACGACTGGCCGCCTGGGCATTCAATCTTCCAACCACACTCCCTGCCAGATCAGGTACGAGGGTGGCGAGCATCAGACTCGCTTCACGTCGCGTCTTGGCCTTGTCTGATGCCGTGCGCGGTGGCTTGTCTCTATTGATCTGTCCTCCTGGCCACATGGAATCTGTCAAGAGTTTCAGATAGCGGAGAATCGCGTCTTCCCGGGTCAGTAGTCTGTAGATGTCGCGGACTTTGCGCTCGATAGTTCCACCAAGTAGCTGGTGTAAGACAACAACAACTGCGCGCCCACGAAGCCAGTTGTTGCCACGGTTCAGCCCGAATATCTCGAGAAAGATGTCGCAAATAGGCTTGATGAATGGTTCCAGCTCCTTGTCTTCAAAGGCGTTGAGCTCGGCCTCAGCCTCTGCAGCAGTTATCACGCCGTCGTTTGCGTCCAGAGGCATCGCATTGATCTGGCTGGTAGCCGCAGCGATGAGATTTTGCCCGGCAACCGATAGCTGGTCCAGGACTGGGATGTTGCCGAGAATGTCTTCCATGCCGTCGGCCACAGAGTCGTAGAGGCGAGTCATCATGTCCTTCTTGTCCTCACGGTTCATGATATCTTCGCCTTGAGTAATCACACTCTGAGACAGGAACGACCGCAGATCTCTGCTGCGACAGACGTCCGGGAGGTTAAGAAGCTCTTTCAGGTATTGCTCCAGGGCTTGGCTGCGTTTGCGCAAGAAGTCACTCTGTAGCTTCATGACCATCCTTCGCCGGGGAAAGTCGAGGTGCCGAACCGATGGATACCGATGCCGAAGCCGTTGATGGAGGTCATGAAATTCGCTGTACCGCCGTGTCACAATCCATGTTGCTGCGGGCATCTGTTCTCCTGCTTTCCTCTGCACCTCGACGACATAGACCGCAAATTCCTTGCCGTCTTCATCTTTGCCAACCTGAATGGACTTGATGTGGGCTGATGCTCTGCCGTACAAGCTGTTATCGCTCTCTTGGATAACATATTGCTGACGCTGAAGCTCTTTGCGCCGCAGTTCTCTCTGCAGACTTGCCCTCGACTTGCGCAAGATACGCAGTTCCGCCGTGTTGTTCGTTAGCTCGGCTTTCTTGGTTAAGGACTCCAGGACAGCTTCTTGTGCTACGAGCTTGTCAATGTCATTAGTCAAAACAGTGATCGCTTCCGCAAGTCCGAGATCACCAGGTGCGGCTGCATGGACTTCGTCTTCAACATCGCCTTTTGGGTCTTCGCTGATCTCCTCCTGCTCGTCAGACAGGAACCTCTCCTCGTCGCCAAACAAGTCATTGTCCACGAAAACGCCAATGCGAGACGCCTGACTGACGAGCCCAAGTGACGTGATGCTGGGTCGGTCTCCTTCCCTGCCCTCAGATAAGATTCGTGAGGTCTCCATGGAATGGTTGTCATGCTCGTGGCCAGAGAAAATGCTTGACTGTGCATCATCGTCTCCAAATAGGGACTCGCGGATCTCCTCCGCCGTCTGCGGCCGCTCATTCTCCATGATGTTATTCAGCGCCTGCTCCATTGCTTGCACGACGTGGTTATCTGGGGTCAATTTCGTGAGATCCTGATCTAAGCTCTGCACAGATTCTCCCAGCACGTCATGCTCGAGTTCCTCGTCATCAAACAACGGCGAATGTGGCGAGTCCTCGCTGACTTGCCGCACGTGAGGCCGAGCATCAGCTTCCAGCGAGCGTCGCGCCCCATTCAAGGGGTCTAGATTGGACTTGGCACTGTTTCCCAGCCCTCCCAGCTCTGACGCGGACAGCACGCGCTTGAATTGGGGTTGCACTGCCTTCAGCCTGGGATTCACTTTAGCGTTCGCGTTTGTGGGTCTTGCTGTGAATGAATGTGATGACCGATGGAGGTTGGGTGGTGCCGCAGCTTGAGAAGACGGTGTTGGAAGTGGCTGCGCAGACGTTTTCGCTGCCTCTTCAGCCGCCAGGGCTTTGAAAAAGAGGTCGGATTTCTTGAACGACTGGAAGCACTTCGACTCCATCTTCTCCAGCACCGCACTTTGTGCTCTCAAGACCGACCACCTCGCAGCGTAATACTGCTCGTTCGTCGCGGACTTTCCTGCTGACAAGAAATCTCGTATGACCTGTCTCGATGACGCGGGAACCTCCAGCTCGGCCTTGGAAAGGTATGCCTGGTCAATCTGGGCAATGTCTGTCCGGTCAGACTCGGTCCAGGGTACTATTGTCGATGGAAGCTCTGCGCCATCTGGTCCGTCGTCCTCGAGCGGATTGCGGAAGCCATCAACAACAAGCCAGAATTGAACGAGAGTCATCAAGCCCTGCCGGTCCATAAACTCCATGAAATACGAGAGCCCCGAAGTATCCCTCAGAAGCTCGGCCAGTGAGACGCGCTCGAGTTTGGAAGACTCTGTGGTAGAGGCTACGGGTTGTGTTGATGTTGCGCCATGGCGATCGCCTCCCGCTGCTAAGTGATGGACTTTCTGGTCTAGGAGTTTCTTGCCCATCTCTAGACGCCGCAGATATGCTTGATCTTGACCCTCGATCTGCGAATCCCTTTTCAACTGGCTCGCCACCTCGCTTCGAAAGCGCCGTGCATCGGACAAGTTGTTCAGCTTCCGTATGGTACGCATAAAACGCTCAAACGTGCGCTCGCCGTCTCCAGGGGCTATGCGTGGAAACGCCGCCATCTTGGATGGTTTCGGGGCGGGTGATGCGTGCGCATCCAGGGCGGCGCGGAGCTTGCGCACAGTTGACCTATCTTGAAGCATCGAACGGCCATAATTCTCCATGACCTGGTTCCACGTATCGGGGTCGGAGAGGAGTTGCATCACCGGGAATAGGACGGCGCAAGACACTATTTCGCGGACGATACTTAGCACGGCGCGACTGTTGATCATGTTTGCTGGCAGAAGCTGAGGGAGAATTCTACTAATAATTTGCCGCAGATGCTCCTGGCGGGCGAGCTTCGTATCAGCGTATGAGAGCGATGCGGCCGCGTGGAGCTTGCCATCTCGAAACTTGGAAGCAATGGCCAGATCGAGCTCTTCCGACTCGGTAACATCTCGATTGAGCTTCCTGCCCCGTACTGCCCTCTCCGCATCGAAGAAATCTTTGAAATGGTTGGTCAAGATTGGAACAATGCGACTAATGACCGCCTCAACGAGATCGGCATCGGCGAGGCGGTCGCAGAGTGACGATAGTGCCAGGCGGATGTTGCGATCGACCTCGTGGGTAAAGACTGGATTGCTGCTGATCCGCGAGTACCAAGAGTTGACAAAGTCGCGAAGTATGAGGCCAAGGAGGTTATCGACCGCATGCGACAGGCCGGGCAGGTCTGGGAAGAGGGGCTGTCGGACGTAAGCCTGTCGGGCTTGGAGAGCGGTGGTCTCCAACACCCAGGACCTTGGTGCCACGAAAGCTACGGCGTCGGGTCTGGCCGAGCGATTGCGTCGCGCGTACGCAGAGCCGCGGGAGGTCAGGAGGATGAGCAGTAGCGAGCCCAAAAGCGCTGTTGTGATCCCTCCAACGAAAGCGTAGCCCGTCCATCGGATGGAGGGGAACCAATTGACCGCATAGCCCCAAGCGATGAAGCAGACAATGCCGGCAACGACAAAGTCTCTTCCCTTGAGGGCCATGGTCCGGAAACCAGACTCAAGGCATAGATCACGCGAGAAGACAGGCGTTCGACGCCAAGTCATGCATGAGTGATTGCAGATATCGCAGCCTGATTTGGAGTTGGTGTCGAGCGAGGTGCCTATCGATCGACTCTCCTGGTGGGGAAGCCAGATGACCCTTAGCCCCTGCGCAATGACAGCATTTCCTACGTGATCAAGACCACGATGCCCCACTTCAGCCCAGCAGCCACTCTGAAAATGGACACGCGCTTTCTTCTGGAACTTGGAAGCTGGCGTGCAGCCGACTGCCCTCTACAGCTGCACATTGTTGAAACTGATCTTTGTTGTCCTGATGAATTCTCCGTATTCTTGGCATAAAACGTAGCATGCCCACGACAGAAAACCTCATCCCAACCACAGAGTTATCTCGTTATTGAGAATGACCGCTAGCATCCAATTGCTGCTTCGTGAGCGATGAGGGCTGTACTTCAGGGTTGACAGCCCACTTGGAGTCCTTCAGTCTTGAGTACGTGCAAGACTCACATGAGGCCAATCAAGGACCTGGAGCCCGAAATATCGTTTCGAAATGAGTCATTGGGAGTGGAAACTCTTGTACAATTATTCTTTTATGCATGTCGTACCATTACCAGGGCGGGTCTTCACGACGACGGAAGAGAGCTACAAACTTCTGTCCCTTATTGCGCTCGACCTTTTTGCCTTCCTCCGTTGCTATTCTCATTATGCCAACACACTGGTCAGCTTCCTGCTCCTCTTCGGATACCCTCTCGAACGATGGGTGTGCAACGAAGTGCTGCACCATCCAGTCATGAAGATCCTCGACATCTGTGATTGTATACACGATGCCACCAGGCTTCAGAGCGTATGCATACTCCGAATTAAGAGTCGACGAGACAATACGGGCTTTGTGTTTTCTGTGCTTGAAATGCGGATCCGGAAAGCAAATGAAGATCTTGGAGAGTTGCGCCTTCTTGAAGAAGTTGGGAAAGAACTTCATAGTATTGGCACGGAGACAGCCAATGTTCTGATATTGTTGTCCCTCGGCGTCCTGTGCGCGCAACGCTCGTATCCGGTCCTGGACAAACTCCGTGACTTGAGTTCTGATCTCCATGCCAATCATAAGGTTGCCCGGCAGTGCGGGTGAGAGCGCTACGATGAGCCCTCCAAAGCCACAACCTATGTCCACGATATCGACATCTCTTGTCAAGGTTGGGTGCTGGGGTTGGGCCAATAAACCCACTGAATCGTCGCTCCGGGGTTCTGTACTGCTAGCTGTATCGTGTTTGGCAACGTAGGCCGGGAAGTGTGGCGACCAATCCATGTGCCGGGGAGAGACAGGACTGTCAAGGTCAGCGATTCCGGCTCAAAGTGCAGCATAGGGGACCCTGCGGGGGCAGGACGTACTATTCCAGCTGATGATCCGAGAACGGGTTGGCATGGGCCCGTTGTCGGTAGAATTTCTTCTGGGGCATGGCAGTAGTGCCGCTCTCTCTCTGCGCTTGGCGATAGGCCTCGCGCTTCTGCTTCTTGTTCGGCGGGCCTGCCATCTTTGCTGCCGGACGGAGATTCGGCGGTGCCTACTGACGTTCTCGTGTTGTCTGGGGATGCACGTTGCGCCACAAGGGACTGGCAGTCGCCGTCTGTGCTTCAATGCTATTGGTTTTCTTTTTTTTGTGACTGTTATTGTTGCCGTCGTCGTCGTTGTCGTCGTCGTCGTCACCGCCGCCGACCCCTGTCGTGATTTCGATTGGCTGGCGAGGGCTGCAGGTGTTGTTGTTTGCCAACGGCAAGCTTGATTGCGTCGTATGAAGTCGTCGTTGCCCGTGGTCTGCACCTGCAGCTGTCTGGTGTTCTGCAAAGAAAAAAAGAAGTGGATCTTGACTTGGGCAGGTGCTGTAGCGGGGGCGTCCTGGTGCCGTGGGGCACGAGACGGGTGGGTAGGGGCCGTCCCAGTTGGCCTCAAGCCTGGCCAACTCCCCACACACACCTTTCACTGCAGCTGCATCCCTGTCCGTCTCTTGGTCAACCAAGGTGCACCGTGTAAACATCCGGTTGCTCTCCCGTCCCATCCCAGTCTCCACGTCACTTGGACGCCAGGAAGACCCATCGACAATAGGAGCACTCCTTTGCGTTTTTGCCTTTCAGACTCTTCTCTGCATTCTTCCCGCCAGGTCTTCCGGGCCTTCGTCGTCCTTCTCAGAGCATATACGCAGCCTTACTTTACCTCGTTTATCCTTTGGAGCGTCACCAGGCGGTGTATCTGCCAGGCCTGCGTGATTGCAGCCATGCTTTGAGGTCACCACTGTTGACAGACCTCTAGCACTCAATTGAGCCCACCATACGACTCCGAAGCCCCCTCGTGGTCGGTCAAGGCTTCCTGTGCAGACAAGGCCCTTTGGACGCGAGGTAGTTGGCATTCACCGCTCCGAACTCCACACATCATGGCTCCGAGCTTCGAGGGCAATGCCAGATTGGTTCGAGACGAATCGTCGCAGAAGCACCAGTCCCAACATCAGCGATCCAAGTCAACTGGCGTTTTCAAGACTTTCATGCACCGAAAAAACGAATCAGGCGTAGCTGCCTTTTCGCCAGCCGACATTTCAGACCAGTCTTCGAGATTTCCCACAGCTATGGCGCCACCTGACCATGCTGGACCGGGACCTCTTTCTGAAATAGAGCACAACCAGGCCGATCGAGCCCCTCGATCACCAACGAAAGGATCTGCATCAAGGGCCGCCTCGAGGTCGCCGACCAAATTCGCATTCAGCTCGATCTCCAAATTTGCTAAGAAAGACAACGAAGCACCGCAAAGCCCCCATAAGACGAAGTCCGCCACAAATCTAGGCGGTCTGTTGGGTAGACCGAAAAGTCTGAGGAACCTCCACGGCTTTAGCAGCGATGAGGACATATCATCGCGGAAAGATAAGGAGAACAGAACCCCGCCGACCTCAATGCCTATACAGGACTATTCTAGGCCTCCGATCTATGCTCAGTTCTCCAGTGGGGCATTGGAGAAGGAGAACGGACAGGACGCGGAGGTCAAACATACCGCGTCAGCCACTAAAACTCCTCCCTCAAGCTTTGTACAGCCCAGGCCTTCCGCGAAGCCTCGCCCTCAATCTTATCATGCCCAGCCAAGCCCGAGACAAGAGAGCCAAGGATCCTCGGGATCCCATGAGCGAGGCAAGCCCATAACATCCCGCATGACAATGGGTATCAAGGCGTTCACACGACGGCAAACTTCCAAGGAGAGCTCATCTTCGCCGACCCCAGAACCAGAGACTGAGTTCCAGCTTGACCCCAAAGACATCGAACGCCACCTTGAAGCCATGCTAGATCGTCGCAATATCCCGGAACACCAGCGGTACAAAATGCGCAATCTGGCAGATACCATCAAAATGGAGTTCATCCGCCAAGACTGGGCAGAAACAAGAGGCAGCGCCAACTTGACAAGACCTCCAAGCCATGGGGGCGAATCAGGCACGCCCGAGTCACAGAGCAAGGATGGCAGCAAGAGCAAGAGAAGCCGAAGTCGCGGCTTCACACTCTCGCGAAACACGGCAAAGAAGGGGGATGCAGGCTCTCCAACCAAGAAGAAAAGTGACGGGACGATAGGACGCCACTTCCGGAGCAGGTCGACAGACAGCATTGCCAGCGAGAGACCTTCTTCAGCTGCTTCGAACCAGACGAGCGGCATACTTGCCAAGATCAAGCCACAACAAGGTCCATCAGACTATGTTGCTTATCTGCGCAAAGTGCAGAGACCAGAGTTGGTCGAGGTTGGCAAACTTCACAAACTGCGGCTGCTGCTCCGTAACGAAACGGTAGCGTGGGCTGAAGATTTCATACGCCAAGGCGGCATGCAGGAGATTGTAGGCTTGCTGAATAGGATCATGGAGGTCGAGTGGAGGTGCGTCTTGACTTCCCATACTCCGGGTGTTATCTGCGCTGATGTTGACTAACTCACTCACAGAGAGGAGCACGAGGATGCTCTACTCCACGAGACTTTGCTGTGCCTCAAAGCACTTTGCACCACAGCGCTTGCACTGCAATATCTACAAACTATCCAGGGCGAGCTCTTCCCAGCCTTGCTCCACATGCTCTTCGATCCAGAGAAGAAAGGACCCAGCGAATTCACCACGAGAAACATCATCACGTCTGTATTGTTCACATACATTCAGTCAGCGCCGCCAGCAGATCGTCCTATTCGTGCGCGGACGGTGCTTGGGCATCTCCGTGATCCTGAACCGAAAGAGGAGGAACGCCCACACGGCTTTCTTCTGGAGATGCATAGAGAACGACCCTATCGCGTTTGGTGCAAGGAAGCAGTCAGTGTCACCAAGGAGGTCTTCTGGATCTTCCTGCACCATCTGAACGTCGTCTACCTGCCGCGGGAGAAAGAGGCATGCGCAAACCATCCGGTCGCAAACATCGACAATGCTACTTACATGCAAATTCACTTTCCTCAGGAGAGACCACCAGTCCCTGCAGCTCCATATGTCGGCGGCGTGGAGTGGGATGCCACAAACTATCTTGCTTCACATCTTGAGCTTCTCAATGCCATCCTCGCATGTACTCCCGGAGTTCAGGAGCGCAACAAGCTCAGAGGCTTGCTCCGTATCTCCGGCTGGGAGCGGTGCATGGGAGCAAGCATGCGACTTTGCAAGGAGAAGTTCTACCCTGGTGTGCATGACGGCTTGCGGACGTGGGTCGCCGCTGCCGCTGATGATGGTTGGGACGTACGAGATGTTCGATATGGACCCCCGCCAGAACCAAAGAGTCCAAGCAAGAAGTTGTACGGCGGAAATGAGAGTCCGAAGAAAGTCAAGGATATTGAGCCTCCGCCAAAGATCGACCTGCCAAAGTTTGACTTTGGCATTGACGGGCCGCAAACACCACGCGTGGGCGTCTCCTCGACTGCCGAAAACTGGCTATCTTGAACGAGGGCAGCCATGAAGCAAAAAACTCCCTGTACCGTGCACTGTCAAACGGCCTTCACGGCGAAGGCTGTTGGCATGTGGGCTTCCCGTCTATGGTATTTTTTGACTTTTGCTTGTATACTGTTGCGTTGGATCGGACACGGCGTTTGCTTGTTTTCCTATGGGTTAATTCTGGCATGGACTAGTCGAGGCCCCAAGCATGTTCGAGATTTGATTTCTCACCAGACAGCCAGGGCGTCTCTTTGCTTCAAGGGCTCGACGTCGATAGGCTCAATTTGTACGGGGCCGGGAACCAGGTCTGTTATGATGCTTTACTTACGATGATATGACATTGATAAAAATGATATGATGACTTTCAAGGCTGCTGGATTCATTTGTGTGCGAGTTGTTTCCGGCCGAAAATCGTTGATGCCATGCTCACTTTCCACTCAATTCGCCACTCACGTGTGTGACGCAAATGCAGGAGTTACACAATATCGTATCACAGCGATAGACGATCGCCCTTGCGGCTAACGCCAACAAGCTGCAAGTGATGAGCTGGGTTGGAACGATTTGTCCAAGTGCAGACGGCGCAGCTCAGATCTCAAGGCTCAGGCACCTCACCTGACAGCAGGCATGGTTGGAGCCCCACCAAGATCCATTGCTCCTGGACACCCGTGATCGCTCCCCAACGCCACCCACACCACACCCTAGATCTGTTGTCTTCCCGACGTCAACCTTGACTCGTCTGCATAAGCCAGCCAAGGCGACTCGTGCATACCCTTGCCGCCGGAAAACCAGGTCGCCTGCAGAGCACTCACCCGCGACTACGTTTGGAAACGACAGCACGATCGAGAAGCTTGAGCCAGGCAGCACATCCAGCACCACTGATAGTCGCCGTCTGTCAGCTATCAATACTCCACAAGGCCCCAGAGCCCTTGACCGGAAGCCAAGGGCTGCAGCGCAATTCTCGAAAAGCCAGACAAGCCAGACAGGGAGCTCATCCTCGCAGCTGTGCCCTCTGCCTTTGCCATCGCTTCCCGCCGAGCTGTTTGTGTGCTTGGCAGTTAGTTTGACCTGCTTGCTCACTCAATATGTCCATCAAGTACGCGAAATTCTTGTCTTCTATTCTCTGCACCAGCTACCCCCTTACATATCCTTCTCCGTCTTGCACCATGTCGATTTTCCTTCCTGAAACTGCTTTCCATCATACCGCTGAATCCTTGACCCGCCCCTTCCGGTCCTGCTCCCAAGCTGCTTGTTTGTAAGGATCATGGACTACTGGCTCGTCGACCAGCATGCCTCGATCCTTAACCAACAACGTGGAATCCACCAGATCGGGTATCTTGCTGACCTCAAATCCAGCTGGGTTATGCTCTCCCGTTCAGGGCTTTTCGAGCCCTTGCCCGACGAGACACCACAACTCAAGACCAGGGGTCGGATATCGCTTAGCATCACGGCCGAGAAGCAAGTCCCTGGCAGCAGGCCGTGGTCGCTCAAATGTGATAATGGCACCGCCTATATCACAAGTCATCGCGTAAGTAGGCCCCTTCCCGGAGCTGCTACCGCATAGCCAAGTCGACCTTTCATCCACTAAGCGATATGCTCCTTCCAGATTATCTATCTTCCCTCTCAACCCACAGATTCATTTCAGAGTTTCTCAAGCAGAATACTAGATCTAGAGGACTCGAGGACCCCCACAGGCTCACATATGTGGGGGTTCGGGGCGTGGTACTGGGAAGCTGAGTTCCGCCCTGTGCCTGGCGGCAACATTCCGACAGATGTTATGAGGGCGAAAGTCCAGCTCACATTCAACGAGAGCGGGGTCAGCGACTGGCAGGCCAAGTACACAGACATCCGGTCACGAATCCAGCATCTGGCACAGATCGGGCAGTTACAGAACATGCACGGCGAACAGTTGCCGAGCTATTCGCCCGCAGCAGACGGCGACATGAGCTCCAGACAGCCAGAATCTGCGACCGAGGAAGTGGCGCGGCGCGCAGATGATGCCGCACAACAGAGGCGAGAGGACCAGGGTGTGCCGGACGAGGCACCGCCGGGATATGATGAGGCCCAGGCTCAAGCCATTACCGAGAGATTTGATGCGCGAGAGCGCGAGGACAACGAGAGGCAGTAATATGTGGGCCTTTAGATGTGCGCCGATGCATGGTCAGTACATGCGCGGGCACGAAGTGTTCGAGCCTTTCTGAGAAGGTGCCCTTAAGCGGTTTGTTGGGGGCGACAACACAAATCATAGCTCTTATTGTAGGATGATCACCTAGATAGACATGGATGCTTTCAAAGCGATGCTGGATGGCCCGGGTCTCCACGTTTGCGGCGACCCAACCTAGTTCAAGAATTGAATTTGGCCACGCCTGTCGACTTTGGAATTGTGAACTGAATTTACACAGCAGCGCATCCAGAATGGCACTGGACTGACAAGCGTGACTCTCGAAAGTGGGAGCATACCAGATGTTTGGATTGATGCAAGCAATCAGTCGACCTATCCCAGTTCTCAACTCTTCACTCACACTACAAGAGTCACGTGATGCGTATTGTGGGGTCTGGTGCCCCTTGCACCAATAAGAGCCCCTCAATTGCACATTGCTCGATTTTCTTGCCTGGCCCGCTGGGCTCCCCGTCTCCCGAAATCGACCGCACCGAGAGCGACCACAGTCCAGTCAGAAGTCCGCGAGGCACAAGAGCCACCACCAAGCTCTCCATCAAAAGCCGCAATCCCACGATCGACCACCCGACCGACCGGACAGGCCATACGCCAGCGCGTCACGACAACCCGTCTTCTCGCTCGCATTCAGCATACCACAGATCGCAACAATGGGTTTCTGGGACGCCGTCACCGACCTCGTCGAGGCCGCCACGCCATGGGCTACCGTCGAGGCCGAGGCCCCTCCCCCCGAGGACAAGGTACGCTCTTATTTCTTCGCATCATAACCGAAACTCGACATCGACAGCCTCATCACGGCTGCTACACTATACATCGCGGCCGCTCTTCGCGCTCGCCTTGGTCGCACGCCTCTGGTGTGAAGACAGCTGGTCTGCTCGACGTTTCCACGAAAATCAACCGGATATCTTATTACCCAGGGCCAGGCTTCTGCCGAGCTTCGCATTCCGAAACGAGACGACAGCAGGCCGGACGTTGCAGCATTGAGACCTGCGCTGCGACGAAACAGGCGAGACAGCGCCATGCGGCCGTGGAAGCGATGACGCAATGCACAGGCTTGGAATATTTGGCTGACTTGACGATCACTCTAGGAGACCAAGGAGGACAGCAAGGACGAGGAGAAGGAAGAGGATGCCGAGGAAGAGGAGGAGGAGGAGGATGAGGATGATGATGAGCCCAAGGACCCCAAGGAGGAACTCGAGGAAGGTTCGTCAACTCATCACTACCCTGAGAGCGCTCTGCCGTCATTGGCAGCCTGCGATCGGTCTCGCCCGTCATGTGATAGGAAGGTCACAAGGAGTAGTTGCGCTGGATCACCCATGCCGACCCGTACATGACATGGCGAATTTCTTTCTGAGGACTGCGGAACTGACCATCCTGACGAACAGCTTGCAAGAACTCGAAGCAGTGCGCTCCTGCGAAGCACCACTTCGACGAGTGCGTCGAGCGCGTCACTGCTCAGGAGGCCGACAGTGAGGCCAAGGAGGACTGCGTTGAGGAGTGTAAGTTGCCCCGCGTGTGTGATTCACGAGCACTATCCCCTCCTGCACCTCCGACTGGCAGCCAAAGTTGTCTTGATAGACACATCTGCGATCATTACACGGCTAGATGCACACAACTGCGGCGACTGACTTCATTTTGTGCGTCCCCTACAGTCTTCCACCTTGCCCACTGCGCCACCCAATGCGCCGCCCCCAAGCTGTGGTCCATCCTCAAATAAGTGCTCTACTTTCCGCGCATATAGCAGTATCGCCCCGGCCTTTCTGTACTAGGTCTCAGGCAAACTGTGAATCAGCTTCCTCCTTATCGAAACAGCAGTCCGACTTCGCCCTATCAACATAAAATCACCATGTATATCAGTAGCAAACGCCAGAATTTCAACCGTGGTCGGATGTCTGGGAGATAAGCTAGAGGCCGGGGACCTTGCGCCACGGGAGAGGCAGACATTTCGTTTGGTCTCTCTTGTGTCAGAGGACGAGGCATGGCGGTATGATAGGTGGAAGGGGTCTGGGAAGAGACCAATGGAACGAAAGCAAGGTGTACGGGGGAGGGATTCTTATTGGGCGTGGATACTCGGTTTTCACTACCCGCATCCCTCGAAGGAGAGAGAGAGAGAAACAATTGTATCATATTATACAGCTGCTTGCATTGCGCATTGCCCCACGAGAACCGAATAGACGGATAAAGTATGCCTTTTGTGTCTCTGCTTGCATGTACAGCATGGGGAATCTCCTGTGTCCTCAACCTCTCAGTACACCAAAGGCCTACATCAATATGCTTGCTTTCTTCACTAAGTGGGAGGCCGGCCCAGTGCTGAGTTGTGACCAATTATCCGTTGCACAAGAGTTGTCCGGCGCAAGAGTTCCTGCCCTCGTGTTTGAAATACAACTCAGAATACTGAAAGGCCGAAGCCGCTGGCAAGTCACTTGCATTTCAATAATCTAGTTTTTGTACTTACTTAGGTAGCTATCATACCAGCATGAGTTAGCCTCGTGCTGCAAGTCCGGCACAACACTCGGATCAACTAACATGCAGTCAGATACAGTCTTCATGCTCCTTTGCTGTAGCAAATAGTTAGACTTTTGTCCTCCTTGCTCTCTAGACCTTAAGCATGACTGCATGACGGCGTTGCCACGTCGCCCAGGTGAAACGGAAACGAGCAACCTCATTGCGCAACCAAACGCCTTGGGGGTGTGGCTGTCTGGACGGGCGAAGGAGTTGCGGGTGGCAGTAGAGCTCTTAATGTACTGTGATTCGAGACGATACACGAGGCTCAGAAGGATAAAGAGTACGTTGCACAAATTTCTCGCCATCCACGCGTAGGCACCGGCCAATCACATACGTGAGCATTGGTCGTCGGAACTCGGGACGGGGTTGCGTCTTATTTTAAAGCCTGCTCGACATTCTTCAGCCACTCTTCCACAGCGGGCTGTCACCCAATATGTCGAATGGCGTTGTGTGTGACATTCAAGGACTGTGTACTTCTTTGCATTCACACTTGAGCGGCTCTGCGTGCAATGGAACGGTAGTAGACAGGCCGTCCCTTGATGATGTCTGGGTGTCGAGATCCGGGCACGGTCTCGCATATGCTCCTGGCAGCTCCATCATGGCCGAACGGAGATGCACGGTTCCTCGGGTGATACAACAGCAGTTCTGATAGCGGAATAGCTCGGGAAATGTTCTCGTCCTGACTTGCATCTGGGGAACCGGGCTGGTGCAGGCTAGGGTGCTTGCCAGATTGTTTGTTTTGATGAAAAGTCATGCCGGACACTGGCATGATGAGCGCCTGCTCTAAGTATCCCACATAGACTGAGTGTATGGTCGCCCAATGGGACAGTCATGGCTCGCAGAAGCCGCTGGCGCGGATCGCCCAATTCCTTCCTCGTAGGGCGGTGGAAGCCTTGACCAAGCAACCTTGGAAGTGTTTGCTTGCCTGCAGCTGCAGGTGGTGCGCACGAGTGAAGAATCATATCCGCGACTGCCGCTGGGCAGGCAAACTGACACACTGACGGCGCGGCCCGGCAGTGAAGCTTTCCATGGCCCGGGTACGTGCGCGTATGCAGTTTGCTTTGTTTGCGCATTTGCTGTAGAAGCGCCAACGCCACAGCACAACACGACGGACAATCCGAGGTAGGAGACGAACGAGGTCCTGTCACATGCCATGTGTGCGGTCCGTCGACGGCGCTCGGCCGGCGGCCGATAAGCTGAGGCCTGTCATTGGCGATGTGGCCCATGAGGTTGTAATCAGAATATGCACCTATCTCGTCACTTGCAGGGCTACCATTGTTGCCAGATCTGCGGAGCAGATTTCACAGGCCAATTCAGGCCAGGGAGGGGTCGAAGAGAGCAAGGCACAACATGGCTGAGGAAGCTCAGCCTGATGAATTACAAATTGCATGTTGAAGTCGGACGGCACCATTCGAGGCCGAAACTGGGTCGTTTATGCGGAGGAGCAAGCCGAGCGTCCTTGCGCCGATCAACGTTTCGCCCTAGAGAACAAGCCCCCGCTGCTTCGTGTTGTCTGTCGAGGGTGAGCGTGTACTTTTGTCAATAAGCTTTCTGCGCGCTGGGTGTCTGGTGACGCTCTCAAGGTGGCTTTGGACGGGCAGCCACAGGGAATTCAGATGTCCCGAGGCTTGATGTGCCCCAGAGACTGCGCAGGTGACTCGGAAGGTGCGCCCCGATCAAACCAAACCTCGCCGCTATCGTTCCCCCTCCAAAGTGAGCTCTTGTCCCTGCCCTGCCTGCAGGTTCAAGGGCAGGCCCCCGTCATCTCGCTGCCGCTACATACAGGGACTTGACCAGGACCAGGCCTTGCTGCACCTCGCAGCTTATACGGCCAGCCAGTCGCAAGGAGCCACCAACACCACCAGCGCACGAATCCCATTTACCCGCAGCTGCCTGTACAAAGTCAGTCGCGTCTCTGTGTGCCGGCACCAGGTAAGCCCCCTTGTCTCGAAGTCCGACGTCCTAATTATCGACTGTCGACACGGCCCGGCCTAGCGACGACCGTTGCCAAAGATCCCTGCTGGGCAAGCTGCCTTGAGATACGGCCAGGTTCAGCTTCTGGAAACGCGGCCGGTGTGTCGGGGCGTGTCGAAAGTGCTCAGGGCCGATTCCTTCTTCTGGTCTGTGATGCTCGCCTGTCGAATCCATCACGCAGAGCCTCGCCGTCGCCGTCAACGACCGCCGCCGCTGGCACGCCTTTGATCGATACCTACATTGTGCAAATAGGTCTAGCGGAGGGGGACCTTTGGCAGGGTGGAGGTCGAGACGGCCTCACTGCTACGCGCCACACAGTAACGCAACCTGACTCATCCCTGCATCCTGGTACACCGTGGCCTGGCCCTGTCGTTGGAGTCGTGGGAGATCCTCGCTCGGCTCGTCTCTCCAGACTCCCACGGGCCCCTCTCAAATTACTAGATTAGTGTCTGGCCCCCCGACACTTGCTTGGCCTCGCCCTGCTCCTCCGCAATTCAAGACTGGACATCGACGTCTCTTCGGTCGTGATCCACGACGTACACAACCCCCAGGCAGAGTCGCTGGCCGTCGCGCGCGCCACCTTCCCACGAGTCAATTGCCGGCATCAGTGCCCCAACCGTTGCGCTGTGCCTGCATTAGTTGCCGGTCCCATCGTTGGCGCCTCTCCACAGTCAGCCGGCCAAGACGCGCCGCAATAGGCTATCAACGCTCTGTTCCATCTGTGAATATCCTCGCGACGGGTTAGCCATAGCACGCAATGAGCCATGGACGACACCAAGCTCAGTGATTTGCAGCCCCTCGACAGCCGCAACAGTCCCGACCACGTCAGGGCCGTCGACACCGAGGAGGGCACCATTGACAATGGTAGTGTTGCCTACAAGGTCTACAAGAGGCGCTGGTTCGGCCTCGCGCTCCTGACACTGCTCAACATCACTGCCAGCTTCGATGTAAGTCGACTAAGCCCATGCTCGGCGCCCTTTTACCAGACGTCGTCAGGTCGCGCATTGGCCCTGGCCACCTCATTGGGTGGTAGGCAGGCAGGCTGCATATCACATTGGCCCGCCTGCTAAGGCACGGCGCACCAACGCACCAATGCGAACCCGACATCTTGTTTTGTGTTGCACAACTGATGATGACTGACAATCGCTTGTGATCAACAGTGGCTCACTTTCGCCCCGGTCTCTCAGAAGGCTGCGGTATACTATGGTGTATCTGAGAACTCCATCAACTGGCTCAGCACTGGATTTCTCTTCGCCTTCGTCGTGGCCGCGCCGGCCACCATCTACGTGCTCCATCTTGGGCCCAAGCCTTCCATCATCGCTGCGTCGGGGTTAATGCTCGTGGGCAACTGGGTCCGCTTCGCCGGATCGTACTCGGCTGATGGGGGCAACTTTGGTGCCGCCATGGCAGGCCAGATCCTGACCGGCTTCGCCCAGCCGTTTGTCCTCAGTGCCCCGACGAGATACTCGGACATGTGGTTCACCGAGCGCGGTCGCATCACTGCCACGGCCCTCGCCAGTCTCGCCAATCCCTTCGGAGGCGCTATCATACAACTTATTGTGCCTGCCATTGTCGACGTCCCATCCAGCATGTCCATGGGCGTACTGATCGTGGCCATCGTGGCCACCGTCTTTGCAATCCCGTCCATCTTCCTGCCGGCCAAGCCGCCTTCACCTCCCGGCCCCAGCGGCAACACACCAAAGCTATCCCTTCGACAGTCCTTCAAAGCGCTCAATACACTTGAAATCTGGCTGCTCCTCATCCCCTATTCAGTGTTTGTCGGCTTCTTCAACAGCATCTCTAGCTTGCTCAACCAGATTCTCATGCCCTACGGCTTCACCTCAGACGAGGCTGGCATCGCAGGCGCGCTGCTCATTGTGGTCGGCCTGGTCGCCAGTGCCATTGCCTCGCCCATCATTGACCGCAAGAAGACCGTTCTTGTGACAAGCAAATGCCTCGTACCCGTCATCGCGGTGTGTTACGTTGTGTTCATCTTCATGCCGGGCTCGGGCTCGCTCGCCGGGCCGTACACGATCTTGAGCGTTCTCGGAGCCAGTAGCTTCATCTTGGTTCCGGTTGCGCTCGAATTTCTGTGCGAGATCACTCATCCACTCAGCCCGGAGGTGACCAGCACCATCGCCTGGTCAGGTGGCCAACTTCTTGGCGGCATCTTCATCGTCATCTCGGACGCTCTCAAAGCTGGCCCAGAGGCGGATCCGCCGCTCAACCTGTTTTGGGCGCTCGTTTTCTCGGCCATCATCGCTTCGCTCATGGTGCCGCTCGTATTGTGCCTAGGCCTCTTTGGACGGGCCGACAGGGTTGCGCTGCGCAGGACGCAGAGTGACCAGGGTCATAGTGAATTGCACCGGTAGTGGTCGCTCGCCGGCACAAACTCAGTACGTGTCTGAGTTTGAGCGGAAGGGCAAGGAATGAGTCGACACTTCAGGTGCGTTTGTTTTAAATGAAGGGTCAATAGGGGGATTGCTTCGTCAGAGCGCATATGCCATGGTCACAATTACTGTAGGGAGATGGCGGTCGAGCATCAGTGGTTTGATGGGCCCAATCGAGCAGCGCAGTTCGCTCTGCTTTGCTGCTCGCTGCTAGCTGCTACTTGCATACGTATATACGCACTCATACTTTTCCCTCGATCTCCGTTCCAATAGACCACATAATGCGAAATCTTGAAGTGTTTCGAGCAATGTCCGCGCACGGTTCGCAACTGTCCCATTAACCCGGTGTCCCTTGCTAGTGGAAGTGAGCGAGCTCGTGCACAATCAGTTCGAGAACTCACTTGGCTTTCCTTGCTGCACTGCTCACAAACCGTTGCATATTTGTCAATTCTCAAGTTCTCCTGTCCATATTACGTGCCTATTACATATTGGCTGTGTTCATGCTACCATACTTCTTATTGACGAACACGTTGCGAAATCCCCATGAGTCTATGTTTATTCGTCTACGCGTGAAATCTCTCTGGAAACAACTCGAGCCCCACGTATTGTTCTAAACATTGATCCTTCCTTTTCCCCGTATTACCACACCCCCCCTCATCTTCAGATCTTGTGCTGCTTGGCCGGAAGATGATCGCCAGGCGTCCTGCCCAGCGCCCGCTCCCACTCGCCGCGCAGCCTCTCGAGCTCGGTCCAGCACGCCCGGCCGTCCTGCTCAAACTGCTCGCGCCTCTCGGGCGTGAGGGTGACGGCGTCCCACTTGCGGCCCTTGAGCTTGCGCTGCATGCCCGTGGCCGGCTCGGCCGCGAGGGCGTCGGCGTTCTCAATTTCCCCCTGCCACCCCCAGCCGTCGACCTCGGACATCTTGGGCTGGGCGCCGCCGCCGCCGAACGGGGCGATCGCGGACCCCCACTTGGCGAGGTGTGCGGACTGCGCGTCGAGGACGGACTGGGACTCGAGGCCGAGCCAGGCGGCCGCGCAGCCGCCGAGGTAGGTGGTGACGACGTGCCAGGGCGAGCCGAGCATGCGCGCCACGTACATGGTGAGGCGGTAGAAGAAGAAGAGGACAAAGTTGAGCGGGAAGATCGGCGTGCACACGATGCCCGGATGGGTGACGTAGAGCTTCGGCCGCACGGTCGGGTTTTTCTTGGAAGTCGTTGAGGATGAGCTTTCTGGCACTTGGAAAAATTGCCTGGTCAGAGGTTCGACCGATGGGAGGGTGGCGGTAAGTGTGATGACGTCTGTTATCCGCTTGCTGCTCTCGTACGGCGGTGTTTCTCGCTCGGCCTGAAAGTATTTGAATGACAGATGCTCGTGTTCAGCATCTATAGAGCTTGTAAAGACGATGCGGCCAGGCTCTTCCCTGACATCGTTGCGTGACAGAAGAGGCATGAGTTCGTGCGCCAAGAGGTAGTGGCCGAACGTGTTGGCTGTAAAGACTTCCGCTAGCGGTGGTGGCTCGGTCTTGGCCTCGACAGGACCCAGCAGCTTCTTGGTGTCAAGCATCACTGTGGGATAGGCCAACTTGAATGTCGGATAGGTCGTTGCTTGCGGGATGCCCCTCCGGAGAATCTGCCCAAAGAGTCCAAACCAATTTAGGCCAGACCATCCGCCAATACCGGCATTGAAGAGGGCGGCATCGAGCTTTGGAATTTTGACATCGGGAAGGACGCCCGTCGGATCGCTGATGGTTCCGTATACGAGCTGGTCGGCCGCCGTGTAGATCGAGTGTAGATCGCATAGGTCAACCTGAACGCTCAGGATGTGCACGCGGCCAATTGCATCCTCTGGATCGTAGTTGATGCCCGCATGCGCGCGAGCTTTCGGAGAAGTTGTCGCAGCACCGTGCAGGTACTCGCGCAAGGCGTAGATGGTTTCGCTAGACTTTCTGGCCGATCGGGTAGTCGGCAAGAGTATCAAGTGTGACGAGAGGGGTTTGGTAGAAAGGAAGTCGTCGATGAGTCGCTGACTGATGCCTAAGCCAACGCCGCTGTGGCCTTCGTGTCAGCAATCTTCACACAAAGGCTTGAAACGGTGCAGCATATCATGCATACCTGTTCGCACCGGTGACAAGAATGATGTGCAGGTCGCTGGGGTTTACCCCGGCCCATGGAGCTTCCGTCATCGCAATTGAGTGGTCCTTGTTTCAGGGGCTTTCCGCAAGTTGCCAGGCTACAGGAGAGGCTGTGAAAGTATACAGCAGTACCTACGCCGCGTCCTCGCGCTCCACGGCGTCGAGAATAGGTTGTGGTCGTTGTCGTGGTTGCTGACGATGTCGGAGCACCTGCAGACCCCTAAATTGAGGCGGTGAAGAAGGGCATGTGGAGCTCTGCTGGTTCTGACACTACGTAGCTTCGGTGACGTAGATCCCTAGCAAACACCAAGCCCCAGCATCGACACTTCCTAGGCACCCCAATGCCAATCGGTACTCCCCCAGTCTTCTATACTGGCAGTGCTGGCGTTTTTGTATTTTAAGGTGCCTGAGAAGGCAATCTCTCACACACCTCTCAACAGGCGTCTTGCAATGTCGGTCCTACAGGGCCGTCTGCGCACAGCTGGGAGAATCACGGACCGCCGCCATCAGCCAGGCCATCCAGAAAGCTCTCTGCTTGCTTCTCTGCCCGCTTCTTGCCGATCTGCGCACGACGCTCTTCGATGAGCTTCCTGCGCTCCTCCTTCGCAGCCTCTCGTTCTCGCCGAATTCTTTCGGTATTCTCTCTTTCCGCAGTCAGGTTGTCCTGTGCCTGCTTTCGCGCCTCTGAGTCTTGGCTGAAGTGATAGAATCCGACTCCCTTGTTTCTGATCTCGGCATGGCCATCGAAATGGGCGTCGGGCGGAGGGGTCGGGGTGCGGTCGCGCTTCGCTGCAAGGGACTCCATCTTATCGTAGGTGTTGTCGTCGGGATTGAACGCTGCAGATTGGATCGCGTCACCGTAAATGACATTCTCCGGGGCTTTGACCGGCCTTCCGGCCATGGCATCAAGGTCGGCCGCCGCCATTGCGCTGCGTGCCGATTGTCTCTGCATCTTTGCGATTTGTGCTCTTGTGGCCTGCCGTGTCCGTCCGTACTCGTCCTTGTATTCGATCAGTTCTTGAGAATCTGCGTAGCCATCGTCAGATTCATTGTCGGAGCCAGAGCTCGTGTCATCGTTGCCGCTCTTGGCGTCCTGCTTCTCGGCCCATTTGCGATCAAAGTCGACCAGAGGCGCAGCCTCGTTCTCCGCTGGGATGTAGTCGCCTCGTTTCATCGCTGCGTACAACCGCGCCTTCTCCTCCATCTTGCGCTTCGTCCTCATGAAGTCCTGCTTCTCTTCTTCTGTCCCGTGCGTGTCCTTGATCCTGATCTTCTGGCTGTCATCTTGGGCACTGTCGTTGGCTTGCGCGCCGTTTGCCTTGCCCTTCACTTTGACTTGGAACAAGGTGTCTTTCGTCTTCGAGGGTCGTGGTCGGCCTGAAGAAGATGCCGCGGGCGCCGATAACAGTGACGACATTTGTGAGGCAAACGTCAGTGACGAGGACAGCGGGACCTCGCGCTTCTGCTTCTTTGCTGGCCGCTGGCCATAGAGATTCGGATCTTGTGGCATGGTGTTTGATGTATGGCAGAAGGCATATATTGAGTTGTCCACCCATGGGTGTCACGAAGGGACTATGTTTGTAAGCTGCAGATAGCCTTTAAGCTTGCATTCGCGCTTGGGGTGCACTCTCTCGAAGCCGATGGAGATGGTTCAGGTGGGTCCAATGCCCAAAGCCAGTGGACCCTGCAACTTGCAGGCCCAAAATGCCCCCCCGCGATCGGCGTCGAAGCTCTTCGCACTCCGGCACTTAACCCCACGTTCGAATGGGATTTCTTCAAACAACTTCGCACTTCAGTCTTCACAAGCGAGCCATTCTGGTAGAAGCACATTCAGAATCGCTTCAATCGCCCCAATTGGTTCAAGGACTCAGTGCCCAGTACCAAACTCATTGAACAATGGCTGCCAAGCAGGTCAATATTGCCGTCATCGGTATGTCTATGTCACATTCTCTGGAGAGCGTGTGCTCCGCAGTCCGCAAGTTGTCTGTAGACTAATCCGCTCGTTGCCCACGTCTAGGTGCTGGTGGAGTTGGCAAGTGTTTCCTGTCCCAGCTCCAGGCATTGAGCGCCAGACGTCCGTCCCCCAAGCTTTCCCTTTGCTACATCTCGACCAGCAAGAAGGCGGTTTTCAACGATGACCACTCCCCCCTCGCCCACGACACCGTGCTCCAAGAGCTCGCTGCATCCTCAAAGCAGGCAAAGACCTTGAGCCAGGTCGCCGAGTACCTAGGTGCCGTCTCAAAGTCAACCAATGCCAAGGTCGTTCTGGTCGACAACACTAGCTCGCAAGATGTGGCCGACTTCTATCCCACTTTCCTCAAGAACTCGATCAGCATTGTTACCCCCAACAAGAAGGCTTTCTCGGGTTCATACAAGCTGTGGCAGGATATATTCAGCGCTGCTGAGAGTTCTGGCGCGAAGGTCTACCATGAGTCCTCTGTCGGAGCTGGTCTCCCGGTCATCTCCACGCTCAAGGACTTGGTCGAGACAGGAGACGAGGTAACCAAGATTGAAGGCGTCTTCAGCGGCACCATGTCTTTCCTCTTCAATTCCTTTGCGCCTGTCGAGGGCGCTGGTGGCAAGTGGTCCGCTGAGGTCAAGAAGGCGAAGGACTTGGGTTACACCGAGCCTGACCCTCGGGACGACCTGAACGGCCTCGACGTCGCGCGTAAACTAACCATCCTGGCTCGGTTGGCTGGTCTTCCGGTCGAATCTCCGACATCTTTCCCAGTCCAGAGCTTGATTCCCAAGGAGCTCGAGTCTGTGTCTAGCGGCGATGAATTCCTCCAGCGCCTTCCCGAGTTTGACTCGCAGATGGAAGAAGTCAAGGCTGCCGCCGAGCGTGAGGGCAAGGTCGTCAGATTTGTTGGCAGCATCGACATGGCATCAAAGGCGGTCAAGGTGGGCCTCGAGACCTTCGAGAAGTCTCACCCCATTGCCAGTCTGAAGGGCAGCGATAACATCATCAGCTTCTACACAAAGCGATATGGCAGCAAGCCCCTGATCATCCAAGGTGCTGGTGCTGGCGGTGAAGTCACAGCGATGGGTGTGACCGGAGATCTGAACAAGGTGATCTCACAGATCGTGTAATATAAAAATCCGATGATTTGAACGAATCTAAAGCCACCAGAGGTGATTGGTTTAGCTGTCCGGAGAAGAGCACGAAGCCAGGACAAGACCTTTAGCTCTTGCAGGTGTCAGATGCCCTCAGCGTTGTTCGAGAAGCCTGCTCGCTTTTGGGGAGGGTGATTTCTTGATGTTTTTTCAGTTTCAGGTGGATACAGCGTCTCTGATATTGATGATGCATCCGAGGCTGAGGAGGTTCTGACGTCGCAGGTGGTGGAGTTTTCCTCGGGTGATCCACGGGTTAAGCGCTTGACTGCCTTCCAGATCCACAGAAAAAAGTCGAAGATGATCAGGCCAGCAAAGGGTACGATAAGTGCGAGGGCTAAAAGTTTCTTGGGAGTGACAGCTTTGGTCAGCGGTTGTGAGGAGACGGAGCTTGCTGCCGAGGTTTCTCAACAGACCTCCTGCAAGAGGAATGCTTACAAAAATGAAGGCGATCCAGCTGATGATGGGCCAGATCATGCTGGTAAAAGTGCTACAGAGCCAGTCCATGACCATAATACACTCGCACGTAGGATCGTTCGCGTCGCTGGTAACGCGACGTCAAGATGAGGAACGTTGCCCACGGGGTTGGAATGAGGAGAAGACATCCCCTGTCTGGGGATTCTGTGCTAGTGGAGATTGCCTGCCGGGGGTCCTTTGCGGACAGACAAGCCGAAGTCCTCAGGTCGCCCTTTCCTCATCTGGACCTCTGGCGACCTGGTGTCGTGTGCTGTCATCCCAGCAGGCTCTCCGCATCGGCACATGATCTGTTGTCATCGTCTACAGAGCGGTCACTCTATTGAGCACTGAGCCGTATTATGCGCTTCCAACTACGGCTTCGTCCAAGTTGAAAGAGGCCAAAGAGGATCGGGGCACACTGTTGTCACACTAAATGATGACCTTTGAAGCCTGTTCTTGTGCCTGCTCCATCATCTCTGAGTTCTAAATAAGTGTGACTCAGTCCAGGACAACATGGCCATCACCGACGACGCAGTCGGCTCAATAGCGCCCCTCGGGTATTGGAGAAGAACCCTTGATGCAGTGCTGCCTGCCAGTGGCTGCACGCGGTCTGCGGACCCAGGAAATATAGAGCGAAGCCGGCGCTGGAGACCCCACTAGCAGCCCTGGCGCGGCCGGGGCGCCTGCCAGTTGCCCCTCCATTGCCCCTCGCAGTGTCAGTCACCCTGCAAAAAGATATGCGCCTGGAAATCGCGAGGTGACTCAAAATCTGCAGCTCGATCATTCATTCGTCTCTTCGTCGAGACATCGCCATTGAGACAGCCATCTCCGTGGTGACTCACCGAAATTGTAGATTCAGGTTGTTGCTCGGGCTTCACTGCACTTTGTAGCGACTGCCGTGGCCAAAGGTATTATCCACCACTGAACACGAACAAGCTACTCAAATCACATTCGTCCTCCCGCGGACTGGATCGAGGCCCAGCTAACTCTTCGTCTGGCTGCATAGGGACCTCACCTCCACACCAGATAACACTGCGACTCAGACGATAGAAGCAATCGCACGAGTACGCCCGTCATGTCTGCAACTGACGCTCCCGCGGCGCCGGACGCCCTGGATCCGAACAGCGCCAAGCACCCCGTCAAGATGGAGAACACTGAGAAGCGCGACACCCTCATTGCCGACGAGAAGCGATTCCAAAAGGAATGGGAAGATAGCAAGGTCTTCTACTCAAATGCGCCTGCTTCCGGCGAGGACAAAGAGCCCAAGTTCTTCGGCACGATGGCGTACCCTTACATGAACGGCACCCTTCACGCTGGCCACGCCTTCACCATGTCTAAGGTCGAGTTCATGACTGGCTTCGCCCGCATGGAGGGCAAGAGGGCCCTGTTCCCCCAGGGCTACCACTGCACCGGTATGCCTATCAAGGCTGCCGCCGACAAGCTTGCGAGAGAAGTCGAGCTCTTCGGCCCAACTTTCGAGGGTGCCCTGGCTGAGCTCTCGATCGAAGACGAGCCAGCGGCAGCCAAGGACGGTGCGGAGAAGACGGACATTGGCAAGTTCAGTGGAAGCAAGAGCAAGGCCGCGGCCAAGACTGGCAAGGTCAAGTACCAGTTTCAAGTAAGTCGTTGTCACAACCAGAGTGGTGCAGCACCGACTCTTGACTTACCAGCGCGACATAGATCATGCTGTCTCTTGGCATTCCTGTCGAGGAAATCCAGAAGTTTGCCGACCCTCTCCACTGGCTCACAGTCTTCCCCGAGAAGTGCGAAGCCGATCTCCGCGCGATCGGTGCTCGTGTCGACTGGAGACGCTCCATGGTTACAACACCAGCAAACCCCTTCTACGATGCTTTTGTCAGGTGGCAGATGAACCGCCTGAAGAGTCTCGGCAAGATCAAATTCGGCAAGAGATACACTGTGTACAGCCCGAAAGATGGCCAGGCCTGTCTCGACCACGATCGCAGTGCCGGCGAGGGTGTGACAGTCCAAGAATACGTGGCTCTGAAGATGAAGACTCTCGAGTGGGCGCCAAAGGCCAAAGAGAAAATTGGCGACAAGATCCCGGCGGACGCCAGCGTATACTTCGTCCCTGCAACACTACGGCCCGAGACGATGTACGGACAGACCTGCTGTTTCGTTGGGCCGAAGGTGCAGTACGGAATCTACAAGAATGCCAAGTCTGATGGCACGGACGAGTACTACTTCTGCAGCGACCGCTCTGCGCGCAACATGGCGTTCCAGAACATTTTCCCTGTATGGGGCGAGTTCCCTAAGGTTGTCGATCTTGTCGGCTCTGATGTCGTTGGCACGCTCGTTGATGCGCCTTTGTCTGTACACAGCAAGGGCATCCGCATCTTGCCCATGGAGACTGTCAAGCCCACAAAGGGTACCGGTGTCGTGACTTGTGTGCCATCTGACAGCCCTGATGACTATGCCACGACGATGGAGCTCCGCAAGAAGGCTGCCTATTACGGTATCGACCCCGAATGGGTCGCTAACGAGATCATCCCGATCATCAAAACCCCTACTTCCGATCTCATCGCTAAGCATCTTTATGAGACGATGAAGATTCAGTCCCCCAAGGACACAGCCAAGCTCGCCGAGGCCAAGGAGCAGGCGTACAAGGAAGGCTTCTACCAGGGTACCATGCTCATCGGCGAGCACAAGGGTCTCTCGGTTCAGGACGCCAAACCGTTGATCAAGAAACAGCTCATTGATGCCGGCTATGCTTTCAACTACGGCGAGCCGGACGGACTCGTCATCAGCAGATCTTCTGACGAATGTGTTGCCGCTTACCTGGACCAGTGGTACTTCAACTACGGCACGTCTGAGAATGGCGGTGATGGTGCTTGGTGCGGCCAAGTGTTGGAGGCGCTCAACTCGAAGAGAGTGCGCACATTCTACCCCGAAGCCAAGAACGCGTTAGAGCAGACCCTTGGTTGGTTGGCCCAGTGGGCTTGCAGCAGATCCTTCGGTCTCGGTACCAAGCTACCCTGGGATCACACCCAGCTTGTTGAGAGTTTATCGGACAGCACCATTTACATGGCATATTACACCGTTTCCCTTTTCTTGCACGGCGACATCTTTGGCCAGACCCCTGGCCTGTCGTCAAAGCCGATTTCTGCCGAGCAGATGACAGACGAGGTGTGGGACTACATTTTCTTCCGGACAGATTCCGTCAACACCGATATCCCTCAGCAAGATCTCGACGCCATGCGTCGTGAGTTCTCTTACTGGTATCCTCTGGACGTTCGTGTTTCCGGAAAGGACTTGATCAACAACCACTTGACTTTCTGTCTGTACCACCACGCTGCGCTGTTCGATGAGGCTTACTGGCCCAATGGAGTCCGTGTCAACGGTCACCTGATGTTGAACGGCGAGAAGATGTCCAAGTCGACCGGCAACTTCCTCACCCTCCAGGGTGCTGTTGAGAAGTACGGAGCCGACGCCACCAGAATCGCGCTTGCTGATGCTGGCGATGGGATCGAAGATGCCAACTTCGAGGAGACTGTTGCCAACGCCACGATCCTGAAGTTGTACGAGCTCCGGAAATGGTGCCAAGACACAATTGAGGACTCAACCTTGAGGACTGGCGAGCTCAACTTGTTTGATAAGATGTTCTCGAATGAGATGAACACCTTGGTCCTCGAGACGAAGCAGCAGTATGAGCACACATTCTTCAAGCTTGCTCTGAAGGCTGGTTACTACGACTTCACCGCTGCCCGTGATTGGTACCGTGAGGCCACAAAGGCGTCTGGTGTCGGCATGCACAAGGACCTCGTCCACCGATATGTCGAGCTGCAAGCTCTCCTGCTCACTCCTCTTGCTCCTCATTTCAGCGAGTTCCTGTACAAGGACGTCTTGAAGCACAAGGACAGTGTTCAGACTGCTCTTTTCCCGACTGTTCCCTCGCCTGATGCGCCTCTCACTGCTGCGTACGGTTACATCCGCAACGTAAGTCCAGCGCTATCCTGTCCCGAAACCCCGTTGCGGCCTACGGCTAACCCTCTGTGTAGACTACCGCCAATATCACTGCCGCGGAAGGCCAGCAGGCAAAGAAGGTAAGGGCCTTTCGTTACCAGTCCCACGACCACGACCACGAAAATACTTGCTGACTATGTAACACAGATTGCCAAGGGCAAGGCGGTCAACTTTGACCCCAAGAAGCCAAAGAGGCTTACCATCTTTGTATCAACGGCTTTCCCTGCATGGCAGGACAAGTGCGTAGAATTGGTCGCCGAGAGTTTCAAGTCCTCGGGAGCCGTGGACGTCAAGTCGATCACGGGCAAGATCGATAAGGCGCAGATGAAGAAGGCCATGCCATTCATCCAAAACCTCAAGAGGCGCCTCGAGTCTGGCGGCGAAGACGCGTCGGCCATCTTTGACCGCAAGCTCGCCTATGACGAGCTCAACACGCTCAAGGAGATGGTTCCTGGCCTCAAGCAGACTGTGCCCCGCCTTGAGTCTGTCCGCCTTGTTACAGTCGAAGAGGGCCAAAGCAGCGGCAAGATAATTGTCGGCGGTGCTCAGGGTGAGGAGACCCTGGATAACCTGCCTCCCATGGCCGCATCAGCGAACCCGGGCAACCCCACGTTCTTGTTTGAGAACATATAAACTGAAGACCTCAGGAGGTGGAAAAGGTACCATTTCATAGAATATATCCACCACGTCCGGAACAAGGATGAAGGTTGATGGCATGTAAGGAATAGAAAAAGACAGCGAACAAATCAAGAAAGTTGATATAAAAGTACTTGGGAAAAAAGCGCCGGATCCAAGGGACAATCATGGCTCAGTGTCCATCTTACAGATGGATGTTTAACCGCTGCTCTCAAATGAGGCTGGCAAAGCGCTTACACCAGAGTGATACATGCCACCCGGCTCCGGCAAGCGCTGAAGGTGAAGCAGAAAGCAGAAAGGCCAGACAGCCCCCCGCCCCCAAACAGCCTAGCCGTGACAAACCGCCCGAGGTCCTACTATATCACAACTGGCCATCAGCCCGTGGTTCAGGACGACGAGGTGTGGTCTTCGGGAGAAGAGGCGCAAAGCATATGGCGACCGTTGTCGCCGTTTATGAGAACGTACAATCTGTCATCATCACAATACTCATGTTGCGCAGAGCAGGAACGGTTGTGTAAAACACGACCAGTCCGCTCGGACAGGAAAAGCAAACAGTGAAACAAAGCCTCATGAAACCCCGTCTTAGTCACGTTGCACGAGCATGACATGCGGCAACATTGCACATATTCTTGCACAGGACGGCAGGGTTCGTGAAAGGGGCGACAAGATCTCGGATTTCATATATTTTTCATTCCAAAGAGACGCTATATCTGAAAGATCTTTGTGCTGGGATATCCGAATTAAATAGTGAGAAAGAAATCGCCAAACGCCATATTGCCATGCTGGATCCGTTCCCGTCGTCGTCGAATTGCAAACCAAATCATGCTGCGCTCTGAGTAGTCTAACCAGGCCGTCTGGGCGCTCAATTTAACCACCACATACAGCCACAATCGCTCATCTCGGTCCCTGATGATCCATCACCTGCTCGCTCGGCCAGGTATGACTCGATGACATCGCGGGCCCTTGAGGATGATTGCAGGGTGGGAAATGACTCGTTGAGGCTGATTTTGATGAGGCGTCCCTCCACGAGCACGGGAAGGGCTTCTTGGCCAGGACCCCTGATCTCAAATTGCTGGCAAAACCCCGTATCTTCAGACTTCTTTATCCGACGCTCAAGAATCTTGATAACGTTGGGGTGTGGAGGCTTGCTGCCTGATTTAGGCAGGTTGGAGTAGGCTGCGGGCTCGCTGTGGTCCGATGCACTGGAAGCATCACGGTGGAAGACGGTGGGTTGTGGAGCACTGCCACGACGCTCATTACTGGGCACCCCATAATCGCTGTTGAGATGGTTATTATCATGTGGCGGAGGCGGTGTTCCCGGAAGACCGGAAGGAGGTGAAGTCCACCAAGCGTCCCCCAGTTTGGTGGTTCGCGTGCTGCTGGTAGTGGTAGTGCGACTGCTGCTAGTGCTGCTGCTAATACTGCTGCTGCTGCTGCTACTGCTGCTGTTGTCATTGTTGCTAATCGCCTTGAGACTATTGTTCTGGGTGACGTAGATGAAGGCTTCGAAGACGGTTTGGTCCCAATAGCAAAACCACGGCTTTTCTCCGGGGGACGCGAAGGCTTTTCCTCTCGAAAAGAAGTCTCCCTGGAAGGAGCCCGACCCACGTTTCGTCGTGGTTGTGGACGGGTATAACAACTCCTCCGGGATGATTACAGTTTTCAAATACTCGGTCTTGAAAGACCAGGCCGGTCCACGATCGTCTTGGTACAAGTCCGTAACCAAGCGCAGAGTTTCGCCCTTCATCTTCGGCGGCTGCATGCCGTACGCGTAGACATAGTCGTCCATGGTAAAGCTGTCGTTGTATGAAAAGCTGATCGAATACGCCTCCGTTGCGGGTGCTTTCGGGATTTGGGTGATGTTAATGCCGAGTTGTGAGTAGATCATGTTGCAATTCCATGCTTGCGCCTGTGTGGTATTCTTGACACATTGGCTGGCTGTATTCGATAACATGAGCGGTAACCCGAAATCGCCAGTGATCAGTGGTGGTGTTCCGTCGGGTATGGAGTCGAGTGGTTCCCAATCATCTGGGTCAGCCATACTGGGCTTTGGGTCTCTGTTTATGTGCGTTAGTGCATTGGACGATGTGTGTGCAAGACAATCACGGTTCATGGCAACTCACTGGGCGGTATCGTCCAGCTTCAGTCGGGACCCAAACATGCTACCAATAACGGCACCAACGACAACACCCATCAAGACAAGGACGAGCACAGCAAGGCCTACGGCCCAGCACGGAACAACTCCCCAGACACGCTTCCGAGCAGTCTGTTTCCAACCACGAGGCGGTGCCTTTTCATCCGCAACAGCTGCTGCTGCAGTGTTGACTTCATGCTGGCTGGGTTCTGAGGCGAAGCTGCGGACAGACTGCCGGGACAGGGGCGATACAGCATCACCTAAGTCCTCGGTTGAGGAGAACTCCGGATTGCGAGTGGCTCTACCGATGCCACCAGCTCCAGGAATTGCCTGTGCAGATGTCGCCGCCTGGCTCGATGCGGGCTGTACCACAGGTGGCGTGGGCACACCCAAGCCGAGGGCTTTCCGGTGATACGCCTCGTCGGGATATCTCGAATATGGGGGGAGCTGCTCCGTATGGCCGTCTGGACCGATGAGGTCGGCAGCATCCTCACCATCTGGACCAATGCGCCTCTGATATCTGTCCATGGAACCAGGGAATCCGACGTTGGCAGGCATGGTCACTGGAGAGTGGTCCTCGGCAATGCTTGGCTCGGGAACAGTATTTTGTGGGTACATCATGTACGGGTGAGTAGGCCCCCGAGGTCCAGAGTACGACTGCTCGGAGACGGGCGCAGTCGAAGTGGTGGCCAGGCTCGCCGTCCTGGCGAGGCGGACGTTCTGGGGATACATCTGGTAGGGGTGCGAGGGGCCAGATGGTCCTTCGTAGGGGTCCTCCGGACTGATGAATGGAGAGGCAGAAACAGTTGAAACACTCGACGACCTGCTTAGCAAAGCTGAGGATGCCTCAGTACGGGCCGACGTCGACGAGCCGTCGTGTCCATTCGGGCCATCATGCCTCAGGGTCAGCGAGTCGTGGCGGCGATGGTTCTTGGCGATGCTGGAAGGGCGAGCAGCAGTCGACATGTCGACGGAAGCGGCCGGGACGGGGTGATAGTGTGAGGTGGGTGGTGCCGGCGAGGGACGATACGAGTCGGAGATGCCCATGGCGGCCAGGGCGAAATCTTCTTCATTGTCATCGATATTGAGAGATAAAGCATTGGAGGCTCTTGACGTCGAGCGCGCGGGGGCCGGGCCGGCCCCGTTGGTGCGAGAGCCTTTGTCGGCCATGTCGAAAGCCAGAACTAGACGCAAGTCGACGAGGCGGGTCGAGGAGGGCGTGCAGGAGCGGTGCTAGAGCACCAGCGGGTGGCAAGAAGACGGTCTCAAGCCACCAGAGACCATTTGGAAGCCGTGGAAAGATGATGAGTGGCGGTAAGTCAATGGCGAGCCGTACGGATTGTGGATGCGATGGTGTTGAATGGCGGCAGGTTGGGGTCCGTGGAGGAGCGGCGAGGACAACGACCAGACTGGAGGGAGTGAAGCGAGAGCCAGTTGCTGGGCACGGGCGTGGACGCGGATGGGTGGATGGGTGGGTGGGCTGTGGCCCTCCCTCTGTTCCTCTCTGCTCGCTCGTGGACGGAGCAGGGCCCCTTCTTCCCCCCGTGCAAAAGTGGGTGCGCTGCTTGGGCGGCACAGGCGGCGGTGGGCCCTGCACGACAGGGTAGCCGGAGCGGCGCCCGCTGCAGCCAAGGGGCGGCAGGAGTCCTGGCCGTGGATCGCCACCTGACCGTCTCGAGCCTGCCGGCCCGGTTGACAGTCCCTGCAGATGGGGCCGAGTGCATGTCGAGGGCTGCCAGGCCGCGGCTACAGGCCCTACATTGGCCTGCCACCTGCCAGGCTCGATTACTGGCAAGAGCGCCTTGCCCCAGGCCGGATGGTACTCCCAGGGGCTCGCCTGCATGCGCCTTCCCAGTGTCGAAACGGAGGCTGGCACCATGGTCGCTGTGCTGTGTTTCGACCTTGTTCGCCCTTGTCCACGCCTATGACGGCCGGCATGCTCGTGCACAACCTCCACGTCACAATTCACAACAAGTTGCGGCTCTTGCTAATTATTCCATGCTTCTCGTCACGTTAACAGCAGTGTTCGGCCTTGGAGATGGGACGTGACCAATAACACTGGCAGCCACAGCGTCTTATTGCGCATCTGATCAGTCCTCATGGCGAGTTCTTTCGTCTCGTCGTTGCCGCCAAATAAACACACAAACCGCCCCCAGCAAGCATGGCTTCTCACCACTCCCTCACGTTTACCTGTGCTACTTTGAGTCGCGCGCCGCCGAAGTCTAAATCCGCATCCATGCCCTTCCACGGTCCAGCCCGCACCAGCTCGCAGATCCAGTCACTGTGAGCAGGGAGGCTGTTCCGGCTGGGACACCAAAGTCTAATTAACCATCAGTCGCCCTTGGGGGCTCTCCGTCCGTTGTGACCCCGACGCTGGGGTCGCGGCCCTGCTGGCAAAAGGAGCACGAGCCTTGCCTTGATCAATTAGCAGCGCCTTATGATACGCTGTGGCCGACCACGCCAAAATCGGTTCTGACAGCTTCGCCTCCGTCTGCTTTGCCGGCTTTGCCGTGTCACACTCCAGCTTCGCTGGCTCGGCGCCCCAGTGGCTGCTACCAGAAGCCACCGCCAGCCAGGCTCATGGTGATGCCGATTTGCCGTATGGGGGACTAGACAGCTTGCCCGGTGCCCACGCCAGGAGGCTATCGACAGCGCAGCACACGACACAACAGCAGCGAGATCCGCACTGGCTACTTGGAGCTGGAAAACCTTGACCTCTCGAGGCCAGCATCCCGGCTTACCGGCCTGGCATGTCGATAGTTGATATTCGGTCTTGGCGTGGCCCTTCTGTCGTGGCACTGCCTGCCGAGCCTCCACATCGAAGCACTGAAGCAGCCAGCCCACAGCAGAGACTAACTCAATTGGCTCTTGGACGACAACAAGGGGCTGACGAGAAATGGGTTCGGCCGTGACAAAACCAAGGATGCTTGGGCTTATGATGTAAGGAGACCCATGATTGGCACCGCTTTTCCCCACCGCTTCCGGTAGGGGTATCCCCATGATGCTGGCGGTCCAGGGCTTTGCTGTTACTGACATATCCTCGCGTCTCGACCTCACGGAGACGTCCGTCAAGCATCGTTTGTGCACACGCTGCTGCTGCTGCTGCTGCTGCTGTAGCTATCCCTGCCCTTTAAGCTCATGTCTGCTGAGAACTACCGGGCGGCCAGATCGTTCTTCGTGTCCAGGTTCCGCCCCTGCACAACTCTCAAACATGTTTTGAAGTCTGATGCTCGCTGGGACCTGCCCTGCCAAGAGAGAGCGCGCACCCACAGCTCAAAGAGCGGGGCGAGGCGAGGTCCCAGTTGGTACTTGAGCGGTTGGCTGTGGTGAAACCCTCTTACGCGGCTTGCTCTGTGCTGCACAGCAACCAGGCTCGCCAGGCGCCTGTTCCTTATTCCAGACTCCAAAATACCAGGCCTACCCTGTATCCAGGCCAATGATGGGCAGTCATCGCCTGACAACGATACGATATAATACGATGCCACTGGACAGAAGGTCTAGCATTCCTGCTTTGCCGATGTGCGTTTGCGCAACAACTTATTTGGCCAGTGACAGATGCCAGTGGCTTTAGGAGAACGCGTAAAGCTCTGGCCCCGCGTCTTCCAGCAAATTGCCATGCCCAGTATTCTACCAGAATGATGCATCATTGTCCTCACCGGCATCGTGCCTTGAAGCTATTTAAGCGTATGTATTACAACATTACATCCCAACTTGGCCGTGTATGGCACCAACAACTGCCAGGTTTCTGATTAGCCTCGCAAAATAAAACAAAGAATTATGCAGGCTCACGGTCCGCGAGAATGATTCGGTGCTAACAACGTTGCTCTGGTGCATATCTGAGGCTTCCCATCAAAGTATAGCTTCCACATTGTTGTCATTGACGGAAACTTTGTTGCAACCACGGAGTGGGGAAAGTCGAACGAGACAGTGATTTACGACGACTACCTCGGACATGTCGTTTTGTGGCTACGAAGAGGATTGAGACTCTCCAACAAGCAGTCCCTGAGCGAATCGGTTTTCTGAAAATTCGACTCCCAGAGGTACGCCTCGCCTTAAGCGCGCCGCTGGCTGTTGAGAGGCACATGATCTCTAAGCGGATTTGGAATGCCTGACTCTTTCAGAATCGATCATATGAGATGTAGTGCATACACGTGTGCTCGTTCGCCGGATGCTCGGGCCTGCTCCTACTTCTTCTACCGCCAACAAAGTTTGTCAACGCCAGATGTCTTTTGCTAATGTTGCTTTCAGCTAATTCATGGGAACGAGGCCCTTTCATCTGACTTTTATCTGAGCTGCCGTCGTTCTGCCAGTGTTCCGCGCGGGTGTTGGGTTCATCTCTAAGGATGCCAATACTTCTGACCTTAGGGGCAGTTCGTGAAACACCTATAGTGTAACTTTCGATCATCTCACACAAGGATCGAAAGTAAGTTATGGATACAAATATAAGAGAAGGGCCTACGGAAGCACCGCCAAGTCTGCAATTGGCAGCCAGTGTCGAATTCAAATGATAGCCCTACGTTCGGAGACGGGTGTTGGATGGATATTGGATATGGGCCAAGGCTCTCGTTCGCAATCACAGACTCAGGATTCATTTCGGCAGAGGGGAAGAGAAAGCAAACCTTGAATAATTCAGCATGTCCAATAAAGTGATACTGACCGCGACTCAAGCGTCCCTCGGCGAAATAAGGTCGCGGAAATTCCACCCCGTCAGTGCCAGCCTATCAACACCAAACCAGACTGGATTGTCTTGTATAATATATACACCAGCCTCTCACGTCTTTATTCCTACTAAGCGCTCTTCCTAGCCAGCAAGAGGTCTGAAAGTCCTTCACGCACAGTCTCCCAGTGTGTATACCGTCAAAGGATTTACTCGCGTCTGTCGCTCTCGCAAGCAATCCACATCTCTCTGCTCATAGGCTCGGGACGAGTAGGGATCAACTCTTGATGAGCAGGGGCATTATGCGTAGGACTGTGAGGTGCAAGCACACTTGTGCCCAGAAACACGCCTGGCCGGGCAGTTTTGAAAGCATGCCCGCAGCCGAGGACGCAGCGAGACTGAGGAATTTTCTTTTGTTGCGTGCTCAGCCCCAAATTGCCAGATCATACATGTCCATAGAGGCCACTCTTTCCAGACCACAAATCACGATGTTGCAGGAATTTGTCCATGCAGTCGCCGCTAAGGTAACGACTTAAATACGCATACCGCATGGTCTCCGACTTTGGGTAATTCTAATAGCAGGGCTACTTGACCACGGATGAGGAGAGCGCAGTGTGGTTGACTGTACTGGACAAGGCAGGTCCTGCCCTGCTGCCTCCGCCCTCCACGTTTTACGATTCGGCGTGCAGTGTAAGCTGGTTCGCGGACCACTGGCTTATGGACCGGCCACGCATTATCCAGAGCATGTAAGCTTGTAACATGCTAAGGAGCGAATAGTAGCTGCCCTGTTCGGGTAGTGCTCCCACGGTGCCCCATGGAGGCCCCGGCTGGCCCGTGTGGGCAAGTCACCTTTGATTCGTGGGGATGGTTCTCGGAAGCAGGTAGGCAACATGCGGGATGGGTGGCTGACTGCTCTGTCTTGTTGCTGTGCATGCGATATCTGCATCAATTCGTATAGCAGGCTGGGAGAGGCAATGGGGCCTGCGCGAAGGAGTGTTTGGATGAGGGGTCTCATCTGATGGCTCGAGTTTGGGTCGTGTAAGTCGGACCATCTCCACGAAGTGTTCTGGCTGTCGGTCCATCTACAATACTCTCCAGAGAAGCTGACCATTCTTCATCCAGACAGACCAAATCTAGTGACACAGGGGGATACCCGAAACTTGCCGTTGGAATGGATTGCTGTCTCCACGGACGGGCAGCTGACAACCTGCCCGCACGGCAAACGCCAGCAAGGTGCATCCAAGTGGGCGATGCATGTGCATGCATGCATGCACAACGCACCACACAGCCCTCCCAACGACAATCAGCCAGCCAGCCAGCATCCACATCAGACATACACACACATAGCCCTTGGCTTTTGCCCGTGTCCTCTCTCCGCCCGGCCTGTCTGGAGGCGGCCAGCGCCTGCAGCATACTCCTCCGCAAGGCAACCAACCCCAACTCTGGATGCCTCTCCCAGATGGAGAGGCGGAGATGACGGCGCCTGCCTCTTTCTGCCTGCCTGCCTCACCGGGGCCGTAAGACGGGTGCATATCGAGGAGTGCTTCTTCTTTCCCCTCACTTGCAACAGCAGAGCCTCATCTGCCTTCCATAACCGTCGCTTGTCAACTATAACAACCACCCGCGCAACACTTCGGAGCCTCGCAGAAGAAGTGCCTTTCATTCGTGAAAGACCGCACCAGTGAACCGCGTTTGCAGGGCTTGGACACTTACATGCTCTGGCCCCCCGGTCGTCCCACTCAGCATAACGAAGGTGCTTACTATACGCCACTGGAACACCAAACAATAGTATTGCACCTCCAAGTGAAGCGAGCTCACTCTCGTTCCTTGACAAGTACGACAAGCTCGTCCGGTCAGCAAGAAAACAAGGGCTAAAGTCTTGAGTCGGCTAGCCACATTGCTTCCCCTCGCAAGAGTTGCGGCATCGGCATCGGAAGAGCCAGAGTCAACCACAAGCACCGTCACAAGTCCAGCCACGGCTAATTTGCGCCGACACCAACAAAAGGGTGAACAGCGACACTGCGTCACGGAACCCCACGATGGCTTTCAGAATGCCGCCGCACCCGAACGTGCGGTTCGCCCCTGCCGACGTCATCGACGACGACGAGCTCGACTCCCTCTCGGACGACGACTCGTCCTCCACTTCTGGCTCGAGCGACTCGTCCTCGTCCTCGTCCTCCTCATCCTCGAGCGGCTACTTCTCCATGCCCGCCAGGTCATTCTCCTCGGCCCTGTCCAACGCAAGCTACATGAGCTCGGGGTCTGAGAGCTTCGTCTACTGCGAGGACCCGACCGGCTTCTTGGGCTGGGACGGCTACTTAGGCGCCGTCACGAGGGCGGTGGACACCACGGACGACACGAGGACGCGGTTCGCCGCGCACTTCATGGCCGGGCCCTTTGCCCAGATGACCAGGAAGCAGATCAAGAGGCAGAAGAAGCGGCGAGGCAGCAGCGGCGGGCACACCACACTCGAAGCTGGCCCCATGCCTCCGCCGCCGCCAATGCAGCGCGGTTACGGCTTCTTTGGCGCCGGACTCAGGCCCGGCATGGGACCTCCGATGCCACCGTCTGGCGCGGCATATGGGCCTGGGCTGGTGCCGCCGCCTCCACGACCACCAGTGAGGCAGTTCGATCCGGTCTGGGGCACCACGCCGCAGAGGAGGATGATGCCTGAGAACGTCAAGGTTGGCGGCCCTCCACGGTCGCGTATGTCAGTCGTCTGATTCACTGTTTGAGTCTCTTTTGTGTACCTTGTACGTGGGTTTGTCTATGTAAGTTTGGGTATATCCTGTGCAGCGATTCATTTGAGATTGATTTGTGATATCCTGGGTTTCAAGTTGTCATATGATCTTGCCAATGTGATACTCTTTTTTTTATTTTTTAATAAAGGCTCTTCTTAGCCGCGACATGGCAGACTAGTCAACCAATGGAATGAGTCAAAGAATGTGATTTTCCGACTGTTCTGATAAATTGCCAGCCGTGTGGGCAGTAGCTATTCTACTTGCATGTCCTTGTGAGCGTGGCACTACATTAGGCTTGCATGATTAACTCACGTTAGCTTCATAAGAACTGTTCTCTTAGGATTTTGAGTCCTTGGTGAGTACATGATACCAAGGGGAACGAAATGTCTGACTCTCTCAGAGATCGAGGGTTGTTAGGTAGCGGGCTCGTGATTGGCCAGCCTGTACGAGAGGATACGAAGAGTCTGAGGAAGCTGACATGAAAAGCATGCCTCTGGCACAATGACGTCAGTGCTGGCCAAAAGATGGCTGAGCACTTATTCCATGGCATTGTTTCACTGCACCCATTCAGCAGAGCAGGGTCCGGACATGACCGGCAGCTGTTGCTGCAAGGAGTCCATGGGTGGCTGCAGGTGGCTGGCTACCTCTTGAACGCTGATGGTGTCGGGTGTCCCACAACTCTGCCAGCGCGCGTTGGTGGTCACGGGACTCATGCATGGCAAGCCAGCAGGGGCTATTCTGGGAGAAAACCCTACCAGCTGCCTCCTCTATCGCTCCCGGGATACACGAAGCTGCATGTGGGATTGCGAGGACTGCGTCCGCCAAGGCGACTGCCAGGCTGGGGACCAAGAAGTGCCGCGGGCGGGTTGCTGGCGCCAAGGGCCCAGGTATTAGTCACTCGGGGAGGCGTTGAATTCACATGCTCTGGGGCACTAGTGAGATTTTGAATCTCGGTTATTGCAGGACCAGGACGAGTGAATGCAGTCCAATGGACCTCCCCCGAGGATGCTGGGAAGAGGGAGCCGACGCTCAGAATATGCTGGACGTCGATAGGGTTCTAGGCATCTGGGGCAGGGGCAGGGTAGGGCAGGGCAGGCACGCCCTACAAGGCAGCGCAGCCTGGGGAGGCGCACCCAGACAGCTTGCTCCGGTACCATGTCTGGGACATGATTGGCTGTGGCGCTTGTGCCATGGCTCACGGGTGTGGGCCCTGGGCCGCCGAGCCAGGCAGCTACGGCGTGGCCTGCTGGCGGCCAGGCCCGCTATGATTCACTCCCCGTCAGCACTACACCCACTGAATGCATGCATGTGCTTGCCGTGCATCTCTGAACTGCCGTCTGCCTGCCAGGACGTCACAGAGGCGCATGTTGCCCGATCCAGGAGCTCCAACGACAGCACACAACCGTCCGCCTGCATGTCTGGTTGCCTCTTTTCCTTCTTCATATATAGTGGCCTAGATCCTCCGCATACTTTTGATATTGGATGCCATCTCCTCTTCACTTCACTCACCCAACAGTCTAGGACCTTTGCCTCTTGGGCATCCGCATCCACGAAGGACAGATCCGAGAAATCAACAACCATCAATCTGGAGGTCTGACCCCGGGTTTCAAGTAGTTCAAGACTCTCAGTACATCTTGGAGACTGCCGTTGCCGGCTTTGTTTTCTCTCACTTTTTTTCTTCTTTCCCCCGTTACATGACAAAGCCGTCTCTTTAGACTCAAGCGGACACCATCATGGCCTCTCCTCTGACATCAGCCTGTACGGGCACGATACCCAACCTTGCGACCGGAGGCATGCCCGAGCCTACCCAGGCTCCTCAGCTGGCTCTCCTCGACTTCTTCTTCCCCGGCTTCTCTGTCTTCGCAGCCGCAGTGCAGAAATACCTCAAGATCGACCTTAACCTCTACATCCCGCTGGTTCTTATGGCCGGCGCGTTGATGGCAGCCTGGAATTATATCAGCCAATTCTTGTGGGACTCGCTCGAGTCACATTTCATGTCCGTGGTCGACATTCGTACCGACGATGAGATCTACAACATTCTCATGGCCTGGGTGTCCAACCAGCGCTTTGCCCAGAAGTCACGTCGTTTCGTGGTTAACACGAACCTCAACTCCCGTTCGTGGTTCCTCTTCCGCTGGGACGAGGAGGAGGAGGAGGAGGAATACGAGCATGGCGGTCAGACTTCCGACCTTAAGAAGAAGAAGAAGGCTCTCAACTATACCCCTTCTTTCGGAAGCCACGTGTTCTTCTACAAGCGCAATCTGCTCATTTTCCGCAGGACGTCCAACCGGGAGACTGGTGGGTACATGATGGTCAGCGAGAAGGAGGAAATCTCCATCTCCTGCTTCGGCCGTAACCCTGCCATCCTCAAGGAGCTTCTCCTTGAGGCCCGTGAGCAGTACATGGAGCGCGACGAGAAGAAGACCCTCATCTACCGTGGCACCACCCGTGCTGGCTCCACCGAGCCAACTTGGCAGCGATGCATGGCTCGTGCCAGTAGACCTTTCTCCACGGTCATCCTCAATGAGAAGACGAAGCAAGATCTCATTGACGATGTCACGGATTATCTCAATCCGGCCACCCAGAGATGGTATGCCAACCGGGGTATTCCTTATCGCCGAGGCTACCTACTCTGGGGCCCTCCCGGCACAGGCAAGAGTTCTTTGAGCCTTGCCCTGGCCGGGTTCTTCAAGATGCGCATTTACATTGTCAGTTTGAGCTCGGTGTCCGCGACCGAGGAGAATCTGGCTACGCTATTTGCTGAGCTGCCTCGGCGTTGCGTTGTACTTCTTGAGGACATAGACTCTGCTGGTCTCACGCACACGCGTGAACAACAGGGAGTCCCTCAGCCTGCCGAGGCCGAAAAGTCGGACAAGGACGACATGGTCCCTGGACAGCTGACCACCGGCACGGGCCCTACCAACAACAGCACCGGCCGTCTCTCTCTCTCCGGCCTGCTCAACATCCTCGATGGTGTGGCCTCCCAGGAGGGCCGTGTCCTTATCATGACAACGAACCACCTCGAGAAGTTGGACAAGGCGTTGATCCGCCCTGGCCGCGTAGACATGACTGTCGAGTTCGGCCTCGCAGACAGGGGCATGATTGCTGCCATCTTCCGCGCCATCTTTGCGCCCTTGGAGGGCGACGACGGCCCGGCACCGCTCGACCACCTCGGCCTCGACGCGAGCGGCAAGCAGGCCTATCTCGACAAGAAGCAGGTGGAGAAGCAGGAGAAGGAGCAGCTCGTGGACGAGCTCGCCGACAAGTTCTCGGAAAAGGTACCCGCGTTCGAGTTTAGCCCCGCCGAGCTCCAGGGTTTCCTGATGCGGCACAAGAGGGACGCTCGCGCTGCCATAGACAACGTCGAGGAGTTTATCGAGCAGACGAGGAAGGACCGCAAGGAGAAGGAGCTCAAGGCTGCTGAAGATAAGAGGAAAGCCGAGGAGGAGGCAGCGAAGAAGAAGAAGAAGGACGAGGAGGAGGAGGCACAGAAGAAAAAGGAACAGGAAGAGAAGGAGCAGAAGGAGAAGAGCGAAAAGGACAAGGCGGGGAAAGAACAGACCGCCGACAAGAAGGACGAAGCTAAGAAGGGGAACGAGGAGGACAAGACGTCCGCGTCAACGACAGACAAGACGGAAGACAAGAAGGAGGCGGAGGCCTCTGACTTGCTCAAGCCGGTGGTTTCGTCGGGCCACAAGAGGACAGACTCGGGATATGTGACTCCTGACAGCGAGTGAGCCGGAGTGGTGGGCATACTATGGGTTTTGTCATTTTTACAGCAATTGCATCAGCATGGCGTTTGGGGCCTGATATTAGAGCACACGAGTCGGTTTTGGGGCATGATACTTTTAGCAGATGACTACTGGTACACTGGCTGTTTGCTTACATTCGAAGCTGCCTGCCATGGTGTGAAACGAGACAAGTCTTTTCTTGCTCAGACCACAATATGGATAGCAGCAATAAGCATATAATGTTTTGCATGACAGCATGCAGAAACATTTTTTTGTTCTTGTGAGGAGAGGACGGCCGTTGAGCAAATCCATTTGTGACTCGCAAGGCTGTAGTTCCCGTCTCATTTGCAGAACGCTTCGGTCCATCAGGGGACCCAACCTGGCGGTGACGCCACGACAAGAAACAAAATGCTGGCTGGCCCTGGAGCCCTCATCCACTTTTTGCACGACCACCTGAGACTTGCTTGCACCCATAACTGTGATCCGCAAACGAGACGTTGAGATGCCCACAGGACCCTCCTCATGGGACGAGGCTGTGCAGCAAGACCCAAGACCCAAGGCGTGAAGGTGACGCGGCCGGCCTGGCACGGAGTCCATGCCAGATTGAGACATTGATGATATTCCGTTGGATGAGACAGCAAAGCAACAGTGGCAGCACTCGCACTTGCACACCTGCCTGAAGGATCGACCACTCCGATGTGGAGAGAGAGAGAGGGAGAGAGAGTGCGCGCGGGATTCCCACCACGGGACTCTTATCACGGCATTCAGGACGCAGTTCAAGGTGCAGTGGGACTGCAGGGGGTGCTTGCAAGATTCGCACTGGCAGGCTGTTATACGAAATACAGGCAGGCAGTACCCATTGAAAAAGTCAGACACTGTTTCCTGGTTTGTGAAACCTCGCACAAGCGTCGTGAGGCTTTTGCTGCAGGAGGGGAACTGAGAAGGTTTGGTGGCGGCAGGGCAGGGGTTAGCCGGAGGGTTTGATGGTCCGCCGTTGTTGTTTGTTTGGTGTTTGGGGAAATGTTCCGGTCGTTGTGTTTTGGGGTAACGTTCCGGTCGTTGTTTGGGGAAATGCTCCGGTGGTTGGTTCCGCTGACCATGACGCTTGCTATCCGACCATTGACAAGAGGCAATGAAAACCAGACCTGCCTGGTGATGAGCCAGCCTGGTGTGGTGTGAAACTTGTAGGTACTATGTACTGGTGCGGCATTGTGCAAATAACAAAACCGCCAAGTATCTCCATTCTTGACGGCTGTTGCTCAACTGTCTTAGTGAGGTGGAGAGCCGCTCTGGCGAAAGCGGACTAGTCCCCGTGCCAAAGATGACATGGGTGGACAACTTGGACTGATTGATAACGGGATTTGGGGTTATAGCACCCATCTCGTTTGGACGTGATTGCCGACTGGGCCTCGCCGTTCGGTCATCGTTCCCGGGGACGGGCTTAGGCACAGCCACGGTCGGGATTCGCCAAATGCAGACGATGACGAGTCTGGAGGAGCTCGAGCAACGACGGAGACATGGTCTACCGGAGCGCTTTGTGGATCTGATCGCTTAGTATGCTTGCTCACCGTGACGTCCAGTCATCCCTCCAACCTTGGGAGGCCAGGGCTCGCTTGTCTGAATCCCGTAAGGGACAGAGTTATCGTTGCCTTGCTGTGACTGGGTGAAGACAGAGAGAGACCCTGTTTGACTTTGCCCGGTCCGACTAAGCTCAGGAGTCTCGAGCTGATGTCGTATGATCAAGGCTTTTGGCTCTGCTTGAAGGACCTTTTCGCAGTCGAAATTTCTGGGATCTTGCCTGTCGACATTGCGGAGATACGACGGATGTTGGCGGATGTTTGTTGCTGGCGGCGGCTGGAGATTGGATGGGCCACACAAACCGTGGGGCGCAGTGGAACAGCGAAGGAACCACCCCAGACAGACAGGCATGACCTGGAATTGACACTGCTTGCACGCTAGCCGCAACAGGGCTAGCATCGAGGGCAACGATAAGATGCAACGTCCAGGCCTCCCTGCAGGACACAGGCTCGACTCGACTCGATGAGGGAAACATTTGCGTGCCCCGCCAGGGCCTGCTGTTCTGTGAACCACCAAACGTACGTCCAAGGTCCGTCCGTCTGCGAGGCAGGAGGCCTGCAGGCGGGTGACGATGCTGCTGCTGCTCAGCCACGACGTCTCAGGTCGTCCCGGCACCATGGCATGACAGTCTTTGCTGCCTGGTGCTCCCCCGGTCACCGTATCACGATCCCCAAGATGATGTCGTTGATCGCCTCGAGGCGCTAACACCGCGAGCGGGCTAGTGGCGTCGTTCAGAGACCTGGCGGCGGCAGTTAGTCCCTGAGCGGCCCCCTTTTCCAGGCGGATGGGCTCACTGTCCTGCTCAGAACCGCCCGGGTGCCCTTGTGCTTGCCGGACGAACAAGGTCTTCGCGTAGGACACAAGCATTCGGCCGTCCGTCTGGCTGCTAGTAGCAGAGCTGTCATTGCGAAAGTGGCCCGTGGTCTGGAGTGGCATGTATAAGAGCCTGGGAGGCGACGTCGTGGGTTTCCCTGCAATGAGCCTCTACATCGCCACCCACCTCGCCATATTCGAACAAGCCCGCATCCCAAGCAAGGTACGCTACTTAAGATCCGATTGTTGAGCAGCCCGCGGCTCCCTGCAGCGCCTCAGGAGCAAACCTTAGTCCCCAGGACGGCAGAAGTCACCCTACCCACCTTGGACATCGAACTTTGCCTTTCTTAATATTGCCTCGCGGCCGCCGCACGCCGCACGCCAGAGTGGATGCGTGTCGGCACCCTGGTGGAAAGTGCTGTGCGCGCGTGCTTGCCTTGCTTGCCCCTTTCTGTTCCTGGTTCTCCCACCAACTTATCCACCAGCCCAGCCCAGTGATACGCACCGCCAGCCCACTGCCTCTGTCAACACACTCACGGTCTCTTCTGCTCTTGCTAATCCTGTAACCAGCTGTCCACCGCCGTCGTCCTCTTGAGCCGTCTCGTGACGATCGCCTAGTTGCTGCATCCTCACGCTGTGCCACCGAGGTCAGTTTCCTCTGCTGCTCCCCCCGTCTGGCGCCATACGTTTATTCCCAGTGCCTGGCCTTCACGTGCAGATCGCGCCCCCACCCCCCTGGCGGGACGGGTGCCCCTCGCCCGCTGCCATGCCGGCGACCCTGAACCTGCAGGAGGGCGGGCGCTGACTGGTGTCTGGCAGCGAGTGTGTCCGCGTGCCGCCGCTGCATTGTCCCGCAAGGGTCTAATAAACTAACAGGCGGTGAAAACGCATGGCCTGCCCCGTCCTCTCGCATTTCCTGCTAACCCGCCGCGTCTTCTTCTTCCACTCCTCTAGTCTCTCCATTCCTTCCCACTCGCCTCCTGCCTCTCATTCCCAGTCCATAACATCGCAACAATGGCTTCTCGCCCTCAAAACATTGGCATCAAGGCTATCAGCCTGTACTTCCCCAGCCAGGTACGTGAGCCGGCGTGGTCGCCCGCGAGCCCCTCCGTCTGCTGTAGCTGTGCCTGCCCCTCGCCCTCCGAAATCGCAGTCCCCTGCTGTTTTTTGCTGCACACCCCGCCTCTTGGCCAGAAAAAGGCACAAGACAAAAAGCAATGCACATATCACCTCCTATCTATAAGGAGCACAGCGGCACGAGAGCAGCATGGTGGAAGCTTTTTGAGACCGTGTTGCTGACATGGGAGTTTTCTGTCGCGTGTAGTACATCACCCAGAGCGACCTCGAGGTCCACGATGGCGTCTCCACTGGCAAGTACACCATCGGTCTCGGTCAGACCAAGATGACCTTCTGCGACGATCGCGAGGGTAAGTTTGGACTATTCCCCCACTGCTCCTCAGTGCCGCACCCAAGGGTTGCAAGAGAATGCACCGAGGACATGCTACCAGAAACTAACGAGCCATGCTTCCCTGCAACAGACATCTACTCCTTCGCCCTCACCGCCGTTTCTTCCCTCCTGAAGGACTACAAGATCGACAAGAACTCGATCGGTCGCCTTGAGGTCGGTACCGAGACCATCCTCGACAAGTCCAAGTCCGTCAAGACTGTCCTCATGCAGCTCTTTGGCGAGAACACCAACATTGAGGGTGTCGACACCATCAACGCTTGCTACGGTGGCACCAACGCCCTGTTCAACTCCGTCAACTGGGTCGAGTCATCGGCTTGGGATGGCCGCGACGCCATCGTCGTCGCTGGCGACATTGCCCTCTATGCCAAGGGCAATGCCCGCCCCACCGGCGGTGCTGGCTGTGTTGCCATGCTCGTCGGCCCCAACGCCCCTGTCCGCATCGAGCCCGGCTTGCGTGGTACCTACATGGCCCACGTCTACGACTTCTACAAGCCCGACTTCACGAGCGAGTACCCTTACGTCGATGGCCACTACTCGGTCAACTGCTACATGGAGGCTCTTGACGCGGCCTACCGCGACTACTGCCGCCGTGAGGCCAAGCTTTCCCAGAACGGCCATGTCAATGGCACATCGGACAGCACCAAGACTCCCCTGGACCGCTTCGACTACCTGTGCTTCCACTCGCCGACCTGCAAGGTCGTCCAGAAGTCGTACGCTCGTCTTCTGTACCACGACTACCTCGCCAACCCCGAGGACCCTGCCTTTGCCGAGGTTCCAGGTGACATCCGTGACATGGACTACAAGAAGTCCCTGACTGACAAGGTCGTCGAGAAGACCTTCATGAACCTCACCAAGAAGCGCTTCGCCGAGCGTGTTGGCCCTGCGATCCAGGTCGCCACCAACTGTGGCAACATGTACTGCGGCAGTGTTTGGAGTGGTCTGGCCAGCTTGCTCGCCCACGTCGGCAGCGCAGGTCTGCAGGGCAAGCGCGTTGGCCTGTTCAGCTACGGCTCTGGTCTTGCTGCCAGTTTCCTGTCCTTCCGCGTCGAGGGTGATGTTGAGGAGATGGTCAAGAACCTCAACATTCCTGCCAGACTCGAGGCCAGACGCCAGGTCGCGCCTAGCGTCTACGAGGACGTAAGTTATGGCCTTCACAATGAGCACGAATCTAGTCGAGTCTTGAATACTGACATTTCATCCGCACAGTTCTGCGCGCTTCGCCACGATGCCCACCTTCAGAAGGGCTTCTCTCCCAAGGGTGACGTCTCCACCATCGCCCCCGGCACCTACTACCTGGAGAAGGTCGATGACATGTTCCAGCGCTCCTACCTCATCAAGGAGTAAGCGTACCTGTCTGCGACGCATATGCTGGCGACGCGGATGCCTTTAAGGGCGTCCGTGGTCTGAACCAGAACGGCCGTTTTGGCGCCCGTGCTCCATTGTCCTGGGGACAACGTACGGGTTCAAACGGGATTATGACACCTCGTTATATACTAATATGGGCGTTGGGACGCCCAACTAGAGAGAAGGGCGTGTGAGGGTGGAGCATCCACTAATAATCGCGGGCTGTGGTTCAGAATAGAAGTTGTTCCCTTGATGGAACGACCACATCCCCAAGCTCGCGCTGTGTGTGGGTTTTTGTATATACAAGGAGCTCCCCCTCAACTGTTTGTGATTTGGGGAAAGCAGGGCCGTATATCATGGTCCTGATACGGAAATAGACTCTGTTCAGAATATGCCTCCTTGAGACCAGCGGCGTCTGTGTGCATAGCCAAAATGTTCGCACTGCCTCTGGTTGAGACCATTGATCCATCAAGCATCTGGCACCTGGAACGTGAAATGTTTTGTTTTTTCTAGCAGCATCACGCTTTTTATCTATTGAACCGTCATACTCGATCTAGTCTACAAGTCTGTTCTACATGGGCATTCGTCCTACGCCCTCAAAACCGGAAATTCGTCGCAGGCGGGACAATCTCATCACGTCTGCTTGGCCTTGTGCCCTGCGATGGCCTTGCGGCTCTGCAAGACAACCATGTGCTCCTTGGCCTTGTGATCCCACTTCCACGTGGCATTGCGGTGGAGCATGTAGTCGCGCGACTTGATGCCCTTCCAGATGCCCCAGACGCCGCCGACGGGCCACTTTGCCTTGAGCCAGGGCTTCCAGCCCGACTCCTTGCGCGGGTTGATCTTGACCTTGACCTTGTCGTAGACGCTGGGCAGGCTGGCCGCGCGGTACTTTGCGCGCAGGGCGTCGTACCAGGCCCGGGGCCCGTAGACGCGCCAGAACTCGGCCTCGCTGTAGTACGTGTGCGCGTAGAACCACTTGGTGCCGCCCAGCTCGGCGACCTTGTCCTCGATGCTGCGGTTCGCCTGGACGAAGGCGTCCGGGTCCGAGGGGCCCCAGCCCCAGAGGCCGACGTTGAGCATCTCGCCCGTCTGGCCCTGCGGGGTGGCGCGGGCGCCGCGCAGGTGCGGGTGAAAGGTCCCCGGCCCGGCGGGCGTTTTGAGCGGGCACAGCCACAAGGGCCAGATGCCGAGCTTGTCCGAGGTGTAGTCGATGAACTGCTCCGCCGTGTCGTAGGGGATGCCGAGGTCCTGCACGACGAAGCGCCCGCTCTCGCCCGAGGCGTGCAGCGCGCGGTACAGCATGCGCGTGTGCAGGAAGTCGTCGAGGAACCACCGGAAGAAGCGCGTGAAGGGGACCGGGCGGAAGTACTTGAACGCCGCCGCGCCGACCCAGAAGCCGCCGCGGTCGTAGCGGAAGAGGTACTCGGCCAGGGGAACGTATTCTGTCACGGACCCCTGGGCGAGAAGCTGCTGTGAGGAGGAGGACGACGAAGAGGAGGTGGCTGCCATGGATGAAGGGAGCGCCTTTGTCCGCTCCTGAACGTGCATGTAGAACCAAGGGTCCCAGGCTCCGCTAAAGGTCTGAACCTTTTCGGACGGCGAAGGCAGCTCATCGGTCATCTGGCCGGTCACGACGACGCCGTGGTCCTTGGAGTACAGGATGCCGTCGACGTAGTCGTTGTCCTTGTTGGCGCACTCCTCCTTGACGGCAGCGATGGCCTCGGCCACGCTGCTGGTCCTGCGGTACGTGGTGCGGACATAGCGCTTGGCGTCGATGAGACGCAGCTGAAGCAGGGTCGTGACGCCCAGTGTGCCGACGGAGCCCGCAGCGCCCTTGAACAGGTCCTGATAAGGATGGCCGTCGTCGGGCTTGGCCTCGATGATCTGGCCGTCCGGCAGGACCATCTCGACAGAGAGGACGTTGTCGTCAAAGTAGCCGTGGCGGAAGCTGGAGCTCTCGCCCGCGGTGCCCGCATAGCCGCCACCAGCAGTGATTCCTGGGAACTCCATGACGACCGGGGGCACGAGGCCGTACTTGAGCGTGTGCTCGACGAGGCGGTCCATGGGGACATTGGGCTCAACAAAGGCGACACGGTTGGCCGTATTGACCTCGAGGACATTGGACAGGGCGCTGATGTCGACGAAGCGGGCACCGGACTTGAGGTGGGATGGCCGGGTCGAGTTTGTGCTGCCGTGAAAGATGCGGTATGGCTCGGAGCGCTCAAAGAAGGAGCGCACCGTCGAGGAGATGAGCCTGACAGCCTGCGTGTGACGCTCCATCTTTGGCACAATAGGACACACAAAGACAACGAGGGTCAAGGTTGTCGAGGCGGCTGTCCTTGATATTGGTGGCCCCGTGGTGACGTCGCAGATGCGAACGTGGTTGCCAGCCAAAGTCTCAAAGGTCAGACAAGTGAGTGAGCAGGGCGCGGTTGACAAGAATGGCAAGCACTGGGTGTACTGTACTTTTGTGTGGGTCCCACCTCTCCTCCCCGATCCCGTCCCTGGCGACCAGGGCCCTGGTTCGCAATCCACCGAAGCAACCTAGTGTAAGCCTTGAGAGTATTGCTCACGACGGAATGGCCACTCTTCCGTCTCGGACGGGCATGTCAGCAAACATTTGTGTAGTTTCAGCATGGGCCATGGCCGGTGTTGGGACATACCGCCGCCCAAGGATAAGAAACTCGCGTCAGAGTCTGGACGGCACGGCGTGTCGTTCACTGGCACATAAACACTTAGGCGGCCCCTCTGCTGCTGCGTCGACGCACGTCCACATCATTGAAAACTTCATCCTTCAATGTCTTCTGTATTATTTGCATGATGGCGCTACAGCTTCGCCAGTGCCTCAGGCAATGGGGGTGCCTCCTTCCCAAGACAGTCATACGCCAGTTTCTGCACGTCGGCATCCGAGTATGGCGTCAGCTTGTCCACCTCGATCGCGACTTCGGCAAGCGTCCTGGCCTTGATCGTCGTGAAGCTCGACTCGATCTTCTCCGGCTCTTCGGTCGTCTTGACGATAAACTGCGACCAGCCCTCCATGCACCGCCTCGCCTCCTTGATGTGGCCCAGCAGCATCGCAAACACGTGCGGCATCGCCTCGTATTCCTCCATCACGACTTGAACCCCATCCCTCTTCAGCTTCGCGGCGAGATACCGGTCTTCGTCCGCCAGACACTCCCACCCGGTGCACATGTAAATCGGCGGCGACTCTTTCCACGTCGCATTCAGCTGCAGGCTTACGAGCGGGTGCAGCATGTATGCATCGTCCACGTACAAATGCTTCCGCGGAGGTGTCGCGGGCCAGGCGTGGTCGGGTGGTGGCTGTTTAGATTCGAGCATCCGCGCTGGTGGAAGGTAGTCCCACTGCGAGTTCCGATCCCACGAGGGCATGCTCTGGACTATGCAGAGCCATGGCGAGTTTACGGCGACGCCTCCCGGTAATGGTACACTGCGGAGCTCTCCAAACCAGGTAATCTGTCGGTTCTGTCGTCGTAATTCGAGGACAGTCTGCAGCAGAGCCAGACTCAAATTGCCGCCGGCGCTACAGCTCGAGTTAGTTCATGGGCTAAATCAGATATCCAACCATCTTTGGACTCGGCAGCTCACCTGTCTCCAGCAAAGACAATATCCGAAGGAGAAACTGGTTCATGTACTGCACCTGGTGGAGGGTACAGCAGGGTCAAGTATGATATCAGCGCGTCCAACACGGCTGCTGGAAACGGGTTCTGAGGCGCCAGGCGATATCGCACAGAGTAGACACGGCCTCCAGTCAGCTTCGCCAGCTTCTTATTGCTTTGCCGATGTGTCGCCGGATCGCAGAGGTAGTAGGCGCCACCGTGGAAGTAAAGGACTGTGCTCTTCCGCTTGCACTCCTTCATCATCTCGTGGTACTTTTCAGTCTCGGAAATCATCGGGAGGGGGTCGTCCGGACCGGCACCGGCGCGATAGCCGGTCCATTCTGCCTCTACCGGCTCGATGGCTGGCTCTCTCAGCGCCTCACCACTCGACCTCGGCTCTTTCATGGCTTCCACGGCACCCATCAGGGCGTCTCGGACATCGTTCTCTGGCGGCACGTCTGCGACGACTTTGCTGATCCATATCCGGCCTTTGATTCCGGGGTCTTTGAGTGTCATTGCCTGCACCTTTCCGATTGGTCGTGGTGTCGACCGCGTCAATATGGAGCGCATTACTGAGAGGAGGACATCACTGCGGACGTCGAGATACTGTGACGACTCGGACAGCCCTAGCAAGTTGGCGAGAACCACTCTGAGCATTAAAGGCAGTTTGGGGATCAGCTGCAAGGCCAGCCGAAGATTGTTGGCCTCCATACATTCAGGGGCCCTGTCCAATCCAGCTGGTCTATACTGTTGTCACTAGTCCTGTTAGCTGTGGCAATAAGGGATCGATTCATCCCCTGAGTTATTCCAACTTACATGAGTGTGGCAGGAGATGAGTCCGTGATGCCTAGCAAGAACAGAGAGTGCAGCAGTTGCGAGGTGCAGTCAAGGCTTTCTTTGGGAAGGTTTCCAAGAGGGCACAGGGAAGTGATGACGACAGTGGATCATTGACGGGCTGAACGACGAACCCGAGAGAGGACGTAAGGGATGGGCCCTGGGTCCTGGGTCATGCCGTCTTTTTAAGACGTGGCTGGCGAAGACAAAGCGTGGCGAGAGTCCTGCCGGCGCCATGGCAGGTTGCCACGAGGACCTGCCAGCTCGAAAGGGTGCCCAGCGCGAGAAGCCACGACAAGAGCACCGCATTCGACATGCATGACCCTTGGAGTGGGACGTCGGTGGTGTGAGAGAGCCCGGAGCCCGGGAGGCGCCACACCACCCTCAGCAAGCCGGCGGCAAATCTTGCAGCCGCAGGCTCGCAAGCCGAGGCATCTCTGCTGCTTTTCAACCTATGTCGCCGGCGCACGCCCTCCGACTCTGATCAGTGCTCGCAATGCCGAGTCGGCCGGCTGCAGCACTCCCAACCTTGGGAAGCTGTCGAACATTTGACCAGTTCACCATCGTTGTATATACGACAGCCGGGCCACTTGTTGTAACCTCCCAACAAGATGCGGATCCTCGTCCCAAGGCGCGTTCGTTTGTTTCTTTTTCTTCCTCTTTTTCTCCGAGGCCCTGAAAGTATGCTGCTGGGATGTCCCTGGCCTGGAACAATCGAGGATCCCTAATTCTCGTCTCGGAGGGCTGGGCGGTCAGCCCTGGCTGCTGCTTGCCAAGACGATGCCCAACCGCCTGGCAAATCGCATCTCTTTGCTGGGACTCTAGCTTGACAGCTAGCTACAGGACCCCTGGATGCAGCAAATCAAAGCTGATACACGACCCCAGATTCCTGCTTCCATGTACAGTCGAGACGCGGCAAGGTTGCCAGCACGCAACGCTTCTGATTAGATGTAGCTCGGCACGCTCCGTCCTGGTTCAGCAGACTCTGGCTCCCGAGCTCCACTACAACGTCAGCAGCCAAGTCTTCAGCCGCGAATTTCCACAGGAGTCTTTTTTCCCTCCTTCTGCCAACGAGTTTCTCGAGAGAGAGAGAGGTATTCACAAAGGGTCATGACTACAGCTCTGGGTGGAACAGCTCGTAGATAAGTCGGTGCACTATACAATCAATGCAAGTCCACGCAGTGCCAGTGCCAGTGCCACGTGTATCATCTACAGACTTGGCCGCCCGCTGCAAGCACGTCTTTTACCATTCGCTGGGGGCCCGCCAGCGCCGTCGACACAAAGTCGCAAGGCTGTCTCGAATAGGCTAGGTCGAGATCCATCGTCAACTGAAGCTCGATCGATTCAAGGTTCTGGAAACAGGCCCCCCCTCCCCGGCCCCTTATCCCCCGTGCCTCAGAACACAGTACTGTGGCATCTCTTCTTCCCTGGGGCCTGACCTCCTTAAAGTACCTAGTAATGCGGGAGCCCCTTGCCTTTTTTTTTTTCCTCCTTTTCTGCAAGACGTTGTGCTGGCGGGACATTTCTGAATCTTCTGCGTTCCAGGATGATGATGATGATAATGCACAAAAATGAAGTTCCCGATGTACGTTCCAATGGTGAGACGGAGACCGGACGGGCCTGCAACAAGGACACACAGACACACAGACACACACAGACACACATCACGGGTGCTCGATGTCGGGCCACGTTCCAATTTTGTGACTCGTCACCGGGGAATTTCACCCCCAGGCGTAATCAGGACTGCTGCGGCCCTGTTAAGTCTGTTCATTAATCCGTCATTGGTGAACAACAACAATAACAGTCCCGTGCCTTATATTCTCTGGAGAAGGCTAAGCCTGTAGTAGTAGAACTACCTCGCTCCATCGCTGGACAGCGGGTGTCGGCCCATCTACACTTCCTTATGTCAAGGCGCACTGTAGAGCAATTGCGCGTAGAGGTCCGGGACACCCCTCGAGATACGACACTGTGGGAGTGTGCGGCATGCATCAGCACGACTTTGTATGTGCTGCATGCATGCAGAGCGTCGCTTGTGTGTGATTACTATAGATGAGAAACCCGTATGCGTCTTCCATTCTTATTTTTTTTTGTACATCATTGGAATTTAGGTATAATACTCTCTGGCTTGGTTTGGTACTTTACACACATGAACGAGAAAATATTGCTGCTGCTATGTCGACCCCCCCCCCCCCCCCCCTTTCCCACACAAAAAGCATCCCATGCTTCACGATAATGATTGCTATTGTAGACAGGAGGAAGATGATCGTTGCCGATACTTTGACAGCCACGAGGTTGTGGTTGCGCGGGGTGTGTGTGTGTGTGTGTGTTGCACTTATTAATGTTTGACGCAAGAGCCCCCTTCAACAAAGGTTGAAAGATGTCTTTTGCGACGCGGTTTTTGCTTAGGAGCTGCTGCCAGCGGCAGTCTGGTCGGACGAGGACGGGCCCTTGGACGCGGCGAGCTGCCACGCGGGGATGGAGGCCTTGCCGCCGGGCATGCCGCTGCCGAAGGGGCTCGAGCGGCCACCGAGCGACGAGATGTAGTCAGCCTTGCTGGCCGGGGCAGCAGTGGTGGCGGCGGGAGTGGTGGCAGTGGATGTCTCGCCGTTCTCCTTGGCCGGAGTGGGCGTCGCAGGGGTCGATGCGTTGTTATTGGTGTTGTTGTTGGCCGTCGAAGGTCGGAGGGTACTGCTGGTGCCGTTGGCAGTGGCAGTGGCGGTCGAGGCACCGTAGGGAAGGGTCGCTGGAGCAGCAGCAGCGGGAGCTGGCGCGCTCATGCGCTGGCTGATTAGTGACTTGAGACTCTTTACTTCGTCGCTGATCTCGCGGAGGCGTCGGTCGCTGTGCTCCTTCTGGGCGGTCATGGACTTGGGGATCAAGCCCTGCAGCGACTTCATCTCCTCGCGCAAGCGGTCCGTCTCGTCCTCTTGCCGCCGGCTCGCCGAGCGCGTGTCCTTGATGAAACTCTCGAGATCCTCGAGGACCTTGTCGAGCTTCTCTGTACGCTCCTGCTCCGACGCCTTGAGCGCTTCCGTGTCCTTCGACAGCTGCTCGATCGTCGCAAAGGCCTTCTCAAACTGCTCGTCCACCGTCGCCTTGTCCTGCTCGAGCTTCTCTGGCGTAGGCGGAGCCACGAGTGGGTATATATATCGCTGTTTGCACGAGACGGTTTGTTAGTTCTTGATGTCCTGTTTGTGGCCACGTGCGTTCGTGTGCTGAAAAGGAGAAGCATACCTTGGTGATGGCATAGAGGCCGTATGAGACTCCACCAACGACGGTCGCCATGATGAACAGGTCGCGCCAGTCCCTTCTCGGGGGCTCTGGCGGAGGGGCCTGCGGCCACGCGCCATAAGGCTGTTGCGGCGGATACTGCGGTGGCGGGTAGTATGCTGGCTGTGCTGGGCCTACGGCCTGGGGGGAAGGCATAGGCGGAGCACCAACGGACTGGCCGGAGCGCGCGAAAGAGGCATCAATCTCGTCCTGCGTCAGGTTCTTTGAGCGCAAGAAGGAGATCTTGTTCTCGACCGAGGAGCCGACCACGTTGGGATCCTGGAGGAAGGTGATAGCCGACGCCACGATATCCTCGCGGATCGCCATGGCGGCGAGGCGTGTGCGTGCGCGCGCACAAGGGCGACGATCGATGCGTGGGTGGGTTGGTGGTGCCGTCCGCGGTTGCGAAACACAGGAGATGGACGCTCTCTGGTGATGCTGGTGATGGGGATGAAGGTGTGGTGCGGTGTGGTGTGGTGATGCCGCGTGGAGGAGATGATGATGGTTTGCCGAGCTGCTTTCGGTGGTGGATGGTGCTCGCGACGGGCCTGTAAAAGCAGGGGGCCGGGCTGGGCCGAGGCTCAAGGGCGGCTGAGGCAACGGACCTCGCCTCGCAGCACCAGCAACTCAGAGCGCGGGGACTCCACGTCTTGGACCCCCGGACCGGCACGAGTCGCGCCCGCACAACACAAGGACCCTGTTCTTTGACACCAACTACCGATGAATGCTTCTGTGGCTTCGAACCATGGGCCCTGCCTGTCCTTTCTTTCACCTTGCACCAGAGTCATCCTGGTCCCTGGCACTCTTACCTCCATGTGGCTAACATGAGAGCATCTCAGCCTTCTTCGCTCAGATATCATCCAATGCACATGTGACTTGGAATCACTCTACTGACACGGGTCGTCTCCTCCTTTTCACTAGTGTTCTAGTCGCCAAAGACTAGTGACACCAATAGAAAGATACTCGTCTTCTACATTTTGGTATATTTTCTTCCGGTTGTGTGTAGCAACTCTACAGGGTGATGGAGACTCTCGCAGTACAAAGCTTGTACGCACAGGATTCCAGATGCCCAGGCCGTTATCAACCAATTTGGCAGTGCTTTCAGCGAAATTCTCTCTCTGATCTTGCATAATGCGTCCACAACTCCGTAGTAGCCTTCAGTCGCCAGGCAAAGGCAGGGGTGCGAATTGAGGAACCTACCTCCCCACCACCTAGGTAGATCTGTAACGATAGAGATCGTTCCGCCAAGATGATGTAATTGGCGGACCGGGCGAAGAGTCTTACGCTTCAGCACTTCTGGACATCTGGCGGGAGTAAAGCGTTGATCCGTCGAGTGCCAGAGCAGAAATCAGGGTATAAAAGCTTCCTGGTATTCGCAACTTGAAACACGCCCCGAATTCTCAATATTTGGAACGGTCGCATGGCTACCGTTGCTCCTGCGCCTGACCACTGGCTTGGGCGCCGGGAACTGAGCATTGCCACCTACGACAGCAGTCGCTTTCCCAGCTTGGAAACGAATCTTGCTCGGAGATGGCGGTGTTATCCTCGGATATAACAGCACATGGAAGCGATGGGTGCGACATTGAGATTGCTAAGACAATGGGACGAAATTCGAAAAGATCAGACGGCTTCTGTCCCGCATGAATCGTACTGCCTGGTTTTAAGGTCTCAGATCTCAAATAGGCTGGCTGGCTGGCCTTGCACGTGCTTGATCCAGAATACTGCAGGCACGAACTCCGGTAATGATGGCGTCTATGATGATCAAACAGGCAACGGGTACTGGTACATCTATTGGCCCACTCTGGACAGATGGGTGGGTTTTCTGCCGGTCCAGGGCCGAGCCGAGAGGCGCTGGCGAGGACACACGGAACGGCGAGCCACTGCGGGAACCGCGGAAAGGAACCACGATACTGGCTGGAACGCTCATTCAGTCGATTCAATATGGCTGTTTCGGAGCTTTGGCCCACCAGGGCGGGCGGGTGGAATCCACTGTGGTGCTATTTGTGGGAAAGGCAAGGTAAGCGACGAGCGTAATTAATGGCAGAGCTATGAGCATGTGAAAGTGGCCAGGAACGGAGGGCGCCGGGAGTGCAAGCGATGACAACAAGCCCCTTGCACCGGCCCAACCACAATCTCTTGCAGGCGCCGCAACGCAGATCATTTTATTGCCTCATGGACAAACTGCGGTGCTGGCTGGTCGGCCAGTTGCGGATGGGACACTTTCTTGATACAAAGTGTAAGCGGAGCGCTGCCTTGCCTAGAGACCAAGCCCCAAGGCATACTGGCCAGAGTGTTGGGATGCAGTTGAGTGGCCGCTCGAATCCTCGCACCATCCAAAGCCACCACCGCGGATACCCATCCGTCCATCCGCTGGGGGCTGGCTGGGGCCGTTGCGCTTGTGGGTTGTTGTTCTCCCTAGATCCTGTCCTCATCACCTTTTCCGTATGATTCCGTCATCCGCCGTGTCCTGAAGGTGCTTGTTGCTCGTTGTAGATACCACAAAGTCTCTCCTCCTCCTCCCCCCGGAAAACCTCCATTTCCGCCCTCGGCAATCGCAACACTGTCAAGGCCGTCCGTCCAGAACACTCATTCACGTTCCATTGCGTCCCCTGCCACCGAGCCGGAGCATCCAGCACCTGCGTCGTCGCCTCTTGTGTGCAACGTGACCAGGGGGTGGGGTGGTGGGCGGCGCAAGTAGAGGTACTTACATGCCTGCTGGACCCGTCCCAAGACAGCCCTGGAGCTCCCACGCCCCTGCAAGACCCGCTCCACGTTCTCTCCGTTCGCCTCTTAATCACAGCTCCTGACCCGTCGCCAGCACCATTCACCACCCCTCCTCCCAGCTCTCTGCTTTTCATACGACTGCCACTCGTCGTCGTGCACTGCCTTGAACGAGCAGGAGATATTCTCCTTTGCGCAACACAGGTCCACGTCACTCTTGGGACGACGGCCATCACGCCACGCCATCTGAGGGCACGCCTGGCAATCACGACCCCTCGACCCCGCCCGCGATATCTTCTTGTCTCCACCAGAGCTTGAGAGCCGCAAGCGCTCGACGGACCGCCGGCCATGGCGGACTCGACGAAGCCGGCCAGCAAGGCCCCAGAGATCTCTGCCGAGGCCAAGAAAGCTGCAAAGGAGCTGTACCCCATGTCCAACTGGAAATACGACGCCTTCCTCCACACCTTTTCCATCCTTGTCGACCTCTTCTTCCGCGAGGTGCACCCTCGTGGAGCCTGGCGTGTCCCGAGGACGGGCCCGATCCTCTTCGTCGCCGCGCCCCATGCCAATCAGGTACGTGCAACTGTGCTGATAGGTACACTTAGTTTGCATGTGGAACTGCTTCTGATGACTCTCGTCTCCCCATAGTTCGTGGACGGCCTGGTCCTCCAACGATCCCTCAAGAACGAAGCAGATCGCCGGGTCAGCCTGCTTATCGCGCAAAAGTCTGTCCATGGCTTCATCGGATGGGGTTCTCGCCTCATGGGTTCAGTCCCCGTGGGCCGGGCTCAAGACAAAGCGAAGCCCGCCAAGGGCTTGATCTACCTGCCTGACCCTGTCAACGATCCCACATTGATTCGGGGCGTCGGTACAGATTTCGAGAAAGAGGCGGAAGTAGGCGGCATGTTGTTTCTGCCGTCCGCCAAGGGACAGTCTGGAACGTCTGTCGACATTGCCAAGATCTTGGGTCCAGAGGAGATTCGCATCAAGCGTGCGCCCCAGGGCAAGCTCGCCATGTTCCAGCTCACTGGCCGGGACGACCTTGACGCCGAAGGCAAGCTCACGAACCCCCAACGCAAGGGGCCAAGAGATGGCTATGAGGGCACCAAGTACAAAGTCGCACCTCATATCGACCAGTCGGAAGTTTACCAGGCCATTTTTGACAGGCTGCAAAATGGAGGGTGTGTTGGCATTTTCCCCGAGGGCGGCAGCCATGACCGCACCGAACTCCTCCCGCTGAAGGCTGGTGTCGCCATCATGGCTCTGGGCACACTCGCGCAAGATCCCGACTGTGGTCTTAAGATTGTGCCCGTGGGCATGAACTATTTCCATGCGCACAAGTTCCGCTCCCGGGCCGTGGTCGAGTTTGGCGCACCGTTCGAGGTCCCGCGGGAATTGCTAGACATGTACATGAACAACCAGAGGCGAGATGCGATCGGACAGTTACTCGACATGTGTTGGCAGTCTCTCAGTGCTGTCACTGTCTCAGCTCCTGATTACGACACGTTGATGCTCATTCAGGCCTGCAGACGACTCTACGTCACAGGCAAGAAGGTGCCTCTGCCCACAGTGGTCGAACTCAACCGACGACTTGCTGTTGGCTTTTCGAAGCTGAAGGACGACCCGCGAATCATCAAAGTTATGGCAGATGTACGCAAATATGACAAGCAGCTCAGATACCTAAACGTCAAGGACCATCAACTTGCGGTGGCCAGGCTCTCGGTCCCAACCGTCATCTTTACGCTGCTGTACCGCGTAGCCAAGATCTTGGTTCTGTCGGTCGGCGTAGTACCAGGCCTGATTCTCTTCACGCCAGTGTTCATTACCACCAAGGTCATTTCTGTGAGAAAAGCCAAGGAAGCGCTTGCTGGATCGTCAGTCAAGATCCAGGGCAGAGATGTCATGGCGACATGGAAGCTCCTGGTAGCCATGGCGTTCGCGCCTATCGTCTACAACTTCTACTGCATTCTCCTCGCGTACAAGGTGCACACGGACCGGCTCTACGGATATGTGCCGGAATGGGTGTCCATCTGGATGATCTTTATTGCTGGCTGGATCGTGTTCCCGGCCATCACGTATGCGTCACTACGCTTCGGCGAGGTCGGGATGGACATTCTCAAGTCGCTGCGGCCATTGATTTTGTGCATCAACCCTGCGTCCAGCTACAGTTTGCAAAAGCTCCGAGAAAGACGCGCAGTCCTCGTCGAGGAGGTCGTCGAGGTCATCAACCAGCTCGGACCCGAGATCCACTCTGACTTTGAGCGCACACGGCTTATCTCCGACCCTTACCACGGGGAGCCCACGTCTGGCTCCAGGACCGAGGAGGGCAATGTTGACGGGTACGACGAGGGCGCGGGGCACCTGGACGCCCCCGAGTCGCCCCAGGCTCTGCGGCGGAGAGACACGACTCAGTCCAGCCGAGCGATTCCCAGGACGGAATCGTTCAGCAACATTGGCGCGATTGGCATGTTTGCCTCGCGACCACCGTCCCGGTCGCGCAGCCGGAGCAGGCAGAACAGCATGGGTGGGGGTTTTGGCATGGGAGGGTTCCCGATCTCTGGCTTTACGAGCCTGGACTCGCGGGAAGGGTTTAATGAGGCGAGCAGCAAGATCCGCGAAGCCATGTACGAGCGTGGGCAGATGCGGCGGAGGAAGAGCGGCTTCTCGACCGACGGTAGCACCGTGGGTGATGGAAGCGAAGAGGGATGGGAAGAGGCGAAGAAGTCGGCTTGAAGCAAAGCATTGTTGTAGCGAAATTGTTATCCTGGGAGGAGCTGGGGATGGGGAAGGAGTGGAGGACATTGCTTCTAGACGGGGACTAGTTGATGATGTCTGCCATTGACGGCCGCTGCAAAGCGCAAGACATGAAGCGTACAGCAACGCTTTGGACACACATATAGTAATATCGATACCAAAGACAGGCACAATCCCAAGCCCAACGTTTGTAATACGGCGAAGGGCAAAGGGGGAGGGAGCCCCACGAGAGGATCTGGGTGATAGCTCAGAGATAAAAGGCTGTCTAGTGCCAACCAACACCGATGACGGAGACCAATCAGACGTACGTCAGATGTCTCGTACTCCGAGCCGAGAGAGACCTCCGGCGCGGGGTGGGCTCCGTTGTGGTGCAGTTGGCGTCGGAGCCGAGCCGGACTTGAAACCCGTCCCAAGCCCCGAAGACGGTTCAATTCCGGCCGGCCAGCTTGGTCCCATCAGGTTGAGTCCGAACACTTATTAAAGAGTGCCGGGACCCCCCAAAGGCGTCGAATACACAATGTCAGGCAATGGGGCCGCGCGACGACCTCGGATGCCCAATGCGGATGTATGCCACGAGAATCTGCGAGTGGCTGCTATTGGCTACTATCTCCGCGGATGTAAGTTTTTCTGAGTTGTTGTTATCACCGAGAGAGAGAGAGAGAGAGAGAGAGAGTAAGGGAGGGAGAGAGAGGACGGGGTTTAGCGGGCTAGCGTTTGCGACAGGCGGAAGTCCGAGTGCGTGCGTACGTGCGTGCGTGCGTGTGCTGTATTGAGTACAAGTACTTTAGCGTAGGCGAGTGGGTGCAGTTCTTTAGGCTGCTAGATTCCCCCCCTATCTCCTGATTGATTGCTTCTTACCCCCGCAGAGGTGGGCTGGCATGGGGGGAGATTTATTGTATAAAAACATGCGGTCTGTTCCTTGCTTGGCCCGCGGCTCTTGAAGGGCTGCTTTCTCTTGGCTTCCGCTCTTTCCAGAAGTTCACCGTCAGTGGGCTGTCCTCCCCAGTCCGTGGTTCTTGCGCGCCCTCTTTGTTTGACCCGCTGTCCATCAAGACAGTCGCCCCAAGACCTCATAGAGAGAGACTTGTGTCGACTTTGGAGGCATATTGAGGAACAGACAGACGGACATTGCGTGTCGCTCGACTGCCAAGCTCGACTTGCCGACTGACTGACCGGAGGCGGGGCCGGGTCGGGGCAAGCAAGCCGCTGCGGGTCGGATCTGATAAGGCCTGCCTGCAAAGGGTTCCCTCGGGCTCCAGTCATCATTATATTCCCACTATGACCCGCTCCTCCACGCAGGCTCCGGGAGGAGGAGGCGGAGGAGGCGAGGCGGCCATGTCGTCGTCGCCTGCAACGGTCTCTCCTTCACCACCAACCACCACCACCACCACGACTCGACGCCGGCAGCCGCCGCTCAAGCAGAAGATGGCCCTCAGCCTCCAGTCCCTCGTCTGGTCGGCGCAGAGGCTCGTCCTCGGCGACACAACCGCCACGCCCGCCGACACAAACACCCCGGCGACTCCCGCGGGCCTCTTCCCGCCCACAGACCCGGCCGCCGACGGCGACGACTGCGCTCACGACTGCCAGAGCTGCTCCATAAAGTACCCCTGCGACTTCAAGATTGACGAGGCTGACCAGCTTTACGGCTACGTTAAGGGTTGGAGCACCTACGTCTTGGTTGCTACGGGCAAGTCGGACTGGGTGCGCGACGTCGCCGACGAAAAGGGCAGCGTCATGCAGGCCCTCGACCGCCACACGTCGTCGCTGCCCTCCGAGGCGAAACAAAAGATGGGCAGGATGATGCTCTCGGCCTCAAACATCCCCACCCCTCACGGCACCAGCGACTACTCGGAGCCCACCACCGTCCTGCTCCTCCCGGCCTTTGCCGTCATCCACAACGTCTCCCCGGCCACCGTGCCCGCCGTCGTCGACAACTTTGTCAGCCGCGCCGCCACGTCCACGACGCCTCTCTCCGCACCGCTGTCCATCCCGCGCTCCGTCCCGCTGCGCGCGACGGATAATAGTACGACCACCACTGCCACCACCGCGGCCCTGACGGCAACACCGTCCCCACACAACGTGCTCATCCTGCTCTGCAGCCAAAAGACGCGCGACGCCCGGTGCGGCCAGTCCGCGCCGCTCCTCAAGCGCGAGCTCGAGCGCCACCTGCGGCCCCTGGGCTTGTACCGCGACGCCGACGACCACAGGCCGGGCGGCGTGGGCATCTACTTCATCAGCCACGTCGGCGGCCACAAGTACAGCGCCAACATGATGGTGTACCGCCGCGCCAACGCCTTCGGGGTCGACGACGTGGACAGGGGGGCGGCCGCCGAGGCCGGTGGTGCCGATGCCTTCAAGATCGATCCGCTGGCCAGGTTTAAGAAGAAGCCGACGACAACCACGACCACGGCCACGGCCACGGCCACGGAACCGACGCCGGCAGAAACAACAACAACAAATGGGGACAAGGCAGAGGAGACGGAGAAGGAGAAGGAGAAGGAGAAGGAGGAGGATGGTGACGATGACAACGTCATCACAGACGAGGGCGCAGCGCAGTGCATATGGCTCGCCCGCATCAAGCCCGAGGACTGCGAGAACATTGTGCGCTACACGGTGCTCCAGGGCCGCGTGGTCAAGCCCGACTCGCAGCTCCGGGGTGGGTTCGACCGCGGGAGGAGTCTGGTCAGTTGGTGAATTTTCATCCATCCTATAGACAGACAGGCAGGGGCCTTGTAGTAGACGCTGGCCAAAACGAGAGGACTAGAAAGCCGGCAAGACTATATAGATACAAGGCGAAGAGGAGAGAAGTCGTGACGAGCATAAAAACAAGTCGTCGCAGCCTAGAGTCGACGACAAGGGCTGGTCAGAACCAAGATACAGCTGATAGAGGAATGATACACGAGGCAATGATGAATAAAATCGGAAACAGTCAAGTGAAGACTTTCTGTCTTTTGAGAGTATGTTGTCTTGAGCTTCTTTGTGATTGCCGCCTCTTTCTGCGCATGTTTGGGACACTGCCAGATGCGTTACACCAAGTCAGGGATGCAACAACGTCAGAGCATAAGCTGTATGCATAGGTTCCCCATAGTTGAAACATGTCTGAATACTTTGTATTTGCTAATCTCGAGCACTACTATCCAAGAATTGCTTTGGTGAGCCTGCGGCCTGTGGCCTATGGCCTATGGACCTCTCCATCACTTGCCCTTCCCCTTGCCTTTCCGGCGCTGCCTCTTCACATCCTCCGGCACACTGGCACTCCCTTCCTGGATCTCGCCCTCCTCGAGCCCGCCCTCGGCCTCGAGCTGCCGCAGCTTCTCCTGGCCCGAGATGAACATGGTCAAGTCGTGGTTCTGGTCCTTGAGATCGGTATTCTCCGCCGCGAGGTCGGCGACTTTCTTGCCGAGCGCCTCGACTTCCTTGTTGATGTGTTCGATCCGCCCCATCAGGCCCTCAGAGACTTTCTTCTCCTCTTGCAGCGTCTTCCCCAGTGCGCGCGCAAGGTCTGTCGACTTTGTTGCGCGGGCCCGCTCCCGCTCGAGGTCCTTCTCGAGCTGGGGTAGTGTCTCGCCAAGCAGCGAGTCGTGCCGAGTCCGGAGGAGGCGGAGCTCCTTGGTTGCCTCGGAGGCTTGCGCCGCTGCTGCTTCGGCTGCCGCGGCTGCCTTTGCGGCTTTGTCTGCCGCCTTGTTGAGCATCTCCTCAAAGTATACGCGCTGGCTCTCAAGCTGGCTCGTGAGCAGGTGGGTGTATTCCATGCCAATGTTTTCCAGCTTCGAACGAGGCACGACTTCCTCAGCCTCTGTCGCGCTCGCATGTCCGTATTGCTGGTTGGCAGCTTCGCTGCTAGGAGGTGGGTGCCGGCCGGGCAATTCAACCACTTTCCCATCGCCCTTGTCCCTGATCAGACGGTGCACCCACATGTCGCCAGCATAATCCCAGACGTGCTGGGTCATCAGCTCGAGCGCAAACGTGTGTGCAGTGTCCTTCCAGTGTTCCTTGGCATGCCCGCCCTTATATCGCCCGCAGCCCACGTTGCCACAGATGAGACATATCCAGAGGTCCTCGGGCGAGTCGCACGTCGAGCACAGATTCGAAATGTGCGATCCAAAGGGCTGTGCATGGGGGCCTCCGGCATCATGATGAGGGCTCATGGCACGAGAACCTGAAGCCGAGGCTCGTTGCGTGAGAGCATCAGCAGGATTCGTATGGCGACAAACGGGACACCCCGATCCTTTCCACTTCTGCAGACATGAGCAGTGGAAGACATGCTGGCAAGGTATGGTCAACAGGCCCGTCGTATCGTCCATTCGCTCGAGACAGACCGGGCACGTTGGCAGCTCTATCAGGTCCGGTGTGGGCGGCGGAAATGGTTTCAACGAGTCTGAAGGCGTAAAAGGATCTTGACTCAGGTCGGGAAAGCTGCCCTTTTGTACCGTAGGAGTCTCGAATGTGACGGATCGCACAAAGGCAACACTGCAGGTTTCCGGCTCAATCTCTGTGAAAACTCGGCCGTCAAAATAGTTCCTGAACTGCTGGGCCCGTTTGCTGTCCCGGAACTTGAGCAGAACAAGGTATCTGTTCATTCGCCCAGTCATGACCATACGGTAATGGCTGACTTGGTCCCTCCACTTGTCGCCTACAAACCCGAGAAAGTCGCTTGGCGAGAGATAACTGGGCACGGCTGGGATGCACAGGGTGGTGCAGCTGTCCTCTTGTCCTTCCAGGTCTTGGTCGCCCGAGTCCGGCTCTGCAGCTCGAGACGCCAGCTGTGCCAACTCGGCACTCTCGTGGCTCTCACGATACAAGTGTACGATGCCCCAGCCCAGGTTGGTGGTTTTGCTCGGGGACGGGATGAATTTGGCCTTGGTAGCCCGGCCAGCCATGGATGTGCTGGGTCCAACGGCAGCAGCAGGCATCGATGCCGCGCTTATCGCATCCGCCATGTCTGTTCCAACAGTGGCCGCTGCCGAATCTATGCTGATGATGCCTACTGCGCCAAAGCGCCAATCTTTTGCTGCGGTCTGAGGCTTGATCGCAGCGTCTGCCGGCGGCGGAGGGTAACTCAGCGTCCGCTGCCGGAGCCCAAGCCTGACGAGATTGCGACTGCTCTTGAGCTCGGCAGGTCTTGGAGTGCCGCAGTCGATCACAGTTTCCTGCTCTTGCTCAAGTGTTGTGCCCACACTGGGAAATGTGCGATCGACCGGGTGATTCGAGCTCGGCTTTGCCTGTGGAAGTCGTGACGGCAAGGAATGGAAGGATCGAAGATGAGAAGGCAGGTCGCCAAATATATCGTCGTTACGTTTCGGGAGCCACAAGTTGGCTTCCGCTTGGACTTTTGACGAGAGGCTGTTGTCGAGGGTCGTCGGCTCCTGCGATGGGTAGAGCTCAAACTTGAGTTGGTAAAAGTACAGAGGCATGTTCTCTGGTCCGCTCGTCCGCTTCGAGAAAATTACGCGCTCTGTCTGCGGCTCTGATCAGCCTCAGACCCAGCGTTGAGCCGGTGATGATTGCGCTCGCCTAAAGATGAAGATTGTCGGTACTTGGGGGTGTGCTGCGTCAAGGCGGTAGCAGTATAATAACATCGAGCTCGGCTCGTCTCGCATATCGCCTCGCACGATTGATTTTCATGGCTTGAACACCGCCGAAGCACGGCCTGGCAAAGCCTTTCAAGATTGACGCGGCGCGGGTTGCTGGCTTGCGTTCCTTGACACAGCTTGACAGAGATTGAAGACGAAGACGATTATGTGTCACGCTTTGCCCCACCGAAGCTACCACAAGCTGCTGTATCCAAATGCCCCACGGCAAATCGCGCTGGGGCGTAAGGCAGCAGTACGACACAATCACCACAGGCGAGCACAGTGTCATATAATCACATTCCCTAGGGATTCAAACTTCGAATCATGATTAAGTGCCGGAATACGTTTGTATATTCGTGCGGTGGCATCATATTACGACGCATGACCCTATTCAGGGTAAACTATGTAGTTGTCGCCTCATTTGTCCCGAGGCGGAAGAAACCAATAACGCCGATCATCACATGGGTATCGTCATACCCTCCCTTGCGTCCACCAGGAGGAGTGAGTGTTGCTATAGATTGAAGACTTTGCTTACTGGCCGCCACGCAGGCGGAGGACCAAGTGCAAAGTTGACTCCTTCTGGATGTTGTAGTCGCTGAGAGTTCGACCATCCTCAAGCTGCTTGCCGGCGAAGATGAGGCGCTGCTGGTCCGGAGGAATGCCCTCCTTATCCTGGATCTTCGACTTCACATTGTCAATCGTGTCTGACGACTCGACCTCCAGAGTAATGGTCTTGCCAGTAAGGGTCTTGACAAAGATCTGCATGCCACCGCGCAGGCGCAGCACCAGGTGCAGGGTTGACTCCTTCTGAATGTTGTAGTCGCTGAGAGTGCGGCCATCCTCGAGCTGCTTGCCAGCGAAGATGAGGCGCTGTTGATCCGGAGGAATACCCTCCTTGTCTTGGATCTTGGACTTCACGTTATCGATGGTGTCGGACGACTCAACTTCCAGAGTGATGGTCTTTCCAGTGAGTGTCTTGACAAAGATCTGCATACCACCGCGGAGGCGAAGAACGAGGTGGAGAGTGGACTCCTTTTGGATGTTGTAGTCAGACAAGGTGCGGCCATCTTCAAGCTGCTTGCCAGCGAAGATGAGACGCTGCTGGTCCGGAGGAATGCCCTCCTTGTCCTGAATCTTGCTCTTGACGTTGTCGATGGTGTCGGAAGACTCCACCTCGAGGGTGATGGTCTTTCCGGTCAGAGTCTTGACGAAAATCTGCATACCACCGCGAAGGCGGAGGACAAGGTGGAGAGTTGACTCCTTCTGGATGTTGTAATCGGAGAGGGTTCTGCCGTCCTCGAGCTGCTTGCCGGCAAAGATGAGGCGCTGCTGGTCAGGCGGGATGCCCTCCTTGTCCTGGATCTTGCTCTTGACATTGTCGATGGTGTCCGAGGACTCGACCTCGAGGGTAATGGTCTTGCCCGTCAGGGTCTTGACGAAGATCTGCATGATGGGTGGCTAGTGATCTGCGTGACGATGTGGTGAAGTGTGTAGATGGTGGTCTGGAGGTGCCCGGATGGCAGATCGCGATGATGAAGATGACTGGGGATGAAAGGATGTGTTGAAGAGGGCGAAAAGCAGAAGAAGGCTGAGTGGTTGTGCGAGAAGGGAAGGTTCATATAGGTGCCGGAGGAGGCGAGGCAACAACCGGAGTCAGGCAGGCGAAGCGCGGGCGTGCGGGGGCGGCAGGGTGGAAGTCATGGGAAGGCACCGGAAGGGGCGTTAGGGCGATTACGCCGGGCCTGCTCAGTGGCTGACTGAGGGCGTGATTGGCTGGGTGCCGGCCTTTTGCTGCCTGAGGAAGGCATGATTCATCAGCAGCTCAGGCCTCGCAGCACTGACTCCGAGCCATGCTGCGCCACCTCGCGCACTTGTTGCACCACCAACCCAACGCGCCTCTGCATTGCCGCCGTTTGCTCGCTCTGAGGCCATACTGAGCAGTCTCTGGCGTGCCATGGGACGCAGGTTTGCTATGCGCCGTCACGCCAACATCACGAGCATTTCATAGACGCCGCCGCCGTGTCGCGCGGGCTCTTGGTGGAGTCGCGAGTAGGTTGGAAGGCGGGGGAGGGCCCGGCCCAGCCATCCGCTGGGGTGCATAGGACAGACAGGACGCAGGCCCGCCTCCCGACCACCTTGGTCTCGAACGCCTATCCCCAACTCGAGTCCCAACCGACAGCGCTAGATCAGACAGCCCAGAGGTCAACTGGACGCCTGTGAGCACGACGAGCGATAGGAATATACCCGAGCAACATCTGCATGGCATTTTCTCCGTGATGAAGCACCCGGTGGATCGCCTTGTCGGGTGTCCCGAGGCCGAGAGGCCCAAGGTTCCTATCGTGGCCGGCCAGCTTGTCTGGTGTTGGTGGAGAGGCTGGCCTAATCAGTCCCCACCCGCTCGGCCAGGGCGGGCTGTCAGGTGGTGTTGCTATGACGCTGCAATTGGGTGCTCGCTGGCTCGCTGATAAGGACCGTGCTAGTGGGGGTGCTGGCCAAGGGCCTCCCAAACGGCCGTCGTCAGTTCATCCCAATTCCCGCACCTTGTTGGCCCCCGAGCGAGTCTGGGCTCGCCTCGCCGGAAGGCGTGATAGCAGCTCGTCGGCTCAACCCGCGCTGTGGCGAAATCCACGGGGCAGCACCGGTGGCTCGTTGGCACCGCCACCCATGGATGGGCAAAGGCAGATTCCCCATCAGGTTGTCCATCTGGCCAGCCAGTACCGCGCCAGCCCTGGCTTCCCCTGACTATCACTCAGGCACCAGACCTGCTGCCAACCACCTGCATCTTTGAAGTGACGATGGGAAATACCCGAGTGTCATTCAACCAAGCACGATTGCTCCAAGGGACAACGCCGAGGCCCGGCCTCTATCCACGATGCGGGCAGGCATCGTGGCAGGATTGCATATCGCACCAGCCAGCTGACGTCATTGCGGGCAGGGGGACGCTGTGGTTCAGACGGCGACCCTCGACTCCAAGACGCCCTTCCTCCCCGGTTCGGGCTTGTCTTCGGAGCAGTAACGGCGCGCGGACAGAGCAACACAATCTCGGAGCTCTGGACAGGATCATGCGCCGCCCGGCCTTGCTCAAGGCACAAAAGCTCAGATATCCCAGGAGCCTGCAACGCTCCGACTTCTGTGCGTCCGGATGAGTTCGCGTCAAGGGCTGCAAATCTGGCCATACCTGACACCAGCCGCCACTCTGCGGCCCGTAGGGTCGGGGCGAGGGAATAGCTGCGAAGAAATCACCCAAGCGTCTGCAAGCAATTCGCATCGTGCTGCTTCATACTCCAGGAGGCGACTTCACTGGGCAGTGGCCTTTCCGCTGTAACCCCCGGAAAGCAGCAGCAGCTCGCCCTTCAGAGACATTCCAGCTCAGATGCTTTTTCGCACACTCCTCTTGCGACCACGTGGTTTCGCTGCTGAGACATTTGCGCCTCACCTCTCCTGGCATGAACAGGAACACCATTGGGGGATGCAAAACAACCACAGCGCGCGCAAGAGCTCCCTTGCTCACAGCGCCTCTGACAAGGAAGATCAGGGTGTAACACCTACGGCGGCCCTCTTGTTGAACGTAGAGGTTTGACATACCTACCTCAGGAATCTATGCTAATCGAGCCCTGTACGCCTGGAAATCAAGCATCGGTCCTTCGTCATGCACTGCCAACAGAGCCACGGAAAGCATACAGTATCAGGCGAATGCGTTGCTTGAGTCTCAGTTCTCCACATACGCGTACGCATGTAAGGACCCCCAGCCCAGGATAAGTCAGATCCAGGCTTGAGCGCCGTCACCGCCTCCTCTTCCCTGGTCCGCATCACGGGTTGTCGCAACTACCGTTCGTGTGCGCGACACACGTCAGGGTGGTCTTAGAACCGGCACGCGCCGCCGCCGGCCCCCTTGACTCGAGATCAAGAGACTTCTCGAGACTGCTGCGCAAAACGGCCAGCCCAGAGTGGAAGTTCGTAGTGATATTTCGGTCGGTGTTTGCTTGAAGGGGGGGAAACACCCTCACCGTCTCCCGGGTCCAAACACACCGCCTCGGAAACCTGCCTGGCTCATCCACCTCCGCCTCCACCTCCGGCCCGCCCCCCCCCCCCCATCCCCCGTTTCGTAAGATGGCGTTGTTTCGACGACACTTCGGAACAAGGGATATACTATGTAAGGAAAAGCCCACTTCGGGGAACGCGAGCCAGCACAGCCGGCCAACTCATCGTGCTTCCGTTGCCATCCAGTCTTGGACAAGACGGTGAGGAAGCGTACTGCGTAATCCACACTTTGCACCCCACGGAAGGTTTTGATCTGCATGCTGCTGGGTCCCTCCCGTCCGGCAGTCAGGTCAGGCCACTTGACCATATCGTATGTTGCGCCGGGGTGTTCCAGGGTTCCAGTTGGGAGTGTCCCGAGCTCTCGAGGTATAATACAAAACTGGCACAGCAGGACATACACTCCCAGGTCATGACGAGCGTCGGCCAGAATCAGGATTCATTCCCCGGTTGGACAACATCAAGTTTTGACTTGAAGTGTCTGTTTTCCTTTGCCCTAACGACACAGATATGGATTGCGCGGTCTTTGAGGGCATCATTCATGTGTATTAGATTATTTAGATCTCATGAATTCTTCCAATGCTAGTGTCTTGGTTCGTCGTCAAGAAGACCTCTTCCGGCCTTCGTCATTTATTTGGCCCTGCCACTGATGCTGTTGCCTCGCAAACAGCTTTCCAAAAGTTTTCCGCAGTCTGGCTGTGTTCAAAAAGATCCCGCTCCCAATTGCGCAAAACAATAATTTCTTCGCTAAAACGTCCACGACTTAGCCACCAGCGTGTCTGCATACCCGCGTCTCTGGTATCCTTGCCAGCGGCGGGCAGCGTAAAACAGCTTGGCTCAATCGAGCCAGGCGGAAAACACAATGTCGGTTCCAAAACAATCTCTCAACCCAATGCAGCGCTTCTCTCGCTCTGATAGATGAAAAACAACAAAACAATTGAAGATGACAAAAAATTTCAAGCTCATACAATCGTTCGAGAAAGGAACCGTTAAAAAGGGTCGTATCATCGGAGCAACATGATCTAGTCGTCTCATGCGTAATGCGCGTAATGTATGGCGGTGACCAGCCGAAGGAATGGTGAAGAACAATAAAGGTGTGGGCGGATCGGATAGCGGAGTTGGTGATAAGGCAGACCAATCCTCGATGCAACGCCAGTGCTCGTTATGTCTTGCAAAATGTGACAAAGGAAAATTGCTTTTTTCAAATCTCAAGCGTAACGGCCAAGCATATCAGAGCTTGGCCGGGCGATATCCTGGATGAGAAGCATGTCGGTTGATTCCTGCCAAACCAAGCCGAAACTTAGTTCGACTTGATGACCAACTTCGACAGGAACTTGTTCGACAACGAATCAAAGTCGTATCTGTCAAACTTGGCCTGGTTGCGTGTACGCAGGTAGGATTCTGTTATGATCGTTAGCAAATGCTTTGGCCCAATGCCACGATAGGGACGGAACTTACCGTGCTTGACGACGTGCTGTCGCACTTCAGTGAGCGCTTCGCACACGGCCGGGTTGTTGTTGAGGAGGTGGCCGTGGCGGGAGCTGTCCCAGTCGGTAAGGGCAGGCAACTTCTGGGAGATGGCGTGGAAGAGGCCAGTGATGACGCCGACAGGTGTTGTCTCCATGTCGGAGCAGAACTTCTCCACGGCGACCTGATCAGGTACGCGGTAGTGGCAATCGAACTGCATCTCTTCCCAGACGGCGAGCAGAATTGACGCCAGCATGAAGATTGTGGGCCAGTTCTTCAACCGGTCGCCGCTGTACACACTGGAGTAGAGAGCCGACAGCTCCTCCAGGATCTCCTTTTGAAGCTCACGCCACATGTCTGCCATTGCACACTTGATCTGGAAGTTGATCATGACCGGAGCGACGTACTTGCCGTAGTACTTGGACTCCTCATCGTCAATCTGGCCGTCCATGGGGTGCTCATCTCCTTGTTGCTCAACAAGCGTGATGTGCATAGTCAGGTTGTACGCGAGGACGAGCTTGAGAGCCTTGCGGATGACGGGGAGCTTCTCCTTGGTGTAGAAACGGTATGCGGTCTTCAGGATCTCAGTGATGAATGGGGTGCCTTCAAAGTGGTCGTCGATGAAGTTCTCGAAGCCATTGTCGACGTGCTTGTCAAGGTACTCAGCAAGGGCCTCAGTGTTGATGCCAGCCTCTCCAATGTCAAGCTTCTCAGTACGAGTCTCGAACTCAATAGGCTCCTGAGCGGGCTGGAAGGACTCGACCCAGTCGACCTGGAAGCAGTTGGGGTCTGTGACGAAGACCTCGCGAACCATGACGGGCAGGCAGAAGCCATAGCCGTGAGTGATCCACATGAGCGTCTCCTTGGTGGCGAAGCCCTTCACGTTGTAGACGGAGACGCCCGTGGTCAGGTGACGCTCGTAATCAGCCTTCCAGTCCTTCATGAAGTAGCCGATATCCTTGATGTCGATGCGAGTGCAAGGCACCTGCCAAAGTCTGGCGTGAGATGGCTGGCAACCACCGCAGGGCTCGCCCTTGTCGCAAGTCTTCTTGAGGAACTTGCAACGCAGACAGGCCCTGAGCTTCCGGATCTCGCTGGCTTGCTTTCGCTGCTCTGGTAGTAGCGGGCCCTTTCTGCGGCCAACCTTCTTCTCACCGGTGCCATCCTTCTTGCCATTCGAAATTCTCCGAACGACAGTCTTGGTCGTAGCCTTGGTTACGCCAGTAGGACTCTTCTTAGGGGCGGAGTTCCTGCGGTTGCTGCTGGTGGACGGCGAAGACATGCCGGACCCGCTGGCGGGGCTAGTGCGAGCAATTGGAGAGGAAGGCGCTTGAGACTTGATCGGCATGGGTGCGATCTGGGTGTTAGGGCTGACGATCTCGTGGGAGTGGCTGCTCTCGCCGTGGTAGCAGTTCCGGTGGTCAGAGTAGGTGTCAGAACCAGGAGAGAATGGCGAGTACTGGAAAGGTGAGACCTCCTCCCAACTACTGCTAAAGTCGAGGTGCTGAGCATTGCCATCTGATTGGGACGCGTCGGAATTCGTGCGGAGGTGGAGGGTCTGGCTTGGGTTGAAGATGGCAGGGGCGTTCTGGGCCTGGTTCGAGGCCTGAGCTTGCTGGTATGCTTCATAGCTGTGGAACATGTTGACATGGGTCCACTGGTGGTCACTGTTGTTGTCCGAACCAGGTATTGAGAGAACCTCGAGGTATGTGCCTGTAGGGGATTGACTTCCCAGGCTGCCGAAGCGGGGAAGCCCGTCCTGGGGAAACTGCAGTGAGGCGCCGAAATCCTGCCAGTTCGCCATGCTCATGCCTTCCCACTGGTTCTGCATTGCCTGTGTTGTCTCGTCCATGGGAGCCATGGCGTTGTTGAAGGCCTGCTCCAACTGAAGGCCCTGGGCTGCCGACGGCATGTAGTCGAGAGCAGTGGGGAACCCGGCCGTGGTGAATGGGTTGTACGCCACCAGCGAACTATCCTGGATAAACTGAGAGAGGTCCTGGATGGGGGGGTGCTGCTGCTGGTGCTGTAGCAAGCTCCAATCTGTGAGCAGCGGGGGCGATTGCGTATGTGTGCTAGCCGCAGCAGACTGGTATGGCGAGTGCTGAAACTGCTGCAGCGGGCTGGAGTGTGCTGAAGGCGAGTGGACAGGCGAGTGTGTCTGATGTGACTCGTTTGGCGAGGAGGCTGTGGTCGAGCTACTGTGCTGCGAATTGCTGGGTCCGGCCATGTCGAGGGGTATGGGCCAGGCGGCAGCGGCAGCGGCGGCCGCGGCAGCAGCAGCAGCGTCCTGCTGGTGGCTTGGGGAAGCCATGACGATGGCGCCCGCGAGCGTGTTGTGGTTGCTGGGAGAAGCGTAAGCGTAGCGGTCCCGTTGGTCGTATGAAGCAAGGTCCAACAAGGCTTCTCCGTGGGTGAAGTCGGCTGTCATGGCTAAGGCCAAAGGAGACGAAAGGACGAGGAACGGGGTGGGTGACGGGGGCCGGAGGCGGATGATATTGTGCGAGGCGGTTGTCACCGCTCTTTCAAAGGACCCTTGAGGTGATCCTTGGTGTTGAAGATGGTTCAGAACAGACGAAGCCGGGAGAGGCAGAGGCCTTGAGGGGGACCCCCGAGCCTTGAGGCGCATTCTCCAGGAGACTGAAAGTAGCGGTCAAGGAGCATGCAACAGTCTGCAGCTGCGTGGGGCCGACCCCGGAGGTGGGGCCCACTAAACCTCCTCCCGACCTCCAGCTCCAGGGCTGCCTGCCGTCCTGCCACCCCCGACTACAACCCTCGTCTCCCCGTGCTAATGTTCAGCACTGTGGGCGAGACCAGTACAGTATAATATGGTTTCAAATCCCTTCTCACCTGGCTTGCTGCGTGCTGCCCCAGTGCGATGCACCCGCAGCATATCTTGCCACGCCAGAGAACCCTCATGCCCAGGGACAGACGGACAGACGTTCCTCTGGGACTGGCAGCCCCCGCGCACCCGGCCCCGCCGGACTGACCATTGTATCCTGTGGGTGGTTGGCGTGTCCGTGACGGGGTCCCGGCCTTCTTTGCGGCCAGACTAAACACTTAGTACTTACTACGGCAGGCGACGGCGCGCCATGGACGGACAGGATCTAAGCTTGACACTGCCGCCGGCATTTTACAGTAGTGCTCGAATCAAGGAGGGACGATCGGTGATCTCGATACCCTTCGACCACAGGGTGCTGCCCTCCAAGGAGTTGCCGAACCCCACCCCCCTCAGCCATCTGCCGCCATGGTAGCATCGCCCGTCGGTAGAGTTGAGCATCCGGTTAGCGTATTGGTTCTTACGCTTGAATACGCGTGCCGGGACATGCTTGGTCATGGTCAGTATTGCAGTATCGCGGGCAGCTCGACCATAAGTAAATATGCTTGAACGATAGCGAACAACGACACTCGAGCAGGAGGGAGTCGTCGCCATCCACAACGCCACTACTGGAGCTGCGTTGCGTTGCCTCCTCTTTGGGCAAGCCCGACAATGCAAGCCTTGGAGCAACGTGATGCTCGCGTTGGCGCTGACTTGAGTCGGCACTGATAGGCTGTTGTTCCCATGTCGGCCAACCAGACGAGGCCAAGTCGCAGCGGAGACAACCAATCCGTTTGTGACCAGCCATGGAGGGGGCGGAGCGGGCAGAGGCTGAGCCTGATTGGCTCTAAGGAAATCGTGGGTGCTCATTCGCATGACTGACCGAGGCGCCATCGGATTTGTGCATTGGTGAGGAGTGCCAACGCGCCATTGACCACTGCGTCCCCGCCTGCTGCACAAAATCAAGGAATCCATGGGGGCCTTGCCGCAGCAGATGGCGCGCGTCAAGCGGCAGGCAATAATCTATCTGTCTGCCCTCCAGCTAGACACGTGCAGCCTCACAGCGCCGACTCGAGTACGCACTGACCCAAGCCATCCGTCAGCAATGGTTTCGTGTGGACAAGTCGGAATCGCTATCACTCTCTGGGTTCACAGCAGGGACGATCTGCTTGTCAGAATGCATTCCATTTGGATCGGGGCGGCCGTTCAGCACAAGCACCCCCGTTTTGCTGACGGAGGACCGCTCAGGATAGCAATGCCTCTTTGGGCAACTTTTGAAATCGCCACAGGATGTGGCTCCGGGGACAGGCGCTTGCCCTTGCTGTATGCAGATCTGGGCAGGACCGGGACTCTTTGCTGAGTGCTCTCGTGCAGTCAGCGGCCGGGTTGTACCGCATTCACCTGAGACAAAAACACATCCACGAGGTCCAGCCATTGTCGTAGACGAATGCCAGGTGCAGCATGAATAGAATCGAACGCTCAAGCGGCTCGTTCTCTAGTCAGCCCTGCATCGGGCTGGTGCAGAGACTGCGCGCCGGCCAACTGCCGAAGGCGCTGGATCAGGAGGTGCTATGAGACGAGCATGAAGGCGCTCAATATGGAGACTCTCGGAGAAATGGCTTTGTTGCTCAGACCACGAGCTCGACACATGATGCGCTAGCACTTGAACTAGGGCAGTGTCACTTGTGATCGCCCCTTTGCTAGTCCATAAAGAAGCCAAGGCGTTCACCAAAGAGCCAGTGGCTGTCCATTGGGGCCGCTTGGCCAAAATCTCGCCAAAACCCCTGAAGCCGATCAGCTTCTGGGCCAAGTTTCTCGCTGGCATCGTCCTCCGTGACAGTCACGGACGACCGGGTCTGTCCCTGTCCACCTTGTGCGCTGTTGAGCTTAGCGTCGATCCTATTGTGTGTGTGTGCGGTATATCTGCCCTTTGCAACAGCCAACCCGGCGCAAAGACACTGCAAGCCAGCGTTGAGCCCAACTGGCCGATGCGGGCATTCGCCCGGACGTATCAGCTGGCACAACTACCTTAGTCAATATTGATTGTGCCATCTCATGGCAGCAAGCTGAAAAGGATTCAGCCGTCCGTGTCACGCTGCATGCAATGCAACGGCGACGGCGACGGGCCACCGCATCGTGCTTTGCATCTCATTGGTGGCTGGTGGAGAAAGCGGCGAAACGGCCAGACCCGGGTGGGCACGGGCAGTTCTTCCAATCGCAAAGGGCCAAAAGGGACCCTGCCTCTCAGCGTATTTTTGCTTAGCCTTGAGCATGATCATCAAGTAATTGGGCCGGGCAAGCCCGCCCGTCTTGTGGCTGAAATCCGGCGCATTGCATCGCACACCTGGTGGTTTAAACAGTGAGCTGTTGAGCGCGTCAGAGGCTTACCTGTGCCGCTCTGCAATCAATGGACGACGCCCTCGGCGGCTGATCCAGCCGTCCGCCGTCCGTCAGCAGAAGCCCCTGAAGCATTCAAAAGGTCCTCCATGCCAGTACGGTGACCCACGAGCGGCGGCCCCTCACCCTGGCTCCCTGCGCCAAATGCAGCTGAGGCAGGCGGTTGGCCTTGTACTACAAGTAACTAGCAAGGGCCACTTGTTCTGACCCTGGAAAGCGCGGGTTTCCCTATTCGCACGTTCTCCGTGTCCGGGTGGACTTCGAAAACATGTAAACTGGCCAAGGAGAGGACAAAGATTGAGGCACTGTCTTCGGCATCGTGAGTGAGGAGAAGTGGCTGGCGCGGGGTTGGGAAAAGCACAGGCCATGTCCTGTCTACGACGATTCGCGACCAGGAAGCCTTGTCGACATCCCTGGCTCGGCTCGCTCATGGCCAGCGCACAGTCTATCGTGCGACGCGTGTCGACTGTGACACCCACCCGAAGCCAACCACTGCCGCATCCTTGGCGGCAATAGATGGATCCTGGCCCCCAGTCTCCAGCAGCGGGTCGTTGGACGTGGCCTCGGAGGCGGGCGAGGCAGCCAGCCAGCCACTCGCCGAACCACGCTCTCGCGAAGTGGAAGAGCATCGTACGCTGCACGGCTGATAGGCAATGGCGTACACGCCCACCAGTACATTGGACAGTGGTATCTCACGAAGCGCCGGGGGAGATCAGTCCCTTTGCTTGCTTTGGGTCGCGAGGCCGAGCCGTGTTCGCATGGCTCTCAGACACGGACGCCTGTGAATGTGGAGACCAAGAAAACGGTGTTGAACAATGATGGGTAGAAAGGGATGGCAAACATACAATGCAACAATGGAGGCACTTCCGAGCCGGGACCGAGTTGGCGAGCGTTGATCCATAAGCGCCCCTCCCCAGACACAGCCTAGACTAGTCACACACTAGTAGCGACAAGAAGGCGTCACGGGCTCACCATCGATCGGCTATCGTTTTGTCTATGGAGTGAATATGGGCACCTTGACGCCTGTGACGTTCACGACGTTGACGATCGGAGACCAAGCGCACTGGACAGCCCAAAGTGCCAAACATTGCCAGGACTGAAGCTGGCTGGCTAGTCGAGGGCATGCGCAGAGCATAGACGTCCGGCACTGGTTGCATCAGGTTTGCCATGTGTCGCCTTCTCGCCTTCTCGCCTGCCTGCTCTGTACTACCCCGATAAGGCACCTTGCTAAACATGCAGGACAGCTCGGATGGCACGGGCTAGGGTAGACAGAGCAGAGAACATGTGTGCAGCAATGGCCTCGTGGGAAGTGGTTGTGAGACATCTCCTTTTCGTGATATGACTTGCAGGAGAGGAACGTGGGCTGCGAGTAGCCGTATGGCCGCCGGACGGCAGGCAGGATTGGTGCTGAGACAACAATGCACGGCGAGCGGCATCTGCACACCTGGACATAAGGGGTAGGATGCTTCCGCTGGCTTGTGCAGGCCCTCGAGCATGGTCAAGTGACCATATATGATTGTCTCAGTATGCAGTCGTGGGATGCGGAGGCGAAGTGGTCGAACCAGGCCCGGCTGTTCCCTTGCATGGTCCGGCGTGAGCAACGTTGGTCAGCACGCATTATCGTCCTTCTCCCTGGCTTGTTCAGCATGCTTTCGCAATGGTGTGTGTGTTGAGTGCTGGGATTGGACTCGTCTTCGTTGTAATGTTGCCTTTCGGGCAATCCTCTGGAGTCGTTGGTGAGGACCTTGCCTTTGGTGTTTCTGCCAGCGGTTGTACATAGATCGTTTAGTGGGGCCGGGCGAGGTCGAATCGGCACCGCAGATGGCAGGCGCTGACGCCGACCGGCCCATCGCGGGGTACACATTGATGGTGAAGAGGCACCTGCTGCTATTGCACGAGACCGCACAAGCACTGCCACGCAAGTCGCTCTGAGTCTACCGTGCCAAGGAGCATTCGTACGCGCACGCGGCTGTCTCATATGCCCATTCGGACCAGCCTAGCCCGCGCGCGGTTACGCACCCGGCCAAGGAACAAACCACCGCCGAGGCCCTCATCCTCCGCCGGCCCGGGCACATCGCACGGCATGGCGTCGCTCGTCACCGGCCCAGACGTCCCGGACCTCTACACAAAGGACCCTCCCATCTGGGACCTGCTCGAGACCGCAACATCGCAGGTACAGGACAGTACCGTCGACTTCTGCCGTCCTTACCTGGCTGGCGAAATCCCAGAGTTCACCTATAATTCCCACGGCGTCCCACACCTCGACAAGCCCCGGCATGCCGCCTTCCTGCGCAAGCACCTGGAGAAGCTACCGGGAGCTTACATGACGGCCGATGCCAGCCGGCCCTGGCTCTTTTACTGGTCCCTCAACGGGCTACGTCTGCTTGGCCAGGACGTTTCCCAGTTTCGTGACAAACTCGTTGACACGGCAAGGTCCATGCAGAACGAGTCTGGCGGCTTTGGCGGCGGATTTGGTCAGAGATCACACCTAGCAACAACTTATGCTCTCGTCTTAGCACTCGCTCTGGTGGGCGGCAATGAGGCCTGCGACGTCATTGACAGGAGATCCATGTGGAAGTGGCTCTCGGCACTGAAGCAGCCTGATGGCGCGTTCCAGATGTCCTTGGACGGCGAGGTTGATGTAAGGTATGGCATTCATGTATCCGGCAATTCGGGTGGGTCGAGGAACTACTGCTGACGTCCTGCTCCCTTGTTTGTGTAACAGAGGCGCCTACTGTGCGGCGGTTATCATCACATTACTCAACCTCCCGAAGGAGATCTGGCCTGAATCACCCGCAGCGAAAGCAGGATTGCCAGACCTATTCACTGGCCTTGCAGATTATGTTAGAAGATGTAGGTGTTGTCTGTTTTTCGCTGCTATCAACACCATACTCATCATGATGGACATGGACAGGTCAAACATATGAAGGCGGAATATCGGGGAAGCCAGATGCGGAAGCCCACGGAGCCTATGCCTTTTGCGCCCTCGGTTGCTTGGCCATTCTTGATACACCAAGTCGCAGCTTTCCAAAGTAAGTTTCAACCTGCTAAATCCAGTAGCAGACCAAAAGCTCGTTCATGTGTATCTGAGCTACGAGCAAACACTGATATCTGCTTGGGGGCGGTTAGATATCTCGATATACCACGGCTCATGTCATGGCTCTCTTCTCGGCAATATGCACCAGAGGGAGGCTTTAGTGGGAGGACGAACAAGCTTGTCGATGGCTGTTACAGCCACTGGGTGGGGGCCTGTTGGCCACTGATCGAAGCCAGTCTGCAAAGTACCCCGGTTGAAACAGGATCATCAGAATCAGTCACAAGTCTCGACATGTATGACCGCGAGGGCCTCATCCGATACATCCTCAGCTGTGGACAAGACCAGAGCAGACGTGGCGGCATGAGGGACAAGCCTGGCAGGTAAGCAGTCTCAGCAGTCTTCACCTATGTGCCGTTGGCGTACGATTCTTTTCGCCATCTGGACTAACGTATTGTCATCGTCTTCTGCTGCATGGTAGACCATCAGATGCCTATCATACATGCTACGTCCTCAGCGGACTTTCCTCCGCACAGCACATCACCGTGTCCTCCACGGCATCAACATCGGTCGAAGACGCATCGGCTACGCATAGTACCCTCCCTGGAGGCGTAGGCTGGGAAGTCTTCCCGCACTATCCAGAGGTCCAAGTGTTCGACGAGGCGGACCGGATCGCCCCGATTGACCCCGTGTATACTATTCCGCTCCAAGATCGGGCAACTTTCATCAGTTACTTCATGTCCAAGTCCGGTTTCTAGAGGCTGGGGACTCATCGTGTTGCATAACAATTTGTGGCAAGGCATCGTAGTTGGATAATCAAAATCGGAGATACCCGTGTCGAGCGGGATGAGGCATGCTCGTGGACACATCGCTGTACGTTCTGAAAGCGCGTCCGATTTCGGGCAACGTGTATGTGGAGTGCCGGCCATGGGATTGCGGCACAGGGCAGACAGGAGGCCGGAAACCACCGTGCTGGTCTTGTCCCTGACCACAATTGAGCCACATTGGTCAATAGCGAGCGTCGCTGGGAAATTGACCTGTCAATTCTTACAATCTCGCCAGTTGGCCTTCCCGTGGCTCGAGCTTTATCTGTGAGCCTCTTGGAACCCCAGAGGATTATTGATGTTTTGCACTCCCATCAAGCGACTCGTGTGTCTGAAATCCACATCGCACTCAGTGAGAGAAACAGTACGCGGTCGTTCACTGCTGCCATACGCAGGGCTGTCGTATATGAGTATTGAGCCTAGAGTAAGATAGCAAGAGTCTCGACACAACTTTTACTTTATCCGGGTGCCTCTGCAGAGAATGGACATGGATTAATGCCAATCTGATCGTTCGGAGCGCATTCCACTGACGACCAACCACTCAGAAATTTGTCGATAATTCGACCCTTGAAAACAAGACTCCGAGGATGCTGCTTCTGCATGCCCCAGTGTGGCCCGATGAATCAGAACTTCATCCTTCAAGAGCAATCTTGTTTGTTTTGTGGAACGCGGCAACAATTAGGTGCTCCTCATGTCAAAGCTGATGATGTCATTAGCCTTCAAAGAACTCTGATTAGCATAATGACTTCAGAGGATGTTCGTGAGAGGGCCATCACAGCGGATGGAGAAGCACAAGCGAATTATCGAGAAAGTGTGGCAATCCGTTGCTTCAAAAAGACGGAAACGAGGTGACTTTCCCATGTAGCGAACAGCTTACCAAGTATTGAGCAGATATCAGAGACCGAAAGTAAACTATGTGGGGTTACCGATGCGGACGCACGAGGGCGGTCATATTCCAGACAAACAGATGCTCAAGCGGCGAATCCATATTTGTGCGTGAGTATCGTAATCAAGATATTTACTGCCCAAGTTATCCGTGCACCACCCATCACTAATTCCTTTTGAATACACAACACAACACAAAACTACCGGGCTCAAGCAGTCACGACTCGACCCATCAGATAAAAATAAGGGCAATCCCTGGACACCAATGGCGTCTGGGAGGTCTACGAAGCCTAGCGTCGATGCAACCACACAAAGATGCGCCCCGGGGTGCCGGGCCTCAGATCCTTCGAGGCCCTCCCCAATGGAGTGGGCTAAGCGAGACCCCCCTTTCCAGTGAAGGGCGGCAACGGTTAAAGCAGGCAGCGGGATGTCAGCATGCAGTGAGGTGAGGATTCCATAGGAAGATCCAACGTGTGACTGAGCCTTGGCTAAGTTGACCACAAGGTAGCCAGCGAGGGCGGGGGGAACACGTTGCATCTACATCTGGGATGCTGGACTTGGGCTCCTGCTCTCATCCACAGGCGTTTGTAGACAGCGGAGCCCAGTGTGGCACTGGTCTGTACTGAAACAGCGCGTTGACAGATCGAGACATCACTGGCTAAAAGAGATCTGTTTCGAGAGGCGAGAAGTCATGACCCAGTGCGTTCACCTGGATTCTGCCCTTCACCTTGGACCTCGCAATCCCGAAGGAGAGTGATATGGAACGCCATGGGACATGACAGTGAGCCCCACTCCCGAAGGATTGATGACACGCAGGGTTCATGGCAATCTGGGGTGCGACTGCGCTTCGCGAGTCGTCGCGCTTAACATGGCCATGGCGGGAAACATTTCTGCTTTCGCAGAATTCTAATCTTGAAAGAAAAAGAAAAAAAGAAAAAAAGAAGAACAACAATGCGGGCAGCCCTCAGTCTCCTGGTGGAAAGCAGCATACGATGACAGCTTATCGGGAACTAGGGACTAGTCACGCGAAATACATTGGCTGTGAGCTTTTCGTGATTGGAGGAAGTATGTTTTGGCGGCGGGGGGAGCTGGCTCAAGAGCAACGACATGAGCTATCACGAAAGCCGGGAGGCGGCGATTGTGGACTGTACTGGCAACTACGCAAACCAGCGTGACTAGTCTCCAAGTACACGACGCTTGCTCGGGCTGCGCAAAAAGTGAGACGACGAGCGCAGTCTTCTAGAGAGAGAGAGAGCACTTGGCCATGAGCTGGCCATCGCTTATCGTGAGGCTAAGGCGAGGACAGCTGCCCGATGAGGAAAGTCGACAGAGCTGGAGCACATGCCCCCGAGGGCGGGGGATACACCTCAGCAAGCAGAAGACAGCCCCCAGCATCTGGCATGTGCTGAACTCTGCACCAGGCCAAGTGCCGGCTAGGCGTGCCCACCCAATCTGGAACTTTGCCCGCTGCGGAAGGAGATGTTGCGTCTGCTCCAGCCGGCCAGTGGTGGTGCAGCAGCAGCAGTCCTGCAGCGGCACAAGCGCCGATTCGGAGAGGGAGGTCCCCTCCGCCACTTTTGGGCCAGCTGTTGATTGTGATTCAGTGCTGGCCAGCCCACAGCGAGACACCGCCCGTCGCCCTCTGCAGGGTGAGCCTGCTTCTCTGGACCAGGCGATTGTGACAACCCGTGACGTACAATGTCGACGCCAGCCAAAGTCTGAGGCGAAGGCAAGGCTGTTTTGGGACAGGAGAGCGGGCGGGGCAGCCCAGACCGAGGCGGGTCGCGGCGCAGTCGGGACAGTCTGGGGTGCAGGGCCGCCCTAGAGCCTAGTGCCCGCCAGGCGCCCGCAATTGCCCCGGGGGCAAAACCAAACCAGTCCACAGAAGGACATCTATGCATCTTCGATCTTCCAAGACATTGCGACAAGCGCCAGCCGCGATGATGGCACAGCTCAGCTGCCCCGCGAATCCCCCTCGGCAACAGGCACAAGAGGAATGGCCAGCCAGCCAGGCAGCCAGTGCTACCTGTGGATGGTCAAGCCATGGACGGATGGCACAGCAAGGGACGCATGGACGATTGTATCAATGGGGCAGGAAGACGTTGCACGCATAGACGGGCTCCATCGGGCTGCATGTCGACCGCCGCCCACCTCCCGCCCTGGGTTGTCTGCCTCCGTCCCCTCGGCCTATCAGCGGCTCGCCCATCCCTGCCCCCCATCCCAGCTCCTTCGCCTGTCAACTCCCATCTGCCGGGCCACGAGACCACCCTGCCGGGCCAGCCCACCTCGAAACAGCAGCTCCCATCCTGAGCCTTGACCCGGCGTCCTCTACTCAAGAAGCCTAAAGCTGTCGTCAAGGGTTCCGCCCGCCGTCCGCTTTCGGCATGACCTGGCCAGATTTTATTCTTGTACAGCCCGGCCGCTCGCCCGCCCTCGCTGCACGAGTCAACATGACTCTCTCTCTCTTCACTCCATCTCGAATCTTGACTGCGTAATCCTGGGAAACACGCCAGCATTTTAACATTCGGCGCCAGACCAACCTTGTTCTGAAAGCGGAACATTCAGAGAACCAGATTGTCCGTCCAGACCCCACCGCCCAGCTCTCATGGGCCAAGCTGTAGTTTAGCCGTCACAAACTCCAAGGGTCTCTTGTTGGTCTCAAAGCGTCACAGCTCCCCACGACAAGCACGCCCATGAAGATTTCCCAGAGAAACCAATGTCGATCGGTGTCAAATTCTGGGTCACAATCAAACTTACAGGATCACAAAGTCAAAGTGTCTTGCACGACCGGACAAGGCGGGTCTTCTGAAAGTTCAACTCTCGTGGCAAATTGCGAGACACCCCTCTTGGCTAAGGATCATATTACGCAGCGCCCAGCAACCGAGCAGGTTCACAGTTCCGTCCACGACCGCATCGCACAAAGCAGAAGTCACCCACCATTTTGCTCAGTAACAAAGATCTTTGCAACCAGAAGACCCAGGCTTCTACCATTCCCTGGTCTGCACTTGAGGCATACCTGCCAGCGGACACCAGCGTCACCATAATCGCAAGCACAAATCTAAACACAACAAGGATCCAGAAATGTATTCTGTAGCTCCTGTCAGTGCCCTTGGCACGCCTTTGGCACCGATCCGCTCAGTGAGCAAGCACAAACGCCCTCAATCTCAAGCAAGGCCGGCCTCATGTTCTGTTGCCAGCGGAGACCAACAGATGCTTGCCCTTGGGTACCACGAGACCTCAGAAGGAGCACCTCCGGTTCCATTGATCCCAGCTCGCTCCGTGTTGCGGTCTCGTTCGAATTCAGCATCCGCCTCTTCTACAGCCGTACCTTTGCGGCCAGCGAGCCCACCACCGCCGGTGCCGAACGGTCCAGCCACACTCAAGAAGAAGAAGCAAATTCGTACCATGAGAACCACTGCGGCCCGGCCAGTGCCTGGCGCGCCGCCAGTTCCTCCATATCCGCTAGTCGCGCCACCACGGCCGCCGAGACCCGACGACGGTGACTGCCTGCTCTCTTCATCGGTACCAGAGAAATTTAAACCAGCGCGGGATTGGCTTTCTCAGCCTGTGCCTCCGATTCCTGTAGGCTTGCTGGCAAGCGTGCCCAGGACAAGGCCGAACCGTGGTCATGGGTATAGCACCAGCACTGGTAGCGATTCTAGTGGTGTGGTGAGCATCAACACCCCACGACAAAGCCACGACTCAGTGGACTTTCGCCATGTCCAATTGAGCAGTTCTGCCTCGACAGCAGCACATGTGAGGAGCGGGCCTAAGAAGAAATCGGGTTCCCACTCGCATGCTCACGAGGCACCATCCATGTCCGTCTTTGAGGAGTCCTCGGACGACGATGAGCCTTACACGCACGAACGTGGCACCTCACGCAAATTCCGGAAAGGCGGCCTGTCTCTCATTTCGCGCAGTAGCCACAAGCACTCGAGCAGCAAAGAAGCAACAACTAATGCTTCCCATGGCACTGGGACAAGCAAGAACCTAGCCACGGAAGGGGATAGTCATGGTAGTTTGGATGAGTTTCGCCGGCGGGTGACAATGATACCCACTCACAGCCCTACGAATTCCCTGCCGGGCCTATCAGACGGCAGCGAGTCATCCAATCCGCCGTCAGCTGGGGAGCGGACCCCTACAGAAGACTCCTTCACCAAGCGTTTCGGCAGGACCTTCACCATTAAGGCCACAATGCCTAAGCCGGATCATCCTGACGATGAACTGATTGCGCTGATGCAGTCACTAAAGACACCCAAGCGGCGAGAGAGTTCAGCACGAATACGCCCTACTTACGAGAGTGCTGGGATGGAAAGTAAGTCGTTGTCGTTGTCTTCCTCCTCCGCCGCCAAGGATTCCTCCTACATACCTGGGACGATCGGAGGCATCGTGATTCACTAGCGGGTTCCGGCATGTGGGGTTGTCGCAATGTCTTGCCTAGTGTCGGGCAAGAAGATCATCATTATGCTTCGTCGAACGGGCTGGCGAGGGAGAAGCACCAAGACTTCTGATCGAGCATACACTAGGCATGTGGGGAAGGGAAAATTGGATTGTGTAAGCCGCAGAGCCGTGGACGAATTGTCATTCCCAGGTTGCTGCGTGGCGTTTTGGTTTAGGCTTTTGATTAAAGGCGTAGTCCTTCAGGAATGCCCACGCGGCTGCGGATGAGGCATAAAGCCCGCCGAACAGCTCTGCTTGTTGCATTTGTTGTCTTGTTGCTCTTTCTGCATGCTCTCGTGTACACACCGGATGCTGACTGGCAGCGCGCAGCTGTGCTCCCAGATATGCTGGTCGACGCCCTTCGCACCCAGGCGGCAGGGGCCTCTGGAATCCCTGCAATTAGTGGAGCAAGCAGAGCAGCCTCCAGCGGCGACCGCGCCCCGCTCATTGCAACTGCCATCCCTGGCCACCATCTCTCCTGCGATAGGGAGCTCGCCTGTTACCTCGTCCGCCCTAGTGGATATTCTCGTCACCTCCAACGCCACGGTCACCAACGTCACTATCGCGATCAATCGTCATCGCAGCTCGCAACGCAGCAGCCGACGAGCCCGCGGCCAGCTGGTGCTGCTGAGATGGCTGACCAGCCCCCCGACCGCCAGGCTCCGCGAAGCTTCCCCCTGATTGCTGCGACGCGACAGCCAGGACAACAAGATGCCACTCTCGAGCGTACACCCTCGCCGACCATGGCTCCCGCCGACTCGCAGTCCGTTCGGTCGAGCTCCTCGCGACGACGGCGCACCAATCACGAAAGACCTCGGACCCGCGGCAGCGGCACAGAGGCTGCACACGTGGATACTCCTGCGCAGCTAGACTCGATCCCCGCGGCCGTCCCTCGCCCAAACCCGCCCAATATCCGACTGATTTCCGCCGAGGCCGAGAAGGAATCTCAAAAGGTGAGATCGCTCTATACTTCTGGGGAGGGTCTCAATTGGGAAGACGTAGGCGAGCCACCGCCGCCTCTGGGTGGTGCTCCTTCCCAGTTCACGTCCGATTCCCCGCTCGGTGCCGACCACAATGACAATGACGCGTATGATTTCCTTGTCTGCCAGAGCTCAAACTTGAATGCGGTTGACTGACGTTGTCCTTGGCTTCTGCCGCACAGCCCAGGCGGAGAGCTCCCACCTACTCGTGGTACCCACGTATCAAGTAGTGTCACACTTACGGATGGCGATGATCCAAACTTGCCAGCGCCATGGACTGATCAGCGCACCGAGGGAATCGAGGACTGGGACGGCATCAACGTTGAAGATGTGGATCGCTATGGCTTCATCCTGCCCGCCAAGCCACAAACTCGAACAGCGAATTCGGAGGACTCGGACAACGCGCCTGATTCGCCTCGGAAGTCTCGTTCCACATTGCGAAAGATGGCCTATGGGGGCAATTCACTCACGCCTAGACGTGGGCCAAGTCGGAAGTCGTCCGCACGTTCCCTTCACTCGCACGCTTCAGACTTCTCGACTGCAACATACCGCTCTTCTCGCTCGCCCATGCGGACCGCCATGAACTTGCTGCCCCATAACAGGGACAGGAGACTGGTGGACGAGGCGGGCGATGTGCTTGCAATGCAGCCGGGGTTAACCAACATCGCCGAGGATGAGTCAGCCGAGATACTCGCCGATGAAGCGAAGCGCAAGGAAGTGTCGAGGACTGAGAAGTGGCGTAGGATGGCCACTGTCGTCAAACAGGGTGAGGATGGTCAGGGCATGGTCTTTGAGTTCGATCTAAAGCATCCCAAGCTCCTTAAGCGGGTGTGGAAGGGCATTCCGGACTGCTGGCGGTCGGCTGCGTGGTTCTCTTTCCTTGCATCCAGTGCGCGAGCGAGCGGGGACTCTTATGCGACAGATGAGCAGCTGAAGAGCGACTTTCTGCGGCTCGTTGATGAGCCATCACCAGATGACGGGCAGATCGATCTCGACGTGCCGCGCACTATCAACCAGCACATCATGTTTCGACGAAGATATCGTGGTGGTCAACGCTTACTGTTCCGCGTCCTGCACTGTGTGTCCTTGTACTTCCCAAACACAGGATACGTCCAAGGCATGGCACCACTGGCTGCCACATTGCTGAGCTATTATGACGAAGAGAATTGCTTCATCATGCTGGTCCGGCTCTGGGAGTATCGCGGTCTCGACTGGCTCTATACTGCTGGCTTTGAAAAGCTCATGGAGACGCTGCAAGACTTTGAAACCCTGTGGCTAACAGACAGAGAAGTCACCAAAACACTGGTAAGCCACCTCGCCGGCAGGCGCTCAACCATACTTCGGTGATCCATACTGACTTAATGGGTTAGTCGGATTTGTCAGTACAGCCCATGGCTTATGCTACCCGATGGTATCTGACTTTGTTCAACCTGGCAATCCCTTTCGCTGCCCAACTGCGGATCTGGGACGCATTCATGTTGCTGGGCACTTCTCCAAAGAGCAAAGCCGGACCTGACCCTTCCGAAGGCGAGACGACCGACTCTGGTGAGCCGCCATCAAAGGGCTTGGAAATTCTGCATGCTGCCAGCGCCGCCATCATCGACGTTTATAATGATTCACTCGTCGACTCCGACTTTGAGAATGCGATGAAGATTTTGACGTCATGGGTGCCGATCAAGGACGTTGAGCATTTCATCGGGGTCGTCCACGCCGAGTGGAAGCGGCACGAGAACAAGCAGAAGAGCTTCTGAATATGACGGCACTATCTTCACTCCTCTTCACTTTTGCATGCGAGGACGCGATGCATCCGTTGCTTTTCTTTGCTTGTATTCGGATCAAATCCGCAGGATCGACTTTGCTGCTCACCTTGCCACATCAGCCTTTGCGACCTTATTGCAATTCGATACCCCGCAACACATTGCTTTTTCTAACACGGATCGACAATTTGTCGGTTGTTCGTATTCCAGCCCAGCTCGATTGCAACACGATAAGATGGTGGCAAGAGAATGTTACTTTGTATCGTATATAGATCTCAAAGAATGCGACGCGCTTTTTATGAGTGGATTACGCCGTTCCAGCCTGAGTGCTGGTTGCCATGCACTCCAAATGCGCATGCTTACTTTCGAGACTTGACCACTGATGAGATCCTCAGTGCCCAGCCGCGCAACGACTCAGAGCGTGAACTCGAGCCGGTTGCCGGCATAGTCCCGGGCGAAGAAACGGGTAGGGTACTCGACGCCCTTGGCGCCCGAGTTGTCCTCCCCCGGCTTGTCTGCGGCCCTGGGGGCCCCCAGCGCGCCGCTCTCAAAGTGGGCGTACACCCGCTGCTGGAGCTGCAGGAGATCCTCGGGACTACCGACGCGGAAGCAGGGGTGGCGCGTGGACTCGAGGTGGTCAAAGTCCTGGGGCTTGCCAAAGGCTATGTGGACCTGCTGGAGCGGCGGCGCCGTGGACGAGGACGAGGCCGAGATGATGTCGAACCAGGCGAGGCGGCCGGCCTGGGCGGCGGGGACCGGGCGGGGGGTCAGTCCGAGTGTCGAGGCGTAGAAGGCGTTTGCCTGGTCTAGAGTGCCCTCTGGCACTGTGAGGTTGATGTGGTGCAGGCCGGTGATCATGCTTTCTGATTTTCTTTGATTTTGTTGTTGGGGGGTGTGGGGGGGTGCGGCTGCAGCAAGAGGCCAGGGGAGTATGGCCAGAGGTTTGCGCGGGATGGTTGTCTGAGGCCAAGCTTCCTCGGTGTTTTGTCTCAGTGTTTTGGAGGTTGCTTATCAGCGGGATCGTTGAGTGAATTACAATGCAAGAGGATCTGACACGGAGGGCCCAGGCTGGCGAGAGGAGCACGAAAACAGCACGAGCGCGGGAAGTGAGGCGAGGTGAGAGTTGCAAACCCCGCCCGCGATCGGAACATGGAGAGGGTGGATCGTGGTTGAATCGGCAGCTGGGCCGGGACGGACGGGACTTGGTCGGGAGGCCGTGGGGGTGGGGCACGCCCACTGCCGGGTTGGGTCTTGCAGCGGGACGCTTCCGGAGACGGGCGGCATGCCAGTCCAGTGCATCTTGATCAGAGCCGGCTCCGAACATGTCCAATGTACAGTTGTATATGTGCGCAACAACATCACCTCTGGTGCCCAAGTCATGTTGGGCGGTGCAAGATTGCCAGAGCAGTCGCGGCTTGCGGCGCCGCGGATGACATGCACCTTCCTCCCGCGCCGGCCGCCACTTACTTTAAGTACACAAAGGCACGAGACGAGGCCTGGAGAGTCCGCGTAGGTCGAGCCGTGTCCATCAACTTGTCCAGGCAGGGACATCCATCCAAAACCATGGTGCCAGCGCCTTGTACCGAGGACGGCCCCAGCTCAGCAGCTTAACCTGGCGTCCATAACCCTCGCATACATGGTCCATTTCGGCCACCTTTCTCCGAAAGCCACTGAGGGCCGAAAGCCCACAGGATATCAACTGCAAGCCTCTACTTAGGGAGGACTGCATGGCCCTTCATCTCTGCCCTCGTGCAGTAGTCCCTTCTTCCACTCTCGAGCGATCTCACTTCTCCACGGCTGCGGCACCGCCTGCCTATCGGACGCCATCGACCCGGCTCCTCGACACGGACAGCCACTCGCAGTCACTCTCAAGCTTCACCACAATTCCATGCATCATGACGGCAACGACCAAGGACGGCTGTACAACTCCCGCGCAGCTGCTCAGGCGCGAATCTGAGCCACACGACATCGCCAAGTCGGCCAGCGACGTAACCACGCAGAGACAACGACAACAACCACAGCAGCAAAGCAAGAAAACAACCAAGGCGAACAACAGCAGTGCCGGCAAGACAACTCGCTGCTCGAAATACATGGTACCTCAGCACGTTCTCCCACATCGCCTTCCAACCTGCATCAACGCCTACCAGGTTTCGGCCCTCAGCTGGAACCACTTCGCCTTGGGCGATAAGAAGAGCAATTCACTCTACTCTATATCACTACACAATGGCGGCTGCATGGAGCCTTCGCTGGTGTTGCACGACGGTCCAGACTGTGACAGCTCCTCGAAGCCTCTTGCCTCGGCAGGCCTGCTCCCCAACCGTTACGACGACGACGACGACGACAAGAAGAACCGCGAGGGCAGCGCGTCCACCAGGTGTAACCTGACTAGCCAGAGCGGCGTTGAGAGTGGATCAGACAGCGAGCGCGATACCAGAAGCGGCCACAAGAGGTTCTCTCTCGCCGGTCTCGAGACCTGGCGATGGGACAGCAGCCAGGACACCATATACGACGCCGTCGTGGTTCGAACCGCCAAAATCGAAAGGTCGCCCACAACGCTGTCACTCAAAACTCAAAACTCTCAGAGTTCCAAGGAGAGCTCCACGCCGCATATTCTAAGAAAGGAGTCCCGCATCACGCTTCCACGTACACCTTGGTCTTGGTCTTCTGGACTCATGACGGAGGAAGCCTTTATTTGTGATCACGGCATAGGGAAGCCCTCAGGGTACAGATTCGTCATCGAGACATCGCCCTGCGGGCATCGCGAAGAGTTTGAATGGCGAAAATCCCACGGCGAGGCCATCGAGAGACTCGATGGATCGTGCCTCGGGGGCTGGAAACTGGTTAGGATTGGGGCTTTTGACAAACAGGGCAGATCCCTGAAGCGCCATTGCAAATCCATCAAACATTTCCCCGCTTACACGGAACACCATATCACGCCGTCTAGCACCAGCAAGAGATCCTCCTGTACTACATCCCAGCAGAATGAGAGGGTGGAGCTTTTGAGGAACCAGACTTTCGACGATCAGACAACACCAGTACAGACAGACAGCGACGAAGAAGGGGACAATTTCAAACTGCCTTCAACAGATACGATTACGGGCACAGACGGAAATGAAGTTGTGGCCGCGTGGGTCATGAGCAGTAGGCGGCAGCGCCTGGCGTCATGCTTCACCAACACAAAGAAGTTCCGATTCGCGTTCTACGGCACGGGTGCGTCAGGAGTGCTAGGCGAGCGGTTCGCCCTCATGACACTGATGACGGCGTTGCGAATGTGGGATCTCCACCGCCGCTCGGGGACCAGCTTAGCTTACTGCCGACAGCTCGCGGGATGCTGTAGATAGGATCGACACTACACGCATTTTTTACGACCAAATAATGGCCTCGGACGAAATCGTGGTTTCACTAGTTTCTCAATGGAGGGACAGGGGGAAGAGGGTGAGGGGTTGGGATTGATCGTGTGATAGATTGCAGGTGCATTGGCGATCTCTAGATGTAGTTATAGATTGCCGAGTGACGGAAAATGGGTAACCTCTCAACGCTTTAGACTGTTGGAATGAATTTCATGTTCGTCATACTGCCGGCCACACCGGTACGACAATGTCGGAGTTGGCCTCATCTCGTGCATTCACTGAACATCAACTTGAAATGCGCCACGTTGGGGCACCTTGAATTTTGGGTTTAACTTTCTTTTGTGGACTATGATGTAACGACGGCAACGCCCAGCGCGATTACGGAGCTACTCACTTGGTCCTGGCCTTGTCCCACGGGCAGACACTCCGGCGCATGCGCCATCCTCACGTGGTCGATTCCAATACCTCATGAGCACGTCGAGACACGCCTCCTGTTTACTATCTTCTTGCCCCTGTCCCTCGGCACCGTTTTCACAGAACATAAGCAGGGTCACTGTCAAACATTCAAACATGAATGAGCTCTGACGTCTGATATTTAGCGAGGTAGCACCATCTACGAATAGTGCTACTGGGAGTGCAACAAGTTGCAGATATCGCGAGCAAGCTAGCTGCTCATATGTTTTCGAATTCCCGCAATCATTCTTCCACCACATACTACCCTTCTTACCCCCTCTCAAGTGGTGTAGATGAAGTCGGGGCGGTTGTCGCCACGAACGAGCTTCTGCTCGTCGGTGAGGCCGTCATTCATATTGTCGCGCGCGCCCGAGAGGCGTTTCTTGTTCTCAGCCTTCAGGGCGAAGTGCATGAAGATGGTACCGCCGAGAAGGAAGAGGACCTGGTAGGCAAGCACGACGCCGTGGCCAGTAAGGTAGCGTGGCTTCTGGGTCGAGATATAAATGTTGGAGGAGACAACACCGTTGAGGTTGCCCCAGCCGACAATCATGCCAATGGCGACGGCACGCTTCAGGGATCCTTCGATATTGTCTGGTGAGAAGAAGTCGTCAGTATATGCACACAGAAAGCAATGTCAGTTTTCCGAATTGACTTACTGGATGCCCATGAAAGGGAGTTGGAGATTGTAGGATAGATGCCAAATGCGCCAAGGAAAGTTCCAGCGTATTGAACATGGGGATCGCCGGAGCCGAGAAGCATGGAAAACCCAACAATGCCAACAAGAACGACGGCAATGTTGCAATATCCGCGCCACCGGGTGCGGTCAGCGATGAAGCCGACAGTGACAGTGGCCAGAGCAGCAACGGCGTAGGGAGGCACAGTGAGAAGCTGAGCAGTAGTACCGCTGTAGCCAATGGCGGCAATGATGGTAGGAAGGAACAAGCTGAAGGCGTATAGAGGGCAGAGGCAGCCCATGTAGATGACCACTGAACCCGATGTTAGCATAGAGTAGGATTGACAGACCAAAGCAGGGCGTGCTTACTGTAGCCATAGGTCTTCCAGTCCTTCAGGGCCTCGTAGATGTATTTCTTGTCGAAGTCCGTGGCGGCGTGTCCCTGACGGTCTTGAATGATGCGGCGCTGAAGGCGAATCTTGTCGTCCTCTGACAGGAAACGAGCAGTCTCGGGCCAGTCAAACACCATCCACCAGCAGAAGAGGCCGACAAAAACCGTAGCAAGACCCTCGATGATGAAGATCCATTGCCATCCGGCGACACCACCAATCTTGTCCATCTTCGAAATGGCTGCGGCAAGCAGGCCACCGAAGGATCCTGCGAGAGCAGCAGCGGAGAAAAATATGGCGCTACGTGCACCGAGTTCAGATCTGATGCGTGGTTTATCAGTGTACTGTGGATATTGAAAACAAACAAGACTCAATGTGGCTTACCCCTTGTACCAGCAGGAGAGGTAGTAGTTGACACCGGGGAACAGACCAGCCTCGGCAATACCCAGGAAGAAACGGGCAGCCAGAAGGCCAGCAAAGTTGTGGCACAAGCCCATGAGGGTCATGATGATGCCCCAGGCAACGATGATGCCGGTGAAGAAGATTCTCGGGGTGAGGCGCTTGAGGAGTGTGTTTGTGAGGGGCTCGAACAGGGCGTACGAGATGAAGAAGATGGTCAGCGACAAGTTGTAGTCAGTGCCGAACATGTGTAGGTCGTTCTCCATGCCGGCGAGGCGGGCATTTCCAATGTTGGTCCGGTCCAGGAACGAAAGCAGGTAGAGCAAAGACAGCCAGGGAATCAACCACAGGTCGACCTTCCACATGAGCTTGCGATCCTAAAGGTAGACAGAAGCGCAAACGTCAGCCGCTGTGTATCACGACGTTGGAGCAAATGTGGTGGGTCTGCTTACGATCTCTGCTCTCTCCTCGGGCGACTTGCCAGCATCGGGGTCGGGTAGGCGGGCAAGTTGCTCGGCGCGCTCGCGCTCCAGGGCAGTGGGCTTCAAGGCAAGGCCATTGCTCGCAGTGGACGTCGCAGGGGCAATGTCGTGGCCGGAAGACGTCTCAACATCATGCTTCTCGTGGGAAGACATGGTGGCAGATATGGCAGAATAGATGCTCTGGGCGGACTGAGCTTGTGGGACAGGTGTGTTCACAAGAGTCTGAGGGGGCAAGAGCGACCTGGGCCAAGACTGGACACTGGGCAGAAGGGAGGCGCGATGGCAGGGTCTTATACATGCGGACGAGACGAGCCACGGAGGCTCTGTCAGCCGGGAAGGACAGCGAGCTACCCCACAGCGATGATGGGGAACACATTAGTGATGGCGCCCTTGGATGGGCGACGACATGGGGCTCCGTCTGCCCGAGCGAGGAGCAGCTGGGCCAGGCTGGGCTGGCCGGCTATGGGAGATACAGTTTGGGGCCCGAGTAGAGGAGAAGCGATGCAATGCCATGGGGCGATATGTCCCACACCTTGGGCGCGGCGTGGAGACGGGTGCGGCGGCGCTAGGGCCAGCGACAAGCCTCTGCAGCGGGCCCCCCTGCAAGGCTTGGCCTACCTTCTCTTAAGCTTGTTGCCCCCGGTGCTGTGGGAGGAGACAGAGCAGGCTCTGTTTGGACGACTCTGAAGCCCGCCTTCTCCGCAGCCCCCGCCCTGCGCTACGGCCTGCCCCTAGGCCACGAGCAGGCTAGCCTCGGTGGCCTCCACCTGCCTCTCCACGGGGTCTTTTTGAAGGGGGTCTGAAGCGCTGCGGGGAAGGCGGGCACCCGGTTTGTTGTTGTGGTCATCATTCCTCGAGCACGCAGCAGAGGCAGGCTCAGTCAGTCAGACGCTTATCTCGACTGCCGCGCCCGGGCCAAGACTGCATGCGGCCTAACCCTCGGTCAATTATCAATGCCCAGTCGCGCGTCCTGGGCAGGACCTCGTCTGCCTCGGGTCGCCCGGAGACACGACAACATGGCCAACGGAGGAATTGCAAAGACCGACACGACGGGACATGACTACAAGCAGACACCATTGAATTGAACCTTCAAGGACTGTGCGCGTCGATCTGGCGGTCCCTGCTGGCGTATGCCAAGGCGCCATCTGTGCGTGCCCATCGCGGAGGCCCAACTCTGCGGTGCTGGAAAATTCCGCAAAGGGCCCGTCGCACCCACCACGATGAGCGCCCGAGTCGTCACCCACGTCTGCCAAGCACCCAGCACCACCAACACTGGCTGACGGCGGCACTTGGCTCGGCAATCGCCAATCTGCTCTCCCAGCAGTTGGCCCGTACGAGCCTCATCATCTCGTACGAGCCCCAAGACTGCCAATGCTGACCAGGACTGGGCAGCACGCACAGAGGCTCCACGCAGCACTCGCGGGGCCGTTGCTCTCCACGTTGTGTTGACTCTGGCTCTGGCCAGCTTGGTCATGGTCATGGATGTGTGTGACGCAACCACTCATTTCAAAAGGTGGCTGCTACCAAGGCCAGATCGCCCGATGCCAGAGCGACCATCTGCTTGGGACCCGCGCGCCACCACGGCGATGCGCAAGCGAGTTGCACATCGGGCCAGGCGTCAGTCAGTCAGGTCCCCGCACACACCGAGGCCTGCGGGGCCTCGAATCTCTCTTGCGAGGTCAGGCGGTCCAGAGTCTGCGCTGCTCGCTTCTGCATTCCGCTCCACGTGCCTGCCATGCGCGTGGGTTCCGTCCCACACGCACAGACACGATTCTCCCTCGCTCCTCTGCTGAGCTCGTCTTTGTCTCCGCCTCCGCCACCCAACACAAGATTGCTCCGGAGCAGCGGATGGCTGGTCCAGCCCCAACTGGGCGGCTTCTAGAAGCGGCCATTGTCTCTCGTGCCGCTCCAGCGTGCACCTTTGACTCGAGAGACACCACACCACAGTCCCAACAACAGTCCGTTCTCACCGCGGTGTAGGGAGACAAGGAAGCCAGAGCTGTCACCCCAATGCCCCGGGTACCTGGAGCGGCGGGACCGAGGAAGCCACACAACCTACGATCATCTCGCGTGGTCTGGTTTGTAATTAATCCCTCGGTGTTTGTGCGGACGTGACTGGTGTTTCTTGCCGCCTGCCCGCGTGGGTTGTCCGCTGCATTCTTGTCCCTTGGTCCGTTCGTTCCCCAGACCCCCGGCCTCTGCCCCCACGGATGCCGCGCCTGGGGTCCCCGCACTTTTTTCCCAACTCTCATCCCAGGCTTACCCCGTCAGCTTCACGAAACAGTAGCCTTGGGTCATGCCCATGGGCCTCGACTTTTGGCCATCCTCGCCAACGACTTGTTCCTCCCAAAGCCCAACCATTCTCCCATCATGCCATGTCGGGTCTCCTTGAACAATCCCCATGCAAGATATGCACTGTCCCAAAAACAGGCCCTTACGGTTTGTCTGCGTGCTAGATACCACTATCCTACACACTCCCATGAGCTTCACACGCACAAACAGCATTTCCTGCTGTACACACGCTGCACCAGCTGTCTCCTCGTGATTCGTTAGCCTCGTCAGCTTCAAAGAACAGCGCGTGCGTGTGAGATTGCTTAGCGTGCCCATATGGACTCTCAATTTTCGCATCACAGTACAGGGAGTAGAGACATGACCAGGGCGAACAAGGGCGGGCACGGATGGATTAGCCTGGGCCACGCCTCGACACGCGGTCCTCGCTAGGGCTTACTGCTGACCGATACGGGGGTCGAATGGGAGGGACTCACCTGCATGTTTGCTGCACCGTTGGACTCAAATGCGGACGCTCCAGTGCGGCTGAGGTGACATTGACTCTTGCTGTTGATTTTGCAGGAAGAAATGCCGTCCACGACAGGCAGTGCTCAATCTCAGATGTGATTGCCATTGGCGGAGACGCGCATTACCCTCGTCCCAGGTCGGGGGGGTTGAGGCTCTGCTCGCCTGGTGTGGTTCATCCCCGCCTAGCCGCACACTATGGTATTCTACCGACTTGGCAGTGGCATCACTAGAAAGAAGTGTGCGATCCAAGCCGGAATGATCCGCAGCACCATGCAAACATCAGAGGGCAATCCTTCCACCGTAGATCCTCGGCGGCCGTCGCAGCAGAGCTGTGAGCGAACGTCTTGGGCATGAAGGTTATTTTTGGACGGCAGCATTGCTGTTGCGTTCTATGTTCTGTGCTGAGGAGAGAAGGGAGTGCAACGTGTCTACAATCCGTAACTTGAATACTTTCCATTGTTTGTGACATAAGTAACTCATTTTGGTGGCAGAGAGTTGGGCGAGGCTGAAGGCATTCGGGCATTCTCAAATCATTCGGCCAAAAGTCTCTCTGTCAAACCTACTCAAAATATAGCAACCCGCCTAGGATACTTGGACAAATAGATTAATCACTTGTACAAGAGGATGCCCTGGTACTCAAGTTACACGGAGAGCATCCGATGAATGAACCAGCGAGTCATGATTATTCAAAGGATCATCGGTGGGGAATGAGCTTGTGCTGCTGCAAAGAGCGTGACGCCTTCGATTAAATGCATGTGAAGCTAATAAGTGGTCTCATGCGTCTCCTTTACTCGTTTATTTATGCTTTAGATCGATTGATGATCGACTTAGCACGAATTTCCTGAGAGACGAGCGAGCTGCAGATTCCATCGATGGAACTGAAGTCCTGCGTGTTTGTGATGCGTGAAGGAGAGCTTGGGGCATGTACTATGTGTATGTCCACCATACCAGACGAAGTATTACACATGGAATGGAACGTGCCTTTTTGACGCAGTCATCATTCAACGAAGTGTCATGCCGCTTGAGACCGGTGTCCATGAGAACCTTGCAGCATACAATCCATTTTACTGAGAGACAAACACACCGTCAGGAGCCACGTTGTGTATAGTGCGGGTGCGTCAAGGTCTACAGGCTAGTCATGATAACGCCGGTCGCTTCTGATGGAGAGTCACAATGCCATAGTGGCGAAGACATCACAAGTATATTTACTGTCCATTGAGCGCATTATTCTGCACTCGAGGTAGGAAAGATGGGCCCAGCGTAGTTCTTTGCTGAGGTTGTCCTGAGAGTGCTGCTTCAAAGGAGCGACATTACGATGAAAGCAATACATGTCACTAGACAGTGGCCAGGTGCACCAATGTCTTGAATCGTGATGCGCACTCTAAAAGTGCTCGGCTGATGGAATGGCCACAAACGTCATCTAGTTATTGATTCCGGCCTCCCTCTCGATTTCTTCTTTGCCAGGCGACCACTTGTCCTGTAAGGCTTTGTCCAGGCTCAAGCCGTAGACGTCCTTGGCCCACCATTCGCCCCAGCTGGTCAGGAATATCTGCTCTGTGTCCTTGGGCAAATCGTCACGGACGAATGCCGCATAAATGCTCTGAGCTCCTATAATACGCATGGAACATGGTCAGTCGATGGCGATAAGGGGATGCACGAAAGCGACAGACAGAAGCATAGCGCTCGATCATCGAGACTGGAGGACAGGGGAGGAGAAGAAGCAGATGGCAACGCACCCTCGGGAACACTCTTGGCGTCAGGCAAGTTGTCGGGCATCTGGACGACGTTGTTGCGATTGATCCCTGTGCCGGGGATCAGACCGGGCGACACAGCGACCACGACAGCGTTGTCCCCAAGCTGGCGCCTCCACCAGTGTGCGCCGAGGAGCTGGATGAACTTGGATGCGCTGTAGCGACCGTTGGGGGTTTTGTCGGCGCCGCTAAGCATGTCTTCTTCAAGGGCACCTAGGAGTCGAGCAGGAGGTAAGCGTGGTGATTCCTCGTAGCGCCCTTGTCTGAAGCGATTGGAGGCAACATGTCCAGTACTTACTTGTGTCCTTGACACCACGAACCGCGCCAGAAGAGACAACAACAACTCGGGAATGAGATTGCTCGATTTTTGGGCGCAGGAGGTGAGTCAAGTAGTGTTGAGCTGTTGCGCCAAGTGTCAGTATTCATACGTGGCCAACCCCTTCCCCGATGCTCAAGACACATATCCAACACGAAGACATACAGAGATGATTCACCAAGTAGGAGTTGGACCACTTGGATCCTTCGGGGCCCTTGGTGCCCGGCGCCTCGAACATGCCGGCATTGAGCATGACGTAGTCGAGTCTGTCGTTGCCCAGCTTCTCGAGAGCTTGCTCGGCGAAAGATTTGACAGTCTTCAAGTTGGACAGCTCGGCTGGCAAGATCGTCAGCTTGTGGGTGCTGCTGTCATACTGCAGAGCATCATAGGCCGCTTGTGCCTGCTGAGTGTCGCGGGCGGCAAGGATGAGCTTGTATGGTTGGCTCTGCTGGAGCAGCTGCTTCACCAGTTCAAAGCCCTGTGAGACTCGGCTGTTAGCGAAGCAGTGCGCAATGGCAAGCCACGATCAGAGCTTACGAGACCGGACGAGGCTCCTGTGGCGATCAATGTCTTGCTGATGGTCGCCATTGTCGTTGACGTAATCGAGTTCACGGGCCGAGATCTTGCCTTCTACTAAAGAACCGCGATTAAAGTTGTCGGTGCTCGTTTTGGTTCAGATGATCGCACTGGCGGCCACAGTTGTCTGGAACATAGAAAGATCGGTTTTATATAAGTTGTCGGGACTACAGATATAGCAATGTAAAGGCAATTTGTCAGGTCCTTAACCACTGGGCCGGACTTAAGACACAAAGGCCACCCGCTGGTATGGATCTAGCTGCAGATCAGCATGATATTCCACCACGACAGGTAAGACTGTAAGAGGAGACAGCTAGCAATAAGCGAGTATGCAACATGTTGAGGCACTGTCAACGACCTGAGAGTTACACAGCTTCAGAGCTGTCTATAGCATCAACAGAAGTGCTCATTGCTCGAACAAGGCATGATTGTTTTCCCAGGTTATTCCAAGGTGTGCCCACGAGGTCCTGTTGTCAAAGCAGAGCCCCCCTGCCAAGGTGTGCTGCTGCTGCTGCTGTGCGGTCGCTGAGGCTGGCGGGGTGTGGGGATTGAACAGGCTGGACACTGGACATGGTCCGTAAGGGCTTTCCACGGTTTTCCATGGGCCAGCTTCACGGCCCGCACTAGGGCCGAAACGGGCTAGGCCGGTCTCCCGCAGCAGTAACGCACGCCAATTGCTATTGCTCCGTGCGACCGCCAGCTCGAATCCAAATTTTTATGAGCTTCATCCGGACCCCGACGCCTTCTCCCCCGATCTCCCAGTTTCCACGTCTTCGTCCTCGTCCTCGTCGCTGCTTCTACTTCCAGCTCCTTTTTGTCGCGGAGAAGGCCTTTTCTGTACATTCGTCGGCGTCGCCTCCTTCCCGCCCTGCAGACTCACCTGTACCATCGTTACCCGCCTGCCACCCGACACAATGCAGCGTGCTCTCTCCTCCCGCGCCCGGGCGTCCGTTCTCTCCACTGCCACGGCCAACAAGTACCGTGCCGGTGCTGGTCTGTCCCAGCAGCTCAGATTCGCTCACAAGGTAACTATCGCCCATTCGCTCCGTACCATCTTGCTCGCTTCTGCGTTGTGAGCACCAGCGCTGACATGGTTTCGCTCTTCCTCAGGAGCTTCGCTTCGGTGTTGAAGGCCGCGCCGCCCTGCTGAAGGGTGTTGAGACCCTCGCCAAGGCCGTTGCCACGACCCTCGGTCCCAAGGGACGCAATGTCCTGATCGAGTCGAGCTACGGCTCCCCGAAGATCACGAAGGGTATGTCGGAAAACTGCTGCAGCACTGCACCGTAATGGTCAGGTCCCAACTTTCTTCCGTATGCTAACATTGCTTGCTTTTCTAGATGGTGTCACCGTGGCCAAGGCCATCAGCCTTCAGGACAAGTTCGAGAACCTCGGTGCCCGACTTCTCCAGGACGTCGCCTCGAAAACCAACGAGTCTGCCGGTGACGGCACCACCTCCGCCACTGTCCTCGCCCGCGCCATCTTCTCAGAGACCGTGAAGAATGTCGCTGCTGGTTGCAACCCCATGGACCTGCGCCGCGGCACACAGGCTGCCGTGGATGCCGTCGTCGAGTACCTCCAGGCCAACAAGAGGGACATCACCACCAGCGAGGAGATCGCCCAGGTCGCCACCATCAGTGCCAACGGCGACACTCACATCGGTGCCCTGATCGCCAACGCCATGGAGAAAGTTGGAAAGGAGGGTGTCATCACCGTCAAGGAGGGTAAGACCGTCAACGATGAGCTCGAGGTTACCGAGGGTATGCGCTTCGACCGCGGCTTTGTCTCCCCATACTTCATCACCGACACCAAGTCCCAGAAGGTCGAGTTCGAGAAGCCTTTGATCCTCCTGTCCGAGAAGAAGATCTCTGCTGTCCAGGACATCATCCCCGCTCTCGAGGCGTCTACTCAGCAGCGCCGCCCGCTCGTAATCATTGCCGAGGACATTGATGGTGAGGCTCTGGCTGTCTGCATTCTCAACAAGCTCCGTGGACAGCTCCAGGTTGCTGCTGTCAAGGCCCCCGGCTTTGGCGATAACCGCAAGTCTATCCTCGGCGATATCGCCGTGCTCACCAATGGTACCGTCTTCACCGATGAGCTTGATATCAAGCTGGAGAAGGCCACCCCCGACCTGCTCGGTTCCACCGGCTCCATTACCATCACCAAGGAGGACACCATCATCCTCAACGGCGAGGGCAGCAAGGATGCCATTACCCAGCGCTGCGAGCAGATTCGTGGTGTCATGGCTGACCCCACGACCTCCGACTACGAGAAGGAGAAGCTTCAGGAGCGTCTCGCCAAGCTTTCTGGCGGCGTCGCCGTCATCAAGGTCGGCGGCTCTTCCGAGGTCGAGGTCGGCGAGAAGAAGGACCGCTTCGTGGACGCTCTGAACGCCACCCGCGCAGCCGTTGAGGAGGGCATTCTCCCCGGTGGTGGTACCGCTCTCATCAAGGCGTCCGTCCACGCTCTCAAGAACGTCAAGTCTGCCAACTTTGACCAGCAGCTTGGTGTCAGCATTGTCAAGAACGCCATTACCCGTCCCGCCAAGACCATTGTTGAGAACGCCGGCCTCGAAGGCTCTGTTGTTGTTGGCAAGCTCCAGGACGAGTTTGCTAATGACTTCAACAAGGGCTTCGACAGCTCCAAGGGCGAGTACGTCGACATGATCCAGGCCGGTATCCTTGACCCCCTCAAGGTTGTCCGCACTGGCCTTCGGGATGCCAGCGGAGTTGCCTCTCTGCTTGGTACTACCGAGGTCGCCATTGTCGAGGCTGCCGAGGAGAAGGGCCCTGCCGGCATGGGCGGCATGGGTGGTATGGGTGGCATGGGCGGTATGGGCGGTATGGGCGGCATGATGTAAGGATATACTGACGAACACTGTAAAACAAGAGAAAAGCGGCGGATGAGCTTGCCCTCTAGATCTCCCCTCTTGAGCAATGGCTCGCTGCCATCACGCATCATGACTTGTACATCATATTTGTAACTACGAACCTGATATCCCAGCGGCATTATAAAGCACTTGTATAATAAAAACAAACTCATCAGCATTCGGTACCGCTGACAAAATTGCCGTGTGCAAAAAATTACAATCTACCTGTGGTTTAATGGCAGCCGTTAGGAGAAGGCAAGCTTGGACTGGAACTAAGCACATGAATCTTGTGATGTGGGGATGAGCGATCTGAACAAGGCAACATTTGTTTGCTCGACCTTGCTCTTCAAGTCAGCGAGGCAACAGCTTTAAGCCCTTGGTCTGTTTTGCACCTTATGACGCGTCCATCAGCATCAAGGCCTCAACTGGGTGCCTTGTTGTCGCCATGGCTGTCAACTAATGGATGCCTGATAAGCACTCCCTGATTGTCGAGCAATTTACATTCCCATACACAATTTCCACGTGTACAAGGATCGACCACGAGCTCTCCTGCCCAGGAAAACGGCCATCTTGTTTGGCTGGGAAACTTGATGCGCATATCATGGCTGAGAATGACTTGGGGCCGGTGGGGCGCATACGCAACAGAGGGGATCGCCTAGGTACAGTCCACAAGTTGCCGGGGCAAACGAACTGTGTCGCCCTGGTCTCTCCTGCCATGGCTATCCACTGCTGGCTACATACGTGAGGATTGCGGATGGATGCCTGAGCTTGGAAGTGGACAAGGCTCCCGGCGAGTGGGACTATTACGAAAGGTCGGTGGGCATGTCCGTGCCGTTGCTTGTTCTCCTGAGCTGACGATTTGCACGGCACGGCGGCCTGGGCCCCAGTCTTGGTTGGGAGTCCGGTCGACCCCTCCACCCCCTCCCTCCTGGTCCTTGTCCCTCCTTCTCATCCTCTGCTGCGACTGCGCACCTACTCAACTTCTTGAGCAGCATTTGGCACTAACGTAGCTTGCTCTCCTTGTTCCTCCGCAACCACCTCCTGTGATCAACCCGACCGCCGTCGCAACCTCTCTCCTGTCAGTTTGCCCTGTCCCTGCACTGCCCACGCAGCCGTTCGCATTCCACCATTACACCTTTGGCCATCCCTACACACATCTGTTACCCCGTCCAGAGCTCTACCTGGTCTTTGCACATTTCTGGAGCTCAGAAAGCGCTCGCATGCGTACACCTTTGCTGATAACTCACACCGCAGCTCGACTCCTTTGAACAATCAACTGTTCCACGTCATTGAACAAAATGGTAAGCAATTCTGATCTCGCCTGTGTCCCTTCATTACACTGCTCGATGTCTAACCAAACCGTTGCCAGTCTCAATCTGGGTTCGTGCTGTTTCCTTGCTTTCCCATCCGACTACCGCAATCGAGCCCAAAGATCCCATGATGTTGTGTCAAGTTCGCCATCGACGCTTCACACTACCCCGCTGCACGTACCACGACGCAAGAACGCTACTCTACGTGGCTGTGCCAAGAATGCCAGCTAATTCGTGCGCCGCCATGCGCCTCACAGAGCGACCGTTTCGCAGGAATGCGTGACTGCATTCAACGACCTCAAGCTTGCCAAGAAGTACAAGTACGTCATCTTCAAGCTGTCCGACAACAACCGCGAAATCGTTGTCGAGGAGGCCTCGGCCGACGGTGAATGGGACAACTTCCGGGAGAAGCTGGTCAACGCCACCACTAAGAGCAAGAGTGTACGTTTTCCCACCATGCCGCAATCGTCCCACTTTTGGGTTCGCCTTTAGGCTTTGCTAACCACCGACGCATGCAGGGCGCTGTTGGCAAGGGCCCAAGATACGCCGTTTACGACTTCGAGTACTCTCTTGCTAGTGGCGAGGGAACCCGGTATGGACCATGGCTCAAATCGAATCGCGCAAGTGGGGATTGTTAACAATAGAACAGGAACAAGATCACCTTCATTGCCTGGTCACCTGACGATGCTGGTGTCATGGTAAGTTTCTATCATCCCTTGAAGACTCATGCTACGACCTCTAGGAATGTCGCTGACATGCAGTCAAGGCCAAGATGGTCTACGCCTCCTCCAAGGAGGCCCTCAAGCGCTCGCTGAACGGCATCGCCGTCGAGCTTCAGGCCAACGACCAGGACGACATTGAGTACGACTCGGTACTGAAGATTGTCAGCAAGGGCCTTGCTGGCTCGAGCTAAGCGCCACGATCGTGGACGAGGACATGAATCAACAGACCATACGCACATACCTAGATGAGATATGACGAGCTGAGGAGGCTTTCGCACCTGCTGCCTTTTTCTGGCGGACGAAAGAGAACATTTCCCAGACAAAACGGACGGGTAGATTGAGTTTTACACGAAACAATACCACTCGCAGGATTCATCGTGCTTCAGCAGTGCGGAGCTCGTCGCAAAGCGAGCCAGCCAACGTAGATCGGATACTTGTGTGGCTCAGAGGAAACCCAGTTCTCGTTGTGCATGTGAATTGTGTCACCCGTGGAAGGGGGCCTACGAGTGCATGCAATCGGGACAAGTGTGTTCTTGTAGTCTTCTTGATTTCAAGTGCCCATACTACCTCTTGGACTTCCATGCGGCTTGGAATGTGTCCGCAAGTTCCCCAGCAGCCTTCTCATCCCGGATTCGCTGAAGAAGAAACCCACGCAGGTCATCCCAGAATTCGGCGGTTTCGAGCACTTCTTCCCCGCTAGGACCCTGGGCCACGTCACCACCACCTGCTCCGGCGTTCTTCGCCGCCTCAGCCGCGGCCAGTGTCGCCGCGCCTCCCATGACCATGATGCCAAACTCGACCTTGGTTGCTGAGGCGGCAGCCTCGGCACCTAGTACATCTTTGAGGATCTTGCTGTCGGCAACGGGCTTCTTGTTGTGGAGAAGCTTGATCTTGTCTAGCGGGAGACCAGTCTTGTTCACGACGGCGGTCTTGAGGTCGAGCACGGAGGTGTTGATGGATTGGGCCAGTAACGTGATATCAAGCGGTGGATTCCGGACGAAAACCAGCTGGACGGTGTAAGAACGCTCGCTCCCAGGTGCAGGCTGTGTTGAAGACGCTGAGCCGTCGGCACCGGGACGTGATGAGTTGGGCTTGCTCATAGGTCGGGGCATCTTTGGGAGCGTATACTATAATCATAGTGACTATCAGCTTGTCGGACTTCATCACGACTTGTTAAGTGGCCAGGGGGATGGAACCCGAGTTGGCTTACAGCAGCCCGAGCTGGGTAGTTTCTTGGATCCTCGACATGGTCGGCGGATATCTTTATAGGCCGGGCATCGAGGGCCGAGAGGAAGGACCTTGCGAAAGACACCTCTGTCATGGTTTCTGGGTTCTAATATGCACCGCGGTGCGCGCGAAAGGATCGTCTGCTGACTTGCGTGTGAAGCGCTACAGAGCTCGGCTTGTCGCGAGAAGGGCGGGGTGGGTGTGGTTTGGTGTGGTTGATCGTAGGAGCTGTCTCGGAACGAACGGCCGCCTGGTCAGAATACTATGGTTACTCGGAGTGCAAGTCGAGGAATCCGGATTTTCGCGCGACGGCTTTGTGCCAGAAGCTGCGTGGTAGGCGAGGCAATGCTGGCACGCAAAGCATGTCGTCGTCGACTGCTGGAGGAGCTGATTGAGTGGTCGCCGGCATACCCCACCTCCAGGTCGTGTCTGATGTCGTCAATGTGGCTGGAGCTGGGTGCTGAGCCACAATGGACCAAAAAAGCCCATCAATACTGTTCCAGGCCAGGAGATAGCCTAGCAGTTCTTAGGACGACGTCTTTTGCATGTGTTCTAGAAAATGCTAGCTTCCACAGTTGCTTTCAAGCCTTCTCCGCAAATTCAGAGCCTCGTACGACTCGTCTCCAGAGCATTGCACTTGTCCCGCTGGCGCCAACGTCTGGGCAGGTTCCATCCATAGATGCCCAGATGGTCAGAGAGGGTCCAGCGATGTGCTGACCCACATCTTGTGAGTCCTGATCTCACACAAGTGCAGGTGGGCCCTGTCTGCTCACAAGTCAAAGCCTGGTGGGGACGATCAGTTGGAATCTCCAGCCGGCTTATCGGGGTCCCGTTGCCTTATCGCAAAGAAAAAAGTTCGAGGACCCTCCAGCCGGCTGCAGCACGCAGCGACCAGAATCTGGAGAATCGGCGCTCTGGCAGTCTAGTCTCCCAAAAGACCAAGCAGCCCTTTCCCCGTCTTGCCAATTGTCCTCACGCAGCACCTTTGTGAGTGGTCGGACTCGGGTCATTTCTCTCTTCTCTTACCCTTTCTGGCATATTCCTCACATCTGCAGTCGCGACAATGGGTGTTGGTCGGCGCATGAAAAAACAAGGGCCACCTGAGCCCTTGTCCGAGGCTCACTTTGCCAAACTCAAGCGCAAGGCTGGCCTGCCTGTTGACGATGTTCCTGCCGAGACTCGTGACAACAAGAAGCGCCGGACTGGCAAGAACGCCGCCCCTACAAAACCCAACGGGACCGCGCAGAAGAAGTCGGCGCAAAAGGCGAATGGCGCAAAACCTGTTGCTCAGCAGAACGGTGCCCGGTCGAAGCCATCAGGCAAGAAGGCGGCGCCTGTTCCCGGCTCAGACGAAGACGTCAGCGATGGATTGGGCGACGGGTTTGATGGCTCAGACATGGACGATTCCGATCTGAGCAGCGACGACGACATGGATGGTGGCCTCGGCGATGACTTCCTCGGTTCGGACGACTCCGTGTACGACTCCGACAATGAAATACAGAACAAGGCCATGTTCTCCGAAGATGAAGACGAATCAGACGCGGAGGAGAAGCTGACAGCTGCCAACATTGCGGGCTTGACGAGGAAACTTGACGAGCAACTCGCTCAAGAAGAAGCTGATAACGAGGCGGAACTTCGCGACAGTGCCATGCAGACCAACATCGACGTCGAACGTCCTCATGTACTGGAAGACGAGGAAGAGGATCAGCTGGCATTAAAAACCAAAGCTCTACTGGCGCCGGATCTGCAGTTGTTGAGGAACAGAATCAACGAGACGATACGAGTGCTTGAGGATTTTGCAAAGCTCGCCGAAGAGGGCAGGTCCCGTGCCGAGTACACTGCTCAGCTGCTCAAAGATATCTGTGCCTATTATGGCTATTCCGACTATTTGGCCGAAAAGCTCTTCAACCTCTTTACACCCCGGGAAGCCTTTGAGTTCTTCGAGGCCAACGAGTCTGCAAGACCTGTCGTCATCCGCACAAATACTCTTCGAACTCACCGCAGAGATCTTGCCCAGGCACTAATCAACCGCGGTGTCACTTTGGAGCCTGTCGGCAAATGGTCCAAGGTCGGTCTCCAGATCTTTGAAAGCACAGTGCCGCTCGGTGCCACCCCTGAGTATCTCGCTGGCCACTATATTCTGCAGGCCGCTTCGTCTTTCCTCCCAGTGATGGCGTTGGCCCCGCAGGAGAACGAGCGGTGCTTGGATATGGCTGCCGCTCCTGGTGGTAAAACGACCCATATGGCAGCCATGATGAAGAACACTGGTTGCATCTTTGCAAACGATCCCAGCAAGCAGCGTGCCAAGGGTCTTATTGGCAACATCCATCGCTTGGGAGCCAGAAACGTGGTTGTTTGCAACTACGACGCCCGCGAGTTCCCTCGCGTCATCGGTGGCTTTGACAGAGTGCTGCTTGATGCCCCATGCTCCGGTAAGAACTATCCCTGCCCAAGTCTTTGTCGTGAGGCAGCTTGCTGACCTTGAATTCTAGGTACTGGTGTCATCGCCAAGGATGCTTCTGTCAAGACCAACAAGACGGAGAAGGATTTCATGATGCTGCCACACATCCAGAAGCAACTTCTCTTATCCGCCATCGATTCAGTCAACCACGCCAGCAAGACCGGCGGCTTCCTGGTCTATTCGACATGTTCTGTCACAGTTGAGGAGAACGAAGAAGTCGTCAATTATGCCCTACGAAAGCGGCCCAACGTGCGCCTGGTTTCGACTGACCTGAGTTTTGGCCGGGAAGGTTTCACCAGCTACCGTGGCAAGAACTTCGATGCTAGCCTGAAGCTTACCAGGAGATACTACCCGCACGCATACAACGTGGATGGTTTCTATGTTGCCAAGTTTCAAAAGGTTGGCCCAACACCGCCCAGCCTCGTCAAGGACTTCAACAAGAACCAAGACTCTGCGACTAAGGCCACTGCCCAGGCTTCGGGCGGCGAGACTGAGGATGAGATCATTGACAAGACGCCCATCGCCGCTGATGATAAGCTGGCTGGAACCGTTGGTGTCGAAGATGATGGCTTCGGTGGCTTCGATGAGGAGGAGGACAAGGAGTACATGGAGAAGGCTAAGCGCAACGCCATGCGTCGGCGCGGTCTGGACCCCAAGGCTTTGGACAAGGGCAAGGCTAAGGCTGCGAAGTCGGACGAGAGCAGCAGTCGCAAGGACAAGGCAGAGCCCAAGGAGGGCAAGGGCAAGGCCGATGGTGTCAAGACGAAGAGCAAGAAAAAGGAGAAGACCAAGGCTTGAGTAGGCCGACTTCACATAATTGTGCACATAGCAGCGCGTTTCGGTATTTATAGAATACGAGGAATTGTTTTCTTCTGGCGATATGTAATGGCCGGAACAAGCACTGTGCCGTTTTGACACCGTCGTGTTATACACATCGGCATGTAGAATCAGGGTTAATGCAACTATACCATGGATGGCACCCATTGGACTGGCGCGATACTTTCCAGCATCGAATCACTCTTCATCTTTCCGGCTTCAGACGGCACGTTCATTAACAGGCTATATTCAAGGATGCTATCGCTGTGGTCATACACCGTGAAGAGTACCATAGTATAATCGACTTAAGACAGAAGCTCAGCGCCGACTTCTTGCGGATGGTGACGGTCCCCAGCGTTCACAACGAGGATACAGACATTGATAGCTTACGCAGCCTCGAGTCGCTTGGCAACGGTGTTCCAGTTGACAACATTCCAAATGGCATCAAAGTACTCAGCCTTACGATTCTGGTATTGGAGATAGTAGGCGTGCTCCCAGGCGTCGATGCCAAGCAGAGGAATATAGTTGCCGGTGACTGGGTCTTGGTTGGCGCGAGTGATGACCTGGAGAGTGCCAGCCGACTTATCCTTGGCGAGCCAAGCCCAACCACTGCCCTGGATTCCCGCGAGAGCCGTGTTGACCTGCTTGCGGAGATTGTCGACGGAACCAAAGTCCTTATCAATAGCCGTCTTGAGGGCGCCAGAAGGGTCGCCACCGCCGGAGCCCTGGCTGGCAGGGGCCAGGTTCTCCCAGAAGAGGGAGTGGTTGACGTGGCCACCGCCATGGAAGTTGAGTAGAGGGGCGGCGGCGGCGGCGGCGGCCTTCTCATTGCTTGAGGCCTTGGCTTCGGTGATAGTCTCAAGGGCGCTGTTGAGGCCATTGACGTAGGTCTGGTGGTGGTTCTTGTGGTGCAGCTCCATGATCTTGCCGCTAATGTAGGGTTCGAGGGCGGCGTAGTCGTCTGCAGGCGGAGGTGTCCAATGGTTAGCTGGTCATGCTACTGATGCCTTTGGGCTGACGATTCAGACAGAGGACATACACGGAAGATCAGGCAGGGTCGCCTTGCCGCGAACAAAGGAGGTGCCAGCAAGACCGGCCACGGCAGGCTTGACGCTAGTGGAGGCACGAAGAGCAGCCCGTGCGGCAGGGATTGAGCGGAAGAGAGAAGTAGCCATGGTGGGGGTTTGATGTGTAGACTGGGCAGTTCTATGTTCAAAACGGAGTTGTCCTGTATCTCGTGATCTTCTGTGATTGAAGTTTGAGATCGAACTCTGCGGGGTGCGCGGGTTATGTAAAGCTTTGTCGGCTGGAGCTCAGTAGTAGCTTGCACGTGGGTGGGCGGTGATGTCAACCTTTGACCATGGGTGCCGGGGTCGCTGCGGCGCTAGAGCTGTGCCGACCGTCGGCCTCGGAGCTCCAAATATCTTAAGGTCGGTAGCTGGGGCAGCACAGTATCGGGCCAGAGTTGCTGACAGTGCCCAGGTGGGCCTAAGAGGGCAGCCCCAAGTCGCGTACGTTGTCGCGTCTCCCAGGTCGACAATTGCATACTGACCCCACCATCGTGACATTTCCGCCGCCCTATTCAACACTTTTTGGACTCATCCATGTCAGAGTCCGCTCTCATGGGCTTGCCATCAGCCTCGACATGTCCTACTACGATCTCGACGCCATCTTGACAGACGCGGAGGTATGTGCCCCTCTGCTTGTGCGGTGCTGTGGTCGCCCTTGCGATACTTGTCCAGCTCCTATTGACCGGACCACCGTTAAAGAAGATACCATGTACCTTCGAACTGGACGTGCCTGAGCTCGGGTACCTCGACAACAATCCGTCTCATCCCCTCAAGTCAGGCACTGCCGTTGGGCTCCCACTGTGGCTGGCCGAGCTGCTTGCCCTCGCCACCCGACAACCCGCATCTCGCTCTCCCGATGATCCCGGCTCCTTTGTGACGCTTAATATTCCGCCCGCGCTCTCCGAGAATGTCATGGCGGCGCTGAAGGCAGACCCTCGCGCAGTTCCTTTGCGAGACCAGGCACATAACTTCTATGGTCTTGGCACGCGCATGCTCGATCTCTTTGACGAGCCAGAGATATGCGCCATCTTGCGTAAGACGTTTGTCACGAGAGCGGCCGATGTCGCATTACATGGCCGAAAGGCAGGTGCCACGGACGATATGGGCACCGCGGCTGGCAGTGAGTTCCTCCGGGGCCTCGACGAGTGGGAGCGCAGACTGTTCCGCAGGGCACATGAAGGGGCGAAAGGCACCAAGGAATGGATGGAGGCTGTCAAGAAATAAACGAGAGGATACACGGTCCAGTCTCGACGGGGACAAAGTGACTTATTGTGCATAATTCAGTTGCACTGTAGGGCGTTTCGGTGTTGCATTTCCAATGCGTTCTGGTTTTCACGGCACGGCGTCGCGTTTTTGGAGTATTTTTACAGTGGCATCTTGGTAGTTCTGGGATCGTATCGCCAGTTGCGTGGACGCAGCTCAATGATGCATCAATCAGTCTAGAGTCTCAGGATCATTCGAGATACCCAGGCTGCGTAACGCGGTACAACACATGCTCGTGTTTGAATGTTAGCTGCGGGTCACATTGAGACAGTGCCACGGCAGTGAATCTCACACGGTACACAACGCCTCCGGTCTGCCCCAAGCTAGCTCCAAGGATTTCCAGATGTTCAGAAAACCACTGGCAGACTGACGGGTGCTGCAGCCTAAATACTGCACCAGCACGCAGTAAAAACCAACATACCAGTGCCGCCCTCCAGAGTCGTTTTTTGCCCTGACCGAGGCTCCGGATACATTATCGTCCGATTTTCGCAGTTGATGCCCGGCTTCAATAACACGACAAGGCGTGTCGCACCTATGAGCACCTCACTCCCCATCGCGACCCCCTAGACGTACGAGTCTCGGCAGACGGCGCGAGCAGAGCTGGCCATGTCGTTGGGTCCTGGTGCGATTTCCAAGGCTGACGCCGCTGCCTACTCGTCCTCTGAAGGCGACGAGGATAGTGGCGCCGACGATTATGCGCAACCGTCCGCCGACCCTCGCGACGACGACTTCCACGACTACAACCCACGCAAACGCCGCCGCACTGGTCGCAACACGAAAGAGAGTGCCGCACTGGGTATCTTTGCTTCCGACAGCGAAGATGACAGCAGAAGGCCCGGTCAAAGGTGGAAGGCAAAGCAAGACCTTCGCCACAAGAATGTGTCGTTCGTTTCGGCTGGGAAGAAAGACATGCGCCCAGACGCCGATGATTACGACGGTGATAGCCATGGCTCAGATCAAGACGACGAGGACGATACGGTATTAAAGACAGGACTTGGCGCCTCTCGAAATACGTACAATGCGGAAGACAGCCCGCGCGACCACGACAGCGAGGACGATGAAGACGAAGACATGGGCGGTATCGGCCTGGGATTCCGCGCTGTGGCGCCTGGCTTGAGCTTCACTGGCACGAATGGAACACCGAGCAAACCCCCGCCCGGATCCAAGTCTCGCTATGATGGCACAAATCCCCTTGGACGAGGCTTCGTTCCCTCCTCGGCAGCGGAGCCTGTGCTGAAGGAAGAGTATAGGAACGAGACGACGCCAACCGGTACAACACCAAAACCTAGTGCTTTCAGTACTCGCGGAGGCGCCGCTGGCAAGAAGATGACTTTCGCGCAGAAGATGATGGCGAAGATGGGTTGGAAGGAAGGCCAGGGCCTTGGTGCCGAGGGCCAGGGTCGAAACCTCATCATTGAGCAAAAGCTCCGGCCTCAGGGTGCTGGTCTTGGTGCTGTGAAGGAGAAATCTGCAAGTGAGCGGAAGGAGGAAAAGAGACAAAGGAAGATGCGCGGAGAGGACGTCAGCGACTCGGAGGATGAGAAGAGGAAGCGGAAAGACAAGCAACGAGGACAAAAGGCTCACGGGGTGGCAAGCGGTGTCACGAGCGGTGCAAGCACGCCACGTCGACCACCGAAGCCGAAGTTCCTGACGGTCAACGACATACAGAAGGCTGCGCCGGGGTTACATATCCCAGACGCTTTCGCCCCGATTTTGGATCTCACGGGTAGGGATCAAAGACTCCTGACAACGAGCTCAGGCTTGTTGACCCCAACGGCTGGTATTGAAGGTGCAGAGCAGACGGAGGCTCGCAAGCTAGCCCGACGCGCCCAGAGTGACCTCGGCGCTTTCGTGGAGGAATGGAAAAGCTTGGAGGAACGAAAAGCATGGCTGGACATGGAATTGCACCAGCGCCAACAAGAAGTGGACGAAATCGAGAGCGACTTTGGCGAAATGAAAATGTTCTCATCCGTCCTGGATGGAATTTCTCGGGCAGCCGCGGATAAGGAGTGGGATCCCGTCATCGCTGCCTTGAAGAAGGTGGAAGCTACATCATCAGAACACACGACAGATGAAGATCTAGCTGCAGTCGCAGTCGCTGCTGTTCACCCCTTCCTCAGAGATGCGGTCCAAGGCTGGCAACCGCTAGAGGATCCTAAGCTCGGCAATTTCGCTACCGACTTAGCCGAGATCAGAGGCACGCTTGGACTTAAGAAGATAACGGGCCAAAATGCGGTGTCCCGTTGGGCGGACACTGTCGTTGACGGCACACATCGTCATCATCAGAAGTCGTCAACCCCATACGAGAGCATGATATACAAGCTCATTTTCCCGAAGCTAGTCACAACCGTGGCACAAAGTTGGGACGTATTCGACCCTGCCCCCCTATTGTCCGTACTCGAGCGGTGGAAGGAGCTTTTCCCAGGCTTTGTCCACATTCAGATTATTGAGCAAGTTGTGCGCAGGCTCAATGACGCCATTGCGAACTGGAAGCCACGGAAGAAACAGCACAATCTTTTGCACCTCTGGCTTTTCCCATGGCTGGAACATCTTCCTGCCCATCATCTCGACCCAAAAGGGACTGGCATTGTGGCGGACGTCCGTCGCAAGTTCAGGCAGCTTATTGATGTTTGGGAGTTCGATCGTGGTGTTATCCCGGGCATCCGACAGTGGAAGGATGTTTTCCGACCAAGCAAGGAACAGGACCAGTGGCGGCCGCTGGTCATGCACCATATCCTCCCTAGCATGGCCCGGTTCTTGCGTAGGAACTTTCGTGTAGACCCCAGCGATCAGGAGCCGTACCTCGCGATGCTTCAGGGCGCGCTGGAGTGGACCACAATCATCTCGACTTCAATGGTGGCAGAGGTGGTAGCAGCAGAGGTGTTCCCGATGTGGCACAACCTCCTTCACGCGTGGATAACCAGCCCCGATGTCAACTTCGTCGAGCTAGGAGATTGGTACATGTGGTGGCATGATGAAGCATTACCTGCTGAGATCACATCGCACCCGACGATCATGGCCGAGTTCGAAAAGGGCACCGATTTGATTGAGACAGCTCTAGACCTTGGCGACGAAGCTCTTTCGACAGGTAAGCTGCCACTTCCAGATGGTAAGCCAGCCCAGAAGATGGCAAAATCGCCAAGAGCAGGGCGAGACAGCTCTCACCACTCGTCATCAACATCACGGAGAGATAAACATGACCGTCACAATGCCGACAGGCCGCACCATCGTCAGCAGCACGGCGAGCAACCACGGCAGGGTGGTAATGGGGCCACTGCTGAGCGGCCCAAGAATTTCCGAATGCTTGTTGAGAACTGGTGCCAGGAAAACGACTTGCAGTTTGTCCCTGTGCGCAAGGCCAACGAACAAGGCCGACACTACTTCCGCATCACGGCACGGATGGATGGCAAAGGTGGCGTGCTGGCACATTTTACTGTGGATGCAGCAAATACTGGTGTCAGTGGAGGGTCTGGAGGTGGTGTTCTCGGTTCTGCTGGCGCCACCGACGGCGGCGTACTGGTGGTTGAGTCGCGAAAGTCGAAGTTCCAGCTTAGTCGAGAAAAGCTGGTGGATCCAAATTCGGCCAGTGGCGGCAATAGCGCGGAATGGACATCGCTTCTCGATCTCCTCTACTCCGACGCTTAAGTAGAATTTAACCTACATAGACGCGCTGGAAAGTGCTTATAATAGGGACTCTCCGGGACGCATCCCGGGATGACTACGTACTGTCTCGGACGCATGGCGCAAGCTCCGAAGGTCAGGGGCGAGTACTGATGTGGGCGCTGAAGGATGAAGCCTCTGGATGGAATTGAGATAGAGTGCCTCGATGGCATGATGCTTGTTCAAGACTTGTCGGATTGACGATATCTCACAGCTAGCCTTGTTGGCTATCCGAATGTGTCCTTGGACCAGAAAACTGCGATTATCGTCCACGGTATTCGAGTGCTGCACGTGATTGTGATGGTTGCAGCACTGGGAGTACATATTGGCGTGATTGCACGTAGTTGTGCGCAAGGCGAGTCTCCGACTGGGAAATCATTTGTATTTGGAGGGGGGACTTGTATTCATGCAGGGTCTCGAGTGCTAAGCGCACTACTATTGCATGGAGGTGACGGAACCATGTTTGGTGGCGACTGTGCCTGTCTTGCCCATCATCTGCAATCTTCGTGGAGCGTCATGGGGTTTGCCCGAGTCAAGGACAAGCAGGACCAATCGGCCGTAGATCGTTCTGTATGTAGTACATGCTCCGTACTGTGTTAAGTGTGCGTTGGCGGGGACGGTGGAGGAGCTTCTGGTGGTTGTGCTTGGCACGCGTGGCTGTGCTGCGTGTCGACGACGCCAGGGGGTTAGCTGACGTTGTCTGTGAGGAAAATCACCCGTCGGGGAGGCGGATAGAGTTTGGGTTGGCATGGACAAAGGGGTCTTGGCCAGTGTGGCCCGGCATGGATAGCCGGCGCGCATTCGACGAACCTACCTCAAGGTATGGACCGACCCACAGAGAGCGACAAGTCCAGACGCGGCAGTCAGGCATTGGCAGCACCCCGTAGGGAGGGCTGGCTGCCACGAGTGCCGTGGCCTGGGCGACTACAGGGGCTTTGGGTTGAAGAGATGTCTCGGGCAGGGAGTGGGACATCTGGAGTAAACTTAAGGTCGAGCTGCAGTTTTTTCTGGTGGGCGGGTGACACTGACATCAGCGGGACGGAAGACCGGCACCGGGCGTGGCGCCTGCGGGCGGCTCTGGCAGCGAGCTGCAACCTTGCCGCTGGCGCCCAGAGCGCCGGGCTACCTGGGCAGCACGGCAAGCATGAGCCGAGCCCCACAGCGTGCCCGCAGCCCTTACCTGGCACCGCGTCCGTCCTCAGCACGTCGGTTTTCCAATGACCTCCAGCGTGTTGTCTTGCGGCACCTGCAACGCACTGCACGTACTCAACCACGACCGCTGTTGCGCTGCACAGCTAAGCGCACCTACAATTGTCGCTTCCCATCCATCCTGTGAACGAGCCCTTCGACCCGTTCCTCTGCCCGCCAGCATCTCCACGGCTGCCCCGGCAAACCCCTCCGCGCCGTGCCGCCGCTTCCTCTGAATTGTCTCACGCCCTGCCTGTCTAACCAGTCCCGCCGCTGTCCTCGCACTCCGGGACTGCAATTGCTCACGCGGTACCCCTGTTCACTCGCCTTGCCGGTTGCCCGTGCCTAGAATCGTCGGCTTCATCTTCGCGGGCACAGGCGAGCCTCCACAAACTGGACAACTCGGGCACGCGCTGCAGTTATATCTGAGGGCCGGCTCCAAGCTGCTGCCGCCCGCTCATGCTGCCTCCGCGGCGTCTTCGCCTCTCGCCTTGCGACACCTCCAGCTGACCCTGCGCCCCAGTACCACCATGGCAGAACCTTCTCCAGCCATCAAGCCCGCGCCGGCTGTGGACGTCGTCGACGGCAAGGAAAAGGGCCCAGAGCTCGTCGACGCACCAGGCTCAGACTCCCATGGCATCTTTGGTAGCGACATTGACATTCCTCTTGATGCCCAGGTCGAGGCGTATGTCACCCTCTCTACCCACCCACCCTACCCAGCTCACTGACCCCGGCTCGTAGTGATCTCAATGTCACTGAAGAAGATCTCATCGAGGCCAAGGAGTTTGCCGACACTCTGACCCTCGATGAGGTCCGCTCTATGATGCAGAAGGCTCTCGCCATCCACGAGCATGACCCAAATTTTCCATATAGTATCATTGATCGCATGAAGTTGTTCTTAGGTACGCGCTCTCTTTTCCACTGCTTGAGTGGGGCCGCGTGTAAACTCAGCTCATACTCACTCTGCCAGGCAACGAGGCCCTTTTCAAGGACCCTGAGAAGCACGCTGTCCTTATCGAGGAGATGAAGCTGGAAGCAGCCCTCATCATCACAAACAGCCCATACTCGGAAGTGCGTGCTGTCGTTGACAACCATGACGACGACACCCTGCCATGTGGCACCTTGCGTGCCTGGTTGATCGGCATGGGCTTCGCGGTGATCCTCGCCTTCATCAACCAATTCTTCTCCATTCGCCAACCTGCCATCACGGTGCAGGCCAACGTTGCCCAATTACTGGCATATCCGGTCGGCAAGATGTGCGAGAAGATACTGCCCGATGTCGGATTCACCTTGTTCGGCATCCGCCATTCTTTGAATCCAGGGCCCTTTTCAAAGAAGGAGCATATGCTCATTACAATCATGGCCAACGCCTCTTGGAACACACCCTACACGGCAAACATCATCTGGGTTCAGTACCTGCCAATGTACTTCAACCAATCTTACGCTGGGCAATTCGGCTATCAAATTGTCATTGCACTCTCCACAAACTTCATCGGGTATGGACTGGCTGGTATCCTCCGCCGGTTTCTGGTCTACCCGTCCTACTGCGTGTGGCCGGCCTCGCTTGTTACGATCGCCATGAACGGCGCTTTTCACTCGGACAAGAACGCGCCAGCTCCCAGCCCGTTTGGTCGGATCTTTACGATATCCCGGCTCAAGTTCTTTGCTTGGACTTTCGCCGCCATGTTCTTCTACTTTTGGTTTCCCAACTATCTTTTCCAGGCACTGAGCATATTCAGCTGGATGACCTGGATAGCTCCAGACAACCTGATTCTGACAGCCGTGACTGGCTTCAACAACGGTCTTGGGATCAACCCATGGCCGACGTGGGATTGGAACACGATGCTCTTCGACGCAACAGACCCGCTGATGATCCCATTCTTCTCGACGCTGAATAAATTCGTTGGGGCGTGCTTGGCCTGCATTTGCGTGGCCGCGTTCTGGTTCACAAACACATACTACACCGGCTACCTCCCCATCAACTCCAACCGCACGTACGACAACAGAGGCCATCTGTATAACGTCACAAGGGCGATAGATTCCGAAGGCCTCTTCAATCCGACTAGCTACCAGGCTTACTCGTTTCCCTTCCTGTCCGCCGCAAATTTGGTCGTCTACGTCTTTTTCTTTGCCATCTATCCAGCGACCCTCGTCTACGCATATCTTTACCACCGACACGAGATCTTCATGGGCCTGAAGAATTTGTGGAGCAGCTTCAGTAATCGGCGAGAAGCTCGTCCAGGCCGATACCAGGACGTTCACAGCCGGTTGATGGCGAAGTACCAAGAGGTGCCGGATTGGTGGTATGCCATTGTTCTGATCAGTTCCGTGGCACTTGGATGTGCTGGTATTGCTGGCTGGGATACCGATACAACCCCTGGAGTCGTATTTTTTGGTCTTGCCTTGTGTGTTGTCTTTGTGGTGCCTACAGGCATCATCAAAGCCATGACAGGGGTGGAAGTTATGCTAAATGTCCTTGCAGAGTTCATCGGAGGCTGCTGGGTTGAAGGCAATGCCCTGGCCATGAACTTTTTCAAGACATATGGCTACGTCACCTGCACGCACGCGCTGTGGTTCTCGAACGATCTCAAGCTGGGACATTACGCCAAGATCCCACCACGGCAGACCTTCGTCGCCCAAATGCTCGGTACCCTGATATCGACCTTCGTCTGCATAGGCGTTCTCAACTTTCAGATGCGCGAAATTCGGGATGTCTGCACACCAGAAGCGTCGAACCGGATGTCGTGCCCAGGCATTAATACATTCTTCACTTCGTCTATCATCTGGGGCACCGTAGGACCTGTCAAGGTCTTCGGAGCTGGAGGCATGTACACATGGCTTCTTGTCGGTTTCCCGATCGGTGTCATCACCCCCATTATCATGTACTACGCCAGTAAAAAGATCGCCAAACCCTGGATGCGCCAAATGCACCCTGTGGCCATGTTCTACGGGGCTCTCATGTGGGCTCCATATAACCTTGGATACATCTGGCCCGCGGTACCAATGGCCTGGCTTTCTTGGGTGTATCTCAAGAAACGGTACTTGATCTTCTGGTCAAAATACAATTTTGTCCTTTCAGCATCTTTCAGCAGCGCCATCGCTATCAGCGCTATCATCATTTTCTTCACTCTGCAGTGGCCAGGCATCGAGCTTCCTTGGTGGGGCAATACGGTCATTGATCAGGGCTGCGAGAAAACCGACTGCGTGCTGTACAAATTGGACGAGGGCGAATACTTCGGTCCACGGATCGGCGAGTTCGAATGAGAGCACGAACATTGGGCTAATCCAGAGGTTCGGCCACGCTTCTATCGCGCCTCGCGTCAGAAGGGCCGCGAGATCAACATTGTGGCTTCGCTAGGGCTCCCCAATGACACCAGTTGGGGGTTTCGCGTAACGCCATTCCCTACCTAGAAAACGCTGGGCACATCCACGTGTTGGGTGGGGTAAGGAACTTGGTTGCTCGTGAATTCGGTCATCACAAGCTGCTGCCAGCCAGTCACCTTGCAAAACGGCAGAGCGCGGTACTTGTTTGAAGCGACATATGGAAAGCAGCTGCCACAGGTATCCGTCCATACGAAGGGCTTGTTTCTCCCGCAGCTCGTCAACATTGAAGCACATATATGAAACTTTCACTGGGCAGATTTCTGGGCATCATCTAGCGTTTGACTGTTCGGCTGCGCAGACGACGCCGGTCAATGGCTACTCATGGTGAACGTGAGAAGCGAGCACAAGGACCGCCACTTTACGTGGCAAGACACGGATTGTGTAATTAATCTCGGATAACTTTTGCGGCTACAAGGAGTACGGAGTTGGTCATGCCAGGGTAGGCAGGTTTATGATTGATTGAACGGCAAGCCTCTCTATAGCATTGTACGCTTCTGGAACGAAATACAACCGCAATTGTCGAATTACATTATACTGTGCCAGCAGCAACAGATCCCTGGCTGCTATCCACGTCTGCCGTCACGTGCGACTTCCGTCATCGTCGGAATTGAGTAACGAGATGTGGGACAAGATCCAGGTTACTACTGATTTGTCAGCAGACGGGATGGAATGCCTACTCACGCGAGCCAGCCGGTAGAGGCACAGTTTGATGAGCAGATCCCAGTACATTCAATCAATATAAATCGTGACACGACGGTGGCGGGGATTGAAGGTCAGCCCCAGCAGCTCACACCATGCAAACTTGATGTCATGGATCGATGTCGCCGGGTCCCGATCTAGACATCTTGCCGTCGTATGCAGCGCTGTCAACGCACTTGCGACCTACACACCTTGATTTCCGAAGCCTGGTGCCACATCGGACGTGCACGTATCGTGGTACAATCCAACATGGGGCTGCCCACGCGTTCTAATGCCGAAAGTCATGACTTATATTTCATTGTAAATTCGGGGCAGGCAAGCTTCCCCTTGGCTCAAGCAAACGGGTCACCGAGTGAGGCCCGATCTCGTGCGGTCAAGGCTGGGCTCGAAAGAAAACGACGACTTGAGCGGGCGAACGGTGGCAACTTTCGCAATTGTATAGACCGCAAGTTACTAAATGGAAGGCGTCCGCAACTTAGAGCTGCCTCTCTCGGAAAGAAGGTCGCTGCAGCAGAGCCTGTGCCAGCTTTGGACGCTTTCGATCTACTTGCCGGAGACACGGAGGAGCTGCAGAGCTGGTTGCGAGCGCGTGAGTTATGCCTGTTCTTGACTCTGTAGAGTCTATCAACTTCGCATCTTTAGATCAGATCGCTCATCCTGTGGTCTCCGATACAGACAGAAGCAAATACATGGTGCCAGCCTTCACCGTTGCGGATGAGCTGGTGCTAAACAACTTCAGCAAAGTCATTCATCAGAGCAACCATGATCCCGCCCTCCGGAGCGCCGCAATGTTGACAGTCTCATTCGCGAAGGCTGGCTTACTGGACCGGAGAGGTCTCGAGTACCAGAGCCGAGCACTAAGAGTGATCGCCTCCAGGGTTCAATCAGTGGATGCAGCGGCCTTGGAGTCGACTTTGGCGGCCATACTACTCCTTGCTGGCATAGAAGTGAGTATCTTCTCACCGATTCTTGATTCATCTCCAGATATGCCGCAACAGAGCTTTACTGAACGAGGTTCCCGTGCAAGGCTCGACTCTCGACCACAAGTCAGGTTCAGCTTCACATGAATGCTGTCAAGCATATGCTCTTTGCAGAAAACGGCTCAAGTCTTTACCTGTCCGCTGAAATGAAACGCGCGATCTTCTGGTAAGCTAATATGATGTCCTTGGTTTTCTAAGTTCTGCAACTGAAATGGGGGTCGCAGGCAAGATCTGAATGCATCAGTCATGACAGGTTCAGCCCGAATTGTCCATCATAGCACGTTCGAGGAGCTCAAATGGCGGCGAGACTCCGCAAGCATTCCATGCAGTGCGTTTTATCTTCAAGAGGGCTTCAGGCCAATATCTCATTTGCTCTCGAGTGACTTCATCGAGGTATTGAAAGATATCCAGGCGTTCCAGCTGGTCAGAGATGCGTCGCTGTTTGGAGAGGCAACCAATCTGCCTCCAGCGCAGATTGATAATCACCAAGCTTCGATTCAGTCGAGGCTCTCGGATGCAGTAGAGATGACCGGGGAGAGCGAGGGCTCGTTGCAGGAGTCTTTGCGAGTCGCAGCTTACTTATGCTGCACAATGCTTCGATGCCGCATCTGGCGAACGTCAGGTGCTCCGGTATGTCTTCGCCATCTTATCAGCAGAGCTCCGCGTCTATCTCATTTTGTGTGCGAGGTTGTTAGCATCGAGCTCTTACTGACTCGCTTGTGCAGCCATATCTAGCTTCCAAACTGCTCCAGAGTCTTCGGTGCTGCCTCTCGGAGCCTACGTGGAATGTATATCCAGATATATTGACGTGGTTGGTATTTGTTGGCGGAGCTTTTTCTCCAGCCGGCTCCCCTTTGCGATCGGAGTTCCTCGCGCACATGCGATCCACGCAAAATGTGTGCATCCGTAACAACGGCTTCCGGCACAAAGCAACGTCTGGTTGGCCAACGGCTCTATCATTTGCGAGAAATTACATCTGGTCAGAAAGGGCCTTCTCGGTCTATTTCGAGAGCTTCTGGCAAGAAGTCGAGAACTCTTCAGACAAGAGTACGATTGCCAGCAAATGACCTCGCGGGTCCGGCTCCTGGTTCTCAACGGCTGTAGCGGTTCGGACGCACTTTCGACCGTGCTTCCTCCTTGTATTCATACCGTGCATGGTGGAATGGGCCATTTATAAGACACAGTACCAGCATTATAATAGACATGATTTCCTTCACTGCAGTGGTTGATACGATGGCGTTCAAGGCCACTCGCTCGTGGCCTCCACTTGCGTGTCCCGCGACCAGGCATCTTCTTTGAGGCCCACAAGCGGTATCACGCTTAGTTAGTTCCACAATACTGAACACGGAGACAAGTGGGACCAGCTCGAAATGGCACTATGTCATTTCCCTAAACGGCAGTATGTTGTTTCCCTAAACGGCAGTATGAGGCTGCCCTTAATGGAAGTGTAATGTCTCCCGATTCGGTACTCAACATCCTACGACATAGGGTTCTTTGGCTCGCCGGGTCGCCAACAACCAGCCACTTCGTGGCTCCGTGTATGCATGTCGGTAACTTTAGACCGTCGAATTGATTTGTCAACGTTCATCTATCTCGCGGCCCAGATGTGCCACAAGCGTGGATCGGGCTGCTTGTGCGGTGAAAGGATTTGTAAGTGAAACTCGCTTCTAGCCGGTACGTTTTGCAGAATAACCTAGGACAAGCCCAGCAATTGACTCCTGAAATTATCTATAAAACCCCTGGAAGGCTTTGTACACTTCTAAGTCCTCGCTTTCATCCTTCAGTACATGCTCCGATCATATCCTACCTTTTACCATTGTGCCATCCAGATCCAGAAAAGCACACGCCCCGTCATGTCCACGGAAAGTCGCCTCTTCCAGCCGCTGAAGGTTGGCAAAGTCCAGATCCAGCATCGAATCGCCATGGCGCCACTCACGCGCAAACGTGCCACGCACGACCGCGTGCCAACGCGCCTTATGAAGGAGTACTATGGCCAGCGGGCCTGCGTACCTGGCACTCTCATCATCACGGAGGGCACCTTTGTCTCGGCCGCGGCGGGAGGCTTCCCTCACGCGCCAGGTATTTGGAACGAGGATCAGGTTGACGCGTGGCGGGAGATAACCGATGAGGTCCACCGCCGAGGAAGCTTCATCTTTTGCCAGATCTTCGCCATGGGCCGGGCCGCAGATGCAGACACGGCTGAGAAGGAGGGCGTTCCGATTATTGCGCCAAGCGCCATCCCCTTGCGCGACAGACCCGATGTTCTGCCGCTCGCCATGACCATCGACGATATCAAGCAGATGATACGGGACTTCACCGCGGCTGCAAAGAATGCAGTACGTGCCGGCTTCGATGGTGTCGAGTGTCATGTTGCCAACGGTTACTTGCTCGATCAGTTCCTCCAAGACGTCAGCAATCAGCGCACTGATGAGTACGGCGGTAGCAACGAGAACCGGGCGCGCGCCGTGCTCGAAGTGCTCGAGGCTCTGGTCGACGCTTTGGGTGCCGACCGTGTCGGCTTGCGGCTCAGCCCGTGGAGCACGTTCCAAGACATGCGGATGGCTGATCCGATACCACAATTTACTCATCTGCTGAACCAGATCAAGGGAAGGTGGAGCGATCTTGCTTACCTTCATCTCGTCGAATCACGTATCTCCGGCAGCGAAGACGTTGTGGGACAGGATGTTCATGCCTGCCCAGAGCGCCTTGACTTTGCTTATGACATCTGGGAGGGCCCGATTTTGGTTGCTGGTGCATATGGATTGGAGTCAGCACGCAGACTGGTTGATACAGAACACTCGCTCAAACAGATTGTGGTGGTGTTTGGCAGACACTTCATCGCCAATCCCGATCTTGTGTTCCGGCTCAGGCAGGGTTCGAAGCTCAACCCCTACGACCGAAACACATTCTACAGTTCCGAGTCACCGCGGGGCTATACTGATTATCCATATAGCAATGAATTTACTGTCTAGGCAGTCTTATGGATTTCACACCATATTGCTGGTCTACCATCGTCAGAATTTGTTCAGAATATGTTCACTTTTGACTTGGGCCACTGTGGCTGTTGCGCTTACGCCGTGTACTTCGGGGCAGATCAGAGATACGAGCTCAGGAAAGAAGCAAAGTGTAAAGAAACGGCCGCAACATCGCCTTGCGCCTCCGATGCCACTTGTGACGTATCGGATGGCAGGGGGGTATCACTGTACGGATCTGGAATGGCGGACATTGAACCTGATCTAGGTGCACATGGCAAGAGATTCATTGAAAGGAAGTGAACGCTTTCGAATGTTTGGATACAGCTACAGATTTCCTTTCGAAATTTATTATATCGAGCCTCCAAAACAATCCAAGCGTAGTGGTATCTGATAAGTGCAAGGGAGAATCTTCGTTACGTCCATTGGCAACTGAGCGGCGTTGCAAGTGTTGACTTGTTAATGCCGCAAAATCCGAGATCTGACATTCCGTAGACGTAGATGTTCGGATGTTTGGAAATACTTCTCAAGGATGACGCGCATCCCCTTAGAAGAGGTGGTGCATGATGCGGCGCCACGTAGGCATGGCGGCAACGTGGGCACGATAGTCGGCAATCAATTGCACATCGAGCTGGCGACGGCCGGTGTCGACATCGATCTGCGACAGCTTGAGCCAGCCAGTGCGCTTCCAAAGATAGCCGATGATCCAGAAGACAATGACGACAAAAATGGCAAGGTAGTCGGCGAAGAAACCCTCGGCAGTGTTGAGGTCCTTGCCAATAGGAGAGATGGCAGTGTAGAGCTAGCGAGCACGTCAGTAATAACATCCCAACAAGTCAGGTACTGCCAAGGGCGGCGAGGAAAGTGACACGTACTGCGAAGATAAGGACGAGAACAACGAGGAAGAGGCCCATCCATGAGCCGTAGACACCACCGACAGCCTGGAAAGGAATCTCATCCAGAGTGTGGCCGTGGTAGGCCCAAGCTTGGCGGAAGCGGATGTGGGCATAGCAGATGGAGCCCCAGGTGAACAGAGCGGCAAGGCCGGAAAGCGAGAGGAACCAGTTGAACACAACGACACCACCAGCGGAGAGAGTCATGTAGGCAAGAGCACCGAAGAGGAGGTGAACACCAACGGAGGCCAAAGGACGGCCACTCTTGTCGACGTAGGTAAAGATCTTGGGAGCGTAACCCTGCTGGGCAAGACCGGTCAGGGTTCTGGAGCCACCATAAACACCTGAAACTCCAATGGAGACGACCGAAACCAGGATAATGACGTTCATGAAGTGGTCGAAGCCCCTGAGGCCGGCATACTTGCCGATGAGCACGAAGGGCGAGGCAGCAGGGTCGTTGCTAGAGGAGCCCAACAAAGCGTCATCGTTGTAGGGGACCAGGAGACCGACGAAAAACAGGCCAAGAACGTAGAACCTAGGGCAAGATAATCGGCTAGGGTCAGCAAGGCGAACAGATAGCTAAAACACACGTGTTTGTGACCGAGACGGCAGGCAGGCAGACTTACAGGGTAATACGCCAGAAGACCTGACGGATGGCACTGGGCAGCGACTTGGCAGGGTTGGGAGTCTCGGCGGCAGCCAGACCAACCAGCTCAGTACCACTGAAACTGAAGGCGGCAGTGACGAAGACCGAGCAGAAGCCCTTGAAGCCGTTGGCGAAAGCACCAGGATCATACCAATAGCGTGCGCCCCAGTACTCGCCATAGCGGCCATCCTTGGGGCCACCACCAAGGACAAGGACAAAGCTAATAATCATGAAAATGACGATGGCGCTAAGCTTGAGAAGCGAGGCCCAGAACTCTTCCTCGGCGTAACCCAGGGTTCCAAAGACGTTGACGATGATGAGGAAGACCCAGAAGACGGTGATCCATACGGCTGGACTCGTTTCGGCGTCCCAGTATGCGATGGAGATGGCGCAGACAGTGAGTTCCAAAGGTACGACGATAAGCCATTCTAATAAAGGTCGGTGTTAGTGAATGCTGGAGGGGTGGTGTCGGCGACCGTGCTGGTGCGCATATAGAGACTCACGAAATACCTGGAGGGCGCGAGAGCGTTAGTGGACAAGTCGGCAGGAAATTGCACAGAGAATGTGTGGCTTACATAGTTCCAGCCCATGGCAAAACCCCAGCTGGGGTCGATGAAGCGAGCAGAGTACGTGTAGAAACCACCAGTAACGGGGTACATGACAGCTATATTATCATTGTCAGGGCCGGCTCGTGCGAAGTTGCGCTCGCGCTGTGGATGTGTTGTGACCTACCGAGTTCACCAAGAGCGAAGGCAACGTTGAAGATCATGATACCCATAATCATGAAGTCGATGAGGAGGAAACCAGGGCCGCCCTTGCGAAGAGCACTGCCAGAGCCGACAAAGAAGCCGGCACCAATGGAGCCACCAATGGCGATCATGTGAAGGTGGCGAGGCTTCATGGAGCGGTCGAGCTCGACGATGCCGTGGCCGTAGGAGCGCTTCTTGAAAGAGTTGAGGCTGAGGCCATTGCGAGTGGCCCAGTCCTCGTCACGCGCAGGACCCTCAATGTCGGTAAAGTCGGGGGCGCCGCCAGCAGAGGAGACGTAGGCAGGGACGCCAACGTTCTTCTCCTCGCTGCCGCCATTGGGAGGCGAGTCGGTCACTGCCATGATGGAAAGAGAGCTCTCTCGCTTGCTTGCTTGATCACGGGAGGGAAAGCTAGCAGGAGTGGTAGCGCGTGAAAGGAACGGCTTAACAGAGAGGGGAGGAGGGAAGGGAAAGCTGCGGGAGGGCGAGGGGCATGAGGATTATATGTGAGACAGGATCGGGAATCAAGCAGCAGTAAGCTCCAGCGCGCCGACTCGTGGCGATCGAGCTGGCTGGTAGACTCCTGCCGGGCGCGCAGAAGCAGCTCAGGGCTCGCTGGGCGTATAATGCGAAGTCTGGAGCAAGTGAAGGGTGCTAATACGGGCAGGCAGGAGCCCCTGCTGGTGCGGGCCCTTTGGGGGAACCACCCTGGATCTCCGCATACTGGAGCGAAATTGCACGGGCAGGCGCCAAGGGCCCCACCAGTGCTTGGAGGAGGTGCTTGGAGTGCTTAGGATTGCTTCCCGGTGCTTGGTGCTCGAGTGGTGTGCGGAGAATTGGATCCCCCCCCGTCCTTGCGAGTCGCGGGCGACGGGGATGAGGGAAGGGGGTGTGGGCCCGCCGCCGCCTGCATCAGGAAGGCACTGCTTGCAGGGGCCCCCCGGACAAGTTGTCGCCTTGGCTGCCCAGGCGGTTGCGTCCTGCGCAGTGGCACTCTCTCCTCCAGCACGCACGCGACTTGGTCGAATCCCGCCGTGGAAACTCCTATCACCAGCTTCCGCACGCACCACCGAGACCCCCCTTCGGTCTCCACCCTCATTATTCCACGATTCGCATTTCCGTGACACATCACTACTCCATACATGCTTCTAGATGGCGTTGCGGTTCCTGCCTCTGGCGCCAGGTCATGCGACGACCTTGGACCTCGGGCACGTAGCACCAGTCGCATAACCAAGCGTACCTCCTTACGTATCCTTGGCTCAGATCAGTGCTGTAGCACGGTGCAGCCGTCACTCACCAAACAAAACTTGCCCTTCCCAACGGTCGTCGGGCGCGCCAACCCTCGGCGCCACGTCCAACTACCGGTCACCCATCTCGTCAGTGGCGTTCGCGGGCTCACGAGCCCGCAGAGCCTCGAATCAATCACACGTCAGGATGTCCCGGCTTTGCGCCCTAATGAGCCAGATAACACGCCGGGCACACAGCGGTGATTGGCTGGGAACTCCGATCGATATCTCTGCGCTAGGTCCCACGTAATTCAGTGTGCTGCACGAAACAAGCCCTGATCAAGCTACTGGAGATAGCGACCACCCCTCGGCCCCAGCCTGCAACAACTCTAGAACCCACTGCTCCTACTAGCGCCTTGCTCAGGCGCGGCTCTCCCGCGTGGACTTCCCACAAACAATCACGACACCAGCGTCTACGATAGCTTATCCACGAAACCCAAGCGGTCGTTGTGACAGCTAGCCAGGACACTACGTGTCTGTTTGATCGAACTCGGTGACCAACTAGACTTGCCCCATCTCCTGTGGACAGCTCTGAGATCTTGCGGCTGGACGGAGACTCACATGTGTCCCGCAGTGGCGTGGCCCTCGTGTGTCAGTGCGCCACCGACGGTATCCCACGGCCTGCCTCCCATGCATGCCCGCCCGTTGTTGCCATTGCACGCGAGAATATCTTAGGGCGAAGAGGCGCTGCCAAGAGCTGGCCGAGCCTTTCAGGACCCCCAAAAACGCAAGACTGCCACTCTTGAGCATAGACTCGGATCCTGGCTCACCCAAGATCCCCGGCCCTCCCGTGTTCCGAGGTCCAACATCACACTCTGTCTCAGAAGCGAAAATGTCGCACGCAAAAATAGCATGAGCACGAGGGATCAGACATGCTGCCCAGCTGCGCCAAGAACCCAGGAACTCAACAGTGTAATGCCCAGCCTGGCATGCCATTGGGCAGTTACCTCACTTGCTGTGGCAACAGCCAAGCGTCCTTCGCCTTGCCCCGGCTGCACTAGACGTGGATTCCCATTGGATGCTTTGTACCAGCTGTCCCAGCCATCCCATTTGACCTGCCATATCCTGCAGCCACGGCGTGATTGTCGTAAATCGGGCGCTGACTGCTACCAATTCTGTGATTACCTCTCGACCAGAGAGATCAAGAACGGCTTTGACTGCATTGTGGGGGCTGTCGCCTGTACCGAATGTTCTTGTCGCAGCATTTTCACGAACAGCTATGGTGCCCTCATCAATTTCAACTGGCCGACTTCGGCCTATGAGGATCTTGTCCATGGTATCAAGCAATCTCGCTCAGGGTCATAGGCACTAGTGGCTTGACGCTTCCGGAAGCCCAGTCACCATTCGGCCGATATTTGTATGCGGATCGTTGAAAATGCACGGATGCAGTACTGTCGGGTCATGGTTTGGCCCCTGCAAAGTCCCACCAAGACGGACCTAAACACACCTTTCTGGATTGGCTGCAGGCTGTGAGAAGCCATATCAATGCAAACAGGGTGGGCAGCCTCTCGTGCGTGAGGAACCCTCCGGCCTCACACAATCATGGCACGATCACCCGAGCCGTGAAGCGGCTAGCAACGTTTGGTGCTCGCCGCTCGTGCTGGATCGCAGCCGCAGTGAGTGACGCATGGTTTGGCGCGGCCAGCTAGCGAGCGGCTCACGTCACCACACATCTAGAGTTCAGCAGATAAGTCTGGTCCGATTAGAACACCACGTCCGCTGAACCGCCAAAGACGCTAGCGCGAAAATTTATGCTGATCTAGCAGATTTGGCCAAGGCGCCACGCGGTCTCCTGAAGAGAATGGGCTGAGAGGTGTGTGTGTTTCTGAGCCTACGATTGTTCATGCGCGGCTGCTCATTGCGAGGACATTCGGAACTCCCGGACCATCCATTGTTAACGACTACAACTTGCTGCGAGCGGTCTAGGAATGTCCCAGTCGAAACGAGATGCAGCGACAGAAGGCACTCAATCCCGTCGCCAGTATGTCTTGTCAATAGTCACGCCACAAGCTGGTCACTTCAATCCCTGCTTTGTCCGCGCGCCAGGTTCCCTTGGTCGAACTCCTGCGGGGCAGCCAGTGGCGTTTCGGTGGTTTTGTGAAATCGGCGTGTGTTTGGCAGATGAGCCGTCTAGTCCCGTTCCATCCGTCGGTGAAGCCGCCTTGGGCACTTGTGACAGGCCTCGGGCCACGGTCCAAGCGAGGGTTCCACAACCCTCGGTATGGCACTTGATCCGTCAATGGTGCTCACAAAGGCCATTGGACTTCAGCAAGAACGCCGATGCTGACGTCTCAGCCGAACGCCACTTTGCGCTAGTCCTGGTCCACGCGGCACTGTCTCGCCAGCTCCACCAGCAGTTCCCATGCAAGGGCAGCGCAGTTAGTTCATCAAGGCCTGTCGCGAACGCATCAGAGCGTCCGACTTGTGGAAGCAGGACGTTGAATGTCGCGTTGGTGTGGCCCAACTTCCCCAGATTCAGAACTGGGGCGGCGGGCTAGCGCCACATACATCGCGCTCTTGTTCTCCAGTTTCTACTAAAAACAATTGCGTAATAGCTTGCAAGGAAGCAGAGCACCAGCTAGGTTATTGATGTAGGTGCCCCGTACCATTACAAGATGCTGGATTTGGAACGCGGGGGACGCGTGCCAGCCATGGTTTGGAGTCGAACGCTTCGAGAAGCCTGCCTGGAAGAGCAAGGCCGGCAGTCGGCGCCCATCCCCACTGGCTCATCCAGCGTGTGAGGTCCCAGCCAGTCTGCCCTTGGCCATTGGCCGTTCCCGCATCCCCTGGTTAACCGTGGTGAGCGTAAGCTGATGTAGACGGCAGGCTCAGGGCTCTTTGGGCTGCTGGCTTGTCATCATCTGATCCAATTGCAGGGGCTGCCGTGCTTTGAAGCTGTGGTCGATGCCGATTCGCCATGCTCGCAGCCACACACTTTGGCCTCGTCGCCACTGTCGCACCTCCCGCATTCAGCGTGGTCCGGCTCATGGACCGAAGGCGGCCAGGTCGAAGACGGCGCGACGATGGGAACGCCGACGGCCTCGAGCGCTCAACTGTGGCCAGGACTGCTGCTCCCAATGCCACGTGACTACCTCCAAGCACAAGCTCAGCTTTTGGATGTGGACAATCTCGAGATGCCGTGGCGCAAAAACTGTCTGCGTGCGCGGCGCTGTCCGTGTGCACTGTATGTGTCCAGTAAGTCGAGTCGAGAACCACCTGCCCATTTTCCCGTATGCATGCAGCGCAGCCTGCCCGGAGACGGTGCCGCATTAGGACTGGGATGTGGAGCGCAAAAGACCTTGCAGCAAGCAGGCGCCCAGTGATCGGCAATCTGTCTTGCCGCTCTCGAATAGCCGGCCGCCGTGGCGCTGACTGGGACAAGTGACCCTGGCCTGGCTCGCGTAAGGTTGTCCTCCCGTACGCTGCAGCCAGCCAGGGAAGGAAGCACAAGGGTTTTCCCGCTCGACAGCCCAGCTTCCGGGGTGTCTTGCTTGCCTACTTCAGGCTGGACTCGTTACGGCGCTGGCGACCTCTGGCCATGCAGCGACTGCTTCTAGAACGGGCGACATCCTTGAGGCTCGCGCAGCCCTCCACTTCAGGGCGTGTGGTGTTGTCGGTAGGCCCATGAATCTGTGCGGCTGTTTGCCCTGCGCCGTTACTGTCCCTGATCTGGCCTGGCCTGGACAACAGCCCGGCCCCTCAGCAGATTCGTGCCTCTACAACCACGAGATGATGGCATGTTTGTAGCAAGCTTGCTCTCTCTGTCTCTCTCTCTTAGCCTCTCCCCCACCTTGATATTGATGGCTGCATCCGGTGGCGTGTGCTCCTGCCTTTCCTGCTTCTGGCTCTGGCTCTGGTCCAGGGCCCGCCCGCCCTTAGCGCGCGTGGGCTCCACCCCCGGGTTTTCCAGCTCAACAGCCTCCAACTGCCTGGTGTGGCGGCCTGTCCGGTTTAGAGTTGCGCACCTGCGCCACCTGCCAGGCTACACCCGGGCGCGGAGGAAGGGTCTCTTTCTCCAACCGTGCAAAGGCCGCTCAGTCTCCTCGCTCGTGGCATTAGCGGAAGGCTTCCGTACGCTTCGGGCAGTGATCTGTCCAGGCTGCGCCGCCCTCGCTTCCTCGCGGCAGAAGGGCGCATACGCCGTCGCTGCTGCTGCTGCTGCCGCTTTTCAATCAGCCACCAGGTGCGTGAGAATGTTGGAGATACAGCAGACTTGGCAGACGCCACCGTCATCGTCAGCGCCCTTCCCCACCTGCGGGGACAGCGTCTACAGAACAGGTCAGTGAAGCCTATCCCTGTCGGAACTTCGGATGACGGATAGGTAGTGGTGGCTGTCGCCCCTATCTCGTCCTTTGCAGAGCTCTCTAGCTGCGAGTTGTGAGATCCTGAACATTCGCTTGTACTAACAACACGTGCAGCTTGCCACTCGCTTCAAGGACGGTCCCTAGACCAGGAGGGAGCGCTGCCAGTTGAGCCAGGTCAACTGCACGCCATGATGCACCCGCTTTCATTCTTTCCCTGTGATCGTGTGCCTGCACCGTCAACTCGTCAGCCACTGGAGCCAGAGCACTTGAACATACTTGTCATTTGCATGAAGGCAGTCCTCGTGGCAACGCTCGCCTGGTTCATGCAAATACCCCAGCTTTGTTGTCCGGCATCCACGCCGAAATAGAGGCCAGCTACTTTATGTTTTTGAATTGCAGCTCGTGCCACCCCAGACGTTGCGCATCGCGCCGTACTAGTAGTGTCAGTTCCTTCAATATCGCTGATGCAGAACGTACTGCATGTGCCTCGGGTTGACAGTCACATTGCACTTTAGCAGGGTATCTTCTTCCATGCTGATAGGTTTCTGGACGGTCGAGGTCCGGCAATGCGCCAGGCCACTGCCGTGGAAAATCGCCTAGGCACATGCACAATGTTTTTACCTTGATAAACATGACAGAGTGTGACTGGTATGGATTCCGAAGCCTGCGACTCGCTGTTGAACGTCTTTGCAAGGCTGGATCAGGTCCAATTTCCGTTAAGACCCCTCGACGAGGGACCTTAATCAATGACCGAATATCTCATTCGCTGCCCACGAGTGGCCGAGGAGCTGTCCGGCGCGATGACGCAGAGGTATGCCTCAGATGTGTCTAGCCCAACAAGACGTGAAGCCACTAACTATTCAGCTTCAGACCTCGCCCAATCAACAATCGAAAAACGCGGCAGCCTGGTCCGGACCATAAAGGGATGCCAATTCCAGGCCTCCTAGCTCAAAAGTTGAACGACGACGCATTCTCCGAACTTGCATTTCCGTGAAGAGACCTGTCCCTGCCTTTTCCTGGATCATAATCGCCATTGCCATCCCGCCGCGACAATGCAGCCTGCCCTTTGTATCGTATAGACGCTACAATGGGTTCTACCCACCATCAAAGCCAGCGACAACCCTTGCAGCCCGTCATCTATACAGTGCCGGCCGTTGTCGACGGGTTGGACGAGCTTGACTCGCCCCCGTCATATTCCTTACACGCATACCACACGAGCAGTTACTTGCAATCCATTCAGGGCCCAACATCATCGAGTACTGCGGCCGACGATACGCAGTTTCTGCGAGCACCTCATCCAGATCAAAATGCTCAAAATCAGCACTACCAGCGAGTCCCACCCATGACTTTGTCTGTATTGGATAGAGGCCAGCGTGCGAACGACTTGCGTGGATACCGCATCCAGGAGCCCATGACCAGCACCGAGATACACCACAAGAGATACGACGAGCCCGGCTGCTGCGGGAGCGACACGGGAGGGTGCTGTTTCTCCAGCCACGGGGCATGTTGCTTCTCTGACCACGACGCATGCTGCTTCTCGGACCACGAGGCGTGCTGTTTTTCCGACCATCGGGGATGTTGCTTTTCAGATAATGGCGGCTGCTGCTTCTCAGATGGCCGACATTCTACACCTGGTATCTGATACGACGGTCATCTCTCCCGGGCAACAAGAGCACCCAAGGCATTGTGGTAGGCCAACTCACGTCGGCCATTGTGGGAGCTGCTCATGACAGTTCCCAAAGGCTTGCGGGCGCACGATTCCGACCACTGCAGAGTCTCTTATCCGCACCGCCCGCAAGCAAGCTGCCAACGGCCTGGAAAGCCTCAGACGAGAAGCCTGCCAGGGGCAAGGCCAAATTCAAGATTGTTGATAACCGCTACCAGCACGGGAGATGTGACACCGTGGCGCGAGAGCACATACTTATAACCTAAATTGTTATCTGCGTCCTGGCCATTGTGTTGGCGACTAGCTGACATTCGAAGTCCCACGCAGCCTCAAGGGCAACATCATAGAGGAATCGATATACTACTCATGTAAACTCGATTTACCAACCACGGATCATCGCGCCATACCCTTATGCTCATCTCGGCTTTGGCATCCATACCGAAGATAATAGGTCGCTTACATTGGGTAACTTTCGATGTTGGGTAAGAACCTCATATCTATCTTGCAGTGTCATCAGTATAGCAGACTACGGAGCTGGAGAGAGCTAAAGAAATGTAGAAGTTTCATAAAACTTTCATGGGTATCAGCAATGATGTGCTATTCTGCCAAGATCGAAGCCAGCTAGTCCTACCGCAGACACTCCATTGTCAACACCACCAAAACAAGAAGATCAGGCGCTCAAGCTACAAGCAAAGATAATAAGAAATTGCAAGTACAGTAGGCAGAGTGCCAATTGTGACAAAAGGCAATCAATTGGGACCCCCCCCCCCCAACGGCACCCCAAAACCCAATGCGAAAAACCAGGAGTGTGGGTTGCGGAACTCGACATCATTAGACATTAGATATTTTGAGTTTTCCAAACGTCAGGGATGTTTTTCTTGAGTGTTTTCCTCCATACCGGTTTCGTGTATTTGAGATCGAGGGTCGCGACGGAGATGTGGTCGATGAGGCAGACAACGGACCATCTCTTAGCTCATCGCTATCGCTCTGACTGCTTCCCGTAGTCATCGATTCCATCGAACCGCCGCTGCCAATACCGAGATGTGAGATGGTGGGTGTGCCGGTGCGGCCACTTGAAGTGTGATGGACAGTTCCCTTGCGATCCGGGGCTAGTCGGCGGATCTGCGACCCCCAATGACCAGCTCGAGTGCTCAAACTAAGGCTCGGATTGCGACGAAGGTGCGATGGGGCGACCTGTCTGGAGATGATGAGCTCATACTGTTGCATCATGGTTGGACTATCTATAATATCCTCCATCGTGAAGACAGCCTGATCGAGTCCGGGGATTCTCAGGCTGGAGATTTGATTCGAATAGTATTTCGCGAGCTCCGCGGCAGGGACCAATGAGCCCCAGACTTTGTAGAAAGGCACAGCTCGCACGTCCGCCACGCGATGAGTCTGAGCATCAAGCACGGCATCCCAGGCATCTGATATGAGAGTGTTGATGGCACGAGCATGTTCGGGCGTGACCGTCTGCACCGGTCCTGGCTGCTTGGCATCTTCATGTCGGGGAACGTGAAGTGGTATCTTGGGTGAGGTGATGTTGTGATTGTTCAGTCCCTTAAAAGAAAGTGGCTCTGTCACAAAAGCCGAAGTAAGCAGAGTAATAGTCGTGCAAAGCGTCTTCAAAACATCCTCTGCGAAGAAGGTAGGAATTCGCTTCTCGTCGAATGTGAGGGAGATCTCCACGTGCGTGGGGCTGGATATGGATGACCGTACGAACATGTCGGTGGTCTGATGGTTGCACTCAAGACTATCGAGCTTGCATGCGGCATCTCCAATCATGATCTTGTTCGATGCAGATTCACGATCAGACTCGCGTTGGTGCTGAATGACAGTACTGAACCGTGTCCAGGGCGCCCAGTCTGTGCAACGCTGGACAATGTCCATGAATTGCATGTTCTCATGGGGAGTACTGGCAATATGTTGGCTCTGGATACAACGGAAGAACTCATATGGTGTGATTCCAATATCTGGCAGTCGGGTTCGTACTGGTATGATGTTGCCTCGTGGGCCGACAACGTCAGTGCGCCCATCTGGAAGCGTGAGATGTTTGCCCTCGACAAGATGACCAAAAACCACATCGTCGCTACACGCGAGATTGGATAGGACAACGGACCAGGAGCCTTTTAAGATCGTCTCAAAGGGGATACCGAGATTCTGTAAAGATCCTGTCGGCATTCGTTGCAGAATTGTTTTCGAAGCGGCGCTAGGGATTGGTGGACTGGTTTGTGATATGATTTGAGTCATTGATGCACCCTCGAGGAGCGTTCGCCAATAATCCGTAGCACCCGCCGAGTATGTCGCCTGCGACGCCCTGACAATGTCGCAAAAGCCCGGCCGTCGGAGTGTACGATCGCCACGATCGTAGAGAAGACTCAAGTCCCTAAGCAGTGCAGGAATTGATGCCTCGTCGTACTGAGCTCGTGAGAGTCGTAGAATGAGGATAGAATTGCGCCCTGCGTCCACAAAGAAGAACTTTGTCATCGGCTTGCCGAAGTCTGCCGCTAGAGACTGGTCCTTCTTGATCACTTTTGTGGCAAGATTGCCCAGACGCCAATTAGGGCACTGATGTCGCTCAAAGTCTGCCCGGTGCGACTTTGAGACTACCTGGTAGAGCTTACGGTCGTGTGTTTTGAATGATGTCCGAAGTATTGGGTGTGCCTGGATAAGTCGAGAACACGCGCTTTCGAGTTTGACCCAGTCCAAAGAACCCGTGATCGACAACATGAAATAGTTGACGTTTCCCCGAGACGACAGGCTTCCAGACTCCACCGATAGAGACTGGAGAGAAGATGCCTCAGCCACGTCGTGAACCTTGGCTCTGTCCAAACCTAGACCTTGAGCCACATCGGTGACTTCAAGGAGACCATCATTTGGACTCGAAGGGCCTTGTCGGCCCGCGTCAGCGACTTTGACGACAAGCTCATCGGTAGACACTCCCCGACACAACTCCGCAAGGGTAAGGTTCTGTAAAACATCTACAATCGATAACGCAATTCCATGCTGACGGCAGTGGACAATGAGTTCACGGGCCAGTATCGCATCTCCGCCCAGGCTCATAAATCCATTGTTGGCTGTGATGGAAGCTTCTGGGACATTGAGTATGGATGACCAGATGGTCCTGACATGCTGCTCAGTGTTTGTAAAAGGTAGCGGCTTGAGACCGATGGCTTCCACTTCTTGGGGGTTCGGGACCTCAGACAATTCCAGGAGCTGTTGTCGGGATAACCCGAATATCGTCTTCTGAAGCTTGACTCGATTGACCTTGAGAGACGGCGTCAGAGGCATTTGCTTGACGGGGATATAAGCCGATGGGATCATGTGACTCGGAAGCGTCTCGCGGAGAACCATTTCTGCCATCTTTTTGGCGAGATAGAGTCTCTCTTTCGTGACCGGACTCAAGTTGAGCAGATCATCCTTGCCGTGAAAGAGGTTCTCACCGAGCTCCACAAAAGCCGCGAGGATTGGGCGTGACGATGGATCCTGAAAGCCTACTGCCTCGACTACGACATCGACCCCACGCCCTAGGCACCTTCGTAGTCTGGGCTCGATATCAGAAAAACGAAAGATGTTTCCCGCCGTGTCCGCAGCTTCGAAGTCACGAGCGATGAACTCGATCTGCCCACCTTCACCATATCGAACGGGGTGCCCGGTGTGCAATAGCCGCATGTCTCGTTCTTCGTGATCAATGGCGCTTTGACTGCTGGCTTCCACAATCCACGATGTGATGTCCTGCTCCTCCAAATCGATTTCGCACCCGAGCGTTGGAGAACCAATGACTAGCTGGCCCACAGCGCCTACGGGCACGAGACGGTTTGTGTCCTCTCCGCTCACGATCCAGAAATTACCACAAAAGGGGTTTCCGATACATTGTGCGGTATTGGCACCGCTGATTTCCGCAGCGGACAGACCCAGCGGGCAGGCACCCGCTGAGCCGTAGACCAGTAGCACTTTGGCTTTGCCAGACCACAAGGCGTAGGTGTCATCGTCTAACTGTCGCGAACGGAAGCAAACAACAGCAAGATCCGGGATGCTCTCTGGTGTGAGTTTGCGTGATAGTGTTGGTGTCAGGTAAGTCCAATTCACATTCATCCTGCGCGCTGCTCCGGTGAAGTCCGTAATCCTCTCATTTGCTGACGGTACGCAAACGCAGCCGCCATTGATGAGAGTCGTGAAAATCTCGGAGAGTGCTATGTCGACGCTGAATGACGATAACTGCATGACACGACTCGAAGGATTGATACGCAGTGCAGGACCTTGGCCCTGGCAAGCGGTGGCTAGTGCACCGTGGCTGTACGATATGCACTTCTTCGACTTTGCGCAGCCGTGCTCGAACAGAATGCACGCAGCATGGTGTGACTTTATCCCAACATGACTCAGTGTAGAAGCCTGTGCTGACATGGTGGGGACGGTATACTCGTTGATGAGGAGAATCTCAGAGTTTGGGCTCTCAATGCTCCTGCGCACGTTGTCCGACGCTAGAATGAAACGAGGGCCAACCACCTTCAAGACGTACTTGATTATGCTCTTGGCTTCAGCATCGACCGGTACAAGTATTGCTCCGGAGCTATTTGGCTACTTGTCAGCAACAAATACAGGCAAGATTGAAGGAGGCGAAGCGCTGTCAGTGAAGACACCCAAAACTTACTATAGAACAGCAAGCATGGCAACAACCGACCATCGGTTCTTTTCCATGATGACAACGACAGGAGTATGTGGCTTGAGTCCAGAGAGCGTGAGATGACCTGCCAGAGCTTTCGACAGTTGATTCAGCTCATGGTAGGAAAATTCTCCGTCCCACGCGCTGACAGCTTGGATATCTGGATTTGCGGCAGCCTTCTTGGCAATGAGCTGGTGCACATGTTCTGTAGCCATATCGAATCGAGACGCGCTATTCCACGACAAGATTTGCTGGTGGTCAAGCTCAGTGAAGAGGTCGGCCTCCTGGATAGAGCTATCTGGGAAGTCCAACAAGGTCTGCACAGCTCGTCCAAAAACATGAGCAACGTGGATTGACTGGTCCGAACCGAGGATACGATTGCCCAAATCAACGGTCAAAGTACCCTCAACAAAGTGAATGTTGGCGTCGACGTCAAGATGAGACGACCGTTGTGACGCAACAAAGGTCATGTCGCTGTCAAGAAGATATGGCCTTGACACATCCTCATAGCCAAAGGATATGCAAGTGTTGAAAAGTTCTCGGCCTTTGATTCCTAGTGAGTGCTGGATCTCATTGATGTCAACAATCTGGTGACCTCGCGCCGCTTCGGTGCTGTTTTCGGCGTCCAGGAGGATCTGAGCAATGACCTGATGGTTGGGAACGGCAAGTCTGCAGACAAGCAACCTAGTGAAGGACCCGACAGCATCTTGTAGTGCGGAGAACCCGATATCTCTGCCAGCTGTGCGATAACCGAAACATACATCATCTGACCCGATGTAAGTTCTCAGCAGCATCCCCCAGGCTGCTTGAAATATAGTCGACATGTTTATCCTGTAAGTATTTGCAAACTCTTCGAGACGCTCCCGGCGAATTGGAAGAGTGACGACTGGGTTGCGCCAGCTGCTCTTTTGGTTCGAGAGACATGGGAAGATGCTCGAGTTGAAGCCACTCATTCTCTCTTTCCAGAATTCTGTGCTGTCTCGATTCGGCACGATATTCTGTAGGTAGTCTGGAAACAACATCTGAGGCGTAGCGGAGATTCGTTGGCCGAGATAGGCCTGCTCAAGTTCTTCGAACAAGATAGCCAAACTGGCACCATCACATATGGCTTGGTTTGCCTCGATCTTGATCAGAACTCGACTGGGCGCCTGGCAGACCACTAACCGATGCCACGGGACGCCTTCCGTCAGAGCCAGTGGAGGATGATCTCCCGTTGCCCGTAAAGCATCTCGGTCATGCTCTGTCTCAAGAAACAGCATGCTGGGGGAGTGTCGTCGCAAAATAATCTGGTCAAACAAGCCGGTTCTGGAGACGCTGGGCGCGAAAACGGCTCGCAAGGCCGTGTGCCTGTCTGAGATTTGCTGCCAAGCAGCGCAAATGCGACCTATGTCGATAGGGTCGTCCTCGACGTCGAAATCGAATACCATACTACAGTCTGAGCTACCCGGGACGAGTGATTGATGGACTAGGATGTTTTCTTGGCTCGTGGTAGTTGGGTAGATTGCTTCAATGTCCTTGGGATTGATGTTCAAACTGGGAAGAATAGTCTTGTTGAGCAACCTCAAGCCTTCGTAGCTGGCGTCAAGATGTGGAATATCTGTTAACGCCAGGTCGATGTACTTCAACTGACGCCGCTTGATACCCTCCACCAGAAGGTTCTCGCATCCTTGGATCCAAGCTTGGATCAAATCCTGATGGTAAGAGTGCTTATTGTATACGAACTTGAACCTGACTTCCCCATCACTAACGCAAGCAGACACCTCAAATGCGGAGATGCGCCCAACTTCTGGCCCAATATCTGACGTATTGGAGGAGAGATTTTGTCCAGGTATGCGCAACTGTTCTAGCAGGGAGTTGGAGCTCTCTGTGTCGTCGTTTGGACTTCCCGCAAATGTGAATATCACCTCGAGGGGAAATTGCTTCGCAAGAAAGTCGTTTACATGGACTTCATCCATGAGGTTTGCGGTGAAGTAAGGTGTCTCCCTCGAGTTCATCTGTTGACGCGCATCTTTGATGCGACATATCACCGAAGATAAATCGTCCAGGGATGTCACATCAGCTCTGAGAGGACAAAGGGATGTGAACCATCCGACTACCTCTGAGACATCATGCTGGTTGTCCATAGCGGCGCGATCGTGTTCCTGGTTCCAAACGACTGGGACGTTCCTGTCGCGGAAAGTCTGGGCGAAGGATAACACGGTAGCAGCCACGAAGATTTCTGTGCAATCGTTCTTGATCGCTTCCACGTTGTCGCCAAGCATTGCTATGATTTCCTTGCCGATTGTAAAGCCAGCCGTGGTGGAATGCCCATATGTGTTCGAGTTCTTAGTGATTCCCCAGTATGTCCAGTCGGCAGAGGGGACTTCGAATGGAGCGTCGCGGGCCACAGTCCCATCTCTCTCCACGAGTTGTTTCTGGTGTCGTGCCCACTCTTCAAATGTGAGCGTCGGTTGGGACATGAGACTGCCACGGGTGAGGAGCGTCTCTAGATCCCGGGCAATCACCTTCCACGACTTGAGATCGACTACAAGATGATGCGCGACCAAGTACAGCATCTGATATCCGTCATGCGTCCGAAAATGATGGGCTGCAAATAGTGGGCCGTGTTCTATGTCGATTGTTGTCTGCGCGTTGCGAATGGCCCTTTGTACTTCTGCATCCGTGCTAATTGCGTGGTCACCAAAATGGAACGACCCTGTCACGTCGCTGTCCACAGACTGCCGCCACGAGTCGGCGACACGGTGAAAGCGGCATCTCAGCATGGCGTGCTGTCTCACGACGGTTTCGACAGCAGCACGAATGCTGTCAACTGACATGATTTTCCTGAAGCGGAACAGCACACTTTGGTTGAAACGGTGGGATTCTGGCTCCGAGTTTGGGTCGCAGCTACCGTTGCCCATCGTGGTCGAGAAGTAGAGACGCTGCATTGGCGCGAGCTCGAAAGTCTCAGCTCTGATTGCTTCTGTCTCGGCTTCAATATCACGCGGCACGGCTAACGAGGCCAGATGCGCAAGAGAGGCTGATCTGAGAATGTCGTCAGTGTTGAGTAGAAGGCCAAGTGATCGGCAACGAGACATGAGCTGTTTCGCCAATCTCGCGTCGCCTCCCAGCCGGATGAAAGGCATATTCATCCCAACATTTGACTGTTCCAGCATCAAGACCCTACTGACGGCTCGCTGGATCGTAAATTCGTTTTCAGTGGTTGGCTGCGTGAGTTTCTCTTCTACGTCCACGGACAAGATGTGCTGGTATAGGTCCTCATTGACGTTCTGGACCCACGTCTGCAGCTTCCTCCGATTTGGATTGCCCGCATCGTCAAGGGGCATTCTTTCCAGCACGATCCAGATTTTGGGTATCAGCGCTGGTGCGACTTTCGACTCGACATCTTCGCGAATGCTTGGGAGCTGGTTGGCATAGTAAGCATTGAGGATTTTGACTTGGCAATCATCGGGTCCATCGAAGATGCAGCTGGCGAGCGTGATAAAGGCAACTTGTTGGCCTTCGAAGAGGCCAACCTTGGGTTTCATCAAGGCTGCCCTCGAAACGTCGCCGTTCAGGGAGAGCACATGTTCGACCTGATTGTGAAACTTGCGCGACGCCTTCTTTCGAACCTGGTTGTTGCTACTCGTCCTGCTTTGCAAATTTGGCCTCGAAAAAACCCGAGTGGATGGTTCGGCAAGTGTATCTGGTGGTAAGGTGGCCGGCACGCCGGGACCAAGGACCTTTTGAGCTTTGGCGGAACTCAAGCTCAGCTGAAGAGGACTGACGAGAAATGGCGAGCCCGGGGTCCGCTCCTGTATCTGAGAAGCGCTCATGGGTGTCACGAGATTTTGCAGGTCGGCAATGGTGTTGCATTTGAGAATATCAGAGGTTTCGATAGAGAGGCCGGCATTGAGGCAGCTTATGCGCAGCTCAGCGGCGGTCTGCAGGTCGCCTCCCAACTCGACGACCGAGTCTGTTTCGTGGACATCGGAAACCTCGACGCCGAGCACGTCGGCAACGACCGCGGTCAACCGCTCGTTGATGTGTGCAGGATCGGAGCCAGTCAAGGCAATCTGCTCGGGCGTCGGATAGTAGGCAACGGGCCCAAATCGATCTGGGATCTGGGGTACTGGGGGTGCGCCATCGAGACCACCGTGGATAGAGAGCTGCGAGCAGGCTGAGCTGGATCGGGATGAAAGCCCGAGTCGCTTGGCGGGCACATGCTGCTCGGCAGTGTCCGCTGAGAGTGCAGCGGCGACGGCGACAGAGGCTGTGTCGAGCAGGCGACTTTGAGTCTGAGACCGGCGAGCGTCTGTGGAGGTGCTGTTACGGGAGAGAGAGCCTTTGCGAGCGATGGTCTCGAGCGCCGACTTTGGGGTGCGCGCAGTTGTGGTCGAGGTCGATGGCAGCTCAACGAAGCCCATGGAACTGTCGATGCCCAGGGAGGTGTCGATGGGCGGCAACGATAGAAGCCTGGCCATATTGAAGACTGTAGATGCTCGTGGGTGCACTCAAGCCTTCAGTGCTGCCGGCATTGCGAGATGAATCTGTGCCAGGCGAGCCGTGATGTCAGGGCTGAGCGTGTAAGTGAGGATCTGGCGATGGGAGAAGCACTTGGTCGGTTGTAGTGAAAGACTGGAAAGCCACACAGGCACCAGGCATGCACCACCCACGGTGCGATAGTAAGACAGCTCCAGAGAGGCCATGCCTGGCACAAATTACACCGTCATGCCGTTGCGGTAGGGTGCGGATGGAGGGGGGTGGTTGGCAACGTCCAAGCTGGGGGTGGGCCCCGGCCCCGTAAGGCATGGGAGCATCGCCGAGGAAGCGGAGACGCCCCGCGGGCGGGCGGGCGGCACTATCTTAAGCACCATCCACTAAGCAGCTACTGCCGTCATTCAATCGAATCCGTCCCTCTGGCCCTCGGAGAATAGGCGGGCGCTACTTTGCACACTGCCACTTGAAAGGCATTGTAGCCGCCTTCAGCATCAACAGACATGGAGTCGTATTGTGCATATTGTGCACTTGCAAAGGCGAGCCTACGTGGGCGGCGTGCTGCGGCCCCCAATGGCCGGCGACGTCATCGCCCAATGTTTGCCGAACCGGCACGTAAGCAGCCTCTGATTAATCCCATGGTTGGAGTCCTGGGCGGGCAACCAGTGAAGTGTGCCACTGCGCCTCGGTAAGGTAGCGTATCCAGGGTGTCCTGCATGATGTAACAGGGCTGCCCTTGTTGTGCCGCCCTGGCTGCATGTTGCTGTGACTAGCTCTGTGTCCTGGTTGGACCTGTCACCCACAAGCCCCTGCTTCCAAGCTTACTACACTACCCCACTTTGTCGATAGTGCCGCACAGCCAGCAGCGATTGCTGACGTAGGCACTCGAGGTAGTTAGGCCTTGCCCCTGTGGTTCGGGCAAGGCACTTTTGCAATGTCATCGGAAACAAACTCGGCTCTTACCACACCGGCCTTTACTAGGCCAGCCGTGCTGACCACCCTTTCCCAATACCTCTCTGTCTACACACCTTGGTGGCACAGATAAGCTCGGCCAGGGGTACGGCCAACCTAATGGCCGACGACCTCCAGGAGTTCAGGGCTATGGTGGGCTTGTTGCAGAGAGCGATACAGCAGCTTGCGCCATCAATCCTCAGCTGCCTCAGCTGTATTGCAATCTCGCACCTGCCTCAGTACCGCGGGGGGAGACCATGTGATGGCAAACCGAGCAGTCTGAACAATTGCAGAGAGATTGAAGTCTTACCACGCGCAAGTGACCAAGAAAATCGTGTTGTGTCACTACATGCACGATGACTCGCACGTTATACGAGTGGTCATGCAAATTCTCTCCTCTCTTTGCTGCAACTGCCAGCCAAGGAAAGAAGAAATCATCGGCTGTCTGGCATCAGTTTTGCCCGCCTGCTTAGCCGCATGGTAACTGGCTCACATAGGTAGGGGTAGATAGACGGGTTTGCACTTGGCACAATGTGAAGTGCAGTATCTTGTTGGTCAACTGTGCTGGACATGTCTGGCGGTCGACCGAGATCTGCAGGCAATGGCAATGTGATGCTGAAAAAATCATAGTATTTGCGGTAGCCAGCCGTTCAGCACGATGGCAGATAGATCAGCATGGAAGGTCGACTTTCATGTGCGTGGATATGTGGGCCTCTGGAAAGTACAGAACGCCATGCAGCAGCCCAGCTCACTCTCGAGCGAGGATCTTGTCAGAGCTTTCCTCTGCCCGATATGCAGATGGATGATGTGAAGGTCTGGCATCCTGATCTGAGCAGCTTGAGCTTGGTTTCGGGGTTCAGACATTGTATCACAGGCTCACAATTAACTACCCACTAGGACATGTCCCAGAAAGGCGTGAAAGTTTAGATGGTATAAGAGCAATGCTGGAGGATATTAAACTGTGCTCCTAGAATCATTTCGGAAACTCCTGTATTTATGCCGTATCAATGGGTAGCCTGGACCATTGACTGTGCCAAACTCGACCGTCCTTGACCACCGCCAGGATGCTGGTGTCGGGCGTAGCTAGAGAGCTCACATCTTCCAGCGGATTCGTGCCCAGCACGAGCAAGTCTGCCAAATAGCCTGCTTTGACCTGCCCCAGGTTGTTCCCTTGGCCAAGCATCTCTGCAGCGTTGACCGTGGCACTACGGACAACATCCAGCGAGCTGAGAATGCGCCTGCGGATTGCGAACTCGCGACTCTGTTCTGCCCACAAAGAACCGAGCAAATCGGAGCCGAGACATATGCGGACCCCTGCGTCACGGGCAAGCTCGACTGATCGCAATCCAGCCTCGAGGATAGCACGGTTCTTGTTCGCATTCTCAGGTGGCAGGAAGCCCGGATATCGGTCTCGGTCCGCCATGGCCTCGTAAGTCACCAGAGTTGGCGTAAACCATACCTTTTTTTCAGCCATGTACTTTGCAGTGTCCCGGTCAATGAGGTTGCCATGCTCGATGCCACGAACGCCATTTTCCACGGCATGTCGGATAGCAGCCGGTGTGTATGCGTGGGCGGTAACATAGGTCCCATAGCTTCCGGCCACTTCGCAAATCGCGCGAATCTCAGAGGCCGTGAACTGGGTGTTGGTGAGTCTGTCCGTCGGGGATGCGACACCACCAGAAGCCATGATCTTGATGAAGTCGGCGCCAGTTCGTAACTGCTCCCGTGCTGCGCGGATGCAGTCTGACACGCCGTCGCAGACTACTGAGAGCCCTGGTCGAGACTGACCACAACAGGAAATACTCGAATGATCGTGAGACCCCCGACTATCGCCATGACCGCCTGTCTGCGAGAGGGCTTGGTTTGCAATGAAGAGTCGTGGACCGGGAAACACCTCATCGGCAATAGCCTCCTTGAGTGCTAGTGTCGCTCCGCCAGTGTCGCGTAATGTTGTGAACCCACGCTTCAAAACCTCCTTACAAAGAAACGGTTGTCGGAGAAGCGACTCGGCCACATCCCGCGGCATTGCGCTTGCCAGATTTCCCGTGCCTATGCCCGGAACTGAGCTCAGGTGAACGTGGCAGTCGATAAGACCAGGGCAGACAAACTTGTGCTCAAGGTCTACAACCGTCACGTCCTCGCCATCCAAGACAGCCACTCCTCCATGCTCCGATGTTTCGCAGACTGCCATGATCAGCCCGTCGCGAAGTATAATATCGCGGTCCATGAGAAGCACGCCATTCAAGGGATCGACGACATTTGCATTTCGCAGCATATAGACCTTGCGAGGGGGTAGTTGCCACGGTTTGGAACCTTTTGCCCAACTGTTTTGCGTTTCTGTGGACGTTGGCGCCGGAGATGGTGCTGTGGACGGCCAGCCAAGGCCATCGGGTGAACGAATCCGAGTCATTGTCTTGTCGTAAAGCTCGCGGGAAACTCGAGTGTCCCGTGAGAACGTATCTGATACTCTTGATCAAGCCTGATCAGGTTTCAAGCGGTTCCTAGAGGGGTCAACTCGTGACGTGAGTCGCAATCCATGTATTGTGAGATTGGTGAGAGTGAGTGGGGCTCATAAGGTTGGACCTGCTTGGACGAAGCTGGCAAGGCTATCCCCGCTTCAACGTTTCCTACACTGCGTCCCCGAACTTGTTCAAATCACGCGAAATCTTGTACTATGCATTTATCTCACATCGGCTATTGGGGCCAGCATAAACTCTATCAAATGCACCGCAGAAGGCGCAAAATCTAATCTTTTCTTAGGACGCCTTCACAAAAGGCATGCTGAATCAAGTTGGGTATCTGTCTCAACGCCTTCCCAATGCACCCAATAAGACAAGACACCTTCCATCTGCTAATGTAAAAATTTGTCACAGGGTCGACGAGAGCTATGGCCGATTGAAGCCTTGTTTGGCCTTTGTGCAGGGCGGCGTTAGTAATTGACGATGTTTTGAGGTGATGAAGGACAACAATATAGCTTACCTTCATTTGCTCGATCCGGGCTTTGAGTTGGCTTGTCACTTCTGCGGCACGTTTCCAGCTCTCGACGCCATTGCCATTAGCACCGCTGGTCCCAGGGATGTGCCTCTCTTCGTCTGTAGGCGCCGTAGGTCTGGAACTACGGGCGGGGCTTCCACGACCGCTTGAGCCGCTTCCATACCTCAGATCGGGGCTCAGCGCCTTGTTCCTGGCGTAACTGTGTGCAATGTCGCCATTCTCCTTGTCTTCAGACATTGTGCTATTGTAGCTGGTGCGACTCATGCCGGAACCGCCGTAATGACTGCTGTCACGAAACATGGCAGCCTCGTCCGGAGTAGGGCTCGCGATGCCTGGACTGGTCATGCCGCCGGAAACGCCAAGGCCTTCTGCCTTACTAAGAGCCCGTTTGAGACGTTCCAGTTCTCGACGAAGTCTATCGTTGACTTGCTCGGCGGCCTCTGCGTCGCTTCTGGCCCGCACCAACTGCGTCTCCTTGGCCTTGATGCTGAGCACGTCCCGAGTATGATCCTCAATGAGTGACGCATTATGGTTCTTGAGTTCTTGTATCTCAGAACTCAATCTACTCTTGTCCTGGCGCAATTCGTCCACTTGTTTCAGGAGTCGATCTTGCGCAGCCCTCAATTCTTCCAGCTCTCCACGCTCGAGGGCAGACAGCCCACTGACGGGGGGCGGGGAAGGTTCAGCGGCTGGGGCAGCTGGCATTGCCGGCTTGGCTAACGAACGTCCAGCCAGTCCTCCACGTCCCAAGCCTAGACGAGGTTTCGGGGGTGGGGATGCCGCGAAGGGTTCGTCGTCCTCAATCGGATCTGGGGGCGGTGGTGCAGCAGGTGCCCGGCGAGGGGAGGCGACCCCAGGAGCTGCAATGCGGCGTCCTGGAGCCTTCAAGCTGGAGATGCCAGAGGATTTCGGCATGCCAAGTTTGGAGCCTACGCCAGGTCGTGCAGCTGGCTGAGGAGGAGCAGGTTCGGGCTCAGGCGGGGGTGCTGCCGTGCGTGGGACAGGCTTCTTGCCTGCCGCGGAGGCAGGTTTCTTGGCCCCCCCAACAATTTTCTTGGGACCTCCCGGGGGCGCTCTCGTTGCAGCAGGCGGAGGAGCCTTTGGCTTGTCCTTTGCTTTCACCTCTGCCTTGTCGTAGAACTCCTTGATTTTGTTCTTGCGGATATCATCCAGGCCTTCCATATGTGGGTTCATGGCACGCTCACCAATGATTTTCATGATCGTACCCAGAACCTCCGCGCCTCCAGACCGTAGACCTTCGCTTGATTCCGCAAGTAGCTTCTTACCAGCTTCCACGATTGTGGCAATCTCTGGCTTGCTCGGAACGTCCCTCGTGGTCCGTAGGCAACGTACGAGGAACTTCATTGTGCTTTCCTTGACTTGAGGGTTCTTGTGGATGAGAAATGTGGTAATGTCCTCGAGGCATTCAGAGAGGCTCGTCGCAAGAAAAACCTGATCAAGTGCTGCTCCGAGAGCATCGGAGACAGATGCCTTCTTCTCCTTCAATCTTTCCATGATTGGCGCCATCACAGTCGTGCGGTATCTTCCATAGGCCTTGCGCAGACCTTGTGCCAGGACCTCGATACACTGAGCAGCCTGCGTGACAACCGCAATATTGGCGTCTTTCATGCATTTTGCCAAGCCGCGATTGATTTCATTGAAGTCGCCATCCTTGATGCGAGGGACATTGAGCAATGCATACAGAGCCTCAAGCGCCTCTTTTCTATCTTTCCACTTTGACGAGGCCAGGTTGTCGTGGAAACTGGCGGGCACTTTCGACAAGACATCTTGAGGTTCGGCGAGGTCGAACGCATCCACTTCCGCGGGCTCGTCGACGTCGCCTTGATCATCGTACATATCTTCATCGTCACCGCCAGCTGGTGCTCGAGCCATGGCCTCTTGTTGAGAGCGCAGTAATCGTTCTTGCTTCGGTGGTGGCTCTGCCTTGATTTTCTCGAATTGAGCCTCCAAATCCGTTTGTTGTGTGGGCTTGAGATCACCCCAGAACATCGGCTTCATCGCTTCTCGCAACCACCGGTAGAACTCGACAGCCAGGTTGGTGGCCTCTGCGCGCACATTCTTGTCCGCGTGGCCAAAGGCTTTGGGAAGGATCTTGAGTACCGGTTTGGGATCGCACAGTTTACATCCGTAGCCGTGGAAAATCGTGGTGAGCGCGGCAAGTGCCGCAGCTACAACCTTGGGTTGCTTTGCTGACATGGCTGGAAGGATATCCTCAATGACTGGAGCGGAGGCATCAACCTCCACAAGAAGTAGAAGAGCTTCGATCGAAGAGGCTTTGGTGCCTGGTCTTGTGGATACGAGACCTTTCTCGACTATTGGTGCAATGACCTGATGTCGTGACCGTACGGTGTTCTCCTTGCCACCAAATTTCAGAAATGCGCAATAAGCAGCGATGCCATCAGCCTGGGCGGCCACATTTGAGTCGGCAACAGCGCCTTTCCAGAGACCGGGATCTTGGTTGAAGGGGCGGAAGGCCGGGTCGTACTCGTCGGGAGTGACCTCGAACTGCTTGGCCGCTTCTTCGTAGGCGCCCTTTCGTACTTTCCAAACCTATCACCGGGAGGATATAGTCAGCTTAGGACTGGAAATGAGACAGCTGTGGTTACTATTCAACATACTTTATGAGTCCATCGCTCTGTGAGCGGGAGGGAGCTGTAGTCCGGCTCCGCGTCCGCCATGTCTTTTGTGGTAGTTCACTCTGCGTGAGGACACCAGCGCAGTACTATGAACGAGTAACCCGTGTGAGGTTTGGGTCGAGGGGACGACTCGAGGTTGGGGGTGCTATGGTCGTGGCGCAAGCTTGTCGAGACGCGCTCTTGGACGAACAATCGGATGGGAAGAGCCTTCGAGTCACGTTGGTTGTCAGCTGTGTCCAGGTCGCTCTCACTCAAAGACTGAAATGCATCATGGTGACAATCCGCGGCATGAAAGTGGAGGAGCATGTGCATGATGGGTTGACGGCAGGCGAAAGCCAGAGTCGCAACTCGCAGTGACAGGCGATGACCGAAACACACGACAGTGCGACGCGGACATGAACCCTGCATGCCGCAGTTATCGGCTATCGCGATGCGCGCGGCTTGAGGCGACGCGGGAGCAGTACGAAGGTTTAGAAAGAAAGGGGCAGTACCTTATTCAGCTCAGAAAGGTCGCTCAAGAGGAACAGGGTGATTCGTTGCCGTAAGTCGAAGAACTGCTGTGCTTCCGTGGAGCTGCAGGGCGGTTGTTCGAGGACTCGCCAAAGGCCGATAGGTGATGAGGGATGGGCGGTTCAAAATATTGTCACTTTGTTTGGAGATGAGGGCCAAGAGCAACGACGGCAAGCGGGGTGCCAGCCCAATGGTCAGTGACGGCTTGGTGTGTTAGCAGATACTCGAGGCTATACTTGTATCGGACGCGCGTTGACCGCAGACAAGGTGCTCCTGGCAGGTACCTTCGTGGGGAGACCTTATCAGGGTCGGGCAAAGGCATGCGGGTCTACTCCAGGGCTGCGCAAGGGGTACTGCCACCAGGTTGGGGGGCAACGGTGCTTTAGTTAGTCCTACTATTGCCGTAATTGGAACAACACTGTTAGATCTGCGACGGCTTCGTGAGATCAAGTCCTCGTGTATCTTCTCACGTGCCGCAGCAGCCCTCCGTGTCACACGTTGGCCATAGGAGCAGGCCATGGTTGGCTGATACTCTTATTCCTGGGCACTAGATTCAATCACAGCGCATCGTAGCCTTTCTGCCAGTCAAGTGCGGCACTTATCAGCAGATCCGTTCCCAATATGACAATGCTGGCCCCGGAGACCCCAACAGCACCACCTTGCACCACTTGAGCCCCGCACACCTTTGCAGGCGACGTCACATCGTCACATCGATTCCGGGTTGCCTATCTACCTAGGTATCTACCTAGGTAGGCACGCACAAATGTTCCATCTTCCGGGAGAATCTACAAAATGCCTCTCTAGTTGTCTCTGCAGCGTCGACCTGGTCGAACGCCTGAACCTTACACCGCAGCTTACAATTGCTGGCGGACACCACACACAATGTATTCCCTACTTCGCGCCTCTTCTCTACTTTTCGTGTGTGCCTTGCGCATTCATGCGATACAGTTACTACCCCCTCCACTTCATGGCCAGTCCTCTGACCCTGAATGTGACGTAAAAGTTTGCTCCGTCAGGACCTCAGACCACTGGCCACGGATTGTCTACGTCGCGGAGAACCTGGCCACCGCAAGAGATGAGCACGGACTGACCTTGATCCCGCCATCTGGGCATGACTTCGCGCAAACCTTTGTCGAGGATCTTGAGGATCTTACAGGGGAACGATGGGCACTACACGTGTTACCTAAAAACACAGATCACCCCACGGCCGGCATCATCGTGGACTTACACCCCCCGGACTCCCGGGCAGTTCTGAATCTCACTTATGAGAGCGGTGTCACAACAGAAGAGGGCTACACGCTTGACGTCACAAAAGGCCTGGCCGTCATCAAGGGCACCGGTGCTCGTGGTGCGTGGTGGGGAACGCGGACATTGCTACAGCACATGCTGCGTGGTGCTTCAACAGCCGAAAACAGTGGCAGTGATGTTCTCAACCTGAGCGTCGTAGATGCACCAGCTTATGCTACGAGGGGCTACCTGCTCGATGCAGGGCGCAAGTGGTACAGCCCTGCGTTTCTAAAGGAGTTGTGTGCTTACGCCTCGTTTTTCAAGATGAACGAGTTCCACTATCATACGAGTGACAACTATCCCTTGAGCCGGGGCCGGAACGACTCCTGGCAAGACGTCTACGCACAGTTTTCGCTACGGCCGGAACGAGACCTCGAGCTGCTAGATGGTCTCATTGAGCGAAAGAACGAGACATTGAGCAGGGCCGACTTTGAAGATCTGCAGCTCCACTGCGCACGAAGAGGAATCACTGTCATCCCGGAAATCGAGGCGCCTGGTCATTGTTTGAGCATTACAAAGTGGAAGCCGGAGCTCGCGCTAGCGAACAAAAAGGACCTTCTCAACCTGACGCACCCGGACAGCATTCCCACTGTACAGAGGATCTGGCAAGAGTTCCTTCCCTGGTTCCAGACGAAGGAGGTGCACATTGGCGCTGATGAGTACGATCCTACTCTGGCAGACGATTACATCCGCTTCGTCAATGAAATGGAGCGTTTTGTGAGGACGTCATCGGGCAAGGGTATTAGGATCTGGGGCACATATGAACCGTCTGAAAACCTATCAATCTCTCAGCAAGTCGTTGTGCAGCACTGGCAGTATGGCCAATCGGATCCGGTAGCGTTGGCACGCTCGCACTACCAAGTGATCAATTCCGAGGACTGGTGGGCCTACATGACTCTCAAGAACGATCACACGCCCATCTTTCCTGCTCCCTATGCACAATTTTTCAACCAAACCAGAATATTCGATTTTGCGGGCCATGGTGGTTGGCAGTGGGAGCCGAGCCTGTTCAATCCAGTCAATACGACGGAACAATTGCCAACTGGGTCACATCAGAACAAGGGGGCAATCTTGGCTGCCTGGAATGACAATGGTCCTGATGCAACCACGCAACTTGAGGCTTTTTATGCTGCTCGTCGTGGTATCCCCCTAGTGGCGTCGCGTGCTTGGGGCGGCAGGCGCGGACCACTGATCGACATTGCGAAGTGGTTGACATCTGTGGAATGCTTCGCCCGTCGAGCGCCCTCGCAGAATCTAGATAGGAATATTCATGGCATCCGTGTTGCCACGAATAATTCTTCAACCATATTTTCTTGGTCGCGGCCGCACTCGGCGGGTGAAAGCCAGCAGAGCAGGGTCGTGCTTGGTTATGGCAGCAAAGGTCCCGAATACACCATGACATTACTAGTCACAGGCCCCTTCAACCTCTCCTCCTCCGATGCCACACTTACACTCTCTCCAAGTGGCGACCTGATCTTTTACACAGATGGAACGCCGTACCCTCTTCGCTCGGTTGCTCCCACGGATGGTTTCGAGGCGGGCCAACCAGGCAGGATCTGGAGCAACGTCACCACATCGACGCACGAGTTGGTGCGCTTGCCTGTGGCCCAGAAACGGATGGAAGTGACGATGACTGGAGACTATATTGGTGGCAGTAGAGTGTGGGTGAATGGGCATTTCGCTGGACGATTCGAGGTTTTTGTGTACGGAGGTCGCAACACACTATTTTCGTGGAGCCAGATGGCATTTGTCGCTCCGCTCGACATCGTAGAAGGTGGCATTGAGTCGATCCAGGTTGGGTCTGAAGTTTGCCCTCCGGATTCATAATTCAAGCTAGCTCACGAAGTGGCGTGCTTGCGAGGCTTGAATACAGAAGCTGCGACGATTTAACTGGTCACGCGATGCATTGCCAGATATATCGTTGCTGCAGGTATGAACATGCTGCTCAGAGCCTTTCAGTTTACAATTGAAAGGTCTTCTCCCTTGATACGAGCAACCGACGTCAGTTGGGAATGCATAAGATAGATGGCACGATCATTTGGGAAGTCCATGGCTGAGCAAAGGCTAGGTAAAGTATGCAACAGTCGTTCCGCGTCACGTCGCACTATTGACAAGACTGACCTCGGACTGCAAACTCGATTGCAGTGCTGTCACTCAAAGTGGTCGTTGCCCGTGATCCGGCTCAGAATGCCTGAATGTCTTTCTCAGCATGGTCTCCTCTACTGCACTTTAAAGTGTGAATGGAGCCAGACCAGGGTCTCGGGACGACCACGTGCGTGACAGCCCAAGTTGAGGCAGAGTCAGGGCCCACCCTCTTGATGATATACTGATGTCACTTTCGAAGTCTGCCCAGGCGGACTGAGCCAGGTGTTCAAGTAGCAGTAGAGTCCTGACGTGGCACGGCTCGCGCCTGGCGCTCTGTAATGCAGAAGGGAAGATGTCGTCCACCAATGTTGCTGGGAAGGTTGGTGTGCTCCACCTCGCCTTCCATTTAGGATAGTGGCGCTGGCCCGGCTGCACAGGCAGGGTTGCTGTCAGACCCCTCGTGCGCCCACCAGCACCACCCACCAGGCTCGGTTGGGTTTGGGATGTCTCCTCCATCCTCGATTAACCTTCCTCATTTATCGAGCAACCACAGCCGCCATCATCACGGACTCCATCATCGCGCGTGCTCGGGAACCTGCTTCGTTCACCCATCACCGTCTCTGCGTATGCCGGAAGGTGCCATTACTTAGCTGCAGCAGGGCCTAGGTGCCTCACCCTATCCGCCGCCATGTTCTGGCGCTTTGGCGGCTACGCCAACATTTCCACCATCGACACCATTCTCGACAAGCCCGACTTCCACCTCGAAGACCTCCTCGACGAGAGCGACCTGATACAAGAGCTTAAGCAACATAACACAAAGCTCATAGAGTACCTCCGCGAAGACAGTGTCCTTGCCCGCCTCCTCGATTATGTCATTGCACCAAAGCTTGAGCTCGCTGTCGCGGTGCCCGCCACCACTGCCTCTACGGCCACCATTGCCGACGCCGACGAGAAGGCCCCGGGTGAATCGACCGAGAAGAAACAGAAAGGAATAGGCTTATCCTTCGCCCGACCACGTGCTTCCTCCCGTGCCTCAGCCTCGACCACCAACGATGAGCCGGACGAGGACGAGGCGGAGAAGAAACGTAATCGATATGCCTTTGTTGCCGCCGAGGTGCTCTCTTCTGACAACTGGTCTATATATGAGGCTTTGATGGAGAACCAAACCCTCCTACGTGCCTTCTGGAGCTTTTTGGAGCGCCCCGCCCCTCTTGATCCTCTTCAGGCCAGCTATTTCACCAAAGTCAACGAATCGCTTTTCGATAAGAAGACAGACGAGATGCTCGATCTTCTGAAGTCAATCGATGCTGCTGTTCCAAACATGCTCCGCCATGTCGACTGTCCCATGGTGATGGACCTGCTGCTCAAGATCATTAGCCTTGAGCGAACAGAGAGTGGTCAAGGCATTGTCGAGGTAGGCGCCCAGCCATACCACAACATACGACACTACTACGAGAGGCACACTAACGGTCAAACTTGTGCAGTGGCTCTACACAAAGGACGTGATGCCTACGCTGCTTTCGTTCCTTGGTCCCCAGCACAGCTGGGCTACTCAGACGTCAGCAGGTGACTTCATCAAGGCCATTATCACTGTCTCGGCAAACGCGTCGCAGAACGAACAAGCTTGTATTGGGCCAAATGAGCTCACGCGCCAGCTTGTGTCCACGCCATGTGTCAACCAACTGATCGGTTATATGCTGGGGGGAGGAAACCCGCTAACAGTTGGCGTTGGTATTGTCATCGAGGTCATCCGGAAAAACAACTCTGACTACGACCCCGATGTTGGGCAAGACAACAACACTGAACCGTCCAGTCGCGATCCGATCTATCTTGGAACCCTACTGCGACTTTTCGCTGACCGCGTGCCTGATTTCATGAGCCTCATTCTTAAAGCCCCAACACAGCCTCGTCGTCTGACGTCCACGTTCGGCGACAAGATTGAGCCACTTGGCTTCGACCGGTTCAAGACTTGTGAGCTAATGGCGGAGCTCCTGCATTGTAGCAATATGGCTTTACTCAACGAGGTCGGTTCCGAGCAGATGATCAAGGCTCGAGATCTGGAACGGCAGCGTCTGCGGGCTAAGGGCCATCTGGGTCCTAATCGCGGTGAAGATGGCCCTTCTGTAGAGGACCTGACTATGCGTATCAGACACTCTCCACCCGAGGACGCTCGACGCTTGGAGGTGACAAATGCTTCGGACGATGATGGATTCGAGGAAGTGGCCCCATCTGGCGACATGACAGAGGATACTTCGCACGAATTCGTTCAGGCTGAGGCGGAAGTTTCTCGGCATCAGACCTCCCGTTCCCTTGGCAAAGATGGGGACGACTTTGTGGATGAGCCGTTGGGCTCCCCAAGACTTGATCCCCAAGACTTCAAGAGCGGAGATCATCAGCGGTTTGAAAACCCTGAGCTAGTCGTCGCGCCGCTTTCCCCAAAGAAGACCACTGCCGAGCCCAGTACTCTCGCTTCTGAAAATACGGCTGGTCGATCAGACGTCGGAAGTGGCTCGTCACAGAGTGCCGCCAACGCAGAGATTCAACAGAAGAGGATTCAAGACGTGGTTGCAGCAGTCGATGCCGAAGTAGATGCAACAGCGCCCGGAGCAATCGAGACACCTCCAGCATCGCCGGGGCCCACTGATGCCGAGTCCAAGGAGGGCTTGTTCCCAGCCAACGAGGTTTCCCAAGTGCCTGATGTAGTTCCTGGAGATATCGCTGAGTCGACAAGTGCAAGGGCATCTGAAGTTGTGGCTCCAGTATCTGCTCCTGCAGAGGGGGCCACGAGTACTGACAAGGACGCTGCTACCTCTGCCGATATCTCCACAAGTACTCAGCCTGTGGAACCTGTCGTGGGTGACTACCTCAAGATGCAATTTGTCGAGCACAGAGTTGTACCGACTATCCTAGTGAGTGCACCTCCCACCATCTGGGTCAATTCCCCGTAACTAATCAATTCGTTCAGTCTTTTTTCTTCACATATCCGTGGAACAACTTCCTTCACAACGTCGTGTACGATATTGTCCAGCAGGTCTTCAATGGACCAATGGATCGTGGCTACAACTCCAGCCTTGCCATCTCGCTGTTTGAAGCTGCAGACATCACCAACGCCATAATAAATGGCCAAGCTGCAAGCGAGAAGTCTCAAGCTGAGTCGAAGACTCGCATGGGTTACATGGGTCATTTGACCCTGATCGCGGAGGAAGTCGTCAAATTCACTGAGCGAAATCCTCCCGAGCTCTTATCAGAGCTGGTTCTCACACACGTCATGAGTCCAGCATGGATAAACTATGTCGAGGGTGCCCTTGCCGAGACCCGCGAGAGAGATAATGCTATTCTAGGAGGCGTCAGACCCGAGGTGGCCATGAGCAACCGTGCTGCCATGGCAGGGAATGGACTAGGCGGCATGGGCCTGTCTAGTCTAGGTCTTGGTGGCTCCCAAGGAGGCTCTACCGCTCTTGCAGAAGCTGGTCTCGGCGGGACAGGAAGCAGTGCCGAGCCCGACGCCGGAAGTGGCAGCAGTCTTGGACCATTCAGTATCAGCTCCGGACTACTGAGCGGCTCTGGCTTCGGCAGCTCCAGTGATGAGGAGGATGAAGAGGAACAGGACAACGATGAGGACGTCAATAATGAGGTAGGGTTTGCGTAATTTTTGCTTCGGTCTCATTATTGCGCCTATACTAAAATTGAGGTGTGCAGTTCCGAGCCTATACTGATCCTCAAAACGCTTCCGACTCGTCAATGAAGCCGCCATCCATTCTGCCGCCACCGCCACCTCCACCTCCGCTCAACATCCCGCCATCTCGCGCCCGCTTGCAGCTTGCAGCTCGCTTAGCCATGCACCAGAAGAATGCGGCAACACCCTCGGCACAGTCTGCAGAGGTGGAGGATTTTGAAGATGACGATGATGCCGGGCGGAAGCGCGACGAGGACGAAGACGACTTGCGGGACCCGTTCGGTGACGACGCGGCAGAGGACGACGAAGATAGTGATGACGGTCCCGGCACTGGAGATGCGGAATCATGGAACTCGGCTTCGCGCGGTAGCTGGTGGCGTGGTGCCTTAGGACGAGGGACTGGCGAGAAATTCGGCGACGGCCGAGATGATTCAGATTCGGACAAGGAACGAGGGGAAGCTGGAGATGCGGACGATGACGATGAGGAGTTTGGGGACTTTGCCATGCCTGAAGTTGACAAAGACGCCAGCGATACGGGTGTGATTGTCAAGCCCCTCCCGGTCCATCCTCCACACCAACAAGGGGCCAAGGGATCGTCTCCTTTTACGAGTCTGTGGCCATTTGGATCTAAAGATAAAGAGAAGCAGCGAGCTCGGGACAGTGAAGAGGGTAGCGCGCCAGACAGTCTCGACGAGATGACGGGTGACGACGGATCCAAGATCAAGAGCACTCACGAAGCCAAGCGAAGGACTAGTATCGAGGACCCTGATGATGAGGAAGTCGTTGTATAGATCGGACAGTGTCAGGATGAGTAGTTCTCGTTGAATAATACCATTTGCCTCGCACGGGTCCCTCGCGATGGGTGCTGTGGGGGGGGGGGGGGGGTAGTTACTACTAGAGGTATGTATGGGGTCCGGGAGCACGGAACTAAGAGTGTATGTGTTTTCCAAGCATGTGAGTGGTCCTGGTGACAAGGTTTGGCACGAGGAAGCATCGGACGGCGTGGGCAGCTTGGCGTGATTGGGGGGCGATGTGTACAATCTCTACCTGTACATGCCTAGTAGTTCAGTTGCGTTGACTTGGACGTCCAAGCGCCATGCTCACGTCCTTGATACAATCGTCCCCGCATGTCACTCTCATGTCGAGACTTGCCAGAGCGATAGTCACACATTTTACACTTGACAAGTATTGTGGCTTGAAATCTTTCTTTCTCGATTTTGGGTATCTCTAGAGTCTTGTCTACTGAGCAATCTTCACAACAGCCTTTCCAAAGTTCTCACCCTTGAAGATGCCAACGAGGCCCTCGGCTGCGTTGTCAATGCCGTCAGTGACGTGCATCTTGGGCTTGAAGGAGCCGTCGGCGATCCAGGCCTGGAGAGTCTCCTGGTGCTCCTTGTAATAGGCGGGACCGAAATCTGGCTGGCCAACGAGGAACCCCTGCATGGTGATGAGCTTCACGGTGAGGAGGAAGAGGTTCTTTACACCGTAGCGCTCCTCGGCGGGTGTGTTGTAGCCCGAGATCATACCGCAAACGGGGATGCGGCCGCCGGTGTTCATCGAGGCGAGAGCGGCCTCCAGATGCTCGCCGCCGACGTTCTCGAAATAGATATCGATGCCCTTTTCGCCTGCGAGCCGAGGCAGGGCCTCGGTGGGCGATTCTTTCTTGTAGTTGAAGCCGGCATCAAAGCCGAGATCGTTGAGGATAAAGTCGAGCTTGTCGTCAGACCCGACGGATCCAATCACTCGTAGACCGAGGTGCTTGGCGACCTGGCCGACGACCTGGCCAACAGCGCCGGCAGCGGAGCTGACAAAGACAGTCTCTCCAGCCTTAGGCTTGCCGATGCGGTGGAGGGCCGAGTAGGCGGTGAGGCCGGGCATGCCGAGAGGCCCAGTGAAGAGGGAAAGGTCGAGGTTGTGGGGGTTGTGGACGGGACGGACACCGGCGAGTGCATCGGCACTGACGGTTGCATACTGAGCAATGGGCAGGTAGGCGGTGACAATGTCTCCCTGCTTGAAGGCGTCGGTGCCAGAGCGGAGGACGCGGGCGACGGTGCCGTTTGTGATGGGAGCGTCAATCTCAAAGGCGGGCGAGTACGACTTTGTGCCGGCCGGGCGCATCTTACCACGCAGGTATGGATCGAAGCTGGCGTAGAGGACCTCGACAAGCAGGCCGCCTTCAGGCTGAGCCGTCTCGAGGTCGATGGGACGGTCCTCAACAGCAACATGCTCTCCAGGAACAGGGTACCCCTCAGGGACCTTCTTGAAGACGAGGGTCTTGTTGGCAACCATACTGGCGGTAATCCAAAATTGGAAGGCGGGCTAGGAGGCGAAGATGGGAAGGGAGGGAGAGAATGTGTGTATGTGTATGCACGTGCGTGTGTGTAGGTCAGGATGGGAGGCAGAAGGGGAGAGAGGTGAAGGCGTGAAACGACAAACCTACCTCTTATAGCGAGCTCTGCAAGACGGGCGGTAGGCAGTGACGGACCGAGGCCAAATGGGTAGAGGCGGCAACGGCGGGCGCCATCACGACATGTCGCCTCCACCACGCAGGCCCTTGGCTGGAGAGAGGGGCGAGCGGAGACAAAGCTCGAGGAAAGACTGTCCAGACAAGTATCTCGACTCCAGTGCGGCCCCCGCCCGCCTGCTCGGCACTTGATGGTGATAGAGTGCTGACGGTTCTGCAGCTTCTAGAAAGAAACAATTGCACTCCCGTGACGTAACATTAAAGGCCTTTCAGTGGCCCCTCCTTGTCGCTCGGGCTCTCGGCCAAGGCCGACTCTGCGGAAACTAGGGCGCAGTTGGGCATTATGTCGCCGGTCTGGTGCCTGACTAATCATCGTGCTTGTGTAAGCAGGGCCTGGCGGATCGGTGGCTCTACTTTTGCATATTTTCAGGTCCACAGACACGACAATGCACATGGCCAACGACCGACGGCGAGTGTACCCCAGGTGGCCTAGTCGCCGAGGCCTCTTCGGGCGCTTCCTCCCACATGCTCAGACTACAGCCTACGTGGGCTGAAGAAATTGACCACAGGGTTTGTAGAAGGACAACCGTTTCGTACCAGACCCAGGATCTAGATGGCCAACCTTGTAGGAAAACTCCCAGCCGATCCCGAGTTGGCTGTGGGTTCTGCTGCTAGCTGCATTCGTTCGTCGAATTGCCCTGTCGCGGCTCAGCTCGCCCAAGGCGGAGCCCGTTGCTATGTCTGCCAGCACCTCAGAACTCTCTTCTCAATCTAAACCACACCAAACATTGCTGTTCTCTGAGCATCCACCATGTTGCCTGAGCCGCCCCAGATTGCAAAACATGTCCGGTATAGTCCCGTCACTGGATTCATGCAGTGCATTCGGGGTATGGCCATCGTCCGTGACCTCAGGTGGTCTCGCATGGCCAACTACCTTCGTGGCGAAGACAGTTGCCAGTTTAAATACCATGACGAAGTGCACAGGCGCCATCTTGTCGAGTCAGGTCCGCTCGAGCGGGTTGTAGTCGACCAGTTAAGGCACAGGCCAGCTTCTACAAGTTCTGCATGCTGACTACACCACCTATAGTCATGCGCTTCAACACGAGGCTCACGCTTCGCGCTTTGGCTGCGGAATGTGGGCTTGGTCATCCTGCAATAGAAGTGTAGACATGTCGAGAAAGAACTGAGCCGGTTCGAGGCAACTTGGAAAGCTACGCTGTTGAAAAAGGACGTGGTTCGAAGCTGCTTCGGCGGGTTGAGTTTCTCATGGCACCAGGTGGCCATCTTGGGTTTTAGCGTGGCTGGTGCACTAGCGAGCCCAATTCCGTCCTCGTGTGTTTGCGTTTGTCACCATGACGGACATGCAAAGTCTTAGTACTGGATAGCAATCGACTGGTGAGCTGTGCGCGCTGGCTCATGCCGACCAGCTTGCTGTCCTGTGGGCGGAGTCCGGCGAGCGATGTGGTGTTGGCAGGTGCGAACTATGGGAGACGGAGGGTCACGAGCCAGCTGTGGCGATGCACTCACCGTGGATTTGGTGATACTGTAGGCGAAAGGTGGAGTGCACAGGCTTCATGCAGCTGGTATCCTTGGATAACACAACCAGGCAATGATCGATTGGGAGGTAGCTTCGTGCATTGGCTACGGGGCTGAGGTGCTGCGACCAACAAAAGAGAAGAGCGACCGTCGGACGCCTAGAGTCCCTCCGTGCTTGGGCAAACTGTGCATTGGGAACTTGCCGCGTGTGGCTGTGTCTGTCGGTCGGCACTTGGGCCGCCTCTCATCATGATGCCGGCTTGGCACAGGAAGCCTGCAAGGCAGAAAGCTTGAGTCGAGTCCCCAGGGCCAGTGGTGTAAGTGGTGCAGTGCAATTGGACCCCGGAAGCGGCACTTAGGGGTGGCCGATCGTTCGCCGGCCATGCCGTCTGTCGTAGTAAGCGGCCCCCCGTACGCCGCGACTCGCCCGACGCTATTCGCCCGGTATATGTGACCGATCCCGAAGCCGAAGCTCAACAGCAAACATGGCAAGGGAGGAGCCCTGATGTCTTATAACAGGTGCATCAAAATCCCATGCGCTTCCCAGCGGTGTCTAACCGCCGAGCAGTGTCGCAGATCCTCTCCCATGCCAGCACATGCATGTCCTCCTGCTGATCTGTCACACGGCCCTGCTACATGGCTGCCCGTCGCACCCAGCATCGCCCTGCACGTCGCGATTGGTGGCGGGCTGTGCTGAGTCTCGTAGTTGCCTTCTGATTACTCCCAGGCGGCCTTTACTTATGTTGCCTTGCTCGCCCTTGCCCGGTGAGAATAAAATAGTTGTCCATGGCAGCGCCTCACACTTCACTGCTGGCTTCCACGATTCTCTACTGTCCCTGTCTGTCTAATCTTCCCGTTCATCTTGGATAATCGAGAACATAGACACGATCAACACCATCTTGTCCCGTGTGCCTTGCGATCCAAGAACACAGGGCACTTTTTGTTTTCTCCTGTTTGCAGTCATCACCCTTCTACGATGGGGTTCCTAGGAGGGGGCAACGACGGCGGCAGCGGCAGCAGCAGCGGCTCAGAGCCGCAGGCCGAATCCTGCCTGGAGTACCTTGTCATCGGTGAGGCTTGAGAACTTTTCCCTCTAAGTCTGGGGCTTTTCTAATTCCTCGTTCACGTCTTCTAGTTCCGACTCAGCCTATCGCTGGAAGTTATGACTTTTTCCACTTCAACATGATCCTCTCCGGTGCCTCGTGCGCCTTCGTCACAGTCACCATCTTCATCCTCATGATGCTTCACATCCGCCATCTCAGCAAGCCCAGAGAGCAGATACACATTCTTCGCTTGTGCCTCTTCATGCCAGTCTATGCTGTGGGCACTCTCATCATGGTTGTTGAGCCAAATGCCTACGTCTACCTCAAGCCATGGCTAAAGCTTCTAGAAGGCTATGCCTTGGCCTATTTCTTCCTCCTCGTCTGTCAGATGATCTCACCAGAAGATGCGTCTGATAGCGAGGCTATGCTTGCACCACTCTTGGCACTAGCTCGCCAGAAAAACATGAACCCCCAAGCCCTTATGAAGTCGTACCGGTTGCGTTGGTTCTTCATCTACCAGGCGCCGATCGTGCTCTTCATTGTTGCCATTGTCACTGATGTGGCACAGGGACTCAAGGGCTATTGTGGTCAACATGGCCATCCCAGTGGCAGTAGTAGCAAGAGCAAGGTCGACACGATTCTGTCTGTGGTTGGCATCGTTTCTATTATGCTGGCTGTCTACAGCGCCATCAAGTCCACCATGATGCTCAAGAGAGAGCTCAAGCCGCACAAAGGTCAACTGAAGCTATGGGCCTTCAAAGCATTGATTTTGCTGCAGATTATCCAGGAGGTAGGCCGTTATACTCTTCCACGGACAATCCTTGTAGCCTTACACCGAACTAATTGTCTACCCAGATACTTTTCCTTATCCTGACACATGTAGATCCTTCACCACTGGAGCCGTCTGCAACGTTAAGCTATGTCGACATCGAGCAAGGTCTGCCGTTGCTCATGATTCTCCTTGAGATGGTCATCTTCGCGCTCTTCTATCATTACGCATATAGCTCATCCCCATACATGATCGGTAAAGGCTCGAAGATGGGAGGCTACTGGCCAGGTGGATGGAAAGTCTGGCTCGAAATACTCAAGGTCAATCAGCTCTTCCATGCACTTACTTTTGGCTTCCGAATCCAGGCCGAGTACAATCGCTTGGAGACATCCTATCAGCGTGGTGCTCGCAGACCGCACCAGCGATATAGTGAAGAGTCACTCGTCGAGCCCCACTGGCCTGCAGCAGTACCACATCACGCCCCACCCAGCTACCAGATGGCTTGATGAAGGATATTAGGGTCTGGGGCCCGAAAGCGAGGCTCGGGTCCCCTCCTGTCTGCTGGGCTAGTGTGCAGTAGCCATGATTTTATGGTCTACAAGTTTTGCCAGGCTGCGCGCAGAATGTATTCGTTGGACGTTGTCATACCCTTGAGTGGATCTCAATTTCTTCTCAACATATTTCAATAGAATGATCATTTTAGAGACATATGCACGAATGGACAATACATTAGAACATTGCGCGTACCGCGAGCCTAGTCCATTATCCCAGTGGTTCTCAGTGAACATGTTCAGCCGACTGACCACGGAGTGCGAAGCCACATGGGAACCGAATACAAATGCATTGGCAAGGCCGAATGGCTGGGGAATGGTTAACTGTTCAACTCATATGGGATAACAATTGCCAATTGTGACCAGAAAGGGAGTCTTTCTGCGTTGACAGGGACCTTGTGATGAAGGAGACTGGGGGTGGATATAGCTGCCAACTGACACCCACCATTATTGTTGAATGCTGTTGGCCATCATTTAGCCACTATCATTGTACGTGTCATTTATTGAAGGGACAAAATATTTGAGGACGGTACGCCCGCGCGTAGCACCTACCGGGTCGGCATCGCTCTGGGCGAGCTCGGCGGCGTCGAGCATCTCGCGCACTGCGGTGCGCAGGCTGGGGTCGAGAGACAACTACGGAACACGTCAGAACTGCGCGCACGAGTCGTGGGCGCCGCGAGGGCACTGCGACTGCGCGACGAAGGACATACGGGAACGCAGGTCTTGTTGCCCTTGTAGCACGACCAGCACCGCCGGCCCTTGCTCCCGAGGACGTCGCAACAGCGGTGCGCATACGCACCGGCTGTGCGCGTCACGCAGGACGCACAGGGCACGTCGCGGACGGCGCCGGCCGACAACTCTTTCTTTTTCTTCGTCTGGAGATACATCAGCTACGCGAACGACGGCGCTGCGACCACGGGGCGCGGGAGATGCTCACCGACGCCGAAGGCGAGGACGGGCCGTCCACTTGAGGACGCGGCGAGGGCGTCCGGGGGGCCGGGGGAGGTTGCTGCTGCTGCTGCTGGCGCAGCCGCTCTCCTGCCTCGTCCAGGGCCGCAGAGGCACCGGCGGCGACGGTTTCGAGCCGCGCGCTCGCTTCGTCCTCTGCGCCCCCGGAGAGGGCGCGCTTGAGATGATTGGGGTCTGGAACATGGCGAAGTTAGCAAGTGAGGTGGGAGTGAGATTTGAGGCGACGACGTACCCATCGCTGCTGTTGCTGCTGCTGTTGCTGTGGCTGCGAACGAAGTCAGCGCGAAGCCCTCGACGACGACGCTGGAACGGCGCGACATCGGCGCGGCCGACGAAGAACACTTACAGGTTGACGATGGCTTGAAGGAGGAGAGAAGGAATCACGACGACGACGACAATGCCGCCGTCGATATGTAGGGTGCTGCAGCACCTGCCACTGGTTGCCCCGGATACTGAGGCCGACTTACACGACGACCTCCGGAAAGAGAGCGCCGACAGCGATGCGCCCGCGCAGCGCCGACGAAGCGCACACGCCCCTAGGAATCGCATATGCCCAGGAACCGCATAGGCTCGAAGGTGTGAAGGAAGGCGACCAATCTCACCCAAAGAACGTCTGGCTGGTGAGAGCCATTCGTGATACGCGACGGAACCACGCAACGCAGACGCCGCTTAGGCGTACCGAATACGTAGCGCATATTTTTCATCCGGCTTAGGCACGGTTTATTATACGATAGATTTGTAGGCTCGCGAAACCGAATAGGTAACGCGTACTAATAATAATAATAATATTTCCAGGCCCATTTTGACTATATTACAGCTGGTTGGGGCAACTATAAGCCAACCTTCTAGAACGTGTATGAATTTCTTTTTTGCTCTGTGCAGAGCATGAGATATCTATACAGCCACGTGAGATGAGACTTATTTGTACACTACTTTAACTCAAGTGGTAAAGAGGTTTGCTTGTAGGCTAAATCGTGCTAACTAGGGAGAACACATTAAAACAAACTGGCCTCATGCTTAGTACAGCTCATAGACTACTTAGATAGCCTTAAGGGCGTAACAATGAGTGAGAGAACTAGCTAAACCACTGTCGAAGATCACTCAGCAATAAAGATAGTATATTCATCCCATGAAAGCATACATCGTCCAATAGAGTGCATATGGAAATATGATTGGAAACAGTTGTTTACATCATATTACGAATGGTCGAGAGAGAGCACTATCTGTTAGCAGACTTGCGATATTATAACCTAGTATTAAACACATGAATGAGAAGTAGCACCACTCGTGACTCTTGGCTCAAGTGCGGATTGCCATATGGTTGTGAAAACCAAAAAAGGTTTTGCATTGTACTAGCTCCGTTAACATCCCCTCACCCCAAAACAAAAAGAAGCAAAGACCATCACGTCTCATTTTCGGTATCTCGATTTTCTTGTGCTTCTGCTTTCCCCCACCAAGGTGCGGGCGATCAAGCAAGAATGGTATGGTGGATAATATGGGCACCATAGAGCCATGTCAATATATCATCCCCGTCGCTGAGTGAGGACTAAATCCTTCGCATATGTCAATAAACGCTACGTCGTAAAGTACAAAAAGTGTCAAAGGTGACTGTAGTGGTCACATAGGCCGAGAGGCCAGAGACGGGTAGTAATTGATTGTTTTACCAAAGTTGCCAAATCCATTTGAGCGAAGTGAGACTGAAGGCGACGACGTACTCATCGTTGTTATTGCTCCTACTGTTGCTGCGTCTGCAAAGGAGGTCCAGCGCGAGGCCCTTGGTAAAGATGCTAGAACAGCGCTACGTCGGCGCGGCCGACGAGTGTTACCCACAGGTTAACAGTAGCTTAAAGGAGGAGTGAAGGGACTACCACGATGACGATAATGCCGCCGTCGAGATGTAGGGTACTATAGTACCTATTGCTAGTTATTCCGGAGACTAAGATCGACTTATATAACGACCTCGGTAAGAGAGCCCCGTGAGCGATACGCCCGCGTAGCTAATCTCTAGTAAGGCGCGTACGCCCCTAAAAATTACACATGCCTATGAGCTATACCGGCTTAGAGGCGTAGAGGTAAACGGTATTCTTGATACTCGATATAACTACGTAGTGCACACGCTACTTAGGCGTACTAAATACGTAGCGTATATCTTTCATCCGGCCCCGGCACGGTTTATTATACGATAAATTTACAAGCTCGCGGAACATAGATAAGTAGCGCGTACTAGTAACTGATAATAATGTTTTAGCGACGCTCGAAATAACTGCAGTTCCATTATACTGGCAATTTAGCACACATGATCTGGTGTGCGCTGCTTGCGGCCTCATATCTCAATGGCGACGGAACAGTCGTATCACGTGGCGGTTGTAAGATAAAAGTAGTGCAACATACTCAGAGCCTTAACTATGAGATGGTGAACAACCTCTTTGCGCTCAGATATTTGAAGACACGATTTGGATGAATTTCAGCGGATGCAGTTGTCTTTTATCATTCCCAGAGAATAGACATGTCCACAGAATCTCATCGAACCCCGTTACTTCAATTGTTGGCACCACATTGAGTAGAAGAGATATGCTATGAAGTTTCGACTAAGATCTTAAGAAGGTGTTCCCATCTGCCATACTATGCCGATATTCATGCCCCAGCAACATCTCGATGTTGGCAATCAAGTACACGAGAAGGATCGATCTCGTGAAGGCAGCAGATTACTCTTTGCAATAGGTCAGGGTGATAGTAATGTCACTGGTACGTCATATCTAGAATTCCCTTGCGAGGATAGGATGTCCATGGCTTTCTTGTATATGCCGGCTATAATACAGTTGAAAGAATGATTCCTCTCTTGTCATTTACTGGTGAAGAACACGATACGATGATGATTAATTGCGATATAGATTGGCTGCAGTGACAATCTATCGTATCTCTAGCATGCTGATCAAAGCAACTTAGCTGCAGCTAAAAATCATCTAGTTTATAATATCCCTTGTGTTAACAATCGTGATTAAAGACCTAGATCAGAAGTAGTATTGGCTCGTCTGCTGAAATGTGGAGGCCCATCCCCCGCCTCAATACGCCTAAAGAATATGGGAGCGACCTCGTGATGAGGTGGTTTTTCGCAAAGATGAACGATGTTGGAGGTGGTTTGAAATTTTAGAAAACGGTATGCGGGCTGCGTTATAAACAAGAAGGGCTGTATATGATGCTTTCTGTTTCTGGAGAATAACGAAGTGATGGATAGTGAATGAACTGGTTGCGTCAGGGAACACAGAAAGAATTATTTGTATTGAAATTAGATCCAGGATTTCATATATCAAAATGTACCTGACGCGAGGCAATGGTGTGCGACGGGAGAAATCAAATTTCAAGCGAGGTTCAATGCATTAGGCAACTGTCAGAAAGATTATGCTTACATCCTTCCAGATTATAACCGTGAATAAACACATCTGTGGAGTAAAGACAATATAACTGACAGGACTGGACGACCAAATCAAACAATGATACACATGTTATTGTGTGAAAATACGAAATGAGCCGTTCTTATGCTACAGAACAAATTAAATTCAGGTTGTACCTGTCCATTAATCTACACAGGCAGATAATTTGTTAGCGTCGTCTATGACTTTAGCTACCTCCCGGGAGCCTTGAAGTCATCCGGATATGCTTTGTCTATGCTATGCGAGCCGTGCGGCTTACAAGAAACTGCAAACCTTCGAATTGGGGGAAGTCTACAGTGGATTTGGGACCCAGATCCGAAATGACAAACGGGATGTCCGGGAGGATGTTCCTGCATGGCATTTTTGTCGGTCTTGTTTAGTTATATAGGCTCGTCTTTGCAATAGCACTACTAGTATCTATCTATTAGATCTCATCCATTCACCAGCCTGTCACCAGCCTGTGAATTTGTGAACTTCGCAACCTCACTTTTCGTGCCCGGTTAGAACAACGAAGAGTACTCTGTTCCTCAATGACCCTCTGCTTTCAAAGGCGCCAATTTTGGCGCGCAGGCTATCTACTTCTCAGCAATGAAAACATACAACATGAGTCTACCTACCTATCACACGGTGGTTTCCCTATAAAGTCCGCCAGTCAGTGGGCTTTGAAAGCAATAGATATCATATGGATCAAATGGAGGTTGGCGAGATAAATCCATGGATATACTGGAGGAAATCAAATCCAACTAACGAAGTCCAGGCTGTTTCCACAATACGACGAGAGACCAAGAGTTAACACAAAGGATGATAGACTGATCCTACGACTACTACTGGCCTCGAGCTACGAGAGAGTAGCCGTGATTGGACTGACGTATGGGCAAGGAATGTAGTTGATTATGCATGTGCAAAGCTTGTTCTACAGCACTGTTACAGCAATAGACTATGACATTCTGGGGAATCACCTAAATCTAACCATATAAGCCCAATATCTAGGAAAGATAGAGGGAAGTAGCGTGTGTGGATAAGAAGTATCTCATGGACTCAAGTACCGTTAACATCTTCCGATTATATAGCATGTTGTCAAAACAAAATGAGAACCGATTGGTCCCCGCCTTCTCTAGGCGGATTTCAGCTATACATACGTCTCTGATCTCTGTCAATTAGCGGTATCTAATCGCCTCGACACGTTTCCGAGCGGTAAGCACTTCCTTCTCATCTCCGAATTAGAGGAGAAATGGATGCTACAACACTACGTATATGCTGAAAACAGCTGCTTTCATTTGAATTATAAGCTTCTGACGATGTGACGTGAAATGGCGATCTCGATAGCCTGATGAGCTGGTCTTCGTCATCAGCCTCAGCGACATTCCAGCCAGATCAGAAAACTGTCTGTATACGTCAACTGTGGTCAGGGAGTTGCAAGGTGGATAATTCATAGCTTCATGCTTCACACAGTGGTCTCCAGCATGTCATAGAAGGGCAATACCTGTATGTGCATCTATAGATACCTCGGGAAGAAGCCTAGCAAGAGAAGAAGTGATTGGACGTATGATCAGACCTGGCATGTACATAAGATTGCAGTCAAATGTACCACAAGTAGCCGTGCTCGCTGGCACTAGCCTGATATGGCGGAATGGGTGAGAATATCAAATGGGCGAAGCTCACCATCTCGAAAGCTGAGGTGTAGTGGCCCATAACTTCCAGAAGCGGATTGGTCTTTGGACTGGGCGTACTGAGGGATAGTCCAGATAATTCATCTGCACGATCTGGACTTTGTTGGCAGACTACATCAAGAAAATGCCGCTATCGAATTAAGTAAAGCGAGATGATACCGATATAAGACTCGTTCTTATCAATGGTAAGGACTTTTTCTTTCAAAAGTCTTTCAAGGCCGTGTATCTAAAATATGCTGGGAAGCACGCGTAGCTAGCATTCACTAAGAACTTTGGTGATATGAATATGACAATCGCAAATGCTCCTAGCACCGGCTGTGGTGAGCCGATAACCTCGTGCTAGGCTTATCGAGCGCATATGGTCATAGAGCTGAGGCGATGCTTTTCCACCAGGTAGTTATCTCAGCACTGTAAGCATCGTATACTCCAGATCAAGTTACGAATATCAACAAAATATCATAAATGATCAAACGAGCTGGATACTTGTGAAGTGACTGTCTTTTTCCAATCATGGGATGTGATGTAATGGACCTACTATCGGAAAAGTGTATGTTCTTATGCATGGTCAAATACTGCTAATAACAATGACCACAAAACCACCTCCTACCACCCATTCTCAGAGGAAGAAAAACAACACTCTTCTCTCTACTGATGGCGAAAACTAATATCTTTTTACTGGGTACGTAAACTATTCTAGCATCGCTATAATAAGAACTTTGGATCACCATCGTCATCTCCCGGCTGTACGTCGGTTGTTGGTCTTTGAACCCTTGAAGTCCGAGGATATTGATATCCGAGACAAATCATGTCGGATTGGAGTAATGAAGCGGAGGCAGCAGAACTAGACACCAATTATGCTACCTAGTGGGGGCTTTGAATCGTTCGGTGTGTTCTAGTATTGGTCTCGTACTCTGCAGGATTCAAATCATGTTTCGCATTGTGAAGACCAGATGACGACTTACAGGCATTATTCCTCTTTTGGTCAAAAGGCTCTACTCCACCGGATCTGAAAAGCACAATAATGCTCAACATAATGGCCATTCAGATAAGAACCTGATCCGCACTTGGTGAAGTGATTGCAAACCTCGTCTTAGCATAGAATGCAATTTAATCGGGCAAGTTCTTGCCGAAGACGTCGTGAAAATCGAGTGTACCATAACTGACAGTGAGCTCGTAAAACCCCACCCGCACCTGCTAAGACAATAATGACCGGATATCCAGCGTAAGAGAAGCCAAATATTCAGAGTCTTTCTTCAAACGAACTCCTACTGGCACTCGTACCTTTTGCGCACGACTCTTCGGTTGAGAGTAGGCTCATCTTTGATTGACATAGGAGAGTGTACGGAAGCTCATATCACTAAAAATTAGGCTCGATCTGTTCACGAGTCTGCTTGCTTAAGACTACGTGGTTTTACACTTTCGAGGTCACAAAGAGCACGCAAATACTAACTATCGTAAGTAATAGAAGGGTAGTCAATATTGACTTTATCGACGGACCCTGACCAAAGCATTTACACGATTACTTAAGATCGCAGAGCGTTTCTCAATGTAATGTATCAACCAACATACTGCTCCATAATTGTGTTTGGAAATGCTGCACTTAATGCTGGCTAACTCTAGCGTTGTCGTGAGTACGGAATTATACTTACAACCTACTACTCTGATATTTCAAGCAACGCAGCGGCTTTGTCAATTGGACTACTTACTTTGCTAGTTAGTGGCCTTATTTCGATGCCTACACTGAGTCCTATGTTGTCTTCAAGCGATCACTAGAAAACACAAGCATAAGACGAAACACGAAATAGCAGTACGCCGCCATCCATGGTAATTTCAGATAGCACCAGCAATGGAGTATCTTAACCGTGCACTTCCGTGAGAAGTGTCACCTGGCTGAAAATTCAAAATCCTCCTAGCCCTTCTGGAGTATAATTATTTCTCAATATAGCTCTTGTTAGCCTAGAACAAAGATGTTCTGCACGTAAAGAAAGTATTTTATTCTATGTCAATTCGGGGAATTCCGCTCATGTGAGTACTGCCAAGAATAAAGACGCATAGGATGTGCTTATTTAGCAAACTTGCATGTCAAGTAGACCTTGATATATGTTCATCAAGCTTGTGGAAAGCTGATAGGGCGGAAATTTCCATCAATCGTCTCTCCGGCGTAAGTCGCATCCTCTAGCTAGTTGTATAATTATTGTTCTCCGCCTGGTTTCAATGAGAGCTGATACAAGCAATTTTTGGCCTGTTGTTCGGCGAAAATCACTAGCTCGGCTCGTTATTGCGAGCATAGTTGTTATAACGCCTCCTTCATCCAAATCCCTCCACGGACGAAAAGAAGATCTGATGCATGGCATGCGGGAGCACTTTTTAGCGTTCCATACACAAATGTTGTAGGTATGTATTACTATGGAGCCACCTCACCTACCTCTATGGCTCCTCCAGCCTGTCGCCATTCCCATCCAAAGACGAGCTCCCATATGTTTCTTTACATTTTCTGCTCTTCAGAAGAAGAACGGTGCTGGCATGGTGCTTTCAGACTAGAAATACTAGCGAAGCCTTCATGTTTGTGCAATAACTCTGTATTGGTACTGATTTTTAGAATATAGCAGAATACGACTCACTATATCTCTTGAAGTAGTGGTAAATTGGATGTCGCCACTGCGTGCCTCAGCCATGTAGGTGCCCCCGTTTGGGCTCAGCTACACCTTGCTGTATATGTCTAGGCACGAATTTGGCGCAATAACAAGCGAATTAGTTATAATCAAACTGCTATTCGACTGGATGTCCAACCTTGCGGGACGCCATAATTACCATACAGTGAGGCATAATGAATTGAGTTGTAGCGACCAGTATTCTTGCCCCCTTAATCTGCACATGCAGTACCTCGGAGCTTCAGAAGTCCAAGCTAATCACGAATGGAAGCAGAAATCTAAGTCTAGCTAGCTACAGCCTAACAAACAGAATGAAGATGTCGAGAAGACTTTGTTCTTTTGAGAAGAATAGAGACATTTCGTTATGGATCGAGTCATAATGTCATTATTGACGCGGCGCACGTAATTAAATAACTTCTTTCATACATGTGTGTGCTCTTTTTTGTACTGTGTTATTGGCAGAGATAGAGAATATTCAACCTTTAGCAAGAATCCTCCTGTGGAGTTAAGTAGTATAAGCGAGTATGATTGAACGTCATAGGCTCTTTCTGTCTCGTATTCTAGGCAATTACACGCTTGCCGATGTAGCGTTGCAGCGGTCTTTGCGTACCTAGCCAAGCAAGCACAAGAGTCAATTCGAGCAGATCTATCATAGACGAAGACACACCGGATACAGTGAATCGTAAGCTTCGATTCCACCTAGGCTCGTCCGATCAGCTTCGATTGAGGGTTTCTGATTCCACATAATCGGCAGTATGTTCTGCTGTGTGGTATGTCAATTTCTATCGCGTCGCCCTGGACAGCATATGAGCCCAATACTATTGCACTGCATTTTGTTAAGGTTTTGCCTGAGTAAGGCTGGAATAAGGCACCTATTAGAACTGCCTGCAAGAGCGGAGCTGTGGTCAAATAGCGAGGCTCTCATAATCGTTCGCAATATTCCGTAAAAGCCAACCAGCAGCTTAATTTGAAGCGATGCCAAAAACAGTGAAATGCAAATCCTGCTTATTTGCACCAGTTCTGTTTGAACTTGCCGCGTGCTAGGGTGCGTTGTACGAGCTACAGGATCACGTGCTTCTTCCTGTGCTTTTACTTCGAGAGAAAGTGCAAGTCTGAGTTCCTGCTCATCATGTCAGATACTTGATGTAGTTGTAGGAACCTTCACAACGAACATCGCCATGAGCAGGAAGGTTAGGGCAACAGCCAGGCTTGCACTCGGGCCCTGTTGAGCTGATGATTCGGACAGCCATTACCACAGCAAAGCTGTGGTAATGGCCAAAGTACTATTTTCAGTCTGCGGAAAAAAAGGTTTTGCAGAATGCGCATTTTAGGAAGAGTGCCGAAACTGCGTAATGGGTACTCCGTCTTTGTCAAATTGGAAGAAGTTTCTTGTCTGTTTTTTTATGTGTGCCCTCATTTCAGGTGATGAGTGTCATCTCCAGCCACAAAAGAAAAACTCATCTCATTCGAAAGCCTCCTTCTCGTCGTCCCTGCGTCCGTCCCACCACGGTCCAGGCATTCTGTACTGACTCTTCAATTCCCCGTTTATCTCTCCCAGCGAAGGTGGACGGTCTTGGATCTTTTCAGTCGTGATAGATGAGGATCCTGCGGAGCTCGGCTTATGAACGAGGGTTGCACCATCATCGAAACCAGCTTGGCCATGAGACTGTGGTTCATGGTAGGTGTTTGCCTGAGTAGACGTAGCCTTTGCGTTTGTTGCATATGATGGCCTGCGATCCCGGATAGTGGAAGACACTGAAGAGGCTGCTGAGAAGACCTTCCTGGTAACACTACTCGTGAGCTGCTTAACTTTGCAAAGCCGTCAATGAGGCGATAGAGCTGGAATGACCGGAGGATGGGTGCACAGGGCGGGAGATTTGCAGCCCAGATGCCTAGCCAAAGCTCGATCAACACCATCACGGTCGGGTTGAAGGCCTTCAGAACCAGGGGTGTTTCTTCTTGAGGAGGTGGAGAATAGGCAAAGCCCAGGCGGCCGACAGGATAGGAAACGATGAGGAATATCATACGCAGGATGCTCGCTCCAGTTGATCTAGGATACCGATATGTCAGTACATTCGCGTGCCCAATTCACCCTTATCTGGCTCACTGTCCAGTGCGCCGGGGGAACTTACAACGATCCGCAGAGAAAGACCATGGAGGCGGCAAGCTTGCTCTTCCTTGACATCTGCAGTCTGCCGATGTACACAATGGGAAGGGTGAGTACCGCAATATCGGTCGCAACGCTCGTGACAGAGAACGCCAGCAGCTGTGCGCCTCTGTTGCCACACTGGGCGCGAGCGATAGTTTGATCGTAGCCCCAAATTAGTTCGGGATGCGTCCCACAAATCAAGATATCGGATATCATGAAAGCCAGTGCCCAAGCAAAGACAATGGCCATCAGAGCATGATTGATGCGTCGAAAGGTTGGCCACACGTTGAAGATGCGACGGTAAAAGAAGAGGAAGGACAGCTTGACCGCCCCGAATGCCGCCTTCTCGATAACAATCATGCTCCAATCTATCTTGCGAGATGCCACGACGGCCTGAGCTTTCGTGTCTGGATCTGTGACGGCTTCTCCCCCTGTGCCTACCAAAGCATTATAGTACTGCATGCCATTGACGGCAACCATGATGACGACGCCAGCGATAATGAGTGCATCGTCTATGCCCAGACTGTCCCGGGATTGAGACACACGTATCCATACTCTTGTACCTGTCGATGCGAGGCCGACGGCCATCAGCACGGAATAGAGGGGGATGACGACGGATGGCCCGTAGAGCGACATGCTGATAGATCTGTCTTGGGGTGTTGATGAGCATACTAGCATGTCCCGAGACGGGTTTTGAATCGACTGCCCGCTTATTTATACACGGGGCGAGTGTGTTTCTATCCATAGCGATCGGCGGTTGATGTTGACTGTGCAGCAATACATCTGGTATCGGCAGTTGACAGGGCTTAGAGTGTATACAGGGAGCCCCGGTATGGCTGTAGAGCAGCCTCGAGAACCAGATGTTGGATGCACCTAGAGCGGCAAACATTGACAGGCCGGGGATCGCTCCGAGAAGAACCCTTCAAGTGCCAATCAAGTAACCACCACCAATGGTTTTATCCAAATGCGTCTACGGGGCCAATCACAGCGATAATCCTGTGTAGTTTTCAACCACGCTATGGCTTGCCGGACCATCATTGTGGTGGCGAAGGGGGGTTGCCAGGCTGTGCCATGACGCAAGAATCACAGCCACCTCCTCACCTGATGTTGCATTGGTGTCTGCAAGATGGCTGCTTCGCGTCGTAAGGACGCCTTGACATTGGGAATTGGCAGACCCTCGCTTGACAGGACGTCATCCTCAGTGAGCAATCAGAGATTACTGTCCTATCACGTCGGTTGTTCTTGGCACCAAGGATGTTCATCCCTGTAATACAACCCAGCATTCTTGCTTACTATGCTAAATCGCACATCCCATCTGGCAAGCTTGAGCCTGTCTGTAGGACACATATTCGTGCCTGTGATCCCGGGGAAAGGGTACTGCTTCCGTGGATATCAGAACGGCATTAGTGCATTTCGGAGGAACAACCTTGCGCTGACCCCTTTCCACTTTTTCTCGCAGCGCAGGGAGCACGGTGGTCTGCTCTGGCCGAGATGACGACACGGACGCCCACGCGCGACTGTTACCGAACTTTGCATTGGACTTGCATGCGTCATGGCCACGCTGTTGCAATACAGGAAATGGGCGTGTATTGGATTGATAAAGCCGCAGCCGTGAAATGGCCGCTATCTATTGGTTGGTGGTGCCTGCTACATGAATTCAAAAACCCAAGACTAGATCAAACGAACGACGAAGCTACAGATAGAGAGGGAGTGAAACACAGTGAAGTCGGAAACTTCCATAACGCGAGACCGGAACCTGTAGCCTATTTGGCGAACTGGGTCTTGAGCCACTCAATAGCCTCGGGTCCAGTCTTGCCCTCAGGAATAGCAACCACGGTGACGTCCTTGTTCACGGCGAGAATGCCACTGCGGATCGCCTCAGCCTTGTCGGCAAAGGCCGAGGTAATGAGCTTGTTTGGAAAGTCAGCGATGAGCAGCGCTGATTGTCACTGGATTCACTCACGACGGCATCGGGCTTGTACTCGATAAGCAGCCCCTGGAGGTCGTCGACGTTGGTAGCAACACCCTTGAGGTCCAGAGTGATCTTCTCAACCTTGGAGACAACGTTGGCGATAGCCTCCTTGGCCTCGGCGGGAGCAAGAGCGACGACAGAGACAGACATTGTGATTTGGGTAGGTAAAGGCGCGGGAGATCTGGTGCTGTTGATTGGAGAGTGGTAGAAGGTGTAGTCGTAGCTGCAGTTGTAGGATGTCGATGGTGATGATGAGGGATGATACGCCTTTCTGAGAGCGGGCTTCCCTGGCCTTTATATCTCTCCAAGTCTGTGTCTTGACGATGCGTGCAAAGGACTTGTTGCCCACACGATCAGGATAGGTACTGCCCTCCTCTGGCACCGTCAGCACAGATGGTGCAGTCGACGGCACACAGGCGGCAGCAGCCTCGCAGGAATTACTGTATGCCCAACAGAGATTTGAAAGTGACGCTATCACGGTTGCTGTAGGACAGCGTGCCGGTCCGGGTCGAGTACAACGAGCCAGCACACAGTAATCCCAACGGTTGTCTTACTCGGCTGCCGCGCTTCTTTGGCAACCGTGCATGCAAGGCACCCGTACACTGCCTTAGGTGCAGGCCCCACTGCGGGCCGCTGCTCAGTAGCTTATTCTAAAGTTAGCCACGGCCCATGACACAATTTACCGTGGGCTTATTACACTTCGTTGCAGCAGAGTGAGTGCTAATGAGGCGATATCATGGCAACGACCAGTCAAGCAATCTGGCAATATCGCTTCTCGGCTCGGGGTGTCTCGGGATAACCTCCGAGTAAGGAGGATCCGCTCGTTCTTTGACTTCAGGCGATTCTTCATGGTTCATTCGCGGACCGCAAAGAAGCTGAGGCCCGTGGCACCACATTTCTGGACCGGAAATTCTCCGATTGGTATGGCTCGGTGAATGTGTCGCCCTGGGTTTCAAGCTTGCCGTGCGTTCGACGCGGGTCTCCGTCTCTAGTCAGACATTCGACCCCACGCACGTGGGGTCGGACGCTGACAGCACTTCGTGTAGCCGCGCTCAACAAATAGCCTGCCATTTTCAACCACACCTGCTGGGTCATTCGCAATGCCTCATGTAGGACCACATAGCTCATAATGTATCAGGCTGGTAGCCGATCCGAAAACATGCTCCAAGATCGCGGTTCCCTCTCGGCATTGTCTAGTCTCAACCCACGTAACATGGTCCTTCTCCGGCAGCCATGTTCATCAGCAACGCCTTCGCCACGTAGCCTGGCTATGTACACGGGAGCTGGGACGCTCAAGAAGAGTGGTGAGAACAACTCGCTTCAAGATATGCTTCCCTCTCACAGCACAGCATAAGCCGACGCATAGCTCACACTAGAGTCATTGACTTTGGTGATGTCTTTGCTGCGAGCGTAACAGACAAATTTGAACCGAAACCGATCCCCCTGAGTCGTACCTGCCTCGAGCGAGAGCCGTTCGAGTGCAGCGAGCGCCACTCCAATCGGATGACGGCCACATACAGTATTCTCCGTCTCGGCTAGATTGGCAACAAAACCGGCGTGGTCACCGGCCTCGATGTAACGCATGGCCTGCTTATCAATGTATGCAATGCTCTCGTGAATCGTCGGATTGGAAGGGGCACTGTCCCGGTAGCCGAGCTGGCGGATGTCGCTGCAGTCTTCGTTTCGCGTGTACGGCTTGTAGTCGAAGTGGTCGCCCCAGTGGCAGAAGTCTGAGCTGACGACGAAGACGGTGTCTGGCTGAGCAAGATACGGAGCGAGGAGGCGCCCAAAGAGCTGTTCTTCAGCGAGCTTGTTGTTGCCCACGAGGATGGGGACGATGGTCGGATAGCTGCTTGGCGATTCAAAGGTGGCGGCAATCTGCTTGTAGAGGTACGGCAGGTGCATCTCGAGCGAGTGCTCGCGGACGTCATTGGTGCGGGGGATGTCTGTGAATTTTCCCGTGCCACGCAGCTCTGCCACTGTCGGCTCGTCCACGACGAGGTCGCCTAGAGGGGTGGCATACCTGGCGAACGTGGTGAGGGCGGCACCGCGGAAGCCATAGGTGTGCGATGGGCCCAGCACAAAGACTCGCCGGGCCTTTGACAAGTCGAGTGTTCTGTACGCCCAGGCTGCCCACTTGCCCGAGTAGTTGTAGCCGGCGTGACTGTGGACAAGCCGAGGAAGCAATGACTTAGCCAATCATGGTCTCCTGCGGGAGTTGTAGCACGCAAGTACGACTCACGGCGCAATGACAATCCGGGCACCCGGAATAGGTAGGGTCTCGTCAGCAAAAGAGCCCTGCACACCGGTGAATGGGCCTCTGACGTCGTTCAGGAATGCGTCGAGCATCTGGTTCAACCCGGCTGGGTCAGCCATGTACCAGTCGTCACGACCGCCGGCATGGCTAGCGCTGCGTGTATCTCTGTCCGCCATGCTCACTGTCCGCTATAGTCGCCTCTGTGCAGCTCGAGACAGCAGGGGGGTTGAGAGACGTGATGGAATGGGATGGAGAGGGTGGTCGTAGAGCTGTTGTTCAACAATTAAGCACGGCATGGTTTCCCCGCACCGTCATCGCGGAGTGGGGCAACTCCATTTGCAGCCTCCAACACAATGAGGGTACTTCTGCGGCACAACTAGTAAGCTGGCATTGTTGAGGGTAAACATTTATGGTCCACAAATTACAAGCTCGGACTTGGCGTAATGTCAGGGTGGTATGGTCTGCATGACAGCATTCCGTCCAGCGTGACAGATTGCAGTGTCACAATGACTTTCATGGGGGCATCTTCTATCGTCTGGGTCGTGGCCCAGCACGCGGCCCACTCCACTCCGCTCTGCTTCCCGGTCTTGGTCCAGTCCATGTCTCTGAAGTGCGTACCTTGCCGTACTTCAGCTTGCAATGTCGATCTTCAAAGCACTCGGGCCACTGGCCCTGGGAGCATTCCGTTCCCTTGGCCATCTGGCGTCTTTCTAACTCTTTGGGTCAAGCATCAGATGCTATTGCCTGCCGTCTTCAACCCCTATCCCTCCACTGATCCGTTCTAAACGCATGAACCCCGTTCAAAGTTATTGATTATCTTTTCGGTGCTGATCTCTGCTTCTTTTCCATGTAGCAGTCGGCGCACAGAACGATATAAAAGCAGCATGTGTGGAGAGCAAAGCTCGAGTCTATCGAACTAACACCCGTTGCTGGCATTTACAACTCCCCGCCATTCTGTACACCTCATTCAAGTCGCAGTCCGGCCCGTCGTTGGTAGTGTCGATTCCACAGCATGACATTCGACAGCACTAGAGTCTGCTGGTGGGTTGGACACTGCCTGTCGCCCAGTGGCTTTGCCAGCCTCTTCGTTCTCGGCTGATGGATCCTTACCTTGTACAGGCCACTCCATCGTCAGAACGGAGTGCGATTAAAGCCGATCTTGCTCCAATGGCTTGAGGGCTACCAGCCTATTCCCAATACACCCCCGTGAGTGATTCCTGACCCGTGACAATAGCCGTCCGTGTCCAAGTCTCCAACCTCCTGCGCCACCGAGGCCGCGGAATCTCGCGCAATGTTCTCACCGTTGGTCTCTTTCCAATAAATTCCCATCCATGTACATGCCTTACAGTTGACACGATGCGGCGATCTGTGCTTCGTGCACAAAACCTCCCTTCTACGCAAGATAAGACTTTTGCAAGCATCCGAAGGCTGGTTTAGTTTATACATCCAGCTATGTAGTTGTAGTCCGCTATGCACCCCTTGAACGTGCTTCTTCAAAATACTCTCGAACTGTGTGGTCCGATCCGGCTTGCTTGTCATGAGTGCCATCGCTACTGTAGCCTGGGTGAAGCGCTCGTGATGCTGGTCGTCGACTAGATCCTCGAGCTGCAGCAGGATCGACTTTAGCTCATTGGTCGCTTTGGTTTTCGCTGTGGGATTCGACGACGCCGAATTTCCTGTCAGACAAGGGGGGGTCCCAGAGAAGCATTCCGCGATATATGTGGTCGTGATTCAGTTGTTCCGTGCAGCATTCTGTATATCGGGCCCTTAGCAATTATAATTCTCAGGCTGGAGTGTACTCATCAAAAAATAACCAATTGGGCTTCGCTCAGAGTATGCGCATCCAAATGCCGACGTTGCTGGCCCCTGTATTGACAGTCGAGATACCAGGTGCAATCTGGTCTGGCTAGCTCCTCTAGGATCACTAGCAGTCTCTCCTAGCTACGACTAGCGCTCCGAGTATGTCGCCGCAAACGGATTTAGACTTGGGACGCTGATGGCCTGCGTGGTGAACCCTTGCATCTTCCCAGCTTCACCCTGTCCGAACTTGGCAAGGACATAATCGAGAAATAGACACGCTACATTGTGTTTTTTTATCGAGTTGTTTTTGTTGTCTGGCACAGAATGAAGACGCTCGTTGTTTTCTCAGGCGTTCTTGCCGTTCGGCCCGTCGAGTTCAATATCAGCACACATGATATCCCCAGCCCTGGACTCTCTGTTCCAAGGTATCAGTTTCTGCAAGCGATGTGGTTGCGTCAAGGCCCAGCTCCACAAACGTTCCAAATTTGGCCTCTAAGTTCATCTCATGGGCCCTGAGCTGCAGTGAGCCACGCACACGTCTTGCCGGTGTCACTTTATGTGCTCAGGATCACAGAGGTAGTGAACCTGGTTGGCCATGTATGCGAGCAAGCGATCACTATATTCAAAGCCTCCTGGTGCTGCCTGCTGATTACATGCTCTGTGGATGTTTCTGAGCACTCTCAGTAGGGTATAATCTCTCCGGAAGCGTCGCGTGGGAAACTTCCGACAGACTCCCCGTAATGGACGCCTGAAAAAAAGTAGTCTTACCCATCCCTCGGCACCAGCGCCTCGCATGATGCGCGTTATTTGGTCTCTTTTGCCTCTCAGTGCTTCATCGTTATCCAACTAGTCAGGCGTTGCCTTGACGTGCCTTGACGTGACGCCTGGCGGTCTGCCGTGAGATCTGCCATAGTTGTCAACACGAATGACGGGAAACCAGTCCCAACTTTGACCGCTTGGCGCTATCACAACCAGGCGCCTCGAGACCACGACCGCCAATTGAGGTAGCTTTGAATGGATTATGCTTAATTATCCTATTGAGCCTTTCGAACTTGGCCAGGCCCCCCCCCCCCTAACACACCCCCTGGCCCTGGGTAACGGTAGCATCTCGAAGGGCCTTGCAAGCCCGTGAGAACAGCGCGATTTGCTCAGCCAGGCTTCTCGCCGCAACTCCCACCGCCCGACCTTCGGTAGTGAAAACCAGACCTGCTGAGTGAGGACGATCTTGTGGCCATCCTAGTGCCGACCAGCTAGATGGCATTGTTTAGTGCTACAGCGTTCTTGCTGATAACGTTTGGGTGCTTGAAGGTGGACTTGACAGTCATCGATCGCAGGCAAGTGAGGTGCTCTTGGCGAAGTTCTTATGCAGCCCTGAGCTTCCGGTCCTGCTAATCAATGGGATAATTTGCCCGTTTGGAAGCCCATCCAGATTTGCGATAAGCCCGTGCTGTGGCTGACAGATGCAAAATAGCGCAGAAACAGAGGATGAGCATGGCCTGGCCTACTTTCTCAATGTGGAAGTCGGCTCTCAAGCAGAGCCGGACCCTCGAGGAGTCTAGCCATGCTGTCAAAGAATGGCTCAATCGTACTATAGTTGTCAGAGACACCCTTTGCAGTCATCATGGCACACGTGAAGGCCGCAGGGAGAACCAGCGCCGAAGGCAACAGCGTACTGGCAGTGTTGACGACGTGGCTGGATAGGTTGCTGATGGCATGTGCATGTGAATGGCCATTTGCTGCGACCAAGCGTCAATGAGGCTACTATGTAGGACCCGCCCCCCCCCTTGTGGAGAGGCCTGTGGGGATTCACGGCGGGTGCTCGCAGACCCCTGTCACGTTGAGCAAGGCTGGACGCACGAAGTACATTTGGACGTTGTACCTGCCCGAACCCCACCTGGTCGTATGGCCACGCGAAATCGTGACGCGGTCTCCGGCCAGTCACTTAACGCGCCTTGAGCTGGCGCGACGTGCGTTCGCTGCCTCAAATAGCTGCGCCAGCCCCATCCCATGCACGCAAGCTGCGAATGCTTAAACCTCAGCAACGCAACCCTTTCCAAGCCAGCAAGAAGAGCCACCCGCCTGCCACAGAAGGCTTTGCATATATATTGTGCAGCATCATAACGAGCCAATCCAATTTGCAACCATGCTTCTGAAGCGCAAGCGCTCCGATTCCGAGTTCTCATGCTCTTCGGCCAGCACTCTCAGCTCTCCTCCACGGCCCGAAACCTTCTTCCACAAGGCACCAGCACATCTCAATAGCCGCACCCTCAAGCGGCATCGTGACAACCGCCCGTCTGAGGACAAGGTCTATCGTAAGCTCTCCAGGTTGCGCTCTAAACGTTTGAGTGGGCGTAAAACTAATACATGTCGCTACAGAGCACACCCTCCACCTCCTCTACTCGGCACAGCAAATTCATGCCGCCCACCAGCGATCGCCATCCCCAAGTCCGCAGACCCATCCTCCAGACCAGAGCTCCCAACAGATGCCCCACTCATTACATCCCTTGGCTTCTGCTCAGCGATCTCTGCATAACTTCTGGACGCTCCCTGGCAGCAGTCGTGCGAGACCTACCAACATGCCAAGCGCACCGACGACTGTCCTCTCCTTTGTGGCCAGCCACCCGACGAGCTGTGCCGATTGCGGGGATGATCCCAGCATATGTAGTAGCATGGATACAGATGGCGACCTTCTCTTGGTGGACAACACTGCTAATGGGCTTGCGGCCTGTTCCTGTTGCGGCAAGAATGTCTGCCGACAATGCTCCATCACCAATCTCGACGAGCAGCGGGTCTGCCTGAGCTGCACGAATATGCAGCAGAAGAATCCCTGCCATATTGTCAGGAGCAGGCCGTTCTTCCTGCATGGCTGAAGCCAAAGCGAGGGGGCCTTAGCAGTACTTGTGGCATTTTCGTTCAGGATGTCATTTAGCGTCGGGTGTTTTGGAGTAGGCACAATGCAGTCTTGGTTTAATCTTTCTGTCAAGCTCATCTCAAGATGTGGCGAGCATGCGGTGACGGGAATCTCGTAAAGGCAATCTGTAAATGGAACATTTTGTTCTAGCACATACCGTGTGCGCCATGGAAGTTATTGACTCCCCAACACGTTCACGCAGCAAGCGAAACTGCATTCTTCTGTGCATTGATTGAGACCGACAGCAATCATCAGGAACACGAAGGACATCATTCTCGCAGCGGACCACATATTCGTCCCGCACAATACCAAGCGAAGTTCACAGCACGATAGTTCACTAGTCAAGCAAGTCTCCCGTCTCACATCAACAGCTTTGCGACTGGAAGGAGGCGATCGGTTCGCCAGGACAGAACTCACGCGGCCATGAGTATATTTTGTGGTGAATGGCGACTTCTGATTACCTGTTCTATATCGTCACCATTACGCTAGCGTTTTTGTACCAATTCAGCAACGGATTTTCTCCACTGCGCGTCTCCGTGTCATCTAAATAAGCCCAGTCCCGGAAATAATCCTCATGCGTCATGACACGTGTCAGCTTGCCCGTGATCGCACGGTAGACTGACTCCATGACTCGAAAATCTGTTGGAAAGAGGATATCAAAGTATCCCTGGTGTACCTGCAAGGAAGCGAAGAAATCACCGTCAGCTTACATGCATGCAGACGGCTTCGTCCGGCAGCAATGACTTACCAAGGGCGTGGACACAGGTACCATGCGCCTCTGGTACCTAGTCTGGACGACAGGACTGTTCAAACCTCTAACGGCGTCTGGCAGGGTGTGGAAATCGCTCGTCAAGAGCCGATGAGCAGGGAAATATCGCTCGAGGATATCGAAGAATTGCATCAGTCGAGTAGGAATATACTCCGGATCACTGAGGTTTGGCGCAAAGGGTCGAGCTTGCTTCAGCTGCCGAAGGAGGCGGGACGAGCTGTATGGTAGAGGATAGCGCCCATTTGTCGCGGCGTTACGCACACGCAGGTATCGTGCCGCGACTGGATCGAGCACAGGTTCGTAAAACTCGTGAAAATCGCCCTTGTCGTCGATAAGGACAGTGCCCTGCAGCGGTTGCTCTGTCTTGAGATCGTACCGGATCGCGTCGTGGGCAAAGTTGTCGAAGACCTCCATGCCCAGAAAGAAGCACGGCGATGGTATCCTGTCATTCCAATCAAATATGGATTTGTTGATAATTTCAACCTTGGACGCATGGCCCTTGCTCGCTGCCGAGGTCAAAAGCTGTCCTGCCTGCATGTCTGCGAGTTGGGGCGAGATCTCGATGATACGGTACTGGGTTCGGTCGTAGATGTCGGGCTCCATGTCGCGGATATAGTCGAGGATGTTGAGCATGAGGGTGCCGCGTCCAGCGCCCATTTCGTAGATGATCAGGTCGTGGTATGGATAACCAGACATTATGTAGTTGGACATGAGGTAGCGTGCGATGGCCTCGCCATAGTAAGGGCGGAAGAGCTCGGTTGGTGTGTGCCATAACTGGCGCGTGTCATCATGCGCAACAGCGTCAAGCTTGTCCTCGAACTCCGTGTAGCGCTGTCCGACTTGGGCGTGGAATGCAGGTTCGTTGGGGAGCGAGTTGAAGTCAAAAGGCTCTCCGGGTGAGAATATCACCACTTGCTTGGAGAAGTAGCCGTAGTGGGGATTGTAAAGGCTGTCTTCGATGAAGTCACGCATGAGCATTTTGACCTGGCGCGGTCGCGAGCGGGTTCGGCGAAGGTCGTCGGCGGTTACGAGGGGATAGTCGCGGTACTGTTCTGCCATGTCGAGAGAAAAAAGCTCCGTGCGCTGCTGCCAGTCGCTTTCATTGGAGGCCGCCTTTGGCTTCGCACCACGGGCAACGGTCTGGCGAGGCCTGGAGGCCATGTGGCGGCGAGGTTGGTTGCGACCATCTCGGATACAGGAGGACAGAGCGGCAAGGTTCTGGCGGGCGCGACACGACGGATGATGGCGAAACAGCTGGCGGAAGACGCGCGCCAGAATAGGCGAGTCCATGAGGAGTCCGGACTGACTAGCACAGAGCAACTGGGGTGCCGAATGTGGAAAAGAAGGATTGTGGGATGCGCGAGTGAGGTTTTGAGGTTTCGAGATCGTCCCGCAAGGGTCCGCCATGGTGATGTCCTTGGCTCGCGTGCTCAGTGGCCCGAGCTCCGTTCCGCACCGCATCCCGCCGGCGACGCCATGCCCGGGACCCACCAGCAGCACTTGAGGCTTCGTGCCCCGCTGTGAACGCCTCTATTTCCCGGTGGTGTCTTCACAGCAGCAGAGTCGTCAAGCCATTGCTAAACTGGTGACCTCGCCGCGCGCAGCATGTCGCTCAGCGACCATCCTCGGGCCTACGGCACCGCCGCTGTGGCTGCTGCCTTTGCTGCCGGCATAGTCCTAACGCTCGGCTTCAAGGATCTCTACCCGGACCTCGAACGCCGCTATCAGGCCCGCCGCCGCAAGCCGCCTCGCGGTGCCTCGTCCTGGTCAGACCTCCGCCGCCGGTCCAGCTTATTCTGGGGTCCTGTACAGCTCGAGGATCACGAGTCCGACCCAGATAATGACTTCACACCTGCACCGTCGGCTCAGCTCGGCATGGTGCCCGGAAGTGTTAGCGGGATTGAGGGAGCCATCGGCAATACGCCCCTAATCGAGATACGTAGCCTCTCTCTGGCCACGGGCCGTGTCATTCTTGCCAAAGCGGAGCTGCTCAATGCGGCGGGGAATAGTCCGAAAGATCGAGTTGCTCTCAACATGATTCGAGAAGCTGAGGCTGCCGGGCTCCTGCTGCCACACCGAGGTGATACCATATATGAGGGTACAGTCGGGAGCACCGGCATCTCCCTTGCAGCGCTCGCTCGTGCCAAGGGCTACCGTGCTCACATATGCATGCCGGACGACCAGAGCATGGAAAAGTCGGACCTGCTCCACCACCTTGGTGCCATCGTTGAGCGCGTGCCGGTGGCTCCCATTACCAGTCCAGATCATTTCGTCAACCTTGCTCGCAGACGCGCTGCGGAGCACACGGCGTCCCAGGCAGACAGCAGTGTTGGTTTCTTTGCTGACCAGTTCGAATCGCCCGCTAATTTCGCCGCCCACTTCAAAACAACCGGACCAGAGATTCTTGCTCAGACCTCAGGTCGAATCGATGCCTTCGTTGCCGGCGCAGGCACAGGAGGCACCATCTCTGGTGTGGCGAAATATTTAAAAGAGTCAGCCAAGCTGACGAATTTGAAAGTCGTGCTCGCAGATCCGCAAGGGAGCGGTCTCTACAACAAAATCCGGTATGGTGTAATGTACAGCAATACAGAAAAGGAAGGAACTCGTCGCCGAAGCCAAGTAGACAGTATCGTCGAGGGTGTTGGGATCAACCGCGTGACGCACAACTTCGAGTCAGGCCGGGATCTCATTGACGACGCTGTGAAGGTCACAGATGAGCAAGCCTGCGCCATGGCACGCTGGCTGGTCGAGAACGATGGCATTTTTGTGGGTAGCAGCTCGTCAGTGAACTGCGTCGCCGCAGTGTCCACTGCACTTTCATTGCCAGAGGGTAGCAGGGTTGTGACTGTGCTGTGCGATTCGGGAACTCGTCACCTGAGCAAATTTTGGAAGAAGGTTGCCGAAATGGGGCTTGAAGATCAGGATCAGGTCGACGGGCAAGACATCGGCGTCCAGATTCTTGGAAAGGAGGACTTGATCAGCCTGCTCGGCCTCAAATCGTCATGAGACCCGACTTTGCTCCTGAATTTACTGTGGCCCAGACTCAGTTGGCTACCCCGAGCTGATATCGTCTCGAATCGCAAAACACCAATCCCTGAGCACGTGGCAAAATGCACGGCGTCGTGCACAGCAGGAAGAATAGACTATGATAAGAATTTATCATTATTTGCCCAACGATGTGGCCTTATTACCGTAACGGCGGATATGTCCAGTTGTGGATTTCTGCAACGTCTGACCTCATCGATTAGTGCAGTATGATAGCGAGGGAGCCTCCATGTCTGAAATTGCCTTCGTCTATGGAACATGGTATGCTACGGTGACCATGAAGAAGGCCTGCTGAATGCATAAGAGCCACCAAACCACGTGAGAGTTCCGTGCGCCCTCCAATGCTGGGAATGACGTGATGACGTCACAAGCTCCTACCACATCCGACAACGCGTCGCCATGGGGAGCCTGGATTGTTCGCAAAGTGCGTCTCTCTCCTCACGACAACATAGCAAGACGGAGCAAAGAGATTTGGACACGAACGCGGGAGCCTTTTGTAGCTGTCTCCAGCTAGTAATGCAGAATCACGCCAGCCGATGGGTCCGTCCAGTGATCTGTGGGAGAAGATGGGAGAGGATCGAAGCATCAAGTGAGTAAGGTGAGCACACCAAATTCAGGATGTAAATGGAAACCATGTGTGCGCTGGGGCTGATGCCTGACAGGTGCTCCGTGAAGACGATGGTGGGACCAACCACCCTGCCAAGATGAGGTGGTCGCGAAAGTTAAGAGAACTGCAGGCAAGTTAACAAGCTGATTACATAAAGAAAATGACCGGATCTTACAACATACCTTCCACCGTTTCCCGCAATTCATGCATTCGCAGAATGTCGTCATCGGTTCGTCAGCCGAGCGTGTCTGAGCTTGGGTGTATGCGACCTTCTTCTGTTTGCAACTGCCACACTCCAGAGAGTCACTGATGCTCTTCTCTGGCATGCCTGCCTGGGCTGTGCGCATGTTCTCCTTCTCGAGAACAGCATCCGCCTTGCGCTGTTCTTCCGACTGAAGCTCTTTCGAGCTCATGGTGACGAATCGCTCGGCGGAGATGGTCCCCGTCATGACATTCAGGCGTAGCTTTTCATTGGCCTTGACCTTCAGGTTCTGGAACAGCGAGCGCATCTTCTCCTTGTAGTCCTTGGTCTCTCCCTTGAAGTGCTTGTAAGCAGCGTTCTCCACCTCGATGGCGCGCTGAAGGACGTTGTCCTCAGCCTCACGAGATCGATAGGCTAGACCATTGTAGAGAAGACCAACAATGTTGTCCCGGGTTGTTGAGCCCGTCCGGTTAATATCAATCTTGTCCGTCTTGTAGTGTCTCTTCTCAATGTCGCCGGTATACGAATTTTTGCTGGCTGTAGTTGGTTTGGGTGCAGGTGATCCTGACTTGATACTCGCAGGAGACGCAGATCCTTGCAGTTTAGCCATTTGGGAGCCACCCTTGGCCTTCTTCTCTGCTTCGACAGCCTTTTTCCATGCCTGGACGACTTCGGCTGCCGCGCGCGCAATGTCTTTGTTGCTATCTGTTCTGAGCTTGCCGATGAACATGCCGGCCTTCGTGTTCTAAACGGAGAAGGAAAACATCTGAATTAGCCGGCTGGGTCTAACCCATGATTGTAAGAGGGCATACCCGGATCATTTCCTCGGTCGGATTGCCCTCCTTCCTAAGAGCCTCCAAGGCCGCGATGACCACTGAAGCAGGCTCATTGGAGTCCTTGGCTTTCCGGATGGATTGTATGCGCGAGGCGAGCTCCCTTTGGTCCAGCATGGCGGCGGTTGTCGCAATGCTGCCGAGCGAACCTTCCAAATGCTGGTGTACCGCCCTTGATATGGAAGTGAGCCTTGCTTTCGCAGATATTTCCCGCGCGGACAAGTGGTGCGCGCTTGCCGTGTCGATGATGGAAGGTCGCGGAATTTAGAACGAGGTCTCGGGGGGGAGTGTGGTGCAGTGAGTGGTAAGGCAGGCGCAATCGACAAGGAGGCCGTGGTGGAGGGATAGTGGTCAAATGAATGATACTACCACCAAGTTCAGCTGACACAGAAGGTAGTAATGACAATATGGCGGCGCGTAAGGTCGGGACACACGTGTGCGAAGGACTTGCGAGTTGCGATCGTGGTCTGCCAAGGGTCAGTCCCGAGAAATCAAGTGTCGAAGCTGGACCCAGATGACGGTGGGTCTGGTCGGCGACAGTAGGCGCCGCACTGCTGGGGAACGAGAGCACGATATGCTGGACATACCCGGCACTCATTGGTCGTTTCAGCCCAGGTTCCATTGCTGTATACTGGATTATGTAATCCGTGAGAGAGTGCCCGACTGGGGAGCATTAAGGCTGCCCAGGTGGGCACGACAAGCCCCCGCAATCTTGGGGTACAAGCCTGTGAGTGCTGTCCCCGAGTTATGGGCCCCGCACGGCTCAAGCTCCAAGCTTTCAAGGTTTCCAAAACACCTCCTGAAGCACATTCGCGCTCAGTTCCTGAACTCTTTCCTTCACAACTTCGAGATTCAGAGCTCTCCAATCATCCGAGGACCTTTAAAATACAACACTACTGCTCTGCCAGTCGCGGCTCTGCTCACTGACCAGCATCGACAACATGTCTGGAGTCGATAACGCCCCCATTTCACCCATCGAGCGCAAGAACTCGCTCGAAACCCATCTCAAGCTCCGCCCAGAGCGTGCTGAGCTCGTCGAAAGTACGAAAGCTTCATTGGCTCCTACCTGCATGTTCATTGCTAACTGGGAAGCACAGAAAATATATTGCCTGAGTCCACAGCTGCTGCCAGTCTGCAGGAAAAGCAGAAGGAGGTGAGTCTGTCTGTCCGGCGTTTGACCTTGGTCCTGAAAACCACGGTGACTAATTAAATACCATCTTCAATACTTGCTGACAACTGAGCGCTATAGCTTGCCAAGCATATGCGTGCAGACTCGCTCAATGACAAGATCTCTCATCGACCGTCGCCCGAGAAGTTGATGAAGGAGGGAGTTCTTCACGAAGATCCGCGCTCCCCCGATGAGAAATACGCGGAGGCCATCGAGGACGAGTACGCTAAGCGTGAGGGTGGCGCCTAGATCAAGAGAGCGCGAGCCCACATGACCTGGATGGCTACCTGGGTAGTTGAAATCACAGAGTACCTGCCAGAGTACCTGGGTACCACGTTGAATGTGTCTGCTTACATTTTGCCCGTGTGGTGCAAATCGAGCCATCTAGAAGATGAGCGGTGCATGCTTGAAGCTATACCTGCCTAACGCTTGATTCTTGTGGAGGGTCTCACCAAAGTCGCCACGAATATGGTGCATATGCTGCTACGCTTTGGATTCGGTATCAGGAAGTGGGTTTGTGCTTCAGCCGCTCCCATGTGCAGTCTCTGCGAGATCATTGCCTATTGTACATTCCGACACTCCACATTCTACTTCACAGGCCAGTACGATCATGACTGGTCTCAACTTCTAGCACTTCAATTTCTGCTTCTGACCATGCAAAGTGACCATCTGTACGTACAGAGCGCTCTCCTGGTCTGCACCGTTGCTCGAAAAGACTGCCGAATTGAACGATGACGAAATCCACACGAACCAGAATGTGCTGCAGGGGTGCCGAATTCAACCCGCGTAGAGCTCATGATTGGTGGGCTCCACGGTAAATCGCCCCCGATTTACCCCAGATTTATGTTGCCATGATCTAATCTCGACTACCGGTCCGGGGGAGCCCAATATACCCGGTTACCCAAATGATGCAGCAGGCTAAAAGCGAGCACCCCAGACCAGCGGCTGGAGGCGGAGAAGCAGCGTGAGGCCACACTCACCGCCGAGTGCTTGGTACATGGAACCACCTACCGCGCGGAGGGTGTCGATCATAGGCTCACCACAACTGCCGGACGTTACATTCGGCAAAGGCGCGCCCGCCTTGGACCCGCCACGACACCCAGACAAGCAGGTCCGCGGGCTGTCGCGACTCTTGATAGGCGCGCATGACACCAGAAGCAGTGCTGGACGAGTAACGAAAGCTGCAGCTAATCTCCCTGGTTCCGGCGAGATCGTCCGCGCTGGTCTACTTGCCCCTTCCTCGCCCATGATCCCCTCACGCACGATGGATCTTTGCCGCCTTGGCTCGCGAGCCATGGGCCTTGACCCCCGAAATTGCCTCTCTACTTTTCTTTCAGTCACTCCGCAGCGGCTAATTGTGCCTCGCAGTGCCCACAAATCAAGAAAGATGGCACACCCTGTGCGGAAGTCGTCGAGATGGGGTATAAAGTGCTCGCCATGTCGCCATCTCTGTCACTGAGATCGAGCCGTATCTAGCAGCGAAACCTGTGCACCACGCGGAGTGCCTTGTGCCCACAATGCATCCATCCAATAGTGTCTTGCTGGCCGCTTGGCTTGCCTGGACAAGCTTGCCCACCGTTTCTGCCATTGATATAACCGTCAAGGCCGATGGGGGTAATGCCACCAACGGGCACCAATACGGCTTTCTCCACGAGGTAAGCATCAATCTCGACCTAATGGGAAGGGCTCCATCGAGGGGATTGATTTCAGGCAATTGATCTCACCAACTCTGCTCAAAGGACATCAACAACTCAGGTGATGGTGGTCTCTATGCTGAGCTCATCCGCAATAGAGCCTTCCAGGCTAGCGAAGGCTTCCCGTCTACACTCGACGCATGGTACAGCATCGGAGGTGCAAGCCTCTCCTTGAAGAAGCTTGAGAAACCCTTATCCGAGGCTCTTTCTACGTCGCTCAATGTTGCTCCATCCTCCGGTGGCTACGCCGCGTCTGCCGGGTTTTTCAATGACGGCTATTGGGGAATGGATGTGAAGAAGGCGAACAAATACACCGGCTCCTTCTGGGTCAAAGGCCAATATGACGGCCAGTTCACCGCTTCATTTCGGTCAAATATCACGGGTGATATCTTTGGTTCAACCACAATCCAGTCCAAGTCCGTCCCCGATGACTGGACCGAGCACACATATGAGCTACGTCCCGAGATAGATGCGCCAAATTCGAACAATACCTTGGCCATAACGTTCGACTCCTCGGTATGTACATTTTGGCCAAGCCAGTTTCACCCACATCAGCAACTAACGCAGCATATCAGAAGGTGGTCGATGGTTCTCTAGACTTCAATCTCATAAGTTTGTTCCCGCCTACATTCAAAGGCCGCAAGAATGGCATGCGGATCGACATCGCAGAGGCTCTAGCAGACCTGCACCCTGTAAGTTTCCCAATGCCCAGGCAATGAGCTTGGGTCATCGAAGTACTGATAGCATCACATCAACTCGCTTGCAGACCCTCTTCCGCATTCCTGGTGGCAACATGCTTGAAGGGCAAACGAACTCATCCTGGTGGGACTGGAAGGACTCACTGGGGCCTCTCAAGGATCGTCCTGGGTTTGGCGGAGTGTGGAACTATCCACAAACCCATGGACTGGGACTGTTGGAATACCTGGAATTATCAGAGGATCTCGATATGGAACTCGGTAAGTCCCTGGGGTTCACGCAAGCGGGCTAGGCGAGGACTGGGTTGTACTGACAGACGACGTGCAACAGTGGTCGGTGTCTACTCTGGTCTCAGCCTGAATGGAGATATCACCCCGGAGGACCAGTTGCAATTTTTTATCGACGATGCCCTCGATCAGATTGAATTCATCCGTGGTCCAATCGACTCAAAATGGGGTGCCCGTCGCGCCGAATTAGGCCACCCCAAACCTTTCAAACTGCGTTATGTCGAGATTGGGAACGAGGACTGGCTCGCTGGCCGACCCACCGGCTGGGAAACCTACAAAGAATACCGCTTCCCGATGTTCCTCGAGGCTATCAATGCCGCATACCCGGACATTCAGGTTATCGCGTCTGGCTCAATATTCGACGGCCATGACATTCCAAAGCCTGGTGCGGGGGATTATCACTTGTACGCAGAGCCTGACACGCTGATCAAACAATTTGGTCGTTTCGACAATGTGAGCAGTCAATGTCACCAGCTGTCCAAGAACACACTACTGACTCGGTACAGGTCGAAACTCCTCACATCATAGGTGAGATGGCGGCCACCCACCCCAACGGAGGCACGAGCTGGGATGGCCCTATGCAGCCATGGCCGTGGTGGTCAGGCTCCGTCGCCGAGGCTGTGGGTCTTATCAGCTACGAACGCAACCAGGACCGTATCATTGGCGCGGCCTACGTAAGTGCAAACATGCCACAATAGAGGTTTCCGGGGAGGGATCTCTTGAGAGAAGTTCTCCTGGGAGGAGCTTGCTCGTGTAAGGCTAACGACGGCCAAACCTTCCGGCAACCTAGGCCCCTGTGTTGCGAAATTTGAATAGATGGCAATGGCCTATCACCATTGTACATCATGCTGCCGATCCGGCGCTTACTACGAAATCCACAAGTTGGTTCATCTGGGAGGTCAGTATGCTTCCGAGTCCTGCTTATCCGCGACGAATGATGAGGCTGATTCGGCCACCTCGCAGCTTTTCGCCGGACATGTCTTCACAGAAACTCTGCCTGCCACTTCCGAGGACGGCTTTGGACCCCTTTACTACGTGACCGGCAAGAATGACATCACGGGGGGTCATATCTTCAAAGGCGCTCTGTTCAACTCCACGGACAATGCTGATGTCCCTGTTCGCATCACCTTCGAGGGGGTACAGGCCGGAACGCAGGCTGAGCTGACGCTGCTGTCTGGCCCAGAGAACCCATACGGATACAATGACCCGTGGACAGGCATCAATGTGGTTGAGACCACTAAGAGTACACTGATTGCAGATGCTGAAGGGGTATTCAGCTTCGAAATGCCGAACCTGAGTGTCGCCCTCTTGGACACCGCCCCGAAATATGGTAGATACTGACAGCTTGAAGGAGGAGGTAGCTAGCTCAGTTTGCTTTACCTTCAATCACAGTACTGCCTATCGCGAGTGGGCCGTGTAGTCGAGGACGGTCGTCTAGGGTGAATTTGACGACCCCATAATTCACATTGCAATGCTGAAAGTGAATCATAAAGTTACAACTATCAGCGCAAGACAGCCGTCCTGACTTGTCGTTCAGCATGGTTCTGCGTGAGTGGGGACTGCAACCTGAGAGGTTTGAGGGCTGCTGACTCATATGGGCGTCGCCCTTTACTTAAGCCCCACACTTCTCAGAGGTAATGGATGCGGCACGTGATTTCGTGATCACGGTCTCTCCCACAACCACGTGAATGCACTGTCCAACGCGCCTCGCCGAACTCCCGCCTCGCCGCCACCCTGCTTCTATTGTTGGCCTCTGGCCTGATGCCTGCTCAGTGTCGCAGAGGCGACTTCGCCGCAAGATTTGTCAATACGCAGGAAACGACGACACATGTCTTCTCAGCCGCACAGAGTACACGTAGATAACAATGTGCTCAGAGCGGGATCGAGATGTGACGACAGTCAAGACAAGCGTCGTTGGGCAGCCTTCGGCAATTCATCGGGCCGACATGCAGCAGTTCTCACGCGAGGAGCATGAAACCTTGAAGTATCATCTCCTGGGGCCGTCGCTCACCAAAGCTGGCCAAGACGCCGTGGACCAATCTAAGGTGCGAAGGTGCTTGAAATTCGAGCACGACACCTTGAGATGACCAAGCTGACTGGCGGCGGGAACACAGGTGTCAGAAATTATATATAGTGCTTCCAAGGGGTCCAAATATTTCAACCGAGAGGAAGAGAAGGACAAGATCCTGACGCAGAAAATCACAAACATCTTGCATAAGAAGCGCCAGCTAGAACGAGCCGATCTCACGAAGGAAGCCCGTGCTGCTGATCACCTCATCGCCCAACTTGAGCTCAGTCGTGATCTCTCTCAACATATCGTACACGTTGATTGCGATGCTTTTTACGCTGCGGTTGAGCAGCTTGATCGGCCTGAGCTCAAAGATGTACCCTTTGCTGTTGGTGCTGGAGTGCTCACCACTTGCAACTATTTGGCCCGCAAATTCGGTTGCAGGAGCGGCATGGCTGGGTTTGTTGCGATGAAACTTTGTCCCAACCTCGAACTTATTCGACCAAACTTCGATAAATATACGGCTAAAGCTCGCGAGGTACGCGAGATTCTGGCCGACTATGACCCACGTTTCGAAAGCGCGAGCATAGATGAGGCGTATCTCAATATCACTCAATATTGCGCCGATCGTCGATTGAGCCCGGAAGCAGCAGTGCAGCAGATGCGTGACGAGATCTGCCAGAAAACCAACATAACAGTCTCGGCTGGGATCGCCGCAAACGCAAAGCTCGCCAAGATATGCTCGAACATGAACAAGCCTAACGGGCAGTACCTTCTACCAAACGATCGAAACACTATCATGACCTTCATGCGGGATTTGCCCACGAGAAAGGTCAACGGAATCGGCCGGGTTCTCGAGCGTGAGCTGCAAGAGATAGACGTCAAGACTTGTGGTGACATATGGGCCCAGCGTCACGTCCTGCGACTGCTATTCGGAGACAAGACATACGAGTTTCTGATGATGGTTCATCTTGGCCTTGGTCGTACCCACATCCAGCCTGCCGAAGAATACGAACGCAAGAGTGTTGGAACTGAGAGCACGTTTCGAGACATGTCAGACGGAGCGCAGCTCCGAGAAAAGCTTCGCTGGACCGCAGATGAGCTTGAAAAGGACATGCGGCGCGCAGAAGTCAAAGGGCGCACACTTGTACTCAAGGTCAAATTACACACGTATGAGGTCTTGACGCGACAGGTTGCGACACCCAAAGCCGTTTTCCTGGCTGATGACCTGTATCACTATTCACTGCCGATTCTCTCCAAGCTCGAGCAGGAGATCCCTGCATTCAAGCTACGGCTTATGGGGCTTCGCTGTACACACCTAGTCAGCATGAAGAAGCCAGATACTCGGGCGTTCTTTGGTTTGAGACCGCCAAGGCCCATCGAGGTGAGCAACAATCACGACAACGTGGCGAATGACAAAGTGGAGGACTTAGTGGGGAGCGGGTTCGGCGCAGAAGGCGATTGGGAAAGTTGGGGCGAGGAAGATCTGGCCCTTCTCGATCGTGGGATCAATCCGGGTGGTTACAATCTCGAGCCAGACTGTGCGCAAAATGCTGCTGAAGAACCCTATCGTCATCACGGCAAGGAAATCATTCCAAATCCTAAAAGGAAGCTCACTCCGCCCGAAGACGAGACCTGGTGGGAATGCCCTATTTGTGGACGACCACAAAGCACGAATGAACGACTATTCAATGAGCACATAGACTTGTGCCTGTCTCGACAGGCAATTCGAGATACTGTACAGATTGAGTCGGCCCGAAGCCCGACCCCTGTGGGCGAGGTATCTGATGCGAAACGGTTGAAGCACGTGGAAAAGAGGAAGCGTGCCAGAATTGCGCCAGCGGGAGATCCCAAACAGAAGAAGTTGTCGTTCGGCTCGGCTGGGTGATGCTCTATACACAGCATCACAACCAGGCAGATCAGCCCCTAGACATAATTTAACCAAGTTCAGCACCACACCCAAAGATTTCACCAACGGAGGGATCCATGGAATTCTTCACAGCATTGGCGTTCTCATTCTAGGCCACGGCAAATCAATCTTCAGACTCACTATATGCTGCATTTCAAGCTACTTTGCTTGACCATGGGGTAAGGATTCTCCTTGGAATAATTGTCCCAGCCAACCAGACCATGTTTGATTCACTACTGCTTGGCATAGCAGTCGCCACTGTGAAGTGTAACACGTTGGGACGGCGTTTTGAGTTATATTTTTACGAAGTCACTTTTGCGAGGATCAAGCCTGTGTCACAAGAATCCCTGCAACTCCGACACCTTCAGTCCATTGTATAATCTGGGAGTGGCCAGGCCCCGTGCAATTGCGCTTCTTGCTGTCTCACATCGTGTAGCCTCCAACCGGTGCCGTGATGAGACGGCTCCAGGCGCTGAACAAGACATTGGTGATCAGCGCGGCTCAGTTTTAGGCTTGTCCTGGTCTCGGAAGACGTTGCTCGCCACCAACCCCATCAAGTTGGCTAGCAGTACGCGAATCAGTGTAGGTGTGATATGCTCGCACTCGTGGGCGACATCGTTATTGTACCACGTATTCAGCAGTTCTGACGGGCCGGCCGTACCCCAGCACATCATGAACGTTGCAAAAGTTGGCCACGCGTGTTCGCGTGTGGACGTCTGTGACCAACCATACGACGATGAAGCTAATTTGATAGGATGAAGCCGAGCCAGATCAGAGGAAATCGGATGCGGAGGGAGCCGGGGGAAAACGCAGGGATCAGCCACATGGCGGCGCCCTGTGGAGCTAATCGCCACAGGTTTGCCCCGAAGCCTGGGAAAGGTTCCATTTTCCAGGATCCCTAGCAGAAAGCGCATTGCAAAGACACTACGTACGTACTTTGTGGCCGGCGTCAGCAGTAGCACGAGGATTACTGCATAATGATGCTAACTTGACAGGCATGCAATGGTCCAGAAGATGGCATGCAAAGGCAGACAGGGCCAATGGAAAATCTACTTGGAAGCACCCGAGCCGGACTGAACCTTTTGCCCAGCATGGCCACTGGAGGAGCACACACTACATATGGCACGCAGAAGGTAATTAAGCTTAGGTTGTACTGTTCAGCTGCAAGAAATAAGACCTGAGCCAAAGTAGCTATTTGTTAGCATGGGCGACCTCTCGCCAGGTCTTATGGCGAGCACTCCCGGTTTCAGGCACTCATCATCTGGCAACCCAGCCATTCTGCCGTTTGGAAGGTTGCATTTGTCCAGCCAATTGAACAAGTACTGCATTGCTATTTGTCACCATTCTTATCGCGTAGCCAACGAGCATTGGCTCATGTCGCTGCGGTCCTGCCCAAGTAGGATCTTGTCATCGATATTATGTACAGCAGGTGTGCCTGTACTCATGGCAAAAGCCTGCTGTTATTGGCATCACGCAACGTGCAGCTGCTTGTCATTCGCTCGGTGCCCGTATCATGATGTTCGATGCATCATCAAAGATCAGTGCGCACCAAGGCAATCAAAAGTATGCATAACGATAGATGTAGGATTAGGCGGATGCTGTTCGTGCACCTGTGCATCACATGACCCTTGGGCGAGGAAAAATAATCAAGAACGGCTTGATTTTCACAAGAGTGCACGTTGATACTTGGTCCTGCTAGCCGGTGAGCTGATGTGCTTAATTTGCAGTGGCGCTCTCTTGTCGGCTTACTTCCCGTTCCACAAGTCACCATTTATAAATTATGCCGGGCTTCGCTTCCGATACTTTTTGTATGCCTGAAAACCCGGTGACTTCGCGAGGATCAAGCATCAACGTAGGCAGAGGTTCAATAAAATAGGCCTTATGCAGATGAATGAACAAAGCATGATAGCTGTGCTTGCTTAAAGCTCATTATGCTCCTGGCCGTCATCGGTATCAGCCACAATGGTACCAATCACCTCGGCGGCCTCGCTTGCGGCACTGGCGACCTTCTCCACAATCTTGGTCTCTGCCTCCTCGACCACCTCGCTTGCACTCTCGGCGGCCTTAGTGACGATCTTCTCAGGCTTGGGAACACCATCAATGCCCATGAGTTCCGTCTCGAAGATCAAAGTCGAGCCGGCCGGGATAGGTCCCATGGCGCGCTGACCATAGCCGTACTCGGGGGGAATCGTCAAGAGTCTGTTCAGCATGACGAGTGTTAGCACGGGAGGCATGATAGGTCAGGCTGCAGCCGGACCTGGGAATGCTGCTACGGACCTCTTCTCGCCGATGCACATGTCCAAAAGACCCTCATCCCAACCCTTGATGACGCGACCGGCACCGAGCTTGAAGGGAAGGGGCGAGCCACGGTCATAGCCTGTAAACAAGTTAGGCACAAAACCGTGCGTGCAAAGCGAGTGCTGGTCTTGACTGACTGGCATCGAACTGGGAACCATCAGAGGCCAAGGTTCCGCGGTAGTGAACCTGAATGTTGTCGCCGCTCTTGGTCCGGCGATCGCACTCGACAGGGAGTGTCACCTTGATCTCGAGCTCTTTGGCGCTGACGGTGCCAATGGCAGCCGAGGCGATGAGGGAGAAGATGACGGCCTTCATGATTGGATGTGTTGAAGGTTGACTGGTTTCGTATGGTGTGCAAATGATGGTTTCCTCGGGATACACACACGGCTATGTATTCGTGCATCGGGGCCCTTCGTCACCGGCGGGCGGAAGGACAGCTGGCGGCATCCCCGGCAGGCCCATTCGAGAGCGGGGGTGGGGTCGGTGGCCCGTGGCCCTGCCGGCGGTGAGGAGGCTCTTCCTCCGATGCAAGTGCAAATGTGCCGGGGTCGCAATGACATAAGCAGGCTCTCCACTCTGGCTTTCCGCAGGCCAGGCCGTTAAAGTGGCTGGCTGCTCGACGCGACTGCTCCGCGTCTGCTGCATGCCGTGACGCGCCAGCCAGCCGGCTCCCTGTCGGGCTCGCAATCCCATGGCCCATTTTGACAAATCACGATGGCCGAACCCCGAACCTCCCCTTGCCGCCGCCAATTAGCTCCAGCCTGTCATTGAGGCTGCACCCTTCGTGAAAGGAAAGCTCTGAGCTGCACTTGACAGTTGCAGATTCTTTTGCAGCTTTCGACCCCATCATCACAGCGGGCACCGCAGTCGCCGACACTGCCCATACACACGCCTCTACTACATTCGCTTCTGGGGGTCACTCGACGTTCGCTCTCTCACACGCCATCGCCATTGGGGTCCAATAATTCCAAGCCAATTCGCGGACGAAGGCACAGTCACTTCGACAGGCGTATGACCGATTTCGGCCTCCAGAGTCTGAAGCTTTTAGCTTGGGCCTCTCGACAGCGGCCGCTGAGTTGTGGCAGCCATGGTCGTGCCTCCTGGTTCCGCCACTGGGGGCCTCGAATCACTGCCTGCTCGACCGCCCACACCACCACGCGAGACTCAGCAGCAGCAGCATAGAGCACAAAATCACTCCCGACCACTCCATCCGCTGCTCAATCTGCAGACGCCACCGGGGCACTCCCCTGTGTCTCCCTCCGATTCCTCACTTCCAACATCCCAACGTCTACGCAAAAGAGTCGGCTTCACAGGCCACGCCGACTATCAAGAGCCTCCGGTATATTCCGACAAGAAGAATGTTGAGGTTGTTAAGCAACCGACCCCAATATCTCTACCTTCATCTGCAACCTCAACCAGACCTTTGAAGTCGATTCTCAAGCCATCCCCGGCAAGAAATCCTTTAGACCCAGGGGCGGGTGACACTTCAGACGGGGCTCGGGCCAACTTGGCCACTATGCTGGAGTCAACAATAAAGCAGCTCGCAGGAGCAGATCGAGATTGCAAAGTCGATGCTTATATGATGCTGGTTCGAGCCTTGAAGGTCTCGAATAACCTTCCCGATCGCATCGCTCTGCAAGACAAGATGAGCCTCTTCGCGCAATTCATTCAGCGTGACATAACCACCAAAAGCTCAGGCGGCGGGATTGATTCGTCTCTCACCAATCATGCCCTTACTTTGCTCGTCACATTTCAGCATTTCCCTGCCATTGCCTCAACTCTCACGAATGACTTTGGCGTGTTCATCATCGATCACTGCATTCGATCCTTCGAGGACGCATCAGTACCCAAAGATGTGGTCCGTCACCTGATGCAGGTCGTTGCTTCGCAGGAGTTTTCCCCTAAGGTCATGACGGCGGATCGAGTGGGCCGGCTTGTATCGGCTCTTCACAACATTGAAAATCACCTCAAGGGCAAGAGTATCATAATGTCTCGCATCATCATCTATCGCAAGCTCGTCAAGCAGTCGAGGCAGCACATGCTGATGCACTCAGACTGGCTCCTTGATCTATTCACCGACATGCTGAGCACTTTGAAGGAGATCCGGTCCTCAGCCATCGCCTTGGGCTTCGACACTTGTCTCACCCTGGGCAAAGAGAAGCAACTATCTAAAAGAGTGCTGGAAATCCTCCAGGTCTCTGTCGACGACACCAAATACATCGAATACTACATTGAGCGACTGAAGGCCATGGCGAAGGACAAAGCAGACTCGGCCGTTGTCCCTCAGATTTGGAGCGTAGTCGTGCTTTTGCTCCGCTATCCAGTCGACCGGTGGGAGTACTTCGTACCATGGCTTGACATTATTCAGAAATGCTTCAACTCTAGTGACTGGCAGACCAAGCACGAAGCAAATCTCGCCTGGAACCGGCTCGTGTACACCTTACATCAGAACGAGACTTCGTTCTTCAAGACGCTTGGCACAATGTGCCAGCCATTTGTTAGCCAATTGCGGCGAAAGGTCACCGGAGCGAAGCAAGGGGATCTCAGACAAACGGTGCTCGGAAGTATCTGCAACCTGTACTACTACGCCTTCAAGCCCAACACGAACCCTACACATCTCGATACGCTTTGGAAGACTTGCATTGTACCGATTGTCAACCAGCTTGGGGCCATCGAGAACGAATTGAAAGGGCCGGAGAAGTACATATCTGGCACCACCACCGATAATGTCACGCATGCTGCAACATTACTGACAGGGATATTTGATTCCTCGACGGCCCGTTTGTGGAAAGAGGATCGCGTTTTTGACAAAGCGCTAGTCACGCCAGCTGAACTCCCAGCTCTAGATCCCAAATGGATCCGTCGGAATGCAGCCAAAGTTTTTCTCGTCGTATCCCCCATTTTGGAGGTCAGCTTCCTGAACCTTTCCGATCCAAACTCGAACGCTTCTAAACTCTGGCGCACCATTGTGAATGCTGTTGTGGCAGCTTCTTCAAAAGAGGTTAAAGTGTCTACCGATACAGCCGTGTTTATAGGTAGCGCACTCAGCTTTCTTCTACGGATCTGGTCCTCTGGCCTAGACGATGCGGACATCGCCCAAAGCCGACGCTTCCTCAACGCAGTGCAGCAGTACATTACTGCCATGCTCAGTTGCCTCGGTCTACTCCCTTTCACGGAGAAGCAGCTTTCAATGAGCAAGCAAAACATGTTTGTTCCTGCAGCAACTCCATCTCACCGAGATGTGAAAGGCCACGCAAGCACAAAATCGCCCCTTTGTCATCTTTTCTGGATACTTTCGACGCCGCCGCCAAATATTCCAGACGATGAGCACATGCACACTATGGTCGTGTCCGTCCTCTCTCCATTCTTCGCCACGCGTCCTGTATTTGCTCGTCGAGACTTGGCTCACGAACTCATGCACTCTCTACCTCAGGAGTCGAGCTCAGTGTCAGCGACCTGGCAATTCATTGCGGGGATTCTTGAGACTGCGCTCATCAACAGTAAGGACAGTCACTCAAGCATATCCTCATCCGGTGAGCCCGCCATCGGGCATCAATATCGGGGCATTGTCAAGCACCTGGAACGTGGATTGGTCGCCACACCAAATCTACAACGGACATATTGGCAATCTCTTTTGGCTGCAGTCACTGACTGTGCCGTCGAGGAGACGGGATTTGCGGGCTGTGCCGTAGCTGTTATCGAGCCACTTGCGAAAGCAGCAGTTGATCTCATCTCGCATAGTACCGAGTCGCTGTCGGATCACATCCATAATGTTGGTTGCGAGCTCATCAGCCGCTCGACGCAGCCCCATGATCGTCAGGCTCTTGAGACCGCTCGAAGACGACTCTGGGGCACCTTAGCTGCTGGGACACGTTCTGCCTCACTCGATCCCTTTGACAACCTATATCGTTTGATTAACAGCCTCCTGATGTGTAGTTACAACAAAGTTGATACTGCAGGCTTCGAGGAGCCGGCGGTCCGCATGCTGAGCGAGATTACAGCATTTTTGGCACGGTCAAACACCCAGCTAGCCCTGGGTAGCCTCCTTGCGATTCAGTCGGGCATCTCGCGTTGGCTCCGAGATGCGGACAGTAGGTATGACAGCAAGCAATCTTCGCCGGTGTATAATGCGGTGCAAGCGTTATGGGACCGAGTATGCTGCGTCTTCGGCGGGTCCGAAGGTCTCAGACAAACAGGGTTGTCCTCCGTCGAGCTTCTTCTCTGTGCTGCGTTTGGAAGCAAGCATGCCAATCTGGTTAAATCTACAGCAGCACTTTGGAACCAGGCTTTCGAGCACGAGGAAGCAGTGGACTATCCTGAGAAGCTGAAAGATGTTCTCCTAGCTGTTCATACATATGCCGACATTGTCTTGCCAGGACTGCGGATACCCAACCACCCAGATAGCATGGAGAGTTTTGTCATCCCCGAATCTCAGCACAGTGGTATCGAAATGGACACCACCACTGATGCAATCGCGCCATTGCCACAGCAGAGCTCCGATGGTATGCCACAGTCAGGAAAAGCACTGTCGCCGCGGACGTCATCGCCTGTTGGCTCAGTTAAACTATCGTTTCCTGCAGCGCGAAGCGCTGCGATCACACCGAGACGCACGCTGCGGAAAAGAGAAAGGAAGCGTGTCAGCAATGCACGACTTCGCCACGACGACTCTCAGATCCACTTCGCAGCGATTGATTCGTCCTCGCCCTCGGGCGACGTTGAACCACAGCATCTGACCGAGCGACAGATCGAAATTCGGGAGCGACAACGAGATGCGTCTGTCCTGTTTCCTGAGCTGCGCTCGAGTGCTGGCCAAAACGCGGATTCGCTGGAGCTGGAGCCACAATTACCACAGCAAATAGTAGATCATGCGGCGCGAGAGCACGCGGCGACACCCGAACGAAACCAAGCCTTTGAAGATTTCGTGTCATCAACGCCTACTCCTCGTCGGGGACAAGCTGCACTCATCATCGAGGATCATTATGGGCTAGACGAAGTACCGTCCTCGCCACCTGAACCCCGGCGGAACTTGCTGCCTGAAATGCGCACACGATCCCGCAGTAGCAGTAGCATCATGGACGATTTCCAATTCTCATCGTCACCAGTGCCGGGTTCACCAACACTTGAACAAATGAACTCCGCCAAGGGCAAAATAACTGTTCAGGACGACCCGGCATTCGCAACCGACCAATTCTCTACTCGCAACGATGTGCCTCTCCCTGCGTCCGGGCTGGCAACGGTACAAGATGGGCAATCATCTGCGCGGGTCATGAGTCGACCATCAACTCCGCCCAACAGACGACGCACGCGATCGCGCAAGGATTCACCCAAATCTGACAACGAAAACGAAGAATTTGTTGATGCTCTCACCAGCCCCCAGCACAAGTCCCCACGGATAATCCAGAAAAACGAGGCACACCTTGCAATGTCCAGCGAGACGAATTCGACCAATGGTGGACTTGTATCTCGGTCTTTTGATTTGAGTGAGGGCGAGGAGCGCAGCATGGCACGCTTGATTGTCGAGCTTGATTCACGGAAGTGTGACCCAGTCCCACGACCTGACAGTCTGTCGCCGGTCCAAGCGGCTAAGAGAACTACTGGTCCAGTGATGGAGTGCATCACGGTCAAAGGAGAGTCTGACGCCGAAATGAGCACTCCTCGCCGGAGTCCACGCCATGCTCAGATCACTGCACCGGTCATTCCTTCAACTCCTATGGAGATCGAAAGTCCACAAAGCTCCCTCAGACGATCTAGGAGAAAGAGGAAGCGGACGACGGAAGTTGCAGACTCGACACAAAAGAAACGGAAGCATAAACTCGCCGGACAAGACGCAGAAGTAGATGCGGGTTTGGGGAGTCAGGCCTGTAGCGACGAGTCCTCGCTAGCAGCACTTGATACTTCATTCTCTTCGGCCGCTGAGGACGGGAGTATGGAACGGGAGCCTAGTCAAGAGCTTGGGGCACCCGCAACTTCATCACCACTCGCGGTTCAGCAGGATAATGCCGACATCGAAGCTGAGTATAGCGACGCAAACAGCTCAGATATCAGCGAAAGCGAAGCTGTCAACTCTCAGCTGCTTGCCGAGGCCTCTCAAGATAGCTATGGCAGTCACTCGCAGCAGAGGCACGGTGCTGATTCAGTTGTCCTGGTCAAGCACGAACCCGGAGCAGTTGGAAATCTAGGCGAGATTGTGGACGAGCATCCAGTCAACGTGGTCAGGGAGGACACTACAGAAACCCCATGGGTTGCCGGGATTTCGGCCGAAGCAAACCCAGCTGCTAGCATCATAGCATCGCTGCGGGCTGGCCTTTCCGCTCTACAGACAGCCCAGTTGAGTCGCAAGGAAGTGTACGAGATTGAGGATATGTTTATGGACATCAAGAAGGCACTCTATGCAGCGGATGAGCGCAGTAGAAGCAGCCGGTGAAGAAGGCTTGGGCACAGAGTACAGGTGCGTGGGAGCAGACAACGTTGGCCTGTGTACATGTTTTGTTTCATTGTTTGAAAGCACCTTCATTACTGGCGCGGCGTTTTGGGCGTAGGGCACTAGTAGGCGTAGAGGCCGGCGAAAAAGAGATACAAGAATACCAAAGACGGATTGAAGGCTCTTTAACAAGGCAATGGTCAGTAAAAAGTGGGCTCACCTGACTGTGACGATACCCCGACGGGAGGTGCTCATGCAAAGATATGGCGTTTCAGATCAGCTAAAGCTGGCGGAGGTACTGCGTGCCCCGCATCAAGGCACTGGCCAGGGACCAACAACAGGAGCTCCGTGAAGCTTCCCCTCTCACCCTATCTCTTGCCAACCTCTACTCGCGAACAACAAGCCTTGCGATTGCCAGAACCAGGTCCTGACACAACGCCAGAAGAATTGCAGTCAGAGAACATACACAGCTTGCGTCTCGAGACCTGATTCGCTCCTTGTGACATTGCTGTACACGAAACAGCCGTCACCCCCACCGTGTTCCCGACCAGCAACTCTCAGCATTGCAGTCATGGTTGACCGCCCGAACAAGCCCACGGCTTTGGCCACCACACCTGGCCTCCCTCCTCAGCCGCAAGTCAACATCAGCCATGACGCTGGCCGTGTTTCAGCCTCGCTTCCCACTGGCGAGACCGTTGACATCCTCCTTTACGGCGCCACCGTCATCAGCTGGAAGGACCGGGCCGGCAACGAGAAGCTCTGGCTGAGCGAAGCGGCCAAGCTCGATGGCTCAAAAGCCATTCGAGGCGGCATTCCGATCGTATTTCCGGTAGGTTCTGAACACTCCTCGTCGGGTTAGCCGCCTTCTACATACCTAATCTCGTCATCATGACAGGTCTTCGGCCAAGCTCCCGACCACGCGGCGACCTCAAAACTCCCACAGCACGGCTTCGCCCGGACCTCACGCTGGGAACTACTGGGCAAGTCCACCTCGGAGTCGGCCGGCATGTCCGACTCGTCTGTCAAACTTGACTTTGGTCTGAGCTCGGCCAGTCTCAGTGACGATGTCAAGGCCCTCTGGCCGTACACTTTCTCCATCATCTATAGCGTCACACTCAGCCAGGAGGGTCTTGCAACCAGCATTGTAATTACCAATGATGGCGAGGAGGCATTTGAGAGCCAAGTTCTCCTCCATACATATCTCCGCATCGAGGTACGTCTCAGTTCCCCTTGACATATCACGCCTTGCCACTAAGCGCCAACGCCCTGTTACTAGGACATCACAACAGTCTCCGTCACTGGGCTTGAGGGCTCGGCATATATCGACAAGGTGGATGGTGCGAAGCTGAAGTCGCAGTCTTCCACCATCAGCATCACGCAGGAGACCGACCGCGTTTATACCCCCTCAACAGACCCTTCGCAGCCCGTCGTCATTACTTCCAACGGCGAGCAGGTTTTCAGTGTCGTGCGCGACGGACTACGCGACGTCGTCGTCTGGAACCCGTGGACTGACAAGGCCATGAGCATGCCCGACTTTGAGCCCAAGGATGGTTACAAGAATATGCTTTGCGTCGAGGCCGGCTCAGTTCGTGATTGGACCAAGCTCGAGCCCGGTGAAGCTTTTGAGGGCGGACAGACGATCTCGTATTGACTAGATGTAGCAAATCTGATAAGACTATGAGGCGTCAGAAGCCAGCACCGTAGTATTGCCTCATACCTGCTGCGGCCCATGCGGCAGCACGATGTACGCCCTGGTCGACCAGAAAAGCGAAGGCGGTCAAATAACTGCAGATGGATTTTCTCGAGCTCTAGGGGTGGTCCTAAGATAAATGTCACCGCGTAAGAATTGAATTACATTACGAGGTTATCCATGTGCTCGGGGACTTTTGGTGCGATAAACACTCTGCTCGGTCTCTGTTTATTGGCATCGTGTTCCCAGAGGACGACTGCAAAAGCGTAGAAGTCCCCCCTCCGAACGCGCCGCTGAGGCGGGGTAGTTAGTAACACGACCCCTAGCTAGAAGGAGAATATGGTGAAGAGGTATACAGAGAAACACATTAACATCACTGCCCCATAGCCACATTTCCGAGGTATCATATAAGCAACACTTCCACATTAACATGGATATAATCATTGCAGTCATAGGGTATCATATCAACGTGACCCTGGTGGTCAAACTAAATCTAGAATCTGCGAACTGAGGTCACTGCCGGATGACCAACTCCACCAAACGCCACTATCATAATTATCGTCATCATATCGCAAACGAGAACTCACAGACAGCATCGCTAGTCCTCTTAGAGACGAGCTTTGTGTCCAACCTACAAATAGCGAGGTTCTTGGGGATATCGACGCCCATGCACCCCCGTGGCAACTGCTGGACTGGAGACTCGGCTCGGTGATGCTCTGTCATTGTGGCGCCGGCGTTCACGTTCGAGCTGTGCGCGTTCGTCTGAGGACAAATTGCGCCGGCTGGAAAGGTCACGATCACCCTTGCGCCCTCGGTCTCGCGGATCCCAACCGGTGTCACGAGGAGCCCGCCTATCAATATCAGCATGGCTGCTCGTCCTTCGCTCCATACTTGGCCGCAGATACCCGTTGTCCTTGTGGGTTCTAGGCTCACGTTCGTCATGTCGCTCCCGGACCCTGTCAGCATCGCGCTTTCTCTCTCGCTCTCTTTGCCTTTCGCGATCTCTCGCGCGCTCTCGTTCTCGCTCTCTCTCCCGATCCCGTTCACGATCCCTTTCCCGGTAATCCCTATCTTTATCTCTTTCCACCGCTCTGCGTTGCCTGAGGACGGAACTAGACTCGGATCTGCTGGACGTCGACTCGTCGGAGACGCTGCGACTGCGCCTTGTGGTGGGAGAAGCCTTGCCACTGCGGGAACGGGAAGGAGCAATGACTGGAGCGGCGCGCCGATCCCGCGATGTGCTTCGAAATCGATCGGATGATCCTGGAAGGAAAGAAGCGAATTTATTGCCAATCTCGGACCTCAGACTACGCCTTCGGGAATCATCGGCCGACCGTGCCTCGGAACGGCGTGATCGCATTGGTATCACTTGCGGCGGAACCGGACCATGGGGGACCCGGCGCACGGTGACAGGCGGTGGCGCGCCGTGAGAAGGTCCGTAAGTGCGAGCCTGCGGCCCGTGGCGAGGGAGGACCATCTCATCTTCCGAATCAGAAGAAGAACTGATGTGTGGTCGAGCAGCATTTTGGTGAACTGATAGCGGAGGCCGGCGGGGAAGGCTGTGAGGCGCACCTGAAAACGCCCGGTCGCCCTCGTTCCTCGGCCCGGTGGGCGAATGCAAGTCCGAGTAACTCCGTCTTCGTGGCACATCTTCAGGAACTTGCTCGGTGGTGCGACGTTCATCAACTGACCGCCGTGAACTGTAGTCTGTCTCATTATAACGTGCTGCGTACGGCATATGTGTATAGGTGGATGCCCTCCCGCGGTTGAAGTACTCCTGTTCTGGTCGAGTTACACCGGGGCTGGGTCTGGCGCTGCTACGAACATGGGCATATGCAGAATGGATGCGCGGGTCTCGTGGTATAGGCCGTTTGGATTCCGGCTGCAAGTCTTCTTCACTGGAGTTTGCTTTTTGCCTAAGATTCCTGGCACAGTCTCGATGCCACTTGTCAATGGCCGGGTCGCATTGTGTCGGAAAGACATTGGCTGGTAGGTTTGGCGGGAATGGTTCTCCAGTGTAAGGATGTTTGAGATTCCAATGACGGACAGCGAACTGCAGGAAAGGAACGTGCTCTTCCGGGCCAAGAAGAATCTGGAGGGATTCCCATCGCACAAAGCCTCGAATAGTAAGAGCTGGTATTGATGGCGGCGAGAAGTCTTCGGGTTGGGCCAGGATATGTTGCACGCCAAGCGCCTGCCAAATATATGAGATTGACTTGTCCGGTGCATTCACAAAAAGCGAGTCATAATCGCCGCCCACAGCATGATAGAAGGCTGCAAGCTTTTTTGGCCGCAGATCAGTGATATCCTTGCCGCCTATGTTGTCAATCTGCAACGATGAATTCGATGTCAATACCTGGGCCTGAGAGAGCCAAGCGCGCACAGCTCAATGTGGCGAGGTGTATCATGGGAAAGACTCACGATGTACTTGGCGATGGCCTCCAGGAGGGCAATTAATTGCGGTGTAGGAGTCTTCTCTGGTTCGAACATGTAGGTGTACGCGAGCTCATTCTGGCCGGAGTGAGGCGCCGTACTTGGCCTTTGCGACTGCTGCTGCTGCTGTTGTTGCTGTTGTTGTTGCTGTTGTTGTTTTTGTGGGAAAGCATGTTGTGCTGGCTGTTCTGCATCCGAGGGCATGGTGCTGCTCCCATTGGGTGTTGAAGTCTCTCCTCCGGTGTGTACCGAGGCACCGCTGCCCGGTGCGTCTGTAGTTGCCATGTTGCGCTGAAATGTGCCAGTGCAGATGGGCGTAGGTCGCGGGCCTTGAAAGGCTTCCGAAGCAGCTCACAAAAGCCAACCTAGGGAGTCCTCCCCGAACAACATGAATAAGGCCACCCAGAGAAACAATCGGCGAAGGCAAATGACATGCTCGTGGGCGGCATTGACTGTTGCGTACTGGCAATCACGGCCGTATATGCATGTCAAGCACATGCAGCGACGAGTGTTGCTGGTTTCCTTGGAAATGCGTTGCACTGGGTGACGACGGCCGAGCGGGCTCAGGTTGCGCAAATCGGATATGTGTGATGTCCAACGTAGCACACGACGCGATGCCGGGGCAGCAGTTCTTATGGCGGGGATGGTTTGGAAAGGCAGTCGTTGGCGCCAAGCGTTGCGACGAAAGTATCGTCACTGCTGGCGACGTAGAGGGTTTGGAAGAGGATGAAGAAGGCTCCGCGCAAGTCGAAGGCATTCGAGATTCCACAGGTAGACCGACTGGATTTGGGATGTGCTGCGCCGCGATAGTGATGTGGACGATCAAGGCCCGTGGGCAATGGGCTGACTTGAGGAGTGGAGGGCAGACAGGCGATGGCGGGGCGCAGGCAGCAAGCACCCAGGCATCGATGTCATCGGTGCCAGAGGGTTGCGCCTTGCCAAGGATATGCCCGCAGGGTTGGGCACCGGTGTGTGCCTGCCTCCCGCCTCCCGGTTACTGTGATTTTGATTACTCTGGCGCCCTGGCAAATCCATGAATGGCTGGGGAGCGTCGTGTCCATCACAAGCATGCATTTGCAGAACCGCGTCAACAAAACTACATCCCCATTCGGGCTATCTGGAAAGAACAATCACTGCCTCGGCCGGGACCGTGCCAGTCCACAAATAGCCCGCATCCCCGAGTCCGCTCAGCGGCCCAGCCATCGCCGGGCGCCCCTGCCCCCCATTCGTCCAGCGCTCAGCAAGATACTGTAATGGGGTTTTGCGACTCGACGCTCCAGTGTTACTCAGAAAGCACCCAACCCAAAACGCTTACTCATGCCTGCGTCCACCCTTGTCCCGAGCACTTGACCAGCTTCAAGTCAGACACTCCTTGTTGGCCGAGTGGCCACGAACCCGACGACCGCCACCTCGGCGCCTTCCTTGCCTGGCCTGACGTCCGGCTCGTTGAACTCGACCGTCTTGCGGAATCCGCACTTCTCCAAGACGCGTTGGCTCGGCACGTTGTATGCCTCGATCATGGCAACCACCCGATCCGCACCCACCACCCTCGTGCCGTCGGCGCCAGCCGGCACGTCGTCCACCGTGCTGATCGGCACTTCCAGCTCAACTTCTGATCGTGGCAGCTCCCACCACGATGTCAGCCAGGCTTGTAGGAACTCTGTCGCATAGCCTTTCCCCCAATGCTCCTTCTTGAACATGTATCCGACCTCGGGCCACCCCATCAGACTGCTGAACATGAAGAATCCACCACAGCCCACCATTTCACCCGTGGCGGCCTCGTACACCACCCAGTTGTGCGTTGTTGCATCGTTGGGCGGCAAGACCGGATTGATGCGCTCTTGTGTCTCGGCGAGATCCTTGTCCGGCACGCCTCGGCGGGTGAAGACCATGACCTCGGGCTGTATGCGTAGTGAATGCATATCCTCCAGGACATCTTGCGTGAATGGTCGTAGTATTAGGCGCTCCGTGCGAATCTCGCTGCGGCCTTCCGACACCAGAGGGTACGGAACCGTTGGCAGCTGTGCGCGGACCTTGACATTGTCCATGGTGTTGTGACTAGTCGCTTTGTCCTAACCAATTGAGGACTCTCTGGTCGTGTTTTTGTCAGATAAAAGTTCACGTGCTCGAAAGGTCACAAATGTGACTCGTGTCGCAAGGTTTTGTCGTTGACTGACCACCCGAAGACATATATCTACCTGGAGCTCGGCTTGTCGGTGGGCTTGCGCATCAAGCCGAAGCCGAGCAGCCCTCCGGCATGCGTGGGGCAGGAGACGGCCGTGAGCGACGATAAGCAAGAGGCTGGTCTGCCACGGTTGACTCGTCAAGACGCAGTTCCCCCACGTGGGCAGTGCGAGTTACGGCTTAAGGATCTAGCACGAGCCGGCCCTGTTCAAGCACTAGCTTCACAAATTTGACACCGCCATACGAAGCACTGACTTATGAGCCGACGGCAACTGCAAAGTACTTTGGAAAAGTTGAATCACAGGCGAACACCGACTGACTAGGTGTATCGTAGACACATTGCAAAGGGAGCTCCTATGTGCACAAAGCAAGTAGCTCGATGATGAACGATTAAGGCATGAGTGTGCGAGCACGTGGACGGGAATCTCTGTTTGTCACAATAAGTTCTTTTTGATTCCAAATACAAAAACGCCGTCATGTCACATGCTGATTTGTTGGGTATGAAAAGCTCTGGACTCATAGTCATCACGCGGCCGAGTGACTGCGTCCTTCTGTGACATAAACACCCATCTTTTGAACACCGTTATTCCTCTGTGAACACCGAGTAAACCTTGGGCAATGCCCCAATTCAACACCGAATAGCCGCCAGCACTGCCCAATGAGTCTGACCAACTTAAGCAAAGGTAGAAGGGCGGGTGGCACTGAACACCTTGCTGTTGGGGATCTTGGGGACGCGGTGGGGCATGGGGAAGGACAGGTTCTTGGTGATCATCTGCTTGATGTAGGGGCGTCTGACATCCTCGGTCTTCTCGATCTCAACAACGCGGAGGATCTACCACAATTGTTAGCATCTGCGGGAGAGCATGCATCTGTGATACAACATACGTGGATCGACCGGAAGCGGGCACGGTGGCGGGCGGCCATGTCAGAGTAGAGAGCCTCGACGGCATCAGTGCGGGAGGTCTCACGGTACTCCTTGTACATGTTGTGGGTGCCGGAGCGCGAGTCGTAACGGATCCAGATGCCGAAGTTCTTGACCTTGAGAGGGTGCTTCTCGAGGATCTGCCGAAGCGGAGAGTTAGGGATCAGGTTCGTGACCAGTAACAGGGCCGTGTTGCACAAACCTGGGTGAGGTTGACGATCTCGCCGTTGGCCTTCTTGACCTTCTTGAGCTTCATCAAGAAGTACCAGAAGCGGGACTTGGCAACGACCTCATTGGGAGCGAAGATGCGCATGCGATACAACTTCGGGGTGGGGTTGGCCTCGGAAGGCAGGTGGCGGCCAATGACCTGGTACTCGTTGAGACGACCTGAGAGAACGCCATCAAAGTCAGCACGATTTGTTCCAGCTGCCGGCTACAGCTATGGCATCTTTGTCTCGGGCGACGATCGACGATATCAGGTGTTCGCTTGCGCTTTCATTCAGAGGAAGAATTTGACGCTTGTCGGTCGGCTTGGCAGATTGCGAGACTTATCGTCCGAATCGTCAAACATTGTGTTCTAGTCGCGCAACCGCCGTGCAGCCGCCGATCTGGCAGTGCGACCGGTTTGCGTAAACATGAATGGAGAACTTGTTTGCTGCAATCGCTCGCACCGACCGGCGCGTCTCTCCCCTTTCCACGAATGTTGCGCGTCAAATCCGTTCAAGTCGTCGATTCGAGCCCGAGATGGATGCCGATGCAGGATGCTAACTTACCCATCTGTAGGCGAACTGTTAGAATAATGCGTCTAAAACACTAGGTAGCGATGGTGACTTACTGTGACGGCTGTACTAGTTAGTAGATTCGTTGTGCGTGGTGGTGAGAGGGAATGTCTGGGGCCGGCGATCCAGGCAAAATGTCCAACGGGGGATTTGACACCTCGAAAAAAATCTTGTGGGTTTGTGCGGGCTGACTAGCGATTTTGGAGCAGATAGGTGGGCCCAGCAAAGTATCTGTGTGGCTGGCAGGCCTTTTGTCGTGGCTGATGGCCGCTCCAGCCACAGTGCTTTGTGAGCCGGGCGAGGTGTGTTCCACAGCCAATGAGACAGCCTGCAGCAGCTTGTTTGGCGTCTACCAGCTCCACAACGATTGCCTTCGGCATTTGCAAAGTTCCACCAAGACGGCCATTGTCACCAACGCCTCGGAAACTAACATGTGATGAAGGGAGTAGTCTTCGTGGCCGGCAATCAACAGACCAGCCAGAACCTATCGGTCATAGAATCGCGTTTAAGCGCATTACATATTCATCGTCACAAGTATTTGAGTCGAGTCTGAATCGTGAGGCCCAGCAGTCGCAAAACCATGGATAAACTCATCAAGGAATTCCGAGTTGCTTACTCGTCCATGAAAGGCGACCAGGTCGCAGAAACATTACACCCCAATGTTCAACAGTACGGCGACAGACTGAAAGATGTATGGGGCCGGGGGAATGTCCGAGATGCTCAGGCTGACCTCGATTTTCTCTTCCGCCAAGACAAATCACGGCCGAGGATGTCAAAAGAGGAAGCCAATGGCTGGTACGAGATATTTCTCTCTTACTGGAAAGCCGTCGGCGAGATTCTCGCGGTTGAAGGGCTCCGAGGTGGTGCTAAGGTGCGTAGCCGCCCAGTTATCACGCACGGGAAGCCAGCTGCAAAAACGAGTTCGCTGCTGACTTGGTGCCAATAGTCTTCCTGGACGCAAGTATACGAGAAGTGGAAGGATTTCACCTTACTGGTCGTGCGTGGATACACACATCACGACTTTGAGAATTGGACGATCCCCTGCCTCTACGTTGCAGGGCGATATCTCCGTTTGTACGCCATCCGGGCGGATGAGGAAAGACGACGATCTGGAGACGACACGGAGATGAACTTCTCTGACGACATAGAACCCGAGTCAGAAAACAACCGCTATCTCGTTGAGTGTTCAAGACACTTGAACAGAATATTCCAAATTTGTCTGAGTGACAGGTAAGCGCGCACCCATGAATCATTCAGAAGACATGAAATAGATGCTTCGAACAAAGCTAACCAGATATTCAGGGCTCCCCTCGAAGAATCCCGCAAATGGGGCATATACTATGCCATCAATCTTCTCTTCAAAACATTCTTCAAGCTGAATAATGCTTCCCTATGCAAAGGTGTGCTCAAAGCTCTCTCTGCCACCAGCAAGGACATGCCATCGATCGATCGATTCCCCAAATCGCAACATGTCACCTTCAAGTACTATGAGGGTGTCCTAGCATTTCTTGAAGAGGATTATGTCAAGGTAAGTCTACTTGCACCCTGCGAGCACCTTGTTGTCGCCGTGATTGCTGAAGTCTACCTTGTAGGCAGAGGAATACTTGACACAGGCATGGCAGCTGTGCCACAAGGATGCGACTTCAAACCTTGAGTAAGTCACAAAATTGAAATTGGTCAAGGCCTGGCTCACATCTGACTGGCCGCTCTTACTAGACTGATTTTAAGCTATCTCGTACCTTGTCACCTTCTGACGACACACACGCTGCCCAATGCAAAGCTTCTGGCTCCATACCCCAAACTCCAGAAACTCTTCCTGCCTCTTGCTGATGCGATCAAGAAGGCCGATCTCCATGCCTTTGATGTGGCGCTACGGGACGGGGAAGACGAGTTCATCAGACGACGCATCTACCTTACACTAGAACGTGGTCGTGGCATTGCTCTGCGCAACCTGGCGCGGAAGGTCTTCGTGGCTGGCGGGTTTGAAGACGCGAAAGATGGAGCTGTGCCTGTGAGACGCACCCGCATTCCTGTTGCTGAGTTTACTGCCGCGATCAACTTGAGCAGCCAACGCAAGACCGATTCAGACGAGGTTGAGTGCTTGTTGGCCAACATGATCTACAAGGTAAGTCTATGGTTGCAGTGGTCATTCTCAAGCCACCGTGCTTGTCGGGTGTCGTGAATACCCTGACGTCCATCTAGCAGAGCTTTTCTTTCTTTCGTTTTTGCTAACTGATGAACCTCCAGAATTTGATGAAAGGCTACATAGCCCATGAACGTGGTATCGTCGTGCTGAGCAAGAACGGTGCGTTCCCGGGAACGGGGGTATAGTGGCTCTAAGACAGTCCGACTCCTGCAAGCAATCGTAATCCCCTTGAAGACTCCCAGCAGCTCAGCAGCGACAGAGAAGGGATGCTCGATCAAGCCCGCCACAGAAGAATCCACTGTCCAGATAGATCTCGAGAGAGTTATCCAAGACACTGCTGGTGGACGTTCGTACCATATGAGTGTACTAATGTGGTTACTCATGATGTCTGTACTCGGGCTGTGTCATATCCAGGTCAGCCCAATGACAACCCACAATGGCTGCAGAGCAATATCCTATCAATGGTAACGTCAAAGACAGCCTCACTAGTATCTAGTCCTTCGTTTTCAGTGAGTTGAGACACGCGTAGAGAGTTGGCGAATAGAACCGAATGCGGCCACACACCACAGCTGTGGTCTTGTTGTATGCTTTTGTCAATGGCTGAAATAAGTGAGATCCATGTCAATAAAGACCACCCCTTCCCCCTCCCTATGGCTGCTCAATACAACTATCCTTTCCTCGTGGTCTAGAAATGAAGCGCGAGGCTTACCAGCACACATTCACGTCTAAGGGCTTGCTTAATGCGGGCGATCGTGAACGAGCCCCTACCCGTTGTGCCACGTTTTAATCACGACCGTGTGGATGGTCCGCCACAAAGTTTCTCTTCGGCCGCCGTGACTGCGGATACGGTAGTCGGGTTTCTTGAAGCCCAAAAACGCGTTGCGCGTTGATTGACGAACGAGGCACGGGCGAAAGTGCTACAAGGTCACTTGTCGATACACGGCAGCATGTGACCGGTCAACTTTTATGTACTCCAGCTTTGAGCCTACAACGCGCTGTCACGGGGTTATAATTCACTTCCCCTGCACTAATTTAGGGATGCTGAAACAGGTTGCGGCTGGTCGATTTCGCCCTGCACTGCGAAGCAGAATCCTGCAGAGATGAGGATTTTATCCCACAATCCTACCATAGCCTCCCGCCATATCCCCACGGGACTTTGCTTGTGATTGTTGGAACAGCCGCTCAGTATCTCGATTGGCAGGGAGAACAATGGGCTCGCAGCTTCAAGCAATAGGCACCTTGGGAATTTGCGCTGAAGCAGGTGCGTGCCCTTGTCACAGCGTGGCTGCAAGCACTCTTCCCGAACTGAGCTCGGTCCCACCAGACTGTGAGACCTGTGAGACCCGCATCTGCAAGCACTTTAGCAAGTCTGGGAAGTAGCGGGCCAGGGGCTTAGATTATTTCCTATTTTGGGAGTGCCTGCATCTCCGTGCCATGCTCGATCGCCACGGACCACTGCGCCTGCCGTGAGGATTGACCTTTGTTCCTTTACTGGTCCGTGCCGCTGTGAATTTGGTGCCCATCTGGAATAGAAGCATCAAACTATCAATGCTTCCCACGCCAGGTCCCGTCCCATCCAATACCGAGAACAGACGCCTCAATGAAAGCGCTGCTCCATGATTCTGGGTCACTTCCCTTTCTCGCCGCATCCATCTCCAGAGGTGTCCGTGATACGCTCATATTGAGCACGATGCCGACCGGAAATGCTCCTCGTGGGCAGGTGGGCCAGAGGCCCCGCACCCACGCCACGGTTGCCGTGAATGATGGTGGTCGCCAGAACGAGGCAGTACCGCGTGAACTTCTGTCCGGCCTCTCTGCCGATCGTACTTTCAGTACCCTGGTGGTGCATGCCCTACAAAGTGGTGCTCAGATGAGACGAAAGTTTGTTTTTCGTCCTAAATGTGCCACCACTCCTAGCATGGCGGCCCTACCCCTACCTTGGCTGTGCCATGGCGCCTCTTGTGTGAACGGGGCCGGAGCAGCACCATATCTTTTATCTGTTGCAGCAGTGACAAAAATTCACGGCCACTCGGCTGGGCTAGATCCAGTGATCGCAAGCTGCATTGACGACCCACCAGACTTTTCTGCGAGGCGTGAACCGTTTCTGCTTGGGCCCTTGAATCAAGAGGACCCAACAACGGACCATGCAATGCGCCATGGTCCTGCTAATTGAGTTGATTGTTCAGTGCTACACATGTTTTCTTGATCCGTAGTAACTGAAGTTTTAATTATACTAAACGCTGAATTTCCACAGAAGAACCTAGCTCTTGTGGTGTCCTGCTGATCGCAAATTTCCTGCCAAGAAAGCTGACAATAACTCAACTGGATATTTGTACATTGGGAATCATAATTACAGAATAAACAGAGAGAGAGGAGCACGGACTAAGGCGTGCCAGAGAACGCCACGAACGCCACAGTGTTGATGCAGTCTCGATGGAAATGAACATAGTCCAGACCGGCGGGCTTCATCCAAGGATTACAGACGAGTGAGAGAGACGTTGATCATGATGTCAGAAGACCGGGGTCAGTCCTCTCAAAGGAAGAGTGAAATTGGTTACGCAAAGTGGAAATCAGAAAAAATGGCGGTTACTACGAGGCGTGCTTCTGAGCAGAGAGGTTAGTACACCAAAGGTGGCAAGGAGAGCGAAAATAACTTACTGTGCGCTGACATCGTCCAGATGGTTGCACATGGCTACAAAAACGTCAAAGAAAAGTTGGGTGCCGCCGTTGTACATCTCGAGCTGCATTGTGCCACTTCGCTTGAAGGTCGACCTGCTTCGGATGATCAAAGCGAGATAGTGGGCGCGCAGTTTCGAGTCGGTGTCCGGGGTGTTGGCATAAGCATAGCGAGCAGAAGCCAAGATGGTGCTGCACTGAATGCCGGATTCTGTGAGTGGTGTTACGGTTAGCAGCTGTTGCAACGTATTAGTGAGTAGTGGGCATCACTAACGAAGTCCTTGTTTACGCAGCGACACTTTCTTCAACTCCTCAAGCCCGTATCGCTCAGCGGCACAATAGATGACAGTATCTTTCAGGATGTCACCGTCGACTGCGTGATGGTAGATGGTGCTTTCAGTTGCGCTGCGGCTCTCGTCATCAGGCTGTTCGATCTCCCACGAATTCCGCTTCTTGTTGTGAACAAGTTTCGGATAATAGTCGCCCTTGTAGAGGTACTCGAGAACGGATGAAAAGATCTCTGGCTCGTCGTCCGGAAGGTAGATCCGCTTGCTGCTCTGCGGATCCATGAACTGGTCGGATAAGGCACGCTGAAACCAAGGGGAGGCGTTGAGAACGTCTTGGTGTGCGGCGAATATCCTCTGCTCTTTTCCAACGATGAGAGTGATGATCGATGGGGTCAGAGAGCTGTGATAATTGGGAATTAGCAAAAGAGGCGTTGGGCATATGCAAGGTAATCAGATGAGCTCGTACCCAGTTGGCGACATGCTCACATCGTGCGTTTGTGATGTTGATGCAGTCGTGGGGCGCCGACGCGACTCGTGTCGATTCTTTGTTACTCCACTTGTCTTGCTAAATGATGTGCTAGACTTGGTGACCTTGTGGCCCTTTGAGAAACTCTGCTTGGAACTCGTGGGGGGCTCGAAGCGGCGGCTGAACATTTTGGCGTTGTGGTTGCAGCAGCTGATGATGCTTAGAAATTCGGAAAGGATGATAGGTACGATTTTTGCGTGCCGTGATGATTTTCGGAAGCGGGTGGAAGCTTTGTGGATCGGGGTTGGCGTGACTGTATTGCAAATTGCTGAACAGGTGTGGTGGAAGCGCAAAATTGCAAAAGCTGATGGTGGGAAATGAACGAGGTCGAAATCCAATGGTACGAGATGATGTTTCTCGATGCCTACCTATCGTGCAGAGACCTTGGTGATGGCGATGGAAGGAGGACAGCGAATTGAAAGAAAGAAGGCTGGGAACAGGCAACCTTTATAGCAGCCACCACAGCAGCTCTCATGCAAAGGCTGTGAACGGGGCGGGCACCGAGCGGAGAGCCTGCAGCGGGCGATAGAGTGGTTGCATGCAGGCGACGCCATGCCTGGAACAGGCGGCCGAGCGCCCAGCCGAGGGAGCAGGCAGCGTACAGTATGGGAGCCTGTGGCCAAAAGGGGACAGAAAGTGAAGCTGTGGGTCCGTCGCGCTGTATGATTGCCTGACGCGCCGCGGAGCAACCCGATATTGACACGAAGTCACATGAGCTGCGGCTGCCCATTAAGCCTGCGGGTGGAGCCTGTGGTGGCCGACGGGGGTGAGCCGTGCTGCACGCCAAGCACGCTTGCAAGGGATGGGGCCATGCAGCCCTGTCGCTCCTGCACCCCCAAAAGAAAGCAACGAGTCTCGACGTTCCACCCCCCAAAGTCAAGTCTCGCAAAGCCTGTGAGCAGTCATCAATTGACCCGGCCTGCGGGGCACTGCAGCTTGGACTCGTCACCCAGCGCCATACATTTAGGTAAGTAGTCGCCCAGGGATTTCTGTGAAATATCACATAGCTCGCGGAATGTCCCTGGTAACCCGTCGATGGGCGCTGCCATTACTTCTTTGACGAACAAGTCTTTCACGCTTGACACTTTCTCCGCGTAGCCCGGCGGTGGTCCCGGCACTGAGGCACTGCATGTGCGCTCCACTCCCTCAACAGGGTTCGAGTCATCGTGCGCAAACGTGCTGGGCTAGCGTCAGGGGCTGATCCCGGCTGCCCGGGACTGCTCCCCCCCTTCCAGCACAGTCTGTGTGTGAACAGTTCACCCTGCCGAGCCCTGCTTGCTCCCAGACGGTGGTGACTGAAGCAGGGGATTGACAGTGGCAAAGACAGCGCAGGTCCAAGCTCTCCCACGACCTCCTTGGCTGCCTCTTACAGGTTCTCATGTCCCAGGCAGCTATGATGCATGGACCTGCGTTTTGGCCGATGATTGCTGCTCATCGGGTCGCTTTCCAAGGCAGATACACACGAGCTACACTCTTCGAGGATGTCTCATCTCGCTTGAAACCAGTCACTAGGGTGTCCCCGTCGCAACATACGCAAGTGCTGCAGAGCGTCTGTGTGAAGTCAAGGGCCCGTACCAAGACCCAGCGTGAATCAACAATCCCACCCTGCTTGACAAGGCTCATCAATCACCCAAGCAAGAAAGAACACTCAGCAAACTGACAGCTTTTCTCCAGCCGGCTGACCACGTACATATAAGCTAGTTTCGACGTGTACGAACTGGGAGCAGATTGCCGCATTACAGTCTGGTATTGCTTGCCAGCCGCCTTCCGCCCGCAGTGCGATGATGCCAATTTTACATGCAGGTCGTCCCAAGTGTGCAAAACTTGAGCTGCATCGCCCCAGGGTTTCTCTTTCACGTTGTCATTGCTCATTGCTGTGTAGGTCCGACGTCTTCCACAGCAAGCGATCGGGCCAATTCAAGTGTGCCAGCATTGACAAGTCTATGGCTCCTTGCGGAATCGTGGGTGGTGCAAAAGCGACTTTCACGGGGCCGCCTCGTTTTCTATTTACAGCTCGGCCTTCGAAAGATGCCCCATTCCGAATTGCAGCCATGTAATCCCCGTGAGCAATCGTCGCCCAAATGCGCCTCAGCAATAGTGGGTGTGTAGAGCAGGTGTGGCGGCTGTTGCATCGTGGGATGAGCTCTCGTTTGCCCAAAAGGTGCATGCATCACACATGAACACAATGCAGGCTGAAGTGAATGCGATATCCGGGGCAACCAGAGAGGGGTGCCTGCTCCTGCTTTGTGGACCAATGCGCTTCATAGCCCTTTCAAGATCGCAGGACGCAAGCCCAGAACAAACAATCCGCCCAAGTAGCACCTTTGTCCTCGTATCCGTACTGTCAGGTCAAAAGTCGTAAAATCAGGTTCTCCTACCCGACAGCGACTCTTCTCACTATCTCCAAACCAAGGTCCAGACGCTCAATGACAGTGGCGACTGTGGTACTTCTTCAGCCTGGTACAACTGTTCTCGCGCCAGGGTGAGTTTGCGCGGACGACTTCCCGGAACTTCGACGACTACGACCAGAGCAGCGTTGTGCGTGGCTGTCGGTTACTAGTCCGACCCTAGAACGAAAGTCATCACAAGGACCTCACCATCGCAACAAGCCGCGGCGATGGTGCGAATAAAAAAGTCTCTGACGCCCGCACTGGTCCCAGCGGCCAGGGACCAGAACGAGTCCCCTACCAAGAAATCCCTGCTCAGCCGCTCCCCAGCTGAGTGGAAGTAAGTAAAATCCTCAACAAGGCGTTCGTCACGACGTTGTGCATTGAGCATAGCATCAGTTGCTAGAGCGGACGGTCCTGTGTCTAGCAGTGGCACTTTGTGCACAGGTGAGCTGACTTTGGGAACAACAACAGAGCCAACGTCAAAGACCAGCTGGAAGGGGGTAGCCATCATGAAAAACTTACGAAGCGCAAGAGCAGGAGCAAGAAGTCGGATGGCACTGGCCGTCCAGTCATAGGAGATCTAAGAACGGCTCGACCTTCACGTTCCAACGCCATCAAAGCCCAGTCGGTCGCCAATCAGATCATAGTAGCAGCAGAGACAAATGCAGAAGCCGCAGCAGGTCCAACCCAGGCATACCAAGCATTGCATGGCCCTCCTTTGCCACGAGAGACCACAAAGACTGGACTTCATCAAGGCAGTACAGCATCTCCGAAATTCGACGGCCAGAAAGCCTTTGATGGTTCACAAAGTAATGATGAGCTGCCACTGAAGAACAACAAGAGAACGTCGAGAAAATCCGGGCCCCAGTCAGACGAGAGTGGCCACAAGCGAAGGAAATCCGATCGCGGGTCCGTGATAGTTCCCCACAAACAGGTCGATGCTTCTCGATGGCCAAAGCGAAACAAGGAAAGAGACCACATTCCGACAAGCTCACAACGGAGCTCGCGAGTGGCAGCAGAGAATGCTACCAAGATAATTACCAAACAAACCGTAAGCCCACAATGATGACATAATGTATACAATTCGTTTTACTGACGCAATACACTAGGCAAAGAGACCTAGGCGTGCGAATAGACTTGAAGTGAGCCTCAAGCGTGCTCCAAGGACGCAGGCGCCAGCAATAAAGAAGGAAAACACGCCTGGGGCGATGGAGAAGACCAGGACAAGAGCGACATCCAGGAGAACACAGTCTGCGGAGGGCACTGCGGAGTTTGAGGTTGAAAAGATCGTCAACTCCCGTCTGCACAAGGCTACAGGCACAGTCGAGTACTTGGTGAAATGGAAGGGCTACAAGCGAGCCGACAACACCTGGGAGCCTAAGGATCACCTGGACTCTTGCGGTCGGCTTCTGTCGGAGTACTACAAGACTTTGAAGTCGAGGTGACTGCTGAGAGACGTATGGGATCACTCAATATGACAAGGAAGAAAATGGATGTCAGGAGCATTACATTGGGCAGCGAGAAAGGCTGACAAGCAAAGGAAATAAAAGAAATCTGGAAAATTGGACAACAGAGATAACCTGCCAGCCCATCAGGTCTGAAAACCTGCAAAATCAGCAGCCCCATGCCACACCGACGGCAACCATTGAACATTCCCATGGGAACATTGCCTGCTCTGCCCATTAATTATAAACAACTCTGGCGGATATATTGCCGCGAGCCAGGAAGTGTCCTTTTTTCATGAAGAAGAGAAAAAAAAGGGGCTTCAAGCACTTCACCCAAGACACAGACAGTACTGACGTTGCCAGTGGCCGATGCAAAAATATAACGTACAACACCGGGGATTCGCTGGTCGTCACCGACCCAACTACTGATCCGGCGGTATCGAGCTTATGTACAAGGGAGCGGACGGGACCCTCAGTTTTCTCGATCCTATGGTCGTACGTGGAAGAGTCTGTGCTTGAAAAGATACTAGTAGTATGGTCAGATTGCTAAGTGGGCACGAACACTCTCCCCACTAGCCCACAATGAGAGATCATGTAACGAGGCCGGCACTAGTCTGGTGTGCTGCTAAATCATCGATGTATTCCCGTGTCTCTATTGTCGGCAAAGTCAAGAAATGGGATGGATTCACTAAAATGACGGAGCTTTCATTACGAAGTGTTCTGGAAAACCCCAATGGACCAGGGGTCCAGCCGGCAAAGTGGAGACAGGCCTGCAGCTCGCTTGGGTTAGGTCGGCTTAGATTAGGTCATTTGCGACCGGGGCTTGACACGTTGCGACAAGCTCCTGTCCGTCTTATTTTGCCAAGTCACAATCAGCAACGCGACATCGAGCTTGCGAGTCGACTCAAACGGCCAAGTCTTCTCAAACAGTCGACCTCTTCACCCATCTTCGATCACCTGTCAATCACGTGTTTCTGCCGCAATGGAAGCCCTACGAAGCGCGCTGCAGCCGTTGCGGCCCATCACGGCAAACCTTCCTGGGCCCATCCACGATGTGGGCGTCTCGCTCCTCGGCGACGTCTGCTACAAGACCCTCATTCTCCAGCTCGACCCGACCGATTCCGATTGCCTCAAACTAGCTATTTCCAAAGGCCTCGGAATTGGCATCATCGGCGCCTCGTCCATCGTCAAGGTGCCCCAGATTCTCAAGCTTGTAAACTCCAAGTCTTCGGCTGGCATTAGCTTCCTGGCCTACGTCCTCGAAACATCCTCGTACCTCATTTCACTGGCGTACAACGTCCGCAACGGCTTCCCGTTTAGCACCTTCGGCGAGACGGCCTTGATCCTCGGTCAGAATGTCATTATCACCGTTCTCGTCCTCAACTACAGCGGTCGCGCAAGCGTCGCGGCGCTGTTCGTCGCGGCGCTGGCTGTTAGTGCGGCTACTCTGTTCAGCAACAGTATTCTCGATATGAAGACTCTCGGATACCTGCAGGCAGGTGCTGGTGTCCTTGGTGTTGCCAGCAAGGTCCCTCAGATTGCCGCCATTGCGCAGCAAGGCGGCACTGGCCAGCTCAGCGCATTCACGGTAAGCACTACCCTAGTCATACATTGCTTACTATGGTGCCGGCTTGGACGCTTGCTCGTTGGCCGTGATGCTGCCATCTCTTCCAGTTGGGCGTCATGTGTAGGCGCCCACTTGGCTTCTGCGTATCGCGACTTCATGTGCTATTTGTGGGTTATCAGAACGACGACTGACACATCTCCAACAGGTATTCAACTACCTCGCCGGCTCGCTTTCACGCATATTCACGACGCTGCAGGAAGTCGACGACAAGCTCATCCTGTACGGCTTCATTGCGGGCTTCGCGCTCAACCTTGTTCTTGCCGCGCAGATGGTGTATTACTGGAATGCACCCTCGCCCAAGGCTCGTGGGAAGATGCGGGAGGCTCCCATTGCCGCCTCGCCTTCATCGGCCTCGGCCACAGGCTCATCGACGGCTGCTCTAGGCACACCCAAGAGCAAGGGCCCGACGACCCGACGACGGGGCTAAAGATAATACCTTGACGATTGTCGTCGGACAGCTATGGATGCCGGAACAAGAATGGGCAGCCATAGAAACGGCTTGTGATAAGCGCCACGAATGGTATCTCAGCAAAATATACAAATGATGGTGAACGAATTCTCAAGTCATGTCTAGATGTCTTTTGGTGTGTGACACTTCTGTGCAGGCAAGGAGGCAGCGTCGGATGCGACTTTCAAGATCCACGGAAGTATCAATGACATCATGCTACGTTCTCGGCTCGGCTTCATTGTAGCTGGAGCTTCGTAATATATGCGTTGTGCCTGCGCACAATTGTGGGGATGGCAATTGTGTCATTGTAGGATCATATGTCGAGCTGGACTAATTGGTCGATCTCGAGTCAGCTGCAGTTAAGAGAGGCTCGCACGCACTGTGGAAGCTGGTGTTTTCCGGACGTCAGTAGGAATGCGATCGTCAGGCTTATGCGAGGGGACCATCCGCAGCGGGAGGTGCCATTATGCAGGACGCACCATTGCAGACGGAGGATCCGGAGAGATGGCGCAAGCGCAGAGGGAGGTGTCGCCATTGCATCGAGCAAGGTGTTTGCGGGCTGCCGTTGGTTGGCGGGCAGGCCGTGCCCCACTCGGGCGATCCAAGACGCCCACGCTCGAGTGCCTCCCGCTCCCCATCGCGGCGCACCTGTCGCGGACGATCCGTGAAGTCTGCTGGCTCGCTGCAGGACTAAGGGCGGAAAATGAATACCACCAGGCAGCACACGCTGTCACGTCGTCATTGGGCCCTCATGACATGCCCCTGGAGCCGTTCGATGCCCGCCTTTGCTTGCGGGCAATGCCCATTTTTTATAACCTTACCCCCAGACTTCCAGCTCGGAGGCATCCTTTTGTGTGGATCGTCGAAACGGATGTTGGGGCAGATCGGCGGATCGGGACTTTGTTACTGTACTGCACCGTCTGTCGCTGCTGCCAAGGTTCTGTCTCACCTTGGCTTCTCTTGTACTCCTTACGTTTTTCTTTCCACGCCTACAGTCTCGGCTGAGGCACCTGCTCACCGCCTCGTCGCTCTTATCAAGCCTATGCCGGCGGAGGATCTTCAGGCTTCGTGTGCCACAGGTGCCCAGCCAGGAGCAGAACCAGAAGCCAAGCCCACGCCTGTCAACCTTTGCAAAGGGTTTATCTTGCTGGCCCTATTGGACCCCACAGGGCCCTGAATCCCAAGGTCGCATGCTCGGCAGGGGTTCCCCCCAATCAGGAGCCCCATGGAGCATGAGGAGCACGAATAGCCGGCCCCGACTGCCAGCAAGGGATCCCAAGAGGGCAAGCGCAGAGCTGCCGTTCGGTGGTTCTGGAATGGCAGGAGGCGGGGCTCTCTTGATGGTGCGTGGGGTCTCGCAGATGGCAATCAAACGAGATCTCGGTGCGAGCCAGAGTCGGCCGTCACAAGCGCGCATCGAGGCAACCAACTAGCGGTGTCGTGGAGCCTCCCCCGATTTCGCCATTGACAGCCGTACGCACGCGAGCACTTGTCCGATGCCCCTTTTCGTCTAGGCCAGGCCGTTGCGCGTCTGACGTGTGTACTGTGCCAGAGGGCAGTAGTCATTCTGCTGTCAAGAAGGTCTCATGGGCTGGGAATTCAACTTCCGCCGTTCTCTGCCAAGTGCTGCTAAACCCCCAGCCTGCCTGTCAAGCATCCGACTGGCCCGTAAGCATCCTCCGATGCCTTACTCCGGCCCAGTGTGGGCTTCTTCACGTGAACGCACCGTTGCGAGCACGGCCAAAGTCATGCCTGCGCCGACCTCGCCGTCGCTGTCTGTGTCCACAGCAGCCTAAGCACCCAGCACGCCATTGACCCTTGTCTCTCGTGGTTCACATGTATATCCGTTGACCGCCCGCCCCTCCACCCTCCTCGCTGCCTCTCCTTTGTCTTGTCACTTACCCGCCCGTCGTTGCTCTCACAGCAAAGCAACACGTCACACGCAGCCTGCTCACTGACCACTCCCCAAACACTCCCACGCCACCACAACACTTCTACGATGGCGCCTGACATTGACTCGATCCCTCACCTCTCGGCCGGGTCCTCCACTGGCCGGGCCCATCCGTCGGCCTCCAAGCCAATCGCAACCCCTTCTGCCAACATGAACGCGGATGGCAATCCAAAGCAGCCCAACATACTTTTCATCATGGCTGATCAGCTGGCTGCCCCCCTGCTCAAAATGTATAACCCAGACTCGCGGATCAAGACCCCCAACCTGGATGCTCTGGCGGCCCGTTCTGTGCAGTTCGACTCGGCATACTGCCCGTCCCCTCTCTGCGCCCCTTCACGCATGAGTCTCATTACGGGCCAGCTGCCAATGAAAATCGGCGCCTTCGACAATGCCTCGCAAATCGCCAGCGAGGTGCCCACCTATGCTCACTACTTGCGCCTCAAGAACTATCACACCGTCCTGGCCGGCAAGATGCACTTTGTCGGTGACCAGCTTCATGGCTACGAAACCCGTTTGACTAGCGATATCTACCCGGGTGACTACGGCTGGGCTGTCAACTGGGATGAGCCTGACCGTCGTCTCGAGTGGTACCACAATGCCAGCTCGATTCTGCAGGCGGGTACCTGTGTTCGTAGCAACCAGCTCGACTACGACGAGGAGGTCATGTACCGCTCTACCCAGTTTCTGTACGACCAGGTTCGAGAAGGCACCGATCGGCCTTTTGCCCTAACAGTGAGTTGCTGCGTTCCTGCGCACAGAAATTGCTCTCCAAGACAACTGACGTAGTGTAGGTTTCTCTGACGCACCCCCATGATCCCTACACCATTGAGGAGAAGTACTGGGATTTGTACGAGGATGTCGAAATCGACTTGCCGAAGGTCAAGATCCCCAAGGACGAACAGGACCCTCACAGCAAGCGCCTGATGAAGGTGACGGACGTATGGGACGAGAACTTTTCCGACGAGCAGATCAAGAAGGCTCGCCGCGCTTACTACGGCGCCGTCAGCTATGTGGACGATTGTATCGGGAAGCTTTTGAACACCCTCAAGAAGTGTCGTCTCGACGAGAACACCATCGTCGTCTTCAGCGGTGACCACGGCGATATGCTCGGCGAGCGTGGCCTCTGGTACAAGATGAGCTACTTTGAGTCCTCCGTGCGCGTGCCGCTGCTCATCTCGCACCCGAAGCGCTTCGAGCCCCACCGCGTCAAACAGAATGTTTCGACCTTGGACATCCTCCCGACTCTCTGTGATCTGGTCGGCACCAAGCCCATTGCGGGCCTTCCGATGGACGGGATCAGCATGCTGCCACACCTCGAGGGCCGTGAAGGCCATGACACGGTCATTGCGGAGTATACTGGCGAGGGCACCATCAGCCCCTTGATGATGATCCGCCGCGGCCCGTGGAAATATGTCACCTGCCCTACCGATCCACCTCAGCTCTTCCACCTGGAGCGTGATCCCCACGAGCTCGTCAACCTTGCTCAGCTGGTCCGCAAGAAGGAGCAGTTAACGCCAGAGGAGGAAGAGGCTCGTATCGCATTTTCCGATTTCGAGGCCGAGGCCGCTGAGAGATGGGACTTCGACGCCATTACGAAGCAGGTTTTCCTGTCACAGCGGACACGCCGCTTGGTATGGGGGGCGTTGAACGTGGGCAAATTCACTCCCTGGGACTACAACCCGGATGACAATGGCGTCAACAAGTACATCCGCTCATTCATGCCCTTGGACGACCTCGAGCGGAGGGCGAGGTTCCCTGCTGTGGACGCACACGGCCGCGAGACAAGCAGCATCATTGCCCATCAGGCCGGAGCCCTCGGCGAATAGCTGTTCTGAGACCCTGTCTGCGATCGGCGACAGCGTGCACTGTAACGACGACCTGTGTTATGCCCTGGTCTCTTCCTATTTCCACTTGGTACACCCATCGGCGTCTCTTTATTCGGCTTCACATAGTTTGGCGTTATGTCATTTGGACTTGTCTTACAGTTTGCATTTTGGGTATGCGCGAGAATGGAACATAGCATCAGTGAGCGAGCGAGCCGGGGCCTCGACCCAACTTTCAATTTAGCAAAGATTTTGGACAACCTTGGTTCCAACCTTTTTTGATCACATTCGTGCAGGGTTTTGCCTGAGTGAAACTCTTGGCTCGCTCCAAGTGAGCAGAGCTAGCTAAATGACAGGTTGTTTTCCATTGTGTCCTGCTTGTGCTTTGTATGGCAGTAGTTCTTTGCACGATGATTATGCAGGAGCGTGCGCGGTGAGGTTGAAGGATGTTGTGAGCTGTGCCAACATCTCGCGTGCCGCAACTCATTGCACACATGAAAAGGAGCTGTGGTTGGTATGGATTGGACCATTCTAAATAAGTATGTGTGAACGATGTTGGGGCACGTAGACCCTCTCAGAAGCTCTAGCCCAACGGCTACATGCGTGCAATGATGGTTGTGGCTTTTTAGACAGAAATGCGAAGATTGCATTAATTGTGAGGATGGGGCAAGAAGAATGGCTCTGCATCCTCGGATGTTGTCCCGAACAAGACCAGGAGGTACGGCTTAGTCATCTGCATAAAATATCTTGGCAGTAGTCTGGGATCAAGCATCCCCAAGCTCCAAGCTTCCAGCTCCACAACGCAGGAGGCTCTGGAGACTTGATCGTCGTCCCTACGACGCCAAAACTATTTGACAAGTCGCATGCTGTTGCCGACAAACTAGAGCCACCGCTGTCACGCCCATTTTTAAAGCTCTCACTGCACCCTTTTCAACTGCTCAGCTCGCGCCGCGCAAGATGGCATCTCTTAATCTCAGCCAGGACGAGCTAAAGGCCGTTGAGCAAACGCGGCAACGCCTCTCACAGTTGTCAAACAGCATCGGCAGCCTCAAAAACGATGTGATGCATCAATACCCTTTACCACCGCTGTACGATCTGCTTCGTCGCCCACTCATCAGCACGTCTTTACTGTCAATGCGCTGACCGCGAGTCTGATACGACAGAGAATCGCTGCAAGCATCCGCCGACATCCTTCAACACAATCTCCGCACCCTGCTTGACATTGTGACTCAGCACAACGACCTCTTCACGCGCGTCGCCGTTCATCCATCTACAAACTACCCGGGACGTACTCAAGAAGGCATACTGTTCCAGTTGCTGCGCAAGAAAGCCGACCCAGATGTGGCCAACTCGATGGACGAAGGGCGCAAGACGCTCGCCAACCTCGCGCAAGTCGGAACCAGCACCTCCACGACGGCCGCGCCAGCAAGGAACGGCAATCCCGGCAATGATGCTGGCAACAATGCCACCAAGCATGCGATGCTTCTCTCGATAGATCCAAATGCCGAGCAAGACGGTGCCGTCATGGCGCGGATTGAGGCGCAAGAGTCGGAGCTGGAGGGCATATGGAGCCGCGCACAACAGGCGTGCCACGAGCGCGTCATGCGTTATGCGCAGTTTGAAGACAACGACCCATACACAGCCGAAGAGCGGGAGATGGGAGTCGAGAACGTACGCACAGGCCTGAGGAAGCCCCTCGAGTCAGATGACGAGGACGAGGACGACGAAGACGAAGATGAGGATGGTGACGGGAACCAGGCTGGCGGCATGCGCCGGGCCAGTGGAGATGTTGACGATGACGATGTCATGATCATTGACCGACCGCCTCCGCCCCCGGCTCCAGCTGTCAAGGCGCACGATGTGGACGGAGCCGCGCTGGAGAGCATACTACGATTTGGGGCAAGAGGGGAATTCTTCGCTGCTTGATGGCCGGCATCCATGACCCTTGGAGAGTGAGGGGTGTATCGTGCTGCAAGGACTCGAGGGACGACCTCGCGGATTCAAATCCATGTGTTTGTGCCGCACACATCAAAAGCCTTTTAACACGGGTACTCGTCAAACCTACAGGAGGCACAGGCGCTTCGGGCTTCAATTGGCGAATCAAGTGTCAAAGAATTGAACTCAGAGTAGCTACAATATCCTTGGTACCTGCGACGATCCGCTCAACCCCACTTGTCAGCTTACACCAAGTCTCCCCGCGTTATCCAATTCGCAACACAAGGTATATCTGTGTCTGGTTTGTGCCTATATGCGGCGCTGACATGCATCAGCTAAGCTCCATTGCGTGTCCCAGAGGCTGCGGTGCTCGGATCAGCGGAGGGAATCTTGCCCTCGAAGCCGCTTATAATATTGTAATGGTCGTGTGTTGCCCATGGGAGCGTGGTCTTTGGTCTGCATGTGCCAGCCCGTGCGTCCTGCTGCTTTCGATAAAGGCGCCACACACTTCCCTACATCTTGCACCTTGGTGTTGCCGATACTCGAAAACCATTCTTTTCCTTTGGCCCGGCTTTGCTTTGCCAAGCTTGAGCTTAACGGCTCCTGTGCAACTTGACACGTCGCGTACGAAGCAGCCTCCGACTCTTCTCGGCAAGGGAGGCTTAGCCAACTCAAAAAGGGCGGCAACAAAAGACCCGGCATTGTTGCAGTAACCCGACGAATCCAATCTGGCCTACCGGTTTTGTCTCATAAGAACGGAGGGTATTGCCTGTGACGCCTCATCTTCTGCCAGATCAAAGTTACCCACTGAATGTTGCAGATTACCGTCAAACTAGATCGTTCCCTCCTAGGTATGCTGCGAGCGTCATGGACAGTGCTATATGATGTGAGACAAATCTTGGATCTTCACACGAGTGTGACTAACAACGTATCGCGTCACAAAGAAGAGATATCTGCCTCAGTTAGACATTCCTCAGCACAGGATACACAAACAACGACATCAGAGACGCTGGCGAGAATGACAGTCGCGAACATTCGCGAGGTCTCTGACTTTGTGGTACCCAGCTCCGGAGATGTATTTCCAGGTCACATGTCACAAAATGCCCCTAAACACGACTGTTCCCTCGAGTCTGTTAGGAACCAGGTGTATAAGGCTGAGAACGTCAAGTCTTTGAGCGGAAACTTTCAGAGCGAGAGCTTCGAAAAGGGGCCTTCGGAATCTAAATTTCTGCGCTTGCCCACCGAAATACGCCTGTATATATACCGCCTCGTGCATGAGATGCACCGCGTTCCCTGCCTGGCACAGACTCTACCGTGGTACCCAATGCCATCGTTAAAGCCGTATACTACTCGGGAGCTGCGGCTCCACAGCGGAGCGGACGAAGCTGCGCCTGACCTTGCGAGCCCGACGAGCTTGTGCTGGGAGACAGGGTGCTCTTCGTCGGCAATGTCAGACACAGCCTCAGTACCGCCCGTATTCCTCAGAACGTCTTCGATCTCATCTCGGTCAAGCGACGGCGAATTAGAAGTATCTAAAACCACGGCTTGGAGCTATCCCCGTCAGCGGCCGCCCACGCAACTACTTGCACCAAACAGGCCTTCCGGGAAACTACCGACAGCTCTCCTCCTGACCAGCCGCGCCGTGTACAGCGAGTGCCGGACCATACCATTTCAAGACAACGAGTTTGTGTTCCCAATGTGGTTATCCTCGGGACTATGCTTGGCAACGAGCCTCACAGGCCGTTTGGCAGATTGGCAGAAGGATGCCGTCCGCTGGGCGCGTATTGAGTTGTTCTCGCGTGACCTGGAGGCCGTGTTCATACCTCGGGCCCTTCTTGACGGTTCGAATGACTCCCATGTGCAACATACCGACCCAAACAACACAGCCAGTCCATCGGCAGCAGACCGCGCTGCCTATGCCTCGGAATGGAGCCAGCTGTGTATCTCGTGGTCCAAGAACCTGCGCGGTCTGCGGCTCAAGATTGTGGCTGCCCAGCGCGCCTGGTTCGGTGCGGCGTGGGACACGGCGTCCGGCTTCGGGGCCCATGCTCCCGAGGTGGCGAACGCTCCTGCTGCCATCTCTATTGCCTTGGCGAACAGCAGCCCCAGCATGGCACTCGCGACAAGTGCGACAACCACGAGGGGTTTTAAGAGTAAGGAGGGGTCGGAGGGCTCCACGCCGCGCGGCATCATCAGCATCCTCGACGAGCACGGCCGCCCGAGACCATGGATTACGCATGGTCTTGCCATACTCAGGGGTTTGAGACAGCTTGAGATTGAGCTCTGCCCTGTAATGCCTTTGTCTGCTGCAGCAGTTGCTTCTGGGAACGGTGGTGCCCACGACACTGGTGATCAGCAAGGCGTCACTACTGTTGAATCCGCCGTAGACGAGGAGACGAGATCTAAAATACAATGGTGCGCGGATCTCGAGGACGCACTCAATCGCCAGAAGGCCGCTGGCGAGGAACCAATTAAAGTTGTGTGTGTCACCACTAACGCTTCCGTATGATCGTCGTATATTGCATCAAAGGTGCCTGCCCACGATGATTGGACGGAGAAGGGAGCACCGAGGCATGTGTGCAATCCTTGCAGATGAAGTCGGATCGAGATGACACCCAGCAGACAATAGTCACCTGTCATCAAAAGTGACAGACATCATTCACATTCATAGTCAGATCCCTGTTCCGAAGGCAGGAATAAAGATGTCTAGAGGCTGATTACAACGCGATTGGCATAACTAAGTACGTATATTCGTCATGTCGTCAAACGTGAGTCGTACAAAAGCCGAAGCGTTGCGTCTGAGCCACGGCTGGTGAAGTAGTACAAAAGCCCAACAGATGCTGATCTTCCCTGAAGCGAGTATTAAACCTTTCCTTATGCGCCACTAGATCTACTGTGTGGTATCTAGAAGACCAACGGAGCCCAACCACCACTCCCTCGCCCGCAGCCCCAGATATGATGTGTAATTTCCACCACTGGGGCTGACTTGGAACAACTGCGGATGTAGGAACGTCTTCTATGTGTAGTATCGAGAGCTGCGGCTGACTCTGCGGACTTCCCTGGCATTGGCCTCGGGCCGGACTTGATAGACGGCTGGTGGCGCACGAGGACTTCTGCCGCGAGACGGCACCTGTTCCGGCCCCGTCTGCCGTGCGTAGTATACATCGCGAATTTCTGTGGAGCGCCGTGGACTCCGGTGGGAGTGTCGCGACCGCGAGCGATGCGTCTCGTGGTGATACGGGTAACTGTAACGACGTGTTCGAGTGGTTTTCTCGTGGCTGGGCTCGTAGGTTGTACCCCAGGTTTCCGGCCGTTCCCAGTTGAGACAAGAGCGAATGATCCACAAGAGAAGGAGGAAGCCGACGATGGAGCCGATGACTATGCCCGCAATGGCGCCGCCTGACAAGGTGGTACTGTCATTGGTGACGACTGTGCCAGTGGTCACCACTGTCGTGGTGGCCTGGCGGGCCAGGACCACCTTTGTGGCAGCCTGGATTGTGGTTGTTGTTGGCTCGACCAGGCGCTCAACAATGAGGTCGTGGAGGGCGTGGGGATACTGTAGTGGCGCCATGCTGACTTGTGCTCTGTTGCGTAAATGTTGCGAATAGTAGTCGGAGCTCTCCAGAGCACGGCGTGGCGAATTCACGAGGGGCCAGAGGACCTAGTCACGGGTGAGCGGGCGACGTTGAGCAGTCAGTGTATTTTGTGGGCGGTGCCAGAGACAATGGAAGACCAGAGAGCATTCCCCTCTCCATGGCGGCGGGAGCCACGGGCCAACTCTATTTCTACTATGCCTTGAACTGTGGTGTCGTACCGGCTGCAGTGCTGGTTCGAGGTGTGCGAACGATGACGACATGGCGTGTGGGTGCCATGTGCGTGAGGGCACTAGCGATGGCGCCAGGCCCGATGGGAGAGGGCGGACCAGGCCCAAGGAGGAAAGAAGGAGGGCGCAATTGGCATTGTCTCGTCACAACGACGTGCAGGAAACTGGGAACCAGAGCGCGAAATAGAGTTGCAGCTGGCAGGGATGGCCCGGCGGGGGAGGTGTTGCGTGGCGTGTGGGTGGCTGGAAGCGAGGCGGTCGCCCATCTCTGCGCGAGTGCACTCTCGCCCCAGCACGCTCCCGCCAGCGCTGTTGCGGCCTGCAGTAATTACAGGACAGACCAGATGATGCAAAAGTGAGCACATGCTGATGGCGGTTCTCTCGTCCTCGCCAGGGGCTCCGCCAATCCAGCACCGTCTGCCGCGACTATCCCCCTCACGCTCATCGGGAGCATGTCGGGCCAGTCACCAGCGAGGAAGAAGATAAGATGCATGCTGGGAGAGATGAGAAACTGAGCAGACTCGCGGCGTGGGATCGGAGCCGGAGTTGAACAATTTGAACTGTGCACGTCGGCAATGCTTTGTAGTTAAGGCGAGTGCCTTCCGTAAAAGGACCAGGCTCGCTTGCACGCACCACACCTGGAATGACAAGCTCAAGGTTTTGATAACATGCCTCGCTCGAGCAACATTCGTGGGGGTGCGCAGGTGCGCGACCTGGGATCCTCTGAAGAGTGAGTCGACAGCTTCGCTCGGGAGGATGGAGCCCGAATCACCACCAAAGCACAACAAATCCGACTCTCGCCTGACCATGCGTGCCTGGCAGCTTCATTTCGTCCCACTGCCGGCCAGTCGGCCCAGGACGCTCGCCCCCGCGGTTTCTGTCACTCCAATCCTGCCCGGTATGCCCTTGGGCTCTCGACATGGAATATTCCCAAAGCTCCCCTCCTCCTCCAAATACTGTCCCGGGCGGCCGATGTCGAGACGGCCCGCTTGGCACTCGCACCCACAAGGCAGAGCTCGTTTGGCGGAAACAACAGTGGTCCTTCCGCGGAGGCCTGTCGCAATCCTGCGCTGCGAGATGGCGACATATCCAGGCATCCGGGAGTTCCCCTGCCCAGCTCCTGCGCAACAGTGACCCGATGGTTGGAGCTGCACGGGCCACGGCGCCTACGCGGTACAGAATGCTCAGGCGGTCAGGCCAGGGACGAGACGGCCCTGGTGTCCGGCACGGCACGATCTCGGCGTGTATCCTCGCCTGGTCGCATCATTACAGGTCTTGGCCACCAAGGCCCTTCCCCACGAATGTCGAACCCTGCCAAGTCCGCGTCACCAACGGCCACGGAAACATGGTGCGTTTGTCAAGGTGGAAGCTCGCGCGTGTAGAGTCCAAGGCAGTGCAACAAGGAGCCCTGGTGCGAAAGACACCACTGACAGAAGGAGCCTCGCATTCGTGGCATGAAAGCAGCTCATGACCTCGGCTCCGCGGACAGACGCCATCACTCGCACACGCATGAGCCCTGTTCCAAGCTCCGCAAGCCATACCACGGCCTTGGTGCCGAGGAAAATGTGCTACGCCATAGTCCTATACCGACATCCCCGCCAGAAATCCCGGCCTGGGAGAATCAGGACGCGGTCGTCACGTCAAATACTGGGACCCTTTGCTCAAGGCCGGGCCCATGGCACCGCTTGGTGAATAACATGAGGAAGAGGAACACAAACCTGCGGCCTGGCCTTATAGGGTCCACACTCACAAGCAAGTGCAAGTTCGTTTACGATCGGATGCAATCAAGCAGCTCCTGGCGAAAGACGGAGACTTACGGCCAACCTGGGCGCCAGCCAGGCCAGATATCCAGAAAGCATGTCGCCTGGTTCCAGCCCCGTGGCAAGGAGGCATCTTTTCGAGGTGGGTTCTGCAATCTCGAAGAAAATGCCACGCATGGCCACCAGATGTGCCGGAATGCACAGCGCGAGTCGTGAGCTGCCCTTATCTGAAAGCCATGAAGGACGCTCTAGGGAGTGTCCCAGCCCCTGCTGCATCAGGACCCTGCCGCCAGGGGACGGAATGGAGGTGGAGGTCCGTTCGTGTTCGCAACCCAAGAGCCTGCCGCCTTGGCCGTTGCCTGCCGCGGCAATAGACAGGGCTACCGTCTGGCCAATCTTCGAAGGCGTGCGTCTCTGCAAAGGAATCCTGCACGCACGAGCTGCGCTCCCGCATCTGCAATGCTGCCGCTGGCATCTCAGGCTTGCCTTTGTGGCTTCGGGCATCCCTCCCCACTCTGCATAGCCAGCCACTCCCATGCCGCCCCGTCCCCTGATTCGTTGTTAGTCTCCAGTGTCTAGGGCTTGCGGCGATGTGACTGACACATGACTAATGCAGCCCCCAACAACGTTCAGGGACACTAGCTCCGGATTGGTTCAGCTCACCCGCTTGCGACGATGGCACCTGGGCTGTCCGAGCTCTGCATCCTTGAGATTATCTCGGGCCAGGCCTCCCGGCCCTACCTAGGTAGCTCTTGTCGTTCGTCGCTCTCACGTGGAGACGTCGAGGGGCGGGACGGCTCATAGACACCAGCTCCATAGCTGCTGCATTGCCTGTCCTTACCCCCGTGCCTGGCTGTTCCTGTCGTGCTGTTATTTCTTTCCAAGATTTGATCAGACATATTCTCTCACCATCGCCAGAGGCATTGCCAGCACCATAATTGAATCCTCATGGCGCCGACAAAGCTGCATGTTCTCATCGTCGGGGCAGGCCTTGGCGGCCGGTTCCTTGCCCAGATCCTGCGCAAAAAGGGCATATCCTTCGAAATCTTCGATGAGCATCCCGTCGAAAGAACAGATTCTGGGTTGTGGCCAAAGGCACTGACTCTGCACAGGTCCGTCGCCTCGCTTGTGGTTCTGGGGACTGTCCTCGTGCTGACTGTAAATGTAGTGTCGTCCAATCCCTTGATGCGATGTTGCCAGCCGATCTGCCTCCAGCAAGGCAAACTCTGGACGTATGCTCTAGGCTGGGTCTCGAGACACAATCCTGCATCTACATAGGCGGCAACCCACGTCTGGGGGTCGTCAATAGCCCGCACACACCACTCCTCCATGTCAGCCACCTCGAAATGTTGCTCTGGCTTTCCACAAACGTGGTAATTACACGAGGCAAAAAGGCGTGCAAGATTGACGAGACGGCCGATGCGGTCGTCGTGACCTTTGAGGATGGCACGTCGGCAACGGGAGACCTATTGGTGGGTGCGGATGGTGTCGACAGCTTCGGTGAGTCTTGTTCTCCTTTGAAATGCGATCCGTGTGGACTGCAGCAGTTCCGTCGGTATCACATCTTGTCCCTTGCACCCAGAAGCTGACAATATCTAGTCCGCCAACATCTGCTTGGGGAAGCTAAGACGGAATGGCTCGAAGGTGTTGCCGTCCACGGGTCTGTGATTCTTTCAGGAGACGACTTGGAGCGACAGCTGGAATTAGGGCATGCTTCCAGTATCATGCCCACAAGACCTGATCCCACTTTTGACGTCATGTATGCCGCACTTCTGGAAGTTCTTCCCGACGGAAAGTCGGCTCGATACGCCTGGCAGGTTGGGGGCTACGAGGAGGGACCAAGGCGCGATGGATACAACATGGCCCCCGAGGATCTCCGGCAGAAAGCATTGGATCTTACCAAATTGATCGACCCCCGAGGACGCAAGATTATCGAACAAACGCCAGCAGAGGGGATCGAGGGCTGCTTTTATTACAAGGATGCCAAGATTGAAGAAATCCCGGCTGCCAGGACGACGCTAATGGGAGATGCCGCCCACACGTGCGCGCCGTTCAAGGGCGATGGAGCGGTGCAGGCTTTCCGCGATGCCATTCGACTTGGCAACGGGATTGCGCTGCTAGAGTCAAAGGACCGTGACACGATCACGAACATGATCGGTGATTATCTCGCCGAGATGATTCCAAGAGGGGTGGCAGCAGTTCGGGCAGGCAAGGCAGCTCTGACCGAGTATACAAATCTATTGTCGAGACCTCGCGTCTTTGGCAACCGGCTGGGGCTCGTGCCCGAGGAAAGGCTAACCTTGGAACCCAGCGGGAATATCAAGGTTGAGGTGACTGCTGTTGCAGCTTCATAGTTCAATACCATCCAAGACTCGCAAATCGAAACAATATATCTCACATCTTCATTGAGACTTATCAAGTGCAGGCTTTGCACGGAGGTGTCAACAGCCATATCATAGAGGCCAACTCGAACTTGCCCCGGCGAAACTTTTCGCAAAACAGCAGTTGAAAGTGTGCACCACGACTCTTGGCTCATCCCCATCTCCTAGCTAATAGGGCTGAAGCGCAAGGTGAAATGTGCCCCACATCATCGAGGTCTAACCTTGTGCTGCGAGTCTGGACCAGGCACTACCTGGTGGGTCATGCGAGATTCAGAGTGCTGCGAGATCGGCCATCAATTTTCAGGGCTCTGATTCATCCCACCATTCACGAATTATCGATAAGAAGCGCAACGCAACTTACACCCGGCAGACCGCATCACCCCTCTACGTCGCCCGTCGAGAAAGCTGCCGTCGTCATATTTCACAGCAGGCTGTATATTCCCGTCTTTTGCTCCTGTCAGTCTCACTGCACGCCCAGCCGCCAGTTTTCGATCGAGGATACCGCAACCACAACCATTGCAATCATGGCCCCTACCGTCCTCCACCTCCGTTCCGAGGACAAGCACCTCGAACACCGCTCGGCCCTCACGCCGACCACCGCCAAAGCCCTAATTGATGCCGGCTACACAGTCAACGTCGAAAAGAGCCCCGTCCGCATTTTCGACGATGATGAGTTCACCAAGATTGGCGCCACGCTGGTGCCCACCGGCAGCTGGCGCGAAGCCCCCTCAGACCACATCATTGTTGGTCTCAAGGAGCTCCCAGAGGAGACTTGTACGTTGCCCGTCTCCTGTCCCCCGGGGTTTCTCTCTATAGTCTCAGATGTGGAATCTAACTGACAGTTTGCCAATCAGTCCCGCTGAAGCACGTCCACGTCCAGTTCGCCCATTGCTACAAGGGCCAGGGCGGTTGGGACACCGTCCTCGCCCGCTTTCCCCGTGGCGGCGGTACTCTCCTCGACCTCGAATTCCTGCAGGACCCCGCGAGCGGCCGACGTGTCGCCGCGTTCGGATACTCTGCCGGGTTCAGCGGTGCAGCGCTGGCCCTCAAGACTTGGGCGTGGCAGCTGACCAACCCGGGCAAGCCGCTGCCTGGGGTCGAGAGCTACCCTAACGAGAGCGCGCTCGTCTCGGATGTCAAGGCCGACATCGCCGCCGGCCAGGCCAAAATTGGCCGTGTCCCGCGGGTCATCGTCATTGGTGCGCTGGGCCGCTGCGGCCGCGGAGCCGTCGATATGGTCACCAAGGCCGGCGTGCCCGAGGAGAACATTGTCAAGTGGGATATGGCCGAGACTGCCAAGGGCGGGCCGTTCAAGGAGATTACCGACAGCGACATCTTTGTCAACTGCATCTACCTGACTTCGCAGATCCCACATTTTGTCAACCGCGAGAGCCTCAAGGCCGCAGACCGCAAGCTCAGCGTAGTGTGCGACGTGTCTGCCGATACCACGAACCCTTTCAACCCAGGTGAGCCACTATACACATCTGCCCCTCGAAGGCGTGCACATAGCAATCGCGATACAGAAAACTGACTGAACTCTTCCTCCTCCTCCAGTGCCCATCTACACCGTTGCCACGACCTTCGACAGCCCCACTGTGCCCGTCGAGGGTGTCGAGAACCCGCCAGTCAGTGTCATCAGCATCGATCACCTGCCCAGCCTTCTGCCCAGAGAATCCTCCGAGGCCTTCAGTGGCGACTTGCTGCCTTACCTGCTCAAGCTCAACGACTGGCAGAACGACCCCGTCTGGGGCGGCGCCAAGAAGCTCTTTGACGAGAAGGTGGCGACTCTGCCAGCGAGCGCTCTCAAGGAGTAAAGTTGCCATTGACCAGGGGAAGCTGCCAAAAAGTGGTTTGATGCGTAAAAGGCCAACATGATAGATTTTAGATATGACAATGGTAGATATCGCACCATTGATGGTCAACATCGTGCCTTATGGCTTCCTTGCAAATCGTGTCTCTGGATGGGATCACCCCATCATGTACCAGAGTGTACACTGCTCTTGCTCATGGCTCGGCTGTGCCACTCCGTCCTCGTAGGTCGTAATTTGGCCGAAGGCTCGTTCAGTCCGAGAGATTTGGTACACATATGCGTCTATTACGAGGCAGAATATAGCAAGGCTTTATACACTTGTCGTACAAGGGACAACATCCCGCTCCTTCTCGCGCGGTCGTCTGCTTGGGGACTCTCGTTGTCGCTGCCCTCACCATAGGCGACCACAGACCACTGCTCCCCCACAGCGTCACCTGCTTTGGGAGGGCGAGGACGACGACGGTGCGGCGGCCGAGGCATCCGGAGCTTTCCTGACAACCTTGCCACCAATCCTCTCTGGCCGCTCGAGCTTCTCGAGCTGCGCCTTGAGCCTCTCCGGATCCTGGTCTGGCAGCCCCCACCACTCGCGGTGGAACTTCTCCTGCTCGATCTTGCGGCGCTCCTTCATCTCGCGCTCCCTGGCGCGCACCATGCGCTGCGCGAACCACTCCTCGCGTGCCCGGTCGTGCTCCTCGGGCGTTGCGTGCAACGCCATGCATGAGTTCATCTTGGTCGATATCGCGCGGCAGGCGAAAGGGATCGTGAACGTGCGGCCGCGGGCGCAGTCTGCGAAAGCTGTTGGGGCAGGGCACAGGCTTGTTAGCGAACTCTTATCAGAACCGAAAATGCACCACCCGTGCCGTGGTTGCGAGGAACCAGAGGCCGCCCTCCAAAGCCCAGCACAGCTAAGGACCGAGGTATACCTGGGCCAGACGTTGAAGACAACCCGACAGCGAATCTCCCGTCGCAACAGCACGACACAACACAGAAGGGGGCCGGAACGAACCTTTAATCTCATCCGCACACTGGTCCCGCACCCTCTTGTTGAACACCTCGCGCACCTGCGCTTCCTGACTGGCAGAGAGCGGTAGCGGGTTCCTGGAGGGCATGCCTGATGACGATGACGGCGCTGAGGGTGCCGGTGGCGTCGAGTTGATGTTGCTGCTATTCCTCCGCTCGCCGCCGTCGCCGCTGCTGCTGCTGCCGCGGCCTGCATGTGTCGGAGCACCGTCGGCGGCCATTGCGGCCATCTGCTTCCTTCCCCTCTTTCGTGGAAATCGTTCTTGTGCGGTATGTACCCTCCTAGTCGGGTTCAAGTCTATCGGGCAAGTCTGTCGCTGGGTATCTTGCGAGCAGTGAATTGCCCTTCGGGGCTAGTCCAGGAGAGTCGGGTGAGTGTCGGAGGTATGCCGCCGTCGACTCGTCGTCTCTTTGTCGCTGTCGGACGATCCTTGTGGTGGGCCCAAGCGAACCTTGTCGATGACTTGCCTGAGGGTGGTCGTGCTGAAATCACGAGAGCGTGGAATTGTGTGCCAGGGGGCAAGAAGGAGTCTGTGAAAGTGCAGAGTGCTGTCTTCTCCAGTGGCTGCAGTGCAGGAAGCGCTCAAAGGTTGAACTAACGTGTATGTGCAAGCCGGATTGGCAGATTGAGGGTATGCACGACGTGGATCAGCAGCAAGCACAGAGCGAGTTCGAGCACATTGTCGACGGGCTCCGCTCGCTGGAGCTTGCAGGACCATCCCTGCCAATTCCTAGAGTTCGCTTACTGCCGTTAGTGGCCGCCTCGACCCATCAACCTGTTCCTCACCAAATGTACGATGCGTGCCGTCTACTTTTCATCCATTTCCTGACTGCTGTTGCATCTGTGCTGCCGTTGCAATAAAGAGCAGCAGTGACGTGTGGAGACACGGAAAAACTTGGAAGTGTCGAAGCAAAAGTTGGGAGTTCATACTAGCTATTCCTACGCTGCCTATCATACTCATCCGCTGGTACCGATAATGGCAATCCTCGTTCGAGCTACATGTGAGCAAAGGTGGTCATGTCCTACTTGTCCTCGCTTCCTGGAGAAATGGGCGCCAATTCGGACCGGTCCAGATCCAAGCTCTCTTTCTCCTTGCCCGGCTTCTTCTTCATGGTGAACCGCGCGCCCCAGCCACCGCTCTTGTCCTTCTTGCCCCCGCCTGGACCTCCGATAAGCGGGCTGCTGTTTACACTCTCATAACTTCGGCCAAGGGCGCTGAGCTCTTCGCTATTCTCCTCGAAGCTTGTACGCTCCAGAGGCGTATTCTTCTCCGAGTTGCTGACGCTGCCAGGACCCTTCTTGCTACTGAAGTTTCGCCCGACAGAGGAGAGGCTGAACTTAGACGAGCTACCCTTCCGGAGCAGTTTCTTAAACGTGTTATCCTGCTCCTTTAGGGCATCAGAGGGTGTGTTGGAGAAAGATTGGTCCAAGCTAAGCGATTCGCGAGACTCGGAAATCGATGGGGTGTTGACCGACAACGTGTCTCGAGAGTAGCGAGAGTCCGATGGCGACTCATCAACAGAGAGCCTGAAAGAGTCCGAGGCGGAAGCGAATGACTCCCGCAGCTTCTTCTCCTTGGCGGCATCTTTGTCCTTGCCCTTAGCTTTGCCCTTGTCCTTTGAATCCTTGGCATCCTTGCCGTTCTCGGAGCGGTCTCCTCGAGGCCTGAAAAAGGCGCCCATGAAGCTCGGCGCCGCTGGGTTCAAACGTTGACTGAGACTCTTGGACGAGGGTCTGGTTCCGATCACCCCGACTTGACTTGGCGAGGCGTTCAGAAGCTCCGCATCATCCAGAATCTCGTCATCAGCATCTGCCAGAGTAGTCTTGAGGGCCGAAGGAGAGCCATGGATAGATGGCCGGCGCGACGGGTTTCTAGAAGCCCAAGGATTATCCTCTTGGGGCCAGATGCGATTCGGAAGAGGACGTCCCCATATAGACCCATTCTCTGTGGATGGTCGAGGAAGCTCTTGTGATGCGATGGAGCCAGGGCGAGGGCTGCTGGGATCGCGATCCGCAAACATACCACTGTTTGTATTAGAGGCGAGACCAAGGCGACTGGAGTGCAAAAGACCTCGAGGGCTAGAGTCCAAAAGGTCTGGACCAGCAGAATTCCGGTTGAACATGTTCCAGCTCGCCGAAAAGCTGATCCGCCGCTTATTGGATGGCAGATCCCCTTCGCCTTGACGTGGGAAAGACTGACTCTGGCCTGGCTTCAACGACCCCAAGGCCGGGGGTTCTTCAGCCCCGGATTTTGGTGCACGATGCAGCCATGGCAAAAAGGTCCGACGCCCATTGAGCTGTGATGCAGGAGCCGCTGGAGAGGAAGGGTTCCCATGATCGCCACGAAAACCATGCAGTGAGCGGTGTTCGTTGGCGTCAGCGCCTAGCTGTTGGAAAGGGAGATGCTGAGACGATCCCTGAGGACTGGATACCAAGCTTGTAGATTGCGGTGATGAAGCAGGGGACCGCGTCTCGTTTTCTGGTGTTCCACCTGTTGGCCAGACGTGCGGCTGTTGAGGGCTATAAGAGGCATCTTCAAATACATCATTGTCGTCATCTTCGAGGAGGTCATCCAACATGCCAGCAGGCAGGAGAGAATGAGCGGTAGGGCTGAGTGGAGCTCCAGCGGTGAGGGCACGGAACCCATCCTCATCAAGTGGGTTGGAGAAGTCGGCAGCAGCGTCCAAGAATGGCACCTGGAGGAATCCTGGTGGAAGAGCCGGTGCTCGTGAGCCTCCACTGAACCCAGCGGTCGGCTGGAACGGCAAATCCGCCTGCACAAAGTTGGATGTGGGCGAGGGCACTACAGTGTTTGCCGTAGCATTATGGCTGCTATGCATCGGATGGCCCATTGGATCCAGGTGTCCTTGCAGAGCACCGTTCTGGTCGTACTCGGCTGCGTTTGGTTGAGCGTACATCATGGGCAAGCCAGACTGTCGTGCTGTGGCAACTTGCTTGGCAAGTACACGCCCGTAATCTGACACCATTCGGAGTTTCTTGTTCGACGAGAAGAGCTGTCGTTGTAGATCACGTGCCCGGAGCTCCCAGTCACGTCTGATCTGTCGGTCCGTCTCGCGCCACTCCTCGCTCTCCTCACCCCCTGGTAGCTTCTTACGCTGCTCCTCAGCGTCCTTGAGCTCTTTACCCTTCTCTCTGAGCTCCTGCTCGTCTTGTGCCAGGCTTGCTTGGAGAGCTGCGATTTCCGCACGCAGCTCTTCGGATCGAGAGTCGCCTTTCTCCTGCAAGCTGACCTTGTCTTTATCGAAAGTAGCCTGGCGTTTGGCCATGGAGGCCATGTCCTTTTCCCACTTTAGAATGTCATCCTCGAGCTTCTTTCGCTCGTTCTGCCGTTCTCGCAGTGTCTTTTCCTTCTGTGTCTTGCGTTGTTGGGCATTTCTCATGGCTCTCTCAGTCGAGTTCATCTCCTTCTTGAGCTTTTCCGTCATATCGTCCTTTTCCTTGAGCTCGCGTTTCTTGGCTTTCTTCTCTTCGGCGAGCTCATCTGTCAGTTCTTTGTTTTCCTTCTCGTCTTTCGTGATTTGCAGCTGTGTCTCTTCGATTTCTGTTCGAATACTTTGGAACTTTTCGCCAAGCTCATGCAAAGATGTTGTGGAGCCGTTTTCAAGCACATCGTGGACGGACTGGTCCATGCTGGCAGTTGATGGTGAATGCTTCCGTGTTAATGTGTTGCGGCGGCCAATCGCGCCGGAGGTGCTTATTCCGCCATCGCGCGGTGGCTGTGCCGGACTTTCAGGAATGACGGCGGTCTCGACTCCCGCTGCAGGGCTTCTGGCGACACCATCGTCGTCCACGGTCTCGAGATTGATCGCGTGCTGTTGCTCCTCAGGCATGAAATTAGACGGGAGGCGGCCGTCACCCAACTGCGGGCGTCCATCTCGCGTGAATGTGCGAAGGCGGATGACACGGCTTCCAGCCTGGAAGTTGTTATACCCAACAGCGATGACACGGACGTTGTAGAAATGGTTCGGCTTGAGCCCCGTGACGGTGATGGCAGTTTCGAGATTCGCCGATTCGCCGACTGGCCAGATGTCAGAACCACAATCCACCAGACAGTCTGCATATTCATCACCAATCGATGCTTACCATTGACTCCGTTGACCTGAATGAGAAACTTGGCCACGGGCCGGTTGGCGCGTGGCCGCGTCCAGTTGAGTGTCGCAGCATCAGCACGAATGCCAGCCAGGGACACATCCGGCGCATCTGGCACGTCGACGCCCAAGACTCCAATCAGTTCCGGCACGGGTTTCCAGAGTGTCTGCCATGCTCGGTGAGCCAACCTGCAATGACCACTTGGAGTCAGCCAACGCGTCACAGGGTGAAATATGAGCGGAATGCATGGTGCACGCATGGGGGCGCACGCCCATGTGGGGTGTGATGCCATACCAAACAAAGGCCGCGCCAGTTATAAGCATGTTGGCATGGTATTCGAGCAGGGAATCGAGGTGAAGGAAAGTGGCGACCTCAAGACAGGAGCTGTACACGGCGGAGGGAGTCTGAGCGGCTAGATCTGGGTTGAGCGTCCAGAAGAGCACGAATGAGGCGAAGGCAGCGAGGAGGTTGAGGTATAGAGATTTAGACCTGTCGACGTAGGACCACGCAAGAATGGCACAGACGACGAGGATTGTGGAGGCGGCAGACGTCGGAAGCCACGAAGTCGTCCATAACATGTCGGCACGAGGTCGGCGCCCAAGGACAGACTCGGGAGCCAGGAAACGAGGGCACTCGTGACGTCGGTGGGGGTGGTCGGGCGGATGATGGAAGGAGGAGGAGGTGGAGGAGGAGGAGGCGACGTCGGGGACGACAGGCTGGGCGGTGGTGCTGGGTGAAGGAAAACAACTGCCGGGATCCAAAAGGAAATCTTGCACCATAGAGGCCAGTCAGCCAGTGAAGGGGGGGCGGATCGTGTGGGGAGGGGGTCCCAGCACGCGCAGGCTCCACGCGCAGAGATGTCTCGACAGGTAAAGTAAGGCGGTCCCAGCAAGAGTGCCCGCAGCGGGATGGCGTATCGATTGGGAGCAGCCTGCAGATATGACTGGAGTTGAACGGGATAGCTGGAGGGCAAGGGAAGTCTGGCTCGTCGTCTGCGTCAGGGGACGAGGGAGGTATAGTGATGACGCCTTGCTGGCTTCCAAGGTTGGGCTTGGGGCGTGTAAAAGACCCGAAGCGACGCAACTGGGCACTGCAGCCTCACCCGCATCTCGCGATTTAAGCTAGCACTAGGTAGTATTCCAGCACAACTGATTGGCTCCGATTGCATAAAAAGTCTGACTGCCAGAGGTCTCTCGCGAGCATTTGTAGCTCTGGGGATTCCACGTAATGATTCAACGCCAGCTACGTATTCGACGGCCCATCCAGCTTATTCTCATTGTGCTGCATGCAGTTGATGTTGTTCATACACAATGCTTGTCTCTCAGGACGACGCCACGCCGGCTGTTAAGAGTCAAAGAACTGCGGAGCATTCCATGCTGCATCGGACAGGTTGCGATACCAGCGATTTCTGATGCCCAACCTGCAAGGCTTCAGTAGACTTCTGCAAGCTCGTTCAAGCGATCAAACAACGGAAACCCTCGTGGCACTTAGCGGAAGACATGACCGACAAAGCGCAAGTTGACTCTTTGGCGGGGCGTCAGCTCGTCCCTATGTAAAAGACCCCGGGGGGCCACCATGATCAGAATAATGGAGGAAGATGGCGTCTGACAAAGAAATGCAAAGCAGGCAACCGGGCGCCTGTGAGCACATGACTCCGAACCTCAGAGGTAAGTGGGAACCAAACAAGGCGACTGGGCTCCTCGGCGTCGTCCGACACACATGCTGGAAAATCCGTGTTGCCTGCCTATCAATCCATCCTTGGTGGTGGAACCAGGAGCCATGTGCGCGTGGAGCAGCTTGTGGCCACGCCGAGGAATCGGGCCCGTTGGTGGCCTGGGAGTGCTCGTGGGTCCACGAGACCGGCGAGCTACGACCAGACGAGCTATGGGTTGTCTCTGGCTATCACTATTGTCACATGTCTCAGCCCGGTCAAAATCCAGAAGCTGGTTCCGCATCCGCCAGAAGACCCCGTCAGATAGCATCCGCAGCGCCTGCAGGACGGGCAGGGCAAAATTTTTCGTTTTCGTACACCGCGCGCTGTAGGAGCATGGAGGATGCCGACGGCCGTAATAGTCCCGCCCCGACACATGTGATGATGGGCCCGTTCGCGAAGCACACCATGTTCGCGAGGTCGACGTGCGCAGTAGTGCTCTGCTCTCGCCTGGCCGGGATGGCTTGTGCAGGGAGGGAGCACACGCTGCCGAGCTTGCCAGGGGTTTGCATCTCTGGGCACCCCCAGCAGGGCTGCCTTGTTGAGCCGCTGCTGCCAACAATGGCACGAGGCGGATGCGACCACCTATCACTGGTGTATGCGTGCATGCATTACATGCACGCTGGCAGCGCTAGACGTCCGGAGCATGCCGGCTGCACATGCTGTCTTCCCAGGAGCGCCTAGGGCGACTGTTGAGTCGAGCTGCTGGCAATTCAAGCGGCAGAGACAGACAGGTGCTGGCTGAGACCAAAGGCAGATCTGTCGACTGTGAGCCGGAAGCGAGGCGTACATGTAATATGATCCGAGAGGATGGCGGATAGGTTGTTTCTGCTGGGGACGGAACGACAGCACTGTACTGCGTAGGGTGCATCGGAGAAAGAGCAATGCTGCCAAACTGCCATCACAAAGGCTGGTGGGGAGCGAAGCCGGCCAGCCCCCCCTGCCGCACTGCCGTGTCCACTCATCATTCATTCTCCACGCTCTCCGTTTTGGCTGCTGACTTCCCCAACACCACTGCTGAGCACTGCGTCTCCTCTGCCTCCTCGGCCGTGCCGTCCTCTCTTCTTCAACACAGTTCCTGCATCCTTCGCCACTCCATACTGTTGCCCCTTATTCTTGCACCTCCTCCTTGGCGAGGATGCAGTACGTCAGGAACATCAGCGACTCCGTGTCGACGGCATGGAACTCGATCAACCCGGCTACTCTTAGCGGTGCGATCGACGTCATTGTCGTCGAGCACGACGATGGCACTCTCGCCTGCTCCCCGTTCCACGTACGCTTCGGCAAGTTTTCACTGCTGCGTCCGTACGAGAAAAAGGTCGAGTTTCGTGTCAATGGCGAGAAGCAGGAGTATGCCATGAAGCTCGGCGAGGGCGGCGAGGCCTTCTTCGTCTTTGAGACCACAGACAACATCCCTCAGAGCTTGCAGACCTCACCCCTCGCCTCCCCCGAGAGCAGCCCCCCCTCGATCCCGCCCAGCCAGCGCAAAACATCGAACTATCAGAACCCGACTTTCTGCAACTCGACAATGACCCCATCGGCAAGCCGAGGTCTGCCACTGTCACCGTTGCTCGGCCAGGCCTCAATGCACTGGGCCTCGAGAATCAAATAGCCAACCTCGCCCAGTCGCAGATCACGAGCGCGGAGCTTACAGGCGGGAGACCACCGTCTCGAGCACTTGGTGCCGTTCCCAAACATATTTATTATAGCGACAACATCTTGCCCACGTCTGCGCGAGCTCATTCCGATCTTGATCGGGCGAGCAGCGTACCTCCAGACGACCAGCTTGAAGCACCAGGCAGCCCCGCCAGATCTCAATCATCTAGGATCCCCCACCCCTCGATGAGAAGGAAGCACTGGCTCGAGCAGAAGCATTGGCGGAAGAATTGTCAGCTGTCAACATTCCCAGTCATGTCACTAGCACTGGTGACCTCATGCTTGACATGACGGGGTACAAGAGCAGCGAAGAAGACGCCATCCGCGCCGAGATACTCGCTCGCAATATTCTGTCAGAAAAGCTCGAGGGTGACTATGACATCGGAGCTCTCTTCGGCATGGATGAGGAAGGCAATTTGTGGATCTATCGCAGTGAAGATGCCAAGGATGCTGCGATGAAGAAGACAATGGCCAGACTTCGTCCGGCAGCAACAATCGCTGCTGATGCCGCTTCCGATCCCGGCTACCAGAGCGATGATTCACTATCTTCCTCCCGCGGCCCCTCGCATCGCAGGTCAGAATCTGATGCCGGCCACAATAGCGACACAACCCCTCCCACGACACCGGGGACCGCGCCCACGGCTGGAAATCCCAACAAGAACTACGCCAAGACTCTGCGCTTGACTAGCGACCAATTGCGGAACCTCAATTTGAAGGCAGGCGAAAACACCATGAGCTTCACCGTCAATCGCGCTACCTGCCAGGCCAACATGTACCTTTGGAGGCACGATACACCAGTTGTGATCTCCGACATTGATGGGACCATTACCAAATCAGACGCACTGGGGCATGTTCTATACCGAATCGGACGCGATTGGACGCACGCCGGAGTCGCCAAGCTTTACAGCGATATTGTGGCCAATGGATACAACATAATGTATCTTACTAGTCGTTCCGTGGGGCAAGCCGACACAACGAGAACCTACTTGGCAGGCATTGTGCAAGATGGCTATCGCCTTCCGAGGGGACCGACGATTCTGTCCCCAGACCGCACTGTGGCTGCACTCAGGCGTGAGCTCTACCTTCGAAAGCCCCATGTCTTCAAGATGGCTACTCTGCGGGACATCAAGAGCCTTTATGGCCCCGTCAACCACTGCTTCTACGCCGGCTTCGGTAATCGCTTGACAGATCAGATATCGTATCGAACTGTTGACGTCCCTCGCAATCGAATCTTCACCATCAACTCTAATGCGGAGGTCTCATTGGATCTTTTGAGTCTCAACAAGATGAGACTTACATACGTGAGCGTCACAGAGGTCGTCGATCACTATTTCCCTCCAGTCAGCACGTTGGTCAAGGGTGGTGGAGAGGACTTTACCGACTTCAAGTACTGGCGCGACACTCCACTTGAGCTTGATGACTTTTCAGCAAGCGACAGTGAAGCGACCACTGAAGCTGAGGACGAGGAGGACGAGGACGAGGACGACGCCGAAGACGAGGATGTTGGTGAGATGGGTGACAGCTACATCTCGAGGGGTTCCGAAGGCGACGTGGCCAACAGCATGGGGGCAGCTGAATATGACGAAGACGACGAGGACGACGCGGACAATGAGGAAGAAGATGCAGGACCGGATGATGAGGATGCAGAGGCCGAGGAGGACGACGATGAAGTCGACAGTCTGGAACAGCAAGTCGGCCCACCTAAGCAGTCTCCAGTTGCAACGAGGCCTACCAAAATTTCGACACCGGGTCCAGACATCAACGCCGAGCTCATCACGGGGGTTAAAAACCTCGAAATCACGAAAGACGCGTAGTGGCGGGTATCATTCTAGTGAAGACGGTCTTCAACTGCTGTGGCACACAACGCGTGCGACGAGCCATCATCCGACCATGGACGATCCATCAGCATAACACTTTTCAAGCGTACTTGGCCGGCACACTCAACGATTTGGATTAGCGGGGCATATCAACGGCGCCTTGTGTTTATTTACAGCGTTACTTGTCATTAGTCGGGTATATAATATCTCAACGGGAAGGCATATGTGCATTGCATAAATATAGAAGGGATTTCCAACATGATTTTAATAGGCCCATCTGCTTGTGATACGTGCAGGGTCAAGTGAGGCTTGTGGAATGGGCGCCAGACTCGTGTCTTTACTACACGCTTGAAATCAGCCAAAAGAAATAGATCTTTGACCATGTCGAGGCTCGTGGCCCCAGCGCGACGGTGTGGATAGCCAGTGTTATGGCGTGGCCGATATCGTAACCAAGACTCACGGGCACGATTTGGATATTGCATTCTTGCTCGCATACCACGATCGGAGGTTTTGAGTCCTTCACTACTCCATCCCTTCCATGTCCTCGTCCTCGTCTCCTTCCAATTCGTCGCCAAGCATGTCTCCAAGGCCGCCCTCATCGGCCTTGGCACCATCAGCCTTGCCCGCCTCAACCCCTTCCATGGCGTCGCCTCCTTTGGCAGCATCCTCGTCATCCTCGTCGGAGCTGTCATCATCCTCGTCGTCCTCCGCAGCAGCTTCTTCCCACTTATCTCTGAGCTGCCACCCCATCCCCGTGAGCACGAACCGCTCATGTGGCAGCCGGATCCCCCACTCGTTGGCTGGTATCCTCTGAAGCTGCACCTTGTTGCGTTCCTTTGCCAGCTCGGCCAGCCACTCTTTACTTGCGGCACCTCCCGCACTGCCGCCTGCGCCACTGCCGCCGCGGAACTGGTACGCCTGCCGTGACGCGATCGCGACGTTGATGGCATTGGTCGACACCGCGGCATCCCCCGCAGCAGGCGCGCTGGGCGCCGCGCCGTGCGATGCCGACGGCTTGCTGCCGGCATGCGAGATGTACGGGTCACCCGACAGATGCAGTGCGTCGTTCAAGATGCTGCTGGTGTGCCGGTAGGCAAAGTCGAGGAGGAGTAACGGCACGCGGCTGTCGAAGCTCGTCACACCTTGCGAATTGAGGAGCAGCTCGATGGTCCGGGCATCGCGCGGGCGCGGTGCTTGCGCGGAGGGGTTCGCCGCCTGTCCGGCGCCGGCTTGGCCTGATAATGTTGATGTTGGAGCGGCTCCGGCGCCTGCTGATGTGGATGTTTGCGTGTTTGGGACGGTTGTTGAGCCGGCGCTCGCCGTGGTGTTTTGTGTTGCATTCTGCGATTGTGAAGGCGCGGAGCCTGACGACGCAGGCACGCCGTTGGTCTGAGAGGCTGTGGTTGCCATGACGGAGTCGTCAATGGCTTTTTGCGCGCGGGAGTCTGTGGAAGTTTGGACCGAGTGACGAAGCTGCTTGAGAAAAAGTGCGGCGGACAAAGTCGAGGAGACGTGACACGAATTATTGCGCAACTCGGAATGCTTGTCGTGAGGGTGATGCGTCTGATAGATCTAGGCTGCCCAATAGGTAGCGCCAATTCGTGCGTATTCGGGGATTATGCGTACTGTGGTGAGGTGTAACACTGTGAAGTGGTTGGTTGAACTGAAGCTATCCAGTTTGCGATGAGGCAGCTGCGGCTCCGCGTTCATCAAGGCAGGCGCGTGCCTGCAGGCAGGGGAGGCTGTCAGCTCAACCAATCGGCAGGCAATACTTGTTGGGCTCCGCAACCATTCGATGTGCGGAATAGCAGCCGCTCACTCCTTTGCACGAACCTGGAACAGCGACAAAACTCACTTAGAAGCCTGCTCCCCGGATTTGGGATGAGCCATGACAGGAACAATGCCCAGCACGGGTGTGGCGTGCTGCGGAATAGTCGTCGTATGTTCTGGTCTGATCTGCATTCCTCGTTCTCGACGTGGAAATTGTGGTTCACCCCCGAGGCACGATTGGTCTTGGCATTGGGTTTGCAGGACAACTGCTGGTGGGCATTTGTAATGGCACAATGACAACCGCAGGGCGTTATTCTCTCATTAGACTCCTGCATGTTCTGCTATCTACGCCGCCTTCGCAGATTTCCTCGCAACACTTTTCGAGTAGCCAGAGGACTTCTAGCTTCCAGGGACGAGCACCGGAGATCACCCCCAGAGAATGACTAAGCTTGGCCCTCTGCGCGGCAGAGGGGTAAAAGATTTGATTGAGTTTCTCCAGCCCGATGACCGAATAGAGGGGCAGCAGCTGCAGAGGGATTCTTGATGAGCGGCCCCACTGCGCAACCGGCGCCGGCGCTGCGTGTATGACACACGCGCTTGCAAGAGAGCTGATTTATTTCCATGCCCTTGATTATCATTGGGCTCGCTCTTGTTCGTGGAACCAGGACCCTTCCAACTTCGACTCCCACCCAATCCATAATCAATTCGGTGTGTGGCCCAGTGACAGCGACAGTATCGCCATCAGCACCATGGAGACGACACTACCTCTCCCGTTCCTCATTTCGGTTGCGGTGCCACCGGGGCTCGCAAACTCCGAGGGCCTCTCCCGCGACGAGGTCTCTTGCTTAGGAGCCGTCTTCTTCGACGCGACAAGCCAGAACCTCCCGAAGCTTCTCAACCTGCTCCGCCAGCACAATGCCTCATTCCACACCTTCTTCGACGCCACAAACCTCGAGTCCAGAGACGACGTGGTTTCCCTGCTTGACCACGGCGCGCGAAAAGTCTTCGTCCAGCCCGAGCAGTTGGCCAACTTCACAGATTTCGGGTCCCGAGTCGCCCCCGTGGTGACCGACCTCAAGCAGATATCGGCCGGTGCCGAAAGCGGAGTGCTTATCAAGGATGTCGACCCCAAGTCTGCCGATTTTGCCAGCCTCGTGGAAGCAAGCAAAGACGCCAAGATCTCGACCCTTTTCGTCCGTGCGACCGAGGGCTCATCGTCCGATGAACTTGTCGCGGCGAGCTCCCAGCTTGTTTCCGCGGTACTGATCATTCCATCCACAAGATTGACAGTCAAGAAGGAAGAGATGGGGTCCAAGGTCTACGTGCCGAGTCTGCTTGCTCGCAACTGGAAATCTGATCGGGCCGATGGTCTCATTCCGACGGTGGTTTGCGACGAGAGGGGAATTGCCCTAGGCCTCGTGTACAGCAGCCAGGAGAGCGTGGGAGAGTCGATCAAGACCCAGACTGGCGTCTACCAAAGTCGCAAGCGGGGCTTGTGGTACAAAGGTGCCAGCTCAGGCGATACTCAAGAACTCGTCAGGATCAGCTTGGACTGCGATAACGATGCGCTCAAGTTCATTGTCAAGCAGAAGGGCCGTTTCTGCCATCTCGAGCAGTTTGGCTGCTTCGGCGAACTGAAGGGCATCTCGAAGCTTGAACAGACCCTGATTTCGAGGAAGAAGTCGGCGCCGGAGGGCTCCTACACAAAGAGGCTGTTCTCCGATGAGAAACTCCTCAGAGCAAAGATCATGGAGGAAGCAGAAGAATTATGTGATGCCAAGTCGCCCGAGGATGTTGCCTTTGAGGCTGCTGATCTCATCTATTTCGCCCTCACCAAGGCCATTGGTGCTGGGGTCACCCTCGCCGACATCGAGAACAACCTCGATGCCAAGAGCCTGAAGGTTAAGAGGAGGCCTGGCAACGCTAAGGGCCAGTGGGCTGCGAAGGAGGGTATCGCCAATGGTCCTGCAGAAGACGCCAAAGAGGCTGCCAAGGCATCGACAGTACCTTTGACATCCGAGCCTGCAGCCGAAAAGCATACCGCCCCAGATTCCGATAAGATTGTGATGAAGAGGATCGACGTTTCGCAATCCAGCGAGGCGGACGTGTCCGCAGCTCTCAAACGGCCTTCGCAAAAGTCTGCCGACGCCATTCTGAACATTGTCACGCCTATCATCAATGACATCCGTGAGAACGGAGACAAGGCCCTCCTCTCCTACACCCACAAATTCGAGAAGGCGACCTCATTGACATCCCCAGTCCTTCGAGCGCCGTTTCCCAAGGAGATGATGAACCTTCCGGCTGAGACCATCAAGGCCATTGATGTTTCCTTTGAGAACATTCGCAAGTTTCATGCCGCACAAAAGGAAGAGAAGCCTCTTCAGGTTGAGACGATGCCAGGCGTTGTCTGTAGCAGATTCTCGAGGCCTATTGAGCGGGTTGGTCTGTACGTGCCCGGCGGTACTGCAGTCTTGCCCAGCACTGCGCTGATGCTGGGTGTGCCTGCTATGGTCGCCGGATGCCACAAGATCGTCCTGGCTTCGCCCCCCCGCGCGGACGGTAGCATCACCCCAGAAATTGTCTATGTCGCACACAAGGTTGGTGCTGAGAGTATCGTGTTGGCTGGCGGTGCCCAGGCCGTGGCTGCCATGGCCTACGGAACTGAAAGTGTTACCAAGGTGGACAAGATCCTTGGTCCTGGCAACCAGTTCGTAACTGCCGCCAAGATGTTTGTGAGCAACGATACCAACGCTGGGGTAAGCATTGACATGCCGGCTGGCCCGTCCGAGGTCCTTGTCATTGCGGACCGTGACGCCAACCCTGCCTTTGTCGCTTCCGATCTGCTCTCGCAAGCAGAGCACGGTGTCGACAGCCAGGTCATCTGCATTGCCGTTGGCATGGACGAGCAGCACCTGACGGCCCTTGACGACGAGCTGCACAAGCAGGCTATGGCTCTGCCTCGCGTTGACATTGTTAGGGGCTCCATCGCCCACTCAGTGACCATCATTGTCAAGGACATCGAAGAGGCCATGAGGATTAGCAACGACTACGCGCCCGAGCACTTGATCCTGCAGATCAAGGATGCCGAGTCGGTCGTGCCCAAGGTCATGAATGCCGGCAGTGTGTTCATTGGCCAGTGGACCCCCGAGAGTGTTGGCGACTACTCTGCTGGTGTCAACCATTCTCTGCGTAAGTCTTCCCTTGCGTGTATCATCCCTCTGTCGATATGCGCACTGTACACGAGAACACGAAGCTAACAATCTATATTGCCTTGCTTTCTACAGCTACCTACGGATTCGCCAAGCAGTACTCTGGCGTCAACTTGGCGTCATTTGTCAAGCACATTACCAGCTCGAACCTGACGGCGGAGGGATTGAAGAACGTGGGCGACGCGGTCATGCAGCTGGCCAAGGTTGAGGAACTCGAGGCGCACCGGAGAGCAGTCAGCATCAGACTGGCTTCCCTGAATAAATAGACAAGGTTGTGGTCTGGGTGCTGGATGCTTTTGCAACATTGGGTATATATCAGGATGGAAGGGCAAGGATCTGGCTGAGTATGCGGCTGGCTCCGAGGGGTGGTAAAATATTGTCTAGATATAGATGGCGTCAGCTTGTTTACACAAGAAAGACTGGCGTTTGGTGATACTTCTTGGATTTGAATATGCTTGTTCGTATTCAAAGATCTTTGGCTTGAGTGTCGAGCGCGGGATGTTGACAGGCTCGATGACGGCTCACTAGTAGGGACCGTGCACAATCCCTGATTATGCCGCAAGCTGACAGTCGCTTGTGGAATCACTAGGTAAGCCTACCGCCAGGCTACCCATCAAGCCTTGGGACATGGGTGGCGGCAATGGCCAAATCGGGAAGAAGAACCCTTGAGCCAGGATTCGACACCCTTGTACACCATCCGGGAGACATCCGAAATCTTACCAGCAACAACATTGACTATTTTCCAAGCAGCTCGCCACGGATAGAGCAGCCCTTCCTTCGCAAGCCGCGCCGCAGGGAAACCCATTGTTTCCCCACCGTGTCTGGCAGACCGTTGGAAATGTCTCTCTCTAAGGTGAAATGTGAGACCATTGGTCGTGCTGGGGTTCTCCACTTGTCTGGAGCCTGAGCGAGCGGCGCACGGCCGGGCCTTATGATTCCAGCTGGAGATGAAGGGATCTCATGTCGATGCGGCCAAACGCAGGGACGAGCGCACTCATATCGCACGGGACTGATAAGGCTCCGTGGGATGTTGGTCGCGACTAAAGCTCTTTGTGGCTAAGATGTGAGATTCGTGGGAAGATCACGCCGAGGATTTGGAGGACTGGTGACCAGGGCCCCTTGTCGGAGTAAGTGCTGATGGGTTGCTGCAAGGTGCTTCAGCCGCACCAACACCTCTGTTCTGGAGGAACCTAACTCGCCTAGCTAGAGGTGGGTGGTGATGGACACGCCAGACTGCCTGCGTAAGTTGTCAAGGCTGAAGGGCTCGGATATGTATTTGTTGGGCCAAGGGCCGACGATCGACACAAAGAGGCAAAGAGGCAGTCAGGCAGGCAGGACTTGTGGTGTTCCGGACTGCGTGATGATGGGCGGGCGGGCAAGGACTTTGCAGGTTGACAACACACACCCTGGCTGGTGTGGAGGGAGGTCAGCAGCATGGTGGAGATGGGATGGCGCTGGTGCCACTGTTTGCTTATAATAGATGCGGGGCGGACGGCATGGCGCAGGGAAGCCACCAACGCAAAACATCAGCCAACAGTGGTGGGTGCACTGCCAAACACGGGCTTGGTGAACAGCCTCGATGGCTTGCTCGAAGAGGCAGACGGTACCAGGCCAAGGGCGAGTGGCCGACCGTGTGATGTCAGCGCGCTGCGGTCAGCATCGCTGCCATATCGAGATGCCTGGCCGGCCTCACATGCATCTGCATGCCTCTCTCTGCATGCGAGCTATCTAGCTAGTCCTTGACCATGCAGCCATTCTAACAAGACCAACACGCTGCCGCCTCTCCGTCTGCTCGACGAGGCTCTTGAGTTTGGTGTGCTGTGTCCTGCTAACACGTCCGTTTCTTCCTGTTGTGTCCCCCACTCTCGCTCCCGGCCGTGCTTGCTCGCCGCGCACCACACCATCTCGTCCTCGTGGATGCCCCGTCGCTGTCTCGCTTCCTCCCGGCTGTCACCTCCCCGATACAACTTTGATCCTCTCTGCGCCCACCCGCATATCTTTGTATATTGTTTCTCCCGATCCAGCTCGCTGGCCTCTACTTTTCGATACAAAGAAGCGTGTCATCCTAGCAGCATGGTCGTCCTCGCCAGGCCACTGCTGCTCCTCGCGGCTGCGACATCAGCCATATCCACCGTCTGGGCCCAGACGACAACCTCCTTTTCGACAAGCTCGTTTTCGACAAGCGCATCGACTACGACCTCGACGAGGACCCCGACAACGACTTCATCGCGGCCGCCCGCCACCATCACGGTCAAGGTCGGCCTCCAGCATGACTTCCAGCCCGATGTCATCACCGCCAGGAAGGGCGACGTGATACGTATGTCGACCATTCACGCTGAGCAGCATGAAGAGCGGCTGACATATCTTCGGCAACAGACTTCGATTTCTACCCTCGTAACCATAGTGTGGTTCGCGTGCGTATATCCTCGCCTGTCCTTCTTTTACAGGGCCACGAGTCGACACACTGCTTTGTGGAGCAACTTGTGTTAACTCTCCTCTCTAGGCGGCCTTCAAGAACCCTTGTATCCCATACAACCTCGTCTATCCCGGCAGCGACCTTTTCTTCAGTGGACCCAAGGAGTCACAGCCCGGCCAAACGCCTCCCACCTGGGAACTCACCGTCAATGACACCTCACCGACGTTTTTCTATTGGTATGTAGTTTCGAACTCTCAGACTGATAATGACCTGCTGATTATTCTGACTCTGTGACACAGCTCTGCCCCGGGTTCCTGCATTGATTGGGCGATGATTGGTGTGATCAATCCGGTGAGATATGCCTTGTGTCTCCAGAAGCTTCCATATTCAAGTTTGATCTCTGACTTTTACCCAGAATGGCACGCACAATCTCGAAATCCAGAAGCAGTACCAGGAAGCAGCAACCTTTCAGCTGAGTCCCGGAGAGGCCTTTCCAGACGAAGCCTCGCCACCAGTCAATCCGAATGACCCAAGCACGACGCCGACAGCGACAGCGACTCCGCCCTCGAACAGCGGCTCGAGCTCAGGCCCGGCCTTATCAGCTGGCGCCATCGCGGGCATTGCTATCGGAGGTGCTGCTGTTCTCATCATCGCTATCGCCCTCATCTATGTATGTGGTCGAAAGGGAGGTATCGAGAAGGGCTACAGGCGCAGCACCCTAGCGCCTACGACACCAGCGTCCATGGGCGTAGCCTTACCCCCCAAGAGTTCTCCTCCGCCGAGTTCTCCGTACGGAGCACGAAGCGATACTTGGAGGTCCTCGGTGGCGCCGAGCCAAGCGCCGAGCCACTTCAGTCCAAATCTGGCAAGCCCTCACAATTCGTTTATGGGCCAGCCAGGCTATGGCCCGCAACAAGGATACGGGTTTGCGGCGCAGCATACAGGACACTCTGCGGAGTTGGCAACGGCATAGTAAGTGTGGTCATATTGTCCACGATCATTTGCAGTTCTCGCGGCTGACGCTTGGGTGCTAGTGATCCTCCATATTCTCCTCCACCACCACAGCCTCCTATTGAGCTTCCGGGCAATCCTCACTCCGGCCATAGAGAATATTGATTGGCTGGGCTGCGATGCTGGAGGATAAATCTGGGGCTCAATTGGAATGTATGGGGTTCGTCTATATCAATCAGCACACTTTGTGGCATTTACATGGCGTTTAGTATATCCAAGAGACACACCAACCCGCCGGGGATGGGCGAGATACATGCAATGTTGTTCTGCCACTATGACTGTCTAGTAATTTAAGAATTTGAGCAAACACAAATCAATATTGATGCCTTCACTAGCTGTCCATTCTTCGCCGCATCATAGGGAACATCACCACTTCGGCTCGGGGAGAGTGTTCTCAGTGGTCGAACATGACGACGCAGGGTAGCTTTGTGACAACCTAGAGTAAGATAGAGATAGTTTCCACCCCGCAGCGCATTTCCCCTCGCAGCAATCATTCAATTCCGACTCAACCCCAAAATTGTGTCCCACTATGGACGCCTGCGTGCGTATGTTATCGACCACCAAATGCTATGCAACTGACAAGAGAGCAGCAATTCCATCAGTCGCTCCCTTCGTGATACTGAACTGAAATCATGAGGAAACACGGTCCAGTATATGACATCCTGCTGACCTTTTCTACTTCATAAGAAGACTCAGGGCCCGCTTCAGCTTGTCTCGTCGCCGCGTCTTCAACACCCAAGGTAGTGTTGGATTTGCCAAACGTTGGTCATCACTTGTCGTGACATTGACACGTCCCAAAACTTTCTCGAATCCATGAAACGCCCGCATATGCAGCTCCTCTGCCTCGCCTAGCTTTCCCTGGTTAGCGTAAAGCACGCTAAGGTTGTGGACCGTCGTAAGTGTTGATGTATGATCCGGTCCAAGTGCCTTCTCTTTCCCATTGAGCGCTCGCAAGTACATCTTCTCGGCCTCGCCCAGCTTTCCCTGATTAGAGTAAAGCACACCAAGGTTTTGGACCGTCGTAAGCGTTGATTTATGATCCGGTCCAAGTGCCTTCTCTTTCCCATCGAGCGCTCGCAAGTACATCTTCTCGGCCTCGCCTAGCTTACCCTGATTTCTATAAAGGTTTCCAATATTGTTAACTACATCAAGTGTTGATGTATGATCCGGTCCAAGTGCCATTTCGTACCTATCGAGCGCCCGTAAGTACATCTTCTCGGCCTCGCCTAATTTGCCCTGATCTAAATAAAGGTTCCCAAGGTTACGGACTGCATTGAGTGTTGATATATGATCCGGTCCAAGTGCCTTCTCTTTTCCATCGAGCGCCCGTAAGTACATCTTCTCGGCCTCGCCTAGTCTTCTCTGATGAGAGTAAAGGTTCCCAATACTGAGGACTGTATTGAGTGTTGATATGTGATCCGGTCCAAGTGCCTCCTCGTACCCATGGAGCGCTCGCAAGTACATCTTCTCGGCCTCGCCTAGCCTTTGCTGATGCGAGTAAATGATCCCAAGGTTGTGAACTGTATCGAGTATCGATGTGTGATCCGGTCCCAGTGCCTTCTCTTTACCATCGAGGGCTAGCAAGTACATCTTCTCGGCCTCGCCCAGCTTTCCCTGGTCAGAATAAAGAAGGCCCAGAGAATGGCAGGCCCAACCTGGAGGAATATCGTTCTCGTCTAGTGTTGAGTAAGACCGAGTCGCGTGCGGTATTAGCCGCTTCTGAAGAAGCCAATATTCAGCTTCCGCGTGCCCTGGAACCTGCGACGCGACGCTCTCAACTGCAAGCCGATTCAACCAGCGATCCCGCTCTTCATTCAATACATGGACTGTCCAAGAATGCAGACAACCATGTATACTGTACCCTTGTGGCTGTTGGAACATGGTTGTGGGCTCGACAAGGCCGTAGTCGTGGAGGACGCCCATCGCATCATTGAAGATAAGCTCTTCCGAGAGCTGCCTCATCCATGCGGGGCCGGTTGAGCTTACAGCGCGAAGAAGCTGAAACCATACGTCTTCGTTGTTGAAGTAGGCCCACCACCGGAGTAGATACGCTGCAAGTGGGCTTTGTGCTTGAACATGCTCATACGACAGCTGCCATGTCGAACTTAATGTGCGTTCAGCGTAGGATCCGAGATGCAGATTGCTGGTAACTCTGGCCCATGATTCTCGATAGTAGCGAAGATAGTCGCGTGTGCTGATCGGGACGCGCTTCAAATATGCTCCAGCCGTAGCCAGAGCAAGAGGAAGGCCGTCCAGTTCTCGCACAAGGTCTTGTGCATAGCAATCTGAAACAACGTCAGTCGTTGGAAATGGACTGGATCGAGATTCTTACCATCTTGTAAGCCACTCCGGCCAGATGCCTTTGACAATATCTGTAGACTCTCGTGTTGGGATTCGAGTTTCTCAAGTCGAATGTGATGTCCTATGTCGATTTGAGACAGGCGTGTTGTGATAACTATGGAGCCCTGATGTGCCGTCGGAAGAAACTGGTGGATGTCAACCGCTGCATCGGCTTTGCGCCCTGCAATCTTTGGGTTGTCGTAGTTATCATACACAATGAGCCATCTGGTGTTGCCTGTCAAGCTAAGCCACGCTTTCACGGCTTGAACAATCTTGTCGTGGTCTTGCTGCAGGTTCAGTCCCTTGAGGCTGTCGACATTGGCATTCTGTTCCAGGATCTGCGCTGCGATCCTAGCGAAGCTCTGCTGGATGGACGCTTCATCTTTGATATTCAACCAGAAGATCGCCGAGTACTCCTCCCGATATCGTTTGATATATGTCGCAGCGAGCTGTGTCTTGCCAATGCCGCCAAGGCCATGGAGCACGACGGTGCGACGGCTTCCGTCCGAGCACAGCATTCTTCGCATCTCGGCTATCTCTCCATCTCTTGCTACGAAATGTGGAGACTCGGGGACGCCAGAAAGGCTGAAGCTGATCGAAAAGTTGTTGTAGTGAGTGCCTAACTGCATTAGTCAATATAATTCCTCTCTGTTGCTTGGCTGTTTCTTACCTTTCACTGATTTCTGGACCTCTTCTCGCAACCTTCTTTGTGCTTGTTCACGACCCTCGCCATAGATGAGTGGTATATAAACGCCAAATATCCCAAGCAGCGAGTATGCCATGTCTTCCTCATACTTTGTCTCCCGGTTGCGGACCCATGCCTCGCGTTCGGAAGTCGTAAACTCAGATAATGGTGCATTCCGTAAAGCTCTGGCAGGAATCCCTGTCACGTCGCGTATAACAGCCTCCAGCGACCTCTTGTCGCCTAGGAAGACTCCTTCCTTTGAGTAGAACTCGACAATCTGCGGGGCGATGAGCTCCTGCAGTGTCCAGCCCCGCGTGAACCACCGACTGCCTCGGAAGGCGGCCTCCCACGACATCACGCCCAGCTGCTGACTGGAGGCCGAAGGACAGGAGACGTCGGACAGGAACACGTAGCATCTTTCCGCGCTACGATACCACCTGAACATGCTGTTGATTGCAGTCTGGAGTTCGATAGCGTCAGATTTGTCGATACAACAGGTGTCTACCCAGAAATGCTGCAGGCCATGTCGCTGGGCCTGATCGGCGCAGAATTGGATCTTTCTGTAGCCGATTTTCTGTTGCCAGTCATCCAAGCTCGTTTGTACATCAGCTTAGATAACCTCGTCGGCGCCCCAAGTGTGGGAAAGAATTGCGTAGGGGGGTGCGCTGTCGGCGGGCAGATCCGCCGTAAATGTGTATTTGTTGGCTTCATCTCGTTGTAGTAGCCGCATTGAAGGAGATGACTGATGACAGTAGGGTTTCCTGGTCGGAATGAGAAAGATATTCGGTGTTCGGAGGTCCCGCGTCAAGGTCATATGGGATACAAAGAAGCAGGCATCAGCATTATCAGGGCAGGATATCGGGCGGCCTCTAAGCGCCAACACAAGGCTGATTGTGCGGGGTACCAACATGCCACTTTCACAGTGAGGCAGACTTGTCACTCACCTGTGATGCTACAGTATACTGTGCATATGCAATATGCCTTTGCCTCATACACTCTGGAGCGCCCGCTTTTGAATTATTAGCAGTACAAAGAGATGCACGTGGGCCTTACTGTTTAGTGTAAATCAAGGGGTTACATAGTGCTACTGAATCTACGCTCAGGGCGCGGCGGAGTCTTCAACCTTCATACATTTGACGAACACTGATCGCGGTCACCACTGTAGCAGCCATTTCATGTCAAGTTGTTTTCTCACAGGAAGCATGCAGTGGAGCATTCTGGCGTCCACTTCGCAAGGTGTCTGGCAACAAAGCGTACGGACACAGCATTGTATCCCGGAAGAGAGTGCAAAGCGCTGGACCAACACCTTTGTGACCCACCTCCTCACTTTGCGTGGTTGGACGCAGCTCGCGCCCATATCCTAGGTCTCTTGTGAGAAAAGCAATAGAGCTAATTATGGCAATGGCCAACCAACATCACGACCTTGGGGTTCCACATGTCCCGATCGGGAAGGAGGGGCCGATCCTCCACCTCGTCTCGCCCATTTAGCATGCTCTCATGCACCGAGCTTCGATAGAATCAATTCTGGAATTTCACGCGGTGTGCTTTGTGTTGAAGGCTGGTTGGAAATCCTGGACATCTCAGGTTTATTTTTTTGCCGTTTATTTATGCCGCAGCTGGCTTTTCTAGAACGTTTCTTGAACTTTCCTTGTTGCGTGGCCCCCAGCTAACTCTGACAACCTTCCACATGGTTTGTCCTGGGTTGTCTCTGTCACTATCATCGAGCACGGCTCGAGCCTTCAGTCGTGGGCTACTGTATTCATGACCCATTTGACTTACCCGTGTGCAACGCAATTGCCTGATTGGAAACCCTCCGACCGAGCACACAGCACACGGCGTACTGCCGATTGTCATCCCAGAGCAAAACAGCGGTGCTTAATTCCAGTACATCACGAGCGCCAGCACAAACACAAGCACGGCCATTTACTACCAACTGTCTTGGGGTGCCAGGCTGAGGTATGGGGGCCAGTCATCTCAGGAAAGTTCCATGTAAGTGGCTTGGGACGTGATCAATACGCCATCCGCACAACAGGCATGGGTAGCGCATCGCTAGAAGCTTTCCTGCTCAATCGCTCTCCTATTCCATGGACCTCCCAAGCCTAAACCCCATTGCGGAGTCGCAGAAATCGCGTCTAGACCGTCTATAACCATCCCGGACTGTCCGCGGCCCCTGATGCGTCCCCCTGCACCGGCTCCGAACCTAAGAATCAGAAACAGAAGCAACACCCACCCGAATCACGGTACGTGCTACTGCCAGACTGATAGTTCTGCTGAACCAATTCGTCATCGGTTTGCACTGCCGGCTGATGGACGGAGATCCAGATCTAAGGAACACAGCTCCTGAAACACCAGTGTGATTTGCTTTGTCCGCAAACACAAAAAGAAATTTCTCAAAACCTCGTAGGACTGGTGTCAACCCTTGGGGATAAGCAGAGCCTGCATCCGAAACCCCTAAAAAACAACGCAAGCCCAACCTGTTAGCCGAAACTACCAATACTGAGGAAGAAGAACAAAAGGGGAAAGACGGTCAAGAGAACTTACGTCAAACACGGCGCTCACCGTCGCAAACCGCGCTCCCTCCCCGCCGCCGTTCACCTTGATTGGATATGACCCGAAGCTCCCCGACTCGCCTGCCCAGGAGAGGTACTCAGACTCCATGGCGCCGCCGACAATGAGTGCGAGCCCACGGAAGCCGCACTCGTCGACAGCAATGTGGAAGCCTTGGAGCAGACCGGGAGTGCTGTTCTTGCCGCTATTGGTTCGGGTGCTGCTGCTAGTTATGACGAGTGCCGCTTCTTGCGGAGTGTTGCTGCCACGCCGGCGCGGGACATGTAAGACTGTCCGGTCTGTTGACCTGAGGGCCACATAGCCTAAAGTGACCACATTGTCGCCATCTAACATAAGACTTTCGTCCCCGGTCTTGTCTTTGGTCCCCCAGACACTATATGGTCCAGCTTCGCCTTCCCTTTGTCCAAGAACAAAGCTCAACCCCGTGATGTACCGCACGTCAAAGAACTCGACAATAGAGACAACAACGCTCTCGACCATTCTGTCTGGCGGGATCTGAATCTCCGCCCTCGTCACCCGGCGGCCCATGTCTCCCCAGGATTCTGGGTTGAGCTGCTTGACCGTCGTCACCGTCCTCCAACCCTCACGATCGCCGCGACGACGAGGGCCACCACCACCGGTATCTCTGTTGTTCTCTTCCTCACCAAATACGTGGCCCCATCCACCACCACCATCCCAGGTCTGCCAGAACCCTGGACCCGAGAAGACGACTCTCCCCAGGACCTCTTCTGCTAATCTATTGCTGCCGACAGCCTCGACAGCCCGGGCCAGGGGCCGAACCGTCTGCCGCCATATGCGCAACCGGTTCTTCTCCCCGAGGCACACCTGATTCAGCCTCAGCCTGCTCTGCATGAACTTGTATAGGGCGTGCCAATCCAGTCCGAGCCTGCGGCTCGGGCCGAGAAGGAACCCATCAAAGATGACCTCGAGCTCCCGGCCAGGCCAGAAGCGACTCGAGAAAAAATACTGCGTCAGCGGTGTAGCAGCCATGGAGCGTGAGGCGAGACGTAATTGGCAGACGTCGGCCGAGGAGAGGGTGGTAAGGATCATCTCTCTGATTTCGAGGGGCAGAATAGTGAATGGATCGTCGACTGTCACTGTTGTCGTGGGCGTTGTTTCCGTAGGAATAGGCGGAGATTCACAGGCAGGAGATATTGCAATACTGCTTGTCGTGAGAAACGTTTCTTCTGGCGGCTCCATCTCGCTGTGGCCATCACGATGACCGTTTCTGACCCCATCCCCAGTAACCGCCTGGCCGCCGCCTCCCACAGAGCTGACCCTGCCCTCACGGTGATACGAGTCCGGCAGAGCCTCGTCGATCCGCAGCCTCGCCATGATGGTCTGCAATTCTGGGACGCGGAACGGATCCGAGTACGTGCTAGGAATCACGAGGTTTGAGTTGCTGCTCAGCAGCACAAAATGCTCTCCGCGAGCCTGGTCCTTGGCAACGCCGAGGTACAGACCGCCATAGTTGTGGCCCCAGTTGGGCAGGTCATACGCGCAAGGGACAGACTGGAGAATCCGCCAGAGTGCACGGATGTCGACTGCCGTGCTCCCCTCACCAGTGCGATCGTCGCCACGACCGCAGCCAGAACCCGCGGAGGCCTGCTCAAGCAGACGCCAGCACGCATCATGAAACACAAACCCCCAGCTGTACTCGGCCTGCTCAGCCTCGGATATGTCTACCGGCGGGGGCCTGATGCCGCGGATGTGCACAAAGTCCGACAGCGGGTTGAGGTCCGGGTCGTTGAACCTTCGGCCAGCGTCGCGCGGGACCGGGGTGGCGAGCTGCGCGGCGTCGTCATGGCGATGGAAGCCGATCCCCGACAGCTGTGGGTTTGTGTCGGCCGGCCCCGTGCAGTACACGGCCCGGCACAGCGACGTCCACGCGGTGTCGGTTGCGCCGAAGCGTGGGCGGATGTATCCGCACAGCCCGCATGTCAGCTTACTTGCTGCCTCCATCAATCAAGCCAAGGAGGGCTGGGCCCCAGAATCTGTCGCCGCCGCCGCTGCCGCCGCCGACGATGACGGGGTGCGTGCCGGGGCTGAGGACAGTGTTGTGGATCGGGATGCCGCCAGGTGTGCTGGGTTGGTTGGTCTTGTCGGCGCCGTGGAGGATGATAAGGGATCTCGGCTGGGCAGACGTCGCTGGATGAGCTGTTCCGAGGAAACGCCTTTGAGAGTGGCTGCAGACGAGCGACAAGACCAGATGCGAATGGCTACCCGCGATGTTGTGACATGCAGCAGGCCAAGGCAGCCACGAAAGGACCCTTTTTCTGGTGGACTGCTCAAATTCAGGCTCAGGGTCTTAGCAGTGACGTAGGCCCGGAGGGCTCCTCCGCCGCTTGTGGACCCTTGCTCCAGCTACGTCCGCTGCGTACTTTACAGCTTTTGGAGGCGGGCCTCGCTCACGAACACCTGGACCGACCGACGTAAGAAAGCACGCAGGGCTAAGCACGCAGGTAAGCACTGCAACCACAATCTACTTGCCCCAAAGAAAACATGGAATCTCTTGACTCTGGACGAACCCCTGGCGCGCCGCATAACCCAAGAGTCTGCCCAGCCCCAGGATGTGAAACTCCAAATGCAGCAGCTGCGCTACCGATGCCTGCCTTGTCAGCTCATGGTCAGCACATTATCTTTCGAGACAAACAGAAGTTGGGGTCGAGTGCGGTCAACGCTTCAGAGAAATCCCCGTGCCGGGGCGGCTTGTGAGTGAACCGAGTCCTCCACCATGATTCCACATCATCAACTCGCATATTACATGGGATGTCCCCCAATCACTGCCATATCGGGTACCAGCCGCTCGGCCAACAGTCGTGGACGCTTGACTCATGTTGTCATTGTTCCTGAATGCAAGAAGGCGGTATTCACGCCAGACTGTCGATAAGATAATTGAACAGTGAAAATCCCCTAACACCTCTGTCCCCATCTCGCTTCCCAAGAAATCCTGCAAACCATGAGCATGATGCAACCATGCCCGTAACCTAATCCTCGCACCAAGTTTCTCTGCACGTGGCACAAATCCGATCCGCAAAGGCCGTGTCTCTAGCATATTTGATCTAGTCTTCCCAAAAAGCCAAACGGACAATGTCTCCAAAGAAAAGCAAACACGCTTAGAAATGCTCCTTCCAGAAGCGGAAGTTGACCTCTTTTGTCGACGCCTTCTTGGCAGCCTTCTTGATATCACGCGCTGAGGACCAACAGAGGTTAGCAAAATGCTCGAAATACCACGTCCGAAGAGCAGACAAGAGGCAGACTTACCAGCTGCAGAAGGACCACAGAAGTAGACACCGACCGTGGTGGTCATGCTGCCCTCGAGGCCGTTGATGTAGGTCCGGTCCAGGATGCCATCACGCATCCCTTCAAACATGCGGCCAAAGTTGGGTCGACCAAAGTTGGTTCGCGACTTGAGCTCCGTCAGCGGGTCGTGGTCGGCGCCAACACTGTTGAGCACAATGTTTTGTTGTGTGTCCATGTCGAGCTTCTGTGTCAGGAAGGTGTGGATCTTGAGGAACTCGACGCCGTTGCTGCCAGGCAGGCGCGCGGCCTCGGTACTCTGCGACTCGAGCGAAGAAAGCAGGGTCTGGAACCACTCGAATGAGCCAGTGTCCTTGCAGACCCAGATGAACTCGATACGGCGCAGGCGCTTGGGCGGGTTCGGGCTCTGGCGCAAGTGCCAAATGTTCTTGAGAATGGCGGCCCACGGCGTCACACCAATACCGGTACCGATGACGACTGCAATCTCGTTCTCGAAGACATCTTCAGCTGGCGCACCATAAGGGCCATCGATACGCAACGTAGGCATCTGTTGACCGTTCTGTAGAGCAACCTCGTACATGCCCATGGGGTCAACGCCATCGTAAAGCTTGGCCTGAGCAGCACCGGCACCGACAGCGTCACCAAGAGCGCGCGTGAAGTCACCAACTTGGCGGACGTGAACAGAGACGTATGGGTCAAAGGGGCACGAGGTGATGGTGAATGGATGCCACTGGTACTTGGAGACGCTGGGAACCTGCAGGAAGAGCCACTGTCCGGCCTTGTACTTGAAGGACGGCTTCTCGAACTGGATCTCGACGACGTCTGGACAAACTAGTGTCAGCTTTTTCATTCCACTGACGATGTTTCAGGATTGCGATGCTCAGCTTACCATATGGATGACGGACCACACGGGTGATCTTGGTCGACTTGGCTGCGCGGATCTCGCGGTACAGGCGTTCGCACAAGTAAAGACCACCAGCCCACAGCTCCCATCTCCAGCCCTGGTAACCGATGCAGTGCTCCCAGAAGAGATCGCCAGCAAAGGGGGAGAATGGGAGGGCCGTGTCACGGACGAAGCAGCCAACAGCGTGAGTGTAAAGGCCGAGTAGGAACGGGATGAACAGGTGGTGCGTGTACCAGAACGTCTCGAACGACTGTTGGCGGATGCGGTGGTGGGCGGTGGTGTACATCATCAACATGCAGAACAACATGATGTGGCCGGTGATGCCTCCGGGCTGTGTGTAGTGGATTTGGATCGCGGTCTCGGGTCTGATCTGCGTCTTCTCGACGTTGAAAAAGCTGCACAAAGGTCTTGTTAGTCTCACACAAGAAGTATGTCTCCAAGGAAATTCGCGCAACCTACTTGACATAATGGGCCGAGACGTGGATAATGGTGAAGACCAGCATCGCATATGCGACCTGTCGATGGAACCAAAGGTTCTCGTCCAGAGGCAAGAACTTGACCTTGGGACGGATCCAGCGCACTAGTGTGCGGCACACCGGAAGCAAGATCAGGGTTCCATCGCAGGCGAGCACCAAACCAGCACCGCGAGAGAGCCACACGGAGAACTTGAGCGTGTTGAGACCGGCCAGACGATCATCGGTCAATTGCTTCCACCTGTGTGCAAAATCGATTAGTACTCTGATCCCCGCCCACCATTAGCGTGCCTAGTGCTGCTGAACGTACCAACCGTAGCCGAACATGAACCAGTGGAAGCCCCAAAACAAGATGTGGAAGAAGATCTTGCTCGCAGTAAACTGCTTCTTGATGAGTGAAAGGACCGCCATTGTTGAATACGAGTAGCTTGGCGACGGTGGGATGGTGTGAGATTTCGGGGCGAAGGCGGTATTAGAAGTCGACCGGCGACAGTGAGAGGTATCGGTTGGATCTGGGCTCGAGGAAACGACTGAGACGGTGTTGAGAACCCGGGCGCGACTGTACTCCCAATGCCAGCTGGATTTTCTCCCGTTCGATTACAAGGCGACGGACCGCGTTGCCAGCATAACAATTATAATCAGAGGCGCAAAAAAAGAGTGACCGAAGCCAGCAGTCGTGGAAGTGAAATCGGGGCGGCCCGAGAGGGAATGAGGAGAAAAAGAGAGAGAGAGAGACGGTGGGATGGTACGTCTCGATCGCCCAGCAATGAGATAAAGAAGGGAGGAGTGTGCGGGCAGCGGCGGGTGAGACCGTGTGATAAAAGAAGATGGCCAGCTGCAAGCAATTGATCCCCTGGGCAGGGTTGAGGGTGGAAAGAGCCAGTCCCGGGCGGGGTGCCACTAATACACGGAGCCGTTCAGATGGAGGAGCCCCTTGGGACTATCAGACCAGGGCTGGCTGCCGATGCGGGTGACGGCTCCTGATTGAAACCGTTGCCGCAATGAGCTGGGGAGGGAGGCTTGAGCCAGAGGACTGGAACGAGGGCCAGTGCCAGCGCCGATCAACGACTGCCGGGCGTGATCGCGTGCTGGAGTCCAGGCTTTGGGACGAGCCTGGAGGCTGCGCAGCAAAGTGCTTCGGCTGCGATCTTTGGATGGAGGCTGACGGGGTCCGAAGGGGTTGCGACAGGGACTGTTTTGTTGTGTGTTTCGGCAGGGGTCTGGTGGTGGTGCTATCGGAGCTGTGGGTATAACAGGACAGGCGAACCTTGCAGGGTCGGGACGTGCTGAAGCGTGCAAGAAGAACGGACGAGGAGGAAACGGCTGCGCGACAGCGACCGTGCTGGCAACTTGTCCGATATTATGTCGTGCAGATGAAGAAAGGATGCAGATCATGAACACGCCGGGCGGCAAGAGTGTAAGTAGCTCCGGGGCGTCTGGTTCTGCGCGCCAGGCCGGCGGAGCTGCTGTGTGATAGCAACTCGAGTTGCTGGCAACCCAGCCCAATCAGAAACAAGCTGCCTAGGCGGGAGCGCCGCATTTCGTCCCCAGAGGCCCGCGCCGGTCGCCCTGCCGGCGGCTCCTGAACGACTGGGATTCGCCGGGCCCTGCGAGTGGGCCACCAAGCACAGCAAATCACAGCGCCCGCTGCTATGCGCCAGGCTCGGATGGCAAGGGGCGTGGTCGTGACTGGGGCTTGTCCTGAAGCACGGCGCTCGGGAACCTTGCACAAGGGCTTCGGCGATGTGGCCGGCCCTCGACTGGGCTGCTTGGCTGCTGCTCCTATTCAGGCACACATGCTGGCTGCAAGGTTCTTGCAGCATTCGGCACCACCGTCAGCCTTGCAGAGATTGTTCCTTGCCCCTGGACTCCACGTTGTCCAGGCCGGAGTCAGGAAAAGCAGTCTGGGCATGCTTCGGGTGCACATTCCATCGTACGTTGTGCAAGCCAGTAGCCGTGGTGTCTTGTGCTTACTGGTATGGGACGACCTGCTGTCAACACCACGGCCCCTGGCTCCCATCGTCCGGTTCCCAAACACTCTGGGGGTCGATCATGGGAAAAAATCGTACGATCGAGCTGTCGAGGCTGCATACAGCGTGTAAATGGCCACAATGCTGTACGACACTGCAGTATTTAACATGCCTCTGCCTCCCCCAGAAATCTGAGCTGATGTTGTCTGATCTTAACGTGGTGCAATTGTCCCAGTTGCTCCCGACAGCGAACACTTCAGATGATGGCTGGCTTGCAGAAGAGAAGCGCCATCAGTCCACAACGCCACTCTCGATGCCGACTGGTAAGTGGCATCAAGGATCGTCGAAGCGCCGCAGCACCAGTCTGCCTTGCAGGCACAACTCGCACAACCTCGACTGCATAACCTGGACGGGCGACACGAGCAACCAATCCTGGAGCAAGGCTCTTGACCAAGTCCAAGCACTTCACGTCACGACTTGAAGCCAGGGCGAACCTCCTGAGAGGGCTTGGTGTGTCCAGAAGAACTTTTGCGAGCTTCAGGTTTGGCATGGCTGTGTTTCTGCAACTCTGCAAGATCAGGAGTTTCCAAAGGCGGCAACACGTTCCCCACCTCCAGGACCTGGTCGTCCCAGACTTGAGACGAGGAGGCTGGCGGTTTCTCCTTTGACCTGGCCTTGTGGAGCCCGGAGCCGCAGGCTTGTCGCATGCTGAAGAACCAGGCGTTTGCAAGTCTCGCCGATCACTCCGCTACTTATATTGTCGACAACGATGTTGAGACGTTTTCAGATGCCCGCAAGGTCCCAAAACTCTTCCTGAAGCGGCTTGCTCGCTAATTGAGAGCTCGGTGGCGGAACCAGCTGTTTGGGTTTTTCGGTTTGACACTGACAAGTCTGTCGCAGCTTCCGTTGAAAGTGGGGAACACACAGCGCCAACGGCCAGAAGCCGGCTTCGTGAAGGAATGCTTCTCCTCCAAATCTACCGGGCTCACGTGCTGCGTGATGTGCATGTAGCAATAAAAGCAAAGCGATACCCCGGATTTCGTGCCAAGTATGGATGCAATGTATGCTATGTTCGGCACCAAACGGCAATGTCTGTCGTCCGTGAGAGAGTGTTGTGGTCGGCTGTGCCTGCGAAGGGTGGATTCCTTGATATCCAGCCGCCGTGCCTGCCGTGCCATTCCAGCTGGCTCACAGGGTGGTGTCGTGTCGCCATATAGATCACGAATTTGTCATTCAAAATGTCACTGCGCGTGCTCGGGACCCAGGCTGTTGCAGAGCTGGACAAGTAATCACTGGCGGGATTGTGGGAGACGCCTGGTAGAAATAGCCTCATGTGCTTGATCTCGAGCGGCGTGACTGGCTGGCGTGAGAAGGACATCAATCACGGCCTAATGATAATGAGTGTCTCTATCATAAACAATGGGCTGTGTCGACTGGGTTGCGACGCCATGGTGGTGATGAGTATGATCTCGAATCACAGGCGTTGCCACGGTGGTCACAGCACAGGAAAATGCTGGGCTACTGCCACCGAGTCATGGCGTCGCGTACGTGATGCGAGCGTCTCTCGCCAGCGCTTGACACGCGCCTGGGTGGGCAAAGCGAAGCAGCCGTGAGCGATGACGAGTCTGGACAGAGCTTGGCGCAGCGACGACTGCTGGTCTGATTTGGAAAAGCGATGCTGGCTTGATCAGTGGCGATAGGCAGCACTTATCCGGCCCGCATGGGTGAGCTCGAGCCACGGTAGACGGGCCACGAAGTCTGGGGATTGGCTGCCTCCGCTGCCTGGGTGTGGTGATGAGCTGGTGCCTGCCTGTCGAGCCTGTGGCTGGGCATGCGCTTAGGAGCTGTGCGTCCAAGGGCAACTCAGCCACGCGGCGATACGTCAGCCCGGCCGCCCCAGAGAGGATGAGGTTGCGTCAGGGCCTTGGCTTCCCTACGCGCAAGGCTCCAGCGAGTGGGCCGAGTCGTCAAGCGCTCAGAGCTGGGGCCCGCCTCGCGACCATAGCTGCCCCAGCCCGCGCCCAGTCGGCCGGTTGGAACCAGGCCGCTCCAGCAATGTGACTTCACAACTTAGCGCATGTCTTGGACCTCAACCCCCCCTTAAGCCCCTCCACGCCATTGAACCCATCACCCTCGCGGCGACGGCCTTGCCATTCCTTGTCGCAAGACCGTCCTATTCACTGTGCCGCAGCTTCACGCCGGCTCACCGACTTCGCCATCAAGTAGCGCTGTCCTGAACCACCCGACGCCGCTCTGTGTGCCATCGCAGCACACGCGGGACCAGGTAGCCAGCCTTATCACAGCTCGATCTTGGACAAGCACCAAGCGGCAGCTTGGTCTCGTCACCCAGCATGGTAAGTCGAGATCTGAACTCCGCGAAGCGGATGCATGCGATTTTGCAAGCTTCATATACATCGTGGCCAGGCGTCTGACTGACGACGCGCGCAACAGGGAATCAGTCGGCGACCGAAGGACAAGTCCGGGGCAGGCGGCGCAGCTGCGCAAGCCGGCGCCGGCGCAAAGCCCAAGAAGGCGACCTTTGAGACGACAAAGAAGAAGGAGATTGGCGTGTCGGATCTGACGCTGCTCAGCAAAGTCTCTAACGAAGCCATCAATGAGAATCTCAAGAAGCGTTTCGAGGGTCGTGAGATCTACACATACATTGGCCACGTCCTGGTCTCCGTCAACCCCTTCCGCGATCTTGGCATCTACACCGATGACGTACTCGAGTCCTACAAGGGCAAGAACCGACTCGAAATGCCGCCGCACGTGTTCGCCATCGCCGAGTCTTCATACTACAACATGAAAGCGTACAAAGAGAACCAGTGTGTCATCATCTCCGGCGAGTCAGGCGCCGGCAAGACAGAGGCTGCAAAGCGCATCATGCAGTACATAGCCAACGTCTCTGGTGGTGAGAGTGGCGAGATCAAGCAGATCAAGGATATGGTGCTGGCAACCAACCCTCTCCTCGAGTCTTTCGGCAACGCCAAGACACTGCGGAACAACAACTCTTCACGTTTCGGCAAATACCTGCAAATACATTTCAACACCAATGGCGAGCCCGTTGGAGCCGACATCACCAACTATTTGCTAGAAAAGACTCGTGTCGTTGGGCAGATCATGAATGAGCGAAACTTCCACATCTTCTACCAGTTCGCGAAGGCCGCTCCCGAAAATTACCGGACGACGTTTGGCATCCAGCAACCAGAAACGTACGCCTATCTTAGTCGCTCAAAATGCTACAATGTAGACGGCATAGACGACGTGGCCGAGTTTCGTGATACCTTGAACGCCATGAAAGTCATCGGCTTATCGCAAGCCGAGCAAGACGACGTGTTCCGAATGTTGGCTGCAATTTTGTGGACCGGCAACGTTCACTTCGTGGAGGGCAATGATGGATATGCAGCGGTCGCTGATCAGTCTGTGATTGACTTCCTGGCATACCTCTTGGAGGTCACACCCGCGGAGCTTATCAAGGCAATCACCATTCGTATTCTCACACCCAGAAGCGGCGAGGTGATCGAGTCCACAACAAACGTTGCCCAAGCTACTGCCACCAGGGATGCGCTTGCCATGGCCATCTACAACAACCTATTCGACTGGATCGTCCAGAGGATCAACCAATCACTTAAAGCACGGCAGGCTACTTCCAACAACATTGGTATCCTAGATATCTATGGCTTTGAGATTTTCGAGAAAAACAGCTTTGAACAGCTGTGTATCAACTACGTTAATGAGAAGCTCCAGCAGATCTTCATCCAATTGACACTCAAGGCTGAGCAAGAAGAATATGCCCGGGAGCAGATTCAATGGACGCCAATCAAGTACTTCGACAACAAGATTGTTTGCGATCTCATTGAGCAAGTGCGGCCAGTCGGTGTCTTTTCTGCACTGAAGGACGCAACAAAGACTGCTCACGCCGACCCTGCGGCTTGCGATCGAACATTCATGCAGACCGTCAATGGCATGTCGAACGCCCATCTGACACCAAGACAGGGCAGCTTCATTATCAAGCACTACGCCGGTGATGTCAGCTATACTGTCGACGGTATCACCGACAAGAACAAGGATGCCCTTCTGAAGGGTGTGCAGAATCTCTTCCAGCAAAGCCAAAACCGCTTCGTTCACAACATCTTCCCCAACCAAGTGGATCAAGATAACCGCAAGCAACCGCCGACAGCCGGTGATCGAATCAGGGCCTCTGCGAACGCGCTCGTTGAGACATTGATGAAGTGTCAGCCTTCTTATATCCGAACCATCAAGCCAAACGAGAACAAATCTCCGACCGAGTACAATGTTCCGAATGTACTGCATCAGATCAAGTATCTTGGTTTGCAAGAGAACGTTCGCATCCGCCGCGCAGGGTTCGCCTATCGTCAGTCATTTGAGAAGTTTGTGGAGCGCTTCTTCCTCCTGTCTCCAGAGACGTCGTACGCTGGCGAATACACGTGGAATGGATCCGAAGAGGCTGCTGTGAAGCAGATCTTGAAGGACACCAGCATCCCCAAGGAAGAGTGGCAACTGGGCACAACCAAGGCCTTCATCAAGTCTCCCGAGACCCTGTTCGCCCTCGAGACCATGCGTGACCGCTACTGGCATAACATGGCCATCCGCATTCAGCGCATGTGGCGCGCGTATCTAGCCTACCGAGCCGAGTCCGCCACGCGTATCCAAAGGTTCTGGCGCAAGAAGCGGACGGGAGCCGAGTATCTTCAGTTGCGTGACCAGGGCCACAAAGTCCTTGGTGGTCGCAAAGAAAGACGGCGCATGAGTTTGCTAGGATCTCGCCGTTTCCTTGGCGATTATCTTGGGATCAATGCGAGCACCGGTCCCGGATCTCAGATCCGAGGAGCTGTGCAGATGTCCAGCAACGAAAAGGTGCTGTTTTCTTGTCGTGGTGAGGTCCTGGAGTCCAAATTTGGGCGTTCCAGCAAGCCTAGCCCGCGCATCTTGGTGGTCACCAACAGCAAGTTCTATGTCGTGGCCCAAGCCTTGACCAACGGTCAGGTTCAAATCATGGTTGAAAAGTCTGTGCCACTCGGCGCCATCAAGTTTGTCGGGACATCGACTTGTCGCGATGACTGGTTCTCGCTCGGCATTGGCTCGCCTCAAGAACCTGATCCTCTGCTTAACTGTGTCTTCAAGACCGAGCTGTTCACTCAGATGCAAAGAGTCATGCCCGGCGGGTTCAACCTGAAGATCGCGGAGAGCATCGAGTACGCCAAGAAGCCCGGCAAGATGCAGCTGATCAAGGTTGTCAAGGATTCGCCACAACCTGTGGACTTCTACAAGAGTGGCGCCATCCACACGCAGCCCGGTGAACCTCCATCGTCAGGCTCAAAGCCCACACCAAAGGGCAAGCCAGTACCACCACGCCCGATCACTCGGGGCAAGTTGATCAAGCCTGGCGGTCCCAACGGCAGGCCCTCGAGGCTGGCCGGCAATCGTGGCGCTGGTAAACGACCAGTTCCAGCTGCTCAAACGTCCCGTGCTGTGCCCACTCCTGCGGCTGTGACTGCCCCAGCGGCGGCCACGACTACACTGCCTTCGCATACCCGGAACCAGAACTCGAGCTCTGCTGTTCGAGCACCTCCGCCGCCTCCGCCTCCCGCTGCGCCACCGGCTGTAGCTGCGAAGCCGACGGCAAAGGTCCTTTATGACTTTGCCGGCCAGAGGGATAATGAGCTCACTGTTAAGGCGGGCGATATCGTCGAGATCGTGCAGAAAGAGAACAATGGTAAGATCTCCTCACTAGCCAGTTCTGAATCAGGACCAACCGCTAACTCTCACGCTTCTGTGCAACAGGATGGTGGCTCGCAAAGAATAGTGCTGGCCAGGCATGGGTCCCTGCCGCCTACGTCGAGGAGCAAGCACCGCCGCCGCCTCCGGCAGCAACTCCTCGCGCACCACCGCCGCCACCCAACGGTGCTCGGGCAAAGCCGGCGGCGCCTCAGCCACCCGCGAAGCGTCCCATCCCGGGCAACAAACGACCCGGTGGCGTGCCGCAGCCTCGTGATTCCGGGTACAGTCTTGCGGCCAATGGTTCCGACAGCAGCCGGAGCAACACCCCGACGCCGAGTCTGGCAGGCTCGCTGGCCGATGCCCTCAAGGCACGGCAGACGGCAATGTCTGCAAAGAAGGAGGAGGATGATGATTGGTAGACTCGTGGATAATTCGTGAGGGCTCGCACAGACTCGGAGTCTCGGCATACAAAGAGAACAGCATCACGACAGGAACGACGATAAAAGATGAATGATGTAAAGTTTCAGGTTGGCCGGAAATCTTTGGTCATATTGGCAGCATGTGATCAACAACAGAGTTCTCTTTTTTTTCTGGTTGCTACTGATCGCTCTCAGCGCGTCTTGTCCTCGCCCAGGCCCTGGGTATCGGCCCAGTGTCCAGGGCCTGTGTACGGCGCAAGGAGTGATGAAACGTGCATTATCGGGTGAAAAGACGGACTGCAAGGGCTGCTGTATATGTGCTTAGACATGACATATTTATATCTATATATATACACACACACACACACAGATGGCTTTTCCTTGCGAGCGCGTCGGTGTCGCTGTACATGTAATGGTGCTCTGTCTTTGCCGAAACCCAACCTGCCCAGCTTGCGTTGAGAATTTTCACACACTGGTTTCTCAAGTATCTAGGGAGGAAGGTGCATTGCCGGCCTTGCGCCTCTTTACGAGCTCTGCAAGGGGCATATCCTCATCCTCAAAGTCACCCTGTGAGACTTCGCCGGTACTTAACACGAGCACCGCCGCGTCGTGCTCATCTGCAACGTAGCCACCAGCGTCTTCTCGGTCCTCGTAAGAAGCTGGTGATTCATCATCATCATCGCCATCGTCATGAAAGTCATCAAACTCGGCGTCCTCGTCGACGCCGTAGTCCCCGAGATGCTCGCCATCGGCATTGACCCAGCCCGACTTGCCTTCATCCACCACGACCCTTGTTGAGGTCAAGCCCGGGCCACGACTGCCACCACCACGGACGGGCAACTCCTCCAGCTCCCCCAATATAGCAGACCGCGTGAGCTCCTCCCCGTCGTCCGCAGTACCGGTTCTTTGTGGACCCGCCGCCGCCGCTGCCGCCGTCCTGCCCGCCCAGCGCTGATAGTCGCGCTCCTGGCGCCGCCGGAACGCCTCCTTGCGCTGCTCGGGCGTGAGCTCCGCGGCGTCGTAGCGTCTCTGCTCCTCGAGCTCCTGCGCCAGGTCCCTACGCTTCCAGACCTTGGCGTGCCGGATCCGCTCCGGGTCTGGAGGAGGCCACATCCCGCGGGCCTCGTTCATGTCGTTCTCGGCATAGTCCCAGCCTGTCGTGTCGATTGCTGCTGCCGCCTCCTTTGCCCCTCCGCTCTCCGGATACGGCGCGACCCGCGGCCCGCCGGCGAGGGGGAAGAACCACATCAGGACGTTGCGCGTGCCCATGGCCTGCGCCATGTTTTCAAAGATGCCAATGTCGTAAGGGAACTCGACCGGGTCGACGGCGAGGTGCGCGGCGGCCGTGTCGCCCCCGGGCGCCCTCTCGCCGCTCCGCCACCAGCCGTCGTCGTCGCCGCCGCTGCTCGCGTACCGCCGCTCGAGGACCGCCTCGTGGCGCTCAATCTCCCACCCTTCAATCATGGTCGTGTTGAACAGCCAGCCCCTGACCGTGGTGATGAGCAGGATCCCGAGCGCGAGGCTCGTGACGCCGCCGACAAAGGCGTGGACGGTGAGAAAGGCCATCTGCGGCAGCGTGGGCCCCAGGTACGCCGGCATGTTGCGCAGCTCGTAGAGGCCGTAGAAGCGCCTCCACACAAAGTACAAGTGCGTCCAGAGGCTGACGTTTGTGAAGACGAGGAAGCGCAGGAAGTGCGGAAACGTCTGGAGGGAGACACAGTTGCCGGTCCACGGGCAGTGGTGGTCCATCCGCGGGATGCAGCGCCTGCAGGCCTTGCAGTGATGTGCGCGGGGGGGCTTCGGCGCGGCGCATTTCGTGCAGTGTCGCTTGCGGCCGTCGGCAGAGGTCGTGGTCGGGAGCTTGGCGGGGGAGTCGGTCTTCTTGGGCGGCGGGAAGGTGTATCGTCCCGGGTCGACGGTGCAGGCGCGGAAGTAGGTGATCCAGAGGCAGGCCAGCAACGTGTTGAAGACATAGGTCTCACGGCGGGTGAGCGGGCCGGGGGAGAGCTGGGCCGCCGTTGCGTACAGCCATTGCGAGGTGTAGGCGAGGAAGGCGATGAGCAGGCAGACGGCGGGGATTGCGAGGCGCTGGACGACGGGCAGGTTGTTGCCGACGAGGATGGCCATGCTTCAAGCCATGTGCAGCTCGTGCTGCGTCGACAGTGCCGGGGGTTTCCTTCTCTCGGTCACGCAGGGCAGAGGTGCTGAAGCCTGGAAAGTCGTGGAGATTGGGGGATCGAAGATGGTGGTTATGTGTGTGCATGTGTTTGTGTGTGTGAGGACCCTGAAAAAGTGTCACCCGTTTGGCGGTGCCTGACCACACGCCACGAGGCCCCTGGGCGAGGCGACGTCACCGCAATAGCACCCACTATTTTTGGGAGCCAAGCCGCCCGCGAGACAGCCGCATCCGCATCTGCACATCAACTTGGATGCCATTGTAATCTGGGGCCGATAACAACCGTAACCAAACTGAACGTAGATGTCCCTGCAGCGCAGATGGAAAAGGGCATTCCTTTCAGAGTACCTTGCACGTCTCACGATCATGCCATCGACACGAGAGCGGCTTCTCGAGATGGCCACGCCTGTGAACCATGTGGGTACAATGCTTTATGCTATGGAAAAACATACATTGTCTTAGCTGCCAGAAGGAGGACAGCTCTAAAGATTGAGTATTCAGATCTGGTACACCTCTGCTTCGAAAACATATGATGCATCCAGACTTCGTCTTTGAATTTGAGTATAGGGAGGGAGGAGCGCAAAGGCTGCCATCTTCTCCCCGCAGAATCGCACTCAAGTCAGGCGCACCACCGGACTGGGCAGCACGGCGAAACCACATCATGTCTCGTGTACATCTTCACTAGCTCGAGCAATCTCGCCCGATGATCACCGTCGACACGACTGATATCGGATTGTGCGCTTGGCTCAAGTCAGGCTTCGGGTCAAATGCACATAGGCAAGGCTGGACCAACGTCAAGCTGCCTGCCCTGCACTGCCCATGAACATTGTCATGTACTGCATAGGGACATGCAAAGCGGCTGGGTTACTCACAATAGTCACGCAGAACTAAAAAGCCACCTCGTCAGCTCAAGTGCCATAGCGAGTCCAGGATGAACGACAAGTTGTACTTACACAATCGGAGTGAGTTCGCATGCCGACATGTCTCAATTTTTTCTGGCGACACATCGGCCAACGCCAGGAACAACAGATCTATCCGAGTCTAGGTTGGAAATCCTGGCTTCCCCATCTGGAGTCTTTTTTGTCCTCAGACACTAATGTTCCTCGCCCGGCGCCACCCTCCTCCTTGCAGCCTGTTCCGGGGGTTCGCACGTCTGATGGTGTACGCGCTTTTACGCTTCGTCCTCGCGGTCCTTGCTTGCGTCGGGACTCCGGCTGCGACTCCGTCCGCTCCTCCCGCCACGTGGGCGACCGCCGCTGCCGCCCTTGTTGTTGCTGTTGTTGTTGCCGCCCTTGCCCGGCGGGGGTCGTACGAACGCAAAGTCGACGTTGATGGTCTGGTCGAGCAGCTTGGTCTGGTCTGCACCGTCGATAGCCGCACGCGCCTCTTGCAGCGTTGGGTACTCGATCAACGCATAGCCCTATAGTTGAGTGTGCACACCATCGTTAGCATTGCTGGCGCCGAGCTGTACAGCGAGATGAGCGCGGCGCGTTGCCTTTATGCCTGTGCACCCCGCGCAGCCCTCTTCTTACCTTGACGTAGCCGCTCCGGCGATCGAGGTTGAGATGGAGGTTCTTGATCTCGCCAAAGTCGGCAAACTTGTCGTGCAGCGCCTCTTCGTCGGCCTCCTCGTGCACGTTGGTCACCATGATGATCCAGCCCTCAATCGACCGCACCGCCGTCGCCTTGGCGTGTGTCTGCATGTCGCCAACCTTGGCCTCGGGCGCGCCGCTCTGCGCACCTGCCTGCGTCGGCGAGCCGGGCTCGTCAATCTCCATGGTGTTGTCGTCGGCCATTGTGCTGTCGCGGAACACTGTCTTGTGGCTCTGTCAGGATCGGAACCGGAGGCGGGTGGTCGGCAGTTACGAGTTGAGGCACGAAGCTCTCTCTCTCCCTGCAAGCACAGAGGTGCGAACGGGTCGACCTTCCAGAGGCCAAAAGCCACTTGCCCCACCACAACCATGGCCGCCAGCTTGCCCGAGTCACAGCGGCCCGAGAAAGCTCGCGCCTGAACGGGACCCACGTCGCCAGCCCATCAAACCCTCTCCAGGCACAGAAACAGAGAGCATTCACAAGATGAGGAACATGGCAATATCATGAGGTTATCACCAGCATTGTATTGCTGAGAAACTATAGAACGAATCGAATTCCAAAACGTGACACCTCGTTAATCCAACCCAATGTCCAATGCCCAAAACGCCATGCTCGTCGTGCCAAAACCAACGTCCGGTTGTTGAAGAACCTCAATAACAACGACGAATCCCAATGCTTTTTGCCTCTTCCCAGGCTCCCAAAAAATACGACCAAAGTGACCAAGACCGCGACTTGAGAAGAAAAAACCAAAACCAAAACACAGCGCCATAATGAACAACAACCAAGAAACACTCATAAAACCAAAACCATGCTTATGCCATCAACCAGAATTCCGTGGTCCTCCTTGGATTTCCTCCTGCTTTCGTCATTCAGCCTTTGCTGGTCACGCCTAGAAGCCATTCCAGGTCTCCTCCTTTCCCATGATACTCTGTAGTGTGTACTCGACAAAATCCGCGGTCATCTCCTCACCGCTCGCCTTTTGTCCTTCGAGGACGTCGTGCAGCAAGTAAATCTGATCTCGCTTCACGTCCAGCTCACGTGTCAAACGCTGCACCTCATCCTTCAGTGCCTTACGCTGTCTGCGACCAAAGGATGCATCAAGACCCCTGTATTCGGCATTGGCCTTGTTGAGTGCTGCAAGAATATGCTGCTCCTCATCCTTCAGACCCTTCATGACGGTAGCCAATGCAACTGCTGGGCTCGATGCTGGGCGGACGGTGGGTGCATCCTCATATGCCGCCTCAGAGTTGGCGGTGGTCTTGCAGTTGGGAACCCGATCCGTCACGGGCACGGGCTTCTCCACACGGATCGATGGTCTGCCTTCTTGGACCAAGGCGCCCTGATGAGAGTGCGAATTGATGCGCCTGCAGACATTGCAGTTTCCACAGTCATGCTCATCGCACAGGCTAGCAAGAACACGTTGCGCAGTCTTGGACAGCACCGGAGTTGTTGTGCTCTTGCGGCCCTTGGAGACCTTAGACTCCTTTCGCGTGTCGATGGTGATGTCATCCACGAAGAGAGCAGATGTCATATTGTCCTCTCGTGTGACATCGGCCGAATGACCAGTGGTCGAGGCAGGCCGCTGAACCATGTTAGTGACTGAAGCGTTACTAAGGAGGCTCATGACGCTCACGCCCGACTTGATGCTGAAGCGACCAGTATCTTGTTCGTTGCGGGAAAAGGTACTCTGTTGGTTCGCCTTGTTGTTCTTGAGAATGCCCGCCGGCTGTACCTTGGGCGCGTGTCGAGCTGGCTGCTTGACTTCACGAGCCTGCGACGCGTCCCGTTCTCGCGGCTGCTCGGCAAAGAACAGAGGCGGCAGGCTTTGGCTCGGCTCGGCTGTCATACCATCATCGGAGTCAACGAAGACTCCCCTGGTCGACCTAGTCTGCTGCTGGTGAGCTGTACGCTGGCTCGCCTCAGTCCTGGTGGCGAAAGGCGAAGGCTGCTGCAGATCGATTTCGCGAGTGAAGTCGTCCTGGATGGGGAGGTCCGTGGTGGAAGTCACACTTCTGCCCGTCGTCTCAATCGTGTAAGATTTTGTCGTTTCTGTGAGTGGCGCCACGACGCGAGCGACCTTAGCAGGCTTCGCATTGGCCGTGGCTGACTTTGCCAGGTATTGCTTGGTCATGCGACTGACCACGTCCGTCTTCATTTCGCGGACCTTAGTCAAGGTCACTGTGTTCTGCTGGGTCTCCGCCATCTCTGCTGGAGATGCATCAGCGCGGCTGGCACGCTCTTGTAGCTTCTGAATCAACTTCATCTCACTCTTAAGAAGCGACGCAAATTGAGCTACAAGTGGTGTCTCTTGCTGGTCGAGCACTTTGGTGTGCTCGCCCGAGAATTCTCTCATGCCATCCTGGAGACCATCGACGACATCGTGGATCTGATTTCTCAAGTCGTCCACATCATCGAAATGAGTTTCAGCTGGCGCAGCTGACAATCGCTGTTGCATGTCGGCATTCTCTGCCTCGAGCTTGCGGTTGAGTGCCTCGTACGCTTTGAGCAAGGACTCACGCTTCTTCGCCTCCAGTGGCTTGGCTGCGAGTTGCTGTGTGGCGTCTTCCAGCAGGGCCTCGCTGTTGGCCGCAGTGGTACGCAGGCGACGAACCGTGGTTTCTAGAGACACAATCTTCTGCTCCAGAAGCTGCTTTTGGCTTTCCAGACGGCTGTGGACATCAGTGGCATCCACAGTCATGTGGTTCGCCTCGTCAAGGAGCGATTGCAGCGCAGAAATGTCGTCGTGAAGTGCTTGAATCTGCTGTTCCTGCTCAGAAACCGTCTTCTTAAGAGTTGCCACTTGCTTCTTCAAGCCTTGAATCAGCTGCTCGCTTCTGGATGCCTGCTTCTTCAGAACCACCACATCTTCGACGAGAGCGGCCTTGTCGGCCTGGAGCTTCGAGTTGGTGCGCTCATAATACTGATTGACATTCTCAAGCTGGAGGACTGTTTCCTCAAGCTGTTCTCTGTCCTGGTTGGCCTTGCCAAGCTCCAGCCTAGCGTCGTGGGCAGACTGATGAACGTCAACAATTTTCTTCTTTTGCGAGACCAAATCGTCCTTCATGATCTGGTTCGCGAGCTTGAGATCATCTAGCTCTTTGGACCGCTTTGAATGCCTGGCCTCGAGATCACGGATCTTATCCTTCAGGCTGTCGTTCTCGTGGCGAAGTTGCAAGTTCTCAGACTCCAGAAGACGGAGTCCATGGGTGTTGTCATCTTGCATGTCCCTGACGGCGCGTTTGGCAGTTGCCAAATCATCCTCGAGCTGAATGCAGCGGCGGGCGTCTTGCGCAGCGTTGCGGACGGCACGATCACGGTCTCGCACCGCCGCATCGCACTCATTTTCGGCCACTTCTCTAGCTTTGTCGCTCTCCTCTGCCCGAAGCTCAACAATGGCAATCTTCCTGTTTGCCTTGTCAAGCTGGTCTTGCAGGTCTAACGATTCTGGTCAGCATCTGCCATGGTGTTTCGACACACAAAAATAACAGAGAAACAATTTGGAACACTTACTGTTCTTTTCTTGCTTGAGTTGTTTGAACTCGGCCGTGGCACTTGCATCAATGCCAGTGGGGCCACCAGACTGATTTGAGAGTTGTGCCTTGAGATCGCTGACTTCTGATTGGAGTTTTTGTGCCTGTTCAGAGACGAGGGAGTCATGTTCTTGCAGAGTGCCAATCTCTTCGCGAATCTTATCAAGTGAGACAAAAATCTCCTCTTCATCTTGCGGCACCTCGACGGCCTCAACAGGATGGTGCTTTGCTGGAGTGCGCGCAGCAGCATCCCTGTCATGAACCTTGCCGTTCTTGACAAAGATTGGCACACCGTTACGTAGTGTCGAAAGCCTCAATGTGCCAGACACAAAGTCGTTCATGATTGTGAGGTCAGGAACCAAAAACGAGCGCGCGGCATGGGGCGACTTGGCAGAAGCCGGAGGCTCGGCGACAGAGCCCTTTCGTTCTTGCGAGGCCTCTCTTGATGCCCGTCTTTGTGCAGATTTCTCTTGTGCTGTCCTGAGAGTCTCGATGAGGGTGGTGACATTCGCTCCACGCGACTTGGGCGATGTCTTGGCGGCCGGAGTGGCATCAGGGGCTGGAGCCTGAGACGCCGCCTTGAGGCTGTTGCGGCGCTCTTTGGCCTCGCTGTATCGCCGATCACTGGCTTCCCTGGTTTCGAAAAGCAATGAAAACTTTCTGCCAGTTAGTGTTTCTGGCCGATACTGAGGGTTGACTTTCTGGAAACGTTCAGAGATGGTCTGGCGAGGACGAGCACGGGGAACCGTGATCTCCTTGCCGGTGAATGACATTGGCCCAGAAGTCATGGTTGCATTCGAACCATGTCGGCGCCGTGATGCAACGGTGGACCGTTGCCAGCGGGGTGTGATGTCCTCATAGCTAGACTCCTAGGGCTGCTTCTGAGGCTTCACATTTTCACTTCTCTTCGAGGTGGTTGACGCAGTCTTTGGTGATTCGCGAAGCCGAGTGACAGTGGAAGCCAAAGACTCGTCGCGGGGGACCACGGGTGGAGGAGCTACACGCGTCGCGGCTGATTGTGCAGACAACTGCCTGACAATAGACCGAGGGATGGAAGCAGTGCGGTGATGAGGAGAGTATCTAGGACTGGCCGGCACGTTCTTCTGACGCGTTGGAGATGCTGCGAAGCAGATAGAAGGTTTCGGAGTGGACATGGCACATGGGGAGAGGCCCAGGATCCAATCATTGTCCAACGGAATCACTTCATTTGAAGAAAAAGAACTGGCACGTACCTGCTGCTCATCGACAATCTGGGAAGGGGATGCAATGGTAGAGGAGGAGGCAGGGGGGATGTTCTCCTTGGTCTCTTCCTGGGGAAGGTTGGCCGTGGCATCATAAAGATCTTCCGTCAGATCGTGCACAGGAGCCGCGTGCTTGTAGTTTGCCCATTCTGGGAATGTCCGACCTAGGACAGATGTGTTGATGTTGAAAGCCATGGCGCGGTCGTCAGTGGTGTCAGCAGCGCGCTTGACACCATCGAACCGCGGCAGGGAGTCGGCACCAGGGCCAAGGGAAATATCAGAGGTCAGTGTAACAGTACCATGCGATCCAGTGGATGATGGTGGTGAGTTGAAGGGATTTTTAGTATTCTGATGCATCTCCCTAAGGATGCGGGATCGATAGCGATTAGTGTTGGACTCCATGGCGAGCTGTCAACTTGGGACAAGGGCAGCGCCAGCAGAAATGGAGCCAACAGTAGATGGGATTAACCCGAGGCTAGTGGGCAAAGCAGCACCGTATCCTTGACAGGGATGTGGAATGCGCGTTCGAGTGATGGGGGAAAGGCCAAGCCTGGATGAGCGCGGGTGAAGAGCGTCTCGATGAGATGAAAGAACGAGCCGGGTGGCACGATTTTGGGGGGGTCAGGTCCGATGGTCCTGATGAAGTCTCCAGATTGAAGGCTTCGATGAGATGATGGGGAAGTAGCGGAGATGGACTGATCCGAGTCTCTGCACGGAAGCAGCGATGGATGTTCCAGGGGATGATGTGGTGGTTTGTGGTGGTTTGGTGGATGTAGACGATGCCCGCTACTTGGGAACACGCGTCGATGAGCAGCTTGGTTTCGTGCACTAGAGCCAGTGGCGGTAGAGCGCGATGAGTTCTTCAGATGCACAATTGCAACAGAGATGGCTGATAGCTTTGGTTGCGTTGCGTTTTGATGAGCTTTGGTGTGCGTTGATGCCAACTTGTGGTGTGAAGCAGTTGTTGTACGTGTGAGGAAGCAGCGAAGAAGCGCAGGCGCGTCCATTGTTTACCTTATAGCTACAGTGAGTGGGGCCCAGCCCCGCACTGTCTGGTGTGGGGCAGTCCGCTGGATGGATACCTCGGTGACTAAGCCGACTGGTCAAATTCCCCTTCACCTACTGTGCGAGCTATCCCCGTTGGCTCGCACGCGCACTATTTTTCGAGATCCGGGGTAAAAGTAAACATCCTTGCTGTTTTATCCTTCATCGTCCGAATTATCATGGTGTTGCACGAGCTTCCGGTGCGCGTTTCTCAGTGGGAGAAGCTGGTGACAGCTCGCCCTTCATCCGCCTCTTTTTGAGCTCGCCTCCATCTACATGCTGGCCACCGGGACATTTTCACATTTATACGATGACCGCCTCTTGAGCTGATGGCTGGTTGCTATGGCGAACAATGGTGGTGCATTTGTGGTGGACACACCGCAAAAAGCCTGGGGAGTGATTTTGTGGCCAAAGTCGTCGCTTCCACGATGCTGCCTCCGTTCAAATGAATTTCTACCTCATTTCCAGGCACCTGCTGCTGCGATTTTCGATGACACAATTACGAAAACCAGAAACCCCGTGGATCTTGTGGTTGCTATTCGAACTGCCCTGGCACCCCGCCCCGCCTTGAGGTGCCTCTGTTTGCGACACTCGTCTGTCACATATATCGTGATGAGTGCTTCCAGATCAACATTTTCACTGGATCACTGCTTCAGGGCCAATGCTGTCCTACGCCTAGGTCCTCCTTTGTTTCGTTTCTCTCTCGAATTTAAATTTCGAAAACAAAAATCCTTCCTTTTTTTCCATTTTTGAAAAATTATCACCCAAATCGAGTACATAGATCGAGAACAGCTTGCCTCAAAGCCGATCTCTAACAATGCTGATACCAGAGCCACAACTTCCCTAATGCAACCTCTAGCTCAAAGACCTCATATTATATTTCACACCTGAACGACTAACCGCTCAGAGCACGACGCCCACAAAACAAAAAGTGCTCCTTTCTAAACAAGGTTCCCCGTCATCGCATCCTTGAAGGCCAGATACTCCGCCTTGCCCAGCCCAGCCAAGGGCATGACCACGTGCATATAATTAGCAAAGTGGACATCATAACCCCAGTGCTCGGTCAGTAGAGGCATGATGTCAGGATCTATACGCTTCTCCGGCAAGTAGATGCTGATCTTGAGCACAAAGCGCCTCAGCCGGCCTTGCAGACCCGACTTCTTAAAGGCACCCACCAACCAGTCCCAGAACTTCCTCGTCCCGCCAGCAGGTTGCCCAAACATCATCACGACCTCGACGTGGAGCTGCTCCAGCCCAGGCAATTTCCCCCCAAGCCCCCTCAGCGCCCGTTCAACTGCCCGGCGCGACGATCTCGTCTCCCAGTCTCCCTCCGACACGAAAAGCGCCACCTGCACGAATCGCACGGCAGAAAGACCCTCGGGGCTCGCGTTGCGGAGGAAGTAATGCACCATCTCCTCGCCAAACAGACACACCGTGACGTCGCCGTATAATATGTCCAGCATGTCCGCGTACACGGCACGGCAGGTGCGCATGAGGTCAACGTTCCCGAGCCACGAGGGCCGCGATGGGTGGGTGTGAAACCGGACCTCAACGCCGTCCGGGGCGAAGAGCTTGAAGAACCGCCCATATCGCACACATCCTTGCTTCCTCGGCCTCGGAAACTGTTCGATGGCGGAGCCGCCAAGTCCGATGATCACGCGCAGAGCGTTACTCCCCGGATCCGAGTCAGTGCAGATGCGCTTGTGCCTGGGCCAGTCTGGAGGCGCGTAGCCCCAACACGACAGACCGAGGCCAGGCTGGACAAACTGCGCTTGTCCTAGCGCAAGGGCGTATATCTTGCGGCGTATCTCGAGGGGCAAGTCCAGGAAGGTGGTGGTGCTACCCGTGCCACTCTTGCCATATTGCCCAGTGGTGTTGTGTCCACCGTGGTGTATTCCCTGGCTCACGTGTCTATCGTGGCTTTCTTCTTTGCCACCCAACAACGGGCGTGACTTGGGAATGCGTCGTGTGGCTATGTCGGCGCGCAACTTGGCTGGTTCACCTGCTCCGATGGTCCTCGCGACACCCTTCCCAGCGAAGATGACGGCTGTATAGGCCGCAATGAACGGAAACGCAAGAATCGCAAACGTGACCAACTTGGCCTTGTCCCGAAATTGTCGATTGGTCATGGTATCTTCGTGTTTGCGTGTATGTTTCTTACGCTCGAAGTCTGACGCAGCTCGAGACACGGATGCAAAGGGGGAAAGGAGATGCTTCAAGAATGACTGCCCACATGTCGGCATTGTCCCAACGCGGAATCCTACGAATACATATATCATGCCCTGGTCCCCATGGTAGATAGGCACAGCCGTGCCGACGGGGAGTCACTTTTGACCAGGGCTGTGCAGGGCTGATGGCAGAGGAGTCCTGCACGGAGAAGTCCCCACTCTGCACCAGCAGGACTGACATGGTAGGCACAAGTCCTAGGGGATGGTAATACACAAACAGTCCCATAAGGCGAGATGTGCTTTCACTTTCGAATATCAGGTAATCCGCAGAGCTATCTCCCGTAGGAAATCTGGATGCAGTTCGACCGAGATCATGTTGCGTCCAGTGTTTGACAAGGAACGGGCCCCCCAGCTGGGCACACGAGACTCGATCCAAGACTCGCAAGCTTTCGAGGCTGTGCTGGATTAATGTCAACAGCTCTGCCTACTGCGTAATTTCTGCTACCATGGCGGATCTCATGTTCATGTTAATTCTTGGAGAATACCGTGTTACACAACGGCGCTTTCATGAAGAAGTGCACATCGAGGGTAATGAGATTCATAGAACTGCTGTACTATTGCTACTAATCTTGTGGTTTCGTCAGACAAGAATACACATCCATTTTGAACAGATGCTTGCAATATCTTTCAGATGATGTTGGGATCAGTCCCACGCCCAACAACAGACACATCCTTATTGATGCACACGCAACAGACACGCAACCCCCATCTGCAACAGATGCACCTCAGTATGCGAGGGCAATCATCTCCTCCCACTCTGGCCCGTCATTGCCGCAAGGGTGCATTGCTTGGCTGCCTACGCACGTCGATTCGTCAGCAATTGATGACTTGAAATCCGACCACCGGGATCTCACCAAACTCGTCCTGCTCTCTGCCCCGGAATCATTCAAAAGCTAGTCGTCGTGACCGCCACCGCCACCGCCGTCTTCGCCTCGGTCTTCATTCAAATCCGGCATCCAGCCTTTCGGCCGCTCGTTGCCGCGGATGCGCACGCCATAGCCGAGCCGCTCGACTTTCCGGACCTGCTCGACCATGACATCCATCTTCTTGCCGTAGCTAAAGGGCCTGCCGATGGGGTGGTTGACCTGCAGCATGCTGCTGACGTCCTGCAGGTCAGCTTGGATGGTGCGGCCACTGGGACCAGAGGGAATGGCGCCGTTGAGAGCCGTGTTTGACGTGGCCGAGCGCATCATCTCGCCTGTGAGGTCGAAGACGCCGTAGACGTAGTCCGAGGCTGTGAGGATGACGTCGGCGGGGATCGCCTGCTGGGTCTGCTCGGGGGTCATGAGGGTCTGGGTAGTCAGATAGTGCATGAAGGTGACAGCCTCGACAAGCTCCTCGAGGCACATGAGGTTGTACCGGTGCCGGTTCATGCCCTTGACGTCGTCCTCGATGGTCTTGAGCAGCGTGCCAATCTCGGCGTACCGTTGCTCAATCTCTGCCTGGATGCGGGGCTGCAGCGGCTTGGCCAAGGTGCGGACCCTAGATGAGCATTGTGTGAGATATCGTGACTCTCTTCTGCCTGTGTCTCCCATGGTCCGTGGCAACATACCTCTGAAGGGTGAAGATCCTGCGGATGTTGCTGTCAGCACAGTACAGAATAGAGGACACGTTGAGTGACATGAGCTGAGGCCTCACATCTTCTTGGCAAGGCCGGTGACATCACGCGAGACGTTCTGAATCTTCATGCGGCGGTCGTGGTGCTTGTCGAGCTCGTCCCGGAAGCCCTCAAACATGGAGGTGTAGGCATTCCGAGGAAGCTCGACTACCTTCTGGTTGCCCCTGTAGTCGCGCTTGACACCGCCGTTGGCAATCTGGGCCTTGGGAGCTTCGACGTCGGCCATGGCGACAAGGGTTGATGGCGGGTGCTCAGGTCAGGTTGCGGACAATTGTGGCTGAGCCCTAGTTTGAGCTGTCCATGTCAGTCAGTCAGTCAGAGCTTGACAGCAGCTCCGCACTAAGCTGCAGATGGCAGTGCAGTGTCCACAACTTCCCTGTCGCAACATGTATATCGACTCTGCAAAGCTCACTGTCCCTGCCAGATCTTATTTAATAGAGGAAGCGATAGAGCATTCTTAGAAAGGGAAAAATGAAAAATGCCTACGGGGCAATGATGCGGCTCGGGCTGATTGGTAGAACGGAACATGCTCGACGTGCACTTGAGCAACAATCCCACCACCGACGACCAGGCCGCAAGGGTCGTAGCGGAGTGGCTGCAGTGGCGACAAGCCGCAACGGACGGCACTTGCAAGTGTGGAGCCGTCGTCCCAGGGCTCCTACTGCACCTCGCCTACTACACCCTTTCCCGTTGCCATCTCCAGGGTCACCAATGAGCCTCAGCACGACATCATTCTGAGCCTCTCGGTGCGGCAGAACCCTCACTCACACCCAGGATGGCGGCCTCCTTCGTCACGGCGCTCTTGGCGCGCCCCATGCCTCTCTTCGCGGCTGCCGCGGCACTCCGGGCCGTCATGCTCATCTACGGCCTCTGGCAGGATGCCAACTCGCCCGTCAAGTACACGGACATAGACTACCTCGTCTTTACCGACGCCGCTCGCTTCACCTTTGCTCCTCAGGGCGACGGGCCTGCGGGTTCCCTGGCCTCGCCTGCCGCCTCGCCTTATACCCGCGAGACGTACCGCTACACGCCTCTCCTGGCGTGGATGCTCTATCCAACTGTCCTGCCAGGGGTCTTCTGGTTCTCCTTTGGCAAGGTCCTCTTTGCGGCTGCCGACCTCGCTGCCGGCTGGCTTCTTGTGCTCGTGCTGCGCCGCCACATGGCGATGCCGATGGACCGCGCCCTCAAGTATGCCAGCATCTGGCTGCTCAACCCAATGGTGGCCACCATCAGCACCAGGGGCAGCTCAGAGGGTCTGCTTGGCGTCATGGTCATGGCCCTCTTGTATGCCGTGCTGGAGCGCCGTGTAGTCCTGGCAGGTCTTCTCCTGGGTTTCAGCGTCCACTTCAAGATCTATCCCTTCATCTACGCCCCCGCCATTGTCTGGTGGATGGATGCGAGCCGCATGAGACCTGTGGCAGGCAAGACAGCGGCTTCCAAGCCCTCCGCTGCCGCCGCCCAAAAGGCCGAGGCCAAATCTCGGAGTGCTCTCCAGATCGTCCATGACTTCCTCACACCCGAGCGGATCCAGCTCACGATTGTGAGCCTCGGAACTTTCACACTACTCAACGTCGCCATGTACGCGATGTACGGCATGCCCTTCCTGGAACACACCTTCCTCCACCACGTCACGCGCATCGACCACCGCCACAACTTCAGCCCCTACAACATCCTGCTGTATTTGTCGTCTGCGGCGGCGGCCAGCGCAGAGTCCGCACCAGATATCACCGGTGTAATTCAGCCCCCCGTGCCAGCAAGCAGTGCCGTGGGCGTCGAGTCCGTGGCATTCCTGCCGCAGCTCCTCCTCTCGACCGTCTTGATCCCGCTGGTCGGAGCCAAGAAGAATCTCCCCGCAACGATGCTTGCGCAGACCTTTGCCTTTGTGACGTTCAACAAGGTCTGCACCAGCCAGGTAAGCCGATGACACCCATTCCAAGCCAGCAAACCAACCCCACCTCTTCGATTTCCAAGACTAACACGTCCTCCCGTTGAAAGTACTTCCTCTGGTATCTCATCTTCCTCCCGCTCTATCTCCCCAGCTCCTCCCTTCTCCGCAAGCCCACATCCCTAGGCCTACCAGCCCTACTCCTCTGGATCGCCACACAGGGCGCCTGGCTCTCGCAGGGCTACAACCTCGAGTTCCTGGGTCTCAGCACCTTCCTGCCCGGCCTGTGGCTCTCGTCACTGGCGTTCTTCCTAGTCAACTGCTGGATCCTGGGCATCATCGTGGGGGACTTTGACAGTGCCGACGCGGTCGACAGTGAGGACGACGTTGCTGTCAGCACCAAATCAGCATCGTGACGTGATGAACCTAGGGGGATGATGCACAAAGTATTGGAAGTGGGACAGCGAGCAGTGGTATAGCTTGTATCAACAGCAAAATTCGATCCAAAGGGGAAGTGGCGCGTCGTCCTCACGGCTGGCACGAGGGACCTCGCGTCACCGTTTATAGGGAAAATCCAAGAATATTATTTCTCAATGCCATCACGGTCCCCCATATGCCTGCTTACTTTCATGCCAATCTGACTGTCGCCGAATCGCAGTCTCTCATTTTTTTCTTCTTTTCTCAACCCATGCGGCAGTGATACCAGAAAGCGTGAACGCAAAACCAGCCCCATCATCTTTATAACTCACAGGGTATTATCTCAAACTACTCAAGGCGGCCAAGAACAATAACAATAACAATAACAATAACCAAAGGGCCGGCGATGGAGCTACAGCGACCAGGAGTATGAGTTATGAGACCGGCATGCTAAAGCAAAACCAAGAAAAAATGATGATACCACTGTAGACAACTCGCTTTCCCTTTTGCCCGTACGCCCATAGTAGTACTTGTTGTTGTGTGTATATGACTACACCACACGATTCCCCAGATGCGCACATTCTTTTGTAGGCATAGCAGAGATGCTGATGCTTCCCGCTCGAGACAGGCATCCAAGAGAATATGCTTTTTGTTCTCTCCTCCTCCTCTTCCGCCGGACCCCAAAAACTGCGCATAAGCCACCAAGTCTCAAAGAGATGATCATATCCCGCTACTCCTTGCTAAATGATGCCCAAGTCCGATGAACTGTCAAAATGCAGACCACGCCCGCTAATTATCCCATACTGTATGCCCCCGATGTCCTCTCTCTTGTCGTAATATCGTCATGGTGATGATGACAAGACTCGCTCCGCAACAAATAACCCAATAGTCCTTCACGATCCGTTCAATTGCCATGACACTCGCTACTCCGCCCGGCGCGCCAATTCTCATACAATTGTTATGCCACCGGCCAGCATGGCATAGTTGGCAAGTTTGAGCGAAAGCACACGTGATTTGGGAAAGTCTGGACTTATGACAAGCCTCCCCTCTTTGCTGTAGCCGACTTCGCCGAAGCTCTCTACCAACTCCTCGAATCGGATATCCGGCCGGACACGATTGATTTCGGCCACAATCTGGTCGCTCCAGACGCCGGAGCACCAGCCATCTTGAACGACAAAATAAGGGTTCAATGGCGGAACTGGCGAATCTGTCGAGTAGGACACGGTCAGCATGGTTTGTTTGTGCGGGTGTGGCCATGTGATATACATACCCAAATCAACATATCGAATCCGGAGGAGCTCTACAGCTTTCAGACGTTCGAGCGCACGAATCCCACTCAAGACGAGAGCCTCGAAAGCGTTGATAAAATGCATGTCCGTGATGCCCGAACCCGACTCGTTCCACTGTACCCCGACAGGCCGGCAACAGTTCTTTACGGTAATATCTATCGTCTTGAGCTTGGTCGTCCGCGGGGTGATCATCCTGGCCAGCGTCTCAAAAAACCCATGGCACACGCGCCCTGTGTAAGAAAGATGCTCCAGATTCGTAGCCGCATTGGCAAGCTTTTCGCACCAATGTACTTGGTCACAGACCTTGGCGTAGTAGGGAGGACATGTCATCTCTCGTCGATAATCGCACTCGAGACACAAGTTAAGTCGGCTGATCCTGGGGTTCAGCCTGTCCAGGATTGTCGCCATGCTGAGATAGCTCTTCGACTTGGGCTTGGCGTACGTGCCGTGCCACTCCTCAAGATTTGGAATCGCCTGTGAGATGACATCCCAATCTGTTGAAGACCGGATAATGTTCCACTGACCCTTGATGATCAATGTTCGTATGGAAGAAACCACTGGCAGGCTGGTTTTCGCAATCGCGGAGGCGGGATCTGTGTCGTGTCTGTCTGGCCCGAGCGTATAGTGGACGCGGGGCGCCTTCTTACGCTCTCCACCTTCCAACGTCAAGACTCGGGCATCGGGGAAAACCAGACTGACAAGGTAGAATATCTCCTCCAAACTCGAGTTGTCTGTGGGCAATGCGTACGTTGCGCTTGTAATCCCTTCTGGAGACACTATCGGCAGCGTCTGCAACGGTTCGCGGTGATTCACGACCGCCAGCTTTGGTTGGAAAACTGGGAACCACACCTCGACATGTTTGACATATTGCCTGAGATGCGGGCGCTGCACGAAGAAGTGCATGACATGGTTGCAACTGTCGATCGTCGCCTTCAGCTTGATGTGCCTGTATAGTCGTTGTTGCACGAGGTCTCTCCACAGGGATGTCACGAGAGCCAGGTTAGAGAGCTCTTTTCTCCTCGAATGCCGCAGAGCCGTGCTCCAGCTTCGAGCATTTACGCTCGGTATGCTTAGAGAACTTGGTGACGAGGTTGATACACGATAGCCGAAGAGGTGGTCCAGGATACATTCGTGGATCTCGGCAGGCAGCTGAGCGAATGACGATAGGGGTTTCTCTGCGGCCGGCGGGGCTTCTGCTGGATCTGGCGACATGTGCTCGTCCTCGTCGCTGCAAACGTCATGGCACACCAGACAACGTATGTCTGTCTGGCCCTGTTGCGCATTTGGAAACGGAGTGCTGCTCGGCCGCGTAGGGGGCACGAAGTCTGACGACTTGGCAGTTTGTTCCAGGGGCGGACTGGAGGGCCCTGGCGAGACAGGCGTCGAGGTTGCTGTCAGGATGGCAGCCAATTCCACAGCAGCCTTGTTCTCATCTTCGTCGAAATGACTCGTGCCCGATGCAGGCTCTCTTGTCCACGCACGTCCATGCTTTTCGGTCACGACGGCCGTAGCACCATTGTCGCCAGTGTTGGTTTGGTCTTCGTGCATGCCTAAGATCGTTTGCTCGCGATCAGGGACGGCTCGTCGAGTCTCCAAATTTGACATTTGACAGTCATGTCAGACCGCAGATGTGAGCACGGCGAGGCGCACGCCTCGGTACTGTCCTGGCGCCCGCGGCTGTTGGGGCGCAAGAGAGTCGAATGTAGACAATAAGGCGTGATTCAATCACCGTTCCAAGCGGCCAGGGGATGGGTATGGGACGAGGGGCAACTCTGCCTGGCTGCCGTCAGGATAGCAGTGTTGAGACAGATCTGAGCCGGGAACTTCGAGAGAGAGAGAGAGAGAGGACGGGCCGAGGAATGACAGCGATGACGAGGCCGCGAGTACTGGAAGGGATGATTGTGGGCGTTGTCGGTGTTAGGCGTGTCGTCGACAGTGATCCTCAGGGTCGCGTGCCACTGAGTCGTTTGACGTTTGTCGAGCAGTTGATGGTCCACGAGGAGTAAGACGAGGAGCGGACTTGTGGACCCGATGGTGGCGAGTTGGAAAGACGACGAGGATGATGCGATGCTGTGCAGAGGAGTGCTTGCGCCGTGGCACGGGTGTTAAGAATGCGGTGGGACGAGATGGAACAGGACGAGTATGCCGTCGATGGAGAGAGGAATGGGCGCTTGGGAGTGTTGTTGTGAGGCGGCCGCGGAGGCGGATGCACCAGGAAGGACCCTCAGCGGCTGCCAGGTGGAGCACTGCGTGCAGCAGTGCAGTGGCCTGGCCTTGGGGGGAGTGGGCAGATAGCGGTACTTGCTGGAGAATACTGGGGCCGGCCAACGATCATGTCACTCTGGCGGAAAGGACTGTTGTGCCGGGACAGTGAGTGCCGGGCTGGCTGGACCTGATCTACATGACCAAAGTACCATAAGGTAACCAAGGGACATGCACTCATTGCATTGCCGTCATGCTCCGTGCAAGGCTCAGATGAAGGCAATTTCGAGGCCCACGGGCAATCTAGAGCACAAGGGGAAACAAATACAGTCGTGGTACACTGGGGCGGGCCAATGCACCAAGGCGGGGTCGTCCTGCAGGCAGTCCGCCCTGGCACCGCACTCGTGGATCTGCCCCCGGGCTCGTCATCGCCGCTTGATCGGGCCAAAGGGCACATCTGGCCAAGTGATCCTCACGGTGCGTCTGGGCTGGGCATCAATAACGACGACGACGACGACGACGACACGGCAGGTTGGCCAAGAGGCCAGTCTGGCTTCTCGATGTTGCGTCGCTGGGGACGGTCAGGAGCGCTTGTGTCTAGGCTTGGCCACGTTCCAGAGCCATCGGCATGCTGTGAGACATCAGGGAAATTGTCCATGGCAAGCCCACTTCAGTCAGTAGTCGGGGCCAGCCGATAGTTGCATCACAGATTCTCCGCAAACGTCAAACCATCTGTCGCCCACGCTGTCACCGGACAGCTGCATCCCGCTGGGACTCTGGACGATCCGGCAGCCTCTACGACCTCTACGACCTGGCAGAGACCCTCCAAGCGATAGAGCTTCGATGGAGCCTGCCGAGTCAAAAGACGATTTGCAGGCGGGCATGGCCCATCCTATATGTATGCACGTCTTTGGATATCTGCAGCCACGCAGCTCGAGGTGTTGTTTTGTCGTCTGGAGCCGCAGCCGGGAGCTCCCCAGAGTATTGCTTGCGGCAAACATGCTCACCCAGGACACTCCGAGCCACAGACCAACGACCTGAGTGCCTTAGTTTGGGTTTGGAGCACTTATGCAGCTATTCGTGCCGCATCGCTGTGTGGCTGCACCGGGAGCCGCATTATCATGTGATCTTGTGCCGTCCCCGCCATGTACGACACATTTTGGCTCTGAGTATGCATCACGAGATAATCAAAGTAGCCGGGCAATCTGTTGATTCTTGCTCATGGCCAAAGCCCCTTGCTGACTTCCCCCTCCCCAACCTTATTATATTTCTTTTTTTTTTTTTTTCTTAATTTCCCCCTTTGGGAGAGCTCTCTGTATCATTTAGACAATGCAGACTCTGTAGGCCATATCATGCCCAAGCAGACATTAGCTGAGCAGACCTGCTACATTTGAGACTCGGGAATACGATGTCACTACCGCCAAGGTCCGAGACAGCCCTACCAATGACCTTGTATCTCACAGCACGACTCGTCATGCCGTGATACGTACGATATTTGGTTTTTTTTTAATGAAAGATTTTCAGCGCATGGAGGTGGCGCGAGATGCACAGGGCTACCCGTGAATACTAATCTCGGTGCTCATTACAACACATGTTTGTTGTTTGTTGATAAGACGAAAATGTCGGCGCTGAAGCCGAGGCAGGCCAGTCTCTACACGAACCTGCTACTTTTCAGCAGGCGCCTCAAAATGATCCCAAGATGGGCGTGATCGGGATCTCATGCTAAGTTCAGTCGGCGGATTGTATAGTTCTCAGCCTTGGTCGCCCAGTAATACAGCTAGGGACTGCTTCTCCCTTGGTCACTCGTTCCTCTCTCGTCCTATCATCAAGCGTTCATCAAGTTCCTTCTGAAGAGTACAGAGAAGCCTCACAAACCTCGATAGACCAACTGTTGGAAACGACCTCGGTGCATATCTGGACGCGTGTACACTTCCTAGCCTAAAGCCTAACATGTAAAAATACCACCGAATATGAATAAACTGTGCCCCGACTGTGAAGGTAGCGGAAACTCCCCTCGAAGCACGGCACCGTCATAGTAGTTGTCTAAGGATGTCCAGATATTTTGACCCAAACATGACCCTTTCCGAATTTGTCACCTTGCAGACCTCGGCATGAGCCCTGATATATCTGTAGAGAGTGAGGGCCTCCACGTCCGAATGCCTGAGCTCAACCTGCCTGTTGATCGCTATCGAGCCACGAGAGGGCCCGGTCTAGTTTCCTGGCTTACATCATTGCTCTCCAGCCCGCTTTGTTACCCAGGCGAGCCAGTCCCATCAACCTCGTGGGTTTCAACTGTTCCACACTCTTCCGAGCGGCATCGTGATGCCTGGCTTCTAGCGACAAAAACGAATTGGCATGCTTTACAAGGTGAGATACGGAGGGCCGGAGGTGCGTGGAAGTATTGTTAGTCTCCATTGTGGACGGGATGAGTAGTGCCGTCGCACGGACAACGTGTCCGCACCCGTAGATGAATGGACTTGAGATGACGCTGCCGGATGGGGTACAGGTAATTTACATGCACCGAGAAGAAAAAGCGACCATGCCGGAGCCCCTCTTTACAGCCATCATGTGGACAAGGCGCGCCTTGCTGTCGTTCTCGTAAGATGAGACGAGTTGGATCAGCCTGGACATGTCAAGTGGAAAGGATGGCAAGCAGAAAAAAAAGAGAAAGTTGCCGAGTAGTCAAAGTATGATGAACACAGGTCTTTGGAACAAAGGCTGCTGGTGCCCACGCCAGCCATTCGCCAACCACCTACCATACCCCGGCAGGATCTTGCGTAATAAGCAGCCTTCTAGAATATTGACAATAAATGGCCCCATCTCGTTGTTTGGGTCTCGCAAGGGAGAGGGAGAATTGCCAGCGCTTGCTGCCTCTGCTGTGCGGTGATGGCACGCGCAAAAAGGGCCAGGCCGCCACGTAGATAAATTGCATACACGCAACTGCCGACGGGGGAGACAAGCCATGTGAAACAAGTCCTCCTTTTTATGGTTGTTTGGTCGAAACAAACATGCGGCAACCTCTAAGCATAAAGGGGTTAAGAAGTGAGGGATCGTTCTGCGGAGGTTCCTTGCGCGGGGAGTAAGGGAAGGGGGGGCATGCACGCATAACAGGGTACGGTGCGGGAAGCCGGGGCAAAGTGTACGTTGTACGTGTGGGTGGGCGCAGGTGGCTGCGCAGGGAGGCAGGGTTGTTAGGTACTGTGCTTAAAGCATGTGCTCCTACTGTACGGGGAGATGTACGAGAAGCTCGTGATTGCCGACCATGGTTGATGAACATTCCAAGATCACGAGATGCCGTGAGCCAGTGTGGTGAGACTTTGGAGGTCGGGCTTGTACATAGATTAGGACTGATGTCCTTTTTGCATCTGATCCCTCGATCCACAATCATCAACGGCTTCATCTCAGCATTTGCACTCACGAGCACCGCAGCATCACGCCCCTTGCCTTGTCAGGACGTCTGTGTGTCGTCCAGTCAGTGCGCGACACCGTTGGAGGTGCAACGTCGTACGTCTGCTACCGGTATCATTTCCAGGGAGGCACGGACTCGGCGGCTGGCCCCAATGTGATCTCGTCCGCTCCGGCACCACTGCTGCCCTGCTACCTCGTAATGTCACCGTGGCGGACTGGGTGGTGCCTGCTAATACCAGCAGGATCGCGCCATACCGCACAGTATACGGACGCATAGATGTGGAGGTCGTAGGTTGGTGTAAATAGGTGTCGCCCAGGTCGTCGTGGGATGATTAGTGCGCAAAAGAGTAGACTCCCCTGCTGCGCCCGTTTCATTTGGATTTCAGAATAGGACCCGTTGTGCTTGGCCAATAGAGACCCCTGTCTTGGCGAGAAGAGCCGCCTCAGAAACGTCAGGGGGTGTCCCAGAACCCATGACTTCAATGTTCTGTCGACAAGGTTTATGCACCCCAGAGAAGCAGGTGGACCCCGCGCGATGCTTGCCAATCGAGTCGTCACAGGATCTTCTCATATCGTGAGGCCAACGAGCCTCAGAGGGGAAGGTCGCTGGGCATGCTGCAGAGTCCGTAGTATGTTGATGTTGTGATGGATAGATTAGAGCCAGCAGGTGCCATCCGCAATGGGATAGGGCATACGCGAACTCGAGTAAAGGCGGCCCATCTTCCGCTACTCCACGGACCGATCAACCCAGACTCCGGTGCGGATGACGCCACCCTTTTCATGCTGGGGACGATATGCGGCCGATAATTTCCCCAGAACCACCATCACTGGTCTGGGTAGAGTATCGCATGGAGAATAATATGAGATCAAGCGTGCAAGTCAGTGCCGGGTCTTCGAAGGTATGCCGGCCGTCTTCAGCAACCTGGCCGAGCCCCTTCGGCTCTAGACACCGTGCACTATGTGTTGGCCTTAGCGACGACGCTCGACTTTTTCCATGATCCGAACCACAAGAACATGTAACGATGATGGGAAAGATTGCACACTTGGTAGAAACCCTCCTGTGAATGCATATGGCCATATACTGACACATGTGAAAGCGACGAGGCTGCGGTCAAACGCGGCTTCTTGTCCCCCGTGCAGATCATGTTTCTGGCTGATAGGGACGAGGCATTTGCAGCGGGCAATTTGTGATATACCCATCTTCGGCATTGCTGGAGTTTATCAAAGACAGTGCCTCTCGAGTGGACCTAGATAAGCTCTTGCAGCATCTTTCTCTGAAGCCAGGCCATGGGTTTCAACGGTACCGTGTGCGCCCGGATGAACATGTGCTGAGTAGTGCCCGATCATGAAGTCAATATTCGCTTTAGCCTGTGTATGAAGCTTAATGACGATAAAGTATGACGGGTGCAAAGCATTGTTTCCTCGTGGAAAAGAACCTTTTTTTTACCTTTCTCCGGAATCTCGTGTCGTAATTAGAGCTTGTACAGAGCCTGGTCAATATGCCTGGCCCCTGGCAACATGCACCCCAGCTTTCACCTAGGCCTGAGAGCCGGGGTTTTTGCCTGCCGCCCCCCGAAAAGTGCCTCGTCAGTTGCAGGCTAGAGACATCGCTTGCGGGCAGGACTGCACGCCGATGATGTGCGAAGACGTCCTCCGATCTGAATGGGGCAATTCTGTTGATGCGGTGCGTTGTGATGAATTATGCGGCTTGGGCAAGAGGGCAATGGTGCGGCAGTGCAACGATGTCCGCGACGCCTGACCTGCTGCTGACACTGGGCTGTTTCAACAGCATCACGACTATAATTGGAGCGGGCAGACCGGGGGGTGGCCGCTCCGCTGTGCGTGGGAGACGGCGTTTTACAATGAGCTGCTTCCACGCGTCCATCGGTCTCAGAGCCACGCTGGGGAATCTGGACCGCAGGCTCCTGGTGGTGGTGATCTGCAACGGCCTGGCCTCGAGAGCGGTCCCGGGGGGCCAAGGAGGAGCCATATGCCGGCATGAGGGACTGGGAGCCACTGTCAACAACTCGGAGGACCCGAGCCGGGAGCACTCGTTTCGGTTGCCGGAACGTCACAGTCCTGGCATAATCGAGCTGGCTGTCAGATAGCGGGAAGACGGGCGAGCCACAGCCACAAAGAGGCGTTCTGACCCTGTCAAGCTCGTGATGTCGAGAAACGGTCCCGGGGAGGCTTGACGTAAATGAAGTCATGCAAGGTGCCGCCTAGCAGAACGGGAGCATACACAGAGGGAAGGTGCGGGAGAAACCACGTTGTGTAATCCGCCCAGCTTCCAAGGTTCTCATCGTTGCTGGCGGCAGGTGCCAGTGCCTGAAGGGGCCTCCATGTTGTTGTAAGTACGCGTACCCTATTGCAGCATGGCACCGAATAAGATTGGGCGCCAGGAACAGGTTCTGGTGGATGGCCAATGGGCAGGCAGGAGGGCGAGCAGGCGGACCTGGACGAGACTGGCGGCTCGCAGCTGTGGGGGCAGCGGGTCCCTGAGGCCCCACTGTGGTGCACCCTGGGAGGATCTGACACAGGCCCATGCAGGCACCGGCGCAGGGGCCTGCCCTGCTGCGGTTGTTTGACAATTGCCCGGTGGCGCGCCTGCAGATCGCCAACTGCTCCGGTGCTTGCTTGCCTCTTGAGCCTCCACAACCAGTGCATCGCTGCAGCCGCGGCGCGGGTTACAGACCGGCCAGGGGCCTCTGCTCACAGCTGGTCGAGACGCTCGCCTCTGTGGGCACGGCCTGCTTTAAAAGAGCATCGCCAGCCGGCCTCTTGGCTTGCTCGTCCCCTCCTCCATTCCGCTCCATCTCTTCAGCTTCTTTGTCGTTGTCTTCGCTTCACCCCGTCCTCACCTTTTCCTCATCCTTCTTGGGCTTCGGACCGGTCGCCGATTGCTGTACTCTGCACCTCCAGACAATAGGGGCCTCCCGGAACAACTACATCACCGCTCCTTCGCACCGTGCCAGCACGCAAGCTTCGCAGCGCGAAGTATCGTCGACCCGCCTTTCAACTTCCAGGTCCAAGCCGCATTCTCTTCGTCCCGCTCTTTTGCTCCTTTGGAAGCTGTCCCTCCTTCTTGACAGACCCCTCTGGCATTCTTGTCTGGCACAGCCACGAGGTCCTTGAATTTATATATCGTCCCGTCGATATATAGTTTTCTTGTCTTCCCAACACAGCCCCCGGCTCGTTTCTCTTTTGAATATATATCCTAGAGGTCCAACATGCCTTCCTTCACCAGCCTCCTTGCCGCCGTTGCGGCTCTCGCCCCTCTCGGCGCCTTCGCCGCCCCGGCTCCCATCCCTGAGCCCGAGAACTGGGATGTCTCGATCAGCAGCGAGATCAAGGCCTTCATCTCTAACCCCACGGCCAAGAACATCATCGCCAACCGGTATATTGTCGCCTACAACACCTCCTTCACTGAGGACGAGATCTCTGCCACCGAGTTCTCCATCAGCTCTGCGATCCAGAAGCGCAACCTGGGCAAGCGTGCCCTTGACGGCCGCCAGATGTCAGGCTTCATGTCCTCCATGAAGTTCGACAGCGGTGCCCGCTTCTCCGCCTTTGACGGTGACAACTCCATGCTGGCCACCTTGGCCAAGGACAAGACCGTTGCCTACATCGAGGCTGATGCCCGTGTCCAGGCCGCCGCCTTCGTGACCGAGTCTGGTGCTACTACCGGCCTCGGCCGTATCAGTGCCGCTCAGGCTGGCTCGACCGACTACGTCTTTGACGACAGTGCCGGCCAGGGCATCACTGCCTACGTCGTCGACACTGGTGTCTTTGTGGACCACAACGAGTTTGAGGGCCGTGCCGTCATGGCCTTCAACGCCATCAACAATGTCGACACTGATGAGAATGGCCACGGCAGCCACGTCTCCGGTACCATCGCTGGCAAGACTTTTGGTGTCGCCAAGAAGGCCAACATCATCGGTGTCAAGGTTCTCGATGCCCAAGGTGGCGGCTCCAACTCGGGTGTCCTTGAGGGTCTTCAGTTTGTCGCCGACGACGCTACCAAGAACGGACGCAGTGGCAAGGCCGTCATGAACATGTCGCTTGGCGGCCCTGCCTCGAGGGCGATCAACGCCGCCGTCAAGGCCATTGCCGCTGCTGGTGTCGTCCCCGTCGTCGCTGCTGGTAACGAGAACCAGGATGCCGCCAACGTCAGCCCTGCCAGCTCCCCTGATGCCATCACTGTCGGTGCCATCGACCAGACCAACGATGCCAAGGCCAGCTTCAGCAACTTTGGTGCCGATGTCGACATCTTCGCCCCCGGTGTTGACGTCGAGAGTGTCGGTATCACCGCCAAGGACGCCACTGACACTCTCAGCGGTACCTCTATGGGTGAGCACAAACCAAAACAATTCTAACATATCCGAAGATCACCACTAACCTTATTGTTCTTCTAGCCTCTCCTCACGTTGCCGGTCTTGCCGCTTACCTGATGGCTCTTGAGGGTCTTACGGATGTTGCCGGTGTCAAGGCGCGCATGACCGAGCTTGCCACTGCCACTGGCGCCACCGTTAAGCGCAACACTCGCGGCACTACCAACCTGATCGCCAACAACGGTGCCGCTGCCGGTGCTGCCGCTCCTGGTGCTGGTGCTGGCAACGGTACCGCGCCGGCCACTCCTGCCGCCCCTGCCACACCTGCTCCTGGCGCCGGTGCTGGCAACGGCACTGCGCCCGCGACTCCTGATGCTGGTGCCGGTGCCGGTGCTGGAAGCGGCACGCCCATCCCTGCGGGCCTTCCTGCTGCCACGGACGCCTTCTGGAAGACCGCCATCGGCTCTGCCCTTGCTACCCTGATGGGCATCAACGTCTAAGCTGGCAAGCAAGCCGAGAGAAGTTCTCGCGAAAGGAGCCTTTTGCATTGTTGTAATCATTCTTGTTGTGTTAATTGTCGTCGTCGCATGGCGCCGCCCGCCGAGTCGCAGCCGGCGCACCCACCATCGATCGCACGGTATGCGCCCTTGCATATTCTCATGTTTTCTCATGCATTACACGCAAAACATACGCACACACAAGCGCGCGCGCATCTCGCACACCATTTTTTCCACAACCAGAAACCTCTTTCTTGCATATGTGTATATATAAAAACGAAGATAATGGCAAATGACAAAGTTGCTGAAGCAAAAGAACACGCTGGACGGGCTTCCGAGCGCTGCCTGGGAACGAGGCCCCCTACTTGCCAAGAATGTGTGACCTGTCCAGCGGACTTCGGCAAGTGAACTCTTGTCATTGAAGCTTAAGTCTTTGTGTGCGTTTGTCTCGCGTTCCGTTCTAAACGTAAATACCCGGGCACATATGTGACCATATGTGATACTATATGTGACGTATCATGATCCTTGGATGCACCCACCCCTCTCCTCTGCAACTGAGTCGTGTATATGTCGACGGGACACATGCTCAAATGCTATAGGACTTGTGTGAAACGCTGAGCAAAGTACACACTTGGAAAGAAAGAGAGAGAGAGAGAGAGAGCGAGAGGCCCCAGTACCAGCACCAGCAGCAGGAGAAGAATTCGAAGAAGAAGCTAAAGACGCGCAACGCACTCTGTTGGAGGGGATTGTCGTGTGCGTGGGCTGGGTTCGGCTTGGCTGGGCTCGGATGCGCGCAAGGGCTGGCAGGCAGTGCTGTTGTGGGAGAGAGGATCGGGCAGGTTTCACAAGTGTCTGGGCACGACGGGACGATGGCTCCATGATAATGAGGAGGGGAGCGAGACAGAGAGAACAAAAACACTTGTGGACGTAGAAGTGACTTGCTGCTCGTCCAAGTTCGGTACCATTGCTCCGCGTATCTTGCCGGATCAGAATGTGTGAAAAGGCCTTCAGCGAGGGGCATCCATGTTTCTTATTTGTTTTTCTTCTTCTTCCTTTTACTAATCGACCGCAGCACTGAATGCGAGGTTATACTCCGTGCCTGAAGAAAGTAAAGCTTCCGAAACCGAAGGCTCTTTTCGAGCAGTATCGCTCGGCACTGAGCACCACCTGTACCTGTCAATGGACCAGACAGGCGCACAAGCCATGCATCATCTCATCAATCGTCAATCAATCGTTAAGGGGTGTCAGGTGGGTGTGAAAATGTTTGCGATCCACGAACGGCAGGAAACTCCTAGTATAAGCCAAACCGAAGCCATCCCTGGGGTTGAACCGTCGTGTGCCGACGAGTCAAACTATTGGACTCGGTACTCCTCGCAATGTGTGGTTCTGATATCAGCACTTCTCGGCACAGACACAGTCATTGATGTAAAGACTGGACTGTAATTTGACATCCGTGCGTTCTGGTATGTGGTGATGATGTGGATTTGTGGTCAGGGGAGGATGAACGGGCTTGGGAAAGGGCTGGGGAGGCTATCTTGCACGCAGCTGTAGGGGAAGACGGCGGGTTGCCCGTCTGCAGACCAACTTGCTTATATTTATAGGGTATTAGTAGTAATATGCCACAAGAAGTAAAAATCACAAACCCCAGCTGGTGAAAACCGGCCCAGAGTTCAAATATATGCCTTGCGCAATCATGTGTCGCAAAGCGCCTGCTCACCATATGTACCTCTGGCGCCCAATGCATTACCTCATCAAAACGTGACGGAAAAAAGAGGAGGGCCATGCTGCTAGATGCTCACAGCTCCTCGTGGATAGGGACCTTCTCAAGCACGTCGCTCGTCATGTTTGAAGGCCCTTGTCCAGACAATAGCCTTGTCACCTCGCCAATAAGGTTGGAGAAGTCGAACCTTGCGCCCATCAACCACGCAGCGCCAAACTATCATCGGTGTCAGCATTGAAGGGGCAAGCGACCGCGAAAAGTGAAGGGAGGAAGGCTGCCTTACCATAAGACCAGAGATGAAGAGCATCATGAACAAGACAACGAGGAGCAGGAGGAAAGTGTCCATGGTGCCTGCGGAGTCCTCTTCTTGCTTCTTGCCGGCGGCCAAGGCCTTGATCTTGGCAGCATCTTGCGTGGGAAAGATGCTCTCGATGAATTGCTCAATCTGTGAAACGGACTTAGCACTTGTAGTTTTCACACGCAGTATCCAGCAGTGACTTACCCGGCCACAAGCAGCACTGATCTCCAAGAAGTTGGGGTCTCTGGGGTCGTTCTTCTTGGCTATTCTCCTGACGTAGTCCTTGAAGACACCACTGACCACGCGCAGGTTCTGTGTCGCCTTGAGCATGAGAGCGCAGGCATCGCCCTTGGTGATCTTGACATTCTTCTCAAAGATGGCGGGATTCCTGAAGATGAGCTCAATCGTGGCAATGGCCATGACCTGCGGGATCGCCACGAAGTTGAACACACTCTGCTCCTTGATACCCGCCATGTAGAAGAGGCACTCGTCGGCATGCTTGAGCGAGTTGAGAATCATCTCGGAGCTGCAGTTCATGGCCTTCTCCCGGTTCTCGGGCTTGAACAGGTCATCCCAGTTGTCGACGTACTTGCTCCAGATGTCCTTCGGCCAGAATCGTCTCTTGTCATGGTAGTCCTCACACACGTCTCTGATGATGTTTGTCTTCTGCAAGAACTGGCCCATGCTCTCGGTGAGCTCGGGCCGCTCGAGCAGAGCAGGGTTGGCATACTTGCCCTCAACAAAGAGGCGAGTCAAGCCGTCGCCGACGAGACCAGCGACGTAGTGGCAGTATTCCTCGTACTGCTCGATGGTCTGGATACCGTTCTCGTTGAACTCGGCGTTTAGCGCATAGTCGGCCATGCCGTTGCCCATCTTGATTGTAATGTCTTCAATGATGTCGTAGTAGTTCTTGCCAATCTTGTTGAGCTCGGCAATGACCACGTCGAAGTGCACGAGCAGCTCGCGGTCCTTCTCGTTGGGGCCATTTTCAGTAAATGTCCAGCCCTCAATCTTCATCTTGTCATTGAAGTGGCGGAGCAGGGGCTCCTTGGTCTTGAGGTCGATTGTCATGTCATCCTCGATGGTGTCCAAGCCTCTCAGCACCAGGTAGAAGAGGGCGGTGGGGACCAGCATGTCTGGGTTCAGCTCCTGGATGACGGCCGAGAAACTGCGGCTCGTCATGTCGAGATACTTGAAGCACTCGCGAAGAGTAGGAGCCTCCTTGGCGGGGTTGCGCTCAAAGACGGGTTCGTGCCACACCTTCCTGTGGAACGATATGACCATTAGAATCGCTCATATTGGTCGGGGGCCCAATGCACTGCAGGAGAAGTGCTGAGGCTCTGGAGAATGAGCATCAAGCTTACCATTGAATGATTGACCGCAGCTGAGCCGGGTGGAAGGCATAGTACATGGCATTGCCTAGGACACCCATGGTAGGCGGTGGGCTGCAGGTATCGTGTTTCGAGCGGCTCGGTGTACGTGTCGTGCTCGAGAAGAGGCGGTAGCTCAGCTCGGGACTGGGTACTGCGGTCTTTGCAAGGGCAAGCGTGGTGGTGATGTTGGTGTGGAAGTCGTTGGTGGTTGTGGTTGGGGAAGGAGAAGGGGGAAGAGCACCCTTTTTTTCCGGCGTGGACGGTGGGAGATTCGGACAGGGGTTTACGTTCACTGGGCAGGTGCTGACTTGCTGCAGGTTAGTTGCCCAGGTGGTCTGCTGAAGGGGGCCCTCTTTTCAAGGAGGAGCTCAGGGAGTGCATTAGCGGGTGCCCGAGGACGGGGTTATGGACGCTCGGCGGCGGGCGGGAAATTGCCCCAGGCCGCCTCGCGGATAAGAGAGGACCAAATGCAGCGGCTCCGAGCCCGAGCTGTCGACACGCCGCAGTCTGCTGAATAGCCGTCGCCCGAGATGGCCGGATGGCCGACAGATGGCGTGCCAGGATCTGCGGATGTCATGCTGCAAGGTCCAAGCAGCAGATCTGGGGTTGGAGGCATTGCAAGGTTCCATGATGCGTCCGCTTACCTTCAGGCCTTGGGCATCTCGCATGCGCTCAGCCATCTCCGCATTGCCCCAGGCCAACCAGCGAGGTCGCACGCGTCGCCACAAGCAGGTACACAGCTGGACTGTCACCGTGACGGATGTCACCCGGCACGCTTTGTCATCTTTGACGGCATGGCGAGACACAACCGCTGCCTTGTGTACTCTGTACGTATGCACGCATTCCATGGCGGCACCGCTTGGCAACCGGGCAACCCCACGAATCCAGTTGAGCGTTGCTCTGGCCGTGGGGTAATGGCCTTTGCGCACGAATTGTGGCTTGCAACCACCAACCACTCGACTGATCTGGTGCCCCCGCCATCTCATCGAGTGCGACGGCGGAAACCCGGACCGTTTGAATGACTTGGCACTGCTTCTGAGCTGGGCACGGGAAGGGCGGCCCAACGTCCATTCGGGTCAAGTATCTGGCTGTGCTCACTGTCTTACTTTGGGCAGGCGGACATTGCCTTGTCCGGGACCAGAACCAAGATGTGTGCCGCACCACCAAGCATTGCTGTGTCTGCCCACAGGAATAGGGCGCGTCGGCGGCCCAACCCTTTTCACCGGGCGCCAGCAACGTGAGACCAGTCAAGGATTGCTTAGGAAAGCATGGCTGGGCGCTGGGATGAGGTTCGCGAGGTATGGCGGTGTCAGCACAAAGAAGCTCGTGGCCTGAAAACCTGTGGTCACTTGTCTGCCAGAAACGAACAGCCGGCCTTTCATGGACGGAGCGAGATGGGAGCCACTCCTTGGCCAGCTAGAACAAGCACACGTCGGCCTGTCATTGCTCGCGATGAGTGTCAGTATTGAATTTCACGGTCAAGCTCTACATCAGACAGCATCTGGAGATCGAGCGTCGAATACCTAGAATCAGCTAACTCCCCCAAGCCTCCGTCAGGCTGTCCATCGAGAAGAGACACGATCCGTCGCACGCTAAGCTTCTGCGCCTAGGCTAGCGGTTGTGCGATATGCCTAGTGGACGACAGAGTTGACGTCCTGCGAGACAATGGCCATGGTTGAAGGCCAGGATCCAGACGTCGGGCAGCCCTTGCGTGAGACTTGCCCTTTATCCATATTCGCCTCTAGGGTCATGATTCTCTGGCCTCCCTGGCGCCAGTCCGTAATGGCAGTGCCGCTTCCTTCTCCCTCCCTGCCGACGAGGTGTCTTGGTCCGGTGGGCTGCTGCTGCGCAGGATGTGTGGGCCGACTGCCAACTTAAGCTCGCGACTTCCACCTGAGGTCTGGAGCGGGCGTCGTTGAGAAGGTTCAACTCGCCCGCGCCTTCCCGCATGGCCACCGCTTAGTACGATGTCTCAGAGCCTCAGGAGTGCTGGCCCGGAGCGAGGCCAGGCGCCACGTCCTGGGTGTCTTAGTTTCCCTACCTTGGGGATTGACGCAAGCGAAAGGCCACAGTTTGCCGCCATTCCTGCGCAAGACGGCGCAGAGCCAAATATCGAGACAGCATTTGAACAGAGCATCCTGCCCTTCTTGAAGCTTTACCCCCCCGTGTCAACCTCAATATTCCCTTCCTCGTGGCAGCATTTGTTCTCCAGCACACATCTAGGTATCTCCAGCTTTAGTCACCAACGGATCTCTTTCTACGACCGTGATCATGAACGGCTCTACCAATGGCCACGCCAACGGCACAAATGGTGCTTCACACCTCACACCTCCACGATACCTTATCTGGGGCGGCCGCGGATGGGTTGCTGGCCACTTGGAGAGCCTGCTCAAGGAGCAGGGCAAGGAGGTCTCCTTGACGACCGTTCGCATGGAGGACCGTGAGGCGGTACAGGCAGAGCTGGCTCGGGTCAAGCCAACACACGTTCTCAACTGTGCTGGCTGCACCGGCAGGCCCAACGTCGACTGGTGCGAAGACCACAAGGAAGACACCATCCGGTCCAACGTCATCGGCACATTGAACCTTGCCGACTGTTGCTACAAGGCCGGCATCCACTGCACCGTCTTTGCGACCGGCTGCATCTACCATTACGACGAGACCCACCCCATCGGCGGACCCGGCTTCACGGAGACAGACCCGGCCAACTTTGCCGGCAGCTTCTACTCGGAGACCAAGGCTCACGTCGAGGAGGTAAGCTTTGTGAGCATGAGCAGTTGCCATTGCCAGCTAGACTAATGTTTGGTGGTGGGATAATAGGTGATGAAGTACTACAACAACTGCCTAATTCTGCGGCTCCGGATGCCCGTGTCGGACGACCTGCATCCACGCAACTTCGTGACAAAGATCAGCAAGTACGACCGTGTGGTCGACATCCCCAATAGCAACAGCATCCTCACCGATCTGCTGCCGGCATCCATTCTGATGGCCGAGCACAAGGACACCGGCGTCTACAACTTCACGAACCCCGGAGCAATCAGCCACAACGAGGTTCTGTCTCTGTTCAAGGAGATTGTCCGGCCAGAGTTCACATGGAAGAATTTCACTGTCGAGGAGCAGTCCAAGGTCATCAAGGCGGGTCGAAGCAATTGCATGCTTGACACCACCAAGCTCGAGAAGAAGCTGAAGACATACGGCTACCACATCCCCGAGATCCATGACGCATATCGCCAGTGCTTTGAGAGGATGAAGGCTGCCGGTGTCCAGTAGGGTCGGAAGTTGTTCCAGCAGGGATGCAGCGTGGTTGGCCCTTGCATATGGATTTAGACATGGCCAGGACCGACACTTGATTGCGAAGCTGTCCGAAGCCAGACCCTGCATCGTATTAATTAAATGATGGAGAGCCAGCGTATCGTGCCCCATTTTAAAAAAAATAGTAAATGATGACCATCGTCGATGTCAAGGGAGTGCCTGAATGAACGTGCGTGTTTGTGCATCAATCTAGTGTGCCGTGGCCTAATTAAGTCGGTGCCTGCTTTCTCCTGCCTGCCTGCCGTCTGTCCAGCGATCCACGTAATCGCGCGGTGCGCAGTCTGAGAGCCGGTCAGCCGACGGAGGGTGGCTCAGGCCTGTCAACGTCACAGGTCAGCTCCGGCCTCTCACTTCATCGATTTGCGCAGTGGAAACGCCGACTTTCCTTGCAGGGCAGACCCCTGCATCCAAGAGTACTTGCTTCCCTGTTGGGCTGCCGTGCCGCCACCAGGTACCTTTCTGCCAGCCCTGCCTGCCTGGGCTGCTTCTCTACGCATGTGCCCCACCATTACGCTATCGGCTCTGTCTGCTTTCCTGGCGGACGCCTGCGCATGTGCCCACTCGAACAGCTTGGCCAACCCCTCCATCTCGAAGAGTCAACATTTTTTGGGACGAGCCTTGTCATCTCTGCATACCGCCGCGCCCATTCACTTTTGCAGACCACAGCCGACTTGCCCCAATACATAAACCAGTCGGCAGCAGAGCCTTCGCCCTTGAGTTCTACATCCGATTTTGCCAGCGCTCTACGCGGATATAAGGCGTCACCGCCGGGCTCCCTAATCTTCTACTTTGCGACACACCCCTTCTTTGCCTAGCGACTCACAGCCGCCCGCCAGGCTTTTCCGGCATCATGGTCGTCGACACGGCATATTACGATGCCCTGGGCGTCCAGCCCACGGCGACCGACATCGAGATCAAGAAGGCCTACCGCAAAATGGCTATTGTCCACCACCCAGGTGCGTAGTAGCCGACGGCGAGAGACTCCTTGGGCCATCCGGGGTCTGACTGCTGACTTTGGCCCCGACAGACAAAAACCCTGACGATCCTACCGCTTCTGAGAAGTTCCAAGCCATCGGCGAGGCTTACCAAGTCCTCTCTGACAAGGACCTCAGAGCCGCGTACGACAAGTATGGCAAGGAAGGCGCCAAGCCCCAGGAGGGCTTTGTCGATCCGGCCGAGTTCTTCAGCAGCATATTCGGTGGAGAGGCCTTTGTCGACTGGATCGGCGAGATCAGCCTCATGAAGGACCTGACGGCAACCATGGACATCACCATGGCCGAGGAGGAAGCCGCCGCCGCCGCCGCTGCCGAGGAAGAGGAGACTGCTACTGCCGCTGGGGCCAAGAAGTCGTCTGACGAGGCCGAGTTTCCTGGTACTGCAGAAGCCATGCGCGAAAGCGCAAAGACATCGGGCGCCACGACTGCTGCTACGCCTGCCGCCCCCCCGCCGACCGTCACTGTTCAAGACGAGAGCTCGGATCCAGCAAAGCCAGCTCAGGCTGCGGCCGCCGGCACTTCCACCCCAGCATCGACCGAGACACCACCGCTCCCTTCCAGAACCCCGTCACCGAATCCTTCGAGACACGCGATCCCCATTAGACCAGCTCTTATGGACCGACCATCGGACGAGGGGGATCTTGCTGGGCAGACCGAAGAAGAGAAGGAGCTGCGGAGGAAGGAAAAGAAAAAGGGCCTCTCAAAAGAGCAGCGCGATCAACTCGCTGCCTACGAGAAGGAGCGCGCGAGAGTACGGCAAGAGCGCATCGACACTCTCGCCCGGAAGCTGATCGACCGTATTTCGGTGTGGACCGAGACCGACAAAGGCTCGGACGTAACCAAGGCATTCCAGGAGAAGATCCGCCTCGAAGTGGAGAACCTCAAGATGGAGAGTTTCGGACTCGACATCCTGCACGCTGTCGGTGCGGTCTACCTGTCGAAAGCCACTGGCTTGATAAAGTCGCAAAAGTTCCTCGGCATCGGGGGCTTCTTCAGCCGCATGAAGGACAAGGGCACACTCGTCAAGGACACCTGGAACACGATCTCGTCGGCAATCGACGCACAGCAGACCATGGAGGAAATGGCTCGCATGGAGCAGGAGGGCGGCGAGGACTGGACAGACGAGCGCAAGATGGAGTACGAGCGCCGCGTCACTGGCAAGATCTTGACAGCGGCGTGGAGAGGCTCAAAGTTTGAGATTCAGAGCGTGCTACGTGATGTCTGTGACGTTGTCCTCAACGACAAGAAGGTCAAGCTCGAGAAGCGTCTCGAGCGAGCCCAAGCCATGGTGCTCATTGCCGAGATCCTCAGCAAGGTAAGAACGGCCGCTGCCCCACACACACACATACACACACACATTCCTCCTCTATCGAAGCGTCCACTGACCTTTTGCCTTTTCTCTCAAATCTAGGCCCAGCGCACACCCGAAGAGGAGGGCGACTACATGGCCTTTGAGCAGCTGGTTGCCGAGGCTGCTCTCAAGAAGGAGAAGGACTCGAAGAAGAAGGGCAAGGACCACAAGGACAGCGAAGCCGCGACATCCGCGGCGAACTAGTAGTACCCGTTCCAGACTTGGTGAGCTTGCCCAACCGCTTTGCGGGCAATAAGCAAAATTTTCGTCCTTAACGTGGCTCGAGCACGTAGGTTCGCGGCCTACACTGAAGAGAACGAGAGCAAGCGGACCTCGGAGGGAAGCCGATGTGAATTCGTGCTAGAGGCTGCCACTCTGCTTGTGTGAAGATTTCCCCCCAAATTCCCCCTTCCGTCGTAGTTCGGTTTTTTTTTTATATCATAGAAGATACTTATTCTCTCCCAACCCGCGTTAGTACGTGGTGCAGTCTGTTGCATGCGAAGACCAAAAATAATGGTCACTATGGGGTGTCACAATGTCTAGATAAGCTCGTCAATCTTGACACGACGAAACAAATGCAAGATGCCGTAGAGCAAGATATTGAGAATCTGTCGATACATTCTTTGTATACGCAAAGACAAGTCTATTCATCTATCCTGCTTGCGCGAGTTGCCTGGCTTTCAATGCACGTGTGCTTCCTCATGCCAGTGGCTTTCCTCCTTCTTTGTGTCCTTGCTGCTTGCGGGACCAGACAGTCCTTCGGAATTGAGGTACTCAGGCAGATTTCTGCTGCTTAACAGCCACGACTGTGCGCATGCCTCGATAAGAGACAGTCTTTGGGGGTATCGAGATTACATGTCAACAAACATATATGTATATATCTGAGATTGAACAATGAAAGGCAAGGAGACCAAGGAAATGTGAATCTGATCAGGTGAGGGGATGGGTCTATTCATCCAGTTTTGCGCCTGCTTATGCCAAAATGGAAGGGGTATCCGATATTCTTACACGATGATGAAGGAAGGGCAAACGAGGGGAATGGGAAAAGTGGTGTTCGCTGAGATTGTGGATGCTGATGCGGATTTGGACAGTCGAGGAGCCTCCGACAAACAAGACGCCGTTTGTGTATGCCGGTGAAAATGCAAAGAACAGATCGTCGTCATGGTCGTCGTCAAGGAGTTGCTCCGATGTGACCGCAGCCGTCAGCGGTTATAATGTGGTTGTGAGATAACGAAAGTGTGATGGATGTTTTCAGATTGCTGAACTGGATATAGCAGTTGCACGGATGTGCCCTCGATCACTGCAGACCGCATATCAAAGCGTTCGGTCAAGATCGGCAGCAATGTCGTCCAGTTCCGCTAGAGTGGCGTCAAGGTCAAGGTTGCCACTGTCAAGGGCAGCACTGTCGAATGTATCCTCCTCTTCATCAAGAGGGTCAAGGATCCGCCCGCCAATCTTGACTTCGCTGACTCGAACATGGTAGTCGAGCGCTTTTTGACCCTCCTTGATCAGCTCCTCGGTCCAACTCATGCAGCGAAGAATACTCTGGTTTAGCTTCTGCGAGTCAACCAATATCTCCTGATGCTTTGTGAGGTCTAGTCGTAGACGTTTTTCGTCTCTTTTCCTGTGCCGTGAATCCCTTTCGGCTATGATGCTTGGAGTCAAAGACTCTGAAGTCGACTCCGAGTCGGAAAACGAGTCATCAGCAAGGTCGACGTCGAGCTCTGGGCCTTCTTCACTGAGATCGGCCAGACTGAGATCCGCGGCTTGTTCGCCGTTCAGGAATTCAGAGCTTGCACGGCTCGACAGGCCTGCAGAAGCCATAGAAAGCCGACCAGTGCGGGACATGCGCTTGAAACGACGGATTTCTGCCGTTTGTTTCTTGAGCTGTCTCTCCAGGGTGCGGTTGATTGCCTCTAAAGATGCGTTGGTGATTTCAAGATCTTGGACCTTGCGTTCACGGCGAGCATTGGCCACCAACTCATTGATCGGGTCAGGTGTTTGCGCTGATTTTGTCGGGCTCTGGAGATCTTCGGATGGAGCGTCGCCCGTAGAGCTGCCCTCCGACGGCTCCCCGTCGTCGAATTCATCGGCTGCCTGGATGATGGAGGCGAGGGTTAATGGCGCTGGAGTAGATGGTGCATGTAGCGGGGACACCGGCTCTGTCGCAAAATGGGGTGACAGCTGAGGTGAAGTGAATCTCGGGGCGTTCATCACATGCTCAACAGAGACCAAGCTGCCAGTTCTCGAGTGGCCACCAGTCCAAGATGATGTGCCTGAGCTTGTACGCCGCATCGAACTACGTTTCGGGGGCGCGGGTTGGGGAGAAGTGACGTGGGACCGCGGAGGTGTGCCCGAAGGTATAGCTTGCATTTTGGGTAGAGGGTGCGGAGTCTGACCGGCGAGCTTGACAGGCGAGTGCGGACGTTGCACTGCGTGGCCGCCGAGTTGAGGGCTGTTTTGTAAGCCAGAGCTGGGACGGCCTCCTGACTTTGGCTGTAAACCAGACACACCTGAGCTCGAACCACGGGACACTGGTGGGCTTGGTCGCAGTTCTGGAACGCCATTGGCGTAGAGGAATTTGCTCTGTACATCATTCTGAGTCTGCTGCGCGAGTGCCGGCGCGGATTGTGTGGTCGGAGGAGGGGTATCACCGATAGTGTTGCCGTTGGCATAGAAGAACGTGGGTGGCTTCGAAGGAGTCTGTTTGGTATGCGGAGCTGCTGGTCGAGGAAGGGAAGTCTTGACGTCGCTTGCATGGAAGAACTTCGAGTCGGAGGCCGTTGGGCTTTCGATCCTATTGACGTTGCCATAGTCTGTCGACTTTCTGAAGTTGGGTGCCTCGATATTGGAAAGATGCGCAGTGCTGCCCGGCAATGGGTCCCAACCATCTTGCCGGTCTAAATTGGGTGTTCCGTTTGGGGTGCTGTTAGCACTGTCCACACGAACCTGCCTCGTTCCAGAACGTGGGGTGACGTGCGCAGCCAGATATGGAGCTGGAGTGTCTGCGCTGGGAGAATCAACATCGTGGTGGTTTGTGGTACCGATCTTTGGATGAGAGAAACGCTTTGCAACCGGCGTTGTCATGGCACTTGGTGCCAGGGCAGGGGCTTGGTGACCTTTTGCTGCCACCTTTGGCATTAGGGGTGCTCTGCTCGACGGCCGCATCGCAGAGGCACTGAGGGTCGGCATTGTTGGTCTGACAGGCGCCGAGCCCTGGCCTGGTCTGTCTGTAGGCATAATGGGAGTGCGGGACACGCCCAGGGGTGCCTGCTTCACGAATCCAACTGGTGCGGATGTGCGCAGAGCACCATTGTGAAGGCGTACTGTTGGGGCTCCTCGATGAGCGAGCGATGCAGCCGAAGAAGGCCTGGCCACCGAGGGAGGGGCAGAGGCGGTGGGTGTCGTGGTGGATATGCCACTGCTCCTTCGCTCTCGCCTGTCGGAGGTGTTTGTGGTTGCGGTGCTGGTGGGAGCGAGGGATCGCCGTGATTTGGCCGCGAGCGTGGAGTTGGAGGATGTGGACGAGCTGAGGGTTGCCGACACCGACCTGCCTGAAGAAGTGGCGCCAGACGAGTTTGATGACGACCTCGCGGAGACGGCTGAAGAACGCCGGGGGCCGGGCTGAGGCGAGAGGGAGGACCGTTTCCTGGCACGCTCAAAGGAGTGGGAAGCTGGTGACGGCGAGTGGCCAGCAGGAGGCTGGAGGGAGTCGGACGTGGAGCGAACCGAGGAGCGTGCACTCGGGGGTTGCTGGTGGAGGGCGGGTCTGAGAGCACGGGGCCGCTTTGGTGCGTGGGCGTCGGTGAGGGCGGCGTACCTAGCGGCGGCGGAGGAAGCCCTGGCGGAGGTGATGGTGGTGGTGATGGTGGTGGTGGTTGAGGCCGCGGAGGAAGAGCGCGGCGCGGTGGCGATGCTGGCGGCGGGAGGCTTGTGTTTGGCGTGAGCCCTGAAGCTGGGGCGGGAGGAGCTGTCGCGCGAGGTGGAGGACGTCAAGGAGAGGTCGGAGCTGGTGTCGAGGGAGCAGTGGCTGGCCGGACCCAACGAGCGCATCCTGCCGGTGCAGCGGGAACGAGGGGAGTGGAGAGCAGCCGAGGATCAGGCGGGAGCAGTGACAAGCCCGTCCTGCTCAATTGCCCGTGTCTGGTGCTCTTGCTAGGACGGGCATCGAGGGGATTCCTGTGAGTGCAGCGCCGTCTTGCTGGTTGTTGACAGGACAGATGAGGATCGTGGATGGTCGTGCAGCCGTGGGTGGGTTCTCTTGCGGTCTGGCCTGGGCAGGTGCACGGTCGTCGCCGCTCAGGAGAAACGCAGCAGGCAGGCACGACAAGAAGAAGAGACACTGTGCTGATGACGAGTGGCAGAATCACAACGGGATTGGCAATTCAAAGAGTCCAGAGCCGACAATTGTTTACTCGTTTCCTGGCTGGCTGGCTATCGAAAACGGCACGAGCCATCATAAGCCGTCGTGGTATACCCTCTTGGATTGTGTGTTTGGTTTCCGCCTGGTGCATGGCACATGCCAGCCAGCCAGCCAGCACAGCACAGCACACGCGCCAGCGCTGCTCTGATAAGGCTCGACCCCTCCGTCAAACCTTGTGTTGACACGTCCATCTACCCGCCCTCCTCCGCGTTCTCCAGTGAGCAACCTTGCTGGATGTTGGTGGCTGTAGGTCGCGGCCTGGGCCTGCATTGACGTGTTGAGTGACCTGCAATGTCGGGCTCAATAGCGGTGTAGAGCTAAGAGGGGTCCCCTGCCTTGGTACATTTAGTCCGTCCGATCGTCGCACGGCAATCGTAGATAATCATCACCCACCCACGCGTACGAGCAGGCATGTCATGCCTCGCTGCTGGACAATTGCACAGATCAGATGCCACCCACAGTCGAGACTCTCCTCGGCCCGCGGATGATGGTCCTCTGAGACGTGCAAGCCGGTGGCTGCGAGACACCCCACAAATGCCCAAGACAAGCATCATCCATGTCCATGTCTCCCGTGCCTAATAGTAAGTACCTTCAGGTATGATGACAAAGCGCGTGGTCCCTGGCTGTCGGGTGTCACTGGCCACGTTAGCGTAGTAAATGTTTCTTAATTAGGGGTCTGTCTGCTCAGCAGTATCTGTGGATGTTAGTGGCGGCTGGCGCCGAGCCCACCACGCCCCTCGGATCGTGACAGGCTCTTCCCTGCGCAGGCGCATCAACTCCGCCAGCATCATCCTCTGTCCCCTCTCACGACAGAGTTTGCTACAACCGCCCTGCTTTCCTGCATTAGTCCTGCGCATAATGGTTTTCATTTCTTCATAGCACTTAGCCTCAACCACGCCGGCCGGCTTCCGACGCCACGATCCTCGTCCCCCCCAGCACGTCGCCGCCAGCCGATCCCGTGCCGGGCCCTGGTCCGCATCGCGTCCCCCCGCCATGGCCGTCGTCGGCCTTTCCCTCATCCTCGCGTCCGTGGTCTGGGTCGTCTTCCGCCGCCCTCCCTTTGTCGAGACGCTATGGGCTCTCATACGTGGCCACCCCACGATCCAGCAGCCGCCCTCGACAACGCGCCCTCCTCCGCCAAGTCGTGGCTCATCGCCCATCCAAGACATCTCCTCGTCGTCGCCCTCGATCACTACCAGTCGCGGGGAAGACCAGAACGCCGAGTCCGTCGAATTGAATGTCCTGCCGCCTCAAGATGGGAGCTCCTCGCCACAAGTCACGCCCAAGGCTACCGCCGCTGCCGGGCCCAGCAACGCGATTCCCTCCTTCACCCTTGCGCCGGACCCGTCTGAAGACAGCAACACAATGCCTCCTCCGCCACGGCTCTCCATGCCGCCCCCGCCACGTCCAGCAGGAGGCAGCCCAGGTCTCATGGCTCCTCCGCCACGCCCGCCGACCCTGAACAGCCTGCCGCCCACAAACGGCGGTGGCAGCACAAGATCCGGCAGCTCGCTCCTCGCAGCCCCAGCCGGCCGGCCTTCGCCCTTGCCAAACAGGAACTACGACCGCCAGCCAGGCTCGTCCACCCTCGCTCCCCCGCCAACACACAGCAGCAAGCCCGCAAAGCCCTCACGCAAGGTCATCCTCGAGCCGGGCCGCTCGCCGCTGGACTGGGCGCGCATCGCGAACCACCCGACGTCCGACCTGCGCAACCTGCCCGCCGGCACGCCATACCTGCGCGTCACGCCGAGCATGCTGAAGCAGCAGACGGGCCGCAAGGGCAAGGACGCCTGGACGGCGCTGAACGGCCGCGTGTACAACATCTCCCCGTACTTGCCGTACCATCCAGGTGGAGAGCCGGAGCTTCTGCGATGTGCCGGCCGCGACGGGACCAAGCTCTTTGGAGAGATCCATCCTTGGGTCAACTACGAGACCATGTTGGCGAGCTCCATGATCGGTCTCTTCGTCGAGGAGACCGAGGCTGCGAGCAGCAGCGGGATGGACGACATGGACTGAACGGCGTTGACACATGATTCAACCGCAGAGTCATCTGCCTGTCTAAAACGAGCAGGGGCGGGCCGCCGGCATTCCTCCATGTGCTCGCTCCTGTAGGGAGTTGCGTCTCTGGCAGTCTGGCCTCAGGACACATGGGCACACTCTTGCTAAGACGGGCGAGTACGGGACTCAGTGAGTACTTCGGCAAACCCGTAAGCGGGTCGCGGTTCAAGACAGGTCCCGCCGGTCTACCCCATCTTCGCGGGCAAAGCTCCGACCTCCCTTCAGACGACTACGACAGCTTTGCGCACGTCTTCCTTAAAAGGGCGCGCGTGGCGTCGGTGCACTCAGCTGCCCATCCCCGCGATACAAAGACATACTTGACCAGCACAACATCAAGTGCGGAAACCCGCTTCGGACTGTGATTTTCCAACCGGCAATTCTCTTCCGTCGCAGGTTGGAAACGGGAGTAGAACGAGCGAAAGGCTTGCAGGTCCAGCGCAACCCCGATAATGACGGAACAATGCGGGCCACTCTAAAGGGGTCTCTTTTCGTGGTCTGGGCCGTCGGCTATAGGCTTTGTTCATGCCGCTCACAGTCAGTAGTAATGGGGCCCAATTATCACAGGGGATGGCGGTGCCCATTCCCAATGCCTAGGGTTCCTCCCAAAGTAGTAGGCAGCGGTAAGAAAAGTCCCTTTGTGACACTTTACGCAGAGCGGAAGACGCTGGGTAATTTTCAAATTTACAAATGTGAGCAGAGGTCGAGTGTTGCTGAATTGAGCTACTAGAGTCGTGATGCGTAAGGGTGGCCCTTGACAACCCTCCAATAGATCAAATACCTAGTTGTTTATTTTTAGATTTAGACTCATATAGACTTCTTCTGGTCAGAGAGATGTTCTCAACACTTGATGCATAAATAATACAATTCTGTTGCTAGACGAGACTCAAGCTTGTTGTTTTGACATGCACCAAAGTAATTGCCAGAATTGGGAGTGGGTTATCTTTGTCCGACAGAGAAGTCTGCAGTTTTGATATGCTGCTTGCTACATTATCAGCGTATAACTAGTAGCCGAAACGGCGCCTGACAACAAGTGTCACATGCACAGCGACCCTCACCGTCGCCGGAACTTGAACCGCAGCTCGTCCTCGCTATCATCATCATCGTCTTCACTTGCTACGATGGTGGCGATGGCTGCCCGCGCGCTTCCAGCTCCAGCACCGGCCCTGGTCCGCTTGCTTGCGGGCTGTTCACGGATAGGCACGGCTTCGGTGGCGGGTCTCTTGCCCCTGATTGATGCCATCGCTGCGGCTGTCCCACGAGACACTTGTGATCGTTGCGTTGTGTTTTGTGTCGTCGCTGACATCCCTGATCTTGATGACGAAGTTGGAGGCGGCCGCTGCACCTGAGACAGTTGTGACCGTTTCTCGCCGCCGGTGCTCGTCGTCGCTGTTGCCCGGGAGGATCGCGGGGCGGACATGGAGATAACTACCTCATCATCATCGTCGTCGTCGACATCCTCGCCTGTAGGTATGCTGTGAGAGTCTGCTCTTGACTGCGCAGCCTCGTTGTCGTCGTCCTCGTCGCTGTCAACGGGAGACAGTTTCTCTGGGCCACGTCGACTTCTTACTGGGTGCGACCCGTTTGATGCGCGCGTAGAAGGCGGGCCATGGGGCACATCCTGTGTCTGTGTGCTGTTGCGGCTACCACTCTTCTGGCTCCTCTCGGTCTGCTTCTTCCGGCTCTTCTGCTGGCTACCATCCTCGAGCCAGTAGTCCGCGCCGATACCAAAGGCCTTGGTCTGTACCTGTTCCAGCGGCACGATGATTTTCTGTGCCGGCCGTCCTTGCTCGGCCCCGCGCCTCTGGAACTTCTTGAAGTTCTTACGCCCGTTCCACGCTGGATCCCATCTTCCATCGGCTATATCCTGGTCCCGCGTGCGGACGACTGGTGCTTCACGTAATGCCATAGGCTCGGTGATTTGCAGCCGCCGAATTTCAGCGAGATCGAGACCCTCGGGTGCAGTCTCGAGCTCTTGTCGCTCCGCCCTTGCGCGTGCCTCAGCTTCCTCGCGATGCTGCCGGGCTACTCCGAGCACATCAATCTCCTTCTTAACCTTAACAGGTTTCCCCGCTGGCCGCCTGTTCGTTTCTGGGACCGGCGATGGCCGTCGAGGAACAGGCTCCTCGCCGGCTTCGATACGCCGACGTTTCACTTGAGCTGCTGTTGGTGCAAAGCCTTCCATGATGTCAACCTGTTGCCCCACAGGCGAAGCCGCTCTCTTGCGAAGTGGCCGTCCTCCATCTTGACCAGCATCAGGCAGCAGACTGTCTTCGTCATGCTGCGCAACAAAGAGGCTCTCCTGAGAAGGCTCCTCGGCTGCATTGGGTTTCGAGATGGGTGGCGCAGGTTTCAGCGGCTCGTCGTCCTCGTCGATATCGATGCCGAACCCCTTGAACCTGCTGCCGCCGACGCCTCGTTCTCGCCGTCGTCTAAAAGCCGAGATCCGTGGTACCGAGTCACTGCTCTCACTAAGAGCCTGCTGCGAGCTCGCTGGCGGCTCCCCACGACGTGAGACTGAATCGGGCATGGGTGAGTCCTCCTCCTCCTCCAAGGGTCGTCGAAGAACACTCGCATCATTTCCGAGTATGGCCCCAATGAAGTCCTTCTGGTCTATGAGGCGATGATCAAGCCGGAGCGAGATGGTGGTGTAGAAGTTGGTGAACCACTCGAGGTTCTCCCCGTCATTCGGCAGCCACCGAACAACCACGACGCCTTTGCCTTCGCTGCCATCCTCGAACTCTCCCAGCCCCTTCTCGCCCGCCACACCCTTGACGTACCGTATGAAGTCGTCGACCTGAGTCTCTTTCGCAGCGACCTCATGAAGAAGCGCTTTACCCTTCCCTGCGGTGATTGGCGCCATCAGCGAATCCCATTGCTTCCTGTCGTAGAAGATGAACGTGTAGCCGTCGAATATCTCTGCACGCTGCGGGTTCGGGGCGAATGCCGACTCGGGCCTAGGCACGGCGTCATCCGTCCCTGGCGGCAGGTACTTCATGGGATCAGGCCAGTTGCTGTCGAAGTCACTCTCCAGCAGGCTGGCTGCATATGCCTCGCCGTCATCTGGTGGTGACGCAGCCGCAACGACCGCGTCGACGAACTCCGAGCTCACGATGTAGCGTCCGCCAACCAGTGCCTGGAGGCCCTTTGGGGTGTTGCGCTTCCGCGTGACAATGTGCGTCGTCCGCTGCGCGTCGAACTCGCTGGCATATTTGATGTCAAGCTGTTCCAGGGAGCTCTGCAACTTGGACAAAGGATCGGTGCGCAGCTCTTTTGCGGTGAACGAGTAACTCAGCACAACGGGCTGCCAGGTGATGTGGAACTTGGACTGGAATGAGCCCATCTGCAGCGTAGTTGTGTCTTCGGTCAGGACAAGCTTCTCGCCCTTGATCTTGTGGTCATTGATCCTGGTGCCGCCCTTGGAACCAAGATCCTCGACAGTAACGCGAGAGCGTTTGGCTGGATGCAAGCCATCACCGGCAACGACCGCATCGACAGTGATGGTGCAGTGCTTGCGGGAGACAGACTTGGACAGGTCGCCCTTGATGGCGAGCTGGCCCGCTGGGTTGGCATGAATGGCATGTCAGCTTCTTTCGAGCTCATTTGACTCCAGGTCGATGGGCCAAACTCACGTTCGGCTACCGTGCGACCAAAAAGGTACCGCTTGCCGGGCCGGAGCCAGAGTCGCCTGCCTGCGAGACGAATTAGTCATGCACAATGTACGCGGCGGGCCACATTCTGGCTGACCTTCGAAGGCACCGCCCTCATTCTCGAGAATCCACATGGCGTGGTCGGCGGGCTACCTTTGTCGCATGATAAGGCAGCGGTGTCGGGCAATGTGAGATTTGATGGAGCAGATACCTGTGTGCTCGAGCATTGATGTCCTGGTTGTGACACGTATTGAGCAAGGATGTGGCAACGGCTAGCACGGGCGCTCGACGCGAAGTCACATGGTCTGCGGAGTGCTGGCCTGGGGCATCAAGCACCCAGCCCCCCACCAGCACCGAGCCGGGACCCTGCAGCCCCCACTAAGCTCAGCACTTACACCACCCGAAACACCTCGTAACCGTCAATAACCTATCCGGAGGCCAAGAGTAAGACAGCGCGAACGGCAAGAGTCAAGTCATCATCATGGGCGGCGAAGAGTTCTTGTTCCCGGCCTCGGTCATCCCGGCAGACCTGACAGCCTCGATGCCTTCGGGGTACATCATCCGGCCCCTCGCCAGGTCCGACTCCACCAAGGCCTTCTTTCAGTGCCTCGAGGGCTTGACGTGGTGCGGGGATGTGTCCGATGCCGAGTTCGCAGAGCGGTTCGACGAGATGGCTGCCGCTAAGGGTACCTACTACTTTGTGGTAATCGAGCATGCTGGAGTCATTGTTGGCACGGGTGCCCTCATATTGGAGATCAAGCTGTAAGTATCGACCAGGCTGAAGAAGAATGTGCGGCCAATTACCCCGTTCATTTCCCCGCTGCAAGTTTCCAACGCACTCTCGTCAACACAATACAGCATGTTCAGTCTCTCCCGGCTTGAAGAAATAATGTTTGCTCCAGGCAATCAGAAACACCCCAATCAGCACGCTGACAGATTGATTTAGCATCCACAACCGATGCAAGGTCGGCCACATCGAAGAAATATGCATATCTGGCGACCACCAGAAACTCGGCCTGGGGTTGAAGATGCTTGATGCCCTCAATGGCATTGCCGTTGCCCTGGGTTGCGAGAAGACCGTTCTCAACTGCGGGCCCAAGAATGAGGCGTTCTACGTCAAGTGTGGCTTCCACAGCTCGGGCATGGAGATGTCGCGGGTGTTTTTGGACCAATGACTTGGGTTGTCTTCTCTAGGAACGGGGAGGGCTCTTTTGGGTTAGAAAGTAGCAGTGATGCAACATGAGTTGAAGGTCAAGTCATATGTTGGCACTTGTCAACGAGAGATGATGTTTATAGACTGTGGTAGACTATCGAGAAGCCACGAGTCGACTCCCCACGACAAGAGAGAAATAGCCTCGCGTGAAGCCAGGAATTGGCACGTATTGTGAAATGGCAGAGTTCGTGGACATTGTTCCCAGTGCATGCGAACCAACGTAAGCACAGCAACGTACACAGTGTTCAGAAAGAGTTTTGGTCTTTCCCAGCTCACTGCGTCAATTCACACGTTGTTCTGTTCACCGCTCGGAAAGGTGCAGTGGGTTCATGCATTGAGTTTTCGGGCCGCAATTCTCTGATGCCGGGAACGGGCTGATTGGATGACTGGATGTCGTCGATTTCCACTGTGGTTATATAAGACGCAGCAATTAGCCGCAGGGCTGGACACTGACCCAATGACGGGACTTCATGATGCAAGATGACGAAGATACTTTCAGGCAAAAGTGACGAGACTATTTGCAGACTGCTGAGCCAGCATGTGATTTAGAGACAAGTGATATTCTTAGCATAATGTTTGAATGTTCTATTGGAGTTTATGCCTATTTGCCTCCATGTGAATCAACCGAGTGTATCAGTCTGCCGGTCCTCCCTCTGCCGTTTGCTCTACTCCCAACAGTATCATACAAAGCAATCCCCGCCTCTTACGCTCCCATTGATATGGTCCAAGCATTAACTCCCGAGAAATAGATTTCGCCTTTGGTGTCCCTCTCTACGAAAAGAAGCAGTTCGATGTGTCGAAGGTATGCACGCTACTGGCGGTATCTCGGGTCGTCCCGACCTGACCTGGGTGCGTTCTTCTCGCTAATGCCGACGTTGTGGTTCCATGTGGTTGTGGAGCCGCGGTGGACAACACTGGCTTTGCCATTGTCTATGGGACAGCATTTGGTGAGTCTAAGTGTCTACAGAGGAGAGGATGAGTCGAGCTCGACTTACAAGAATGAGGGCTCGGGTAGATGTAAGTGGATGGCGAGGGCTGTCTGGAGCCTCTTGGGCTGCTATTGTTGCTGCTGCTGCTACTGTAGCCGCCGCTGGGGGAGGAGGAGTAGTAGGTGTAGCTTGAGTTTGAGGAAGACATCTTGGAAGCTGATGTGGCGGTAATGGCTGACTGAGAGGCGGGAGTGTCTCTTGTTCGAAAATCACCGGTGGATTGGAGCCGATTGGAGGAATTTGACTTGTAAGTTTGAAGAGTACTTTGGATTGGCAGCGCAATTGAAGGGATATGCAAGAGGAGGCAGGCAGGCTTGTACTTCAGCTTGTCTCTTGTGGATTTTTGGGGTGATGAACAACACGGCAGAAGCGGAAGCCAGCATTGGGCTGCCCCCTTCTCTTTATAGGAATCACAGGATACATGGCAACGCGACTGTCCAACGCTAAGGGCGTTCACCGAGGCATATCGAGGACGAGATACAACGAGAGGGAATACCTAGCCGCAAATGGAGATCGAAGCAAGGTGGAACAGGCAATGAGCAATGCCCCAGGCAGACAAGCCATCTGGCTTGGCCTTGGATCCAAGGCGGGCCACTGGGAGCCCGTGGGCAGTCCATGCCAGGGCGAGGGAATGGCTTGTGGACGACTTCACCGAAGCTTAGCCCCATGAGTCACTTATCAAGCGGTTCCAGGTTGGCCCAACGCTGTGGTGGAAGCGCGGAAAAGTGAACGGTCAGGGCATGCAAAAAGTAGACAAAGGCACGGCCACAGATACACAACGACAAGGGTCGACAGGGGCACAGGTCGCGTGAGGCAGCCAGGCAGTCATGGCGTTCACCCATGAGCACGGCAGTGTCGATTTGGGTGTCGTGCTGGTGGAATCGCGAGATGACTAACGACGGTGGGGCTTGGGACAGGTCACTCTAGGCAGGCGACGAGGCAGTGTCGACGCTGACCTGGGTACGTCAGTACCTTAGCCAAGGCGAAATGTCATGAGCCGGGCCAGAACATGCTGGAACTGCTTTCTTTGTCAGTTCTCTCGTCTTGCGGCACATTTCGGTCCGGCTGTGACGCAACGCCTTGTGCCTGATGCAGGGCCTACACGGAGTCCTAGTTGAGTGTGTATGCCATCAGAGCTTGTGGATGCAGGTCGACATGACGACCCCTGACGTGCCTGGACTCCTCGAGCTGCTCGTCACAAGAGCAACCTAACAGGCATACAAAGGGCCAACGTCCAATCACGGCGACAGCATCATTCGGTCCATGGTGTGCACTGGGGCACTTGATCATGGCCGAGAGGCGCATTCAGGTACCTCACGGTGCAGACCACGGATGTGCTCTGAGCATTGCGCGTGCGTGGCATGCGCCAGAGCTGCTTACATCATGGACCAAGCCAGAACCATTTCAGGATGACGAGTCTTGGAGTGCATGCAGTGGTACCGTGGCTCTTGTCGACGAAGCCGATGTCAAGTCCGATGGAGAATGGCCTGAGAATTGGTAGGACCGTGGAAATGCGTGTCGACTATACGATTGTCCTAGGCCACCGAAGCGGCGACGTCCTAGAGGACGATTTGCTTCAGTGACCACCAGCGTGCGTTGGGTCTGTCAGTGCTCCCACAGGGCACCGTTGCCGTACCAGGCTGACGGGTGCCGGACACCTTGCCCTGTTGGAGGGAGACTCCATTCCATGCGCATTTGCCACTGAGGCATTCAGCCAGGCTCACTTTGGGGGAATCAGACTCGAAATGAGGCTCAGCATCCGTCTGCGCAAGTGCAACTCTGTCGCTGGAGGCGCGCCTGCGCAGCATTGCTTCCCACGTCCCAGTGTGTGTGCGTGCGTTGTTGAAGTCGATCATTCAGGGGGCTGCGGTGACAAGTGGGCGCGGTCATTGCTGCCTGCTTTTCGCGGCGCACCATCACAGCGCCAACATCCTCGATGGATCGTGAGGTATTCCAGCACGGGCCCAAGAAAGATGGCACAACCGTGTTGATAAAGTTCTTGAGCCTGTAAATAATCTGGTGCACGTAAAAGAATGGTTCTGGTCCCTTCGCGTGTCACCGCCGTATCCTCAATGCTTTTCACCCAGCGTGGCCCTGCCTGAGACCCAGCGACTATTGGAGCACCCGAGCATGGAGCCTCTTGTCTGGTTTGTGACGTGAGGCGACCCTTGGATGAGGCTGGCTTGAAGTGCTCATCGAGAGACACCATCCGGGAGCGAGCACCAGCCTGCAGCTTGCATAGAGGAGACAAAAGGCGGTGCTGGAGAGGCAATAAAATGCAAGCCGGGGGCTCATTTAAATGATGCTCGAACACCATCTGTCCTGCGCATGTATCTTGTACTCGCACAGAATGCTATCTGCTCTAGGCGCCAGAGTGGGGGACACTAGCGCCACCGTGGTGGCTAATGGCTGTTCGTGCAGCCCCGCTACATTAGAGGTCTCTAAGGTTGGTTCTCGCGGCTTCATGTAGCTATGTCGGACCAGCTAACCGCCTCAATAATTGCGTGTAGTGGCATGAGAGAATATTAGTACCGCGGTTCGACCTATAGCTACCGAATATCAGAGATTAGCCGGTCCTTAATGCCGACGACCTTTACGTACTCCTCATATTTAACATCGCATTTTATCGCGGCGTCTTCGTAAATGAACGTTGTCGAGTGCTTAGTCTCCCGGGGATATGCCAAGCTCTGTCAGGGACTGGAGCACGACCAGCAGAGTTTTTGTTTAACGAGAAAAGGGTACCTGATGACCGAAAGGTTATACAGTTATTCTAAGCCTTCGACATTGAGGACGAACCTGATGACGAAGACCTCGATGAGGATTCGAAGAAGATCAGAGATCTCTTAACACAGAAAAGACTGCAAGAGGCCGCCCGAAGTGCCTGTACTACGAGGATATCAACCTGATGATCGTCAGGGATCCAGTAACCGGGAAACCCGTCCTAGGAATGCTATTGAAGCTGATACATCACAAGGGAGAGGATCGGAAGCCGCAGCCGTGAGTCTGCACTATGATGAGGGCGTTCTCGTCTGTGTCTCCCAGCTAAAGTAATATAGAACAATATGCACGTTTCCACAGGCGAAGCGTCCTATCTTCTGCTTTATCAACACTATCATTGTCTCGGCTATTGCCGATGGCTAGCCCCCGCCCTTGTCCATGGCCTGTTGCTACGGCCTTGTTTGTCCTGTCTTCTGGCCCAAAAAATCCCCTGTTGGTCCCGGCCGTCACATGTCTGGTTTGATTTGCTAGAAAGAGAAAGATGGATCACTATAATAGCGGGCGTCGGGATCAGGATCCCCAAGGTTGCGGAGATACGGTCGGATTTCAAAGTCAGGCTCTGCTTCGAAGCGAGTCCACCAATAATCGACCAAATCATAGGCCCCATCAAACAGTCCGAGGCGCCACGTACTTGGAAGAGGGCGCTTGGGCTCGTCGTGCTGCGGTATGTGCATGGGGTAGTAAAGTTCTTGTATCTGGCGCTCCATGACCTTAAGCCAGCACGGTGGTGGTTTGGAAAGGGATGGCCGTACAACCGCCTCAATATTCGCCGTATCTACAGTGGCGAGTCGCCTAAGGGTGTCCGCGTCGAGTACGAAACAAGCGTCATATCGCGGGAAGGCGAGACGGTTTCTCGGCTCGCCACGAGATAGGACCCACGTATCGAAGTACTCGCGGACTTTTGCGTCGTCGGCGCCCGCGAGGTGCTCACGGTCCTGTAGAATGTCGTTGCTATACCGTGCTAGCAGCTCCTGGTTTGGCCGTGGATCGCAGTGGTCCGGTATGGTTGCACGGTCTAGCTCCCAGTCTCTCTTCTGGAACTCCGGCCATCTCTTCGTTTTGATTTCGCTGATAGTACGCTCTGTGCACCGTGCTTCTTCGGCACTGCTATAGGCTACTGCTGCGTCGATGACGGCGAGAGCATGCTGGAACTGGTCGTCGTTGTCGTAGCAAGTCCGGACAATGCAAAATCCCCACAATCCAGGTTTGTGTGCCTTCGATCGACCTTTACAAATGAGGCCAATGAGCCTACTGCGCAGGGGCCGGACTGGCTCCGGATCGCATTCGAAGCGCGGCTCGCGAAAGCCACGTTCGTGTCCTAATCTCGGTCGAGGGGCATCCAATTCGTATGACGGGTCGAGAGCGGCGTCAGGATAGGTAGACATGACGCTGGCTGCAGGACTGTGGGATGCGAAGGCGGGGAATAGGGGCCTAGTAGCTGATTGGGAAACCAGCAAGTACTTATACTGGCTCGTACTTGCGCCAGGGATTGCAAAGCAACAGGTGGGGCCATGGTAGCGCACAATTCGGGCCGATCTCTTGGTCGTGGATAGTACTTACCATACCCTGGTATACTTGCGTGCGTGGTGAAAAGGCCTGGGCGTAGTACTTGGAGGTACGAGTATGGTACGCAACGCTTGGACACAGCCTGCGCTACCTGAGTTGAGGGACATGTGCTTCGACCTACGTGGAGATACCCTAGGTATTCGTACTATGGAAATGCTCTCGTCTAGCACCGCAGGATCGCCGGCTTGACTGCAATCCTTGTCATCTTACATATTCTGCTCAAATCCAGCTAGCCAGATTATGTGGCAACACTACCACACGGTGCTTTCCAAGGTAGGTACACATGCGAAGCAAACAGCATAATCGACCAGTCAACAAGCGCGGCCGAAGCAGCCTCAATTCCTCATGATTCTCTAAGTCCAATCGTCGTTCGCCCAAGTCCGGGTCAAAACGCCTCTGATTGTCGAGCGTACAAAGGAGCAAGCACCACGAAGCCAACGCCTTCAGAGTGCTAAAGTTCCCCTGGCTGTCCAGGGATACCTCTCACATTGAATTTGATGCCGGCCGCAAGCCCCTGCAGCATACGCAAATCACCATAGACGACCGGAAACTGCTGGTGGTTGGTGAATCTCTCTATCGCCACCGCAAGCCATCGAAGTGCAAATTCCTGGACTCTGGCCGACATTAGGATGAAGCGCTCGTGAAGCCACTCGTCAAATCTCGCGACAGCTTGTACATAAACACCATAAAGCAACTGGTGCGCTTCGTCGGCAAGCCCGAGTTCCGTTCGTATTCCCCCGACAATGGTGGAGAAATGTTGCAAGATGTCCACGTTGTTGGCATATGTTACAACTCCCAGTACCTAGAGAACGCGAGTATATTAGTAAGTCGGCGCGTTTGGTGCAGGAAGCAGACTACCGGTCACGGTGTCGGAGTCAGCCGCAAGGGAGCGTAGAGTCGGACTGGTGCTGCACCGAAGCCGGCAACTGCTCGGCTTGTAAGGATTACCCACATCTCGGATCACGTTAAGAAATGCCGCAGGGTTGCTGTTGATGGAAGCAAGCAACCCGTTCATGGAATTATCAGTTCTTATGGTGACCAGTCTCCAGACCTGTACATGATAACGTCAGCAACACTGGAATGTCTAGGACATGATTGGGGAAAGGTAGGATTCGCGCGACGCACCTGGGACTTGAGAACATTGATCGAGTCTGGCAGCAAGACAAGGACGTCAGGATTCGATCTAGTGCCCAGATGATGGGCAATTCTTCGGTCTGGCCGCCTGGAGCCTTCAAGATAAAGAGGAGTGGTCACGAAAGGCAGAGCTGAGATCATGGTGCGTGTCCAAAAAGTAGGATTCATGGCACCGAACCTTGAAGCCCTGCGCGGTACGCCTGGGACATTATCTGCAGCTGAATTGTAGAACAGCTCGTTTCCGATTGTGGCTTCGGCGAAACGAGCTATAAGGGATCTCTCAAAGATGTGCTCAGCTGTAAATTGGCGTTAGAAATCTCCGCTGGGAAAAGGGTTCGCCGACTGGCAACGGTAAGACGCAAAGCTGTGGAGTCTACGGCCTTGTTGATGGGGTTATTTTAATCAACTTACATCTCAACGAAGCCAGGAAACCTGGAACCCAAGCCACTGCTGTTACCAGAGCTTGATCGCAGAATCTGGTGCCGTAGCCATAAACCCTGTTCCAAATTGGGTCGTTCACTAGCCATTCGCCGACTTGGTTATACTGTTGTCATCTGGTGGTGAGCGAAATACATCTTGAATCAGGGTCGCTTGGTGCACAATAACGTACTGATAGTCCTAAGAACGTCCCTCTCACAACCTCGTAATTCAAGTATGGAGAGAGCACCTCCCAATCGTACATTTCTTCTCCTGCTCGTTTATCCAAGTGGACGAGTTGCGAACCGAGTTCGCGAGTGGCAAGGCCATCATTGGGGGTTGTGGCAGAACATAACCCATCGCTTCCACCCGTGACTAACGAGTTGTATGCGGCCAAGTTGCAGAGAATCTGGTCGGGCAGATCAGCGGAGCCAGTCTCCAGTGCTCTGATATCGTCATAGATCCAGGCCTCAAGAGCATCAAAGCCGAGGTTGGGAAAAGAAGGACGGACAGCCCAGTCCCATGACTCGATGGCCCGATCTGTCGCACTGCGCGAGTAGAACAGTCTCGTGACGTGGTCCTTGAGTGTCGCAAAGTCCTTGTATCTCGAAGGTCCTTTCCACTTGTCGCAATCCGGGTCAGCAACAAAGTCGTGCAGCAGAGACTCGAACTCGTCGTTCCGAGGGTCGTTCCGGATCGTCGTTGTTCTGTAGCCCGGTTGGCAGCAGCGGGCGCGTGCTCCACGGGAGCAGTCGCCTCCAGCGCCGTCCATTGCGACGCGGACCATGTCATTGGGACAACCACTCAGACAGGTGTCTGTCAGATCGCTGTTCCAGGATGTCTGCGCCCTGTCAAACCAGTCGCAATTCTCCCATTGCGAGTCCTCGACCTGGTCGTTGTCGTTGCGCGATCTTAGTGCGTGAGCCATTTCAGTGATACAGAGCCGAATGCTGTCCACAGGCAGGGAGACAAACTCATTCTCGGCTGCTTTATTGTCGCAATTCGAAAGATACACATGAAGAATCAGCGTGCGATCGATTGTCTTCGACGGAGCGTAGAGGACAGCCTCAACGCTGGGCAAACCGGCGCGTCATTGATGTGCGACTCACTTTCAAGGAAAGGGACGCGCGAGTCGGAGGGAAAGTTGGCCGTGAGTGAGGGAAAAGACACAGATACAAGGAGGCGACCTCAGCTTGTATATGGTGTTATATGTAGTACCGGCGTCCTGCTTATGTAATGTGTGATGCCTAGCCAAGAATGGACGGCCTAAGCCAGTTTGAGCCGAACACGGTCTTCAGTCTTACACATCTTGACACAGCCTGCATGAACACCGTACGCCTCATTGGCGAGGCTGCCCAGCCAGGCACAGGAACCACCGCTCATGGGGCCTTGCAGCAGAGTCAACATCCACATACGAGGCTCTGTGGCACTGCAGCGGCTCATGCAGTGCTTGGACCACTGACGGAAATGGTACCCGTTATAAGCCAAGTATGCCGTCAGAACGTATGGGAACACGAGGCTCAACTTGCAAAGGCTGCCTGCAAGTGGTTGCAGTGCTGGAAGGGTTGTCAGGCTGTGTTACCCAGGGAGAAGGGGGCCCGGGTTCACAGATGAAGCCGCTGCGAGCGATCTGGTGGTTGGAAGGGGCTGTGCATAAGAGGATTTTTCTAGAATGTGAAGGAAGCTGGCCCTCGTCATCCACGAGAGCTTGTCTGGAATGATCACCCGGTGCAGGGGTTGTAGAGCTAATGTTGTTGGCGGTTATCGCGTGCGAGAAGTTTCATGGAGTCTGTCGACCATTGTCCCCGTGCGAGACAGTGGCTGCATCACTATTTGTGCCCAGGCTCAGTGGCAGAACGATATCATCATGATTTTGTTGCTCTATTCTCGTAATGAGCCCCATCGAATGTGACATGGGATAAATGATGGCCCCCTTTCGAGGGCGGAAAAGGGAATTCGGGTGCATGTTGACGCATGCAGAGCAGCAAGCCACGGCTGCTCGTTTGGTCAGGTTGTCGCCAGTCAACGGTATGGGTGATCTCTGGTGGGGCAATTGCTGCTCTGTCCAGCAGTTTTGGGCCAGCTTGGAGCGGAGCTTACCTTAAGGTACCTGAAGGTGCGTGGTCTTGTGGAAGACACCGAGGCCAGAAAACGCTGAATGCAAGGAAATGCGGACTACAACTCCATTGACTGCCTGATCTGAGAAAACTTGGGACTCCGTCTTGTGGTAGGGAGAAATCGCCTCAGCTGACCCTGGGGTGGGAAGGAGAGAGCAATTCTGCGTACCCTTAGCTTCTGGTCTTTATGGTGGGGCGTGACTGTACAGCAGGTAGAATTGAATGTCGCACCCGCTTCTACCATCGGCCTGTCTCCTTACCACCCAAACACCAGCTCCACCATATTCAACATCAGAGAATCCCTTGGACACGCCGCAACTGACCTGCTGGTGATTAGACAGACACAGTTGACCTCCGGACCAGATCAATTCGAGGCCTTGCAGGCGGACCTCATCACGCCCTTGACCTTCTGCGATCCAGCTCGTGGTTCCATGCAGCTTAGTGAGCGCAACCACTCATAAACATCCGTGGCCTGTGAAGGTACATCACTTCCCGAAGCCCTTTCTTTAACATATCTGCAGACCTGCTTCTGTTAAGGAAACCACCAGAGCAACCTTGGATTAGCTCACAGCACTGTGAAATCTTTGCATGATATCACCACTTGGAATATCATAGAACAATCTCAGACATAGACCTACCACGCCGCCTGAACTCTACTGACACGACATGCAGCTTACGGACGCGAAATACTCTTATGGCTGCCCTACAGCAAGGGCCAGGTGAGCCCTCCTCGGTAGGACTCTGGCTGTGATCACTCACTAACAACTCGATAGCCAAGCTGGCGGCGGTTAAAGGCTTGGTTGACAAGCTCCGGGACGACCTTAAAACGCCAAGCTTGACCACATCACGTAGGTGCCTTGCACATATTTGGCTACGCATGGGGTGCTCAACTGACATCTCAATCAACAGAACGTGACACAGCGCTCGAAGAGCTCAAAGTCTATGGCCGTGACCCGCGGTTTGCCGACCCGCTCTTCACAAAAGAGGTGCGTAACACTTGCAAACCTTCTTATCATGAGTTGCGACGCTGACGAGCTGCAGGGAATCGAAACATTACTACAGCTTGCCTTCTCTGGAGGCGCTGACAGCACAGCCAAGAATGCCCTACGTGTCCTCTGCAACGCTCTAGTGCTTAAAGAACAGACACGGCAAATGTTCATCGACCTCGGTTACGAAGGCAAAGCCTGTGAAAGACTCAAGAATGATGATCCCGACGATGAATTCTTATGTTCAAGACTGCTCTTCCTGACCACGTACGGCACGAGTGTTGACTTGAGCGCCCTCATCGAGAAGCATCAGCTAGCCGACACCATTACAAAGAATCTAGAGCGCCATGCAAGACTCCGGTCGTCCGGCCAGGTCCCGAGCAACCCCATGGTTGATATGGCCATGACCGAGTCACTGAAGCTGCTGTTCAACATCACACACTTCGCCACGGCGCATACAGCTGCATTCACAAGTATCATCCCACCTGTCGTCCAGCTACTATCCCAAATGGAATCGGCAACCTCGAAGCCTCTAGACCCGCCCGTCAACTTCCTCATCAACGCCCTGCTGAACCTTGACCTCGGGTCCGCAGAAATACACGACGCCTTGTACCCTCCAGACGAGCCCGAGGGAGTGGCAAAGCACCTGATCAACCTGCTCACCAAGTCGACCACCGCCTACCACGACGCGGAATACGACATGTGCCTCACGCCTCTGCTCGGCGTGATACGCGCGGTACACGAGTACGCGCCGGCGGCCGTCAAGGCGTCGATCCGCACCCAGCTCCTGCCCACGGACAAGGATCGCGCTCAAGTCCTGGGCACCACCGCGTCCCTGTCGAGCTGGCTGCTCAAGAACACGACGAACCCGCTCGCGCCCAAGACCCGCGAGGTCATCGCGGACCTGCTGTACGACATGTCGGACCGCGACGCCACGACGTTTGTGGACAATGTCGGCTACGGCTTCGCCTCGGGATACTTGTTCAACAAGAACATCCCGATCCCGGCGAGTCTGACTGCCGAGGGCGGCCCACAGAACGACGATGGCTCCGGCGCCGGTCCTGCTGGTTCACTTTCATCATCCTCGCAACAATCTAACACGGGTAACGGCGGCGGCGGCGGCGGCGGCAGCAGCAGCAGTAGACCAGTCAACCCGATCACGGGTCAGTTCCTCGACAAGGAGCGCAAGCCTGAGGGTCCCGAGATGACCGTGGCCGAGAAGGAGCGAGAGGCGGAGCGACTGTTTGTCCTGTTTGAGCGGTACGTCATGCACATAGTTTCCTCGCAAAGAGCGTTTCTTTTTTGTTCCCTTTCGCGTTCCAAATGGAGAGAGTACATGACAGATATGCTAACGTCCTCCTCGCACAGGCTTCGTGCAAACGGCGTCATATCGGCCGAGAATCCGCTCCGGACTGCGGTTGAGCAGGGCCAGTTCGAGGAGCTCGAGGACGAGAAAAAGGGAAGCAACAGCTCGGACTATGATGAGGAGGAGGAGGAGGAGAGGAAAGGGAAGGGGCAGAAGAAGAAGAACTAGGGCCAGTGCGTTTATCGTGTACACCCGAGCAGCTGCTGGTCGTGCGATGGTACCATAGTAGCCCAGCCCAGGAGGCCAATGGCTGCTGGGACCCTAGTCTTGATAGTGGCACTCCGAGTACAAGTGCAGGAGAATAGCTGGTCCCCCCGTTGGCATATCGGTCAAAATGATGTCCTAGATTGTTGCCATTCACAAGAAAATGTAGAATGACCTGTCTGGATCCAGATTATGACGAGACTAAGCATAAGCACAGTTGTGCAATCCTGACAACGATTATGCTGCATCCACAGTAGGTAGAAGACCAGAAAACAACACAAACGCCAAACACCAGTGCCAGAACAAGAAAAATCTCTTTCCCCGCGAAGCGTACAACTCGTGCTGATCAGCACACAAATAATAGCCGAGCCCATGCTTAAAAGCCCATCTTCTTCGCACCGCCTCGCTCGCTCTCTCTCTTGACCGCTCCTTCAGAACAAGAGCAGGCCTAGATCACCGGTACTGTCTGAGCGGCAGCTGGCGGTCGAGCGTGTTGAATGCCATGGTGCGCGGCGTGTACGGCATGGTGCCCGTGCGCGGGGTGGGCGGGATGTTGCCCATCTCCCAGATTTTGGTCTCCTTGTTGAAGGACCCGGCGTCGTCGTCGTCAGAGTCCTGCGGCGCGTTGTCGAGCTCATTCGGGAGCATCGAGTAGATGCCATAGCCGAGGTTGAAGACGCACACGGCGCTAGAAGACGAGGGGTGAAATGGGTTAGCAGGATGATTCGAGCGACAAGAGAGGCGGCAGATTTTGGTAGCCATTGGGGAAGGGGGAAGGAGGAAAAGGGGATTGTTGCTCACAGCATGAACACGGTGGTGGCAAAGGTGCCCTTGGCCACACGACACGACGACTGGATACTCTGGTTCGCGGCGACGGTGCACGGCTTGGCAATGTACCAGGCGACGGAGCTGGGAAAGTCTGGGTCGAGGTTATCCGGTCCGGCCTGCCCATAGACGCTGGTCGCGTAGAGGGCGCTCAGGACCACGTAGAAGACGGTGCAGATGATTGGAAACCAGACATTCATGATGAAGGCGACCAGCTTGACAATCAGGACGAAGAGACTGATGACGGAGATGGCCACGTTGAAATTGGTCAGCCTGTTCGAGGTATTAGTTAGCAATGAGTCCTGAGGCGAATGTCACTGGCTACGGTCCAGGCCCGGGCCCATGTTCTCTTACATTAGAGACCAGACGAATGGGATCTGCGGCAGAGGTTCGTGGTTGGCGTAGGCATAGAGAAGGAGTACCGGGCTCGAGTTGAAGTTGAGGTCCGCTCCGGCCTGCCAGAGCTGGGTCCGGAAGAGGTCCGGCTGGGCGATTCCAAAGAGGATGAGGAGGCCGACGGTGGCGCCGAGCTCAAAGATCAAGGGGATGTAGAAGGCCCTCTTGGGCGTCCGCCATTGTCTGTGGATCGGGCGGTAGACCATGGTGACTTTGGAGGCTTGGACTCGGCTGTTGTCGAAAGGGTCGAGAAGAGAAAGTGAATGCCCTCGGTGCCGGATTGGTCTTTGGGGACTGATACGAGCAGGCTCCAGGTTGTGGTGAAGACAACTGGTGGTAGCGCAGGCCCGATCGCAAGGTCTGCCGTATAAGCCGGGCTGGTCGATGTATGGCACTCAAGGGCCGTTTGCTGATGGCGGCGTCGTCGTCTCCACGGATTCTCTCGATTTGAACGCCTCCGCGATGTTGCTTACGGCCAGCTTTAGAGGAGCCGCATGCCCGTGCGAGAGCGGCCACGAGGGCCCTTTAAACAGGACGGTCAAAGACGGGCAGGCAAGGGTGGGAGGTTGCAGGCGCATCACCAGAGCGTGCATGGTGACTGGCGCAGGGAGGTAAGGCGGGCAGCCAATGGGCGTGCCGGCAGGGCCGTGCTGGTGAAGCTGTAAGCGCCGGCCTTGCGAGTCGCGCTGTGCCGTGCGGGCCACGACTGGCTCGGCGGCAGGCGCCGAGCATGCGGATTGGTGGGAAGGTGCAGCCCTGGGCGGGGCCGGCTGCCACGGGTGGTCGGGGATGGCACCAGTCGACCTGCTGCTGGTGTGCTGGCCCCGCGCGCCCCAGGCACGTCCCCGGCGGCAAGCAATCAAGACCAGACCCTCCGTGCTGTCTGCCACCTCTTCCAGTCTGCGATGGGACAACCGGCCAGGAACTTACTAAAGTACGTACTTAGGTTGGGCGGGTAGCTGCAATGGCAAAGACCAGAGTCACGTGGTTGCCAGGACGACATTCGCGTAAAGCCGCACGGCCGATTGCACCAACTTGCTGCATTGTGCATGCACAAGAAGTTCATTGTGGGGGGCACATCATACCCCTCCATGGTGGCCTGTTGCGACTCTCCATACCCTCATATCCACCACGCCTGGGTCAAAGTCACGATAGCATCAGAGTTGTGTGTTCCTTGTCCGGTACCTTGCGTTGAAGCCGGATTGAACTGTTCCGGTGCGGTTGCCTCCCTGATCATACCTTTGGCGAAGCAGTCTGGTTTGTGCCTGCAGTACGAACCAGGCCAGGAGACTGGCATACAGTCTCTCTCATGCCGACCCTGGCCAACTTATACCTGGAAGAACTGGTCAGAATCTTTATGGCACTCCCCACACACGCTGTGAGCATACGTGTGGGCGCCACCAACGCCACGAAAGCGGACATTTCAAATCATGGCCGCACGTTCTCTGGAGCTATGCAAGACCTTGCTGAGATCCAGTTCCTGCAGCAGATCATAGCTAGCGAGATGATAGGAATAGCGAATTCTAAATGTCCTCCCAGTCTTGGACGACTTGTCTTATCCGCAATCTTATACGGATATTGCAGTGCTTAGACGTAGAGCGTGTTATGTTTAAGCAACACGTTACGTCGGTCAGCTTGTAGGACAGCGCCACGTTGTCAGAGGGAGACAGGAACTGCGGCTGGTCCCGGGCATACTGTCGCAATCGAGGACCACTTAATGGTCCGTCATGGAGGCCCAAGACGGGTTCGTGCGCCCAGTGGTGGCTTTGGAACGCGCAACGCTACATGATCAAGCTGAAGCAAGATGCTCTTGGTCTGCCTCTGTGACGACCGAAGCGCGTGACTCTTCACCCCAAAGGGAGATGGAGTCAAATGCCTATTGGGTTTTGAGACAAGGAAGTAAGATTGTTCCCACCTATCGTTCACCGACGGGCCGCGCCGATTCCCCCTGGCGGCCTGCTGGTGCTCGTTATTGATTCTGACAGAGCCAATCCAGTGCTCAAGCTACGGTTGAGCAGAAGTGCCTGGCATTGCGGCAACCATGACAAGAGCACGACGTCTTGGGCGAAAGTTCGGAGAGACGTTGGACGCAGCGTCACAAATACTTCTAACGCTAGAGAGTCGCCGCCAGTGAATCAGTCGTCTCTCTTGGGCGGCCAGATGAATGATCATGTGCCCGACGGAACATGTGAACAATGTGTGGGAGGCTGTTCTCACTGTCAAACACACATTAGTCACTTGCGTGGCGCTTTTGAAAACCACTGGTCCCGCCATGCCGCCCATTTGGGGAGAGTGGTCCAAATTACCAAATCGAGCATAGAGGGTGGGTCAGGTTGGTGGTGAGCGAAGCCTCACGGTTTCTTCGGACACCAGACAAAGGCTACTGGAACCGGACCAGGCGGGTTGAAGCGCGGGCGTCATGGTTGCGACGTGCCGCAGAACACCCAGATTTAATCAAGATCCACTGACCGACAAACACCCCGCTTTGGACCCGAGAAGCAGGGACTCGAGAGTGTCCGGCCTGGCACCGAAGACAACCCTTTTCGGGTTGTGCAGTGTCTCAGAGGATCGCAAGGGGACGGAGCGGCGTGTTGGATCTCTGGTCGCCAATGCCATGTGATACTGCATCCCTGACGTCCCGTGCCTGATCGTCCTATATTTCTCCCCCATGCAGATTGGAAAGTTGCCCATGTGCTGTGCGTCAACCGCCATCGTCGAAGAGCAGCGTGTCGTCGGCATGGTCCTCCGAGTTGGTGCCGATCTCCCAGCAGCACGAACGACGGCAGGACAGTCCGGCTGGAACCAACCTGCCGAACCCCTCCCCTTGTCGCTCAGCAGGCTTGGCACAGAATGCCGGACACGACGATCGGCTGGTCTAGAGCGTTCTGCTCCACTAAAAAGTCACAGCCCTGGGACATCAAGGGGCCGCTTGATCGGCTCGTGCATGGCACACTGTCTGCAGCCCAGCATCGCACAACCACAAAGGCGTCGCTAGACTTGCCGTGAGCCTTGGATGCAAGCCGGGTTGCAGCGCTAGCTGATGCAGAGGCAACGGAAGGATGCGCATTCGCGGAAATATTGCGGGAAGCAACCCCCCATGGTGATGAAACCAGCCGTTCCGCGGGGGCTTTGATGCAATGGTGATGTACGACACACAACAGATCGTGGCGTCGAGTGGCTGGCACTCTGGCTTGTTTACCATTGCGAGAGAGAGCGCGAGCATATGCGACGGGGTCGAGAGAGGGGCGGATCGGTACGTGTCGACCTGAGGAAAGTACCTGCATCCGGCTGCGTTCCTGGTTTTGATTCACAGTCAGCGCCGCCGATGTGGGGTAGCTGGCTGAGCATGGGAGCATGCGCTGCAGTCGAGAATAACGATGAGACGGAAGAGGGGGAATCAGGTATGAGCAGATGGGAAAGTGAGCGGGAAGGCGACGAGAGAGCAAATGGTCAGGTACGGGCCAGCTGTCGAGTTGTGGACACGATGCATCAGTTTGGACAGCACGGCTGAGGAAAAATGGACGAGGGCGAGGCGGACAAGATCGCCAGCGACGACTGGCCCAAGCCGGGTGCCGGGGGTGGGCCCCATGCCAGAACTAAATGACGCGACTCGCACGGTCCACCATAGCCTTGCTAGCTGGCTGAATCCCCAATTCTCCTCCTCAGAAGTTGCCCGTCTGACAAAGCGCTTTCCATGTCTTCTCGCTGCGGCAGCCATCGCGCCCGCGCTGCTGCTCTTTGCCGCAACTCGTCTGTACTTACGTACGCTACTTAGATTTGTGCCCAGTGACAACCCTTGGTCTTTGTGTCTTGCCTGCCAAGCCTGCCAGAGCTCGAGATACTCCAGCGTCACCGCATCCCCAGTGTTGAGCTCCTCGACTTCCTCCTCTCCCAACTCCGCCTCGACCTGCCAGCTGTTGTCCTCGGCAAAGCTCCAGGATTACCATCGGATACGCAGCACCGGCCATTTCTGGATCCTCCTCGCTGAAGCAAGCGGATGCCTGCTACCTCTCCCACTTGCGCAGTCAGTCCAGCGCCCGTCACACCTAGTCCTTCAGTCCTGCCATCTATCATCTGCCTGCTGAAGCTGCCTCGCCACCATCTGCCAGGTCTTGCGTGTCCCAAGCTGTCCTGCCGTGTCGCTTGTGCCTGCCGCCGTCAGATTGGCGTAATCCGACAGTCCTTCGTGGCCACGGCCGCATGCTCTGCTCGCCGGCTCCTCCACCGACTTTCCGCACCTCGATGTCCCCTGCGAGCGCGCCCCATCTATTGTAGCACAGAGTCAGGGACGACACCAATTGCGCCTCTGCAAAGTACAAGGTTTCTAACCTCTCGGGACAAAGTGGATAGCTCTAGGCCCCGGCCTGCACATCGGCAACCCATCGAGCTCTCAACTTTCCCCATCCACTCTTCCCTGCCGTAACTGGGCTGGCGCAATCTGGCAATCGGCGCCTCCATCTGACTTTCGGAGTGCCATCGCGATTCGACACGCGCACCACCACCACCACCAACGGAATTCCCTCCTCGTCGCACACCTGGAGCCGGCCCCTTGCCTGTCCGTCCATGCACCGAGGCCTGTCGTTGCACGCCTCGTCCCCTGTACCCTTGGCTGCTCTCGCTTACAGAACTGTCCTCTCCTGCTGTCCGCTACAAGCTGGTCCCGGCAGCCGAGCACGAGCGAGGGCTCTTCATGCCTCTCGACACCTCCTCCCCAGACGAGCCACCCCTCCACCACCCTTCACTGCAAACCACGCAGTCGCCCATCGTCTCGCCACACCAACCCCGGCCTGCACTCAGTAGAGCCTCTTCGTCTACCGCTGGCCCTGCTGCTGCGACTTCGTTGCGGAGTGCACCTCAGGGCTATTTTCCAGTAGCCACCGTTAGCGGTGCTGCCACTGCAATCTACGCAAGAGACTTCACCCTAGACGCTAGCCATCATGGCTTGATGGTCACCACTACCTCGCAATCGTCCCAATCCCACAAAGACTCGGTCTCACGGCTTCACAACAGTGCCACCGGCTCCCAGGCGGGTGCTCGGGAGCGTACTGTCACGTTCCAGTCGCAGCAACCACCACCACCACCGCCGCCAACGCTGGTCGGGCCTCACGGGAAGCGGCTGCCAGCCGGCGAGGTCGATCTGGCTCGGGACCACCAGCAGCCACCACACAAGAAACCACGGACACGTCTCCTACCTCCTGGCAACATTGATCTGAGCACTTTCTCGAAGCCCGCATTGCCTGCTCGACACACCGATGTCCCGACATCGCCACTGTTCTTCTCTCACTCACAACGACCGCCCATGGCACGGCCGCCAAGCTTCTCAGCTGGCCTCGAAGTCGCTGGCACCATGCTCAACCATGTGCGCGAGAACACTGAGGTGACGACCCTCAAGTTGGCTAGAGGTACGGTTAGTTCGGCGAGTCCAGCGAGGTCATCGAGTACGCCGGGGAGTTGGTCGTCGATTGATGCGACCGCCTTTGGCAAGAGCCCTGATGGGCAAGTAGCTCTCTCATCGTCATCAGGCATATCCGCGCTTCAAGGCATCGGTATACTCGAGTTGCTGGAACGAGATGATCGGCCGACCTTCATTGTCGACAATCATAACCCGGTTCCGACGCTGCCCGGGTCTTCCACGATCTTGCATTACAACCCGGCTCTTCTAGCTTCGTACGGTTTACGGAACGTGGTCTCTGGAGAAGGTCTGAATAGCCCCGAAGCCAAGGCTGAATTCGAAGGTTTCTCCAACTGGATCAAGAGCGCTGGTGTTCAACCTGACGGCATGGACGTGTTCATGCCCTCTTTTCACTATGCTGGTCTTGACTGGACTTGTGCCACAATCCGCCAACGCTTTCGGTTTGTGAGCGCCAACAAGAGTGCCGCATCGATCGCCCGCTCTTCGCCGGCACCGCCAACTGGTAAAGACTCAAGCACCGAACCTCGGGGACGGGGTCTGACACCAACGGCGCCGCCAAAAACTCCAAGCGATGTAGCTCTTGGTGACACAGACTACTTTGGCACAGTGCATTCGGACGCTCGTAGCACCGGATCGTCCGCAGGGCCTGGTAGCGATATTGACGAGGCCAGTCTCTTGAGAGAGGGCGTGATAGAATCAGATAGCTTGCCGCTCGGCAAGCCCTCATTCGATTGGACACGCATACCCCTGACCGACGACCTACCTACGCACATCCGCTTTGCGCGCACGAGGGACTGGGCCAACACACCATTAGGCCCCATTGAAGACTGGTCCCATGAGCTTCGTGCAATGGCCAACATGGTCATGGGCAGTCCGCACCCAGCTGCGTTGTACTGGGGTCGCGACCTGACCGTCATCTACAATGAAGCTTATATCGCCATGGCTGGCCAGAAACATCCTACTCTGATGGGACAGCGTTATCAGGATGCATGGCAGGAAATTTGGCCTGACATTGGGCCGATTCTTGAAAGCGCATGGGATTCTGGTCAAGCCATTATGAAAAACGATGATCGTCTATTGATGTCCCGCTACGGCTTCATGGAGGAGACTTTCTTCTCGTGGTCCATCGTGCCACTTGTTGGAGAAGACGGTTCGGTCGTTGGCCTTTACAATCCCGCGTTCGAGAACACCAGGCGGAAAGTGGCAGAGCGCAGAATGCTGACGTTGCGTGAGATTGGCGAGAGAACGGCTTTGGCTCGCGACGTCAAAGGCTTCTGGAACCAGGTCAACAAGGGATTGGAGTATAACGAAGAAGACGTGCCGTTCGCCTTGGTGTATTCTGTGGCAGATGACCACGACAGCGACATGTCGTCTATGCATTCAGGAAGTATTCAAAATCCTCCACAGCTTGCGCTCGAAGCCTCTCTCGGTGTCCCGGACGGCCATCGTTGCCTAGTCACCTCGGTTGATCTCAGGACGAGCAATGATGGATTCGCACCTTACATGCGCGAATCTATGACTCGAGCAGGAGCACCGGTGCGACTTAGTGCAAGCGACGGGACCATGCCCGCCGAACTCATGGCTGGTTTTGCATGGAGAGGACCCGGTGATCCTTGCCAGTCTATCGTAATCTTCCCGGTCCATCCGACAACGGGCGGCGATAGTGTTGTTGGTTTCATTGTGATGGGTGTCAACCCACGGCGGCCGTTCGACGAGGATTATGAGCTTTTTATTCATCTTCTTTCAAGACAACTGGCAACCTCCCTGGCTTCGGTCGTGCTATTCGAGGAGGAGATTCGCCGTGGACAAAAAGCTGCTCGACTTGCCGCGCTGGACCGGCAAGAGTTAGCCCAACAGTTGCACCTGCGCACGCAAGAAGTCGAAGAAAGTGAGCTGAAATTCACACGCATGGCCGAGTTCGCTCCAGTTGGCATGTTTATTGCCAACGGGGGCGGCCACATAGTATACTGCAACGACATGTGGTGGGAAATTTCAAGGCACCCCCGTTCTGAGGATAGTGTCAACACGTGGATGGACAGTATCAGACCAGAAGATCGGCCAGCGCTGGAGGCGAAGTGGGCGAGCCTCGTGTCGGAAAAAACGGCTATCACCCAGGAGTTCCGCTTCAAGTGTTCCAGACATGATGGCGATAGTGTCATGGACACTTGGGTCTTGATGAGCGCCTATCCCGAGAGGGACGCCAATGGAGAAATCAAGGGCATCTTCGGCTGCATCACGGACATTTCGCAACAAAAGTTTGCCGAGAAGATCCAGGCGCAGCGGCGCGAGGAGGCGGTAGAGCTCAAACGGCAACAAGAGAACTTTATCGACATCACCAGTCACGAGATGCGCAACCCGTTGAGCGCCATCCTCCAGTGCGCGGACGAGATTTCTGGGACTCTTTCGAAATATAGAGGTACCGAGGAGGCTAAGCAGCTTACCGACACTCTCAGGTTGGCCGTGGATGGGTCCTTAGAAGCCGCAAACACGATTACGCTGTGTGCCAGCCACCAAAAGCGAATCGTGGACGACATTTTGACCCTATCCAAACTCGATTCCCAGCTGCTGCTGGTAACCCCGGTCGATGTGCAGCCTATGGCGGTGGTCAAAAGAGTATTCAAGATGTTTGAAGGAGAGCTCAACACCAATGGTATCCAGATGACCTTCCTTGCCAAGAACCGTTTCTTGGATCTAGGCATCGACTGGGTCAAGCTTGACCCATCAAGACTTCTCCAGGTTCTGATTAACCTCCTCACAAATGCCATAAAATTCACGCAAGCGCGACCGGAACGGTCCATCGTCGTCACACTGGATGCCTCACAAGACATTTCAGAGGTGACCAAGGACGGCGTAGAATACTTTCTCAGCGACCGCACCAACAAAGAAGACCTCACGGAACATCCGGACTGGGGCGATGGCGAGAAGATCAATCTGCATTTCTCCGTCCAGGATACAGGGCGCGGCTTGGACGAGCATGAGCGCAAACTTCTGTTTCAGCGCTTTTCACAGGCGACACCTCGCACACACGTGCAATACGGCGGTTCAGGGTTGGGGCTGTTTATTTCACGGATCCTCACTGAACTCCAAGGCGGCCAGATTGATGTGACTTCTCAGAAGGGTGTCGGGAGCACATTCTCGTTCTATGTGAAGTGCCGCAGATCCTCCAAGCCACCCTCAGAGAGCATGACATTGCCGCCAGCCGCCCCGCCCTTGACACGTGCGCCAGGCTCGTCCACGGTCATTGAGAACCACCAGCCGACATCCACAGGCCTAATTTCCCAAGCCTTGAAAAGAGCACCACTGATCAAGCCACGCATTGTCGATGGTCAGCGCATGTTTGACGTGCTCATCGTGGAAGACAACGTGGTGAATCAACGCGTTCTGCAGAGACAACTCCGTAACGTCGGAAATAACACCAAGGTCGCGAACCACGGTGGGGAAGCGCTGGCTGTACTAGAGAAGTCGCGCTATTGGACTGGCAAGGAGGAGTCGGGCGATGACATCTCCGTCATCCTTATGGATCTTGAGATGCCCATAATGGACGGCATGACTTGCGCTCGCAAGATCCGCGAGCTTGAGCGCCAAGGAACCATTGTCAGCCACATCCCCATCATCGCTGTCACAGCATATGCCCGCCCTGAGCAAATTGAGGATGCAAAGGCGGCAGGTGTGGTGAGTACAAGAATCGCAGCGACGATCTGAGTTCGGCCATCTCTAACATTTTCTGTGCAGGACGATGTCATTTCGAAGCCATTCCGTATGCCCGAGCTCATTCCCCGAATCGAAGAGCTCGTGAGCAAGTATGAGGCTTATACCGAATCAACCGCCGCGGCATAAGCATGCTTGGCGGTTTCTAGACGCATTGCACATAGACGAGCGTTCCCGTTTGTTGTTGAAACAGCAGCAGAGAGACAAGCTCACATGACACAGATGCGCCATTAATTATCCACGACTAAGCGGAAGGGCGCCACCAAGTCGTTGTTCACGCTATTGGTCTGTGTCCGTCACCGAGACGAGGCTACCTTTACGATACCGTTGCATTTCGAGCACGCATTTTGGAATTCCCTGAATTGATTTAAGCACTCGGCGCTGAATAGAACATCATGACAGAGCCTAGCCGGAATTGTTTTTATTTATTTTTTCTGGCTGCTTTCGGCGATTGAGACTCGAGCGCGAAGCAGTCAGGTGACGTTTCGCAATTTATTATCTCATCTACCGGACTTGGCTCGTTCTCGGCCCATGAGGTCGGCGTCTCTTTTTTGTGTTCTGAAGCCCAGGCCAGAGCGATGACCAAAAAAAGCAGGATTGGGATGGGACATAATCAATTGACGCAAAGGGGGGAGCGTTCTGGAGTAGACACACACACACACACACACACACACGAGAGATGTGGCTGGCGTACACAATAAGACTTAAGTACCATGGATAATCGCGCTTTGTCTCCGGCTTGTGTAGCTCCGCGCCCAAAAAGAGAGATGGATTTCTCTTGTCAGTTCATGCGATGACCTAGCAGCGTTGGGTCCGGGCTTGGCCATGCTGGCAGATACTGACAAACCACGTTTGATCTTGAGGACACAGCACTTGTTGACTCAATGTGTATACTTCTCGGACAAATTGGGGTTCGTCGGTCCTTCACAAGTCCCCCTTTGCAATGATGAAGGTGGTGGCGGAACGGGCCACGAACGCGCCGAGTGAGATTTGATAATCGTTGTCGGCATAATGAATCACATATGTTCGCAAAATAGAGAATGGCATTAGTCGATTAGAGTCAGTGCCAGAGTTGGGACAAGGTACCTGGTCAGCAAGGCTTAAAGAATCGGGGTATCATTTCCTGAGTTCTCGTCAGGGTTCTATATACACTGGCTCAATTTTGTAACCGCTCTTGACTTCTCTCCCTCGTCGTCGTCATGAAAAGACAAAAGCCATGAATTAATTCCAACGCTAAACGCCGTTCTCCAATGCAAGAAGGTTTGACCAACTGATTGCGTCGATATTGCCAGACCTGGTTTCCCGGTGCGGATGAGCCGTGCTCAACTTGGACGCTTTGGTCAGCCGGATTTTAGTGGCGGACTTGGTTGTCCAGCTCGTAGGAGCCAGCCGGAGCCGGAGGGCCGCCGTAGTACTGCTGCTGAGGCGCATAGTAGCCGTGCTGGTTGTTTGGTGGCGGGGCATAGGTGCTGTACGGAGCCTGCTGCGCGTGCTGGGGCGCAGGGGAGGGGACGGGCGACTTGTACTCGGTGGCGCTGGGGGGGACATAGGGGCTGGCGCCACCATAGCCCTGCTGGGAGTAGTTGCCGCTGGGCGCGGGGATGCCGGTCGAGTAGTTCTCGTAGCCCTGGGTCTGGGGCGGCTGGGCACTGCCGGTGTTGGGAGTGTAGAGCTGGCCCTCGACGTGGCCGGTGGCAGCGGCGTTGTACTTGCCGCCGCGGAGGGTGCCCTTGCGGTTGCGGTGAACGACGATCGAGCCGTAGACGAGCTGCGCGATGCAGGTGGCGCTATAAGAACGGATTAGTTAGCTCCAACTCGCAGTCGAGGAGGGTCATGGGGACCCAGAGAGAGAGGAGGAACGGGGACGCAGAAACGTACGCAGCAGCGAGGGTGAGGAGGATGGAAGCGGCGGCGGCACTGAGGCAGGCGAGGATGAAGAGGATGACCCAGATGAGGGTTTTTATGCAGGCAAAGCTGAGGTAGATGGCAGGCTTCATGACGCCCTTTGCGATGAAGACGATCTCGAGGATGTCGAAGAGGGCCGTGAGGAGGCCAATGCCAATGTTGATGCCAGCACCGGCGCTACGAAGGACGTGTCAGTTGAGTGGTTGGCGAAGGAGAGCAAACGAAGGCTGGGCGACATACGCAAGAGCGGTGGCAAGGCTGCCGCTGACGACGGTGCGGCTGCCACTGACGAGGGTGAGAGCCCAGGCGGAGATGCCAATGTAGATGATGCAGACGAGGAACTGGATGACCCAGGCGGGGATGTTGATGGCCTTGCGCCAGTCGTATGCGAACTTCTGCATGGTGGGCGGTGGTTGTGGTGGTTGTGCTGAGGAGAGAAGAGGGAGAGAGATGAGGAGCAGAGGCGAGAGGGCTGAAGACGAAGAAGGACGACGGTGTGCCGTCTTAAGTATCCCCAGCTGCGATGCTGCAGCTGCTGGAAATGAGCATAAGCCCTACTAGATGCAGGCCCGCAGCAGCAACAACAACCCTGGGAATAGAGGGGCGCGGCTGAGCAGCCCCAAGCTACAAGCTAGAGGTGGGGTCTCTGGGCTGGCAGGGGCCAGGGCCCGGGGGGTGCCTGCCTCCAAGCTAACATAAGCTGCCTTAGTCTGGCAGGGCCAGCCCTTTTGTTTGTCCCAAGGGTTGCTGCTGCGCCTTCCCGTGCCCTGGGCTTGGCCCGACCGCTTCGCTTCGTTTGGCGCGATGCATACGATCGACTGACGCGATCCATTGTTGGCCTGCTCTAATTACCGGCTGCCCATGGCTCTCCTGCAATCGCCATCAGGCCAGTCCGACCCGTCGTTCATCCGCCCAATCACCATCAAGTCACGGCTCAACACCATCGTGCTAAGTTCCAGACACCACCTCGCCTGCGCTGCTCCATCTCCAACCCGTGTCCCGACCAGCAGCTCAGCGCCGAAACTTAACCTGGCTCCATACATTTCTACCTACGCCTCCCGATATGGGCCACTCTTTCGACTGCCTGGGCATCGAGGAGCGAGGGCTAAGAAAGAGAGAGACAGGGACCAGAAGAAAACACAAACACAGACTAGGTGCCAAGGCGTGGGCCACTGTCATCACATCCATAGGGCTGGGCCCGTCGCGTTGCCTGTCGCAATTTTTACTTTTTATTTTTAGCAGCACCGCCCGTCCCATCCCGCCGCCCCATCTTTGCCCACCTGGGCACTCTGCAACGATCAGTGCCCCAAAGCCCAGCCTTCTCATCCCCTGCACAAGCCCACTTTTCAACATCGACCCTGTCCAAGCTTTCTCCTCCGCGCAGCCCCCAAAATAGGTCCCTGGACCGACGGGCATGAACCCCCCAGGAACGTTTAGACTGGGCACAGGAAAATGCTTATCAGGAAGGAGGCTTGTCACGCGACAGGCACACAGCTCGTCGCGCGTTGGGGAAGCTTCAGCAGCGCCGAGTACTTTACCCTCGCTAGGAAAGCTCGGCTATCAGTTGGGGTGCTTCTTTCCCCCCTTCCTGTCAGCAGCCATGTCTCAGCCATGGACCAAAACAAGTTGTGAAAATGAGCTGTTGCTGCTGCTGCTGTTCAGCTACACACGTCTCCCTCAAGCCCTTTGTTGGACAATGCGACAATGCAGGCCAGGCAGGCCTTCAGCCTCAGCGCGCTAGCCATCTCGCCCGTGCAGCCACAGAGCACAGCAACCCTCCTATACACATCTCAGCTAGGTCGTCGTCACACGCACAAGGACCCAATCGTGCTGCTGCTGCTACATACTGCTGAGCTGCAAGGCTGCTGAGCTACAAAGACCTCATGCATCTTCTCTTAGACCCGAGGAGGCTCTGTTGCGTTACATTGTGATATACCTACTTTATTAAAGGCATTTCGTCCAATCATGCTGTTTTCTGCTGCGAGCACGTCAAGCATCACCATGAATACTACACAGCAGAAGGACGTCGTAGTTATCAAGAGGCGCATTCACGTGTATTTCGAAAAGGGCGTGCACCGCGTCTTGGCCTGGGCAATTTGGTGCGTGCCGGGCTTACATGGGACGGCCAAGCTAAGTACCGGAGCCTCATCGGCTCCGAGGAAGATGGGCATCCGCGCTTCGAATCCCACAGCCTCTATCGTTGGCCACTCTAATCCAACCTCTTGGCGGCCTGTCATGACTTCATAACATTCATCACAATCATCATCAAACAAAACTTGCCCCATTGGCAATCCACCAATTCCCCCTTCCAAAATCGGAAAGATCACCGCCCTTCCAACACGGCGGCAGCCCGTTCCAGCATGGCGTTGAACTCGCGGATCTTGCGCAGGTTCCCTCCTCCTCCTCCTCCTCCACAGGCCTGCTCCGCCATCCGACCAATATTGATCTCCAAGTTCGCCATCCTGGCACTACTGCTGCCGTCGCTGTCACGGTTCGCGCCGCCCCCGGCAGCAGCAGCAGACCGGCCATTCTCCACTGCCAGCTCAATATCATGCATCGTCGAGGATAGAGCGAGTTGGTGCTGTGAAATTTGACAAAAAAAAGAATTGACCATTAGCATCGCCTCGCACATAACTCCCAATCTTTGCAAGACACAGGACGGAAACTCAGAACAGCAGAAGAAGAGAGAAGGAAAAGAATAAGAACCAATAAAACTCACCAGTGTCTCTGCATTCTCCTGCTCATGCCGTATCCGTACGGCGTCCATCTTGAGCGCAACCTCCTGCCTCTCGGCCCGGATCCGCAGTATCTCAGACCGCAGGCTCAGCTTCTCCCTCTGCGCGGCGCGGACCCGCTTGCGCAGCGAGTGCAAGCCGTCTAGGGCGATGGTCTGAGATTTTATTTCCCGTCAGCCTCATAAATCCATGCATGTAGAGTAGTAGTAGTAGACCTCGTCCACGTCGTCTTGCATCCACGAAAAGTGAAAAACCATGAGACCGTGACGGCGGAAAGCCCAAACAACGAGAACCCGCAGAGAGTAAGTTTAAAAAAAAAAAAAAAAAAAGGGAAAGGGACAAAAAAAAAACTTACGTGCTCCAACAACCTCGTCCTCAGCTCCTCCTGAAACGCCTCCAGCGCGCGCATCTTGGTCCGGATCTCCTTCCTCATGGTCTGCGACACGCCGCCGGCACCGTCCTCCGTGGAAGCGGCGGCAGCGGCAGCGCGCTGCTGCATCTTCTCCAGCGTCGCGTCAATCACCTCCTCGCACATCTGCGTCAGCACGTCAATGGCGTTGACGCCGCTGCGGTCCGCAAAGGGGATCTCCGCGCCCTCGAGCATCAGCACGTCGTCGTCGTCATCAGAACCGCCGCCGCCGCCAGAGCCACCGATGTGCTGCTGCTGCTGCTGATGTGATTCGCGGCGCCGCCGTCGGAGTGCCGCCGCCGATGGGCGTGTGTAGCGCTGCACGGTGATGGGGATGACATCATTGCCGGCCTCCGCTTCATCGGCGTTGTCGTCGTCGTCCCCGTCGTTGGCTCCTCCTCCTCCGCTGCTCCTCCTCCTTCGACGCGGTTTGTTGGGATCTTGCTTCTTCGCCTTCGCCTTCGTCCTCGCAGGCTTGGGCTGGGCCTGTTTCGCCGGACTGTCCTTGTGACTGCTACCAGTCTTCTTTCTCTTGTGCTCCCGTAGCTCGTTGCCAACGTCGCGCCGCCTCTTTGCGGGCCGCGCAGAATCTGGCGGTTCCGAGTTGAGCTCTGGGGATGGTCTGACGGGCGACGAGGGCGATGACGCAACTGCAGCAGCAGCAGCAGCCGTGGCTGTCTCGGCGCGCGATCGCTTGCGATTTTTTGCGAGCCGAGCGGCGGCTTCGCTGTCGGATACATGTTTGGCGGCGGCGTCGTCGTCTTCTTCTTCTTCTTGCTCTCCATGCTGTCCTGCTGCTGCCGCCGCCGCCGCTTTCCTGCCCTCCTTGGCCACCTGTTCAGGAAAGTCAGGAACGACAGGTGGCCGCCGCCGGCCTTTCGGCCCAAGATTTGTGGCTATCGTGTTCGCTGCCGCATTCGGTGCTGCTGCTGATGCCTGCCGTTGCCCACGTGCTCTATTGTTGGCCGCCTCGAGCGTAGGTGAAGACTGCTCACCCCCGCTGGCCTGAGAACTCGCAGTCTGGACCCTGTTCCGCGAGGAGCTGCCGCGAATCGCGCCCGCCGCAGCCGTACGCCTCGTCTGGGACCGCGTGCTGGGCGAAGATGACTGCGCGCCAGCCCCCGGAGTACCGGCTGGAGCTGGATCCGATGACAGCGGATCCACGATACCGCCATCGCCTGGACTTGATGAAAGCTGTGCCGCCGTCCTCGCCCTCGTCGTCGTCGTCGCAGTCTTGCCTGTTCGGGGGTTGGTCTGCTGCTGCGACGCGCCAGCCGTGCTCTTCCGTGTCTTGCGCGCAAGCGGGGACGACGTGGCAGGCTCGAAACCTCCCGCCGCGGCAGCACCATCCCCGGTCCGCCGCGCATCGGCCTCCATGACAGCACGCTGTAGCCGCGCGCTCTGGCTGGCGACCTGGTCGAGCTGCTGCCTCACGCGCTGCCTGCGACCGCTCCCCGGTGCGTCGAGGGGACTCTCGCCGACGACTTCTTCGGTGCGCTGCGTGGGGTCCGAACTGGGTGATGACCGCAAGAGAGCTGCTGCTGCTTTTGTGCCGTTCGGCCTTCTGGCTGGCTTCGTGGCCGGCGGCAGGTCCATCTCCTCGTCCACATCGTCGTCGTTACCCGCAGGTCCATCCTGCACTGACAGTGCTGCCAGGGCGGCCGTTGCTCCAGGTGTTTCCTCGGCACTGTGTCCCTGCAGACTAAGCTGGGACAAGGCCTTGGTCGCGCTCGAGTTGAGCGGGTTATTTCCCCTCGTCAGGGCTGCAGTGCCACTGACGGCCACAGCGGCATTGTTGTTCACCCTCCGAAGCCGGGGCGATGTCCTAGATGCGCTCGATGGCTGTCGGGGGCTTGAGGACGACGATGGGAGCGCGCCAGGGTTGTTATTGTTGTTGTTGTTGTTGTTGTTCGTGCCGTTGAGTCGTCGTCGCTTGGCGGAGGTGTTGGGTCCGGCGCGGACCGCGGCGGGTGCGTCGGGCAGGACGGTGTCGGCGGACTCAGACGGCGGCTCCTCTGCGGCAACTGGGAGCACGAGGCCGAATGCGTCGTCTGCTACTTGATGCCGGCTATATATGTCCATCGCAGACCGTATTAGTATTCCGGTGGTCTTGGCTACATGGGAGAATCGCAACAATGCGTCACTCACCCGGCCCCACGCAAGCGCGACTGCATGCGCCCCTCACGGGCTGCGGGAGCGTCGGGCAGGACGCTGTCCACATCTGTTGCTGGAGCAGGCGGTGGTGGCGGTAGTGTATCCTGTTTTTCTGACGGCGCAGGAAGGTTCGCTGCGGCCCGAGAGTCGGGAGAGAGGTCTTCGGCAGCAGGGAGGACGAAACCGAACGAGTCGTCTTGGACGACGTGACGTCTGGATGGTGTGTCAAGGACGGGAAATGTCAGTCTACTCCTGGTGTCGCTATGGCCAAAGCGGATTCTGAAGCGTCACTCACCCTGCCCCGCGCATGCGCGACTGCATGCGATCCTCACGAGCTGTGGTTCACACAATTTTCATCAACGTCAGCGCTGAGAGTCGTTTGTGGGCTCGAAGTTCTGGGACCAGCGTACCGGACGCCATGCTGGCGGATATATCCTTAGAGTATCTCAGTCGCGATTATGGAGGCATACGCAGGGATTTCGAATGCGTGCCTCGCAGCGCAGTAGCGTCTGGCTATTCTCGACACTATTCGATGCTATGCCGAGTTGTCAGTGTCGGTTGTCGTTGTAAGGTTGCCGTCGAGGATCTGCAATTGCGGACGGAGACGCGTCGGCGTAACACACACAGAGAGGCGGCGCGCCAAGACGTCAACGGCAGAAGTGGTGGGGCAACCCGCCGAAGCTCTTTCGCAGGGGTTCGTCACAGAACCGGAACCCTGCTCCGCATGACTGGGTCCCGCTTATGTCATCCTCGCACCTCATCCATGGCGTGTAAGTGCGGTGGCATCGACATACGTGGTTCACCGCCGTGAGGGAGGCTTTTCGGAAAGCAGCCGATTCTAGACCAGGTTGCCTGCAAGTGGGCATGCAACACAGATGCGGAGCGCCATTGTGTTTTCAAGAATTGCTGGCGCCCAAGCCTCAGAGGCTCAGCGCTCGACCGCGTGTAATACCTAAAGTATCAACTTCTGCCTCTTGTGCACGGATATCAATAAGCGAAAGTTTTAGAGAGACAGATGTTAGCAAAGGTGGGTCTGATCGCCTGGTGGCTTATTCAACCAGTCTTGGTAGCAATGACTGCTGCATGGGCTGAACCCAAGGCTGTACTGTAGTCCGACAGATCATGTTTGCCGCCCTTGATGAGCACAGTCGTTGACAAAAGTCAAAGTGCTCGGGCCTAGGGAGTATATTGAACAAGTCTTGGGTTAATTCAAATGCTTGGTTTTCTTTTCAGACATGGATGGGTATGCTTGGGTGTCTATCTATGAGAAGATATCTACAGAATCGTGGTCTCGTTCATGTCTATCAAGTGCAAATGTTCCGAAATCATCCTTGCCCAGAACTTGCTGGGCATGTGCCGTTGTGGCGTAGCTTCTTTGGTGAACAAGCCATTACAACCGGGTGGCTCGTGTTGCTAGATGCACCGCTCCACTCTTGCCGGACTCAAAGCCCAGCCTCAAACTGTCGTTCCCCCATTCTCCATGGAAAGTGAGCAGTATCCCACTCCGATGATCCCGCCAGAGAAACTTCCAGTCAGACTGGCAGGATATCAAAGGAGGCAGGATATCGCACAAGCTCCTCCCCTGAGGAGTTTTCCCAGGTCATCTTCTGGACGAAAAGATTTGCTCCCGTGAACGCCGTAATGCTATGCAGTGCCTGGATCGTCTGACTCGTGTCTTGATGATCATTAAAGATTAAGAAAAGGGGTGAAACGCTGGAGAAAAAGAAGAATGCCATCCTCGCTATGCGAAATCAAGAGCTTGGCGGAAAGAGTCCAGACCCAAGATCAAGGACGAGAGCGTTAGATCTTGCCGGTGTTATACCGGAGGCCAGAGGCAATGTCCTGGTTACGCTCAGCCATGGCGACGACAACGTCGTTGCGGCAAATGCCATAGGGGCAGCAGGCCTCGGCGGGCAGCTCGCCACGTAATATGGCATCACGTTTGCCCTGTGGAGGAGGATGTCAGTGGGATAGCCGTGACCAGGGTGTGATGTGGGCCAGAGGAGGGGCAGGTAGTATCAGGATCTGACTTACACTTGTGCAGGCGATGGGGGAAGCCTGTGCGACCTGGCCGAGAGTGGCCATGGTGAAGAGGGCGGAGATGATGCCAGTGAACTTCATGGCTGTGGTTGACGCTCTGAGATGGATGGTCTTTGTGGGTGTACGCGTGTGTTGAGGTTGGCGTCGAAGGGGACAAGAGCTGCTTGAGGGCAGCGGGCAGTGGCTGATTTTGTGGTATCGTGGTTGGCCTGGTGCCTGGGAGATTCTTTGTCCTTGATACCGGATGTTGGTGCCTCTGGCTGATTTCTTGTGTGACTGATTGTCGGTGCTGGTCTGGTGGTCTGCTGGTAGCGAGAGGACCAAGCAGGTGTGTGGTCTGACGAGGTGCACAACGGCGAGGTCGAAGCTATTTGTCTAGAGTAGGACGAGGCCCGAGGACGGTGACACCTTACGAGGCGGACGTACTGAGGGAAGACTTGACGATATGAGGACCGGGCCGGGGAGGGAAAGAGCCAGGGCCGGTGTGCGTTCTTATGAAACAAACAAACGACGAGGCACTTGCTCGAGCAGCCCCCACCAGGCGACACGAGCTAGCGGAGGATGACAAGATAGCGGGTGCTCGAGTGGAAACGGGTGCAAGGGGGGGCTGGCCTAGTGCCAGGGCTCGGTGCGCACTAGGCCAGTCTTGGGACGAAAGGGTCGGGCGCAGAGGAGGGTCCTCGGGTGCTAGGTGCTATCTGTCATGGCTGTGGCATGGCTGTCGAGCGATCGGTCGGCTCGTGTGCCGCCGGCGTGGCCGGGGGGCGCGTGCGTGTGTGTGTGTGTGCGGGCAAGACTCGTGGTGGCGCTGCATCATCCCGCGCCCAATGTCTTGCCAGCCTCCGCCAGCCCACGCAGACGCTGCGCGCCATGCTTAGTGCGAAACAGCACGCCCGGCCGTGGCGCCGCCATGCTCAGCGCCCGAGGGGCTCAGTGCTTACAGCGGTCTCAAGCCTCCCCCATTGTTGTCCGCAGACGGCGGCGGTGACGAGTTTGTCCTGGAACAATGAATGCAAGTCGCGGAGACGCGAGCAGTTGGGTCTTGATCACTGGTGGGCGGATGGCGTGTCGCAGTGGCACAGCAAAGTGCAAATACGTGTGTACTTCGGCAGATGACTCGCCAAGGGTTCACTTCACAACTGCCCAGGTGTGGTCCGACGGGTGCGCGTTCACATCATCACGAGGTGGCTGACCGGAGGCGGGGGAGCAGTAGGCAGAAATAGAAACATGGGTCGCCACGGACACCTAGTACTGCGTAATCAAAGGTTGACCTAAAAGGACCTCCGAGCACGACCTCAGCTGAGAGAGCCAAATGGGAGCAGCCTAGCCTAGTGGTGGCTGGCACCAGCTGCCTTGCATCATCACATAAGCCGCATCGCTCACAACGGCAAACTCAAAAATGCCCTTGATCGGAGCACGCGCCTTACAGTAGAGGCGGCCGGAAAGATGCGAGAGTAACGTTGCCAGGGTGCCCTGCCCAGCCCGCTTGACAGGACAACCTTTTGTGCTGTGGAAAAACTCGCCTGGTCCGCCATGCAATGGAAATGCAGATGCAGATGCAGATGCAATCACTAACTGCTCGTGCGATGGCCGGGGCCGTGGCGGGCAGCAAGCCTCCCATTTGTCCAAGTTGCCGCACCCATGGATCTTTTTTATGACGATATTCGCGCGCCAGTTGAGAAAACCCCGGCATGTCATTGCATATCCCCGTCCTGCGGCAGGGGCCAGCCCTGTCCGGAGCCAAGCTTGGCATCATCCACAGCCTGTCCTGCACTGATAAGCCCAATCCTCCACGAAAGTCCCCCATCGTGAGCCTGCAGAGGCCCCGACGTTGCGCACGAGGACTTGAGAAGGCAGCTCTCTCAAACGTTCTTGTTTTCTCGAAACACCCGCGCAGGAAATGGCACAGACGTGACCACCAGGCGGGGGGTGCCTGACGATCCGTCACGGCACGCTCTACCCACTCCGTCACCCGGCCGGCACCATCACAAGTGCGACAAAGCGCGGGACTTAGCGCACTTTGGCGAGGATGGAGAATGGCTAGCTGCGATACAACTCGCCGAGTCCAGAAAGAATCCATGGATGGCACTCCGTCGCGCAAGATCCGCTCCTTCGTGTTGTTGGCCAGAGATGGGCCTGCATTCTCGTGTACGCAGCCGAGCACGCTGAGCACAGCAGCACTGCAGCACTGCAGCTGGAGCAGGGGCTTGCCCCGGCTGCTGGGCGGCGCTGGGCATGGGGGTCCACAGCCCAGCCAATCAAGGCCTCACTATCCCAGGCGACCCTGGCTGCATTATCGGTCCTGCAACTTGGGCGAGCTGCACTTTTGAAGCCATCGTCGGATTCCTTGCCCATCTCACCTCGCTTCCTTGACAAGCTCTCACGCTAAGGCCTGGACCCTTGTCTCCTTCGTCTTCCTCTTCGGCCGCATTCCTTCTAGCCCCTCTTCTCTTGTCTCTCCCTCTCGTGTGTGCATGCAAACCAATAATCGCACGAGCCCGTTTGTTCACTGTCCGCTCCGCTCCGTGGTCTGCTCCTTTAGTCATGCCACGAGCCTGACAACTCCATATGGCATCCGCTCCCGGGGCCCGGGGAGTGCTCCCTCCGAGCCGCCTTTGCCGGTGCTCCCTTCCGGACCCAGCACAATCAACAACAAAAAAGCCGCTGACAGCTTTGGGGCCGTTATCGTGTGAGCCTTGACGTCGTGTCCGGCCCGAACATTGAAAGCATGATTCGGGATACGATGGCATGGGTGGTGATGGGTGGTGGTGACGAACGCTCCCCATGACCAAGGTTTTCTGAGCACGTATTATCGCACCGGTCGATATCAAGACCGGAGGGAAACCAATCAACTAGACACCGGGTCGTGCGGCGCGCATGTCCGTGCATGTCCGCGCTCCTGCAGTCAAGTGATGGCGGCGGAGAGCAATACCATGCACTCGCGAGCTTGTACACGAACGGCGGAGTAGGTCAGTTGACAAGCTCCGAGGGTGATACAAATCTCCTCGCGAACCATAGTTCTCCCATGGCAGCACCAGCACATACACACACACACACACACACACACACACACAAAGAAGCAACGGCTTCTCTAAAACGCCCGAGTGCCCCCGTGACATCGTGCTACCTCGTTCATCATATCTTGGGGGGCACTGCGCTCCCTGATTCGCATTGGCAACACAAGTCAGAGACAAAAAACACGGGTACCTCGCAGCCCTTGGTAAGACAAGTAACATGAAATCCTCAGACAAAAACCCCACTGTTGCAGGATACCACAAACCCCGTCCCTTCCCGCCGTTCCCGTCCCCGTCCCCGTCCCCTTCCCGCGGCGCAATTAATTTTCCCCAGACAAAACGGGTCTTCAGTAGGTACCAAGCTGAGACATGTGAGATTGAGCGAGTGTGCTCTTTCACTTCCTTTCCCCATTCGTCCTTTGTGTTTCGAAAGACAAAAAGACTTCTTTGCTTTTCTCCTTCCTCGTCATCATCTTCATCTTTCACCTTCTTCTTCTTCTTCTTCTTCTTCTTCTACCCGTCTGTGAGGTCGTGCCTCTTGGGTTTCACATGTGCATCGCGATAATCATCATGAGGTACCTGCAGTAGTCGCTCTCACGGTGAGACCTGAAATATTTGGGACATCCGCAGTCTGGCTGAGGTACTCGCCACCATGATCAGTTCGGGCTGTTGTTGAAGGTAGATCACGGGTTCACCACAGGGCCCGATGTCCCACACTGTAGGTCGACCCAGACTAAGTAGCTGAGAATTGTCAAGTTTCCACTGCTTCTATTTCTTTTCCTTCTTCTCAGTTGATCGAATATTGTGTTCCCCTTGCTGCTGATCCTGTCGGTAATAATCACCCAGCATGGCTGACACATCATGGGCACTCATCTGGACACTTTTGGACTTGTGACCACGAATTTGGGATTCGCATGTCTTATAACGCTTGAGAATTGGTATGCTTTTTCAAATGACACTACGGGGAAAGTTACACCTCTCACCGAACCATCATCCTTCATCCTCGCTATCACCGCCACCCCCCCCCCCCTCTCTCTCTCTCGCTCAAAACGCCAAATACGCCGTGCTAAGCAGTAAAGGGCCACAATGCAAGTGTACAGATCAAGCCTGACCTGACATGTCCTGAACCAAGATATCGCCTTAAAACCAGGACTACTCCTCCGAGATTCCAAGCATTGTCGCAGAGAGGCTAAGAAAAAAAGTTTTCCCAGAATGTGGGAAAGGGTTATTTTGTTGACAAAAAATACAGATTGTGTTGTTGATGTTGTTGTGTGTGCAGAGTCGCAGGCAGATCTGCTCAGTCGGATGCAGAGACTGTCACGGCTCGGGGCTGAGAGCTGGTGGCTTGGCTTGACGTATGAAGCTGTCTCGCACTGGTCCGGGCTGAGCTTTAGATGGTGCTAAAGAATCACCTACGGCACCCGGTATCTTGACGCAAGTTTGAGTCATCGACCTTCTGCAACGAACAACGCGCCCGCCCAAGCCCAGCCAGCTGACGCCAATGCGGCCTATCCTTGGCGACGTGGTTTGCGGCCTGGCCTTGGCCTTTCAACCTTGGCCGATGCTTGCTCGTATTCTAACCGCCTGCGTTCCCTGAACTGCGCCTCAGCAGCAATCATTCTCAGACACCCCTTCTAAGAGTAGAATTGAGACTTCTGGAAGCTTTCAGGCGAGATATCGCCCATCTTCCCGCTGATCACGGGCGGCTGGCTGGCGCTCGTCATCGAGTTCGTGCGGGATGTGTCGGGCTCGCTGATTGGGGCCTTGATGGCCGCGATAGGCTGGCCAGGTCGCTTCGCGGTCTCGAGGAACGTCGAGGGGAGGTAGCCGAGACGGCCATCGCGGGCCCTGCAGCGCCACCATTCACTCGGGTTGCCGAGAGGATCGGTCTTGCTTAGGACGGCGATGAAGTCGCCCTTCTTGACAGCGAGATCAACACCTTGCGTCGCGTTGCCAGCCTCCGGAGTGAAGTCGTACAGGACGCGGCAGAACTCCAGCTTGGTTGGGTCCATGGGCTGGCCAGCGGCCTCGATCCTCCTCCGCTCCTCCTCCTCGGCATTTGCAGCTATTGAGCGGATGGCCTTGCTCATGAGGTAAGGAAGGCCAAACGCAGCCAGCAGGAAGAAGATGAGAGGCTTCCGGCTGGGCGTGGGTGGCATAGGAGCACCGTTGGGGCCAATAGGGCCCTGCCGTCCCTCGAAACGTGCAAAGGCAGCAGGAGTCAAGGCGACGGCATCAGCCGGCGGAGGGCGGCCAGTGAGTTTGGCAATGAGTGTCCTGATCCATCGCATCAGAGTGAAGATGCCCAAGACAGACCCCAAGGTATCCCTGAGGTTACCAAACTGCTCAGCCACAGAGACCATGGCGAAGAAGCTAGAGTGTGTTGCCATGTACGTGCTCTCGAGCATCTGAGCGAAACCGCCGAACGCGCCGACGATGCCCTCGAGCATCTGGAAGGTAGCCTGAGTGCTGTTGCCAAAGCGCTGGGTCAGGCTTGGGTTGTTTGGGTCCATGCCCATGCCACCCATACCACCCATGCCGCCGTACATGCCGCCTCCATACATCCCACCGCCGTACATGCCTCCCATCCCGCCCATGGCGCCATAACCTCCATATCCGCCATAGCCACCCATTCTGGAGTATGGCGACGAGTAGGCCGAACCGTACGCACCCTGGCCGTAAGCGGAGCCGTAGCCGGTGTTGCCCAGCCTACTGTAGGCGGAAGCGTTCTGGTTGACCGCGGTCGCGAGGGAGTCTGGTCGAGGAGGGATCGCAGGGGAGTCGGCTCCTGAGGCGAGGCTCGGGATGGCTGGCGACGAGGTACCGGTTGGGGTTGTCATGGTGGTGGTAGTTGAAGAAGACGCGCCGTTACGTTCCCAGGGCTTGGGAGGAGACGCCATGTTTGTGAAATGAGGACAGGGGGCGCGAATGGGGCTCGGCGGCCAGAGCCGAGGCTGCCAATAGATGGGTGTGGTGCTGCACCAGCGGCGCGCGCAGATTGGCTCGGTGCGACTGGGAGCAGCAGAGATCCGTGACGCGCAAGCAGACGACGCAGGCGAGTGTCGCTACCACTTCAGATGCGCATAGTCGACGACGACGATGATGAAGGAGTGTCGCTTTGGGGATAGGCGATGAGCTCGTGGATGATGGATGGGTAAGGAGGAGACGCCAGTGTTGTGCTGGAAAACCGGGCCTGGATGGACTCTGGAGATGAACGCGAGTGGGCGAGGGTGGGTGGGCACGGCCGGCTCCCCCCAGATTCGGCCAGCGAGAGCCAGCTTACTAACACGGAGGGTGCCTTTGAACGGCTTGTGAATGCCCAAGGCACACTAGATTCGCACTGTCCGTATGCACTGCTCGCTGCGATACAGCACAGTGCGGCTGCTGCCGAGGAGACAAGCCGGGGCTGTGCGTGGAGGGGCGAATGCCAGCCGCTTTGGCTGGTCATTGTCTTTGGGACCTCGGCTGGTTGGGTCGGCATCATCCCTTCTTGCCAATCCAATCCAAGACTCCTCTCACGTCTCGACCATACAACGGCTCTCCACCTCCAGCCAGCACTTTGACAATGCGCACTTATGGCATCTAAAATGGCACACGACTATTAGCACGTGACTTGCCACGAACCTTGCTTCCGATTATCTCGCACCCCAATTTCATTTCCATCATCATGTCTTGGCAGTAGGGGTTCATGGCGCGAAAGCGACAGCTGCAACCATCATCTGCGATTTAATTCGAGGATTCCGTTGAATAATCAGTCACCACAACCGCAATGCTCGCTCGGAATTGCGAGTACAAGAAAGCACTGGGCTGCAGAATCCACAGAGCAAGCGCCGTGGGAGTTTTGAAATCCAGTGGACTACAAAGCCTGGCAGAGACTCGTCCGAAATGAGCACACGGCCTTGGCCGATTGACAACATCGCTTCAGATGGCGCCAGAGACTCGTTTCTCGATCCCAGCCAGCAATGGCTGATGATGTAATGACTGGGACAGGGGATGTCCTCATGGACGCCTGCCATTGCCGTTTTCAGAGACCCACAGCGGCTGTCTGCCAACTCTGGCCCCCTCGGTGGCGTGATGGGAGGTGTTCGTCCAAGGGCAGAGAAGTGATTCGTTGGTTCATAGTATGAATCGAGACAGTGCAATGTCATGAGGAGCAGTATGCGATCCGGACATCTCGGGGACGTTCGCATCCACTTCTCCAACTATTGCGACATCTGCCCCCGCCGCGATCTGTGGGCTATCACCAGAAATGGGGACGGATGGCGGACACGCTTCCGCACCTCTTATACAAAAGCCAACGGTGCATCCCTTCTCGCCAGGTCTGGGGGAAATCCATCGTGGGGCATTTCTAGCTTCTGGTCTCTCCATACACGTTAATGATCTTTTTTGGCTGAATCTCCACGCACAGACAGGCTCTACGTTGCAATCTCCGACTAACACCCACAAGCGCAACCGCTTATACTTACCCGACAAATCTCCCACCTTGTCTTGAAGTACACTGTGACCACTAGGCCCTGGAAATATTGGCTCAGCATCACGGCTATAAGCTTGCATTATTCAAGATACCATTTGGCACGACTCAAGATGAAGGAAGGGTTTGTCACAGATGGTAAGACTAATCAGCCGTTGTTATTCTGAGCAAATCCATCAGTGGAGAGCTTCCACGATCATTTTCCTCTGAATGACCTCGCAACTAACCGCGTGACATGTAGGCCCAAAGGTCGAGATCCGCGACACCCCCCAGCCAAAGCCGGGCCCTAAGCAGGTTGTCATCAGGGTCATTGTCAGCGGCTCAAACCCCAAGGACTGGAAGGTCCCCAAGGTCCTGCCCACCCCTTTGAACCAAGGAGACGATGTTGCCGGCTATGTCCACGAAGTCGGCTCCGAGGTCTTCGAGTTCAAGCCTGGTGACCGGGTGGCCGCCTTCCACGAGATGCTCAAGCCCTATGGCTCGTACGGCGAGTTTTCTCTGGCTGAGCAGCATACAACTTTCCACATCTCCGCAACAACCAGCTTTGAGGGTAAGTCGCCGTTGGGCTATAACAGTTGACCCGTGAATCAAAGAGGCCATGCTTACGCTTCTATACACAACAACCAGAAGCCGCAACGCTCCCTCTGGCTGCTATGACTGCAGCCATCGGGCTCTTCCACTCTGACCAGCTTGCCCTACCGGCGCCATGGACACCAGCCAAGCAGCCGATCCCGCTCGTCATCTACGGCGCCTCGTCCGCCGTCGGCTCGTACGCATTGCAGTTTGCCCAGCGGGCCAATATCCACCCAGTGATCGCCGTGGCCGGCAAGGCCGCCGCGCACGTCGAGAAGTTGATTGACCGAAGCAAGGGCGACTCAATCGTCGACTACCGCCAGGACGACGTCCCGGGAGCCATCCGCAAGGCTCTGGGCAGCGAGTACGCGGACAGTTTGTACCACGCGTACGACGCCGTGTCCGAGCACAACAGTTACGTCCAGCTCGGGGAGGTCCTGGCGCAGTCGCCCTCGAAGCAGACCGGTGCCGCGGCGAAAATCACCCTAGTGCTGCCCGGCCGGAAGTACGAGGACTTCCCGACCCACGTGGAGAAGCACATAACCAGCGTCGGCGCCTCGCACAAGGGCAGCGAGGACTTCGCGTATGTATACTTCCGCTACATCGCGCGCGGCGTGCAGGAGGGCTGGTTCAAACCCCAGCCGCACGAGGTTGTCCCTGGTGGGCTCGAGGGGGTGCAGAAAGGTCTGGAGAACTTGCGTGACGGCAAGGCCAGTGCCACCAAGTACGTTTTCAGGATTTCCGAGACGCCCGGGCTCGAGAAGCACGCAGAGGCCAAGATATGAGCGGCTCGTTTCATGGGACATCTTGACCCTGACGATCTAGGCTGATTCGAGGCATACATTCAAGTATGCAGCACAATCTTACATCTGTGTCACCTTTTCATCTGGCGGTGCCATCATGGGCATTCTTGATTTAGAGCTTGACCAATATAGCATAGGCGTAGCAGAAGTCCCAGCTCAGATGCAAGAAAGGCCCCCAATCCCGGCCCCATATTCTGCTCCACGACCCCAGCTAATGCCAGCGGGTCCTATCCTTACGACGCATGAGAGCCCCTCGACACCCTTGGATGGTGAGGATGGAAACACCTGGATGACTTAGCTGCGATTGTGAATATGTCCCATATAGCGAGGCTCCGATGCAAAACCTACACTGATCCTCTACCCTTGTGTCTTCCCTGCCGTATGGTTCCAACTTTTGTACATCACACCCCCAGCACGCAACCATGACTTACATCACCGACACGATTGTCGGTCGCTTCGCATATACCAGTGTCGCCATACATACCTTTGGCGTCGTCCTGCTCGCCGGCACTGTCATACAGACGTTGCGATCGTGGTACCGCCTCCGCCATGTTCCCGGGCCATTCCTGGCGTCTTTCTCGTCGGCGTGGATGCTACGCAGGTCTCTGAGCGGGCGGTTTCACGAGCACCTCCGCGAAGTCGGGGACACATACGGTGAGCTCGTCCTGATTGAAAATCAAGGAGCCGCCGCTGTATATAACCACGAGGTTTCCTTCGTCCACCTTCACGAGGCAAACAGTTCCTAGTGTTGTCAGGTTGCTCGTGGGGATGAACGGGGCCGCATAAAGCTAAACTCTATCCAAGGAACGCTCGTCCGCGTCGGACCGAATGACCTGGTGGCAAGCGACCCCGAGACTCTCAGGAGGATGTCGGCGGTACGATCGCCATATACAAAAGGGACATTTTACGAGACCGGGCGCATCACGCCGGGGGAGGACACGATTGTTTCTCTGAGGGACGAGGCGCGGCACAAGGCGTTGAGGAGCAAGATGGGTCCTGCGGTAAGTGTTTTTTGTGGTTTACCAATCCTGTTGCAAAAGGTCTCTGGTTTTCCAAAGATAGCCACACACACACAGACACACTGATCCAAAGGCCGAATAGTTCAACGGCCGCGAAAATGAAGGGTTCAGCTTTGGCGCGGGCATCGACAGTCAGGTTTGCCAGCTCGTCAACCTGATTGACAGCAAGTATCTCTCACAGCCAGGGCAGCACCGGCCCGTGCAGTTCTTCGAGAAGATCTCGTTCTTCGCGCTCGATGCCATCAGCGACATCTCCTTCGGCCAGGCGTTCGGGTATCTGACCGCCGATAAGGATCTGTACCGGTACCACGAGATCAACGACGCGGCTCGCACAGACCTGGCCATTGAGCTTGATGTTACCGAGGGATGGGGACCAGACAGGGTTTGGAAGATTAATGGGGTAAGACGACCTGGTTTGGGTGTTTGCCGGACCTATACGAACCACTTGGGTACGGCGTGGTTTCTGGACCGAGACTAACGTGATGCTGTATCCCTTCCCAGTCTCGTCGACTCCATCATCGACAAACGCCTTGCTCCCGGAGCAGAGCCGCAGAAGGACATGATGCAGGCCTTTATCAACAGCGGCATGTCTCGCTCAGAGCTGACGCAGCAGGTGTTTGTGCAGATGTAAGTCTGGCTTGGAGGGTGTTGACATATTCAACCCAGGATACTGACAGATGTTGGGCCTCAGCATTGCTGGCTCCATCTCGACGACAACAGCGATATGCATGACCCTCCTCTGCCTCTTAACCACCCCGTCCGCCTACGCCGCACTCATCGCAGAGATCGACCGTGCCACATCTACCACCACCACCACCACCACCACCACCACTGCCAACTCTCGAGAAAGCCCCTTAGACGCCGGCAGCCCCGCCAGCATCATCATCACGAACACAAAAGCCAGAGCCCTGCCTTACCTGCAGGCCGTAATCCGCGAGGGCTTGCGATTCTACCCGCCCGTCATCGGGCTCGGGAGCAAGCAGGTCCCTCCAGGCGGGGACACGATCAAAGGGATCTACATCCCCGAGGGCACACAGGTCGGGATGAACATCTTCGGGCTGATGAGGTCGCGCGCGATCTGGGGCGACGACGTGGACGTGTTCCGCCCCGAGCGGTGGATCGAGGCCGAGGCCGCCGTGCAGCAAGGGGGAGACGACGCGGTTGCTCGGCGGCTGCAGGAGATGAATGGCGCGGTGGAACTGGTGTTTGGACACGGCAAGTATGTCTGTCTGGGCAAAGGGGTGGCCATGATGGAGCTGGGTAAGGTTCTTTTCGAGGTATGTCTTCGTCGATTCATTCTTTGTGGCGGTGGCACGATCCGTGATTGGTTCCAGCTCGAAACGTGACCAAGACGGTTGGTCCGTGGTGACGCACTCAACACACAAGACTGAATCTAACGATCGCTGACATTTGCCAATATTATCTCTAGCTACTCGCGAGGTACCATTTCTCCATCATCAACAAGGAGAGCCCCATCAAGGCGTCGAGCGCGATATTCTGGGCCGCAAAGGACCTTTGGCTGCACATCGGCCCGAGGCGAGCCAGGTAAAAAAAATGCAGAGTTGGAACCAAAAGACAAGGAGTCGAGCTCAGCCCGGTCATCTCTGAAAGATTGCATGCGCTGAAAGACCCAGTATATATATATACCAAGACGTGATAAGCCGGGTGGGGGGAGGGGGGAGGGGGGGGGGAAACGGGGGAGGTCGGCATCCCACTTCTGTCCTACTCAAACCTCAAGCGTGCCGCCAGGACCCAACCCCAAAACAATGTCGAGCCGATGGTGACGAGGTTCAGGTGGATGCACATGGCGTGGCTCCTCTTGAACCTCTTGTTGACTGCCTGCATCTCGGGGGTGGGCTCCAGGGCGAGGGGTTGCTTGTTCCTGCCGTCGCGGGTCTCCTGGTGCGTGCGGTCGATCATGGCCTGGCGTGACCGGGGCTCCCACAAAAAGAGGTTGAGCAGGGACGACACGGACATGATGGCAAAAGTGATGCCCCATGTTGCGGTGCTTGGGGAGGAGCTGTTGTCGCTGGTGGTGGTTGTTGTGGTGGTGGCCCTCAGAAGCGGAAGCCAGGAGAGCAGAGTGAGCAGGTTGTTTGTGGGTGTGGTGACTGCCGTGACGAGGACGAGAACGGACTGGGTGAGGAAGTAGGCGCGGAAGATGCGCTTGTTGAGGGTGGTGAAAGCGGAACGTGGCAGGGCCTGAAAGGTGATTTTGGTGACGGCAAAGGACTGCCACAGCTGCATGCCCAGGAGGGCCGAGTAGGACAGCAAGTGCACTGGGGCGAGCATCGTTGGATGTCTGTCTGGTTGAAGGTAGACCAGTGGATGGCGGACTTGGGCAAGGATGCTGGCTTCTGACAAGCAGATGTATATGCAATGGCCAGGGTCATTGGGCATATAGAGAGGGCCTTGCTGGAGCATCTGGGATATGATATACATAAAAATATATAGAGCTGGTCAAGCGTCAGGATCCTGGAACTAGTATGCCACCGGATCATGCTTATACAAGCCGCCTGCCTCAAGCTCCGATGCCTCTCGGAGGATGGGCCGGCCCCACCCCGTGCCGGCGCGGCACGCCCGCTGACTGGTCGGCACTGCACCAGCATGCCCTGCTTTCCTAAGCCATGCCGTTTCCAGGCTCCCGAGTGCCAGGGTCCGAACACCTCCGGAGACATGGACAGGCAGCTGTGTACTGCTTCCGGGCTCAGCATGCATTGCTCTTTCGTGCGTTTCAGGACCGGCCCCGGGCATTGGTGACGCTCATCAAGGTACCTAATGCAGCGGTGCATCCAGGTCCAGGGTCCGATCCGATGCGGCCCACACTTGCGCATGCGAATCGATACTGACCGCCCTGGCAGAATCAGCGAGCCCCACTAAAATTTCGATTCTCAGGGCCTGGCGCTCCGCTGCAAGTTTGCAACGCCCGCGACAGTGCTTTTGGGAGTGTTCCGCGGCTGCAAAAGAGCTTCATCCCACAGTCACGCCTCCGTCCGCAGTCTTGTTCGTGCACCATTCCCTTGCGCGAGCCCCAAAAGATTGCCCAGCATGCCTCGTAAGGCAGTGTACGTCTTCCCGAAAGCTCTGAACTTCCTCTGCTTGCCCCCCCGTCGTCGCCTGCTAACAGCTTCCTCTTCGTCTTAGGGACTCGCGCATTCCCGCGCTCATCCGTAACGGCCTCCAGGAAAAGAAGCGCTCCTTCTTCGTCTGCGTCGGCGACCGATCCAAAGATGCCATCGTCCACCTCCACTACATCATGTCCAGCATGGACCTCAAGCAGAACAAGTCGGTCCTCTGGGCGTACAAGAACAAGCTCCTCGGCTTCACCAGTCACCGCAAGAAGCGCGAGACCAAGATCAAGAAGGAGATCAAGCGCGGCATACGAGAGGCCAACAGCGAGGACCCCTTTGAGCTCTTCGTGTCCCTCCACAACATCCGCTACGTCTACTACAAGGAGACGGAGAAGATTCTCGGAAACACCTACGGCATGTGCATCCTGCAGGACTTTGAGGCCATAACGCCAAACATCCTCGCGCGCTGCATCGAGACGGTCGAGGGTGGCGGTCTCGTCGTCTTGCTGCTGAGCGGCATGAAGTCGCTCAAGTCCCTCTACACAATGACCATGGACGTCCACGCCCGGTACCGGACAGAGGGCCACAACGACGTGGTCGCGCGATTCAACGAGCGCTTCATCTTGTCGCTGGGAGGCTGCGACTCGTGTCTCGTCATCGACGACGAGTTCAACGTACTGCCAATCTCCGGCGGCAAGGGTGTCAAGCAGCTCCCGGCGCCAGATCTCGACCAGCCCAAGACCGAGGCGCAGAGGGAGCTCGAGTCCATCAAGGAGTCTCTTCAGGACACCCAGCCGGTCGGGTCGCTCGTCACTTTGGCCAAAACGGTCGATCAGGCCAAGGCACTGCTGACTTTTGTCGACGCCATCGCCGAGAAGACCCTGCGCAACACCGTCACCCTGACAGCCGCTCGTGGACGAGGCAAGTCTGCGGCACTGGGTGTCGCCATCGCCGCTGCCATTGCCCACGGATACTCCAACATTTTCATCACGAGTCCGTCGCCCGAGAACTTGAAGACTCTATTCGAGTTCATCTTCAAGGGCTTCGATGCTCTCGACTACGCCGAGCACACCGACTACTCCATCATCCAGTCCACGAACCCCGACTTCAACAAGGCGATTGTGCGTGTCAACATCCACAGAGCCCACCGGCAAACAATTCAGTACATCCGGCCGCAGGACGCGCACGTCCTTGGCCAGGCCGAGCTCCTGGTCATCGACGAGGCCGCGGCTATCCCTCTTCCCACGGTGCGCAAGCTGATGGGCCCTTACTTGGTCTTCATGGCTTCCACGATCAACGGTTACGAAGGAACAGGTCGGTCCTTGTCGCTCAAGCTCATCAAGCAGCTGCGTGAACAGTCCAGCGGCATTGGCGAGTCAAACGGCACAGAAGTGGTGGATCGGGCAAGCGGCAAGGCGACCAAGAGCGGCGATGGCCATGCAGGAGGACGATCCCTGCGGGAAGTCACCCTCTCGGAGCCGATCCGTTATGCTCAAGGCGACTCTGTCGAGAAGTGGCTGAACAGCCTGCTTTGTCTCGATGCGACCCTGCCTCGGTCAAAGCTGCGCACACAAGGATGCCCTGACCCGGCCCAGTGCCAGCTCTTCAACGTCAACCGCGACACGCTCTTCTCCTTCCATCCCGTATCTGAAAAGTTCCTGCAGCAGATGGTTGCGCTCTACGTGGCCTCGCACTACAAGAACACCCCCGATGACCTCCAGCTCATGAGCGACGCGCCGTCGCACGAGCTGTTCGTCCTCACGCCCCCCATCACCGAGGGCGGACGGCTGCCCGAGCCGCTCTGCGTCATCCAGATTGCTCTCGAAGGCAGGATCAGCCGCGAGAGCGTCATCAACAGCCTGAGCAGAGGTTCCCGGCCAGCCGGCGATCTCATCCCGTGGCTGGTCAGCCAGCAGTTCCAGGACGACGAGTTCGCCTCCCTCTCCGGTGCTCGCGTGGTCCGCATCGCCACGAACCCCGACTACATTGGCATGGGCTACGGCGCCAAGGCCATCGAGCTGCTCGTCGACTACTATGAGGGCAAGTTCACCAACCTGTCCGAGGACGTCAACGCGGGCGTCGAGGAGACGATGGTGCGCGTGACGGACGCCGAGCTGGCCAACGCGACGCTGCTCGACGACGACATCAAGGTGCGCGACATCAGCAAGATGCCCCCACTCTTCGCCAAGCTCGAGGAGCGGCGCCCGGCGGCGCTCGACTACATTGGCGTCTCGTACGGCCTGACGAGCCAGCTGCACAAGTTCTGGAAGAAGGGCAAGTTTGCGCCCGTGTACCTGCGGCAGACGGCCAACGAGCTGACGGGCGAGCACACTTGCGTGATGCTGCGCCCTCTGACCGAGGACCAGACCTGGCTGGGCGGGTTCTCCAAGGACTTCCACCGGCGCTTCCTGCAGCTGCTGGGCTACCAGTTCCGCGAGTTCGCGTCCGTCACGGCGCTCAGCCTCGACGAGTCGGCCAACATGGGCGCGCGGCTGGACCCGGGCAACACACCTAGCCCATTCGCGCGGGCGGACCTCGACACCCTCCTGACCCCGTGGGACCAGAAGCGCCTCGAGTCGTACGCCAACAACCTGCTCGACTACCACGTGATCCTGGACCTGATCCCGGCCATCGCGATGTTGTACTTCACCGGCCGGATCCGGGCCGACGTCAAGCTCACGGGCGTGCAGCAGGCCATCCTGCTGGCCGTCGGCCTGCAGCGCAAGGACATGGACGCCATCTCGGCCGAGCTCTCGCTGCCCTCGTCGCAGCTGCTCGCCATGTTCATCAAGATTGTCAAGAAGATGACGGCCCACTTCCGGGAGCTCGTGTCGGGCGCCATCGAGGCCGAGATGCCCGAGGCGACGAGGGCCGCCGCCGCCGCCGTCAGTCTCGCCGACGCCCAGGGCGTGCACGACGACGAGGTGGTCGACACGCGCTTCGCCCCGCTCGAGGTCTCGCTCGAGGACGAGCTCGAGGAGGGCGGCGACGAGGCGCTCAGGGAGCTGCGCAAGAAGCAGAGGGAGCTTATCGACTCTCTGCCGCTGGATCAGTGAGTTTTTTTCTTTTTTCTTTTTCTTCCTGTCTTTTATTGGCGCCCCTCCCCCCCTCCCCCTTCGAGCCTATCTCCTGTTCGAGGCATGACTACTCCTTCTATTTTTGAAAGAAAAAAAAGATTTGCTAACCACTTTGAAACACAAAAAAAGGTACGAGATCGACAACGACGCCCCCTCTTGGCATGACGCCGAGAAGCAAGTCTCCAAGGCCGGCGGCCGCGCCTCGGGCACCGTGGTCAGCGTTAAGTCCTCGTCGTCGGCCAGCGGAAAGCGGAAAGCCCCGGCGCCGGGCCAGACGGCAGCCGAGATCTACGAGGAGGCCTTTGGCGGCGATGGCATCGGCAAGAAGAAGAGCAAGAAGAGCAAGCGGCATCATCACTAGTATCGGGAGCAGCAGCAGGAGCGGGAGCAGCAGCAGGAACAGGAGGAGGTGGATGATGATGAAAAGCATCGGTATATGGCGTTTGTTTTCCGCGTGTGTACATTCTTGGGCGATTACACTTGTTCGTTTTGTATTTGCTCTCTGATACATATTTCACTGGGATGAAGAGTGACATTTGAGCTAGCTTTCATGTGCAGTTGACACGCCCACTATGCAATCGTGCGATGGTGCTACCCTCCTGATCGTCATCTTTGTCACCATACAACGCAGCCCGTCAAGCTCGGGAGGTTTTTAACCTTGTCCATAACAATACTTTGATTGTTGAAGAAAGAAATAAACTTATGTCAGACAACACTATTGGTCCGTCCGGGGGGTATCCTCGCGCTGCATCATGACCACCACCACCACCACCTCTGTGGCTAAATGGAACCAAATCTCTCAAAACCATTCCCCATACAAGAAGGGGATGCCTCTTGCACCATCCGTCCAAAGCATAAACACCTCAGTATCATATCGATGTACCATTGCCGAAAAAGTCGTCCACACCAAGCCACGCAAGACAAAATCAACTCATGGACCCCCACGAATTCTTACTCACGCACAATCCAAGCCTCACCGCGTGGGCAGGAAATTGCCAGCGTCCTGCTGCTGCTGCGCGAACGACTGAGGGAAGGCGGCGAGGCCAGCGATGATGCCGACGACCATGACGAGCACCGAGATGACGGACCAGATGAGGCCCCAGCACTGCGAGGAGCCGCCATAGCGTTTGGCAAAGACGCTGGCGTCAGAGCTGTTAACCTTGCGGAGAATGAGGTCGTCGCACTGCAAATCAAGGACGGTCTCATAGTCAGTTCCATAGAGTTCTCACTGTGTGCCATTATCTGGGAGAAGGTTCGGGTATAGGGACCGATTTGGGAAGCCAGGAAGGATCGAAAAGGCTTGACAAAAAGAGGGAGAGAGACATAGAGAGAGAGAGGGGGGAAAGACTCACGATATCCCAGACACTATACAGAGAGCTCATGACGCCGATGAACAGCACGACCCACCGCAGCGCCACCGCATGCGCAATGAACCAGCACGCAACGAGCAAGCCGACCGCCAGCAGGATGGTCAGGATGGTCAGCCAGTCGCGCTTTCCCCACCACAGGGTGAGCAAGAACGCGACGGCGAGCACGATGCTGGCGACCTTGCTCGCAACAATGTTGAAGCCGCAGAACGTGAGCAGCGCCCCGATGAGCGAGGAGCCCAGGTAGCCCGCGGGCAGGGTGATGAAGGACTTGCCTCCGACCATGTGCGTGACGCCGCCCTCGCGCGGGTCCAGCGAGATGGACTTGACCTTGCCGCCGGTCAGGATTGCCGCAAAGGCGTGGCTGAACTCATGGAAGGCGATGACGAGCATCTGTTTTGCGGGACAGGTCCATCAGCATTGCAGGCTTTCTTTTGGGGGGGGGGGGGGGGGGGGGGGGGTGGCTTGCGGCTAGAAATATGGAAGCACCCCCGAGAGGAAGAAGGGCAAACTCACCTTGAACGGCCATAGCGACCAGCGAACATATGGCACATTCCAGAGGATCGCAATGCCGACCACATATGCGGCAATGATGCCCAAGGTGACTTTCTGCGAGTCGCTCGAGACAGAGAGGTCTCTGGCTGCGAGGATGTGGCTGTTGAGAGAGCCTGAGGTGGCGGGCGTTGGTATTGAGGGCGCCATGGCTGGACAGTGTCTGTCCGGAATATGTGTTTTGTCACCCCAGATATCTGGCTGGTGGCTGTTGTTGTTATTGCGGAGGTCTGGATGTCTGGATAACGACACCTTTACGTGCTGTGTGTATGCGCTGGTGGACAGACGTACGAACGAGTGCCCGGCGGTGTGGATGAACGAGCGTGTAGGCTTTGCCGACTGCCTGCAAGCCGCGAGAGGATCCGATGGTGATATGGAATGATGGTAGAGAAAAGAATGGACTGCCGACTGAAGATAAAACAGAATAGAATCATGCCAGGTGCAGAGTGCGTGTGCTGCACAGCCCTGGCCTGTTACGTCGTCAGTGTGGAGCGCCCGGCTGGCTGGCTGCCGCTTTCCCTGCATACACACACAAGGGCGCCGTCGCCAGGGGTTGCGTGTGTCTCTCTCTTTCTCTCCCCATGCCCCGCTCCCACTTGCATGCCGTCCCTTGGCACCGGCTGGTGGAACTTGCATGTTGGATAACAAGGACATGCAAGGTATAATCTGTCGCGAGAGCCTGGTTTAGCAATGCCATGCCATGCCTTCCTCCCCCCTGTGAAAGACTATTCGCACAACAAAAACCCTGGAGAGTATCCCCAGCCGTCCGCCTTGAATCAGTCCCAGACGACGACGACGACGAGCACGCTAGCGCAAACGTTGACAGGACGCACAAAGACAGGAGGGAGGCGTGGGGCGGCTATTATTAGGCTCGGCAGCCGCGCATCTCTAGCGCCAGTCACGCTGCTCAGCTCAACTCTGCTGCTTCGGGGGCCACCACCAGTCTGGAGCTGCGCCACCATCAGAGCCCCGGCCCATATGTAACCACCCACCTTGCCCGCAGGCCTTCCCCAGACTCGGTCACACTCAGCGTCCATCATCACAATTGCTGAAATCGGGGGGCGGGGGCGGTCACAAGGGTCCGATCGTCCTGAGATGCAATGAGAGTTGATGATTATCTGGTAATGTGCGTGATACAAAAAAAGTAATCCATGGTCAAACGCCGGAAAATGCCAGAACACGCAGGGCAGGCAGAGAATCCGCACCAAAGGCTCTCCCCCCGCGGCGCGTGTATACCCAGATTCAAAATGTAATCAGACCCATGGACAAGTGATGTGGTCCTCCGCCGGCTCGCATACCATTTACACAAAAAGAAAAAAAATTCATGCAGCGAGACCCGGCCATACACTCAGGCATGGCCAGACCCCTTTTATACACCAAAACTCCGCAAAAACAGACGGCAGTCATATCAGGCGGCCACTGACAGGCAGCGGGATGCCCAGTGAGCATCAAAAGTCTTGTGCCCTAGCACAATCATTTGTCGCCAAATGCCCGGGGGATCCGCTTTGCAATGGCCCCGATATCCAGGTTCTCGATGCTGCGCTTGTGCTCCTCCAGGACCGACTTGGCAAAGGATCGGCTCGCGACAAGTCCAGACTCGGCTGCGCGCGCAAAGACAACGTCGTCCACCAGCCAGCGCTTGGCAGGGGCCGACTTCTTCTGGTTGGTGACGACATAGATGGCAACAGCAATGGCAATGATGACAATGATGGTCACTGTGGCAGGAAAATGTCAGTCTCGACTAGATCCAGCGTGCAAACGTGCGGGTCGTCACAGGTATACATACCAACGATGCCAAAGCAGATCCACTTCTTCTTGCGCGCACCACGGGCAGACTTGATGGCCGTCCCGACTTCTTCGTTGCCCTTGTCCAGATTCTCCACCGTCTCCTCGGCCTTCTGCTCAATGTTCATGACGGCAACATCCTGCTGGATGACAAGAGTGTCGAGATCCTGGAAGAGCTGGGCGAGCTCCATGAGCTGCTGCTCAATCTTCTGCAGCTGCGCATGGCGGTCCTGGACGGCACTGAGGACGGCTTGGGCCTGCCCACGACGGTTGCTCTGCATAAGAGCCTGCTGGAAGACTTGACCACCAGTCTGGTCCTCGACGGCCGCGCGGACCTCGTCCTCGCTGGCATCCGGGCGGACGATACGGTACTGACGAGCCATCTGATCCTGGGTACGCTTGCGGTATTGCGATTCCACCTGCTGATAAGCCTGGATAGCCTGCTTCAGGCGGCGGTCCACGTTGCCGACTTGGGCACGGTACTTTGGCTGCTGAGCTTCGCGATTGCTCTTGATCTGCCGAACCTGGTCGGTGAGCGTGCGGTACTGTGCCATGGTGTCTGCGCTGAGGTCGTTGAGCTGGCGGCTGGTGTTGCTCGATCCGGAGCTGTCTGCCTCATCAAGAGACCTTTGCTGGAGCATCTTGAGCTGGTTAAGGTTCTGGTCAATCGTGTCGATGCCTCGGTTGACCTGGGAGATCTCGTCGAAGATGTTTCCGGCGAAGCCGCCCTGGTTCTGCGTCAGGGACGCCATCTCGTGGCCGGTGGCTGCAAGACAGTTCCGGGTTAGAATTCGCGGATCGACCTCATTTCCTCTCAGGCCTATGTATGAAGAGGCTACTCACGGTTGTCGTCGATCTGCTCATAGCCAGAATTGCCACCGTAGCCGCCCGGACCATTTCCCCGCTGGTCATAGGGGTTGGACCGACCTCCGTATCTGTGTCGGGGACAGGCGTGTTAGCATTCCGATCACCTGATGGGCCATTGTCTGGAGACTGCGAGCAGCCCGTTGCTGCTGAGCTGAGGAACTCGGAGATTCGCAGCGGTGGAGGCTCGGTAAGCCTTTGGGACTCGTGAAACTAACCCGTACTGTTGTTGTGGTTGAGCCATGATATTAGCGAACCTGCCTTTACCAGAAAGGTGTATTGGTTGTGAGATGATGGGGGGAAAAGCAAAGAAACTCCAGACAGAACAAGAGGGCAAGCAATGACTCGAAGGAAGTGTTTGCGAAGAGGACAAGAAGGCGGCGGGCAGGGAGAAGTATGCGCAGGAAGGGACGGTGCGGGTCTGGGCCGGCGGAAACGCAGTGTGCGGCAGGGAAAGCGTGAAACACTTACACTCATGATGCACCAAGGGGGGTCTTTTTGCGTGCCGGCACTTGGCCCTCTGTTGTTTGCTGCTTGGAACAGTCGGGAACGGGCTTCCCAGGTTGCTTCTAGGCGTTGTAGCAGCTGTGGACCTTTGGATAGGCGCGTGTTTCGCAGGGCACCGGGACGAGTATGGGCCTTTTGCTTGGGTGAGTATTGAGTCTTCTGCCACGGGCGAGTCTCAAGCCGGAAGCTGCAGAGAGGCAAGGAGGATCGAGAGGTTGGGAGGGAACAGAGTGAGGGAAAGAAGGGGCACGTTTCAGGCTTGCGGGCTGAGGCCAAAGGGGTCTGGGAGCGCGCGGGTTAAGAATGGAGTGGTGAGACGATCGACAGGCCCAAGAGCAACGGCGTGGTAAGGGGCAGCCGCTCTCGTGCAGGCGGTGCCCACAGCTCGTGTCTGGGACATGGGGGGGCGTAGTCCGATACTGCACTTGACCCCTGCCATGAGCTCCAAAGTACCGGTACTTCCATCCCGAGGACTATCTATCGCAGCCCGTCCAGACCTCAATCTTTCTTCTCTCGACAGCCAGTTTTGCATCGCCATTCACCTTGCAGCTACGCATTACAGCCTGCACCATCAATCACACCTGTGGGACACCAATGTGCGATTTACAGAGAACCCCTTTGAGCACAGACATCGGGCCTCGCAGGTAAGAGCTCGAGAGTCATGATATCGCCTACAGACGGCCGTAGCAATAGAGCGGCCCAGCTGCCAGTATGAAGAGGCTCTACACTCTCAAGTCGGATGACCCACCAAGGTGAGGGGAGGGCTATATCTTCAGCTCGAGATCAGACAAAAAGGGCCAATGCCATGCCGCCCTCACCCAGCCGAACTCGGCACCAAGATCTAGATGGCCTTCCGACTTCTGCAAGTCTGCACCCTATAGCTTCTAAGCTACCGCGCCGAACGAGATGGTGCGAGACCAGAATGCCAATGGTCGGAAACATCGCACCCACAAGGCTGACTAGGTCCCGCCGAACAAGATGTTGGTCCGGAGAGAGGCAATCTAGCGTGATGGCGGGTTTTCAGCTTCGCACAATCAAGCTTCACCTCCAAACGCTTAAATCTACTCGGGGCCAGGTAGGCCATTCGTCGATGCACGTCGGAGTCGAAAGACGCGTAATGCATGCACACCCGCGCTTCTTCGAAGGTCTGGAAGTTTGGGGGGAAGTGGACGATCGTGGGTGTAGCCATGGCTTGTATACTTTGTAGATGCTGGAAATCGGCGTCCTTGCGTGCCTAGATCAGACTTCGCCATAATTAGTGTGTGGCCCGTGGCACAACTCCACGCTCGATCTTTCTCGATGTATCACCAGCAAACTGGCATCCGATGTACAGGAACATGCTCATCCATGGGTGCTGCCCCACAGCTGCGCTGAGACCGCAAAGCTTCGTTCAAGGGGTCCCAGCCAGTCCCCATGCCAAGACGACACGCACGAGCCCAGCCAGTGCTAAGTACCGTCGCAGCGACCGGCGCTTCATTTCCTACGACTGTCCCCAGCCAAGTCGATAAACAGCGTCCATACCGAGGTGCTCCATTGTCCAATGCGACCTTGCAAAATCACCAATTTCGCCAGAGAAGATGATGGCTTTTGTCACGTCGTCTCTCTCAGCAGCACTGCTTGCCTTGTTGTCCGCCCTCTCCAACACCTTCAGCCGGCGCTGACCTGCTACCAGTAGTCCATCAGCTGCTTCTGTCTTACCGCTCGTGCTGCAGGGCTGGCCAATCACTGCAGCGTCAGCACAGAGCTAGCTACGGAATTCAAGCAAGCCACCAAAAGTAAAGTGGCAGTGTCTGCAAGGTAGACTCCTGCTCAGCAGGGCTCCATGCCTGCGTATTGTGCTATCAGCTCACGCCAGCTCGTCAGCCCAGCGGGGCGCCACCATGCTTGCTGACTTTTCCCGGAAACACCATACCATCTTTGGTGATTCCAGTGCATCGAGCGTGGCGCGGTGGGGAGCGAGGGCTGAGAGAAATCCAGCTGCCAGATCCGCCACTGGGGCCTTGTCCACGGCACGAAAGGTATTCTTCGCCCAGGCAGATATCTTATTTGTAGGGGGATGACCAGTCTGAGCCATGAGCAATTCCGGCAGGGCAGCTTTGAACAGCACTCACGGTCACGCAGTGAGACCTAGACGAGACCACACACGTAAACGGTACATGCCTATCGTCTAGTCGGTTTGGACCTCATGTCATTCTGAGGATCGACACTTTCTCGGCGGCACGTCGCAACTTGTAAGCCTGTTCTGTGCAGGCTGTCAGCTCGGCGCTGACAAGCTGACATGGCCTGTGCCGAGACCTGCGGTCACCCAGGCCCGGACAATCCCCCGAAACTGAGGCGGAATAGAACTCCACTTGGACCCGAGACATCCCAATCACAGTGCCGAGACAGCTTGATGGTTTATGGCAGCAAAAGTGTTGAAGTACATCTTGCCTACTTAAGTACTCGAACACCAACCTCGTGCGTATTTGGGCTCTATCTTCACATGGAATCACCACCCATGAGTTCAGGGGAGTGAGTACCGCGAAATGATGACCAATCACTGAGCGAGCAACTTTGGGCGTTTGGATGCTTGAGATAAGGCTACGTGATAATTGTAGCTAGGGAGGATTCCTTTCTGTGCCATTCGGGGAATTACGGCGTGTGATGGTGCCCAGTCCAAGTCCTCTAATCGAGGTACACCATTGTGGTCGACCTTTAAATACCAGTCAGAGACGTGGGTGGGCGGGTATGTGCAAGCTATTAGCACTTATGCAGAAGCTTCGTCCACGACTGGAAAAGCAGGCTGTCTGATACGGTCTGCCCTCCTCCGGATGTGCCAATCGCAATGGAAATTCAACTGAGAAGAGGGTATATATGCACGCCTCGAGACGACTGCACGTCCTGTAGAGGATGTAGAGTCACTTTGCCTCCAAAGTACGCATCTTGGTAGACCGCGACCATGTGCCGTCACCAGCCACGCCAAGCAGCACAGCGCTGTTGTGCCGCAATGGAGGAGACATTGGCGTTTATGCTAATGCTGTCGATCAGCTGTCTTGTGCCTCGTGCGTCAGCTTCAATCAGGAGGTCTCCCTGTCGGATCGTCCGCATGCGGGATCGGTCCCGTCGATAAGTCCTGCTCAACCCCAAGGTCTGTGGTCGCGCGATGATTCCGCCGCTCTTCTCCCGCGTCCACGACTTTTCGCAACATCAGCATGCGCTTCTGAAAGTCTTCAATCAGCACGCCATAGTCTTCCATGTTGTCATTTGTCGGCGCCATATCCGCACGGCTGTTCGTGGCGCCACTGCTTAGGCCGCTTCTGCTCCCAGAGCCTTGCCGATTTTGATCCTCAGAAAGAGCCATATCCACCTCTGAGCCAAGGGTTGAGCTTTCGACGCCTTCAACTCGTAGCATAAGCCTCTCAGGGCGCTTCGCAGGCTCATCGCCGTCGTTTCTGCTATCATTGTTGTTGCCACCATCGGAAGACGGTGGAGATATTTGGCTGAGCTCTGCACTAAGTACGGCCCAGGATGGAGACAAGCTGGTGGCGCCCGCGATGCTGTAACCGCCGTTGGCATCAGGACTGAGATCCAACATCATTGCCCGGTGTCGGGAACCTTCTTGGGCTTCGGTGGCCTCGCACTCGGCAAGAGCCTGGGTAAGCATATCCGGATCATCATCACTAAATATGTATCGGACGTGTGGATGATGAGTGGTGCTTTGAGAAGTGTTGGTAACGAGGGTGAATATCGACTCGAAGGTTGGGAGATTCTTGCGGTGGTCGTCGTCGGGTCTGATTTCGGTGGCATGTGATGATATGTTGGGAGGTGCCAGGTCTTGGGGTTGGCGTGACTCGTCGCTTGTCGCGGGCTCCGTCATCGTGGAAGACGAGCCGAGGTGGGCATAAGGATGGACGGTATGGAAGGTGCCTATTGCTGATGGAATTAAGGTGCCATGTGTGGTTTAAGACAACATGGTGATGCTGGAAAGCCAGGGTGGCTGCACCTCAACAATGTTGGAATAGCTCGAGGCAACAGCAGCTGGCCGAGTGTCGGATGAGGACGGCAAGGGTCCTGCACAGGTGTGCGGGATGATGCAAGTGCACCTGCGCGGACGTGGAGCTCTTATCTTATCGCAGGCGTGGCTAGAAAGAGTATCAAAGTCGGGCTGTGCTCAACTTCAGAAGGCTCAACATCGTGCGGACTCAAGTAGCTTTGGATGTGAACCTGATGACAGCCAATGAGTGGCACTTGTAATGGATCCCTGGAGGGAGGCTTTATTATGTTCTTGTGAACAGGCCCTCAATCATACGTGCCTTGTCCCGTATGACGTTGGGTGTAAGGCAAAACTTGGACTGCCCGCCATTCACGGACGTGAACCAACCTTGTAGGCTTGGAGGGTATTAATTGGGATTCGCATCAGCTTGCTCGTCGGCGCCCATGTCCTCATCTGCCTCGGCAGAGCCGCTCGCGGCGTTTCCACCTCCCCACTCGAACTCTGCGACGATGTCAGTGTGCGTGCGAACGGAGACGTGGCGCAGTGATAGTGCTCACTTTGCCTGCACATGGGACATTGTCCTTTGGCAGAGTCCTGCTTGATCCATTCCATGATACAATGCTTGGCTAAGGTCAGCGTCATTTCTGATCGAGGCCGCGGTCTGGGCCTAAGAATATCAAAACCAACCATATGGAAGTTGTGGCCGCATTTCCCATTCACTGTGAAGATTCGCTCGTCAGTATGACAGAGAAGTCGAGTCTGGGCACGCGTGCCTGGGAGATTGTGGGTTCCATGGACGCACAGAGACTGCAGTCATCTCCAGGATATTTGCAGGTGGGACATGTGCCGTCAAACTGTACTTGACAGATTCCACATACGTCGTCCTCTGGAAGATCCCAACGCCATGACGCGACCGCGTCCCACTGCGTAATCTTCACCTTCATGCCTGCGTGGGTGGGTGGAGTGATGTGAGCTGGTCGGATTCACTGAAGGAATAACTCCACGATGAGGTTTGGGTGGCACGTCGTGATTCTCCGCATGTGCCTGTGACTTTTCGCGAGATTGTAAGTGTGCTGGTCGACGGCGGGCGCTCTGTTTGCCTTGCTCACGCACACAAAGTAGCGTATACACGAGAGTTGCCGCAAGCGTGCTGTGAACATGATTCGCAAGGACGAGAAGAAAAAGGTGGGGCGGGGGGGGGCTTTCCCCTCCAACAGCGCTAAATTGTCAGTGCCTGCCCCGGCCGACTTACACCTGATGTCGTTTGCTCTGGCAGGCTCTCTCACGTATCCGTTGCCCTGGAGGATCTCGCATGATGCATACAATTGCTGTTCGACAGGTTGCCAGCTCCATTGTGCCAAGGTAACTTCAATCATGCGCATTCAGAGCATTGTGCACTTTGTTCAAGACGGAAAGGCGTGGCATTGCTGGCCCCACGATAGCACTCGATGGATAGCACTTGATGGTCAGAGTTCATGCAAGTGGTCACAAGCCATTCTAGATGAGGCGGCCGGCCCAGACTTGTCAACTCCAAAGTCAAGCACGAAGGGAAGCTAGCCCGTTAGCCGCATCGAACTGCATGAAACGGCTGGCATCCGGGCAGTCTTTGTGAGGGACACGGTGATTGTACGCAGGCTTTGGTCCTTCTGGCCGAGCTCTTACTGGGAGTAGCGCCTCAATGCGAGACAGTCGTCCACAGAAGAGCAGCTAGACGTCGGGGCTCGGTGGTGACCCCAGCGGGCTGGTATTGCGTGCTCCAGCCATCCACTTGTTGCTGCTCAGCGGCGTCGGCGCGGGGCCAAGCTCCTTGGGTGGTGCTGTCGTCTTTCATGTTCATGCCAGGCCAGCCACTCCCGGAGCTCCGATAAGCAGCAGCTCAACCACATGCTCGAATCCTCAAGAACAGCCGAGACAGCTTCTCGCCCTGCAGCATCGTAGGCATCTCCAGCGGCAACATAACCAGCCCTTGGCCCGTCCCGCGGGTCTCTTGCGTGCGAAGACATTGACGGTCGATCTCAAGGTCAGGCGTTGAATCTCGTTGCTCCGCCCACCGACGACGCCGCACACGTCCTGGCCCAGCTCCACCACCGCCCACCCTCGTCACAGCCCGGCAGCTACCCCAAAAGCCGACAGCCCTCCCCTCACCTATCCTGCAAACCTGCATCAGCACAACCTCCTACCACGGTCCTCACTTGATCCTCGCTTGCAGTGCCTGCCATGGCCGCGACAATGGCCGCCGTGCGCTCGGCCAGAGCCATGCTTCCGCAGCAGCCCCTCCTCCGCGCCCGCCAGCTTGGCTCCGTACATTCCCGCAGGCAGCTGAGCTCCTACCTCGTGTCGCCCAAGGAGCTGGCGGAAGCCCTCAAGAAGAGTCCGCCCTCGCCAATCAACTCGGAGCCTCGTGTCATTCCCCTCTGCGCCGCCTGGTTCCTCCCGAATGACGAGCGCAAGGGCATCGAGGCCTTCCGCCAGCAGCGTATCCCACGTGCCCGGTTCTTCGATCTCGACAAATACATCGACAAGCACAGTCCCTACCCACACATGCTCCCCACGGCCAAAGTCTTCGCTGAGGCCATGAGCGAGCTGGGCATCCGCAAGGAGGACACCGTGGTGGTCTACGACACAAAGGAGCTGGGCATCTTCAGCGCTCCCCGTGTTGGCTGGACTCTCAAGGTCTTTGGACACGACAAGGTACACGTCCTCAACAACTTCAAGCTTTGGGTCGAGGAGGGTCTGCCCACCGAGTCTGGCGAGCTCTACAGCGTGGAATGTAACCCATACCCCATCCCTAAAGTGGAGGCGGAGCAAGTAGCCTCCTTCGAGGAGCTCAAAGAGATCGCCAAGGACTACAACAAGGAGGGTTCGGAAGGCGTACAAGTCCTCGATGCCCGGCCGAACGGCAGGTTCACAGGAAAGGATCCGGAGCCTAGAGAGGGACTCTCGTCCGGACACATGCCAGGCTCAATCAACATTCCATTCAGTGCGGTGCTTGATCCCACCACCAAGGCCTTCTTGCCTAAGGATCAACTCCGGAAATTGTTTGAGGAGAAGGGCGTGGACCCGACAAAACCCATCATCTCGACGTGTGGCACAGGAGTCACTGCGGTAGTCATCGACACCGCACTTGAGGAGGCTGGTTATGGCTCACCAGATAGCCGCAGGATCTACGATGGCAGCTGGACGTAAGTTACACTCTGGTCAGTGAACCGCATGGTCATGCTCTGACAGTTGATTTTCAGGGAATGGGCTCAAAGAGTGAAACCTCAAGAGTCACTCATCATCAAGGATGACTGAGCGTGGCTGAGCACATACGCAGCTGAGACGACAACAAAATAAGAAGCAGGATGTCTTCGACTATATACCCAAAGAAAAACGATCCGGTCGCGTCAATTTGCCGGTCTACCCCGCCCATTCTGGATATTCGGTTTTCCTCAATTATCTTCAGCTTTGGAGACATACAGCGTCTCTTCTCTTTGACGAAAAGTCGTTTGCGTTGCCCTTACAGCAATTACGTTCGGCTCGTGGCCACCATCAAGATAATGCACATGCCGTCCCGCGTGCTAGCTGGGCGGTGAAGCCCAAGAAAGTGGGCATGGAGCAGTTGAAAGTGGGTAGTCAGGATGTGAGCATCCCTTGGCAAGGATATCTCGTGAGCCCCGATGATGCGAGGCGCAGAGTGAGGCGGGTCTAGTTCGTTGATTTTGTTATGGCATTCTTCAGGCATACGGACAATCAGATATCATGGAAACACGCTTACACACACCCACCCGGAATGCACCGTCAAACCGCAGTGCTACATAATCGTGATCGTCCAATGACAAGCCACTTGGCACAGATGCAACCAGAAATACATGACCAGGTGTGGCCACGAGGTCTTGGGAACTTTATATGAACTTTGTTGTGATTTTCAAGCTACCTCAAGAAAACCTAATGCCTTCCTGGTTTCCCTTTTTGTGCTGCTTGCGAAAAGAAGTCTTCGGCAACCATGCGAAGCCCGAAAATATCAAATCGTTACGAGAAAAGATTTACCACACGCCGATGTCGTCGTTTCCCATTCCCGTTGCGCAAAAAGTAAAGAAAAGAAACCCTGGGTCATCACCATCTTGTCTTGACATGTCCGCCCCCTGCTCTGGCCGTTTTGTTGTTTTGCTCGTTTGTGATTGTGCTTTAGTTGCTCACCCAATCTAGTAGCGCTTGCCCTCGCGGAGAGTGTCGGCGAACTCCTCCAGGGGGCTCCTGATGAGCTTCGTCTCGGTCCACAGGTTGGGGGTGAGGAAGCCGTAGGTGTTGGAGATGGCGGCGAAGGTGGCCTTGAGGGTGTTCTCGAGGGTCTTGGTGGAGCCGGAGGACGAGGTGTAGGCATCCTCGATACCGGCGAGCTGGAGAAGGCGCTTGACGGCGGGCGAGGCGACAATCTGGGTACCACGGGGGGCGGGGATGAGTCTGACGGTGACGGAACCGCACTTGCCGCTCTCCTTGACGGGGAGGGAGTGGGGGAGACCAAGGTTGGAGCCCCAGTAACCACGGCGGACTGGGATGACGGAGAGCTTGGCAATGATGATGGCGGCGCGGATGGCGGTAGCAACCTCCTTGGAGGTCTTGATGCCGAGACCGACGTGGCCCTCGGAGTCACCAATGATGACAATGGCCTTGAAGCGGGTGCGCTGACCGGCACGGGTCTGCTTCTGGACGGGCTTGATCTGTAATGAGGCAAAGAGGACAAGTTAGCCGATGATTCCTCGAAACAGTAATTTGCGCCTCGTCCGCGGAGTGACTGTGCTGGGCTCAATGGCCTCGCAACGCCGTCCCCCGAAAGACTGGCTCCTCTTCTCGGCGTCGGCTCATCGTACCTTCATAACCTCATCCTTGAGCTTGGGAAGGAAGAAGTCGACGATCTGGTACTCCTTGATGGGCAGGGAGTGGAGGTAGATCTCCTCCATGGACTTGATCTTGCCAGCCTTCACGAGACGGCCGAGCTTGGTGACAGGCTGCCACTCCTTCTCGCTGTCCTTGTTGCCGCCACGACGGCCACGGCCACGACCACGGCCGCGGGGACCGCCACGGTCACCACGAGATCCGAAACCACCACGGGCTCCGCCAGCGGGAGCAGCACCACCACGGTCAGCCATGTTGGTTATTTGTTGTTGGGGGGTTTATTGTCGACGAGGGCGAGAATTGACTGTCGCAAGAGTCGTCGTCGTTGGGCGTCACACTCGGGAGTGTCAAGTGGTGTGGGTTGATGCGAAGGTGTCCCGGCAGGTTTTGGCTGGTGCTGCGAAATTTCGCTCCGTCCGCAGAGGGGCACTGCCCGCGCGCGCACTGCCGACCTGCAATTTTTGATGCTCAACTTTGTGTGCTGGACAAGGAGGGTTCCCACGTGGTCCGTGCACGACCCCCCTGCGACCAGGTTGTCTTGGCACCTCCAGGCCCCCACTTGAATTGCTCATTCTGGATTGTTGGCGATAGCCTCATGTCCTCCACCAGCCTTCCGTTACCTCTCGGGTGGTCTTTCATGAGTAGTGTCCAGCATTCGCTGTCCAGAGCAAAATGAGAGCCCCTCCAACCACGATCTCGCCTTTCCGCTACATCATCATCAGGCTCAGACCGCAGACGGCACGCTTGGTTATACCCGGGGCATGGCACCATGGACTGAGCGCTCGTCATCAGGTGCACCAAGCCACGGCACATATTCTCGAAGAGACGCCGCTTCTTTGAGCGCTCATTTTCCAAGCTTCTCACCATGTTGCTGGCGGCACCGCGCCCCCTTTGGCGTTGCTCGCGCAGGGGCTAAACTTCTTGACTTCCTCGAGGGGCAAGATCGTGCATGCACTTGCTCAAGAAATGGGATCTTGGATTCATATGACCCTGACGTTCATTGCTATTTCCTCTTATTCGGCGACTGCCTTTCACAGTGCTACTCATTGATGTGCCTGTGATATAGTCGAGGAAGGTACGACCCGAGTTCATACCTCTTGTCTTCACGAGGCGGGACATCTCAGATCCCATGATCATAACTTGTTTGCCTGCTTCTACTCATCGCTCTCATCCTGCATCTGTCCTGCTCAACTCAACGCTAAGAGTCTTTTGGTGACCTTCCACGGTTTTTGGGCCTCACTTTTGGTTCCCTTCATCATATTCCACTGCTCTGCTTTCGGGACCTTCATCATTCTACGATTGGACTCTTGTCACGGTCTCAACTGACTCGGTCCCCGGCATCAACCATGATTCTCAGTCGACTTCGGCGTCAAGTTGCCAGCCGACCGTGGTTCCATATGGTTCTACTGGTCTGCACTCTCCTGACGGCCACGGTGCTCGCACTCTACTCAGGCAGGGCCCTTGAAGCTCACGATATAACACACAAGGGCCTTCCAGGACCAGGCGCAGCTGCTCAAGATGTGAAAAGACCTCAGCGGGGCCTGCAAGAACGAGGACTTGGCCTCGGCATGCTCACAAACATCATCCCGACTGCAATTGCCTCCCTTGTACCTGGTGCAGCAAGCTCTCTTGAGGCAAAGATCACAAATGACCTTGCCGGAGCTTTGCCAACAGCCGCGCTTCCAACACTTCTACCTTCAACAGGGCTCGATTTACCAACAGCAGGACTTCCTCTGCCATCGGCCGGTCTACCGCTGCCAGTATCAGGGCTTCCCTCAGGGGGTCTCCCATTGCCCACAGCTGGACTACCTCTCCCGTCTAGCGGACTACCTCTCCCTTCTGGTGGTCTTCCTCTCCCGTCCGGTGGTTTTTCTCTCCCGTCCGGTGGTCTTCCTGTTCCGTCTGCAGGTGTTCCTATTCTAAGCAATGCCGTGCCTTCACTTCCGATCTCAGCGCCAGCGGCATTGCCAACAGCCGATGCCATCCTTGGACTCGGCAACCAACTAGCTGGCATTCTTGGAAATCTCGTACCGTTTGCAGCCAACAGTATTGTCCAGGCTGTCACCTCACAAGCCCTCGGGCTAGTGTCGGAGGTTCAAGCCGTAGCTACGGATGTTGCCGCCTTGGCTAATCAAGTCTCCTCCGACCAGCTCGCCGTGCCCGACGCCTTGAACGCTGCCGGCAACCTTGTTAATTCCCTTGACTCGGTCATCGGGGGAATCGTGAAAAATGTGACGGGGAATGTTGCTGACATCCTTCCTGCACCTGTCTTGGATGAGGTGGTTTCCGGAGTCAAAAATAGCCTCGGTGATATTGTTGCGATCGCGGACGGCCCGATGGACCTTATTGGAGATCTGATTGAGAACAACGTTTGTGGTCTTGTGACCGCGGTGGACGGTGTGCTGCAGACTGTTGCTGGCTTCTGCGGGCATATGGATTCAGCCTTGTCTATTGCGACACAAACGTCACCGGCGCCGTCGAATACTGCCATGCCAGCTTCACAAATTTCCCCGTCAACAAGCAGTGCTGGCGTTGGTATTTCTTCCTCTTCCCGTGCTTCTGACACTACGCCAGCATCCTCTGGTGCCACTTCCGCTTTGGTCCCTGTCACTATGTCGTCTGTGACTATACCCGACTTTACAGGACTTTCTATTTCTTCCACGGGGCTATTGACGTCTTCAAGTTCATCACCAAACACGTCAGAGGCGGCTTCCACCAACGGTAATTCTCTGTCCTCACAACTGCCAGGAGACTCGACCGCATTGTTTTCCAACAGCAGCCCTGCTTCGCCAGGAATCAATGATTCAACTCGCGTATCAGCTGCACCTAGCTCAGTCAATTCAGGCAAGTAATTCTCACGCCTCGTGTGCGCTGAGTGTGCTAATATTGAAGTGACTCTAGAATCTTTGACGGTGACGATATCTTCTTGTCCCGTTGTCACAAGCTGCGGACCTAGGTGTGTACCAGTCACTGCATTCTGCAAGAGTAACTGTTCTGACAATTGCATAGTAATGAGCTGGTCAGCACAACCACCGTGTACGTTCAGGCGCCTTGCCCCACGATTCCACCCAGCAGCAATCTTCCAACAGGGGCAGGCCCATGCCCTGGATCAGGCTATACATGCAACGAATGTCTCGATGGATGGTTCTGTCCACCACAGCAGACTCCCGCTCAACCAGCACCTTGCGGTCATGGCTGGCCATGTGCTCATTGCCAAGATGGCTGGTTCTGCGCACCACTCCCTACACCAGTGCCTTCACAATGTTCAAACTCTCCCGGGCAATTTACGACCGATGTCACAGCTACCTCCACCGTTGCTGTTTCATCAAGCTCATTTCTGGTGTCAACCCTTGGTCCGGAGTCAGAGCTGCCAGTGCCTGCGCCAACCCGTCCAGCGACTGCGTCAGATTGGCACTACTGCGGTTGTTGGGCAAACCAACCTCACCAGCCGGCCCTTGAACTAGCCGACGATGACCTGTTGACCTTGACGAACCCTACCTGCGTGCAACACTGTGTCTCGCGTGGCTTCCTAATGGCTGCCACTTCCAGTGGGGATTCTTGCCATTGCGGAAACTTCCTCAATGGTACGCAATCACTGGACGACTCGCAGTGCAACATACCCTGCGTGGACGATAAAACCCAGGCCTGCGGAGGCGACTGGGCACTCAGCTGCTACAGTCCAAATGGCGAACCTCATGGCTGGGCGAGCGTTGGGCCAGAGCCTCTCAAGCCTACATTGACCCCCCCTGAGATCGGCGAATTGGATATTGGAGGGGTTGCGATTACATGCATTACGACTCCATTCATCATCTATCCGGCGCCTGGAAATAACAACCAGGTTATCACCGAGCGAGGAATCACCACAATGAGACCGCCTGGCGATTTGCCCAATGATGACGGAAGCGTGACAACTGAACCTGTGGTAACAGACAATATCAGCTCAAGCCTAGGGCCAGGGCCGTCTGTGCCAACACCTGTAACCCCAAGTGACCAAGGAGGCACTCACTCCTCCTCTAGCTCTCAGCCTGGAGCCGCACAAACCACGACAAATCCATCAAGTAACAATGTCTCTGTGGTCACTTCGAGTGCGGGCCTGCAAACCATGTCGATCACCAGCCCTCCCGCAGGTGGCGGCGGAGTCGCACCAGGTCAAGGTGATGCGACCACATCGACGCCTACAGATCAGACACTTCCGAGTCCTTCGTTGTCAAACCCGGCCTCTCCGGACAATTCTCTAAGCATCTCATCTGGTTCCGAGCAAAGCACGCCTCCAGCCCCTAGTCAGACATCGTCCTCAAGTACAGTAGGGAACGCCTCGACGAGCCCGACACAGATTTCGTCTTCGGGCGTCTACACGAGCAATGCTCCAGAGGCCAGCGGTACATCAAGCTTAACGGGCAGTCTGAGCGCTCTGGTGTCAACAATAATGCCGACTGTTCCTGCATCTCCTGGCGATGAGAGTAGCGGTACCCCAGGACAATCCGACCTTGCAACCAGTTCTCAACCTTCGGTTTCAGATGCAAGTATCTGTGGGCCGGCAGCCACAGGCCCTTCGTGCTTGATTACACCAGGAAGTGTTGACTCTACTGATCTCTCTGGCTCATCGAGTGTATTCCCCCACGTGACGGGGCCAAACACCGCGGGTGAGAGCTCCCAAGCTACTCCAGTGACGAGCCCACAAGCTCCAGGCAGCGCCACCACCACTTCCAGCAGCCAACCGACAGACCCTTCCGGCGGGGGTAGTGTTGCCCCAGAACAAGGTTCAACAACTAGTGCTGCCGCCTCAAATCCATTGGGGCCGAGCGCTTCCTCTCCAGGGCCCGCATTGTCAGGCAGTATCACAGAGTCAAAGGATGGTACTACCGGCCTTAGCATCACGACGGGCCCCAGTGTGCCAGGCACCCAGTCAGCGCATGTTACTCCGAGCGACTCTTCTGCTGGGAATCTTATCTCGTCGACGAGCATCGGACTCAGTCAGACATCGCTGCCAGCACAGTCTCAGAGCTCGACTATCGTTCTGTCTGGCAGCAGTGCTGGGACTTCTGATCAACCCAATCTGAGCACTGTGAGCTCTGTACCAGCAACCTCGTTGGTCCAATCGAGTGCTGGAGTAACATCGCCGCTTCCATCGCCTCCTGGCCCAGATGGAAGCCCAAGTGGTTCAACTTCTGACATTTCCTCAACTTCGCCAGATCAAGGTGGTAGCGTGGCGCCCGGTCAACAGAGTCCGAGTACTCTCGCGTCGCCAACAACTGTAAGCCCAAGCTCACCAGGGCCTCTACCCACAACCATCACCACTTCTATCCCCCAGCTCACCTCCACAACAACTTCGACCTCTGACTCCGGTCAGAGTGAAAGCACCGTGCCTAGCGGGACTAGCCAAGGTCTCGAGAGCACTACCATAGCATCAAGCACGACAAATCCTGTCGACGGGGGAACTGTAGCGCCACAGCCGGGCGAAACACCAGACTTCACGCTTCCACCTGGTGTTATCCCGTATGGTGGCGTTGCAAAGCTGCCGACAACATTCCGCTTGATACCAGTGTAGAGTTTCATGTAATTCAGTGGTCTGCATCTCGTGACGCATGTGCTCCATGGTTTGAGCTGTCTCATTCTGACACGGAGGGCGGAGCTCCAACTTTTCATAGGTGCATAGGCTGAAACGCTGGGTAGCCAAGTGCTCAGCCTTCTTTTTTGGGATTCGCATCCTTTGTGGCTTTTTGGACTGGCAACATTACATTCGATGCGGCCGAGCAGACTCGGGCTGTCTGATAGATACGCATTTAGCAAATCAAAGTTTATTTCGCTCGATTTGGCGTCCGCTGGTCTCTACCGTGCAGAAGGATGCCGCGACATGTCTTCTAGCCCTTGCTTACCATGTCCCGATGGACCCGACCCGAGTTGAGAATACGATGGTCGCAGCTATTAACGCGAAGCATCACTATGACAAGGCCGAAGACAGTGCTTCCAGGCCTAGACCCGTCAAACGCACAGCTAGCACGAAAACTGGCACCGACCAGCCAAAACTGCCGCGTGGACGTCCAAGGAGAGCGAGCCGTGGCTGGCGCCAGATAGCTTTGGGTGTGTGGTACACCCAAATACGCTCGTGTGTGGAGATCTTCCGATACCCAGACAAGGAAGGCCGTGGTAATCAATACTCTCGTTGGCGATTGTGTGCTCTCACGCCGTAGCATGTCCACGCCACCGTATCTACGAAAGAGAATTGCGTTTAACCTAAAGGCGGCATTGCAAAGACAACACAGATGGCGATGAGCAAACTAAGGCGGTCTTGAACAAGGTCTTGCCTGGTTCTTATCTGATGCTTATGTACATATCCTCGAGAGGGGCATTGGCGAGGCCGGTGACAGGTAAACCCACCCACGCCAACAGGATGTACACATTACGCCCACCTCGGCCCAAACTACGGCAGTTGCGAAGCGTAATTTAATTACTCCCACCTGAGACCGCCTTCAACGGTGCGTTGACATGCTTGGTAAATTGCTTTGGTATTTGTCCCATATCTTGTCAAAGCCCACCAAGAGCATCGAGGCTTTCCTCCTCTGAACGTAGCCTCCACGTATGATATGATGGTGTGAGCCAACATTGCCCACGGTATGCTTGGCGTCTAGTGTTGAGGTCAGCCTCCCCTAGCCCAAGTCTGGGAGTACATGAAGAGGATCTGAAGCCTCAACGGTCACCAACCCCGGCATCTCCAACAACCCCTTCATGTCCGGTACTGCCCGCCGCGCGGGTCTCTAAGCGGTGGCTGTCTGATGTTGTGCAATCTCTCCAGGTCCGGAGTCTTCCCCCAAAACGGGTGCAAAGTAACTGAAACGAGCTTTTTTTGGTGGCCATTTGTGTCATTGAGTTTTGGTTTGCAAAAGAAATGAGAAGGGCAGCTTGTTGTACGCGCTCAATTGGGTATGACCTCAAAGAAGAAAGTGGAAAAGGGGCAAAAAATAAAATAAAACACAAGTCGCTAATGCCATGGAGATGATCTGTCCCTTCAAATGTATGCAGCAATCTTTTTTCTTCTTCCAAAGATACACACTCTTTTGTAATCAACGTGGTGGGTTTGTGGCGTGGAGATGGCGATCATGTCTCGGCGCTGCGAGCACATCGTTAGATCAGCCAGATGGCCAAGCTGAGTATTACTGTCATTGAGACATCATGTGACCGCTGTAATCTTCATGTACATAGGCTGTGTAGTGGTGCGCCTGCTGCTGCTGCGGAGGGTAGACAGTCATATGTTGTTGAGAGTGTTGGGTCGGGGTAACGGGGCATCGCGGAGGAACGTATTTGTTCATAGGATCCGTAACCACAGGCCATGCGCCATCGGGAGTGATGGGAGGAGTGATGTACCCGTCTGTGACATTCATGGTGGCGTTGTTGTGACCCTTCTGGGGCGTGCTGTAGATGTTGGCGTGCTGGGGGTGGAGCATCGACTCGGACGGCGGCGAGGGAGGACTGAGTTGGCGCCGCTGGAGCTCGGCCTGATGTGCCAGAAAGTCGGCGAGTAGGGTCGAGGCTCTCGAGAGGTTGGGAGCGGCGTACTTGCGAGACAATGTCATCGATGGTTGATGGACGTGTTTCGAGAGCAGCTGGACCGTCTCGTTGTCGGCCTGATCCCACTCGCCTTCGCTAATGGCCGGGCGTCCCAGGATGGCACGGGCGAGCGTGAGGGAGGCACGAGCCATGGCCGAGGGCTTGGTCGAGACAAAGTCGCGGTGGTACAAAGCGATCTCGGAGAGGTAGGCAGCCATGTTCTCAACTTCACGGTCGTCAGCACGCTCAACCACAATGAGCTGAGAGAAGAAGTCGACAGTTGGGTGGCCAATCGACCACTCGAGCGTGTTGAGAACGTGCATCTCCATCTGCGTAAACATGCCAGAATCGTACAGGCCACAGCACATGTTGTTGAGCTCGTTGATCTGAGGAACACGGTCCTTCTTGTCGCCGTACTTGGCGGCGATGAGGAGGGCGGCACAGCCCACAAGCTGGTAGTGCTGCTTATACACAACACGCTTTGAGCAGTACCTGTCCAGGAGGTTCACAGTCAGGAAGAGAGTTTCAGGCAGGAGAGCGAACGCGGCGTGGGCCTCAATGAGGAAGTCGATGAGGTATGGGCGCATGAACCACTGGATCTCGCGCTGCATGTCAATGAGGTTGGCGTCGGGGAGCGTCTCGTTCTCCATCACAGCCATGTGCTGCATGATGTCTTCAATGTACTCGTCGTGAGCTAGGCGAGACAGCTCGTTTGCGATCATCTCCTGTCTGTTGCGGGCAAGCATCTTCGCGGCGTCCTTGGGAGTGATGCGGGCGTAGCGGGGCTCGTCGCCTTCGACGAAGAAGCCGCAATCGGCTGACTTGGGATAGGCCATGTTGATTGTACTGGTATCTGGGCGAGGAGTGAGGGAGGCGTTGTAGGGGTCGTTGTGACCGAGTGGTGATCTTGAAAAAGAGGGACGATCAGGTTCTCCAGGAATCTTTTTGGTGAGGTCGATAGGTTGAGAGAGTGACTGGTGATATTAAGCTTGTTGGTGCCGGGTTGGCGAAGGAGTGAAAAGCCGCAATCGGTGTGTTTTGTTATTAGTGTATTAATGAATGTGGTGAAGGATAAAAAGGCGAATGAATGACAGTGGCCGGATGATTGCCGTGGTCTCCAGAACTGGGGGGTTGCGGAGGGACCGGGATGCACGGGCTGGGATGCAGCACCGTTAAAAGGGGACGTCGATGGAGTGGCTCTGTAGTGCAACCAGCTAAGAATTAGCATTCAAAGAAACAAAGCTTGGATGTCATTGGCGGGCCAAAGTCGGCTGCTTGGAGCCGAGCGGATCAATCCGAGACACATCACAGGTCCCCAGGAGTTTGTCTGCCCTCAAGGGGGTGTATTTGACAAGAGCCCTAGCCCGGCCCCTGCCCACTGCATCTATAGGACGCAGTGAATGGAGGGCGAGGTTCATCGATCACCAGCGATTGGCACGCAGCAAAAGATAGAAGGATAGTGGTACCACCCCTTGAGCCCGAGGTGAACCTGACGTGACGTCGCTCGACAGCTGGACGAGCCAAATTGGGAAGTGCGGGTGGAGTTGTGCCCTTACCGCCACGATTAGTCGACAGGAAATTATGGCGATCCTGCCGAGAAAGCTGAGCGGGAACAGCGAGTTAACGAGTCCCACAAGGCGATGCACCTCTCGAAGTCTGTGAGGGCGAGGACGTGAGTGTCGAGGACTAGACCGATGGCATACGAGTGAAGACCGTCGGCGGAAGACTGTAGAAATTGCGCACACGCAGTCGGTCAGAAACAATGATCATGCTTGTAGGTGTTTTGATGCAGCATCCATCACGAGGGCGAGTGCATGACGCGAGCCATGCCCAAGACCAAGCCCAAGCACATACCTCGACACGTGCACGCTCCTAATCGGACTCGAGGCGTCTAGATGACCTGTTGCATGTAGGCGTCGTGTCCTGGCACCGGCAGTAGACCCTGAAGCAGAGCCCAAGACCAGTGTACAGAGGGAGGTCCACACTGGATTGCGATAGGCCGAGTCAGATTCCTGAACAACGACGAGGCACTCGTCAAAGGGGTGCGTGAAAGCCGGGGGGCTGTCGAGGCAGGCAGATTTTCGTGACGGCAGGGACGCTGCGGAATGCAGAGGCGCACGGAGCTTTGCCGAATTGCGGGCAGGCGCGGGTCGCAGGTGGTGGTGATGATGATTGTGGTTGAAAGGGGGCAGGGCAGGAATCGATTGATGGTTCCAAGGGGGTGGATGGGGCTTACCAAGGAATTCCAGCAGCAAATTACCCAAGAGGCCGCAGCGCGGAGTAAAACACGACTTGGCGAAACCGGAAGAATCGAGCAAGGAGAAAAAAAAAATAAAGAGGCGGATGGTGGTTTAGTCTGGAAGAAGCAGAGGGGACAACTGCACACCGACACGGACGTGTGGATGTAATTGTACTCGACTGGCTTCTCTCGCTCTTCGCAGACTTCGCTCTACTCTCTCTGTCGCGGGGGCGGCGGTGGTTTGTCGAGATGGCCCGGGGACGAATGGATTTCCTCTTGGGACTCCGTTGTGCTCCTTGGGACGAGGACCAGGAGACGACGGCAAGGGGAAATGTCGAGGGAGGAAGGGAACGACTGGAGCGGATGGGGAGGATGGAGTGAGACGGAGAGGAGAGGGGAGGAGCCACAGAACGGGAGTAGGAGGAGGATGCGCAGGTAGAAAAAGGATTGGAAGAGATTGCCTGCTGCAGCTCCAAGACAGGTCGCAGCAGCAGCAGCTGGTGCTGCAGCGGTAGCAGCAGGGCAGTCCCCAGCCCAGCATTACCCAGCAGCACCCGCCCGCAGCACGAGGCAGTGGGCACGGGCAGCCCAGCAGGATCCCCCATCATCCATCATCCTCCATCAGCCTGCAGCCAGCCCGCCAAGGAGCAGCACAGCTGGACACACCGGCAGCCACCTTGCTTGTCGTGCAGGCCCGAAAACAGGAACAATGGGCCGGGGCAGGGCCAGGGCAGGGCCCGCCCGCGCAGGAGCAGGGCTGGCTATGGGCGAATGGCTGGCCGGCCGGGGGCTTGTGTGCTAGCGCGGCACAATGCAAGGACTGGCCCTCCTGTGGGCAGCCTGTCACAGCCCGCCCTCGAGTGCGCGCGCCCGCGCCGGCCCTCGTCGTGCCTGCAGGGGTTCCGCCTGCACCTGCTAAGCACACATATAGGCGAGCTTGTACACAGTGCCACGCCCGCCCTCAGCCAGCCAGCCAGCCAGCCCCGGGTGGGTGCTCAGTCCATCATCAGTCAACCTCCTCCTGCTCCTGCTCCTGCCTCCTCCTCTTCTCTCCAAAGAGACCAGTATCGTCATGTCGGCTGCTGCTGCTCCTCTTTGGTGGTCTCATACCTCCTGCTAGCTCGCATGTCCGGCACGCCAGCGATGCTTATTCTCCAAATCTATGCCCGCCAGCCTGCACCGTGCCAGGCTTTTTGTCTCCTGACGTGCATGAGATCTGCATCTGCTGGGGCAGCCACCATCATTAAAAAAAACACCATAGAAGCACAGTCCTGGTCACAGTGTGTTTGGTGGATCGTTTCAATTTCGCTCGCAGCGACACCTGCGTGGACTCTGCAACCCTGAGCCAGAGGCGGCCTAGTTGGGCGTCGGAAATACATGCAAGACAAGTGCAAAGTACTACTGCTGTTCAGCATCTCGACCCTGCCTGCCTTCTAGAAGAGGCAATGCCAGTCGGCCGCCGCCCTGCAGCTCCCAGAGGCGCGGGCTTCACACCCAGAGACAAACGATTCCACCATCACTCCCACATACTGTCGCGAGCCAAACGATGCCGTGACGCAGTTTCAGGGACTTGGCCCGCTTGCCTTGCGCCGTGGCGGGTGCAAGTATGAGTGTGGGTTGAGACACCACCCACTCAATGCCGTGGAGATTGCCGTTTTGGCACTGTCCAGGCACGGCCCTTGTTCGGTGCTCGTCCTCGATCAATGCTCGTCCTCCTCGTAGCGTCCCAACTCGCCAGCAGCAATCAGCGACGCAGCAAGCGCGACATCTAGACACAGACAACATGGCCCGATCGGGCGGCCCTCCTTGCGCTGCTTGCACCCGCGGCTGCTAAACAACAAACGTGACCTCCCCAGTTCTATTTATTTACCCCGTTTGGCTCTTGTCCTGCTTCTTGTTTGTTTTTTACCCCTTTGGCCAAGGGGCTCAGGTGGCTCAAGGGCGACCGCCGGGCCCCAACAGAATGGCGACATGACAGATCGCCGAGGCAGGTCCCCCGTGGGCCATGGATGGCACGCGCCTCATCTCGAAATAGTCAAGGCACGATGCGTCAGAAGAGCGCGTAAAGTGGTTCTGCATGCTCCAAACATATTTTTTTTTATGTTCCTTCTCCCTCCTTGCAAGTGGCCCCTCTCCTAACTCCCGTGAGACCGGGACACACAGTCTTGGTTCGTGAAACCCCGATGCTACAAATGTCATCAAAGCGGGCGTGGCCTGGACGGAGACTGTGCACCGGCTTGGACCCTCCTGACAGCCCGCACTGGGGCACAGTACAGTCGAACCAAGACAGTGTACGCCCACAACGCGCATGGTTTAGATTCTGCATGTTACCTGCGTGCGTGCCTACTACGCACCGCTACCCAGCCGCGCTTTTTCGTGAGGTCTCGGTGACGGAAAGACGGGGTACGGTATCCAGCCAGAGCCTGGGACGCCTGCCAGAGAATTACTCGCGGAAGCTCCAGTTCGTGCCCCTCACTTGACACGGTTTTTTTCAGGCCAGAGGTTACCTGACGCACGTGCAAACCGGGACTAGCAGCTCCGGATGCGAGACAACGAAAAGGCAAACGATGTCCTCAGACTTCGGGAGCCCGGCGCTGCCCCAGCTGGTCAAGAAGCAGCCTCGTTTGCACCGAGCCATGTCTCTCTCCCAATCCTTCAAGCCGGGTGCCGAAGCGAGCTTACGACGGGTTTAGGCAGGAGGCGCCCTTCGCAGGTAAGATAGGATCTACTTGGCGACGGTGGTGCATTCCGTCAGCCGAAGAGGCCCATCAGAGGAAAGCCTGCTCGATGGCAGTGCTGGAGGCCAGAGTCCGAGCCGTTCCCTGCCTGGCCTGGCCTAGCCTGACGACGTTGATCCTAACAGACGTGCACGGCTCGTAGATCTTATGGGGCACACCGTATCGTCAAGTCCGCACACTAAGTCGCACTCTCCAGGCATGAGAGCCAAGCATCCAAGGTTGGTCCGAACCGACCGGCATTGGGCCGGCGCACCATACCGCATGCCGGCAGCGCCCAATTGGGAGACTTCAGGACGTTACTGAAAGGTTCGATTGCTTCAATTCGGCGACATCTTGAACGTCTTGGCTTCCAAGGTTGTCTCGTGCTTCATGTAGCGTACCTTAAGTAGGCACAGCTGTCTCTCGTGCAGCCAGGCGTCCCGTTTTGGGCAGTGACAATCGGTAGTTCCTTCTTCCCAAGGTTGCCAGCCTGCGCATGTCCATCCCATCTAAGTTGATCCATATCCAATCTCGAGCAAACAAGATTCTGTCAATGCATCATTTTTTTTCTCTCTTATTATTCGCCCCATAGACTCAAGCAGCGCCAAAGACAATCTGCATTTCTGAACCTCCGCGCAATGGCCAATCTCCAGCTTGGACAACATCCCAGCGTTCACGACGTTGGCACCAAGTCAGAGCCTAGCAACCTCGAAAATGTAGCCTGTCGACAAAGTCCCTGCCCATTTGGCCTCCACCAGGATGGTGGGTTGAGGGCCACAGGACTCCGTGCCACCATGGCGTATTACGGTACCAAATCCAGCAAGACATAGGCCCAGAAGCGCCGTTCGGCGGCAGGTTGGGGCATGCCCACACCACACGGCCAGGGGGCGGAGGCGGCGGCGGAGGAGCTACGATAGCGTTGCCTCAAACCCAGGTCAGGAGATTAACAGGCCGAGTCGGGCTAAGTGGCCTAGCTCTGTCGCGTGGATGTCGTGCCCAGGGCCTCCCGTCATCGAATCCGTACCCAATCAGCCTTCTGCAACGCGACCCGACACGTCTCGCCAGATCCAATCAATCAATGGTGCCAAGCGTGTAATCATCGTCATCCTCAGCGGACCGCCTTCAGCAGCCCTTCCGACAGACCTGCCCGGTCTGCACTGGCCTGCCTCCGCCGCAACTTTCCAGTGCCACTATCTCACCAACGACGCCGCCCACTCTCATGGTGGTGCCTCGGTCGCGGGGTAAGGACATGCTGGGCTGAATGGCCGCGCGCCGTCGTCAAAACCGTCACGGCCATCTCCGGTACGGACGGCCCATCTGCGCCAGCCCGCTACACAAGAACCGGCTCATTGGCCTCAGCGTGCGACCAACAGTCTCGCCATGCTGCAGTTCCCCTCACACCACAACTGGCCGGGTCTCGCGTGGCCACTCCATGAATGATAGGACCTTGTCCCCCAGACATGGAACAAGATCATTGTGGAGCATAATCGTCAAGTCAGGACACACAAGTACCAGTCTGCCAGATGGAGCGCTTCATCTGTCGTGTCCCTAACACACAGCAGCTCGTGCTGGTTGATACTCACGTATTCAACCATATCTAGATTTGTGTGCATCTTGTGACGCAGACCATGCAGTCATTCAGCCCATGCCCTCTGTATATTCGCCAGCAGTGCTTGAGTCGGTACTGGCACAAGTCTTGTCACTGAATCATCGTCCACAGCCAAGAAAAAGCACTATACAAAAGCAAAGAGCCAACAGCTAAATCAGCATTCTCGCCCACATTTGGATGCCATCTCCGGAACTTCCCCTGTCTGCCTTATCTCGATTTTCCTGGTCGTTGGTCCTCGACAATCCACAAGGGTTTTCTTGTTGGCTGCATCCAAAATCAGCATCAACGTCCCACAAGCTCAAATCCCTTCCGGGCGGAGCGAAACCCATAGCCCTTGACCTGGGCCGGAGGTCCATCAATCTGGGGTCTCGCAGGGTCCATGAGCGCCATGCCATACGATGAACTACTGACAGAGTTCCTGCTACTGAGTTTCTTCACGTTGTTGGTGGCTAGAGGCGGCACGCCCAAAGACTTGCGCTTACCCATAGAGGACAATGGAGTGCACTGGAGTTGAACCCCTGGTCCCCTAGCGTATCAAAAGGCGACCGGTGGCCGCTGATCAGCTCGCATTTTCTGGCCTCACATGCAAGCATCCGTCCAATCATGCATCGACAACAGTCACCAAGCATAACGTCCTGCGACGCTCCATGGCCATTTCTAGATGCGAGGTCTGCTATTGTATATCGTGCAACCACCTGCCTCAAGTCATACAAGCACATAACTCGATTCACTCAGCACTTTGAAGAGCGACTGACGTGGGCAAAAGGCCTTGTGGCCAGAGACATCCCCGATGCCGGTTCGCAAAGCGCCACCAATCTTCGGGCCCCGATATGCACGATAGCTACGTGGCAATCTGGCAACCACAAAGTGCCGAAGGTTTGCCAGCTGAAGTGATAGTGCCACCCATGGACTGAATGAATTGAGGAAGATCCCTGCAAGCTGCGACGTTGGCGTGCTGCAAAAACAGGCCCCAATCAGGAAAACACGCTTGATCACGACATCCACGCGATGCTGCGTGAACGCCATGGCATTTTGACGTTTCTCTACGGAGCCATGCCGCACCGGTGCCGTCAACCCAACGATTGGCCGGCGCATCGCCTCGACGCGAGCGGAGCACAGAGAGGGTACAACAGCTGCGCGCTGCGTATCAAGATCGCGATTTGTGTAACAGCTAGATTCGTCCAGTCAGCGACCGTAGCGAGATCTGAGCTAGCGAGATCCAAATCTCCATCTCAACCATGGGCAAAGCCTTGACTTCCCGGTTTTTGTTGCACAATCCCATGTATCCTGCATCTTCCCCACACACATCACCGTCGCCTGCGGCAGAGAATGACCTGAACAGTGATCGTGCGGTCCTGTATTTCGCGCGCACCCTGCAAATCATGTTCAATCACTTCTGATAAGTCGAGATGTGCGAAAGTGACGACCGGTTTGCGCAAGGCACAAGATCTGCGGTGGACTAGCTTCGATCGTGGAGCCGTGGAGCTCGGTCAAACACCCGACGTCGTCCATTGGGAACAACAGACGCAGACATTGTCTGTTGATCTCGAACACTTGTGCGGATTGGCTCAACCCGTCAGGCGGCTGCGACTCCCATTCATTTGTGTCAGCACACATTGTTAACGGCGTGCTGGAGCGAGAGCTCGAGTGGACTCGCTGCAGGCATGCGACAATGTGAAGCCCGTTTTGTCCTCGGCTTTCATACGTGGCAGAAGGGGCAATAGCTGACCCCTGCCTGATACGGGTCAACGTTGGCCATCACGGACCTCATTGACGGGGCCTGTGAAGACTTGGTTCCGAGCACCGGCTGACTGGAAGTGCGGGGAAGTTGGTCTGCAAAACCGTCGAACGAACGAGCGAGCGAGCGACGACTGCCCACGATGACGTGTTGAACAGCACTAGAGTGCCCAGGTGGAGTTGGGAAGCTATTGCTTCCGAGCCTCGACTTTTTGTTGCAGGCAGGGCATCGTCCATGAACCACGATGCTAAGCCGGCCAATCGCGTGCTCAGAGAGGCTGGTTCCTTGCTGCCCCTGGCTGACAGCCCCACGAGCAGATCCACACCGGGCCCATAAATTACCCTGCTTGCCATTCCGCGGGGAGAGATGATGTCGATGCAGATCAATTATCGCGATCTCGAATCCCCCATGCGTCGTGCAGGCTCTGCGCGATGCGCTTTCATCGGCCGGGCCTCCTTCGACGGCCTTCCGGAGCCACAGCTGCCGGATCTTGGCCCCTGACCTGAGTGGAGGTAGCGCTCATACGACGGCGGCGTCGCTTGCAACAGGTTTTGATGCCTCCGCGTACAGCGGTTTCGGTTCCGGCACGGCCAAAGCGCCGCGCCCGGCTTCGCAAGCCCGCACCTGGTGTCAAAGTTGCGTGATTGCCGTGGCCTGTCATCCGCACAGCTTCACCGCACCACAGAAAGTCCGATACAGAGCTCAGATATATTGTTACAATCTGGTGTGTTGGCAACCCTTGCTTGCAAAGCAGGATCACATGTCCGTCCCAGGGTTCCTTGAAGTAAAGCTAACTGCAGCGACTATTCTATGGAAAGCAGAAAAGCCGCATGCCACCAACAAGTTGTCAAGAGAGCCACGGACCTGCAATGATGGCATGTATGCAAGTTGGGCACCAACTGGAGCATAGAAACCAGTACCTGCATCAGAACCAGAGACTGATGCTATGGGTTCCTCTGAATCTGAATCTGTGGTTGGCTTCCTAACTCGATTTCTATCGCCGTCCTCCCGGATCGACGCATGCGAGACGCACGCGGAGCAGGGTCACTCTGATGGACTGCGGGACCCTTCTTGCTCGACCTGGATTAGGCATGGTGCATCTTACATGGGTGGGAGGGAGTTCCAAGGTTGGCGCCATTGCTGCTCGGCCGCCACGGATCTCCAGGAGGCTTGGTTGGTGCAGGAACAAAAAGTCCCCACAGACGAGCTCCTGAGGGAGGGAAGGTGGCATGGAATGGCACGCGTTGTTTCCTGTCACAAGCAGGAAAGTGACTGCCCAGACCCCCAGCCTTCGCGAATATTTCACTGACATGCGGAGGGCGGACGCGTTGAGATCTTGTTTTGCCAGCACGCACCTCCTGGTCGCCGAGCAAGAGTCGCATCAAGACTGCCACGGTCCCTGTCAAGCTCCAATACACCACCGCAATGCAGATTGGACGTGCGATCATGGCGGATCAGGGCGATCTAGGCATGCCTCGTCGGCGACCCCCCCTTGTTGGCCGACCTGGATCTCGGGAGTGAGGCTCTACGCATGGGAATTCAATTTACACGAGATTGGACCGAAAATAACTTCGACGACGCGCCGCACGCGTCCCAGACGGTCAGAGCGCGCGTGTGCACTGCTGGGTGGAGCTCTATCATCTCATTTCGAGCATCCTGAGGTCTTCCTTGCGAGCCTGCCTGCCTTCACCTAAGCTAGCCCTGCCTTAGCTCCCGCGCTGGTCACAACCTACTGGCTTCAGCGTCACAGGTGCAAGTGGCTCATCGCCGATTTCAACATCTTGGGCGGAGGCTGGAGTGCTCTCTCTTGCGCACCACTTAATTTCTGTCAATGCGGTTGGCACTCTCATGTGACCGTGGCCAACCTCGACTGCACGGCTCGCAGGCTCTTGAGCATGAATAGTACCGGCTAACACCTCAGCCAGGCGTGCTGAGACGACGATCATGCGGTGAGGACAGAGCTCGGGCCCAGTCCACGCCAGCCGCCCCTTGGCCATCTAATTGCTCGTATATTGATTGGTCTCCCCTTTGTCAAATAGCGCTCTGAAGTGCGGCCCTCTGTCTGTCTCGACAAGTTCAGGCCAACCTCTACTATTGTCTAGATCCCAGCCTCAGGGTTACGAGTGACGAGATCCCTTCGATGCACGAATAGCATTGCCTGCAAATGTGTCCAGAAAAAGGGGGGCCCTCTCGACCCGCCACTCTGGCTGTTCATCTCATCTTGCTGCAAGCCGCGCGGACAAAAGAAAGAAGACTACCTCGTTGCCCGCGATGCATCTGTCTGCGTGAGCATGTCTGAGATGCAAACATTTCTTATGACCCAGGACACGCAACATGTTCGCAGGGTCGCGCAGTCTGTATACGGTGCGAGGCGACTGTACATGCGCACTTTGTCGCATGCTAATTACAACTGGGAAATCACACAGGTGCGGCGTAAGCGCCCATGTTGGGACCTGGCCTGAGCAGGACCACGCACTGTCTACAATTAAGTACACGCGAGTGGCCTCGCCGATCTGCGCGCACTTGGCGTCATGTCTGTCTCTCCACCTCGCATCATTAGCGCTCGATCAATACCGAGAGTGTGCATTTCAGACGGCCGTTGCCGTGGACGATGGCTTTTCTTTGATTAAGACAAAAGTTGCGCGCGCAACATGCTGTGGCGGCTGGGGGAAGAAACCGAGACAAGCAGCAAGACGGAAGATTCCACGCATGCCATGCGTGTGGAAAGAAGAAGAAGAAGAAGAAGGAGAAGAAGAAGAAAAAGAAGCAATCTGCATGTCTGGCGCTCTGGCTGTGTCTGTCTGACCTTGCCGATGTGTGCCTGGCGACTGGTGGTTGGGTACGCCGCCACACAGGGGGAGCGGGCGTTGTGGCGGAACACCGGAACTACAGGCCTGGTCTTTGGGGGGCAGACTTTTGAGCTGTTTTTGCAAATGTTTGACTTTTGTCGAGGCGCCGCCGCCCAGTGCCAGATCAACAGTGGGCTGCGTCAGTCTCTTTGTGTATGTCTCGTGGTGGTGTTGCATACTAGTAGATGATACCCGGGCGGCGGGCGCGTGGCGGCCGGGTCTCGCGGGTCAGTACTCCGTAATAATCCCCCCACCGGCCGCGTGCAGAGGAATCGCATGGTGTTTCGCGCGTTGTGTGTGTGTATATAAATGTCTTGCAGCAGGGCACGGGGATGATGGAACGGGTCTATTTCTTCTGCTAACGGGTGGCTGTTGTTGTTGTTGTTGTTGTTGTTGTTTTATATTTTTGGCTGGAAGCTTGCCCTGAGTATTCACCTGGTTGGGTTGGGTTTCGGTAGCCTACTACTTCCGGCTGGTCTAGCAAGCAACCCGAGAAATTGTCCTGAATCAATCTGACGCAGCAAAATTGGCGGTATCAAGTGGCCTAGCCTGCCTGCACGCATGCTAACCTCTCACGTCATACGTATACAGTGCTCCAACGACCCGGCGACGGACAGTATTGGTGCAGGCAGGTTCATCTTCAGAAAATGAATGGCAGAGACAAAACAGGTTGATGATGTTGCTGGCCATCTCATTTTCTGTGCTGTCCTGCCCGTGGTGCTGTTTCATAGTTGCAGGCTGCTAGTTCATGTATCATGTCAGGAACCAGGAACCAGAAACCAGAGAGCGGTGACCAGGAAGGCCAAAAAAACAAGAAGAAAAAAACAAGAGCACATTGGCAATATTATTCACAGTAGGTCCACGGTCAGTGGTCTCTTCAACCTGGCTGCTACCCGTCAGACCAGCAAGGACAAGCTCTGCTGATGTCCAAGGGGGGGACTGACTCCTTCTCGGAAAGGTACAAGTCCGCGGATGACATGAGGCTGCCGGTCTGAGCATGCGCTCTCTACGTAGAAAGTTGCAGTGAGTTCCAAGTCCCAATCGACAAGAAGCGAGCTGCAGCTGTGTTGGACCGTCCCAGGATCTCTCCACCAAGGAACGGGGTTGTGTCGTGGAGGCGCGCTCCGCTCCCCTCAGCTTCGGCTTCGGTCTTGGTAAACTTCCAACACCCAGAAGCATTTACGCCAAACAGACAGTCTCCAGTGCGCTGAAAGGAGTTCTGCCTCGCCAATCAGCCCTCCTCCCTCCTCATGAACAGCATGCAGGCACTGACAGCTTCAATTCCAGAGACAATCAAAGCTTTACTCGGCGCGGCCAGCAGCAGCGGCGGGTACACTTCCCTGCCCTTCTTCACCTACCCGGGCCTCCGCAAAAGGACCCCTGTCCCATTTCGAGAACGAGAATGCGACAAACCCGAGCAGGCCCGTCTGTACCTGACTGACGTAAGCACAGGAGGAGGCGACTGGTGGCCATTCAGTGCATTACGGAATAGGACTTTCACTTCCTCAGTCATACGCTTCAGCCAACCAGTCATTGAGTCGCGCTTCCATGGGCGCGAGTGGTCGCTTACATGAGACTTACGAACCCGGCTACCGTCGCTTTGCAGCCAATCGTGGACGAACCAGGAGCGACTGTTCCCGGATCGTCAGAGTATGATGCCTTGAATCTCGAGCACTGCACTCTTTACACCAGCATTTTCGTGGTCGAAGAATTCATGGTTGGTAACTTGTCGCCATCACCTCCTTGGCAGCTGGTCCCATCACTCGGCGAAACCGGCTGCTTTCGGTGTTTGACTCGCATATCAAGTTGGGCTTGCCGCTGACACCTTTCTCCGGCACCGCTCATCATAGCCATTCCTGTAGAGCACGGTTCTGTGTGTGAAACGGACGAGCCCGTTACTGGAGGCGGCTATGTGGATGGATGCTCGGGGCCGGCTGCATATAATATTGGAAACCCCTGCCCTCCTGCCTATTCTGCCCCCAAACCCGTGCTTGTGCCCTTGTCGTCATGTTCTCCTTTTGGCTGCCAGGTTATGGGTCATGATTGCATTCAGCTTACACCGCAAAGTTTCCGCGCAGATCGTCGAGAATTTGACAGGCTTCCAGGGCCTCGAGTCTGACTCCACGGACCTCATTGCAATGAACAAAGGCGGGTGAGACCAAGCAGGCATCGCCGCGGACCCGATTCGTCCTTGACGGCGCAAGAGGACAGCTCTGCTACAAATCGTAAGTTACAGTGCAAGTTCTGTGTCTTCGGCCAGGCAACACACAACTGGGCCCTCTCCTGCTGAATCCCGGTGCGCTTTGACAATCGGTGGGCGGCGCGGCGGGTCCATCCTCTGGGGTCTGCGCAGAGTCATGGAGTCGTACGCGTTTGCCGCTCACTCTGCGAAAGAGGCACGTTGTAGTGTCATCAGTGCATGCTTAGACACGGAACGGCGAGGCATCTGCTGAAAGAGGACTAGCTCACCTGCTCATCGGGTTCTGCTACCTCCAACGGCACCGAGTTTCACTTTTTTTCGGCGGTGCGCATCTGTCTGGCTCAAAGTTTGTTGAAGAACCAGGGGCCGGAAAGCAGTGAATAACTATGGGGGAGCCCCTTGCCCGAAACCTGACACCGATATTACCACGGCAGACCAGGCCAGTTCCCCGGTGAACGACGCACAGTCGCATCGTGCTTTTATTGCATGGTGCGACTTTCGGGATCATTGAGAGCCCGCGAATTGTCGGCATGGCTCAGGACAAGCGGAGGCTCTAGCTTGGTCTTCCAGTCGACCCAACAACACAAGGGAGGAAATGGAGACGAGGCACACCTCAAGCAGTCGCGCCGTGTGGTTCTGCATGCGGGTCAAGAACACTAACTACCTATGGTTTTCTCGGTAGGGCGCGACAAGACTGGTGTGCCCCAGCCTCCCGCCGCCATGCGAGGACTAGGGTCCTTGTCGAGCTGATGGGCAGCAGTAGGCAATAAGCGTCGAGAGCAGGCCTGATTACGACATGACTTGCAGTAGCCGAATCAAGCTGGGTGGTAGGCGTGTGCCAATGAGGGCGCTGCATGGGAGCGTGGCGATGGAGAAGTGTGACAGACCGGGGTGCTTGCTGGCCGGCGAGGCTGGGGAGGGCGCGCGGTGGCGGTCGAGTCGAGGTCGAGGAGGGCCACGGCCGAGGTCCAAGATGACATGGACGGCTGGATGCGGATGCGGGATGGGGTTAGCGTGTTGGTTGTTGGCTGTTGGCGTTTTGTTGACCTCACAATGACTTGCAGACACGCTGGAGGGAGGGCCGCGTTTGAGGCTTGGTGGTGTGGCCGTGGATGGCTGCGCGCCTGGCAGGGGCGGCAGGCACGCGGTTTCCTAGATCCGTGGCGCGTGCTCGTGCCTGGCGCTGCCAAACACGCTCCATCACCAACCTGCACCGCACTATTCTTCGACTGCTGCATCGCCCAGGATCCTGCCTTGCCTCGCCTGCCACTCCCCGCGCCACACGTCGCCGAGGGCCTCGCCCGTCTCGTCAGTCTCGCGCGCTACTCGCGTCCACTAGCAGGGATGCCGGCACACCAGCCTCCATGACCAGAGCGTTGCGTGTCAGCAACCTCGTAACCAGACGACGCTAGCTGGTGACAGGCCATCATCCAGCTGAGCCGTAGGCCCCGGAGCACACAAGCACAGCGTACGTAGTCCTCCGCCAACACGTTCGTGTTTGCACTCATGTTTGCTCAATTGACGTAGCAAGCCCGTCGTCGTGGGCGTCCAGGCAGGGACACAGGCGGCCGCCCAAGCTCACTCACTGCCCCATGATGATTGATGATGCTGGGTAACGTCAACAGGAGCGAGTCCTTCCGTCGCCCCACGCCGGTGCCGGCCCGCCGACGGCTCCGCCCCGGAGCGGGCCCCGGAGCTCGCGGACCTTGGTTAATCAATTAGCGTAAGTACGTATCTTTGTGCAACTTTCACATATATGCTCTCGTGCTTCACAAGCATGACGGCATGGTGCCATTATTGACGTCGCCGCAGTCCACCCGGCTCAATGCTGTCATCCCACCGCCTCACCGACTATTGCAGGCAGACATTCCCAGGCTGTGGCTTTTGCCGCACGGCAGCGGAGCTTCGGAGCATGTGATGGAGGACCCTCGATGGCCCGCTTCGCCGCGAGAATTTTTCCTTCAACAAAACCGACACGGCTCATGCTCCACGCCGCGCCGCGAACGCGGTCAGACTCGTCCCGGCAAGCCCCCATGATGCCTCCATTAGTGCCCCTCTTCGGCACACGTCGGGCCACGCAAAGGATCGGGCCCGGGAAGAAGCCAAAGAAGCAACCAGTGAGCCCTGGTGCTCTGTGGATCTGAGCAACCCCAGATGGACCCTGAACTGCAAAGAAAAGTCTGCTCAACCCTGGCAACGGCGAGGGGTGAGTGCCTCCCAGCCTCGACCTTGCATGACGACGGAGGCATTTACGTCACAGCCCGGCCCAACCCGCCCTCCAGGGCCTTCTAGCGTCCCAGCGACGAGGAGCGCGGCTCCATTATTGCCCGTACTGTGATGTCCACTCTGTCCACTCGCGCCTGCCGGCCACGTGCTTTGGCGCCGCACACTATGTACAACAGTGCCAACTTCCTCGGCGAGCTTCTCTCCGTGCGACCAAGCATCGTGTGTTCCAGACCCGTCCTGCAATAGTGCTTGCATAATGATGCTGCAACTCTATTCAGGGCCCCCTGTTGCGAGCACATATTGCGGGCCGTTGACCTGCCGTTGCGTGCGGAGATCAAGCCAGAGCGGAGGAAGAAAAAAAAATATCATCCATAAAATGCTCGGTCGTACCCGACCACGACAAAAACCACACGACAAAAAGCGGCGCCCGCTGGCTACTTGGAAGCCCAGGCGTGTGCATTCTCCTCCTCCCTGCGCCAACACCCCCCTCCCCAACCCCCATATCCCGCGTGCCATTGTGGATTGCGAGAACTTCTTTTTGTCATTGTCGCGAAACAGGCACGTATTGATTGGGAGTTCCGCGGTCTCGTCAGAAAACCACTTTACGCGTCTTGACCGACTCCGACATGCAAAAGCTTTGCTGTTCCAGTATAATCCTCCCCAAACGCGGCAAGGATGCCGTCTTTCCCCCCGGCCCGCACGGAAAAGACGGGACAGAGATTTTGAAGAGACTTTGGTGGCCGCTTATGACAAAAATTTCCTTTCATTGGGCTCTCCCACCGCCCGACCGGAATGTTTGCCTGGATGAGGAGGCGGCAGCGGCGGCGGTCAACGTCGCCTTGCCAACAAAGGAGCCTTTTTCTTTTTCTCTCTTTCTTGGAGCCTTTTGAAGAGGAACCAGACCGCGTCCATGCAGAAGGGGGGAAACTCCCCGGGGGACAAAGAGAAAACTTTTCTCTGCAATGCGGAGCACATGCCAGGTGGTCTAGAGGTGTGTGTCTGTCCATGTGGGAATTCGGAGGCTTTTCACCACGGGGTTGGTGACAGCTTGCTCTCTCTCTCTGTCTCTGTCTGCTGGCTGCTCCTCTCCTGTTTCAGCAGGGTAGTTACTCCGTCATCTCTTGAAACTAGAGCCACTTGAGCAGGGTCCAAGTGCGTTGCTAAGACGCCCCAGGCACAGCAGGCAGAGCAGGTAGATTTGGGGGCCTTGTCAGTATCTCATCATCTTTCCCGCCGGGGGGTTTCACTGTGTCGCTCCGGCCTGTGGCTTCTTCTTGGGGTGGTAGAGGTGGTGGTGGTGATGGTGATGTCGTTTTCCCCTTTTCAAGCCCAGACTTGCTCGTGATCCTAATATTTTCCCCCAGGCGTGAAGGAGACCGTCATGCTGGTGCCTGGCTTCTGTCGTGACGTGACCTGGTGCGAGGCGAGGCGAAGCGATGTGAAGTGGTGTGAAGCATGTGTGATCCCGTAGCTCGTCGGCTGCACCGGGAAGCGGGAGGGAGGGAGGGAGGCGTGAAAAGGGCGTGGTATATTTTGGTGTTCTCACCTGCCCATCAGCATGCTCATCTCTTCTGCATGATCTCGTGTCGTGCAGTCGTGGTGGTGGTGGTAGTGGTGGTGTGTATGTGTCATCGTCGTTGTCGTCGTCACTCCTTCGAGAGCAAGGAAAAGGCTGGCACAAACACCGATGACAAGTTGACGATATCAGATAGAGCAGCGATGAGTGCAAACATCATACAACAGGGAGGAGGAAGGGTCTGAATTCACATGCCAAGCTAAGGATGCATATGTCGATACATTGCAAGCTCAACAGTGGTCCAATAACACGCTCGGGAACACAAACCGTGTTGCTGGCACCGGTACCTGAAACTGGAGCAAGCACATTTCCTCGTTGTGGTAACGAATTCAAGGTATCAATCACGCTGTACATACGATGGAGGCAAATGTTGGATATCCTAAAGAAGATGATTGGTTTGACCACTGCATTACAAAACGAGTCATAACGCCTACATGACACCATACAATCCAGGCTCCCCTGCGCTTACCAACAATCCATTAGGAGATTGTCTCGGTGGCAGCCTTGATACAATCGTTGATGATGTCGGCCCACTTCATCGTGTTGACAAAGTCTTTGTTGTCAATGCTCTCGTCGAGTCCAGGGAAGACAGCTAGCAGTGTGTTATAAACGTCAGCTTCGTCCTTCCAATTTACTGGTCGGCCTCAAGGAAATATATATTTATGGATAGGCAAAGCACGATGGGTGAAAACTTACCGCCAGCATAACCTGTCCAGATTCCCGGAGCGAAGACAACATGCTTGAACCACGGACGACCATCCAAGCCTTCCTTGTACAAGAACGCACGCTCTATGTTTTTGTATTTGTTGTTGGTGGCGCGAATGGCTCGAGCGAGCCGGATCTTCGAAATGATCTTCCACCACGGGATGTGCTCATTGGCCTCCTCTGCAAGCTTGGCGGACTGAGCGTCAAGGCTGATGGCTGCATGCCTGAACTTTGTAATGGACTTTTGCAGCTTGGCCAGCTCAACCTTGATCATGTCTGGGTCTCCTGTCGACTCTGGCCTGGTTAGGCGAGACCTAAACTCGAATATCTCGACGTCGGTGCTGAGAGTCGTCGTGTGCTTCGTGTCTACCTTCTTCTCAACCTTCTCGACGTACTGCTTGAGTGCTGTCGCATAATCCGTCGCGTTCAGAGTGAGCAGCGGGGTCTCGGACATCTTCGCGATCGTGAGACCGAGGATCTGCGCCATGGCCTTGTGGTAGACAAAGCCGCGGTCGCCATATTCAGTCATCCAGTGGTAGCTGTCATAGTTGGAGTGGTAATGGTATACCGGCGAATTTGGTGCTTGCCCCTCGAAGCCAAAGCTGATGCACGGGATACCGGCGTGGTCCTGGAAGGCCGTGAAGTCACTGCCGCTGCCCATTGTGCTGATACGGCCGTCCCAGAGATCGCGGACGGTCTGGCCTGCGACGGTCTGGTTGGGAGAGGGGACACGGGCAGTGACATCGTAAATGAGCTTGTGCAGAAGGGGCGCTGCAGAAGCACCAAATACAGGGGTGACAGCTCCCACGTCGACATTGATATACGCCACGTTGGCATCCTTGAGCCATGGAAGATATTCCTCCACCCATTCTGTGCTTCCAACCAATCCGTACTCCTCACCGTCCCAACTGGCGAAGACGATGGTTCTGAGAGGCTTCCAGCCTTGACTCAGAGCCTCGCCGAAGCTCCGAATAGCCTCATTGATGACGGCGGAACCACTGTTCGGATCGCCAGCGCCGCCAGCAATCCAGGCGTCGCGATGGTTACCGACGACAACAACCTCGTCCGGAATTGTACCGTTAATGATGCCAATCACGTCCCACATAGGCGTCGTAATATACTCCTGCTCGTTGACGAGGTTGATGACGACATCGTCCGGAGAAGGTCCGACGTTGTACTTGACACCTTTGTGGCCAAGACCAATGCCTCTCTCCCAGTATTGACCGAGATCCTTGGCGGAGGGGCCGTGACCGTTGAGCGCCTTGAGGATCGGAATTGCCTCTGCGTAAGACAACGGCAGCGAAGGAATGCTGGGGATTGCTCCATCGACAGGCTGGCGAGGAACACCAGGCTTGGAAGGATAACCAGGCGTGGTCGGGTCACCTGGTGCTACACTGAGGAACTGTACACTGCCGCGCTGGACGCTGCTAGGATTCCTGGCCGGTCCATCGGGGTATGCTTTGTATCCATTGACCTCGGTCATCTCACCGTCGTCGCCGGGGTCCGAGTAGATGACGCAGCCGACCATGCCCAGCTCCTGCGCCCTCTTAACCTTGAGGCCCCTGAAGATGCCACCGTAGCGCGCGACCGCAATCTTGCCGGTGAGGCTGATGTTGGCGCGGATGAGATCCTCAAAATCCCAGTAGGTGCCGTAGTTGACATAGACGAACGAGCCCGTGACATTGCCACTGGCAGAGTATCCATGAAACGTCGGGATGCTATCCTTGAGACCGCTTGTGGGATCCTCTTCGAGCACATCCTCCTTGAGGGTAGCCTCGAAAGCCACACGCCAGGATTGGGTGCCGTCGCCGTTCTTCGTGCCTGACTTGTTGAGGAGCGCGAGCCGATGGCTGAGAGGATAGTTGATGTATGTGTCATACGCCACAATGGTCGAGGCGACTCCCCACTCATTCCAGCGGTCCCGGGTCCATTCGGCCTGCGAAAGGTTCTTGCCTGCCAGATGCGGGCCCGAGGTGTAGTACTTGCTCCATTCCGAGGCTTTCTCGCCGCTTGGCGTATCAAGCAGCAGACGTTCGAGCTCGTCGTACGTGATGCTGTTTGTGTGAGCCGCCACGTAGTCGTGGCCTCGCCCGTGTCTTCCAGGCCACTCGTGGCGCCGCTCGTATGGATTGGTGACAACGGTGATGAAGAAGGTGAGGAAGAGGGCGAGCAGGGAGGCATTGATGGCAATTGAGCAGAAGCGGCGGAGTGTCTGGTGTGGATAGCGACGGATGGGGCGGCGAACCATGACGGTTGTGAGCAGCGGCGTTGACTCGCCCGCGACGTTGGTGGGATACCCGCCGTTGTAATCATGGTGATGGTGGTGATGACCGGCACCTGCTCCGTGATCATGATGACCGGCGCCGGCATCCCCGGCCGGGCCATGGCCTCCGTCCTTCATTGTCAGTATGGGTGGCCAGAGCTTTCGTGGAACAACAAGGACAGCTCCCGAGGTCAAGCTTGCAGTCCAAGCTAAGGCGGCAGTGGCGTGCTTGGCGGCAGTGCAGCCAGAACCGTGCAGGCCGTCCTTTGGAGCAGATGATGCGTCAACTCGCGAGGCCTGGAAACTCTCCTCGCGACAAACAAGTCGTGACGCCTGGTTGACTCGAAAGGTGCTTCCTGAGCTGTTTTGGTTTTCTGGCAGACATTCGAGGGGGCAGCAAAGGGCAGCAAGTAAGTATTCCTCCATAAGCTGAGGCAGCTATCAGGACGAGGTGGAGCAGGCCGGGGACCAGCGTCGTCACGTCATGGGCCAAGCCCAATCCAGCAGGTGCGGCCACTCTCGTAGCTTCCGTCCAGACTTTCCAGGTCCGTCTCAGCCTTCTTGACGATTCATTGTTGTCTATCAGATGGAAGAATGGACACACGATTGCTTCCATCTCGTCTCTTTTTTCTCTCCCGTGTGCCGAAGAACGCAACGGCTGACCTGCACGCCAGTCGGCAGCGCACCGAATGCACTGCTCACCGTACCCACCGACTGGGCTTATCTCTCGAGGCATCCACCACAGACGTCGGAGCTGGCCGCGCCGCCCCAGAAAGCTGCGTGTGCACCCGCTTCACCTTAGAGCAGCTCGACCTATGCCAGCGGGTGCGGGGAAATCGACCTCTCTCTGCAGACATCTCGATGCCCCCGTTCTTGGTGATGCCCTCCCCTACAACTCAGCCCGCCTGCTGATGCGGACGGCGCGAGGCCGTTGTGGTGTTCCGTTCCCCTGTGCCTGCCCATGGCCGCCAGCCTCCTGCGGAGCGTGCTGTACACCACCAACCACCGCCCCCCAGCACCCAACACGGAGCTCGTGACCACTCTCCCGCGCGCTTGCGCCGTGCTTGGTCACTTCTGCTCCGAACGCGGAGCAACGCGTCCCCAGCTACTTACTACCTTACCGTCCAACGTCAACTTGTCCAGCCAGTCTCGCAGCCGGCCGACTACCGGAGCACAGCATCAGCACCGCCTCGCGCGAGCGTCATGGACCGGTCGAGTCACCGCCTCTGCCTCTGCCTCTCCTGCCATTGTTCCCCAGGCGCCAGACGGGGTGTTCGTGAGGCTGCAGGCTGGAGGAATTTATGCAGCCGAATCCACAGCGGGAGCCGATGGGGCAGGCGTGCTGCAGGCGCACACAACGGATTGGATGGCATCATAGCAAGGGCCCTTCCAAAGTGGGCGCCGCCGACGCCGATGTGGGGTCGGTCACCCGCCGCGGTGCCGGCCTGCTCTTTTCTTGCCCGGGGGTGGCCACGACTGCCGTCGGCTTACTCTCTCCTCTTTCTTCATTCATGCCTGATCCAAGTTGCTCTCTTTCTCTCCCTCTGCATTTACAAGTCGAGAGCCGACCTCTTTGGACATTCTCCTTACCTTCTGTCCTCATCGACACAGCACGAGGCTTTACTTGCTTTCGGAGGACACTCAGACGTCCCTTTAGACAGACGATCTCGGTCCCACCTCAAAATTTTTGCATAAACAAACTTGAGCATTCAAATCTTCTGTGCTACACTGGGACTCATGACAAATCTCGAGCGGCCACAAATGCACACGGTATCCTTCGGGCGATTTGAAAATTGTTCCTCGTAGTTTCCTCAACCTCCAGCCATGCGGCCGCACAACGGACCAAAGTTGCCTGCGAAGCAGCTGGCCATCTTGGGTACGTCCTCTTCGCCTTTCGTCACTCCAAGATCCACTACAAGCCCCTATCCCGTATCCATAGCGCCACGTGCTTCCGCATAGGGCTGTTCGTTATCCATGATCATTCTGTGACTGCCAATATATATCCAAACAAGTCTCCTCTCGAGCAAACGCAGCTATACCAGAAAGTCAAGGAAGTCAAAATGCGCTGACTACAGTGGACCATTGCAGCCGTTGCGAGATTCGCCGAACCACTGGCTATGACCTCGGTGTTTCCATATCTCCCCGAGATGATCGCAAGTTTCGGCGTGGATAAGGACGCAGTTGCGCAATGGGCCGGTATCACGAGTGCTGCCTTTTCCCTGGCACAAAGTGTGACTGCCGTCTGGTGGGGGCGGGCATCTGACCGGTTCGGGAGAAAGCCCGTCATCCTCACAGGTCTCATGTGCACGATGCTGTGTTTCCTGGCATGGGGCCTGTCGACAAGTCTGACAATGGCCATTACCATCCGCGCCATTCTTGGCGCCAGCAATGGCAATGGTACGTCATCGCGGACACAGCATCGAAAGCGAAGGCTCAGCTAACAACTTGACCAACCATAGTTGGCATCATCAGAACAGTAGTGGCCGAGATGGTCCCCGAGAAGGAGCTGCAGCCAACAGCATTCTCCATCATGCCACTTGTGTGGTCGATAGGATCGATATTTGGCCCTGCTTTCGGCGGCTTCTTCGCCAACCCGGCGACTCAGTTTCCCGGCGTGTTTGGAGATTCCCGCTTCTTCAAGGCTTTCCCGTTTGCTCTGCCCAATATGATGGGTTCGGTCATCTTCATGATCTCCATGGCCACGGCCTTCCTCTTCCTCAAAGAGACAGTAGCACACAAGCGCGGCCAGAAGGACTGGGGGCTTGTTCTTGGGGAGAAGCTTGTCGCTTTTCTGACCGGCAAACGACAGCCTAGGCGCAGGTCTGTAGGCAGAGAGGATGAAGAGACTCTTCTCCGAAGCTCAAACGGCCATGCCAACCATGAGGCCCCCTTGCTGTCACGAGTGCAGTCGGCGGACAGGAAAGCTAAGGCGCTGAGGAAGCAGGGCCTGCGCAGCGTATTGTCGCCCCAGACCACTCTCAACCTGGTTTGCTACACGTTTCTTGCTCTGCACTCCGTCGCCTTCGACCAGCTGCTGCCCGTCTTTCTGCACTATCCTGTCGAGAGGCATACATCGGAAAACGTATCCTTGCCATTGGTGTTCAATGGGGGCTTTGGGCTCAAATCAGGTAGCATCGGCACGATCTTCACTGTGTACGGTCTACTATGTGGCCTGATCCAGTTCCTCCTGTATCCCCCCATCGCCACCCGCTTCGGAATCTTGAACTGCTTCAAAACATCACTGGTGATCATGCCAATATCCTACTTTATGCTCCCATACACGGTCCTGATCGAGGACACCAGGACCAAATTCGCTGCCCTCATGGTTATCATGACCTTCAAGGCAGTTGGCGTCATCTTTGCCTTTCCCAGCTCCACAATCCTGCTCACCAACAGCGCGACCAGTCTCGGGATACTCGCCACGCTCAATGGCCTGGCCACGACGTTTTCGGCCCTGGGACGAGCAACCGGTCCCGCAGCGGCAGGTGCAGTGTTCTCCTACGGCGTGCACCGCGGCATCGTCGGCCTGCCGTGGTGGATGCTCGGCACCATTGCGATGATCGGCGCGGTGCCGGCGTGGTGGATCGTCGAGGGCGAGGGACCGACCAACAGCGATACTACATCACGCAACGGGAAGCCGAACAACTCCGCTACCACGAGCCACGCGCTGAGCGACGACCCCAATGACACCGACACCGACGACAGCTATGACACGTTCTACGACACCTCCAGTGACGACGATAACGAAGACAACGCCATGACAGAAAACGAAGTCGCGGCGCGGCGCCAGCGGCGAAGGAGGGCCAGCCTGGCCGCGGCGAGAGCTCAGCCGCGCGAAATCGTCGCGCAGCCCGAGGGCCAGGACGACCAGCCGCTGTTCAGCACGAGTGCGAGGAGCACAGGCAGTGGTGCTCGCCGGCCTGGGTACGGGTCTATTCGCACGGTGATTTGATTCCCACTCTTGATTTGGTTTGATTTAATCTTATAGCTGGAAGATTGGATTGGGGGCCGATAGGACGGACTACTGCTGCGAGGGCATCCGTGGTTGGGCAGGCCTGGGGCAGGCTCGCAGCCAGATGTCTAGGCGAGTCCAGACGACTATTGCGTGAGGCACTCTGGATGTGACCACATCGCCTAGGCTTAGTCGTCATGATTACGAGAGTTCCCAGTAGAGCACACACACACAAGCAAAAGGAATTTAAGAATCATGCTGGTATACAGAGACATCGTCGTTCTGGGAAAGAAGACGACAGCAAGAATGTGAACTATACGGTTTATTTCGGGATTCCCGGGAAGAAACAATATAAACGCCTCGTGATTTAAAATACCGTGCGCGCCAATGCAAAGTACCCCAATACGCCATATCGCCGTGAGAACCAGGAATCATCAAAAGACTTGCTCTCTTTACAAGCCCGTATGGAAACGCATTGCCCAGCGCTTCCTCCTTCGAGGAGAGTGGGGAGAAAGAAAATCACCGACGCGGTGACGACGTCGACCAAGTTCTGGAGAGGCAGACCACCTTTACAAATGGTCAAAGTCTGGCTAGACCCAGATATGGACGAGGGATTGCATCCGTCACCGTATGTCTGTTTATACGAATGAATGTCTTGGGGCACCGAAACTGTCCAGCAGCACAGGTCTTTTTTTGTTCACCCACGACTCAAACATCCCCCCCCCCTTGCCCCCCCATCCCGTAATCAGCATTTCAACAACGAGTTCACGCAATATCCATGCCTTCTGAATCGTCCACATCAGAGGGCAAGGCCTGCGTGCGGTCGCTGCTGACGCTATCCTTGCGCCCATGGCAGCTGTCGTACCGACTCCGGTACCCATCGACGTAGTCTATCTCGTCCCCGCCAATCACGCGCCCTTCCATGTCGATCTCCTGGGACAGCTCGACCAGCGCCGTCCTGGGAAGCCGCAGGAAGTCGGGAGTCCTCACGATGCGGCCCCAGTGCGTCAGGCAGAAGGCGGCGGCCCGCTTGCGGAGCCACTCCTCCTCTGCGAGTCCCGCGCAGTACCAGATGATGCATGCGTGATCGACGTCCAGTTCCTTGAGCAGGCGGTTCAGACACAGCAGCCGGAGGTGCGGGATGTTGTAAATGTTGGACATGACGAGGAGACCTGCCACATCTGACAGCTCGGTCACGCCATCATCGGCGTGGATGCTGTCTGTGTACAGATAGTAGAGGAAAGCCTTGACCACAGTGTAAGGCTCAGGGATATGCATCTTCTTTGTGTGGAACTCGGCCATTTGCGAATTGTACAAGCGGGAGAAATGCGGCCACCTGGCTTGGAGTATCAACTTGTGGACGTGGATGGGCTGAGATGTCCGCGCGTTCGGTTCTAGCCAATTTTGCTCGGACATTTCGCCGGCCCGGATGGTACCAGGACCCATCATATCATTGTCGTCAAAATCCTCGGCTAGTGCTGTGATGATGAAATCCGTACCGCTGTTGGTTTCTGGTGGTTGGTTGAAAAGTGCCGCAAGGTCATTGCCTAATCCCTTGGATGGCACATCTTGTACTCGCATATTTGGTGATGGCCGTGCGTGCTGGGTACGAGGTTCCGGTGGCACATTGTTGCCGAGGAAGCCATATCTGCGGAGATCAATTTCCATGATGTCGCTGAGATATTCCTCTGTAAAGTTGGTCGGCTCCCCTGGAAGATCTGTAGGACAGCCGAGGAGCCAAGCTTTGGTGCCGTCGTCATTTAGTGTACAGTAGTGCCACCTAAATCCTGGCTTGAACACGTCGCGACCCTCGGCAAGCCTTTGCCACCGCAATGTGACCAAATCAAGTGCCGATAGAGAGCACTCCTTGTGCGAAATCGTGGCCGCTGGTGTGACAAAGTCCAGGAGCGTGCCGGAAGAATAGATATGGAAGTGTATGCCAGAACCTTGGGATGGCACATTATTGCCAGAAAGGAACTTCAGGCTGGAAATGGCGCCTGGCGCCATGGGTGCATACTTCTTCAGCTGAAATGACGGCGTGCTGACCTGGGCTGTTCGTGAATTGGCTGCATAGCCAGTGGATCCTGGTACGGCTCCCGAACCTGTGGCATGTGTCGGGCGTGGCGAGTCCGACTGGCGCCCTATCTGCATTTGCCTATCCATACTCGATCCGAGCTGGGGTGCCGTATCGAAAGCAGGTACGCCCTTGAGATCCAGCCACCACAGATCTCCGGGCTTGTCCATGTCCTCACTGAGCCCGCCAAAGACCCATATGCGATCGCCCCTGCAGACTGTCAGAACTCAAGTGCGCGCCAGAACCAGGCTCCGTCGTCACTTACCATATATAAGCGGAATGGTCAAACCGCCCCACAAACCGCCAAGACCGTGACCAGGTGTATGTCTTGAGATCAAGATAACATATGTCGTCCAACACGTAGTTGTCGTGTCCCGTGATGCCACCCACGATGAATAACTTGTCATCGTGCAACACAGCAGCATGCCGTGCGCGACCCTTGGGCACTGGACCCGTCACTTGCGGCTGAGTCCAGTGCGCTGTCTTGAGATCGAAGACGATGAGGTCTGAGAGATAGGTCCTGTGTTCATTCTCGCCTCCAAACACCAGGAGCTTATCTCCCTGGTATAGCGTAGCTGTGTGACCCATGCGAACCCCGGGGATGTCACCATAGTTGTCGACAAGACTCCACTGATGGCTGACGAGGTCGAGCTTGAGGACGTGGTTGTATACTTCGTCCGTATACTGGTCGAACCCGCCGAAAGCATAGATCTGGTTGTTGCCGCAATATGTGACAGAAGCGTTGACAAGACAAGCTGGTCGTTGCCCCAGTGTTCTGATGACTCTCGGACGGTATATTTCCCCGACCGTTCGGTTCTTTACTGGTGAGTTGGACATGACGAACGTGTTGTTTGACGAGGATACCGCTGAGGGCGGCGTGGGTGCTTGTGGAGCCTCAGACACTATCTGCGATGCGGGCAGGGCAAGGCTGGGTGCGCTCGCGCTGCTTGTGCTGGCGAAGGGATTAGAAGGGCCGCCGAACAAGGACGACCCGGCGGTCGCTCCGCTGTATTGCGGCGTTGACGGATGTGACATGGCAGTTATTGGCAGGTGAGCGGGCGATCGACGGTTGCCAGGGTTTTCGACACTACTCTCTCAAGTGTCTTGACGAGGTCGCCAGCTGCAAAGCCTGTACAGGAGGGTCCCTGCAGTGCGGCTATAGTTGGAAGCCGTCAAAGAGAATGAATAACGAAGTGTCCTTTGGGCGAGCGCGTCGAACCGTCTCGGAACCAATGTGGGCGATGCAATAGCGCCGATTCAGCGAGATGGCCCCGGATGCGCGCGGGTGTAGCTGATCGACAGCTAGTAGGGACCAGTTTTCGTGCGTTTACGAGGTGAAGGCGATGCGTGTTTCGACAGCGAGCATTACGCTTGTGCGTCGGTTGTTGCGCCTGCGCGATGAGCCAGGATGGAGGAGGGGTCCGACGATGAAGGGGAGATGACCCTGTCGCAAGGGCTGGGCGAAGATGACCTCGGGAGGTGGAACCTGCACGCCGGCTGCGTGGTGACGATGCAGGATGCGAACGAGCGGAAGGCGCTGCCAAATTTCTGAGACAATGTCGGGATCGGGGTCTAGGTTCGTCGCAGCCGCCGTTAGCAGTCGACGGCTTACTCGCGGGCAGCGATGTGTCTCAGTCGCTCGGGTGGTCTGGGATACCTCGTGGCTGGCGGAGCGTCTTCGTCAGGACAGGTACCGCTACTCGGGCGGGAGAGGACGGGCAGGAGGATTGACATCACATGAAACCTGAGGCAGCCCCACCACCCAGGCCTGGCAGAGGGTGGACACCGCAAGGGTCCACTCCACGGGCGGGCCCACGGATGCCCAGGTGGTGGTTATGGGGCTGTGGGAGATGAGCGCCGCCGCCGCCCAGCTGCTGGCCAGCTGCAGCCACAGGCCGTGGGCCAGTGCAGCGTTGCTCGGCGGCAACCGCGATCCACCAAGTAAACATTCAAAAGCCTCCCAGTGCTGCCTCACTGGCTTTGCACTCGACTCTCCTCTCCCAATCCACCACCTCATAACAACTCCTCAATTTGCTTCATCCGCTCCATTTGCACAGCATTCCGCGTCCTGTCTTGGGATTCGTCTGCTCTCCCGCAATCTCGAAGGCTCTTCTTTGCGAAAACTGACCAAGTCTAGACAGCTCGTTGCGCTACCAAAACGCAGCCACTTGCTCGCCCCACCAACTTGGAGAAGCGCTGCTTCGTCTTATATCACAGGTCCAGCATCTTGCATGACACCATACACCTACACGACTGCGGACTCCCAAGAAGAAAAGGAAAAAAACGGAAACCGCTCTTGGGAATCATTAGCTTGAGTCTTTTTTGGAGCTCTTTCAACCTTTCGTCTCTTTCTTTTCTCGATAGACCCGAGTCTATCAGCAGACACGATGGCCACCCTCGTGTCAACCCCACTCAAGTCCCACAAGGGCCTCTTCTCGTCCCGCACCGCCGGCGGCCGGATGCCTCTGACGCCTTCCCCTCGTCAACGCAACACGTCCAATGTCGACGTCAACTCTTCGCCCTTCACCCCTGAGAGGCGCCCATCCGGTCTGGACGCTGCCCGACCTGCAGGCAAGTCGGTCTATGGAGGAAACTTGGCTGGCCACTTTGCCAAGGCCTCTCGGTCCACTGCTACCCACCGGGACTCTCCAAAGTCCAACATTGCCCGCGGTGTCTCCACCCCCCGCAGAGCCCTGGAGCTTGGCGTATCCGACTACGCGCTCGTCGGCACCGGAATTGCAAAGACGCCCTCTAGTGCCAAGTCCAAGAAGGGTTCGCTGAGACTAAAGGCCCAGAAGACGACTCTCACCTACGCCGCCGACCGCTTCATCCCCAACCGGAGCAACAGCTCTGCCATCGTCAATGCTGGGTCTGGCAAGCTCGACATCCAAGACAAGTCGCGGCCAAAGACTAGCGCAGGCGAGGCCTCGAATGTCTTGTCAACCGCCACTGACGAGGCCATTGCCGCCCTCGAGGGGCTCAACATTGATGACGACGAGTCCAGCTCGTACTCGCGGCCTTCGCCCAACACTGTCGCCTACCAGGACTCTCTCGCTAATGCATGTGGGGTGAACCTCGGAACTCGTATCCTTCAGTTCAAGCCCGCTCCCCCAGAGTCATCCAAGCCCATCGATCTCCGCCAGCAATACAACAGACCCCTGAAGGCAGCGACCACGAACTCCGCCCAGTTCAGACGCCGCATCGCTACAGCCCCAGAGCGTGTGCTCGACGCGCCTGGCCTGATCGATGACTACTACCTCAACCTGCTGGACTGGAGCTCCGGCAACCAGGTTGCCATTGGCCTCGAGCGCAACGTCTATGTCTGGTCTGCCGACGAGGGCAGCGTAAGCTGCTTGATGGAAACCGCTGCCGACACCTACGTTAGTAGCGTCAAGTGGTCTGGCGATGGTGCATACGTCGGCGTTGGTCTCGGCACGGGCGAGGTTCAGATCTGGGATGTGGCGGAGGGCCAGAAGATCCGCAGCATGTTCGGCCACGACACCCGCGTTGGCGTCATGGGCTGGAACAAGCACCTGCTGTCTACTGGTGCGCGGAGTGGTCTTGTCTACAACCACGATGTCCGCATCGCTGAGCACAAGGTTGCCGAGCTTGTTTCCCACACCTCCGAGGTCTGTGGCCTCGAGTGGCGCTCCGATGGTGCCCAGCTCGCTACTGGTGGCAACGACAACCTCGTCTCCATCTGGGACGCCCGTTCCCTTGCTGTGCCCAAGTTCACCAAGACGAACCACAAGGCTGCCGTCAAGGCGCTCGCTTGGTGCCCGTGGAACATGAACCTCCTGGCGACTGGAGGTGGCTCGTACGACCGCCACATCCACTTCTGGAACACCACCTCGGGCGCTCGCGTCAACAGCATCGACACTGGCTCTCAGGTTACCAGCCTCCGGTGGAGCACCAGTTACCGTGAGATCGTCAGCGCCAGTGGCTTCCCTGACAACTCTCTCAGCATCTGGAGCTACCCTACCCTGGTCCGCAACGTCGAGATTCCCGCCCACGAGAGCCGTGTGCTTCACAGCTGCCTCAGCCCCGACGGCCAGATGCTCGCCACTGCCGGTATGTCTTAACTCCAGCCCTCGAAATCTTTGACGAATAAATACTGACATGGCTATAGCTGCCGACGAGAGCTTGAAGTTCTGGAAGGTCTTTGAGAAGAAGGCCGGGACTGCTTCTGCCGTGGGTGCCAGTGGTTCGTCCGCCAAGGCCCAGATGGCCAAGCAGATGACCATCCGCTAAGGCACCAATCGCATTCACGACTCTTCGTGAGATCACTATCAACAACAGTAGGTATCACATCTCTCAGGCATCCTGGACTGCGCATTGGTGCTTTTGAGCGAGGCGTTGGAAAATCTTATGGTCCCACGAGAATGAAGCGCTCACCCTGGGTACAAACGTTATGACTTGCATTGTTGAAAATGCCGCCATGCATAGCGAGGCATGGCGGACGACTGTGTTTTACTAGCTCGGCGTTCTTTGGATTCTGGCAGCGGGTCGTAGCGAGGAATGTCGGGTTGTCCAGCAGAATGGAGTATCTCCAACTCGCAACAACTTGGCACATATCTTGTTTCGCAGTAATACAAATTTGCAATTGTCTTTTTACCGCTCTAAGATCTCCTTGGGATGTGCATGAATGAATGGCTGACTTGCCTGAAGGAAGTGCGAAGCCCAGATTACCAGATGAATGGAAGCGTCCAGAGTTGCGCTTATGGAAGCAGCGATAGTGGAGACGGCCACTACTCAGCTACTCCACGGGGCGCGGCGGGTCGGCCGCGGCTTGGGTGGCCCAAGCTCATCCATGATATGTCCCAGCTACAGGGCTATCTCTGGAACTTAGCCCAGTACAACACCAAACACCAATACTAGCACATCCGCTGCAACGGCTCCCCGTTCCCTGCTCATACGTCACAGGCAGCGACAACTTACGAGCCCAACAGCCGAACCCATTGCAAATTGCATTTCGTCGTCTAGCAGCACACATTTGGTGAAGATACTAGGCGACGCTTGGTGTAGTCACGCGCGGCGCAAGCAGTGCAAGCACAGGCACTTCAAGGCCAGCGACAAGGATTCACGCTACGGTGAAGCCATTGGCAGCGATTCTTGCGCGCTTGCCATCTCTACACAAAGCATATTCCTTCCTTGCTACGAGCCGTAACCATCTGCTTTACGCCTCGCAGCTTCTGAGGCTTTATCACCGTCACGTCACGCGGCAAGAGGGTCCCGATATACCAGGAGGAGCATCGTCAATCAGCACACAAGCCCGTCCTGAACCATGTCGAACAACCAGGTCGGGTCGGTCTACCAGCAGATCATTCAGGATGTCATCGACTCGTCACGCGTCGACTTCGAGGAGGGCGGCATCGACGAAGGCGTCCTGGAAGAATTGAAGAAGGTGAGCGAGCTTGCGCTTCTGTTGCCTCCCTCGCATTCCTGTACTTTATTTTTTGGCGGCAACTGGACACTGCCGCGCATTCGTCCAGGGCTCAAAAGCACGCGGCAGTCGGACTGCTGCTTGGAAAAGGTGACAGTAGTACTGTCGCCGTCCCCAGTCCTGTGCCTGCGACGCTGCTGTCGCCGGCGGGCGATTGTCCAGTGGCGCAATCAGGTCGGATTCTCTAGTCAGCAGAGGGGCGATGGTTTTCGGGAGGGGGTGCTGGGGAGCGGGCCGCCAGTATTTGAGGAGGGCTTTTTATGCCTTTCGCCACTGCTGGCAGCACCCCATGAGTCACCCACCAGGCCAGCCCGCTTTTGATTGGCGTCCTCCACCACGTCCAAGCATTGCCCTGTCACAGCATGTCACGGCATCACGTGCAACTGCTGCATTGGCAACAGCCCGTGCTGGGCGTCCATTGCGCAGAGAGATCTGCCGTGTGCTGCATTGCTTCAGGGTGGCGATATTTCCCCAGGACAAACTGCATCGTACTCGCCCGCATTGTCGCATGCTACAACCCATTCTCATCTGATATACATGTCTACCTTGACCAAGTCAAACGTATAAGTCTATCGGGAAGCACTACTGACAAGTGCTCTAGGGATGGCAAAAGAAGCTGAGTCAACAGCAACTTGCTGTGTTCCCGTGGGACCCTAAACCAGATCCTCCGGCTCCGGCACCGAGCGCGGTACCTCAATCATCCGCGCCTATGCAGTCAGCTGCGACTTCTGCTGCTGGTGTAGATCCCAACGGAGCCATCTACCCACCATCCAACGGCTCTGCCGCGTCCTCTGGGCTCCCCATGCCGGGCATGGCACAGACTACGGCTCAGTACAAGCCAGAGCCCGGCGTCAAGATGGAACCTGGTATGGACAACGCCGGTATGGCAAACTTTGGGGACGGCAACACTGTAGCCCAGCAGCGCGTCATTGATCAACTGCAGAACCAGTACGGCGAGCGTGCGGCCGGCTCGATTGAGAAGCTGAAGGGTTCCTTCACAGCCAGCGGCAGCAATGGAGCTCCGGGCCAGCAGAGACCCGGCATCCCTATGCCGCAAACAAACCAATATCCGGGCAATGGCACACAACAGCATCCGCATTCGCAAATGGACGGTGCTGATGACTCGGAAGGCATCAGTGGAATCCTGATGTATCAGACTGCGTCCGGGCAGCAGCGGGAGATGGGCCGACTGGAGATTGACAGTTTGCTCCACGCTCAGATCTCGGCTCGTGCTAAAGCCATGGAAGGGGGTGGTTTCATGGTGCCTCTGAAGCGGACCAAGGAAGTGGGCAAGTCGTCTCAGCCTCGAGAGCCTATGGCGGCCATGATGGGGCCTTCGCAATACGACGGCGCGGACGACGACGACGACCTCAAAGATGAAGAAGAGGACGAGGACGCCATCAACTCGGACCTCGACGATCCCGACGACAACCTCGATGATGATGACGAGGACGAGGATGGCGGTCAGATCATGCTTTGCATGTATGACAAGGTGCAGCGTGTCAAGAACAAGTGGTAAGTTCTCGAGCAGTATGTTTCCGGCGTGCAAGATGTGTAGGCTGACAACCATTACAGGAAGTGTGTGCTCAAGGACGGCGTCCTCAGCATAAACGGAAAAGACTACGTCTTCCACAAGGCTACGGGCGAATACGAGTGGTAGAGCAGTGATGCGATGGAGGTAGGACATGACTTGAAAGCGGTTTTGGCATCATGGCGGCGATAACGACCGCCCCACGGTCGTCATTGACCTACAAGTTCCAATCTTACCACAGCCTGCTTTCACCTTGTTGCTCACTTTTGCAGAAAAGGTTGAGCTGGCACTCAACAGCAACGGCAGCAGCGTTCAAGGGCAACGTGGCCAGTCTTTTGTTCAATCGTGTCCTCAAGCATTGCTCGGATGCATCCCACTTCACGTTTTCACTCTTGAAGGCAGTCCTAGCCTGCGCACCAAAACTACAAACGATACCAGCCTGCCGACTTCTGCATGGGAAATTGTCCATGCGAGGAGGCTGATGCCGTCTTGCGTTTGCAGATAGCACGGCCCATCTCGGCTCGACTAGCAAATTAGATCGGAAGCAGATTATTTGACTCTGCAGGGAATGTGTAGATTTGGGGGGCTGAGCAAGACTCCTTCCCCCTCTTTTGAGATGGCGCATTGATTTCACACACACTCCTCCAGGATGAAAGGGCAGTGGAAGCAGGTTGCGTTTAAAGCAATTGCAACTCAACCACACAAATGGGGCGCGGGTCTCGTTGAGGTGCGAATTATTACAGTTCAAGATACCAAATGTTCAACGCAATGTCACAAGTCGTTACGAAAAAATGCTGGCCCCTCGGTAACATGTGATGATAAAATTCGTAGTCATTCATGAGCTTATATGAAGTTACTTTTCTCTCTGTGAGAATGTATCACAGGTAAACCACTAATAACTCGAATTACGCACCGCCGGTTCTTTTTTTTTTTTTTTGTCCTAACGACTTGCCTGCCACATGATCCCGTTGGGCACCCCGTACCATACCGAGGAGGAGGAGGAGGACTCCTCGTAATGGGAACATGTCGACTTTTTTTCTGTTTTTGAGGTGGAAATTAGAGGGTGCGCAAAAGCGTGTGTAGTGCATGATGACTGATCTGCTGTCGGGGAAGAGAGAGAGAGAGAGAGGCCTTGCTTGTGAGCAACTCCGGCCATTCACCTGTCTCCCTGCCTGCCCACCTGCGGTTTCCAAACTGCAGGGACATTTTCGATCAAGAGGTATAGTGAAGGGAAGGGGTGGACCCAAAAGGAAATCCACATCTTCGGGGTTGCGTCACCACCACAAAGACAACGGATCGAAGTCTCGCGGGCGCCTTTGGATATGGACCGAGGGCATTGTACGGGATTTTTTTTCTTTTGTGTGTGTAATATTGTGGAATTGTTACATCTCTTGAGCTCTGGACATATTTCCTGACTTCTGGGGTCATTGCCTGGTTTATTACTTTAACGGTGAGGAAGAAGAAAAAAAAAAGTCCAGAAAAAAGCTATTACACGACGGACGGGCCCAGAATCTACACAAGAGTACCTGGGTAGATATCAAACGCTATGCGTCTCGCTGTGCCAGCCTGTCAACCAAAGTACCCAGAGTCGTGATGATGGTAGCTATCCCGTGTGTGTGTGTTTGTGCATTACTGAGCAGTTCAAGCATCGGGCGCACGCTGCAGGCCGGCTCGGCCGCTGCGGCCAAGAGGGGCACATAAAAGTATAAGGTATCCAGCGAGTCACGCAGTCGTATTACAACGGGATATAGCCTCTGCCCAGCAAAGAAGTCTTGGGGACAAATCTTGGGTCAATCAAACAGGCCGATGTGCTGAAAGAGCGAGCGACGCATGACTTGGAATAGTTTCGTGCGAGCGACTGAACGCGCCTGAAGACGTCAGGGACCGAGACAAGATGGCATGGCAGGGCATTGTGGGAAGGTTTTGTCATAATAGCCCGAATCTATTTCATTTCTGTGTCATTTCGCTCAATGCTGTGTCCCGTCGGTGTGACGGTCTGCTGCCCTGTCCTGTCAGTGCTGGCTAGGATCAGGTGCATCTTTGCGAGCTCATGGGTTAGCCGGACAGTTCTGCAGTCGCAAACTGGCTACAGAGGCATGAGCAATGCATCCCGTGCCGTGCCCACGCTTCCGGTATTGGATGAGCGGTGAACACTTTGGCCGCCGCAGCCACGCGACTCTAGCAGTGGCACAGCCGGCCGCTTACGTGTTGCGTGGAGAGAGGTTCCTACGGGAATATTCATCTCGGTGCTCAAACCCGTGCCAACTCACGAGTCCTTTGAGCGTTCTGCTTACATAGTACCGGGCCATTCTTGACCCATGCGAGGGCTACCACATGATCACAAGGCCATCATCATGCAGCACGCGCAGAGAGTGGCCAGGGAATCCATTCCCTTCTGCACGCCTCGGTCGAGTCGCCATGACCACCAAGCTTGAGGAGGATTGGAACCTTTGTGGAGTGAAAGGAATGCTCCCAGGGTCAGCGGGAACCCCCTTGTTCGCTCTCCAACAGCTCGGGCCAGTGGCGCTGGACATATCTCGCAATTGGAAACGCAAAGCCGGCCTTTTCTGGATCCAGACCCAGAAAAAAGCCGGCCAAGTCTGGCATAGGTCAATCTAGAAATCGAGGCCCTGGTCTGTTTTGCGCCGCAGGCAGGCAGGGCCCCCTTACTCCTCGTCAGGAATCCGTATCGCTTACTGCGTACATCTGACCGAACCCCCTCCCCCCCTGGCGCAGAAACCAGCCACCCAAGATTACCGGTTCCGTGTCCTTGGGATTCTGCATCATGCTTGGGTCCTTGGTCAAATCATCGGCAACCCTTATCAGGGAGTGAGCTGCAGCCATGCCGCAAACATTCCAGCTCTGATACGTCTCGGCCCACTCGCGGGGCTCCGCAACCCTGTGGCTCATCTGTAGCGGAGTGCGGGTAAATTGCATGACAGCAAAGAACACTGGGCGATCCGAGACTGCGCCATCTCTCATGGCTGGAATGTTGTGGGAGCACGGATTCTGGCCAGAAAGCCGAGCCTGGAGTAGGACAAAGATGGATGTGGCCCCTCAGCCCAGTAGGTCGTTTGGCCGATGCGGACAAGCGTTCGTCATGGTCTCGTAAAACGGGAGGGCGAGGGTGGAGTACTACTGGCAGACTCATCGCACTTGGAGACACCACCAAGAGCCCAAATGAAGTCATCGGATCATACTTGCCGATAATCTCTCAAGCAGGCTGGATGATGCCCATCACGCCAGTTCCTCTCGCACTGTTCCTGTTCTATCAGGGAGCAGGACCCTCAAGGGCCAGCGCGACCACGTGAAACTCGAGGACGCACTTGAACATCGAAGGAAAATATGGAGAACTAAACGAGCTGAAAATCGCTACCAGGGGAGTCTCGGGCTGTAAAATGACGGGCACTCGTTCTGGGCGCTGATTCGTTGATTGTCTTGCTCTGGGCATTCTGATTGGCTACCGACTGTCTGGACCTGGTTGGGATTATGCCCGAACCCTGTCCCGCAAGGCACCGTAGCGTCGAGTCTGCCACACCACAAGCACCTGCTTGGTGCTCTTGTTGGCACTCTGGCCAATCCGCCGTGTGCACAATCGTGATGGAGGGTTGTCTTCCGTAGCCTGTAGGGTGCTCGCGTCTGGGTTCCACACAAGGATCATCCATTAGTTCCTGGCAACCCATATGCCGGCCGGTCTCTATCTGCAGTACTTGGACCGAGGGCCAAGTCGCACAAACGCGCCCCCGTAATGTGCCGTTCTTGAAGGTGTGGGTTCAAGGAGGGGCGGCGAAGTCGCTGTCGCACTGTAGTAGTCAAACAAGAGGGCGTCCAGTGCCGGCTTGTGATCAACCCTTTGCGACATACGCTGGTGTTTTCATGACAGATGTCACCTTTGAGCAGTTTTGGTTGGTACAACGACAAGAGGCCCTTGTCGGATCAACCGGCGCACGGCGCTGCTTTTCGCGACCTGAACTTCTGTGCCGAGAAGCGCTGTGCGACACAACCTCAGCGTGTGTGTGTGACGAGGGTGGAGCTCTATAGGGGTGGCGCCAGGCGCGCGTGACGAAGATTCAGGACACAGTGTGACTACTTGATAAAGTGCCTTTCCACGGCGACAATGGTCTGCCATGCATGTCGAGCAGGAAGCCGGAGACGTACCCTATTCGCAGATTTCCGGCTGGCAGACTTGGCGACCTGCTGTGTTGACGAATGGCGGCAGAGACAACCGCTCGTGGCGCAGCGCAATGGCACGTCACGTCCCAAGCCGAAGCATGAGACATCCGGCGCGCCTTGCAGTTGTAGAGTCTCAGACTGAGTTCGAGCGAGGAGTGTATTAAAGTCTCTCCTCAGATAGAGCGACGGGGTTGTGGTCCACCAACCACAGTGGTGCTGTCAAACTAGAAGCATGCGCTAGAGACCCGTCCCAAATCTGTGTGTGGACTGGGTACTGTCGGGTGAAACTCTACAGGCGTCTTGGCGACCCAGCCTGTCGGTTCACAAACCCCCGAGGTGGAAGGCTGACCGGATGTGGGGGAATGTAAGTTCCTTCCAGGAGCCGGGGTTGTGCTCAAGGTCAGCTACTGCTGTCGCGAGGTCGAACTGATGAAGCACGGCACCCGTTTCGGAAGCACATCGCCGCCATGCTGCTGTACGCAGCTCGTTTGGTCAGCAACACACCATTCGCATTCGAAGAGCGCCTCGCAAAGGCGACATCATCGCAGTAATGCAGGAAGACTTCGACCATGTGACGCATGACGGAAGAAGTGCTCGAGTCGGATGAAGCCCCGTAATTGTGCTAGTCCCTAATGGCCAGTCCTGTTTCCGAAAACGACTTGTCGCAAAGCTCGTCGGGCTGGCACACAGATCGGTCTGTGTGCCGATGGGACTTTGGCGAGAAAGATCCCGGCCTGTTCTTCATGGTAGAAGTTGGTCTCCTCTCGGGACACTTTCTCTTCGGCCCTTGATGCAGGGGTGGTTGTGCATATGCAACGACAGCAGAGCATGTGTGCTGTCATGGTCGGAGTATCTGGCCAACTGTAACAAGCTCGTGCGGCCTAACAGTCGTGTCATTGCCTTGGCTTTGTTTACCCAGTGCCTCGCCAGACAGCATTGCCCCCCAACGATGTTTGTTTTCAGTCACTGGCCACGTTGTGCCAACCGGCGTCTTGTTGCTTTGGACATGGCTCGTTGTTTATCCCTTGCAGACTGGAACAACATCACTCCGCGCTTGATGGGGTTCGTCGATGTTCTATCCGAACCATGGAAGCTGGCTGCCACGCCTCCTTCCATGCTATTCGCGCTTGGCCACGACAGCTGCGACCATCTCACCAGCACGAATCTGAGGCGCTGAGGATCAAGCCGTGCATGTGGGCACCGTCCTGTGCGTGCAGTCATCGACAGATGTATCAGTACTAAGTAAGGTATTGTCAGGTCACGCCATCACAAAGACCGCAGAGATATAATCCTTGTTCTCGATTGCACAGGAACCAGTCCACGCCGAGACTGGCTGGACCTTCGAGACTGCGCCACTGACTGGTACGAATTCGAACGAGGCTGCATCTCATTCTGGCCCAGTGCTGGGCTCCTGCGTGGCACGCATAGTGGTTAGAGTGTGTGTGGGTGTAGAAACAGCCGTGTGCGGGGCTTGAGCATGAAAGCTCGACCAGCACAGGGATCGTCAGGGACGACGTTGAAAGAGCTGCATGGACCAACATGCATCTCAAACGTGCTGTTGGTGCATCCCGCTGGTTTAAGATCAGCATAGGCCCCAGTCGTCCGGGCTACAATAGTGAGACTGAAGGGGGCGGTCTGTCGAACACCGGCCAGCAATAATATTGCTGTTCGCTGGAAGAGCTCCTGTGACACAAGGGTTGTCGAGACGACCATGCTGACCGGCCAGCCAACTGGCCACGCGACGAACCGGACGTGGAAGGCGGGCGAGTGGTTGTCTGCTGGCACGTTGAGAGATCGATGCGTGATGACATCTGCTCTTGCCGGATTCAACGCTCCATGAGAGCGAGGACGCGGTCACAGGGCGAGGGCCACGACTGCTTGTCCGAGGCAGGGGAGGGCTGGCACGGGCACGTTGTTGGCTGACCCTAGACTGGAATTTCTGGTCGCGCACCGGGGCAGCCTCGCATAGCGGCTCCCAAAGTGGTGTCGTGCGCCGGGGGTGTGATCGGAGGGAGCAAGAGAGAGTAAGCAAGGCGATGAAGAGAGCCTGTCGCGGCGAGATGAGCAATGGTCGTGGCCAAGCCAGACCATGCGATTCGGGTCCACTGAATCAGACGACGTAATCCGGCGCACGCAGCAGGCAACGTCCCAGCTCGGATGCACCTTTCAAGAAAAAGTCAGGAATCACACTCGGCCTTGGCGCTTCTTGTCCTGTGCCGTTTGACGTGTGCACTCGGGAGTTGCCCAGGTGTGTCCACGAGGAAAGACAAGATGAGGAATTCCACGGCCGTTGGGAATCCGGCAGCACAGTGCCGAGAGCTGGCCGCCCTGTGGAGAGGCCATGTTTCGGATTGGGGGTTGCGTCGCGACAGGCCAGGCCAGGCCCCGCACTGTGTTCGCGATCGCGACACACGGAGAGCCGCCGGGGCAGCCAAAGAACGACTTGGAGGACTCCGCCATGACGGGAACGGAACGAGCCTGCCAAAGGCAGTAGGGATTCAAGATTCGCCGACGCGCGCGCCTGGCGTGGCCTGGACAGGGTGTTGGCAAGTCCTACAACCTACACCTGGCGCGCACAACGAACCAGGGCCTCGTAGTGCCGCGGCGGACAAGGGCCTCGTGGTATCGCCTGGGGGGGCTTCTCTCTACGTTGGCGTACATGAGCTATCTACTACGTATCTATATTGTGTTGTCCTCGAGACTACCATGGTAGGGCGCCAGGGCCATGGTTCGTTCCCAAGGCTGGAAGGTGTCCAGCTCATAGGCCTGGCGCATCATGCACGCGGTTGGCTGAGCCCTACAGCCAGCTACCATAAGCGTAAGCGTACGTAGCCAGCGGGCGGGCAGCACGCGAGAGGCACGCGCAGCGCCAGGAGCAGCACCAGGAGCAGCACAGCGGCTGCCGCCGCCGCCGTCGGGTGAGGGCGGTGGTGCAGGGTTCTGCATTTGTGGGCTGCGAGGGCCACGGCGCAGGCACTTGCAGGCAGGGGGCCCGTTGTTGGCAGCATTTTAAGGTAATCCACGCCACGGGCCGCCGCTGTGGAGCCCGCCCTGGTGCTGCCCTCCCCTCCCTCCCCCACCCTGAGCCGTTCCGCACTTTGCTCGAAGCAGCTCAGGCACGCGGACAGACAGAGCTAAAGCACCCCGTCCAGTCTTTGCGCGCTGCTGGAAGACGACGCACCCAAGTGAGCAAGCAGCCAAAGAGCCAAACTCTCTCCCGCGGCCACACGGCGCCGTACGTCGTGCCTGCCCTGCCCAGCCCAGCCCTGCCCTTGCCCAGCCCTGCTGCTGCCGCCGCCCAGGGCCAAGCCAGCGTGAGCGACGACAGACAGACAGCCACCACCACACCAGACGTCGGCCGCTCCTGGTCCAGTCCCTTGTGTTTTTTTGTTGTTCCTGTCGTTGCCCGTCCTCTTCCTTTTGCTCTGCTGCCTCCGCGCACGCCCATCTCTCTCTCAACCCCTTCTCCAGGAGCCAACATTTCTGCAGAGGCTCGTCACTGTTCTTTCCAGCCAACGGGCCACTGCCCATCGACCTCAATGACCAGCCGTTGCTGCCCGGCCGCACTACAAATATGCGCTTATAGTCCACCGCCCACAAGCTTCCACTCTGCCGTCCATCCCAAGCAAGGTCTCATCGCGTCCACTCACTCGCCTGCACATACCGTGCCGTCCTCGGCCTCATCATCGCCGCCTTCCACGTCCGCGACACTGCTGACAGCTGCCTCTGCTGTCTGATGTGACGTGTCGCATCCCAGACACTAGACGCGCCAGAGCTGCAGTCCCCCACTAGAGCTTCTAGGGATTTATTCCGTGCGCCAAGCGCGAGTCTGGTCAGTCTTTACGCCCGCTCGCCTCCCTCAAACCGAGCCGGAGCCATCGTCTGCTCCCACCAGACTCCCGAGGCAGCTTCTGTGCGCCGGGCCTTGATCTTGGGGGTTCGGCAACTGGTCACATCCATTGCACAACGCTAGATCTTGCCCCTTGCTCAGCCCTGCGGCTTCGGACCGTGGCAGACGGCGTACGCCACCTGCCGTCGCGGACGACTAGCTGCGTATAAGCTCCTTTTCAACTTCTATCACACTAATTCCTCCTCCCCCCCCCCCCCAACTCCATCTGCCGGTGGAGGGCTCAAGTCGTCGGCCAGCCATTGCCCAGCTTGTGAAGCTCCCTCAACCAGAGGCTCGACGCACAAGTCATGGCGCACAATGGCACATGGGATGGCTTCCAGCCGTAAGTCATCCGCGACTCTGCACCTTTGGGACCTGTGGAGCTTAAAAGCTAATCCATCAGTCATATGAAAGACGGAACATTGCACAGCCCTTGTTGCCTGACGGGACACGAGCACCTTACTTGATTGAGAACGGCCGTTGTTACACCGACTTTAAGCCGTTTCAATACTTGTTTCCTTGCGACTCGGTGCGTCATCATGTCCTGCCCTCGGCGCATATTCTCACTGCGTTGTAGTATTGACCCATCTACTGCAGGACGAGCTCAACCGACTTGACATTTTCCACAAGCTCATCACCCTTGCGAGGAACGGAACCACACCATTCGCAGGTCTCCATAAGCACCCATTGCCCCCAGATCCAAAAATCATTGACCTGGGTTGTGGCTCCGGCATCTGGGCAGTAGACATGGCTGAGTGCGCGCCCTCCGAGCCTAATTTGCCTCCAAAAATGACACTAATGGAACTGCTTCTAGCCGCTATGGGCCTAATTCTGAGGTTGTCGGCTTGGATCTAAGCATGCACCAGCCAAAGATGTAAGTTCGAACGAAGCCTCAGTTCCCAGATTGCCTTGCTGACGACGTGCGCTGTACAGGATACCTCCATGGGTCTCATTTCTGCGACTCGATTTTGAGGAGGACAAAGCCTGGCAGCACTTCCGACGCGGGTCTCAGGACTTGATACGGGGTCAGATGCTCTTGGGCAGCGTCAGCGATTGGCCAGCCTTGTACTTGAAGGTTCTGCAGTAAGTGCTATCTGTCATCTATAGGTAGCGGTCGACACTAAATCACTCCCACAGGCACCTCAAGCCAGAAACTGGCATCTTCGAGCAAATCGAAATTGACTTCATGCCGCTTTTGGAAGAAGGGGAGCTTCCGCCCGACTCCAAGCTTGGGATCTGGGCCCGTGGTCTCCGCGGTGCAATGATAAATCATGGACGACCCATCGAGATGGACCCAGCTTCCAAGGCAATGATGGAATCAGTGGGGTTCGCCGACGTCCACCACGAGTGCATACGGATCCCGTACAACACGTGGCCTTCAGACAAGGATGAGAAGTTGTTGGGCAGATGGTTCAACCTGGGGATGAATCAGGGCATTGCCGGACTGACCCTCGCGCCTTTCACAAGATACAATGGCTATTCGTATGACGATGTCATGCGTCTCATTGCCGACGTGAAGCGGGAGATGTGCGACCGTCAAATTCGGACATTTTGTCACTTGTAAGACCTCTCAGTCAACATTCCCGTTGCCAGAGCTAACCTCTTCCGTCCCAGGCATATCTACACGGCACGAAGACCCCGAGCATCGGTGTAGCAGGTTCGACATCGGGACTAATTGCTTCAATCGCTGTTGCGGCCAAGCTCGCTACGGAAGATGCAGCCAAGCTGTACTTCATATTCCAGCCACCCATGGCTCGGACCTGGCCCCAGAGCGCGCTCGTGCTTACCATATGATTTGGTCTAGCCGTCATGCCTATCTCCGCCGCTGAACCCGATGAACAAGCAGCCACTCCAAAGGCCAGAGCTTACATCCAGACTGTTCAACACTTCCGAGCATCTCTGCCGGTGAATTGTGGCTAGGCAGCTTCGGCTGCGTCAGCCAGCATGCGCCACCGCCACACACGCGGCAGGGATGCTGTATGCAACCAAGGCAGGAACGACTTCCAGCGCATATATATTGCATAGGAATGGTGGTCCTTCACAGCCGCGCCAAGGAAGAAGCGGTCAGTTATCCCAGGCACCGGATACTGCAGAAAGCAGGGGGGCCAGTCCTGTGTGATGGATGGCCGAGGGCTCTTGGTCATGCGGTCCTGACTGGGACGCTTCTGGTGTGGAACAATGTTGGGGGCAACCATGGAGATCGGGTGTGAGCAGCGGGACCGGCTTCCAGATCACCTTTGATGTGGAACATCAATGATCCTAAACTCGAATGGGCTACGCATGTGAAGACGTCGCTCGGCGACGTTGGTTTGACTCCATCAATATTGCATGGGATGATGTGGATCTTGCAAAGGAGGGAAAAGCGCGGGCATCTTGTATTGTTACCAAAAGGTTGCATTGTTTTCTCCATAAATCCACATTTGGATACGGGGACACAATTCCCGTAGGTCTTGATGCAGTCTACCAGATCCGTGTCTTCTAATCCCTTGAGTTGCGAGAATGAGCCAGTCCGCAGGACCAAGTGTCGATTTTCCTTCACGCACCCGGTACTACCGATGCCACCGGCAAGCACGTGGGCAGTTTATAAACGCTTTCTATCCGCAACCGGGCGGCCATACGTTCACATGTCGACGGGAAATATACCCAAGAGAGCCCAGGGAAGTGAAGTAAATGGGGATGGCACACACATCGACCAACATCTCTGGTGTTGGGCGCGGTGCGATCACGAGCGCGTCTGTCCCCAGCACGGTCAGGCATCAAGGCAACCTCCAACCCCCCCATCTTTATTGATATTCGGAGTGTTGTTATTGTTGTTGTTGTTGGTTCTCGACGGGTTCTGCACACTGGCCGCGCGATCAGGTCGCGGACCACCCCCCCCCCCCCCCCCCGCCCTCTCATCCCTCCTCGGGGCCTTCCCCTCTGTTTCGTCTCCTGCTTGTGTTGGATCTGAGAGCATATATATCGTGTGTCAAAGGGGAGGGGCGTTCTTCCCCGACCTTTGTTCTTGGGTCCGGCCAGGGAGAGAGGGGGGTGGGGGGTCACGCTGTTGTTCTTATTGTTGGCTGATGCATAGAGGCGTTGTTCTCGGTCTGGAAGAGGGACAAAGAGAGGGGGTTGTTCTGTGGTGTCGTCCATCCTCGAAGAAGGAAAAGAAAAGCGTCATGACAGGGAAAAGGTTATGATATCTTTGTGGCAAATCTAGCATGTGGCACGTTTCGGTACGTGTCGAGTGAAGGTGGTCACAGAAAGGGAATGTGTGATGTTTGTGTACGCTATGTATGGACTGTGGTTGTTTTACGAAAGAAGAAGAAAAAAGAAAAAAGGCAAGAACTTTGGATAACGGAGAATGAGGGTCAAAAGGTGAACGTTTCTGAGCTTGCAACGAGTTGAGCTCTGACTTTTTTTTTTTCTTTTTTCGGTGGCGGCATAGCATGTTTGAGATGATCCGGATATTCCTTGCCGGGACTTGTCTTCTTTTCGACCACACACAAACATATTTGTACGTACAGAAGCCAAGTAAAGACTTGGTGCTTGGGTGGTTTGGTTTTGTTGTGCCTTTTTCCTGGAGCTGCTATTACTCTTGCGAAGCTCGTTGCATTCGCCTCTGGCTTCTTTGCTTTGTGTCGCCGGTAATTTGTTACGGAGTCGAAGCGATTGGTTCCTGCACCTGGTGAAAGCGGCAAATGGCATGATAAAAGCCCCGAGAACCATTACCCATTCTCTCACACAGGCGCTAGCCATTGTGCGCCGAGCTTGCTGTATTCATGCGATTTAAACCGCTTATTGTCATGCTCAATGCTATCTAGCATTTTACTCAGTATGTACCAACCCTGTGCGCTTCACAGCCTTCAACAAGTGAACGTGTCCGTTTCTTCGCACCAAATCAAAAGAAAAGGGCGCCGTAGATCAAGATGTATTTCAATTTGCCACGACCAAAACCATACTTTCTCCTCGCAACCAGCAGTGGACTGGATGGTGGGCAAGAAAAAATTACACGAAAACTATGGCGCCGACCTCACGGGTGTGCTCGCTGGTTCACGGTACAAATGCAGGCAGCCGCAGGAAAATCCTGCGAGGCTCTGCACACACCGGCCGGCCGCCCAACAAGAAACGTCACTCGCTCGCCCTCGCTCGCCTGCGTGCGGGCTGTTGCTTTTTTCTTTTTCCCGTTTTCGGTCAGAGACCGGGCTGCGATTGGTTCGGCTGGGGCTCGCTCGCGAATGCCCTCTCTTTGTTGCTGCACTGATAGCAAACAAACATCCCAAGGTTCGTACCTAGGTAACTAGGTATGGAGCCTCTGGAAAAGTACTTACCTACTGGAGGTAACTCTTGGGCACCGTCTTGTAGAAGGTACCTCGGGCATCTTGCTGCAACAGCAGCTACCTATGCGTTACCGAGGAGCCTCTTACACCACGCGGGCACGAGGGCAGCTGAGCGCCAGGCGGGGGCTGTTGGTTGCACGTGTATGTGTACCTTATGTACATGTAAAAGTAAAGTATGTAATAAAGTCCCCCCTCCCCCTAAGAGAGAGGGCGTGTGCATGGCCCTCACCGCATTCAGAAAATGCAAGTACTGGGCACCATATGCCTTGTCACCGGCCTTGGCGAGGCCTCCCTCCCTCGCTGACCGGGCTTTTGTTAACAAGAACACCTCCCCCGGCAGACCGGTGGACACGTGTGTGTGTGTGTGTATGTGTGTATGTTGACCAAGGATGTTGCGATGTACTTACATGATCATCATCATCATCCAGGGAAAACAGGCACTGTGCATTACTGCGTGTGTGCGTGTGGTGTATGCGTGTGTATACGCCCCGTCCATGCATAGGAGGAGGCGCCGGCGGAGGCCCGCGTGCGCGTGGGGGCGCCCCCGGGCTGGGAGCACGGAGGGCGCACGTGTGTGACGGAGGAAGCAAGAACAACACGAGACGTTCCATGGCCTCGGGGACTGGCCGCGTATTACGCAGGTGGTGTTGGCTCTCTTGCTCGAAGGTGTGATGTGCTGTGCTGTTTAGCCGCGCTGCTACTACTGCTGCTTTAGGTGGTGGGTACCGCTATCATCATTCATGCTGGGCATTTGTTGGTTCTGGTCGAGACGAGCGACGGCTTGGGTCTGCTCGGCGGCCGGGCCGGGCCGGGGCAGGTCTGGTCTGGTCTGGTCACACGTCGTCTGTCTGCAAGGATGCGTGTGGCCACCGGGTCTCAGGGACTGGCCGCATATTGCAATATCGCGGCGGCTGTCACTGCCGTCAACTGATTCCTGCACACGCCTCCGCCTCCCTCCCTCTCAGGGTACATGGGCGTGCTGTCAAGGTGCATGGGGAGGAGAGGGGCGGGGGGCAAAGAGTGAAGCGTCACGACGTCACCGAGGCCAAACCCCATGCCTCAGATCTAGATTCCAGAGGTCTGCACGTCGGGTATCAGTCCCGGAGGCAGTAGACCGTGCTTGGCGGCCTCGATAATGAGAGGGGAGTCGGCTATCTCGTGAGAACCCATGGCCATACATAAGGATCTGTCTAGAGGTAACTCACGCGTGGGGATGTCACCATCTTCCTGTCGAAGCATACAAAGCAGTGCTTTGACTTGAATGTTCCCCCTGCTGGGACAAGGCGGAAATCATGGCGTGAAATGATCTCGCGAGGTCAGTGACCTTGCTCACGGGCTCTTCGTTTCTGTAGACCATGTCCGCTTTCTCCCACGGCATCGTCGAAGGACATTGGCATTCGCACAGCAAGACCGAGTCAGGCCAGGTTGGATTCATCAGGGTCGTTAGTCACACAAAGATCCATTGCTGCTGGGCAATATATAGACACAACGGACATGCCATCGCCATGAAGAGAAGATCATAACTGTGGAGAATCACACCAGTGACAGCCATCACACATCGTCAGTACAGCAGCCCAACCGGTAGAGGCTTGCATGAAACACGGTGCTGTATTTCGCCTTTGGCGTCATGTAACCCAGCCGTGTCTCAGAAGACGGCCGCGACTTAGTGTTCAAAATCCCTCTACCATCAGTACATTCCAACTCTCCTCTACACTTGCTTTTGCCCATGCAGCCAGACGGTGGAACCTGAGAGCGCAAAACGGCCCGACCGACGCTATTGTACATTATAGAACAAAGGAAAATTAGTTTCAGCGATGACCAGCGTGGTCGTGGCACCACACAGCGCACCGCATCTTGTCGAAATCTCTGCCGCTGGCTATGTCGTCGCAGATCCAGCATCAGCCATGTTCGTGCTATCCACGAGCATATCGACCAAGTCGTGATCGATCGTCTAATTCGTATACAGAAGCCGGGCGCCGCCGTGCTTGCTTGCCTGCCTGCCAACTCTGCTTCATGTCCTGAGCCTTATACGATGTGTTGTCCGAGTTCATATTTCAAATATTTCCCGTTCGTAATGCTTTAGTGGTGGGCAGCGCCGGACTCGCCACGGTAGCCAACAATCTTGAAACGGCCGATCATCTCGCCAACAGTGAAGAACCCGAGGACCTCGGCGGCAATAACGCCGCCAGCAATGATCTGGTTACGGTTGATGTTGCGAACCTGCTGTAGTAATGTCGCGGACTGCTGGGCGCCCTTGGACGCAGTCTGGAGAAGAGCACTGGGGTTCTGGACGGTCTTGAGGGCGCTCTGGAAGTAGGCCTGGAAAGTGGACATGGGCCTGTAGAGTACATGGTCAATAACAGAGCCTTAATTCTTGAAGGTTGATTGACTTACGGAGGAGCCATCTTCTGGCCGTGGAAGACAATCTTGCCAACCTCAAGGGCAACCTTGGAGTAGTAGACGATCTGGGGGATGGCCTCTGGAAATCACAGAGCGGTTAGTCATGATTGAAACCCACATAAAGATACTATCCCAGCGACTGCGCCACTTGGGATGTTTGCGTGAAAACGATGATTGTGGTGAGATAAGGACATACTCTCAACAAGGGTGACGGTCTGGCCAGTACGACCACCAACCTTGCTCAGCGAGCTGGCAACCTTTGTGGCAGCGCCGGTGATGGCCGGGCCAGCGGAAGAGGTGACCTTGGAGAGACCCTCCCTCGCCTTGGAGGTGTACTCAGCGGCGGCGGCAGAGGCCTTGGCAGCAGCGTCCTTGGCACTCGCGGACGCCTTTGCGGCAGCGTCCTGAGCAGCGGCAGAAGCCTTGGAAGCGGCCTCCTGGGCGGTCGAGGAGGTCTTGGAGGCAGCCTCTTTGGCGCCCTCGGCAGCCTTTGCGGTTGTGGACTCGAGGCGGCGGGCGGCCATGCGGGAGAAGGCGCCCGATTGCCGAAGCATGGGCCGTGCAAGCATGGACGACATTGCAGGTGAGAAGAGTCGAACCGGGACGAGGGGGATGGACGATGCGGCGGCAGTCGAGGATGCGATGCCAATTGAGGAGCGAGATGGGCCGCGATGGGGGGTGGTCGTCGGCGTGGTTGGAGATGTGTCGTCGAGGTTGAGAGCAGCTGCGTGCGATGTGGCTCGTGGTGCTGGGCTGGATTTTAGCCAAGGGGAAAAAAAGCTCACTGGGCGAGGCCGGGGCACAAGTGCTGGGGAGCTCTGCGCCGACCGTGCGTGCCGGCACCCGCACGCCTGCCACAGGCACGTACCTCGCGCGCCAGCGGCAGTGGGGAGGTACAACCGCCAGCCTGTGCGGGAAAACCCGGCCGTGCCTCTACGCCCCACCAATGACTTGTCCATTGGCCAACCATGACGCCCGCTTTCCCAGGCACCTTCCCTGCCCAGCTCCCATCCTCGAGCTGCCGGACCAATATGGGACGAACAACAACACGCTAACACAACAAACAGTGCGTGAAAATGGCCTGTTACAGCTCTAAAACCACCCAGACATCACACGACACCTTGACTGAGAGAAAACAACCATGATCACGACTGCTCATCCATGACTTTGCTTCGACGCCCCCCTGTGCTCAATTCACATCTTGCGGGTGTCTTTTCACGACGAAAACCAGCTCGGCACAATGACACGACTGACTGACCTCAAGCCCTCGCTTGTCCAGATTCGAGCCAATTAGCACGGAGCATTCGACGCGCCTTTTGGGGATGATGTTTGGATTCGTGTCGCAGGGGCACATTGCTGTGATGCTGCCTACCCAAAGAACTCCAACTCAATATGTTCCAAAAAATCCGCCGTAGCGGTGGCAAAAGAATGATCGACGCCTCTTCAACATCTCCAGCTCTATATGTCCTGCTCCACAGCCCCAACAGCACTGTGGCTTTCTTAGTCCAAGCTCTGGATCTGCACCTTGATCGCTCCCGTCTTCGGATCGGCCGCAGTCTTGAACGCTTCGAGCGCGTCCTCAAGCTTGTATCGATGGGTGACCAGCTTCTTCATGTCGATGACGCCGTTCTGCACCAGCCGGATTGCGCGCGGCCACGTATTGCAGTATCGGTATTGGAACTGGAGGTCGACCTCGCGCGTGCTGCAGCGCATAAAGGGGAAGTTGAGCTCGTTCTTGCCGACGCCAATGACAAAGACCTTGCCGCCAAACTTGACTGCCCAGATGGCCGCCGCCAGGCTGCTCTCGACACCGGTGCATTCAATCGCGACGGCAGGCTCGATGCCGCCGAAGGACTGCACAATGGACTTGGCTCCATCCTCGGCACTCAGTCTCTCGACCTTGTGGGTGATAACCTCGGGCACAAGCTCCTTGGCAAACTTGAGACGGCCCTCATCAATGTCAGTAATGACAATCGGGCAAGCTCCAGACGCCTTGCAGCAGAGCAGTGTCATGAGGCCAATGGGGCCGGCGCCGCAAATCAGCACCGGATCGCCGAGCTTGACCCCACACCTCTGAATGCCCGCCAGCGCGACACTGAGAGGCTCCAACATGGACCCGTCCTCGTAGGACATGTCTCCAATCTTGTGACACCAGACGGCGGGGTGGTTGACGTATCTGCGCAGGAGACCATCGACGGGTGGCGTAGAGAGGAACTCGACTTTCTCACAACCGTTGTAGCGGCCTGTCAGGCAGGGCTCGCACTCGTTGCAGATGACGTTGGGCTCGATCGCAACACGGTCACCAACCTTGAGGTGAGTGACGGATGGGTGCACAGCAATGACCTGTCCTGCCGACTCATGCCCGAGGATGTGGTTGCCGCAGACAATCATGGGACCGATGCAGCCATGCTTCCAGAAGTGCACATCCGACCTGTGTCGAAACGTTAGCAAGGCCTGAAGTCGAGACCATGCCTCGACGTGTTTGAGCATACATACCCGCAGATGCCTGTGCTCTTGACGGCAACAGTAACCTCGCCATGCTTCAGGGTGTCTCCTTTCTGAACACTCTCGAGGGCTGGGGTCGCCTCGTGGATCCAGAGATCGTGCGCCGGGTTTGTGAAGACGCCAATGTTAGCCTTGGTAGGCTGCACGAGCGTGCTACTCATGTTGGCAAGATTTCGGGTAAGAGTGATTTAGAAGACACGGGAGCAAGACACAAAGACAGCTGCAGGTGACAACGTCAAGGGGCGATAGAAGGGTCCAAGGGGGGGCAGGAGAAAAGGATGAGGGGTTCACGCCTATTATATCGTCACGGCTCGTGCTCCGAGCGCAGCGGGATCGGACACGGTTCAAAAGCTTGCGCAGATTCAGCCTGTCCAATGAAGCAGCATGCAGGGTCGAGCTGTGCGCTCGTGATTTACGATTGAGCCGCTGCGGTAGCCCCTCGGCTGGATAATATGGTTCCCGCGCCCGCGTCACGAACAAGCTCCTCACGGGGGTTTCGCCTGGCATTGCGGAGGAGGTGGGGGTTTGCGTGGATCTGGTGGACACTGTTCGGCAGCTCCCAGCCCGACCGAAAACTGGAACATCTTTGCGCACCAATCAGGACCCTGCAATAGACACCACAGAGGTCGAGCCAGCCAAGCGCTCCAGCACAGCAAAAATCGTCAGGGTCCCACGGAGGGCTTAGAGCATCGTGGCCAGTCTCGCAGACAGGGTGCCGGTCCCTGAATCGAACCATGGTTAGTTCCCCGAAACAGAGAGTCATGCCGGGGGCGCTAGCTAATGTTCAGAGAGCTCCAAGTCTGCGAGTTGGCTTCTGTTGTTGCCATGTAATGCTGTTTTTTCGTGATAGGTCAAACGCAGCGTTTCCGCTCCTTGCGGCAATATGTCGGCACGGCGGAAGCATCTCCGCTCCGGTTTGATGTTTTGCAGAGATGAGGAGGGTGAGCTGGACAGCACGTGGCACACTCCGCGACGGACTTGCCAACTCCGCGAATAGAGATGGTCGCCCACGTTGGACGCATGCATCCAAGTAGTGGTCATGCGACTCGCCGCCATTATTAGGCCGGCATATAGACGAACAAGGCGACGAACGGCACCTTGGCACTGCTCCGACTTTATTTCCCGACTGCGTGCATTGGGGGCCTGCGAGTACCACAGCAAGGCCGGTACGTGCCTATGACCATGAGATTGCCTCAGCCAATGAGCAATGCTGATGATCATGGAAGTCTTATGCGGCGGCGTGCATGGAACCAAGAAGGTTTGTCGTCATGATTTGAGTATCTGATCAAACGCTAGCGAGTTGTGGAGTGGTAGAATGCCGCATAAAAAGGTCTGTGTATAAGTGCTCTAAACTACGACAAGTGCACTTGACTATTGTCCTTCTGGCTTGGGGCCAAGCACCATCACAAGGTTCAGTACGCAACGAGGACGCACTGATACGAAGCACGATTGAGTATTGCCAGGATTCAAGTTCAGCAAGATGGCATTTACGGGGTGGCTGGCGCGCCATTCTGAGCCACAATGACCACGAGAGGTACGTTGTCATGAAACATTCGAAGAAAACAAAAACCATGTGGAAACTCTCCTAATCACATCAACCAAAGTAGACAAAGAAACCACCGCTCGAAAACCAAGATACCCTTCAGAAACTATCAGGGGTAGAGCATGGAGTCTTGGTCCGATGCGTCGTCATCGTCGTCGTTCCTCTCACTGTCGATCTCGTCATCGCTAACGCTGCCACGCCGCTGTCGCTCGGCCGAGAACATCTTGAATCCGCGGCTCATCTTGACCACTGCGCGCAGGTGCTTGTCAGTGACCGTGATCTTGCTGTGGCTGGCAGCTCTCTTGTCACCAGCACTCCCGCCAATGTCGTCACCAAGTGCTTCAGCCTCTGCTAGGGCCACGGCGGTCTGGAGGGCATTGCGGATCTCTCGGCCGTTCCACCTGAGCGACTGGACGTCCCGACTATCGTAGACGTATTCGCGTGTGGCTACGCTGATATGGACCTTGCCTTCGCTGTCGCGTTCAAGCCGCTCGAAGCTGTTGAGCCAGATCTTCTCACGATGCTCGTCCGTGAGCGGGCCATAGTGCAGTGCGACGTGGATCCGGGAGGTGAAGGCTGCGTCAAAAGTCTCGACGCGGTTGGTGGTGAGGAAAAGCACGCCACGGTAGTATTCAAGCGCGCGGAGGAACACGGACACCAGACCATTCCGGGCAATGTCGCTCGTCCGGCGCCGCTCAAGGTACACGTCGGCCTCGTCGAGAAGCACAATGGCGCCGAATCGCTCTCCGAGCTTCAGGAAATAGTCGAGGCTTCGCTCGACTCCCTGGCCGTGCCTTCCTAGATCGCCTGCAGTCAAGGAGATCAGAGGTCGGCGGGCTAGCTCCGCCGTCGCCTCGGCGGTGCAGGTCTTGCCCACACCGGGGGAGCCATGAAGAAGGAAGATGCGGCCCTGGCCCTTGTTTCTGACAAAGTCGTTGGGCCAGGGGCTGACACGGCCTTGCACACTTGCGAACTTGCCAATGAGGGCCTTGACCGTCATCTTGATCTCATCGTCGAGGACGAGGAACTTGAAAGCCTCCCGGTCAAACTCGACTTCGCGCAGCTGGTCGACGTTGAGAGATGCCCAGCGCCTCTCGCCCAAGATGAAGCCGTCAACGACCTTGTAGATGGCTACGAAGTACAAGTCGTTGGTGGGCATCTCGTCATCCTTGGGACGTATATCTTCAAACTCGGCGAATGGGCTCAGGGAAGAGTCCGACTCGCGGCTGCTGCAAGCCTCGCAGTTACAGCGAGCAGCAAAGTATGGCAGCGAGTCGATCGGGGTATGAACCTCGCGAACGCCCGGCCGAGGAGGTCTGCTGCTGCGCCGCCGGACTTCGTACTCTCCCCTGTAGCCTGGTCCGTCGGGGCCGTTACAATCGACCATGACCCTGCCGGACATGAAGCCCGTCGTGTTTGTCGGGTGACTCCATTCGTCGTCGTCGCGCTCGTGCGTGGCCAGGTTGCCCTCGTACGACATGTATGCCGGGCTCTTGGTGAGCTCCCAGGCGAGCTTACCCAGGCGGACCTGCTCTGCGAGCACAGCACTGGGCTCCTCTTTCCCATCAGCCCCGCGGAAGAACCTCGCTGGGATGACGGCGAGGTTGGTGATGGCCTGCTCGCCCCGGAACGCCTCAATCTTGAGCTCGTGCATGGTACGAAGGAACGAGTCACCCGAATATGTAAGCTTCCAGGCATGAACGCGATGGGCCAATGGGTGGCCTCCCACCACGAGAGCACCTAGCTGGAACTGGGAGACGACATAGGCAGTCCACTTGCCGGCACACTTGCTGAAGACGACCTCGCCCGGCTTGAAGAGCATCCAGAGCTTGTCATTTGTGGCAGTGGGCAGGGCCCGCTGGTGGAGGGCCTGCTCGTCCCGGATTTCCTGGCCCCAGCTCTGGTCCAGGAAGTTAAGCAGCACGTCGATGTGCTTGGCCGTCGTGATGGCGTACTCGGAGTCGTGCGTCTCGGGCTGCCTGGTCTTGTAGCGGGCGAGAGCATCGCGGTGGTGGTACAGCACCTGGTACGGCGCTGGGATGCTGATCGAGGAGCCCTGCAGGTCGATGGCCGGGTAGTAGTCGACGACGGCCCGGATTGCGTTGTTGAGGTGCGGCGACTTGACAATCATGAAGGTGCTGTGGAGCTCGATGGGCCGGAGTCGCTGCGGTGGCGGCGGAGGAGCGATATAGCGGCCGCCGGGCCTCGGCGACGGTGGCGAGTACAGCTCCGGCTCGTAGTATCCGTACGGCGCGACATGGGGCGGCGGCGGCGGAGGAGGAGGCGGCGGCCGCATGCCTCGCCTGTACCCGGCAAAAGGCTGCATGCCGAATGGGCTGTCAAAGAGGTTGGTGCTCACGCGCGTCACAATCTCAATCACGGGTTCCGTCTTGGTGGCAGTGGACGTGCCCTTGATGTCCTTGCGGGCCGCATCAATGCTGTCGAGGTCGACCTCGAAGGGTTCGTCGCTGTGGAGCACTACGTCGGGGACGAAAAAAGAGTGTCAGCATACCCATGGAATCTAGTGAGATGGATGATTTAGGGAATGAGTTTGTACTGACCGTCAACATCTGGGCCACGGTGGCTGGTGTATCTCAGGACGTAGCTGACATCGGGCACCACGGGGGGCAGAGGAAACCCACCGGGGCCCTCCTCGGTCTTGCTCTTGCCGGTCTTGCCTGTGACCTGTGCAAGGAGATGCTGAACCTGCTGGACGTCCTTGTCGACACTGGAGCGGAACATGAAGGGCCGCGGCTCGTCATCGTCCCCTTGTTTGCCGGCCTTGCCGCCGCTCCTCTTGCCTCCCATCGCGGGCTTGAACGAGTAAGGGCTGTCGCCGTCGCCACCGCTGCCGACGAGCTCGTCAAAGTCGTCGTCGAAGCTGGCGACGGAGGAGGCGTTGTCAATGTCGGACATGATGTGTGGTTGTGTGTGTGTGTTGTTCTGGGAAACTGCGGTGCAAACAATGCTTAGGAGAGTGCTGTGATGGCTCGGCTTTGGCGAATCTTTCGCTCCCCCGCGGCGATCAAACTATATTATCAACGGGACTGGTTGAAGCACCAGATAGCACAGCACCAGGAAGTAGAGCCAACACCAGGTGCACATGGGTGTCCAACAGCGAGTTGCGGCACAGCAAGATACCCCAGGCAGCACTGTATTGACCTCGAAGAAAACTCGGGTTGGGACCAATGTGCAAAGGGGAATTCTGAGAAGGAGGAAGACAGGTCTGGGGGCAGGGCTCACGGCGTGCTCACTTGGGACTTCGTGGTTCTTATATACACAGACATTGACCACAGACATACGGCAAGGGCGTACCATCAGGCAAGGCAGGCAGACAGGCAGGCAGTCTGACAGAGTTGACCGACTTGACTGGCTGGGAGAGAGAGAATGCAAGCCTCGCTGCATACCACCTAACTTACGGTACTTGCCTACTCTCGCAACTTAGTGAGAGACGTCAGGCTCAGCTCTAGGCAGACTCGCCGGGTGGGGGGGACGGCGGCGTGCAGTTGGCATTGTCCTCTACCTTATCCCGTCCTGCAGCCTCTCGGGGCGCCGCCGGATGGTGCACCTCGACAACGTAAGTACTCGAGGCAGCCCAATCATGGATGCCACCAACAAGGCAGGGCTGTGCAACACCAAACACCAAGCACTAACGCACCTCGCCCATTCATCCCCAATCGCCAGCCACCACCACCACCACTACTCAGTGCATCAGACCCGTGGGGTCTCTTGGGTCGTGTCGGTTGCCTTCTTTTTCTGCTGCTGCTGCTGCTGCCTCGCTGCTGTAAGTAGTGCCTCTCTGACCTGGCACAGGCTAGCCTGTGGAAACTATGCTGTCTGTATCCCCAGTCTTGGCCGAGCACTGTCTCGTCTCCTGCTTCATCAAGCACTTCGCCCGGGACTTGTCCACTCTGTATCCGAGGAAGAAGTAAGCTGCCTCTCTTGTCAAGCAACCCCCTTACACCAAATCCAGTCCGCCGCTCCAGTGCGTTCCCAGCCCAAACCACACCCACTCGCAGACAGAGAGAGACACACACACATGTACAATGTTGTGCAACGCGACAATCACGCCCAACCTCCTCCCCAACAGGCAAGGAGAAAGTCGGGAGAGGCTACACACAAAACGCTGCAGGACGACAAAAGAAGAGAACCCCCCCCTCCTCCCCCACACAAGACGCCCCAATGAGCGAGAAACCAATAAATACCCCCCCATGACCCCAGCCTTTTTGCTTGCTTTTCGTCACGCCTTTCTCCGTCTCCCACGTGTAAAAGCACCTCTCGTCAAAAGGTGGGGTGGGGGACACGGGAAACATACAGCCACACGCACAGTACTGCTTACCGAGAGTTAGGCTACCACGGATAAAGTACCCGGCATGCCTGCCTGCCTGCCTTGCACCAACCTACAGGCAGAGTCGAGCCGGTCCTCATTGTCACATGGAGCAGACGAGATTCTTGGACATTGTCATTGGGGTTAATATACTGATTATATCCATCCGCGGCCTCATATCTACTTGCCACAGTGGTATCAAACTGGAGCAACGCACACACGCAGATGTACACATCCGCAACTCAACATATTATCCATGCCGTCGTAGGAAACCTTTTATAGGTTGCTTCCGCTTGTCCATGTGAACCCCTCGACCAGCGCTAAACCCAGAAAACTCCACATGATCCATGCATTTCCAGGCGTCCAGGTTGTCAGATGCATTTCCCGTGTCGGCCAAACACCATGCCCATCATAACTTGTCAAAGAAAAATGCAGATTCAGTCGTACCCAGCGCCAGTCCCTTCCAGCCAAAACAAGACAGGTTAGCAGTGGCTCGCACTGCTTGACCCCATGACATTACCACAGTGAGGCTTTCATTGAGTTCGGTAGAACTTTCTGTACAGCAGGTGTAGAAGCAGGTTGACGTTGAGCTTCAGATTGCCTTCAAAGTGGCTGATGAATTGGTGCGCTTCGAACTGCGCTTGCAGGAGATCCTCGATGGGAATCACAGCGCTGGCGCCGGGAATCTGGATATGGCCACGGCTGCCCTCGATATTGAAGATGCCGACTTGGTCGCAAGATATCGTCAGGTTGAGACTGCCCCACTCGCGCTCCGAGTGGCCTTGCCAATGGACGACTACACCCTTGTCCGCCAGTTGGCGCACACTGTACTGATAAGAGCCGAACTTGGGAACGCGACCCGCGCGTTCGAGCTCACGTTGATGGTTGTACTGCCTGGTGAACGGCATGAGGAATCGTTTTTTGCTTTGAGTTGGGTCTGGTCAGCTTAAGTTCGAGCACTCGGTAGATAGCCACACGTACCCTTTCTTGTTTTGCAAGGTCATCATAGCTTGCTCAATATAATCATCGTAGCTCTTGCGTTGCTGCTCGAGATACTTTGCCTTCTCGTGCAGGTTGCCGAGCGTCAAGCGCACTCCTTCCAACTCCTTCTGGCGTTGTATGCGGCGGCGACTCTTGGTGCGGATGTCGAGAGCAATCGCATTCAGGATATCTTGGTAGTAGTTGTGCTTGGAAATGCGACCCATATGCTCAAGATGCATAATGTTCTCTAGAGCATTGCGCTTCATGTCGTAGTACGACATGCGGGTCACGTCGACCATGTTGACATCCGAATAGGCGCCCTTTGTGTTGCTGCCACTGGCAAAGTCGTCCCTGAGCAAAGCTTGCCACTTCATCTCATCTTGCTGAGTCGGCGGTCTGACGAGGATCTCCAGGAGGTTCGCACCCGTCTGCACGCGAATAATGTACAAGACGCAGCGTTTTGTCTCCATGAACAGAGCCTTGATATCCGCATCAGGGTCTCCGACATCATGCAGCTTGGGGGTCAGGAACATCTGGATATCCGACGACCCCGCGGCAACCATTTCGTTCTCGTTGCTCTTGGCACTACCCAAGTCTTGCATGATCTCGCGCAGGAGGTCATCTCTACCCGGGCAGATGCTCGGGAGGTCTTGCGCGATAAGAGTATGGATGGCGAATATGTCCGTCATCTTGATGTACAAAGTCGGCTTGTTCTTGGCGTACAGGTCGTTGAATTCGTCAATGTCGAACGTGTTCTCCGCGTCTGGAACGGAGATCAAATCATTCGTGATGTGGTGGAGACGCTCGATGGATTCCGTCACAAACCCATTCAGTGGCTGCAAGTAGATATTGTCTCCACCAAATGGCCGGCCAGAAACAATCTGGCCAAGCACCTTGGCGACTTCTCCGAGATTGCGTTTTTGCAAGGGGCTGAGGGACTTCTCTGTGACACCAACCTGCTCCGGGTTGGTGATCGCTGGCTGGAGGTAGAAGCGCCACACCCAAGTACCAACAATCTGGAGAATGTGGTGTGGTGGTTCTCGTGGGAAGCGTTGCCGCAAGGCCTCGAAAGATTGTTGGGCGATGAAGCGTAGCCCGAATGGCATCCTCTGCAATAGATCCTCAAGGGAGAGGAAGTACTGGTCGCAGATCTCCCGGAGATCGCGCAAGTGATCGATAAAGAGCTCTCTCGTCTCGGGGTCCTTGATGGCAAGGTCACGAGGGATGTCGAGAGGTCGATGACTTGGGCGGCCAGTACGGAGCTCTTCATTGCTGATGGCCGACCTGTAGATCTGCATCGGATCACTCTCGAGGTCCAGAGCAGGGTCTTCGATAATGTTGTCTCGAATCATTGGTCCGAGCAAGTCTCGAAGGTACTTGCGGTCGCGTGGCGATCTTGTGTAATTGCCGAAAAGCTTTGTCCAGAAGAAGTTGCCACGGATGTAGTCTTGCAGCGTTTGGCAGCCGTCAACCTCCTCTCTGATGGAACGTGCCACAAGCTTCAGGAGATAGTACTCCTCTCGCCGCTTCTGAGCATATCCGAACAACCCCATCATAAGGTGTTCAATCCTCTTGCATTCCTTCTCCGCAGTGCCCTGCTCCCTGATACGCTTGAACAGGCGAGCGAGGTACTGTGGTTGGGTTTGCAAGTTGAAGAACAACTGCTGGTAGAGCTCGAGCTTCTTCCGAGAGCTCTTGTTGAGAGCCTTGAGGTCAAAATGGTTTGATGACGACATCGAGGTGTTGGCCAGCAGACTGCTGGCATGGCCACCGTAGTTGCTTTGGTGTCTAACGACCTCATCGAGTGTAATCTTGTTCTTGACCAGCAGCGCGATCTTGATGTCGAGCTGGTCAATATATTGTTCAAGCATCTCATTCTGGCGTACTTGCTGGACGACCGTCTTCCGCATGCGCTCAAACTCGACCTCCTCGTTGAAATCGAAATCGCTGTCGTTGAGCAGATGTACAAAGTTCTTGACCGCACCCACAGGGGGGTTCTTGCCCTGCGTAAGACTCTTGTACGCCTCGCCTTGTAGCTTGGCGCGGACGAAACTTTGGATCTTGACAACCTTTTGCATGTTCTCGTTGAAGTGCCGCTTCTTCTCGACGAACTTAGCACGGACAATGAAGCCTTTCGCCAAGGACTGCAGTTCCGTGATGGCCTCGTCGTGCGCATCTAGCTCAGAGAGGAGGTCACCGATTCTGCACCGTAGGAGCATGGCACGAATATATCCTTGCAACGACACAATTTCGCTCTCGTGCGAGTTGAGTTCGCCCAGGAATGCCGCGTTCTTCTTCCGGAACAAGAGGCCACGAATATGACTTTGCAGTCTCGTAATTGGCTCTGTCTGCTCATCTAGCGCATCGAGATCGGCTGCAATTCGTTGACGAGCGAGCATGCCCCGTGTGAGACCTTGAAGTGTGGTGATGGAGTCTTCATGCTCTGCAACGGCATCGAGGAGGTTGGCAATGTCCCGGCGGACGGCAGCACCTCTGGCGTGGCCCTGCAGTCTTTCAAGTTCTGTGACGTGCTTGCGAAGCAAGTCTCTGGTTGTCTGCATTTCCTGACGTGTCTTCTTCGCACGCCATATGGCCTGTATCGATGTGAATTGAGGACCAAACGCTTGGAGCGCGGCCTGCTGGCGGCCGAGTTCGGTACGTGCAAGTGATGCCCGAGCGGCTGACTGCAGCAGTGTGATAGTTGGAACATTGTTGTCGAGGGAGTCCAGCACTGTGGCCACTCGGTCTCTAGCGAGCATACCGCGGATTGCAGCCTGAAGAGATACGGTCGGCCCAGTAAGTTGAGCGGTTTCTTCCCGCTGGACTTCGGCTTTCTCGCGAACCAGGAACCCGCGTATCGCAGCCTGGATGCTTCGAATAGGTCCATTGGCGAAGGCCAGCTGAGCGCGAGTCTCGTCGGTCGCTTGCCGTACCTTCATAGCACGGATCATACTTTGCAGCTTGACGACGTCCTTTTCCTTGCTCTTCCAGACTTGTTCTCGGTTGGCCATGCGGCGTCGCACCAGGAATCCACGGCAGGAGCTCTGGAGATTGACGGCGAACTTGCGCATGTCCATTCTGTAACTGATGACCTGACGGGCCCAGTCGCCTCTTATCCGAGACTGAAGATCAATCAGCCAGTCTTCAGAATCCCAGAGCTTCTGCATGGTGTCGGCCAGTCTGAGACGCAAGAGCGCGCCGCGAATCTGAGCTTGAAGATCGGCAATGCTGGCCTCGTTCTCTGCGAGCTCTCGGTCGATGCGTTCTTCTTCTGTCTCTTCAGGCTCTTCTGGCTCGCCAAAATCGGCCCCCATGGTGCCAAAGCTGGGCATATTAATACCCAGTTTGTCGAGGCCCTTTTGTGTGGCTTCGAGCTCATGGTGCTCAAACTCCAACTGACCGACCAAGTTACCGATACGGAAGTCGACGATGCCTTTCCGGAATAGCAGCCAACTGAGCGCATGGATACAGTAGATGACCTTTGGAATGTTCTTCTTCTCGTAGAGGTCGATGAGCTCGAAGCGAAACAGGTCTGGCATCTCAACTTGATCGAGATATTTGAAGAATGTGTGGACATTCTCCCAGTGTCTCGCTTGTAGTCGAGCGTGGCGGAAGATGCGATACCGGCGATCCGGCTCGAGAGCCTCGACGACCTCGGCCAGGGTAACACCATCGCGTAATGCCTCCTCCAATTCCACGATGGGTGGGATCTGGCGTTGGATGATGTCTTCAATCCATTCTTTTGCCTCTCCTATGTGGCAGAGATATTCATATGCTTGGAGAAATTGCCTTTGCTTGTCCATCCAGTTGCGGCCTTCAAACCCATATCGATCAGCTCGCTTCAGACCACTGGCATCTCCAGAGCGTTGCAGCTTCCTCCGACCTCGGAGTCCGACTACTTCCTGTCCTGGCGTTGTGATCGAGAACGGGTCGTCGCCGCTATTTTGCGCGAGCCGGGACAGAGTACGGAGCTGAGAAGTGGATGAGCGTCCAAGCTGCTGCAGGTCTGGACGGAAAGGCGCGTGCACAACCGCCCCAGGAGAGGACGCGGTAGGCGAACCGGTGTGTAGTATCGAGTCAGATCGCGTGAGAACCATTGATGTTGGGCGGGAGCTGAGATGGCGAGGTATATGTCCCGGGCTGACTGGCTCGGGAGAGGTGGCCGCAAAGTCAACACTCAACCCTCGAGTCTGACGTGGCGGGCGCGGTGGTGTCGTCGGCGCTGCCACCGGAGAGACTGGAGCGGGTGCCTGAGGAAGCGGTCGGGGACTTGATGCCTTGGGCGATACTCGGGGATCTGCAATTGACAACCTGCCCATATCGAAGCTCTTGCCCCGTTCATGTCGGTCAGGCCGCGGAGGAGTGCGTGCAGAGGGCGGTCCATCAGCAGGCGGCTGTGGCAGTGGCTTGAGAGACTGCCGGGCCAATGAGAAGGTGCTATTCTGGTTTGCCGAGGAGATTGCGTACTGGCGGTCCTCTTTGGGCTGGATATGGCGGAGGGCTGCCTCGCTCTTGCCTCGACGGTGGGCGTAGGCCGGAGGCTTGGGGTCGCCGTAGGTCATTGAGGCGACCGAGGAGGCTGTGCTGCCATAGGCATCTGAGGCACCAGAGGTGTATGAATATCCCGAAGATGCGGATGACGAGGTTGTGGATGGGTATCGGTTGATCAGATGCGGAGACGCACCGTTGTCAATGGTGTATGACTGGCGGAGCGGGTGTGGGCGGTGCGCCATGATGGCGGTAGTGGCAATCGTTTGGCGAAACTCCGTTACTGAATGCCGGCCGGAGCCAGGTTCGTCATGACACCCTCAAGTAGGGCTTGTTTGCGTCCTTGAGCTACGGTTGTGACGGAGTTTTGTTGTTGGGATGTCATGGGTTGGTGGAAGCTCCGGGCGCGGTGAGGCGGACAAATGTTTGTCTGTGCGTGCTTTGCAGTACAGAAATGCGTAACAGGTAAAAACGCGCGCGCGGCGCACACACAAGGACGAAGTGAAGTGCAGCCACGAGCTTGTCGGCGCTGAGGATGTCTCGTAGGTCGAAGGAGCAGTGATAGAATACAATGGGTCAGCCTTCGAGTCAGACCCTGGCCGGCATTTGGGTCGGGCGAGGGTTATGGGTGGTGACGGGCTGGGCACGATGAAGGCCATCAGGCTCGAGGCTTGTTTATCCCCTTCGGGCAGTTTGTTTATTTACTCGGGCGCACCAGCAACGAGGGCGCCTCTTCTGGACTAGCGCCCGCAGGATCTGGACCGGGCAGCAGAGTGGCCCCACCATGACTGCAGCCCCGCGTCAAAAGTCAATGCGCTTGACGTCGGAGCTTTGCTTATCTTATCGGCAGCATTTCTGACCAAGCAGGCCCACTCCTGTACCCCCCAGGCTGGCCGCAGTTGGGGAGGTGGCGGTCGTGTTAGTGTCGCATATGGGTGTGCGCGCACAGTTACTAACAGCCAAGCGGCTGCCCCGCCCCTGCCTGGCCGTGCGACCCTGGATCGGCGCTGCAAAAAAAGTTCTCGGCGGCGCGACTCGAGCAGAGTTCTCTTCTTTCCCTTTCTTCTCTCGGGAAGGAGAATACAGGTCAATCCGTCAGCTCGTCAAGACAAGCTCACACGGCGTCCAGCTCCAACCTCGCAACAGCTCTTTTCTTCCTGCTTTGCTCCTCGACTCGTCCCTGCAGATTTTGCTCGTCAGGATGCCGTCCACCAACGGAAGCAGCACGCTCAACGGCGGGGCCGGAGTGCTTGACCACACCAAGGCCCTCGATCTCCTCAAGGAGTACCAGAGCCGTGATGGTCTGGGCATTGAGGACCTGGTTGACACCAAGCAGCAGGGTGGTCTCACCTACAACGACTTCCTCATCCTGCCTGGCTACATTGGCTTCGCCGCCTCCGAGGTCAGCCTCGACTCGCCTGTCACCAAGCGCATCACCCTCAAGACCCCCTTTGTGTCGTCTCCCATGGACACTGTCACGGAGCACGACATGGCCATTCACATTGCCCTCCAGGGTGGTCTCGGTGTCATCCACCACAACTGCTCGGCCGACGAGCAGGCCGAGATGGTTGCCAAGGTCAAGCGTTACGAGAACGGCTTCATCATGGATCCCGTGGTCATCAGCCGCGAGACCACCGTCGAGGAGGCTAGGGCCCTCAAGGAGAAGTGGGGTTTCGGCGGCTTCCCCGTTACTGGTAAGTGCATTTTTTGTTTTGTTTCTGAACCGCCCGACCTCGCATTGCCTGATTACGACAAATAATTTTATAACTTTCGTTCCACCGTATAGACAGAAATGTCATGGGGATTCAATTATGCTCTTTATGATCTTTGCAGCCTCGTCTACACTTTTTTGAGTCACCTCATTGTATCTCTGGTAGACTGACCACAGATATCTGCAGAGAATGGCAAGCTCGGCTCCAAGCTCCTTGGTATCGTCACCAACCGTGATCTCCAGTTCGAGGACACCAACCAGACCGTCGACAAGGTCATGGTCACAGACCTCATCACCGCCGCCCACGGAATCGACCTGCTCGAGGCCAATAAGATTCTGGCCAAGTCCAAGAAGGGCAAGCTCCCTCTTGTCGACAAGGACTTCAACCTGGTGTCTATGATTTCGCGCTCGGATCTGACCAAGAACCTCCACTTCCCTCTTGCGTCCAAGCTCCCCGACTCAAAGCAGCTCATCTGCGCTGCTGCCATTGGAACGCGCCCCGAGGACAAGACCCGCCTCAAGAAGCTGGTCGACGCCGGCCTTGACATTGTTGTGCTCGACAGCAGCCAGGGTAACAGCATGTACCAGATTGACATGCTCAAGTGGATCAAGTCCGAGTTCCCTGGCCTCGACGTCATCTGCGGTAACGTCGTGACTCGTGAGCAGGCGGCCAACCTCATTGCTGCTGGTGCCGATGGCCTGAGAATTGGCATGGGCAGCGGCAGTGCCTGCATTACGCAGGAGGTCATGGCCGTCGGTCGCCCTCAGGCTGCTGCCGTCTACGCCGTCTCGTCTTTCGCTGCTCGCTTCGGCGTCCCCTGCATTGCGGACGGCGGTATCCAAAACGTCGGCCACATTGTCAAGGGTCTGGCTCTCGGCGCCTCCACCATCATGATGGGTGGTCTGCTGGCCGGTACCACCGAGTCGCCCGGTACTTCATTCGTGTCCCGCGAGGGCAAGCTCGTCAAGGCGTACCGTGGCATGGGCAGCATCGACGCCATGCAGGACAAGAAGGCCGGCGGCGGCGGCAAGAACAGCCAGGCCAGCAACGCCGGCACTGCGCGGTACTTCAGCGAAGGCGACAGCGTCCTGGTTGCACAGGGTGTCTCTGGCGCCGTCGCGCACCGCGGCTCCATCAACAAGTTTGTGCCCTACCTGGCCGCCGGTCTGAAGCATTCGATGCAGGACTGTGGTGTCAAGAGCCTGCGGGAGCTCCACGAGAGCGTCGCGGCTGGCACCGTCCGCTTCGAGATCCGCACTGCCAGCGCCCAGCTCGAGGGTGGTGTCAACATGGAGAGCTACGAGAAGAAGCTGTACGCTTAGATGCGTTATTTGGGATTCCGGAGTGTTCCCATATGCGCGTGTGTGCGGACACCACGCACACACACACACTATACAAATGATAACGATGATGCATGCATGATTTTGGAATTGGGAGGTACGATTGGGCTGCGCTTTCAGTAGCAGAAAGGGACAAGGGATTTTGCATGAAAAAAGTTGGGTTCTAGTTCTTGCTGCGAGACTCATATATCACAACGGCGTTTATTCTTTTCTCTGGTGTGTTTTGGGAGGATTTGGAATAGGATGGATGATGGTGGGTCTGTAAGGGCAAGGGAAGGGTTTGGCTAGTAGCACGACAGCAACAAAACTTTTTCCCTTGCTTGTCGTTGCTAGAAGCAGACAGACAGAGGTTCGCTATTAGCGCAATGGAAGAAGAAAACCGTATTCCACCTCGATTATACATATCATGACAAATATCTTCACCCTACACACTTATGCGCTTTCAATGGATCAATATGTCCGCTGCGTTGGCGCTCTGTGTGAACTGGTGCTTGACTTCATCTTCCTTCTTCACCTTCCTCCGTTCTCTTTCCCCAGTCCCCCATGGGGCCGGGAGTTGACATGAATGAGCACCCCGCACAACAGGCACGTAGATGGGGTTTCCCTCTCTCGGAGCTCGACGACTTTCTGCAAAGCACACCGAAGCGTCCTTTCCAAAAAAAAAAAAAAAAAAAAAAAAAAAAAGGAAAGAAAAAAAGACCAATGGTGTCTATGCCAACGCCGCCAGCGCCCCAGATTGGCTCAGCGTGAGCAGAGCAGAAGAACGGAAGACGTGATTTGAGAGCTGCTGTATCCCAACTACTGTACGACACGGCTCGTCTCGCCACCCTCCCCCGCCCTTCCGCACTCAGCATTTGACATTGGAATTCACATGTTAAGATCAAATGTGGTCGCGAACCGGGCACCAAAGTACAAAGTAGAAGGTAGAAGGCGAAAGAGGAAAACAAAGGTCATATATGCGGCCCGCTTGTTCTATGTAATATGCATGGGGGACAACTTGCCTTTTGTCCCCCCATTCTCCAAGAGTGATATATGAAATACAAGAGTGTTACAACACGAGAGTCCTTTTTTGGTTATTCTCAAGTATCTTCTCTCGCCGCCAACTGCCTAACATCCCCAGGCACGTCCCCGGCTCTCCTTCTTTCCCCGTAACCGTTTGACCATCCGACAACTTTCTACGAAGAGGAAGCCTTTGCGCCCTCGTCCTTCTTGTTCTCGGTCTTCTTCTTGCCGTCGTTCTCGTTCTCGTGCTCGTGCTTGCGCTCGTTTATCCTGCGCTCCTCGGCGGCGACCATGTCCTTCCAGAGGTCCTGGCCCTCGTACTCCTCCTTGTGCACCTTCTTCTCAATGAGGCGCTTGTGCTCCGGGTCGGCCGGGTCGAGCACCTTGACGGTCTCCCAGCGACCCGAGCCGGACTTTGCGTCTGCGGTCTCGAAGGCGGCCGAGGCGACGAGGACGGCGAGGGTGAGCCCCTGTGCGTAGACACGGGCCTGGACGAGCTTCTGCGAAGTGGAGAGGTACTTGTTGCGGCCGACCATGGCGAGGGCGATGCCCATGCTGGCGAGCCACGAGGCAAAGACGATTGAGTAGCGGTTCCTGCGGCCCCATTCCTTTGCGGCCTGCAGGCCCGTCTCCTGGGCGCGGGCGGCCTCCTGGGCAAGCTGGGCCTGGTCCTTGTAGAAGTTCATGGGGTTGTTGCGCTTGTGGAAGTCGTTGGAGTAGCGCTCGGCATTGACGATGGCGGCAAAAGTTCCAGTCGAGGTGACGAGGAAGGCGCGGAAGGGGATGGTGAGCTGGCGAAAGGCCGTGTAGCGGCGCGATGCGATTGCGACGCCGGCGAGGCCAGCGCTGAGGCCGAGGAAGCCGCCGATGGAGCCGCCCTTGAGGACCTCGCGGTAGTGGGCGGCCTCTTCCTCTTTGGAGACGACCTTCATGTTGGTGGTGGTGGTTGCTGTGCTTTAGGTGGTGGTAGATGGGACAAAATTGGTTTGTTGTCTGGGTGGTGAGGAGGGCGATGACGTCGTCGGTGTCTTTTTTTTTTTCTTCACCCGCTACTGTCTGTGGTGGAGATGTGTGGGTGCAAGCGGTGGCAGTGTGTTTGTGTTGCTGAGGTTGAGTGTGCGTCTCTTTCTGAAGCTTGTATCTTGCTGGCGAGGCAGAGTGTACAGTGCAGAGCTCGGCGGGCGCGAATGGGTATTTGAAGCTAGAGGTGAAGCCGAGTGCGGGCTCGCCGTCGCAACTCGGGATCTGCTCAGCGGGAAAAGCGTGCAGAGCCCGAGGGGCCAGAGGAAAAGGTGGGACGATGCCGAGTGTGCAAGGCCGGACCGCCTCGTACGTTGCAAGGTTGGGTCTGTCTGTCGTGATGACTAACGCCGGTGGTTACTCTGGCGTCGCGTTTGAACCAGCCGCTTGCACGAGATGCTTCGAGGTTGATGTCTGTTGCCGGTTTGCTGTGTGTGTCTCTCACTCTGGTGGGATTTGTTTGGGGTTGGGACGAGACTGCAAAGGTCAGTGTCTGTTGTTGTCGCCTCTGGTCTATCTTGTTAGTGACGAGCACTTGGTGAGGGATCCCCGCCGACAATTGATGATGCGCTGCCCACAAAACTCTGACGACATTCAACCCCCCCCCCCCTCATTCGCTCCTTCCTTCGTTCCAGCAGACCTCGAGGTACTCACTCGGTATGTAGAGGTACTTTGACATTCTAACGCGAGCCTGCACCGCATAGTACTGCACTACCACACCACATCCGACACTTTGCATTACAGGACGTCCATGGGTGGTGGCCCATCATCATTGTGACACGACAGCCTCTGCCTGGTTGCTGCTGCTGAGCTAATCTGCAATCCACGTCAGCAGACAAACACGATTACAAGAACCAAGAAACACAAGCCAGACGGCAACCCTGCGAAGCCGCAAATCCCGGGACCAAGAGACCCAGGCCAACTCCAATCCACCAGCCAAACACACAACACGCAAGGAAACCTCATCCCGAACACCAAAAAAATCACAAGACGAGACAAGAAACCGCCCATGCCGAGCTATGTCCGGCCCACCAAGCCCCATACGTGTGTGCGTGCGTGCGTGTGTGTGCTGTGTAAGACACCCCCCCGACCAGGCAAAGCGCGAGTGCCGGGCCAGGCCGCGCGAAATGCGGACATGCGACAATTGCGAATTACCCAGCCAGCTACAGGCCTCCCCCCCAAAATAATTCACTGTGCAGCATTTCCCACCCCGGTTCCGCCCGCCCGCCGCCCGCTCGCCCGCCAGGAGCATGCCCCAGGTGTGTCAATCTCCCTGTCTGTGAATATGGTAATCACCATACCATTCAAAGTAACGTAAAGTATGATATGGCCTTCCGGTCCCTCCCGCCACCGCCCCAGCCGCTTGGGTCACGCCCTTGCATGCCCGTTACCTGTTGCGTGTTGCGTGTTGCGCCGCCGCATGACTGCTGTTTTCTTCCTGGTTTCGGCGTCTGCTTTGGACGAGAAAACAAGACGACCCCCAGGGGTCCCCCGCTCCTCCCAAAAATATCAAAGCAGATCCCGAGAATGACAAAGACGAGGGAGAGAGATCTCCGGAGATAGAGGGGGGCACGTGCTCACTTTTTCCCCCAGCAGAGCATTCACTCTCTCTCTCTCTCTCTTCGCTCGGCCATGTAGAACGCGCTTCGGAGCAAAGCAAAGAAGAAGAAAGGAAAGGAAGAGCTTGGTCATAATTATGTTCCTCAAGCCCCCTTCCTACGGTTGGTTGGTACCTGCAGCCATTCAAGGTTGTCTTGAGGGGGCGTGCCTGTCTGGCAGCTGTACTACTATGGTAGAGGCAAAAGGGCAGGGAGTAGTTGCCTTACGTCAGTCTGAGCCGTCCAGGCCCACACCACCACCACCACCACCCGTGCAAAGCACCAACCATTGCCAAAACTTGGGACAGCAGTGCAACCACTGGTTCGTCGCAACTTCACGCGACAACTCGCTGGTGAACATTTGTCTTTTTTGAATCAACTGTACCTAAGGCCTCCCTCTGCTCTTTTGCTTTTCTTTCTGTCTCCTGCTTTCCCCCACTTCGTACCAGGCAAAGTCCGACATCCCCAGCAAAAATTCCTACATGCGCCAGTTGTATGGGCCCCTTCCTCCTCTATAGCAGAAGGGTATAAAGCAAGGCGATTCCTCCCGCCGCCTCATTATGCAATGCTCTCAAGAATAAAGACAAGACCAGACAACCAGCAACGCCGTCCTGAATGCAAGAATCCATATAATAAAAAAACCAAGCAAAGCTTTTGTTCGGGGATAGAGGGTTGAGTGTGGGTGCGTGGGTGGGTCTCCACAGGATCGGGTTGTGACTGTGGGGGAAAAGCCAGGCCTTTGTGTGAGATGATGATTTGTGTGTCGGAGAGTGACAAGGGGGTATCCAGTCTATGTGCAGTTGTCTATATCGTCGTCGAATAACCAGCAAGTGTATCAGCCGGCCGTAGGCATCGGGAGGCTTGCGCCTGTCACCCATCCTACATCTGCATCTCTTCGCCAATGCCCGGCAGCCCGGCACTGGGGCTGCTGAACGGCATTTGCCCTCCAGCCAGATTTTGCCGGATCGCGGCTGCCTGCGCAGCAATCTCGCAAGGGGTCGAATGTTGTTTGTGCTGCATGACCGTGTCAGCGGAGTGGCCATGCCAGCACAGACTGCCGCATCTGGGAGGAACGAACTTACGTATTTGAGACCGTTCAGGTTCTTGTACCGCTTGTTGCAGTACTCGCACTTATGAGGCTTCTCCTTCTCCATACCTGTCTCGCCAGGATAAGGTGCAGACGTCTCCGGGTTCACTATGGAGAAGGTGCCGTCACCGTTTTCGTGTAATTGTTGGTTCTGGTGGCCGTGTTGCTTGTGGTATCTGCTAAATGTTAGCAAGGCCATCTCACAAGCTGCAGGCTATGTATGGGCAAGACTCACTTCAGACCGTTCTGGTTCTTGTAGGCCTTTTCGCACCCAATCACGGGGCACTTGAAAGGCTTGTCCTCCTCGGGAGGAATCATGACGCCGTTGGGATTATGCAGGGCCTGGTAGATGGCAGTCAGGCGCGTTGCCTCGCTCATATTCGCAAACTGGTTCTGGTCGAGACCAAATTGGGCCATTTGCGTCGCGAGCGCTGCCCGTTGGCTCGCGGAATTGGCATTCGAGCTGTACAGGCTCTTGGCGGGGTCGTTGATGAAGTACTCGAGGCTCGTAGCGTCGAGATTCGAAAAGTCGCCGAGGTTCAGGCTTGCGTCCAGTCCAGCAAAGTCGTCCTCGCCGTTGGCGGGCTGGCCAAGGCCTTGCGTAGATAGAGTCGGGGTGTTGACAGAAGAGACCGTGGGGTTGTTCTGGAAGTTGAACCCACCGGCGCCAGGCGTGGACGGTTGTGAGGTGCGAAGACCCTGACCGAGAGCACCGCTGTTGAGCTGGAGCTGTGGCCGTGTTTGTTGCCCACCAAACATCTGCCGTGTCTGCTGCAGATTCCGCGAAGGGTCGTCCATCTCCATCATGCCGACAGTCTCGTCGAGCTCCATCTCGCCCACGGTCTCCATCTCGTCGTTGGTCTGCATATTCGTCAGGCCAGAGGCTTTCTGGCCATTACCCAGTGACTGCCCGCCAAGCTGCATGCCACCAAAGCCGCCAAGCCCGTTCGAGCCATTGCTGTTCATGCCGCGGTTTTGCTGGCCGAAACCGAGCTGGCTCGGGCTTTGGAAGCCTTGGTGGCTGGGCGTGCCACTTCCGAACCCTCCAGGAGTCAGCTGTTGCTTGCTGACGGAGAGGCGCTGGCCCATGGGCATGGCGGGCTTGTTATTGGGCTGTGCGTTGCTGCCAGTGTGCACAGTCTCGTAGTGACGCAGAAGATCGTGAAAGCTGTCGAGTCTCTGGTTGCAGCACAAGAAATCTCGAAGGTACTCGGCCTCCATCTTGGGGATGTACGAGTTGGAGTGGAAGGACGAGGACGGCTGCGCGCCCTGCCATGGTGATGTACCTGTCAACATGATCCTGGAAGCCAAGTGTTAGTCCTGGGAGGCTGACCTCATCACGAAGCTGATCACACGAGCGACTGCGACCTGACGGAAACAGCTGGTGGGTGTCGCCAGCGGCTACAGGCGCGGGGTGGCCGAACGGATGTGTAACACTTGCGCGACAGGCTTTCGCTCCTGCGGCTCGCGTCACAGGACAGGCGTGTGGGAGATGACTCTATGCAGCAAATGGAAGGAAAACAGGAAATGGTGGCACATACTCGTCGCGGACAAAGCTCCCGATGGAGACGCCTCCCCAGCTCATGCCGTTCATCATGCTGCCGGCCAAGCTCTCGCGCCGCCCGCGGCCATCGGCGCCACGGTTGGGATTTGTCATGGAGATGGGCTTTGGCCCTGCGCTGACAAAGGAGTCCTGGCGACTGCGGCTCAAGGCCGAGTCAAAGGTTGGGCCGGTCGTCATGTCGAAATCACCGTCCAGGTCGAGGCTGATGTCGACGTTGAGGCCAGTGTCGAGGGGATCGTGTACGGGGCGCTGGAATGGTTGGGGCTGCGACGGGTGTGACGACGACGACGACGACGACGAGGAGGGGATGTCGATGGCGGGCACAGAGGCAGTGGGTGAGGCTGATGAGGAAGAAGAGGAGGGGCGGTGCGCGGCGGCGGTAGCGGCGGTGGTGGCAGCCGCAGCAGGCGTGGGTGGTGACGGTACCTGAATGCGGAGAGGTGTGGTGGGTGAGGTCCTTGATGAGGATGACGGGGAGCTGGCGTTGTAGTCGGCAGGCAGCGGCTTGCCTGCACTGGAGGCAAAGTGGTAGCTGGGGCCGGCGATGTCGGCCTGTGAGTTCTCGGGGGTCGCGGGCTGTGGCGAAGGCGAGGGCGACGAGAGGGAATGTGAAGAAGTTGGCGTGGTCTGGTCGGAGGGGGAGGTACTGCAGGTGGTGGTGGGAGGCGCCGCCGCCCAGGAAGAAGAATTATTATGGGCGACAGTGCTTGGGGGGGCCTTAGCCGATGGGTGTGCAGCGGTACTGGTACATGTGCCGCTGGGCGGTGTCGTCGAGCCAAACCAGCGCCCTAGACCCTTCATGACTTCAAGCCGGGTGGGATGGATGCGCCTTGGGTGGAGACCTGGCGGCCGTGGGGCGGGCGGCGCGGGCGGTACTGGGACTTTTCCGCAGGACGGACGGGCAGAATGGATGGATGGCCTTCGTCCCCGTCGAAAGATGGGAGCAGGAGCAAGGCAGCAGATTGCGATCCAGGCAGGAGCTGGACTGGCTGTGTCTGCACTCGGGGGGTTGTTGCCAAGGCAGAGACAGGCAAGTACACAGAGAGGCGCCGTTCGCAGACAGCCGCTTTCGCCGTGAGCAAGGCTGGCTTCCGAGGGGGGCGGGTGTAAGCTGAGCGCGGCGGAGCAGATGTTCGTTGCACGTGTCTAGCTCGGCAGGACCCTGGAAAGCGAAGGGCTTCCCGAGAACGATGGAGATGAATGAAGTCGCGGAGATGGAGGACACTGAGCACGGGCAGAGTATTGGGGGGGAGACCTCGAGGGTGAAATGAAACAAGAGCAATGCTTAATGTTTAATACCATCTGCCGCGCGCGCACGCACGCACGTCGCCCTCCGGCATCTGCTTGGCCAGCCATGGCAGGCGTGTGGACGCCATGCGTCGTGGTGGTTCCGTCGTCGTGGTGGATGGGTCCCAACGCCGTCACTCAAGCCAAGGGGGCCCTAGCTAGCCTGCAGCCAATACAGAAAATGGACTGGCAGGGGTACGCAACAAGTCTAAGTCCCTGGCGGGCACGACCTTGATCATGCTCGTCCACCAAAGACGGATTCCCGCCGTGGTTTGTCCTGATCAACAGAGGAAGGATACATGGACCTGACCTGTGCCCTACATCTCCTTTCCCCGACAGCTACGGGCGCCTGCCCTTCACCCCGGACTCTGACGAGAGAATTTCTCAATCTACATTGCCGAGACTGCTGCAGAGGAGTTGTGCAGACCAGTCTCACCAACAGAGGCATGGGAATGCGGCAGGTCTCGGTGGGTGGTTGTGATTGGCATGACCTAGCTCCGCTCGACCTGGAGGAGGGATGACGCGCCTGGAGATATGACACGGGTATCCACGCACACTCGACAGCGGACGAGTCGCAGTTGCAGCAGATCTCTGGCCTCGGACTGATCGATCTCGTAGAGTAAATAAGCTCTGGTATGTGGACAGCCGCATGAGGGCGTGAGGTCGACAAAGGTGCGCAGGCATCGCGCTCAAGATAGCATGACAGTGATATCATGCCGATCATACCTGACACAACTGGCCATCACCTTGCCTAGCACAAGCGTGGGTGGTTGGCAGCTCAAAAGGTCGGGTACACTCTGCGACGTAGCAGAATTTCCGTACTAGAACGATGGCACTGGCAAGCACGAGATCAATCGTGACAACATTATCCAGGTACGAGGCCACGAAAGCCAGGAGCTTCGAGATGCCCATCTCGCCTGGACGCCTGCGGCGCAGTCGCTCCTCTTGGAGAGTCTGACAAGTCACGGCACGAGTCCAAGCGCTCTTGCCATCTTGATCATGGCTCCCCAGCCGACCTGAATCGGTGCTATCGCTCAAACAGGGCACAGAAAGGGAACGGCGTACTGGCAGGACGGGTCAAGACGATCTGGGATTGCGAGGTGCCGCGGGCTGAGCTGCCGACCTGGCGCCGGCGTCCAAACCCCGTTACCCAGGACTCCGCCGTTGCGTCACCTGGATCGCCGGGGACAGACTCATGGACATGGCAGAGGCCAGGTAGAGAGAGCATGGGTCGCATGGATCTGCGTGGATGCTGATCTAGCTGGCTGTGGCTGGCTGTCCAAGTCGGCAGCTCTCCAGCTTGGCTCAATTACGGTGCCTGCTGGACACGGCGGCTCATGACATTCAGCAATTGGTCTGCTCGTCCCTTTGCGAACATTGGGGTCTGCCGTGTTGGTGAGCGCGGCCCTGCAATTGACTTGCAAAATGACAACCTGGCGGCAGAATAACAAAGAAAAAAGTCGACCGCCCAAACTTTTTTGGCAATCGATTGGGGATGGCCCCTGTCTCACGGCCGCGAGAGCTCTCGATGTTGGGGGGGTTGTGGTGTGTTACACCGCGGCTGGACGAGCTGCAAACGGCGATGCGGAACGCGGCAGATTCGATGCGGTGAGCGCTCCAGCCAAAGGGAGTGCACGCCCACTTCACAAAGAGGTGTGTGGAGGGAAGGCACATGGCAATGATGGGCAACAGCCCGGCGAGTCAAGTTGGCGCCTCGGCGCCCCTCCCCAGCAGTACCACGAGAGCGCAGATGGGACTGGCAATCCGAGCTTACGGCCTCTGGGAGCAATCCTCTCGAACCCTGTGAGAGGATCGGACCCCGGCTCCGTCCCGCCTGTCAAAGAGCACGCACGCCCAATGCACCGCGATTGCTACCATAGTAGCCGACACTCGCCGACACACAGGTGTAATAGCTCACGCCTCCACCGCTAGCAAGGACGCCAAGTGCGACATCACATCATAGTGCCATCAAGCTTAGAGCATCGCCGTCGCCCAGCAGCCAGCAGTCGGGGCCAGACACGAACAGCTGCCCCAGCTCTGTCGCCCGATCGAAACTGCGCCAACCCTCGATTCGAAACATGGCTTGAAAGAGGGGGGTCCCCGGCACGTACGGGATTCTGCCCCAAATGTGACGTCTAGCCGATGGACTCTGTACAATCTCCCACACGAAGCACGAGCCGAGCTGGGAGGCCGAGAATCTGCTACAAAGCCCACGTCGCTTGCTCGTGTGAAGACTCCCAACAGAGAAGTGGCCCACGCCAATCACGAGAGGACCTTCCTCAACGAGAGATCTGTGCCGCAATCTCCAACATCTACTTTCTCAGACAATGGCCTTTTGATTTTCCTCCTCATCAAAGAGTACGCATGTTCTGAATGAAGTTAAAAGGATTCCTGCCTGATCAACAATGCTGATCCTACGGACCGAAAGCTCCTTTGCAACGCGGTGCTGCGATCCGGCCTGGGTTAGTCTCAACCAATGCAGAAAAGTACAACACAGTCACTAATTCCAACGACAAATGCTGCCGGCAAGTATCGGTATAGTTTGAAGGCGAATCAATGCACATAGGTTCAGTCCGGCATTGTGGTGCATCGATGCTGCCTAGTGGGAAGTACATGACTCACATGAAGTCCAGTGTGAGTACGGGAATCCTCCCTCACTGGTGGTTGATCATGCCCGGAGCCGCCGCCCGCAGAACGGAGTCAGCAAGCATCCACCACTACAAGTCTGGGAGGCATCCACAAGCCCAATCAACGATCATGATATGAGCCTGGCTTACACTTTGCCAGGGCCCTATAGCCGCAGGCTCTGTGATATACGCAGAGCCGTCAGGTATGATTGTAGCGGGGTTGAAAGAGCATTTGGACGAGCCCTGACCTCGACCTTTCCCAAGTCATCGTGTCCATTGCTGGTGTCAAGCTAGGAACGACATTTGCGCCACCTTTTACTGGTATGTGGAACCAGTGGCCCCGCTCAGGCCGTGATACTTGACTCGGTATCCCCCACTAGCTGGTGGGTTCCTGGGCAAATCGGCGAGACATGTTCCTGCTTGAAGGTGTGCGTGGAGAACATGCTGGTTGGGACCCTTGCGCACTTGACTAACGTCAACAAGTTAGCTCTCCTGCTCAGGTATCGCAACAGATGCCTCGCAACAGATGTCCTGCGCACTCCCCTTTCCTCCGCGGTCTTGTCCTTCATAGAAAATGAGATGCACGGTCTTGCATCAGAGTGCTTGAGACAAGCAGATAAAACCTCGAGTACGGGTTTCTCGTGGGGAGGGGCGCAAGAGCCAGGGAAGCACGTCGGAACCAGCGGGGTGTCACTGCCCTCCCCTCCACAGTACAGATCATTTTGAAGGCACGCGCGGCAGTTGCATGCCTGGCCCACTCGCCATGTGGTTCAGTCAAAATAATGCCGTGAGTGGGTTGGCAAGGACAAGAGTCGGACCTCAAACGATCCTTGAAGCAAGTCATTATTATGTCTTCGATCGTTGAGGGAAATCCATGGCTGCACTCATGCGCTTGAAACCCCCCCCCCCCCGGGCTGCATGTTTGACAGCACACCATATCGACTTACACGACACGGGTTTGCTGTACTTGGCTGGCTGGGCTCATCTGCCAGCCAGGAGGTCGTCAAAGACACATGCGCGCTTCGTCATCCTTCCTTGCCACCCCACATGTCATTGAGATCCTTCGTATTTGTGAAGCATCACCAACATAAACCCCAAAAACGTATCAGCAGCATCGTTACCTGGATGCTTTATGGCGGCGGGCACGCAGCAAACACGAGTCCCATCAGAGCCTCCCGACATGATACTCTATCCCAAAAGCTGCCGGCCTTTTCCAGGGGAGTGCACTCTCCATTTTCATGGGCCCAAATCCTGTCCAGCACATGCAAAGCACGGATGTCGAGCGATGCATAAACGGTCCGCCTAGCCTCGCGAGCTCGTTCGAATACCGAGCCTACCTGCTCAACCGACCCACTGCTCTCCGGCTCTTTACGTAAGGATTGGACCCTGAATCCGCAAGCTATACTACGCATCTCCACCTATGAGGTAACAATTTGGCCTGGTATGGCCTGGCCATGGCCAGCCTCCCGGTCAGGCTGCGATCGATCACGGCACCATGGTGAAGAAGAGCCACATTTTCAGTCTCGCCTGGCCCACTCATGCTTGCACCCGACCGAAGTTGACGCTGAGCAATCGACCCAGTCGGCAGGCAATGAGATGATGGAGTCTTCCAAACTTCGATGCCTGCTTGTTTTTGAGAGACGAGGGTACGGAACTAAAGGTCTGACGCACGGGCCCCCTTCCACACACATTCTGCGGGTCAAATGCCGCGCGCCATGGCTCAGACTGCTTGGCGCTTTGCATTGTGTGCAGATGTTGCTCGGTCCCTCGTCGGCCTGTAGCTGTCTGTGAGAGCCTGGAACGATCCTCGTCTACAAAGTCGAAGCGCCTGCCACGAGACGCTAGTCCCTGAATATGGATTCCGCATTTGGGCATTCTAATCAGAACTATTGGTGCTACCAACAGCCCAGTCTAGGTTCAAAAGGATAGCCCATGAGTCGAGCTGTTCTGAAACAGCCAGTTTCTCGGGTCGATTCTCATACCAGAGCGAATCGGTGGTGCTCCGAAAGCTCCTGTGGTATGAAGCAGTTACGAGCCCCTGTCAGTCTCGACCAGGGGCCGAGTTGTCACTTTGCTCCATTTCCCCGAACGTGGGACTGTTCGGCCTGGCTTTCCGCAAGCCTCGCACGGGGCATTCCGCGCTTCAGAGGTTCTACTGTTATAGTGCTATTGGCCTGATGTGCTGACCGCCTCACGCGCAATGCCTCGAGTATATTTTAGCAGCGCCTCACCGAGCTACTGATTCGGATTGGTACGCCACTGGTAGGCAGCATGAGGATACGCACGGATCGTCCGCCAGGCTAATCCGCCAGGGAAAGCTGTAACCTCCGATGCCGGCAAGGCAGAGCCCTGAAATGTCCTTTGTGCTACAACGATACATGCCGAGACACCGCCTGTGGCATCGACTCCTGATCTCATCCTTCGAGGACTACCGAACCAAGAGAAGTGGTCTGCAGCCAATGGAAGTTAGAACCTTACCGGACTTCGCTCCGTGGGGGATGTGTGCAGAGGTGGCGAAGACGGAAGCGAACCACAGCCGGGCGGAAGTGCGGCGCTTTGGATCTGACAAGATATTGCCAATACTTTGCAATACTGGAAAGTGGCGCATTTCTGTTGATGGATATTCCGATCCACCTACCACAATCTCGCTCCGGGGATGCCGCCAACGGCTTCTCTGTGACACGCTCCTCTCTACAAGTGCCGCACGTGGCTCGGGCATTTCTTCAAGGGTTTCTCGGCGGTTCCAGGTTGGCGAAGCTGCACGTGCAGTGGCAAGCAGCAGGTCCCCACATTCCACGAGGTGGATCTCGCTAGAAGCCGGCTTATTCCTTCTAGAAGCAGCCGATGCCGGCGCTAACCAAACTACTGCACAGACTGGCATGGCGTGCTCTGGCCCTATCTGCTATGGTGGTAGCGTACATACTTGGGCAGTCGGCAGTGCAAGGTCAGTGTCGAGTCGGGACGCGGACTTGGGATCTGCACGTGACTAATGAGGATGCTGGCGCAACAGGCGAGCGAGCTCCCAGGCTGATCCTAGGAATCCGCAGTCCGACTTTACGGACGTTGCCCGCGCCAATGCAACATGAGCAAGCCTGTCTGTTTGGTTTTTGCGTCAAGGTGTCGTGGTCTATCCCTGGGCTGCGGAAGGCCCCGTCGTGCTCAGTCGTGGTGGTTCCTCGGCCCTGCGAGATTGCACCACCTTGTCCATCGCAGGGAGGCTTGTCCACCGGCAGGACTTGCCTGTATCAGGATACTGATTCATCACGAAGATCCCAGCCACTGCATATTGCCAGCCTGTAGCACCACGGCCGCTGCCAGCCATCCTCACGCCCAGCCTAGTCTGCGCTTCGGACGCATATCGGAAGCGTACTGAGCGCCAATGACTCGCGGCCCCCTCCAGACGTGACGAGCCCATCCATCGCCCAAGGGAAAGTCTGCAAGTTGGAAGGCACGACGGAGCCCCATCACCTGCAGTTTTCCCCATTGTGATTCCAGGCAATCACGCACCGACCACAGTGCCACCTGCTTTCCGGGGTGGGATGCTGGGGATGCGGACTTGTCACGCGCCGCGAACAGGACTATTACTGATCCCTCGCGAGCATGACCTGCCGATCGCGTTTCTCCTTCCCTACTGTCCCCGCTTCGTCTGTCGAGAGCCCTGTGAAGCCAGCCCTGCTATGGGCCGGGGCCTCCCCACAGTCGCTATCAACGTGCTGTAGCTTCAACACACAGCAAGCCTCAATCTCGTCCGCAAATGGGGAATCGGTTCCGACCCACGTCTGAGAGATTCAGGAATCCCAAAGGGGCCTCCCCAGTCAAAGTTCAATAGCTCACACTCACTGCTACCATTCATGAGCTGAACAAAGTTAATGCTCTAATCCGCTGCAGGATCTGTGGGTTCATCCTGTCCATGCCCGCATAACGACAAAGCGCCAGGCGTGCTACCAATATGCGGTTTCCAAGGCTGGTGGGGCGGGTATGGCGTGCCTTTGAGACGACCACTGCCTTTCCCAGTGCCGGAGAGTTAGAGTTGGCAGCCGGCGTGGCTTTTCGTTGGCGGGGGAGACTGTGTACGTTTCTCACTTTCTGAACTCTCAACACTTAGACTTTGGAACGGCATGGGCAGTCGAGCCCCGCGGCTGGTCAGAATTGGCCAACGCTGCTGGAGCAAGACCAGCCACGAGCTGACTGGTCGTTCCCATCGGAATCACATCCGGCCAGTTGGGAGCAAACAATAACCAAAGCCACCTTACTAGAGCTGAACACTGGGTTGGGTAACGGGAGCCACCAGCAGATCCACTACGTCAGATCAGACGATCTACAGCAAGGAAGGTGGAGGATACTGCCATCTGTGGCATCTGCAGCGCATCTGAACTGCCTTCTCGACCATGATACCGGGTACCTGACCGATGAGCAGAGGTGGCAGAGACCAACACAAGTGTACAAGCTCCAAGGCCTCAACCGTTCTGAATGCCTATAACGTTTAGACAGCGTCGCCTGGAGCTCCGGGATATGTGGTTGATCACCCTAACGCGTCTCCCTAGCCAACACATCGGAGGCTATATGAACGACATGGCTCGAATTGAGTTTGGGTTTACTGCCCCCTATGGGCTTGTTCCCCAGCTGTCAGTGCTTCGTTCATATGAGCACACCTGGTCTCTCTGGCTCGGCTGAACCCCTTGCTCGGTAACCCAGCCTGCCTGTCTAGATGCCTGGACTGCCGATGGTCATTGCCTCGATTGCCACGAACATCGTCTTCAGCCGCCACCTCGCTCTTGATAGGATCGACTGGCCAATGCCGCGAGCATCAAGCTGACAGACCCCGCAAGTATGCACAGCATCGGGCATTTCCCCTTCCGGGCCCATGGAACAGATGTGCAAGCCTCAAAGGACGGGCGTCCTGGGTCTAGATCCCAGTGGAGCATTCTCAAGCCAGGACCTCATACATTATCGTATCTGTTGTCCCGCCGTTGTCAACTACGTCATCTATCTGGGGTGGCTATGATCCCACTTGGTTGGGGGCGGCGGCATCAGTGGCGTCGTGGCGTCGTCAGGTGGGCGTTGTTGTTCCCCGCAACGATGATAATCGCCCACGAGCATTAGCGTACCTGCAGCGCAGGTGAGCGCGCATCGAGCAGCTTCAGGGCACACCCAAGGCACACTCACCTTGCCTCTTTCTCTCGCTTAATCTCGCCGCTCCATTCCCTATCCGCTTGTTGTCGACATGCTTTGTGTGTGTGTGTGTGTGTGTGTGTGTGTGTGTGTGTGTTTCGAAGCCCAGCAAAGCTTGGATCGAACTACCGTAGCACCTGGTCTTGCATGGGGGCCAGTTGAAGCCACATCTACTAAACACGAATCAGCTGCAATTCCGCGAGCAACAGCTGCCAGGGATGCAGGGTTGTCTGCTAGTCATGCATCCCGATCTGCAAGTCTGTCTATCTGTCCGTCTACATTGTCTGCCTGCGTAACAATCCAGTGTCTTGACTATCTGCTGTTGTCGATCCCCGTGGCCACCGTTTATTCGTGGGGGCTTGAATGTCAGAGAGACAATCGTATACCAACCCCGGAGGGTGCAGTGCAGGGCTGCTGCTGCTTGCTGCTGCTACACTGATCTGCGAGATATCCACTTTCCCTTTAGGACGCGGGATGACGTCGGAGGTACACACGCGCGCCCGATATCTGGACGTCCTTTTCGAGATCCGGGACGCTATAGACAATGTGGAGGCTTGCTGTGCATCCATTGTGGTGGTGTTCGATGCTGATCCAATCGCAGGTGGGCTTGGGCTACAGACAAGACTATAGTGGTTGAAAAAACATTGGGATTCAGTTGTGGAAACAAGGTATGCCCTTTCCGCTAGCCAGCTGCGAGATAACGGTACCTGCGTGCATATGTAGTCATGACGGGATATCATGCCTCAGAGTTGGCCTTCCCCGTCAACAATGAACCTCTTGGTCCACCACCACCACCAACACTACCGCCACCACCACTAACAACGTGCGTGGCGCATTGTGTGTCTGCTGCTATTGCTACTACTACTGCTGCTTGATGTAGTCATGAATAAGGGGTTGGCATGCCCGTGAACACTGCGTCGTGGACTAGAAAGGACGGGGCCAGAGATCAAAGCAGAGCAGAATAGAGCAGAGCAGAGCAGAGCTGGACTGTTGCTGGCCCCCGCGACTGACTCGCCCCCACGATATGATAAGAATAGTCGTCGGTCTTTGTGCGAGATTCCTGCGAATTTGCCTGCCGACCGGTCCTCAGTATGATTTGGAGGAAGATAATAAAGATATACGCCCAGCTTTTCAGAGAGTATATATATATATATAAATATATATCCCGGTAAGCTACCGAAGAGGAACAGGTAAGGGCCAGGCAGGGTGGGGCACTTGCGCGGTGATTCTCCAAGACGAGGCAATCCGTTTCACACAAAACGAGGCATATCGAGGGCTAGGAAGAGCCGAGGACAAACGGCCATATCAAAAGGATTGAAATGAGAGAGCGGAGAAGGAAGGGGGGGCAGCAGAGAAGAAGAGAGGGACAGAGAGCACTGCAGAGCACTGTAACACATTGCCATTTGTTTTATTTCTGAAGCAAGCACAAAAAAAGGACGAGGAAACGACCCCAAAGAGCTTGTCTAACCTACAATAGAGTTGCAGTCTTCCCTTTCCTCCACACACCCGGGAAAGTGCCGCTGATGGGGATGCCTCAAGTGTGCTTTTGCATGGTGGGAAGTTTCTGTACCGCGACATCAAAAACATGGTCCCTTGCCGGCGTCTTCAGCATGATTGTTTTCCTGTCGACTAGCCCAACAGGCATCAGCATCTCTGCGTCGTCTCTGTGACCAGTCCATATACGTCAACTTTTCTAGGTCGGCATGCGACTATGGGTGAAAGAGCTTCGTCCACAGGGTGTTGTTGAATAAATGCCAAATGTAATTTACGCTCTAGCTCGCTCATGCAGTTCTGCAACGCTTTCTGCTGCCTCTATATATGGTTCCTGCTACCGACACTGCGCAGGAGATCCCCTTCCCCTAGCATTCAAAATATATACATAGACTCTACTGCATGTCCAGCACGGAACGTACGAAAATCAGTCCGCTTCGGTGAGACAACACTGCACAGTCGCATACCACGCAAACTGACAGGCGGCTGTCCGTCAGGCACTCCTTGGCGCGGTCGAGTTATGACTTAGACATGGAGGTCGAGATATAGGCAAAGCGCTAAGGCTCGAGGTCGTACGAGGTCCAGTGACTGTCCGGCTAGGCTAGTGCAGGCTGGTCGAGCCCGGTGCGTGCTTGATATCAAGCTGCGGAGACAACATCGGTAAGAAGTCAGGGCGCATGATACCAGCGCATGTCTCGCATCGACGCATGAGCGGCCTCGCCAGGGCATTTATAGCCACAACCCAATACGGGCACAGCCCAGTCTGCTTGCTAGTCGGCCTTCTATGCGACCAACCTAGACCTCAATGGTGAAATGGCTGATCTGTGAATAGTACGAGTGCACGGCTAATTCGAGGATCCAGACGTCGCCAAAGACTTCACTGCCGTCGAAGCCTCCAATCATGACCAGTCTACTGTCGTAGAGAACCGTGCCATGATATCCTCGCCCGCTCGGCGGGAGACCGTACGTCCGCCGCTTGTCCCATGTCATTGTGACGAGATTTAGTAAAAGCACGTCGTTGGAGTACTCGTTGCCGTCGTGACCACCAACGATGAAGAGGTACGACCCCACGATTGTACTTGTATGTGATAATCGCCGGAACGCCACAGGGATGGGCGCCATCTTCCATATCTGCGTGTCAACATCGTAAACCCAGACATCGTTGAAGCACTCGCCGCCGTCGCTACCGCCGAATATTATGAGCTTGCTCCCGACCATGTTGGCAGTGTGATAACCCCTCGGCTTAGGCCGATTCTCGGCAGTATTGCTCGTATGAGGTGAAATGAGCTTCCAGCTCATCTTGTGGGTGTCGGACACATCGAGGCGCCAGACATCGTTCAGCGCTCGCACGCCGTCGCCACCTCCAAAGATGTAGATACCATTCCTGTACAAACAGGCAGTATGCGCGCGTCTCGGGCTGGGTATCTTGCTGTCCGCCGGGAAAGTGGGCTTATGCCATCGGAAGTTGATGGTATCCAGCACGTACACATCGTTGTAATACGCTGGACCATCTCCTCCTCCAAAAACCACTAGTTTCCGTCCGACAGCTGTGCATGTCATGGCGCGCAGTGGTGATGGAATGTCGCCGACTACGTGCGGCCGACTCCAGTGGAAAGAATCCGCATCGAGGACAAACAACTCGTTGAAGCAGGTTCTAGAGTCACATCCGCCAAAGACGAAAACATTACTGCCCACAAGAGTGCTCGTGTGGGCTCGCACCGGCTTATGAGCAGCACCAGATACATGTGCCCTAGACCAGTACATCCCCGAGGCCGGTGCAGCCGGGACGTCTGGCGCCGTCTTTGGGTCTTGTAGCGGTGGGAATGCCACGTATGGTCCCAAAGGCGGCGGCGGGACGTGTGGCAGACGAGACACCGTTGGCGTTACGCTGGTTGGCTTGCTGACGATGGCTGACGTTGATCGCATAGGTATCGGCCGCCTCGCGGCCAAAGAATCTCGGCTCTCGGATGGGACTTCGCTTTTCGAGTCGACTGGTCGACTGTCGCCATTCGGCTTGAGGGCTGCTGATATTGAGGGTGTGGGCTGTGGGGGTGGCGCAGTGGGAAACGGTGTCTTTGCGACCACAGATTGTGATCGCTGTCGTGCCGCAGCATCTGACGTCTTACGGCGCCGCTCTGATGAGCCTCCATGGCTCTTGGAGGACAAGTGGCCAGGTGTGTGACTGCGACTCGGTGAAGGCCGATCTGGAACGTCGTCTGCGGGTAGGATCTTCTGGGAGCGGACCGTCTTGGACTTTGACGACGAGGATTGGGACGACCGACCTGCACTGTCGGCCATTGTCCCAAGCGGCGCAGGCTTGCAGGCGGGCAAGCCAGAGGAGAGTTCGATTGTGTCTCGGGTGTAATGACGTGGTCGCGGGTTGGGAGCTGAAGGCGACGAGGCGAGGCGGCTAGACCTGGCACGAGTCAGAAAGCGCAGAGTGTGGCTGGCACGGCATGGAGGTGTCGAGTAGTTGAGCGCGAGCTGCGAGCTGGATGTTTCGTGTGGCGGGACAGACGGAGAGAGCCTGGATGCTGATTCCGGAGGACCAAAGCCAGGAAGCGGTAGTTGTCTGGCGCAATGGTTGTCGTGTGTGGTCGAGACAGAAGGGAAACGAGCGACGGGGGTGAAGAGGGGCTCAGGGTGGTGTGGGAGTACTGGGGCTGGCTGGCCACTGCACGATGTTGATTGCCCTGGCGAGAATCAGCACAGCAGATACCACCCAAGCAGCGCAGGTGCCAGCAACAGCAACAGCAATGGCCAGCCATAGCAATAGTGCGCCGTTGCGGCCAAGACAGGCTGAGCTAACTGCTGGGAGCGGGACCTTGCAGGAGGTGGTGGGTCGACGCGAGCTGAGAGCGGCCTGTCTCTGCAGACACTCAGGGACCACGACGACGTGGCCAGGAGCATGCCGGCAGCGCCACAATGGTTCCAGGTCGGCGGATGCTCCAAACAGCAAGGGGTCTGCCTGTCTACAAACCACTGCCCGTCCCTCCTGCCCCCGCGCACCCCACGATCCCTGGTCCTTGCTGCATGAAATTAATCACACCTGTTCGTGGGACGACACCAGCTGTCTGAGTCGGTGCAGGTGTGTCCACGTCCCTTTGATCTCACAGCGGCTCCTTGCTCATTCTAGCCACCTGGTTCATGCTTGTTGCTTGATCTCTGTGTCGGCTCCGGAGCCGAGCCCATTCCTTGTGCCACATCCCGCACGTCTGACCATGCGCCAGGGCCCTGTCTGTGGGCGGACTTGGCAGGCGTAGGCCCAGTGTAGGATCTCAAGCTCCGCCGTGCCTGTTCTATTGCGCTGGCACACCCCTCGCGGCCAACTATGGCCGGGCTTACCTATGGTGAAGTACAAGCTGCCTCGGCTGCTCGCAGCAGAACATTCATTGTGGTAAAGAACACGCGACGAAGCTGGAGAAAGTATGCCCAGGATTCGGGGGCATAAAACGAACTTGCCAAAGCGCTTGGTGTCAAAGGCAACCCAACCGGGCATGTCTTGGACGGGCACATGCCATGGACGAAGGGGCCGCCTCGAAGGTTGTAAAAGATTGCCATGTCTTGCCGGTCCGCATCCACAGTACTATTCACACATCAGTGTCTCAGCAACCAATCACAGCACGCAGGACCCTGGGCTTTTACCAAAATAAGATCATGTCGACTTGTGCGAGATGTGTTCCGTAAGCGTATGCATCGCAACGCGCCTGCCAGGCGTGATGGTTCCAAGGACACCCCGAGGTCAAGCCCCCGGGCATCGACAGGTCCCTACGGCGAGATCGTGCCGCCAGCGGTCAAGCAATTGTCATGGTCGGTCCGTACCTTTTGCGGTTGGTTGCACCTTCCGCGCAGTCAGTCGTGGTGGTTGACGTAGTGAGGACTTGTGCCCCACTGTTTTTGTCCGAAAGAGCGTACGGAAAATTTCACCCACTCGACACTCTCAAGTCTCATGCTGTGACTTGGACACTCACAGTGCCAGCACCTTGCATAGACGACAGACACTGCAGGCCATCATGTCTGACGAGATGAATGTCGATCTTAAGCGTCCGTCCGAAGTGGATGGCGCCGCTGGCCAGGCCAACGGTCATGATGATTCGGGCACGACCGCCCCGGCAGCAAAGCGGGTAAAGGTCGACAACAACAATGACAATGCAGAGAATGCGCCCAAAGAGATCGATGCCAGAGACGACAGGGACCGGGGCATGGCCAAGATCAAACCCGAGTAAGATCTCCCTCATGCTTGATGGCATCCTAATCTACAGCACTTTCCACTGACCCGTCACTCAAGATTCCTGCTGGCATCTGCTGCGTCCAAGGCGCAAGTCGACGATGATGCTGCTGAAGCCTCTGGTGCAATTGACCACGCCGACGGCAAGGTTGATGCGCGCGACGGTGGCGGCAAGAAGAAGAAGAAGAAGCAGGGCGGCCAAAACCATAACCGGTCCTACGGACAGTTTGACGATGAACTGAGGCTTTGCAACAGCCGCACATACTCCAACGAGTTCTCCCCGAAGCCTTGCCGCTATGGCGACCGCTGCAACATGTGCCACGACCTCCGCAAGTATTTCTCAGAGGGCCGCCGTGGCGACCTGACGACCCTCGGTGGTAAATGCCCAATGTTTGCACAGTATCAGCGGTGTCCTGCGGGCTGGAAGTGCCGTTTCATCAAGAGCCACTCTGAAGAGGTGGAGCGCGAGGACGGCCGTAAGGAACTTGTCCTGCTGGGAGCACCGGACGCAGACGATGAGGAGCCGGACCGCAAACCGGGGGTGGTCAACGTTGTGCATGCCGATGTCAAGTACAACCTCTCGCGGAGGAAGGCAGACTTGTCCAAGTCCGAACGGTACACAAAGTGGGTGGAAAAGGAGACGGATCTGATGAGGAAGATCTACAACCGCAAGAAGCCCGATTGCGACGAGAGCGAAGACACGGAGCTGCATGAGCTCCGAGCTCAGTTTGTTGAGCCACCTTTCAAGGCTTCAGAGAAGCGCAAGATCTATTTCGGCCGTGAGACACCAACCCTCGCGCCGCTCACCACACAGGGCAACCTTCCGTTCAGGAGGCTTTGCGTGGAGCTTGGAGCGCAGGTCACCTACTCCGAGATGGCCTTGGGCATGCCTGTCGTTCAGGGTGGAAAGGGAGAATGGGCACTCATGAAGGCCCACGAATCCGAGATTTCTTCTCCTCGATACAGCCCGAGCCCGGATGACATTGTGCAGGGCTACGACAACAGCAAGGACATTAAATTCGGCGCTCAGATCACAGGAAACCAGCCTTGGGTCGTCATGAAGGCCACCGAAGCCCTGACTAACCATCTTCCGCACCTGCGAGTTGTAGATCTCAACTGTGGCTGTCCCATCGATCTCGTCTTTCAACAGGGCGCGGGCTCTGGCTTGCTCGATGCACCACCAAAGCTGGAGAAGATGATTAGAGGCATGAACGCCGTGTCTGGGGAGGTGCCCATCACGGCCAAACTGCGCATGGGCGTTCGGGATGGCAAACCGAATGCGACGAAGCTGATCGAGAGGCTTGCCTTTGGCAGCCCCGATTTCCGCGAGCGGTTGGGAGCGCCGGGCTGTGCTGCCGTCACCCTGCATGGACGTAGCCGGCAGCAGCGGTACACGAAGAGCGCAAACTGGACGTATATTGCCGAGTGCGCTGCGCTCATCAAGTCGTACAACCAGCAGAGAGACGAGCTCACCGACACCATTCGTGAAGCAGATGCGAGCACCCAAGCAAACACCACCGGTGGCAAGATGTACTTTCTCGGCAATGGAGACTGCTATTCGCACATAGACTACTTCGACCATGTGGATAACGCCAAGGTCGACACGGTCATGATTGCGCGAGGCGCGATGATCAAGCCTTGGATCTTTGAGGAGATCGAGAAGGGCCAATACCTCGACAAGTCGGCCACGGAGCGGCTTGCCTATGTCGAGAAGTTTGTGCGCTACGGCCTTGAGGCCTGGGGCTCGGATGAACTGGGGCTTGGCTTTACCAGACGCTTCCTGCTAGAGTGGCTCAGCTTCACGTGCCGATACATTCCGCTCGGAATTCTTGAGCATCTCCCTGCCAAGATCAACGACCGCCCGCCAGCATATCGCGGCCGCAACGATCTCGAGACTCTCCTGTCCAGCAATGACTACAGAGACTGGATCAAGATCAGGTAGGTTCTTTGTTTGAATCTGTGTTGTGACTTTGCGCAAGAGGAGAAAAGGAACCCCGGGGCTAACAGTTCGATGTAGTGAGATGTTCCTGGGCCCGGCACACCCGAGCTTCAATTTCCAGCCGAAGCACAAGTCCAGCAGCTATGACACGATTGAGGCTGAGGGTTAGGTTTCTAGAGAGGACGAAGTCTGGGGAATGTCTAGAATAGTAGCGTGCCCCAAATTGAGGATGTCCTGGCTGAGTAGTTTGTGCATAGATCCACCCACCACTGCTCCTTCTAGCGCGCGCACAGTACCATGACGGAATACACCCGCCCGCGAGGGGCATGTGAAGCGATCGTCATCTGCACGTTAATAGGTGCTGGGCCTGGGTTAGCTGTCCAAGAGGAGCAATTGGTCCTGTGCCTGCTGTGCACCAGCCACAGTGTGCCTTCCCAGAGCTGGTGTGGGCCCCCGTGATAAAGCCACATATGACGTTGTCGACTGCCCCTCGCGGCTTGACAGCCCCCGGCTTTGGCCAGGCTGCGATGACGAAAGCGTGTCTCTGCTGGCTGGAGCTCGGAGCTCTGCCAGAGGCAGCCTCTGCGTAGTCTAGGCAAGTCCCGGCGCAGAGCTGGCCAAGCTCGTTCACCATTACGTTGTCCTGTTGCTGCTGCTGCCCCAGTCCCTCGTTGCCCATCGTGTAAATACCTGTCGGCGCACCAAACTGCCTCTCCAATCCCTCCTCTCTTCCTCATCCCCTCGCATCTACAACCTCTGCGTCCCTGCAATCCCACCACCTTCGTCCCACCTCTACCGCAAGACGTTCCTCCGTCTTTGCTCGCGACCTCACCCGACAGCCCAATCTCACAAGACCGGGCCCTCAGCTTCGCACGAGCCTGAACGTCCACCACACCCACCACCAAACGTCACCACTAGCCGTAGCTGCAAACATGACGCTCTACTACACTCTCGTAAGCTCTCCCAGCTCGCGGTGCCCTCCCGTACCGCTCCTTGTGCACATGAATCATCTTGGCGCGCGAGCTTGCCGCAAACCCTTGGGCCGCCCGCATCTATTCGCAAGCCTCTATTTGAAGCCTGGTGTGTGCTAGCTAATACAAGTACCTTTGAATACAGGTCTTCTTGCTACTTGTAGCAGAGATGGCTCTTTTCATGCTGCTCGTCATTCCACTCCCCTTCTCCCTCCGCCGGAGAATCTTCACGTAAGTGGCCCAGAGTCCAGAGCCTGATCCGCAATCCGGAGCGGGACGGCGACGTCAAACTCCGCATGCTCGAATCGCCTGGCAAACAAAATCCGTAATTCTGGCTGACACAATGGCCTGATCCCGCAACACAGCTTCATCTCAGGAAACCCCCTCATAGCAAAACTGCAGTATGGGTTGAAGATCACCTTCATCTTCATCCTCATCCTCTTCATAGACAGCGTGAACCGCGTGTACAGGGTGCAGGTCGAGCTGGCTTCGGCCACCGACGGCTCCAAGGGAACCGCGTAAGTCAAAACCTTGCTTGCCCAGATACACCAATCCTTGGTTTTTGTTTTTTTTTCTCTTGGGGGGGGGGGGGGGATTGCAAGCTTTCAGGAACTGGACTAACTAACCCTTCCCTCCTGATAGTGCCGTCATGGGCCATGAACGTCTCGAGGTCCAGGCCCGCAAGTTCTACAGTCAGCGCAACATGTACCTGTGCGGCTTCACCCTGTTCCTCTCCCTCATCCTCAACCGCACCTACATCATGATCCTCGAGACCCTGCGCCTCGAGCAGAAGCTCAAGAAGTACGAGGGCACCGACGCCAACACCAAGCAGGCCGAGAAGCTCGCCCAGGCCGGCGAGGGCGGCGAGATCGCCGGCTACAAGCGCCAGCTCGAGAAGAAGGACAAGGAGATCGAGGCCCTCAAGAAGCAGGCCGAGGGCCTCTCCCGCGAGTACAACGACCTCTGCGAGAAGTACGGCGCCACCCAGCCCGCCGCCGGTACCCGCAAGGACAAATAAAGCGATCGTCGGGAAGAAGCCGTGCGGCTGGTCTCGCCTTCGGACGTCTACAGATAGTCAGAGGATATGCACAGGCTCAGCCGCCGACCTATTTTGTGGAACCCGTTCAACATGTGTCCGGCTGCTGCTCGCACCAGAGAAGGGATTGCTCAAGGGACTCGGAGAACAAAAAACACACCGGTATATGAAAGCTTGAGCTATGTCTCATGAAGCCCAACGTTATATGATAGCAGAGTGAAGATAGGAAGAGCAAGAATTTGATCTCTCCATGAAAAGTGTCAACAGTGGCAAATATGATTATTGTCAGATCACGTATGCCGCACCACATTCCAATGTGCATTCAAATGCAGAGTGGCACTAAGCGACTCACGTTTGGCAAATGGTTCCATGACGAGTCCAAACATCATCGTGGAGGCTTGAGACGGTCATACAGGCGCCAAGTCTCCGAAGGGGAGGTCGAGGAAGCAGTCAAAGGGTATATTCGTGCGTGTAACCAAAAAAAAAGCGAACAATAAGGAGCTAATCTATCCAACATAATTCGTACTCAGACAGCCTCAATATGCCGCCCACACAGTCTTGCTTGCTGCCATGTCTATGTCTTGTGGGAGAGGGGCACGGGGGTGCACACATGAGCCGCAGTGCTGCGGCGAGATGATATGAGCGTGTGGTGTAGGCCGTGCATTATACCGCGATGCTGACGTTCTTGCGCATCTCGGCCTCCTCGACATGAAAGCCAAAGACGAGCTTGAAAAGATCACGGAGAAATCCGTATTGAGTCGATCGATGTACCATCCAATTGACGCCTTTGGCCACATCATAGGCCAGTACACGCTTGCCCCGGTGCGGCAAAGACGATGTATGGCGGAACGAAGAATCGCTAAGAACCAGGCCCTTATAGCTCTGCAACAGCGTTGCGTGCGCTGGCAGGGAACCAAAAGTCCCTGTTGGTAGAGATTTGACGAATGTCTGTAGCGAGGCGGCGCTGCTGTGGCCCTCGCCGGCAGCATCTCGGGAATATCCAACGTTCATCGCAGCCTTGAGAATGAGCATCTTGACTCTCGTCACGTTGATGTCATCAGTGGTCGTCGCGGTCGTCGCGGTACTCGATGTGCGCTGGCTGCTCTGAGAATAACTCGACAGCTGGGAGGCATTGCTCGACCATCGTCCACCGCGGTTGCTTTCTGTACCAAACACCATGATGTTGGGTGCTTGCGGTGATTGACTCTCTGGCGAGACGGGAGTATCCTCAAACTCCGTGACCGGTGTCTCCGGGACCGGCAATGGTTTCCTGATCTTCTCGCCCTTGGTGCTTTCTCTCTTGGAGCGATTTGATGCCCTACTCGCCCTTCCATCTGGCTCGGCCTCTCGAATGTCCCGACCTGTGCCGAAAAAGTTCGTCTGACTTGGACGAGGCGTGCCACGGTCAGGACGTATCTGAGTCCAGCCTTCTCGGAAGATGTCACACAGCTCCCAGCAAGCTTGGACCGCCGATCCGAGAAGCTCCTCGTCAGGCGCCTTTCCATCCCTTCTGTTTTGTCTCAGGCTGAACAACATCTCCGCGAGCGTCCAGCATGCTCGTAGTAGAGAGTCTGTTTCGTCTGCGATTTCGCCTCTTTGCTTCATCAGGCGATGACACAGGGTGATATAGAAGTCTAATGTGCGCTCACGAAAGGCTTCTGGAAGCGCTCTGTTGTCCTGTGCGCTGTACAGACTACCGTATATGTTAGTAAAGACACGATAGTGCTGTGTGCAGCAACATGCACTTACTGGTTGTTAAGCTCAAAGCTGACTCGCAAGACAGAATCTCCAAGCTCATCTTTTCGTTGGCGTACGTCAAACAGGGACTGACAGAAGTCCCTGCATAGATCGAGGTTCTCTCGTACGTTGAAAGACTCGTTCGGCTCGTCCTGGTTATCATAGAGGCGCTGGCATAACTTCCAGCAGCACTTCCATGCTTGTTCGTGGCCATCTGGAGTTCCGGAGCGGCTGAACACCCGCTCGCGATGGTGAGTGCTGAGGTTTGCGAGTGTGTTGCATAAAGTCCAGCACTCTTGCAGTGCCGTTCGCAGAGACTTGATTTCTGGTTCCTCACCAACGCCGAGGCCAAATGCACCGTAATCATCTTCATCGTACGATTCGAGGTCTGGCTCCGCATCTGTCTCGGGCTCCCGGCTTTCCGGAATCACTATGAGAAGTGTTAGCCAGATTTGCGGATGACCAGAAATGGGAATACTTTCTGATACTCACACTCCAAACTACTCGCGCTACTGGATCGCAATCTTGCTGCTTCGGACATAAAACCCTGCACGTCCTGCAAGTTTTGAGCTCTTGGAGTTGCACTGTCAAGACTGAATCTCGCTGGTTTGATGTTTGTACTCAAAGGAGGCGGTGTCGGCAGACCTGGGGACCTCGTCTGTATCGTGTTAGCGCCCAACTTGGCGTGTTGATGCTTGGATGGAAGAATACCTGTGGAGGCCGGTCACTTTGCGGAGCGGACAAGCTATCTTCTTGCCGAGGTGATGCCCTTGGGGAGATCCTTTGTGCGGTGTCTGAAGTCTTCGTGGATACACTGTCGGATGCGGTCTTTCATATTGTCAGTGCTAGGTACGAGGTTGCAACGGTCACCCTTGATAAGAGTATTCACCCAGTTCTGAAAGCTTTCTGGTGCATGTATAACCGATACAGCTTCCTCACTTAAGGTCTGGCGCACTTGATCTGGTATATTTGTGCGCAGCATGAGGAGCTTCACACTATTAGCTGCTTTGGCCTCGAGATTCAGATCAGAGGAGCTGATGAGCCGCATACCTGAGGCTGTGGGTCCGTGTCTGCCGTCGACTGGGACCGAACCTCCTCCGACATATCGTCTTCGATCTCGGTGACCTCGGTGCCCACAGAGGTGACGGGCGAAGGGCCCACGATATCACTTGGACTCATCAGGCTGTTGCCGTTGAAAGAGCTGCTTGGATTGTTGATGGTCGAGGATGGGCGATTTGCGGCCGCAGAGTTTGGCCGCAGGTTGGTCGAGTCTATAGAAGTGGTAGACCTGTTTCCCAAGGTTAATCGCCAATTCGAACAGCTGGGACTGCGCACTGCTTACATTTTCTGGAAGGGGCCGCGAACAGCGGGTGAATCTGGGGACGACAACGAGAAATCCGTGTACGGCGAGAAGGGAGATATAACACTTCCTGTCGATGACCTCAGCGGAGCCTCGAGGGCCATGGCTAGGCAAGGAGCTTCTTTGTCGGTCGCAGAAGCGGGCCGGCTGTACAGGTGTGGTGTACCCAAGGGAGGCTGACACTAGGTCATATGCTGCGCTTGGCTTGAGGCTGGGATCGTGGATGCGCGATCGTCTCAATCGAGCGAGGCAGATTAGCGTGCCTGTGAGGCTGTATGCTCGTCTCGGGTCGATTGTCCTGGCTCTAGTGTTGAAGACTCGGTCTGAAAACTGGCCGGCCACCGGGAGGTCAAGAATGCCTCGCGGGCGCGAGAGAAGTATCTAAGTAGGAGCAAGAGCTGTCCACTAGCGTGCAGCTCAGCTATCAGTCTGCTGCCAAACGACCTGTCGATCTGTGTAGCGCGGGTGAAATGTGTTTCTTGACGAACCTGATGCTTTGTAGGGTCAGACTGCAAGAGAGGCAGACAAGGTGTACCGGAGAAATCGGGTCGAGTCGACGGGGACAGATTGACAGCTAAGAGTGCGGCCAAGGAGGTGAAAAATGATGGAGCTCTCAGAGCAGGAGTAAACTATCCCAACGCTCGCGGGGCCGAGGAGCTCGGCCAGATGTTAGAGCAGGTTGTGATTGGAAGAGGACGGGCACGACACAGCAGGCAGCTTCCGGCGCGGCCTGGGTTCAGCCAGAAATCCAACCGAGAGGTTCGAGGACAGGAAAGAGGAGCGGGAGCATGTTGGAGGTGCTGCGAGGCAGGCGCGTTGGATGAGGGGCTGCAGGCTGGGCGGCCAGCACCTGGGCAAGGGCAGGGCAGGACAGGGCAGGGCCGGCTGGCCCCGTTCAGGCTGCCAGGGTCCTCCTGTCCATCTGGAGCCAGGTCAGATCCACCTGCGCGCACGCCCTGCCTGGCCGCACATCTCGAGGCCGCATTCGCTTCTTCTTCCTCCTCTTTTCGACATCGCTCCCAGACGCATTCGTACGACATGGCTCAGCACTACTGCAGCAGCCACCTTTAGCGACCCTGTCGTTGTGCTCTGGCGGGCGGGCTGTCAATAGGATGCCCGAGACATGTGGCTGGCGGGTAGCGTATCCGCGCCCTCTATTCTAGCCCATCCCCCCTTAGCGCAATCACAGCATCACCGACCTCGCCGTGATTGGCACAGATGCCTTGAGCCTATTCTGTGTCTCAGCAGACCCTCCCGCGAACTCCTCACGCTGGCGATGGCCTGGAGAGCCTCAAGATGCCAACGTTCGGGTGGCATCATGTTTGTGAAGCTGGACCAGGGTCACAGGCGGCCGATGCGCAACGGCGGACGCGGAGGATGTGCAGGAATACGACTGCACCTCGCGACGAACGGGCACGAATGCGGCACGCACTAGACGACCAGGCACGGGCGGGGATGGCTGGCGGAAGAGCTCGAGGTGTGGTGGACCCCATGCACCCGACAGGGATCTGGGCGCTTAGGAGCAGACTGCTCGACTAAACCAGCGAGTCACACGAGTCTATTTCCACCACGACCCCCCTGCCCGCCTTGCAGGTGGGCTGGTGGAGCACAATGGCAGCAGCTGCTTACCTAGAGCGAGCCAGAGTGAGCAGACTTTCCTCCTCCTGCCCAGCTGCCCAGAAACGCCGCTCCAACCTCGCAGGTGCTCCTCCAGACGGGACTCAGCAATTCATCAAGCCTGGACTACGCCTATGTGGCTGGCACAGGCACTGGGCCACGGCAGAATATGCGCCTACTCGACTTCGCGTACGTGCAGATAGCTTCATTTACCACTGCAAGAACTGCCATGCCGGTAACGTCAGCCATTGCTGTACCAGACCCGGAGCCACTGCCTCCAAACCTGGAGGGACGACACAGAGTCTGCACGGCCGTGTGGCCGGCCGAAGCCAACCGAGCATGGCGAGCATGGATAGTTTCGAGCGTCTCCAAACCGGTCCACGCTAGCGATCCCGACGATCTGGTCCGCCGCTTCAATTGGCTTAGACCCTGACATCCGAAGTGGAGCCCCAAAAGCCGGGGCACATCAGTGCCCCAAGTCACCAGAAGCTTCGTCAGGATTAGCATTCTTGATGATTCCGACTAGCAGCCTTAAGTCGTCGCAGTCTTCTCGATCTCGTCACAGTTGAAGGCGTCATAGTTTGAGCGGAATCGCTGGTGTAGACTATACCAAGGCTTGACCGCACTCAAATAATGCTCACCAGACGCTCTGCCTTCATCTTCAGGTAATGGTGTGTGCAGGAGGTTGTGCAGTCAGCACAGCTGACTCGGCATAGAATTTGCAGGCCCAAGTCTCCTTCGCAAAGAACTGCTTTGGAAGGAGCCGCATGGGTCTGGCGCGGCTCTTGGCTCATGGATAGCTGTCCCACTGAGGGCATGATGAACGTAAGCTGTTACCACTGTCTGTCGGCCTCTCGAGGTCCATTGATCCGGGGTTGTACCCGCCCTGTCACCCGACAACCTGGACAGCTCGAGCAGTTCAGGGGCCAGCGCAAGGTCAGTCTAGTTCCAGTCTAGCAAAAGATAGCCGGGAATATGTCTTCAGCTCAGCTCGCACTTCACAGCAACATTCTGGCAGCCAATGCGGGTTAGAGCCTCGCCGGATTGATGTCCGGCAGCCGAACACCCAAAACCGGACATTATTCATGACCTACATTCAATCCGATCAAGTGTGACATACCCATCCAGCTATGGAAGGGTGAACCCTCCTGCAGCTGCCAATCTTGTATGGCGCCCTGTGATACTAGATCAAGTGAGACGACTTGGCCACAAGCTGGCAACGTGCTGTGTTGGCCGAAATCACCATTAGACCGTGACAGCTTTCGCTGGCCAATATTCTTGAGCCTGGTTGACACAAGGCTTCCCAGCCCGAAGATTTCCAGAGCACGACACAGCTTGTGCCAAGCTTGACGTATGGCGGTAAGATGTCTCCCCAATGCCCATCCACCCGCAGCTGATGACAAGACTTGTAAGCGCAGAGCTAACTTCCCAGGATGTTTGTCAGCCTCTCCGCTTCTGCATGTTGCATAGTTGCCGAAGCTGGCAAGGGCCCTTTGGCCCGGTCGTATATCCACCCATCTATCTCGACTCAGAAGACCCATTTGCGCATTCACAAGGCCAGGGGTCCCCAGGGCCGGTGCAGGATGTGAGCTGCAAGCAGAGCAGTGCAGGTATGCACGGCCAGCGTAGACCGCTGTCCTCGCAGCACCCTTGGCAGCCACGATCCGCGCGCTCGTTGCATCCACCACCTGGGCCTTCGCACTCATGCAGCCGCCTGGCCGCGCGCTTAGCACGCCCACTTTTTTATATATTGTCGGCTGGAAGGGACTCGCGCCTTTTGACGAGCAGCTCAATGCAAATGCCCCGGGAATTCGGTAGCGGGAACTTTTGAGCGGTGTCTCGAATTACGCAGAGCACGGTGGTGGCCCGTCGCCTGAAATCATGCTGTTGGCGGGAACACCAGGATGGCTATATGAGAGCACCAACATGGCTAGGATCGTGGCGCCTCCTATGATGATCTATAGTCGATAACAAAGAAGTAGTACGGCACAGCTATCACATGACAAGAAATGCATGCAAGCCACCAATACACAACCCAGGAAGCGCGTCTGAAGGACCCGGATCTACATGTGGAAGCAAGGGCATGAGCCAGGACAGAACGCGCCCCGTGGTGAATCTGGTCATTTTGTTGGGAACTGCTTGCTTCGTTGAGACCTCTAACTCGCGCCAACTACTTTAGGTCATGGACACAGAGAGTTTGCCGTGAAGGCCGGGTGTTGCACAAGCACCCGAGATGACGGGCCCTCAGCTTCCAAGCATACATACACGCGCCTGCTTCCGCGACTTAGCCGCGCCGGCGTTTCCGTGCGGTCTTCACCGCCGCCCCTTTCTTGACGCACTCTCCAGCTGGTGAACACGTGGTCAGGCGGCAAATGCCTCGACGAGACTCGCGCGGCGGCTCCCGCGAAGGGTGGGCTGCATATGTATGTCCCTTTGCTCTTCCAGCTGCAAGCCCAGCTAGCAGCCTGCGCCTCTTTTCCATCTAGCGCGGTCCCATGTGGCCGCCTGCCTGCGACCCATCGATCCAAGCTGCGTTCCGCATATGAGGAAGTATAATGTCAAGGTAGCTTGCCTAGCGACTGTTGCCCAGGCCGGGGACCTCTGTTGGCCCGAGGACGGAAAGACCCAGATATAGCAAGGCATACTTGCTAGACGCCGGTGGCTTGTCTTTTGGGCGCGGCTGCATGGCCGTGTTGTCACCCTCCCCGCAGTCTTGCCCAAGCATCCCTACCAGATATCCCGACATGGCCCGTTGCGAGTGAGAAAATTTTTGTTGAATTCGGTTTCCAGACTCCGCTTCGAAAAGTACAACTCTGAGTGTGTAAATGTGAAAAAGTTTCCCGTTGAACGCCTGATCCCGCGAATATGCCCCCTCCCTGCTGCTTTCCTCCCCTCATTCTTAATGTGAGTGATGCGCGTCCTTCCTTCTTTGACTCATGACGCATAGAGGGTGTGACCATGTTGGTCCCGTGGAGAGTCGAGTCTATCGCTGGCCGAGCTGGATCTTCTTCTCGTTGCGGCCGTCGGGGGTGTACCTACACAAACGAGCAAGTCAAGTCAGCAATCTGCTTATCCAGATGATCACGAGCCATCCCACATCCTGCTCTCCCCTTATACGAAGCGAAACTTCGCCTTGAACGGGGGAGCAAGCACGAGAGCCGCGCCGGGAGAGGTCAAGGGCGTAGCATATGACGTACTTGAGGAGCTTCTCGATCAGATCGACGTGCGTCATGACCATGCGGCGGCAGCAGTACCGCCTAAGACCGAGCTGGTCCATCGCGTCACTGTGGTTGTCCAAATGTAAATGTCAGCTCAGATACAGACGTTCTCCTCCTCCCCTCGTGTGCTCTTTCGGAGGTCTCCAAAGTGTACAAGGTCGAGGCGGACGGCGAGAGACAAGCTACTGACCCGTCGGGAATGCCCTGGTCGATGAGGACGAGATATCTCTCCCACAGGTCGCCGGTCACCTTGCCGCAAGAGAAGCAGCGGATGGGGATAATCATCTTGACTGTGTATGCTGTCGTAGATGCGGCACGCGTGGATCAATAGGTACGACTCTGACGAATGCCGGTGGCTTCGTGACCCAGACTCGTGATAGGTATCGCTTTGTGTGAGAAGTTGTGCGGCGTGGCTGCGTGTTCGTTGTTTGCGCTGAGCGTCGATGAGTCTTTCCTTGCGGTCACGGTTTGAACTCTCGCCATCCACGATTGCGACAGGCAGGCAGTGGGTCGCGCTCTGGCAAGCCCGGCCACCCGCTGCTGCACCCAAAAATTTAGCTGGGGTCCAGGTCGATTGCCCGCTGTGATAGGCTCGAATTGGGCTGCCGCGGGCGGGCCTAAAATTTGTTATCAGCGACTCTTATCGGGTCGCTGCATCTCGAAAAACTTCCCGCGCCCGGTGCATGCAGGCTGGAGCAGGCTGGCTGTTGATCGTAAAAAGTGGTGACAACTTTTTGGTCGTTGACAGAGACGAACCCTGAGAGACGGGGACAAGACTTCTGTGCCACTTCTCAAGGCCACATTCTGCAGCAGTAATGGCGCCACAAACAGATGCACAGGTACGGCTTGAATTGTTTGGCGCAGTGCAAGACATTGACGAGCGACGAGCACCAGCTAACACATACACACCTTGGCAGGAGTCCCAGGCGATGAAGCGGAAACGTGAACTCGACGAGCAAGGAAAGCGGAAACGAAGCAAGCAGGAAAAAGCCGCCAAGCGAGCGCTCTCCGACGCTGACAACGCCGGGCCCGAGGTCGTCAACGCGGCCAACGGACACACCGAGAAACATTCTCAGGACGGCGTCATCACCAAAGCCAAGCGGAACCCGCGACCCAAAAAGAAGGGCTTGGGTGCTCTCGACCAGTATGCCTCGTCGGCATGGAAGGTCTCGCAACCTATGGGCGGGAGGATCCTTAACATTGATCCCCTGCTCACGACAGACGAGAAGTGCGTCCCCTCGTTGTCACCAGTCCCTCGCGCCCTCTCTGCAACGGACTAACCAAGACCCTTTGACAGGCACCTGATCCTCGCATATAACACGTCGCTACAAGTTTACTCGGCAGCCGACTCGCTGCTCGTCCGAAAAATCCAACTGCCACTCGATCGTAGCGATGCATACTCTGAACAAATCATGGCAACCTGCCTCTCGCCAGTCTCCAAGGACCATCTATGGGTCGCATCATCCAGCGGTCGCCTGTGGAGGATAGACTGGACTAAGGGCAGCGGCGTCGAGCCCTTGTTCAACCTCGACTGCATGTTCCTTTCCGGGCTCGCGGTCGACCTCGTCCAGTTCGGCGAGAGCACGCAAGAGGTGCCATACGCCTGCATTGGTGATCAGCTCAGCTGGCGCATTGTCGCGTGCAATGTGCACAACGGCAACTTCAGGTCTAGCAAGACTTTGATGGAACACGATGCCGTCATTCAAAAGATCCAGGCAGTCAAGAATGGATTCGGGCTCGCCGCCTCGGCCGATTCCGACATCATCATTGGAAACCTTAGATCAACTAGTGTTTCGTCCTTCGAACAGCTATCTTACGAGTTCTTCGTTTTGGACTGCAGCGACGAGATCACGTGCCTTGACGTGCGAGCATCTGATCGCATACATCTTTCTAGAGCGTCGCAGGCGAAGACAGGAGACGAGCCTGTGATCGAAGTGGTGGTTGGCTGTGCTCGTGGTGCCATATTCTACTACAACGATCTCTTGCCGCAAATCCGGCACCTACAGACCTCGAGGAAGGGCAAAAGCTTGTCGCTGCAGCCACGGAAGCTTCATTGGCACCGGAGAGCTGTACATGCTGTCAAGTGGTCTCGTGATGGTAAGTCTCGCTCCAAGTTTGTCCATGGTACTACTCATAGGAGCTTATGCTAACTCAACACTACAGGCAACTACATCATTTCTGGTGGTTCCGAGTCAACCCTCGTCATGTGGCAGATCGATACTGGCAAGTCAGACTTCTTGCCACACTTGTCGGCAACAATCGAAAACATTGTTGTCTCTACCCGCGGTTCAGCTTATGTTCTCCACCTCGATGACAATTCTGCCATGGTTATCAATACTGCGGAGATGAAGCCCACAACATACATATCTGGCGTCCAAACTCATCTTGTTCCGCCACCTTTCTCCAAGGATGAGCTGGTGCATCGTGTTGGACAGAAGATTGCAGATCAAGTCGTGCGGATACCGTCAGCAGTCAACCCAACCAATACCTCACGGTTATTGATGTGCGTTGGCAACGGACAGCATAACCCTTCGACACCGATGATCCAAACAGTGGATCTCAGCACAATCCAAAGCGTCTCAAAGCAGGCCCTCACGCGGACGAATCCGACAGAAATCAACATCACCCCGAAGGGATTACCGATCGTCGAACCACACGTGACTGCCGTGGCATTTTCACATGATGGCAAGTGGCTCGCAACCACGGACGAGTGGGAGCCTCCGGCCCAGGACACGACCAACCAGGCCAAGGGTCCGTCTTCGTGCCCCGAGCAGCGAGAAGTCTATCTCAAGATATGGTCTGTTTCGGCAGAGGACAATTCTCTCGAGCTGCTCGCTCGTATCAACAACCCGCATTCCACAAGTCGTGCTGAGCCAGTGCTTGGCCTTGCGTCCGACTCCACATCGCACCGCTTTGCTACCATTGGCGGCGACGGGTTCGTAAGGACGTGGCGGCCAAGCATCAGACAGCGGGACGGAGTGCTCGTCAAGGGCAAGCAGGGGCGGCAGTTGCATAGTTGGACTTGCTCCCAGTCTGTGGCGATATTCGAAAATGACGGCGCTGATGGTCAAGATACCTCTACCAAGTCCACGGGTTCCGTCTGCTTCTCACAGGATGGGTCAATTCTGGTGACGGCATACTCCACGCCAGCAGGCTCAGCAATCCACATCATTGATGCGGAGACTGGAGAGGTGCGCAACGCCGTCTATCACCTCATCGAGGGCGGTGTGCAGGGCCTCGAGATCATCGGATCTCAGCTGATTGTGCTTTCCGATATCCTTGCGGTATATGACCTGGTTAGTGATGAGCTCAGCTACGGTATCCAGCTGCGCCGAGAGGAGCTGCACCTTGGTCCAGCTGTTTTGTCCCACCTCGCAGTTGACCAGGAGACATCGAGTTTCGCCATCGCTGTTTCGCGCCGCGATCTCAAGGCGACGTCAGTCCAGACGGAGCTCGCCATCTTCTCGCCCGAAAAGAGTGAGCCGGAGATGATTCAGCGATTCCCTCAGCCGATCGCTGCCGTCGTCCCCACCATCGGAGCAGGTGGATTCATATTGGTAGACGCTGCTGCACAACTATGGTCTGTCAGCCAGGGCCGGGACACGTCGTCGGCCTTTGCTCAGCCGCTGGCAGATCTCAGCCTTGACAACGAGTCCTTGTCGGCTGCGGCAGGCCAGTCCGCCGCCATCGTCATGGAGGCTGATGCTGACGATGTCAGCGAGGATGAGATGGACGTCGATGCTCCCGAGGATGATGGGGATGACGACGCACTCCACCCTGCCGTAGTTGCTCCTCAGAAGCTCGCAGAGCTATTCGACAGCGCCCCTGCATTTGCCATGCCTCCGATCGAGGACATGTTCTACCAGGTTACCAGGTTGTTCTCGGCGAAGAAGCCAGCTGCAGTGGCTGCGTAGAGCGTCATAATGGCAAAAGTTTGTATATAGGCGATGCTTTCTTTGGAGAGGATGGGAGCCTCCAAGGTTTGAAAATACAAAAATAATTGTGTAGACCATCTTGCATGACAAGACTGCCATCGTGCCGGGCCATGTTTTCATACTACGCAGAGGGGCGACAAGTCTGGACGTGCTTTTGTCTTCGTTGTTTTACTCCGAAGTACACAGAAGTTGAATATGGCTTCGTGCATGCCGTATCATTCAGCCTCTCTCTGTCTCTCATGTCCGTGGACTCCGACGCCCGAGGCTAAACTCGTGGCATTTACATGCACACAACCAAAAAGCCGTCGTGCTCTCGTCCATAAGAGCACCAGAGACAGCTCCGAGATCGCTCAATCCCCACACAGGGGACTCGGGGATGGACACGACCCGCGGGAAGAGTGTGGGGTAATTGGAGTGATGGCGCCATACTGGAGCTCACGCTCGCGACCAGATTACGGTAGCAATAAGATCCCGTCCATGTTGGAGAGATATACTGAAACCACACGCCTGGGATCGGTGTATCTTTGGATTAGGACTTACACAGTAGTAGGACAACTGAACCGATCGGCAGACTTTCTTTGCATGCGGAGGACGAGGTAAGCTATCCTACTCGGCCCGAGGACCTTCAAGAGCACTCGGCTGACCTCTTTGAAAGGCGACTTAGCGTGACACCGGCGTCGGCACTGGTAGAGAACACGCAGACAAGGAGCACGGACACGAGATCACGGCGACAGCTACAGATCAAAGCTACTTGATGTGGGAGTGGCGAGACTGCTGAACCTGCTTCAAAGACATCGCCGACTAGCACCACCAGAACAAGAGCAAACCCCTGACAATGTCGTTCACCACGGTCCCCGTGCTGGACATGGCGCTCGCCGACGACCCGGCGGCCAAGCCAAAGTTCCTGGCCGACCTGCGGCACGCGCTGATGGAAGTCGGCTTCTTGTATCTGAAGAACGTCGGCATCCCGGACGAGCTGTTTGAGAAAGTCATTGCCGAGGGGCGCGGGTTCTTTGACATCCCCAAGGAAGAGAAGTGAGTTTACATCCCTACTCCGCTCTGTGAGCTCTTCTCAGAGTCCTTTGCAACCTGCTCTCCGAGACTGTCGAGTGCGACTACTGCAAACGACAAGCTCTTATCGCCAACGTGGTTCACAGCTGACAGGGAGAAAACCCCGAAAGACTAAAGATCGAGATGAAGAACGCCCGCTCGTTCCTCGGCTACTCACAACTCTCCGCCGAGATCACCGCTGGCAAGATTGACCACCGGGAACAGATCGACCTCTCAACTGAGCACCCAGTCCCGCCGCCAACGGCTCCGCTCTACGAGAACCTCCTGGCGCCCAACCAGTGGCCGTCCACCGCCGTCCTCCCGCACTTCCGCCCTGTCTTCACAGAGTACATGACGCTCATGTCGGCCATGAGCATCCGCTTCATCGCGCTCGTGGCGGAGGCCATCGCGCTGCCGGCCGGCGCGTTCGACAAGTACTTTGACCCCGCGGGCCAGCAGCAGCACAAGCTCAAGGTCGTCAAGTACCCGGACGTCGCGGAGCTCGACCTGCCTGCCGGGACGGAGGCCCAGGGCGTGGGGCCGCACAAGGACAGCATGCTGACGAGCTACCTCCTGCAGGCGAGCCACCACCGGGGCCTGCAGGTGCAGAACATGGCGGGCCAGTGGATCGACTGCCCCCCGATCCGGGGAACCTTGGTCGTCGCGATCGGGCAGGGGCTCGAGGCGCTGACGCGGGGCGTGTGCTGCTCGACCACGCACCGCGTGGTGAGCCCGCCGGCTGGCGAGGGAGCCAGGTTCAGCATCCCCTTCTTCCAGGGCGTGCGGGGCGGGACGACCTTTAAGGATCTCGAGGAGGTCGGGATCGGGCATGCGATTCCCGAGAGCGTGGTCGAGCAGAGGAGGAAAGTGCTCGAGGCCAACGGCGGCAAGAGGCTGGACGACTGCGAGTTCACGTTCCGGAGCGGCGGCGTGGCGGCCACCCTGGGCGAGGCGACACTGCGCAACCGCGTCAAGAGTCATCCGGATGTAGGGGAGCGGTGGTATCCCGATATCCTGAGGGAGATTCGGGCCGAGCAGGCTGCGCTCGAGAAGCAGCAGGACGGTGCGGGTAATGGTGGTGGTGCTGCTGTGACGAACGAAGCGTCGGCAGATGCGACACAGACTCCGGTTGTGCGGGCGCACTGAAGACGACATGCACCTCGATAGATCCTGTCAAGGCCAGGAAAGCCTTCACGTAGCACGCTTTTGAACGCTTGTGCATTTTTCTCTTCTCTCTTTGCTCTGAATGATCATGTCGCTCGTATAACGTCGTGAGTCGTCAACGCCCTCCTTCCCCCCCTGCCACTCACAACAACTCCGAAAACATTGGTATAGGTTAATGCAAATATCTCCTTGCTTTCTATCACACTTGATTCGCCTCGGTCTCGCGTGTGCAGGTCGACCTACGCGGCGGCATAGGTAGGGAAGCAATCCGCAATGGTCTTGCTGTGCTTGTTGGCAGCGTGCTCAGTGAGCCTAGAATGGGAGAAGACGGGAGGTCAGTCACATGTGTTTCTTTGTTTCTGACAAAGCCTCGAAGTCGACCAGCGTAATGTCTTATGGGTAAAAGCTCCCCACAGAATGGCGGTATCGGCGCGGAGTCGGGAAAAGGCGGGAACATACTGAGGAGCACGAGTTGTCTTGAGGAAGGTCGACTTGCAGATCTGGCACTGGATGTCCATGGCCTTCTCGTTCTGTTTGCATGCAGAGAAAAAAACGTCAGCTTCAAGGGCCCTGTGGACCGTAGTCGGTGGACGCAGCCTGTTGCCGAGATGAAGAAGGAGGACGAACCGTCTTGAGCTGGGACTTGGCGGTGCCCTTTGCGTCCTTTGCGTTGCGATCACGCTTCTGCGCGGCTTTGGCTCCCTAGATGAACAGCAAGGCCGTGTCAGCAAGTGCGCCCTTTTGAGGTTTCACCCGCGATGGGCAAAAAGAAAGGCGGGTATGCCTGAGGGGAGAGATCGGCGGTGATGCCCACTCACGTTACCCATTTTGAAGGTGGAAGTTGGGGGACCTGGTGGAAAACGCGAGGGTGACTTGTTGTCGAGAAAAACTGGCGGTCGGAACTGTTGCAGCGTGCTGGCTGGCGGGGGAGAGAGAAGCGAGAGGGTGTCGTCGCGGGGATCGGGAGCAGATAACTAAGCGCCGTTGAGATGCGACGGGCTTTTTCTTCGAGAAAAATTGGCTGCCTCCGGCTTACACGTGCTGGAGCCCAGGCAGGCCCAAAGTCACGCCAGCGCAAGGGTCCTGCCTGCAGGCCTGGACTCGACTTTGGGGCCACTAAGCCCCTCCTGGGCAGGCGCTCCAAGGGCGATGATCAGGGATTGGTCCCCTAAAACTGCCCGCTTTTACTGGGCTAGGCACCGTACCAAGCAACCGCTATGTAGCGTATGTCTGACCTGCACGTCTCAAGTGCGTGATGAACCGAGCCACCGCATTGGAAACCACCTACAAATGAGAGCAAGGACGTTTCGACTCAGTCACTAGTCTTGGTCTCCCTGCGACCTCATCGCAACATACTCGTTGCAACATGTCACGTCCTGTCACCTCGCCCGATGACATCTCCAAGGAGCAGTTCTCCCAGCTCCTCGGCCAGTACGACAGTCTGATACAGACTCTGTCCGGTTCCACAACGTGTAACTTCACATGCCCGTCAAATGCGTCTCCTTAAATACATGTTAATACGTCCCAACAGCCAAGCCAGGAACCCGAACACTTCAGGAGTTGGATCAGTTTCGATACGAAGAGGCCGTGGCGGCCTTTAGCTCATCCAAGCCCACACGCCAGATGACACACGATGATGTGAAGACACTAGTCGAGTGGAAATTGTAAGTACTCTTTGTGTTTCCATGACCCAGAATATCTCGTCCTATCAATTTGGTCGTCTGTCTCGTCTACTGCTGCAATCCGTGGTGTCTAATCATGTCGCAGGCGGCATGGCAAGTTTCGTCCCACTCTAATGAGCCTCGTCTCATCAAATGCTTCGGCCAATGTCGCCAACACCATCCAGAGCGCCTTGGCACAATACTGGAAAACCAAGGACGCCGACGCTGCCCTGAAGACCATCTCCTCCCTAAAAGGTGTCGGCCCAGCAACAGCGGCTTTGCTGCTGTCTGTACACGACCCTGAAGATGTCATTTTCTTCTCCGACGAAGCCTTTTGGTGGCTGTGTTGTGGCGGCCAGAAGCGGCCGATCAAGTACAGCCCCAAGGAATACCAAGCGCTGAGGGGGGCCGCGCGTGTGCTGTCCAAGAGGCTCGAAGTAGGTGCGACAGATATCGAAAAGGTGGCATATGTCCTCTTCAAAGGGGAAGTTGCTCCCGAAAGCGGGCCGGTAGCGGACAAGAGACCGAAACCGAGCGCTGGGAAGACACAGCCGCGGGCGGCGACGAAGACCGCAGAGGCGGCACCGGAGACAGGGACAAAGCGGAAGCCGGCGAATGGGGGGGACGAACACGCTTCAACTGGGGTTCGTAGGTCGAAACGCGGAAAAACGTAGGCAAGGCGGCTCAGATTGATAACCTCGGGGCAATGTCTAATCATTTGAGTATATCTCGTTATCTTGACTTGTCGTTCTCAGTGAATCCTCTCGGAGGAGGATGACACCTCAGAGTCCGACAGGGTGCGTCTTCTGCCCAAAGACAGCCCACCAACACTTGACCTGCTGGGTATCGCGATCCTCATCCCAATCATCCTGGGCCTCGACAATATGTTCCTCGAGGCATACCAGGTGTAAGTGGCTTTTGGCAAGGGTCGAGCGAAGCCTATCCAACAAGACGCTTGTCAATGAGTCCCTCAATGGGCTCATGAGGACAACCCGTGCCTCAGGCTTGGTAGAGAGATGCTCGCATATGGCTGCAGCGAGCAGTTCGGGATGGTCATCATCATAGATCGCATCTGCGGCAAGTATGATCTGCGAGAGGCTTCATATGAGCGAATGTGACTTGATGATGCTGGCGAGTGTCTGTGCTAGTGAACCTACATCAAACTGATTTTTGTGGGCGAAACGTTCATCGTCTTTGCTCTCGTCATCGTCGTCAAGGGGACCGCCCCAGGTAAGAGCCGCTTGGTCCAGACTTCCACCTAATCTATCAATAGTGGACCGGTTCGCGTCCACATTGAACGATAAGTTCGATATGATGGTGGGAAGATCGCCGAGCAGCACGTTGGCCCGCCATTGCCCGGCGGCGGCCATTCCCAACAAGCCTGTACCGGAGCCAAGCTCAAGAATTTTAGGACGTGTATTGGGCTTGTCCAGCGCGAGCAGATGAGCTAGAGAGTCTTGGGCAATGCTTCCCAGAAGCTGAGCCAGAGCATAAGATGAAGCCCATGTCTTTAGACCCAGCGCATCCCCCGTAATTGGGGGCTCGCGGACGATGAGTTCGAACGAAGACTCCTCGGTCTCCCGCACAAACGGCCATCGGCGCACGAGCTCGCCCATCCCAGCCCTGCCGCATCGCTCTGATATCCGCCGACTAGCCTCATTCCACAAAACCTCCTGCTCCTCCTCGTCCGTGATCCAGGAGAAGCCGCTCTTGATCATGGACGACAGATAGCCTGCGACTTCGCGCTGGTACTGAGCAGACCGCTCATGTTTGCTGATCATATTCCGTCTTGAAGTGTCTGGACCCCATACTGGAGGTTCATATCTGAGAGAGTGGAAACATGCGAGCAACTCGTCGTATGATGGTCGCTGCCAGACCTGCGGGAAGTCGAGCACAGAAGTGGCCATTTTCCGACAATCTGAATTCCAAGACTGATTTTCCCCGTCAAGGCCTGGAGTTGAGCTGCGGCTCTACGGACGAACAGGGCACCTCTAGGCGAGAGCACGGCAAATGTTTCGGCGGCAGTCGTGAGTCAGTGGCCAGCGCGATATAAAGGCAAGACCTGGCTTTTGCGGGAAGCGCCTCAGTGTCCGCACCACTCTTCCGGGAACCAACACAGGCAAGAGAAATGCATCACGAGAACGTGTTGTGTGAGGTTCCTCCCGTGTCCCAGGCTTTCATCTGCCGATGGACGTAGTTGAAGCACGAAAAAAATGCACAATGGAGGAGCGGCCAGAGCCACATCGTGAAGTGGATCTCATGAGGGTCGCTGAATATCTAGGAGCACTTGAGCAGTGCAACAATGCAAGCACAATGTCTACAAGCGATACACGAGCAGTTGTCTACGATTTATCAACAGTCAGGCCTGTAAGATTCCGATGTTGCATACAAACAAGTACGAAACATTCAGCGGATGGTCGAAGTCGTACGCAACGTAAAGGTACCGCCACGCGACCAAATTGGTGGGGCCTATACAGTGAAGCTGCCTGAGGCTTTAATGGGGGTTGAACCTTCACCAGGCAGAAAGGCGCGCTCTCATTGGGCAATCTGACAACCCCCAATTTTTCGCCCGCTCTGTGACTCGAAATTGTCCAAGGCAGCACGGCACCGAGCTTGGCTTTCTTCCTTTCCTCTTCTTCTCCTCCCCAAGCACCATCCCCATCAACGCTGCGTTTCTATGCTACAAACAGAGCAGACTGCGTCCTGCGCAGTCTCTCGGCTCGTCTCTTGCTCCGTTCTCCGGAATCCTGCACCAGACAGTACAGCCACCTCCTCCAGCATATGAGAAATTCGGAGTAATCTTCAACCCACACCGCGAGTCGCCCGCCCTGCTGCGGGATCGACCGGTCTGCCCGTAAGGGTCTCGCGTGACTTCACGCCTGCAATTGGCATCAGAAAAGCAGGGCGCTGCCGGGCTGCCTCACGGTGGCTCCGAGCAGTTCTGCCCTATGGGAGAGCCGTTGCGAAGATTGTGTGCGAACACTTGAGTGCGATACGCAGCGTGCTGTTGCTGCCCAGAGGACTTCAAACCCCCGCTGGCGCAGTGCAGCACAATTCGATTCTGATTACTCTGGTGGGGATGGTGCTTCACCCCTTTTACCCCTTCAGGTACGCTGCCCGTGTCCTTCCTCTAACCTGAAGATCAAAGAATACTACTAACTATTCTGGCTTTGCCAATGCCTTGACCTCGATGGACGATGGCAGCGCTTGGCAGATGGGGACAAGCATAGTTGCCGCCACACATTTCCTGCAACCATGAAGATTTTCCGTTCGTGTAGAGTAGCCTCGCCTTGCAGTAACCACGCGTGACGGAGTGACTAGACTGGGAATACTTCCCGATCTTAATTTTGATCTTGATGAAGCCACGTGATCTTCGACCGGCATCATCGGCAAGCACCTCTGCAGGGACGATCAAGAGTGTTGTTACACCTACTTTTCCGATGAACATCCTACTGCACACCACGCAAGTTCGCACAATTCATCGCAATGAGTCTTGAGAGCAAATATCAATATCCTCGACCACGAATCTCGCCAACACTGCACGGCTACTTGGTCACTCGTTTCGCACAAACGCAAACGAGACTACGACGCTTGGCAGCGCCCCCAGACTCGTGCCTCATCTGAGATCATAAGTATTCATGGACCAAGTGTTCATGAACCAAGGCACTGTCCCAGGCTATGGGCGGTTGGTTACCGAGTGTGCACGAGCTGGTCCTTGCATTCCGACTCAGCATTTGCGAACACCATGCACCCACTTGATTCGATGGGCTCTCGGGACAAGAGGGCGAGCAGCAAGCATACTGTGGATGATGTCACTCATCACCGCAGCTTGCTCATGTCGTCACAGCTTCACCATGTCATCAGAAGGGAACAGAGCTTTGTTAGACTAGACGGGGCAAGGCTCCTCGAGCAAAGCACCTCCAGTGTCTTCCGCCAGAACCCTAGCTCAGCCATCATGATCGCCAAGGGGTAAGACAGCCCCGGCTGCTGTGTGGTGGCGTGTCGCTAGGGCAATTCGGGCATCTGAGGAGCTTTCTTGCACCACACAGTGAGCACATACCGCGAGTTCCGGCGTCTGAAAAGGGTACATGTCAAAGATTTCGACTGAAGTACTGCGCGAAGTACCCTTCTGCAGGGATTGTGGCGCCGTGCCGCTCTTTGCAAGGGTTGCGAACCACCAACATCATTAAACATCCTTGCCAACGGTCTGGCCGCAGCCAGAGCAGCCTGATGCGAACGCGGCAATGTAGATGCAAGAAAGGCGCACATGGGGAAACACAGCCACTCTTCAAGCACCCCCGTCGTATAGTGTGGAGATCTTATGAGGGCAGGGTGCCTTGCACGCTAGCTTGGGCGCTTAGCTGCTGCGAACGACGCGGCTGCTTAGCGGGAACTACGGATCATCCCGTCACTTGCATGACAGCAGCCGCCGGCGGGGCCGCGAGTCATTCGCTACGGCTTGACATGGTGCTGCCAGGGACCATGTACATCTCCAGTCCAACACAACTGGGAATGCCGACAACCCTGCACGTCGGTACGTACTGCCGTATGTCGGCCCCATTTTGCTGGCTAGCGAGTCGATTGCCCACCTCAAGCCAACGACCGCACCACCGGTTAATCAAGGGTTAGGGGAGTTGTTGCCCCTCAAGCCAAGCGATCCAGGGGTCTGGGCCGGCGCATGGGCTGTTCTGATAGGTGGGTTAGACGCGATATAGCTACATCCATGCAACGCCAGACCAGTTCTGGCAGCGAATGCTCTTCCAGCAAACTCACATGGCCCACGCGAGGATCTACTCCGTCGACAACTCTGCGCACTCCGTCTACACCTGGCGCAGACTTTCAGAGCCGTTGATCGGAGGCCAGCATCGTTGTTGTTGGCTCGTCGATCACTTGGCCGGAGCGACGAGGGTTCCTGTAGCCTCTTGAAGCCCTCCACTTTCGGCGACAAGCTCCTCGTCCGACATCACACTTTGCACACGCTAGACTCCGGGTTGAACCATGCGGCGCTTCTTATTACTGATCGCGGGGGTCGTCCCTCTGACGAACGCGGGTGCGCCGCTGCTGCCGATCTTTCCCGACGACGGTCTGAACGCAATGGGGGGAAACCCTTGGGCTGACATATGAACCCGAGCAGGACAAACCCACCAGGAATCTCCCACTGCCCGGCCCATGACCATCACGGAACTCATCTGGTCTGGCCCCTGCAGTGGTATGCATGCAGTCGGATCTATGTACCCGCCCTTTGCATCGCAAGGCTGCCAATCCTCGCTTTGGGACAGAGCGGAGCTGGCACCGCGTGCGCCCATGGAACACATGCAGCGGCAGGGCGACGAGCATGAACTACGGTTGTCCACATTGTGAAGAGCCGCTCCCGGAAAGTAGGCTGCAGCCGACACCCCGTTTCAATGTCACTTGACATGCAGGCGGCAGGGACACGGCCTCGCGGTGCAACAGGGATGCCTCCAAAGCCGTCCAGCCAACAACAGCATACCATTCTTCACGAGGCTGTGTACACCCCTCTGCTGAGAATGGCCAGTCGTCACATCGTGGTGCACTTGGAGACGGGCAAACCCAACTGAGAATCGTTCCAGTCTCGTTCGGACGAGATCCTCTATTGTGGGCTCTCTTCTCGCCTAAGCGAGCCAAAGTCGAAACAGGGATATGATGGACACCGCCACCATCACCAGTTGGCTCACAACGGGCTGCACACCATCGTCTTTGAACGGCACAAACTTCCGTGCTTCCCGCTCCACCACTGTTTCATGACAGGCTTCACGCGGATGCCAGGCTTCTGTTACATGATTCAAGAGCCGCGCCTGGTGGTTGACACCCTCATGGAAAGTGACACAGACCCTGTTTGTCTCGGCGGCGTCTGTCATACCCTGTGGTCCTCGCCATCGCCATCACCAACACCAACACCAAGCATCAAACTGCCCCCACCTCGGCCTTTCGGGGTCGCTCGCAAGGACTTCCTTCTACAAACTGTGATTCCTTCCCCCCCACCGTCTAGTACGAAATCGGATCTAGCAGCAACAGCACCTGGATGTTGGGATCGACAAAGGCAGCGTCCTGACTGACTCTACAGGGCAGCTGTAGTCACACCACCCCCTCGCCTGTTGCCATCCGTGATCACACTACCATGGGGGAGCACGGGCATGGTAGCCGAGCGCTAGCATGCGGTTGGCTGGTTCTTCCCACGTCTTTGATGGAAAACTAGTGAACTTCGCCCCCGTGACTTTTTCCAGGCGCCCCCCCCCCCCCAATCGTTGGTTGGTAAGACGGCTGGCTGGCCCTAATGACAGGCCTAGAGTCTGCCCCAACAAGCGCGATAACAGTGGCTGGGGGGAGGGGGGGTGCTATTGGTCATCATCATCATCATCATCATCAAGGACAAGGACGGGGATCGGCTGCTTAACTCGCAAAACCGCCGCGCTTAAGTCGCCGTGTGGTGGGAAAAGATTCCGATCAATTTTTTCCGCACTCTGACATTGGATGGGATGGCGCCCCCCTCCAGTGCCGACCTGTCCGCCCGCCAGGTTGGCATGGCAAATGGTCTGCTGGACTGCAGCCAGAAAGCATATTCTCAGGTGGGCTTCAGAGAGAATATATGCTCGTGTAATTTTGACGGAGCAAGCTCAGACTGCTGCCCGGCTGTCCACGATTTCGTTCATGTTTCAACTTTGAAATCCTGCACGGGCCATGCTACCTAGGGCTTTTGCGAAGGAAGACAGAAAAAAAAAACCGATCAGAATTACACGACAAGCACGCGAGCCACGAGAAGCCAAAACCTTTTCTGTACTGCTGCTCTGCGGACAGAAAGTGTACAAAAGACACCCGCCGAATCATCGAAGTGCCCAAGGTCAATAACTACGTAGAGACGGCATTTTGCACAATGGGAGTGCCGCGGGCAGGCCTGCTAACCCTTTCATCGGTGCACTCCTGCTTCACGGAAACAATCCAGACGTCACAAGCTGCATCGTTGAATGTCAAAGATACACAGGTTGGTCAAGTCAAGTGGCACGCGTTGCTGTGATGGTTGATGGGATATAAATGTCAATTCATTTCGTCATGTACATAATCGCAAATGCTTGTTATTCTAGGTTGGGTCCGTTTCCCAAAATGCAAGGCAAAATCATGCAGCCAAGATGATGCGGCTGTCTGTTCCATGTCTCCCAACTCCGTTGCTCGTCTGATGATTGAATAAAGCAGAATGCAGGTAATCAGGCATGCGATGGATCCGCCGCCCACATCCAAATCACTTTTGGGTAGCCTCTCCTTGTACCATATGCGAATATTAGGTCTAGACAGGCGTCGGCGTATAGCACAACTCATGCTGACGCCGCCACCTCGCGAGAGATCTCTGTTTTCCACGCGACAAGCCGCCGTCGCATGGCAAGCAGGTCTTGGAGCTTGTCCTGAGGAGGCTCCTCGAGCTGCACAATCTCTCGGTGAAGCGCCTCATATCGTTCGTAGCACCGTGTGAACAAATTGGCTCTTTTGAGCACGTCTTTGCTTACTCGCGAGTTCTTGCCCGAGACAGATTCCTGATCAGAGTCGAGCTCCTTGCGCTTCTTGACGATGCCAGCAGACGAGCTGCCATAGGTGCCATTGATGCTGCTGACGCCATTCCGGGCACGTCCGTAGCCCTGGCTTTGGCTGCTGCGGTCGTCAAAGTCAGAAGCATTTGTCGGGGGCGAAGAGGCGAGCGGTGAAGACTTTGTCGGAGATGTGTTCTTGTTCTTTGCAAGTGTTGAAGACGAGACATTGGCAGCCCCGTTGCTCCGCACCTTTTGACTCGAGTCGACGTTTTTCCGTTGGCTGGGCTCAGAGGATCTTTGGTTGACGACAGGCGCCCGCGCCACGGGTGGCTTGACAGGCTCTTTGGGCTTGAGACGCTTGCTCAGTGGTGCACCAGAACTCGAGCTACTGTCGTCGTCATCACGCGCTCGTTTTTGCGGAGCTGGGGACGGCACTGCTCGTACAGGTGGTCGAGGGGCCCGAACGACTGGTTTCGGCTTCGCTGGCAATGTTGAGGGAGTAACGTGTTCCCGTTCTCGTGCCCGCTCGACAGGCTTCTCCACAGGTCTGTCCCGCGGCTTTTCGGCAATTTTTGGCTTCGCAGCTGAGGTTGATGATGACAGCGGGACTTCATCCTGGCTGCTGGAAGAATCATACACAAATTCATCTGACAGAGGCACTTTTCTGCCCTTGTCCTCCACAGCTTTGACCTTTGCCAGAGGCTTCTTTGGTAGCACAGGCTTCTTTGTGACGGAAGACAACACCTTCTTCGGGGGCACCTCCCGCTCTGCCACCTTCTTGATCTTTGTGCTGCCCGCTTGCGAGCCACTCCGTGCCAGCGGTTCGCCACCCTTGGACAATCTGGAAGAGTCTGCTTCGCTCTTGTCCCCATCGTCGGGCTTTTGCACAGACACTTTCGGCACCGGTGTGATGTTGCCCTTCGCAAGTGTCGCTTGTAACTTGCTCAAAGTCTTGCCCTTGCCACGCTCTTCAGGCGCCAAGAGCCTCTCCCATTCTGGCGATGTTGTGCCGATGCGCTGCTTGTCGTACTGACGGACAGCACTGTCGATTGCTGCTTGACGATCGCCGGGCTCGTTGTATGTGTAGTTCCATACGTCCAGCTCTTTCCAATACAGCTTCTTCAGGCTCCAGCTATTGCTAGGCTGGTCAAAGCTTGCCACCTTCTCGAGCGTGGGTCTCAGGTCCTTGACATCGCCAAGCCACTTCTTCTCCAAGTAGTCATACGTCCTGTCCCGCGCTGCAAGTTCGTGCACAAGAATACTTCGTTGTTCCTTGTTCTTCTCGAGGAGCTGTTGAGACGCAGATATGGCAGGATTCGGCGATGAAACGCCGTTGAGAGCCGGGCTCGCAGGGAGTGACCGTGGTGTCGAGCCGGACATTGCTGCGGCCATGGCGGACCTTCCAGGGGCAAGGAGCTTCGAAGACGGACGGGCGGTCTTGCCCTTCTGCTTGATGTCGCTCGACAGACCATTGGTAAGGCGAGTACTGTAGGTTGCATTAGCACCACCCAGAACGTCTGGGCCACTTTGTGACCATACCTGTTGCCACTCTTCTCAGACTCCGGCCCTGACGAGGATGATGAGCGGCTCATGGCTCTACCAGATCTCTCGCCTTGCAGGGCCAGGTCTTGCTTCGTCGGCTTCTTCCAAAGGGACTGCGCAGGATGTGGTAATCGTTGAGCGAGCGTGGAATTTTCGTCGGGGTTCGTGAGGAATAAGTCATAATCATGTGAGTCGGGTATCGGTTCGACAATGTGGGATCTCCCTCCATATTCGAAGCACTGTTGAGCGGGATACAGGTCAGCCTTCTAGGAAACGCCAATTGGAGCCGACGGCGCCAGGGGGCTGTCACCTAAGGACAGAGGGAGGGTGATGATGCAGGGAGCAAGCCTCGTGAAGCAGGCGAGCTCAATCGCCAAGGTCATACTCACCGGTTCGCTTCCGAGCACCAGCTCTATCTCTTCTCCATCTTGCACACATCTGATCATGTCTTCAATCATGCTGTCGCTCAGCGTGATCCCAAACGCCTGACGTGGTAGAGCACCAGCCGCCTTGGCCGAGCTCTCCAGGTGGAGGCCAGCATCGGGGATTGTGAGAGTAGTCATCCTGGCCAGCAGTGCGTTCTACCAAGCGTCGAAGGGCTGTCGTGTAGAGGGATTGCCTCGAGAGGTCTCTACAGGGGACCTGGTTGTACAGCCACCCAGCAAGGGGAAACTGCCAGCCGCAGTCCTGCGCGTAGCAGGACCGTGAGTAGTCCGAGGGCGAAAGTCGAAGGTCCTCGTCAAGAGCTCGTCACATGGCGAGTGAGGCAGGGTGAGCTGGTGTTTATCGAGGATGAGCTGCAAGATGGGACCTGCAGATGGAGCCGACGATGGCAGAGGTGGATCGGCGTGGGATAGTCTCTCTCGGGAGCGGCGAGCTGACGTCGATCTACGGATCGAGGTGTCGGGAGGACTCTGCTGGGTCAAGCGGGTGGCTTCAAAGGCAGGCAGGCAGGTGGAATTAGACGAAACCACCAGGACAATGGGCAGGCCAGCAAGGAGGAGGCAAAACGAGGGTCGTGGTCTGGTCGGTTGAAGAAGAGAGGGCGTAGGAGGTGCAGGCAGAGGCAGAGGAGAGACACACGCAGGCACGGCTTGGGCGAGTAGCACGCAGAGCAGGAGGTACGGTGCGACGGCACGGTGCCGGGGTGCGAGCTGCTGAGCAGCAAGGGAACATGACTGAATGGGGCCATGGGTGGGCTGGGCTGGGGACGCAGGAAGGCAGCTGCTCCTGCACATGCAGCGGCGCGGCTTGGACGGGGCGCCCTGCCCGGGTGCCAATGGCAGACTCGCCGTGGGTGGGGGAGCCCTGGCATGGCATGGCCCTTGGCAGCCCTGGGCCCTCCATTGTCGCCCTCCCCGTCCGTCCGCCCGCCTGCATCACCACTTCCAGAACACCCGCTCGTCCTTTGTGCGACGCCATGGATGTCGACCATGCATGTCCCACGCGCTGCTGCAGAAGAGCAGGTGCTGCGTCCTTCTCGTCCTCGTCCTCGTCCTGCTCAACCCTTTGTGCCACTGGCCGTGCCCAGAAACAACTCTCACGCCTCTTCAAACAAGGCCCTTCTCGTTGTCAGGGACCGCCGTCCGTGCTTCTACAGCAGGCTCGTGCCCATCCAGCCACTGCCAGTCCAGCAGTCCACGCCGATATGACTCCCCCGCTACAGGACCCGACAACAGGGCCGGCACCGTCCTCCATGGTGACTGGTGGAGCTGGATGCCAGGTCAACCACCCACCGTACCCGGCCGTGGCTGTTCAGCAGTGGTCGCCAACTCAGCAGCAAGCCACCACGGCCCTTGGCCCTCGCCCAAAATGGTCGTCCGGGTGGTACCCCCGGCAAGGGTCGTCGCTCCACCCTCGTTGGGATGTCCTGCCTGTCCACTGTAAACTTTGACATCTGCGACCCATTCAAGTGGTGCAGTCAAGCTGCGGAAGCTCGGAAACAATGGCGAGCTTGCTTTGCCCGCGTCCAAGCAGAGACGTGCTGTGCTCGACAGCGGCGATTGCCCGCCTCTAGTCTGTCTGACTGACTGTCTGTTTGCCGGTGAGGCCTGTTGTTGCTGCATGGTTGAAACCACGGAGTCCAGTCGCAGCACCACTCCGCCCCAGACGATCCACTTCCGAAACTTTGCCTCGTTTACGAGGTGCTGCCAATGTCAAAGACAAAGAGACCGCCATTGACGGACGCTGCTGGCAATCGCCCATTGCCAACGACTCTGCTCTGCCAGCCCGCCCATACAGTATGGGGCTCTGGAAGGAACCAGTCGCCTGCTTGACCAGGATCTCCCCCCCTTTGGGCTCTCTCGCCTGTTTTGCCTCAAAGCTCCCAATGGGATGGCCGGGACGAACGAGCAATTCGGGAGACCCACCGTCATCTGCACAGCTCAAAGCCAGCGCGACGTCCGGCTCCCGTGGTGGCTCCACCTCATCATTGTCTGTGCCTGCCACCCTCGGCAATGGTCAAACAGACTCACGATGCTCGTGCCCCCAGGTACGAGCATCGCAGATGGGCCGGAAGAATGAAACACAAGCAATGCCGACATTGTGACCAACACAAAGGGGGGCATGTGGCAAGGCACTCCAAATACGCTACGGAAGCACCAGGCCTCGACACAGCGTTTCCTGGAATCGGATTACATCATTCCGACCTCCCTTGGTACAAGACCCACCACTAGTAAGCCACGCTTTTCATGGCTCGTCCGAAAGCCAATGCTCGCGCCATTTCGAAAGCAGCAACCTTGGACAATAATGGTTCTCCGTATCGGATGGTCCTGCTTCAGAGACAAACTCAACACGAAAGAACAATGGGGGGTCCATGGAAGCAATCGTACGATGTGCTCTTGCCCTTCTACGATACAGCAAGATTCTCATCTCACGAGGCGCCGGCCTGCTAGCGCGCCGACGTCGACTCCTGACGTGCTGATGGGGGCTGGGGCCGACATCCGCCGCAAGGAAAGCCAAGCACTGATGTACGCCTCGCTGTGCACAAACTGCGACTATACTGTAGATACGACTTTGTCTCAACGGGACGGTTGGCACGATCCACGACCCTACGCCACGGCTCAACTGTGGGCCACTCGCCTTCTCCAAACGAAGGCCGAGCGTGATCCACGGAATGCGTGCAATTTCACCATGTGTACGACGTATATGCTGCACATCCCTCCCAGCTCATGCCATGCGCCTTGCAAGACGATCAGAAACCGACAGCAAATCTGCATGTTAATTGCGGTGTTACATCCTGCGACGCGTGGGAGTGACCCACGTCCGCTCTCAACCTCTGCCACAACATATAACGCTAGGGTTTGTCTCTGCGCGGCAGGACGCAAGTGCGCATCGCTCCGGCGCTGGTGTTGAGCTTCACCACATGACTGCTACACAGTGGATTTGGTGGTCATATTTACCGAACCCGTGCGATGCCGATGCGTGGTGGTTCACCTCCACGAGGACAAGTTGTACAAGCTTCCTAGTGGCAGATTACTCGCGCTTTGTTCATCCCAAGAGCTACGGGGCACCTAGCACCAAGAGGAATCACGAACCATTTGCGGGCTCGGTAAGCAAATACCAACTATTCCCAAGACTGCTTGTATTGTAACCGCCATTCCTTTCGTGCACCGCCATGCATGAGGCGATGCTCAATCGCAAAGATCGGCAACGATGTAGGCAAGACGAAACCCTGTCGCAGATCGACGATTGTGTTCAGAACTTGTGCAGCGTTTCACATTCTAAAGCGATGGTGTTTAGGCGCACAGAGGACGCCCCCCCCGACGCAAGAAGACGTGCAGGCTAATTGGCTGGAACCCTAATAACAGAGCGGTGTCTCTTGGACACAATACGGAATGACTCTGCCAGCAACAGAAGCGGGCTGGAGCTAAATTGCAGGGCGACTTGCATGTTGTACAAAGACGTCACAGGGTCAAGATGCATTTGTGCTCCTCTAGGATGGCTCCAAGCACACGTTGTATCGGGCGGGCCCTTGCGTGAGGACTGGCGACAGTCGCAATGCACAGCTCCGTGGAATCGCTCGTTTTGAAGGGTGGGGGCCGGCGCTACATGGCAACCAGTCCTGGAGGCTGCTGCCGGGAGCTGCCAGCCCCCACGGAAGCGGGAGCGGGCCAAGGATGGCTTGTTCTTCAGCATCCCCAGAAACATGCGGCAATAATGATAATTCAACCCACGCCACGGCTTGGCCGTGCGGGCGAGCCATCGATCTCCCAGAAATCTCACCACCGAGGCACGCCTGGAATACTGCCTGCAGGCGCAAGCAGAGAGCCACTTTCGAGGGCAACTTGTTCATCCATGTCGTCATGGCGTCAGCTCAGCAGGCGCAGACACGGCATGCCCCAGTGAGACTTGTCCGTGGCAAGCTGTCTGTCGGTCACACACACACACCCCAGCCCTGCCAGCTTGTGTCTGACACTTGTGCTCGCCGAGCGAACCAGCAGCTGCTCATTCGGCCAAATGCGGCTGTGGAATCGAATTGGATTGGTAAGAGCCGGCTTGAGACGGGACTTCCGGCATCTGTTTGTGTGGGCAGTGCAGTCAGGACGACGTGATGTGACCCCGGCGAGCTGCTTACCTGCCGATCCCTCTTCGGTCAAACGTTGCAGGCAGTCCAGCATTCGTGTGGGCGCACATCGATTCATCTCATGTAAGCCATGAGGGGTCCGAGTCAGCAGCTGAGGCCATCCATAGCCTACGCTGGCTGCTGCTCCATGGCGCACCGTCTTTGGTGTTCGCATGCAACACGACGACCGCATCGGTCTGCTGCCATGGCCTTTTGGCCTCTCTACGTGGACAGCGTTCCCAACATGGCGATATGCCGTGACTAGCTCGACGAGCAGCTAGCTGTACTGAACGATGCTGGCCGGCTTTGCTGCTGTGTCTCCCGACTGCCGCTATCAGAGACCCCCGGTTGGCCGAGAACCGGTGCAGTTGCACTTGTAGCATTTACTGGCATGTGCAAGAACCGAAATCAGACAGTTGAGGGCCAGGTCATGCTATGTCGTCCCGGGCGGTCCGGATTCTTGCTCCGCATCGCCATTGCACCTATGTCGATTCAAAGCCAAGCACACAAGCAGGCAGGCAGGCAGGCAGGCGAGACAGGTTCGCTGCACAGGCGTGCCTCCCAGGCACGAGTGATGCACTCCGTCCAACCTCGCGGTACAAATAGTACGACTATTCTCGAGCTTAGGTAAGAATGAACTGGCGGACCAAACTCTGTCCCTGGGCGCGAGCACCAGTAGAACCCCACTGGGCACGAGACAGGGCCTTCCTGCTTCCTCCTCGGAGACTAACGGGAGGCTTTGTGCATCCGGCCTAGTCTTTCCGGATTGGCTTCCCTCCTCGCGAGTGCTCCCGCGCGGCAGACGCTGTCCTGCCATGCCAGACATGCTTGGGCTCGGACGGACACCAGGTCAGACACGAGCGATTGATGCCCAGCTGAGAAGACTGTATACACCTCGATGCTCTTTGGGGTGTGCAAGATGGCCCTCCTTCAGTCTTAGGGCCAGGAGTGTCAGGCGACACCACTATGTACTGTATGGGCAATCTCGCCAGGGCGGGATGCGAAACTTGTCCCCCGACGGAAAGCCTCCCCTCGGTCCTGTCGTTGACTTTTGCTTGCTAGTCCCGGGCGGCGGGCCCATTTGGAGTGGTTCCTTACCCGAAGAGAATGACCGTTGGTGACTAAAACAGGCGTCAAACTGACAACAGGCTTACAAGCAGGCAACGGGGTTCACCGAGGCCGCGGAAGCGAAAAAGCAAAGCACAGTATCACGCGACAACCGCAGCTGGGCATTGTTCGTCAATCACGACAGTGAAGAACTCGGAGGCAGGGGGCAACACTAACCACCTTGACACCATCCAACGACCGCTCGGGCCCACGTTAGACACTGCATCTGACCATGTTCGCACACAGCGAGCGACTCAGCCGCTCCGAGGAGGAGGATGTGTCTCGCGTAAAGAACGAAAAGGGAATCTGGGGTTGGGCAGCGATCCCAGAGTGTCTCCTGCCAGGGCTAGTGTTGGCGGGAAGAGCGGGCTGGACCCCGAAGCGTTATGCCACTTCGAGCCAAGCACCAGGCGAGCAATGGACTCGGCCGGCGCCAAGTGGGAAGCGCTGCAGCGCCCGCTAAGCCTAGCGCAAGCTCTAGACTCGCGGGTTTGTTATCGGTGTCGGCGGCGGGCGAGGCCTATCAACTCTGTGTAAATGTACCGCAATCGTCTGGCAACGACGACCAGAGGTGTGGGCTTGGCGGATAACTATTGTTCTCGCGCGCGCGAGACGGGGCCGGTCTAGGTTTTTAAGATTTCTAGAGCAACAGCCGGCGCCGTCGATGGAGCCTACCTAAGCCAGTCAACCTGTTCTGGGCTGCTGTACATACGCTACGTGCTGACAGTGGTTGACGCTGGCGGCGACTCTCGGACCAGGCTACGAACCATGAACCCATCTTTCTGGCGGGGTGGCTGCGCTAATCGCAGCAGCCGAAGAATATCTCGCCAAATACTACCACAAAGGCCTCGCCAACAACAACCAAGGGCCTGCTCTCTAAACACGACGGCTTCCCGCATCATGCTACACGCTGCTTCAGCGATGCCACGATGCCCCCTGTGACGGCAACAAGGAAGGTGGATGACGAATCAGTGATGGCTTCCTCCCCCTTCCTCGTGCAAACCTGGTCCGATCAGATCGACAGCCAGGGGTGTCTTGGGTTGTGGTGTGGTGGGTGGGTGACCCTCTCTCATGGAACATGCTTTTGGGGCCCGGGCCACCTGAACAAGGGGGCGACCTGCCGTTCCTGGCGATCATCGTTCAAGGGCGCCTGCATCTCGAAGACACGACTACGACGACGATGAGAAGGAGGAGAAAAGAGGAGGAGGGAGAGGAGGAGGGAGAGGAGGGAGGGATATCGACCTCCAAGCTTGCTTTACAAGAGATATGACCCATACCAGATTTTGACTTTGAACGGGTTTTCGGGCAGTGAACAGGGGTCCTACTGACGTATTGCCGGATATGAGGTACATATTCCTTTGCGGGCTTCATGTTTTCCTGCAGAGCTCCTCTGGACCGACGAGACATACTCTCCAAAAAATCGCCACGGAAAAGCCCGACAGGGGGGGCAGGGAAAACCGCTCAGGCTCTCTCTTTTCTATGGTTGCTGTTTCCCAGCGAGAAGATATTCCCAGCAGAACAATCAGTGTGCGCGCCGCCCACGAACCCGCCTGCCGTATTCAGACCACAAACCTCACCTCCCACCACGTACGTACTCGTTATATTCCTTACCCAAAGGCTAGGGATCCTCGTGTCGCGCGCGTGTGCGTATGCAACACACACATGTTACAAATGCTAGGAAGCCCCGTCCTTTACCCGTCAGTCCCGTTCCCCCCAAATCATATAATCCATTCCCGTTGCAGAAACTACGGAAAGGGCCATTCCATTGGGGCGCGGGGAGGAGAGCGGGAAGCCATTGCAGGGGGGGAAGAGAGGAGGAGGGGGGCCTGAATAACAGGCCGCATGCCTAAAGTACCTACTCTACTCCGTAACCGCGAGTGGCCTGATTCGGCAGGACGTACTCTGTATTTACGTGCAAAATGAATGCATGAGATCTTGGCCTGGGTTGGGTTTTCCCTCGGCAATAATTTGACACCAACCACCAACCACCACCAAAACCCTCGCCCTTGATCTATGGATAAGAAATGTTAGTTGGATTGTATCCGACGGGTGACGAGGCAACGCCCGGCGGAGCAATTTTAGGTTCGGTGGCGTGCGTTCTATATACATTATCGGCATGTCGTCGAAATTGCATTTTTGAGTGCCCGAGTATGGAAGCAGGTACACGAGTTGAGTCGAGGAAAGAGAGGTAATTTTTTTTTTTGGCAATGACACCACGCCCGCTTCGTCCCAACTTGACTGTTTGGAGCAGCTCAATGGGGAACGGGGCGGGGGGTGGTATGCAGCATTATGAGCCGGAAACCCATGGGGGTGGTGGTGAATTGCTTTCCGCTGCTTCAAGGAGCCACGACATGTTTTGGAGAGGCGCCGGGGTATACGTAGCCCCCCCCCCCCCATTTATCCTGGACGTCAGGACGTGAAAAATGACACTTCTGGGGCGTCCTTTGAGAAAGCAAGGGGAAATGATGCCGCTCCAGCGAATGTGGCATACAGGATTATTATTGCTCTATAGATGGGTCATTTCGCCAACTTGCAGACCATTATATTGTTTGTTGTGTCGTCTGGTTTGTGTCCTATGGTGGCCTGGAAACATACGGGTTGGTCGTGAAAGAGCCCGTGGGGGCCCTTGTTTAATTCCTGGGCATCCCGCTTTGTTCTTGTGCCTTGGACTTTACTCTGTTTCTCAGCCATCAAAGTGATACACCATAGCTTTTTTTTAGGGTGTGTAAGCGGACAATTAGACTTGACGACATTGGATGGTTGATCTGACTTTGCTCGGTTGCCGACATGCTGCCATATTCTTCTCCCGTGTCATGTCAAGTGCTGTTGCCCTAAGTTCCGTTACAGCCTTGGTAACGCGATCGTGTGTGTGTGTGTGTGTGTGTGTGTCCAAATTCTCGTGCCCCAGGATTTTGTGCCGCCGGGGCTGACGAGCTTGGGCCTTAATGCCCGGCGGGCGCGCGCGCGCGCGCGCGGATGCCGGATCCGCGGCCAACGTTTTGTTGTTGGTCCCGAAGGCGGTTTGCGGGTCGATGGAGATCACGTTGGCGGGACTTTGCTTGGCGGACCTGTGATGTTCTTACTCGCGTTGGTTTATCGGCCGGGTGGCCGGCTTGAGATGGCAGTCGACGTCTTTTCATGCTGTCAGTTATGGTACTTTGTCCCTGCTTGGCTTTCGCGAAAGAGTAAACCGCAGCGTATGTATGTCGTCAAGGATTATTAGCCGTACTCGTGTTCAGTTCTCCAACAAAGAAGGTCGTCTCCTTGTGTAAGTGTAAAGAGATAGGCAGGCCCTGCAGACCCTGCAAGCAGTAAAACCTGAGCTGTCCCATCAGGACGGATAGGACAAGTTGATGACGTTGGCCGCCATTCTCGGCACCAGAGTCTATGATAGACACAGACGTCTCGCAAATGATCGGTATAACTGGGAACTTTTACCCCGAGGGGATTGCGTAGCGCATTTTTTGTGTGAAGTCTTGCCGAATCAAGAGGCAATTGGTACCATATTTCGAAATGAGGATGCCCAAGGGAGACACATAGTGGCTATGAGTTGTAACTTTTTGGGGGCTTCTGACCATGCAGCAATGGACATTTGACGGTCGTTCAGCGGTTGACTGCGTGATCACTCATCGTTCACCTCCTACATGGCGGTCATGAATTGCGAGATTCTCGGTTTGGAATTGTGTCAGAGACTTTACTAGCTGACTTCTAACCTGAGTGGAGTATGCGGTCGAAAAACGAATTCAAGAATTGCTTGGGAACTTGTCTGATGCAATTAAGAAACAAGAGGATCGGCAGCCATGAGGTTCTTGCTAACATTGAGCATTATCCTGCGGTTCTTTCTGCGTACCAGTAATACATATTGACGACAGACGTTGCTCATTTGTTGAATATCATACTATCAGAACACATGGTCCATTATTGCGAAAAGCGTCGAACCCGCCCTCGAGCCGCTCGATCCATACGAAGGACAGTGGTCACTTCCGCCTCCTTTTTGTTTCTAAGTGCCGTGGCATCACCCCAGCAGGCTCATACCCAACAGTGACATCACTCCCTGCGGTCGAAGCGAACACCGCATGGTGGTGCGACTCCTGCTGCCGACTTACTGGGTCTTGAACAGCAGGATCGCGCAGTGGCCAAGGTAGAAGTAGATGAAGTGTTTCGTCTCTATTGAATAGAGATGGGTCAGTAATAAAGCCTCGCAATAAATGAAGAGACAGACAAATCGCCCAGAGGAAAAGACAAGGGCATACCGTGGGTCACGAAGCTGCCGAAATTCCGGCCAACAATGCAGTGCCATGTTGGTCCCTTGCGCTCATCGAACTGTGATCCTCTTAGTCAATGCGCTCCATGCCCGAGTTTCGCATCGCGGATGTTTGACGTACGGTCCTCTTGATGTGCTGAGCGATATCCTTTTCGATGGTGAACTTCTGCATGGCTTCCTGGGCTGTACAAACATATCCCATTAGCCGGAGAATCCCTGGGATCTATATGTCGCAATGACACCTACCAACTTCAATCGACTCGGCTTGCATGTCGTCCGTCTGATAGGGAGTCAGTGTGGTGATCGTCTAGCAAGCACTCGGGGGAGAGCGAACCATATCGGCAGACTTGATCTGAGCTAGGTATTTGTGATGAGATATCAGCGAAGCTCGAATAGGGTGGGTAGCCGCTGGGGATCGCTGGCTGCGCGACCGCACTTCAAACACTCACCCTCGAGTCTCTCGCGAGCCCCCGTGCTGGGAGGGGCAGCCTGCTTGTCCGCCATTGTTGAGTTCTGAAGAGTGGTGCCCGTTGTCCAAGGACGCGTCTATGAGAGATGCAGGTTAGCTCCTGCACGACTACACGAATCGAATTGCGGCGCCACGACAGCAGGTCGGTTCGCGTTGGGTTGGCCATGCGCTCCGAAGCCAGGCGCAATGCACTGGATATGACCGATGCTCGGTGTTTATGTCGGCCTCACCTCGAGTGGTTGCGTATCAGGTGGCCGTTGAAGCGAACGACCAGGCGGGGCGCGATGGGCTGATACAGGGGGGTGGTTGTGGCGATCGAGTGGACTTGTCAAGATGTCGTCTTGGTCGAAGGTTGTTGGGTCGCAGCAGTGTGAGGAGGAAAGCAGTGTGGTGTGAGGTTGTCGTGGAAATACTTACCGCTGGCGCTTGCTTGGGACTGACCGGCGCCCTGCAGCAGAGACACGGGGGGGATCACCGGGTCGGGGTCCCTCCAATTGGCCACTAAGCCGTGCTCCTGCCTGAACGTCTCTGCCGTCGCAATTGCCCATCACCCGCACGCGCCTTATCGCTGCTCTTATCGCAGCTCTAGTCTGCAGTTGCCCGCCGCTTATGTAAGGTCCCGCTTGCAGGTGGAGCAGTTGTCGGCTGGTCTAATCTAGCGGGAAAAAAAGTTGGATCTCCGTTGCAAGGTGCAATGACCTTTTTTTTTTTTCCTTTCCCTTTCATCACTTGCCTCGCTGCAAAGCACTCTGAACCCTCGCTCTTGCCGGGTTCACCTTTCTACGCCGAAACCATGCATTGAACAGTCTTCTCGCTGGGCACGCGAAGACTTACCTTGCAGCCCGCTTACAAGACCGAAATCACACCCCGTGTGCACTTTCACAGACAGGCCTCAGCACGTCACCAAGCATGGAGTCGTCTCGCGTGTTCGTTCGGGGCTTGCCCCCGACCCTCGACGAGGCAGGCTTCCGCAAGCATTTCCAGTTCTCGAGCGGTACCATCACCGATGTCAAGCTCATGTCCTCGCGACGCATCGGCTATGTCGGCTACAAGACTCCCGAGGAGGCCAGGCGGGCCGTGAAGCACTTCAATCGTTCTTTTATTAGAATGTCCAAGATTGCGGTCGAGCTTGCTAAGCCAGTATGTCCTTCCAGCTCTTCTCAACTGTCTCCAAACTCTTAAGCTGACTGGCGCCCCTTCAGATTGCCGACCCATCGCTCGCCAGCATGCGCGGACCCCGGAGTTCAACGGTACCATCGTCGAGGTCGACTGTGCCATCTGCACAAATGAGCCGCGATGCGAAGGCCGAGGCTGACTCCGCCGAGAATAACAAGAAGAGGAAGCGCGAGGCTGTGGACGAGTCTGATCCCAAGCTTAAAGAATTCCTCAATGTCATGCAAGCGTCCGGGCGCTCCATCCATGACATCGTTCCCGAGACACTCGACGAGAGGCCGGCTAAGGTCAAGGCGGTCACTGTCCCGGAAAATGATTCAGATGACGAGTACGAGAACGTCCCAACCAAATTTAAGCCGGTCGCTTCCCGCGCTCGTGCGGAAGCAGGAGCCACACCACTTGCTGCAAAGCCACCAGCTGAGGAGTCCAAAGCCCACGCGGAGGCAGACGAGGCAGCCGGTCCAGCGGCTGCCGAAGATGTTGACGCGGAGATGCCTGAGGCGCCTGAAAAGGCACCTGCGGCGGCTGCCACAGATGACGACTGGCTGCGATCCAGGACAAATCGCCTTCTGGATCTCGTCGACGAGGACGATGAAATTCCCCTCAGACCAACGGAGCCTGCACAAAGCGCTATGCCTAAAGTGTCGGCTGCACAGTCATTGGATGCAGCTGAGGCAGATGCCACAGAAGCTCCTGACGCCACCAATGAGGTTTCGCCCAGTGAAGAAATGGGTACGGAGGACATTGCCCCCGTCTCCAAGGACGACGCCATGGAAACAGTCCACAAGACAGCGCGTCTGTTCATACGGAATTTGCCATACACGGCTACCCCGGAAGATCTGCGCACCCACTTCGAGCAATGGGGCACGATTGAAGAGGTAAGTTTACCACGCAACTTTCTATACTTCTGCAGACAGGCAATCACGCTTGCCGGCTTCCCACCTTTTTATTATTATGATGAATCCCAGATAGGGACAGCTTATACCAAATGGTATTTGATGAGACGTCCTGGGCTCGTGTTTTAGTAGATGCTGAGTTTCTGAAATAATTCCTCCCTTGTTCCGTTTTTCACTATTGCCACCATCATCTTGCATTCCTTACTAAGATGACAATAGGTTCACATGCCAATGGACAAGACTGGCAGCAACAACCGGGGTTTCGCCTTTGTTTTGTTTGTTGATGCAGACGCCGCTGTCAACGCATTCCAGAATGCCGCCGCATTCTTTCAAGGACGCTTGCTTCACGTGCTACCTTCGTCCGCGAAGCGGGACCACAATCTTGACGAGTACGAGCTGTCCAAACTTCCGCTCAAGCAGCAGAACCTCATCAAGAAGAAGGCAAAGGCTGCGACTGACAGATTCAACTGGAACTCACTGTTCATGAATCAAGATGCCGTTGTCGCCTCCGTGAGTGCGAGGTTGGGCATCACCAAGTCGGAACTGTTGGACCCTCATTCTAGTGATGCCGCTGTGAAGCAAGCGATTGCAGAGACCTCCACCATCCAGGACACCAAGGCTTATTTCTCTGCCAACGGTGTAGATCTCAATGCTTTCAAGTCCGGTGCGCGTGGCGACACGTCGATCCTGGTCAAGAACTTTCCCTATGGTACATCTGTCTCAGAGCTTAGGACACTGTTTGAAGAGCACGGCCAGGTTCTGAAGGTTCTTATGCCTCCTGCGGGCACAATCGCCATTGTGCATTTCGCTCAGGCACCCCAAGCCAAGTCAGCCTTCAGCAAGTTGGCATACAGGCGGTTCAAAAACTCCATCCTGTTTCTTGAGAAGGGACCAAAGAACTTGTTCGTGGGCGAAGGCGAAGAAGGCTCCCAGGAACCGGCACCTGCTCCTGCAAGTGCTAGTGATGCTCCTGGCTCGGCAGGGGGCTCCAAGCTCTCTGTCTCAGAACTCCTGGGCAGAGAAACGGACGAGGTCAAGGCTGAGACAGGCACTTTGTTTGTGAAGAATCTGTCTTTCCAGACCACCACAGAGCAGCTTGCTGCCTCGTGCCGGCACCTTGAAGGCTTCAAATCAGCAAGGGTGAAGACAAAGACGGATCCTAAGAAGCCCGGCCAGATCCTCAGCATGGGCTTTGGCTTTGTCGAGTTTAGCAGAAAGGATCTAGCCGAGGCTGCGTTGGCTGTACTCAATGGCCATGTGCTGCAGGGCCACAAGCTCGAAGTAAAAGCCTCGCATCGGGGCCACGATGCGGCCGAGGAGCGCCGACAGGAAGACCAGGCCCGGAAGGCTGCGGGGCATCGAACCAAGATTGTCATCAAGAATCTGCCGTTTGAGGCGAACAAGAAGGATATCCGGACCCTGTTTGGCACCTACGGACAGCTGCGGAGCGTGCGGATCCCCAAGAAGTTCAACCACGCATCGACCCGGGGCTTTGCGTTTGCCGAATTTACCACACCGCGGGAAGCGGAGAATGCATTCAACTCGTTGCAAGACACGCATTTGCTTGGGCGCAAGCTTGTGCTCCAGTTTGCTGAGGCGGAGGCAGTCGACGCCGAGGAGGAGATCGCCAAGATGCAAAAGAAGGTCGGCCGCCAAGCCAACAAGGTGGCACTTCAGCAGCTCACTGGAGGGGGCCGAAAGAAGGTCACGATCGGGGGCGATGGCGACGAGGACGAGGGGGACATGTGAAGACCAGGATACCCAAATACAAGCACGAGAGCTCTTCTCTGCTCTGATTCCCCTAACACACACCATGACATGGCCTGCTGTGCTGCTGACCTTGACCGTGACCGTGACCATGGTGATGACAATTGACGACGATGCTTGCATCCGTGCCGTGTCAAGCGCGGTGTTGGTCACAGGCGCCAGCAAGCGACAGGCAGGGTCGAGACCAAGGGTAAGGTAAGCGAGCGAGCGGGGTGACGCAAGTACAGGCCATGGGCAGGAGATCATGGAAAGCTTACTGTGCGGCAGGCGTTGCATGCTCCTTGGGATGCTGCTGTGGAAGATGAAGTGCGTGCAGTACCGGATGACTGTGCAGGCGGCGAGTACCAGGCAGGGGGATGGCAGGTACCACACATTTGGCAGTGGGGAAGGCACCTGCAGGTGCCTGGTTAGGACTGGACAGGGGGCGGGAAGTGCCCAGCGTGGGGGCCTATTGCTCGCGGCACTCCCTCGACAAGGAAGAGAAAGGCTCCGCTCTCCCGCATCGCCCTCCGCCCTCCGCCCTCCGGCAGACTCCCTTGTCGCCGCTGGTACTTAGACGCCGACATCCTGGTAGGCCGTCATGGCGAGCCCGCGCGGTACCTCGCCGTCTGTCTCCTGCCATGTCTTGTGTGTACTGCGCCTGCTACAGCTCGCCCTTGGTGCCCCTGCAGGCAGTGCCAGGCAGCACGCGACGCTCCCCTCTGTCCCAGACCTCAGCAGCGCCATCGAGACCTACTCAATCTCTGTCACATTCCCCCGGCGGCTCGTCCCCCCCTTGGGAGGGGCTGTTGGCTCGATCCTGGCCCCCGATTTGGTTGACCCTATCCTATCGGGCCTGATGAAACGAAACAACGAGCATTCTGCATGCCATTGCCACGAGTGGAATAGGGCAAAAGTCTGTCGGCCAGTCAGCCTGTCGCTACCTTGCTCGGAACCCCTGGCATGCCAGCCGGGCCGGCTACCGCCAACTTCACTCGCCGGTACCGCGCAAACCCAGGGCGCAAACTCTTCAATGGTCTCTCTACCCCTCTAGGAGCAGGAGAAGGAGGAGGAGGAGGGCATAGGGGAGGGCTTCCCACTGTGCTCACTCGCTCGCCCAGGCTGTGCTCGACAGACCCCTAGGCACGCCCCAGCACGGCGGGTCTCTGGCTGTCCGACATGGTCGGGCCACAGAAAGCCAGTGGGCGGCGAGGGTGCGGTACTCGTCGGCCCAAGGGGTCTCGACGAGGGCAGGCATGTTAGCTGGCTGAGTCGGGCCACTATTGCACGCCGCCCTCGACTGTCCAACCCATCCACCATCGGCCGTGTCGAGAGGCGTGACCACCGGCGCGGCAGACGGCACTTACACGGCTCCTCCCCACACCACCAGGCCCAGAGCCATGTCACTTATATGAGAGCCTCCCGCCAGGCATGCAGTCTTCTTTCGCCTCCATGCCAGCCGCCCTGTGTTTGGGTATCACTCGTTCTTATAGCTACACATAGTGGGCATTCGCCGTTGCCACTGCCATTCCTTTCTACATATCTCATTCTGCTCCCATGCGTTCTTGACACCGCTCCAGGCATTCACCCGAATTCTCAACCTCGCTGTCGAGCATTCTTCCCCAGCGTTCCTGCCTCGCTCGCCTCCGTCTCTCAGGAGAGAGATTCTTTGAGTGTTTGTGCGTGTGCGTGCGATTCGTGCCGCCGCCGCCAGAGTTCCAGCGGCTCCAATGCAGCAGCCACGCCCGGTCTTGCTTTCCCAAAGGTATTCGCCGGGGGACGAGTACTCATACGAGGGACCGGCTTCGCAGCAACGACATCGACAACAACAACAACACCACCATCATCATCAGGAGGTATTGCAGACCACTGCCCGGCAACCACTGGGCGAGTCGAGCGGTAACGTCCAGGCTCACCACAACCTCGCTGCCTCCTTGGCCCTGTGCCAGACCAGTCATATGTCGCTTTCTCCTCCACTACACTCTATCCCTACTCCCCCTATAGTCCCTACGCAGGTACTACCGTCGACATATGGCACCAGCTTCCGCAGTGGCCGATCTCTGCACCGCGATGTCTCGTTGCGCGAGTCCCCGCTGGGGTACCCTCGTGGTAGCAAGAACCCCATCTATGCCTACAAGCACTTTGCAGACTACCGTAACAAGGTGATGCAAAAGGAGCTCGAGAAGGAAGCACCGATATGGCCGCTCTGGTTGGAGGATGCGTTCCTTGACGGTAAGCTCGTTGACCTATGCCCTCTCCCTCTCGTCGACAGCGAGATGTATCAGCCTTCCTGACAGTCAGGCATGTTGTAGCACTTCTCCTTATTCCCCAAATGGGGCGCAAGAAGTTCAGCTCCAAGACCATCCTGTATGGCCGCAACATGCTCATTACAGAGTATCTGTGGATCTACCACTGGCTTCTCAACCCCCCACAGAACGGCGAGCGGATTCCTGACAGGAAGACACGGGAGAGGACAAAGCACCCGGCCTTCAGAACACGCAAGCAGGTGTCGAGTCACATCCAGGTCCTCAAGGGCTTCTTCCACACCTTGGTCACCTGTAAGCCTACGCCACCTTTCCTCACATGATGTGGCCGCAACTTGGAGCTGACGTCACAGCCTGTAGTCCACTTCATCTTCCCAAGCAAGAAAGACGCCAAGGAAGACGAGAAGATCATCAAAAAGGAAGATGACGACACGGAGTCTTTCAAGAACAACAGAGTGCTGATTGCCATCGCTGATGGCCGTCTCCCGGATGAGAGACCCAATTATGAGTACTTTGCCCGCCTGCTCAATGCTGACGCCGATGTCTTCCTCCGCCCGAAGCAGTGCCGCATCTTCGTCTCGTCCTCGGGGGTGATACTCAAGGACGACGTGGTGACGGCCGAGGACGGCACGTCTCGCAAGCAGATTGTCGGCCACACACTCGACGGCCACCGGCTCAGCGAGAAGGATTACCCCCACCTCAAGCTCAATGAGGGCAAGGACTACAAGGACCTGCCGATGACGAACGGGCGCAGTCCTGTGCTCCTGCATGAGTACACCAAGAGCCTGGCACAGAAGGAGTCGTCCTCTATAAAGGACATCTCGAACAGGTGGGAGGTGCGCTTCCCCGAGCTACGGGAGAAGCTGCTCGCGGCCATGGACGACACTCATCCCACCGACGAGTTGAGCTCGCGATGTGTAGTCGGTCCCTGCGACACGTTCCACTTTGAGGTCATCCTGGATCTTCACTCAAACTCCAAATTCCCCACCGGCTCGGAGCTCAACGGCATGGTCGAGCTGTCCATTGCCCACCGGGACCTACAAGGCCACAGGTGGCGGTCGATGACCTCGGTGATGAAGCCCAACGAGCTTCACATCAACAACGTGGAGCCCGAGTTCTGGGACAGGACCAACCAGGTCGATGTGATTGTGTCGCACCGGACCGGTTGCTCCATGCGGCCGCACTGTGACTGTGCCATGCGTGGGAGCCGTGACACCATCTGTGTTCCCTTCCCCGCAGCCAGCTGGGCAAACACCTTTATCAAACTCGCTCCATATGTCAATGCCGAGCGCGAGCGCAAAGAGCGCGAGCAAGGCTCCTCCTTTTCGTCTTCACGCCCGCACGGTCGGTCCGAGTCTGAGGATGGCACGTCCACGGCCACCGCCAAGTCCCGGAGCAAGTCGAACCTGCAGAGTCCCAAGGAGCTGCTCGACCAGGTCGCCATGTATCAGGAGATCTGGTCAGCTCCATCCGATGAGAGCGGTCACCTCCGTGGCATGGGAGAGAAGAAGTCTGAAGGCTGGAGGCGCCGAGCAGTCATCCTGTGGACGTTCGCCCCTGTTCACGACCAGGCGGATGACAAGGGCAAGCCCGTGACGGTCGCGGCTGGCACGAGCTGGAAGTTCCTAACCAAGTTCGACCCGACGTCCCAATACCACCAGCAGCATGCCTACCTCAGCGGCTCTCCCAATGTCTCGCGCGATGCCGTCATGAGCCCCAACCCAGGCTACTCGCACCACCTGTCTGCCGCCATGCAAGAGAACCTCTCCTCCGCCTACGATGCTGGCGCTCACGTCTCCATGCCTCAGTCGCACCTCGGCGGCGTGGGCTCCGGCCAGATGAACCTCGGTATGTTGGACGGCTTCCCCAATGGCCTGGCCACGCCGCCACCGACCGCGGGATTGCCCGCAGCAGGGCATGCTTACAGCCACGGCTATGATACATCTGCCGGCGTGTCTGGCCATCTCGGCGGCAGTGACGCGACACTTCAGCACCATCTAAATTTCATGTCTGATGGTGGTGTCTCTGGTGCTTCGGGTGGCCCAGGCATCGCTGCACACACCCCCATGACGGCCGCTGACACCGACCCGTTCCTGCTCGGCGTCTCTGTCGGCTCCTCAGGTACCGAGTCTTTTGATGACTCTGTGCTGACCACCAGTGTCGACGAGAACGGCCTACACTCATGGGCGTCTCAAGATCTCGACACGAGCCAATGGGGCCACTCGAGCTTGCTCGATTCCGCGCCTCACACGAGTGCTCATAGCGCTCCGACGTGGGCAGACGCTCCCGTGCAGAATCTGCCTCCAACCTCCGCCTACGATCACGGCCTTGGTCTGACTGCTGCCCTCAAGGATCCTGCGACAATTTCGTCCCGCGCTTCGAACATGAGGAGCCTGCATCATGCCAATCTATTCGCTGTGGCTTCAAATCATGACAGGAGCATGCTGCACCACCAGCAAATGCCCATCTCTTCGTCCTCGCTACATCAGCGGCGACAATATCAGCAACAGCAACAACAAGCGCAACAGCAGCAGAATGAAGACGCATGGGCGTCCTCGCCATGGGCAACAACGTCACCAATCCTCCCTCAACCCACGACACACTCCACTCCCACGCCCACGCCCACGCCCACTACATCCACCAACCCCGCAGCAGCAACACAGCATGAAGACTTTGCCCTGTCTCTCGCGGCTCTCCGCTCGGGCGCAGGCTCCACCGCTCCAAGCATGACGAATCCGCGCAAGCGTGGACGTGACGACGACGACGACGACGTAGCCCATGATTTCAACGGCCACAACGACAGCGGAGCCAGCGACCCTGACGCTGGAGATGGCGGTAGCGAAAGAGGAACTGAAGAAGTCCAGTACCCGCAACAGCAGCGTAGCACCATGCGCAAGCTCTCACATCCACAGGCCGCGCTGCAGAGCATGCGGCAGCAGCACCGCCTTCAACAGGAGAGACATGCAAGTAATGGGGGAGCGCCTACGCCGGACATGGTCGGCGACGCGGGCTTTTCCTTCGAGGCGTGATATCATGAGGGTTCTGATACTGCACCTGCGTGGGGTCTTGGCTATTGATTTGATTTTCATGGTATTCCTGTTGTGGGTTGTCATTTTTCGGGGAAACAAATATATCCGGCGTTTACGGGGGTGATTGGAGTACTCTGGAGTTTTCTGGTGGAGGTTACCTTGCAGATTTCTAAAGCTGAATAATCACTGAAAAGAATGGCATTTCTGGAAAGACCATCTGCAACAGTACGCGAAGCAATGACGACAACAAGTACAGCCTTCCGTCGCGAACGACCAAGTGTGAGGTCAAGGCCCCTTCACTCAAAGCTTGAACTGGGTTCTATCTGACCATCACCGCCTGCAACTGATCCCTCCCAGGCTCTCCTTAGCCAGAGCGCCCACGGGCTCATCCAAACTATGAATGGGTAAGTACTCAGCCTGGCCAGAGTAAGGACTTTGTCCTCCTTCCGGGCCCCCACGACTGGGGACCGGGATCTTTTCCCGACGAGCTCGATATTTGTCCTTGGTCTCGTCAAACTTTTATTTATTTATTATGCCGCCTTCGGATCAGCCCAAGGGCCCTTTGGTCCCCTGATCCTTGTCCTTGTCCCCCGTGTGCAGGTCCAGTCCACGTGCGGAAGGATGGGGGAGCCAGGGCAGTGGCATTGTTTGCTCCGAAACCATTTGAAGGCATGCAGCCCACGGCAAAGGCGCGCGTGCGGTGGCTGAGCCCAGGGGGACGGGGACACGGGGGAGGGGGGGGAGGGGCGGGATCGCATGTATGCAGGGCGTGCATGCGGTTTTTTGGGGCGATCTTGTTGTTTTCTGTTCTGAGAGGATCAGCCCCCTTTCTTCGGGGCTGCCTCCGGTACTGTCTGGTGGGCAGGTAGCTACGTTGCCCACGAGGGGAGAGACGCACGGGGGTTTATCGCCCCATGGTGTTGTTGGTTGGGTGGGTTGTCGTTCCGGAGGGGTGATCATCGCCACACAACACATCATTTATCATCATGAGGGGCCGCGGAATCTCGTCTCATCTGATCTAACCACCCCAAGGGGGGGTGGCGCGGGGCGGGTCTCTTTCTTGTGGGAGTTTCTTCATCATCGGCTCCTCTCACTAGCAGCTTTGAGTGTTCGTAGGTCACCAGTGTCCACCCGGATGGCAGCAACACACTCACCACCAATGCAAAAAGAAATTCGGGACACAACGTGCCAAATGGGTTTGCGAGCGAGAGAAGAACCGAGACTTTTTGTGTCAACGTGACACAAGAACGTATACAGTCATTTTGATAGTTGCATCGTTTAAGCCGCCCACACCCGGTGGGCTGTTGTCGCTTGGTCAAGACGCAGCATCGGCAGTACTCTGGTCAAACCCCCCCCCCCCCCCCGCGTGGCCTCAGAATGACAGTGGGGAAGCGAGCGGATGTGTAGTACGCGAGGGAGATCCAGAAAGCATTCACCGAGGAGCGGAAAGCCACCCAAGGATGAACGACATCAAGGCGTCCAACCAAGTGCCGCCTGGCATCGCACGATACGGCCGAAGAAGCACTCTAGTGTGGCGCTGGTGGCGGGACTCGCGCGCTCTCCCTCTCTGTGTCGTGTGCTCTGTCCGGGCGTCGACGGGAGCCAGTACGCTTTGAAAGGTTGGCCTCTTTCGTCATCTTGGTCGGAAGTACCCAGTACCTCCCACACCTCGCAATCGCAATCAAATCTGGCGTCGAGCTAGGCGTGCGCGTAGCAACAGTATGTGAATGTGAATGTGAATGCGCGCGCGCGCGCGTGTGTGTGTGTGTGTGAGGTGATGAACATGTACGTCATGGAAGGCTGGGGAGGATCGAGACGTGCATGCCAAACAACGGGCAAGGCACAACGGCTCGCCTTGCATTAGACAGCATGCGGGACGTCGTACAGACCGGGCCCCTCGTGACGGGGATGAAGGGATTGCGATGACAAAAAGAAATGTTGCGAGGCATCCAAGAAAGCCCGAGCTGCGCGGCGTGTGCGTGGTGTGTGAGCACATTGAGACTTCGGGCTTTGATGTGGGAGGGGGTAAAGGTCAAGAGCATCCGAAAGAGCATCAGGGTTCGAAAGCAAACAAATACCCGGGGTTCGAGCGGGAACGAAGCCCAAGAGGGGAGTAGCTACATGTCTTCATCGGGCGATGACATGCAATCGTTTTCGCCTGTGTTGGCGTTGGTGTTTCCGCCGTGCTTGGAATCTGCCTGCTGGGATGCCATGTTTGCTGCTTCAAACCCTATGACCGAACTGGCCCTCCAGTCACGGGGTCATCGCCGATGTACTGTACGAGGCGAATCGCAAAGCGCAAGCAACATGCGCACATGTTCATGACCAATTTGCGTGAGGACACTTTCTGAATTGGTTGTCATGTGAATTCACTACGGTCTTGCGAGCCTTGTGCTGCGAGTCAAAAGAAGCATATTGTATGAGGACAAGCTCAGAGGAGGATTTTGAACCCAGGACCGGCCCAGGACTATCAGCCGGGAGGAACCATGTCGATTCGGGCGGCTTGCTCGCAGATAAATGATATAGCATGCAGCGGTAAGTTGATCGACACCAAACCGACGTTGGCTCTGCTTCACATGCAGGCCATGCTCCACACCACAAACGTTGTGTCACAGAAACATTTGTTGCGTGTTTCAAAGAATGTTGTTTCACCTCGTGAGACCGACTCACAAGAGACTCGTGAACACGAGGCTTGCAGTCCATGGCACGGGAGCACGGAATCACTCCGTGACGGGACCAACGAGTGGCTGGCGTTCCAGCGACTGCAGCTGTACACGGACACGCTTGCCAGGATCACGCCGAAGCTGTCAAGTGCCGACAAACTGAAATATTGTAAGCGCTCGTGAATCAATGCTTCCCCAGGACAATGAGAAGACCGTCTCGAGCTAGATGCGAACCGAGAGAGAGGCAAGCATCTGGCTCGACTCGTGAATGTTGTTCTGTAGGTACGAGAAAAGTGGCTGGGTAAAGCGCTAGATTACGCAACAGCTGACGAGGTCCATGCTTGACTGCTTCATGAACGAGCCAAGAGTCCTGCCTTAGCAACGTGAATGGGTGGTGCTATTTGGGGTGAGAACAAGAGTAAATTAAATAAGCGCCATGTCGCGTAAAGGCCAGAAATAGAGGCCGGCTCACGGGACAATGGCCAGGCCTGTGGTCGCAAGAGCGGCGGCTATTGCAGCCAATAAGCGCCGGTGGTGTGGGACTTGGACGAGTACATTAGGTACGTACTCTAGTAGGGCTTGCTGAACACGAGGTCGCACGGCGCGAAAGGAGATGAAGTTGGCAAAGCGAGAAGAGAGAACGGCAGAGCCTTGACACACCACTCGAGCGCAGCGGCGGTGATGCTATTTTGGCTTGCTGAATTGAGAGGTTAACAGGTGGTGGTGCAGTGGACATTCGTTTCATCGACTCTGAAAAGTAGGTGCGGTGCCGTCGGGCTGACGGGAAACAGAAGTCTTGGCACGGTGGGGCTCGACATGCAAGCACTTGCACCTTACCTGGCGTACGCGAGCTCATTGCCTGGCTGGGATGATGGCGAGCAGGAAACAACAGTCAAACACAGAAATGTCGCGACGTGTCCACCGGGATGTGGGTTTCTGGTGTCTTCGGCCGGAGCCCTGTGCCCGCGTGGGCGTCTTCGCCGGCTGGGCAGTGGGTCGGGCAGCAGCAAGACCCTGGCTGGCAGCACGCACAGCAGAAAGACCTGGTCGGACGGGCCCAGTACTGCGTAAGAACTGGAGAGTGAAAAGTGGAACACCAGACGTGGAGGGCTTCCTCCAAAAACTGCTCGTGGGCAGTTGCGGATTGAGTTGGTTGAGAACAACAGACAGAAGGCCCCAACCGCGCGGGCGGGGCGCCATGTTACGGATCTGGCAATGCCAAGGGGGATTGATTGGCTGGCGGGCCACATGAGGCAGTTGCGACCCTGAGCCCCTGCCGCCCATGCAGGCACACGCGCAGTTAGCCCGCCGTAAGGGCAGGCACCTGCCACTAGGGTTGCGGGGCCCGCACACTTCTGCGACACTTGACAAGCTCCCAAGGCTGCCCGTCCGTCCCATCGCGCCTTCCTAGCCAGGCCAGGCCGGACCAGACTGTTCGCTCCTACCTTTCCCGCTGCAGGTAGATTGGACGACGACGTCCCTCAGACAGTCGCGCCTGCACCACGCTGCTTCGGCGCTGCCCGGTCTCTAGCCAGCACCAGCACCAGACCTGTCCATCCTGGCTCATTTCCCTCAGAGGCAGCGTGTTTCGCCCCGATATGGACGACGATGACGACGCCTGCTTGCGTGCGCGAGCATGTCCAACCTTAAGTGGTCTGTCGAAGGGGGAGAGGGGGGCTCAACACCAGACGAACGCACGCTCGAAACCGCATGCGCAGGTAATTGACATGTCGAGATTGCCCATGTGGCCAGCAGCGGCAATTATTGGGAGCGATCGGCCGTTGGGGCTCCTCCTTGCGGGCTCCACTGGCGACCCGATCCTGTTCCGCAAAACGCCAAGCCCAGCATGAAAACATTCAGAGGATCTTGGGCGAGCACGAGCCCTCGGGCGGTCTGCTCCATGCTGGGGCGGCTCCCGCTGCAAATCACCCACAAATGACCACATCCACCCGCAATGGCGCTCCCGGAGCCGTGGCCGGGTGCCGGTGGAGCCTGCGTCCTGCTCTGCTCTGCTCTGCTCTCTCGACAGTCGACTGATTGATTTCATTTATGCCCTCCCGGAGCAGCAGAAACCCCTGCCTGCTTCTTCAACGACTGGCCGCCGTGCCTCCACCCCGATCCCGACCCCGTGAAACACGAGCCTCCTGCCCTGTCGAGCCTCCACCGTCCCATCCTCGTGGCCCAGATCGTGTTTCTGCCCGCCTTTCGCCATGACCCTGTCCATACTTGCGAAACCTGCGCTATAGAGCCCAGATCATGCCCCTCCATCGCCTTCGAGGCCTTGCCACCCAATCAAGGCCCCGTGCCTGGATATTGCAAAGTGCATGCCCCTGCCCACGCGGGCTTGACAGTTCTGGGCATGTCCTCGGCAGCTGCTCCGAGCCGCTCGCTCCCTCGCGCCCGTCTAATACTCGTGCACCCGCCCGTCTCATCGTGGCCTCGTCATCCTCTTGGACTCATCCACCGGCTGGGTTGTACGCGCCGGCGCGCCCTCGATTGCGACTCATCTGCCCGCTGTAATTTCCCATAGGCCCATAGCCGCCGCCTTGCCTGTGCCGTCAGCCTTGACCTTGCCTGCCCACAGCTGCTCCCTCGAAGCCTCTTAAGCGACCAGCCCGGCCTGTGGCGATCTGTGTGACGCAGCCCTACCTCCGCTTTCTACGTCCCTTCACCTCAGCCTCGTTGTCCGCAGCTCAACTTCATCCGAGCTTCACCGAGGCCTCACGACGCGCGGTGTAGAGTCAGATATCGATCATTGTCAAGTCGCCCGGACTTACCTGCACAGCAAAGATCGACCGAGTCATAACAGTCAGCCTTTACGACAAGCACAACACCACGTAGAGTCGGCTCAGACCGCAATGCTGGTGTAGTCACAACACAAACACGACCTATTTTTCCTTGCCTTCACTTCTTGAGTCAGCTAGCCTGACACCCCAAGACGCTGTGCGTCGCCTTTGACAACTTATACTTATTTTTTCTCCCTTGTCATCTCATCCTCACTTTTTTCTTTTTCAACGACGGTTCGACCGCGAGTATAAAGCCTCATCACAGCATTTGTCAGCATCACTACTACATCTCATCAAGCATATAGAGAACGAAAATGGCATACCGAGCAGCCAAGACGATCGTGGCGCTCCTTGCGGTCGCCCCGCTGGCGAGCGCTCACTCCTGGGTAGAGTTCTTGAAGCGCATCAACTCGGACGGTAGCTTCTCCAAGAGCACCGGCTATCCTATTCCATACATAGCGAGAGGAGCCCCTGGCTACAGCGATGATGCCATGCTCAACAAGATTTTAGACAAGACCAGCAACCCCTCGGTCTGCAAGCAGGGCAACTTCGACTACTCACAAGATGCTCCTCGCCTGGCTGCCGCAGCGGGAGACTATATCGCGATGCAATACCAGGAAAACGGGCACGTGACTCAGCCGGGCATCACGCAGCGTCCTTTCCGTGGCGGCAACGTTTACATCTACGGCACTCTGAAGGATGTCAAGTCCACCGGCATCAACGATGTGCTATACTCTTGGAATGCACAGGGAACAGGTGGCGACAAGCGTGGCACGCTTCTGGCCACTCACTTCTTCGACGATGGCCAGTGCTACCAGAACCTGGGCGGCGTCGAGCCCGACCCTAAGGATAAGATCTACACACAGCGCCACACCAAGTTTGGTGTCGATTCGATCGACTGCCAGTCTGACTTTCGTCTTCCGTCCAACCTTCCTGACCAGGGTATCTATAACGTCATGTGGGTTTGGGACTGGCCCTTGATCACGTCGGAGCACACCAACGTCACTGAGACCTACACTTCATGTGCCGAGATCCAGCTGAAGCCCAAAAAATCGAATACTTCTTCCAAGATTAACTTTGCCTCGAACCACAATGTTACAAACGCGGCCATTAAGTCTCAGGTCCACACCCTGATCGAGGCCGTCACTCTTGGTCAGGGTACAAACTCTCCGCCAGCCCCAACTGGTGCCGCTCCGACTACGCCCACGGCTGGGGGCCCAACATCTACTGGTCCAGCTACTGTGACGGTCACTGTCACTGCGGAGCCCGTCACCACAACAGTCTTCCACACTGTCACTGTCGGCAATACCCAAGATCCAACTCTGCCACTGCCGGGCTTGCCCACCCAGTTCCTTCCTCCATTTCCGACCGAGAACCCAATTCTGGCGCCCACGAACCTGCCAACAGAGTTCCTTCCTGGCCTGCCGACCGACTTGCCCACAGTCTTCCCCACCAGTCTACCACCGGCAAGCACTCCGTCCTCCTCGTCCCTCTCGCAGCCGTCGACGTTTCAAACATCCGTCAGATCAAGCTCTTCATCGTCGTCCTCAGCTTCGTCGTTGCCATCGACTGCTTCGGCTGCTTCCAGCACCTCTTCTACTGTCACCACTGACAACGCACTGCAGTCCGGTCTGCCAACGACAACTTCCTCCAGTTTCTCCTCCGAGATTGAGTCGACGTCATCTACAGTGACTACGGATGACGGCCCACTCCCTGGATTCCCAACTCGCACATCGTCCTCCATTTCGTCAGCTACCATCTCGGACGATGGTCCTGTACCAGGATTCCCGAGTGCCACTTCCAAGTCTCAAGACGTCCAATCTTCATCTTCTTCGGCCGAAGCGTCGTCCTCGTCTCAACAGTCTTCGAAGGCGGCCGATTCTACGACAAGCAGCACAGCCACGTCGCATCATTCAACGGAACCCACGTCTGACGCGGCGCCTAGGCCTACGGAGACGACGACCTCATCGCCAGCCGTTACTCCTGCGCCGGAGCCCACTTCAGAGCTAACGAAGCCCAGCAGCGCACCTACGACATTCGTCCCCGTAACCAGTGTCGAAGGCTTCTTATAGACGTGGAAGAGACTTTCTCTGTCCTCTGTCCTTTCAAAATCTTCACTTTTTTCTGGCAGACTATCTGTCACCCGCATTTGCGGCATCTCGGCTCCACTTACGGACAGCTGCATCACGGCGGTTCGCCGGCGCTGTTTGGGATGAACTGCGGTCTCCTGATTCGGAGGGGATGCCCATAACTTCCATTCTCATATTGTATATAGTTTTCATCTTGTTTATTTTGTCACGACTTTACGGGGCTGGGGCTGCCAGGCGTTTGTGGTTTTGGACGGTTCACGTTTTCTAACCCCCCCACCCGACCTTTCGAGCTGGTATCAAGAGGATATATAGGTCTTCTGTTCATTTGCACACCATCAATTCCAAACATATATCTTTTCTCTTCACACGCTTTTCATATTTTGTGGCATCTCGAGAGATCAGTAGAGATTTGATTTTCGTCTCCTCCAGGCCGGACCTAAAGCTGCCCACATGCACTTTAGGGTCGCTAACCTCCCGTGGGGGTCCTGCCCCCCCAGCCACTTAACCAAAAAGGCCGGCATTCCATCACGGCATCCGAACGGGGGATGGCGTGCGCCAGAGCACTTATCTTTCCGGGTCTCCGCCCCCTCGCTCCGGACCGGCGCCGCTCCTGCTTGCAGGGTGGCTGTCTGCTGCTCTTCCGTCGGTTCTCCTGCTAACCAAACCTTCCTTCTCAGCTTTTGCACCCTACTCACGCAGCGCACTTCACTTCAGAATTACGGCAATTTCGCGCAGTGAGACAAACAGCAGAAGCTCCCAAAGACGTGTTAGCAACCAAGAGGGGCCATATCAAGTCAAGCGACACGGCAGGCAACGCGCGCTCCACACACTCTCTCCCTCGCGCGCTGGGCTCCAATTGACGCAATCTGGCGTGCAGCGTGCAGCAGAACCACCAGGCCGGGTGAGAAGGAGACGACGAAAGTCTTGGCACGCGCCTGGATCCCTCGCCCTGGCTCCTCCACCCCGCATCTTTTGAAACAACAAAACCTTGGGAAAAGATAAGAAACAACAAGGGTTTCCAGCTTTTTTTCTTTTCCGCCGCGGTCACAGACGCCACTCTACAGACCCCAGATATACGTTTGGGGGGCGAGAAGTCGGTGGGTGCGTAGTGTTTGGACCCCGACAATTGGGAGAAGAGGAAAATCGGGGGGTCCTGGGAAAGGTGAAACGGGGGGTTCTCCAGCCAGCGAAACAGGGGCAAAAGCACGCCCACATCGTGGGAAGTGTTGCTATTTTTGGGGGTAGAAGGGTGAGGCTCTGCTATCTTCTCTCCCGATCTGCTGGACCTGTTCATCCGTTCCTGTCGGCTCAACATTTCTTTTGGCGGCTTGACGTTGCTTTTCTTCGGGCTGAAAATCTGTCCAACACGGCTTACAGGCTTGGGAATCAAGCTACAGTAGAAGCGCTTTCTTTTGCGGATTTCTGGACCAAGCAGGTCTAATCGGTCACGAGAATTTGGTCAAAGGGATCATCTACTGTTGGTTGCGTCGTTACAACAAACACGTACAGCAGTGCAACAGCACAGACGACGACTGCTCGAAAAGAGAAGGCACAGCTTTGGGATTTGGTGCCGATCTCGGAGTCTAGTGTTGGGGCCAGTTCGGAAGCAACACCTCGCAAAAGAGAGACCACGAGTTCGCCAATCCCTTCACGGGGGGCCCTTTTTCGGATCGGCTCTGCGGGCAAATTGGATCATATAGCCGTTGGAACCTTGCCGCATACCGGAAAATCCGCAAGATGCAGATTCCTTCGTCACGCCGGCGGCCGGCCGCTGCTACTGTGCTCGCGACGTGTCTAGCGGTTGTGGCCACGGTGGTGTTGGTGCCCGGTGCGCACGCCGCTACTTCATCTTCAGGACAACCGGCAGATGATGGTGTTGTTGCTGCTGCCGCGCCTGTCGAAGTGGGAGGAGTCGATGGCGGGCATCATCAGCAAGCTGGATTCATTGGTCAGGAGCACCAGCAGCAGCAACATGCGCTGGGTGGCAACGTCGGCCACGAAGAGACGAGTGGAGATGTCGATGATGGCGAAACAGTGCAACATGCGACTGGGAAGAGGAAGAAGCGGAAGAACATTGTCGTCATCCTTACTGACGACCAGGACCTGACGATGGATTCGCCCGAGTATATGCCCTTGTTGAAGGAGCATATAATCGAAAAGGGAATCACGTTTCGAAATCACTTGTACGTTCACCCACTCCTCGCTCCCTCTCCTTGGATGCATAAACGGCTTCGACTATGTCTCGAAGACTCCTGGGCTCCGAGCCAGGGAACATCCCAATGAAGACGGGCAGTCTGCTAATGCGGCACCGTCGTGATGTACAGCACATCGACCGCCATCTGCTGCCCATCAAGAGTGTCTCTATGGACAGGAAAGCTGCCGCATAACACAAATGTCACGGACGTGAGCCCTCCGCACGGTGAGTCTTGCTATTTATTCTTGTTCTCCGTCGTCATCCCCCTCTGCTTCTGGGACGACCAAGGAAGTTAGCTTGCATACTCACACGTAAAACAGGCGGCTACCCAAAGTTTGTCGCCCGGGGCCTCAACGAAAACTACCTGCCCGTCTGGCTCCAAGCCGCCGGGTACGCGACGTACTACGTGGGCAAGCTCTTCAACGCGCACACCATCAAGAACTACAACTCTCCGTTCCCAGCGGGCTGGACCGACAACGAATTCCTGCTGGATCCGGGCACATACTCGTACCTCAACCCAATCTTCCAGCGAGGAAAGGAGGAGCCCGTGCAGCATCGTGGGACGCACACCGCAGAGCTCACGGCCGAGAAGGCGCTCGGGTTCCTGAAGGAGGCCTTGGATGCAAGGAAAGCCGAGGAGGAACATGGGGAAGAGAAGCCGTTCTTCCTCGCGGTGGCGCCGATTGCGCCCCATACCAACTTCGAGAGGAAGCAGGGCATTGGCGGCGGGCCGTTCATGACGGAGCCGATCCCCCTACCCAAGCATGAGAAGCTGTTCCCCGACGTGCAGGTACCGCGGACTGACAACTTTAATCCTGACACTGTAAGTTTAAGATTTGCGGGCCTTGTTGACTACTTGCCATCCACAGTGTGCTTCTAGCCTGCTAACAACTGCTCGCCTCCCCCGGAATCACAGCCCAGCAGTGTCAGCTGGATCTCCAAGCTGCCAGCCCTCAACGCCTCCTCGGTGGCCTATCTGGACCACTTCTACCGCCAGCGCCTCCGGTCCCTGCAGAGCGTCGACGAGCTCGTCGACAGCATCGTGTCGACCCTGCAGGCCGCGGGGGCGCTCGACGACACGTACATCATCTACTCGTCCGACAACGGCTACCACGTCGGGCAGCACCGCCTGCCCCCGGGGAAAGAGTGCGCCTTTGAGGAGGACATCCGCATCCCGCTGTACATCCGCGGGCCCGGGGTGAGGGCGGGCTACGAGGAGGAAGGAGTCACGGGCCACGTCGATCTCGCGCCGACGGTGCTGGATCTTGCTGGTGTCGAGCTGAGAGGTGATTTCGACGGGCGGCCCGTGCCGATTGAGCCTGCTGCTGGACGGGCAGACAGAGAGATTGAGCATGACGAGGATGAGCCAGCGGCCCATGAGGATCGTGCGGCCATTGCTGCCCAGCGCCGCAAGGTTGAGCACGCGAGCGTCGAGTTCTGGGGCATCGCTCTGGCCGAGGGCGAAGCTGGTGGTTTCGGTAAGCCGGGCCCCTTTTCTTTGTCGTTTAGGCGGGCGACCGGGCGAACACGCCCACGCTCACGCCCACGCCCGTCTTATTCTTCTCTTTCCGCAAAACTTGAGTGGGCCCAAGATTGCTGACCGTGACTTGAAATAGACGGCCATGGCCGAATCATCATGCCCAACAATACCTATAAAGCGCTGCGTGTGCTGGGTGCGGGCTACGACTTGTTCTACTCGGTTTGGTGCAACAACGAGCACGAGTTGTATGATCTAGCTGTAAGTTATCAACACCCATTTCCTACAATGGCAACTGTGCCGTGAACGGCGAGCAATGCTCTTGTAACTGGCCAGAACTCGGAGCCTATGCTAACGGTGTCCTTTTTCACTATCCTGGCAGACCGATCCTGGACAGCTGAACAACCTGTACCCCAAAGAGGCGTCTCCGCGGGGCGATGACGAGAACTCATCACCGCAAACCAGGTCGATTCTTAACAACGTCAAGATCCACCGCGTCATCAGCCGCCTCGACGCGCTCATGATGGTCCTCAAGTCGTGCCAGGGCACCTCGTGCGTGCGGCCGTGGAGCGTACTGCATCCCGAGGAGGAGGAGGAGGCGTTGCAGGGTGAAGGGCAAGGGCAGCAAGTGCAGACGCTGGCGGACGCGCTGCACGAACAATACGACGGCTTCTACGCGCAGCAGGCTCAGGTCTCGTTCAACTGGTGCGACGATGGGTATCTGATCGAGGCGGAGGGCCCGCAGCAGGTCATGCAGTTCCACGAGGATGGTTATACCGTGTGGCCGCACTGGACTTGAGCCATCAGCCAGCCTTGAAACATTCGTTTAGGGAACACGGAGAGAGTTGCAACCAAGCGATCTGCTTAGTCGGGAATCAATGGGGCAGGAGATTCAGAGGATGAGTTCGACGCTGTTGGGATGGAGACGGCGGCTAGTCGCACATCTGTGTGTATCTCCGACGTGTCTTTACGACCAGTGGTATAGACAGCCTGGAAACGGCCATCTCCGACAGCTTCCGCACCACGTAGAAATTATATATCCAAATTGCCCAGCCCAGATTTGAGGTCAGGGCTAACAAATTCGGCTTATGCGGCCGTCGAGCATGCAGTTTCGTCCCAGGGTACCACGACCCATCCCGTGGCCACCAATGATGACAATGACGACAACGACGCCCGTTTGGACCAAGTCAACCAAGACAGCTACTTTGACAATCTCGATGATGGCAGCAGCAGCAGCAGCAGCAGTAGCCGTGGCGGTTCTGAAGGCGACGAACCAACCTCGGACCAGGAAACCACGATCTACAAGCATTTCGAAGAGTACATACCACTCATGGTGATCTACATGGCCATCTGCTGTCTCGTGGGCACGCTGGTGCTGTCCATCCGCCGACGAATCGACAAGCTGGTGCAAGAACAGCAACATCAACAGCAGCAACAGCACCAGACACAACAAGCCACTATTAGTCTCCGCCACCCAGAAACAACACTCTCAAGTATGGCCCAACTCCACCCGCAGATCAACCAGGGCAACTTCCACCGCACCGCGGCGGCCACAGAGAGAGCCGGGAGACGTGAGCGTAGTAAGCGCCGCTTCCAAAACCACCCTTGCATACTGTGTGCCCGCGGACTGGGCCTGATTCTCGCCGCGGGAATCCCCGTGCTCGGCTGGGCCGTGCTGGTCAGGCATCTCTATATCTCGGGACGGATGAAGAAGGAGTGGCAGCAGGCGGCCAGAGCTGCTGCTGCGGGGGAGGAAGAGGCGGCGCCAGCGGGCGTGGGAGCGGCCGACGACAACTCGCGGCCAAGTGCTGACGGCGTTAACGGCAACGGCGAGGACGAGGACGACTACGAGGCCGTCTACGACATCGAGCAGGTCAGCAAGTACGACTCGCACTACGCGGGCTTCCGGCAATACGCTGGTCTCTCCTCCTCCTCCTCCGGTGCCGCATCTCTGGCATTAGCCGCCACGAGCAGTATCAACAACAACGACAACACGCAGGCTCCAGCACTGCACCCGCAGCAACAACAACAATCTGCCATACTATACCAGCTCCCAGCTCCTCCGGCTAGAGCCCTGCTAACCAAGGCGAGAATCAGGAGCTACCTCCCCACCAGCCACGACGACGACGACGACGACGACGACGACGACAACGACGACAATAACAACGAGGCATACGAGGGCCACAGCGTAGATTTTGAGGATGCCGACGACAACGAGTCTGTTCTCCATCGCCGTGCGAGTGCCAGCCACAATGCCCAGTTCAAGGGATGCCCGAGCGAGACTACTCCCACGCGCAGACTGCCGAGTCATCTGTGGGAGCGGACGAGGCTGTCTGCTCTCCGGGGCGTGTCAGCCGGCCGGTTTGATTTGGATGACTGATGGCGTCAATGGCGGCCATGATTGATGTGTGTCTCGGGAGGACTCAGGAGTGATCGCATAAGAGGGGAAACTGGTGGTGACGAGACCGTGCAAGATGCACGGAGGGTGAAGCCCCAGTTCGGTGCTACTTTCATTTCGCAAGTACAGGTTTATTGCAGCTGTATCATTGGGAAAATATCTTTCATTTCTTCGTAGAAAGTCCAATATGATAAGTGAATCCTTTGGTGTATATATATACATAATCTCGTGACCTTTACGTGCCGTGTGTACGCCTTCTTTATGGGTGCCGGTGCAGGTCCAGCTCTTCAACGCCGCGGTAATCAGGAACTCGCTTTGGCCTTCTTGGATCGGCCACGCGTGCTGCTTGTCGTGGAACCGCCCGTATTCAAGCCATCACCTTGGTGTGTCTCGTCGTCACCCTCGTCATCGTCGCCGTCGCCGTCAGTGACTCGCCGCCCAGTTCTGCGCTTTCGCTTGCCGTTGGCTGCCGTGCTTTGTGCGGCAGCGGCGTTGTCGTCATCTGCACCAGCTTGTGCATCTGGACCGCTGCCACCGAGGCTTTCCACGACCGCATGGGAACGTAACTTGTTCACAGCCTCGACCATGCGCTTGCTCGTCTTGCCCTTCTGACGCGGTGCAAAGGCTTCCTTGGCCCCAACGCCCACGGCGCCGTCGAAGAACCGTGTGATGTTGGCTTGTGTGCCCTCAACCCCGCGGCGGTTCATGTCCCGGACGACAGGGACAAGAATCTCGTCGGTGCGCTCCGGGCTCCAGCCAATCGTCTGCATGAGAAATTGCCGCAGGCCTTCGACGTCTGGAACGCCCCATTGGAATGGCTCTGGATCGCTGTCGACGTCTGGCTTCAGATAGGCCTCAAACACAGGTTCGCTTGGGAATCCCGGCGGGAGGAACAGCTTGGTGGCCTGTGACTTGCGGAACTTCCGCCGAAACGTTGACTTCTGGTCGGCTTCCTTGGGGCGGTTGTTCATCTGAATATCTTGCCACCAGTCCCTGAAGGCTGCCAGGCCATCTCTGCCTGGGAACTCAGACAGGATTTCGACAGCTGTCACGGGTCCCACGCCGGGGAGGCCGTCTGTGTAATCGGAGCCCAGAAGTTGTGCTATCGCAATAAGCTGCTCTCTGCCTAGAGACAGCTCCTTCTCCAAGTCGTTTGAGAGGTAGCACTCGACAAATTTGTTGCTATTGAACATATTCTTGTAGACTCGTGTCCCGCCAAATAAGAAGATATCCGAGTCATCAGTGACAATACCGTCGACAAGGCCCATATTCACAAGCTCGGCACATTGTGCCTCGGCTTCCATTGGCGCCGTGATATACGGTATGCCAAAGTATCGGAGCAGTGCTTGGCACTCTGTGATCATGATTTGAGTGACTTCGTCTGCGTCACGCCGATCCTTCTTCTGCTGCGTACGTAGTGCTTTGAGCTCGCGCTCATAAGCCTCTTGATCATCCTTGGCCGACTTGTTCGTGAGCTGGCTGGCAAAGCGAGCATGCTCTTCAGCTTCTTCGGCCATCTGAGCCAGCAATTGTTCGTCCTCGGGATCACTAAACTCGTCGTCATAGTCTTCCAAGATCTGCTCCCCAGTTTCGGGGTTGATCGCGCCTTCAAAATCGATGTCGGCCGTCAAGTCTGGCATAATCTCGGGAGAAATCTCGGTAGAAATCTCGGTTTCAACGGCAGGTTGTGGTAGCTCGGCAGCAGGGACGTCCTCAAATTCAGGTTCTGGTGTTGCGTCGTGAGTACTCTGCTCAGAATCCCCGTTCTCTGGCGGCTGCATGATGTCGACCTCCTCGAAATCAGGCTCGGGCGACGATGCTTCCGCTGGTCGAGCGAACTCATCTGCACGAATGTCCTTGCTTGGTGCAGTTTCCTCCACATCCACGATTGAGGTGGCGTCCGCACGAGTCGTCGCCGCGCGCGATTGAGCGACGCCGTCCACGGGATCTGGCAGCGGTGGGCTTATTCTGGTCAATGTAGCTGGAGACAAGGGTACCTCAAGTGCAGCAGGACCTTGCCTTTGTGGTAGCGCCGGTGGCTGATCTAGAATCTCGACGTCGCTCTCATTGTCGGACGAGTCGATTTCAATAAAATTTTCTTTTTGTCGACGTTTCTCTTCCGCCATTGCGGCCTCCCTGTCAGCCTCATTAATCTCGTTTTCGAGCTCTCTTTGGGCTCTCATGGACTCCCGGATATCTTCTTCATCCTGAACCATCCATGGGGGTAGCGGTCGAGGCTTCTTGTCGTCTGTATTGCTTGCACCAGGCTCAGGCACCGCCTCCGACGCTGGTGCATCATCATCTCTCTCAAATCCTCCCGCCATGTCGTCGTCCTCCTGCTCCTTGGCTTTGCCATCCCCTTTGGCAGCCGGCGACTTCGGCTGTTGTGACTTGCTGGCAAAAATACTAGACTTCCAGCTTAACTTCTCAAACGGCAACGGACCATCAAACGGATTCTTGACGTTTGGCCGCACAGGCTCGACTGACGGTGTCGGTTTTGGCGCTGGTGCCTTCTTCTTTTTGGCTTTCGAGAGTGCAGCCGCCAGGTCGTCATCACTATCGCTGTCCTGGAAAGGCATCCCTTGCGTTGGCTTGGACTTTGGCACAGCAGCATTCGCTCTATTGTTGACAATGTGCGCAATAACCTTGCCGCTCGTCGTTGTGAGAGGCCGAGCTTTCTCAACCGCCTTCTGCGTCCATTCGGGGGCCGGGACATTTTCAAATTCCACATCATCGTCTTCCTCTGGTGGTGTCTGACCTTTGCCATGCTGGGTCCGAAGCGATAACTCTATGGCGCGCGATATGTCGTTGTCTTCATCGCTCTGCGGCAGGGCGGCACTCCCAGCAAGCGTATCGTTAGCCTCCGTAGCTTCTGGGCCGGCGACAAACAATGACTCCTCGTCGTCCTCAACCATGAATCCGCCAGCTTCTTCATCTGCGATGCCTTGAAGAGCAGCAGCCCCACTAAGCTTCGGTAGCCGATTCAGGCCCTCAATCGGAATGTCTTCGAAGTCGTTCTCATCCTCGTCTTCCCATTCCTGCTCATCTTTTGCTTGATACTGGAAATCAAGCGCATCGACGTCGATTGGCTTGTGGATCTCGCCTCGGTCCTTCTCTTTGCTAACAACACCAAGCGCCCAGCCGCCTTCTGCCCCTTCATTTTTGACAAGGATGTACTCGCGGTCTCTCTCACCAGCGATCCTCGAGGTCCCACTCAGCGTGAGATCGGTGCCAGTCATGCCAGCTTCCTTCATCAGGCGCTGCGTCAGGTGGTTCCGTTCTTTCACTCTTTCAATTTGAAACCGCGAGAACGCCATCCGGTCTGGAAACATTTCGTCGAGCTGTTCTTTGCTTAGACCCATTCTCAGCCTGCTTCGGAGTCTGGCCGCGTTGAGAATGTTGTAGCGATCCGCGGGGGGCAAGCTCTTGAAGAAGTCGCCTTCAAAGTCAATCTTGCTGAAGTCATAGAGGTTGATATCCTCGCCACTATGGAACTGTCGCGCGTACTCTTCCAGCTCCTCGATGCTCATGATCCGGGGGTCTTCCGGCCGGCCCATGCTATCGATGCTGCCGCCGAGCTCGGGCAAGTGGTATGTATCCTGCTTGTAGAACTTGCGATTCTTTTGGCGTTCTTGCTGCGACATGCCAAGTTCATCGACATAGACGAGCTTGCTCTCGTCAGGGAGCTCCTCGGTCTCAATCTCCGCCGTGTGGGCTCCGGTGTTCTCCAGCGCCGCCATCCGCCGCCTCTTCTCTCCCTCCTCCTCTGCGATGCGCTGCATCTGCACGGCGAGCAGCTTGCCGGCGGTGCGGACGGCATCGTCGCGACGGCCTTCTCTCCTGCGCTTCCGGTTCGTGATGGTCTGGCGCTTGAGTGCCGGGGCACCTCCGTCAAAGACGAAGACAGGGCGGACGCCGAACCAGAGCAGCTTGCATATGCGCCGGAAGAAGCCCACGACATGGGAGTTGCGCAGCGCATTGCCTTCCTTGTCGCGGACGGCTTTGAGGAACTGGTAGATCCAGATGGAGGCATCGACGGCGAGGCGCTTGCGGTTGAGCGTGGCGAGGTTTGTCGGTCGCGCGCACGGCTGCAGGACGGTCCAGAGGCCATTCACACCCATGGCGCCTAGGTGGCAGTGGTGATTGCACCACCACGGTTATGGATGGGTCTTGTGGGAGTCTCTGTCGGCACGTGAAGGGTCGCATCAAGATGAGGGCAGGACTTGTGCATGACTGTGCTGCACCATTGTGAAGCAAGTCTGGCTGACCATCCTGTACAGTCGAGTCGAGTGGTTTGCGTGGTGTTGAGGATCTTTGCAGCGTGAAGCTGTCAGCTCGTCTGTTGCCTGGAGGGCGGCAATGATGTCAAGGTTGCCCTGTGGGGGCAATGACGCTAATCACCAGGGCACAGCGACTAAAGGCGCGTCCCTGGTGCACTTTATCGTGCCTGTCGGGCGAGGAACGCGACACGGCCAGCTGAGAGTTGCGCCTCGGAAGCCACGGATTCTCCCAGAAGTACTGTATACTCACTGGCCGAGCTTGCGACCACCAATTATAGCGCAGGTTATGCACAGGCCCAAGGTTTCCACTACCTTTGGGTCACTGGAGGGGCATCCATGGATATTTTCGTCCATCCGCCCCACGACACCACACATCGTTCCTGGTTGTCCTTTGACAACTTCACATCACGACAGAGTTACTTGAGTCACGGCGGGCAGAGCGCTGATGGCATATGAATAGAGCCGCGCACGGGGCCCTTGTAAAGCCGCTCCCACGATGTCGCTCGCTGAGAACAAGGCCGAAGCCGAGTCCTTCATCAAAGGGCTTATCAACAAGACTCTGCGCATCCAGACCAAAGACTCGCGCCTGTTCGTCGGCACCTTCAAGTGCACCGACCCCGTTCGTCTCCCTCGATCTCGTCTCAACAGTCATTTGCTACCGTGTGACGTATGCTGACTTGTCCCACTATACAGGAGAGCAATGTCGTCCTGGCACTGACCTACGAGTATCGGCAGCCGTCCAAGCAGCAGCTCGACGACGCTGCGGCAGCCGCTATCCTCTCTGGCGCGGACAAGGTCGTTAGTGACATGACGTCGCGATATCTGGGCCTTGTGGTCATTCCTGGCGAGCAGATCGTCAAGCTCGAGGTAGAGGAGTTTGTCAGCCAGATGCGCAGCCGCTCCGTCCTCGAGAGACGGAACATCTATGGCAATGCAGGAGTTCAGCTGCCCCCCTGAGCCAGCATCATCTTGAGCCCAACAGCTCGACCAGGGACTTGCCCGCTTCACGACAAATCTGGCAACTGACGGCCGTTCCACCAAAAGTGCAACATATGCTTGGCATACGATGTCCAGTCGGGATTGCATTCCCCATCACGGGCGCAGCACGCTGGCCCAACCTCGACCTGGTCACGAAACCGCGCCGTAGCTCAACTGGTTACTCGAAAATCATGGCAGGCCCTTTTCCGCACTGCTCGTAAAGGCCACGAATATGGGATACAGTATGCCTTCAATAAGAGCTGGACACTTCGCGGAGAGGTGCGCTCCTTCTTCGATCCGGCAAGGTTGCGCAAGCGTAAACGGAGGAGCCATCTCGCTACCAGGAGAACCGCATACATTCGAGGTCATGGTGCAACACAGGGCTCGGCCCGCATCAAAGTATTAAGCGGATTAGCAGCACCCATTATGAGTTTATCCTGCACCTCACGATGGGGCAGTCCAAGAAGTCGTGTGCCTGGTCTCATTGACCGTGACAATTATGAACTGCTGCAAAGTCCGTGAAATCCAGCACCGACTGTAGCGGCATATCTACTCAGGGGGTCCTCTTGATACTCCCATTTCTGCTGACGGTCCGTTTTGGGATTTTTACACGAAGCGATAACGAGTGCCAAGTTTCGGAGCTCCCTCAGTAAGCTCCGAACAAGCAAGATTTGGTTTGCCCCTGCATGAGCGTGCACCATTGTCTCCTTTGGGATTCATTGTGCGCCGCAGCAGTCATGATGCTGCAAGTCTGTACGGGCACGCAGTTGCCACAATGATTAGGTCATGTTGTATCTTGCCAGCTACAGGCCCGACCTGTCAGACAGGGATCATGCTTATTCGCATAGCCAGGCGTGTAAGCACTTACGCCGTGCGGTGGATATTTGATGCCGAGGCTGAGCCTGGAGATACCATTACCCAGCATCGACATGTTGATGCCATGTCCGAATCACCAGGCCCTCCACGGACGGCACGATTTGACCATGGCCCTCTAGGACTCTCGCATGATGGAGAGCGTCGCGATTTGGAGCACTGGCAAGGTCTCCAAGGAGTGCCTGGGAAAAGCACAGCGTGTGGTGCGGGGTGGCGCAAGCCAGAGTGCGGGGAAGCACTGGCGCCGCCGTGGCCGTGGAGACGGGACAGACAAGGGCATTCGCCCACTGGGATCCGATGCGTGCCTAGGCGGGCTTGGATTGCACCAGCGAAGGCGATGATGGGACGGCAGCTATCCTCGGCATATCTGCCACTAAGCAGTTGTCATGGTTGAAGGCGAGCAAGCGCTTGGCATGGTGGGTGGCCGGTGGAGAGATCATTTGGAGAGTGGGGTGAACCGCAATATTTCCCTTGTTGCTCTCGTCGTCTCCAGAAGGCAACCTTGGAACCTTGGAAGTCCTGTGTTAAGTATATAAGATCGAGGGGGTTCCGTCGTCGTGTCCTCAAAGCACATACGCTCCCCTCCACGACACCATCTGTACTCTGCCAGCCACAGCCAAGGGCGAGAACATCGCAAACAACAACCTAGCCATGGCCGACTACATAGTGCCCTTCGTCATCAACGGCGAGCAGGTCCAGCCCAAGGACACCTTTGACGTCGTGGCCCCCGGCACGGGCAAGGTGCTGCACAAGTGCGGCAACGCCGACGTCGCCGTCGTCAACCAGGCGGTCGAGGCCGCCGCCGCGGCTGGCAAGGAATGGGGCCGCACGCTGCCCTCGAAGCGGCGCGACATCTTCCTCAAGGCTGCCGAGGTGCTCGAGTCGCGCCGTGAGGAGCTGGGCAAGTTCCAGGCCGACGAGACCGGCGCGCCCCCGGGCTGGCCCGAGTTCAACTTGGGCAATGCCATCGACATGCTCAAGGACATTGCTGGCCGTGTCGCAACCATCCAGGGCGCCGTGCCCACCACCGCGAGCCCGGATGTGAGCTCCATGGTCTGGAAGGAGCCGTATGGCGTCGTGCTCGCCATGGCCCCGTGGTAAGTCTCTCCCCCTCTTTGTATTTAGAACGCTCTGGTCGAAACAGGAGCCCCCAAGCTGATCGGGAGACATCCCAAAGGAACGCCCCCTACATCCTGGGCATGCGTGCCGTGATCCTGCCCATCGCCGCCGGCTGCACCGTCGTCTTCAAGGGCTCGGAGCTGTCGCCGCGAGTCATGCACGGCATCGTCGACGCGCTGCACGAGGCCGGCCTGCCCAAGGGCGTGCTCAACTTCATCACCTGCGCGCCCTCGAACGCGCCGGTCGTGACCGAGGCGCTCGTCGCCCACTCCGAGGTCAAGAAGATCAACTTTACCGGCAGCACTGCCGTGGGGCGCATCATCGGCAAGCTCGCCGGCCAGCACCTCAAGCCCGTCGTGCTCGAGCTCGGAGGCAAAGCCCCCGCCATTGTCTGGGAGGATGCGGACCTGGACAACGCCGCGCTGCAGTGCACGCTCGGCTCGTTCCTGTACTCGGGCCAGATCTGCATGAGCACAGAGCGCATCCTCGTGCACAAGAAGATCAGCGCCGCGTTCCAGGAGAAGTTCCTCAAGGCAATCGAGCAGGTGTTTCCTTCGTCGGGCGAGGCCCCGATCTTGATCACGGGGCAGGCTGTCGACAAGACCAAGAAGCTGGTCAAGGACGCCACGGACAAGGGCGCCGCCGTGGTGGGCAACGGGTCCATCGAGACCGAGGAGGCGTCCAAGACGCGGCTGCGGCCGATCGTGGTGACCAAGGTCACGCCCGAGATGGACCTGTACAAGACGGAGAGCTTCGGCCCCGCGGTGAGCATCATCGAGGTCGAGACGGAGGAGGAGGCGCTGCGGATCGCCAACGACACCGAGTACGGCCTCAGCTCGGCCGTCTTCACCGAGGACCTGCGCACGGGCTTGCGCTTCGCCAAGGGCATCGAGGTCGGCGCCGTGCACATCAACAACATGACTGTGCACGACGAGTCGGCGCTGCCGCACGGCGGCGTCAAGAGCAGTGGGTACGGCCGGTTCAACGCATCGTGGGGTCTGGACGAGTGGACGAGGACAAAGACTGTGACTTGGAAGAACTAGGTAGCGAGATAAGCAACCAAGAGGGGCGGCCGCGGCAGCCGGAGAGGTGTATGTTGATCAGGTTCCTAATATAGTGGTTGCAGTGCATTTTGATATGAGACAGACCCGGCCTATCAGACTCAATAGCGACGCGCTCAATGCCGACTGGCATTAGTAAGGACCTCATGCAAGCAATCAGCCGCAGAGCGAGTTGACATCACACATGATAGTCATGTCCTTTGCACTGTTACACGGGCTGCCCATTGAATATCAGCAGCCTGGAGGCCGCTACATGCCTCGAATCCGCATGAGGCCCAATCTCGAGACATAAAAGCTGCGGCGGATTTTCTAGAATCCAGGTTACCCACGGGTGCAACGTCTTGCTAAACCCTCGTTTTCTTCCAATCGACATCAACCATAGTACACTTATGCTTGAGTACAACCTATCGCTTTATTGCCAATCTCATACACTCGGGATTCTATATCTCGAATATTATACCAGTCGGAGCAAGCTTGATATGCTGGCCTGCCCCTCCGCATCAGGCAGTTTGGAGCGCTGCCCGCCCGCCAGTGGATCCCCACTCGGCGCGTTCCCCACACCAGCAAGTAGCGATCGGCACCATTTCGTCTCAACCACGTCACGACCAGCTACTGTATCGATAATAACGTGCGAAAGTTGTGGTGAGCGAGCTGCCTGCTAGAGCTGTCCCTGTCCCCGCCGCCGCCGCCGACATCAATATTACCACCACATATTCGGCCAAGTGTGTATTCCCAAACGCCCTCTGCGCGTGCATGACCAAAGGATCTCATCAAATAACAACCGCCCGCTCTTCCACGAACCCAACAACACGAGAGAGACAGCGAGAGGGAGAGAGATCCCCACCACCAACAAAAACAATGGGCGCGAAATCCTCAAAACCCGTCGCCCAGGCAAAGTATGCGACGCGCAAGTTCCCCTCCCGACCAGCCGGCCAGTCCGCGGTACGGCCGCCCCGGGGCGCGACAACACCGTCGGCGCAGCAGTCCGGAGCTGGCACGGGAGCTGCCTCGCCGGCGCCGCGGCCAAGAGAGCAGCAGCAGCAGCAGCAGCAGGCTTCTTTCACAAAGGACGATGGTGAGTCTCTCCTGGAAGGGGGTCTAGAGAGAAGAGGGTTTCTCGTCGTCCCAAACGAGGCAATGACTATTATATCATGCCTTGTCTCTTCCCAACATACTTCAACCCTCAGTCTGAATCGTACCCAAACACAAACCCCAGAAGTGCCCGTCGCTAACTCCATGAACCATATTACAAAAAACTCAGCCATAAAAGCAGACGGCATGGACCCCCAAGCCTTCCCCTCCTCCGGCCGCAGCAGCAACAACAACAACGCAGACATCGACCCGAACCACCATACCAACGCCGCCTTCTCGCAGCGCCTGCGGCAGATGGGCGTCGCCACGCCCAACCCCACGCTGTCCAACTCGTCCACCGTCAACAGCCACGGCGGCTTCTCCAGGAACAACAACAACAATAGCAGCAACAATGCCTCTCGCTTTGTCCAAGACCCTTCCCTCTCAAGGGAAACCCCCGCGACAACAACCAAGCAGCAGCAGCAGCAGCAGCCCAGCCCGACGACAGTCTCGACAAACAAAACCTCCACATCGTCCCTCGGCTCGCCGCGGGACTCGTCGCGGCCGTTACCAACAGGGCGGGCTACAACAACATCAACACAGCAGCAGCAGGGCGGTCGTGGTGGTGGTGGGAACAGTAACAGCACGACGCTTAACGCGCTGCAGGTCCGCAAGGAGCTCGCCGAGCGCGCGCAGCACGAGTTTGAGCGCGGCGGCAACGTGGACAGGGAGTTCCTGGATGTCAACACGCTCAGGCAGATCCTGGTGCTCGCGGAGCGCGGAGGAGGAGGAGGAGGCGATGTGGATGCGGCGCAGATCGAGAAGAGGCTGAATCTCAAAAAGGGCGTTGTGGCGAGGTTGGTGGGAGGCAAGGCCAAGGGTGTTTTTGGCCCGTTGGAGGTGTGATCACGGTTTGACACTTGAAAGACTCAGTGACATCCACGGGCAACAAGGAAGACTGGGACTCTTGGCAATGTGACTTGCTTTTTGGGTTGTTTGTCATGATCGTGTACGATGTGGCTTGTATAAAAAGTGTAAGAGAGGTTCGTTTACACGGCAGCTGGAAGTCAACTGCTGATGATTGTGCGTCAGATTGGGCCATGAAGTCATGAGTAACTGCGGGTTAAATAACTTTGATTATGAGGTCTAGCACACTCGATTGAACAAGGCCCGCTAAAGTGCTGCAGCAATTGCAAGGCAAATCGATCAAACAAATCTTATGCGCGCCCTCCTCGGATTAGTTGCTGCTTCAATGCTCCTCGCTCATCTGCTTCTACCACGCCGCGTGACCTCCGTCTATGCGCAAGTCGGACCCGGTCATGAACGTGCTAGCATCGCTCAGCAAGAAAACTGCAGCACCGCGGTAGTCTTCCGGCTGGCTCAGGCGGTTGAGCATGTTGTGCGTCGGCCATTCCGTCTTGCGCTCGGGGAATTGGACAAAGAGCTTCTCGACCATTTCCGTCACAATGTAGCCGGGCGAGATGGTGTTTACCCGAATCCCGTACTGGCCCCATTCGGCGGCCAAGTTACGCCCGAGCTGGATCACGCCTGCTTTGGAGGCATTGTAAACGCTAGACGCAGTGATTAGTTGGTGAAGATATGGGAGGCATGGTTGAAAACACCAAGGCGCGGCTTACGGGCAGATCAAGCCTCTGTTGGCAATGGTCCCGCTCATGCTGGCAATCATGACGATGCTCCCAGGCCATTTGTTCTTGACCATCTGCCTGGCAACGGCCTGCGCAGTCATGAGGCAGCCTGTAATGTTCACACCGAGCATGTGGTCCGCGTCCGCTGCAGTGTACTCGAGCGCGGGGGTTTCTTGCTGGATGCCGGCAGCTGCAAGAAGACCATCGATGCGGCCATGTTTCTGTGCAATCTCCTCGGCAATCTCGTTGAGCTTGTCCACGCCTGTCCTGACATCGACTTGATGGTAGGTGAATGACGTTCCAAACTGCTCCTGGACCTTCTTGGCAACTTTCTGGTACTTGCTATCCGCGTCGGGCTCGGGCTGGCGATCTAGGACGTGTACTAGATGGGCATGTCAGTTTCTAAGTTCCCCACAATGCACCCACTCATTGATCTGGTACGTGACAAGATTGTGACAAGAGACTGCAATGCATGCCAAGAATGGTTGCCATACCAGTTGCGCCCGCCTCCGCAAGCGCCTCCGCCTGCACGAGACCCAAGCCCTGAGCTCCGCCAGACACGATAAGGACCTTGTCCTTGAGGCTAAATTCGGGAAGACCGTGTGGTGCCTGTACGTTGACACCGTAAGATGAGATTAGCATGTGATTCGAGGCTTCCTCATGTTGTGTAACGTGTGGCGGCATGACTTTTGGAGAAATGGGGAGGAGCGGGCTGCAGCCTTCCCAGTGGAATACGCGGTCTCGCAGGATAATGGCCCGTTGTGGATAGTGCGTACCATGACTTCAAGGCCTGGTGAAGCAATCAATGTCTCTGAAGCTGTTCAATGTTGAGGTCGCCGGTGGTAGTGGCAAAAAGCAGATGCAGCTTTGAGGTCGCCTCTTTGGAGCCTCGCAGAGCAGCGGCTGTGTGCAGTGGTGTTTTGAGTGCCGAGGAGGAAAACGAGACCTCAGACGGTGCTACCGTGGATCGAGTAGTGTCGCTTGAGCACAAGATAGAGTTTGCGACCAGTTCAGGGCATGACGAAGAGAGGTGCACTTATATAAGGGCTCCCGGGCTGGTCGAGCTTGTCAAGCCTGACGAGCTTGTGCCGGGCCTTGTCAAGCCGATGCGGCCTCGAGTCACGGTGGAGCAGCAACAGCTCCTCGGGAAGCCCAACTTAGAGCCTTTGTGGCCATTCCGATGTGCGGCGCTTCATCACTGATCAGGGCAGGCCGGGCCCGTCTCATCATGATGGCATCCCAGGATGTTGCTAGCGGGGGATCCCTGCTTGCCCACAAGACCCTGCTCTCCACTTTGCTCCACGGCCCTGGAAGCGCATTGCGGAGGCGTGTCCATCTCATCAATGGCATGGACTAATACTTACTCCAGCGCCAACGAGCAATGGTGAATGTTGTGACTGGGAGGTCAGGCGTCGCTCGTGGTTGGATCGCTTACCAGACGTGGCAGTCGCGGCAGTCGCCCGAGTATGCAGTGCCCTGCAGGCAGGCGCACCCTGCTGCGAGGTGGCGACTGGCAGCGGCTGGGATAGGGGAGTTGTGGCCTCGTCGTCCTCGTCGTCGTGATGCGTGCGTTGTGGGTTGTGATGGACGGGGGCTTGAATTTGCGAGATGCACTCATGCAAGAGCGCACACCGGCCGCGATAGATAACTGGCAGCCAAAATGTCAAGAGGCGCCAGGATGGGTACTCAATCGTGTCACCTCTCTCTGCCTTTACTCTCTGGCTACCCTCCTTCCTGCAATGTGGCCCATCCTTGACTCTGGGTGCTTGGTGCACAGAGACTCTTCAGGCCCAGAGATACAACTTCTCTCTACATCGGCTGCCCCTTTTGTGCTTTCAGGACTCGCAGCCCAGCGGCCCCTTCGAACTCAGACATGGGTCACGCGCCCGCCGGCAACTGTATGGTAGGGTCAAGTTCCAAGTCCTCCGCGTCTATGACCAGCACGAATTGGCCATGCCTTGAGCAGCAGCTCCGATATGCGGTGGTATGTGGTCCCATCGCCGGACCGAACTGCCTTTGACAAGGCAAATTCCACCTCCTGGGACTAGAATGGGACAGCCCTTTTCGGCTTGCCTGTTTGGGCATTCCGCCGGGCCTGTCTGGGTTGAGAGCGGCCCCACCGCAATTCCTCACCTCCATCCCCTGCCAGCATCGCAGCAACCCCACAACTCGGATGTTCTGGCCACGATCGGGGCCCAACGATCCTTGCTTCTTGCAGGAGGAGGCCCGGCATCGCAAAACCCAGCTTGGACAAGTCAATTTTCGGCTAAATCTTGGGACGTCGAAAAGAGGCTGTCGGGTGGTCACGAATCAAGGCCGCTGCTGTCTCCAGCTCGAATGGGCTGGTCAAGCTGCAGATGGATTTACCACAAGACAAACTACCAGTCAAGAGAGTGATGCCATCCGTGGCTGTTGGGTATGTATGCAGACATCCCCCTGGTCATCGAGCTGCTACAAACCTGAGCTGCACTGCTCAAGTACCATTGGCTGGTCGTGCGTTGCCATTCTGCAACACCATTCATCTATCTGCCTTTCAGCCAGTAACCGGGCCCTTCACTTCTACGCTGCATATTATCAAGCACATGTGCCCGTCCGACTCAGGGGAATATAGGGACTTGACGTGACGTATAGCTGCACCTCCTTTGACAGACCAGCCAACCAACCACAATTGCCGGGCGTTGTGAAATTTATACCAAGAACAGGATGCACTTCGTCTGTTCAATGCTTGCGAGCCTTGCCGACATCCCACTCATTATCGCATGCCCACACGTTCTTCTCTCCACATTCCCCGGCAGTACTTGCTTGGAGATCCTCTGCCTTCAAATCATTATCCCACTTGATGATCACAATGACCAAAGAATTGGTCACGTACGTATTTGTTACTTCGACATAACGTAACCCACGGGTGACCCGCCCACTTTCCGGGCTATCGTCCGACAATATATAAGTCAATTCAACCATAACGCCTCAAATCAATTGAAACTATTCAGAATCCTCTTCTTCAGAGGCAGATACAACTTTCTGACACGTACGAGCATTATGACCGGGCTCGCTGCAGACGCCACATCGTCGCGCGCGCGTTTCGGGCCTCCTCGTACGACCACTATTCTGACTCGTTTCCGCTATTAACTGCTGCGTCACATCGATTTGAGCCTTCAAATCCTTTGCCTGATCAATCGTGAGGGACCCTCCTTTCTGTAGCTGCTTTCTTTTCGTACGACGACGGCGGCTAAGGCGGTCATTTGCATCTCGAAGTTCGGCGAGCTCTTGGCGTATAAGGTCCTGCTCGTGTACCATCATTATAACTCCTTTTTCCAGCTGCCGTAGGCTCTCAACAATGGACGACGGTGAGCTATTCTGGTGTCGTATGATGCGATTTTTAATATACTTCGTCTGCGATTCGGTCTCAATTGGGTTGTTCGGCGTCTTTGAAACCCATGGGGGTGGTAGTCCAGCAGAGGAACCAGGTGGTGTCGGCGTATGAAACTTCATATCTAGCTGCGAAATCACATAATTCGGGTCGTACGGTACTAGGCCTGTCGCTCTAAAGCCTGTCTGGATGTTTGATTTGGTCATTGCAGCGTCGTACGCCTTATAAAAGGCTGGGAGGAAGTCCTCCTTTGAAACGTGGGTTACGTGCGCCCGCATTAGACCTTCGATTTCTTTACCGTACGCCCGTTTCAGAGGTCCAAAACACCCAACATCGAGAGGCTGGAGCTTATGCGACGAATGAGCAGGCATACAGAGCGTGATAATATTCTGTTCTTTGCAGTAGAGCTCGAAATCGACGGAATGGTGGCTCTCGTGGCCGTCGAGGATGAGGAGGCGGTAGGTACCCTTCGTACGACTCTTCGTATGGAAATCGAAGTGTTTTACCCATTCTAGGCCTCTCTCGTTCGTCGTCCAACCGTTTTCTGAAAGCGCGATTACCCAGTCGGCCGGTAGAGGGCTATTCGCGGTCCAGGAGTCGAGGTGGACCTTCCCGGCGAAGATAATGTACGGCGGGATTGAATAGCCGTACGACGCGATACCCTGGATTACTGTAACCCATTCCTGATTACCTTGTTGTACGGCTCTTGGCCTCCCGCGTCGATCGGAGGTCGTAACAACAGTTTCGGCGGAGATTTTACCCATCGCGAAGCCCGTTTCGTCGAAGTTGTAGATATCGTCATCGTGGATCCCGTATTTCGCGATTATGTTTTGTACGAGCTCAAACCACGCGCGATACGCGTCTGGATCTTCGCAGAGGACTCTCTGGTAGTCGATTCTTCGATTAAAACGCGTACGGAGCTCTGATCGTCGTCGGACGAAGGTTGAGGCCCAGTTCGTTCCGACACGCGGCGCGTCGCGTACGGCGAGGAGTCGATCCGCCATTTCTCGAACACCACTAAGTCGCGGTGGAAATGATCGCGAACCTAGGTCGATTACGTATCGTATAATACTCTCCTCTTCGTACGAAGTCAATTTCTGGCAGGGTGGTCGGGTATCGCGTTTTTGCTGTGCGCCGCGTTTTCGGTCGCGAAGTGTCGTACGAGGGACTTTGTAGATCTGCGCAGCCTTTCGTACGCTTAATTTTGGATCGGATTGAAGCGCGTTTAGCGCTAGAATAATGTCGCCTTCATTCGATTGCTGTGGCATGATTTTTGGTGGAGGAATATGGGATTGAAGATAGCTTGTACAGAAAGATTGGGAAAGTGGGCGGGTCACCCGTGTGGGCGGGTCACCCGTGGGTTACGTTATGTACAATTCGTATTCATACAAGCTGCCAGGCGCTAGATACGTGTAGATGCCACCCAAGCCAATATCCTGCCTGGTTCACCCACGCCGCACTACATACATGACTATGCACCACTCAGAACCGTTACAACTATTCTGTTTCAAGCCGCCGCAGGCATCTGGTACATCAGAGAGACCCTATCGTCGCTGATGACCCTGCCCCATTCCAGCAGCAGCCGAAACATGTAAATCTCCATGTCTGAGCGCCTGAGCGCCTTGCGAGCCCAGCGGCTGCCTTCCTCGGCGATCCACTTCGCGTCCTGGGTCTGCGCGTCCATGTCCCCAGCGCTGCGCGTCCGGCCGTTGAGCGGCCCCCGGCCGGTCAGCCCGACAAAGTACGCCACTGTGCTGTGGAGCGCGTGGTAGCGGAGGTCTAGCGGTATGAAGTGCGCCCAGGGTGTGAGGCGCTCCGTGTACCACTCGCAGAAGATGGAGGATAGGATGGGCAGCTGGGCCGGGGAGTACAGGGCGTGCAGGAATGACGGTGATTTCGGGGTAGACCGTGTCGATGGGAACGGTCCGTCTTGCGTGTCGAGAATGATTTTGTATCGGTGATTGTCATTGTCCCACGCGCCGTCGTCCTTGTTATCGTCTTGCTGCTGCTGTGCTGCGGCTTCTGCCCCGTTCGTGCTGCCGCCGAGCTCGGCTTCGAGAAGCCGGCATACCTCGGTGGTGCAGCCATCTTTGTTCGTAAAGTCGACGGCGAACGGCAGGACGCCATTCGCATTCTTGGTCGGCACTTTCTCGTGGTGAAAGAATCTCGGCGCGTTCTCCTCGTCGCCTGACTTCCAGCCCACAAGAAGAGCGACTTTGTCCGTGCTGCTGGCGTTGCGCAGCAGATGCACGAGCCTGTTGCGGTGGCTACCGTGGTGCGACTTCGGCGTCAGTAGATGCGCATCGCTGACATTGCCTTGCCAAGAGACTATATCAACGCCCTTGTCGAAAGGCCGGCTCGTCTTTGCCCCTTCCGCCCACGAAGGTGTCCGCTTCGCGTCACTGGGGTGCGGGACGAGAATGTCGTTAAAGCTGTCCGTCTTGGAGGTGCTGAACAAGGGCAGTAGATCCTGGAACAGGTCGGACTGGTGCGGGAGCGTGTAGAACTCGTGCAGATTGAAAACGTCGGGCTGGTGGCAGTGGTCAAGGGCCTTTTCCCAGTTGTTCAGAAATTGGCCAATCGAGTGTGGATGCGCGCAGCTGCTGCAGAAGTCTCGTGCGCCTTCGTCGAGACCGCGCCGAGTTGGTGATCCTGGCGGGCACGCGAGAGCCTGCAGCTGACGAAACGTCTTGACAGAGAGGTAGTGTTGGGCATTGCCCGATGCCTTGGCCACGGCGTCGGTATATCCAGAGAACAAAGCAGGTAGTTGCTGTGGTCGTTGGGGGCGATCCAAGACTAGCTTCCCCTGGCGCTGGCCAGCCTCGGTCAACAAGTGGATGTCCTCCCACGGCGACAGAACCTTAGGTCTCCTCCCAAGATTGAACGCAAGAGACATGTCCGGCAAATGCTCTGCGAACGGCGAGATCAGGTCGACCATGTCGTCCAGCCACTCCTTCTGCTGAGTAGACGCGCTGTTAGCCACGTGCGAGGCAATGCCCTGTTTGATGGTCACCACACCAACATCGGGAAGACGTCGCAGGATGTCAACACCCTCCCGGATCTGGCGCGGATGCATGCCCCAAAATGGCATGATGTCCTTTCCGATCTGATTATACATGTCCATGACGGCCGATTTGTGCTCCATGGCATATTCATACCACTTGTCGAAATTTGGCGGCGGACTGCGGCCGTGGTGGCGCTCTCTGTACTCGATCACGGCGCTCTTGAGAGAGTCGCTGGCCGTTGCATGCCGCAGCCAGCGATCTGTCTCGACCCGTTTGGAGTAGACCAGCTCAGCCACCCTGTGCCTACCGAACGGATATCTCCCCAGCAGGCTGAACGTGATGGAGAAAAGCAGCACGCCAAAGAGGACAACTACGACGAAGAAGCGCCGTATCCGCGCCGCACGCCGCTGAGTTGTTGTGTTGAGGAATACTGTGACGCCAATAAACAGCAGAACCATCACGACCAACGGCTGGTCTGGTGAGATCTGCTCGAAGGAACCAATATACAGCGTATATTGCACGCTGAGGATGAGGCCACAAAGATATGTCGCCAATCCTACAGGAACAATGGGCCCAGCCTGAATCGTCCACAACATTAGCGAGATTAACACTGCAGCGGCTACAGCGCTTATGCTGACAAGGTCGGTTGCATAAATCTTTGCTAAGTCACGATAACTTCCAAGGTCAACAGGCTCAGCCTGACCAGAGGATCGTGCCACCAGATGGAAGAAAGCTATGAGTGCGGAGGCGTTGAGCAATAGAAGCCCCAGAGCACGCAACCTGGGTGTCGTATCACCGAGATTGAGTAGCAGTGCCCTAGTCATGAGGATCATGCCAGCATCTGTGACAACGCCCACGAATTGCATAAGCAAGACAGACCGCTGACTGTCGATGATCGTCGAGCAAAAGTAGGTCGAGCTCTGCAGGAGATCCATGCTTAGGAGCACGCCAAGGGAGATCATGATCGAACTGGCGAGAAGGCTGATGGGTGACTCTTTGAACCATGTCACGACGTCTTCCCAGAAGGAACCCCACATCTCTGGGGGATCATCAGAGACCGCGCGCGGTGGTGGATGCTGAACGACGAATTCGTGCGCTGCCAGCAGCATTGGAAGGAATGCCTGCGTGTTCGAAGGTCAGCACAACCGCGGTGACAAACATTGACGTTGCTGCTGCAGAACTGTGCGTGCATCAGAATCATGTGAAAACGGCTTACCTCGATCCCCTTGCCGCTGCACTGCACCTCGTCCATGACGCGTTGGAATATTTCAACACGGAGGGCAACAAGAAGGGTTATTGCCAGGACAGATTTGCGATGCCGCACGAACAAAGAGAGGGCCTGCTCTCCATGTCCAGAAGTTGAATCTGTGAACGGACCAGTCAGTACCAATGCCGCCTATCTTCCCAACACACCTATATGAAGTGAAGACGAAGGACGCACCATGTTTGTTGCCGTGCCACGGTAGCCACCGTGAAACCAGAGAAGCCAGGAGTGTAAAGCATCCAGTGAGAATAAGTACGAGAGTCGATGAGAGCCGTGGCTGGTCTATATCGTCGGCACCGTCATCAGCACTTTCTACACAAAGACTATTCCGATTGAAGGCATCAATCCGTATGAGACTCCAGCTGAGAGGAGATCTTTCTGTTGTTGCATGGCTTACCTGTAAGCGAGCTTTTTTGCAAAGACGTCACCAAACATAGGGATGAAACTAGGAAGCTGTTGTCGCGCCGGAGGGATTAGCGACATTGTCACTGGGTCGAGTGGTTAAATGGAAATGCCTTTGCGCTTATTCTAGATCCAGGGTGAACAGCAGTAGAGTCGTGCCAGTGATGACACGGGCAAAACAGTTGGTGGACGGGTGCTATCTGGGCGCGACAACAGTCTGGCCCCCAGGCCGCGGTGGCACTTACCAAACTTGGACAAGGAACCCAGCGTTCACAAGAGAGGTCATTGCCTCGTCTCACAGCAGAGTGTGAGACCCTCCGCCGTGCAGGTTCTTCGGGGCTGTTATGGCGAGCAATACCAAAGCTGCATCATAGTTGTCTCAGAAACGAGCGTGTGAGGCGACAATGGCAAGCCGGATTAGCACAGAAATGTTTAGTTGCAGACAGCTGCTCTTTTCGTGGTTGCCTGAAGTGCGATCGTGCAGAGGGACCTCGGGAGCTCTGGAGCTCTGGAGGCTCAGCCTCAGGGGCGGCCAGGAGTACGTCAGTGCTTCAGCCACATTACCCAGGGCTCTCTCTGGCAGCTCCAGCGCAGATCGAAGACAAACTGCGGGTCCACGGATGTGGCTAAGCGGACCCATTTTGGAATTCAATTCAAACAATTGCATCCTCACATCCTTCAATCGCAAGCACGATTTTCCAATAGAACCAGACGTTGCGAATGGCTCTACGCATGCTTTGATTCGAGCCAAGGCGTTGAGAGAGCCGGGCCCTTTATGCAGGAGGCGTGACGCCATTGACCCTGCGCAGACTTGACGCTGGTGGACGGCAGCTAGGTTGAGGAGGGCAACCGTTCATCCATCATCCACCCAATTCATGATAATGAGGAGAGCTTCAACACTTCAATGCACGTTTCCAAGGGCGTCTGCTGTACTTCGTCATCTGGGCAGCAATCAGTGAAGTGGTACCATCAGCCCCCCTCGTTTCTTGCAGCACACCCCGTATGAGACACGGGGCTGGCGAGAGTCAAGACAGCTGTTCCACTTCGTCATGCAAGCACTTTAACACCCGTTCGGGATACATGGAGTCTCGGGCATGCCAGACGCGATATATATGGCCTTTCAAGACACACTCTACGCGACTTTACGCGTCTCAATGTTCTGCTCACGGGCCGCCGACTGTCATGTTAGCTCCCGGCCTCCCCTTGCGTCGTCGGGTCGTCAGGTGCGACATAATCTTCCGTGAGGCCCGATTTGATCGAGTAAGCAGTGTTGTCTGAACCTTGCACTAGAATGAAAAAGGAAGAAAAAAAAGCCCCCCCCCCATTGCTTTTCGCCGCCAAAAGGTTTGTTTCAAGTGCGGGTAGCCTGGGGCTGCGATCCTGTGAATACTTCTTGATCCTCATCCTCGGAGACAAGATTCCGCCTCGCTCCAAGTAGAGGCCAATCTTGACTGAGAATTTGCTCGGGTATTTGGATACACTCCCCTTGTGAGCACGACGCCGGTGGCATGGAGGCTGCTTGGGCTCGGTGGCTTTCATGGACTTGGTTCCTTCGATGGAGCACGAAGAGAGAAAATTTTGTGTGCTTCGTTGAGTCGGACCGCATTCCGCAACCTTGGACGCTGTTGGATGTGCTGTTTCGCCGTCTTCTTTTGCGAGCGGGATAAAAAAAAAACTTTTCAGCGTCAAGGGTGACTGGATCCTCGACCTCCGATGCATGATTCCGCCACTGACAAGCTCGGCATAAACTTGCCAAAGACTAGCTACCGACTTAACATGATGGGCCGCCTGGGACTGACCATTATTATGGTGGCACTTCGAGGTGGGGAGCATGAGGATCCTGGGTGTCGGTATCGATCACGGGAGGACATGGTTCACAACAGCGGGGGCCAGATCCTTCAACCTTGAATCGTCCTGCAGGACTTGCTTGGCATCTGCTGGCGCCTCTAGATTCTGCCCACGTGTGGTGTGCACCCGCTTCACGAACTCGACAGTTCTGCTCACCTGCCTGCTACCGCGCGACAAACAATGGGCCGCTACGCAGAAGTTTCCCACTAGCGTCGTTGTCAAGGGCGTGACAACTCATTGTTTACGAGTCGTGCTGCTGCATGTCCGCCCAGGAACCGAAGAGACGAATGGCCAGCTGGTGCCAATGGTGGAGGAGCTGCAGTTGTCCTGACTCGGTGGCCATAGAAATGTGCCGTTAGGTTGCGGAATGTCAACGGTCAGAGGGTGACGCCATATCCACACTCGCAGGATTTAGCAGGCTGGACCCTAAAGTGGAGTGTTTCTCTCCATATTTCCGCTTCGGCCCAGCTATCATTGCCACCGGCAAGTTTTTGTCCACAGCTTCGACACTAGAGCAGTTATCTAGCAATAGGGCAAAAGCCATTGAGGCGTGGTGCTCCCGGCAGCTGTGTCCTTTTTAGGTCCCGTCCGATCTCTTTCGCGCCAGATGAAAAGCTGCAGCCGGGTGGACCAGCGGTTGTACATCGTCGGCCCGTCGGTTCTCATGTCGGGAGCCGAGCTTTGGGAAGTCGCATGGGACAGAAAGGGTGAGCAGCGTGCTCGACGCTGGGATATCGTCTTGCTCGCCACCTCTGTATTTGAGCCATGGACTGACTTATTCCGTGCTGGCTTCGCGATTGCAATTTTGTTGCAAGAGCTGTTTACCAGTCGTGACAACGACTGAGCCAGCTTGCTCTCAGCCGCAATTGTGTTGGGCTGCTAACGGTGTTAGGCGATCTCGCGGGGTTGCGCATTGGAGCACATTCCCCCACTCCCCATGCCTACTCTCGTGGCAACATAGACGTTGAGGATCCTTGGGATGCAGACGTTGCCGTCATCTGGCGGATCTACGACGTGCCATGGCAGAACGACGTAGCTGGCGTCTGACAGGATTTGTCTGGCACCAGCGTCAATCCTGCGGGGTAATTTAAGGGCCCCAATCTCGACTCTCGTGTTGTGATCTGTTTCCCCAAGGTAGGGCTGGCGGACGTTTCAGGTCCGCCAGCAGGCGGTGCATGACGACGTGGGGAGTGTAACAACCACCACATCACATCAGCCTGCACAATCCCGCTCCTCTGGATCCTCCCAGCACCACCACCCACACATTCGGCAGATGGCGAACTTTGCCTCGAGCGTCGGGGCCAGGTGATCCGCAAGGCTGGCTAGCCGACTACTGCGTACTATGTAAGTGAGATGCTCCAGATCGGATCAGCAGCGCACGCCCGATGGGCAGATGGGTAGACGCCCGTTTCGTGACGCATGACCCAATCACGTCCCAGCTTGCGCCGTTGCGACGTTGTGCACAGGCCTGTCGGAGATCATTCATTTGGGACATGGCAGCATCGGGTGGCGCCAAGGACAGCACCCAATTTCGGAAGAAGGACACCTGGGGCGCATCACTTTACCTTGCTTGCTCCGGCCGCACGCTGGGCCAGTGGCACGGACAGTTTGTTTGCCTGTCTGTTGGGAAGGCTCTGTGCTTGCGCAGGCTGCATCCCCCCATTGCTCGCGATGGTTGGGGACCTGGAGTTGGCCCGGAGCTCAATCGAGAAATGGTCCGTTCCTGTCCACCTGCAACCACTGTCGCATAGGGCCATGATGAGGACGCGCAACTCGGCCCCAGAGGGCCCCAGAGGGTTCGAGATAGAGTAATATGGGGAGGTGAGACTCAGGAGAAGGGGGCCGCGTGGTTGTGCGGAGGCGACGCAAATGAGCTTTAATGAGGCAGATTGGCTCCAGGCTGGGCGACGCTCTCTGCGGATGGTGGGCTGCTGGGGGATCTGACAATGGGGGTCGCTTAGTGCACGGCCCCGAGACTCTGCTGCTGTCGATCCCAGTTTTGCGTGCATGGCGGCCCTGCAACATGCTGATCGTGGCCTGGCCTAGGCTCGACACCAGTTGTGGAAGGCGGCAGAGATAACAACAAGTGGGTGCCGGCGATTGTTGCGCGACAGACAATCCGAGTGTATTTTGAGAAGATTGTTGTTGTTGTTGTTGTTGTTGTTGTTGTTGTTGGCGGCGTCGTTGTTGTTATTTGCTGCCCCGGTCCGTCTACAGTTCATGCAGCCGCCCTTGTGTGTTTACGCTTGCGCACAACAATTCGCTACTAAAGTAGGTCGGGGCCGGGTAGTTGTCACCCTAATGGCAAGGTACTTTTCGCAGGCGAACAGCTGGAGCAGCATCTGGACGCTAACTCTAGGGGCCGCCCGTTCTGCAATTGTGCGTCAGGTGTCGCGGGCTGCGTGGCTGGATGTTTAGAGTTCCTTTGTTTCCAGATAGTAGCCTACCACTGCCGTGGGTGGTCTCCCTCGACAGCCCCATCGAGGACAGATTAGGTGCATCACTTATGCCGCGCACCCCGTCCGAGCCTGTCGCCTCTGTGTCTTCACCCTGTCTCAGCACGTGCCTCGTGACTTGGACAGGCGGTGTTTTCAACATAACTGCCGACATGGGAGGCTCTTGAGGCGCCGCTTGACAGCAAAGAAGCCCTGCCTGCGGCTTTTCGATGGGCTAGGCGCCTGCAAGATTGTGAGCGTCCAGAAAGGCATTGGATCGGCCCCAATGCAGGTACGGGGCACACCGTCGCAAAGCCAAGCCTTGGGCCCTGGCAGCGCCTGGGTGGGTCCTCCATCCTGCTGCTCGGCCCCAGCCAATCACGGGCTCCGCGCAGGGTCCTTTGCCCGCCAGGATGGCACAGGCCATCGAGTCGTGGGCCACACCACGCCAACACCACCGCGTCGACACTCCACCTGCACCTCTCGCCGCCCTCCCTTTTCGCCTTCTGGCGAGAGGGGCGTGCGCTTCCTCGTCCCGGGGCACACCCCTGCCGTTGCTTGGGCTTGGGTCCCTGGCTCCTCGTCGTGGTCCTCGTCCACATCCTCGTCGTCCCCTTTGCGTGGGCCCCCCTTCCCATGGCCCTTTAAAGAGCCTCGCCGCCCGCGAGGCTCACACCCTGCCCCAGCGCCCCCTCTAGTCCTCCCTCAGCTTGCCTGTCGCTCTCTAAACGCTCCTGGTGATCCCATCGCCTATCCGCTCCTTTGCGCGCCTCACGACTTCGCTTCTCCAGACACAAGCAACCTTTAGCAGCACCGTTAGCCCGTCTACCACACCGCTCGAACTCTCCGACATCATGAAGTACACCTCTGCCGTCCTGGCGGCAGCCGCCGCCACTGTCAACGCCGACATGACCGCCTTCAACGAGGGCGGCAACTGGTTTGCTGGCCTGGCTGGTGTTTCCCAGATCAAGTACGGCGGCCTCGATATCCCTGGTGCCTACCGTGCCGTCAGCAAGATGACCGCCGACGGTGTCTGCGAGTTTGTCACCAAGCCATACTCTGGCTCCATTGCTCCCTTTGACGAGGATGTACGAAACCCCCAACTGTCACCACTCTTTGACCGAGGGAGAGGTCGAGACTGACATGTGTTGCTCTAGTTGTCCATGCACCTGCGTGGTCCTCTCAAGCTTGCCTCCGTTGCCGTGTACACGCCTGGCACCGGCAAGCGTGATGTGCCCAAGCCTCACACCAAGCGCCACCAGCACGGCCACGCCCACCTCCACAAGAAGTCCGCTGAGGAGAAGCGTGCAGACATGGTCACCGCCGTCATTGACGGTGTGACGGTCTCTTGGGAGAACAACTGGTTCGGCGCCGCCGCTGCCCCTACTGAGGCGCCTGCCGCCGCCCCCGCCGCCGCCGCCCCTGCTGCTGTCGATGCTGCTCCCCTTGCTGGTGCCCACAGCGCGCCCTCTGGCACTATCAGCAGCGCTGGCTCGACCGACAGCGTCCCCGTCGGCAACTTCAAGCGTGTTGGCTACTACAGCGCCAAGGACAACATCGCCGAAGGCCTGACCTTCCTCGCCAACAAGGGCGACCCCAAGGTTTCTGGCACCTGGGACACGTAAGTCAGCCATGCTCGATCGCGGCTTTAGACTCCGATTGCTAACATGGTTCCTATCATAGTGTCTGGGGCAGCAGTCTTGCGTATGTCTCCGCCGATGGCGAGTCCTGCTCCGCTGGTCCTACCGTCTTCAACGGTGACCTGTCCGACGGCAACGAGATTGCCATCTACTCTGACATTGAGTGCGACGAGTCTTGCGGCGCTGTCCGCCCTGGCTCTGTTGCCTACAGTACGTCTACATGGACCCATCCCACGAAGTATTGCTTTAGCAACGGTCGACTAACACCCAAACAGAGGCCTTTGCTGGTGCCGACAAGGCCTTCTTCTTCGAGTTCCAGATGCCCGACACCGGTGCCACTGGCTGGAACAAGAACATGCCCGCCATCTGGGCCCTCAACGGCGCCATTGCCCGTACCGGCCAGTACTCTTCTTGCAGCTGCTGGAAGGGTGACAACGCCAGCCCCATCGAGGGTGGCTGCGGTGAGGCCGACATCTTCGAGGTTCTTGCCTCTGGCGACAAGAAGGCCAAGTCGACCTTCCACTTCGCCAACGCCCTTGGCGACTCCCACTGGTTCGCCCGCCCCACCGACAAGACCATCAAGATCGCCGCCGTGTTCCAGTCCTCGACTTCCACGGCTACCATCAAGGTCCTCGACGACAGCTTCGACTTCAGCACCAGCCTCACTGGCGCTCAGATCGAGTCCATTGTCGCCGACGAGGCCGACACCAACCTGTTCAGCTTCATGTCCTTTGGCAAGAACTAGAAAGTCTGGCCACGGCCTGATGAGGAGCGGGAGCGCGGAGCAGGGAGGCAGCGTTATATACATATGAGGATGACAATACCCTATACATACCCCTTATATACCTCAAGAGGATGCCATCATAGGTCTGTTCTGCAGTGCTTTTTGGATTTATTCTACATCATTCTCTTCCATTCAACTACCCAGGAAGGCATGCCCCGGTTGGCTTGTGTGGTGCCACATTTGTGTGATGTCCCGCGGGAGGGGTTGTACATTTTATCTCAACCCTTTTCGCCATGCATGTGGTCATTATTAGCCATGTAATAGAGTGTTTTGCCTACCGCATGTTCGGGCTCGCGGTGTCCATTGTTTTTAAGGTGATGATTTGTGGATACATCAGAGTTGCCACTGCAACCATACAGCATTTCTGGCAGCCACGACGACCTCCCTCTGGTTAACGGGGTGCCCACGGCGGAGGTTCCATTCTCGCATCAAATCGTCGACACTGGCTCCTTGGCAAAACCCTCGTCTAAAACCAGCCCTAGGAGTGCGCGGAATCAATGTGTATATGTGGTACGTGGATCGATCTTACGGCGATATTCTCTTGCTTCCAACAGTGATTTGAGGGGGCTGAGGGGCCCTTCGCGGTGGAGCATTGGATGCGTGCGCTCTCTCCTCGGGACAAACATCACCTGGTGAGCGTACACCCACTCTCACCTCTACTACCATGGACCAAAAAATGAAGGGGTTGAATGGGACAGCTCTTCTACTGCTGTCTGCTGTCTGCTGTCTGCTGTCTGCTGTCTGCTGTCTGCTGTCTGCTGTCTGCTGTCTGCCGTTCTTGTTGCTGTTGCTGCAGAGATATAGAAACTCACCATGTATACGCGGTGAAGGTTGAATCCCCCGAGTAATTTAGCTCCTCACGAGATGTCGTCGGGACTGCACTCCTGCCTGTTGTTGGCACGTGTGTAACAGGTTACCCCGCGGTCTTGCTGGCTCAGAGGGGGGCCGCGCAGAGATGGTGGAGTTTGACCGTTGAGAGACCTGGCCCGGACCCCCTCAATCTTGAGATCAGGTCCCACAAGAGTGGGCATTGTTCTTGCCATCCACCTTCTTATACGTACATTGCGTGTTTGAGATGGGGCACCGGAGCGCAGTTAGAATTTGTACAACCCCTCCCCTTCGCGCTTGCGTATGTGTGTGTAATGTGCCTTGTCAGTGCTTGCCAAGCTGTTTCTCATGTGTTGGTTGCAAATGCCCCGGGGCATGCAATACTACAACAGAACGTACTTACCTCAGCGTACTGCAGCAGTATGTAATGTGCAGGCAGGTGACGACACAGTTGCAGACCGGCATGGTGCAGGGAGAGCTGGCCTTGGCTGCAGGACAAGCGAGCCCAAAGGCCGCGTGCTAAGTGCTTACAGGCACATTTATCAGCCAGCAACGAGGCTGCAGGGCTCGGGGTGCGAAGCTGACTGAGAGTGTGGGGAACGCGGGCAGTCTCCCGGTGTCCGAGCTGGCTTTGGGCTTGCCCAGCCCTGGAGGTGACTGGCGGGAGACTGGCTTAATTGGGGACTGGGCCCTGGGGAGTTAGTCAGCATCGCACCTGCCTGCCCCAGAGGGCTTGCAAGTTGCAACGCCAGGCCCTCGGTGTCCGACAGTCGACCCGCTAAACTTTCTCGAGCGGCTGGCCAAAGGCGGGGCCTCGTTTTCTTTAGCTGGTGATTGGCCAATCGTCCAAGCTGCGCCTGCCACAGCTTCGTGACGAGAACAGTACGGCATGCGAACAACCTTCCGGCCGGTTGACAAACCTTGGAGCCGCAGGGACTTGCTGCCCAGGCGAGGTCCAGCTGCGACTGGGACAGAGTCCATGATGGAGTCAAACTATAAGAAGTCCGTGGGCGCCACCCTGTTCCTGGAGTTTCGGACCATCACCACCGCAATCACACTCGCACTCACATTCACACTCATCGCTCCTGCTCTCGTAGCACCACCAACTCTGTTATCCAGAACATAACCTTTCAAACATACCCAACAGCCTCAACAACTACTTCGCCTAACTTATCCACAATGGCCTCCAAGAAGATCCTCACCATCTTTGGCGCCACTGGTGCCCAGGGCGGCGGCATCATCTCGACCTTCCTCCACGATGCCAAGCTCAAGAACGAGTGGGCCCTCCGCGGCGTCACCAGAGATGTCTCCAAGGACTCTGCCAAGAAGCTCGCCAGCCAGGGTGTCGAAGTCGTCGCTGTAAGTCGGACCCTGAATGCCTTCCTTTATTATCATCCATTCTGCCTTTGAAGGGCAGTCTCAGTTGCAGTAGCCATCCAGCGCTAACATTAGCCTCTTGCGAACTCTATTTCAGGCGGATCTCAACGACAAGGCCTCCCTCGTCAAGGCCATGAAAGACTCGTACGCCGTCTTCGCCGTCACAAACTACTGGGAAAAGGCCGACGCCGATCTTGAGATCAAGCAGGGCAAGGATCTCGCTGATGCCGCCAAGGAGACGGGCGTCCAGCACTACATCTGGAGCACTCTATACAACGTCTCAGAGCGTAAGCAAACCCCGTCACAGCGAGCTTCTAGGTAGCGAGTCACTAACTCTTGGCAGGCTCCAATGGCAAGCTCCCCCACGTCTACCACTTTGACACCAAGGCCAAGGTTGCCGACTATGTCAGGCAGCTCGGGATCCCCGCCACCTTCTTCATGCCTGGCTTCTACGTGTCCAACATCCCCGGCGGCATGTTCCGCCAAGCGCCACCGGACAACAACTGGAGGTTCGCCCTCCCCGTCAAGGGCGACTCTCAGATCCCCTACTACGCGCCCAAGGAGGACACGGGCAAGTATATCAAGGCCATTGTGAACAACCGCGACAAGCTCCTCGGCAAGAACTTCCTCGCCGCCACGGCTTACACGACGCCCTTCGAGATGGTCGAGACCTTTAAGAAGCTCTTCCCCGAGGCCGGTGCCACCGCGCAGTACGTCGAGCTTCCCGGAGACGTGTACAAGGGTCTCATCAAGCAGAACATGTCGGCGCCCGACTTCATCGCGGAGGAGCTGTACGAGAACATGCGCCTCCTCGAGGAGTTTGGATACTACTTTGGCGAGGACCTCAAGCCGTCCCTCGACCTCGTCGATGAGCCCCTTACGACGTGGGAGGAGTATGCCAAGAAGGCGCCGGCTTTCAAGGATCTGAAGTAGCTGGCTGGTACAAAGGAGCACCTATAATGAATAAGCATGGAGACGAAGAAATCCGGCATGGATATGTACAGATAATGACTATAGAATTACTTTGAGCACATTCACTTTCAAGACAGTTGGCATGAAAGATAAAAAGCCCTTGTGCATTTGGTGTTAACTTGATTCACGCTGTTTTACATGCATCGTTCCCTCAAGAGTAAGAGCGCTTGCTCGATCTGCTTGGGGATCAGAAAGTCCTCGACCAGTCAAATGCAATCCCATCCGCTCCATAAGCGCAAAATGAACCTGTTCCCTGCTCAGCCCAGCTCATGAGATCGATTGGGGTCTTACAGGACCGACGATCTGCATATCTGCGTGTTCGTGCCTCCTTTTCTTCCATTCCAATTAGAGATTGGGGCACCCATGATCTTAGCTACCTACTTTAGTCTCGTATAACCTCGGATCGCCTCGCTTCAATGCCAGTTCTGATCATCTGCACAGCCTCACGCAAGAACACTGTTGGATAATTTCTTTTGCTCCTTGGGGCATTAAACATTATTAGTGCTATTTTCGGTCTGGGATTTCTTGGGCCTCTTGAACCCCCTCCATTCCTCCCCCCCCCCCCCCCCCCGTTACTTCAGGTGTCTAAAACACGCCTATGACATGTGCTGCATTATCTCCCTGCGGGAAAGTAACCACCCCGTAGCCATCCTGCGGGTGTACCTCATGATTATATTATTTGGTGTGCTTGGTTGTGTGTGCCGCGTCATGCTTTCCGTCCACGTGAAGACCGAATGAAGTGTACGGTGAGATGGGGGCCTGGTGAACTCGAGACTTCAAATGCCCACTCATGAGAGTACCACTGAGATCTGATCTTTCTTTTTCCCATTGGGGAACACGTAAGAACGGGTAGAAGAAAAAGGTCCTCGAAACTCCCCGGTCCTTAGCGTTTCGGTGTGCCAGAAACCTCTCCCCCTCAAGAGTCAGCATCGGCTGGCTCGCCATTGACCATGATGTTGCCGGGCACAGCGGAGATGGCGTCGACAGCGGCGACGGGAGCGCCATGGGCAGGGGCAGAGACAGCTGCAGCGGCATAGGTGAGTTTCTGACCATGAGCGTCACTGCTGCTGTTGGTGCCGGTGCCGTTGAGAGCTGAGTATCGACTTGCCTCGACATTGTCTGCGGTAGCGGCAGCTGTAGTAGTACCAGCAGCAGCAGCAGTAGTGTCGCCTTGGCTGGCCTCGTCCTGGCTGTCTGCTTTGTCGACAGGCGTGGCAGAGACGCAGGCGGTTCTGATGCTGGCGTTGGCATGGACACTTGGAGCGGGGCTGTGGGTGGTCAGCGGCGTGTCGCGACCCGATGACAATCCCGATCCGGGACGCAGCGACGATGATGTGGACGTCTTGCCATAGTTATCGAACAGTCCCGGCTCGAAGCCAGCCTCCGAGGAAGAGCAGTCGCTTGCGGCATCATCAGAGTCGGCAACCACGCGGAGGCCACTGTCGAGGCTCTCGTCATCCACAATGACGGTGTCGTTGGTGGTAAGATCATGGGCGGAAGAGCCGTCGGCAAGGTCAAAGTGGCTGATCACGCTGCTGACAGAACCGCTGCGGTCTCCTCGGCGCCGGCGCCGGCGCAGACTCTGATGCCCTTGGTGCTCACAATCATCGCATTGGCCGTCGGCATGGCCGCTGGCGATATTGCCACGTGAGAAGACCTGGAAGAACCGCAGCGAGCAGATGTCGTCCCAGTGCTTGTCGAACCAAGCCAGCACCAGGACGGGCACGATGACGAGCGCGATGCAGAAGTAGCCCACGGCATGGGCGAAGATGCGTAGCGAGGTCAGCGCGACGGCGTGTGCGGTGCTGCGAACGCGCGGAGGGGAGAGACCAGGCAGTGTGAGTACGATCGTGATCAGCACTGAAACTAGCACGGTGATAATGAACACCGTTGCAAGTGAGGACATGCCAGTGGCGCCCAGAGAGGCCGCGGGGCGGTCGTTGTTGTCGTCTGCCATCATGACGCTCATTGTTGCTGATGGCGTAAGCTTTGTGCGATATCCCTGTGACGCAGGTCCGCTCCAGGAGTGGTTTCTATGCAATTCGTGTTAGTGCGAGACACGAGATAATGAACAGAACTTCTGAGAGGGCATACTCAGAGGTCGGGCAAAGCGGTCGAGATTTTAGTAAGTGGTCAAGGTGCTGAGCTGGTCGTGAGGAATGATGCCTCGCCGGTTGTGTGGCTCAACGCAAGTGTTGAAGAACAAAAGGGCGGATGGTGACAGGAGGATCAAAATGGCTTGTGGGTGCTCGACCGAGCAAATCGCCTTGGTTGCCGTGGTTATTATAACGGCGCCTTGCTGCACAATTGGCTTTGCCAAAAGGCACAGGGTGGCCGCATGCCATCAAGACAAAGGAGACTGACTCCTGCATGGTGAATCCATTCAGCGAACAAGCCAGGCTGCAGATATGGGTTGACAGAGCCGGTATCCATACCAGGGACGCTGATACGGCCATTCTCTGGCACTTGAAACCAGAGGCCACTTATACTTGATTTGTCCCAGTGAATCCGTGGCGATACGGCTGCGCAGCGGTCTGCGCGCGAGGAACCGTTATTAGAAGTACAGGCCTGTCCTTTCCAACAAGCCGAGTTGATGCCCAAAACTGTGCCCCACCTGCCATGGAGTGCGATATCTTTCGACGAATTGAACCATCCGAAACCAGTTTCTCGCAGATTGCCAGGCAATGCCAAACATCTCGCCCAAACACACCAGCCTCCTCAGCACGAAAGGCAATCAGAAACACGCAAGCCCTTATGACACCGAAACTCGGCTGTCTCGCGGTTGCTTTGTTGTCTCGATCTGTTTGTAGCAATTGATGACAACACAATGATTGGTCTGTGGAATGGCTCGAGCCCATGGAAAGGTTTTCTGGTCATGGCTCGTCAACTTATCTCTCACCCACATGCCCTTCTACGTGGCTTATGAAAGCCGCGAGCCTCTATTTGGCCATGATAGACAGTCGCTCGTAGAGTTGGAGAAACAAACCTGCATAGCTGTTCACGAATGCCTTTGAAATGAGACTCAAGAATTCAGAACTCCTGATTTTTGTCACGCTTCTGATATTGGAAATTGCCAGAAACTTTTCGACTTCAATTGCACTTGGTCACGGCATGCTAGTCTTCCGCCCTTAATCGATCTCTGTGGACCGCTCCTTCCTGAAGTGATCCGCAACAAGGAAAGCAAGTTCGAGCGCCTGCTTCTCGTTCAGGCGTGGGTCACAAAAGCTCGTGTAGTTGGTTGACAAGTCGTCCTCCTCGAGACCCTCACTCCCGCCCAAGCACTCCGTAACAGCATCGCCAGTCAGCTCCAGATGCACGCCACCAAGGTAGCTGCCTTCCTCCTGGTGGATGGCGAGCGTCTGCTGCAGCTCCGAGAAGATGTCGTTGAAGCGCCGAGTCTTGATGCCGCTGCCAGTAGAACGGGTGTTGCCGTGCATCGGATCGCACTGCCAGATGACGCAGCGTTTGTACTCGCTCCCCTCCACGGCACGAATGTGTCCGGGGAGGAGCTCACGGACCTTGGACGCTCCGTAGCGGGTGATGAGCGTGATCTTGCCGGGCTCGCAATCCGGGTTCAGGGTCCGGAGAAGCTCCAGGAGATCCGAGGATGGGGTCGTGGGGCCGACCTTGATCCCGATGGGGTTGGCAATCCCGCGGAAGAACTCGACGTGAGCGCCATCGATCTGCCGCGTGCGGTCTCCAATCCAGATGAAGTGGGCCGAGGTGTCGTAGTACTGTTGTGTGCTCGCCGACGTACCATTTGTGGTTCCTGTCTTGCCAATGTGTGGCTTTTGCCCGGGATCCTCCATGAGTCTGGTCAAGCTCTCCTCGTATTCGAGCAAAAGCCCCTCGTGGCTCGTGAAGAGGTCGACGGTGGCAAGCTCAGAGTATTTATCGGCACCAATGGTATGCATGAAACGGAGCATGTCCCGGAGGAAATCCACTGCCTTGGTGTACTTGGCCTTGAGCTCCGGGTCCTTGACATGGCCGAGACTCCAGTTGAGCGGCCCATGGAGATCGGCAATGCCAGCCGACAGCGAGGCTCTGATGAAGTTGAGGGTGGCGGCGGAGTGGTTGTATGCCCTGCACAATATGTCAGTAGCTGGCAGCCACTCTCTTTCCGTTTTGTTCGCTTTGGAACCGACTCACTTGACCAGTCTCTGAGGATCGAGCTGTCTGTCCTCGAGGTTGAAGCCATTGAGGATGTCGCCCCGGAAGGAGGGAACCTCTTTGCCATCCACAATCTCTGTAGGACTGGACCTGGGCTTGGCATACTGGCCGGCCATACGGCCAATGCGGACGACTCTCTTGTTGGCGCCCCAGATGAGGACCAAGCTCATCTGCAGGAGCAGCTTGATCTTGGCCTCGATGCGGTCCTGACGGCAGTAGTCGAAGAGCTCGGCGCAGTCGCCGCCCTGGAGGAGGAAGGCATCGCCGCGGGCGACATCACGGAGGTTCTGCTTGAGACGGTTGATCTCGCGCGGGTGGACAATGGGCGGCAGCACGTTCAGCTCGGCCGTGGCCCGCCGGAGGGCCGCCTCGTCCGGGTACTCTGGGCACTGCTTTATCGGCTTAGACCGCCACGAGCTGGGCGACCAGCCGGACCCGGACCCGGCGGCGGTGGCAGTGGATCCCGCGCTTGCCATGCTTGTGCTCCCGCGACGGCAGCCAGAACGGATCGTAGAATGATTGGCGGCGAGGCGAGAGAGCCCGAGAGCCTGGGGGTGATCTGGCGTGGAGACAGTAGAGACCCTGCGTGTAAGAGTTTATCCTGAGCGGCGCGGGTGGCTGCGGCGAGGTCTGGTTGAGCGGATCGTGGACTGGACGGGCTAGAAAAAGCCCCAGGGTCGAGTACTGAGTTGCAATAGCGGATATATGTGACCTGGTACCTGGGGTGAGTCACAATGTCGTAGCCACAGAAACACCACGTTACAAGAATCAATTAGACTCAATCCTTCAATGTGTGATGTAAAATCAAACGAACTGTCCTCTGGTGTGCGGCCAGCTGCGGCCCATCCTGGGCGGCCCGAGGAACGTTACGAGTACTTGAAGTGGACCCCCGAGCCGCGCCTTTGTCGCCCACGTTTGCACCCAAAGTTGCGCCGTGCTCAAAGTACACTCCAGGTACTTTCCAGGATGGAGCAGGGACCCTCCTCGGGAGATGCAACCCCGCCAACCAATTCCGCTCGTTAGCTCGGAGCAAGGGTTTGGAGATGTGGGGAGCTACTACCATAGTACTACCATCGTAGTGACCTCACTCACTCCGCCTGCCTGTCTGCGGATGGACGTGTGAGCTTCACGCCCCCCAATTGTACCCATTTGACACTCCAAGCCACGTCAACGACCTTCACCATCATCACGATCCGAGAGACACTCCTCAGAACAAACAACAGAAAGACAGCAGCAACCATCATGGCCGAGCCACAGCCTCCCAAGGTCAAAGAAGGCGCCACGGGCGGCGACATCGAGGATGAGGTCCAGGACACCACGGCCAAGTCGGCCGAGGACCGCAAGGCCGCCGCCGCGCTGGCCAGCATGGACGCCCGCGCCGACGACGCCGGCAGCGGCTCCAACGGGGCCGTCGACCAGGAGGCCGCCAGCAAGGCGATGAAGAGCCTCGGCGGAGGGTCCGCGGCCAAGCCGGCCGCCGCGCAGGAGGTCAAGAAGGTCAAGGTTGATGCTGCAGATGTTGCGCTGCTGGTATGTGTTGTGTCCTAGGAGCTTTTTTTTTTTTTTTTTTTTTTTTTCAAAGCCTGGTGTTTCTTCACCTTTCTCGAGGCACGAGACAGAACCAATGGAGGTATCTTTATCTAGTGCTCGCTGGCTAACATAAATTTGCAACCACTCGGATCAATAGGTTGACGAGCTCGACCTCACAAAACCCAAAGCCACGGCCCTGCTCAAGGCTAACGACGGGAACGCGGTCAAAGCCATGAAGGCGCACATTGGCGTATGACGATCACACCTCCAGCCCTTATAAAAAGAACGCCCACCGTGGTGGTTGCTTCAGAAAAGCGCACCGCGATTTCAACAAAGGATCGACTTCGGACATCTATGGAACCCAATATAGCTAGTTGCCTGTCACGATCCGGTGCCGTGTGCTCAAGGCCATGACGAAAAACACACCACAGAAAGAAGGAAGGAGATGCCGGGTTTTCGATGGTGGTTGGGATTCTACAAGCTAAATAGTAGTAGTGCTGGGGTCACAGACACTGGGTGAAGCTGTCTCAGTCGTGTAGGAAGGCGCGTCGTTTGTCCTTTACGGGTAATTCGACTGAACTCCGGCGATCAATTACCCACTTCATGGAAGAAATGATTCACGCCAGTCAATCAATCGTTCCAACCTCGGAATCCTGGATCGTCGTGGCGCACAGAGAGCACAGACACAGCTCCCCTGGCCTTGCGAGATTAAGAATGTATAGTTTAGAACATAGGTAGACGGCCAGCTACCATGCTGGTGAATTTGGTTAACGACATTCACGAACGTAGCTCGCCATCAAGTAGCCTGACGTTAGACCGTCTTGCCATAATAAGCCAACATCGAGAAAACAAAGAGCATGTTGGATGAAATGTTTGTATTGCCACCTAAACAGTGATGCTCCCGGCTATGCCGAGCCAGTGTATGCCTCTATGCCGTACGCCAAAAGCCGCAAAACAGCGGCTTGGAGAAGATAGTATTTTTTGTCGTCGCCAACGCCTCATATTCGAGTAAAATGCCACAATGCATCGTAAATGGGAGCGCGTACGGTTCCGTAGGCTTGAAGTCAAGTCAGGTAGTATATGTCGTGTTCGATGGGGGAATTAAAAGCATGAAATCCATTACCAACGCCCAATCATGTCATATCGTGTTCTCGTTTTTCCACGCAGCTGCCGGCCCTCTCGTGTACGTCCAGTGGGGGGAGGACAAACATGTGGCGCCATGTACTTTGTAGAGCCGTCCTACTCGGCCTGACTCGCTTGTGGGCACCTTTTTGTCCTTTGCGATTTGACATCATGCGAGAATGCTTCTGTTGCCTCCACAACGTCGATATGCCTGCGCCTCGGAAGAACTACCTGTTGGAGATTTGTCATGACTGTCGTCGTGTACTCCAGTCCTGTGTTTTTGTCCTCGCATAGACAGGTCTTGTGCCCTCTTGGGTCGAGAGCCTCTCAATGTTGGCCTCAGTGAGCGAGTCCCCTTCAGGAAGGACATTGGGCGAAGCTGAAGTGGACATCTCTCCACTGCTGGCAGCGCCAAGCAATTTATCGTCTCGCAGCTGCATGGCCAACTCATTTGGATCCAGCTGACGTGTCGCTTGAGTCAGCCCGAACGGAAATCCCGTCATCTCGTGAGTACCAGGTCTCGGGACAAAAGGCTTAGGGGTTGGTAAGCCCTGCCGTTCGTCTATCTCCGCATGAAATGTATTGCCGCTCAACGGATGCAGGTCTTCATGTGTCTCAGCCGGCGAGTGAAATCCGGTCCGTGGGATGTCTGTGCTTAAGCAGTGATCGGTCGATTCGGAACAATCCGAGTGGGATTGCGAGCGCGAGAGGATCGGCAGTGCTCGTCGTTTCGTCTTGCTCCACCTTATGAGCATCTGCTCTAGAGTCTGACTCTTCACTGGTTTCGCGAGGTAATCGTCCATGCCAGCTTTAGTGCATTTCTCCTTGTCACCCTGTATGGCTGACGCTGTCATGGCGACAATCGGGACGTCTTGCGCGTAGGCTTTGTAAGGCAGGTGATGTCTGAGGATGTGCGTGCAGCGGTAGCCATCAATTACAGGCATCTGCACATCCATTAGGATGATGTCAGGCTTCACCAGGGTGCCCTGCTGACAAGCCTCCAGGTACTCGAGCGCTTCTTTGCCATTCCACGCGGCAGAAACTTTGAATCCGAGCTTCTCAATAGTTTTCGTGGCGATCTGCTGATTGATTGCACTAGAAGGGAGGTTAGCACCGCGGACCGGCGCGAGGTGTCGCGTGCAAGAGATATTACTCACTTATCCTCTACCACGAGAACTTGGATCTTGGCTCGTTCTGACCTGGGGAGATCTTCAGCCCTGACGCCGAGTGGTGAAACCGGCATCAGTCCTTTGTACGATCGGGCAATAGCCCCGTTGCCGTACGGACCGTCAACGGCAGGATTGCCGCCGTGGTCGTGGTCAGAGCTGTTGCATGAGACGCTCATCTCTGAATGCAGACGATCAGGCAACGGACCTATCTCCACGAGAGACGCGTTCTGCGGGCTGGTTGATTTGGTGAATGGAATCCAAAAGGTGGCAGTGGTTCCATTGCCAGGGGACGATTGAAGCTGCATGCGCCCCCGCATCAAGTCCAGCAGATTCTTTGAGATTGTGAGGCCAAGTCCCGTGCCGCCAAACTTTCGTGCCGTGGAAGGGTCGCCTTGGCTGAACGGCTGAAACAACCTCTTCTGCACGTCATCATCGATACCGATGCCTGTATCTTCGACGACGAACTTGATTTCGATCGTGTCCCCGTATTCCCTCTCCTTCAGCACGGAAAAGCTGACATGACCGTGATTGGTGAACTTGATGCTGTTTGTCAACAGATTGGTGATGATCTGCCGAACACGGCCTGGGTCCCCCAGAACGACCAGACCGTCGGCGATGTCCTGCGATATGTCCGACCGAAAATCTAGGTGTTTGCGCTCCGCAGCGAAGCTCAGCATCTTTGATACGTCCTGCACAACTACTGATAGTGAGAACTGAACTTCCTCAATGTCGAGGTGACCTGACTCCACTTTCGAGAAGTCGAGGATATCGTTGATGACGGTAAGAAGTGCATTCGCGGAGCGACCGATGTTCATGGCGTACTCCTTTTGCTCATCTCCGAGCGGCAGATCCAGTAAAAGTTCGGCCATCCCAATAACACCGGTGATGGGCGTGCGGATCTCGTGTGACATCTACATATATATGGGAGGTCAGTCCAAGATCGCGCGAGCGTGAAGCCCTGGCTGGTCCACTCACGTTTGCGAGGAATTGGCTCTTCAACCGACTAGCCTCTTTCGCAGCTGCCTCGTTGGCAAGCAGCTGCCTTTTTTCCCTCGCCTGAATCTTCAGGTCGTGTTCCCTCGTCTTGAGTTCCGTGACGTCTGTGATGACGGCGATGACACCATCGAATTTCTTTGATGTGGAGGAATCACTAAATTCGTCGCTCTGGGGATTATGATCTTGGAAAGGTAGAAACCTGGTCCGGTAGAAGCGGTTCCCTGTAAAAAAACATCCTTGTTAGGGGCTAGCTTCGCCAGGACGAACTCTTCCTCTATCGCACTCACCTAAACCATGCTCATGAACGATGTCGCGAGCTTGGCGGTCAGCGAGAATGTCATGTAGACCGCTAAGGAACTCTTTCGCCTCGCCTTCTTTTGTGTCAGGGTTGATCTCCACAAAGACCTCGTCAACCTTGCGGCCGATGCATTTCCTAGAATCAAAGCGAGAAGCGTGCCCCTTCTGCCGATTCCACACCATGGCTCCCTCCAGCATCGTCAGTCGACTTTGCCGGTCTACAGTGAATATAGTCGTCTGGGCATGGCTGAGAACTGTTTTGAGACGCGAGTTTGTCTGTTCGGCGACGAGCTGAGCTTCAAGTGTCTCGTGGATATCCGTACAGGTTCCGAACCACTTTGTGATTTCTCCCGTCTGCTTGTTCCGCAGGGGAAGAGCACGCCCAAGCATCCAGCGCCATTCGCCGTCTTTGCTGAGGCACCGATATTCAGTCACGTATGGATCACCGGTGGCCAGACTGTGCTGCCACCGTGCCGCTGTTGCTGCCATGTCATCGGGGTGGAATGGGTTCTTCCATCCCAGACCAAGCGATTCGTCTGGAGTCAAACCCGTGTACTCGTACCACCTGTTGTTGAAGTAGTCGTGCATGCCGTCAGGTGTTGTTGTCCAAATCATTTGCGGCATGCTGTCACAAATAACCTGGAACCGCTCCTCGTCCGCCTCCTTAATCTGCGTTATTTCATTGGTCAAAGGCGTAACATCACGGCAGGTCACAACTCCCGCCACGACTTCACCCGTCTCATCGTCTGTTATGATTTCACCGAGCATGTCGTAGATGATTTTGCTATCGGTCCTCCGGTTGATCATGCCGACTCGCATTCCGGAGAACGGCGTTTGCTCACGGAGAAGGACATTGATTGGAAATTCGTCCGCAGTGAGCATTCGGCTGAAGTCCTCGGTCCAGACGTCCCAATGAGCAAGCAAGTCGAGCCCATCAGTACTGGCAGTGGCCCTGCTGTCTTTGATCAGTTCTCGGGCCGCTCTGTTCAGCACTGGGGCAGTGCCGTCTTTCCACATCGCCAGGATTGGCATCTCGGTGTTGTCCAACAAAGCGTCCTTGATGACAGTGAGTTTGAGCAGGGCTGATGGGGTTGAGGAATGCGACAAGCGAGGTGGAGGGCCCATCGGTGGGAATGGTGCGGCGGAAACTGCCACTGTGCTGGGACTGATCCGGAATGAAGTCGAGTTCGAGCCATGACTTTGACTGGAATTGGTTGACGGGGGGTTTGAACTTGTGATCGACCTGCGCTCCGCAGCTTCCAGGGACGAGGGCCGCGCAACAGAAATCTTGGGCCCTGCAGAAAGCGGTGGCGGTGAGTCGGTATTAGTAAAGGTCAAGGTGTAATAAGTCTGGTGACCTTCCAGTTCCCATATTGTGATGAGCATCTTCGCGCTCGTGTGCTTCGCTGCCTTTGACCTCGCATCACTGGTTGGGTTGAAGCCGGCTGACAAAACAACCACGTCAACGGCGGAGCTTTGGCTTTTCGCTCCAGTCTCTTTCGTGGGCGAACGTGGAAAGTACGCGTTGGCTTCCGAAGGCGTCGGGGTGCTTTCGCTCACAGATGTGGCGGCGGAATCAGCAGCCTCGACCTGCGACACTTCTTGCTCGGCAGTCAATTCGTCAAAGAAAGCATCCCAAGATATCCACACGGGCTTCCCCTCGTCGACCAAATCTACGCCGACCTGTGAAAGAGTCTGGCCACGAAGCCTGTCAACTACGGCCGACGGGTCGTCCAGACCAGCTGACAAGTCATCCAACATGCCGAGCAAGCGGCCCATAGCACTGTTGGCCATGACCACGGTTTTGAGATTGTCCAGGACCAGTATGGGCACCGGCAGGAACTGCAATGTGGAGAACGCCAGTTGACCGGGAGTGATCATGGGCAGCGAGAGGCGAAACGGGCTGGCAGAACCTGACCTCGAGAGCTTGAGGGGTGCGCCGCGATCAGCGCCCTCTTTGGAGCCGAAGAAGTGATCATCTTGCGTATTGGGCGATGATGGTGATAAGTCGGTGGACGAGTCGGACGGAGGCGTTAAATTGTCGGCGCTCGGGATTGATATGGTGCCCTTGGCAGAGGCCTGAATCCTGGAGGTGGGAGTGATGCCATCCTGGCTGTGGTGGTTGATGATGGGCGAGCCCGAGGGCGGCCGAGTCTGCCGGGGTCCTTGCGAGGCACCGTCGCCGGTCGAAGTCTTCATGTTGACTTAAGACCGGAAGCGACCACGTCCGGAGAGCGAGGATGGCAATGTGCCGCAAACCATCTATGTCCTGGCCAGTGAGAACGCCATCGACAACGCGGCCGGACGACGGGGGATGGTGGTTCGCGATGTTCTGGCAGTTTCGAACCAGTCACGGTTGCAACGGGTTCTGGGGGGGCGGTAGACCAGCGCATGAGGCTGGGAAGGATCAACTATGGTAGGCGGAGGAGAGAGTGTGTGGGCAGAGCGCCGGCCCTGTCGACAAGCTGCACAAGGTTTTGCTAGTCGATGATCTGTATCTCCATTCGGGGTATGTGGAACAGCTGCTGCGGCGAGGGGCGGTCTCGAACGCTGGAGGCGCGGCGCTGCGGGCACATGTGCGCAGTGGAGGCCAGGGGGAGACGCTGTCTGTGCTGTCTGTGTTCCCGGTGCCAGTCTGTGATGGGATTGTCGGACTGTGCTGTGCCTGCTGGTGGGGAATGTCTCTTCTAGGCCGTGACGAGTCGAGCACCTCCACCCACAGACGAGTGCAATTGGGTTGGGCTGCAGGGTCTGGCCAGAGCTGCTAGAGCCACTCGATCGTGATCGGATCGGCGCCGCCTGAGAGGCTCGCTGCCAAGGAAAGGGCTCGGACACAGCGGGCCGTTGTCAGCCCCCGGGCCTCTTCTAATGCTGGGCTCTACTGCTGAGTGCTGGAACGGCAGGTCCTGTAGAATGAAAATTGCCCTGGGAGCAAAGACATGCCAATTGGGAGGGCGTCAGATGGACAAGCTACCGTGAAGAACTACAATCTTCTCATAGCACTGCGCATTCCGATCGTTTTCCGTTGTTCACTGGTCACTGTGTACGCTGACGGCGCAAAAGGCTCCAGGCCTGCTGTAATAGAGGGGCCATCTCAACCAAGTCGGAAGGAGTTTGGGTGGTCCCTGGATCAGTTGCTGGACCAGACGTACGATGAGGATTGAGTTCACAAGGGGGTGAGGGTGCAAGAACCAGGGACTATGGGGTTCCTCCCATCGAAGGGGCGATGCCTGGCAGGGGCAGGGGCAGGGGCAGGGGGTCCCAGTCGCGGCGTGCCTCAAACAAGCATGGCCGCCCACGTCTTTTCCCTTTGTGTGTCGACAATCGGCACAGCAACAAACACGAAGCAAAACCTGAGAGACCAGAGGACACCGGTCTTTCCACAAATGCAGGTCTGCGTGCTTGCTCGCTCATCGTGCTGACCGGTAGACAAGCTTAAGCGTAAGTGATTAGGGGTTGGAGCTGGCCAACAAGTCCACAATTCACAAAGCCCATGCCTCCCAAGCTCCAAGGCTCGGCCTCTCCTATCCACGGTCGATGCAGATCTGCGGATTCCAGGGTCCGTTCGTGTCTCGCAGCGGTCCATCAGCACCCGACCAAATAATCATCATAATTGCGAAGAAGCGGGCCCTGTCCGCACTGGACATTCTTTCAACCACAGCGCCCGAGCACCCAGTACACGGCCGATACTAACGGCGAAGCCCTCATCATTGCACATGGAGTCTTGAGACACAACAATTCATCGTCGTTGCATGCTGCACCTCCGGAGAAGACGCCGATTGTGCCTGGTGTGTTTGGCCCACGTCCCGTATCGAGCGCACAGGGGGGGCGTTCATCAGCGCGTCAGAGTGATCATCTTGCGCCGATCTCTGGACCCCGGAGGTTCGACCGAGACCGCTGAACAGGTGTGTGTGCCCAGGAACAGGGGAAAGACGCGCTCACCTTCACGCTCATGAACCCTTAGTGTCTTGTGGACATTTCGCTGCATTGGAAGAACGACCTTCTGGCTGTGCACAGCGACGAGAAATGACTATTCTCTCAGTGGCCTACATCATGGTTTGTCCCGTCCGCGATCAATGGGACCCAATGCTCGAGTTGCGCGGCATGACGACTGCTCAGTAATCGCCGCTTTCGCCATCCAAACACAATCCTGACCGTCAACAGCCAGGGCTATTTCAGAATGCTGGTGGTTGCGAATCGGGGAATTTCGACCTGCATACCTTGCTCTGTCAACCTAGCACCCACAACTCAAATGACGTACATGGCGGTCACCTCTCTGCCTGACAGCAAGCCACAAAGCTGCTTTCTGGGATACCCGCCCCGTCCTGGCCTCGTGATCCGGCGCGCGGGATCGAAATGTTTCGGCACATTCAACCACTTCGCTCCTTCGGTTGAGCTCCGGCGACTACGCCCACAAACGTCCACGCAGGTGTGGCCCTGCGGTCATTGAGTCTGAAGGTTGGGCCTTCACGATCTCGATGCGAGGTCCTTAGGGTGCAAAGGCCCATGCTAAAGGTCCGCGCACGACGGGCTCAAGGGCTCGACAGGGCATGATTGGAAGAGGCAGTGTGTCTCCCACGTGCGTGGGCGCCACCAGGCACCCCAGCAGCGACGATGGTCTCGGCCACAGCAGGGCCAGCAGCAAGCCTCAGTGGAGCCATGGGCCAAGCACTAGGCCGACAAGAGACAATGGCTTAACTCTGTCGGCGGGACGGGGGAACCATCGGCGGCGAGATGGTTAATAATGACGTTGCAGGCGCCCGCCACGAAAGTCGGCTTCGGACACAGTTCCACAGCCGCAATGCGCAAGCTGTCAGACTGTTTGCACCGGCAGGCAGAAAGCCAAATCGCGAATAGCCCCGACCCCCAGGTTCCCGGATCTTCACATGAAATCACCTCGTCCGCAGAATGCGATCATGAGTTCATCCAGGTCCGACGCCAGGGAGCGTGGGCCATGGTGGGGTCTAGAACATCTCAACACCAAATTCGGGCATGGGCGCGTGCCGTGCCATGCTCGACGGCTGTTTCCGTTCTTCTTCGGGACAAGGCTTGCATTTCACAGGCCCTGGAATTCGCTGGCTAGCCAAAAGCCAGCGAATGGTCTCGGACCGAGTTGCATCATCGTCCTCGTCGTCGTTATCCTCAACGAGTAATTGTGATCGTGACTCGCACAGCAGCAAAGCCCTAGAAATGAGCGCCAACAACAACGACGGCATCATCGCGATCCTGCAGTTTCCTTGCGTGCACAGAAGCCCATGCGGGGGGGGGGGGGCAGTGGTGACGTCACAGGCTTCAGCCTCGTTGTCATTGCTGCTCTAGCCCCAACGAGGTGATTCCGAAGGAAGTCTAAACAAAATGACCAGGCCACCATCAATTGTGTTGTCCCAGCAGACATGAGGCATGAGGACTAATGCGAGCATTTTAATGTCAGAAGCCTATATTGTCAACTTTCTCGAATTATGCCGTAGAACTGCTTTGCGATTGCCACAAGCTGCCCGCTCGAGCTAAGCTAAGCCGAGCTGTCTTTCACCTTGCCGCACAAGTCGCAGCTCCACCATTGCCGCTCGCGCACACGCCCACAGAAGCTACACGTCCACGTTGCCGGCGAAGACTTCGGGTGTGGCGCAGAGGAAGCTTGTGTTGCATGGGTTACTCGGGCTGGCCCGCCGCCAATGGGTGTCGCCGACAACGTGGACGACAATGATTTGGTGGCAGCGTTGTCGTTCCTTCCGCGCCGGAGCACCCCTCCAGGGCTTGTCAGATCTATTATGGTTTCGGTGCGTTTGCGCTTGGCGTGATTGGAATTATCGGTTGCTGTAGTCGTTGCTGGCGCTGTCGTGCCGGCTGGGTCATCATCATCGTTTCGAGAGTTTGCTACACGACGTTCTGTGCCACATGCATCGCAGCAGAGATATATCGCTGGGTTTTCCAACGTGCACACTGCGCACGACCACTTGCTACTATTGCTCGCTGCCTTTTGGTCATTATTCGTGCCCGCTGCTGTGCGCGTCCCAGTCCGCGCACCTTCTCGCAGTGTGGAAGAGGATTGACGGGTCGGATGTGTTGCATCTCGTGACATCGACGTAGGGCTCTCGCCGTCCTGAGGTATGTAAGCTGTCGGGGGGACGTATGCATCTCCCAGCCGCGCCTTCTCGTCCTCCTGGACGAGCTCCCACAGTGCCTGCGCGATAGCGGCCTCGTTTGCAGCGTCTTCTTCGGCCTGGGTACGGAAGCCATTCCTCGTTGCCGTGTCGGCGATGGCCCGGATCTCGTCGGCAGACTGCTTGTCATTGGCGCAGCCCCGGGATATCCTATTATTCCGGCGGGCAGCGGCGTCCGCTATCGTGCTCCGTATGTCACGGTCTGGCCGTGCCGCCGAACCCCCAAGTCTCCGGCCACCATATCCTCCGCCGGCCGGATGCTGGCCATGCTGCTGCTGCTGGCGCCTTCTCTGCTCCGCCGAAGCCCTTGCTAGCCGCCTTGCCTCGTCCATGGGGAGCCTCGCGGAGCCTCCTAGACGATGACCCTGCGACAGGAAGCCCTCGCCCGTGTACCCCTTCATGGCGAGCGCCTCGTGCTCGTCACGGAGCTGGTCCCACAGGGCGTGGAATTTGCCATCGTGCGGGCCGTGCACATTGTGCGCGAGCTCGTGCAGCATGGTGTCGACGACCTGCTCCAGCGGGAGGAAGAGCGAGCGGTCGCTCGGGTACCGGAGGCGCAGGCATATCTTTTGGCCACGGTTGACATTGAGGCCTAGACGGTGGGTAACTTCTGTCAGTACGCAGGTAGCCAGCGATGGTCGGGGTATTGGACTGCTGTCTGCTGCTGCTGCTGCTGCTGCTGCTGCTGCTGCTTTTGGTATGAACCATATGAGAGACATCATCAGTGCGGATCCGCGCCCGCACTAGGGCCCCATCTTTTCTGGTCTTCCCTTTAAGCTGTAACAGACGGTACTCTCAAAGAAATAATATGCTTGACATACCTAGCAGATTCTCCTGGTTGGGGTAGAACTCGGTAAGCTGCCGGACGGTCCATCCGCGCGCCCGCATCAGGGGCTTGACGAGGGACGCAATCTTCTTGAGCGTGTGGAGCGCATCGCTGGCGCGCGGGAAGTCGGCGAGGTGGGAGTACGAGAGGATCAGGGGATCGACCTCTGGCATGGCAGATCAATTGCCTGTTTGTGGCGGCAATGGGGCTCTTGACAGTCGAGAACACGACCTGGGAATGGGCTTGTTGCAAGGGTGCGGGTTTTGCGCACTTGCATAAGATTCTGGGATGGGGATCTTTTGATTCCCAGGCAGTTGTGCCAATCTAGGCCAGGCGGGTGGTCGTAACTGGTGGGGGCCTCGGGAAGAGAGGGTCTGGGCCGTCCCGGGCGTGGTCTTTGGGACGGGTTGCCGAAGCGCTTGCGCGGATGTTTTGTTCCCGACAATGTGCCAAGCGATAGTGGCTCTTTGGCGATGCTGTCCTGCGGGCGTGTGAGAAGAATTGCGAGGAGTAATCGTGGAAGGTGAGGATGTCACGGGCGAGAGTAAAAAGAGCGAACGTTGGTGGTGAGATGCAAACGCAGCGCTGGTGGCGCTGTGGCAGCGGGTGTGGAACGCGCCAGAAGCGCTGCCTGGAGTTCTGTTAGCGCCACTGCTGGTGACAAATGCATTGTGGCCAAGGGGAGTCACGACCGCCTTATACACAGCTCAGCAGAGCCGGCCTTGATTTCTGCCTGACTTGGGCATCGGAAACCTCCGTGTACTCGCGGAAGAACTCACCTCACGAGTAACTATAATTTTAGAAATGAATTCGTGCGTCGTACCCTTTTAGCAAGTTGTCAACCAAGACCCAGACTCCGATGACAAAAACTTGCACACAGACAAGCTTTTACAAATTCAAGTCAAACGGAAAAGGATTCGAACAGTACCTTGTTTATATACTGGCGTATAGCGCCTCTTTCTCTTTAGCCATATTTCTGAAATTAAGTCTTAGGCGATATTGTTGTGCTGTAGGCAGCTGGTCGACAGCAATGCTCACACTTACACACTTGATGCTGCCAATTATGAACAACCAGTGTGACTTGAAACAAGCCATATTTACTTGGCAAATGTCACATTGATTCCGGTATGACGCCTTAATTCAAAGCTGGCCGCCACCCCTGCCGATTAACATATTCCACAACTCCCTCGTCGCGGAGAATATCCGCCCCCCGTCTCCCGGTGACCACACTCCTTTCGACATCCACGCCTCGTACATAGAAAGGATAATCGAGTCTGCCATCGCGACCGTCGTCTCGCTCATCCTGATGCCCATGCGTTTCTGCCTCCACTCCTTTGTCACGCGTCTCCTTCCTCACCCATTCCACTTTCTTGCCATTCTTTCCAGGACCCTCATGGCGGCCTCTATACCGTCTGGTGAACCCACAAGCCTCCCTGTCCAGCGACAAGTACCAGCGCCGCTGGTGCACACTGCCAATCGAATTCTGTGCGCCCGTGTAGGCGTTGGTGCGGCGCACGTCCTCATCCTCGAGCTCCCGCAGCTCCTTCTCGAGCGCGGATATTCCCTGGTGCTGATCCGCTTGTACGATAGGCGCGTCCACGTCTTCCTCGCCCTCGTCTTTGTCTTCCTGCTTCCCACTGTGTTTGCCATCTTCCTCTCCCTCCTCCTCTTCGTCCGAGCTGGTCATGATCGGAACTTTCTTGTCTTCCGAAGCTGTGGGCAGCCCTCTGCGGCGCCGTTTCCTTGGTGCCTTGCCCGCGCTTCTCCGGCTGCGCTGCCGGCCCGCGGCATCCTCGCTGCGCGTGAGCCTCAGGTTCAGAACGTAGTTCTCGGGAAGGCGGGTGCCGTGCAGCTGCAGGCGGATCTTGCGGTTCGCGAATGCTCTGTGGAGCTTTTCCTGTTCCGTCAGGACACGGCGGCGGCGGCTGGTCCTAGTGCCGCCTGCATGCTCATCGCCGCTGGCGGGTGAGCACTCCGAGGATGACGAGGAACGCTCAGAGTCCGGGTCAATGGCTGGCGCGTACTTGCTGCGGCGAGGCAGGATTGAGTATGTCCCGGTGTCCCAGATGAGGAGGGAGCCTGTGTGTACCGAGGCCGTCTCTATCAAGTGGTTCTATGCATGTACCTATGTGTGAGTTGGATTTGTGTTTCTAGACAGCGCTGATCAAGGGTTGTGACTCGATCGAGTAGGACTTACCCAGAGACAGTGTATCCGGGTCTCGGTGGCATTCCTGTTCAGCCGCACGCTATTCGGATCCCCAGGCAGACCGTACATGATTGCCCATGACGCACTGCTCGTCTCGTTTATCTGCAGCCTCAAGTCGTAGTGTGTGCCAGCCACGGGGTGGTCATGTTGGTGAATGATGAAGTGGCTGCCCTTGGCATTGCCAGAGTTGCTGTTGTACAGGTGCTGGTAGTTGGCGACTGGCAGATGGGGACTCTGGTCTGGATACGGCGACAACGTCGCCCGTTCAAGTATCCCGCTGAAGTATGCCAGGTGGTCTTCCACCTGGGCATTGCCTGCTTCAACATCTGCAGTGGCAGGTTGAGTTGGCCGTACCTGGACTCGTGTCGCAGATTCCTTCTCTGCTTGCTCTCTTCCTTTGTTGACCTGGTCTGCCGGTACTGTGTACTCGACCTGCCCTGGCAGGTCGATTGTCCACTCCAAATTCTTCTTCTTTATAAACGGATTTTCAATCAAATCTATTCCTAAAGTGCGCTTGCTCGCCATCTGCGAAACCTGGGTGGTGTAGGTGGTGTATGTGATGACGTAATCGAACACTTAGCTTGAAAGACCACACAGCATTGACTCCTGGGTTTCGCAAGTTGGCCAGGCACAAAAAGGCATGCCCGTATTAATAGAAAAGACTTCTGAAATGGCAAGTACGACTGACATGGAAGCAGGACAGGAGCTCCAACACCGCGTCGCGCGGTGTTGGGACCCGAGTTGAAGGTTCAAGGAAAAGTGGGACTGTGAAGCCACCACGAGCAGGGGTTCGGAAAAAGTACCGGCACCAGCAAAAAGAACCGGCGCAGCGACCGGCAAAAGTATAAGTTGAGAAGAGTGGGATTCGAACCCACGCAGGTTGCCCTACTGCGAATTATTGAACAGGTTTTTGACTCGGCTAAGAATAGTCGATTCTCCTGAACGCAGCGCCATAACCGCTCGGCCATCTTCCCAATGGACAACTGTATTTCTACAGTTGCCCGATTTTGTTGGGGGAGAGGACCGATAATCCCATATATATACGCTTGAAAAACTTCGGCAGAACAGTCTGTCTTGGAGATACGACTGTAAGTCAAGCTGGCGAGGCTGGGACTTCCCGTTGACAAACAACCACTCTCCAGGTCGATGTACTCGCGGTTATGGCGCTGCGTTCAGGAGAATCGACTATTCTTAGCCGAGTCAAAAACCTGTTCAATAATTCGCGCGGCACATAGAGCTTCGCTCTATGTGCTTCGCGCCAGTTATGTGAAGTGTGTAGCCCACAAATGGCAATGGACTTCATGATAAGACCTGTGACGTTGATGAAGCAAGTGTTCTGGCCTGATAATTAAATTCACTCAGTAAAGCGTAGCATATGGCTCAGACGGCGGCTCTATTGCTGCTGCATCATAATCTGAAACCTCTCCTACACTGACATCCTCATTCTCACGCCCTCAGACACTCCACTACCTCTGCGACCTCTGCTACCTCTGCTACCTCCCTCAAGCTCTTCAACCTCTCTCCACCACTCTGCACCTTTGAATGTCTCCGGTTGAGACCATGTGCCTGTTTCTGAAACCATCGAATCCCAAACATTTGGACCTTCAACAGACCGGCAGATATCCAGAGGGTCCCGACACCTGTGGGTCAGACGCTTGAAGAGGCACACGTAATCAGGTGCACGACTTCTCAAATCCAAATTGTTTCAAGTTCCACGAGCACGATGCGTAGAGTGCAAAGCATGATATCCACAGGGTAGACTTCGCCATGAGTTGCGCGCTCTCTGATGCGTATCCGCGCATAGACGTGTAGCGTACCTTATATAAGAGGCCGACTACACGAGGCAAGTGCGTCCCAGTCCTCCATGCACCCAGTATCCAATCTTCGCATACTCAGCGTCCGATTCGAAAACGAACTGGGATATTATCAAATTCAGTACCTAATAGCAGTCATTGTGCCGTGCGACAACGCCAGACCATCTCCCAATGGTGGCAGGAATGATATCCTGGAGAAAGATGTGCAAACCAAAAGAAGTTGGAAAGAAAAAAAAGAGAGAGAAACAAAGGAATTAAAAGGTTTCTGCCTCGTAAAGACCATTTGTACACGTCGGTGCAGGCCAGTTCATTTATGTGCATCGCCACCCACCAGCTTTTCCATCACGACGCAAGGCGCGAGCATGCCGTTGAGCCTCCCCGACAATGCCCAATCGCTGTCCACACCCGTATGCACACACGCACACATGCGCACCGCGCACGCGCGCGTAGGGGGCCGCTCACCACCTCACAATGTTATCGTGTTAGCCGTACCGCATGCCCTGCTGCTGCTGCTGACCCGGTGGCGGTCCTCCCCAGCCCGGTGGTGGTCCGCCTTGGTGATGCGGCTGATATTGCTGATTTTGTAACGGGACCTGGCCGCCTCCGCCTCGCATGTTCAGCACGTCGGGTCTGTTCTCGAGGGGCTGCGCAAAGTTGCACACGTTGCAGATGACGTCTTGGTAGCCCTTGAAGGAGAGCGGGAGGACAGGCTGTTGGGATCGAGAAAGGGAGCCTCAAGGTTAGCTTATCTGGGTTCCAAATTGACGACAGGACATGGGGAAACAGCAACCAAGAAACAAGGGGTCCGTTGAAGGGAGGAAACACGCACAATGAAGCAGAATGTGAACCACGGGTTGCTCTTGATGACGTGGTTGCGGCAGTTGTGGCACTGGCAGGTGACGCTCTCGTAGCCCTCGACCTGCTTGCGAAAGGTGTGCTCTCCGCAGGTGAAGACGAAACACATGTTTGCGACTACGGCGGCGGCGACGACGATGCGCAGGTGCTGGCTGTGTGCTGGGTGTCGCTTCGGGGGTGTGCCTAGCGAGAGACCGCGATGCACACTTGCGCTGGCGGTTAGGTTTGTGGGATGACGTCGGTTCGCAAGCGATGTCGCAGGTGCTGTTGGAGCGCTGTCGTTGGGCGGAGCGATTGCTGTCGTAACAGGACCCAGAAGAAACAACGAAAAGAGGTTGATTGCCTGGTAGGAAACGTGCCTGGCGATGGGGTTGTTTGCGCATAAGAAGATGGAGCAAGGGCCGCCCTGCCGGCTTGGAAGAGGGTCCTCGCTCGCCTGCCTTGCACAACTCAGTCCGTGAAGCTCAAAGATGCATCCGCGTCAGTCCGGGGGGGCTGTGCGCAGCAGCCAAGCCAAGCCGCCTGCTCAGTGGTGGCGACACTTATGGAGGTAGCCCATGGCCTAGATGTGCCAGTGAATTATAGTTGGGTGCATGCAATGTATCCAGGTTATGGAGGCCACAATGAATCACTGAGTACGCTTACATAGTAGCTCTCTGGCTGATCCTGTTCTTGCAGCGCGGTCGGTCCGGGCAAGTGTGCATTGGGAGCTGGACAATGTACACACGACAGGCCTCTATGCACGTCTCCTCGCAGACCCCACTCCCCGGCCTCGGGACAAGCACCACCCTGGGAACCACTAAATTTTTGTGACGGACGGCCGCCTCAGCCAGCAGCCAAAAGCCATCTCCAGGTTCACAGTCTCGCGGCAGCCACGACGACGACGACGACAACCCGCAGACTCTGACCGGTCATCTCCTACACAATGCACCTGTAGACAATGCTGTACGATCTCAACATCGCGTGGTCGCCCACGGCCACCACCGCCGAGCTCGAGCGCACCCTGAGCTTCAGCGCCTCGCTCGGCTACGACGTCGTCGCCCTCAATCACATTATTCACCCGCCGATACCTGCGCAGACGGTCAATCCTCTACCGCGGCTGTCCCCTCCTGATGATTCTGCGAGACCGTCGACTTCGGCACCAGCACAGGCACAGTCCAATGGCACGGGCGCGCAGCCAGCCGTCCTTCACCGAGCTACGGTGGTCATGTCAGATCCATCGCAGACACACCGGCTCGTCCAGCTCGCAGCAGCCTACGACATCCTCGCCATCCGCCCACTGACCGACAAGGCCTTCCAGAATGCCTGCCTCAACATGGCCGAGCCGTCACTCATCTCGCTCGACATGACCCAGCACCTGCCGTTCCACTTCCGGCCCAAGCCGTGTATGGCCGCCATCAACAGAGGCCTGCGGTTCGAGGTCTGCTACTCGCAGATGCTCACGGCCGACGCGCGCGGCCGAGCGTCCTTCATCGGAAATGTCATAGAGCTCGTGCGTGCCACGAGGGGCCGGGGCATCGTGCTCAGCTCCGAGGCAAAGAACGCCATGGGACTGCGGGCCCCTGCCGACGTCGTCAACCTCCTCGCAGTATGGGGCCTGGGGACCGAGAAGGGCAACGAGGGTCTCGGCAGCATCCCGCGCAGCGTCGTGGTCAACGAGCGGGTCAAGCGGACGGGCTTTCGCGGCGTCGTCGACATTGTCAAGGTCGCGCAAAAGCCAGAGGGTGCCACGGGGCAGGAAGGAGACGACATGGACACAGGAGATGATGCTGGGGTCAAGAGGCCAAAGAGTAACGCAAATGCCCAGGAGAAGAAGAAGAAGCGGAAGCCGGCGGAAGAGAACAACAGTGACGCCACTCGCGCAGAGCCGCCCATGAGCAAGAGACAGGCGAAGAAGCTGAAAGCAGCAGCTGGGCAGAAGCCATCATCAGCAGCATAGGACCGTACGACGATGGGAGGCACCAAACGGACGGTAGTGGTTAGCATTTCTCGCGAAACAAGGCGTTTCAGGCGTGGTCTTTTGGGTTATGGACATGATATGGCGTAATGATACCCCCTTTCCTACGAAGCCGACGTAGGTCAGACACATAGAAGATCGAGCACATGGTCCGACGGGAGTGCTTGCCAGGTGTCTTTTGTGGTTCAATCAATGTTTCGGACATTTTTCCTTGTTTCCAGGCCCACCGTGGCGAGCAGAGCGTCTAGAACAATCGGCCATCGTATGTGTGTATAATCAACCCTGCTCGACGGGAGCAGGGGGAGAAGCGAGGGGCGGTGATGGGTTTCTGGCCCCCATGTTTGGTATGAACGATGAAGTGAAGAGGCCACGGAGGGCCGGAGCATTCCGAAACGGTTTCTTGTGGCGGCCGGGAGCACAATCGAACGACTTTGGCTTGTGCCGGGGGCGCCAGTGCGACATGGCGAGCGCCTGGTGAAGCACCCGGCCTGAAACGCGACCCAGCACCAAAGACCAAAGTGGCCGCGCCATGCCAAGCACAGCGCATCTCCAGATCCACTCGGTCTCCGCCGGGCACGCGCTCTCTTTCTTGCAGTCTCTCTCACTCTCCCTCTCCTACTCCTTCTCTTCCTTTCCTTTGAACCTGCAACCTTGGGGGGAACCTCCCAACGTCGCTCCGATCTACGAATTGTGAGTCCTGCCGCAAACACTCAAGTGCAGGCTCTCGGTCGCCGCATCGCAAGCTCCATTATGTGTGCATGTCTGCCTGCCTGCCTGCCTGTCTGTAATGATCAAGCACGCCAAGCACGAAATCGACGCGCGGTTACCTCAAGATCAGATGATGTCGGGACACCAAGAGTCTGGGATGCCTGCCACCTCATGGGTCCCTGCTGCCTGCACTTGACGCTCTGGATAATTACGCTGCCCAGGTTACAATGCCCGCCCAAGCAGCGGCGGCACAGCGTTGATGCACAGCCAGGAAGCCATCGTGGTATGCCCGCCTAGCCAGGCGAGGCAGGGATCCAAAACGTTGTGCGTCGACAACCCATGCCCAGGGGCCTGGCGCACCCCGGCCCTCACACAGGGGGATCCGACCAGGGGCTGCCACAGTCTTCCACCACCACCACCACCACCAGTCTGCTCTCACACAGTCTCAGCCCGTCAACTGCCGCCTCTTGGGACAGTCGACTTGCACTATGTCGCTGCTGGTGCTGCTGCGACTGCCGCTGGCGCCGAACCCCCGGCAGCACGAGGCGGCGCCCAGTTCGATCGCCCCTGGCATGCGAGCGTGGGAGCCATACCCACCTCGGCCTTGCCTACCCACGGAATTGAAGCTCCTGCAATATGTCAACGCCTTAACCATCATGGCCCCGGTGCCCGCCACCGTCCCAAGCCTCTCGTGCTACTCCGCTGCTTTCCGTCTTTTCTTCCCCTGTGCCCATTCGTGAGACTTCTTCCCGGTGTTCTGGAATTCTCGTGTGTTGTCGTCGACCCCTTCCGAGGTCATGTCTTGAGGTCACCACGGCCCGTTCACTCTTTTCCGTCCGTTCCAGGGCCCCTTCTTCGCTTCTCAGTACTCGCCATTGTCCTCTCGGACCTTCTTGCCTCGCCTTGTTCGTGGTCGAGCTTGCTCCCGCAGAGTGACAACAGTACACCTTTCTATTGCCTACAGTAATACAGCTGGCCTGTCTACAACAACTTGTTCTCCTTGCCGAGCGTCAACTTCTATCCTCTACGGTTTCGAATAATATCACAAGAGGCCGACTCCACCGCCTCGGACTCTTTCACCATGAAGACCACCGGTACTGGAGGCGCTCTCGTCGCACTTCTCTCTCTCGGATCGCTGGTTCAGGTAGGGAGTCAACTTGGGGGATAAGGGCGAGGGACATAGGACACGAAGCTAACCAGGACATCGCGCAGGCGGGAACATTGGTTCCAAGAGGGAGGAATGCGGCTCGTAACAACACGCCCCGGGTGCTCACGGTTCCCAAGCCTCCTGCTAGTCTGCCAGGCACCATGAGCGCAAGTCTTGCTGCAAGCGCAAGTCTTTCTGGAGCCCTTACTGTCACGGTGACCGAAACAGCCGCTGCCGTCACAAACTGTGCTTCGACAGTCACCGTCACGGTCGCGGATCCGGCAGCAGCAGCAAAGACCGTCACGTCGATCTCTACAGTCACCATTGTGCACACCGTTGCAGCTGGCGCAGGAGCCCAGGTCCCTCCGACATCCATCCCGCTCATGCATACGATCCCGACGTCTGCTGCGACGACAAGCATCCCGCTCATGTCCATCATCCCGACGACAACTCAAGCCTCCGCAGCCGTTCCGTCTTCTGCTGTCCCTCCGGCCTCAGCTGTGGTGTCAAGCTCGGCAGCCTCGTCCGCATCCGCGTCCGCGTCCGTGTCAACCAGCGTCGTCTCGGCATCATCCGCCTCCGTCGCTGCTCCGCCTGCGTTGACTCCCGTGGTGCCACCTGCAGACGCAATCGTCCAGCCCTCTGTGCTGCCTCCTCTGGTTTCGTCTTCGGCTTCAACTTCCGCATCAAGCTCGGCGTCAAGTTCGGAATCAAGCTCGGCATCAAGCTCGACTTCGTCTGCATCGTTGCCTGCCGAGTCAGCAGTGGCCTCCACGCCAGCCGCAGCACCTCCCGCGGCCACCTCAGCAACTGAAACTGCAATCTCCGCCTCGACTGAGACTGTAGCGTCATCTTCGACTGAGACTTCAGCGTCTTCTTCTTCTTCGGCTGAGACCGCAGCACCTTCTTCGTCGTCCTCGTCAGAGCAGTCGAGTTCCACCCCGACTACTTCCAGCTCCGCGACTTTGGAACCGTCATCCTCGACGTCGACGTCAGTCCCAGCCGCAGCAGCGTCCACGATTGATCTGGCACCCGGAGGAAGCCAGGCGCGTCCTTCCACGTCTTCGCCAGTCGTGACGCCGGCACCCGCGATCCTGCCCGGCGCAGCCCTGCCCGGAGTCAACACGTTCCTGACGGCCATCAACGAAGGTCCGTCGGTCAACCTGGGCGGGCAGCCTCTGAGCAGTGTTCTTGATCTTGGCAGCCTGGCAAAATAGGGCCCTAGCAGCAGCAGCAGCTTGGGGACACGCGGGTAAAGCTCTTTCTCTCTAGCTTTGCCATGGTGGACCTCCGCCGGGAGGACCGGGTAGCTAAGGATAATGCGGAGAAAGGGGGTTATTATTCTAGGATATTCTGACTTTTCTCGCGCGCGAGAAGGTCAATCTATTGAATTTTATACCTTTTTCTTTCCCTCCCGCCCCCTCCATTGTTCCCTCCCAACTCGCATGTGGTCTTTTTTTCTCTCTTGTTTTTAACTTACTTCTATGGATATACGGCCTTTGTGATTTTCATATATACCATTAAACATGAATTAGAAGGTGCAATAACCCGGGGCCCCTTTCCGTTTCCGTCTCTGTACATGGTCGATATTATCATCATCGTCATCATGTTCCCGTTCCGAGTGTAGTGACTTTGTCTGCTTACTTGCTGGCTGTTGTGCTGTGTTTGGTGTGGAAATTATGATTTTGCGTGACGAAGAAAGAGAAAGAGAAGAGACGGGGTGGGGGGATGTAACGCACGAGGAACAGTAGAACAAGCTACACGTCCCGGATACATGATACATGGAACAAACCAAGCCGGGAAACCGTTGGCGGAACGAAGAGCAATGAATGGCATTTCACGTGGAGAAAACAACCCCAGCAAAGGTCTTGAAACCAGGGAGGGCGAGGGGCTAAGGTAATGCGGCTCGCAATGCAGCTCGCCCTCTAATGGAGTCGTCCGGCATCCGTCGTCGTTTGTCATCGTCGTTATGTACATGATTGAAAAAGAAAGCGGAGGGGGGGTATAAAGCCAGATCCATCCAGTCAAGAAAAGAAATCCCACCAACCATGCCGGGGTTGCCAAGGCCCGGGCCGCCCCCAAAGCGGCCAATACCACCACACATCGGATGATGAAAGCCTGCTCTTTCGTGCCGACCGAGCATGGCGTCTGCTTGTCTAAGGCGCGGAAGAAATATTTCTGCGACCGATGAGGAGAGTTTCTACGTTCTCAGCTGCGACGACAAATCGTCCACCTTGACGCTCCTCACGCCCTCGGGCATCATCATGAGCCACTGCCGCCAGCGCTCCACGTCGTGCTCCTCGCGGCCGCCGCCAATGTCGTCCGTGAGCCGGAACGTAAGTGACAGCTGCCTGCCGTGGCTGCCGGTCGCCCCTTCGAACCCACTGTTCTTGGAGCCGGATAGCTGGTAGGATGGCGCGGACAGCGGCGGGAGCTGCAGGCTGTCCATGCGCGTCAACGTAATCGGTGGCAGTGTCGGGTTGCTAGAGATCTGTATATGTAGTGGCATCAAAGGGAAAGCGCGGTTCGAGGAGAAGTGCTTGTCGCCGGGTCCGCCGCCCGCGCTGCCGCCCTGAGACGACAGCAATTCCGAGTACGAGAAGAGAACCCTGGAATATAGCTCAGCCGTCGACAGCTTGTCCTCAAATATCCGAGGGGATAGCTGGTGTTGCGTGCCACCACGCAGTCGGTCTAGGACGAGTCTTGTGAACCCTGCACGGGGCGCAAGCCTGAAATAGTCTTCGGTAGTTGACGCGGCGAGGATCTCCAGGACGCCTTTTTGTCGCGCTATTCGTGATGATGGGAAATATGCAGTATCCATGATCACAAGCGTATCGGAGCATGCCTCCTCAAGCTTGTGCTGAATGCCGCTCCAGCGGATCGTAGGGGTAGCTGCTTTGTCCAAGGAACTGGTCAAGTCTTGTTAGCACGCGGGCTCGTTCTGCGATATGGGCCTGTTGTTCCATGCATACCTCGACAAAACCATGTCTCCAGCATGATCGAGGAAGCTGAATCCAATATAGTACACAATCTTCAGACAGTCCCAGCTGTCATGCTTCTCCATGAAGTCGTCAATGTGGCGCGATAACCATCGTGATGGGTTCTTGCAAACCTCAGACTTGGATGTGGGGATACTGACGCCCTCGCACTTGTACGCATATCGTTCTTCGAGGACGCCACAAAGCTCCCTAACGCATGACGAGACCACTGCGTCGTCGTCGTCCTGCCAAAAAACAAGGAGAACGTGGCCAACCACATAGCGGCGGCTCCGTCCGGGAATCAGGATAGACGACACCGACTTCTCGAGACTGGACCTGAACGACGAGAATTTCGGTATCGGTGGCAGGCCGGGTGACGCAGCAGCTATTGGAGGTATCGAAAGCGCCTTGTCTAGCCGAGGCGCAGATGGCAGTGGTGTTCTGATCCGCACGTCGCTGGAAGGTAGGCGAGATGTCGGAGCAGCGACGGCTTTGGATGCTGCGGAAACCGAATCAACATCCATGCGCTGCGACTCGCCCGACGACTTTCGCCGGTGGATGTTGGAGCCTGGCCGGTGGTGCGGAGGCGATCCTAGGTCCTGCAGTGGACTTGTTGATCTGTACTTCCGGATGGCGTCTTCCCACTGTGTCCGGAAAAGTCAGTACTGATTCCAGTCTTGTAGTCTAGAGAGAGGTGTTGGTACCGTCATATCATGATGATGCGGACTGCACTACGTTGAAGTGTCAGCGGTGACTACATGTCGAGCAGTCTAAGCTGTCAGCAAGGTCGAGAAGTACTTACTGCGACTCTACGCCGCCTGCAGTCCGCACAAGCACCCAGCTTTCGTATCAGAGCAGCCTTCTCCCTTTGCTGAGCTGAAAGCGGTCCAGTCCTCCTCCGACTCGCCCTTCGATTTTGCATGATCTCAGCCCCATCCTTGACGGAAAAAATGGACTGAGACGCCTCAGCACCAAAGGTAGTTGCTCCTGCCTCGTCTGCCCTAGACCCATCGTCGTCTGTGAGCTCGGTGATGCCTGCAACGGATAGAGGGTCCGAGGTTCTCCTGATCGGCGACAGTGATGTAGGCCGTTCTCTGGGTGACAACGCTGGCTCCTGATCACCCCGGCATGGGTCATATGGAATGCGGTCCGCTGGCGGTTTCGTCTTTGGAAATGCTTCCGCCAGACTCGGAGCAGGATGCATCCTTCGTCAGAGCTCGCTAGCTCCGACGCTCGGCCGTGGTGCGTCGTAATCAGGGACCACACCGCAGCCAAGACTGTGCAAGTATTAAACACAAACCCAGTGTGGTAATAATTAGCACCAGGCCGTCCTGTAGATGGATACTTTCTTCGTGAAAAGGCGAGTGTCCAGTGACTGCAACAACACGGCAAGACGCCGAGCTGGGGAAAAGTCCGGTGACCTCGGCCGTGAACAGACTGGACCACGAGCTAGGACGGCCCGCACGCCCGAGGATGCCCGTCGGAAGCAGAGCAACAGATGTTAGACGCCTAGAATTGTCGTCACCGATATGCCGACGGACTTGGTATCGAGTCCTTGGATGAATAAGTCCAGCAAGGTGGCACAAGCGCAAGAAGAGAAAAAGACAAGGCAGGCAGGCACTGAAACACCAAAGAATTGTGGACGAAGAAGGGAAACGACAGCTGGGCAGTGGAGACGGGCAGGCGCGCCCCAAGCCACATGAGATGCAAAGCAGGGTGACGGCGAGGTTCGGTGACGGGGCCTGGTTTGCAATCACAGAATCCAGCAGCAGCTGGGCCGAGAGGGGCACAACGCGGGGGCCCTCGGGGCATGGATAAGGTCGACGATGGGGTTGGATCTCGACGCTGTGGGATTGTCCCCGGCTCCAGACCGAGAACGTAGGCAGCGGGCCCATACCTCGAGGATGGACAGACGGATGTGCGCCCGATCCAGGCCGGGCGCCGTCCCCCAGGCTGGCAAAGCGTCGGGCGGCTGGCCCTCCACATTTGCAAAGGCCCCGCGGAATCATAGTCGCGAGAGATGGCATCAAGTGAGGGGGCCGGCGGCCATGAGCCTATCCTATGTGGGTGTTGGCGGCCCGCGTGCTTACACGTCAACCGCGTCAGGCTGCCTATGCCAGCCCGCTCTCCACCACCTGCCACATGTGCTGCTGTTGCTGGAGGGAGTGTTGGACGACTTCAGACGCCGCGCGCCCAGACACAGATATGCTTTCGATGCCCGCCTGCCCGGGGTGAGGGCATCGGCCAATCACCCAGGGCTGTCCATCGTCGAGGCAGGGCGCATGCAGACGCGCGAATTGCAAGCCGGCATACTCTCGCCCTCGGCCTGATTTGACTGACCCAGACCCCAGGCCCAGGCACATGACATATGCAGCTTCCGACTTGCCTTTCATGGCACCGCTCAGCCGAGAGCAGGCGGCACCGGGGGGGTAATAACCTTTAGGCTCAGCTCAGCTGCAAAGGGCGGCGAGGTGAGCGGGCGGGTTCCGTCGAGATGTGGAGGCCGGCGCAAAGTGCCCCGGCTTTCGGCTCATTGGTCTCGCTGTTACCGAAGTTGCCGACATGGGGGACGTGGGGTCGACCAGCAAGCAGCAGGCAGGCAGGTATATTTCTGCCTCATGCAGGGCCATCTATGCTGTGCATCTTGAGCAACGTGGTTGGTGGGCAATCTCCGGGTCTGGTCGGCCAGCCACTTCATTTCAGTCGAAGCTCGCCATCCACCGGGCTCGTGGTGAGCAGAGATCGAGCCCTGTGGCTCACCAGCGGCCTTGGCCTCGATCGCAATTACTCAGTCCAGCCTTTCGCAGCCCTTGGGCATGACTCGAGCACGGCTTTCAGCCGCGGGCAGACAGCTGGGAGACTGCAGAAAGCCATGGCCGCGACTCCCTGCCATGAGTGGGATTCGGCGGTTCTGGCGGTGCCTCTGGCTGCTGGGAAATGCCACCGCTCTAGAGATGACTTGACCTAACAGGTGTCGATTTCCTTGAAATCGAAGTGAGAACAGGCAAGAGAGGGCCATTTGCGGCCCCGCTTTTGTCACAAGATAGCCCGTGTCGGTTCGGATGCGCCTCGGCACATGTTTTGGTGGGTTTGACCTGCCCACTGTCGATAACCGTAAATCGGCACAGGGCGCTTCCCGCACATCATGCCTGGTACATAGTCTGCGCGTAGCATATCGAAACGCAGCTGACCGATGTTAAAGCTGCCGAAACCATGCAGCATAGAGACTTTGGTCGCTTTCTGCCACTGAAAGTCTGGCTCGTCGGTGTGGTTGGCAATGACTAATGGTGGCGCTGGGGCAGGTGTTGAGGCTCAGCCAGTGCTTTGAAACTGCGGCTGACTCGAGGATATGCTCCGTAGAACAGCTGGCGGCCATAATGCCGGGAGATATTATGGATGTCGCAATCAAAGTCGGATATATATTGTCACCTAGCGGAGGCTGTTCGGCTCTGGTTGTGGCAGTCTGCATCATTGGCGGTATACTATAGGTCTTTCGAAAGTCCTTGACTCAAATTGACACGGCACTTGCCGGCAGGATCGCGCTTCTCCCACAAGGAATGTCTTCAGAACAGACGTTTTGCTGCGGGAGCTGGCAGCAGTACTGGCCCTAACTTATTGAGGGATCTCATGGACACGTTGTTTGCGCGTGTTGTTGTTGTTGGGTGAGAAGTCGCTACACGAAGCCGGCACGGCAGTACGTAATCACAAAAGCGATGCCCTTTGTGCAACAGTTCCTGACCACGCGGAATCGGCCAAGGTCGCCGGCCTGGTTGGACAATGCTCGATCTGTATAGGAAGCTGTGGAGCAAAAGCTTGGAGGGGCGGGGGTGAGTATCATAAGCAGCAATCCACGGCAGAGTTGATCAAGATGGAGGGCAGAAAGGCGTAGGCAGACATCGGATCAGTCGTGGAAACACAGTGTTGTGTCCTGCATTCGCTCCTTCCTATATTGCCTGGCTGCTGTCTTCTAGCTTAGTCTGATGTCACCAAGTACGTACCTTTGGCGTCGTCAAGCTTGCCCAGGTGGGCCAGAGCCTCAGCCTCAACGCTCGTCCGTCGTCCTGCTGCTGGGCTCTCTGAGGTGGTGGCACAGGTGTGCTTTTGTTTGGCTCACTGCACCGGAAAGTCATCCACAAGACATGATCGAATCGCGTTTCGCATTGCCTTCGAGCCAATGTTCCCTGGCCTGTCCCGGGCGGGGCACCGAGTCTTCACTGTCCAGCGTGCCCATTTTGACCATGTCTTGCGCGGTCATGCCGGATCGTCGTCGTCGTCGTCGTCGTCAAGAGAGAGGGCGACTAACACGATAAAACCAGCCACGCGAGGGCATCAGGCAGTGCCCGGATGAGCCGGCGACTCAGGCAGCGGCAGTGCTGATTGGCGAGGTGGGCGGGCGGGCACATCTGCAAGGGGCTGTGCTGTAAAGCAACATCGGCCCATGTCTTGGCTGCCGTTCACGCCGACGTCCGCAGGGCTGGCTCGCTCTCGCGCTCATCAAGGCGCGTCATACGGCAATACTCAGGCAGAAACACCACTGCTGGTTGCCTCCCACAGGCCATGCCTTTGTCGCCATGTCTGTGGCTGCAATCCCTCCTACCTGGCGTGGGCATTTGTCTGAGCACGCGCTCGCATGAAAAACAGCATTTGTCTGTGGCGACCCTAGCCCGCCAGCCGCCCCGCCAATATCGACGTGCTAATCGCGCGTGATCGTCAGGGCGTCTCGGGCTCACCTGTAAATGCCGTGACTGGGATCATGCAACAACCGTGCGTCGGCGTGCTGGCCTCTCGCAGTCCAAGCCTACTTCTTGCCTGCGTCATAGCCAACAGCTCCAGCTAATATGCGCGTGCGTCCGACACTCCCGCCCGCCAAGCAGTGGTGATGATTACTACTGCCTCCAGCCGGTAGCCTACCAGGGGGCACTGCCTGTCTCGTGTGTCTTATTTTTCCGCTCCGCCTTGCCGATCCCTCTCACCTTGTCAACAAGCGCATTGCTCACGTCGCACAGCCCGCAGTCATTCTCATTCGTTCCTTCAAGGTTTGCCTCAGCAGTGCCTTACTTTCCAGCCCTGGAGTCTTCCGCGAGAACGCCCCATACGTCTGGCACGCGTGGAGGCACCCATCTTTAGCCAGCTATCCCTGTTGAGGTGAACTCCGACCGGTCACCATTCCCAACCCGCCTGTCGCTCACTTGATATTAAAGGCACCGCGCCCAGTTCGGCCCGCCCTATCGTTCTTCCCGGGGGTTTCATATCCCGCCATATCCAACATGCTGCTCTCAGCCTCCCTACTTGCTTTCGTCTCGAGTGTCCTGGCGGCCGCTGGCCCGGGGCACGCTGGCGAGCTCTCCCGACGTGCCGCGCCGGATAGCCCGTCTGGTAGCTACCCGCCTGCCAATGTTGACTGTCCCAGCACTCGCCCTACCATCCGCGCGGCCGACTCTCTCTCACAGGCGGAGCGAGACTGGCTCAGGGAGCGTAGGCCTAAGACTGTCCAGCCCATGATCGACTTGTTGAGGCGCGGCAACATCCCGGATTTCGATGCAGAGGGCTTCATCAACAACCATGCCAACAACTTCTCCGTAATCCCCAATATCGGCATCGCCGTATCTGGTGGTGGCTACCGAGCGCTCATGAATGGTGCAGGCTTCATTGCTGCTGCAGACAGCCGCGAGGCCGGGTCGACTGGTGCCGGCCAGATCGGTGGTCTCCTCCAGGCCGCTACTTATGTCTCGGCTCTTTCGGGCGGTGGCTGGCTCGTTGGCTCCATCTATGCCAACAACTACACCACTGTCACTCGGCTTCGTGACGGCTCTCCCGACTCGTCCGTGTGGAAGTTTGAAGATAGTATCCTGGGAGGCCCGGACGAGCCGGGCGTGTCAATCCTTAACACGGCAGGCTACTGGTCAGACCTTGTGGACAATGTGGACGACAAGCGCGACGCTGGTTACGCAGTTTCCTTGACCGACCCTTGGGGCCGTGCTCTATCCTACCAGCTCATCAATGCGACCCAAGGAGGTCCCGCATACACCCTCTCTTCCATTGCGAATGACGAGCGCTTTGCTAATGCCGACACCCCTTTCCCCATCATTGTAACCGTGGAGAGGGCGCCCGGCAATGACAATCTGGCTTTGAACAACAGCGTCGTCGAGTTCAACCCCTACGAGATGGGCACCTTTGATCCCACGTTCTACGGCTTTGCGCCGACTAGATATCTTGGATCACAGTTCAACCGTGGTGAGATCAACAGCACTGGCCACTGTGTCCGTGGACTGGATCAGCTTGGATTTGTCATGGGCACCAGCAGCAGTCTATTCAACTACGCTCTGATCGAGCTGACCAATAGCAATGGCGAGTCTGAGGTCCCCACCGTTGTCCTCAACATGGTTGAGGGCATCTTGGAGACTATCAGCGGCGAGAGTAACGATGTCGCCGTGTGGGAGCCTAACCCATTCCGTGGCTACCACCCTGGCATCAATCGCAATGCCAACCGAGAGTCTCTGATCCTGGTGGATGGTGGCATGGCCCTCGAGAATATCCCTCTCCAGCCGGTCATCCAGCCCATGCGCGCTGTAGATGTGGTATTCGCCGTCGACTCATCCGCCGACACAGAGTACTATTGGCCCAACGGTACTGCTCTCCGCGCCACATACGAGCGAAGCAAACAAGACGTCGCCAATGGAACCAATTTCCCAGCGGTGCCTGGTGCCAACACGTTCATCAACCTTGGTCTGAACAGGCGGCCGACCTTCTTCGGCTGTGATGTTTCGGAATTTCGGGGTGGTCATGTTCCTCCTCTGATCGTGTATGTGCCCAATGCCCCATACACAATCAACAGCAACATCTCCACCTTCCAGATGTCGACGGAGGTCGAGGAGAAGCTCCGGATTATTCAGAACGGATGGAATGTTGCAACCATGGGCAATGATACGGTGGAGTCTGACTGGACTACTTGCCTGTCCTGTGCGGTCTTGAGCCGCAGTCTCCAGCGCACCGGCACCACCATCCCCGCGGCCTGTAATACCTGCTTCCAGCGTCACTGCTGGAACGGGACGGAGAACGAGGCTACACCCACTGCCGAGCCGACTTTTATCATCGGCGATGCGGCTGCTACTGCCAACCCTCAGAACGCCGGCGTGACGTTGCGCACATCGAGCATGAGTCTCGCCGTTGCTGTCCTCGCCGCGCTCTTCCTCGCCTAGATGGGTCAAGAAGGCCTTAGGTCCAGTGCCACAATTTCGAAGAGTTGGGGAGAATGCTTGGAGGACAATTAACTTTGATACCCATTTTGCATCATAATATCAGTACCCATGCACTACACAAGTCAATCATGCCAGCTGTCCGTGATTGCAAAGGCTACCTATACTGTGTTCAGTCCACAAAGACTGGTGCTCGTGCCCCTATTCAGTACCATCCGTGACTTCCCCACCAAGAGGTGCCATGGCCTCTGAGTGACCAACGTCTGCAGTAGGTCGGCATTTGTGATGTGAATTGTTGGCGACAAGATGTGCGATGATCTTCACGACAAGCCCTCGCGGAATCATGGTGGGGCTAGAGGAGGTTGATTGGGCAGGGGCGGAGATGGGCGCCGGATAGGGGGGGACGCGTTGCCGCCCAGCAACCAACGTGATGTTTACCCGAATGTTTTTGACTTGCCTGATGTGGATAGCTCAAGGCAGGCAGCACGCCGCCCAACCCGGACCCATGCACAATCTGTCGAGACTTGCTTAATTGCGGCTGCTAATTGTCGACAACTCTGCCCTTCTCTGACGTTGCTTCACTTCAAGGTAAGAGTGGTGCAGCAGCCTCGACGCGTACCTTCGACACACACCGCGACATCGACAGCCAGCCATACTCCAGTCCCTTGTTTGGCCCGGGCTTTTGCATCTTCTGTTTGCATCCATCTAGACGTGGCATACACGTTGTAATGCCTTCCACTGCGACAGAATAACTCCCCCCTGGCGACATCTCTACACATCCGCCACCAGAAAGAACCACCCTTTCCACAGCAACAACCACGCGTACCTTCCTTCCACCATGGAGGTCGCCAGCCCGCCGAAGCGGATGACGCGTGCGCGCGGCGCCCGAGTCGTGCCCGCGCTGTCACAAACCAAGATCTTGAATAAGCCGTCTGCCGCAGTCGCCGCCCGCACATCTGCCAAGCGCAAGACGCGTCCCGACGATACCGAGGATGAGCTCCAGCAGACAGACAGCGAGCAGCCCAAGACCATGAACAGAGTGCCGCGTTTGCGCACGCGGGCGAGGAAGACCGCCGAGGCCGAGGCCTCCACGGTTGTCGAGCCTGCACCAGCCGAGATAACGACAGCAACAACGACTGCTTCTACCTCGGCTGCCACCGCCAAACCTGCTGCACGCACCAGGACACGGAAGGTGGTGGCTGCTTCGGCAACACAGCCAGCCAAAGCGCCGGAGCCTGCGCCAAGGACGACACGCACGCGTGTGCGAAAACCAGCGACCACGGACGAGCAGAGCGACAATGAGGCTCTTGCCGCACCCGGCCATACTCCCAAAAAGGCTACGAGGAAGAGAGCGGTGTCAACCACAAAGCAGCCCGAGGTTGGCACGATAACGACTCTCGTGCCCACGACGAATCCCACGCCGGGCCTGAAATCCAACTTCTCTCGGCCTGCTTCCAGGCTCGGAGGTACTACTAAGAAGTCAGTGTCGTTCGAGGAGCCCGAGAAGGAAAACATGGTCCCCGTGGCCACGACAACGACCACGAAAGCCAAGACAGCCGAGCCCAAGGCAGCCACAGCAACCGGTATGCGGGCGCGACCTGTCCGCAAAACGACGACAGTCCCGGCAAGGACGACACGGACGTCAACCAGGACAGCACCGGCCACCGCGAAGAAACCCCTAAGCCCTAAGAAGGATGGAGCGAACCGTCCCCTGTCCAGATGTGACGAGAGCTCGGACGACGAGCTAGCTACTCATGAGAAGACACCTATGAAGCCGCTCATGAAGAGCCCCGTCAAGCCACCCGCCAGCTTGCGTAGGCCGGAGCACAAATTGTCAGAGGACGAGAACGCCTTTGCTCCTTCTGAGAACATCATGACAGCTTCGGTCATGCGTAGTCCTGCTCGTAGACCGCCAGCTTCGCCATGGAAGGAATCGATGAAGTCCCCCGCCAAGAAGATCGAGTCGGTTCCATTCGACCTGTCGGGATCGACTGCAGAAGGAGAGGCTCCCACCTCGCCATCAAAGACGTCTATGCTCCAATCTCCAGCGAAGCGGCCACAAGTACCGATCAAGGCATTCCAGATGAGCTCGAATGAAGGTCCCCTTGCCCCTCATTCTCCCGTGAAGCGCTCGCTTTTTGGTTCTCCCGCTAAGCGTGGTGCCGGGGCACCGTTCAAGAGCCTTAGCCACGAGCCACTTGGGCTGGCGAAGAAGAGGGAGACCCCAGTCAAGGAGTCCTCTCCCGTGGAAGAGACAGGGCCAGCCCTTCCTGAGCAGATCCTTGAAGTCATAGAGGTACAACAAGGCGAACTTGAGGTCCGTGATGAGGAAGAGGCAGATTCTTCATCTCTTGACCACATTGCCCTCGACCAGCAGATCGAGCTGGAGCTATCCACACAGCTTGCCTTCCCCGGTAGACTATCAGCCGTTCTCCCCCGGCACGCGGATCCAGCCCTCAAGGAGAAGCCGGCACACGCTCCCTCCGATGCCCACACCGAAGAGGCTGTTCAGGCTGCCATCGAGCAGAAGCCCCTCGTTGAGAGCACACCGGAAGATCCCATGGATCTCGACGAGATGAACACAGACGAAGCCATCACAACAGGACAGCCGGGCAGAGCTCGCAGTCTTTCGCCCATGAAGGCGGTTACCAACCCGATGTTCAGGCTTCGCGCAAAAGATCTGGATGACCAGTACATGTCTGAGTCTGAGGACGAGCTCGCGACCAGCGGTAAGACGGGTTCCAAGTTCCAGGACACGACCACGGTCGACTTTGACAACGTGCCTGCGACGCCGACTCCTGCAGCCATCAGGACTCCTCGCAGTGGTCTGCCGTCAAGCGCAGCCAAGGCGGCTAGTCGCGCAATCCGATCTGTCTCAAGAGGCACCAAGCACGGCTTCACTCCACTGGCTGCCCAGTTCAGCGACTGGAGGGCCTCAAGCCCTTCCAAACTGAAGCAGCAACAGAAAGCACCTGCCTCGCCAGCTACTACAGATGAAGACCTCTCACTGGTCTCGGACGACTCATCGCCACGCGCGCAAGGCTCGCCTGCCAACGGCCACTTCTTTGAGGACGAGATGAAGATTCGTGCTGATATGGAGATGGAGGCAATGATTGAGGCCGATCTCGCCGCGGGCTACAGCGATGACTCAATGCTGGACGACATGATGGACATCACAAACGAAGACGTTGAGCTTGCTGCCGAAGCAAATGAGATGTCTCTCATGGATGACGCCGAGGTTAAGGCCAAAACGAGCGGAATTTCACAAGATGACACCGCCTCCGAGGCCAGCCAAGAATATGGCGACGAGAACGCAGTGCCTATAGACCCTGCCTTGATGAACGCCGACAACGCACAATCTACTCCTGTCACACCCGCTCGTCCCGTCATGAGGACTTTCCACACGACATCCAAGGTGCCGCTGAAGCCGGCCGACGACACGCCCCCAGCACGAAACCAGGCACGCAGCTTCAGCGCGTCAAAGGCGGGTCCTAAACGGCCCGAGATGCCCGCCAGGAACGCGACTGTCATCTCGTATTCTCCTACAAAAGAACAAACAATGGAGGAAGGCGAGCTCGCGCAGCCCGTCACTCCTGGCAAGGCGGACTCTTGGTCAATGGTCGGAACGCCTGCCCGAACACCCAGACGGGACCTCAACACGGACCTTCTGCGCGGAGCGGTCGTCTTTGTCGATGTCCACACGAGCGAGGGCGCAGACGCTAGTGCTGTCTTTGTCGAGCTCTTGACCCAGATGGGTGCTCGCTGCGTGAAGACGTGGACCTGGAACCCCAGCCATGATGGAACGGGCGAGTCCAAGATTGGCATCACTCACGTCGTCTACAAGGACGGTGGAAAGCGTACCATGGAGAAGGTCCGGGAGAGCAACGGCGTCGTCCAATGTGTCGGCGTCGGCTGGGTCCTTGAGTAAGTTGTCGTGTCTTTCTGGAGTCCATGTCTATTGCTAACGCTTTCATCGCAGCTGCGAGAAGCACAACCAATGGGTTGATGAGTCGACGCACTACATCGACACCTCGCTCATCCCCCGCGGCGGCCGCAACCGCCGCAAGAGCATGGAGCCCAAGGCGCTTGCGAACGTGAACGGCGCGTTGGTGACTCCTATGAAGAACAACGCGGCCGCTCCGCGAGAATGCATGACAGCACCCAGCAATCAGATGAACAGGCGCGAAAGTTCGCTCTGGATGAGATCGCCATCGGATATGGACGAGGATGAGGACGCACCTGGCGAGGCAGACGACTGGCGCCCGGACGTGAGCAGTATCCTCACACCTGTGCCCAAGACCCCGGCGCCTGAAGCTGTTGCCAGATATGCAATGGATGTCACGCCCGGCTCGTCCTCAGCCGACGATGATTCATCCATCGGCCGAGAGCCGCTTCACATGCAGACTTGTCCTCCCAAGCAGTCTACGATGTACAGCATGGGTGCAAACATCTTGGGCCACCGCAAGGACGAGACAGTCATGATGCGGCTCATGGCCGCGCGCCGCAAGAGCCTGCAGTTTGCGCCAAAGGTCGCCAGCCCGCTTTCCAAGGCTTGGTATTAGGGCTGAGGGGTTGGGCAAGGGTGTCTCGGTAATGAGACAATGAATCGGTTGATTCGTGCATGGGGAAATGGTGTTTCTGGCGCGTTGATTTACTCTGCCTCGTTTTCATGTCCATGGTTCACACACAGACTGTACCATACCCATTAGCATTTGGCATTATGCATCATTATCACGGCCGTTCAGGCTCGGGTCAACCTGCACAAGCATTCACACTTCATTGAAGCGGTAGCTTTTACTGATCCTAATTACGAGTTGTTGCTTCGGCAGTTGCGGATGGTGTTTCGGCAATGGCGGACCCCTGTGCATGATTGCCTGGAATGCTAGAACCTAGTTTGCCGTGAGCCACAGGCCTCCTCCTGCGAGGAATGATATTTGTTTTGCGGTTGGCAGTTGGGAGAGCGCTTGTTTGTCACTGTGCCACAAGCAATCGAGCTGTGTCTTGTGTCATGCTGTGCCCGATGAGCAAGACATTGCGGCTACATGATGCGATTCTTGTGCTGCGCGCGAGCCGAGCGGGCCAGGGCCCGTGGAGCAGCAGATAATTACTTTGTTCGGCCAGGCAAAGCGGTCTTTGGAAGGAAAGGAAAAAAAAAAAAAGGGTTGCGCACTGATGTCGTAACCCAGCAGGCACATCTGGTGGAAGTGAGCGGACATTTCTTGTCGACGGGCTCGCCAGGCTGCGTCATCAGTCATGGGCAGGCGAGGCCAGCCGAAGACCGGCCCCATCCCCCGCAGCGCACCATGCGAACCGAGCTGAGTCAGCAGGTGCACGGAGAAGATCTCGGCCCCCCGACCCACTGAAAGCGCCCACGCCCGCTGCACCCGGTCTTGTGGGTCCTGCGCAGGGCGTTCGCCGTCCAGAATACAGCGTAATTAACTTTGCGTCGTGCGATGGCGAATGCGCCCCTTCTCCCTCCTCACAGCCGCCTCGCAGGGTGGTCGAGCTTTTCCGTTTTTCTGCCCAGCGCCTGCCAACAACGACGATAGCATCAGCCTTGGCTGACGACTGCCTCACGACGACGCCTGTGGCTTCCCCTGTCGCTCTGCCAAGTGTCGACTTGCTCCCTCCTCCGATCCGACTGCTCCGTTGTTTACCACTGCGCAGCACGATCGTGGACTGCGACTGCGACAGCTTCCCTTTTCCCAACCCCGACACCGTTCAGCAGATTCAACCGCCGACGCGCCCGTGTGGGCCACCCGATCGCCCAAGATGCAGCTCCCTCGCCTGAAATGGGACAAGTCGACCAAGATCAGCATCATGCTGGCCATCGATGTCGTCTTCTTCATTGTCGAACTCGGCACCGGCTTCTGGGTCCACTCCCTCGCCCTCATGGCCGACGCCTTCCACATGCTCAACGACATCATCTCGCTCGTCATCGGCCTCTGGGCCGTCAAGGCCGCAAAGAACCCCAGCACCGACCGCTACTCGTACGGCTGGCTGCGCGCAGAGATCCTCGGTGCCTTCTTCAATGCCGTCTTCCTCATCGCCCTCTGCGTCTCCATCATCCTCGAGGCCATCACCCGTCTGGTTGAGCCGCCGGAGATTACCAACCCCGAGCTCATCCTGATTGTGGGCTGCTTCGGCCTCGCGTCGAACCTGGTTGGCTTCCTTGTTCTCGGTGGCCACGGACACGACCACGGCCCCGGCGGTCACGATCACGACCATGACCACGAACACGGGCACGAGCATGCCGCCCATGACCACGACCATGCCAAGGTTCCCCGCGATCCCGTCTCCGCCGCTGAAGAGGGGCGCGGATACAGCTCGGCAGCTTTCGCAGACGACAGCGGCCCGGCCATGGATGTCCTCCCGCACGTCGCGCTCGCCAGGGCCCAGGCCGAGGCGTCCGCCGTGTCGTCCAGCATCGCCCAGCAAAAGGCCGTCAACGCGTCTCGCAAGGCCTCTGGATCTAAGAGCAGAGAGCGCCGCCGCGCAGGCAGTACTAAGCATAGCCGCCTGACCAGCATCGATGACCTCAGCATCCACCCGTCCAGCTTCCGCCAGGAGATCCTGGAGCACAGCCTGTCCAACCCGCACCTGCCCGAGCCCGACAGCGAAGACGACTCGACTGTCCACTCCCAGATTTCAGAGGAGGATTCCAACGTCGACGAGAGCTCGTCACTCATCAAGAACGGCAGTGGCAACAACCACGGTGCCATTTCGCACAGCCACTCTGGCAAGGGCAGCAGCAGCCACCACTCGCACTCGGTATCCGGCCGGTCAAGACGCGACTCGGGCGTCCACACGGAGCACAACCACAACAAGCCCAAGGACAAGCGGAAGAAGAGCCTCGGCCACGACCACGGCGACATGGGCATGAACGCCATGGTTCTGCACGTCATCGGCGACGCCCTCGGCAACGTTGGCGTCATCATCACTGCTCTCATCATCTGGCTCACCGACCTGCCTGGCAAGTTCTACGCGGACCCGGCCGTCTCCCTCTTCATCACCGCCATCATCCTCCGGTCTGCCATCCCCCTTACCAAGGCCACGTCCAAGGTGCTGCTCCAGGCCACTCCTGACCACATCGACCTCCGCGACATCAAGGACGACATCCAGAACCTGCCTGGCGTCATCAGCTGCCACCACGTCCACATCTGGCAGCTGTCCGACACCAAGGTCGTCGCATCCATGCATGTCCAGATCGAATTCCCCATCACGGAGGACGGCGGCGAGAAGTACATGAAGCTCGCCCGGCAGGCGCGCAAGTGTCTGCACGCTTACGGCATCCACAGCGCCACGATCCAGCCCGAGTTCTGCGTCGATGAGAGCTGCAAACACAGCGACGACGGCCTCGCCTCTACGTCTGCAGCCGGCGAGACTCCGCAGGTCAAGTGCGGTGCTGGTGCCGTCGAGGGTGTCGGCGACCCCGAGTCATGCCTCCTCGAATGCGTCGACAACTGCGCCGGTGACGGCTGCTGCCCAACGTCAAAGTCCAAGATGGACGGCAGCCGGAGATCGAGCTCCTCGGCGACTGCGCACGACCACGAGCACGGCGATCACGACGGGCACGACCACGGAGACCACGGCCACAGCCATGACCACTAGCCGTTGACATGGATGACGACGCCGCTGGTGCGGTCCTGGGGGCAAAGCCAGCATTGAGCCTTGCTGTTGTTGGAGGGGGTTTATACCTGCACCTACACTAATACCACATTTTGTCTGGCTCAGACCAGCAACGACACGCAAACTTTTTTCTTTTTACTTGACTCTCATGTACCCCAATCCACAAATGCAAGCTTCGATTGCTCGCCTTACTTTTCTTCCCTGCCCTTGACTATTCTTCGCTCTGGGGCCGGGGGTCACATCTGGGATGCAATGGGGACAAAGGCATATTTTACAAGTCTACTCTTTGTTTCCTTCGTTCCCTCTATGTAAGGACGGCGGCGGCCTGCTACTTCTTTTGTCATTACTTTTTTTGATTGCATCACTCATCAGTCCTGAGGAGGTCTTCAGCTCGGTTGCTGTTAAAGATGGAGAGGACATAAAATCCGGCCGGCGTTTTAGGGCTGTCTTTACTTTGTTTGTAGACACATAGGGCTTTATTCAGACAGGGACGGGGTATGAATTAAAGAAAACAGGTTCTGAAAGAAAGACGTCCTCATTGCTGGTGTGATGGCCTCGCTTTCTGGTCTAGGTGCCTTACTCGCTGATCTGCCCTGCTTCTATGTTGTGGTCTGTTCCTTGGCCAGATGGGGTCCATGTAGCGTAGACATTTTGATCAACTGCAGCTCAAGGCTCCTGCTGGGCAATGGAGGTAGTGCAACGCTCACTTGTGGCGTTAGGCAGCGCTCTACTTAGGTACGTTCATATATTTGTCCTATGCAGTACAGCAACTTAGTCTGGCCCAGAGCTCTAGACGTCCAGAGGGCAAGAGGGCAAGAGGGGGCACACTGGCTCTTCACTTGAAAGAGACGGGCCTTGGTCTTTTCTCGATGAACGATGTTATATTTGAGTATACTGCGCCCCAATCAGGTACTCCGCGACGCGAGTCCGATTCCTTATGCCGCCATCCTACAAGATATATTCCACGCGAATGTCTGTATGAATAATATGTAGGCTGCCTTAAGGAGCTGTTCCTGCGCCTCTGCACCTCTGCACCTCTGCCTCTCTGCCTCTCTGCCTCTCTGCCTCTCTGCCTCTCTGCCTCTCTGCCTCTCTGCCTCTCTGCCTCTCTATGCCGGTCCAGATTCCACTGCGATGTGCAGGGAGTCTTGCAGATGTTGCAGAAGAACTTCCGTGTAACATACATCTTCATGGCCGACTTGTACTTGACAGCCAAACCCCGCTGCTTATTCTTGGCATAAAGCCCCCCTCGGACGCGCATTGAAAGCTTTGCGATCTTCATTACGCTATGCGGGAGCGTACTTTTTGTCGGTCTGGCGACGAAGTTCCCTGCGGCGCTCTCGAGCCTCGGCCTCGAGCTGGTTCAAGAGCTCCTCGCTCATGCCGAGGTCCCCACGAACACCTTCGTTCAGTGGTGAGTGGCTGCAGAGCCCTCCGTACTGAAAAGAATCGGTTGGCCAAGGGCAGAGCTGTTCTATGACCTGCCGGTCGGTCTGCCGACACTCTGAGTGTACCGCCCAAAACCACGCCGTCAGGGTGGCCTCGAGAAGTAGGAACAAAACCCGAAGGCGAGGATCCTTGCCAGCAGCGGGGATTGGCACCCACGCGAGCGTGCCCATGTGCGCAATCTTGTAACCGTCGTCCAGTGCTTTCTTGACGTTGCTGGGGATGAGCTTGCCGTTGTGGTAGTTCTTCCAGCGGGCCCCGAGCCCTTTGTTCTTGGATTTCTCAGTCGCTGATCCGATGTAAAGGTGGACGAGCTCTGTCGACTCGCCTTTCTGCATAATGATGCAGTAAATGGCCCAACGACCGACGGATTCTGTTGGGGTATCCAGAAAGAAGTCCAGTTCTGGCGGTTCCTCCGCCATGACAGCGTATAGAAAGCTGTCGCAGATTTGGATGTTGGCCTAGTTAACGGCCTCCGCAAGGACAGCTTTGTCAGCTCTGTCGACTCACATTTCTGCATAATGATGCAGTAGACCGCCCAGCGACCAGTGGATTCTGTTAGCGTGTCCAAGAAGAAGTCGAGCTCTGGTGGCTCCTGGTGTCCCCAGATTGGCGTCCAGTGGGCTGGTATTCTTGCTGGTGACGTCCGAGTTCATTCACCTGTAAGACGCCAGGGGTGGGCCTCTTTTGCTTTGGTGGGACGGAAGAAGGACAGGATCTGGTTGATGTGGAGAGTGCTGCAGTCTGCGAGAACAAAGGCAGATGGGTGTCATAAGACGAACGTGAGGTTGGAGTGATGAAGAAGGTCAACGACGACAACCTTGGAACAAGCAAACAGACAAGCAATGCTGCTGGGCATGCCCTCCGGAGGGTTGCTCCTGCCCTTCCTGCAGTGCAATCGTGCAGAAGCGTCAACAGGGAAAGAGCGAGGAGGCAGAGGTGCAGAGGTGACGAGTCAGTATTTCAATAATAAGATAAGAATTGCGGTTTGGTCATTCGCCACGTATTCAATACTGGACGAAGCACTAAGCATTCACAGCACGATGTTGATACTAGCGGCTGACTTATGCGGAAGCTCGGCAGCAACGCAGGAGGTTGATTGTGAATGTCGTAAAATGCTTCCACTAATCCAAGTCTTTCGCCACGTTTTCATTCTTGCCCCACGGGTTGGTATTTGCCGCGAGAGCTTGTACCTCAACAAGCTAGGTCCGCAACCATGCATACTGTCGCCTGTTGCATGCGCCCATGACTACGCGTGGATCATGTTACTCGTGTGGCAGGATTCTTCCGTGATCTTAGCCTCCAGCCCGAATAGCTGCCGTGGTCGCGAAAGCCTCCACGCCGGTATTGCCGTGTTGATTGCCAAGAGCCTGCAGCATATCGCTCATGATGGCTAGGCCTCTCTCCAGGTTCTCGTTCTCACATGCAAGATCTTCCTGTTCGTGGCGGAGCTCTTGTATTTCTGTGCACTTTTCCAGTATGTCTGACAAGCGTACCTGTACTTCCGCCATGAGCTGACAGAGAAGCGCTGACCACAGCTTGGCTTGCGCTGCGAGTTCTTCCGCCTTGTCCTTCACAGTCTCGCATGCGACTCGTAGCCTCTCCGCCTTAGCTTTATTCTGGGCTCGACAACGAAGGCAGATCATGGCCAATTTAGTGTAGTCTTTACCATCGCCTCTTAAATCTGGATGATGATCCATTGCCAGTCACCTGGCTGAAGATCTTCAAGGACGGTGTCCTGGCTTCCGAGGCACCGGGCAATGATGGCCTCAAAATCGTGATCTGTCTGGTCACATGCGGATCTGGCGACTCGGCTTGTGATGCTGCCCATCTCTCCTTCTCTCTCTCTCTCTCTGTCTCTCTCGGGGTATGTTCTTGCGGCCAGTGAAGTCGAGTGGTCGACTGTGGCGGGTTGATGGTTGGTATGCCGAGAAGAAATCTGTGGCAGAAGATGATGAGGGCAGCTTCTGCGGCCCTGCTCGACTTGGCTTGACCTCAGCCGAGAAGTCATGGGGTTAGCTGCCGCAAAGATGTGTAGCATATGGCTCGTCCGATGGCAGCCTTGTCTGAAAAGATAGCACCTTCCGCCGTCGTCACTTTGCTCACTCTGCGCTTAGACTGAAGCACTTCACCCCCCTCACTACGAAGACGCAACATGGAAGTTGTGCGATTGCTCAAAGCTTGTGAAGTGGCCAGAGAGATCTTTTCGTACCTTTCCATGCAGTGAATCGTTTATCCACCACCATGCACAAAATCATGACAAGGCTCTGGTCATCCTTGCTCTGGCTCTTGCGCCAGATTCAAACCAAAACTCACTGTATGGACACCAAGAGATACACCGAGACGAGCATGAACGCTTTGAGTCATAGAGCAATCTTTCTTTGTCCATATATACGGAGACCACTAAACCCCTGTAGATCTTTGAACCTCTGAACCTCTGAACCTCTGAACCTCTGAACCTCTGAACCTCCCACTTCCGAGCCAAAGAAACTGAAGAGGAGGACGACCAAAACGTCCTCGCAGTCCTCGAGAAGATCAAGAGCCCAGTATCTCAAGAAGCACCCGTGCCTATTCCGACCAATCATCTGAATGGGCCCCCGGATTGACGCTTGCTGCGGATGCTATTCAGTATGATGTCAGGGCACCTCCGGCCATCTGCTATTTGGAAGTTTTAGGATCAGAGCTTCAAACTTGTCCTTATTGACATCCACGCGTTCGTGAAGAGACAAACCGTCGCTGGGCATTGAGTCGTTGTAGAGGTTGTGAAACTCCTCAGGCATAAGGGAGCCCATAGCGTCGAGCCAGTTGTTCCCGTACCGAAGCGTGTTGACTGCTTTCCAGAGATCATCTATGTCCTTGTCCAGCCGTGTGATGCTGACATGCAGCCGGGAATTTTCCTTCCGCAGCTGGGCGTTCTCCTCCAGCAGCTGGGTGTTGTCCTCCCGCAGTACGACTTGGTTGTGGCTAAGCTTAATATACCCGCGAGTAAGTTCCTCCTGTGCTTCATGCAGGCGAGTCATTTCCCGCCTGAGCGCTGCGGTGTCTTTTGATTGTTCCCGCGCGAGTGTCTGTGCCTCCGAGGCCTTTCTTTTGGTCTCGGCAGCCAGTCACAGAACGATATCACTGGAATCCTTGACTGAATCCTTGACTGAATCCCTAAATGGCTCTCTGATTGGAAAGACTATGTCTTTGTCGTGCATCGCCTGGATTCTCGCGGCCTCGAGACCACGCTCAGCTCTCGCGATGAGAGAATCCTGCACAGCCTCGTACACGTTGATGAACGCAGCTGTGTCCGGCCCAACGTCCCCCCTCCCCCCCCCCGGGAGTATGCTCGAAGCAATGCAGTCACATCTGCCCGAAGTGACTGCGATTCTGGTGTGCTTTCGATGTTTCCAGTGTCGAGGTACCTAAGAGCCTGTCTTGTTGCTTGAGCTTGTGAATGTGACGCCTTTCGCATAGAGTCCCCAGGCAAAGTGTTGTCTACAACAGCTCGTAGCTTCCTAGAGACGACACGGTAAATGATATCGTGCGTGGCGTTCTCAGCCTCAGTCTGAACCGCGACATCTGCACTGCCTGGTACATGACCCGCAGCGACAATACCAACGGGTAGAGGACCGGTCTGCGCTGCCTGTTCTGGTTCTGGCGCAGGTTGGTCTGCTGCCTTTGGCTTCTTGCTCAAAGGATGCTCGGCTTCGTCCCCGGGCCTCTTCGCCGGGACGCTCGACGGAACGCCTCCCGAGGCGGCTGGCGGAGCACGCGACGGAACAGTCGCCTCGTTGCTAGGGCCAGAACCCGATGCGACCTGGTTGGACGTCTGAACGGTTGGGGTGACTGCCTTGCCCTTCCCCTTTCCACCAGCGTCCTTCCCTTCATCAGCAGAGGTGACTCCGGCGCTGGCTGGCTCCTGCGTTGATGCTGGGGTGTGGTTGGGAATTCCGGCTTCCAGTCTTGGGACCTTGCGCGTGGCCTTGTCCATTCAAGGCCAGGCTAAGCCAGCCTGCTGAACGATCTCTTCAGCAGCCGCGGTAACACACCGTAGCCCTCGTCATCTGAACCGTAGATGAGCAACGCCCACAGCTTTGCCTCTGTGATGTCGTTGGGTAAGCTGACATCACCGCGCCATTTTTTCGTTTTGCCGTTCTCCCGGGCAATTCCAAGCGCAGTACGGATCTGGCCGTATACTTCTGTCCGTTGCGGAGGGGCGTTTGGCGTGATTCCTGCCAGCACCCGAATCACCTCGTCAGCATTCACCCAAGGGGGGATGCCGGTCTTCTGCAGGATGGATTGGCACCATGGCATGCCCTCCAGGTTGGCATTCAGCTCTGCCTCAGTTGGACCGGGTGTTTTCACGGCCTTGCGCTTCATAGTCAGATCCGCACTTTTCCACACGACGCCCGCCTTCATTACGCGGTCGAGGGCGTCCAGGCCGTTTCGACGCCACGACGCCCATGACGTCGCAGGTACCTCGGTATTTCCCCCGAAGTCAAAATCGCTCTGAAACCCGCTGCCCTTTGGAGCTTGTGCCGCTGGTGGCGGTGCCGGCGCAGATGATGGCTGTTTGGCGTTGCGGCCCGTTTTGGTAGCAGGCTTGCCACTTGGAGGTGTCGAAGCCGTTCCGGTCGAGGGCTCGTGGCCGAAGGCTTTTGTGTGCCGTTCTGATGGGTCCACAAAGAGCCAGGTCAGGCCAACTTGCTGGATGAGGTCTTTGATGACCCAAGGCATTTCGCCATAGCTGCCGTTCTGCGAGCCGAAAATCATCACAGCCCATATCTTGGCCTCGCTGGCATTGGCCGGCAAGGTGCCATCGCCCGTCCAGAGAGCTTCACTGCCCTCAGCGCGGACTTCGGCCAGTGCGTCCTTCAGGTCTTGGAACACCCTGGTGTTTGCTGGTTTGTCGTTGGGCCGGATTTTGGCGAGCTCGCGAACGACTTCCTCGGCGTCCACCCAACTTGGGACGCCGGTCTCGCGCAGGACCCATTCGCACCAGAGTGAACCCTTCACGTTGAGGTCCATGTCGGCTTTGGTCGGAGTGCCGTTCTCGATGGGTTTGCGCCTGTCGACGAGCGAAGGTTCTGCCCAATCAATTCCCTCTTTGGTGACACGGTCAAGGGCATCCATGCCGTTCTGGCGCCATGATGACCACTGCACCTGAGTGATGGCAGTGGTGCCCCCGAAATTGAAGTCTTGGTCTGGGAACGTCGTGGCAGGCTGGGCCGATGCTGACGGAGCCGTCGCGGTTCCGGCCGCCGGGGCGGGAATGCTACTTTGAGGAACAGTAGCTGACGTCTTTGCCTTTTTGGTCTTCTTCGCCGCCGTCTTCTTTGCCTGTTTAGTCGGCGCTGTCGAAGTGGCAGGCTTGTGTGGCACCGCGACTGGTCCAAGTGTAGCGACCGGCTTGTTGTCCCCGGGGTCTTGACAGATTCATCCTGGCTCATAACCTGGAGTGGGATCGGCTCAATAATGAGCTCTGTTGTGCTCATCTAAGTCGACCATGATAGTATGGTCAAACGGGAAAGGGGGGCAGGCCTGTGATGATGGCGGCGAGTTCGCGTCCCTTACATGCAAGCGAACTTGAGAGCTTAAGAGCTGTGGACGGGTCGAAAGTGCTTTCGTGGAACCTCAAGACCGAGCGGCCATCCAGATCTTGTTCTTGTAGGGGGAGGCGGATGTGCAATACTGATGAGCCACCGGCGAAGCTTTTGGTCCGTACTGCTGGCCCGCCAACAGTGTTTTCCCGCGTATCGCCCAGCAGGGTCCTGGTGGCTTGAATTCCCGATGCAGAAATTGGACTCTCCTTGGCTAGATATGGCGTTGATTGTCTGAAGCAGGCGTTGTGAGGTTGTTGGCTTCCTAGGCGTAAACGCTGCTTGGAGGGCTGGCCCAGCTGGCTTCATAGGTCCAGACACGCGTCTGATGTTCATGGAAGGCAAAGGCAGGATACAAATGTGTATCTCAATCGCGTCTCCTTTCATGCCGGCGTGTATTGGGAATGTTCCGGGGGATAGTGCGGCGGGAGGGGAAGCAGTTGGGTGTTGGTTATGGTAGCTGATCGTGGAAGGAATAGTCAGTGTCGTCCATGGTTTCTGCTCGTGTGACTGAGTACTGACATCTTGCTGAGAATTTTGTAATGCGGGTGATGTGACCGCAGGCGGCTCAACCTTGGAATGGTCTGAGGGGAGCCGTGGCGAGTGATCATGAGGCATGCGGCGGTGGCTATGATCGACAAGGGTTGAGAAGAAATGAAGCCGAAGAAGAACAGATGCGAGGTGAAAGGACTATCCACAAGCAGGTATGTTGCGCAAAACGCAGAGGCAGAGGGTGTGGCGGAGGTGAGATGCAGAAGCTGGAGAGGCACGATGTAGTTTGATCAAAGATGTGTGGGATGAACTGCGTAGGATAGATGAAGATGCGCAGAGCTGAGGAGGTTGCTGAAGGTGGGAGATCTCGAGACTGCTGAGATATGCAAGAAAGAAAAGTGCTTGAGGGAGGGAGGAGCCGGCTCTTATATCATGGAATCGAAAGGCCAGCGCCTTAGGCAACAATGGAAACCCCGACAATAGTGCCGGACTAACAATTCAACAGCAATGTGTGACAGGTGGCAATGATTCACGCTGTGGTTTATTGTTGCTCAGGGCCGTTGATGCGCAAGGCCATGAATGCGCAAGGCCATGAATGCGCAAGGCCATTGATGCTCAAGGCTTGATGGCCATTGACGAGCCCGCCCTTCCACGAACACAATCAAGCAAGCATGAGTCACAAGGCGCATTGATTCTTCATTGATGCCACCCAATTATGCTCAGGACCATTGTTACACCATGAGCATTGTGCTTTAGGGATAGAGGAGCATGCGAGTACTTCTGCCGCCTCTGTACTTATATATAAATCACACATTCGACAACCTGCGTCACCACTCCTGCAACTTTGCTGTGTTGACACACTGGGGCTTCAACATAACGCAAAATATCAACAGCTTTCTCCGCTTACAGTGTGCTTGATGCAGTTTTGCAACACAAACATCACCAACGTTACTGAAGAGTCAGTCCAATGCAATTGCGGGTCACTTGAACAATGAAACAACGAGAAGCTAACAGGATTTCCATAGTCAGAACCACTCCTTTCTTGGAAGGGACATTCGCTACGAATCGGAAACCAAAAGGGAATACCTGCTCGCCTCACGGGAGAACGACGATTTAGGCCCATTCAGAGACCCTGCCGCCCGAGCATATTCCGCCATGGATGACGACAGGTTCGGCGACAGCAGCGACAGCATTGCCGACAGCAGCGACTTGTTCGTTCGTGCTGATCGGAGCTCTGAACAACCCGCATCCTCTGCATCTCTATCCAGGCGCTCAACCACTATACAAAATCCCGACAACGCACCTGAACTCACATCCAGTCTTAGCTGGAAGGCATGGGCCCGCGACATGGGTCTTAATGAGAACATAGCTGGCGAAGCAGAGACCAATGAGCTTCTGAAATCGTTCATCGCCATTCTCAAGCGTAACCAGACGTCCAGCCAAGCCAACGAAACAAAATGCCAGGTTTTGGAAGCACAAGTGGAAGAGCTCAAGGCACAGTGCGAAGCCGAGCAGGAGAAGGCGGAAGCCTACCGACAGAGCGCACTAAGGAAAGTTACAAACCTACGAAAGGCCACAGTGCAGGCTCAGAACCAGCGAGAGCAGGCGATCCGCGAGCGAGAACAGCTACAAGACGAGCTAGACAAGGTAGTCGACGAGCGAAATCGGACCCAAACCGCGCTGAACCAGGCACTCCACGAACGGGACGAGTTACAACGCAAAGTGGAACAGTTACAACACGAACTGGAACAGTCGAAGCGTCAAACGAAACAGGCACAGGATGAACGAGATCAAGCAAGACACGACCGTGACGAAATATTGTTCGAATACGAACCGCTTGTTTTTGATGCGGATGTACTTGCTGCCGGGCTGAAGCGCAAGCGCCTAAGCGGCGAATAGGTGCATTCACAACCCTAGAGCCACGAACCTACTGGCGAGAGCCTCCCACAAAAAGACACAAGAGGTCCAGCGGAAATTATCAATTGAGATCGGCCAGGGATATCCAAGTGCGGAACGGGGGATGAGAATATGGGAGACATTGCGTTTGTTTCGAGAAGTCTTGGCCGTTTGCCTTCGTGCACAATGGACGTGGACATGGGGTTTTGGTGGACACCTTTGGCAACGAGATATCTCGTTTAGAAAAGCATCGTGGGAGATAGCAAGCAGTCCAGCCTGAAATTCATGAATTTTTTTTTTTTTTTCAATTATTGATGTCGATGTCTGCATTCCCTGATGCTCTGGCAGGAAACAACCAGGAAAGTCATCTCGCACGAAGCTCGACATTTCCAAGGCAAGCTCATTGAGTGACACAACCCATTTGAGCCATTTCCATGGCTTGACATGGCAGTTGATCAGTCGCGCATTCAAGGTGTCCGGCATGCGAAACGGAGGAAAGCTGCTGTGATAATCAGAAGTTGCGTCTGTTCTGCCAGGCATGTTGTGTCAATGCTTTGTGAGTACGGCACAGGGAGGGATTGGATTCTGGGACGTCGGGTGTTGCCCACTTCCAGACTTTTGTGGATCTTTGGTCGGTGTGCCATATGATAGCTTGGTATCAGCTTCGTTTGTCCACGCTGCAGATAAAGTCAGCTCGTGGCGCGATTGGAAACTTTCGAAGAAGATTCCAGGAGAAGTTGAGGCCTGTAACCTGTCGTACGCTTTACCTTTGAAGGCGTCCACTGGAACTTGCGCGGACATGGCGAGTTCCAAATTTGACATGTGAGTATGATGCACACATTCTAACATTGGCATGCCGAAATCAGGCAGGCAGGAAGAGCCCAAGAAACACCACGGATGATCACGGCGACATGCAAATGGGCATTGAAGATTGTTTAATGTTCTTTCATTAACGACAAAGGGAATTGTTGTTCGCCGCCCCGGGAATTTCCTTTTTTGGTCCCCGGGGCGCCATCACCCAGCATTCTTTTGAGATGCACTCCCGGCATGTCTATCGTAAATGTGTATCAAAAAAGGGCATCAAGTCGTGTTACCAGATCATGTGTCCCGAGATCTGGTCTAAAGAAAAAAAGCCCCTTTTTCCCCCAAGTTTTTTGTTCTTTTGGAAAAGCAAGGAATCCCAGAACGTGTCAAAGACGCCAGAACCAGCAGGAAAAAAACACATTTATCGGGAGGACATGGCCTTGGTGATGAGTCTCTTGAGGGCAAGCTCCTTCTTCTTGAGGTCCTCGGCGGAGGAGTCCTCGATCTCGAGCTGGGCCATGGCCTCGCTGACGGTCTCCTCGATCTTCTCGCGCTGGCCGCGCTTGAGCTTGAGGGACATGGTCGGGTCGGAGATGATCTCCTCGACACGGCCAATGTAGTTCTCGAGCTGCTGCTTGGCCTCGAAGCGCTTGCTGAAGGCATCGTCGGAGCTCTTGAACTTCTCGGCATCTGGAGCAAGGTGGACATGGTATTAGTACCCAACTGGCAAGACAGTGGCATAAGGATATTATGAGACTCACCGTTGATCATGTTCTCAATCTCAGCGGACGAGAGCTTGCCAACAGAGTTGCTGATGGTGATGTTGGCGGAGCGGCCGGAGGTCTTCTCGGTGGCGGTAACCTTGAGGATACCGTTGACGTCGACCTCGAAGACACACTCAAGGACGGCCTCACCAGCACGCATGGGAGGGATGGGAGCAAGAGTGAACTCGCCCAGAGAGGTGTTGTCCTCGCAGTTGACACGCTCACCCTGGTAGACGGGGAACTGGACAGTTTGCTCTGTTTCTTTTTGTCAGCAAAAAAAATCAGTCGAAGAAATTTGGAAAGGATAGAGCTCACGATTGTCTGCAACTGTAGTGAACGTTCTCTTCTTGATAGTGGGCACAGTCTGGCCGCGGGTGACGACGGGAGCAAAGATGTTGCCCTCCATGGCAACACCGAGGGAAAGAGGGACGACATCGAGCAGGAGGAGGTCAGAGGTGTCGGCAGAGGTGGCCTTGCCGGAGAGGATACCGGCCTGGACGGCGGCACCGTAGGCGACGGCCTCGTCGGGGTTGATGCTCTTCTCGAGCTTCTTGCCGCCGAAGAAGTCGCTGAGGAGCTTCTGGATCTTGGGGATACGGGTGGAACCACCGACAAGGACGATCTCGTCGACCTTCTTCTTGTCCATGCCAGAGTCCTTGAGGACCTGGGCAACGGGGTCGAGGGTGCCGGCGAAGGCCTTGGAGTTCAGGTCCTCGAAACGAGCACGGGTGATCTGGAGGAAGAAGTCCTCGCCGTCGAACAGCGAGTCGATCTCGATGGTGGTCTGGGCACCGTTGGAGAGGGTACGCTTGGCACGCTCGCAAGCAGTCCGGAGACGGCGGAGAGCACGGGGGTCGCCGCTGATGTCCTGTATTTCAGATGTCGAGTTAGTTTTTTTTTTTTTTTAGGTTTTTTTAGGTTTTTTTTTTTTTGGGAAAATCATGTTGGAAAGTCGTATAGATTGGAAAATATTACTACGGACCTTCTTGGCTTTTCTCTGGAACTCCTTCTTGCAGTACTCGAGGAGGTTGGTGTCGAAGTCCTGACCACCCAAGTGGGTGTCACCGGCAGTAGCCTTGACGGTGAAGACACCACCCTGGATGTTGAGGAGGGAGACATCGAAAGTACCACCACCAAGATCGTAGATGAGGACGTTGCGCTCCTTGTCGGACTTGCCGGAGCCGAGACCGTAGGCAATGGCCGCGGCGGTGGGCTCGTTGATGATACGGAGGACGTTGAGGCCAGCAATGGCACCAGCATCCTTGGTAGCCTGACGCTGGTTGTCGTTGAAGTAGGCAGGGACGGTGATGACGGCCTTCTCAACCTTCTTGCCAAGCTTGGTCTCGGCAATCTCCTTCATCTTGACGAGGACCATGGCAGAGATCTCCTGGGCGGAGAAGGTCTTGGTCTCGCCGAGGTACTCAACCTGGATGACAGGGTTGGTGCCCTGCTCGATGACCTTGAAGGGCCACGACTCAATGTCCTTCTTGACGACGGGGTCATCGAAGGGACGGCCAATGAGACGCCTTCACATTCAAAAGTCAGCAACGGTGCTCCCTTGAGCGCGCTCAACCAAACATGGGTCACAACTCACTTGGCATCGAAGATGGTGTTGCGAGGGTTCATGGCAGCCTGGTTCTTGGCGGCCTCACCAATCAGACGCTCCTTCTCGTTGAAGGAAACGAATGAGGGGGTGGTGAAGCTACCCTGCTCGTTGGCAATGATCTCGACATTGGTGCCCTCGTAGATGGCAACGCAAGAGTAGGTAGTACCTGAAGGGGGTATTCTCTGTTAGCTCTGGTTGTTCTACAATTCCAAGTGCCTGCCTCTCATGGTGAATGTCTCATGTGATGCTTTTTTCCTGTCCCACACTTCGTCGCGATCATCCAGCCACAACTCTGACGTTTCAAGGTACAAACAAGAGTTTCGCACAGCTCGTCAAGGTAACCGAGAAGAACTCGTATTTGCCTCACGGAACCATAATCTGTATACAGACTCTCAAGTCGTCCTTTTCGAGCGTAGAGTTCGAGGCGGCGGTCGCGGGGGCGGGGATTATTTGTGCGGCGGTTCGAGCAAAATTGCCCGTGGGGTCTTGGTGAAGGCCGGTGGAAAACAACATACCCAAGTCGATGCCGATGGCACCATCGTAAGTCTCTTCGGCCATCTTGAATATGGATTTGTGTTTTGGTCGACAGGGAGAAGTGTACGGCCAGAGGGGATGGATTGGGGAGAGAGGATGGAGACCAGCAGGCCGAGGGGCAGATTTTAAGAAGAATAAAACACTGGCACTTGGCGGGACAGCAGAGGCGGCGGCTGGGGTGGGCTGCACGAATCGGACCTTGGGCTTTTTGGGGGGCAGGCAGACCCAGACTTTTTTTTTCTCCTCTGCTCGTTTTCTTTGCTCCTGCCCGCCGCCCGCCGCCTGGCCTCCGGGCCTCTGCCGGCGCAGCGGTGCCTTTTCGCACTTTGCCCGTCCATTTTTATTTTTTTGCCAATGCGGTGTGAAATTTCTTAGGCGGGCCCGGCGACCGACCCCGCAGCCACGCTAGGGCCCAATGGGGACTGGACCCTCGTCTTGTCTCACGCGCAGGGGTCTTGTTCTCCCTTGGTCGCTTAGCTCAGCAGGGCCTCCTCCATCTTCCTCTCACCACCTCGCCAACCACAGGCGTCCCTTTCGTCGGACCTCCACGACTCAAGCACGACACCCTCCGGTGCCCGCGAGTCTTTACACGCCACCGAGCTAGGACTCCCCTAGTCCACTGCCCTCAGACCTTGGGGATGATCTTGGAGAGCCCGGAGAATCCAGAGGCAAAGGAGACACCCCTTGAGCCCACACTCTGGCCGGCTTTTGGGTGAATGCGAACACACGCGTATCACTTCTCTACCCTTCACGGGTCCCAGACACCACTAGAGAGCAATGTCGGGTTCTTCCGTGAGGTACTTGTTGGCCGGGCAAAGTCGATGATGTGACGGTGCTGAGGCAGCGATATTTGATGCTGCGAGATATCCCGAAGCAAGAGTGACCCGCTTCAACTTCGAGCTGTTGTGTATCCACGTGGCGAATGCTTCCTCATAGGGATTTCCGATTATTGCATCTTTCGACGAGTGAGTGAGCGACCTTAGTGCCACGGAAGTGCCCGAGGAGTGGCCACTTGCTGAGAAGATGCCTCTGAGGAACAAACGGGGCATCGTGAGGCAGTAAATATACCTGGACAGATGCTCCCCGTGTGCAAAAGCTACAGCTCCCTGTACAATCCAGCAGCATTTGACTAGGTGAGGTGGGCACGACCCTGCATCAACCTAGAGATGCTCTGTGGAGACCGATGTCTGTCAGTTCTTGGGCATTTCCACAGTGGGCGTCGATGGCGGACAGCTGTGATATTGCCATCTTTGACCGCCCTATATTTGGCTACGCTACGCATCCCGCAGCCGCGCGGAACTGCAGGGGGCCAGTGACGTGCATTGACAGCTCCGTCCGAGCTGTCGCGAACAGATTGCAGCATCCTAGCAATTCATACGACTGGCAGCCTGCGCACTTGCTGAGAGCTGGCACTACAGCATCCCGAAGCTGTCCTGGGAAGCAAGCTGGTTGTTTCTGAGCGTCCACCTCGCACTCGATCAGGCGCTCCAGATCTGCCTTTGTTTCTCAGCATCTGATTATCTCACACGCGCGGATGCCTCGCACTGCGCCATGAGTGTGAAACAAGCACTCGCGCAATGTCATCTCAGTCTTCATCGTCGGCTGCAGCCTCGACCTTGACCCGTCCTCGAGTAGCCATCGCCATCGTGTCAACGCTCTCCGCGATTGCCCTTGGCTACTACACGTATGTCCAGTCGAGCGCGACTGACTCAGCATCACCTCCGACTGGCTCAGGACTCCATCGTAGCAATGCTGTCCGCCGTAATAGGCACAGCCAGCATCACGAAGATGACATCGAGGAGCCCGAGTCTCCCGGCAGTGGGCGGCACGCCGCGGCAACAGACGAAAACTTAGACCTCGGCAATCAACTTGCGATTCGCGAAACGATCGAGCTTGCCGACGATCAGAACAACGAGGAATGGTACACGGACGGTGCCAGGGAGCCCAGGCAACGCAGCGGCGAGAACATTGTCACGCTCCTCTTCCGCGTCTCTGAGGACAACGCGCGGCGCAACGCGTATGTCCACCGGGGCTGCCAGTGCAATGGCTGCGGCATGGTTCCCATTCGTGGCATCCGTTACCGCTGCGCGAATTGCGCAGACTTCGACCTGTGTGAGGCGTGCGAATCTCAGTCCTTGCACAACAAGACACATGTGTTTTACAAGGTCAAAATCCCTGCGCCGCCTTTCGGACCTCGACAAATCCAGCCAGTTTGGTACCCTGGTGATCCCGATACTGCACTGCGGCAGCTGCCTAGGTTCCTCCTCACCAAATGGTCGGCGGAGACGGGGTTTGAGCGGGTAGAGCTGGATGCCTTGTGGGAGCAGTGGACTTTCATGGCAAACAACGAGTGGCGCGATGATCCGAACGGCTTGTGTCTCGCTATGGATCGCAAGACGTTTGAGCGGTGCTTGGTTCCTTCGGGAGGCTATCGGCACGCTACACCCAACCTCATCCACGACCGCATGTTCGCATTCTACGACACGAATAACGATGATCTTATTGGTTTTGAAGAGTTTCTCCACGGCGTCTCGTACAGGAAGAGAAAGGACAAGCTCAGACGAACATTTGACGGTTACGACATTGACGGTGATGGATACGTCGACAGGCGCGACTTTCTACGCATGTTCCGCGCGTACTATGTGCTCTACAAGCAGATGCATAGAGATATCCTAGAAGGTCTTGATGACCATATGATGACGACCATCGAGGCACAGCAGCTCATCAACAGCCGCCAGCCGTTGAGCAGTCTTTTCGGCAGAGAGGGCCGTGTTCCCCCCGCTGAACACTCGCGCCCTATGCATGGCAAGATCTTCCACTCGAACGGGGACGTCCGCATTAATGACGATAGAGGAGTTGTTCATGGGGACACTCCAGATGTTTCTGGACGGCAGGAGATTCTGAACAATTTGTTTACCCGCCACAGTCACCAGGGCATGTTCACAGAATCTTTCAGCTCGACACGCAGGCCTGGTCCACTGAATGGCGACAGTCGGTACTGGTCTGGCATAATCAACCCACCGCAAAACCTAGTTGACTTGTCGTCTTTGATCTCGGGCGACTATCCGCAGCTCGATGCAATTCTCGATTCCGTGCGACAAGAGCACCAGGCCATCGTGGATCAAGCCCAGCAGCAGTCAACCTCGTCAGATGAGGACGAGGACCGCACATCTGATGAACAACAAGAAAATGGCGACGCGAGTGAGAGAGACGATACTCGGGAATTCTCACAGGAGAACGGCGCAGCTCGAGCCATCCCCGATCCAGCGCTTTTCACCAATACGCTGCCGACAGAAAGCCAACTGCGAGCTCAGCACCAAGCCATCTCGGCACACAGCAGTCGTCATCGAATGGGACATGAGAGACGGCAGCGGACGCAAGCTAGACGGCAGCTCCTGGATAGATGGCGTCGTCGGCATTTCTACCTTGACGAAGAAGAAGGCGCGACTCCCCCACAGGGCTGGATTCAGGATCAGGACGTCTTTGCCGAAATGGCAATCAATGGCGGAGCACGCTCGGACAGCGGTGCCTCCAAAAGAACAACACGCAGGCGCGGATCGTCCGGCGTGCCAGAGGCAGAGAAGGATGCCGGCAAGGAAATCCTATACCAAGTCACCCAGCAGGCGTTCAATGAATTGCTGGATGAACTTTTCAAAAGAAAAGAGGACCTCGCGGTTCGCGCTGCGGAGACGCGGGAGCAGAGAGCCAAGTACCGCTCGCTGCTCGAAGCTATCGAGCTGGGCGACGAGAACCATCACGCCATGAGACAAAAGTCTCCCATTCCTTCCGCGACAAGACCGCCACTAAGCAGCCTGAACAACAATCGGCCTATTCGCGAGCAGAGCCTCGAGGAACTCCTGCAGAGGAGTGGATACACAGTGACCGACTCGGCTGACGAAGAGCACGAGGCGGATGGCGACCAAGACCTTCAGGACTATGGTAGACAACCACAAAGCCAAATCAACGGTCATGATGGCCCACAATCTGTCGTTTCAGGCACGGAATCCGCTACGGCTGGAGGTGTAGCTAACGGCTCGCGAGACCTGCCCGCAGCACCAAGGCGAGCTGCGTCGAGCAGACCACAACGGCCGGCCCACTTGCCAGCTTTCTGGGATCCTACAATGCCTCAATTCAGGCCGAATACCCTATCCCGAATGCAGGGGGAACTCCGGAGCACATTACCACGAGCACAACGCCGTCTTCGGAAGAGCAGACCTCGGGCAGCGGGTCATCTTCACATCCTCAGAGTCGCGACGCTGGCCCGGATAGCGGGCCGCACCCGGAGTCGGCTCCGGATGCCCAAATTGACCACAACACCTTGGTTGCATGGAAGCGGCTGGATATGGCCGAGGATGAAGCCCGAGAGCGGGGCGGCTGGGGCAGGCTGAGCTACGAGGAGTTTGAGGAGATATACCGGGAGCACGAGTTTGCCGACGGCGGGCGCAACCGGCTCGACTACCTGGGTAGCTGGATAGACTTTTGCATTCCTTGAGCGACGACGACGACGACGACGACGTATGGCCGAGGGATTAAACAAGACTTCTATCAAGTTCCACGATCTGACACTTTTGATGCATTGGAGAGCGGCAACTGCGTGAGTGCTCGCCCGATATTGTTCGCGGAAAAAACCAAATTGCACCGTGGCATTGACGCGCGTCACTGGATGGACATCGCCTGAGACGACCAGTCGCGACGGAATTTGAAGCGCACAAACATGCCTGCTCATGCCCTCATTCACCGCCGCCACTAAGACGGACGAGTAGCGTAAGCGTAGTGATTAAGTTGGCGCGAAAGCATGTGACTTGGCGTTCACGCTGCTCCATAGCTACCAAATTGTGAGTCAGAGAGGCGGCCCCCTCGTTCGATGGAGACGACGATCCTGGATCGGAGTCGGGGTAATTTGCAGACTTTAATAGACCAGGTGTGTCATATTTGAGTTGGGTTTTATTTTTTGAGACGTGGCTAATTCACTATGCGATGAGCATCTCTGCCATGGTGCAGCCGTATTGAATTGAGAAAGGGACATGGGTCTTTTCATATATATTTTTTGTCTTTGCTCATGTTGTCTCCCATCGCGTGCATGCCCGTGTCAGCCGCCTCAAACGCAACGAGCTGCACCCTTGTCGACCGCTCCCCGGAGAAGTTGCACCGCACTATAACAGCCCCTGTGGCATGGGGGGCCGATGTCATAATGTGGGGGTTGTGAGTGCCACTGGTGCCTGGACTGGAGACAGGCCAACTTTGATGTGTGCTATATCGGCCCTGTGAGATTGTTGACGGGACGGCCGAAAGATGGCCCTTGCATCTGACTCGATTGACGTTGAATAACGCATAGTCCCAGGCTGGTATATAGTTGCATACTGCCGCATCCCGAATCTGCCGTGGTGCCTCAGGCTATTCCCTTCATCTCCATCATCAAGATCCCACACTCTGGACTTCACAGCTTGGGTGCTGTAGCAAGAACTGCCGGGCTTGCAGGCGGAGCTGCCACGGCGCACTAGAGCACCCGCCTCCGACGACAACCTGGAACGCCAAACTGCGACCGCTTCTCGAGTGACACAGAGTGGCCAGTGAAATCAACGAACAACCCACACAACTCAATCCTCAGCAGCATCAAAGACAGGAGACACCAGCGCCATACACAAACGCAAATACAAGCTATACACGAACAGTAGCAGCAGCAGCAGATACTCCATAAAGCACCCAACCCCCAATCACGACAATCGAGAGCGAAACTGGCAAGCCATGGACGCGCGATGCCAGTGCGGGGCTGTCCAGTTCCAGATCCCCACGCCAAAGTACGTCGTCTTTAATCCCAAAAAAAACCCAGCAGCATCCTTGGTCGAGAAAAATACTTGCTAAATGTTTCGTCTTCGTCTCTCTCTTTTTGTCTTGCGATAGACCATTGGCGCTGTACATCTGCCACTGCGCCGAGTGTCGCCGCCAGACGAGCTCCGCGTTTGGCACTTCGGCCATCTTCCCCCGGTTCGCGCTGCCCGAGAGCGACGCCCTCGCTTGTTACATGTAAGTTTTTTCGGGGCGCCCGTACAGCTTCCGTCTTTGCGGGTCATATGGGCTCTTGAGGGTATCTGTGAGACTGGTGGTAAAAAGAAAAAGCCAGACAGGGCTAATAACCTCTGTTTTCTTGTTAGTCGGCCGGTACAGTCGGGAGTCAACTTGTACTGGTAAGTATCCCGTCTTGACCATCTCGTTGAATCATCTCGAATTCTACCTCGAGTTTTCTGGCACGCAGAAGGGAAACTTCCCCCATATGAGTCGTTTTTCTAATAGTGAACTGACGATCTGGGGCCGCTGGCCGTGGTCTAGCTACTTCTGCCGCCACTGTGGCACAAGACTGCTGCATAGCACACCAGTAAGTACTTCACCTTGCTTTTACCACAGAGCATTGTTGGGATGGGAACAAAACGGGGCTTGGAGGTCCAGCCCTTCCCTCACCCTACTTTGCGCAACCCAGGAAAATCTGAAAATCCTTCATGTTGACTCGCATTCTCGCCCTCCACCAGAACAAAAAGGTCGTCTCCGTCAAGGGCGGCTGCATCGACGGCCTCGACTGGACGCGAGCAATCCACATCTGGACCAAGTCCGCCATGGTGCCCATCCCCGAGGGCGTCGAGTCGTACCCGCAGGAGGAGGAGGACCGGCGGAGCAGCGTCAGCAGCAGCGGCGAGAGCTACGCCTCGTCGCAGGAGTTCCTGGACCAGCCGAGCTCCGGGCCGTACCTTGGACACACGGTGCCCGGTCCGGGCCCTCGTGGTGCTGCGGTAGGGGCGAATGCATCGGCTGCGGCTGCGGCCGCGGGTGGTGGGGCGAGGACTTCGGCCATGGATGAGGATGGTGTCAAGAAAGATCCATCCGTAAAAGGGCTGTGTGAGCTGAGCAGTGTATAATTATGTGGACGGGTGTGTGTGTGTGTGTATGTCGTTTGGGTGAGGTCTCGGCGGAAGCTCGGAGGCGTTTGGGTTGTCTAGGGTGCGACGGCCAAGAGTTTGTATGTCTGAAAATAATTCTTATTGCTACCGTGGTAGCATTAGTTCTCGGCCAACATTGTCTCTGTAAGAAGTCAGAGAATCCTCGCCATATACGGAACGGCTTTTCAGTGCTAAAGGGAGTCGTACACGTGAACAAGGATTTAAATATGAGGACCCGAGTTGGACATTCCCTTTGCTATATGAGAGCATATTTCTGCGTACAAAATCCTGGAAAGAAAGATGACGATAGTGCAGCCCCTCCAGTTGAGCAAGACTACAATTAATGGCATAAAGTGTCTGCAAATCATGGGCTGCCTACAAAAATTTCCGGGCGTCGACCACTCATCAGACAAACTTGCGTACACATAGCCTAAACCTGAGGCACTGTCCAATCATCTTGCCAAGATTCGGACACTCATCGCTCCAGTGCCAGTCGGCTTGGACCATATTAGCGAATGCTCCCGTGATTACCCGTGTATCAAGAGGCTAGCCCATGCGGGTCACACCGCCGACTAGTCGCAGAAAGGGCGAGTGGTCCTGCATGCTTGCATGCAATCTCGTGACTGACCAACAACCTGCAGACCTGGGAGACTACTCGGCAACAGGCTGCTGATGAACCAGCCATCCATGACCATGGAGGGTGACACGGTCACGCATTACGATATTGGCAACAGACTATCTCTTCCTACTATTGGTTCATGGACGTCTCAGACTCATCCTCTTTGGCTTCGAAGTCTGGCTAGGACCATGGACATATCGCGGCATAGGCGTTGGCCAGATCGATAAAGCCCCCGGATACAGCAGTCCAAGAGATATCCGAGCACACCCTCTCGTTCCCTCTTCGCAACAAGGAGTTTAGGCGGTCTCACCCAAGCCCACTACAGAACTTACGGCTGTGATTTGTCACGTCATTGGGTCTGCTGGTGTTCACGCTACAAGTAGGCTATCAACCTACACACCCACTTTCCAACTCAGGCATATAATAGCCTTGTCATAGCAGCCATCATCAACAAAGATTACATAGGCAGCATGTCGCACCGTCACTTGAACGGCCAGTTGTACATGGGGTAGGCCGGTGGGTGGTTGATGTTTTGTTTGCTGGTCCACGCCCCCAAGAGCAAGGATCTCTCTGAGACCTTGGAAGGGCCCCTGGCTGGACGTGACGAGCTGCAGAATATAGCCGCAGTTGGTTGGGAATGTCCAGCGATTGGCTGGTCTCCAGGGATCAGTGTGATATGGGCCAATGGTTGAAGAGATTTAGAGGCCGGGGGAGGTCTGGGACCACGACATGCTGGTCACCGGTGGGCAGTAAATCAGATCTCGACAAAGAATGATTCCCGGATCTCATGGACCACGGCCCGGCCGGTATCATGTCGGTGCGTCAAATTCGCCATGCGATACAGAATGTTTCCTTGATTTCTTGGCCTTGGCCATGCGCTTTGCACTGCCATACATGCACCAGACGGTGCCAGGGGTGCCCGCCGCCGCCGCCGCCCGACTTCTCTCAGAAATGAACAGGCCAATATGTGATTGCACCGTGAATGAGGCATTCAATCGAATGTGAGCATGCTGCTCATGAAGCCAGCGTGCACTGATCCACTCCACAGCTCTTTGCAAGCCAAGGAGCGGAAAAGCAAGGAACCAAGGGCTTGAGACCTCTTCACCGCGGCTGAACCTAGCCTCAAGCGCCGGAGGTCTAGCAGGGACGGCACACGGACTATCCATCCGATTCTCTCCAATACATCTACATAGCTCTAAGGGTGGTCAGCGGGAGGAACCAAGAGCTCCATAATCCTTGCCGCCCTCTTCGAGGCTGGATAATACTTTCTACAACAGGCATAGGCGTACAGCCGATTGGATCGTGCCAGGGAATAACCTGGCAACAACAGTAGTCGAGGTCTAGACGGCATGCCGTTCCGCGGAAGCGCTCCGGCCTGCACTCCAAGTGTGATCGTCACACGCTAAGCGCGTAGGCACGGCGGCTTATAAAACGAGATCGCCACGTCCGTGCCAGCTCAAGCTTTCGGTTGCGTCCTGCATGTCATTTGATTGTTGTTCATTGGCTTCATGCAAAGCATCAATTGACTATACTTGAACCTTCGTCCTCAGAGCAGATATGACAGTGGACAGAAAGCCTGCCGTGCTTATTGTACACGGGTCGTGGCACAGACCATGTCATTACGAGTTCCTGACCCGCCAGCTGGAGAAGCTTGGGTTCGAAGCGGTCTGCCCAGCTTTGCCGTCAATAGGAAAAGACCGGCTCGGCAAGAGCTGGCGCGATGATGTTATGTGCGTCCGAGAGGCTGCGCAGCAACTTTTCGACAGAAATCAACAGGTAGTCCTGCTTGGACACTCGTACGGGGGCATACCTGCATCAGCTGCAACCGAAGGCTTGACGAGACTAGAGAGGGCGGCTGCAGGGCTTCCAGGTGGCTTCTGCCATGCCATTTACCTGTCCGCCTTCGCATTACCGGCTCGCAATCTGAGCCTCCTTCAAGCCGTGGGCGGCTGCTTCCCAGACTGGATGGAGTTTGGCGAGGTCGGTAGCGTTTCCAAGGTACCTCAAGTCATTGTTTTCCTTGCTGGGCACACGCGATTGTGATCCTTCTCTGATGATTTTTTTACCTCGCTGACCTTGAGGTTCTAGGATCGATCGACATTCGTCAATGAAAAGGCCGCGGAAGTTCTATACAATGATCTGTCCCATGCACAAATCAGGTGGGCGCTAGGCGAGCTAGTCCCTCAGTCACAGAGCGCTGTCGAGCACGGGATCCCATTTTCGGCAGCGGACGTCGCCACACCCAAGACCTTTATCATCTGTGAGAAGGATCGTGCGATGACGGTTGATGTCCAGGAAATGCTGATAGCAGCTATACCTGAGATGATGTCGCACAGGATCGACACGGGCCACAGCCCTTTTCTCAGCAAACCGGAGGAATTGGCTCATCTTGTAGCTGACATTTCGCAGGCTAGTTGGACGTAGGAGGCTGTCGTTGGATAAAGGACTGTGGGAGAAAGCAGCCTCTGAGGAAACAAGGGCCGGGCCTGAACGTACGGCAAGCACTATGACAGTCATGAATTCAACGCCACTTTACGAGCTGGAGCCAATGACATGCCTCAATGAAGAAACTGAGGTCCGTATTGGGCAGGTATTGCCAGAGACCCTCAGCAGGTTTTGCTCTGAGGTGCTTGGTCAGCAGCGACCTGATGGCAAGCCGCCGGCGGTCGGCTGGTGTCGAGAGCAAGTGGTCACGTCTGGCATGCCCACCGCATGCAACCCTCTGGAGTTGAGGATGCCCTGAATGTGGGGAAGAAGCTCGAGAAGAAGCGCGATGAAGCTTGCGTGGAGATGGCTAGTACAGTAGGTCGGGTACGTTGGTTGGTAGGGCAGAGAGAGGCGCCCAGGGCCGGGCTGTACCTTCCCCTCTAGGAAATCTTCCCCGCAGTTCGCTCCTGCCTGCAGCACCACGGGACATGCAACTGTTGTTGTTGCATGCTGGCAGCCAGCCAGGAGTAAAAATTGAGAAATCTTTACAGTCAGTCAATGTGCATGTATCAAATTGCATCTATGACACTCCGCCCGCTATCGGAGGATGAGAATTGAGATTGTGCCCCTTGAAGTCTCGGGAAGCCAAGGACTCTGGAGCACTCGGGTTGGGGGGCCTAGGTACAGTGCCCCTCTCCCCAAACTCGGGATTGCCAAATGCCAACGTCATATAAGCGCAGCGACTCCAACTTCTCCAAGCTCCCACCTCGTGGTCACGTCAAGTTGCCTTACACTCCCTCCCGTGACACAAATTCCCCCCTGTCCCACCACGCAGCCCGTACACACACAGTTGAGGGCTTGACTACACCTGCGCCGCCTGACTCCCCGTGCCCCGATCACAGCCGCTAGCATCGGCCGTCGTTCCGTAGATAAGGAACCGCAACCGGGACAGCTCGCCGACTGCGCAATCGGAGCCCCATCCACCCCTTCTCGCGAGACTTAGTATCGACTCTTCCCCCACCACCCTTTCTTCCTCAAACAATGTCTCTCGTCCGTAGTATCCAGAGAAGCGCCCTCTGCACCCTCAGGTCACCTCCAGTCAAGTCCCAATTCCAGCGATCTGTTTTGCCCGCTGTATACAGTCGCAGAGCTTCCACGATGGCTCCCAAGGTGTGTTGTTGCTACTCAAGCCGTGGTTCCTCGTCGGCACGACCTCCCGCCCGGGTACCCTCTTGCTAATACTTCTTTCCTTGTGTTGGATAGCTCAACGACCCCAGCCTGCTCAAGACGGATGTCGGCTATGTCAACGGCGAGTGGGTAAAGGCTGCCTCGGGCAAGACCTTTGAGGTCCACGACCCTTCCACGGGCAAGCTCATCGGCACAGTCCCCGAGTTCGATTCTGCCGATACCGAGAAGGCAATCAGCGCGGCCACTGCTGCGTTCAAGTCATTTAAGACCACCACAGGACGCGAGCGTTCCAAGTTGCTCCGCAAGTGGTATGATCTCATGGTAGAGAATGCCGACGACCTCGCCAAGATCATAACGTGGGAGAACGGCAAGCCTTTCACGGATGCCAAGGGCGAGGTGACTTATGCCGCCAACTTTTTTGAGTGGTTCAGTGAGGAAGCCCCCCGCAGCTACGGTGACACCATCCCGGTAGCTGTTCCGGGCAACCGCGTCTCCACGATCCGCCAGCCCGTTGGTGTCTGTGGTCTCATCACCCCTTGGAACTTCCCAGCTGCAATGATCACTCGCAAGGTTGGTCCTGCTCTGGCGGCTGGATGTACCACAATTGTCAAGGCGCCTGGTGAGACCCCCTTCTCTGCTCTGGCAATGGCTGAGCTTGCTCACCGTGCTGGAATCCCCAAGGGTGTCTACAACGTGGTGACATGCTTGGAAAACACCCCTGAGATTGGCAAGATCCTCACCACGCACCCTGAGATCCGCAAGGTTTCCTTCACTGGGTCAACTGGAGTTGGCAAGCTCCTTATGGAGCAGTCGTCGTCGACGCTCAAGGTCCTCTCGATGGAGCTGGGTGGCAACGCGCCGTTCATCGTCTTTGATGATGCTGATGTCGAGGCTGCCGTGGCCGGCGCAATCGCTTCGAAGTTCCGGTCTTCCGGGCAGACCTGTGTATGCGCCAACCGCATCTACGTGCAGAAGGGCGTCTACGATGAGTTCGCGGCCAAGTTTGCCGAGAAGGTGAAGGGATTCAAGGTCGGCCATGGTTTCGACGAAGGAGTCACCCACGGACCCCTGGTGCACAGCCGCGCTGTCGGCAAGGTGGAGGAGCACGTTCGCGATGCCGAAAGCAAGGGTGCCAAAGTGACCGTGGGTGGACAGAAGCTGCCCGACCTGGGTGCCAACTTCTTCCAGCCCACCGTCATCACCGGCATGACCAAGGAGATGCGCATTGCCAGCGAGGAGACATTTGGCCCAGTTGCTGGCCTGTTCCCCTTCTCGACCGAGCAGGAAGTTGTTGACCTCGCCAACGATGCCGAGGTCGGCCTTGCCGGATATTTCTTCTCCCGTGATCTTGAGCGTATTTACCGGGTGGCTGAGGCTCTCGAAGTTGGCATGGTTGGTGTCAACACCGGCCTCATCTCGGACCCAGCCTCGCCCTTCGGTGGTGTCAAGCAGTCCGGTTTCGGGCGGGAGGGTTCCAAGTATGGAATCGAGGAATATCAGAACCTCAAGACCATTACATTCGGTGGAATGGGCAAGCCTCTGCAGAGCTGAGCGGATTGCATGTTTGAAGAAAAGTAGATACTAAAATTCGGAGTTTAGTCTAGATGTTCATTAATGGAAAAAGTAACTTAATGCATTTGACTTGAATTTTAATTGTATACTTAGGTAGTTTCATCTCGAGTTAATCTGAATCCTGGGGCATATATAAAGAACTGGGCATACCTGTCAATACTAGTCTGACAACTCCATCCAGAAAATTAATAAAATTGACTTCGATCTCGTTCAAGGCAAACGGCAAGTATGTGCAGTGTGCGGTACCTGGCCTCTCTCCTTGATCCTGCTCGAGGGGACACTGAAGAGCGGCCCCCCGCATAATGCACAAGTCGCATTTGATGCATGCACGCAGACGACCACCACCGACCCCCGGGGCTCCACCAGGGCAGATTCTAAACCCCATGTCCAGCCCAAATCCCCCAAAGAAACGAGGAGGGGGACAAGTTTCTCGACGACCTCACGAGCAACGACAGTCTCTTTTTTTTTTTTGGACGCAACACGCGGTCACTTCCGAATCGTCGCTCTTCGCCATGATCCGGAACCCGCTCCAGACCGCGTTCACGCGGACGAGGCCAGACCTCGCCCGAGTCGCGGAAGGCATCTCGGCGTCCCTGCGCAGCTTCTCGGTCGCCCAGCGCCTCGCAGCCGCGAATCCCAGCGACGACAATGGCAGCAGCAGCAGAAGTAGCAGCAACAGCAGCAGCAGCAACAGCAACAACAAACCCGCCTCGTCGCCATTGGCACCCACAAACAACCGCCAGAGAGCCAGCTCCGCCGTCGACAACCTCATCTACAAGGCCGAGCAGAGCGTGCGAAATCTGCAGAACCCGTCAGCAGCAGCGCCTGGAGGACCCGGCGGCCAGAACATCATTCGCGTCACAAGCCTGCGCGGCCGCGGTCGCGGGAGGGGCGGTGCGTTCGCGGGGCCGAGAAACCCGCCGGGGCCGAGCGGCGTGACGGAACGTCCTGGCGCAGACTACACCCGGAGGCCATCGCCGTTGGGCATGGGCTTGAATGTCGCGGGCAGCGGCGGCGGCGGCGGTGGAGGACGAGGCCGTGGAGGGATGAGCCGGGGCGGGCGCGGCGGACCCAGGAGAGACGGTGGTCGAGGCGGCAGGGGCGGGCGCGGCCGTCGCGGAGCAGCACGTCGCGGAGACCGTGGCGAGGGCAGAGACGGCGCCGATGGAGAGAGGCAGGACACACGGAGGCTCGATCCTCTGTTCGTGACGGACGAGGAGGCCGCGTACGTGTCACGGCTCGAGGTCGGCACGGGCAAGGTGTACGACCCGACGTTCACCCTCGACTCGCTGCACGGCTACGCGCCAGCGGTTGCCACGACGTCTTCTCCCTTTGGATACGCTGCGACGGCGGTGACCCAGGCACGCATGCTCAGCGGCGGACAGCCCTACAACGACGAGAACCACGTGCTCCCAGAAGAGGCGCTGGCCAGGTCGACAAAGGGCCACGGCGTGCTGTTCCCGAGCGTAGAGAGCCGCGTGTGGACGCAGGAGTTCACCACGGCCGAGGGCGTCGAGTACAAGGCCGCCAACGCCGAGACGAAGCAGGCGGTTCTCGAGGCCGCGCTGCAGGGCAAGTACGATGCGCCGCAGGCTGTCAAGCTGGGCGACACGCTCAACTTGGTGCAGAATTACGCCAAGAAGGACACGCGCATCTTTGGGCAGCCGGGCCGTACGATTCATGACAAAATCAAGAGTTTGCTGCCACAACAGGCTGCTGCTGGAAAGGCGAAGCAGGCCGGTGGGGATGCGAAAAAGGCCAAGGCGTGAGGAGCCATGGCTTGCACGTAAATGCATCAAGGATTGGCTGGACCTAGGCACGGCTGTGCTTATAGAAAGTCGTGGAGCATGAAGCAAAATATGCTGGCCACACTGGGACAAGATTGAAGGTACTGTCTTGTCTCTGGTTGCCCGGGCACATGTAGAGCGCTGTAACAACAACCACCCGTGTAATGTACATATACAAGCAAAAAGAGGCACACGTTCATCATTTTCATGCCTCGCGAGATGCACACCACGTAATTGACAGCTGTTTGGAGCTACATTTCCGGGTTTCAGACATATCATTATGCCCTGGCATGGTGCTAAATCGCCTGTGGACCAGGGTAAAATCACATTGATATAATACACATAGCTCATCGTGCCGAGGTCATCCCGCCTCAAGCTACCTGGGCGAGCTTGAGAGTTTCCTTCTCCTTGGCATCAATCTCGGCGTTCAAGGTCTTGATGACTTTCTCAAGCTCCTTGTCCGCTTGCTTCTTAGCATCAGCCAGCATCAGACCATCCTTGCGCCACGCGGTGTGCTGCTTGTCCCTCTTTTGGCGAATGAGCTTGACCTTGCCACGCCAGTCATGGCACAGGGCCTTGATGCGCTTGGCCACCTCGTCCGGCTTCTCAGCCTCAATCTTGAGAATCAGCTCGAGCTCGTTGTCCGGATCCCGCTGGGGCTGCTGGTTGAAGTCCGCGCTCGACTGGATGGCCGACATCACGGGCTTCACGTACGCAGCCTCGTGCAGGATGATACTGATCGTCCGTCCGCCTTTAGGGACAACCTGGCCCAGCTCGCGCAGCGGGTACGACTCCCCCGTCGCCTTGTCCGTCGTCACGGGCAGCGAGGCGATGCTGTCTGGGTTGAACCGCCCGCCCGCGCGGAACTTCTTGAGCTTCTCGATGAAGTGCTCTGACTGCTTTGCGTAGCGCGCCTTGACGTCGTCAAAGTTCAAGGGATCTTCCGGGTTGGCTGCCGGGCCGCCGCCGCCGCCACCTCCTCCTCCGCTTTTGGAGTCGTCCTCTTCTCCAGCACCTCCTAACGAGGACGACGAACTTTGCGCGGCGTGCTTGTTCTTGCCACCCCTGCCACCCTTGGTTTCCTCGACCTGGCTGTTGTTCTTGTCTCGCGACTTCTTCGAGAGCGCAGGTGTGCTGTGAATCCAGCGGCTCGTGGTGGCATTGCGGTCTCTTGATGCTGCGTTGCAGCTGTGGTGCGTCGGTAATCGTTGTTGCCTCGGGGTTGCTGGGTAGCTCGAAGCTGAAGACTGGATAGTGTTTGTGCTGTATCGTGCTGTTGCTGCTGCCGCCCCCAGGGCATGCAATGGTGCTCGAGCATTCTGCCTTGAAGAAAGAAGTCATGTTAATCCATTGTTCTTGCCCTTAATCACTTGTGAGATTGCACAGGGACGCCAATTGGTCTTGTGAACTTACAGGCTGACCGTCTCGCACCAGGCGAAACCGCTCTGCAGAAGCGATCTAGCTGTCGGTGTGCTATTCATTTTGTGGTTGATGTTGTTACCCGTCAAGCTGGATCTGAGCAGAAGCTGTATCCAGCTGAAGCTGTTGACAGCCCCGCCTGCTGTGGTCAACAGGCACGGCACATGTGTACTGTTAAGCCCCGCTGCAATCATACCCAATGAAAACGGTCGATTGGCCCAGTGGTTAAGGCATTCGCTTTACAAACCTCCTCCTCGGATGAGAAAAGATCGCGAAGGATCGCAGGTTCGATCCCTGCATCGATCATTTTTGTCCATGTAGGACAAACTCTTTTCTGCCTTCCCCTTGCTTCTGCTGTTGTATCGGTGAGGCACTTCCCTTTTGTCGCATTCATGGTCCGCGTCCGTGGTGCTACCAACAGAGTGTTAGAGCAGGGCTTAAGCACTGCCGTCTGCGAAATGTTGCGGTTAAGCAGCCCTTGCAGGAGATCGTTCCCTCTCATGTCTGTGCTTTTCTCCACTCATGTCGATTCACATCAGTAGACACCGGGGCTTGGCAATATATACATCATGCCACGGCTGATGGGCAGTGTCGTTCCTCATTATCTATATGTCATGATACAAAAAGTGTTACAAGCCATTATACAGCAGGACCACGCTGGGCAATGTTCCCAGCCCTTTTATTTGCCAACAAACACCGGCACATGGTATACTGAAGTGTCCCGCGCGAGTGATGGGCAGTAGTACTTTTCCCCAAAGTCCAGGTAGTGAACAACATCACTTCTTCTCAGCACTGTTGTCATTTGATGATGCGGCGTTTTCACCAGACTTGAACACGCCAGTCACCTTGTCCCAGACGGTCTCCTCGCCCTTGGCTTTACGCGCAATGCGCTCCTTCTCTTGCTGCTCCCAGAGCCCGTGCACTCTGGCCGATATCTCAGCCTTGGATCGGAACTCGGCTCTGATGGCAGCCTCCTCGGCTGCCCGCTCCTCCTCGGGTACCTTGAGCAGCCTTGCGCGGAGATCCGCCTGCTGATCGGGGGTCAGCTGGCGCTCCGGGCCGATGCTGCGGACTGCCTGCTTCGGTATCAAGGGCTCAAAGGTCGGTAGCGGTCGGCCCTCGGCCTTGGCGGCATCGATCTCGGCCTCTTGCGCCTGCATCTTCTGGTAAAGCGCGTCTGCGTGCATCTGAATCTCTTCCTCGACCTGTGGCGAGCGATCTGCCGTCGACAGGTAGCCGAGCGCTTTCAGTAATCTCTGCAGAACAGACAGGTATTAGCAATGCCGCCTTCCCCCTAGATCGTTCCGAGCCGCTCTTTTTGAGAGACGTCAGGTCATGGTCTTTTCCTACCGTCTGCTGTGTATAGCACTTCTCAAACTTCTTGACCTGTGTCCGGCAGAGCGTCAGGCGCTCCGTGACGCTGGGGTTGGACATGCACGACCGCCAGTCCGACTGCTCCAGCGCGCAGTTCTCGAGGGCCGCCCTGCCAATCTGCTCCTTGCGGTCCTTGAACCCCTCGAGCACGTCCATGAGCTTCTCGTGGTCGCTCTTGGTCTCGTTCTCTATCTGCGCCAGCGGCTTGTACGACTTCCAGAGGTGCGCATAGCGGCCATCCTGGTACAGGCTCTCTGCGGGTACTGCCGGCTCGTTCTTGTCGGCCTCGATGAATGCTTGTCTCGTCGCCTCGATCTCGGCCGGCGTGGGGTTTCTTTTCGTGGTCGTGTTCGCCGCGCCGTACTTCACTGGCGACTCCTTCTCGAGGTATTCTCGCAGCTTCGGGTCGAGCTTGCCTAGCGGGTCGTCGCTCCTCGAAGATGACCAGAGGCTGTCCCACCAGCCCATGGCGCCGCTCGTGGGTCTTTATCGCAGTCAAGGTGCTCCGGGACGACTTCAGAACTTTCTCCTGTCCTGTTGCGTCGTTCTATTGCTGCGAGAGCTTGAGGGTGGTCGGTTGGTAGAGTCGCAAACTGACGTCCTATCAAAGGGAAGCACTGCCCGCGATGCTCACGAAAATAAATCCTGGGTGCCCCACATCTACCACTTTTGAGAGCTCCCCCCCTCCCGAGGTCCCGTATCTGCAATACCTACTGTACGTGGATGGATACTGCTCAACGATGTTGACTATGAGCCGACCACAAGGTTGCAGCAGATCACTACCCCGGATACTGATTGACGCTCTTTCAACTTCATGTTGTGTCCAAATTTCGGGGTCCTTCACCAACTCGAGGGCAATCCGTTACTGGATGCGAGCCCAGGAGCTGAAGCTAAGTGGGCGCGTCAATGCAGTCACTATGATGCATGTGATACCGCGCAAACTGCTGCAGAACATGCCAGCAATCACAAGACAAAGGAAGGACGCGTTATTTCTGTAGGATAATTCGGTGTCATTTCATCAATTACAGTCCGCGAACACCGGGTCGGCGAATTCAAGATCGCCCGGCGCATAACCCAGCTTAGCAACTAGCCTGCGCGCTGTTGGCCACTTCCACTTCATCCTAAGGCGTTGCGTATATCTCGGTGTTGCGTGTGGGCAGACGCCATATGTTTGTGCCAAAGCCGTCCCTCGCCAGTGGAGGGACCCCCCCTTCCGTGAATCGTGGCATCGTGACCTGGTCGAAGAATCGAAACTCGTAAAGTAAGTTGCTTGGTATTCCTTTTATTTTTCAATTCTACCGGCACGACATTGATTTTTTTGTCGAAGCAGAACCCTATGAACCACCCGTTCCGAATCTGCTAATGGTGAAGAATCCTCATGGAACGACAACGCCAGTGATGCCCGAGAAATATCCCCAAATTTAAAACTTGCTGAACTTCTTAACGCCCTTGCCGGTTCTGGGAAGCACACGGAGAACGTTGAAACGGACCTGCGGTAGATCATGTCAGTATGTCATAAGAAAAGGTTGAGAGGGACATGACGGTGGCCCTGGTGATCTGAGTTTGGTTGTCGCGGGGGCACATACAGTCTTGCTGAGAGGCCGGCACTGGCCGACGGTAACCTGGTCACCCTCCTGGACACGGAAAGCGGGCGAGACGTGCGCCGCGAGGTTCTTGTGGCGCTTCTCGTAACGGGCGTACTTGGGGATGAAGTGGAGGTACTCGCGGCGGATGATGATGGTGCGGTGCATCTTGGTGGAAACGACGGTGCCGGTCAGGATACGGCCACGGATGGAGACAAGGCCGGTGAAGGGGCACTTTTTGTCTGTGGATGAGAAAAACAAAGGTCAGCTAGCAATTCCCCGAGACAGCATTTCGGCCCGCAGCGGCCAAAATATCCCAATCGCAATCCGAATCTCAAAATGACCCCATGTCGTGTCCAACGTCGATGCGATTTCGTGGTGTTATTGGTGTCGTGGTTGTGGTTGTGGGACAGCCATGCGCCTTGCTCTGCTGCTTGTACAGATTGCCGATTTTGATGCCGTCCTCCTGGTTCCTCCATTTCCTTCTTCCTCCCTGCCCAGCGAATCTGATGTTTCCAGCGCGCATGCAGCGTCACGTACCGATGTAGGAGCCATCGATGGCGGCCTTGGGGGTTCTGAAGCCGAGACCAACGTCCTTGTAGAAACGGGTGCCCTTGCGGCCAGGCTTGGCGGCCTTGACCTTGGTCTTGGGCTTGAGACCAATGTGCGGCTGCTTGAGGAAAGCACGCTCGGACTGGACGGTCAACTCGGTAGCCATTTTTGCGATTTGTCGGTTGTCGTGAATCGCAACGGGGGTGGTTGTCGGTGGTTGTCGTGCGGGATTGTGTGGTTGGGTGTAAAGGTCGAGGCCCGCCTTGCAAATTTCCCTACCCAAGGTCAATTTTGCCCGGCCCAGAATTTTGGATTTCTTTGTGGGCAGTCGCTTCCTCGTGCAGGCCGCATGGGACTTGGGGGCCTGCGCCTCATGGCCAGTGCACGCACCAGCCACAGCGGGCTTGTGGCAGCGGCGTGGCCGACCCTGGTCCCCGCTAGTCATGGGTCTGACTCCACACTTGTGTCCGCAAAAGACCGTCCACCGGCTGCAAGACGGAGACAGCCTTTAGAATCCGCACAATTGAAGCACGGGCAGTATTGAGTCAGTGTCTATTCCTGACTAAATTCTACTGAAGGTCCATTTGGCTGTCTGCCTGTAAAAGCTCTGCGACTGCACTTGCCGTCAGGATCCTCTCTTGCCTATTGAGGGCAGAAATGAGGCTAGTATCACCACCCCTTTGCTCTTGATAGAGACGGAGGCGACGGAGTGCATCCAATGCCTCTGTCGGAGTGATTCTTGGCTCCTGTATCACCTCAGCTTCATCGCCATCTTCGTCACTACCGTCGTTGAACTCCGCGAGGATCTGGTCGAGATCTTCGAGTACGTCGACGACCTCCTCGTCTTCGGGGTTTAAGAAGTTGGCGACTGTCGTAATCTCCCGGATATGCTGTTGCTCTTGAAGGCGCCGGAAATTGGCAGCGATCTCGTACATGGCTTCAGATGTCTCGATAGATAGACTGCTATCAATCTCTGGCTCCTTGAGGGCCTTATTGAAGCACTTCACGATGGTCTGCGATGAGACATCGAGCTCCCAAGCTTGGATACCCCATCGCACAGCGAGAAGCACGTTCATGGTCTCGGCTGGCTGCCTTGTAGCATCGTACTCGGAGACCATAAATCGGACCCATTGACATCGCCAGAATACCTTCCACGCCCTAATAATCCCTTGACCGAGAGGTTGCGTGATCGCAGTTGCGTTTGGAGGGAGCCACACGATGAGGACGTTCGTAAGGGGGTTGGTACTTGACATAATAGTCTTGACGGCTGCCTCGTGGGCGGAGAGGTTGTCGAGCAATAGAACGACGTTCCTGTTCATCATCTTATTGTCGAACCAACGGAGCCATTCTTTGAAGATGACTGACGTCATCCAGGCCTGCTTATTTGACCGCCAAACCGCGTTCATGTTATCAATATTGACGCCAGCAGCAGCGAACGCGCGTGGTCTCTTTGCTGTGCCTACAAACCACGGCTGCAAACGCTCTGTACCTGTCGCATTACAGCAGAAGAGAGCTGTGATGCGTGCCTTATCTTTTTCGTGGCTGGCTGAGGCTCTTGACGAAGGACTACGATCTGGAATGAGCTTCCAGAGTAAGCCTGTCTCGTCGCAGTTGAAGATGTCGGTGTCGCTGTACTTCGCAAGGAGCAGTCGGATTGCAGTCATCGAGACCCCTGTTGCTGTCTCAATTCTCGCAGCCTCGCCGTGTTTAGCGCGGTATTTGACGCCATGGCGAGCCTCGGATCGTGATAGCCAGCCATTGCTGAGAAGAGGGACAGCGTGGTCCTTGTATTGTGGCATTTGAACCCAGTATTCCAGTGCCTTGTGCCTCAAGACCCCGAAGGCTATCGTGATGTGTTCCTGTGCGCGAGTACTCCACTCAGAGAGCACAGCCTTAAGATCTGGCCACTTCTGCGCTTTGGCGCTTCCCGCATCGAAGAGCAGACGTGGGTGGTGTCTGAGGAGAAACGGTGGCACGATCCGCAGTATCGAGGGAATCCGCACAATCGGGGTCAGCAAAGTCGCAGAACCCCTGCATGGCGGTCAGGCATCTTGCCCTCCATCTCTCTCGTCTTGGTCTGTAATGGCTTCTTCGCCAGTCAGGTCGTGGAAGGACGATGATCTGATTCACATCCATTCTCGGATGAGACAAGACCTGGTGCACTCGATGGGTTTGCTACAGCACATTCACGGGCCGAAGTCAGCAATACGCCCTCTTAATTCTCTGACCGTAGTCAATCATTGTGCTCGTCTCGGCCTCCTCGTGCAATCAATCGCCCACCCCGAGCATGCAGCGCCATGGCATGCCTGCGAACGGAAGGCTTCCCGTGCTGCAGGCTGAAGCTCCAGAGCCAAGCCGCCCACACATTCACAACTGTAAGTGGTCCTGTGCTGCCTGACTTGATCTTTGACTATGGTGCAAGTGGCCGCCCCACTCCTGGCCCGCCCCGGCGGTTGTTTACTTTGGCCCTTGTCCCTAGAATTGACAACCAATGTAAACATGACGCCAGGTCAGGCCGCGGTACCCCTGGCGGAAGCCCTTTAACGCGACTTTGGGGACTCCCCACCATTTGCATGTGCATCGCGTGCCACCGCAACACCCCCAGGTGATGAAGTAGCATCCACCAACAATTTTTGTATGATACCGCTCCGTCCACAGCGCGAGGAGAACCGCGCATGATCGCCCGCAATGGCAGGACGAGCTGAGACAACATTGCCCGCCACTAGACGCCCGCGCAAATCCACGGGCCACTCGCCCGTCCGCAAGCGAATCGAGAAGGAGAACATCACCGTCGACATGGCAAGCTCTCTGGCAGCCAACGCCGGTCGCAAGAAGCTGCGCAGCAAGAGTATCGGTCCCGGCGGCCTGGACGGGCTCAAATCCGCTGCTGGCAATCGTCGCGTCGTAAGTGTGCTGCGCGCATTCGGTGTACTCGTGATCATGGCTGTAGTTGGTTGCTGACGAGCTGCATCCAGTCGCTAGCTGCACCTTCAAAACCACCGCCACGGTCGATATTGAAACCCACCATCCCAGTACTGCCCGAGATACCACCTCATAAGCCGCGCGGAAAAGGAGCCGACAAGAACCATAATGATGCTGCCAGCACCTCCGGAACCAAGGTCGCTCTAAGGACCGAGGAAGAACAACAAGCAGCCGCGCGAGAACGAGAAGAGCGCGAGAAAGCTTTGGAGAAGGAGAAGGAAATCAAGGATCGCCGAGAAGCACGGCGGAAGTCTCTCGCGAATCGACGAGTATCTTTCGCGGCCGAAGCTACCCTTCACACCTTCCACGAAATCGAGTACATGCAAGACACCACCGCTTCGAGCAACTCAAATCGCAGAGCCTCGTCTTCTGGGCAGCGCTCGCAGGGCCAAAATGAGGACGAAGAGCTTCCCTCAACACCGCCCGATCAGACCGAGGATGTAGTACCGGGATCACCAGACGACCAGCGCGATATGCACAAGAAGAGCCGGAGGAGTTCTGGGGCAGGACCTCTTACCTATACGCACAATGACGAGGACACGATGGCTTCGACAGTCTATAGTTCGGATTCAGAGGCTACCGAAGGCGTCATTGAGGCAGACGATGTCGACTCCGATTCAGGGAGCGACTCTGATGCAGATGGTGTTTCTGTCGATCTGGATGTCGATGAGGTGACTGGTACAACTGTCGCTTCATTGGCATCTGCTATGTCCAGGCACTCGGATCTCACGACAGGATCGACCGACACCTTGGAGGGAGCGCTGCGACTTGCGACAAACCGGGCTGTGACACAGACTCTCGACGAGGACGAGGAGATCATCCCGTCTTTCGGGTGGGTGAAAAAGCCCCAACCCAAACCTTCCACGTCGGCCGCGAATCCTGCGGCGAATGGCGCTTTACGGAACAATGAAGACACTCTGGGCAATGTCGACGCGACTATGGATCTCGGCTCCGAAATGGAGCTCACCCGTCCTATTGGTGGTATTATCGACAAAGACGACGACGCAGCAGATGAGAGTTATCTGGATGAAGAGATGTCCATGGACGTGACCAGAGCTCTCGGGGGCATCGTGTCTGGAGCAGGCTCGCTTCGCTCTCACGGCCAGGCGCCAGAGCCTGGCTCGCCCATGAGCGAGGAGAATGATGATGCAACAATGGAGCTCACCATGGCAGTCGGCGGCATCAAGCACCAGCCTCGCCTCTCCGAGGGAGACCTTCTCGAATTCGACGATAACGAAGAAATGTCCATGGAGCTCACAACCGTGCTCGGGAAAGTGTTGCCTGGAAAGCGGAAATCATTACCTGGAAGGCGTCGAATAAGCACTGCAAATCAGGAAGACGCTACGATGGACATGACGATGGACATGACAACTGATCTCGGCCGCATTCTGCCTAACGACAACGACGAAGACGAACTTCTTGACGAAGCGACGGCCGATATGGATATGACCATGGCTGTTGGCGGAATCATATCCGAGCCGTCGCCGGCACGCTCAAGGAGTCAGGCAAAGCATATCATGGAGCAGGAAGTCAACGAGGCCGACGTGGCAACGCCAGACATCAGCTCCTCTGCGAAACGACGGTTATCGGAGGCGGTCAACCCCCCCAATGCCACGACGACCAAATCACCGGGCCGTACTGCCCTCAACTCTCGTGCATTTGGACAAAGTCTGCGCGCGCCACCGTCATCCAGCCCTTTCAAATCGTCCCCTTTCCGAGATCACCCCACCAGCCCTATAAAGCGATCACCTCAAAAACCAGCTCAAGCGAATACGCCTTCGAAAACTGCATCGCCACGGAAAACACCCAGCCAGCCTTTGAATACAAGTCGATTCATGAGTGGATCTCCGAGGCGGACGCCTACATCCATCACCAAGCCAGGTCGGCCGTTGTCAGCCCAGAAGCCCACCTCAGCCTCTCGTATCATGTCTCCCCTGATTGTTCTGACGCCACAGCAAAGGAGGCTTTCTGGACTCGGTGCTGACCGGGCTGGTCTGGGATCTCCGAAAGTAGTTGCCATGTTTGAGCGACGTGAGTCGCTCGGTCAGGCTGCCGAGACCTTCGTGCCTAGAGAAAGCATAGGCGCTCAGCGTGGTGTCTCGTTTGCCGACCCTCAGCTCATGGCTGAGGAGTTTGACAGAGAACTTCAAGAGACAGGCCCTACGGACGAGGACAATAACACCGCAACACTGAGAGACATGATCGCAAGCATGACGCCGAAGAAGAACCCCCTCAATGGCCGCAAAAGTCTCGCGGTTGGCAGTGCAGCAGGTCTTCTTGGCAAGAGACCTCTGGAGCTTGATGACGATGAGGACGACGACGAAGATTTCGAGCCGATGGATGGCGTCAAACGACTAAAGAATCACCAGGGCAGTCCGGTAAAGAACATCCGACTCAACGCGCCGCCAACAAAAGCTGAGACGTGGTCGAACTCTGTCAATTCAACCATGACTTTCTCGCCCAAGAAGAAAGTCCCCATCACGACGTCCCCAAAGTCTCGGAAGTACTTGAATTTTGTCGAATCAGATCTACCGACTGGCACGCTGAGTTTTGAGCACACTATTCGCATGGAAGATGAGGAGGACCAAGATAACGACGACGGGTCGCGCATCCATTTGCAGGACTTCCTCAACATGACAAGTATTCGGTTCATAGAACTGACGACAACCAAAAGCCGGCCTACACAAGGTCCTCGGACGACTCGCGACAGTTTCGTCCCCAACAAAGATGACGTCTCCCTAGAGAGGCGAGTGGTGGCTGGTGCTTGTACCGTCCCAATGCTGGAGCTGTACCAACACGTAAGTTTGGCCATAATCTGACTGAAGTTTCAGCGAGCTAACTCCCAAGCAGTCGTGCCGCGAGCTCAAGAAGTACATCTCAGAGGGTCGTAGGATTATCCGCGAGATCGAGACCGAAACGCTCGAGGAAAACCCGCCTCTGTTCCAGGAGTATATGAACGCCACGCCTGACTTCAAGATCATCATGGACAACCAGTTCAAGAACGTCAAAACTCATGCCCGCCTCTTGAGCAAAGCGATGTGGTATGAGTGGCGCAGCCAGCTGCAGGAGGGCTTAAAGGAGGGTTTGATCCGAATTGGTGAAGGGATGGACAATGATGAGAAACTGCTAAATAAGGAGCAGAAGCTTCTTGACTCTGTCTTGCCTGGTCTCCAGAAGCAGCTTGAGACACTCGAAAGCGAGCATCGAAACCTGCGTGTCGCCGCAGATGAGCTCGCAGACGGTGATCCGGAGGACCTGCAAGCTGCCCGTGACGAGCTTGAAGGCCTTGACGAGGACGTAGCCGCCAAGACTGCCAAAATCGAAACCCTCAGGCTACAGCTGGCGGAGACCGAAGCGTCCATCTCTGACTGCACGCAGCAGAGGACGCAGTGCATTGCCGACATTGAGCAATCCGAGAAGATTCGGGAAGAGTGCAGAGGCTGGACGTCCAGCGAGGTCAGCGTCTTGAAAGGTAAGGGCATACTTCTTGAAGCATTTCGAATCTTAGACATGTGCTGACTTGTGAGTGCAGCCGAGGTTGACAACCTTGAGCGGGCCTATGGCTGGACCATTACTGGAATTGCCGGCAGCACGGTGTCAATGACATATCTCAAGGAAGTCGAGCTCGTGTTCGACATGTCAGCGCTTGAAGGGCGCCAGCCCGCCGCGCAGGTGGATCTTTGGTACATCGCTGCAAACCGAGAGCTGTGCCCCATCCCTTCGACACCAGACAGAGAGTTCTTCTTGCAGTGCATTAGGGACTATGTGCGTTCTGCTGTGCAGGGACGTACCCGCATGAGCGAACTCTTGCCGATCATTAGTCGGTCGTGGGACAAGGCCATCGAGGTGTCGCATAATTTGCGCATACTGAACTCGACGTTCCCGACGACCATCAGCCGCACATCCGATTCGTCTGTGCTGGTCCGAACCGTCTTGCTCATTGCGCCGCTCCAGACCAAGGTCGAGATATCCTTGGACCTTCGCGGCAGAGGCACTGCGGACGGACTCGACGTCACCATTACCCCTACGGCACGTGTCGTCTACGGCGAGCACTTCAAGGTGGACAAGGTTTCTGATTATCTGTCGACAAACCTGGGCACCAACCTGCTGTCCCAAAAGACGGCGGATCAGGTCGGGTCGTGGAGTAATGTTGTGGTCGACCTCCATCAGCGTCTGCTTGCGCGTGGACGCAAGTGAGTACAGCAGATGGCACAAAAGAGAGATGCACATGGTTACAGAGACTGAGGCAGTCCTGCCGGCCTTGACGAGGTTATGATGGATGTGAAATGTTTTGGGTTTCAGCTCTCGGGGGTATCGGGGGCTTGATGGTTGAGCATTGCTTTGTTAGGAGTTTCTGGTGGTGATGGAAGGCGCACTCGGGATCGGGCAGCACACAGAAGACATTCCTACTGCGCAATAAACAACGCTTAGCGATGAAACCACCTTATAATGGACATCTGAACGACGCTTTCCCTTTCTGCCTTCCAGTGCGTGGCTGGGACCGCGGAGCTGCTCTGAAGCATTTTACTAGTGAGAAATTGAGCATGATTTAATTCACTGTTTTTGTCCACTCCACTGCATGCTAGCTTCTCCTAGACAGGTCAAAGACTTGACCCAGGCTTTTCACTACGCATTCTGTATTGTCTTTGTATTGTCTCTGAAGTCTCGTATGGTTTTGCCCCCCAGGTCGACATTGAGATGCACCCTGATGCTGAGAAGCTACCCAGGAGTCCTGGCCCTGATCTTTGTCCACCCGTGACTCTTTTCCCGCGGTGGGGCTACGGATGCTCCTGCGCCAGTATTTTGCACGCTCATGAAGCTCTCGAGGCCGTACCGAGCGCCCCCCGACTCGCCGCCGGAGCCCAGGTGAGTAGAGGTCGGCGGGGTTCCGCCAACCATGACTGCGTCCTCGAGGCCTTCTGGGACAAAGCCGTCGTTCTGCACGAGCTCCCACTCGGCCGTGGGGTACATTTCATGCGCGAGCTTGGCCTTCAGCTGGTCCGCGAGCTTGATGGGGTTCACCATGGCGAAGGACCTGGTGAGCTTGTTGCCTGCCGCTGTGGCGAGCGAGGTGTGCATCGTGCCGTGCGAGTATAAGCCCATGCGCGGTGCCGTCTTGGCCAGATCCGCGTGCTGTTGCTCAGGGCTGTCGCCGGTGCTGGCGTCGGGCGGGCTCAGAGGTTGCTGCTGGCTGCCACGGTGCATCGAAGAGTTGATGAGCAGGTTGTACATGTTCCTGCCAATGCTGGCAAAGTCCTCGAGACTGTCGGCGACCGGCACCCCTTGTGTCCGGCAGAGCCACACTATATCGTATGCTAAGAGGGATACGGCCTCTATGAATGAGTTGAAAGCTGACGGATCCTCTTTCATCAAGGCCGCGAGCGGTCGATCTATGTATAGCGGTCGCGGGTGTGGCACATGCTGGAACTGCCGGTCTAGCGGGTCTGGCGGGAGCGGGGATGAGCCCGGGAAGGCGACATTACCGTGATGATACGATGACACCAGTGAGAATATGGTTGGCCGGGGGTAGTCATTATGTGGCAGTGTGAGCTCGGCAGGTAGGCGAATGGCGAGATAATGAGAAGTGAGCCACAGCAGATGGCTGATGTGGCCGAGGGAAGCCGAGATGAGCTCTGGTTGTGCGCCTGCCGCAAAGTCAGTCTGGGCCATGCAAAAAATGAGGTTTCGTCCCCATGACTTACTGTTGAGTTGGTGTAGATCCACGATGTCGATGCCTCCTATTCTGTAGTCGTACCGAAGTGGACCACCACGCTTGACACGTTGGAGCCTATATAGCTTGGCAACCTCGAGGCAGAGGGCCGCGCGATACTGTGTCAGTCCTTCATATTCTCGGTCCCAGCTGTATTTGGTCATCCGGATCGTTTTCTTGGTCTCTTCCAGTTCACGCTTCCGCCGCGCGTCGACCCCGCTACTTGCTGCAGCGAGATCGGTCCTCTGCCGCGCAATCTTGGCCCGACGTTCTTGGATCTGTTTCTTGGCCATATCGATCTCCTGGCGCAGCTTGTCCGCGGACGCGATGATTTGCTCGGTCCTCTCGCGTGCTATGGCCTCCTTGGATGCGCAGTTCTCGACATGTATACGAAGATCTTGTGCTTCCGCACGGGCGCCGGACGAGGAGCCATCGCCATCGGACAGCAGTTTGTTGATGCGGCTTTCGAGCGTTTCGGATTCTATGAGAACCTGCGCATGGCTGATACGCCCGGGGTACAGGGCATTTCGCGCGTCGACCACGCAGAGAAAGGGGAGTTTGGCTGGGTGATGGCCGCGCTGGCAGATGTCGCAGTTCATGGTCGTGCAATGGCGGGTGTTGCGTTGGCTCTTTGGCGCTGCTCGGGTTTCGAGGGCAGCTGCGCGGCCTGGGTTGTAGAAGCTCGTTGCAGGTAGGATGGCATATCGCTTTGCTGCCTGCGTCAGATGCGCTGTAGAAGATGCTGGTTTGCGCAGTTGACGAGGTCGAGGCGGCGCTGGATCCCGTGATCGGGGCCCGTGGCAGGCAGTGACGTCGCGGTGCTTATCAGATGATTCAATCTGTGGGGGCATTCACCCCAGGGGCCCAACAGTGCGGTACCTATCGTGTAGGCTGCAGGCGGCCAGCACTTGCCTCCTTAAGGTATCTGTTACTCCACAACCACCTTGTGGACTCTGGACGCGTTACCAGATGTACCCATGTGCTGATCGCTGGCTTTTGTGAGGATGTTGGGGGAGTACAGCATCTGGCAGTGCGCCCAGCACTTGAGACCACTGCAATGCGGGCTCCAGCGTGCCAACTGTGAGGTTCAGGGGTTCAGCCCACTGAACGGGCAGCGTGTGGACCCACTGCCGCGCTGGCCCACGCTCTGGAGCTCCTAAGGTCTGCCAAAGTGCCTGCACAACGCAAAGAAAGTGGCACCTGCTTCCGATAGAATGAACATACTAACCTGCCAGCTAGAAGATATTTCAAACCCTCGTCGCCCAGGCTTGCACTCGAGCCCGGGAGCACTAGTACTCATCACCCTGAAGATTGCGGCAAAGACCTTCGTTCCAATCCCGCGCGTGGTTCGCAAGCTGGTGATCACCGCCTTGGTCCAGCATGTCTACCACTCCAAGGTCTGGATCTCCCGTCGGATCTCACGGCTCCGGTACCGTGGAACGACCAGAGCAATCCATGATCGTCGAACACTCTATGCATGCGGATTCGCCCGGGAATAGGATTGACGGAGCTGCTGACTTCCACCCGAAACAACCTCAACTCCAGCGTCTAGTCACCAATGGTGCTAAGGAAGGCCGTCCTGGCACACCAGGCCCGTCAATGGCCGACTTCGACTGGGCCGATTTCGAGCAGCGATATCTGGACGCCTTGGAAGAAGCAGATGGGAAAGAAAAGAAGATACTCGATGAGTTCAATCAGCTGGTCGAGGTAAGTTGTGCACTCATTCCCTCGCGAGCAAGCCTGATTGACCTTGGCATAGTACTTTGCTGCTTGGGCAGCTGCCTCGTCTGCACACGACGATGAGAGAGCTATCAAGAGGTATGGCAAAGCGGATCACGGCCTTCGAGTAACATGACCAGCTAACAGCCAGTCTAGGCTGCAAACGAGAAGCCGCCATGTGCAGCTCTCGGAGCAGACACTCACCCAAAAAAAGCAGCATTGTGAGTACATTACTCCGAATAACCAACATCCAGATCTGAGCTGAGGTTGATTCGCCATCCGCAGTGTCCGAGGTTGTCAAGGCTTTCCAAAGCGCACTTGCACTTCTTAGTTTGACGTGAGCGTAGCTCTCTGCAAAGCTCTCAAGGCTGCTTCGGCCGCTTCATACGGATCATGCTATGTACTTGATATGCTTGGCTGGAGAGGATCGAAGTCCCGAAGGTTTCATTCTCTGCTTCGGACTACTCTCAATCTTACAGCCAGGCTCCTACTCGAGGGCGGAACTGCTTGCAACATCGTCCAACCACCACTTACACCACTCCTTCATTCATAAAAAACGGCATGCTATGCAAGCAGCTGGCCAATCTGTAGACCATTTTGCGTCACATCTCCCCTGGTCATGGAGATGCCAGAGGAACTCAGTTTGTCAAGAGGCCTGGGCGCCGCAGGCAAAGTGGGGCGACTTGCGACGCGCTTTGGAGCTCCATCATTCGTGATTCTGCCTACGACACCTCTCCTTTGCAACTCAGACTTCATTCCAACACAAAGTCACACCGACACTTCTGCCTCAATGGAGGGCGTCTGTCGCGCGCTCGATGCACACGGCTGATACCGTGCGAGAGTCCCCAGGATCATGGCCTTCAAAGTACCGCACATCTCACAGGTTCGTGGAAGAAGCGTACCATCATTGCAAACTTTGGGCAGCAGCTAATCTTGGGTCAGGCAGAGATCGCTGCTTTCCACGACGCACACTTTTCGCCTACTGCCTTGAACCACTTCACGGTGGACTTCCTCCCTTCTGTGGCAGCGGAGCACTCTCGAGAATTCCACGACAGCAAATCTCTGCAATACGTGCAGCATCTCGGGGATGATCTAGAATGGGATGACGAGTACGAGGATGATGGCCTTGGCTACTATCCTGATGGCGTCAAACGCACCCTAACTGATGAGCAAATTGAGATTTTCCGACACTCTGAGCTTGAGGCATTGCGACGTGCCGATGACAAAGCCACAAAGCTTCGAGACGAATCTGCCAGACTCCTCGAGCTTGCACGCCATGCTGATGCCGAAACCGATGGCGACTTCAGTGAAACAGTTCCGAAAGATCACCGAGTGGCTACCAGCGGGACTTGCGCGGCGATTGTCGATCTCTCATCCGAACCACAATCTGGAAGCGAGGATGGCGAATGTGAGGACGACAACAGTACCCAGTCGATGACGGAGGCTGAGGCCAAGCGCCTGAAGAAGAAGCGCGCACGCCAACGCAAGAAGGAGAAGAACAAAAAATTCCATCCAGAGCCCAAAGTAGACCTGCGCAAGAGAACCTGGGACGTCGTGGACGCTGGTATGGACAGCCTCGACTATGATGAGCGCGAAAACGATCACGCCAAGCAGTTAGGACTCGCTTCCAAAAGACGGCAGATCTCATACGACGACTGAAACCTCCCGCACGAGCATCTGGCAAAGTACTCTGCGGTGAAGCACTCCGGTACCACTATCGCTCTTAATATGCGTCCCTCTACAAAGTAAGACTCAGTTATTTCCTTGCACTCCTGCACGCTCGCAAATGATGAGAACCTTAGTATCGTCATCCTTAGGCTGAAGTCTGGCGAGGGACCAGGAGGAAGCCAGCTCTGCTGTCGGATCTGGTCCTGAAGCTGTCGCATGTCGAGTCTATTAATCTTCTCTCTGAAAATGAGCTCTTTGTCCCACCCTTGCCCATTAAAGTACACGCTCTGTTACGGAAGAAGCACCCTGTTAACGACGCTGTAGATCTCCATTCCGACGACTGCGAAATCAAACATCTTGAAAGTGGCAAGTCTCGCATTGACCCGGTAGTCTCGCCAATTCGAGGGTCTTGTTGACCAGACGCATGTGGCTTCCCAGCTAGACTGGTGCACCGCACGGGAGGCACGCTGAGGCTGCCCCTAGGCCACACGTCCTATGTGATACGTGGGCCCCCGAACATTTGCGGAGATCAAGTCGATCCGGCATGATTGATTGACTGCAGCCTCATGCCAAAACAGAGGCTTCACACGGGCACGGAGCTGAATAGAATAGGCTTGGAAGGGGAAAGCGCCGGGCTGGTGATGGGCAGACAGAACCCAGTAGTCTGTTGGGGGGTTGCTTCTTCAAGATGTCTGCAGGGACTGCTGACGTTCTGTGGAAATGCAATGATGCTTCCGCCCAAGCACCTTTAGGATTGACTAGGATACATGACCGCAAGCCACTTGTGAATCCGGGACTGTTGATCGAGACGTCTTGAAAGTTTGACAGGTTGTGCACCCTAAGAAGTACCTGTGAATGAGTGCAGGCAGTGCGCAGCAGCAGGTACCTGCCAGTGAGTGGCCTGCAAGGTTCCAAGGTTTTGGCGTGGGCTTGTGTGCCCGCATGCCGGCGTAGGCTGGGCGGGCCCGCCCCTTGGCTTGGGCCCGCCAGCCCAGCGCGGCCCACCTACGATGCCTGGCTGGGTGAGAAAACACAATCGGCGAGCCACCACCCCTCCACCACCAACCAGCAAGCAACCTGGAGCCAGGCGGGCTTGGCTGGCTATCAGCTGCACCAAAACACCACGCACACCTGCGATAGCCCATGGATCTGCATTCTTAACGCCTCGCACCGCAGAACACCCTTCTGCACCCTCACCTCTCCCGCCGGCCGTCCTCGCCGTCACTGTCCTCTGCTGTCCGTGCTGCAGCCGCCGAATCCTGCACCGCCCGCCCACCCATCGACGGAACCGACAGGCACACCCCGCCTTTTCTCAAGGCCTCCGACGCCGCTGCGTCTGTCCGAAAGGAAGCCTTCCCTTGCGCATCACGCTCGAGGCCAACCGGCTCCCGCAATCACCATGGCACGTGTCTACGCCGACGTCAACCAGAACCTGCCGAGGAGCTACTGGGATTACGACAGCGTCAACATCAGTAAGTCCACGCCGCGATGCATAGACACTTTGGCAGCGGGCGTGCCTCGACTGTCCTTGACCGCGCCAAGCACGGGCACATCTTGGTCCTGGATGCGTAGGATCGTGGCCCGAACGAGTCGCGGCGAGGCGAATGCATGGACCGACCGGGACGCGGGGGGTTGCGACGCTGCAACTCAGCTCGACCACCTTCATCACCCACGTGCACAACCCCCTGCCTGGAACCTCTACTTGTGATGACCGGTGCTGCCACGGTCGAGCCCGTCTCCTTGAGAGCCAGGACCAGCTATGGCGTTCAGATGCGCCCAACGACTGTGCTTTTCTGTGGACCCTAGATTTCGAGATTTGTGAACTAACGGGCAATTGTCCACAGGCTGGGGTGTCCTTGAGAACTACGAGGTTGTACGCAAGATCGGTATGTCGTTTTCCACCGTCCGCGATGCCATAACGACCCAGCAGCCAATCTAACCGTCTTATCATGCAGGCCGCGGAAAGTACAGCGAGGTCTTTGAGGGAATCAACATCGTCAACTACCAGAAATGCGTCGTCAAAGTTCTCAAGCCTGTCAAGAAGAAGAAGATCAAGCGTGAGATCAAGATCCTGCAGAATCTATCGGGCGGACCAAATATCGTAGCTCTGCTGGACGTTGTCCGTGACAGTCAGGTCAGTGAAGGATAGCCCAAGCCGGGATGGAGTGGTGACGACTAGGGCGATTGGCCGGTTTGCCCTTGCCACTCACGATGCACGAATATCGAGCTGACATGTCCTTTCGGGTCATAGTCCAAAACACCTTCTCTCATTTTTGAGAACGTCAACAACACCGACTTCAGGAGTCTGTACCCAAAGTTCAACGACATCGATGTGCGGTACTACATCTTCGAGCTGCTCAAGGCTCTGGACTTCTGCCACAGCAAAGGCATCATGCACAGAGACGTTAAGCCTCATAACGTTATGATCGATCATGAGAACCGGAAGGTGCGTGCTCGCTGTAAATTCTACTGTCGTTGTTTCGCTCTGTGCTAACTTGTCATATCAGTTGCGCCTCATTGATTGGGGTTTGGCGGAATTCTACCATCCCGGCACGGAGTACAATGTACGAGTATGTGTTCATTTGGAACCCCCCAGTAGAGTCTCTATCGAGTCATGGCAGTCTGTGCTAACATGTTCGAACAGGTGGCCTCCCGATACTTCAAAGGTCCTGAGCTGTTGGTCGATTTCCAGGAGTACGACTACAGCCTCGACATGTGGAGTCTGGGTGCCATGTTCGCTTCCATGATCTTCCGGAAGGAGCCGTTCTTCCACGGCAACAGTAATTCTGACCAGCTCGTCAAGATCGCCAAGGTCCTCGGCACCGATGATTTGTTCGACTACCTCGACAAGTACGAGATAGAGCTTGACCCACAATATGATGATATCCTCGGCCGCTTCCAGAAAAAGCCGTGGCACAGCTTCGTCAACTCTGAGAACCAGCGCTTTGTTAGTAACGAGGCCATTGACTTCCTGGACAAGCTCCTGAGATACGACCACCAAGTGAGTGAACCACTATTCCCCAATCAACGATGGTATCAAAATCGCTGACCAATGACTCAGGAACGTCTGACTGCCAAGGAAGCCCAGGCGCATGCCTACTTTGAGCCGATCCGAGACGAGGCGACACTGAAGCAGTACCTCAATGGTGCCACCGTCAGCTCAGAATCGAGGACCTGAGGATGCCCACACTACTGCTGATATTTCTCTCTCTCTCTCTCTCTCCTGCTTCCTGGCCACGCCTGCAAATCATTATCACATGTCGAAGGCGAGCAATAGAAGGACTAGGTCACAAATTCATGCTATGTAGTGAGGGTGGAGGGGAGCAAAAGCGGCAGCATGTATGAGGAGGGGAATCAATAGTGTCGCTTAGCACCTCAGCCAGAAACGCAAGATAAAGCGAGCGCTCATTCGGGGCCAGGTAGTCTCCCATATATCACCCAATTCCAATATACCCTTGCGAAAAAAAAGAAAAAAAGAAGCATCATGAGAACGAGCGCCCAGCACGGTAACGTCTGCTGTTTTGTGAGCCCATGTGGTGGTATTTGCTTCAGTGCTTCCGGAACATCATAATAAAATGTGGACGGTGGCGGCAGAGGCGTAGTGGCTTGTCCTCCGCCATATTGACTGAATATGCAATAATCGTGCTGCACTTAGGTTCTCTACTTGGTGCTCACGGATTCCTGAGTTTGGACGTAGTGCTTACAAACTCGCACTTGAGGATGAAGCCATCGAGACACCAAAAGGCACCATTCGAACACATTGCCTCTCCGAAACCCGATTCAAATATCTGAGGAATTTTAAGAAGATCCAATCGTAGCCTGGGCGACTTTACTCTGCTACATCTTTCGGGTTTGCAAAGGAATGGGATTGATTTTGTTTTGTAAAAGCACGTTGCCATGTCTGGCTCACGTGCTAGTTTCGGCCAATATTCGTCGCCTTGGTGATTCATCGGCTCTTTTTGCAAGAACGTCACCGCTGGATTTGGGGGTATCTAAGTCTAATTACTCTTTTTCTTTATTTACATTTATTCGTCGGGGTGTTTTGTGACAAAAACGGCTCTTGGTGACTTTTTATTGCCACTCGTGTTCCGTGTTTCCCGGCCGCTCATTTCTGGCCGTCGTTCTGGTCCTCGTCATATACAGCACACGAGGCAGAAGTCTCGATCGCAGGTGAATCCTCCAACGCCGCAGCGCCGCATCGTGCCTCCGGGAGTCTGGACGAGCTCGCCCTCTGAAGAACCGCCACCATCTTCGTGGCTGACGTCGTCGTCCTCCCGGATCTGAGGTTTGCTTTGATCACTACCGTCATCTCCTATGTGTCTCCTTCTTTTTCGATTGCTCGGTGTCTCAGTGACAACTGCTGGATTTATGCCGCCACTCGTAAGCGTCCTCCGAGCTAGAGGCGAGATCTGCGTGGTCTTTGAAGGGCTGCTGCCGGCCGGGACACTTAGACCAGGCTTACTCCGAGTCACTAATTTGGATCTCGCCCCCGTCGAGCGATTCGCGGTGGCAGCCGCGGTACACGGTAGAACTTGAGGCGTGACAGACGACATCCGGGGCTCCACGCCACGAGCGTTCTCAAAACCAAACCCAGTCTTTCGTCGTCGTGGAACACCGGCTTCGGCAGATTCGGAGGCGTCTGCAGCTGTGACTGAGCCAGTATGAATAGCGGGCTTACTATTTGCATGAAGACTCCGGCGCCTGCGTGTCGCTTTGGAGGTCTCATCAGGTGTGGACGGTCGACCAGGTGGCGTAGAAAACCTCTGGCGATCTGCGATCCCAGATCGCGTAAGCTGACTGGGATCACCTGAAGAACCGCGATAGCTGGCTGGGAATGCTGTGCTCAGTTCGTCCTCGTCACCATCCACAGCTGATGGATCGGGGACCAAATTGCTCAACGCAAGCACGCGCCTCCTGACGTACGAAGATGTCTTAACCTTGATCTCCTTGAATCTGTGTTCCTTCGGGGTGATGGGTTCATCTTCAGGTCCAGTTGCCGTCAAAGAAGACGACCTTTCTGTCGAAACAAGACCATTGCCCTCGGTTATTGGTTGAGGTTCGAAGTTGATCTTTGCTGCGGCCGCTGTGTCATCATCATATGGAGTATTGGTGGGTGAGTTGCACCGAGAAGACAAGTGACTGCTGCGCCGGGGACTGCGAGTGCGCGCTCCTAATAGCGACGCATCTGCATCTTCACCTGCTCCTGAATCCGGTGTATTGTGCTCCAAGGATTCTGTGGCCATGCCTTTTGTTGGTGATATCTTTGGAGGCGGAGTCATGCTGGTCCGTACTGAAGGCGAGGGCATCTTATCCTCCATCACATTGATTGTGCCCTCAGCAGCCGGAGGTAGAGCCTCACCCGAGGGTTCGAATATGCTCGAGGTGAAGATAGCGTTGTTGACATTGCCAAATGATTCAGCCGAGGCTTGCCTTACCTGTGCAATGACTGGCAAGGGTGGTCCTGGGGAAATAGACTTCTCATTCATCGGTACAGGACAGTCGTTGCGTATTTGGGAGGCGCGCAAAGGATGTCGTACGCCCAGGTCTGTGTCTTCATCGTCTGAAAACCCATATGTAGGATCAACTTCGTTCCTCCGAAATGTCTCGTGTGGTTGGGATGCAATGTTCGGGGAGCAGGCGTCCGGAATAGGAATGGATGAGCTGGGCTCCTGCGAATCTCGAACAACCAGTCCGCCTGCTCGCAGAGGCGAGCGTACTTCATGACTTGTTGCACGAAATGTGCTCACGGTCGGCCAAGATGACGCTGGCTCCTGAGAGTCTCGAATTATCCTCTGCGACGAGAGATCAGGAGAGAGCTCTCGGCCGTGTTGTGTCCCTTGGACGTCGTTCTGCAGATGACTCGGGCGAAGTCCACGCAGCGAGTGCCTCAGCTCACCGTTATCGTCGTCATCAGACTCCAACAGGCTCTGTTCGATTTCCAGTGTTGAAATCAACTCGCCATAGAACTCGGTCTGCTTGCGAGCTCGACCCGACTTCCTCTGTGCATCGCTGACTAGTCGCAGTTTTTTCCTTCTGGCCGTGGGTTTCGTAGCCAACCTCTTGGTAGCCCCAACGGGCTTTCGCCTACGGGACGTGAGGCTCTTTCTATAAGCTCTCTTGACCGGAACAGTAATAGTATCGGAAATAACAGGCAAATCTCCATCTTCTGGAGCAGCCTCCACCTCCTCGGGCCCTTTCCTATGGGCCGATTTCTGCCGTTGCTTCACAGACTTCTGGGGTGCAGCATCTTTCAATGCAAGAGTCTGATCCACTCGGAGGGGCAGACCGGTCTCGTTCTCGTCTGGCAAGCGGACCTTTCGGGGTCTGCCGCGTTTCCTCTTCACCACGACCACGTCGTCTGCCACAAGATTGCTGGTGCCCTCAGTCTCAGGGACCGTTTTCGGTTTCCTTGCGCGGATTGCTTCGCTCTTCTTGGCCTTGGCGCTGTTTCGGATCTTGCGCAATTCTTTGACCTTCTTTGCGACGTTTGCAGAAGCCTTCTCGGCTAGCGGACGCCGAGAGGGCTTCCGACTCGACTCTTCGTTTCCATGAGACTGCTTGGCAGCATATGCTGGCACCCCATAAGACAAGATGCCACGTTGGCCGATCGTAGCCGCCCTGGTCGATGAGGAATGGTGGATGGCACCGAGAGTGGTTGTGGACTTCTGAGCCTGCACAAAAGACTTGGCATTGGTGAGACGAGAGTGGCTGTAGCGACTCAGCATGTCGGACAGCGATCGTCGCATGCGAGCTTGGCCGAAGCTGTCGTACTGCAGGAGTGCTGGATTGAGCAGAGGCGGTGCGCTTGCCATGCTTGTGCCATGGTACGCACCTGTCGACATGTCTGATCTAAAGCTACCGTTCTTCGGCGGACCCAGCGCCTCGGCTCTGTCGAGGTCGGGTAGATCTGCCGGCAGCGTCCAATGGTTTTTCGTGCTGTCAGAAGCCGTGCTCACAGGATCCTGTAAGGCCATGCCAGGCACGAAACCGTCAGAGGCCGAGTCCATTTCCGTGTCACTGGCATCATTATCGCTGCCACTGTCGCCGCCGTGGTCGTCATCATCGTCCTCCTGCTGCAGAATAGCCTCGATGTGGCCATTGTCGACCACCACCTCTCCGGTGTGAAAGTCGATCTCATCGCCAATGCCTGTAAAGTCCTTCTCATACTTTGCAAAGATGTCCTCGAAGCGCGACTTGAGGCGGGATGCCGCGTTGGCACGGCCTCTGTCGAGCTCATAAAGCGGATCCTGCTCAATGTCGAACTGTACAGGGTTCATGGACAGCTCGTCCTCTGCGACATCGTCGTCATCGTCCCCATCATATGAAGCTGGGCCCGTCCTGGGTCGTTTTGAGGGTGGCTCCATAGAGGACTGAGAGAGGTGCTGAGGGGTGATCCTCCATTGAGACGACTGGGTGCTGGCCACCGCAGGAGGTGTGCGCTGGAGCTACTGCTGTCACGGCGTCTGCACGTGCCGGTCGTGAATGCTGAACGTCGTCGCGTAAGGTGGGTGAGCCAGCTGTTCGTCCAGTGAATGTACCGTTTACTTCCCTCTCAGTTGACCGATCAACCAGCCCCACAAGCCACCACGCAGGTGAACATACACTGTGCTTGACCACGAGGACTTGGCGTCAAAGACAGTGCTTTTCTAGCGAGTCACACTGTCAGAGCACATGCCTTCACAACAGGCTGGGCCCTTCCATTGCTACCCACCATGCGCGCCGCCCTGTGACGTACATCCCACCTGCTCATGGGACATCAGGAACATCACGCAGATCCTCCACCACGACCGCGAGCGGGACGAACCCTTCCTAGCACGACGCCAGCATTCATTGAACGCTCCTCTACACAATGAGCTTGTGCGCCAGAGTACTGTAAAGACGCCAACGCGACTGCGTGTGCTTGCTGCTTAGCCACACCTTGTCGACCTTCGCTTCAACTGCGTGCGCCTCGCACCACATTCCGGACGCCTCTCAGTATGGGCAGCTCATCACAGGCACTCGACACGATCTCGCAATGTATTGCCAGAAGTGCCGCACGCCGCTGAAGCTTGACAGCTCATTAGCGGAGCTCAACCCAGCCGCCTTTGACCTGCTTGTCAGTACGTCGGCACCCTCCCACTTGCCTTTCGCTGTCGCTGTCGCTGCCGCTGCCGCTGTAGTGTGACCTTAGAAGACGACTGGCTGACACGAACATGACCCAACAGCATCGGCCTCGCAACAGCAGCACCTAGCACCCCCGGTGTCTTCGCGCCCGACCTATCCTCACGATGCCGAGCGACGCGCCATGTATGAGCAGGCCTCGAAACACCCGGCGGCCGTCTCGACTAGGAAGCCGGGCAGCACCACGCAGGGGCGTGATAACTCCATGTCCTTTGTCCTCCTGACTGAGTCACAAGTCGCGCCGCCCAGGCTGACGACGCCAACATCGCCCGCACAGCGAAGCCTAAAGGCCCGTCGCGCGTCCACAGGCTATGGCCAGAAACAGGACCCCACCTCGGCTCTACCACACGAAACAGATCGTGTCAACCGGCTGTTCGAGATTCTCTCGGCGCGGTCAGACATCGATCACCCAATATGCGTCGAGTGCACGGAACTGCTTGTTGATGGTCTGCAGAAGCGGCTTGAAGCTGCCTCGAAGGAGCGAGACGCCTTTGCCGGTTTCCTCAAGCAAGTGCAAGCCGACGTACCAAGCCGGGAGGAGGTCGCCGAGTCAGAGCGTGCCCTTGCCGCAGCTAAGAAAGACGAAGCCGAGTCCATGAAAGCGCTGCTGGAGCTTGAAAAAGAGAAGGCCAAGCTGGATGAGGAGATTGCCGCCTTGGAGGACGAGTCGCGGCAGATCGATGCTGAGGAGGAGCAGTTCTGGAGAGAACGAAACGAGTTCTCCACGCAGCTCGCCGAGTTCCAGAATGAGCGGGACAGCATCAACTCTAAATTCGATCACGACTCACAGCTTCTGACCAAGTTGCAGCGAGCAAATGTCTACAACGATACCTTCTCCATCCACCACGACGGCAACTTTGCCACTATAAACGGGCTGCGGCTTGGGAGACTGTCGACCAAGCCTGTAGACTGGCCCGAGATCAACGCAGCATGGGGCCAAGCGCTCTTGCTCGTCGTCACGGTGGCGGACAAGCTCGGCTACAAGTTCGAGGGCTACGAGCCTCTGCCCATGGGTTCCACATCCAAGATTGTCGAGCTCAAGCACCCATCACCGTCGTCCAGCCGGCTCGGCGCGCGGGAGCGCGTCGGCCCGCCCCCGGCACCGAAGCGCGACGTTTGGGATCTGTATTTCTCAGGTGACCTCCTGTCGCAAGTTTGGAGCCGCAAGTTCGACAAAGGCATGGTTGCCTTCCTCGAGCTCGTGCGCCAGCTCGGCAACTTTGTGCACCAGCAAACCAAAGAGGAGCACCGGCGCGCCGAGCTGGAGGGCGGGTACCAAGCCGGCGGCGGTGTTGCGGCCAACATCCCTGCGCCTCTGACGCTGCCGTACAAGATTGACGGCGACAAGATTGGCGACGACCGGATAGGCCACTACAGCATCAAGCTCGGCATCACCAACGACGAGGGCTGGACCAAGGCGTGCAAGTTTGCGCTGACCTGCTGCAAGTTCCTGATTGCGCATGCAAGTAACGTCAGCCATACCGCGAACGGGAGATAGCCCGACAAGACTTTGGTTGTTGAAACGAACCAGCACGCAACACGAAGACGAAATGGGGCCACCAGGTGGAAACGAATGGTCTGCCTAGAGTCCTTGATGGGCGTCCCAATTCAAGTACTCTGGTCTGGGTTCATTTTGGAGGTTTACTGCCAACTTGTAAGGAACATCATTTTAGGGGAAACTGAGCCAAGTGTGTAGGAAAGCCCACACCACGTCAGTCTTAACTGGACTTCAAGTACATCGATGTCAAGAGAGAATAAAGTGCAAACCACATCGTCTTGCACCGCCAGAATCCATCCGGGTCAACCGACGAGAAAAGCAGGGTCTCGTGCTAAAATCAAAAAGTGTGACCCGCCTTTTGTTCTCTTTAATTCTTCTACCTATTCTTTTTCAACACGGCCAGCGTGCTTCTAGCTTCTTACATGTTTATGATTACATCTGTGCCGTCTGTCGAGGTGGCTGCTTGGCTGGCTGGGTATTATTGTGTCGTCATTGCGCTGCCATACTTGTTTTGATGTTGGGGAAGAGAACGTGATATGACCCAACGGGGTGATGACTGTTAAGGTTTGGGCAGACATGGGTAGAGAGAGAGAGAGATATTATGATGCCCCTGGTCTGGCAGAAGGGAACCAGGGTTTGCCAAGCGGCGACCAACTGAAAATCGAGAAACGCAAGGGCGGACCTCCGTGCGGATGTAGCCGGATCGTCGAGGTGTGACGCTTTGCGAGTTCGGTAAGTACACCATGCAATGCATAGCGTGCGCATACCCAGGACCATGTCAAATAGTTCAGCGGGGCCAGCCGGCTGACGAGATTGATAGCTCCACCATGAGTCGTCGTGGGTTCAGACATTTTTCGTTCCTCGGGATCTGTCCGCATGGCGCTCCACAAAACAAAAATGTCACTGTCGCCTGCGCAAACGAGGGGGGAAGGGGTTCGGGACCCTGAGATGAGTCCGTGACGACAATCGTCACCCAGGCCAGGTTGTGTGTGATTCACCGATGACGTTTCGTGTTGGCGTCGGGCGCATGGCCGTGGCTCATTATTGGTTGCCTGACTTGTCGCATGTCTTCCAGGGCTCCCTGCGCCCTGTTGTATCCTGGAGCGGATCCAATCCAGGTACCACTACGCCGATCACTACACGCCAAGCTGGGTTCCGATTCGTATCCGTACCACCGGGAACGAACCATGCAGTCGGGTGTCTGCGGGACACTGCATACATGCCTGCATGCTGGCGTTGCAGGCTCCCAGCTCGGGCTTGCAGCCAGACGTTGCACAGGCTGTTATTGTTGCTCGACAGAGTGGTCGCTGGTTGGCGACGGCACGGCCGAATACGTCTCGCCTGGGAAGAAGCGTGCCGTCTGGAGCAGGTTGGATGAGTTGAGGTCTATCCAGATAATGATGCGGCGGAGGAGGCCGTGCAGGCCCAAGGAAGCCAGCCCATTGCGCAATGTAACCATTTGGCTGAGTCCGTTCATGTGTGTAGAGAAGGAGTCCCGGCTGCCGTGTATTGCTTCGAAGCTTGCCATCTCCGCCGCCGCCAGGATAAGGCCATCGCTCAGCCTCTTGTCCTCGTTATCGAAGGCTTCGTTGATCGCCCTGAGCGCGTCCCCTTTTAATCGTAATAGTTCCGGTTCAAGGCCTGTGCTTCCGTGCATGCGACAATAGTTCGAGGCAGAGGACAGTAGCACCGTAAGCAGCGCCGCCGGCTCCGCCGTGACCAGAGGCCACCATTGTGCCCGAAGTAGCTCTTGTTGTGTCGGAGAATCGAGCTCGCAGATATCTGCGGCTAGGTGTTGGATGTCTTCCAGAGTAGATAGTCATCAGTAAAGTGTACCTTGGAGAATGGACGTCGTGCCCGGCGGGCCCGGCCGCCGATTCAATGTGGTGCTCGACAGGATTCCTTTCGTGCCGGATTACTACACTCACAATGGTCGACGAGGCGAGGGAAGAATGCCTGCCAGTGCGCTGGGTATGTTCTGAATGGATCAATCTGACGTGCAGCATCGAGCTGAGTGTCTACCAGAGAACGTGCAAGTTGGCCTGGAACTGACGCGGAAGGACCCGCTTCCTGCACCTGGTCGTCCTGATGTGAGCCTCCATGTATGGCCAGCTCGGGCGGTGCGCGTCGTCGCCTTCTCGATTTTGGATCTGATTTCTGTTGATTGCTCCATGAGACACGGGCGACGTGGGAGCGGACTGTCTTGTTGGCATTGTCGCGGAGCTGCTCGAGGCTGTTGCCTGTAACAAAAGTCAAATCGGGGGTCGGCGATCGAGAACTCATGGCGGTGTCGCATGGGAGTTAGACTAAGTTAGATCTGCCGAGATCAGGGGACGGCACATGCATAGCGTATGAGCCATGGAGACTATTCAGGGAACTCGCCTCGTAAAAAGGCCAACGGTGGGCATACTTAGCCTGGAATCTGTCTATAAGCTGCCTCCAAGAGGGAGCGAGATCACCGCTTGGCGTGTCTCTTTTGGGAATATGCATCTTGTGCGTTAGCGTTGGCTCAAGAGCAATAATAATCTGAAATGGCAGCCAATCGGTACGTGCGTCCTCAGCCCTTCAGGGCATCTACCGTGCAGGGACTGGGCGGTACAAAAAGAAAGTACCCGCAATCGACGGAGGTAGCACCGCACCCAGGAGCTGAAAGATCCGCTCTGGAATCCCAACACGTCGCCCTTCACCAAGGCTGCATGGGTCTGAGAGGCTGTCAGGCCGCCGGCTGGCACATTGCAGGTATGCTGTACTTACCAAACAAGTGGCCAACCTTCTTACGATCATCCTTTTGCTGCATCGCATCTTGCTGCTGCGGAATGTTCCGTGCATTGACGTCTGGTAACATACACTTGGCATGACGACGTAACACAATGGAGCATCTCACCCAGCCTATTCCCGTGCCAAGATGGTTCAGAGGCTCCGAGACAGAGGATGTTTTGAGAATCTGTATATTCCCGAACAGGCTCGCAGCAATATTGCCGTTCGGGGAGTTGCCAGTCATGCTGTCATGTCGTGTGATGGAGCCGGCATAACCGAAACATGTTGGCAAGCGATGATGGCGCGGGTGTCTCGCTGGAGATTCTATCCGGTAATGACAGATGCTGGAAATCAAGGGGGGAATGCAAGCTACCACTTCCCAGTGGCTACTTCACAGATGCCGCATGAGAGGCCCTTTTTGCCCCCAGTTATTGATGAGCGGTGGTCTACCGAGATGGTGTTGGTCAGCAACAAGATTTTGCTGATCCACTTGCGTGGCTCGATTTCAATGTCCAGGGCTGATCTCCGGCCGTTCCAAGGCGGCGCAGCAGTCATCATCAGTTCCTGTCGGACATAGATGCTGCACATCACTCAGAGCGCAGAGCCCATGACCATGGCTTTGCCGAGATAACAGAAAGGATGACTCAGCGCTGTTCGTTCATCTAAGCCATCCAATATCTGTGCCTGGTCACTTGCGGGCAGTGACGACGCAGCAAGGAAAAGACTGAGAAGGCACGGATTTTGCGCTGCTGAATTTCAGCTAAGTCGGACACATGACCGATATCAGAAGCAGAGCTTGACGAGGGACGGAATCTGCGCGCTGATGGGCTAATTGTGGGCTTTCTCCTTTCAGTGATCCTTGCGGAGTATTCCGTGGCACGGGTTCGCCGAAAACCCCTGGTCCAGCCTATTGGGGAATGCACCCGCGCCTCCCTCGTATTTGCGTGAACTAGCAGTTCCTGCCGCCATGCTATGGGGACTTCACAACACCTGAGGCAGATGGGCATCGTGCTCGCTTCTTGTGCTTTAATGGTCGGGGCGAGCTTGCAAGGATTTGTACAGCAGGAGCGGAAGCTGTAATGGGGGTGACAGGGTAAGCACCAGAGAAACTTGCCATGCGATGGCGCAATCTTTGCCCAGCAGGAAAGCAGGCGGCACTCGGGAGCTGGATGGCTCATCGATCGCGACCTCAAGGGTGCGGCCTCTTTTCCATCCGAAGTCCGCACGGCAATCCAAGGATCAGGGATGATATGGAAGGTTCGAAACTATTGGGGCGTGGAGATCGCCCCAGGGTTGCGGCGGGTCTCACGCACATAGGCTTGGTGTAGTCTCACTGCCATTGGCGCTGGGAACAAGGTTAGCTTTGATCAGAACGTCGATCGCCATAGCATTCCGGAAATGTGTACCAGGTTCTTTTGGAGATTCTGCCCCGAAACATAATTGTTGCCGTGCTTTTGCCAAGTACCAATGTGGACAATGCGCGTGGGAGATTCTGGCGGAGAGATGCGTGCACATGGGATGGGCCAGGGCTAAGACCGAGGGCGGGCTGTGCCTTGCAGTTGTTGCTCGAGAGGCTATTGGCCACGGCGGATTTGAGCTTGAAATGAAGAGTGGCTCGCGAGAGCCTGATTGGCACCGCAGAGGCGTCAGCCCCAACACCCGAGCTGAGACCTGGTGGGGGCCGGCAATGCTGGCAACCGTACGAGCTGGCTATATTGGTCGTGGTGGTGAGGGTGGTGGTAATCCAGCGTCTTGGGACAGGCTCGTTTGTGGAGCGGGCCGCCTTGCAGGTGACGCACACAGTTCGCGTCTCTCCAAGCAAGTCGCGATGGCTGTGGAGGGCGTGCTGCCCGAAGAGGTTGCTGCATGCGGGCGGCAACAAAGAAGAAAACCTGGAGACAAGACATTGAGGTCTCTGATGCCCGTGTTCCTGAATCCTGGACCCCTGATGGGGCTAGGCATCTGCTTGAAGAGGACAGAAGGACATCGGGCAGGGCCAGCAGGAAACGCCTGGGTTGCGAGGTGGGGTTCAGATCTCGGATCGTGGACTTGGATCATGCAAGAGGACAGTCGCGTCGGAGTGTTGTTGGAGACGTGCCCGGTCGAGATCGTCCGCCCTTGGTGAGTGTCTGGGACGACAAGGGCAGCCACGACCAGCCGTCCCTCCCCTGGCAAAGGGCAGCTGCGCGCCGTCAGTCGATCGGTGCCGCCAGGAATGCTTCTTGTCTTATGACTAGCCCAAAGAGACATTCCTCCAAAGTCACACAAATCGCTGTTGGTGCCTTATAGACATTTATGCCAGAGGCACAAGCCTCAACCGAGCATAACAGTTTGTGAGAATCCGCGCGGAAACCCTTGCCGGAAACTCTTCCGCAGGGCCACTTTGCTCCGGCCAGATTCTTGTCCTGCCCTGTGCGCCTCCTAACCGTGGTTGAAGCTGGCAACGGGCCAATATACAACGTTCCATATTTACGTACGCATCGGACAAGAACAGACCCCGAGGCCGAAGGGCACGCCGGCCCGGTATGTGAGATCTTGGTTATCCTTGCGACGTTGCCGGGAAACGCCAGATTGACAAGTGTTGTGGACCCCCTGGGGCCAGCAACTTGGCTGTCGACCTGGCAGCTTTAACCGCCCGCTTCAATATTCATCGCCTCAGCATACCCCACGGGACACTTGGATTCGATAGCTCAGTTGAGGGCTGTCGCCTTGGACTGGTGGCTGGGGGGTTCTCTGTCGGTAGTTGTGGGGCTGGGACTTGCCCCGGGTGACGTTTCTCCACCTGACTCATAATGCTACAGCGCCCGGCCGGCGGTTCACGAGACGAGCTAGCCCAGCAGCGGCAGCAGTCATCAAGCGGCTTCTGGGCGACATGGCCGTGAGCCCTGTAGAGCTGACAGTGGCCTGACAGGGCGGGCCGCTTGACGATCCCTGAGCAAGGTGTCTGGTCTGGTCAGGCTGGCCTGACTCGCACAGAGCGCAGGCGCCACCCATGTATCCCCAGGTACCTGCTTGAACCTGGCAGGCCTCCGCCGCCGCTGCCCGGGCCGGCCCCGCCGAACTCCGCTGCGAGCGCGGCGGAAGTGCCCTCCCTGCAACGGTGTCCCCGCGCCCCACTGCCACGCTCCTCCCCTGTCCCACGTCGTCATGACCCTGCAGTGCCCTCGCAGCGTTTGGTCACGTCAGAAGCAACTTCCCCTTGGACTGCGCCTCAACAACACCAGTCCTGTAAACCCCCAGTCGTGCCTCGTCGACCCGATAGGCTCCGCTGAACTCTCCTGCAGCGGAAGATCCTCCGCGGCTTGTTTCCGCGTTCAGCCTCTTGCCGTTTCCTCGCAGATCTCAGGCCCTCTCCGCCCACGCCGAACACGACACAGCCTCTGATCAACCACTCGATCAGTCAAAGTATTGGCCCAATGGATAGACTTGCAGGTGAGCAAAGCACGTCTCAAACACGTCATCTGTGGGGGTGCTGGCCATGGGCCCTTGATACTCGAGTTCAAGGTTCCTCTGCCTCCTCGGGAGCATCACATATCGCTAATCCAAGACGGGCATGCGACCTTTTGCGGCAGGATTCGCAGGAAGCAGTATGTCTCACCGTGCACATGAAACGGGCCATGTATTGCTTCAGGCAGGCTGTGGACCAGTCTGACAGCGTTCCGTGCTAGTGGGTACTGGAGGCTACCCTCACGACACCGACGCCGACGCCGACGATCTCCGCGGTGCAGCCGAGGAGGCCAGTCAGCATGCTGGCGACTCTGGCGACAGCGATCTCTTCTCGAGCATCTTGAATGTCGTTGGCAACAAGAGGCAAGCACTAGCAAGCGAGGACGTGGATGAGGACGGTACGCACAAAAGTCCCCAACGTGATGCACGACCATGATGAGGCCTCACTCACCCACTTCTTACTACCTGTCTCGAACATGCAGAGACTATCGAGCAGCACAGACGTGTCTACAACGGCAATGGTGGCCACCAGGTCGACAGCAGTAGCCTGGGTTCCGCGGCAGCACTGCAAGCTCTCAAGGTGATGATTGGAGGTCAGAACACTGCGCAACCGTCGGTAAGGATCCTGCTGAGGCCATCATTCAAAAAACCCCGACTAATCAGAGTCTCTGAAGGCCCATGGTTCTCAGACAAACTATGTGGCCTTAGCCATGGCAGAGGCCAGTAAGGTGAGCGATGCTGCTTCTTTGAGCCTGGTGATTTGAAGCTACTGTCGTAAACAATGTCTGACCGCAGCAAATCTCTTGACTAACTGGCCTCCAGCTATTCGACCAGAAGGCATCTCAGGGGCAGCTGCACGGCAATGCGAGCAAGGAAGCCACGATCCAGCAGGCGGCCGAGACCGCTCTCAAGCTGTACATGAAAAGTGGCCAAGGCCATGGCTCATCTGGCGGCATGAACCTGATTGGCCTGGCATCGAAGTTCCTTTAGTAACGCCTCAAAGGCGACCTGTCACGAATGTCTCTCAATTGGTGAGCTTTTGCCCGTGCAGGCCATGGACAGAGATGGTTCGGTCCTGTTGGTCAGAGGCTTGCTCAACACGCTCCGAGACGCTGACGTATGAGAGTAGATCCTGCCGGCGACACCAAGGTGGGCAAGACCATAGACCACGGACTTCTGGGCTTGATTTGTGGACATCCCCAAGCATTGTTGAAAGGACCAAAGGCTGGTATCATGCAATCAATACTTGAGTCCACTACACACCTGGGCGGGCAGGTACACAGCTTGGAGCAAAAGTGGGGTAGTCTAGGCCTCTGGGGGGCGTGAAGTGGGCTGGCTAACGTACGTATCCACGGCCCGCCCCGGGCCTCTGGAATCCGGGGTATCTGGGGTTGGACAAACAACGGCGACACCAATTAACAGGCCACGCAACCGGTTGGGCGCAAGGGGGAATGAACTTGCGCCGTAGGACAAATCTGCAGCCACAGAATTTCATATGAACTAGTCCCTCCTCTCAAGCAAGCTCCCGGTAGGCAGATTAACCGGCCTTCTAGACGCTGGGCCCTGCCGAAGCCATGAACCTCGGCTGAATGCCCCGAGCGACCGGGCTACCCCAACCTCCAGTTCGGGACCCCTCACCCGCTCTACTCAACTCCACGGGCAACAAACTATTTGTCGAATACTGAGATACGGTGGACAAACAACAGCACCGACACCTGCCTGCTCTCGTCTGTGGACTGCCTGGACTCTGGAAGCATTCGACCGTGCCGACGACGACGCCAACAAGAAGACCACAAAATCTCGACATCAACAAACACAACCACCACCCTTCGGCACAACAATGTCGCCAGCCAAGCAGCCCCAGCCACCGCCGTCCTACGAGGCCCTCTCCATCACCGAGATCTCCTTCAAGCATGTCCCCGCCGGCGCCCCAACCGCAACGCGCACAATCATCCTGCGCCTCGACCGCCCGTCCGCGAACAATGCCTTTACCGACACCATGGTCGGCACCCTGGTCGACGCCTTCAACACGCTCTCCTCCGACCCCCGCGTCAAGTGCATCGTCTTCACCTCGGCCGACGCCCGCAACAAGATCTTCTGCCCGGGGATGGACCTCAATGGCGCCACGGCGTCACAAGAAAAGGGCCAGACGGCAGGCGGCCGGGCCAGCACCGCCGGGCAGACGCAACCGCCGCCGCCGCCGCCCAACCCAGCCTCCCGCGCCGAGGTCGCCGCCGCGCGGGCCGCGCACCGCGACGGCGGCGCCCAGGTCAGCCTGGCCATCTACAACTGCGCCAAGCCCGTCATCTGCGCGATCAACGGGCACGCGGTGGGCGTGGGCATCACCATGACGCTGCCGTGCAACCTGCGCGTCGTGTCCGAGGACGCAAAAGTTGGCTTCGTCTTTGCCCGCCGCGCCTTCAACATGGAGGCCTGCTCGTCCTTCTTCCTGCCCCGCCTACTGGGCATGGGGAAAGCCCTGGCCGTGTGCACCACGGGCGCCGTCTACAGCGCCTCGGACCCTTATGTGCGCGACCTGTTCGCCGAGATTGTCCCCGCCGGCCGGGTCGTCGCCCGCGCCGTCGAGCTCGCCGAGGAGATTGCCGGCAGGACGTCCATCGTGGCGAGCCGCGCCATGAAGGACCTCATCTACCGCGGCGCGGCCAGCCCCGAGGAGGCCTACCTGCTCGAGAGCCGCGTCTTCTACGACCTGTTCAACGGCAAGGACAGCAAGGAAGGGATCGCGAGCTTCCTGCAGAAGCGGGAGCCCGAGTTCAAGGCGGTCTGGGAGGAGGACCGGCCGACGAACTGGCCCTGGTGGGACGCCGAGAAGCTCACAAGTAAGCTTTGAGGTTTTGCGGGAACTTGGGTTTTTGTTTTTCCTATTTGTTAGGTCAAGGGGGGACAGGATGGATGGTATAACTATGTTGGAGTTGTGTCAGGTTGCAGAAAGTCAATTCTGCATCATTTTTTCAAAAACCGAGGAGGCCCGATGTCTCTTTTCAAAGTCGACAAACCGAGCAAAAGAATATTCGTGTGTGTACAGCTAGCGTATATTTGCATGCGCCCATGTGCTATTACCAACATTATTCAATATACGAAAACAGGCCCACTGGGCTTTTGAGAAGGCAGAAAGAGTATGATGCCTCGTGGCTTGCAAAGAAGGTCAACTGCATCTTTGTTTGGCAATACACGCTCAAGCCCGGCGATGTCCAGGGGTGAATCCGACAAAAGAGAACTCGTATCGTGGTACAAGTACGTCAAAACGCAAGTCATTCATCTAAATCACCCAGTGGTAAATGCTCTGGCTTTGGACCGATCTGACCTGCCTTAGCGAAAGAGACACAAAGACACACAACCTCGTGCCACCGCCAGCGGAAAGGAGCAGAATTAGATGAAAATGTCCTAAAGCAATGCACACCATCTGCCACCTGCGTAAACGCTGCTATTTTGTTGCCTGAAAATGAGTAAGCAGCCTGGCCCAACCCGGTAAATGCACCGTCCCAATATATCATCCTTGGTATCTCATGTTACAAGCATTTAAGAAAGACGGACGTCCCTCCTGCCGGTCACCGAGGGCGAGACCTATGCTTCCAGGGCATCACTCTAACGCTCTACTTCCTCTACCACAGCCATCCTGGTAAATATCTCCTTGCATGACGTCTGCCTGGGACAATCCCCCCTCATGAGTGTAAAGAAAGCATGGAGCATTCATCCTGAGAAGCAAAATCAAGTCTGGTGATCCTGAGGTGTCATGCTCATTGTCCCTCCGCCAGTCGACTTCTTCTTCTCCTTCTTCGCCCAACGTAACCCGCAGGCATTACATAATGTTTTGGGACCACTCGGCCCTTTCCTCCATTCCGGTGAGTCAAGTGTGCCTGTGCTATGTTAGTCCGAGTTCCACACAGCCAAAGAAAAAGCAATATGCACATACCGCAATCCGTGCAAACATATTCCTCTGCGACTTTGAGCTTCTTCTTCTTCTCGCCCGTCCGCGGGTCTCTGTCCATGGGAATAGCGATACCCGCATCGCCCTTGATAAGAGTCGGGCTGTGGTTACCCGTCGTGATGCCTTTGCTCCGCTCGCCCTCTAGGTACCGCAGTCCTGTAAGCATTTCGATTGTGTCGGTATGCGACGGGCCCTCGAAGCGCGCCATCTTGTCTCTGATTGAGTCAATCTTGTGGGCGGCCACAGAACCTTCCAAGTTTTCTCTTGTCAATGACGAGTTTGCCAAGGATGCTGGCCGCTCTGGTGGTGGCATAGAATGAGTATCCGAGTTTGTCGAGTGATGCGAGTATAGTCCGGGCGCTCCTTGTGAGACACTCATGACGTCTTCCGATGCCGTGATGTCCGACTGCCCGTCATGCCCAGTGTACCAGCTCCGTGTGGAGGCCTCGTCTTCTTCCTCTTCCCTCCTCAACTCGGCTATTCTTCTTTTCAGTCTCTCGTTCTCAATCTTGTGCTCCAGAAATGTGTCCAGCAATGTGGCGTTCTTCGTCGGGTATGGGCGAGACATCATAAAGACCGCCTGGCAAAATGGTGACTGGTTATCGGGGTTGGGCGCAAACTTGGACGCCGCGATGTGGGCGTGGCCAACAGACTCGAAAATGGCATAATCTCCGTTCTTCTTCTTCAGTCGGAAGAAAAGGCGCAAGGGGTTGCCCGTGGCGATGGATTCGTTCATTTCCGACGTGAAGGTTCCTACATCATCTGGATGTATGAGGTCGCGCAGAAAATAATCGACCACGTCCTCAGACTCGTATCCTGTAAGCGCCGTAACGCTCGGCGACACATATTTTATCCTGCCGTGCGAGTCAAGAATGTGTAGGAAATCCTTGAGTTCTTCCACCACCTTGGCGGGCCAGTTTCTCCTTTTCGTGAACTCAGTCAAGGTGTTGCCATTTTGCGAGTTGCCTTGGCTTGAATTGCCGCCAAACCCTTGTGACGCGCCGCCCACGGGAGTGTTTTCTCGAGGCGAAGTCAAGTTCGACGTGTCTTGGCCCATCATCATCGACTGTGAATCAACAGTACCCGGCCCAGACGTCGCTGGAATGTGTGGTTGAGGCTGTGGTTGTGGCTGTGACTGCTGCAAGCCTGTCATGTCGTCGAGACCATCCAGGGTCATCTGCATATTGGGGTCGAAGCCAGGAAACATGGCTCCATCGAACAACATCATGTCATTCTGACCATCGGTGGCCATCTGCAAGAGCGAGTCAGTTCCACTGGTTTGGCATTTTATGCTGGCGAATTAAGGCACAGGCGTCGTCAGGATGTCCTTGGCTCAAGATGCTCTTGCCTAAGGGTGGAAATGCACGGCAGGATGGGCAGACATACAGTGTTGGCATTGTCGGCACGGGTGTAGACCATGCCGGCCATGTTGTTGCCAGATGGTAGCCCGTCCATGATGCGAGCTGGACAATTGTGAGATGAATGAAGGGCGTCCCGTGTACTACAAATGGCAAACCACTGCAGAGATTACTATGCGTCTCGCCAGCGGGATTCCTTCCTTCAACTCTGGACACTATGGTGCTAGGTAATTGCAGCCATATGAGCCACCCACAGGCAGCAGGTATGGTTATGCTTGATGCTGTTTCGTGTAGACAAGAGCGGTGGCAGGCTTGGGGTGCTGGTTGTGATGCTCGGACCGGTCGGTGACGTCGGTGGATGTGTTGCGGTGGGGGCGCTGCAGTGCCTGCCTGTAGTATGAGGCCTGAGAGTTGGTTCGCGATGGGCCGATTGCGCCTTTCGGAGAGGGGTCAAGGGGTTGCGGGGCGGCTGCCTGCTGCTCGAGGATAAAGTCGAGTCTGGCCCGTGGACGGAGAATGTGGAGGCAGATGAGGAGGAAAATGTTTTTGTGAGGCTGTCGCAAGGGTGGTCGGCGGTAGTGAGGCAGTCGTGGGCCTCGAGAGTTGTGCGGGAGAAGGTTGTGGGGGTGCCGCAGCAGGCTGAGGGGGATGTCGAGATGGGATTTCAGGAATGGGGATTGCTGGGCAGCGACTTTCTCATGTCGCTACAGGACGGTGCGGGGCCCACTGACCCAGCACGCGCACCTGCGATCCGCACCGTAGGGCCCGATCTTGCAGTCCACCAGCCCACCAGTCCAGCTGACACCCAAGCGTACCTGAAGGCACCCCTGGCTAGGGTATGAAATAACACGAAACAAAATAAAACAAAAGTCACAACGACTCCCCGAAAAGTGACCCAGTATTTCGCATTCAGGACGAGAATTTATTTGGACAAATCCTCGTCATCGTATGCGCAAATGGGTCCGCAGTTGTGCGCATCTCACTCGGGCAATCGGTGTTGCCCACCTGGGCAAGTATCAAGGACTGGTCACCCTAGGGCGTCGCTTAGCTGCACCTCAGAAAGACCATGGCCTTGTATCTCGGCAACATGGCAATAAACACCTGTCTCTAGGGAAATGCATTCAAGGGTTTTGGTGACACACGTGAAGCTAGGGACAACTTGTCTGAGAACCTCCTGGCCGCCAAAAGGGACTCTCTCAATCAGCGACACAATATGCGACCACTGTCGGACACCTTGATGCCAGCAGGTGCCAGAGCTAAGCGCTAGACTGAGACCCTGCCGTAGGGTTCAGCTGAAAGGCTCGAGACCGCCAAAAAAGAGCTGTCCGTTCCGCAGTAGAAATAACGTCAGGGAGAACCTTGGAAAGGGCCAAAGTGCACAGAGAAAAAGCTCAATGTGTGCTCCTCCAGCCATCATCCAATGGACTGCTGCTGCAAGTGACAATCCACAAATGCTTCTTCGTAAAGTGTACTCAAGCATGGGCTCTGCCTCAGAAGGAACTGCCTCGAGGCCCCACTTTCGCCCGTCCGTCCTGCAGCAGTAGGTCCGTGGCTGCCATGGCTGCCTTGCGAGCTCGGGCGCTCGTCCACTAAACGCGTGTTTGCATCCAGTGACGCGCCTGGCTCCGCAGCCGAGCTTCGCTCCCAGCCAGACCCTGCAGCGACCAACAATCACAGACGCACGCCGCCCACTAGAGTCCTAGGCAACACTGCGCTCAAGCTGGAATCAGCCTGCCGGCTTGGTCCACAGAACGAGCACATTTCGACCTGCGATCTCTACACAGCTACGACCCTTGACGAAACCCCCCTCCGATGCGTACACATGATCGGCAGCAGACAACACTCATGGGATACCCCAGTGACCTCGAGTAGCCACCGCCCATCATGTCCAAGATCGAGAAGCTCTCCATCTCTGGAGTTCGCTCCTTCAGTCCCATGACCAGGGAGACGATTCAGTTCAACACGCCCCTGACCCTCATTGTGGGCTACAACGGCTCCGGCAAGACGACCATCATCGAGTGTCTCAAGTATGTAACCACCGGCGAGCTGCCGCCCAACAGCAAGGGCGGTGCCTTCATTCATGACCCAAAGCTTGTCGGCGAGCGTGAGGTCATGGCCCAGGTCAAGCTCAAGTTCAAAACGCCACCCGACACCTCCCACGTCGTCACTCGCAGCATCCAGCTGTCGGTCAAGAAAACTCAGCGCTCTCAGAAGACACTCGAAGGCTCCATCTCCACAACACGTGAAGGCGAGAAGACAAGCCTTTCATCCAAAGTCGTCGAGCTCGACACCTTGGTGCCAGCCTCCTTGGGCGTTTCCGCGGCAATCCTGGACGCAGTCATCTTCTGCCACCAGGATGAGTCCCTGTGGCCTATGAGCGAGCCAAGTGCCCTCAAGAAGCGGTTCGACGAAATTTTCGAGGCGATGAAGTACACAAAGGCTATAGAGAACCTCAAACTGCTCCGCAAGAAGCAGGGCGAGCAACTCACGCAGCTCAAGATCCACGAGACACAGGACAAGACAAATAAGGAAAAGGCAGATCGTTGCGAGAGGCGTTCTGTCGGACTGCAAGAGGAGATCGAAGCACTACGCGTGCAATGCGAACAGACCACAGAGCAGATTGAAGGCGCGGAGCGTGCAGCAAAAAAGCTGTACCAGGACGCCAATCGATACCTCGGAATCGTCAACGAGCTCAGAGACAAGGAACGACACCTGGAGTACCGCACACGCACTGCTGAAGAGACGAAGGCGAGGATGGACGAAATCAAGCAGAGCGACGAGTGGCTACGAGACACGTTAGCACAATACGAGGAAAGAGCCGCCAGACTTCAGCAGGACTACCACGAAAACTTGGAGCAACAGAACGACTATCAGACGCAGCTGTCACAGGCTCGTGGGGACTTGTCGAATCGGCAAGCAGAGCGGGGAAGACTCGAGTCGGACAGGGACAAATATGAGCGTCAGATCGAGTCTCGAGTGGAACTGATACATAGTGCCGCGAGATCACACAATATCCGGGGTTTCGATAGTGACCTGGACGATAGCAAAGTCCAAGCATTCCAGGAACGAGTCCAGAAACTGTTATCAGACAAGAAAAGAGAGCTCGAGCGCCTGCAGAAAGAGAACGCTGATGACCTGGATAGCAAAACTGGCGTGATTACTGAGCTAGAGGGCCGCAAGGCCGCACGTACCCAGGATCGTGTCTTTGCAAAGCAGAGAATCGGAGCTGTGGACAAGCGGTCCCTGGCGCTTCAAAAGGATCTCAATGCTGTCGAGATTGACGAGGGCGCCAAAGCAGTTCTCGACTCAGGGTTCGCGGATCTCGGGCAGCGCCTTTCCAAGACAAATGAGGACCTGCAAGCGGCCGACCTCGACAACAAGCTCCAGTCAGAGAATGATCACCTCCAACAGCTCGAGGTGGAGTCCAACAAGCTCGGCAGGGAACTTGTCGAGTGCACGCGGCTCGCATCTGATCGCGCACAATTGGATTACAGGAAGAATGAGCTGGCTGAGAAGAAGAAAAAGCTCGACACCTTATCAAGCACGTGGACCGACAAGGTTACAAACATGCTGGGCGGCGCCTGGCAGCCCGAGACTGTGGAGAAACAGCACCAGACTGTCGTTCAGAGTAAACAAAAGGTGCTGGACGAGGCCATGCAAAAGCGGGACCAGACTTTACAGAACCAGAAGCAGGTGCAGTACACGCTCAAAGATGCCAAGGAAAGAGCAAAGAAACGGGAAGACGAAATTGCAAAGTGCAAGGCTGCCGTCCTGAGTGTCCTCCAGCAGGCCAATCCGGAGGAGAGCCCTAGCATGGACGACTTCTCCGCCACCGTGAACAAGTTCGAAGACGATGTCTTGACGCTCGAAAAGGACATTGCTCTCAGTGGAGAGATGACGAAGTATTATGAGAAATGCCAAAAGACCCTGAGCAAGCGCAACTGTTGTGAGTTGTGCTCTCGAGCCTTTGTTGATGACGCAGAGAAATCCCGGCTGGTCAAGAAGATCAAGGAGGCACTTGCTGGGATCGACAGAGAGGATTGGAAGGCTGAGCTCGCCGAGTACGAAACCATTCTTGGCTCTCTGCGTGCCGTTCGCCCGCAAAGCGAGATGTACAACAAGTTGATACTCGAAAAGCCTCTTCAAGAGCGGGAGCTGCAAAGCTTGCTAGAAAAGGACGAGGGCATCGTGCGACAACTGGAGCAACTAGACGAGGTCGTGCGAGAGAAGCAGGACAATCTCCAGGATGCACAATCGATGGGCAGAACAATCCAAAGCATATCTCAACTCTGGAAAGACATCGCCGAGGCAGAGATACAAGTCGATCGGATCATGTCACAGCAACAATCAGGAGGCTCGATTCGCAGTGTCGAGGAGATCAATGAGCTACAGCATGACTGCAATGTCAAAATGCGAGCGTCCAAAGACAAGATCTCAAGATTGTCAGCAGAGAGACAGCGCATGCGCGACCTTATTAGTGCTCTGGAGCTCGAGAGAAGCGAATTTCGCAACAAGATCAGCAATGCAGTCCGTCAGCTGGAAAGAAAGCAGGACCTGCAGAATCAGATACAATCGCTCAAGGAAGATGCCAATGCGCAGCGCGAAGCTATTCAGCAAGCAGACAAGGACCTTGAAGCCATTGAACCCGAGATAGCCAAGGCAAGGACCATTCGCGAAGATACACTGCAGAAGGGTCGTGCGAAGGAGGGGAGGGTGGCTGAAGAGCGAGATGGTCTCGCAGGGACTGTTGCAGAGCTCAAGATGGCCAGTAGCGATATTGAAGACTATCTCAGCCGTGGCGGACCATCAGCGCTGATATCGAACGAGCGAGCTATCCAGGCCTTGAAGCAGAACATCTCTCGCCTTGAGAAGGACATTGCCGATCTTGCCACACGGATCGACAAGGTCAAGGCCGAGATGGCCAACAGCACAGGCAACAAGAAAAACATCATGGACAATCTCAGTTACAGAGAGAGCATCAAGGAAATCAGCACTTTGGAGGGAGAGATTGAGGAGCTTGAGTCGCGCAACGCCGAGGAAGATTACGATCGCCTTCACCTCGAAGCCAAGTCGGAAGAGTCCAAGCGCGACATGCTCACCGCAGAGCGGGCATCTATGATGGGATCCATGAAAACCAAAGACGAGGAGCTGGCACGTCTGCTGGTCGAATGGGAGACGGACTACCAAGATGCCGCGCGGAGATATCGCGAGACACACATCAAGGTGGAGACGACCAAGGCAGCCATTGAGGACTTGGGCCGGTACGGTCAGGCGCTCAACAACGCCATAATGCGCTACCACGCCTTAAAGATGGAGGAAGTCAATCGCATCATCGGCGAACTGTGGCAGGCCACGTATCAGGGCACAGACATTGACACAATCTTGATCAAGTCGGACACAGAAGCCACGTCTCGCGGCACATACAACTACCGTGTGTGCATGGTGAAGCAGGATACCGAGATGGACATGAGAGGCCGCTGCTCAGCGGGCCAAAAGGTGCTGGCGTCTATAATTATCCGCTTAGCTCTGGCGGAGACGTTTGGTACGAGCTGCGGCCTTATCGCACTCGACGAGCCCACGACCAACCTGGATCGTGACAACATCAAGTCCCTCGCCGAGAGCCTGCACTCTATCATCAAGACCCGCAAGGCGCAGAGCAACTTCCAGCTGATTGTCATCACGCACGACGAGGAGTTCCTTCGGCACATGCGCTGTTCCGACTTTTGCGACTACTTCTTCCGCGTTGCTCGCGATGAGGACCAGAAGAGCACCATCCGGCAGGAGAGTATATCGTCGGTGATTTAAGACGGGGGGGATCATAGCTATCGCAGGGGTCTAATATACCCACACATGTTGTGGTGCAGTGAATCATTGTAGGACTTTGTGGTCATCAATTAGCCAGCCTTGAGTTTAGTACAGCAACCGCAATGAGCAATCAAAGAAAATTCTATAGTGCAAGAGTCCAAGGAAATGCTGCTGGCCAAAGAGGAACGAGAATGGAAAACAGCCTCTTCAGGGTATGATTTAAGGGTAGTCCTTTTGTCTGACAACCACCACTGCGAGCGACCTGCAGTGTTTTAGGCCCTACCGGTCCGTCCATGTACACTGCGTGTGCGGGACGTCAACTCGAAAAGGATGATATGCGCGTGATGGTCGTCGTCATTGTCGTTCGTCTCGTGCTAACCGGAGCAATCGTGGTGGTCGTCCCAGCATCCTCCCATACATATGGTAGTATCTGAACCCCTCTCAGAAGCGATACCAAAAAGATTGGACCAGCCCTGACATCACATTACATCTCCATCGGCGCTGTTCCCCGAGACAGAATTCCATCATCATTATCTAGAGTAGGATGAGAAGGGAGACTCATATTCACGTGACAACAAAACTTCAGAAATCCCCATGTACTTCAGGACCGGGCTGGCAGGGACGACGTCGTCGTCGTCAGCGTAGACCAGATGCAGGCAATGCTCAAATACAGAGAGCTCACAAATCGAAAGGGAAAAAAAGACTTTCACAAATCACAAGTGATGACAGCTTCACGGTGAACAAGATATTCGCCTGCTCCTAATCTCTGATTTAAATGCAACACATGTTTACAGGGGAAAAAGAAATATGGCTAGAAAGCAACAAACGCCTTTCAAGTTAAATACACAAATGAGCCTATACAGAGTCTGTCTGTCGGGGATTGGTACTCCTCCCTGGCTTTTGGAAACCCAGGTCTTGCTCGCATGACTGCCATGGCTCGGAATGACAGCCGGGATATCTTATAGTACTGAGGGCTTCTCGATAAATGCAAAAGTTTTGGAGAAAAAAAGGAAATGGTCGAGTCTGGGACGGCCAGATAGATGCTGTAGCAATGACAGTTTGCCTCATCTTTTCCTGCGGGCGCCGTCTATATTCGACCTCTCGCAAGGACTGGCAGCCAGCGGAGACTACTTAGTCGATTGTCATCCTGCTCGGAATCTGGGGCTGCTTGACGTCGTTAAGCGAGTAGCTGACCTGGTCCTTGTCGAGCTCCTGCCTCGGCGCATTGAGGTGCTGCTTGAGCCCATGCCCAAAGTTGAACATGCAGACCAAGGCGTTGACGATTGTGCAGACAATCAGGATAATGGTGAGGACCGCGAAGGCGGAGAGCGATTTGGCGACCGGCCTGTACGCCTCTGCGTGGCCTGGATCGTAGATTCTGGCGAGCTTGAAGATGAAGTAGGCGAGACCGCCGAGGTAAAGTGCGACGATGCCGTACACACCAGGCTTGAACTCCTTCTTAGTGAACCAGGCTGCCGCCAGTAGAATGCCCATGGTCACGGGAATTGCTGCCGCTGTCAGCGCGGTCTCGACCGTACTGCTACCTCCAACGACGACAAGGAACTGGACGGTGAACCCGATGAAGAAGAAGAAATCGAACTTGAGCAGAGCAATGTAGATCTGTAAAACATGAGTCAGTTCAGTGACCCTTGGGATGACGGCACGGCACTGCAGACGCGACGACTTACTTGGTAGTGGAGAAACCTCTTCTTCATGCGGTAGTCGGCTCCGATATGTTTGAGGATATCCCACGCGAATTCTTGGTACAGCTTCCAGGCAATCAAGGCAAAGGAAATGGTTCCGACCGCAAGGATGCACGGAATGGCAACGAGCATGGGATGCACCGACCACCAGGTATCGAAGCCCCGAATGATGTTGACATCCCGCAGCTTGTCGATGGCGATACCGATATCGCTGATCTGGATCGATGTGTAGATGAGCAGGGCCAAGTTGGAGATGACGAGACCGATGACCTGAATGGTATTCTTGGCGATGAGCGCGTCCCAAGTCAGAACCACCTCGTACAGGAAGCCGAGCATGAAGAGACTAAGGAATGTGGGGATTGTCTTGAGCTGCGCGTCGACATCGGCAGTCTGTTTGAGCTTGGCAGTCTCCTCGTCCACGCCCGCATTGAACCTGCCGAATGTATAGCTGCCGGGGACATGTTAGCCTTGATCATGCCACCAAAGTTTGTAACACGTGTGAAATGGGGAGAGGCGTGCTCTACTCACGATTCGAAGGCAATGCAGATGATGCCCTGACAGACCGCGGTGAGGAAGAAGTAGCGGGGCCAGCGCTTCTTGATCATCTCCTGGGTGCCCTTGACAAAGTGCCGCCATTTGCTACGCTTGGGAGGCGGCGCGGCGTCGGCGACGGGGAAGTCGCTGGTGCTGTGAGCAGGGTCGGCAAAAGGGTAGCCGTAGGATGGCTGGTCGGGCTGTGGTGAGGGCATGGGAAACTGCGGCGGCGGGATGTTGCCCTGAGATGACGGGTAGGAGGCCATGGCGTGTTTGTCGAAGGACGGGTAGGAGGGCTGGGAGGAGTGGCCTGGTTCGAAGTTGCTCTCGTCGGAAAGCAGATATCGGCGCGAGTCTTGACGAAAAGACATGTCTGGGGGGTTGCGGAAGGGGGAGTCGTGTGCAGCGCAGCCGGCAGCCACCAGGGCTCAGCGACTGTCGCAGGCGGCGATGACGGCGCCGAGGCAGGCGAGCGAAAGGTCTCTGGGATGGCGACGGGTGGTGTCGATGGATGGATGGGCGAATGGTGCAAGCCGAAGAGGGCGATCGTGAATGGCTGTCGAGCTTTTAGGTGGACTCTACCAGATTGCCAACAATGTGGAATGAGAGGCGAGGTGGAGGAGTGGCTGCTTGGTGGTGGCCGAAGAAAAGGTGAAACCAGCCGGGTGGACTGGGGGGCCAGGGGACTTTGGGATGGCCACTAGCAAGAGCAAGCTCGTGTCTTGGTGCGGCTGGGCGCGGACAGGCCAAGAGGAGAGAGGAGGTCTGGGTGGGTGGTGCGTGTTGGCCTGGAGCCGGGCAACGGCAGGGGACGGTCGAAGGGCTGCTGAAACACAGGCGGCGAGTCAAGGGCGGGCGGGCGAGGCACTTTGAGAGCAGGCAGAAAAGATCGGGCGCGGTCGAGGGACGGTTGTGCTGTCGTTGCTGGTGTCGGTGATCTACTTGAGACCAGAAAGAAGATGGGTTTGGAAAAACAAACAAAAAAAAGAAACAGCTGGTTTCCATGAGGAATAGTCCAAGGCAGAGAGAGGCACGAGGCGCAGCGGCAGCGGGAGGGCCCCAGCAGGGAGCGCGCACATGCTTGGCAGCCCACGGGGATGCACCTGCACCTGCACCTGCACAGCACCGAGTTGGCAGTTAGCAGTCAGCCTTGGGCGTGCAAGCCCACCACCACAGAGGCGCAGCATCAACGAGCAGCCATCAACAGTCCCAGCCAGCCAGCCAGCCTCCCGCCCACCCGTTCGCTGTGCACTGCATTGGCGTCAAACCTTGAACCCCAGGCGCCGTCGCGGTGCCTGGCCGGCTCACAATCGTCACGCACGGCCTCTGCCCTGGCGCTTTGACATGTCCCCCAGGCACGGCGTCCCTGGATGCTGCGTCCAAACGCCATGAATCCTCCCATCCATCGACCAAGACCAGCTTTGGAAGAGAATCCTGTGAAGCCAACGACCTGGGCTGGCTGCTTGCTGCGCGATGACCGCACAGGTCCGTCCTCTCGGCCGTGCATGACGACAGCCTCCGCCTTCGCACCTTGGCTCCTCCTGCACATGTTGCTCACTGCAAACGGCCCCCAAACAACCTTGGAAACCACCGCACCATGGGAGGCAGGCTTTTTCGTCGTGTATTCTGCTCCCCGCCTCACAAAGCAGGCTCTGCCGGCGAATGTTGCTCGGCGTGCCACCTGGCGGGGGCGCCGGACAGGACAGAGATGTTGCAGCAGCGACGCCTCCTGTTCTGGACCAAGGACCGCTGACGGTGGCTCGTCATGCGACCAATAAAGTTGACCCCGTGCAGATCGCCTCGTATCTGCGCCAGCGCGCCGTTGCAGACAGGCCTGACCAGGTGGCACCCACACCACCGCTCAACCTTTGCCTTTGCCTCTTGCACGCCAGCACGCTTCGCGCGCCAGCAAATCAGCTTTTACTGATGTAAGAGCGACAACAGAGGCGGGCCAATCTGGCCTCCCAACTCTCCGACCCTATCTCCCTACCTGCAAATCACCAGCAGCATAAAGATACACAGAAGCAAATCCGCGCAGACCCAGTCTTGGCAGATTTCCACTGTGGGTTCGGAGGGCGAGGCGTGTGGGGGCCCGAGGAGAGAATGGCTCATCTTGCGAATGCTGTGGGTGTCCTGTCCAAGGTACAGTATTCTGGAGCCACGCGGCGGACCCGCAAGATTCTGGCTGTCATGCAAGGCGAAGCGACACTCGCCGACTTCCCCTGGATTCGGAGCGATGCTGAGCTCGTTCGGTAGCGTCTCCGAATCATAACGCGAGCCGCAAGCCAGCATCCAGGCGGAGATGTGTAGACTTTTCGGTCCTCCCGGTGTCCGCTCCTCCACACGAACGCGCGGCACGGCCACGTTGTGCCGGCGACCCGGCCGGCTTCCATCCCAAGCTTCGATAGCTTGCGTCGGCAAATGACTTTGTGCGGAGTGGTGCGTTGACCACTCAAGGGTCTGGCATCTGTCTTTTTGTGGATGTGGACTGTCCTGTCAGGATTATCGCATTGAGCAAGCCAGGAGCAAATCGAAACTGGCATTGGCTGTCCCGAGGTTGACCAGTGACTGGAGAGAGTTGCATGATCTGAGACAGCCATGGAGGACGACCCCTGCACATCCATGCGAGTGACATGGCGATACGTGATGGAGGAGGACTGCTTCGGTCTACATCAATGCCTGCAAGCACCAGCAGGTTGTCTCCTTGAAATAGGAAGACGGGCGCTGCAAGCCCTCTGTCAGTGTCAGAATTACTCCACCAAGATCTGACGAGTGGCCCCCTCTTCCGCATGCTTTCTCAGCCGTCTGAGGAAAGGGACAATTTGTCGTCGAGCTGGTGAATACCATGAGGTATGCATCTGTAACTCGCCCACGACGTTCTCGTGGATAATGGACGGCAACGATCTGCTCTAGATATCAACAGAACGTGTCTTTGTGGTATGCGATTCCCTGCTGTGCTGGGTCTAACCCACGAGAGTATTCGGGCTTGCTAGTTGCCTGCGCAGGTTCACACGGACTCTGGCTCTCTCGTGATGCAGAGGGGGAATACACATACTGCCGATGGTCTCTGCATTACTGTCTCATGTGCGTGCCGGCAGCTGGCGGAGCCTGGAGCCTTATGGATCATCAGCGGCAGCCAGGTCCCCTACGCCAGATCTCTACAGGGGACCGTCCCGCCCCCACCAGCGCGGCTTCAGCGCTACTGCAGGCCCCCATTACGTCAAAACCCTGGCAGACTTTTGACGCGCTCGTGAGCCGCGGCGCCGCCAGAGCTAATCGGGCGCGCATACCGCACCCAGCGACGACAATCAATTGATCTGACCCGGGCAACTTTCAGCGCCGCCCGCCGACATTCCCACGACGCCACGCCAACAACGACAGCATCACGACGTCGACATCGTCGCAGCTTGACTCCGACTGCTACGGACTGATCAGGGCACTTGCGAACTATAGTTACCGCCTCACGGGCGCGACTGAAGGACGGAAACACGGGTCGGCTGCAGTGAACACCAGGCTCTGCTTGCGCGGCGGGCAAGATGATGGACATTGATGAGGATGGCATCCTGAGCACCGTCGCTGCTGGCGGCACGATGGACTAGTAGGTGGCGACTCTGATACCTCGAGCCTCCCATGCTCGGCTCGGCTGCCAGCACTTGCTAACGTCTCGGGCGCGAACAGCTCTTTATGGCCTGCCCTCATGCCGCGCATTGTTTCCAGGATAGAAAAGGTGCGCACATGCTTTGCGTCCACGATCGAGCTGTGCCCAGCCTCATCCAGCGCTGACAGGAGTGTGAATTTGACCTACAGATCGCCCGTGACGAGTTTCCCATGCCGCCGATTCCCGAGCCGCTACCATACCCAACCACCGATATCGACGTCGAGGCTCTGCCGGGCTGGATATCGCTGAGGTCAGACTCGCCAGATCCGCAGCCAGCAAGCCCGCGGTCATCGCAAGACACAAACAAGGAGAACTCGCCAGCGCCGAGCCCGCGCTTAGAGGTGCCCATCCCACACGGCCCGGGTCCCGCTGTCGAGCCGATAGCAGGCGCCATAAGCACGACGAGGTTCGCAGAATGGCCGCAGGCCATCGCCATACGGCTCGCCATCATCACAAACACCATCGAGACGCTGTTCACGACATACCCGCCGCACACGATCCAACGGCTGGCAGAGCTTCTCCTCCAGCCCAAGCGGCACTACAAGTCTCTACCTGCATTCCTACACGCCGTCGATCGTGTCGTTCATGTCACCTCTGGACTGAATGTGTATCCGCTCCCTCCCGCCATCTCAGAAAACTTTAGCGGCACTTTACTCTCCAACGGGGTGTCGGAAGGATCAGGTGCCGGCGCCGTTCCCGCGCCTTCTCCATGGGCCACGCCGGGCAGCGACGAGGCTCTGGGCGGTGCCCTCCTGACGCCCATCCCCTGGCTTAGCCAGCCAACAGCAGCGGTAGCTTCGCCGCCAGCCGGATCCTCTGCCACAGCGACGCCCGACACCACCGCCGAGGCAGCAACCCCGACGTCGTCGACGTCGCCAGGATCGGGCTCCGACAACATGGAGGGCCAGGTCCGCACGGAGAGCACGGAGACCATCGAGGGGCCCAACGGCATGGGCAGCGTCGAGACGGTGTCCGTGTCCGTCAACGGCGTCCCGTCCATGGGCGCCCGCGGCGTCGGCGTGACCCAGGGAGAGCTCCTCAGGCAGGAGCAAAAGGCCGGCGTCGTGCCCGTCAGCCAGCTCGTGCCCGGCCACCACGCGCGGCACCAGGGCAACGTGATTATCCAGCAGCGGCTCTCCGCGGCGGCTGCAGGGGCAGGGGCCGGCGCAGGTGCGTCGTCAGGTGCCGCGGCCTCAGCACTGGCGGACAACAACGACAATAACCCCGAAGACGGCGGCGAGCGAGGATCCGAAGGCGACGAAGATCAGAACATGGCGGTGGACAGCGACAACGGCGGTGCCGGCGGCGGCGCAGCTGCTGGCCGCGCCATCGCGTCGGTGCCGGCGATTGACGAGGACAAGCCTCACGCGCGCGGGCCAGAGGAGATTGGCCTCGAGGACACCGGCCTGCAGCCTGACCCGGCCAGCCATGTGGGCGGGGAGACCATTTCGCTCACGACGACCGGCGCGAGCGGGTCAGGGCCAGACATGCAAGGCATCAACGTCGAGGCGGCGGTCGGGCGGAAGGCTGCTGATTCCGGGCACGCAGGCGCTGGCCATCATCACCACCAGCAGAGAACCGATAACATGGACGAGACGCCAGACGCCAAGAACAAGGAGGATGGCGAGCCCGGGACCAAGATGGAGACGGGCGGCAGCGGCAGCACTACCGAGGACGGCGGCGACGCGCCACCGCAGCCTGCCGCCGACAAGATGGACGTCGACAACAACACCGACGACGCCAGGGGCGGCGCCAACACGCCGGCCGGCTCGTCGACGGGCACGATCGGCCGCAGCCGCGAGGGCACGCCGAAGCGCGACGCCGAGGGCGATGCCGGAGCCGAGGATGGAAGCGACGGGGCGAGGAAGAGGCTCAGGACTAGTCCTCCAGCTGCGCCAAAGGCGGCGGCGGCAGCAGCCAACGAGCAGGAGGCCGAAGGAAAGGGTGAGAGCAAGGAAGCTGTTGGCGGTGCTGGGGAGGGAAAGGAGGAGGAGGACGGAGGCTCGGCGTAGAAGACCGAGTAGAAATCCAACTTGGACTATCGTTGACCCAGGGGCGGGGTGTTTCGTCGTTGTGTGCCATGGGCGAAGCACGGTATGCAGCGATGAGTCGGCGGGCATTTCAAGCCGCGCGATGGCGTACCAGAGAAATGGGAAGTACAGCTAGCAACAGCTTACTCGCATACCGGTGCAGAGTAACTTTGGGAGGTGTGGTAGCCGTTGGGGTTATTGTTCTTGCTGCTGCTGCTACTGCTTGCGTCACGATAATGACCTCTTTTGAAAGCTTACTCACAATTTTCATCCTGATGTTGACGAGTGGTTGGCTCATCCCATTTCCAGGTAACGTGCAGATATACGTGCTGATTTAAGCTTCTATCACCTTGCCAACCGTAGATGACTGCTATTCCCTGCCAGTTATTATGCAATCGTCACCTTAGTATCGTGATAGAGATGAGAATTTCTGGAGTCGTGGCCACTGTGGTGCCATGTTCCCAAACACGCCCTTCTCTTTCTCTATGTACTGGCTGACCCGCACAGCGATCTATACACATATATCCCCCGATCGAATTGGATCGTCGTCATCCGTCAATAGGACATCTATACGCCACCACGACCCGGCCATAATCGTCTATCGTCCTGGCAGCCGCATAATCTGCTCCTCCAGCAGCATCTGTGACTTCGCCAGGGGTAACTCCATTCCCATCGCCCTTCGGGGATCCTGCCTGTAGCATGTCCAGGCACCGCTGGTGATATATGTGCCGGCAAGCCAGGACCACGAGCGGGCCCAGATTTTGCGAGGGCTCTTGGCCACCAGAAGCCACCGCCTGTGATGAGGGATCACGTGGGTCTTCCTCGTTGTTCTGACCCATCAGGCCATCTGTTTGTGCCTTAGGGCGCACTACCAAGTCGTTGCTGACGTCGGTGCTCTTGCCCTTGCCTTTACCCTTGCCGGTTAGCCCGTCGTTGACCTCCGCACCACCATTACCACCACCGCCGCCGCCCTTCCACCGGTCAGTTGCCGACCGTAGGGCAAGCTGCTTGGCCGCACGCTTCTGCTCCTCAACGGCCTGCTTTTCCTCCCACGCCTCGAAAACGTTACCGCTCACCCCCGGGCCCCAGACTCTGCTGCCACACGCCTCGCATGTGGAGCCCCTTGATCTCCAGCCGCGCTGGCGGAGCTCGACAGCCTGCTTCACGTTCGCAAAGAGTTGCTGCTCCAGCAGCCGGTTGGACAGCTGGAGAATGTTCTCCTCGTACGCATAAGCTGAGAAGATGGAGGTCAAAACCTGGCGAAGGTCGGCAAGACTGGGTGATGAGGTGGCTGCGGTGGTCAGAAATGCTCGCAGGATGCGCAGGAAGGTTGAACTCCCTCGGCCTGAGCCGCTGAGCACGCGGGTCTTCGCATCCCCGGAGTCCACGCCCTGTGTCGAGGTAGCCGCTAAGAGCGCCGTGAAAGTGTGCTGGACAAGCGACCTGAGCAGAGTAAGCAGCTTCTCAGAGTCAAATACGTGAGAGTAGTCTTCCCCATTCGCTTCCGCGGCCTTGCTGCTATCCAGATATGGAGACAAGCTGCGCGAGATCTTGACCGAAGCATCAATTAGCTCGAGCCACAGCTTCTCGTCGCTGGAGAGCTCCTTATCCGCGGTCGCGGTGGGCCGTTTTGCCAACGCCTTGGACTTCCTAGAAGACTTCATATGGCCCTGGCAAAGCCATATACCGACATGCGTGTACCGTTGCATGGTGTTCAGAATGTCTTCAGCAGCAGCTTGCCGGCTGTCCTCGTCACTGTGCCCCTCCGTCGAGGAGAGTATGCCATGTAATGCCGATTCCAAGGTACCCAAATGTTTGGTCAAACGGGCCATGGCGTCCTGAACCTTGCCGTCACGCGCCATCAGTGTCACGGCGGCATCGATGACATTTGTCTCCTCCATGGTTGGCAGAAGATGGTCAAGCCGCAAATCAGTGTTCTGCACAGAGCCAATGTAATCGGATACATGACTCGGGTCGTGATGGCACATGAGGCGCACATACATTTCCACGAGGTCCCGATCCTGTGATGTGGACTTCGTCGTCGTCCCATCTAACACTGGCTCTAGCAGAGCACGGAGATAGCTGTACTGGAGCGCGGATCCGTCATCCAAGGACTCCAAGAAGTGCTGGTGTAGTTCGGGAGCAAAGTCAGCAACTGTCTGTGCTGTGCGCTCGGCATCCAGCTCGACCAACTCAACTGAGTGCCTCCGCATGGCCACAAGCACGTCCGCCATGCTCTTCTTGGATAATGACGTGTTGGACCTCAGGCATTCAGAGATACAGTCGAAGACGCCGTTGCGATCATCTGGGTCCTCGAAGTAAGCATCTATCAAGTTGCCGTACTGTTCCTCGGTCTTGTAGGTACGCTTCAGGATGCGGAAGAAGCGGGCCTGCTTGAACAACGGAATAATCGAGGCCATGTCCGGTGGCTGATATACTGAAAGCAGATATTCTGCGCTCAGCTGCGCATCCTCGGCCAAGTCTGTGCCCGGGAAATTGCACAGGCCGGCAATCACTCGATTCAGCGTTGAGCCCGAGATCAGCAAGTATTGGGGGAACTTGGGCAGGTTTCGTGCGATGAACATGTCGAGGTAGATCGTATCTTCAGGCGCAAAGTCCTCAGAATTCATGATCTCAAGGAGGATCGAGACCACATATTGTCGATCAACCGTGCGCCCAAAGATTTGCTCCTCTGGAAGATCCACCGTGCTGTTCCCGTTCAGATGTTTCTCGGGAGAGTCATTCAGGAATGAGTCCTCGAAGGCTTCATTGATGGTACTTAGAAAGCTCGGGGCGTCAAACTTGAGAATCATGCGCAAGTACGGGAAGGATGGCTCGACGTCCTCTGAAGGTCTAGTCAGAAAAGGACTTTCACCTCCTTTTGGCCAGGTGATACTTTGTCCAGAGAACAGGAACCAGTATAGTTCTGCTTTTGCCCGCAACGCCCTCGACTCGTCCATCTGGTCTCCAGTCGGGTATATCCTCCCCGTGAGGGTATAGGACAGATAAGGGAACATCTTGAGCGCATTGACACTGAAGATCTCGTTGTTCTCAAGACTGCCAGACGCAACGTATTCCCCGTTTTGCATGAAAGGAACAAGGAGGGACAGCAGGTCGATCAATGGCGTGATGTAGTCGCTCAACGCCTGGTTCCACACATAGATAAGCGCGTCGTAGAGGCTGTGTTGTTTGCAGAGTAGGGTAACCTGGTCAATGTCGAGTGTGGAAGTGTCCATATGCACCAACATATCTTCCAGTCGACTCTCCCAGCCTCTACCAACGAAATGAAGGACTATGGCCTTGACGGCTGCTGGAGGGACAGACGTTATCGCCCTCTCTAGAATGTACGGCTCCAGCACTTCAAGAAAGATGCCTTCAACATCCGCGTCTTCGTACCATTCGTACATCTCGTCGAACAGAAATTCCATGTCGCCTACACTCTGGCAAGCGGTGAAGCACGTCTCAGCGAGCTCTCGCAGGTGGTGGTCGTCACCACTTTGTCGAGTCTTTTGCCGTTGGCCAAAGACATACTTCAGAGACGCGCTCATGATTTCCATGAGTTTGTCGAGGACCATTTGATGTCGCATATCTGTATCCTCGGGGAGACCGATGGTCAACTTGTTTGCATCCCCAGTATAGTATGACGTGGCGAGTTGAATGGCACCGACATAGTCTCCATCCTCCATGAGGGCGATCAGTCGGTCTGCCCAATTGGAGAGAGCTCCTATCGAGACGTCGTTGAAACCCATCAGGAAGATCCGGCCCTTATATGTCTTCAGGCTCATGTAGAAAGCATCGGCCACGACGCCATGCATAGCAACGTCCTCCTCGTCAAGCTGCTCGACCAAGTTGTGGAGTTGCGACGAGAAGATGTCGGCATGATAAATGTGCTTGTGAATGAGATCAAAGGCCTCAGTCATTCGCATGGAGCGATCTTCCAGAACAATCAGGCGCTGGGTTATGGTCAGGACGGTCAGAACCGACCGACTCAGCCACTGGACGGCGACGATGGCTTCCTCGCATTTCCAGCGGCTCCTGGCTCTGAACTTCAGGGTCGGCGGCTTGTCCTTGTCCTCAGACGGTATTTCGTCAATGTCAAGGACGGTCAGAATGTTGGACCAGCAATACACAAGCTTGACCTTTGACATTGTGCTGCCTGTATGCGGATCAGGCACCTTAAGCTTTACTGCTGGGTACCATGCCAGACAGCCACTCATAGCACTATGGGGGGCCACATCCTTGGGCCTCGCAGATTTGTGCTGCGTCTGAGCGATGGGTGTGGTCGACACAATGACCAACAAGTATGGCGTGAGCATCGCAGTGAGTCCCATGGAGTCCGTCATCAACTCCACATTTCCGAGCGGTAACGGCGAGAAGGCCAAAACTGTGCTTGGCTTGAGCGGCTTCCCACTCGACGGAGGCGGTGCGTTGGGGTATCGGCCAAGGATTCGAACAGTCTTGACTGTTCTTCCCAGCGCACCTGTCCCACGTGTCGCGAGATGGGAGAATGCCATGCCACGATCGTCCGCCGACACAAGCGCAGTTCTTCTTGTACCCAAGAACCCAAGATGGGTGATGGCTACATTGGGAAAATGGCCATCCACGGTCCGATTGGCAAGTTGAGAATCCTCGAGATGGGGTATGTCGAGGAATGGGCGGGAAGCACGGCTGGTGTCCCAGATGAAGATATTTCCGTTCGCATGGCCGCCGGCGATAGCAGTTTGGTCCGCCGATATCGCGACTGCGGTGATGGCTCCAGACTCGACAGCTAGCACGAAAAGTCAGCATTCATACAATTTCGTCTGACTTCAAACCACGAACCTTTCGTCCCAGGTCCGATGATGGTCTTGAGGTTCTGATTGTAATCAAACATTAATATTATGCCCTTGGACGTTCCGATGACGATAGACGTGGATACGGCGATGCATGTCGGGGACCCAAAACTCCGCTTCCCAGCCTCGGAGAATGCCTGGCCATTTAGCTTGTTCAGTCGTGTCCACCGCACGACCTCCCAAGGTGGTGATGGTGTCTCCGTATCGGCGCTGTCGAGCTGTATATTACTCGTCAGAGAGACGTTTCGGCTGTGAGCACCCAAGAACGCAGGTGAAGATGGCCGCGGTGATAGACTTGAGGACGAGGGTATCCTTGATTGGAATCGTCGATCGAACGGTCTAAAGGACGGGGTGGGGCTGTTCAGGCCGGGTCGTGAGGCTATCGACGGGAGAAGACTGCTCCCTGGCGAGGACAGAACCGAGCCCTGTGGCGAGTGGGAGTCAGAATACATGTCTCATCCTGGGTCGCGCCGTCTCTGTATCGTAAGAATACATACCTGGACTGAAGGAGAATCGTCTGGGACGGAGAGCAGAGAGTCGATGGGACTACCAGCTCGGCGAGGTAGCCCGTCGGCCGACCCGCTCTCGGAAGCATCGTCGCGGTCTTGTAGCAGGTGCCGATAGCCTTGATTCAGTATGCCATTGACCTGGGCCGGATCACTGTCTGGATTTCTGCGCTCCTCTTCGAGGACCACCGCGAGATGTTCTTGGTCCCCATTGGCAGGCGGGTTGTCATCGCCTTCCTCGTTCTTGACCCCTGTGGTGTTTGCCCTTTGAGCCTCGGGAGCGAGGTCTAGCTGGTCTTCGTTGTCCATGCTGGCAGGCCCATCGTCTCTGATCTGCGCCACAGGCCTCATCGGCCGAACAGCATTGGGTGCTTTGCTCGAGGCGGCGCTCTGTGGACCGTGAGACCTTATCAAGCGTGACGACGGGGGTTCGAATCGGAGCTCTATGTCGCGGCGGGCTGCGGATCGTCGCGGATACGTTGAGAACCTCAACGAGGCAGAATCGCCGTCGGCAGGAAGCGGCAAGTAGGGCGACTGCTGGTCGGCTCTGCAGCAGGCGCTCTGGAGGTGGAGGCGCACGAGTCGAGGGCCGTGTGGTGCTGGAGTGGTGAAGCTGGGTGCTTGCTAGGATGAGGGCTTGGAAGCTCGACAACCAACCCCCAGGAGCTGTGTCGTAATAGCGCCAGGCTCCAGAGTTGCCGGGAGCAAACGATGAACAAAGAGGTACGCGTGGGTGGGTCAGCATGTACCTCGCAGTAGCGCAACTGCCCACGCACCTGCAGGCCAGAGACGTCGTCAGCCGCAGTAGCTCCGCTCCGCAATCAATGTACCTTCCCGTCTGACAGGGGTAGCTGCGCTATCTGGAGATCATCCCATCAACGCCGACAAAAGTCAGGTTTGCCAACAACTTGCACCTGCCACCAACATAAACGCCGTTGTTTGCGTCCATCTGCAGAGGCCTCAGTACCCAGTCACCCCTCCAGCTGCCATCATCGCGTTGCCCAGATCAGCCATACACGACAATCGCATCCGGCGCATTCCGCATCAACCATGTCCTCTATTGGCCCCCAGCTGCCACCACATCTTCAAAAGCGACGGCGCACTCCAGACCAAGACGACGATGCTAGAGAGACAAAGCGTCAGTACGGGCCAGGCTCGCCGCCGCCAGCAAAGGTAGCCCGCATCGAAGCACCCACATCAAACAAAGACGAAATCGATCTCGACAACGGCAGCGACTCGGACGATGGGTTTGGGCCGATACTTCCGCCAGCAGGTCCCGCGCCGGCCCCTACGACGAGGTCGATTGGCCCGACGATGCCTCCCAGGCCACCACCAGCCAACGAGCACGAGGTATCTCTAGACGACGATGACGACGACGATAGCGACACAGGCCCAGCGCCGCCCGCACCGCGACCATCCACAGTAGGAGCAGCAGCACAAGCGCCGCCCGCACAAGCTCAACCACAGCCACACCCACCAACAAGAAGGAACTTCGGTCCAGCACCACCACCAGCCTCCCTCTCGGAACGGCCCGACCACGGCGACGCCGAGTCATCATCCTCAGAAGACTCAGATAGCGACGACGGCTACGGGCCCGCCCTGGCGACGTCATCTTCGCATAGGGCCCGCGCAGCAGCCGCGTCGGCGCAGGCGAGCATCCGCGCCGCCGAGGACGCAGCAGCCGGGCCCAAGCGCGACGACTGGATGCTCGCGCCCCCGCCGGGCGGCGGCGTGTTCCAGGAGAGCGACCCGACGAAGCTCAAGGCGCGCAAGTTCAACTCTGGCCCGCGCGCGGGCGCCACTGCCGCGGCCTCCACCGCGGCCGCGAACGGGCCGAGCAACATCTGGACGGAGACGCCCGAGGAGAAGCGCAAGAGGCTCCAGGACGCCGTGCTGGGCCGCGGCGGCGGCGGCGACACCACCTCTGCAAAGAGCCGGAGCAGCGGTAGTGGGGGACCCGGTGCTGGGTCGTCGGGCGCGGGAGCAGGACCATCCAAGAACGCCGAGGCAGAAGAGGCCCGCAAGCGGCAGATCGAGGCCTACACCGCGGCGGTCCGCGGGAAGAGCCTGTACGAGGAGCACCAGGCCACAAAGGGCGGTAGAGGCGGCAAGATCGAGGAGGAGGAAGACGACCCGAGCAAGCGCGCGTTTGACCGCGAGAAGGACATGAAAATTGCCGGCAAGATCGGCACGGCCCAGAGAAGGGAACTGCTGAACAAGGCCGCCGACTTTGGCGGCCGGTTTGCAAAGGGCAAGTTTCTGTAGATATGGTTCCATGCTGTCCAAACTGTACCAGACGAGCTAGAAGTCGCCTTTTAGAGATCTAAAAAACGGAACTACAAGACGTGTCATTACCCGCAAAGTCACCGCACGTGCCTGGCTGTATACCTGGGTCTTTAGTCAGACGCCACAGGATCAGCATAATGCCAGGGAACTCGCAGGGACGAGTCAATGCGGAGAGGGCAACCAGTCTGCCGTTTAGGTCGAATGTTGTAAGATACTCTCTTGACAAAGGGCAGAAGAGCGGCCCGCATTCCTGCACAATCCCATATGAAGTTCTCGGCGATGAGGACGGACTCAAAAAAACGAGATTTGAATACATCGGGCATCTCATTAGTTCCGGTTTCGGCTGATGTCTGGGCATCTCGGAGTGATGGCACTTGGCTGGCGGGTTGGTATTTACAATATTTCTGAGGGCAACACCAAAAGACGTGCTCGTTACCTCAGGCATCGCTGTTGCTGCTCGGAAGGAACACTTGGGATGAATGCCGGTGAAGCACTCCAAGGGGCTCTTTGAACGCATTCGTCTCCTCATGAGTCACGACTCTGCCAAATCCAAGGAACAATCACACGAGATTCAAAACCGGGAAGGGACATAGTATAAGTACGTAAACCCGTCGAAAGCGTAGATGTATATATTGTGTGATAAATAATCATATGCAAGGCTCAACGCAATGGTCAAAATGGACGAAAATGCAATCAAATTTCCCGGCAGTTCTAATTCCCGGCAGCCGCCGGCGTGGGCCTGACTCCAGCTTCCAGTTGCGACGGCGTTGTCTCTGCCTGCCCATTGGCACCCGAAGCTGTAACTTCAGGGGCTGCCGGAGTTGGCTCGTTGCGGCTTCTGCCAAATCGTGGCATGTTGAAGCGCGAAACACCACGGCCTAGGCGGGACATAAGTCCGTCTTGGTTCGCCCCATCGCCTTGTGTTGCGGACGCTTGCTGGCGACGAGACGGTTGTCGCTCGAAACGCTGGAAGTATCCGTTGCCATAAGCAGGGTCTGATCCAGCGTTCATTGGCGCGACAACACGGCTGCCTCCTCTTGAGCGTCCGGACTCGGCGCCGCTGGCGGCAGCAGCGTTGCGAGAGCCATTGCGTCTGCTCCATGGATTAAAGCTGCGTGTTGGATTTCTTGGCATGTTCATCCGGCCATTGTTACGCGCCGGGTCCGCAGCGCCAGTAACGGTAGTGGTCGTCTCACCCTCGATAGGGGGCGGACGCGGCTTGGGCGTGTAGTAGTCGGCCTTGCACAGCGGGCAGCAAGCTCGTCTATTTGTCAGCCAGGGGTCGAGGCACACAGCGTGGAAAGCATGCCCGCAGGTCAGACCACGAACATCGTCGTCGTCTTCGAGAGTGTCGATGCAGATGGCGCAAGTATCTCCTGGTCCCTCGAGCATCTCGGGTGGCAAAGCGGCATTGATGTGCTCATCATCGTCCTCATCGTCACTTCCATGGCGGTCGTGATCCTTGGGGTCGATGCTGGCGATAGTCTGTGTGCTAGTCAAAGCAGTGTCATTGGTTGTCGGGTTGCCATTTTCGGGTGTCTTGGTCGTGGTGTCGCTGTTGCCATCTGTTGCAGTACTCGTCTGTCCCGCAGGCTTGTCCTCCGATTTGGCGCCAGCGGCGGCAGTCTGCGGGCGTTCATCGACAGAGTCGCGCTCCTTGGGCAACATTTCCGGCACAATACCCTGGACACTCCGTACGCTGTTCGCACGGCTGGGGTGCACAGAAACGCCGCCAGCCGTTGGCAATCCCTCACGGGCGCGGCTCGAAACCCAGGTCTTGTACTTTGTCATTGGGAATTTCTCGTTCACTTCGTCCATGGTCATGAGCTTCTTCTCACGTCTCCGGCGATGGGGTCTTTGAGGCATATTATCGAGATTGATGGGCTCGCCGTTCTCATCCAAGCCGCGCAGCTGGCGGTTGCGTGCATTGTAGCGAAAGCAGTACTTGACACCGACAATGATCCTGCGGCAGTGTTAGCGGATCGAGGTATATACCCGCGAAGGTCGGGCTTTACGAACCAAAGATTGGTGAAAACGACACCGAATCCAAGAGCGACAAAGAATAGCAGCGGCGAGTTGTTGCCTTGGCCGCCTTGGTCACCGGTTGGCGTAGGGCTGGGAGGGCCCAGAGCCGTGGTTGTAGGCGCAAATGACGCGGAGGAGGGCGCCGTGGTTGTAGGCGGCGGCGTCGAGAAGGCTGAGGAACTCGTCGGCCCTGGAGAGAATGGGTCTGTGGTAGCTGTGGATGGCGCAGCTGAGAACGGAGTGCTGGTCGAACTATCAATGGCCTGCCGGACAGCAACTCGAATGAGGGCATTCGCGCCATCCGCCAGGACCTGATTGAGAGCCACCATGATGAACGTGCTTTTGGGAAGCGACGGGGAGATGGTGTGGTCAGGCAAAGACCAGCGATGTTGAGCAATCAGGCCGTCGTCTCAGAAGCCAGCGTCGACGGGGACCGAGCCCAGGCGTTGACGGAGAGAGCAAGAGGGCAACACAGGACCAGGTCTAGACAGAGCGAGAGCCACTGCAAATACTTGACGTTGAGTCGCGACCAGATCAAGCCATGGGACACTTGCTTGTGCTACCGTGGCGAGGGAAAGGGGACACAGCGCGACGTTGCTAGGAATCTGCCGAGAAACCCGTCTGCTGGCAGATTTGACAACTGTTGAAAAGTCCCCCGTGCGCAGTGACGCGGCTCGCGGGATGCCAAAATGGAGGCCCAGAAGTTGGCAGGCGATGGTTGCGCGCCTCGCAGAATTGGTAATTAAGTGAGGAAATAGTGAGGTCAAGCGGCAGAGGCTGGAAGGGCTGGAAAGGGCGAGCGGAGAGGAGAGCGGACGGGGCCCAGGCGTGGTCGACTGGGCTGGGCTGGCTGGCTGGCTGGGCAGCTGGAGTAGAGAGGTGTGGAGAAGGAGCAGCGCAGGCAGGGCAGGGCAGGGCAGGGCAGGGTGAGACTGAGACGTGCAGGGACTCAATGGCTGCAAGCGGGCAGCGATTGGAAAGTGCACCACCACCACCCACCACAAAGTGGGCGAAGCCGACGGCCGACGTGACGGGGGGGTCAGAACCCGCACCAGGGAACGCAAGCTCAAGCCGACCAGGAGCAGCAACAGGCGGCGGACAAGTCACTTTTGGCGCACGAGGGTCCCGCCAAGCCAGCTGACGATTTGTGTTCAGGCCAGGGGCTGTATGCAACCACGCGCTGCCGGCGGTCGGAATTGGGTCGCTACTTAGCGTAGGCGTGCCCTGGGGCGCGATGACTGAGCTGACGAGACTGACGACGGCAACGACAGCGACGACGGGACGGGCAAGTAAGTACGTAGGCGTCACAGACTTTGGGTGGTGTTGGCGGAGACAGGGACCAAGGACGAGCTGCCCTGAAGGAGGTGCGCGGCGAAGAGGGATTGGCCGAGCGCCAAGTCAGCTAGAGCCGATATGGGCAGGCTGGGAGCGCCGGGGGGGCCTAGGCTGGCCGGCGCAAGTGGCTGCCGAGGGTGACGAGAAGCGCGAAGCAGCCAGTCCTGACCTGGTCAGTCAGAATGGTGGTGGTGCTGGGGGGATAACCCGAGGCAAGCCTGGCAAGAGACCAGGGCTTGTGGTTCTGCACTGGACGGCAAGATTTGGGAGCTGGGAAGAAGGCCAGCGACGAGCTGACAAGTGTCGCCAGAGGTGAGATCCGATGCTTGGTACTAGTGTTTAGTGAAGCATCAGAAAGGTCAGACAAGTCGAAGGGGTCGAATGTGTCTGGACAGGATGAGAGCCAACAAGATAAATGAAAGGAACAAACGGCCACGCCGTGCAATTCCAAATGCCGCACACGCGGCTCAGCAGCATTGGCCCCAAACCGGCACCGGATATCGTCAAATCTGAACAATTTGTCACTGCAAGAGCATGCGTGGCCGTAATCAGGCCCGGCTCAGCCTCGCCGTGATCATGCAGTCTAGCACAAGCGCGGCCTAAGGTCGCCAGCTCAGTATCCAAGAGCGTTACATCTATGACCCTCTGAGAGGGCCATCGTCAGCGGTGGCCGTCGTGGTAAGCAGCAGTAAAGGGCGAGGAGCGAAAAGTCAATGACGATGCTAACCCAGAGTGGCGATGCCGCTCCGCCGCTGTGGATCAAGCCCGCGAGCTTTCCCGCAGCAGGTCACGCACCACCATGATCGCCCTCGCAGACAGCACGCGGAGACGTTGGTGCCAGTGCTGGCCATCGGTGCGGAATGCCACCACAGTCAGTGTATCTGGAAACCAGCGACGCCCAAAGCCGGCGATGCCAGGGTGCCGGCATTGTCCAATAAGCCCGGATGTGCAGGAGTGCACCCCGCCACGCTTGGCTCCTCGGGGCACTCTGACAACCCACGCCGCAACTGCGTAGCAGTAGTGGACAAAGCAAGATTTTTTGGTCGCGGGGAATGCTCATCGCTGCAACGGTCAACAGCTCTTCCCCACGATTCACCACGTCAATCTGTCGAGCCAGTGCATTCATGCATCATGGTTCGTGGAGAAGCAACCCCCCACTCTATCGTTGCGTGAAGCCACGGCTTCGAGACACACATGTGCGGAACACGGCCGCATCAAGCACTCCATCTCCGGAAACATAATGCTACCCATAGTGGTCGACACTGAACCACCAATATCGTAGACTTGAAGCAATCCAGTTGTTGTTGTGGTGGCAGTGCATCGCTCATTCGCGGGATGGCGTATTCCAAATCACACCGCAACCCATTTCCTCGTCATCACGCGGCCCTTGGGACTCAAAGATATCGCCACAAGAAAGTTGCCAAGGCAACATGCCAAGACGTTCAGCTGGTCTTGTTGTCTTGTCCTTGGCTCAGTTTCGGTGCCATACACCACGCGATGGGTTTTACGAGTGTTCCTCTGTGCCGCGGCCTACAGTACTGGGTTGCCACAATTCTTTATCGCTCCCGACGGGAGGGGTCACGGGAGCAGCAGCCTCCCCACCAGCATGGCCGACCGTTCACATCGCGGCTGGCCGACGACCTCTGAATGTCTCAGACTTTGGTAATGCTTCAAGCTTCCTTGGCCCGAGGCCAATCTGGCGCAGCCGTTTTAACTGGCCGTCCCAAATCCTGAATTAATTATGAGTCGGAGTTGGGGTACGATCGTATGTAGCCCAACGAGCGCTAGATGACTGATTGAAGGCCTTGGCTCGATCAGATCGTTCACCTACTGATTGGCTGTCGGGGGACCCCTGGGCAAGCCTGGGGACCCCGGACTTGTCTTACTCAGGCATGCTGGTCATTGGATCAAGGAGGATGACTTGATTGTGAAACCTCCCCTGCGCGGTGCCTGCTGTGGGAATCAGGCGATTTTTGGTTTGTTCCCTGTGTCGCGCGGCGGCTGTCTGTTTCTCGAGCTGTCATGCTCCTTGGAACTGAATGCAGAGCGCGCGACAAGCTGAGAGGCGCCCGGAGATTCTGTTGTCACACTCCTTGAAACACCCCTGGCTTGGTTCATCCCAAGTGTCAGGCTTGACTGCGCCAGGCGGGAACACTGGTCTCTGCCGGCCACACTCACACACTTCCACGTAATCCACGCATAGCCGCACATTGTCCCAAAGTGGCAGTGCGTGATCGTGGTCAACACCACATCCCACATACTATGGTAGCAGGGTTCTAAGTGGGCGACTTCGGCCAAGCATCCTCCTCCTCCTCCTCGCTGCCACGCAAGCCACCGGTCCCATGGTTGCACACCATAATCTCGGATGCGGCTTAAAGGTCCTTGTCTGGTATCTATGCTCCTCCCTTGCCTGATGTGGCTTCATATCCAAGTCGACCCAAGGCAAGCTTGCAGCACTAAGAAGATGATGACTCGCGAAGCAATGAGGTTGACTTCTGGCATCTGATAGCAAAGACATTCCTTCCCCTTTCGCCCTGGCCGATCCCGTCACCGAGCCAGCTTTCTGGTTGCTGACCCCGCGCACGCCCGACCCTCCGGCAGGCGCGGCAAGCTTGGCATGGCCGTCTGCAGTCCCTCCCAAATAGTAGCGTCGACCCGAGCCGGCCGGCGGGGGTTGGCCACGACAATCTTTGACGGCCATGCTCCGGGTTGGTTGCTTTTAAATGCCGGCGACGAATGGCCCGGGGCACCCGAGAGGGCACTTGCTCGTGTCGTGCCCGTGGTATTGGCTTGCAGGCCCCGTTGCGGCTTTTTGTGTCGCTCTCGGATGGCGCATCCAATGTGTGCTTGGGTTTTCCCTCACGGCTGGAGCGGAGTTTACAACACGGAAGCTCCGCAATTGTTGTCCGGCTGCATTATTGGCAGGCTCGCCCAATTCTGCACAAACATTAATCACATCACATACATTAGGTGAGCAAAAGCTGACAGCGGGAGGAGATGCAGGGTGGCTCGTGTCCTGTTTCCTGTTACTGCGCCATGCATCCATCAGTGTCTCGGGCTGAGGATGGGCCCAACCTTGAATACGCGGATACAAGAAAATCAAGCTTCGTCGGCAGCGCAAGGGACCATGTCTTAGGTTCACCGCTGGTCATTCAAAAATATCGCGTTTGGCTTAGGACCAATACTTGAGTCAAGGCCGAGTGCGGCTGGGGATTCTGTGCACAATGCTTCCAAGATTTGCCGGAGGTGTGTGATCGCCGGCATTTGTAATACACGTTTTTTTAGTTTTTTTTAGGACATAAGCACGTATAAGCTGCAAGGTCTTCAGGACGTGTGAACCACACATCTGTGCCACAATTCCCACAGCCTTCGCGCAATATCAGTGCTATTAAGCTATGATGACTGGGGATCACCACCAGTCAAGCGGCCGGCATGCTGTGGAAACCAAACCAATGATGAATTCAGGGGGGTACAGCGAACACAGAGGCGGTCCGGAAACAAGGCCGCAACCTCGTGGAAACATCATCCCGAACAATTGATCGCTTGCTGTAAAGGATCTAGCTGCCGAAGATCTGCGGGGAGATAGGTCCGTTGTCGCTCGCCTCTTTTGTTCGGACGTTTCCACCCAGCCTACCATAGGAGAGAGACTCTGCTCACGTCATCCGCAGAAACGGCGTCACTGGTTTGAGCTTAGTTGGGTCGCACTAAAGCTCTCCATCCTCCCTCTGCCGCCGATCACGGACAAGGGGTAATCCTGTGGAGACCGGCTCAAGCGTCTCTCTTCCGTGCCGTGGTATGTGAAGATGACGAGGAGCGAGATCAGCAGACATTGACTCGCTCGAGTGCATGGGGCGTTAGATGGTTCTTGCTTCTCCGACCCAACGCCGAGCAAAAGTGAAAGGAAGTGATCAAAGCTTGCTTAAACCAATCGTCGTTTTGGTGAAGTTTAATTCCTGGCACACGTGACCCCCGCAAACAGACTTTCGAGTACACGCGCGGTAGTCTGGCACCGCGGCGGAGGTGGCTTGGCAGTGGCCTGACATGGACCAAGCGGTCGATACCCGCCACTGAGTATGTGGCAAGTTATGTATTTGTGGCTGTATTGTGCTTCTCGACAGGCACTGAACGGTGCTGGGTCTGGTGGCTCGTGGTCTAAAGAGCGCCGCGTGGTAGTTCCGGAGCAGCAGCCGGCTGAGATGAGGATTCCTGTCGCCGCTGCCCACTCACATCGGCTAATAGTTGCGATGGTGTAACAACAATTAGAATGCATTTCGTGATTGGCAGGCTGTGAGCAGTCACCCACCAGCCGGTGAGGCTGTGTTGAGGTATGAATTCGGGGTTTACCCATCCTCCACTAGCGATGCGAAGCACAGTATCGTCCTGGTGTTGTCTTTTTCGACCTTGGATAATTCTGCTTCTGATTCCGTGAAAGGCCATACCCGACAATTTCTGTATAACTCCGTACGGCTGACACCGGGCTAGTTTATCGCCGAATTATTCGTCCCATCGGAACAGCCCAGGTCGCTGGATTGTCTAAACGGAAGTCAAGACGAACGGTAAACTTCCCTTCGGGTTCGTCGCCGTTGATATAATGTGACGGGAACCGTTGGCGGAGCGTGCTCAAATTCCAGAGCGTACTTGAACTTATCCACAGTTTAACCACGATACAGTGGGCATTTAGTGCGGGGATGTGAGAACGTCTAGTCTATATTCCCGTCGAGATTGGCCCAGGAAATTTGAACGAGCGGGAGTAAGTTTGGTACCGTTGCTGATCCAGGTGCGAGCGACCATCTCTGCATCGACTCGATAAGAAATAAGTAATCCGAAGGTACGTGAACAACTCCAAATACACGAACTATCAAGCCATAGGACATCCGAAGCTCCATGATTCTTTCGACTTCTACCACAGAATACTCCGAATTTCTTCGTAATGGCCTCAGACACGGAGTTGATGAGGCCTATATACGACGAGACGAATGCGACCAACTTAACACTGATGTTCTATGCGTGTACGAAAATGAGACGATGGGTCTATGCAATCAAGGCGAGCCGAAACCTCTGTGCTGTGAGTGATGATTGCCACCTTGCTTGAAGGTCATGACACAAGGCGGCTCTGACGTTGGTCAGCAAGGTCGAATAAAAAGGTCATACCGCGGAAGCGCTGGATATGCGCAGCCATGGGAGTATCGAAGGGGAGCCAAGCGAGTAGGTTCTGACCAAGACCCTCCTCGCTAACAGTCTTCATAACAATCGTGAACCTGTCAAAGTTGATCTAGGCATAACGGGCTCAACCGGTATTGGTCTCTATCGTGACAAACGCCTTGGTGGAGGGCTCTTTAAGTCCTCGCATCGCGGCAGACGTGCATGGCGGCCATGACGGCGCAGAGGCCTGATTATCTGTGGTGCCATTGAGTATCAGTGTGAAGACGACGCGAAGAGAAGCAGAAAGAAAGAAAGAAAGAAAGAACGGAGCTTGAAATCAAGTTGTTGGGTTCGGTCCCCAGAGGCACGGAGTCGATGCGACCAGCCGTGACCCACGCTGCCGGCGCCCCACTTGCTTCCGTCGCCGTTCGACTCTACCACCTCCGACTGAAGAACTCGTCCGGCACTCCTTCCGCGTATTCTGCTCCGACTGGCAACACAGCACCATCTCACCTTCACACCGAGACCGGCTGCCATCCTTGTGCTTCAACCCATCTCAACTCACTCTCTTATCACTCCTTCATAGTTTCCCACTAGCAATGGCGCCAACCCAGCTCCCGTCATCGGGGAACCCACTGTGAGCCACTCCCCAGCCCCAGAGCCGCCGCCTGGCTGCTAAGAAGCACTCTGTTGAGCTAACATGTTCCTGCAGAGTCTTTTTCGACATCACACTTGGAGGTAATCCAGCCCAGCTCATAACTCGCCTCACGAATCAAAGCGTTGTCAAATTTCAGCACGCATCTACCCGGCCCCGGATCCCGGTGCAACCGCCTAGCTAACACCACCCGCTCGTCGTAGGCGAACCTCTGGGGCGCATAACTTTCGAGCTCTTCAAGGACGTCGTCCCCCGCACGGCAGAGAACTTTAGACAGTTCTGCACCGGCGAATCTCGCAACAGCCGCGGCCTACCTCAGGGCTACAAGGGGAGCAGATTTCACCGCATCGCAAGTCATCCCAGTCTTGCTTGTTCTTCGTCTTCGTCTCGTAGTAAATCAAGACGAGTCCATTTCTGACTAACCTCAACCTCGTAGATCAGCGGCTTCATGCTCCAGGGCGGCGACTTCCTCAACGGGGACGGAACGGGCAGTATTGTATGTCGTCTTTGTTCTCTTGTCTCAAGGCATACGGCGGTCGCGCGCGTTGAGCGAATCTCTATAATGACGCGGCGCTAATGGCTTCTTGTATGACAAACACATAGTCCATCTACGGCACGAAATCGTTTGCCGACGAGAACTTCAACCTGAAGCACACCGAGAAGGGCCTGCTCTCCATGGCAGTACGTTTTCTCTTTCTTTTCCTGTTCTTGGCAAGGCACATAACATGCAGCCCGTCGTGCTCCCCACCTCCTTCATTTTGTCCGATGTTCGACGGGCGGAGAAATCATTTCCTTTTCAAGCTCCCACTGACTGCAATCCATCTGGGGAAACTGGGTGCTGACTGACGAACAAAACCCAACAGAACTCTGGCCCAAACACAAACGGCTCGCAATTCTTCATCACCACAGTACCCACGCCACACCTGGACGGCAAGCACGTCGTCTTTGGCAAGGTCGTCCAGGGCCTCGATATCGTCGAGAAGCTTGAAAAGACAAAGACTGGCAGGCGCGGACGGGATGTGCCTGATCTCGACGTCATTGTCGCCCAGTGCGGTGAGATGTAGGAGAGGCGCCGCAAGATGGTTACGGCCATCTGAGGGAGTCATGTCGATACAGGGGACACACGGAAAGGTGACGGGTGAAAATACTAGTCTAGTAAAACGCTACGTGTTTGAAAATTGTGCAATGACAAGCGCAGAAGCCCAAGATTCCAAGAAAAAAAGCTGATCCAAAAACGCCAAGTCACCAAAACTACTAAATCATGGAAAAGTACCGCAACGTGATATCCCTCTTACGCCGATTCCCTGAGATAACTGATACGACTTTGCGCCTGCTCCACCATGCTACAAGACAATCTCTCTGGCATCCTTAATGCTGCACTCCCCGGGGCAGTAGGGACACTTGAACGTCCTGTTACCCTTGGCAATCTTGATCAGACTCTCCTTGGCCAGCACGTGGCCGCAGGTCAGAATCATCGGCGGGTTAATGTCGGTTGACTGCTCCTTGCTGACGGGACACACGAAGATGGAATGATATACCATGCTCTTCGGCAGCGGCGTCTCGAATGCGAGCTCGTTGGTCGTCGTCCACTCGGTGCCCTTGGCCTTGCCGATCGATGTGTATTTGACGAGCTGCGGCAGGGCGAGCGATCCAGCAGTGGCCGCCACGTACAATGGCGACTCGGCAGACAAGCCGAGCAGGGAGCAGAACTCGCGGGTGAAGGACGCGGCCACCTCTTCGAATGCCAGTGATATGTCAAACACCGAGCGGTACGGCGACGTCGCGAGGTTTGGCGAGTATACGATCGCGCCGCTGAGCTTCTGGATCTCCTTCATGTGGCGTTGCTGGAAGTGTCCAAAGTTGTCCCGCGCATACGCGAGTGCCCCCGGCACGCCGTTACCTGGCCCGCTAGGCAGCCCGTTGATAGAAGGGCCCTTGAACAGCCAGATGAACTGGAGCTTGCACAGCTCGAACTCGAGATTGGAGCCACGGGCCTCGAGCTCGGCGTTGTTTGCCCGAGCCCACTCTATTGCCGGAAGGAGGTCGTGGTCCTTGAGAGATGACAGGATCGAGTACATATCTGAGAACTGGCTTTGCAGGGCCTGCGACTGCAAAGCGGTGAGGTCGGCCGGAATATCGGCATCCGTGATCATGGCATCTCCGCCAGAGGCACTCTCGTCATAGCTGGCGTGATGCAGCGTGGCGGAGGGCGAAGGCGCATCCTCCTGTTCCGGCTGGACCTCGTCGATGAAGGTAGATGCCACGTTGAACTGCCCCTCGCGCAGGAGGTGCATGGCGATTGCGCGATTGATGAGGTGCTGGTGTGCCTCCATGGGGTCGTGGTCGGTGGGCAGCTCGCCCTTGACCTTGGCGAAGGCGCCCTTGAGCGACTTGTTGAAGTCATTCTGGGCCTTGTGGACCTTTTTCAGGTCGGTGTTGAGAGCTTCAAGTCCCTCCCGGACAGGGTTCTGGAGCTTGGTCAGGGTCAGGCCGGTGGTGTGCGGTTCGCTCGCTGTCGCGATCCGTTCTTTCGCAGCGAGCAGCAAGTCGATGAGCTTGTCGACATCTTGGACGGCATCTGAGAGCTTCGCAGAGCTCGCGAGCTTCTGCACATCCTTCTCAAGCTGGAGCATAGACATGGTGACGGTGACGGTGACGGTGACGCCGGCAGCCAGGCGAGTTGCTCTGTACTTTACGACGATGCTACCGAGTTGAGCTCCGGCACGACATTCAAGAAGCGGTATGTGGTACGAGCCTCATCTTATGCCCGTGGTGAGTGTCCTGAGCCTCTTGTCCTGCAAGCTGGCAGATCTGGCAGTGAGATGCGTGTCCCTGGTTCCGGTGAAGTTGCGCCTGATACCTGTGAGGAGTCCGAGGGGTGTTGTTCCCTGTCACAGTAGGATCGGATCGGAGTTGTCGTTGGGGCTGGTTGTGCACCGACAGTGCTTGAAAGCACGGCTGCACTGGGGTTTGCTGGTGAGAGAGCGTGAGCTGCTCGGGAGAATGACGCATGACCGCATAACCCCATAACTGGAACCCCACCACAGCTACCCCTGGCTGATCGGACAGTGGCCCTCCAGGCCTGTTATGCTGCTGCAATTGTGCACATGCCTTCCCACGACCCTGCACTGTGTCTGTGCGATCGTCACATGCCCAGGTGCTCCAGCAGAGCTCAGGGCGCCAGGGACGACGACGCCGTGTCTCCTGTCGGGCCAAATACACCAACAACCTGCCTGGCATCCAATCGTTCCCCTCGTCGCCTACGCGCCGCTTTTGGCGACACCTGGAATCCTGCTCGAGGGCGTGTGGCCTACTGATCCCGGTTACAACCACTGCAGACGCACCATGACCTCTGCTCAAAACCATCGATCCCGCTGCCGGTAGTGATTGCCGCTCTGCAGATGCCGACTGCCGACGACGACCATGGAGTTCCAGCTGCATCTGCCTGCCGCTTTCGACAGTCGAGCCCGCCGCAGCCTCGAGGCGGCACGCGCGAATGCACAGCTGCAGCCGAACGGCCGCCTCACGAGCTCGAACAGCGTCGCTGCTACACCGATTATGGAGGTTGACCGCCAGCTGGGGTCTATGGGAGGAACACCCTTGCCGGCTACGGATCGAAGAGTACTCGTCTTCCCAGATCCTGTGGCATTCAGGTACGTTCTCATGCTGCCCTCATGCTTCCACGAGCGCCTGCTGACTGTGACCTTCTCATAGATACCTCCTCGACGATCCCTGTGTCGCTGTGGTTCATCGAAAACAGCGCCTTGAAGGCTACGAGCTGTACCTCGTGGAGCAATGGGCCTGCTCACGTATACAGCCGACGACCGTCATAGTGACATATACAGGCGACAACACACAGTCGGTGGTTGTCGGTGTGCTGAGCGTTCCTCGTGACGAAACTACCTGGTCCGACTCGCTTCGTGTGTACATGAAGGCAGTGCAGCAGTATCATGCGCGACCCAAGGATACTCCATTGGGGGAGCTTATGGTCACCAACCTCAGTAGCTTTCCGTCCGCCTTGACAGTCATTGCAGTGCCGGAGGGCGACATCAAAAAACACCGTAATGCATTCGTTGTCAACGAGAACCTGAAACGACTTGGATGCTCCGGAAGGTCTGGAATGTCTTTGTCTGAGCCGTCGGCAGCAGCAAGGGCCAAGTTCTACCAGCTTTACAAGGTGAACGACAAGATTCCCTTTGACCAAGCTGTCGTGGAGCTTGTCAAGCTGTGTCAGGTTGCTCTGTATCTGTTCGATACGCTGCATGCCGCTTATGTCGACGGTCTTCTGTGCGATATCACAGAGAGGGCGCTGACGGACTGGTGGACGGAGTTTGGTGCCGACTATTACAGTATGGAGCCTGCTGATGGCATCCTGGGCCCAACTACGGTTGCTGCACTCCTTGGGCTTTGCGCAGGCGCACGAAATCGCCTAAGTTATCTCAACGCACCTGTGGCGAAGGATGTCTTTGACGTCGACGCAACGGAGCGCGGCATCTCGTACTTCCAGAAATACCAGAAGCTCGAGCGCTCCCGGAGGTTAGATCGGCAAACGATGCACAAGCTGCACAACACAACCGCAAAAGCGGCCGCCGGTGAAGGCTGGGGCGTGCAAAAGGCTGTCAAGTCGACAGTCACCGAGATTGGTGGCAAGCGAGGAGAGATTGTGCTAGGTATGGTGGGTGGCCGCGACAAAGGTGGCATTGGAGACATCGAGACCCTTGATCTCGACCGTTTCATCAGTCTTGCGTCTGGAGAACGCGCCAAGTGGCTCTGGTTGGGAAAGCCGAAACGTCCAGGCGCCGACTACAACAACAACAACAACAACAACGAGCGCGGCTCTCCCGAGCGCGATGTACAGCCCGTTGTCAAAGATGAGAACGGTGCTACGACCAAGAAGCCGCAAATCACGCCAATAGATGACTTAGCGGATCCTCTTCGGAAAGACGAAATGTCTGATGTCTACGCGACTCCGGCTCCCGGCTCCGCGATCAGTGTCAATGACAGCCCTGGCAATAAGGATCAGCTTCGACGGGGTGTCCTGAAAAGCGTGGCAAGGGATGCTCGCTCGGGATTGGGTCGTATCAAAGACGCAGTCAGTGGCACAGGGAGATCTCATGGCAGCCGTCCATCGCGGGATGACCCTGACGCCTTGCTTTCTCCCAGTGCCCATTCTTCCGTGGCGCATCTGACATCGCCCGGGACTGGGCCAACCCCGATCAATCGCGCATTCACATGGAAAAACAAGCCAGAGGAGTATCTGGCTTCGATGAGGGAGATGCACAACGAGTCGACCCCTTCGTCGACCAATCCCGAGGTGGCGGATGATGGTCCCCGGGCCAATAATCGAAACGCAGCAGGCATGATCGTCGAGACCAGTGACTTTGCTATGAAAGAGTCAGGCCAATCACATGCGCCTTCTCAACCACACGGAAGTTCAGATACACAGCTTGATCCAGTAGCCCCGGAATCTTCCGTGGCTAACTCGACCGCGGACGAGGGCGAGCTGACGCGCCGCAGAACTCGAGAAAAGCTACCGATGCCGCCCAGTCTGCGAGAGCCCGCTACACTGCACCGTCGCCAAAGCCTCATGCTTCCGAGCGAGCTCCAAGACCGAGTACCAGAAGAAAATAGGTGGCCCCGCCGCATGTCCTTTGGCGATGCAGAGCAGGCTGTTCTGCGTTGGGAACCGGTAATCTCTCTGGTGAAGACCTCCCCGTCAGGCATAGAAACGCCTTCTTCCGAACAACTCGGCCTTGGCGAGATAGCAGCAGCACTCTACAATGAGATCCGGCATACCAAGACAAGTATCGAGCCCTGGGTCATCAAAAAGATTGGGGCGGTCCAGGACATGGAAAACCACTACTCTGAGCAAGCAGAAGAGTTGGAGGCGCTGTATCTGCAGCAAAGCGATGCCTTCCGACAGGCCAAGCACGACTCACAAGCCTTGCTTGCACAGGAGAGATCGCACTTGACCGAAGCGTCTGGCAATCTGAAAAATCTGCTCAACCGCCTAGAGTATGAGCTTGCGATTCTATCCTCTCGTGTGCAGGACGTCGAGGACGGAGTAACCAATTTTGAAGCTCAGGTGGTGGATATGGAGAGGCGTGCAGACGAGCTCAAGATCGAGCTGGAGACTGAGACTTGGCTCCACTGGGCAGTCAGGACTCTGACAGGCATCGGTACTGGGCCGAATATTACTCAGGGAGTCAAGAAGCCAATAAACAAGGAATAGCCATCGCAGGGATACCCGGGCTTTGTTCTTAAAACGTATGATACCCATAGAACATTTCGTTAGTTGAAGTTATTTTGTGCAGTGGTAACATTTAACATTTGTCCAAGTTAAACGGCTTATCATGCCACCCCAGGACAGCTAGGCCCAATCCACAACTGGCAGATTGGTGAGGTGATATTAGCCACGCGGTATTGACGGGGCTCTTGCACCTGAAACGAGGATAGTCTACAAAATGAAGGAGAACGGCATCAACAGTTTCTACTCTTGATGATACAGCAAGTTGCGTAAGAGGAGGGATGATAATGCGGACGACCTTAGTCATCGATGTTGTTGGTTCTGAAGTTCTCTGCCAATGGGAACCAGTCCTGCTGGAGCACACCATGCGTCGAGTGGAGCACGCACGTGACTCCACCCGCTTGTAGCTATGTACCTTACATTTGAGGGCCATCATTGAATTCGCCTGGATGAGTCCTGGGATAGATTGGCTGCTCAGGCTCTCGCCCTGTCCCTGGTCCACTGCCTGCAGAACCCAGGTATCCATTTATGGGCTTGAGCCTTGTGTCGAATCGAATAGTCTTTCTGCGTGTGTTCCATCCGGATGCGTCCTTTCAAGTTACCTGGACCCGAGTCGTCGATGCCGATTGAGTTTTGTAAGCTGCGAACAGTTGCGTTGTTTGGGCACTCTGCCAGTTGGCCCAAGGGTGCAAGGCTTGTAAGTCTGGAGGACCAAGGTTGTGGCAGCTGGCAGGACGATTACGTCTTGATCCCCAACAAATCGCCTGCCCTGCCATCCCTGGACGAATCCACAATAATTCTGGAGATGCCTGCGGGGGGCTATTAGGGACTTGCCACGATACCTGCCATGTGGGAACCTCGAAGGGCTTGGAACCGGAAGGACTTGCTAATCCAGGTGCCCAGGTGGTGCGAGTTGCATGTGCAGAGAGATGGCTGGCTGGCTGCCCGAACGGAACAAGGACGATAGCAGCTCGGGCATGGACGGTGTTAAAGGCGCGCAGGCAAGCATGACGGCTGAGAGAGCGCACTGCAGGTGATCCGAGGGGACCCGCCCTGCCCGAACCGGGACCTGGTAAAGGCCGAGTCTTTTCTTAGGGCCGATTGTAGGGAGGAGGGAGGGTATGCCCGCCCCTGCCCCAGTCGAGTCGAGACAGCCTTCCAGGCACCCTCCAAGGGCTTCCATGCCTGCGCCAGCGTTATCCGTTAATCTAATGGGACTGAAAAGTGACATCCACCATCTCCAACACCACACACACAAGCACACCACATACCCACCCGCACACTCCCTCTCTCTCCCCTCCTTACCTCTTCTCCATTCACTTTGCCAACACAACCATCTGTACCCCCGGACAAGCGACAACTGTGTCATCGTAGCCCAGAACCGACTCCTTTCGCCACGCTCGCCTCTGCGGGCGCATCAGCCGCATCCTCCGCCCACGACCCTTTACTTCGCTTCCGCACGACTTCGAACCGGGCCCATCAGCTGCACTTGATTCGACAGGTCGACCTTCCCTCCCTCCCTCTCTCTCTCTTTCAGATATCTTCATATCCTCTACCAACACAATGGCCACATCGTCGAGGGCCGCCCAGCGGGCTGTCATCATCAATCCTTTTGCCACCGGCAGGGCCGTGGCTCGTCCTGGCCTCGGCCTCCATCCGGCTGCGCTAGGTCGCCACATCCGTACCTCGCGGCTGCCATCAGACCTGCCCACACGCGCCCTCCTCATTCCACTCAGAGCCATCTCGACCGAGAGGCATGCGACAACGTCTCCAGGTGGCCCCCCTCCAGGCTTCAATGCGGAGCAGGCTAAGAAACCGCTTCCGCCAAGCGACAAGGCCTCCGCTGCCAGCAAGGCCTCACAATCATCCACCGCCACAGAAAGCGTCAAGGCAGACGGTGCAAAGGCGGCAACGTCCACCTCGTCCATTAACGAGCCAACCGGCGAGCCCAAGACGTTGACTGAGCTAGCTGCTAAGAAAGAGGACGATGTTGCGAAGAAGGAGGAGAAGCAGGGCAAGAAGCTGACCCTGGGCCAGAGGATCAAGCATGAGATTCAGCACTACTGGGATGGCACCAAGCTTTTGGCCGCCGAGGTCAAGATCAGCAGCAAGCTGGCGCTCAAGATGGCTGCCGGTTACGAGCTGACCAGACGCGAGAGCCGGCAGTTGTCCCGTACCGTTCAGGATCTGGGCCGCCTGGTTCCATTCTCCGTCTTCATCATCGTGCCTTTTGCTGAGGCACTCCTGCCTATCGCGCTGAGGTTGTTCCCCAATCTGCTCCCTAGCACCTACGAGGCCCAGCAGTCCAAGGACAAGAAGGCCGCCACTCTCCGAGCCACGCGCAAGGAAGTCAGCTCCTTCCTTCGCACCACGCTCAAGGAGACTGGGTTGCCGCTTACCCAAGCGACGACACACAAGGAGGAGTTTGCTACCTTCTTCCGCAAGCTGCGCGCGACTGGGGAGCAGCCTACAAACGAGGATGTCATCAAGGTGTGCAAGGCGTTCCGGGATGACCTGACCCTTGACAACCTCTCACGGCCACAGCTCGTGTCCATGTGCAAATACATGAACCTCAACACTTTCGGCACGGACACCATGCTCCGATACCAGATCCGTCACAGAATGCGGCAGATCAAGCGTGATGACAAGGTCATCAGCTACGAAGGCGTCGACAGCCTTAGCGTAGCTGAGCTCCAGATGGCTTGCGCCAGCCGTGGTATCACCACTCACACCATCTCTCCTGGTCGTCTGCGGGAGGATCTTCAGTCCTGGCTCGACCTGCGTCTCAAGCACGGTGTCCCTTCCACACTGCTTGTGCTGAGCAATATCTTTTCCTACGGCCAGAAGGGGACTCAGGAGAGCGGCTTCCAGGGCCAGATCGAGGCCCTCACGGGTGTTCTGTCCTCTATCCCCGAGGAACTTTACCATGAGATCGAGCTTGAGGTTCACAACGCCGAAGGCGCTGCCACCAACAAGCAGCGCCTCGAGGTCCTCAAGGAGCAGCAGGAGCTTATTGAGGAGGAGAACGAGCAGAACCAAGAGAACCAGGATACAGGCCTCGCCACTCCTAAGGACGTCGATGACATTGACGAGAAGGAAGACCGCATCCACGCCGCCTCTGAGCAAGGCCTTGAAGCCAAGGCTGTCGACGAGGCTCTGGCTGCCGAGAAGGACGAGAAGGCTGCCAGCCAAACCATGGATGCTGTCAAGGAGCAGAAAAAGGAGAACTAAGGCACCATCTCCACCATCTCCATTTATACCAACATGTTGTACAAAAACCACAAGATCGTTTGACCACTCCCATGACGATCTGGGCGCTCGCATCGAATGGGCTTGACCCTGGCTGATTTCAGCTCGACCCGAAGGATGTGTGGCGCTGCCCCAAAACGACGTGTATTCACTATCACTCTACTTCACTTTTATATGTCTGCCTGTTTATTATGTATCTAACATCACAGAAAGCGTTGCGAGGAGGCTGCCGGCATGTCCGGATTCACCGCTCATCGGAAGGTTGATCGGAGGAATGAGCCAGAGCCCCGTAATGCTTTGGAAGCGAACGGAACACTCCCTAAGGAAATGGATGTGGAAATACCAAGGAGTCTGAGCGGGCATGGATACTGATAAGATCAAGCATGAAAAATACTAGACAAAGAACTATAGACTCTTTTTGCCAACATCCATGGGTATCTTTTCTGCCGATTTTGGCCGACATGCACTCGAGGAGGCAATACACTTCGCGTGTTCAGCGGCGTGACCTTTGTAGCAAGAGGAGCACAGCAGTTACTCGGTGTATATGCATACTCTTCACTACGGCAGCGTACGGTTGGCAATGGGATGACGGCGCGCTCGTGTGCGAATGCCTGTCTTCGCGTCATAAATATAGCTGTGGAAAGAACGTTTTCCAAAGGCTTCCCGTCAAGAATCGTTGACCGAGGAGGACGCCTTGACGGGCGAATGATGAGAGAAGGCAAACAACGGACCACCTCACGGGAAGTCTGGGCGGGCTTTCCAAGTCAGTCAGTCAGTCAGTCAGTCAATTTCTGAAACAGCCGCGCGCCTTTCACGAAGCTTTTCAGCTTGGAGGATCTGGAGCTGGAGCTGAAAAGCTTCTTTGTCTTCCTTCGCTCCCCAGCCCTAACATAAAACTTGGGCTTTTAGTGGCGTGGCGTGGCGTGTGTCTGTGAGACAAAAGAGAAAAGCCATGGCATGTATGCATGGACGGAAAGCACCGTTTGCTGGAGGGGTGGTGGCAGACGAGGTGCGAGGATTGGGTGGAGAGAGAGATATCCTTCCGCCATGAGATTCGTGGGCGCTACGTGCGGCAGGTGGTGGTAGTCACTAGCGTTTCTTTGGGGTGAGAGATTGGAATTTTCTGGACTCTGGGTCTCTCTTGGCCTTCTTCTCGGGGAAATTTTTGTCTAGCCTGCTTTGCAGGAAGCATAGAGCAGAGTTTCAGCTTGCGCGTGACGGCTCAAGTCCTTGGCCTTTGCACCCGAACTCCGTACCAGCTCTACACAATCTGTAATCAGTGCATGGGTCTCGCTCGCTGCCCGGGGAGTGGGGGGGCATCATCCGAAAGTGTGATCTTGTCTTGGCTCTACTGCAATTACCTGACGAGCTCGTGGTCATTGTCGCTATTGCTTCTCGTACGTTGCGCGTTATCTGTGACGGCCTCGTATCATACCACGATAGCCTGGCCTGCCTTCGCCTGGCGAGTTGGCAGGCGCCGAACGAATACTTCTGGACGCCTCCAACTCGGGGAGCTGCACAGATCGTAGATTAACTGACGCAAAGTCTATTCCTATGCTGTGCATGGCGTCGTGGGCGGGTTTAGAGTTTCTCCTCAGCCTGTTAGGCATCGCATCAACGCCAAGCTGGAGGGACGGACAAGTTTCTATCTAGCAAGACCACACCCCCCACACGCACATGGTTTCTTCGATACACGCAACAACGTATGCACACGACTACGCGGCTTAGAAGGGGGGTTCCGTGACTGCGAACTTGATTTAATGTGGTCATTATCGTGGTCCACTCTTGGCTGGAACGACGACGACGACGCTCATGACGCATTGGGACTCTTAGAGGGGCTGCTTTTCCCTCTTTCCTTCTGCAGTGACCTTATGTATCTGTGCTCTGGGGGCTCGTCATTCGCTAGGACAGACCAGAAAGCCTGATGATGGAACCAAGGCGAAATCAGTCATCCACACTGCCGTGCCACGCAACCTTGTGCGTCCACTACCATCCAAGCCCCATTGCGTGCTCGATCACTGGAGCTGGTTTCACACCGCACGGCAAGCAGTCGCGTCGTGTGCGAAGCTTGACGAAGAAGACAGTTGCGATCCGTATATGGCAGCCATGGTCATGGGTCATGTGTGCGTGCACATCCCGATCCGGCCCAGCCCAGCGCAGGCACCCGGGGACCAGCGAGGCAGTAGACTCTTGGCAGACGAGTCAGGTCAGGCTTCCTGACGCCCGAGCTTTGCAAGTCCCAGCGGGGAGGAGCCATGTCAAGATAACTTTCACAGATGTCAAAGAGAGCCCGAGACCTGGGCTGGGTGGCTGGAATCCCGCCCAGCACAGCCAACACCGCCCCAAGAAGGCCCAGCGGGTCAGGATATTTTTAGAGAAACAGGCACGCTTACCAAATCAAGGGGCCCTCTGATGTCCGCGAGGTCTGATTGGCTGCAGCAGACATCCCACATCGTGGCTGAGCGCACCCATGGCCCCGGATGAACCCTGCGTCTGCGTCCCAAGTGTGGTTGGGAAATACGAGCAAGGATTTCGCCTTCGTCGTGGAGCACTTCGCTAGGTCTTGCGGTGCGTGCAGAGACTTCGTCAATCATTGCGTCGTCTGGGGCGGGCAGCCCGAACTCGGAGCACTTGTTGTCGATTGGGACTTTCACTGCTCGGTGGCGCGAACACCGCGTCACTGCTTCGCCAGTGCCAAGGACGGTAGCTTGGTCTTGACAAGTGATAGTCACGGCTCTCTTCTCGAGGTGAGGCTGGAGTTGAACTGTAGTGAACTCACGCAGCGCTGTCCCTGTGCGTGTCCATCCCCCTGACGCTCAGAATATTCCCAAAGCGTCTCAAGAGGCGGAGGAGGTGCAGGACTCATTGAGCAGGTCTGACAGCTTGTCGTGCTTTGGACAAGCCCGCGGCGTGCCCTGAAGCGACAAAGTTGCCGGGACAGCTGACTGTGTGCTGTTGTTTGTTCCCCCCATCGTTGGGTGCCGTTGCGACGAGGCCCATTGCTCCCCCACAAGGGTTGCCCGTCCGACTCCACTATGATGCGGATCGGCACCCCTGGACGCGTCACGTCAACATGAGCATCGACATTTTGACAAGTGGGTGCTGGGTGCAACAGGCTTCCATGGACGATCAGTGTTTCGAGCGGGCAGGTGTTTTGGCAGACGAAAAACCCGCAGTGGGATGCCGATCTTGAAACGGGCGGGCGTAAACAATGGTGCACAGTATCTGTATATCTCTATCGCTCTCGGGGAGAACCATCCACCAGCGTGAAGTAGCGCCCCATCGTCAGATACCCCGATTACATCAGCGGTAGGGCTCGTCAAGTGAGAATGAACCCTGTCTTGGGTGTCGCCGTGTCCGCCACAGAGATTGGGTCTTACATACGCGCATGGGCATACCAGCGAGCATCAGGACCACAACAGCCTGAACTGGAAACAAGTTGGCCAAGGGACATTTGGATAATTAACAGGACCCTAGTTTTGGGCCACTGAAGAAACAATGCTGTGTTGAGCGATACCGCGCTGCTGCTGCTACTGGCCACAAATCGCGAGGGGCAACGCAAAGGTCCATTAGTGGCAGGGAAATGCCCGGAATCCCTTCACTTCTTGCTGGCCTCATCAGCCGAGATTCAGCCTCGAAATAGTCGTGCACCAGGGCCCGTTGCTATTCTTGTGAACCTGGTCCTGATCCTGCGAAAGCGTGCCGGAGCTGAGGCTGCGCTGGCGCAGTTACCTATCTCCTCGAGGCCTATTAACCACTGACCAGCCGCACCCCCGCCGTCAGCCTCCTTGCCGGTTCTGGTTTAACGCGGTCAGCAATGGCAGCGAGGGTTCCCAGACCGCAAGGCAGCCTGTATGGAGTGCGGAGGCTGAGAGGACCAGTCAGTCACCTTGGCACTTGCACGGGTCCCAAACACGCCAATGCCAATGTCAGCCGTAGGTTTTAGAGTGTATCGCGGCCAAGTACGCCACCACTTGCAACTTAGTTCGTGCAGGCTCCGGTAGTGGGCGGTCTCCTAGAAGATGAGGAGGGGAAGGCAGGTCGTATGGGGGTGGGTTGAGAGGGAGGTCAAAAAGGTCATGCTCTGCCCTGCTCGAGACAGAATGATATCCCGAAATGGGCGAAATGAAGGAAGCCGGACAAAAGAGACTGCTCGCTATCGCTATCTGCAGCTTTCCGCTGTCGCTGCCGCTGCCGCTGCTGAAGTGTGTATGCCTGTCGTCTCATGCTGCTGCGCCTCGACGGCTGTTGCTGAGAGCAAAGAGGCATTGTTGCCGTGCCGGCTCAGCCTGGCGCAGTGGCAGGGATGGCTGGGCCGCTTCAGCCCCTGGCTGCCTCCAGAAAGTTAGCCTTAGTGCCTGAGCTCAGCCCGCCTGCCCACGCAGCCCACGCAACCACCCACCCATGGCCACGCTCGTACAGCTAATGCGGCCTGACAGTTAAATGCCCACGCTCACGCCGGCTTTGTCGACCTGCCGACTCTTCCAGCCCATCCTCTCCGTTTCATATTTCCCATCCGTGCGTTCTTCCCTCGTTTGTCTTCGCCGCTGCTGCAGTCTTCGTTCTCGCCAGCAGCTCAGCGTCCCGACAAACACTCCCACCGCAACCACCATCACCACCACCACCAATACTCGCCCGGATTGCAACTCCCCCACAGTCTGCCCAGCATGAGTGTCGGCCGCTACTTCTGCGTGGCCCTGCCATTTGTCCTGACCGTCGCTAGCATCGTGTGCGTGCTGATTGCCGGTCTGACTGGAGTCGTCAACAACAACCTCTATCTTATGAAGCTCAACCTCACCGAGACCTCCATCGACGCCACCGAGCTCGCTGCCCTCCTCAACGGCATCACGGACCTTCAGAACGTCAACCTCAACAACCTCAACATCAGCGACTCGCAGATCCAGACCACCCTGCAGAACCTCGAGCAAAACCTCCAGAACCTTCCCAGCAGCGTGAGCAACAGCGTCCAGAACAAGCGCAACACCGGCACCTGGCACGACAGCTCTCTGATCCAGGAGCTCGGCATTCCCACGGGCTCCAACGCTGAGACCGCCGCCACCGCCAAGAACATTACCGCCCAGCAGCTCGGCCTCGCCAACACCTACCAGGTCACCGTCTGGGGCTACTGCGCCGACTGGCCCAATGGCGTCCACAACTGCACCGCCCCCAGGTTCAACTGGGCCGAGAACCAGCTCAACACCAAGGCGCTTGCCGAGTTCAACAAGCTCGCCGGCATCAACATCACCATTCCCGCCGAGGTTGAGAAGGGCCTGGATGCGTTCGAGCAGGTGGCCAAGTGGACGCAGATCATCTTCATCATTGCCTGCATTGCTCTCGGCATCGAGTTCGTTGTTGGCATTTTCACTGCCTGCTCTCGTGCCGTCTCCTGCGTCACCTGGCTCGTGTCCTTCATTGCCACGGCTGCTGTCATCGCCGCCGCGGCCTTGATGACCACTCTCTCTCTTGTCGTTGTCGGTGCTGTCGAGGGCAGCCTGAGCAAGTACGGTGCCAACGCCCACGTCAACACCACCTTCCTTGCCATCATCTGGCTCGGTGCCGCCTTTGCCCTCGCCGCCAGCTTCTTCTGGCTCTTCTCCATCTGCTGCTGCAAGCCCGAGAGCCGCCCCCACAAGTCGCGCTCCTCGCACGCCGACGGCGAGAAGCTCCTGCCGGTTGGTGCCTACCAGCCCATTGGCGAGCACCACGCCGGCCGCAACAACTACAACTATGGCGTTCCTCAGCGCGGCGGTGCCCGCTCCGATCTCGCCTACGAGCCCTACTCGCACTCTAATGTCTAAATGGAAGTTGAGAAGTGCCCGAGTATTCGTACCGATGAGTACAAGCCATCAAAGTCTGCAGATTCACGAGTCTTCCACTGGATAAGCTTGAGGCTGAGATGTAGAATGATGAAGAAAGGATAGAACAGCTATGATATGAATTGCGCTCTTGCATTTGCCCGGCGTCTATTGGTTGATATTCTGGTTTTATGAAGGGATTTGGGAAACGCAACGAGGCACAAGGGATTTGGACAGACCACATTTTGTCAATAAAAACACTTCCACACAACTACTTCGAATTCTGAAAGTGCAAACGAGTTGATATCACGCTAGACCCTGCGCTGTTGAGTGCATCCTCAAGGGAGGTCCGTGATATTGTGAAGCGGTATGCCATTGTAACGTGACGCCGCATTTTCTGACGGAACGACACGACCAAGGAGCAGGGGAAGGCCGTTGATTCAATGGACATGATGGACTTGAGTCCGCTCGAATAATGCATCCTGAGGGCCCTCGTTCAAGGATGACGCTAAGGCATTGAGGGTAGGTACAGTTTGTAACCCCACGCCCCACCACAACTTTTTTTCCATTCGCGGGCAAAACACCTTCCATGTGTCAGGCGAGCGGCCATATCTTGCGATAACATCTAGAGGGACAAAGTATTTCATGGCAACATCGGGCGGTGCTCGATTCAAGTGATGCTTTTACGTCGATTGCGCACTGGAAGGGCAAAATTCTGAGGTGCGTGAGTCAAGCTCTTCATCGTTGCGCTTCTCCAAAATTTCAAGACAATGTAGAGCCTGTTTTTTCTCCTCCGTGTCCGAGTTGAGACGGAGGGGGCCGGACCAGTGGTAATTAGTGACTGGAGAGCGCCATCGGTCTTTCATCTTGAAGCGTGGTTCTATCTCTTTTGGAAGTTTCCCGAATCCAGCATTTCCTTGAGAATCAGGACGGCGCCTGTTGCAGTATTGCAAAGCGGTTCTCGTGACTTTCCAGTCCTGCTATCCCGTTGGATACTACTTTTCAAAAGAACACGGGCAGGTTGTAACAAGAAGTTCTTATGCTAATCTACTACACAGGCCCATGATTCGAGGCACTAGCGATGGCACCCATTATACCTGCCGGCCATGACTGCGGCCACAGCGGCGCCAGAGAAGAGAGGCACAGTCAAGGGGCAAGTCCAGCGGGGGCCATGACCACGAGAGAATACCCTCTGGCTCGCCGGTGCGGGCTGCGGCGAGAGCATGTCCATGCGCCCATCACTGCGCTGGCGTTCTACACGCCTGCTGCCTCGGCGTCAGACTCGGCCCGTGGTGCATCCCGTGCAAGGAGATATCTGCTTGCTGCGGAGGACACGGATCTGCAGATTTACGATGTATCAGCGTCTTCAGACGAGGACTCCCTCCCGACAGTGGGGAGCAACTTAAGCGGCGACGAGGCCATTCGGGAGGAGAGCGCAGCCCCTGGCGGGACAGCACATGAGCAGAGGCTGCTCAAGCAAATACCAATCTTCAGGGCGCAGTCGGTTCATGGCATTTCCATCCGCTACCAGACGCGGGGAGAGAAGGCCGACGACGATCGGATCCTGATCTGGGGTGGGTACTCGGTCGCCGTGCTCTCAGCCAAGGCGCTCTTTGAGGGAATAGTTGAGACCACGAAAGGCGACGAGGACGACATCTGCAGTCGAGGCCGAAGTGTCGAGTATATTGCCGAGTTCAGGGCCCCCGACTGGATCTTCGACGCCAAGATCTCTCCCTCCGACCGGGACCGCGTGGTCATGCTCACCGCGCACAACGAGATCGTCGAGGCGCGAGTCACGCGGTCAGTCGCTACGTCCGCGGCGGGCGGCAGGGACGGATTGGCCCTCGAGATGGTCAGCGTGCGCTCCCCGTCGCGGCCGATCTTGTACGCCGGGAATCTGCTGTGGCTGGGCACAGATTGTGTCCTGGTGGCGGCAGGCACCGTGTTCGGCGAGGTCGTCGTGTGGAAGTGGCATGCCCAGCGCCCGGAACGCGCCCCCTCGCCCCCCAGTGAGCACGAGGTGTGGTGCGAGCACTTGTTTGCGTTCTCGGGACACGAGGGGTCGATATTTGGGATACAGATATCGCCCGAACTTGTCGTGCCTGGATCGGAGCGGCCGGTGCGCTTGCTGGCTACGTGTAGCGACGACAGGACGGTCAGGGTATGGGACATTACAGAAAGCCAGATCCAAGAAAGTGCTGCCGACCTCAAACCGCGCGATGTCAGTGTGAGTCTGCCGGAAGCGAGGGAGACTGGCTTTGGTCCGAACGGGAACACCACCACCAAACAAGATGAGCCCACAGGAGGAGGCGGAAAATCAACACAGTTGGAGGCTGACAGCGCAAGACGATGCGTGGCTATTGCTATGGGGCACATATCAAGGATCTGGCATGTCAAATTTGCAGAACCTCGTCCAGGATCTTCAAATGTGTTTCCCATAAACTCATTCGGCGAGGATGCCACGGCACAGAAGTGGCACTTGTCCTTTGGGCCGCAGCAGCAGACCGCAACGGCTTCCAGGAACGCCTCGGCCAAGACAAGGATTTCGACATTGGGTGAGGCGGCTCTGACGCACCAGGCAATCTATCGAAATCATACAGGAAAACACATATGGTCAAGAGCAGTGTTGAGCCATCTGGATGATAGTGTCACAATAGCGACTGGCGGATCGGATGGCAAAATCGCACTTGTTCGTGACAAAGACGAGGCCATGAGTGTCGATGGACAAGGTTCATGGGAAAAGACTTACTCTCTGGAGAGCCTGGCCAAGATTTCAGGAGCCGAGCCTCTCCCTGAGCCCAAACCACCAATCGTCGAGACCGTCGTATCGACCCAAGATAGTGGAGAGGAGAAACCCAAGAAGAAGGTCAAACCACCAAAACCGCCAAAGGAGAGCTTCCAGCGTTATACCTTCATCTCCGAGGACAAGCTGCTAGTCATTACAAACCAAGGCCGCTGCTTTGTCGGCACGATACAGGGCCAAGAGATCGAGTGGAAAGCGCTCGCAATCCCGGAAGGAATGCGCACATCATTGACCGGATACTCGGTTGTCGAATCGTCTTTGGTGACATCAACTGCCTACATCGGCACGAGTCGTGGAGAGGTCTTTGCGCTCTCAGATGAAGATAACGCCACGCCTCGTCTTGTGACCACCGTCCCGGGCAAGATTGCAGACCTTTTCTGTCTCTCCGATGAGCAACGGCAAGGGGAACAGCCCAGTTATGGGCATGATACAAAACTCATGATTACCGTTCTCGGAGCTGCTACGGCAGCTATAGTCTCGATCAGCGGTCGTTGCGCAGTAACCGCGACAGTGGCCGTAGAGCTCGAAAAGGGATTTGTCACTACAGCTGCGAGTCTGGCTGACGACACTTTAATACTGGGGTCTCGTAACGGCGCCATATCAATATTTAGTCGGAACGAGGCTACCTCTCCATACACGGTTGCGCAGACGCTCAGCGCAAGGCTCACCGACGCCATCACTTCTATAGTGCTTTTGCCACGACAGACCGGCTCAATAGCCAATTACTTCCTCGCCACTTGCCGTGATGGCAAGTACAGGATATATCAGAGACGGATCCCTACTAATGCCAAGAAATCTCAAGAAGCCATTGTGTTACTACAGGAAACATCGCCACCTTTTGGGCCGCTCATTGAACAAGCTTGGTTCACCAACAATGCAAGTACAAACACAATAGAGCTGATGCTTTGCGGGTTCCGCAGCACAAACGCCGTCCTCTGGAACGCGACACAGCAGCGCGAGGTGGCAACAGTGGACTGTGGTGGTGCTCATCGGAGCTTTGCCATGACCTTGCTACAGAGAAAGAATCGGAAGCAACAGCAGCAGCAGCAGCGGCAGGGTTCACCCGACGGGTTCCGGTTTGTTTTCACAAAGGCCTCGGAAATGCACATATTCTCCCAAGGCCGATCGCAGGCACAGACTATCAAGCCAGGCAGTCACGGGCGCGAGATCCGCGCAGTGAGCTCTTCTGGCCAGTACACAGCTACAGCCGCAGAGGACACGGTCATCCGGATTCACAAGTACACACCTCCGTCGCCCAGCGGATTCAGGAGCCAAACCAGCGGTGGCGGCTCATTCCGGTGCGTCGCAACGATCGAGAAGCACGCGACAGGCATCCAGGCCTTGCGCTGGCATGAGAACGAGTACCTCTTTAGCAGTGGGGGCAACGAGGAGTTCTTTGTGTGGAAGGCGAACCAGGTTGAGAGCGACGTCTGCCCGCTGGGAGTCGCCTGCGAGGCCGTGTTCAGGGACAAGTCTGAGATTGGCGACCTGCGCATCATGGACTTTGACGTAGAGCCGATGATGGATGATGATGGCGGCGCTGACAACGGCGGAGAGGGCATGCAGTTCTGCATCACCATGGCCTTGTCCAACTCGACGGTCCAAAGCTACCTCTACTCGAGTGCTGGGGGGTTCCGCCTTCTCGGCAGGAGGCACTACACGGGTGCTTGCCTGATGCAGCTCCGTCATCTGGGCTTCTCCTCGTCGTCCACTGATGACCATATTCGGAGGCAGCCGCATGTACTCACTGCGTCGACGGATGGTCATCTTGCCGTCTTTGTCGGTGTGCAGCCAGATCTAGGTATTGAACCGGTCACACCCGAGACGATGGACGGAGCGTCTCCACAGGCCAGTCGCGCCCGACACGCTGCTGCCGACAAGACATCCCTAATCGCGAGGCTTCATCAGAGCGGCATCAAGTCCCTCGACATGCTTCGGCTTCCTACTTCGTCCCCCTGCGCCTCCTCATCATACCTCGTAGTCACAGGTGGCGACGACAACGCCCTCGGCGTAATGCACCTCTCCTACACCGCATCAACAGCCAAATATAAAGTCCAGGGGAAGTTCATCGTGCGATCCGCGCACGCGGCCGCCGTGACGGGGATCGGCATCGTGCGGCTCGAGAACGGCGGCCGCGATGCCGTGGTGGCCAGCACGAGCAACGACCAGCGGGTCAAGACGTGGAGGGTCGTGGGGTGGCAGGAGCCTGAAGCAACCAGGGTCCTCCTCGTGGGCGATGAGTACAGCGGCGTGGCCGACTCTGGCGATTTGGAGATCATCAGCCGTGGGGGTCTTGGCGGTGATGGCGATGATGGTGAAGCTTTCACAGCAGGGAGCTTCATCGTGGGTGGTGTGGGCATGGAAGTCTGGCGCGTATAGAAGTACCAGTCACGGGGCTGGACCATCCTTGATTGATGGGTCTTCTTTGGTGAAGAAGCTTTGAGGACAAGGTCTGATCCATGGGATGGATTCATGCTGCTCATAAAGAGCTCGAGGGAGTTGACCCCAATTTCCCAGCCGACATTGTGTTTATTGGGGAATCGCAACCACGAGATCTAGATCTCCGTCTTCCACTACAGCCTGTTGAGTTCCGTCCTATTAATGCGCGTAGCCTTTCCCATGCCATGCTCTTGAGGCTACCACTGCTGACCGTCACCACGGTCGCCCTCGTCTGGACTGTCCTCTGAGAGCTCCAAGCCGTAGCTAGAAAACGAGCATATGCAGTTTGGACACTGCCCCGAGGACATCAACTGCCGAAACTGTCCCTCAGAGCGCTGGGGGCTCGAGAGAGCAGTATTATGACTAGGGAGACCTGAGTCCAGATACGTCCCATTCCACTAGTCTAACGAGGACGCCTTGCAAAAACCATTTCGCACAAGTATTGGTCACTTTACATGCCCAAAACGCACATCATGTGGGGAACTTTAAAGCTTTGCCACGCCTTAGCATTTGGTGTTTGTAACCGGCAGACCTGGTGATCACCGTACGTTGTCAAGTTGTTGAGGGGAAGCCCACACACTATCGGCAGAAGCACTGGTGCGCCTAGTTTGAATAGATTCTTCGCTCATAATCAATCCCATGTGGTTCCGTTTGTTCATCCGTCATCGAACAACACCAAGCGCTCTTTCAAGACCAGGAGCATCCGGGACTTACACGCAGATCCATCAAACTCCGCCTAATCCGTCCCTGTCAACGAGAAACCCGCCACGATCCTTGTTTGCGTCGAGCATGCTTGAGATTGATCACCCAGAGATCCAGGTGTACTGATACACCCACGGCCGCCCCCTGAACGAGATGCAAAGACCCAAGACACTTTTCAACCACGTCGTGCCTTATCTGCAGAATGGCGTCTCCGTCGATTTTTCCGCAACAGGAGCAATGTCCGAACTTGTGCAGCTCGGGGGGGCCAAAAGATTGCCCGGCACGAACAACGTTCTTGCCCCGTGCAGGAGGATGCTGGCAAGCGACATCTCGCTAGGTCTGGCGACAGCACTTTGGCGTGGGAGAGGCCGCTCATTTCTGATAACTTAACTGTGTGCCTACTGCGCGCACCTGCAAGCAGTGCCACCGTATACAACCAACATTGTCCGTGTGAAATCCTCCACGAGGACGAGCATCGTGCTCCGGCCACACGCGCGCGTCTCAGAATAACCTCGAGGATCTGTTATACTCATGTAGATAGATGATTGGCTGGTCGCAGTCGAGGCCAAAGCTGAAGAGGGTGTGAATAGCCCTGTCTTTCCGCTGTCGAAATGCGTGTCAGAGCATTGGGGTCCAGGCAATGAAATCCCAGAGAGAGGCACATCATCCTGGGAGGACACCCCTCGGCCCGAGACGCCACCAACGATGGGCCATCAGCATCGTGGTCAGCCACGGCGTCCGTCCCTGCACTTCCAGGTGTAATGTCATCCTGCCGCCTATGCAACCACAGAATCTGGGAAGTTGCAGTGTGGGAGGGCCAGATCACGATCTCTGACGCTGACTTCACTTGAAATCATACCCATGGAGTACATGCAAAGCGGTTGCGCTGGAGGGTGTAAGCCGCGTAGCCAGATAGGTGATATGTGCTTTTATCGTCTCAAATTACCGCTTTCGCACGGCGAATTTAACCACAAGATGGCCTCTCCGAGCTCTGAGCAGGATTCTGAAGGCATATCTTGATCTGCCCACACTTTCCATGTCGCAAAGTATGGCCCTTATAATCGCAATCTACAGTCTAATGTGTGTGCGCCTCAACGTGAATCATATGCGGAATGGAGTCATCGCTGTTTGTTGAGTTGAGTTGACTTGGGAGGCACTACCAGAGGGTCAACCGTCGAGCAGCCCTGACTCACCTTCCCTGACAAGACTTTGATCAACTCGTTGCTCATGACTGATCTGCACGAGCGCGCTCGTGCATACCACTTTCGATGCGCAGCCGCTACTTGCAGCCCAGCGTGATACACGTTTACCCCGCTGACGCAGGTCATGTTCTAGTGTTTTCAAGCAGATGGGCGGTCTCTGCCAGTCTCAGTTGCGTCGTTCCGTGCCTTCAGCGCTTTCGGGATCTTGTGAGATAAACAAAATACCCGACAAGTAGCCGGAACTGAGCATGCCATGCTCATCAAGTGCCAAAGTAGGAAAAAGACCTCGGCATCATCTGGGGATTGATGGCCTTCCGAGACGCCAGGACTCGGGCCGAGTCAAAATCATTGGTGGAGAGCTCGCGCTGCAGGCGGTCTGAGGCTAGATAGGGCGGGTTGGGATTACATTGCTGCATGCATCCCCAGCCGTTTTCATCGCAAGTCCAATGAGTATGCTTCTCCGTGACGGTCAGGTGTGTCACTGCTGCATGCCTTGGCCCCCGAGAAGTAAAGTGTGCAAGACGTTAGGGTCAAATCAGGCGCACGACCATCATATTTGCCAGGTAATGCCACGTCGGAACACGAGCGCTGTGCGATAATGGATCGAGATCCTCGGTGGTCCGGTCATCGTCTCCAAAACGATATGCATCGAGGGGCACACTGACGGAGCAGTGCCTATAGTAGAGAAGGCTCTCAATTGTCCTGCTGTGGTCGCCACGGTGTCGAACCGTAGGCTTGCAAGTATCGCGCCTGCGTGGACCGCCAACCCGTGCCAATGGCTGGCACACGGTTCAGAGGACGGGAGTATGCTCTTTCCCTTGGGTCCCATAATATTCCTGCTGGCACTAGCGATTGTCATATGGGAGCTATGTATCGTTTGCCCAGTCGCAGCGAGAGTGCGGATATCCCACGACGTAATCTCCACGACTTCCTGGTTTTGCCAGCTGTTGAGTTCGGCCAGCGACGCCGGCCATCATTTTCGATGGTCGTGGACCGCTGGCGCCTCGTGTGGCTTTTCGTGTCTTTCGGGAGGTAGTCTAGAAAAGCGGCTTGACGTATGGAGTATCAAGGCAGTCAAGTCAGTATTGGTCTTAGCGGAACTTCCCACTGCTGGAAGCATGCAGCGGGCAGTACACTAAGCTGGCCTCACCGTCGCGATGCTCTTCGGGGCGCAGCAACACTCCGTGCAGTCTTGTCTTGTGGGGCACGTATGAGAATGCAGCGTTAAGCGCTGACCCAAACCACCGGAGGCCGTGAGACTTGGAACAGCCTTGTCACTGCATGTGCAGTGCTCCATCGTGAATGCAGGACTCCCTGTCTGTTGCTGGCCGCATTGTGCAGGAGGTGCTGCCACGACTTGCAGCGTGGATACCGTAACAGCCTCCGAGACCAGGGGGAGGAAACCGGGGGAGGATGGAGACCCATGTGATTTTGTCTCTCTGTGTTGGAGGGGTTTCACTCTCTGATCCCAATTGACTCAGTCCTGAGTGATGGAACTTTGCACCACTGCTGCAATAACACTGCCGTCTCCTCAGCCCAGCCCCGGTTTCACGACGGGAGGGGAATGATGTGCCGCTGTGCCCTTCGGCAATGCTGTCCTGGCAAATCACATGCTCTAGCAGTGTCAAGCACTTGAGCATTGATCACGATTGATCCTACTATTGGGTGTTCCCAATGCGCAAGCGTACAGGTTCGCAAGATGCCCCTGCTCGTGTTGGGATGGTCGACTGCGCACCACGAGACCGGGAACCGGTTCGCGTCCCCTGGGCGAGGAAAGCAGTGCCACTGTACCTGCAAGTATGGGACGATGTGATGGCTGTGGCTCTGCCTGCCTGGCCGGGTGCCTGGACGACGAATTGATCCAGGAATGGGATGCAGCAGGAAGGACCAGATCTCGCGCGGTCCAGCAGGGTCCAGCGGCGCGATGTGACTGTTCTGGAAAACCATCCCGCTGCACGTAATTGAGTGCGCATGGACGGAAGAATGGAACCTCTGGGCTGCATTTTCCAGGCGGGCTGAGCTCGGGTGTGCTGTGCTTGAGCAGGGTTTTGCCCGCGCCAGGCTGGATCGTCTTGTGGGCTGTTTGTCACGACGAGGACTGAAGGTGCAGAGTTTGCTCAAGAGGAATCTCTGTTGGCGTTGGTGGTGGTGATGATGATGATGGCACTGTCGAGCGGCGAAGGCGTGTGTCTGTTGTTTCGTCGCACCCTCCGCTCCTGCCCAACCTTGGAAGTTCCTGCTCAAGGCTGGACCGCTCCTTCCTGCCTCCGTGCCTGCCGTGCCATGCGCCTACAGCTCCTGGTCCTTGCCGCTCTCCTTCGATACGCTTACTTACCAGGCACGCCGACCACGGAAGTGCCCACACGGCAACGAGCAGGACGCTCAAAAGTTTGGGTCTCTGCGTTCTCAAGCTCGCAAACACCAGAGCCCACCAGCTGTTGTCGTCATCGTCGTCGCCCATGTCTGCATTCCGGGCTGTGTTACACGCCTCGCAAAACAAGGTTCTCACGGCCTCTTCTGTCACAATCCGCATCGCCACAGATGGCACCCTCGCCCACACAGCCATGATGGACACTTGTTGGCAGCTCGTGCGTGGTATACACACCGGCACATATACACACTCCCAGGATACGTAAGCATTCCCGTCAGTCTTGGCTTGCAGCACGATGCACGACACGGACGCTGGTCCCAAGCTTCGTCTCTCCCGCCGGCACCAACTTCGTTGTGGCAAGAGGACGTGCTCTGCAGCCACCCGTTCCGCAGATCTTCGCACGCATGCCATCTGCAACCGCCGCGTTGATTCTTCCGGCTCCAGTAAGCACATTATTCCTCAACTCGCTGGGGTCGTCTCTCCGCAGACCGGCCAAGTACGCGAGCAGCTCCGCAGAACCTAGACGAGAGCGAGGTGTCCGCCTTGCCAGGGGAGTGGTAGCTCCGCTGCTGGCGCCAGCCGAAAGAAGCAGCTCTTTGTGCCTGGTGTCCTCTACTCGTCTACGAATATCCGAGGGAGGGGGCGTGTGCAAAACCAACGGCCCCAGGCAAGCTCACCAGTTTGTTCGTTTGACCACTCGAGTCTCCAGGCTAGGCTGGAGTGTGCTAACCCCGTCGATGACCCAAGAAGGGTCGACAACAACGTTGCCCTGGCACAGGCGTCGTGACGCACACTGGTCTTGGCTGGCCATGGATCTCCGAATCTGCCTATCACTAATGGAGCTGCAGGTTTCGGCCCTACAAGGCCTCGCGGCGGCAACAAGATGGACGTGAACCTATGACATGGAGCACAGAGACCCCTGTGCGACTGTTGCGCGATGTTCATGAAGGTCTCCCAGCAAGCCCTTCAAGGGAGATGCCTGTCCTGTGGGAATCACTGTCGCCACCCATTAGACCCTGAGGATGGGGGGTCAGGGCCACTTCGGTCGTGGCCTTTGCTTCGTGATGTGCAAGAACCTTTGAAAGAGAATGGCAAAGTGTCGACGCTTCAAAGCGAAGAACTCACATAACAGGTACGGGCATGCGGCGATCATTCGTGGATGCCCGAGCTTAAACCGCAGGTCTGCTCGCCCGCGAAAATTTGTGCTTCAGCGATGACGGCAGGATACAAGTGCCCCGGAATGCAAGCACCATTGGCGCACAAAGTCCCCATGGAAGCACGAGAGACCCCCCCAGGCAGGTGATAACAAGCGGAGACCACGAACACTAGGCCTTCGTGCTAGCTTAGCCTCAGGAGGCGGCCTGTTGAGGTGGCCACGGGCGCGGCCATAACCGAAGTCTCATGGGTCATGACAAAGTGTGCCTGCCTCCAGGAAACAGGGAGGTTCGAATTCGTAAGGCAGACAAGTAAGGATGCCGTCAACTATGACAGCTAGACTGTGTTAGAAGAGCCGTGAGACATCGTTTCCGTCCTCGGCCGTTTGTTCTTGCCCAACCCACGGAACCGGCAAGATGCTCCCTCCCCACCTTGGAGATTTTAGATTTTGCCAACCAGCGAGCCCAGCGCGCCACGTCCTGTGTACTGCGCATGGCCGCAGATTCAGCTCGATGGCAGAGCCGGCGTGGATCTTCACCTCCAAGGTCAGACCGGGCTCGGTTGGAAGAAATTTCTCGCTTGTGCCCTATCAGGCTCGCGCAAACGTGCCCCCAAGATTACAAAGACACTACAGGTGGTCAAGCCAAGCCCAGGGGTCCTGCAAGTCCCGGTCTGACTCCGCATGAGGAGAGCCTGTGTGTCTTCCCGGGGCCCTATGATTCACGAGGGTCAGGGAGATCGAGGCGAGGCATATGCCGAGCAAGGCCGAAAATGGCGTTGGTACTCCTCCCATTCGCCCCACAGGGCAGTGAAAAGACCCTCTTGTCGACATCCTGGCCTTGTCTGTTGGTCATTTGCAGAAATGGTCACATTCACGGCGTGGCTAGATTGGAGTCATCGAAATGAGACTCAAGGCTTCCCGTGCAAAGGTTCCCCGAATAACGTGGATGCAAGGGACCATGAGAGCAACGCAGTGTTGCGAGGCGCGTCTAAATCCATGGCAATCGGGGATATAGTAGTACTGGGGATGTGCGCGGATGACGGCCGAGTAGGAGACGAGGGTTCAAGGGGTGGAATGGGGGGGCGTGCATAGCCAAAAGGGCCGTCTAACATAACAGCCGAGTGTTGGACGATCACCAACGGCACTGCTTCATGGCGAATGGACGCTTGACGGTTTACGCGACCTAAGCGCCGTCATAGCCCTACCATGACAGGTGCCACCTTGAGAGCACTACTGCATGCCTGACCGCGCTTAGAAGATGGGGGTCACTGCACAGAGCCTGCACAGAGATCGTGATGGGACCCGACACGGGATCTGGATGCCAGTTGGGCAAGGTGACAGTGCGCTGGCATGTCACGCGATGATGGCTGTGGTATGGCAGTGCCGGGTCTGCGGCTGTTAGGCACGGAGGTAGGGTGGGAGGCAGAGAGGACGGCAAGACTAGGCTGTATGCTTTAGTGGGAACTTGATTCGTGATTCCGTTTGGCATGGGAGTGGACCTGTGAGCTGTAGTCTGTGATGCTTCGTCGCCACTAGTGACGGCAAATTTGCCAGCTCTCTCAGGGGCAGGCCGGAGCTGCGTCCGGAGGAGTACGGACAAGATAGTCCAGCCGAAGCATAGGGAGAAAATTCGTGGCTTGAACAAGTCCTTCGCCTAGCATGTCTAGTCAACAGGCAGCGGCGATTTTGCTCGCTGATGGGAAACACCCAAGTTGCACTGGACAAGGCTTTGCGTCTTCTAGCTGGAGTGGATCCAGAGCCGCAAAGCTACCGTAGTAGCAATTTGACAAAGGATCTTGTTGCGGGCCATGAAAGGGGGTTGGCCCAAGCCGACTAGATCCCACCAGTGACGCGAGCAGCAGTTATCTATACGAGTAGCAGCGGTAGAAGGCAGGTAACAAGACCGCGAAAGACAAAGAGCCGGCTGGATCGGAGCTGCTTACCTCATACTTGATGTTCTGTTGCAACATATGCGGCACAGGAACTCTGTGGAGAACCATGCACAAACGGCCTATAGCTCACGGGCAATTAGTGGTGGCTAGTGAGAGAAGACCACCGTCACTTTCTGTGTGCTCCGGCCTGCCCGCAGCAACCGTGCGGTGCGCCTCTATTGCATCTCTTGCTGATACGGGGGCCCCAGAGGGATGATTGATTCTCCGAATACATCTTGACCAAGAAAATGCACATGGACTCGGCTCTGGTTTCGCAACGACTGCCTGCTTTGTTACAAGCATGTGCAGATGGGGAGAGAGAGCCAAGGGCTTGTACAAGGAACATGCCTGTTGCCGTTGAGTCAGCCTCGACTGCCGGAACCCCTCTCTCGCGCGCGCTCTCACTCCCTCCCTCCCTCTATCTCCCCGGAGAAGGGGCATATGGTTGCGCGCGGCGCAATTGCCAATTTAGGATGGGAGACGCAGAGGTGGCCTTGCTGCCACATTCAGGTTGTAGCGGGGGTCGTGAAGGTAGAGGTCGGGCTCAACTGACAGTAACGCGAACTAGGTTGGCTCCTGGAGGACCAGCCCGCGGTGATGGCGGCTGGACTGGACTCTCCACGCTGCACGACACGGAAGTGTGAAAACAAGCGTGAGCTGGCAAGTGAATGTGTCACGCGGCTGATGTCAATGATCTCTTTGCTCCCACGCAGTCGCTTCGTCAGTGGAGTGGTGTTGCCTGAGCGTGTAACGGCTGAGGGTGTGTGTGGACCGCAGAGGAGGAGACGGCAGGTCTGAAAGGGGGGGTGTGGGTTGCAGACAGGAAGACCAGCCCATCCCGCATTTGAGAGCGCGCCGCAGCTCAATCTGGTCGAGGAGGAACTCGCGGACTACGCCGGGGCCATCTTTGTCTTCGTTCTTGACAGCCGGCTTCGGCATGTCGCGAGAGGGAGTGGGAGCACCAGGACGATCCGATAGGGGGCGTGGAGGGAAAGAAGAGAGAGATGGGGCAGAGAAACCAGGGTGGGATGGAAGTGTGGGCGGAGACGCACGAGGACTGGTGCCGGAGGGGCAGCGGTGATAGCCCGGACGTGGCAGGTACCCGGGCAACTACATTTGATCATGTAAGTGCTCAAAGGGGGCACCAAAGGCAGGAGCGGAGGGGCGGGCAGGCTCGACGGAACCCAAAATGGCCACGGCGACTGGAGGCAGTCGTGCGTCAGTGGTGTGCGACTGGCAAGGATTGGGGGCTCGATGACAAAATGGGCAAAGACGCAGCAGCCTGACTAGGACGGGTGGCAACAAGGGCGCCTGCGCGCGGATGGAGCACAGGGCGGGCGTGCGTGCTGGCGGGCTCGGAGCGACGTCTTTGACCCTGCTCTCTCTGTGTGTGTGTGTGTGTGTGTGTCGTTGCATAGGGGTGGTGACGGAGTAATCTAATTCATCCTGAGAACCCGGGCATCCGTGGTATATTTTGCGCGCCGTCTGTCGTGGCGAGTGGTCGCTGCGACCTCTCTGCCTCGGGACCGATCTTCTGGCAACAGGCTGATGCTTCGACAGCACCAAGAGTCATCACCGAGAGCCCGGGAGCAGCGCCTCTGACGACGAAAGTTCCTTCGGCACTGGCGAGCTGCATATGTGGCAGCAACCCGTGGGGCGCGGCATGGGAGGGGGGAGCCGGGTTGCCACTCCGGAGAGGGGGCCGTGGTCGAGTGTCAAGCGGCAGGGACATGGACTCGAGGGGTCTGGCAGAATACGTGTCGGGCCTGCGCGCAAAAGGCAATGAGATGGGGGGGCCTGGGGGCGCTCGACTGACAACCTGGCAAGAGCGTGCGTGCGAACGAGCTGCTCGTTGCCAAGTCGCGAGAATTGCCCTGTTTAACGCGCACGTTGACGCTGATTGGCTGCACGGCCTCGGGAGTTGATTCTGATTGGGTACCAGAACTCTGGTTCAGCAACTCGGTGCACCAATCAGCAGAGTCCATAGGCGCGGCGGAGGTCCTGAAACCTGCCGGGAGCTGATAGGGCGAGACCGAGGCAGGACAGGGATTCACCCCTCCCGCCTGAGCCCCACTTTGCATGTGCTGCCACGAATCGCCCTCCCGCTCCCAGCAGAGCCTGCCTAGGAGCACGCCCACCAGCGCTTGTACCGGCCCGCTCCCACTCGCGTCTCCAGCACTGTCTACATGCCTTGCAGCAGCCCAAGCGGGGATTCTGCCTCTGGTCTCTTTGGCGGCCACCACGTCACACTTGCCTGCAGGGCGATTGACTGCCCACCCGAGGCGCATCGTCATGCTGAGATTGGGTCGCCTGATCTTAGACGACTGCCCAAGCGCCGTGGCAGGGCGGACGCTGCATCGCGCTTAGTGCTGTTGAGAAAAAGACGCAGGCCGGGCCCTCTCTGCGGCTCACAAGAACACCGAAAGGGTGGAACTCGGTGATGACTATTTGCCGCGTCCACGACGGCCAGAATCGCTCCTCATTCTGGGCATGGCGAGCGTTTCTGGCCCCTGAGAACCTGGTTTTCAGATTTTGTACGAGGGGCCAGACGCAAACATGTCCAACGAGGAATCATGCAACTCGCCCGCCTGCGGACGGTCCGCCTCGTGCGGGCTGAAATCTCAAGCAAGATGCGGATACCAAGGATCTTGGTGTCCAAGATGGCACCAGCAGCGTGAAGCACGACACTTGAGCGGCTTGCTTAGGCGAAAAATTCCCGGAGATTGACCGGGGCCACCCGCAGCTTCTCGCCAGTCTGCATGCTCCAACGCGAGGCCATGAGCCCTCTGTGCGTGCTCCACCTGGTGCAAAGACCTTCCTAAAGGCGCGGCGTTCCAGAGCGTCGGAAGATTACCAGCGACTCAGTTGTGACACATTAGGCAGGAGGCCGTTGACCATATTGGGGGGTCATGTGCGTCGTGGTCGTACGAGGCCGCACCTGGTTGGAAGGGCTTCCAACGGGCCGGGAAGCGCGAGATGGGCTCAGTACAATGGCGGCAGCCAGCAAAGCGCCACTCGAACCTCGATGTGGGATAGAGATGAACCATCAGTCACATCCAATAACTCGAGTTGCTCTTGTTACAGAATCCTGCTGCAGATTCAATGTTCAGCTGAGTCCCTCCACATGATGTGCATCGATGACCGGTTGCGAAGCGCCATTCTTCAAAGAGCCAGCAAGGGCCAATACCCTTGCGGGTTCGGCCCAAGCCCGCATTGCTCGGATCCGTCCGAGGCAGGAAGCTCAGGCCCGTTCTCGAGGATGGAGCATTTCACTATGCCTAGCATAGCCAGGCGTACTACGGTAGTCAGTAGAGCTGGGGGATGGAACCCCAATGACAAAACTGCCTTGCGGCATGGATCAGGGAGACTCTGGCTGCCTGTCAAGTGGATGATGGCAGCACTCCGTTGCTCTTTACCCAGCTCTGCTCCATGCTGCGCAAGAAGCGATGGGTCAGGGCCTGAAGGATAGACCAGGGCTTGGTTGGCTTGTGGTAGCAGTAGTGGAGAACTGCCTTCACCGGACCCAGTTTCCGTCTTCCGTCAGGCGTACCTTGCTCGGTCAGTTTGATCCACTTGCCGGCAGCCCCTTACGATCTGCATAATACGGCTCAAAGTGCTGTCTTGAGCGCCCACAACCCAAGCCCGAACAGTCATGGAACAAGAGCTTTGTGCGCGTCCACCGCGGGTTTGGGATTCCAGGGACGGCGAAGGATCTGTTGTTCTGGGCTGGGAACGACGGCCCGACACAGCATCTGCGCTGTCGAACCTCCAGCTGAGACTCGCACATTTGTGCAAGTGAGCTCGTTGTGCAGGAGAGCACTGCTGAGCACGACTCCCGACAAACCGGGCTTTAAAAGGCGGCCCGGGAAGAGTGGTTCGAGGGGCGAGGCCTACACCCTGAGAGCCAAGCCTGAAAGCTGTCCCCCAGCTGTCACGTTTGCGTTTAGCGCGGAACGGGGGGCTTAGATTCCCGCCAGCGCCACTCTTTAAAGTCGCAATTAATGTCGACTGAAATGAATGGGGGCGGATTGTCCATTTTGCCTGCCGTACCCGCGCCAGCTTTGCCGCTTTGAAAGAGCGACGTGATTGATATCGGATATTGCCCTGTTGGAAGGGAGTACCGCGCTTTACAAGATGGCTTCCGGACAACTTCATTTGCCGTGCTCTTGTGCGGTCGTCGTCCTCTTGAAAAATGATGGATAATTGTTAGCCAGCAGGCCCTTTCGCCGACGTGCGAGGTTTGCGATCTCAGACGGAGCCAACGTTGTAGACGACGTAGTGGTGTCGTGCGGAGGGCACCAGCTCGTCAACATGAGTCCCCCAGATGGATCTCGGGGGCGCGCGTCTTTGTTCTTGCGCAAGCGGTGCTAGTCTGGGGCAAGACTTGTGGCTGCTAGCGAGGGGATGGCTTCGATCTTGATGGGCGCCAAAACTCAAGATTTGAGGCCGGTTGGAGAGCACCTGGGAAAAGGTTCCTGACAAGCATTCGCTTTCGGAGGGGAAAGCCACAAGCCACCAGAGAGGAGGAGAAGACTTGACCCTAGCTTGAGTCCCTCCAGTCTCGATGCTCCGTGTGCACGCACTGTATACATCGGGGCACCCGAGCACGCTCCCTTGGGGTTGCTCCCACCCGGGCAGGCGGGCAGGCAGGCAGGCAGCACAGCCCTGTCACAGAGTGCCGAGATCGATGTGCCAGACGGAGCTTCAAACGCTTTGGCAAGCAACAATTGCATCCATCCTCCAGGAGGCAGCACCACCACCACCCTTCCAGCCTAGCGTTGCAGCAACAGCCGCAACTCACGAGATACACAGACGAGCAGTCGACGCAATCAGCGTTCCCGGGGCACCGATATCGTGGCGGCCGTTGTCTCATCGTCTCCCCGCCCACGACCAAAGAGTGCTCATACACAACTGGCCCCAGATCCATCTCGACGCCTGGACACTTGCCGGCTCGGGTCTGCGGCCACTCTTTGATGGCGATCCCCAGCCTAGCATGTCCCCATCTGTCAAGGGTACGTGCGCTCTGGTGCCAATACATGCAGACGCACAGAGAAGCCCCCAATGCTGCCTTCCACAGCCCCCATGGCCGCAACAACAGGCCTAGGCTCACTGACACTTTGGCTGTTGCTCGCCATCAATGTCAGTTGGCGACGATCGCGCCAGGGCATCGCCACAGCAGGGCGGCTAATACGCAGGCTCGACAGAAAACCTGTGGCCTCGCTACCTATAAGCGACGAGGCCGCTCCCCCCATGCACCACAGCTTGCAGAACGGGCGGGACACACGGTTGACGGCCATCCCCAGGGTCGCCGTAGTGAACCGCAAGCACACCCCTCCCCCTGTGTGTGCAAGCCGGCTGTGGCATGTCAAAGTGCAGCGCAGTGGGGCGCATGTGCGTTTTCATTTTGACTGGCGGGCCTCATGCTTGCCCTGGGCAGCCAGCATGTACCGGAGCAGATCTGTCTTGCGCAAGCCGCCCCGAGCCTCCAGACCAGGACGGGCGCCCTGTCTTGCGCGAGGCATGTGTGGGTAAAGGTTGTGGCCAGGGTCCCTCCTCGGCAGGGTTCTCGATAGAGTAAAGCCCTCTGTGGACCTGGGTCGATGCCCACCTGCATGGCATGCCTCGCCCCTACACTACAGTCCCTTATACCGGCGTTTTTAGATCAGCTCCCTGGGATCAGGCGCGACGTCTCTTCCTCTTTACTTAAGTCGAAAGACAGCCCGGGCCTGTCGTGTTTTGTGGCCCGCATCAGAAGCGACCCGGAAGGCAGACAGACCCTCAACCTTTATCCTCCTCAGTTTGAACAGCTCCTTGATGCTACATCTGCTGCTGCGCCTCGACAACCCGCTGGCTGTTAGACGACTGCAGGGAGGATAGCACGGTTCAGCGAAGGTGCTGTGACCGTACATATTACGTCGTGTCCCCGCAGGCTTTTGCTACTTGTCGTGGGATATCGTTCAACATCAAACATCACCAACAGCAACAACACACCACTTGTTCCCACGCATAACATCATCTCAGAGTGTCATTCTCGAGTCGTCTCCTGCCTTGCAGAATCCCGAAAATGGACGACCACTCTTTCCTCTCCACGGAGCCGTCGAGGCTAGATGGCATGTCCCTTCATGACGCTTTGCCTCATCAGCTGCGGGAAACGCGGACACCCCCGTTGGCAGGACCAAGCTCACACGACCCAGTCTACACGACCGTATGTTGCTCTTGGCTGCAACGATGCTTGCCAAGGAAGCCTCACTAATTCCAAACTCCGCTAGGTTGGCACTTACGGCGAATATCCTATTCCTTATAACAACTCTTCGCTACCAACTCCTGTTTCAGGGGCTGGGTCACCAGAAACTCCCGAAAGCACGCAGGAGCTTCCAATGGTCAAGCACGAACCTGGTACTGGTGATCACGATTCGCCACGTTCAACCTCGCGTGCTGAATGGCACTATGAGAACAGTGTTTCGTACCACAGCCACCCTCACTCGCCTGGCACTCTTCATCACCAATCCCACGGCTATGCGATGTACGATGGACTGGAAGGTTCTGATGAACCCGATATCCACCGGCCTGCAGCCACTGAACCTTCGTTCTGGCCATCCCCAGCCTTGACCACAGAAGTAATGCCCTACTCAATGGACATGAATTCGTCCGCAATGGTCAGGCACGACATGCCACTCGCGCCAAATCTGCATGCTCTTCAGACTCCCCACCATCAATCACACCTCTATCGTCAATCTCATGATACCTATGAGCGAAACTATCATGCTTCAGCATCATCATCGAACGACCTGGGAGGTGTTGCCCAGTCCTACCCACAATACCACCATGCCCAGCCTAGCCTTGTGGTGAACGAGCACAAGGCAGAGACTCGTGACGCCAGCAGGTCGAGCAAGAGTCGTTCACAAAAGGCCTCGAGAAGGTCTTCAGGAGCTCGTCGGATACGCAACAAGCGAGCTACGCCTCGCCCCCGAGATAATTCCGACGATAGACCTGAGCAATACCCCCTTAACCCTGAGGAGAGGATCGCCCTTGACGACAACGTGAAGGAACAGGACAGATACCTCTACGAGTTGAGATGCGAACTTGGCGCATTCAACGGCGAAGACATGTGGGATCAAATTGTGCAAAGATATGCGGAAAAGTATGCACCAAAACGCAAAGCCACACTGCAGATGCAGTTGAACCGAGCTCTAGCAAAACACCAGGTATGGCCCGAATCCGAGGTAAGTTTAAGAACAGTCAATCCGGCTAACACCTTGTGTGGCACAGCGATCATCTAGCTCTCAGCTGACAGCTAGATAGCGAGCCCTTTTGGCCGATGTCATGAGAGACATCGTTCCCGTCATTCGCCAAGAGCTGGAAAGGCGAGGGGGTAGCAGAGCTATGACCTTCTGCAACGAGCAGATCCTGGCACAACTGGTGCGTGAGGGTCATATCTCCGTTGACAACGAGTTGTCCTCTTCGTCACCTGGCGCACGACGCACCAAGCTCATGATTCCGCGCTACAACAAGTCGCGGTCTGCAAGCCATTGCGACCTCAAGAGCCATGATCAGTTGCTCGAGTTGACGGCAGAGCAACTCGATTACATCATGGGCTCGGAAGCACAGAGGGACTTGGCCTCTCACGAGTCCGGGTTCATGCACAATGGTCTTCGACAACACGGATTCATGGACTCTGAAGCCTTCTTGACCAGCACGGCAAGCCACGGCAACACAACATCGCAATCCATGAAGTGCCAAGAGGCTGCCTATTCGAAAGAAGCATATGAGATTGCCGTTGGCAACGGCAGTGTTGCTCCCATTTAGCCCGACTGAGGCGTCAAGCAGAGGTTGATGCTTTTGTGCTCTACTTCATCGCCGCGTCTGGCTGGCTTGTCATCTTTGCTTCCTGCTTCAAATATACCCCATCCATGCATATCATTACCAAGACACTTGCATCAGACTCTGCTTACCAGCGTTCGCACCGATACCACACTTTCACATTTTGCAACGCCTTGGGGAGTCTTCGCCAAGGGCATCACTCATTGCGCGCTTTGGACGAGCTCAGCTCTGCAGCATGGGTTATCGACATCGTCTTTTTTCTTGCCTCAGCTGCAGTACGCATTACGAAGGCTGTACATCATGCGGTATGGATCTGCTGCATTGCGTTGTTTTACGTTAGATCGGCCTTTAGTTCACACGTGAGGTTATGCCTCCAGCAACAATGACACGCTCATTTCCAACCTGATCTGCCAACTGTAATGCTTCGGATTTTTTTGGAATCGTGTAAGCCGTGAAACAAAATGTTTTTGATCTCTAATCAACCCCAACGCCTGACTGTGAATATCATGGCCATTCGTGATGCCGTACTCTTGGCCCAAACATCCAACTCCACTCGCGTGGTGACCCTCGGGCCCAGCCAGAATACCAGACTTTGGAGGCCCTTGGCCCCGAGGAATCCGGTTGCTCAAAAAATGCTTGCTACGCGCGCCAAAGGCAATGGGGGTCCATAACCCCACATGGATCAACGCCTCATAAGAGCATGCCAGTACTTGTAGGAGACTTGGAGAGAGAGAGTGTGTGTGTGAAAAAAGCAAGAGTATTAAAGGGCCGCCGAGATATTGCTTCTGTCGGCTAGATGGCCTTTGCGTTACCCCAGCTTCAAGTGGTTCTGGGTGGATGTTGCTGCATCCACCCAAGCCCCCGTTTCAATTTGAAGGTGGACATCCCCCCTTCCCCTGTATATGTTTGTTGCTGGGGTTTGTTCTTTTTTGTCTACCCGCCTACAATCTACTTGCTTCTTTTTTTCCTCCGCTCATTTTGGGTTTATCACACAGGTGAATGAGCCAGGGGGGGGGGGGGTAGCGGCTTCGAGTTCCCGACTTCGTCCCACCAGAGATGGGATGTTTGTCCCCCCCCCCCCCCTTTCATCCATGGCGGGGGATTTGGAAAGGGGGAGGGGGCAGCAGGATCTTAGGTTTCACGGGCACATGTTGTACATTCGATCATATATTTCTTGGCGGGATATGTATGACGCTCAGGGGGTTACTTTGTTATTCCTGAAGAGTGGGGTTTGTGAGGAATCCCACGACACATCGCGGTCAGCTGATATGCTTGACTCTGGGGCCCTGTTGGTCCCGATTCCCAGCATTGGCGCGTGAATTGTGACGGACGGCCAACGGTCTGTGAAGGCCCCTTGGTGTTTGCTACAAAGCCCGTTCTTTTTCCTGGAATTCCTTTGCGGAGCTGCGGTGTCGAGGTCGAGGCAAGAGTACTTGTCCAAAGTGTAAGCGGACCACAGCGGCGGCGGCGGCGGCAGCATATGCAACTCATCAGGGGCGCTGGCTTTTTGTCTCACATGGGCCGTTGAAGTCATGGGCACGCATGTATCTGTCCTGGTTGGTCGTCCTGGGGGTGGTAGTACAAGACCGCCTGGACATGCCAGGCACGCTTGCACTCTATTCGCAGAGGAGGGGGGGCGGGAGGGACAAAGAGGCTGTCGACATGCCATGCATGGGGTGTGTGCCCGTGTCGGACGTTGGGGCAAAGCAGCATCGGAAGTAGGTACGTCCTAGAACGGGCTTAGATACGCCATGGTGTATACTGGTGACGCATGTGCAAACATCTTTTCCTGTTTGGTTCGTGGTTTCTGGGAATGTGGCTCGGATGTCGAGTGCTGGGAGGCCAACAGTCCTGCATTATGTAAAGGAATCTGACACAAGAGCGGTTCTCCATGTGTGATCGTCCGTTGGTGGCAGATTGCCGCATGCAACCTCTTGAAAGTCCCCTTCCTCATGCAATCTAGTGGCGGAGGATCATGTCATCGATTCTGTCAGTAAGAATACTTCTAATGGGAAACACGTCCTCATCATTGGTACCCGAGAAGTCAATCCTGTTGCTACGCGAGTACACCGCCATTTCCCACGCCCGATGCTCAGAAAAGAATCGAGCCTGGTAGGCATGTCCCCAGTACGTCAAAGTCTCCTTTGAGCACCACAGCCGGCCAACGATTTGGTGTAACCCACAGGCAGAACTGTACATCCTTCACTTTGGCGGGCAAAGGGCATCCGTGCACAGAGACTTGATGGAGGGTGGGCTGTACAATACAAGGCAACAAGGCAATCAATTGAGCCCGACCGTATAAATTAGTTGCTCAAGGAAGCTGCTGGAAGCACCCGCGCCTGGATCAGCCAAGTGGTACAAAACAGGCACACGTGGTCTGCGTGCTCAATATGACATGCATTTATCAAATGGCTGACAGATGATGACCTGCAATGCAAGAGATACATGTCTCCGTGCCACGAGGGCTGTGCTAGGATGGCGGCGGTCGGGCTGGTACCCGATGCCGAGCAGGGTGGTGATCGGGCCGGCCGAGGTTTCGGGCAACCACACGGGTCCGGACGGCTGCCGACATTGTTGGAGGCTCGGCCTGGCCTGGACACGTTCGCTCTCAAGATCGGTCTCTTGCCGGGCAGGCGCAAGGACTTTTGCCTTTTGCAGACCCCGGGTGATGTGCACGGGCTGCTGCGACAGGAATCATGGATTGGCGGAACTTGGCCCCCCTTCATCATCAAGTGAGCCACACTGTGAAAGAGGCACCTGCTCACGCATGCGTCTGTTCCCGCAGAACCCCTGAAGAGGTGCGAAGTGTGAATCAATGCTGCCATGGCAATGTGGGAGGGAGGGTTGTTGTCACGACTGCGCTGATTGGACGACCAAAGAAGGGAGCACTTGCCCAGGTGAGTGGCACGTGTCAAGTTCCAGAAGACCACGTCACTAACGCGGGGACATGGCTGGCACGAGGCTTTCTGTTAGTGGAGTGGGGCCCCGCAACATCAGTGGACCAGGCGTTGATGACAACATCTCGTCTGCGACTGCCCAGGTGGACTGGCAGTCAGTCAGTCAGTCGATCCGCCTCTACGACGTCGCGACCGCAGCCGCCCGTCGACGCTGCTCCCTCCGTGTGACCTCGCCGGCTTCTGTCTCGTGCAGTGCTACACCGAGGCCCATTCCCGTCATCCCTCTCAGCCATCGAGCGCGCCTGCCTCGCGACTCCTCGGCAGTGCACTGGCCCATCTATGCCTGCGCCTGCGCCTCGTCGGCGGTGATGCCCTCGGCAGGCCTGGCCGCCGGGGGCCTCGCCCCCAGGCGTGTCCCTTCCTTGCTGTCCAGCTCTCTCGCATTATGCTCGCTCTCTTCGCTGCTTCTCCTCTTGTTGCTGGCATGTGCCGGCTCCGCGGCCGCCATGCGCCCGGCACGGGTGGCCGAGTTGCGGCAGCAAGCCGTCGACATGTTCTACCACGGCTTCGACAACTACATGTCGGTGGCCTTTCCCGAGGACGAGGTATGATTTCACACCGCCATGAAGCCGGTCGGTCCAGCTCGACGACGCACCTGCTGACATCCTTGCGCTCACAGCTCCGGCCCGTGTCATGCACTCCGCTGACGCGCGACCCCGCCAACCCGGCCAATATTGGCCTCAATGACGTCCTCGGCAACTACTCTCTAACCTTGATTGACAGTCTGTCCACCCTTGCCATTCTCGCCTCTGCTCCCGAGGATGAGAGGGGGACGGGTCCCAAGGCCCTTCGGGATTTCCAGGATGGCGTCGCGGCTCTCGTCGAGCAGTATGGCGATGGCAGAAAGGGCCCATCTGGAAAGGGAGCACGTGCCCGCGGTTTTGACGTCGACAGCAAAGTGCAAGTCTTCGAGACAGTGATTAGGGGTGTTGGAGGACTACTGAGTGCCCACCTGTTTGCGGTTGGCCACTTGCCCATCAATGGCTACGAGGCGCGGTCTAGCGACGGGAACCAGGACGAGCAGCGCACAATCCCTTGGCCCAACGGCTTCAGTTACAATGGGCAGCTGCTGCGACTCGCGCTTGACCTTGCCCAGAGATTGCTACCCGCTTTCTATACCGCCACCGGCATACCGTACCCGCGCGTCAACCTCCGGCACGGCATCCCGTTCTACCTCAATTCGCCGCTGCATGGCACCGCCGGCGCCCAGAATGAGGCGGACCCGTCCAGGGAAATCACCGAGACTTGCAGTGCTGGCGCTGGCAGCCTCGTCCTGGAGTTTACAGTACTCAGCCGGCTCACAGACGATCCGCGCTTCGAGCAGGCTGCCAAACGGGCCTTCTGGGCAGTCTGGGCGCGCCGCAGCAACATAGGACTGATAGGTGCCGGGGTCGATGCGGAGAGCGGCCACTGGATCGGCGCATTATCCGGAATAGGGGCAGGAATCGACAGTTTCTTCGAGTATGCACTCAAGAGCCACATCTTACTCTCCGGGCATCAGCTGCCCAATACTACGCTGCCAAGGCCCGGGCTGTCTACGGATGCCGAACTGCCAGACTCGTGGCTCGACCCCAACAGTATATACCAGCCGCTGTCGGAGGAGGATAACAGCTCCGACACCTTCCTCCAGGCGTGGCATCATGCACATGCTGCTATCAAGCGGCATCTTTACTCCGGCCAGCATCATCCACACTACGTCAACGCCCATGTGTCAACGGGGTCGCCCCAGGCCTACTGGATAGACAGTCTGGGTGCGTACTACTCAGGGCTTCTCGCGCTGGCAGGAGAGATGGACGAAGCCATCGAAACGCATCTCTTGTACACAGCTCTATGGACACGCTATTCTGCTCTGCCAGAGAGGTGGTCTGTCCGCGATGGTCAAGTCGAAGGTGGACTCGGCTGGTGGCCAGGACGGCCGGAGTTCATCGAGTCGACGTACTATCTATATCGTGCGACAAAAGATCCGTGGTACTTGTATGCTGGCGAAATGGTCCTCCGGGACATCAAGCGTCGCTGCTGGACCGATTGCGGCTGGTCGGGCCTGCAAGACGTCCGCACAGGACAACTGAGCGACCGCATGGAAAGCTTCTTTCTCGGAGAGACGGCGAAATACATGTACTTGCTGTTCGACCCAGATCATCCACTGAACAAGCTTGACGCCGCCTATGTGTTCACCACAGAGGGTCACCCACTCATTATCCCCAGCAAGGCGAAGCACTACCAGCCAAAACACAAGTCACGAAACCGAGCAGTGCAACCGTACTATGACGACTCTTTCACCAATGCTTGTCCAAAACCGCCGACCATACCACCTTTGTCCGGCTCTGCTACCGCTGCGAGGAAGGACTTTTTCAATGCGGCCACCTTGATTCGGCTGCATCAGATTGCCAAGCCCGATAGAGCGGCCGGAACAAATATCGGTGCAGACAGTGAGCCCGGAGAGACCCCAGGCGAACCAACCGAGGACCATACAGTGTTCCCATGGACCTTGCCATCAGCGTTTCTCCCTAACGATGGCGTTTGCACGATATCGAAGCGGACGGAGACACAGGTCATCGAGTTTCCGGCAAACACTCAGTCAGGCGGAAGCGCTTTCAACCTCATGTTAGGGTCGCAACATGTCATGAGATTAGGCGGCGACGGACTGGCTATCAACCGTCTCGCGGGGCTGAAAATCGCCATGGCGATGGAAGAGCCTCCAGAGTCGTCCGAGAGAGGATGGCGCATCACCGGCATTGGAAACCTGGCACTTGGGCGTGACGAAAAGGTCTTCATCTCCCGAGATTCGTTGTCTGACATTGTCGACCCTTTATTCAATCGGATTCGGGACTCGGTCCTCTTGCACATCGTGGTGCAGCTCAACCCGACAGAGCAGCTGGAAGCACAGAACGGCACGGCAAGCCCTGTAGAAACACAAGGCCGTCAAGGCGAACACGTACTTGAGGGGCATGCAGATTTTGGGTCCGGCCTGCTGAGCTCCCTGCTGCAGCAAATCACCTCTGTTCTCCGAGAACCAATCGCGACGCTAGGCCCGGAGCCCTCAAAGACACCACAGCACGAATACGAACAGCTTACGGCCATAATCCCCACCGGCCCGGGAGTTGCGCCTCTCCCGTCGACGCGCCAGGCTCCGGACGTTGTCAACATCCTCAACAACCATAACAACATAAAGGCCAACATCGGCGCGCTCTCGTGGCAGACCATCTTCTTGACCGACACCGCGTGCGACGGCAAGCTGCCCGACGCGGCGCCGCGCAACCACCAAGTCATCGTAATGCGCCGAGGCGGGTGCTCCTTCTCCGAGAAGCTCGCCAACATCCCGTCCTTCGCGCCCAGTTCGAAGTCGCTGCAGCTCGTCATTGTCGTGTCCGGCGAGGCGCACGAGTCGACGGCGATCCAAGCCACCGAGGAGGATCCGTATGATTACAACTTTATCCGGCCGTTGCTCGACGAGGTACAGAAGACTCCCTCGGGAGTGCTCCGCAGGTACCCGATCCCCATGGTTATGATCCAAGGCGGTGACGCCGTGTACGACCTCCTGAGGGACGCGCAGAGTCTGGGCTTCCGTAGGCGGTACCACGTCGAGAGCCAGGGGCTCAAGATCAATAATCTCGTCGTCGTATGAGCAGTCGGGCTCGCGGACGCCTGGGAATTTTGTGTACTGAAAGGGAACGACAAGAACCCCAGACTTGTACCTGAAACGATTAACCATTGCTATATTATAAAGAAAGAGACCGGGGCGAAGATAACTCATCCACTCTACGCGTACAGCTAGTCTAGCACACGTTCTACGCTTGTCATGTATATAAATCCACTCGATACCAAGAAAATTATCCCCGTGGTGTGTTTTTATTCCCAATGGTTCTCATGGGGTGTGCTTTTGGAAGCACGTGTCCCCGTCGCGCGTGCCCGTTTTCGCGATGTCCCCTTGCTTGGGCCAAACGGGGCTTGTCCGACCTCGCTGGTGCTGTCTGACAGGCTTGGGGCATACTTTGTATGAGAGAGAGCTCTGCTCATGGTTGACACAGATCTAGTTAGTTCCTGCTCGATCCATGCCCGATAAGAAAGCTCTGCTAAGAGTCACTAGCATGCACGTGGATTACCTTGCATCGTCAATGTTGTCAAACATGGCCAGCCCGCGTCGCCTGCATCGGTCTTGGGTCTCTGATGTTGTTCTTCTCACGCCGAGCGCACGTGGTTTCTATCGGTGGTTAGATTGCACGAACGTGCGTAGCATGACATCTGGTATTAGGTGCGTCGGAAGTCTATAATAAGTCAGGATCGGTCGGTGCCGAGCAGGTCATGAGAAATGGTAGTATATCGACACCTGTCCGTCGTGCTCTCCAAGAGAGGAGGAGAGAGAGCGTGTGTGTGTGTTTCAAAGAAAAGAAAATAAGCCAAGGAAAACCCGCCAAAACGCCATCTTCATGCATAGCCTCTCCAACTTTTGTTTCTGCGTGTGGCGATGTTACAGCAAAGATGACCGCATCTGGCCGACCCTTTACCATCCCCTCACCGTCTAAGTGTAAAACGCGTGATGCTGCGATTGGCCACATACGTGACGCAACGACTCGGCTCATGCCCTCATCACGGAATCATGGTCTATTATTGTCTTTGATTGTTGAATGTGTCGCACCTGCATAGCTCGGATGTTGAAAGCCGCCGGACCAATAAGAAAGAACTTTGCCGTATGGGCGGCCCTTCTACTCGATATCCTCGAGCAGAGTGAGCATCTTGCGGGAGGGGCCAAGACCGAGCTTATCACGGCCCTTGAGGAAGCTGAGCTCAATCATGAAAAGGAAGCCAAGGAGGTTGCCCTGGGACTTCTCGACCAGCTCTGCAGCCGCGATAGCAGTGCCACCTGGTAATAGTCAAGTCAGTTCAAAAGTACTTGGGGGCACGAGAGGCGAGTTGATTGCAGCGAGGACCAAGAAGAGCAGGCTCTCGTGTTGTCAGGGGCAGATGGTGCCACGGGCGATAACGGGCGGTGGACCCCACCAATGTGGCAGGCATCGAGACCTGCGTTGGTGGGGCAGGGCTCTGGCGGGGCATGAAAGAGGGCCGATTGCGACGCAACTGGAAACCGACACGGATGCGCCGCGACGATTGGCGGCCGCACAAAGAGAGGAAAAAGAGGTGCTTACCGGTCGCGATGATGTCGTCGACAATGAGAACCTTCTGGCCGGGCTTGACGGCACCCTCCTGGATCTCGAAGACGTCGTCACCATACTCCTTGGTGTAGCTGACACTCAGGCACTTGCCGGGCATTTTGCCCTGCTTGCGGACGGGCACAAACGAGGCACCAAGGCGCAGGGCCAGAGAGGGCCCAAAGAGGAAGCCGCGGGCCTCGAGGCCTACCAGAACATCAGGGCCGTCGGAGCCAAACTGCTCCTTGATCATGTGCTCGAGGACGTCAAGGAGAGCGCTGAAGGTGGTGGGGCTCTGGAAGACGGGCAGGATATCGATGAAGTTGATGCCAGGCTTGGGGAAGTCGGGCACCCGGCCGAGGGCGTCAATGACCATCTTCTTGGTCTGCTCAATGTTGGAGGCCATGATGGGCGGTTTGGATTGTGAAGCCGTTGCGTGGTGCGAGTGTTGTTGTGGCGTAATAGAGAATGGGCGTGAGGGTTACAGACGAGCGGGCGGGTGGTCGCAGCGGTGGTGGTGAGATATCGAACGGGGTCGATATTTTTTTATCGGACGGGAGAATTGGGAGGGACGGGTGGAGGCGGGGGCGGGCTATCGTCGCGAGGCATGGAGGAATCTAGTGATCTGGTTGGCGGTGGTAGCTTTTTTTTTTTTGGTCTGCAGCGGGCGAGGAGCAGTTGGCAGGCTGGGAGCGCAAAAGGGCCAGCTGGGGCTTCGGGCGGAGGCGGGCGAGAGTGGTCGGATCAAGGGGGGAAAAACACAGGAGGGATCCGTTGAGCTTAGCAGGCGGAGATCGTCGTCAGAGACTGCGGGACAGAGCAGAGGCAGGAGGAGAGAAGGGAACGGGGGAAAAGAGAGGAAGCAGATGCGATGGCGAGATAAGGCGGAGGCTTGGGTGGCCGGGCAAGGCGCGCGTGCGTGTCAGACAGACTACAATGGGCGGTATGAAGGGCCTTTGACCAGTGGTTGTCTCGACCAGCGCAAACTAGGCTGGCTGGCAACCGACCTTATTACCTGTCTGAGCTGGCAGCAGCAGGCACGGCGCGCCTCGAGAGCGCCCGGTCGTATCCTTTGCGGCGACCCGGGTCGGGTGTGTGGTGTGTGTGTGTCTCTCTCTCTGTGTGTGTGTGTGTGTGTGGCACGACCAGGGTGGGGCGGAGCTTCTGGCTGACAAAGGGCAGGCAGTCGAGGCAGTCGACAACAAGGGACATGCACTGCCTAAGGTACGTAGCGAATGGGGGCCTGGCGATGGCTGGCCGTCCGTCTGTCCGTGAAGCAGTGAAGCCCGCGAAGCTTTCTTGTCGTGGAGCCGTGAATGATTGTGACGGTCTCACGGGTTTCCAAGGTTGTTTCGTGCGCCCGCGGAAGGCAGCCCCGGCCCCACGGGTGCGCCTGCCGGGCCCCGGTGACTCAGCCCTCGTTTTGCTCGAGCAGCAACAAGACTCTCCAGGGCGGCCACTTACACAATCCATGGAGGGATGGATCGATGGATGCCGCCGGGCAGCGTCATTGTGTGCTAACAAAAATACAGCCGCACGCTGCCATGTATGTACCTTATGTGCGCCACTGGCAACCTCCACATCATTAACCTCACGCCGAGCCGCCCTGCCAGGTTTCGCCCTGGGGATGCGGGCCAAAGTCCCTGCTCGGCCCATTGTCTTGTTGCAACGACACTGGAGCAGCTGACGCGTCGGCGGGTACGCTTCGCGGGTCCTCGCCAGATACGCAGTAGATGTCCAGGACAGTCAGCCAGGCAGGCAGTCGTGGTGTTGCTGGCCCGGTTCCACAATTGGCCGCCGGGCCCCTCTGTCACTTACACAGCTCAGATGTCTCGCCAAGTACATTGTCGATCCTGGGCAGCCTCCATGTAACCTCGTCTGTTCTTTGGCATCTCGCCACTTGATGATGGGCCGCCCTCTAGATTTCTTCTTATATGCTCGCCCAGCCTCTGAGCCTCTCCGCCTCTGCTCATCGACGTCGCACGACCCGCACCCTCCAGATCGATCCTGTCTCAGGAACACGTCGGACTAGCACTGGCACTCCACTCACACAGAAGCAAGCCCTCACTAACCTGTCCAGACACCACAATCTCCACGCCGAGCACTGGCATGTCGCCTTGTACTCACTCGCCGGCTGCCATCCGTGTCATGAAATAGATTTTTTTTTGGCCAGTGTCCACCTCGCATTGCTCGAATGGAGGCGGTCAAGCCATCCCGCAGCACCTCGCAGCATGTTGCGTGCTCATGACGCCGGACAGGCTCAGACTCACAGGTTTGCCATCAAATGAACTCGCCCCCCGACTATACTCTCCAAGCTGGACTGTCGATGCATTCGCTTGCGCACACCAGCGGCGACTCAAAAGGCCTGGACGTCACAGCCTTGTCACACCTTGTTGAGCAGCCAGCGCCACGGCCTTTGCGACACCCTCCATCGATTGTATCGGGTGCTCACTGCAGCCCATAAGATAGTCAGCAACACACACCCTGCTTCATCTGCCCGAAAACTCGACATGGGGCGATTGCTGCCGGGCAACTCATGTTGTGACAGAACAGAGAGGGAGCCAGGCTATCCGATGCTGCCGCCGTGTCCTGGTGCAGTCCGTAGGCGTCACGGCCACCCAGCGAGCAGAGAAATGTCCATGGTTGTTGCCATTTCTTCGCAAACAACACCCACCCGTCCTCACAACCGGCAGCTTCCCCGGATTGTCTCACAAAAGGTTACCGTTCCGTGTGCGACGACGGGCCGCCACCCCTCCCCAACCTTGGAAGCTCTTCACCCCGCAAGCCTCCAGCTCTTCTTATGTGAACACAAGCATGCAGCTCCAGTGCCTTGGCAACTCTGCTTCGTCGTATCAACGCCACAGCCGGCGTTGGCCCACCGTGTCCTGCACCACCATACATTACCCCCACGAAAGGTTGCGTGATGTGATATTCCTCGCCTCGGCACAGCCATGGAGGAAGCTACCCTCGCTCACCGGTCCGCCGCACTAGGGGATACCCATTGCTTTTCTATCGCAGGAGGGGATAAAAGTCAGAATGGTTTCTCACAATGACCAAATACGCAAGTAAAGTAGCGTTGTGTAATGGAAGCCCAGCACTCTATGACTACACGCCGGCCAATCGGCGCAGGCGCGTGTGCGCAGCCAATGCAGCCATTCGATGCACAAGGACACGCCTTCCATCACCACTTGCATGATGCCCTCACCGCCACTTTAGCACCAAGGCCGAGAATGCTCATGCAATGCAAGCGGTTTTCGCGCCTCGTCGCAAGGCGTTGGTTGAGCAGGCAGGCAGGCAGGCAGGCAAGAGGCCAAGTCTCTCAGGACCGAGGCGGCAGCAGGACAACCGGCGGCAGGTCAAAGTCGCTGGTGGTTCCAGCAAAGTCCAGAATCGTCACAGTATCCGGAGCTTCCGACTAGGCAGGCAGCCCGGGGGTTCTGGGGTGAGTAAAAAAATATGAGACGGGATGGCGCTTGTTGCACGCCAGACACTTTCCACGCACCACCACGCTCGGATTCACCTCTGTAGGGAGTGGCCTGTTTTGATTCAATGTCAAGAGCTACTCAGATCACGTTGTACAAGTTCATCTCTCAAACGAATAAAATAACATTAGGATATGTCGCAAAGTACAACCAATGGATAAAAACAAGGCCGGGGAATATCTCCTGACGCAGGTGGCGGCAACGCTTTTCTTTGCCCTCCCAATTCATAAAACATGCTTTTTGTGTGTGCGTGCCCTCTCAAGGTCCAGATGGCATATACCAAGTGAAAACAAAATGGTGAACAAGGACTCGTGGAGTCCACAACGCGAAACGTGGCCATCTATGCTTCTACGCAAAAAGGCGCGCGGCGTCTGTGCCAAAAAGATCTCCCTTTGAAGCGCCACTTCCAGCCGCTGCAGTCATGCAAGTCATGAATTTCGTCAGAGACGCGCTGCAGGGGTCGGATTTGTGGCTAGGCGCAACCCAAGCCATCTCCCAAAAGGTGGAAGCGACCAGGCGGCTAGGACCGGTTTCTGTATGCTCACATCCCCTCAAGTGGTTGTGAAAAGTTGTAATTAAAATCCAGCAGACCATCCAGCATCCAGTGTTGAGGGTCGAAGAAGTCGTAGTTTGCGTCGCCGGCATAGCCTATGCCCGCAATCATGCTGTTAGGGCCATTGCTGGTGATTCCGTGGGTCGGCTGCGGCGTGAGCCCGCCGTTCATGTTCGGCAGGCTTTGCGAGATGTTTTGTTGTTGCGGCGGCATCAGTGTGCTATCAAGATGCGTCGATGATGCTGAAGACTCGTTAGCCGAGTCCGGGTTAGTTGCTTGTTTGAGCGCTGCTCAATATTAGCTCATGCGCACTGCTACCACGCGTGCGCGGCTATGTTACAACACAAAAGCAAGTCATGAATGAGGCTGGCGAGGGGTTTCCTTACAGTCAAGTGTGGCTCGTCCAGCGGCCTGGAACTCTTCTCTCCACCGCCAGATCGAGTCGAAGACAAGGCTCATACTGTGCCGGCAGCGTACCTTCAGCTGCAGGCTATCGTCGATGTTGGCTGCCGGGTCGTCCTCGTGGTAGGTGTTCTTGCCCTTCTCAAGGCGGGCGCCGTTCCACATCTGCACCATAAGCTCGGCTAAACGCCACTGGAGATCGTTCTCTAATACGCTCGTCGTCCGGATGGCTTGTACAGTCTTGTGAAATAGTTGCCGGCCGCGGTCGAAATCAATGGTCTTAGCAAAGAACGAGCGCATCAGTTTCAGCAGGGCGAAACCCGCGGCCACTAGCATCTGCTGCACATAATTGGTAGCATAGAGCAAAATGTGGCGATTCGACTCCTCGAAAAGCACGTCTAGGAATGTGGACACAGCCCTCCATAAGCCCATCAGATCATCCATGTATCCGGGCGTTGTGCTTGAGTCGAAGAAGCCTGCTAGCCGCAAGTGTACTGCAGCGGCCTTGAGGTGGACAATCACAATCGAAGAGAGCGGTTGAGAATGGATGGACGCCTGCAAGTCTGCGTAGTCTCTGCGATATACGCGCATGAGCATGGCTCGATGCTCATCGCCTGCGACTCCTCGAGGGTCACTAGCGTTGCTATACATCTCCTTGGAGATCTTGTCGCAGAATCTCTCGATGCGCAACCGTGCCTCAAGCTCCGGGGCCAGCGTGAATGGCGTATCCTCGCCAGGGCGTATTGAAAGGGTCCAATCGTACAAGGTCGAAGCTGGCTGTCCATAGCCTGTTCCTATCGATTGGGCGACGATGTTACAAACAGCCCAGGTCGTCACGCGGTCGTGGAGCTGGTCTTTGTTCAGCTCTACAGAGACTCGTGAGAAGTCTTGAGTATGATTCGGGCGGTGCAAGCCGATACCGGTTGCAGCCTTCATCATGACTCCGCACAAGATGTGTGTCGGATCAGCTGTTGTTGTGCTTGTTGGCAAGGGCCAGGTGCACAAGAGGCACAAAGCCTTGACGACAAAATAGCTGTTTGGGACATCGCCCACGGTGTTCCACAACAACCTATTGAGGGGTCCGTTGGCAAGCTCGTGAAGAATACTAGGCTTCGGTCGATACCTGCGCGAGGCGATGGCGACAATGGACCAGAATAGCAGTGCGTGCTGTTGGTAGAAGAGGTCTGGTGACTGTTCGGGGTTGAGGAACGGTAAGAACGGGTGGTAGCAGGTAAAATATTCCTGGAAGAGGCCGCGAACGTCTTGATCGGTGAGTCGAACGGATTCGAGTTCGTATGCGTAATGTTGTGCAGCCATGCTGTAGGAACCTCCCCGCTTGAGGGTCAGCAGGGAGCTCACGGCCTCATCAGAACCCATGAGAGATGGGTTGCGGGTATGTGAGTAGCCGTTGGTTGCCACGGGAGACTGCAGCTGTGACGCCAGGTCTTCGTGGTCATCCTCGAGAACGTAGCCTTGGCTCTTGGCTGCCCGGATGTTCCGCCGGAGCCGCTCAATCTCTCTCTCCATTTCGGCATGTTTCGAACGCTTGCCGACACGCTTGAAGTTGGACTCGATTTTGCAGTCGAGCTTGAGGCGATTGCAGCGCGAGCAGCTCTGAAAGGGGTCCTGCACAACATCGCATCGTAACTAAGAGAGTGCGATCAACCGTCAGCTTCCAGGATTCTTTCAAGGGTCGCAAAGGAGGAGATCTGTTCGGACGAATGCATTTGAATGACGAATTGGAAGAGCCAGTCTCGGGGAAATGCGTGTCCGAAATGGGTGACGCCAGGCAGCTCGCCCGATACCGGTGGACCACGATGAGGATCGGATGAGAAGAGACACACCACGCCGCAGACTCGGCGCAGAAACGAAGCGTACGCCTTGGTGCACCCGGGGAAATGATACTGACCTTTTGCTGGCGGCACTCGTTGCAAGCGCGTTTGACCCCTGGCTGACGTTTCTTGTCGTTTGGATCTAGCATCGAGTGGTCTTCATCGCCACTGCCAGGGCTACTATCCAGCCCAGTCGTGCTCCTTTTGCGCTTGATGGAGCCGTGGCGGGCAATTGGGCTGATAGGGGATTGGGAAGCCGAAGGGCCTCCCACACCGACCAGCGCGCGCGCCTCCATGGTGGTAAGGGAAGGCGCGGTGGTGGTTTGCTCTCACAGACGGATTTTCAGCCTCGGCAGCGAGGCCGTCGAGTGGACGACAGCGCAGCACAGGGCCGCACGAGCGGAGGCCCGGGTCCGTGCCAGCGGCGGAGGCGAGAACGGAGGACGTGTTGTGGATTGCGGACGGCGGCGCGGAGCGGGACGGGTGCCGTTGGGGAGAAGCAAACACCACACACACACACAAAAAAAAAGTCTTGGGGGACTCCGGTCTCGCGAGGATGAAGGTTCCGAACCGGAGGCGGCGGAGGAGGGAAGGGCGAAGGTAAATAGCAGCAGGCTGGGTGAAAAAGCACGAGGACGGGGCCCAGGGTGGAGCGGGGTCGAGGTGGACACGCTGCCGGCCCAGCGATGTCGCCTGCTCAGCGCCGCCAGGCCCTTTTCGTCAACTCGCCCGCTTAGGCAGGTCCGACCGGACCTGCTGTCCCTCTGGGCCCGCCAGGTGGTTCTTTCTTGAGCATACCCGACCTGGAGAAGCACAATCGAACAACCTGACAGAACTTTGAAGCATCGTCGCGACCAGCGTCCAGTCTTGCTTCCAACGACCTCCCCAGCCATCGATCTCTCTGTGGCACATCCAAGCAGCGAAGCAATTAACCCATCACACCCGTCCCGTGCCAGCCAATCGAGGCTGACACCATCCCCAAGCCTGACCACCACCCCCTGCGATGCCGCCTCCTCTCCAATGACTGCAACCATTGACACCGGGCCCATTGGCAACCCGCTCTGGGCCACCATGCAACGGCTCTGCAAGGCAAGCATCCCACTCCGCGCCTGCAGAATGGAGCAAATGCGCGGCAGTGGAGTCTGGGGCTTCGGCTCCTGTCCACCGAACACTGATGGGCACTGTGGCGGGAGCGGGCGGAGCTCCGCCTTCCATCGTGTATTCGTGTATTCGTGTATGCATCGCAAGAGAGCCGGTGAGGTGACTGCACGGTAATTCAGCAACCCAGGCCATCTTCAAGGTCACTAATCAACTATTTCGTCAACTCTTCAGCGATGGCCTGCCGAGTCATGACCAAACCACCGGGTTTTGTGCAAGCTGAGGCTGCATGCTTGGCAGATAGCTCGGCCTGCTGAGCCGCGAGACGCTCCCAGCCCATTTTGACACGAGCCTGATCGGAAGGGCGCGAGAGTCGGCGCCACCACCGACGGATCCCTGGATGATCTCCTCTCAGGGTCTTTGACTCCGCCAGCGCCGCTAGCCTGAAGCCTTCGTTCGGTCGTCCAATGGCTACTGTGGCCCACGCTGCGTACTGCGTAGGCCGACCGGGCAGCCCAGAGCCGGGTCCACCACACCATGACTCCTGGCCAGGTCGTCGCACTAAGAGCTTCCAAGGTTGCCGTCGGCGTACCAGCCACCGCGGCTGCTCGCAAGGATACACTGGCCCCACGCCGTGACGCACTCTTGGGAACTCTCAACGCCAGCTCCGGCTCCCGGACACGGGCTGTCGCTGCACAGGAAAGGCCGCTCACACTCTACGCAGACGACATGGCATCACAGCGCCCACTACAGCCAAAAGGGCCTTTAAAGGCTCCCAGGAGGGACCCTTGCCCAAAGACCTTTGCTTCCTTGCCCAAACCTCTCAAGGCCGTGAAAGCCACCAATGCCGCCGCCACCACACGGCCGGCTCGTGCTGCCCGTATGCGCTCTCCGTCCCCCTTCCTTTCCTCTTTTCGACAAGACACACGATGTGCCTTGAGGTACATAGCACAACTCGCGGATGGACTGACCAGATCCCATCACACACAGGACCGCCGATTGAAGTCTACTCTTGCGCCGTGCCACAGCCATTTGTCGACCCTTCGGTGCTCGAGGATCGTGCCCGTGTCAAGGCGAGGGAATCTCGAGAGTAATGCCAGACATGAAAAGCTACCATCCACGCTGTTCCACAAGAGATCCTGTCATAAAGGTTTCAATTCATATCGTCAGGTGAAATAGAGGGTTTCGCTAAAGTCATCCAGAGAAGGCAATGCAAGGCCTACATGATACGGCTGGGACTTCGCAGACACGCGAAGAGAGCCGACTCCATGTACCAAGGACAGTGTATATGCAACGCCCATATAGAATCCAAAACGCAGACAACCGCGCCAAATCAAAACATCCACTACGCAACACCCCACAGATCACTTGCTTGGTTTTGGCTTCCACCAACTGAGGGGCTCCGTCCAGAATCTGTTGTCATCTCTTGCGCCAACAGGGCTCTACATCCTCAGCCCATCATTCCAAGGAGACTGATGAGAACCCTCGTCACCTCCGCGGCGCGCACGGTACTGGCTACCGCCACCACCACCCCCAGAACTCCGATTGCTTAGCCAGCGCTTGATGCCGCCGCCAAGGCCGCCGCCGCCCGAGGCAGGCGGGCGAGGAGACTGCCGCTGCTGCTGCTGGGGAGAGAAGCGCTCACGACCCTGAGCTCCGTGTGGTGTCACGTCATCGCTGAAGTCGGAGTCTTCATCGTCATATTCACCATGCTGCTGCTGCTGCTGCTGCTGCTGCTGCCCGGAGTGGATGGGGGCAGGCGTAGCATCGGGGCTCAGATCCTGAGTGGCAGCTGCATTCGCGCTCTCGGACCATAGCTTGGGCACAATGAGCCTATACGGCACAGTGATGCCAGCCGGGTCCTTGGGGTTCACCTCAACGTTAAGAGTGATTTCCAGGCCGCCCTCAAGATCCACAGCGACGCGCGCTGGCCCGCCGGCTTTCTTGATGAGCTTCGCACTCAAGCCTGTCGGCGTGCGATGGAAGGGCTTGGGGCGGAACTCGGCCTCGCTCCCTTGCGAGGATTGCGCCTGTGGTTGTTGCAGCTGCTGCTGCCTATATTGTTGTTGCTGTCCGGGCTCCGCGAGACCACGTCGCGCAGCAGCCGTTGCAGAGGCAGCAGTCATCACCGGACTGTGGCTAGAGGCTTGCGCGTGGGCGCGCTCGTCTTGCATCTCCTGGACTCGTCGCGAGCGGGTGTGCACAGGGGGTGGGGTGCCATCGTCCGAGTCTTCGGGCGAGAAGTCGTCGTAGTTGTCGCCATGTGGACCGTGCCTCGCGGCTGAGGGCTGTGTGAAGGCCCGTCGCGGCGGACGAGCAGTGAAATAGCTGTCGTCTCCGGGCACATACTCGGCAGAATCACCACCACCTCCACGCAACCCCAGAGTGTTTCGACCAGGACCCTGCGCGGGGAGCTGCTGATGTTGCTGAGGCTGTCGCTGAGAGTCTCGCGGTGCACGACGATGGTCGTCGTAATCAATGTCGTCAGCGCTCTCAGCACGCCAGTCGTCGATGCTGCTTTCGTCGTCGGCGCGGTTGTCGTAACTCGAGCGGCGGAACAGGCGTCGGATGGAGCCACCTCGGCTAAGGGAGAGTGACCTCTTTGGCTTTCCTTGGCCGGGCACATTGGGCTCAGACGTCGAGGCACGACGGGAGAGTGTACGCAGGAATCCTCCTCCGTTACCGGTGATGGGTGGCCTGCTTCGATCTTGAGGTTCTCGGGTAGCGTCTGGTCTCACCGCCGGGCCCCGAGGCTTTGACAACGACAGCCGCCGCAGCAGACCTGGGCGGGGAGATTCGTCGTCCGTTTCATCATCCTGCGAAGGAGGTGTCGGAGGCGGGGTGTAGCCCGCCTGGTAGGGACGGATCGAGCACCAATTCCGATGGGGCAGTAATCTCTGGTTGTTGCGCGGCTTGCCATCAACCCCTTGGGTGAATATGGGGATCATGTCCTCGTCTGTCTCCTTGTCGAAATGGTGGATCTTGTTGCGCTTATTGAGGATATCTGCTACAAGATCAGGGGGCGGCGTGTTTGCGATAGCAGACGAAATAATGTTTGGCATATAACGAAAGTCCTTGTGCTTCGGTACTTGCAGCTTCGCGTTGGAGTAGAACTGCCCGACAGCAGCCAAATGGACGTCGCCACTCAGAATGGTGACACGCACAGACTTGTCGGCAGCAAGGTCTTGGAGGTCTTCGATGATGAACCGGCGCTCGTCTTTGTGGTTCTTTGCTGTCCAGTGATCATCGAGGTCGTCTAGGACTTCCACACCCCCATCGAAGTTGTTCAGGAAGTTGCCCAGCATTCCGGCTTTGCCAAGAGCCTTCAGCGGGTCCATCAATCGGGATGTCAAGCTTTGGGCCAAGGTTAGCATACGCAAGTTAGGAACGATTGATGAGGTGGATGTGCGAATGACTTACATCGTCTCCAACCACACAAGCCGAGGATATGCAATTGGGACACCTAGTAAAACCAGAATGTGCTGCGTGGTGCCTTTCCGTACTTCGTCGTAACAGCGATCCATGAGCTTCTTCCATGTCTCTTCGCGAACGACTTCGTCTCTAGTGCGCTCCGTACGCGCATCGACCGCTAACAGTGCAACCGGCCCGCCGAGCGACATGAAAAGACTGCGGCTCTGTTCGTGGATGTATGGTCCTGGTCGGATACCTAGTGCCCAACTCGGCTCTGCCTGCTCAGGCTCATCAGGCACACTCTGGTGTTGGAACAGCATGTAGTACTTGAAGGCAACGTTGCCGAGGCCTGAAAATACTGGCGACCTCATGAAATGGTTCGGATATGAACCAAACCCGTCGATGATGTCGTGATCATCAAACATGTTGACCATTGGGATTTGAGAATTGGCCAGACCAAAGAGTCCTGTAGAGAACCACATGCAGTACCGCTCAAGGTAGAAGTTCTCGAGCTCTATCTGCATCGCGGGTGTGAAGGGCGCGTTATTCTTGTGTAGAGGATTCTTCAGATGCAACCAGTCCTGAAATAGGGTGGTCTCGCGCATGACTGCATCGTTGTAGATTTGGTCTCCACCACCAACCATGACATGGAACGGTCTCGTTTGGTGAGTGTTCAGCACATCGCGCCACATGGGATCGGGTCCGTTGAACTCGTCGGTGTTGACGCTGAGGCTGAAGCCGTTACAGCTGTGGAACATGACATTCATCGCAGTCTCCCGAGCTGGTACCCAGAATCCAGTGGCTGGGCCTCGGTTGATCCGGTAGGCGACTCTCTGCTGCTCACTTTGGAGCTCAACCTCGATATTGAATCTCCAGAAAGTGCAGCCTTTCTCCTGGTGCAAACGGAAGCCCCGGACGTCCTTGTATTTACCAGCCTTCTCCCCGTCAACCTGAATCCGCTTCTTCCGACTTGTGAACGAGCCGGGCGGGTCAGGTGCATTAGTGTCAAAGTCGGGAGCGGTCCGCGTAATCTCAAATATACCATCGTCGGGTTCCAAACGCGAAGCATCTTTGCCCTCTTCCAGATGCTCGATGGGGCGTACATATAAGGTCTCGCCACGGCGGCCCAGCTTGGGGATACCTGCGATCGGGTCAACATACTCCGGTAGAAGAGCCTGTTCCCCGTGTAACTCGGTTGGTGGCGGTGGAAGGAGTTCAATGGGTTGTACAAACAACCGGAGTATCGGCGCAATCTCGTAAGACGAATCCGAATCTTGGGTCACAATCATGACTGAACCCCTCCAGAATTCTCGGTCTGCTGTAGCCGCAACAGGAGATGTTCGAGGCGCTGCAGCCTCACGTCGCAAGCCGCAGTATCGAAGTAAGGGGCCGCATTTAAGGTATAGCTGAGGTTTAAATCGAGTCGGTCCTTTTGTGTCATCATACTCCCCGTCGAAGGCCTCGGCCTTGATGGGTCTCGATGAAATGCTTGATCGCCGCTTGCCGCCATTCTCCCACCATGCAGTGTCTTTGACAGGGAGGCCTGCGCTGGGCTCGGCAGGGGCGGCAATCTCATCGAGTTTTAGCAGCGAGCCACTAAGCGTAGCAACACTGCCCTTCTTCCATTCGTCCAAGAATTCAGGCCGCTTGTATGTCCCATGTCCCGGCTGCAAGGGCCCATGATGAAAGAAGCCAACGCGCTCCTGGCTTTGTACACCGTAGTCATCCGGTGGCGCAGCCTTGACACCCGCGGCGAATCTGACGCTTGAACCTGCGGTCGATGGCGGGTCCTGTTCATAGTGGCCGGGCTGCACCTGTCGCTTGGCACCCATGGACATCGTGCGGCGTGGCTCGGACTGGCGGGCAGCATCTGTTGGCCGAGGGAATCCTTGATAGGGATCATCGTCGTAGTGATCAATCTGGGCAGGTCTTGATCGTTGCTCTGCAGCCAGGACGTGTGGTGGCGGTTTCTTCTTGATCGTCGCGCCTCGTTTAGGAAACTTGGGTACATCTTCCGACACTTGTGAATCTGGACTGTCCGACTTTGGCGGCAGCTTAGACTCGGGCTTTTGCTTGTTCGCAGAGTTAGGAGGGCTCTTTCGTAGCTTCCCACTGCCATTACGAGCGATTGGCGCAACTTGCGGAGGGACATATGGCTCGGCTTTCACGGGTACACCGCCAGGAGGTGACGCGGTTCTGTCATCAGCGACTGCTCTATCGCGAAAACTAAGGTTGCGTTGGGGAAGGTTTGTAGAGGCAGCCGTATGCGCAACTTCGTTGTCGGGGTAATCATTGTTGGCTCTCGTCAAAGGCTCAGCCACACCCCGCTGCGAGGCGGACGAGGGTTGAGCAACCACAGGATCGGCAACGACAGGTTGTTTTTCGTATTCTTGGGTCAGTGACGATGCGCGATTCCGAAACTTGACATGCTGGCCTCCTCCAGTGCGATTGGCCTCGCCCGAGCCTTGTGCGCCAGTCAATACGTTGAGAGATGCCTGCCGTTCTCGAGCTCTCTTTTCGGCCGCGGCAACCCGTGCTCGCTTTTCTTCCTTTGTGATGCTGTCGAGCGTCAGCTCTAACCTTTGCAGGGGGGATCGATCGTCTGCCCACGCTGTGCCTTGTGTCTCAGAGCGGACCGAGTCCCTCCGCGCTGGCCCGCGATAATAGGAACCAACCGAGCCTCTCCTGCCATCGTGACCAGCTCGGCCGGGTTCAATGACCGCAGGTTCTTCGAGGTCGCCTGGCGAGTCGAAGTTTTTGCGGTTGCGGTCAAGGACTGGTGGCCTGCGTGGGTCGTTGTGATATGCATCCGTGTCGCTAGGTTCTGCGCTCCGCATGCGAGGATCAACTCGGCGAGCGGATCGCGATGGTCCTGCGGCGCCATACGCAGCTGTGGACGACCCAGGTGGCTGCCTGTAGCTTATAGGAGGTCCCCTGGGCACGTCTGGAGCTGCGGGGGGAGTGTCCGTCGCCTCGCGGGGAGGCATTGGGTTCTGAGGCTGGCTGGAGCGCCTCGCTCTCTTGTCCGAGAAGTCAGCTTGTGCGCGACCTGGGGCGCCGTACGTCTGGGACGGGGGCCTTGGAGCTAAGCCAGCGGCAGCGAAGCTGGAGGCGGTGGGTGAGGCAAAGGGACTGGTCGTCGACTCGGTCGGGGCATCCGTGCGAGTTGTCTGGACCGAGGAACGATCTCTGCGAGGGTGAGGCTGCGACTCGGTCTCGTAGTCGAGTTCTTGACTAGGGCCGGAAGAATGTGAAGCAGAAGACGTCCGACGGTGCTTCGGGGCGGGGAGCTCTCCCCAGTACGGTGCGGACATGGCCGGAGGACACTCGGACGGCGAGACCGCCAGGCGCTGTCAGCGAGGTTGGGACGACGCCTGGTGAGCTGTTTCGTCAATGCTGAGGCTGGTAACCCACCAGAGCTCGGGACGGATGGTGGTGATTGGGCCGAGGGAGCTGCTGTCAAGTTAGTGCGCAGATGCTCCAGACCGCATCCAGGATCTGCAGCGGCGGTCCACCCAATGGCGCCTGAGGCAGACCAGCAAGAAGCAAAGAAAAGACCAGGTTCTTCTCGTTGGCCAGCTCGCTGTCGCAGGGGACTGGCTCTCTCCGGAGACGCGCACAAAGTGGTTTGACCTATGACGAGTCCATGCTGGTGCGTGCCACAGAGCGAAGAATCCGTGGGGCAGTGCAGCAGTGGCGCCAGTGGTTATATCACAAGCAGAAGCTTGGGCTCGACAGGCAAGTTTCCTGGGGCTGGGGGCTGGGCCTGGGCAGCTACTGACGCAGGCAGCTCAAAAATCGCGAGGTTGACGATGGGGGAGCCAGGGACCCCTGGTTGTTTCGCAACCTTTGGCAAGCCTGGCACCCATGTCGCCATGACCCGTTCCGACCGTGATCTCGAAAGAAATCCTCGTCTACAGGATGCATGGGAGGTCGTAGCAGGAACAAGGGCTCTTTCAGGTACCTCCCCATCCACGCTGCATCGAATTGACGAAGCGGTGTGCACGCACGACAGTGTTCGAAGCATCGGGCCTCTATGGTTGCCAGGGACCAGCATGGGTACTTTGCGTACGTCTAGTGTAGGTGATGCCTGTGTGGATCTGGTGTCTTTTTGTGCTTGCAAGGCACTCCAACGTCAAGAGTGAGCCAGCGACGCAAATGCTGTTCGCGGATGGGCATTGATGTTCTAGACACCCGTCGCCAGAGCGGCGCCCTTCGATGTAGCGTGCCATGGTACAGCAAGCCAAGTCATGTCGTGCTGGCCTTGCTGACCGTAGTACAGGCTGGGCGGGTCCTGGTGCCGGGCAGCGGCATCAGCGGAGCAGACACTACGCGTCAGGGTCCTGCCCAGCAAGAAATCGAGTGGCTGGTCGTCGAGCGATTGTCTTCGTTGCCGTCGTCGTCGCGTTCATTGCCACAAATTGCAAGGATTCATGATGGTTTGTTCAGAAAATCGAGGATGTGGGAGAAGTGGGCCAGGCTTGACTCGAAAGCTGTTCATCCTTCTCGTTGTCACAGACTGCTCATTCATGACGTTTTTGTTGACAGCACCATCTGAGGCTCGCAGAGTCTCGGAACAATGGGACACATGAAAAGCCCATCAATCTCGGCTGGCAGGCTAGATCATGGAACGTATGCAAGATATATATACTCAGAGTACCCCGGATACCAGGTATGTGAAGCCTTGCTCGGGGAAATCTCTCCAAGTCAATGCATTCCTGTCAGCATTCTCACAAGTACTTAATGTATGCACGCATCACGTCGAAATCCAGCTGTTATCATACTCACCTCAAGCATGTAAAGTGCAGCGACAATCATCATTTGACATGATGGCTTGCCTCGTAGCCGGCACTGGCCGTACGTCTAAGCAAGTCTGCCTGCTGAAGCCGTGGGAGGATCGAGTCCAGCCGGGACCAATCAGGAGGCGAAGATCCGGAGGACGGCACGGCGCAAGCGTGAGAACATGGTGCAGTAATTACTGTGGAGGCTCACACGCGGCAGCCCCCCGCAGTCTTTGACCACGCCTCACACCAAGCGCCTCCGGTGGTTCCTTTTCACAGTTATTTGGGGATTGCAATCTTGGTCGGTACCTGTGGTTCATGGTGGCGCGGTCTGATGTTCAGTGCAGGATAATATGGCACGAGGTCTTTCTCTAGGATTGAAGCCCTGTAGCTACCCTAGGTGTTGTACTGTCCACGTAACAATCCTGCTCGGGATATGCCTACAGGGGACTCTGGATGCACTTGAAATGCCACCTTCCAATTTGCATACGTCTTCGGGCTGGTTTTGGTCCAGGCCGGCCCCTAGGACAAGGTATTTATAGGGGTTCTCAGCGACTTCTGATTGGCCCTGAGCCGGGCCACGACGAAGATAAGTGGACCGCCTCCCGCTTTTGGCTGTCGCCTCGTGGCTTTATCGACCAGGCATTCGCCAAGTCAGCTCTCGCAGGAGGTGAGGCCCTGACGACCATCATCACTCCTACCAACCTCCGCCGAGACCTGGGTCTTGTTTCTCTGCCTTTGCCTCAATTCACACTCTATTCAGGTCCTCGTTTTCTGTTGAGAGTCTAGCAACCGTTTTCAGCCAAGGATCGACGCACAGGACAGACTGCTCGCCTGAACTCGTCCTTGCCCCTGTGGTGCTCCCGACCTTCATTCGCCCCTTGGCCTGGCGCGATGAGACTCGCAACTCTCGTTGGCCTCGCAGCCGGTAGCCTAGCTGGACTAGGCTCTGCGAACCTTGCGCCGCGCAACTACGATGCCAACGACTATTACGTTCTGCAGCTCGAGCGTGGAGTCAACCCTGACGATGTCGCCGCGCGCCTCGACATGCGCCACGAAGGCCCTCTAGGCAACCTCGCCGGCCACCATATGTTCTCCGCCGTCAAACGCAACGACGACATTGTCTCTCGCGCCGTCCACGAGCGCCGCCGCCGGCGGACAAGCACGCCTGACTTGATCGACCGCGTCCCGTTCTGGCAGAAGCAGCGACTCCGTGCCCCGATGACCAAGAGGTCAAGCCCGGGACCCGCCCGCGGTGCTTTCCCCGCCGAGAAGCGACAGGATGTCGATGCACAGGCTGTCCAGAGACAAAAGAACGTCATGTCAGAGCTGGGCATCACAGATCCCATCTTTACGGAGCAGTGGCATCTGTTCAACGCGGTCGAGGTCGGCCACGATGTCAACGTGACGGACGTATGGCGCGCAGGTATTACGGGCCACAATTCGACTGTTGCCATTGTGGACGATGGCCTGGACATGTACAGCAACGATCTCAAGCCCAATTACTACGCGGCAGGCAGTTACGACTTCAACGACCACCGGCCGGAACCCAAGCCTACACTCTCAGATGACCGCCACGGTACGCGCTGCGCAGGAGAGATTGGAGCTGCCAAGAATGATGTATGCGGTGTTGGTGTTGCATATGATTCAAAAATCGCTGGCATCCGGATCTTGAGCAAGCTCATCACCGAGTCCGACGAGGCTTTGTCTCTAAACTACGATTTCCAGCACAATCAGATCTACTCGTGCTCTTGGGGCCCTCCGGACGACGGAAAGTCGATGGAAGCCCCTGGCATCTTGATCAAGCGCGCAATGCTCAATGGCGTTCAGAACGGCCGTTCGGGCAAGGGCTCGGTGTTCGTCTTTGCCAGTGGCAATGGCGCTGTGTACGAAGACAACTGCAATTTCGATGGCTACACAAACAGCATTTACAGCATTACAGTAGGCGCTGTTGATCGTAAAGGATTGCACCCCTACTATTCCGAGAAGTGTTCCGCACAGCTTGTCGTTACATACAGCAGTGGCAGTGGCGATGCCATAGTACGTATTATCCTGGCACTTCGAAATCAAGAAGGCCCCCGCGGTAGCTTTACAGTGACTAACAACACTCTAGCATACTACTGATGTCGGCGAGAACACATGCTCGTCCTCGCATGGAGGTACATCAGCAGCTGCCCCGCTGGCCGCCGGTATTTTCGCGTTAGCCCTGGAAGTCCGGCCCGATCTCACGTGGAGGGACATGCAGTATATTGCGCTTCAGACAGCCGTGGTCGTAGACCCGTCGGATGAGGAATTGCAGACCACAGCCACGGGCAAGCAGTTCAGCCACACGTTTGGATACGGCAAGCTCGACTCTTGGGCTCTCGTGGAGGCTGCGAGGACTTGGAAGAACGTCAAGCCACAAGCCTGGCTCTTCTCCCCCTGGATCCATATTAAGCACGATATTCCCCAGGGCGACAAGGGTCTGACCTCGTCGTTCACCGTCACCAAAGATATGATGCTAAAGGCCAATCTGGCTCGGCTGGAGCACGTCACGGTCACCATGAACGTTGAACACAGCAAGCGTGGTGACCTCAGCGTTGACCTTATCAGCCCTTCCGGACTTGTCAGTCATATCGCGACGACTCGCAAGGGAGATCTAAGCGGAGATGGTTATGCCGACTGGACCTTCATGAGTGTTGTGCACTGGTGAGTTTCCGCGCGCATCTTTACACCGTTCTTCCCGCAATGCTAACACGACTGCACAGGGGCGAGGACGGTGTTGGTGACTGGAAGATTATAGTCAAGGATAGCCAGGTGAACGAAAACTCTGGCAAGTGGGTCGACTGGCACCTAAAGCTCTGGGGAGAAAGCATCGACGCTGAAAAGGCAACGCTGCTTCCGATGCCCACGGAGGAAGACGATGACAACCATGACGAGAACATTCCAGTGACGACCGGGGTTGCGGAGACCACGACCCTACCCCCGGCTGTGCAACAGACTCCCAGCGAGCTTCCCTCTGTTCCCTCTGACCACCCTGAACGCCCGACTAAGCCCGGCAGCGGTTCCACAGCAGAGGGCTCGGCAGGTGAGAAGCCCTCCGAGACAGAGGGCGGCTCTGGCTCGTCGTCATCCGACTCATCTGCTGCCGAGACCACCACGGCCGAGAGCTCGTGGTTGCCGTCATTCCTGCCCACATTCGGCGTGTCCTCGCGCACCCAGGCTTGGATCTACGGTGCCTTTAGCTTGATTGTCGTCTTTTGCGCGGGGCTCGGGGCGTGGCTGTATATGCAGCGCCGCAAGCGTCTCAGCAACACGCGGGATAACTATGAGTTTGAGCTCATCAATGAGGAGGAAGGCGAGGGCCTCACAGGTGCCGGTGCCGCAGCCGGCGAGAAAGGCCGCAAGCGCCGAGGCGGCGAGCTGTATGATGCGTTTGCGGACGGCAGCGACGATGAGATGGAGATGTTTTCGGACGGCGATGACGATGACGACAGCCAGGGCCGCAGAGCGGGTGGATCTTCATCCGCCGCCGCTGCTGGCTCGGCAGCCGCTGCTGCGAGCAGTAGTAGCCGCGCAGGCCCCGCGAGTGACGAGGACGACGACAGCGAGGAGGACAGTGTCGATGAGAAGGCGGGACTTCGTGGTGGTACGCGGCGGTAAGCCTTGGCATCACTGGCGCTGGACTGGGACCGCTGCACATTCGCAGTCCCCTCAGTCCTTACTTAGTGTCACGCCGAAGAAGCAACTAGAAAGTGCATGCGCAGACAGCTCTCGCGGGTCGTGGGATTACTTTATTTTATACATCTACGCGGCGTTTTAACGTTCATATATTCCTGTTACCTGGTATCAATCTAGAACGACGATTAGGTATGCATACCGCATCGAAACATTACCGTCACCTTGTGCGACACAAAATGGTCTGAGAGCTAGAACCATGAATGATGTTTAAATCACCATCAGGACCACGGTCGGTTTGCATTGAACCAAATTCTTTCCTCCCTCCCTCCCTCCCTCCTTCTTTCATCGGACAACGAAGTGGCTAGCATGTAGGATAGGCGAGGCTTTCATTAGTGATGGGAAGCACTTAGTTAAGGGGTCAAGGGACAAAAGATCACGAGTATGATTTGACGATTTGCAATTTCAAACGCTGGTGGTGGTTTTTTTCTTCGGATTATACCAGACTGATTGAGCCAAAGGGGGGGTAGATGAATGTCCATCAGTCGCAGAACAAGGAAAAAAGGGAAGGACAAAATCGACGGGGGGGAGAAAGTCAAGCGAGAAGACCACAAGAAGGAGATTCTCACGCCCCGTACACTGACGCACTGAGCCCCTCCTTTTCCATGTCCTTGACATAGCGCTCCCAGTTTGCAATCGTGTCGTCGTAGAAGTGCGTGTGCGCCTCGGCCAGCAGGGCGAGCTGCTTCTTGAGCTCGGCGCGCTTGATCCGCTCAAAGTCGGCGACCTCCTTGACGACCTCCTCGTCAAACATCTCGCTCGTCTTCTTGGCTCGCTCTGCCTCGGTGGTCAGCTCGTCAATCCGGATCTCGAGCTTACGCTGCCTCTCGCGCCGCGATGCCTCGTGATCGACGCCCCGCACGTCCTCGATTTTGCTGCGGATGAACCCGCCCGCGCCGCCTAGCGCGCCCGACGAGCTGTACCCAGATGCGAGGGCGTCGCGGTCTAGCGTGGACTTGTTGAGGTACTCGGTCAGCTGCTCGTGGTCGAGCTGCTTCTGCTCCCGGGCGCGCAGGAGATTCTTGAGCGCCTGGCTGTACGCCTGCATGTCCCGCAAGCTGCCGAGGTAGTCCTGGTCGGTGTGCTCCCGGAGCTTCCGCAGACCGGTGGCAGAGTCCTCGATCGATGCCGCGAAGCCATGCACCGTCGACTCAATGCCCGGCTCAAGAGTGATGAGCTTCTGGAACTGCTCAGCCAGATCGCGCAGGTCGGTCTCGATATCGACCTCGCGCCGCGCAACGCGGGCAATGACTTTCTCTACGTGGCCCAGGTCGTCGTCCAGCTTGTCGCTCTTCTCCCTGACCTCGATGAATCGCCGGTCGTGCTTGTGGACTTTTGTGAAGGCATTGATGAAGGTGTCGGTAAGATTGTCAAACACGCCCCCGCTGCCAGAGTCCGAGGCCGTGCTGCCCCTCGCAGATCGGGACTTCATTGTGGCGTTCCACTCAGGTGACTCAAGGAAGGTGTGCAGGATCGGAGCACGGCGGAGGATCGGGTGCATAGCCACGCGGTTGAGGAACCGCTGCAGGCTGTAGCCGCGGCGGAGGGTGAAGTCTTGCCCGAACCGGTCGCCTCGGACATACTCCATGCGCTGCTTGTCCGGGAGTGGCGGGACCGCGCATGCTGGATACTCTCGAGATAGGGACTTGTACAGATACAGGAAATCGGTGAAACGGCGGCGTGATGTGAAGGTGGGCTTCTGGAAGACTGCAAACGTGGACTACGAGAGGAGTTCGAGGTCAGTAAGAGTATCGCATCGCACCCAAGCCCACAGACGTCTCGACAAGGCATCCGACTCACATTCGTCGTCACCAGGTAAGACACGAATGCGTCCTTGGTCCCGTCGCTCTCCTTGCGCGGCTCCGAGACGGTGCACTCGAGGATGTCGCCGCTCATGCCCGGGTCCTCTTCCAGAAGCTCTTCGCCATGCCGTTGATCCTCGACGCTCGGCGGCTCCACGTCCAGCGCAGGAGGCGGGCTGCCGTCTCCCGACCGGCCGGAGAAGCCCGACGCCTGCTGGTGCTGGTTGCGGTCGCTGTGCCAGGATATGTTGGAGAAGTTATCTTGCTGGTCTATAACGGCCATCTTGTCTGACTGGGCCGTCGGTGGCTGTGTCACGTCGGGCTTGTCGCTCTCTCGCTCTGTCGGAGGGGTCGCAACGGGCGGCCTGCTCGCTGTGTGCTCGGGCACAGCGGAGCTTGGTCCCCAGGCAATGCTGATTGGGGGTTCGAGTACGGGGAGCGGGCTCGGACAGCGAGATGACGGCTTCTGGCTAGGCAGGATCGAGCTGTGGTGGCAGCAAAAGAGATCAGTCGTGATGCCTGGCAGGTGGGTGGGCAAGTAAGTCAGCAAGCCGTCATTGGTGATACAGCGGCGGCTCCCAGGGTGTTGTTGCGTAAGGGAATGCTGAGACAGGGCGGGCATTGGTGGGGAAAGGCACCTGCCGCGCTACAGGCAGGCCGCCATACACAACTCTCCGTCCACCTGAGGGAGCCGCCCACTTGGGCAGTCAGCTCAGCTTGCTGGCGTCGACGACGACGTCACAGCTGGCCCCTGTCTGTCTGTGCACGCAAACCACTAGCGCTGAACCTGGTGCTGGAAATGGCTGCCTGCCAGCCTCCACACGGATCTTGTCTGCGCATTTTCAACATGTAATGTACGACGAAGTGGACATGCAACTAGTTGTTCTGTAGAGAGTGTCGTGTCCGTGTCACAAGTGTGCAATCAGCCCAGTTACGACATTACGAGTTGATTTTTTTGGTTCTAGTAGCGAATGATGTGAATAGTATGGCCTCGGCGACCAGCTATGCCGCACACAATCGGGTGACAGACTCGAAACAGCAGAAACTCGATTATTCTGCTGGTCGAGAGTACACTTGCGTACGCGTAAACAGAGAGCTGCCGTTCGTAAGCACCATTCAGGCCCATCCCAGCATACAAACGAACTGCGCCGGTATTCCAAAAACGCAACCAACAAAGGGCGAATACACCAAAAAGATGAAAATTAAACATTATGGCTGTACACACGCGCGTAGCCCCTTCACGCAGCAATCTCGGGTTGCCTGCCGCGGTGGTCGCCGTTCATGCCCCCATCGCTGTCGAGAGCCGAATGAGCACGCTCGTCTTCATCGTCATCGTCGTCATACTCGTGGCCGCGGTGATCACCAGCCGCAACCCACGAGTCGCGATCGTTGAGGGGCGCATCCTGGTTCGACAGGTCGAGACCCTCCGATCGGTTCTTGATGTTGTTGCGGCGTCTCGTAGACAGGGTGCGCGCACGTGTGGACAACTTGGAGGAGACGGCAGCATTGGAAGTGACCCAATTGGTAAGGGCGTCCTCGCAATCCTGAATGATAGCCTTGCTAGCCTCGTAGCCGTCGTAAGCGGGCCTCGTCTCGCCAGGGGTGACGGGGGAGTCGTCAATTAGCTCCAGGAGGTGCTTGCCGAAGCCAGCAATAATGGCAACCTTCTCGCAGTGCTCCCGCAGGGCGTCAAACTGGTATGTGTAGGCAGCCTTAATCTTCTCGCGGGTAATGTTGGAAAGCTGGGCCTCCGCCACGAGCGACTCGGCCTCGGCGCGAACGAGTTCCTGCTCGAGGACGACAATCTTGGGGGAGTTGGGCTCCTTGTACTTGAGCTGGGCGATCTGGTCGGTGATCTTTTGCTTTCCTGCAGGCAATGGGTCAACACCTGCTGGAGGACATCGCACTTCGCAATTCCGTCTTTGGAAAACTTACGGTCTCTGCTGGGCTGGACGGAAGCCTCGATGTTGCGGATGCTCTTGATGGTCACCCGGTACTGGTCGTAGCGGTCGACATACTGGTCCTCAAGCTCGCCAATCTCATACAGGAGCACACCGAGCTTGTCGGTGACGTCCGACACATCCTCGTCGCCGGCCTCGCCCCAGATGGAGAGTTGTTGCTAGAACTGCCATCAGTGCCCGCGCCGCGGCGATTGGACGTTCTGAATCACTTACAGCGACATCCATGCGCTCCTTGGCTACCTGCTCGAGGCTGCGCATAACGTTCTTCTCCATCTTAACGAGTTGAGTGAGCTTCTTGGCGAGGTCGGGCCCGAAGGCGCCTGCCGCGTTCTTGCGCAGAGCATGGCCTGTCGCGAGGGTTAGAACTACCCAAAAAGGTCGCCGTCTTCGTGGATGGTGGCGCGAGAGCCGGATCCGCCGGTGTGGCGCATGAGTACTCACCAAAGGTTCCCTTGCCAAAGAGACGGCCCGCCTTCGTGGAGGACGGAGGAGGTGGGGGGTTCTGCAGAGTCTGGCGTCAGCACAATCGCGACCTAACGCTTCCACAGATGGGAGTCAGAGGGTAATGGATGTGAGCGCACCTGGATCTGCGAGGCGGTGGGCGCCCGGCTCTGGCGCATAGAGTATGTTCGGTGCATGATGACGGACGGCGCTGCGTGGAGTTGGGAATATCTACACGATGCTTGCAAGCTGGAGATGCTGTTGGTGACAGGGGAGGCGAATAAGACGGCTCTGATATTGGCAGTGGGAGGGGTGAGAAGGGAGAGTAGATGGTGAGGGCAAGAAGACAAGGTTCATGGGGAAGGGGGAGATGTTATTATGCCCGGGCGGCAGGCGGTGGTGGTGGTGTGTTGACGTTAGTGCACTCCTTGCCAGCCATCCAGTGTTGTTACGCACTGCCAACTGCACAAGCTACAGGCGGGGGGGCTGTGTGCGGGCAGGCCTGGACAGGACGCAGATGGGGGAAGCCAGAGCGCTGCAACCAGCAGCGGCGGGCACGGCAGCCGCTGCCAGGCCATGCGCCCGCCCACTACGTCATCGAGCCATTGGGGCCTCGCACCCGCACGCACTAGCGCCCTCTGGCGTGTGGTGGTGCGCCAGCGCTCCCGCACAATGGTGACGTGCCTGCTCCTCGCCCGAGCCCGATCTGCGGCGTCCGCCTGCGCACCGGCTGGCCGATCACTATTCATTGCCAGGGCGACCTTGGGCTTGCTCTACCCCCTTTCTGCAGCTTGCGATTCCTCATGCCAATAGTGTCGTCTCGTCCAGGTTCTCAAGACAAGGGGGTTCCTGTTCTAGGCTCCGAGAATTACTGAAGACTTGGACGAGCGGCTAGCGCGATCCTCTGTTCCATGAGCCTGTAGAAGGGAGATTCGGTCGCTACCTCTTTCGTCTACTCAGCGTCGCTACATTGTACCCAGTGCGGAATTGACTGGTTCTGATGAGGGAATGAGCTGAAGTAGAAGCAAAGCGATGGCTCCATTCCCAGATTCCCCCACCGAGGGATGAGGCGGCAATCATCAGGGTTATGCGCACGAGAGAGGACGGGAGGAGATCCAGAAGTGCCACAGCTCTACTTAGATCTAGCCGAGATCGTGGAGAACGGCTGCTGCAGGTGCGTCTGGCGCTATTTGTGGCACATGGGCAAACCCGAGCAGCAGGAGGGGTGGGGGAGTAGTCAACAAGGGTCTTGAGATGCTTGGTTTTGCTGGTGGACGACTTGCATGACAGACACATTCCGTTCCCTGGACATGCTCCCTTCAGCTGTTGTGGGCTTGTGCTGTTTGTGTCTTTTCACTGCTGTCCGCCAGATGAGGCATAGATGTCTTGAATGGAGCGTCAGCTCGACGTCAGAGACGGTGCTGGGTTTTTGGTGCGGCACTGCGGTCCAGAGAATGCGCTTATTCTCGTGACTTGGGCTTTGGCTGGACAGCACGCGGCGACTGCCGGCTTGTGTCTCAGAGAAGCTGCGCAAGATCCGGAGTTGGGCCATCTCCGGCGTGCTCTGGGAGCCGATCTTGGTAGAACACACACACACACACAGCTTTCTGCCATTGCCCGGCAATGTCGAGGCCTGCAAGATTCCAAGATGCTGTGGGGGAGTTCCAACCTTAATCCATTGCCAGGGCCACCCCGGTGTATCCGACTTCTCGTGTGACTAATGCTTTGCATGAACCGTGGTCACTGGCCCTGCTGGTGACGGCGATGCTCGTACAACATTGACTTTCTGGAGCGCACTATCCTGTTTCCTGTGGCTGGATTGGGATATTTACATCTCTGTATCTGGCCCGTCGGCTTTGATACAACTGGGCCCAGGGTTTCGCTGCTCGAGTGGATCCAGCAGCGACGACTCCGGGACGAGCACACCAGTGTAGTGTTCACTTAGCAGCGCGTCGCGGAAGTGGCAGCCAAGCCCAGGCGCTATTCCTCCCACAGGCCTGAGCTTGACACCAAGTAAATTCTTTGTAAACGACAGCAAGCATCGTGAGCAGGAGCCGGCCTGATACTTGATACCTGCAGCATACGCTGGCACATTGCGTCCTTGCTGCACGTCTAGACGGACGGCACGGCGCTGGTCCAGTGTCGTTGCACAGTCACAGTCGTGCTGGGGTCCCTGGAGGTACCTCGCTTGACACGACCCACCTACTCGTGCGGCGGCGCGTCTCGCCCGTCTATCGTCACGTCAGGCATCGCGATAGCATTATTCGCACCGACTCCTCTGGCCACCAACCTAGCCGGCTAAACCCTCCTTGGAGACACCCGTCTTCTCTGGCTCACTCCGCCATGCGCACGGCTTCGCGCAGCTCCGTCGGCCTGGCACAAACCCTCCGCGCTGCGAACCTTCAAACGACGGAACAGGCACGCGCACCTTGCCGGCAGCACGGCCCTTGTCACCGTTTGCAGGACAGATTGGGCCGCAAGTGCACTGCAGACCGCGATGGAGGTCGGCGGCAGCTGGTCAGACTCTGACGACTCGGACCAGCCTCGTCAATACTCAGGCAGGACGCCGCTCCGCTCCAGGCAGGAGCCGCCGCAGTCGCAGTCGCAGTCACAGTCACAGTCACAGTCCAAGCACCTGCCTTCCGCACGCCCTCACTCACGCGCCCGCCGCTCCATCAGCCCACCACCGCTCTCGCGCCTCTCGAGCGGTGCTCTCCACGCCGACGCCGCGCCTTCTGCCTCCTCCATCATCGCCCGCGGCGATGACAACGACCTCCCTGCCGCGAAGCGGGATGACCCCAAGATGGGCGCCCGGCAGTCGACTAACAGGAGCGCCAACACGACCCCGACCACACAGAGACACCATGCCACCCCGGCGAGTACGAGCAACCGCACGCCCAAGCAACACACCCCGCGCAAGCCGGCATGGACAGTGGACAAGCTCGAGGAGTCCCTCAAGGCCTTCGCAGACGAGATAGGCAAAGACGGGGCCAAGCGGACAGTGCGCTTGGTGCGCCTGTCGTGGAAGAAGAAGGCGCCGGCACCGATCTCACAGTCTGTCAGCAGCAAAAACTGGTTTGAGGGCATGAAGTGCATCCCTGTCGAGGGCGGCAAGAAATCGCCAGACACAATGAAGATCAAGACCAAACAGGTCGGTCACGGCCGCAACGGCAAGCTGGAGAGGAGAGAGCACTATCGCGTCATCTGCATCAAGACAGATCAGGAGGCTGTGCCTGGATACAGCTTCCATCATGTCGACATTGTCAAGAACATCCTCTCGCCCAATACCATGCTGACCTACGTGCCGCATTTACGAGACCTCGCGGATAACGAGGAGAAGAAGTACCGCACGTGGCTCGAGAACCTAGAGTCCATGGATAAAACTTCCGGGTTTGCCACCTTGAGTAGACACCAGAAAGTCGTCAAGACAATACAGAAGGAGCGTGCCACGACACTGCTGCTGTATCTTGACCGCTGGCTCTCACGGTTGGGACTGGAGGCCTGCACCAAGTCGAACCTCATCCGGCATATGACGCGGGAGATGGAGACGGCCACACCGCAGCAGAAGTCGAGCATCCTCAACGCTCATGACGAAAACAACTCCCCGAGGACAAGCAAGACAATCAAAATGTTCACCCAGGCCTTTGACAACGTGTTCAACGACGAGAAACTCAAGGAACAGCGCGTGCCACTACAAGAAGTCCTCCTGCTGGACAAGTCTGTCGATACCTTTGGAGATCCGAAGAAATGGATGAAGGAAACACCTGGGCAGGCCAAAGCGGTCGACCAAGCCACAACAGTCGAGTCGTTTACCGAGACGTACTCGCTCCTCGGCTGCCTCGTCTGCTTCTGCCACTCCTGCGAGCATGGAGAGTTTGGTGTTGACAATGAGCGGAAGCGATTCTCTGTCGAAATGATCGGCGGCATGTCTGGGCTTCTTGAGAGAAGCGCTCTCGCAAAGAGGAACGGAGCGCGCAATGGTTTGCACTCGCTCCATGAAGACTCCTCGCCATGCAGCGACCATTGCTTCAAGCTATTTGGTCCGCCTGGTGGCCGAGTTCCGGCATGGACGGAGATTGAGATCAATGTCCTCAAAGCTATGCATGCTACTTCAATGGACGACAGCTTACCCACCGCATGCGCTGTGGCACAGGTAACTGGCCGGCCGTGCTTCGACGTCCGTCGTCAGCTCGACAAACTGGACCTGCCGATGCCAGCCACACCGAAGGCATCGCCACTGCCACGTGCGAAGACGTTACCGTGGTATGACCGGCATAAGAAGATGCTCCTCGGCGACTGGCAAGACCACATCATGACCCACGAGCACCAGCGCAAGGATTGTTTCGACCCTTGCAACCATGAAGGTCCATGCACACCGAAGAATTGTACCTGTGTGCAGCATGGCTTGCTGTGCGAGCGCTTCTGCCGCTGCACGTCGGATATGTGTGCCTACAAATTCACAGGATGTGCGTGCCATTCTCTCGGCAAGGTCTGCATGCCGAAACAGAAGGACCGCCCCTGTATCTGTATTCAGCTCAATCGGGAGTGCGACCCTACTTTGTGTGGCAACTGCGGAGTCGTTGAGAGAACGGAGCCAGCCAATATCGACAACGACCAGCTCTTCACAACAGGCTGCCAGAACTGTGCCTTGCAAAGGGGCAGGCCGAAGTCTGTGGTCCTTGGGAAATCGAGGATTGCTGGATATGGCTTATTTGCTGCAGAGGACATTGGGTCGGACGAGTTTGTGATCGAATATGTCGGAGAGCTCATTTCACAGGACGAGGGCGTGCGTCGTGAAGCACGGCGTGGTGACGTATTTGACGAATCGGCAAATACATCATACCTGTTCACGTTGCTCGAGCAGGAGGGCATATGGGTTGACGCTGCGATATATGGCAACTTGAGTCGATACATCAATCATCAGGACGACAACTGCAACGTCACCCCGCGCATCCTCTTCGTCAATGGCGAGTATCGTATCAAGTTCAGTTCGCTGCGCGATATCAAGGCTGGAGAAGAGCTGTTTTTCAACTACGGCGAGAATTTCCCAAACTTGACCAAAAAGCTTCTACAGGAAGAGGAGAAAGCGCACAAACGGCAACGAAAAGCGAAGGAGCAGATGGAAGAGGACGACGACGGCAAGCACAGGAAGAAGCCTGGGCGTAAGCCTGGACGGAAGCCTGGCCGGCCACCCAATCGGAAGCCCAAGAAGACGTTTGCTACATTGGACTCTGAGGATGACGAGGACGTGACGATGGAGGATTTTATGGTGGAAGACTCGGAAGAGAATGCCGGAGTCGCTACTCGGAAGAGAAAGCGCGCTGCCGATGATGATGATGACGACGATGAGGCTGAGATGGAGCATAGGAAGTCGAACAACACTAGCGGCCCAGCAAGGGGCAGAGCCAAACGCGGCGGCAGGCGGCCCGGACCTAAGCCAAGACGGCACGTCGAGATCGCAGACACCGCCGACGAAGGGACTGCCACGCAGTCGCAAGATGAAGCTGGCATCCCACTAGTCCCACAACCTCTGGCCGAGGGACGACGACTTCGCAAGGATGACAAAATCCAGGAACCGCGAGACGTCGTTATCATTGACGATGACGCGGCGGAGGCAGACGAGGTCATGGTCATGAGCAGCGGTCGCAAATCCCGGGGGGCTGCGGCCCGTCACCCATTCCATCCTGAGGCGCGTGCCGCCCCTATCCATATTGATCTCGGTTCCGTTGAATTGTCTGATCACGCTGCAGCAGTCGATGACTCTCCCACGCGGAGTAGGAGAGGTCCTCAGCGCCGCCACCGACAACAGCAGCAAGACCCGGAACACGTGGCGGCGACGAATTCGAGCCCGTTGTCAGAGCCGGCCTATCAGTCCGATTCAGATGATGTACGGGGGCCGGCTGCGCGGGGGCGAGGTGGCGGGGACGCGAATGAGGCCGGCAAGAGGCGTGGGCGGAGTGACCTCACGATTGAGCTCACCCGCGATGGAAGTAGCAGCACCGGCCTGAGCGGCATCGTGGTCGAAGATGATTCGGACGACAGTGCACCCATCATTGACCGCTCGAGATCGCGCACGCGGAGGAAGCCCGCGAGGTACGAGGACTAGGATAAAGCCCTGTCCGACAACCGCCCATTACACGGGAAATGCTGATTGTAAGGCGCTGCGGAGGCAACATCTATTTTCCTCTGCAAGCACATTACATGGTTTTTGGTGTACCTAGCAGGCGTTTGTGGTGAAATTTTCTGTTTCTAATCCCAGCTTGTAGAATATAATTCACAGAGATTAGCCATACTATAATCACAGGGCACGCTGTGACCATGCAACCAAGCTCGCCGACTTCAAAACACCTAGCTTGTAGCCAGCAGCTTGGGGAAAGGTTTGAATTCGCACTCTCTCTCTACTCTCGTGCCAGGGGCATATGCACATCATTCGAGCCAAAAGCAAGTGGGCTCATTTGACTGACACTTTGGGGAGATAGGAAGGTAGCACACAGTGATGGGAAGAAATCAAGCTCCAACCCAGAAAAGCAAGTAAGGGATTGATTGGATTTGTGTACACTGGGCCATAATGGCCGTTTCTTGGTTCCTGTCTTTTGCTCTTCCTCTCTCTGGAATAGGGTGGGAGCGATACATGAAAAAAACAAACCATAGACAAAGGACGCCAAAGCGCAGAAGTCAGTCAGCTACTCAGTCGAGGAACGCAGCCGTAGGGAACAAGAGCAACCTGCGTCTTTGCTGCCGCCACAACCAAATCGGCAGCAGCATTTGACGGGCGGCCTTCGGGCATCTTTCAACCCACGCCTTTTGTCCTCTTTTTTTTTTCTCTTCCTCTCCCGATAGGCGGCATCCCCCTTCCTCTCCTGTGACTGGCCCCTGCACGTGCGTAGGAGTGCGTGTGCGTTGCGTATATATGCCTCATTTCTTCCCCCATCCAGCCCCCGGACCCACCGGCCAGCAACGACGCCTGTCTGGCCGATCAAGCCCCATACCGATATTGGAAAAGCAGAGCAACAACCCAGGAAATCAAGGGTGGGAAAGCCGCATATTCGCCATGAGACAGCAACCAAAAAAAGCAAAAGGGAGAAAGCTCCACACCCAAACATGAAATGCCCTGTGGCGCCTCTAAACGCCTCCCAAGTTCATATACAGAAAAGCCAGTATCCTCCCCCACCTCACTCGTCTGTCCTGCACCGGTCTTCGGCACATCTCCCATCTTTTATCATTTGCAGCGCTCATGAATGCCTCTTTGGATAGAAATGACGTAGGGTGGTGAGTGGTACTCGTGACCACCATCGGCTGTTGCTGGCGCCTGTGTGGCTTGCGACATGGCCCCGCGAGATATCCTGGGCTGGAGCCTGCTTTCATGCTTTCGCAGAATGCGCAGGTGGGTAAGCACACACTTGTTGTGCATTTCGGCACGTGGCAGCATGTGCAACATCGACTCAGTTTCGAGCTCTGTCAAAATAGTGTCTCCAATTGGCTACACTCCAACGACGAGGTATAATTATGATCATGGCATGCGAAGTGGGCTGTGTATACGTGTGTTGGATTCGATGTTTCGGGTCTGGACCATGTAGTATGCTGCCAGGTTGTTGCGCTGATCGAGCGTCCGCAAGTAAATCAGACGCTTTGAGGGTACACACTCGCGGGCTGGGTTCCATATCAGTAAGCAGAACATGAATAGTCGTGTGTGCAAAGTTGTACTCACAGGACTGTTGAGCATCGAGTTCCGCTTGTTTCTGCCCTTCTTAATATGGCTCTTGAGAGCAGACGAGTCGAGTGGCTTGAGCAGCTCAAAACTACAAAGCAACTCGGAAGACACTGACATCACTGCACCCCAGTTGTCAAACTCGCCACAGTACTGTAAACTTCGTCAGCATACGGCCCCAGAGAAACAAATGGGACATCCAAAACAACTCACATTTGGTGCGCTAAAAACTGTCACAAGAACTCTGTCGCTGAAGAACTCGTATCCGTCTTCAACTACCATGTGCGCGCGACAGACCAGATCAAAGTCGTGCGTGGCAAGGAACTCGGTAATGACCTTTTTGCCGAAGCAGTAGCTGACTCCTCGTTCGTTTGCTTCCCAGTCCTGTTCCATGTCGGCTGGGTCGGACCACAAGAGGTCGTTCAGCAGACCATAGTCGGGAACGTCGGTTGGGCGGGTGATGTTGCGAATGTCGTCCATGTGGCCCAGAGCAGGGGAAAGTCCGCCGTGGACACAAAAGATCTTGCCAGCGACGATGGCCGCGATTGGGAGGGTGTTGAACGCATCGATAAAAGTCTTCCAGATCTTGACATTGCACCGTCGCTTGCACTCGTCGTAGAAGCCGTATACTCTGGTGACATTGGCGCATTCGTGGTTGCCGCGCAGCAGGAAGAAGTTCTCGGGGTACTTGAGCTTGTAGCATAGCAGCAGCAGGATAGTCTCGAGAGACTGCTTGCCGCGGTCGACATAGTCGCCTAGGAATAGATAGTTTGAGCTCGGAGGAAAGCCGCACATCTCGAACATGCGGATAAGGTCTGTGTACTGCCCGTGGACATCGCCTACAATCTTGACGGGCGCATCCAGCTCAAGCAGAGCGGGCTGCGACAGCAGGACTTCACGTGCTCGTGTGCAGATGGCGGTAATCTCTGCATTCTTGAGGCAGACGCTCTTTGTGACCTTGCCAGCATAGGCCGCGTCGAGCAGGCGCTTGATGTAGTCGTCCAGATCAATTTCCTTGATTGAATTCATGGCAACGCCGTCAGCCGAGGCATCATCCTTGGACATGAGTGCCGCCGTGGCCTTGGTGACGGGGTTGATCATGTTCTCCTTCCTGACGAGAATCGGCGCACCAGGCTGCTGTTGCAGGTTGGGGTTCTGGCCGGCGGCTGCTGATGGCGGTTGATCAGACACGTGGTCAACCTCGCCTGATGCCTGAGCGGCGCTGATATCACCGTGGCCCGCTCTCATAGAGGCTGACTGGATGGGCGAGGGTGGTGGCTGCGGCTCTTCCAGTGGAGACTCGGCATTCCCGGATGGCGAGGACGGTGACCCGGGTTCGTTGAGGCGGCTCAGGCTGCCGCGCGACCTGGAACTCTTTGCGGATTTCACAGAAGTGGCGTCGCTTTTGTCAGCTGCAGCATCGCCGTTGGACAATATGGCGGAGCTGCGAGGACTGTCGGTCTTGCCGCTACCAGGAATCTTTGAGCGCAGAGTCTTGAACGACCGGGTCGACTCCTTGGTGTCTGATTTGCTGAAGGACGGGTATGACTGGAGGTCGCTGCCCCCGGCGGCGCCCTTTGAGGGACCGCCGCCTTCCTTGGAGCTCTGGTTGCCCATTTCGGGGTGATACGAGGGCAGCCAACGGAGCGCTAGGTCTTGTTATCCTTCCCTAGTCAGAAGGGGAGTGAGTGAGACGCCAGCGTGAAGGGCGGATCTGGGGGGTTGCGCGGCCGGGCGACGTGTGCGGTGATGACGAAATGCGGATTGGCAGCGTGCGCGGCGGCCGGTCGAGGTCGGGTGGAGAGACTGAGTCAGCGAGAGGGAGGGCCCGAAGACGGCGAGGCGAAGAGCATAGGGGAAAGAGTATGTCGATGCGGTGTCCGGCGGGAGCAGGGAAGTCGTTGCGTGTCTGAGGAGGAAGAGATCGAGTTGAAGCTGAGGACGGAAGCACAGAGACAGAGTGCCCAAGATGCGTCGTGGTGGAGCGGCTGGGCAGGAGTGCGAGCTGGGACGAGTGGGCGGGCCAGGCACGGCGGGGATATCGGAGGGCAGGGTCGGGGGTAACGCACGCTGTGTGGCGGGCTGGCTGGCACGCGCTGCAGGCAGGGTACGCAGTTACGAGGTGGTGCGAGAGAGGCGGCACGGCAGGGCTCTGGACGACGGGGCGCGAGGCTGAAGCTGAAGCTGAGAAGCAGAGCGGATGGCTCTCGCAGTGAGGGGATGCTGGAGCAGGTGAGTGAGGCAATTACCGACCTTAGCGGTGCTGGCGGTGCTTGTCGAGCCCGCGGTGATGGTATTAATTGCTCATCTGAAGCGTGAGCTCGAGGACGACGTCAGCTGGGGCAGGCACCGTCTTGGCGGCTGCAGCAGTTCCTTCCCCGGCGCTCGAGGAAACGACACAGCTTGATAGGCCTGGCCTGGGTGGAGCAGAGCCTGCGCGCAGGTCGTCTGGTGCAAGTGGGCGGGCGGGGCACGACGACGCCTAACCCATCCAGTTGCTAGTAGAGAGCGTCGAGATATGACATTGAATACATTCACTCACTACAATCGTTGCAGCATGGGATGTCCAAGCAGATTACCCCTCAGCTCAGGTCAAGAGGTATGCAATCAAGAGTGGCTGCAGAGCGATACTCCCGAGTCGACCCAGCAGCCATAATGTAACATATCTGCAGTGCTCGCGTGCTCATCCTCCTCTTTGGCATTCGCCCACCCTACAAGTGACCCAACCGCCAACCTGCGGTACGACGTCCACAAGGCTTGCAGCTTTCCGACGACAGCAGCAATGAGAAGGTCAATTCTTGAAGATGGACGCGCATACCAGAGCCCCCCTCCCACGCCATTTCAACCACCGAGGTCGAGGTCGCCATGCCCAATGGGCGTCGGCAGACACAGCCAAGGGCATCTCGTGCAATGGCGCCAAGGACAAGTCGATGCCGGATGGCATCCACGGCCACGGTCGGCCAGCCAGCCCGTCGCTGTGTCCAAAGAGGAAGGACACGTCCATGCAGCCTCGTGCACTTTGCCGAGCCCAGCCCAACGCCTGCCCAAGCCAGGCCTGGCAGGGAGTCGAGCATTTTAATTTACCCCGTTGACCACGAGGCCCCGTCGCTCATGCCCCTGTGTGCCCAGTGCACACCCGCCAAGGGACTGCCCTGCTTGGCCTCACGAGAGTTCTATTCTAGACGCGGCAACTTCTGGCTCCAAAAGGCCCCAAAAGACCCCATATGCCAAAGCCAAGAGATAGAGCCAAGGGCCAAGCTCCCCAGTCACGGATGCCCAAGACTCTGGTCTGATGCAGCCGAGCCTGTCGTTACTGCTACCTACGCTTTGTGACCACTTGTTGCCCACCTGGCTAACCACCTGGCCTGGCCTACAAATCCTGCTCGCTTTTCCTTGGGTTTCTGATTTCCTCGGTCAACACAACGGGAAGCTAGGAAGAAGACCTCTCTCTCTCTTTCTCTTGTCGCATGTCATCAATTCCGCTTCTCTCTTCCCAAGTCGGCTGTCGGCCCCCACGCCGACTTGCCGTCCTACCCGAGCCAGCCCTCCCTCAGGCGCCTAATCCAGCGGATGCTTATCTCACCAGGCCTGACACCATGCATGCCAAAGCTCAACCTGGACAAGCCGGCCGGATCGATGTGCTCGCATGCATGACCAGTGTCGGCCTCGAATTGTCCCTCGACTGATGACCACATTGCCCGAGGATTGAATGGGGAGGGGGGGTGGGCGGCGCGATCCACAGGCACAGATCCAGCAGCGCAGGGCCATGTCTTAAAAAGGACCCATGAGCCATGTCGTTTCTAGAAGCACGCACCGCTGTCCCCCCGTCTGGCCATAATTTGGAACATGTGTCGTGCCATAATAGAGGCGGCACATCTATATTAATCACACTTGTCTGAGAAGTCGGAGCCCAACGCCAGCCCAGCAAGGGGGGGGGGTGGAGAGGTCCCTTTCTGACCCACCACCAATGTCACACATGGGCCGCGAGCTCCCGGACATGCACTCACACGGCGCCGCCAGAGTCACATGTTTCGCCGGACCTCGTCGTTTTTTTCATCTGGCGATTCCATTCATCCCATCTCACGAGCCGGCCGTCCTTTTGCTGCTCTCCGGGTAATCTGCTCGTGACCGCCGCAAACCCGGAAAACATGCCACACGGCAGAGGAAAAAGGAAAGAATAAGAAAAGATCTCGAGCTAAAGTCGAGCGATGCGGCGCCCGGGATATTGGGCATTCACTTTGCCTGGTCAAGGAGACCCGAACCTTGGAGAGACAATTGACGCTTAACAGCTGTAAAATAAAATAAGAAGAAGAAGAAGAAGAAGAAGAAGTAGAAAATAGGCAAAAGAAAGCAACGACCGTCATAACTGTGTAGTTGGCAGTGTGCTTCTCTCGTGCTTCTATACTGGAGATTTCCCAGAGAAGAGAAGAACGACGACAGACACAACGCTCGACACTGGCATATATCAACCTCTGAGAGGTTTCGAAATACAGTGACAGAAAACCAGACAGTCTCGGGAAAACACAACAAGGCACAAGTATCTAGTCAAATGATTATTTATGTAAATGGGGGAAGAGCAGAAAAGCAAGTTACGCGCTTGCCATCTAGATGAGAACGAGAGGAAACCTCCTCAAACCAAGAGAAACGACAGAAGCACGAGTAACACGCTGGAATACAACAAAATGACAGGACACGCAGCAAGTCAGCAGCAACGCTTGCTCATCGCCAAAACAAAAAACACTTTGAAATCAGACGACAACGCTAAACCCAGACACTCCATTCTCCCCGTCGTCTCCTGGCATCATCACCCAAAGTGGAGCCGTATAATAGAGAACATCATGTTCTGCAGTACATGGAGCATCGCAGCAACGGCAGTCGGCAGGAGCTCTGGCCACACGGCAAGGTCAAGCTTCCCCTCAGCCGTGGCATCCACACCAAAGAACCACCGAATCAGAGCGCGCAGCACAATGCCCGCGACCAGTTCGCACGCCCAGGTAATGACCGAGGCAGTCATGGTCAGGTCAAAGTCGTAGTACTTGTCGGTGCCGTCAAAGGCAAAGTATGGGTAGACATCCTTGTTTGGGCCGTAATGCAGCACCAGGATAGAGCCCAGGAATGTGATCATGGATACGTTTTCGGCGAGGAAGCGTATGAAGACGTTGCGGGTCTGAAGTTTGAGGTATGAGCCATAAGACTGACCGGTTAGGCCGAGCAGGCATAGGATACGGTGAAATAGGGGTGTCATCTGAATCGGCGTCAGGATGATGAGAAACCCTGACGACAGCGCCTGAAGCCAGATAAATTGTTCGGGAGAGCGAAGCCGAGCATATAATGCTCGGACATAGGTTTGGTAGGTGAGCATGAAGTAGCTGTACGGCATATTAGTCATGATGGGCTCGGATAAAGCAAGACGATGCCGGATAACTCACAGTTTGAAGATCCAACTCAACGGGTAGCTGCCCACGCGCTCGTCCTCGCTCGCCCCCAGAATCCAGCCTGTCAGCATGTCCAGGAGGTGCACTGTTACAATCCAACTGTAGACATAAGCAATGGTCTCGAAGTTGTTGTGTGGAAGTGTCCTCAGGTAAATCTCGGCGTAGGCCTCCCCAATGAGGTAGGCAAACAGGCCCACGAGAAGTGCAAGGCAGAACCAGACGAACCGCACAAAACTTGCGGGAAGCCAACGCCTTCGCTCGGCCAGCGCCGGCCTGTGTCGGTGGCGACCCCGTTGATCCGTAGACACCTCGAAACCAGCATGCGGGTCAAAAGCCCCGATATCGACTCTAAGATGGCCTCGGCTACCGCGTGCAGGAATCATGGTGTCAGTGTCGCCCGTCCACCAGGAGCTCGTGAAGATTCGTTGCGTTTCAGACAAAGAGTGGCGTAACCCGAGATGCCGCTCATGTGTCATCAAGATCCAGAACGCGATGCCTACGGGCAACGCCATTATGAGAAAGGTCCAGCTGATCCAGGCAGTGTTGTGCACAGTCAGGAAGCGAGTCTCTGGGAAGATGTACAGAGGTATCGGTCCCAGGATCGAGACTGCAGCGATCAAGCTAATGGTCAAGGGGAAGCCTAGGGACGAGGGCCACCAATTCAGACTGTATAGGTTGAAGACCTTGGTGATCCAGATGAGTGCCGTCAGGTTGTAGAAGCCATAGTAAACGAAGAGGAAGAACCAGAAGTTGACCTGCACCCGAGCCTCGCCGTGTCCAGGCGCCCGGTGGCCCGGACTCGGCGCCGAGTCTGAGGGCGGTCCCGGAATGTGATCCGGATCTTGAGGGTCAAGTGGGTACTGTGGGAAGGGTATCGAACACCAGGCTATTGCCTATACACACGCCAGTGTCAGCCATTACACAAACCGTGGACTGTCAGAACAGGACCCGTCATGCTTATTGCAAGCACACAACTGTTCTCGAGAACCGCAATAAGCACACAGAGCAAGAAAGAGCAGGACATACCAGCCCCGCAGGCAGGAAGACGAGATTCCCCCAACGGCCCCACCAGGTGTCGACGGCTCTCTTGACCGCCGTCTGGCGCGGCGATATCCACACATCATTCAGCCTCCTGCACGAAGTCCTCCAGAACCGGCGCTGCCGCCGTAATAAGCCCGTGTCGTCCTCACTGTCCGAGTCACTGTCGTCGGCTGGTCGGCTGCCGTGGCGGTCGCCCTCCTCGAGTCCAGCGGTCACGAGAGCGCCGTAGCCAACGTGCACGCTGCCCCGGCCGCCGGGGCCGCCGAGCAGGCCGAGTTGGTTCTGGGCATGCGACCTTGGAGAATTGCGTGTGCGCGGCACCGCGCGGAAGCGGCCGAGTAAGGGGGAGCTGTCGGCGGCGTGCTGGCGGGCGGCGCGAGATGCCTCGGTGCCGGGGATGAAGGGAAAGAATTCGGGCATCGCTCACACGCCGCGGTCGGGTGTGTTGTGTCGAGCAGTGCGTATCCGTCCCTGGGCTATGGGTTCCCAGCTGAGTATGAAGTCGATGCCGTGTGTATGCGTGTGCGAGTATTCGTAATGTATCATGAGGTGACGGCCGAGAGGTGTTGTCACAGAGCGGTCGGGCAGCGATCTGGACGTCCGCGTCGTCGCGCCCCTTTAGCAAACCGCACGATGGACCAGGCAAGCTGCGGCTTGTTGTCGTGGTTGCGGTTGTCGTGGGCTGACAGGACAATGCCTCGGCGGTGATCGCCAGCGATGATGGACAAGACAAGAGCCCGCACGCTCAGACACCGACATGGCGGGACGAAGACAAGTCTGGCATGTGCATCGCAGCGGTGACTGATCGCGCCTGCCGCACCGCAAGGACCCTCCAAGCGACCTCTGGCCCAGCAGTGAGAGCATGCATGCGGGCATGGCATTTAATGAGACCCGCCCATCGCGGCAGTCAAAGCTCAGGGCGAGCGAGCATGCGAGTGGGGGTCCATCCCTTCCCTGGCCGCTGGACCCCTGCCCATGCAGCGTGACGTATCTGGAGCCCAACGGGACAACTTCGAGCGCTGCCATGATTATCAGCAATCTCTTGAGACATGTCGTCGGCTTCCCGGGATCAAAGGGGGGGATGGGAAAGCGTCTCTATTTATTACTACAGCCACAGCCTCATTTTACGACACTAAAACGAGAGCTGTCAAATGCCTCTCTTGTGTTGAGTATCCAACCTTGGAAATTTTAGTCTAGCACTAATGCCCTAGATCCACGCTACTGCACTACATCGTCAGATGCCATTGTTGTCACCTTGAGATCCACTTACTTTGAACTGACAGGTCCAGAGAATGGAGCCCCCAATCACAACTACTCCAAAGCTGTACGAAGGCAAAGGTAGCACAGTCTCTGTTGCCTGTATTCCATCGGGAAAGCCAACATGTCCTTCAGAGGAAGGTACGGACTTATGTCGAATATGGCTTGGGTCGCACCAGGCAACTTGATTCTCGATCGGTGGTCAAGGCCACACGTTATAAAGTATTTGCCAGACACTCTCAATGGCAAAAAAGTATGATTATTGCTCCTAGCCTTCATGAGCAGCAGAAGGATTAAAGGTAATATACAATTACGTGTCATGCTCCCAGAATTTTTTTAAAGAATCAAACAAAAATAATGTCATCCCATATCAATCGCTAAACCCATCCTCAACGCCATCCTCGTCTTCCTCATACGCTTCTGACTCAGTATCGGTGTAATCTGACCCCTCAATCGGCGTGACCTCGGGCTGCTCGTCCTCCGCGACCTCATCGTTATAGTACACAGTCGAGTCCTCTACCGCGGCGCCAGCAGATCCGGCCTCTTCTGACGTCGCGTCATCCGGAATCCCAGTGAAGCCGACATGCTTCTCGACCTGTTGTCCTGCCACGGCCCCGGATGGTGGCCACGACGAAGACGCTCTCCGTAGTGCAGACTTGGGCGACTCCTCGAGCACGTCGCCACTCCAGGGCTTGCACTCCTTCACGAGCTCGCCGCACCGCAAGCACGTCCAGCCTTCGCCTTCCTCCCGCTCGAGGCGCGTGGCCAGGCACACGAAGCAGTATATGCAGCCGCAGGGCATGGCCTCATACGGGTTGGTGATATCGGTTTGCGCCGAGCCGACGACGCCACTGCCCGACGCCGCCGCCGCAGCGAGCATGTCGGCCTCGGACACGGCCGAGTTCTGGTCCTGGTAGCATATCGCGCACGTCCGCTCGGGCAGGAACGCGAGCTCACCCTGCTTCTCCGGGGCTCCATCTTCGCCCTCTCTTGTCGTCGTCTTGGCCGTGCTGATGATCTCCTTTGTCTTGCGCCACGTGCGGCTCAGCCACCTGCGCCAGCGGTTGATTCCTACGAGCGGCAGCACGAACAGCAAGAACTCGGTAAACGCATGCCAGACGAGCTGCCGGTTCAGATACTCGAATGACACCTCCCTGTTGACCTGGCTCGTCGGCGGCGCGAGGCGCATGCGCAGCACGCGGTCCAGGATCGTCCGATACCGTCCGTGCATCAGGAAGATGAGGAACGAGACAAAGGCTGCCGTGGAGTGGACGGACGATATCCGCGCCGTGATCGCCTCCAGCATGCGCACCCGTGGCGACGGCTCGTCGTAGCCGTCGTGTTGGTCTCGCAGCCAGTCCTCCCATTTGGTCCACGTGTACTTCCCACCAACCGTGACCAGGCCGTATATAGCCTTCTGCCACCGGCTCGGGGCCACCAGTACGGGCCCGTCGTGCCGCGCGTCTGTATACTTCAGGTTTTGCAGCGCCGCGCCGTACGTCGCATCATTATCCCACACGGAGAGCTTGAACAGCACCGCCCGCAGAGCGAGCAAGATCTCGGCAGACCAGTCGTCCTTGATGTTGGAGCCGAGATATTTCACCGCCTCGCCGACCTGGTCACTCAGCTGGCCGAGAAGGTCCTCATCCAGGAGCTCTGCATCGACCTGGCCCACCCTGAACGCCGGTCGAGTGCCTTCGCGCGACGAGATGAGTTCCCATGCCGCAAGGGACGTGCTGCCAAGGCGGTTGAAGGGGTATGGAAGGCGCGTGACTTGTGACCAGGCGCGCGATGCGTCACGCTGCGCGGCGATGTGTGCTTGCGCCTGCTGCTCTCGTGCGAGTCGGCGCGCCGCCAGGCGCTGCTGGGCCTGGGCGAAGTTGGACGAGCTCATCGAGGTGCGGTCGTGGTTCGAATGGTTGCCGTTTGTGAATGGATGAGACTATCGGTCTGGTTGCATGATCGTGTCGCGATTCGGCTGTCCTGATTCAGCCGTCGTCGGTGCAGAGATGAAGCGTGCTGTCTTGGCCCTCGTGCTAGGTTGGCGTCGTTGTCATGATCGTGGGCAGAGGACGTGAAGTCGAGCTACGCAGCCTCCACGCGATCGCCAAAGCTCAAGCTAGAGTTGAATTGCCGAACCGTAGCACCGCAGGGTTGCCTGTCGACCGAGGTTCACAAGGCATGTGGGGCTACCAACCCGGAGCGGACTAGCGCGAAGGACAATCAAACATCTGGGTCATTGTTGAACTTACATAATCGCGGATGACTGTTAACCCCGAGTTGTGCATTTATTGCTTGAAATGCATGTTTCGAATTGGACAACTACTGGTCACCACAGGGCGCGACATGGTCAACTCTACAAGGCCTGCAGTGTAGCCTGCAGTGTAGCACTAGATCATCTATGGATGATCTCCTCTTGCTGACAAGCAGATTACCTATCATGCTGACCACCCACCGCTCTTTACCACTCACCGTGGGGAAAATGCAATGCAGCTTGTGCATACCCGGCCGACCGCTGACAGGCAGGAAACCTCTGCGATGATTGGTTGGGAACCCGCTCCGCGCAACACTGAATCCTGGGAGCCACGATCCTAATGCTATTCACAGGCGTGGAGAGATACAGGGGATTTAGAGGCACTGACCTTCCGGCTATCATCACTATACAGTCGTTTATAGGGCTGCCCATCAGACCCTTTTTCCTAAATCGGTCGTGGTCGGCCACCAGCGATATGATCCACGGCGGAGATCAGGACTCGATAGCCGGAGACGTTCCAGACGAAGCAGACCTGTTTCCGATATAGAGCACGGACACATATCGGCAACATATCAGCGAATGTCTCTAGCAGGGTATCGTCGGTCAGTTGTGCTGTAAACCACGCCGGTCATGTCAAGACCGGGCCGAGAGCGTGGCATGCCAGTGCGGACTCGGACTCGGACGCAGCGCTCTCTGTAACTGTTGTAATGCTTCTCTACAACGCACATGGCATCGTCCTTGCGTCGGTCAGCAAGCAGAACCAAACAATCACCCGCCGAGGGACAGCAAGGTCGCCTTACAAGCCCTCGCTAACCCGCAACAGTACATCCTCAAGGATCATTGTTGGCCAGCCTGCCGTTGAGGCTAAAGCACATACTCTCGTGGGGCGAAAGGACTTGACGGTGCCTGGCTACATTTGTCAGCCGTGGGAATTGTTATGTAACGGCGCTCATGTACCTGCGCTCATCCTCCATGTGGCCTTTTTACCAGCCAATCGCGAATCACGAATCGCGCTAGCCCAAGGTCAGGTTTGCTCGGGATTCCCTTTTTCGAGTGTGGAGGAGCTACCTTGGTCTGGCCAGGGTATGATTGAGATGGTGAGAGAGCACGGGCGAGATCGACTTGGCCCCCAATCTGTGGCACTGGGTCGTCATTGTTGCGACCAAGGGTGTCATGATGGCCCATAGGTTGTTGACATTGTAAATTATGCAGGTGGCTGAGGTCCTTATTTAGTGCTTGTTAATGCTTGGGTGCGGTTCGCTGCTAGGCCTAGGGGTTGCTTGCAGGGGCGGGCAAGCTTCGAAGCTTGCCATTCAGTGGACCACTGGTGTTATACTAGTCCAGGGCAGGCAAGGTCCTTCTTCCTCTTCGGGGACTGTGGATATCAGCAAAGGCATATCGGACGTCGCATCGAGTGGAGATTCTTTCCGTGCGGGCTCAAGAGTGTGCCAAGAACCCGCTGAGATAATGTGTTACCGGCACCTTTACCAGGAACTCAGGGCCGAAGTATGTGGTGTCGGAATGCACGGATGATCGTGCAGTTCGCATTGAGCGGGTCGGCCGGCATCCTCCGACCGTCATGTTCTTGAGTGACAAGTGGCAATGTTGAACATCCAGAGCCGAAGCTTGCGGCCAAGAAAAAAACTGTGTTTTACGGCAACCCTTACTCGAACCACAGCCTCGAGAGGGTCAAGATCAAAAGGGTTGTGGAGACCGTAAAGAACTTCAAAACAGCTCAGTCTGCAGACTCCATATGCAACGGCGCGGGGGGGGGGGGGGGGGGGGGGGTTTCAAGCCGCATTTTCGCGGTCGCCAGCTCCGCTGGCCAGCTTTGATTTGATTTGAGTGGACTGGTCCATGATGCCACTCATGACGGCCCTTGCTGGTGATATGCAAACCAGATCACCACAGAGCGTGTCATGCATTCAAGGTCGGAAAGGCGACCCCAGCCGTCTCGCCGTCCACTTCGTCGAAGCCAGTACCCGACCGGTCTGACGGAAGCATGCCGCATTGCCAAGCGTCGAGGATCCTCACGTTGCAACTTTCGTCACGCCCCCATATTCTGCGGTACGCTAACCCAGCTTGGCTCTGCTGTACGTATGTCTGGAGATACAGTGATTTGATCCTTTCAGTCTTGCGAGCAAGCATCAACATGCCTCGTACAGACATGTGGCCGGAGCCACGATGCTCGAGCGATCTGAGCAAGCAATGTAATGCGCAGAGTTCTTGGCCTCCTTGTCGAGATGCCCGTGATTGTTCGTTTGGACACCACAGGCGTTCGAAGACTCTGGCCGCCGCCGCCGCCACATTATGCAAGCAGCCCTTCATAGGGCTGAGGATACCATGCTGCTTTTGATAGCATGAGTAAGGAGTATTGGGGGTGTGGTGTCGGGCATTCTCATAGCCCGGCCGCGGACAAAACTGTGGACCGAATAATACTTGGCATTTTCGAAGCATCTATCTCGCCAGTGCTCTCGCGAGCTTCTTGCTGACAATTCTAGTCCCGGCCTTGGTCCTGGTCAGATCCGTATAACAAACAGCACCCTCAGGTGTGGGGGAACCGACCTTGCCTCGAAGTTGGGTCGAATCTCGGAGACTTTTCTTCGTCCGTATCGAGCAATCCCGACCAGGCTCGCCATGGATCTCTAGCTGCTTCAGATTCGTGTCGGCACCTTGGGCGAGGGACCACCCGCCGTCGGCAATCCGACGCGCAGCCGACAATGGCCAGAGACCGCGATGATTGGCCTTGTTGACGCTCCACGAGGAGCCATAAGGGGGGCTGAGAGCCCTGCAAGAAGCGGCGTGGCCGTCATGGAAAAGCGGGTCGTGGCAAGGGTCCCAATGGTCGATCCCCCTGCTCACGGCCAAGTCTGCAGTATATGGGGGACTTGGCATCTCACTCACTTCCTGGGACGCAAATGAGGCAGACTGCACAGTTGGTGTTGCCTCGCTTCCGGTGTGCTGTCACTGTCACTGTCGTTCAGCCTGATGATGCGCTGTTCAGGCCTCCCTGAGCCCTGGGATCGACACATCATCATCCATCATCGAGACCTGGCACCTCCAGCACCATAGATCAGAGACCGCGAGCATCAGGGTTGGACGGCGGCGTGGATAGACTGGAGCGAGTGAGTGAAGCTGAAACGATAAGCATCACTTATGACTTGCAAGGTGGCCGTTGCTTTGAAAACCGGACCGCTTGGAGCCGTACACCAGCATTTTTGATTTGTCGATTCTCCTGGCTGGGCTATGAGCGAATGGTCTGACGAGCCAATCTTGCTTGTCTCTGTTGTACTGGGTACGGAATTGCCGCAGGAGGTCACGGAAGCTTCCATTGTTGCGCCTCGAGACCTTCCTTAAGCGCAACCGCCCCCCCTCTGGCCCAGTATGTGGTAGGCTTGCTCGGACTTTGCACAGCCAGGAAGTGGTCCATTGTCAAACTGGAGTGCCATGTAACGGTGTGACAGGGATCGGAACTCCCTCATGGGGCTAGGTGTCGTGCTCCGCAGTGCTGCTGCCCAGAGATCAGCATCCTGTCGAGCCCAGGCCGTGCGGACCCTCCTCCAGCGCAACTTCTTGCGAGCTGACGAAGTGCGGAGAACGGAGTTCGCGGAGCCCACCCTGCTCCCTGCAAATAGAGGGCAAGCTGGAGGGCTCTGTCTGCATGGCATCCCTGTCGCTATCACGAGGATGACCAAGAGAGCTGGCACTCAGCCCTATAGAGCACTCCGGCCATAAGTACAGCCAAGCGCTCGCTTTCCAGCCCCCAATCTGCACAAGCTGTCCTTGTTTTGACGCCCGATTTTCTTGCCTCAAGTCGACTACCTCCTCAGATTGACCCTCAGTAGATGCGCACCGTCGACCACAATGTCGGACACCACCGAGGAGGAACATTCGTCAATCCGTACGCCTTCGACCAGTCCGTTGGCGCAGCCGCAGGGCGCGGCCTCCAGACCGAGCAATCGTTCCAAAGCTCACATCCGCGTGTCTCTGGCATGCGTGCAATGCCGGTCGAAGCACGTCAAATGTGATGCTACTCTCCCTGCCTGCTTGCGGTGTCAAGCAGAGGCGAAGCCCTGCTTCTATGCCAAGTCGAGAAGAGGCATTCGGGATCCGAAGAAGCGTAGCATGATTTCCGACAGGCCGCCACGGTCGCATTCCGAACAGCAATCACATCCAAAACCGTCCCACTCGCCTCCGGCCACATACCGGAGTGATTCACCCTCTCAGCTTTCCAGCGGGTGGTATGCGACAGGCGTGCGGTCACAGCTTGCACAGCCGCAAGCCGCAGACGACGACGTTCTGATAGACCTGTTCTACCGATATCTGCACCCGAGCCACCCATTCCTGCCTCCCAAGAAATTCTTCAACATCTTCTTCGACGCAGACTCAGACTCGTACCAGTTCTTGCTGGGGGCTATCAAGTTCTGCGGCTCCAAATTTGCTGGCGAGTCGGCGTCAGAGCAGCTCAGAGAGTCGGCTTTCACAGCGGCATGTGGGCCCCTCCCGATGACGCCTCAGTCAGTCCAAGGACTCCTCCTTCTCAGTATCGTCGCGTGCGGCGATGCCCTGTTTGAGCATCACGCTGGTTGGCTAGATCGTGCCTTGTCCATCGCTATGGACATTGGGATGCATCAGAAAAGCTTTGCGGATTCTGCATCTGACGCCGTTCTCGCCGAGAGTTTCCGACGAACGTGGTATATACTCTTCGTTCAGCAGTCGCAAAGGCTCATGAAACACTCCCAATCCAAAGTGGACGCAGCAGACATTGAGCACAATGTCGACTTGCCATGCGAGGAATGGGAATATGATTCTGGGGTGGGTCATTCTCTGCATGGAGCAATTTCCGTCGTCGACGTCGCTCCCAACTGACGAAATCATATAGGTCATACCCACGCCGATTTCCGCAGCCGATTACGAGATCAAGAAGAATCTGAGCAGGGTCGAATTCTCCTCGTTAGCGTATCTGGTCGACATCTGCAGAATCCGGACCGAGCTTGTCTTGCCCTACCTGCGCTCTTCTGAAGACAAGAAGAAGGCCTGGTTCGATCGGGCGGATTCCAGGATTTGTGACTGGCTTCGCCGCGTGCCGCGATGGAAACTCGACCTGGTGGATCAAGACGGAGTATCCGATCTCGTGATCCACCATGCTGTGAACTTGGCTCATGTGTTAGTCCCTGGCCTCGCCCTCATTGAATGCAAATTCCGCCAACTGACACTGGCTTCAGGAATCGATTGCGATTAAGGCAGGCTGGTCTCCGTAGCGGCCTCAACGTACGCGACTACTTCCACCTGGGTCCGGCGAACGGCCCCTACAAATCAGTGAAGTTGAATAAGTACGCAGGATGGAAAGTACAGCCTACCGAGATACAGGCTGCAGACAGTTCCTGCGAATTCCTCCGGTACAACATACCCATCAAGAATCTCCCTCCGTCGATCGGGTCGGGGCTATTGGTCGTCGCTTTGGCATATATGGATGCCTGCGTCTTTCTCGGACTCGACTCTGAGGCGATGCGCGAGAAGATCAACATGTTGTTACATGTGCTTAGCAGCCATGGTGACACTTGGAAGCTGTCGGAGATGATCGCGGAAGAGATTCGTTTCGTCATCAAGGAGTACCTCAATGATCCCGTGGCGGGGGGCGGACAGCCGCTCCTGTCGATGGATGATGCACCATGGGACCCCAGCTTGACGATGTCAACGACGGAGTACGTGACAAATGGGCTGCTTCATGACTCGCTAATGTCTATGCCATCAGGGCAGCCAGTCGACTTCCCAGGCTGGGATCACGTTAGTCATGGGGCAAGCTGGCTAGGCATAACATCAGCATGAAAATCAATACAAAAGAAAGACTCAAAATAGAGCATACATGGGAGCTCACCTGCTGGTTCCTGCCCACCCAATCATCTCAGGGCAGTGCGAGGATTCAATCTGACGTGAAAGACGACGTGATAACCAGTCCACCAGACATAACTGCCAGGGAACAAGTTCGATATGTGGCCAACGGTACAGGGTTATAGCTCTAGATCTCAGGGCCATAGTAACGAGTATGGTCGAAAACGGCTCGGGTCCGACGGTCCCTGTCTATACATGATTCCGTCCTCGATGTGAGCATCGACATTGCGACGTGTTTATTGTCAGGCCGACAGCAACTGACGTTGTCACGGGCAAGGATGAAGCAGTCTCTAGTTCTCTTTGGGTGGATACCCCGTGCCTCGGGTGCATGTGGTTCCTGGCCGCCTTACAAGCGCTACGCGAGCAAGCGCGACCAGCCAGCGCCGGGCCATTAGCCTCTGACGACAGTGCCCCTCCCCCACCTACTTGCCTAGTACCTTCAGGTCCCTAAGCGTATCCTTGTCAAAATCCAACTGAGACAGCCTGCGGGAAGTTTTGTTTGACCGAAAAGTGCCAACGACATCGCATCGCAGTTCCTGTTCTCACGGCGCAGCACTTTGCTGACCCGGGGCGCTGGGATTCTTTGACGAGTTCTATCTCGGCCATCCCGCCGCCGCCTCTGTGTCGTGATTGCGTTGGTTTGCGTCACACTCGCAGAAGTGTCCTCACCGCTGCAGGAGCTTTCTGGAGCTTCATTCTGTCGGTGCAGTTTACCCCCAATCGCCGACAGCTCGAGCCAGCCCCAAAACGACCACAACAGCCGTCATGAGTTTTTCAATCGAGGTTCCTGGCGAGGCCTCGCCTCTAAGCTTGCATGAACTCTTTCGCGTCCTTCAAGCAGCCTCGTCGTACGACAGCAGCCAACGCCAGTCAGCCGGCCAGCAACTTTCCGCCTGGGAAGCGATCCCGGACTACTATCCTGGACTTCAGGTATTACCTACTCCTCTGCTGGTGGAAGCTCTTGGGGGGACTCAGCTCACTTTACCTCTCGCACTAGGCTGTTTTCCTTGACAGAACGCTACCCCGCGAAGTCCGCCTCCTAGCAATAATACAATTGAAGAATGGCATCGACAAATACTGGAGGCAGCACACAGCCAAGAATGGCATCCCCCCGGCCGAGAAACATGCCATTCGGACCAATCTTTACAGTGGCACAATCGGCGAGCCTGACAAGCAACTGGCTCTACACAATGCTCTCGTCATCGCCAAGGTTGTGCGCATAGACTTTCCGACAGACTGGCCGGACGCCTTGAGCAGCCTCATCGAGATACTACGGTCAAGCAAAGACGGCGATCAGTTGCACCTAATGGGCGCCCTCACCGTTCTCCTGCGGATTGTCAAAGAGCTTGGCACGGCACGATTGCGTAAGTCGCAGACTGCGTTGCAGAGCGTGACACCAGAGTTGGTGTACGTCCTCGGAGACATATATGACAGCAAGTCGCGCCTATGGACCGAAATGCTATCCTCAGGACATGGTCAGGAGACTGGAGTGCAAGTTTCCATGGATTGTAGTCTTACAGCATTCAAGATCCTACGGCGACTGCTGGTTGTGGGTTACGAGCAACCCCACCACGACAAGACTGTGCAACAAGTCTGGACATTCTCACAAGCACAATTTGAACAATTCCTCGGCTACATGAATGAGGAGACCTCAATTCCTTCCGAACAGCTGCAGACCATCGGCAAACATTTAATGCAGTTCACCAAGCTCCACCTAGAGATGGCAGATCAACATCCAGCAAGCTTCGCTGCCCTGCCCAACTCTATCGAGCTCAGCCGCGCCTATTGGAACCTTGTGTCCTCCTTCTCAGAAAGCTACGACAGGTCAGGTGGAATACGGCAGACCTCTTCCTCTGACAGTGGCAAGGCATCGAAATTGGAAGGACCCTTGTCAGAACGGCTTGCCCTAAAAGGCCTGCTTCTCATTCGCGCTTGCATCAAGATGGTCCACAAACCAGCACAGTCCATCAAGTACCGCTCGCCAGAGGTCAAGAAAGAACAAGAGCAGGCCATTTCACAACTCAAGGCAGAGCTCCTGCAGGATAACTTGATAGTGCAAATGGTGAATACCATCATCACTCACCTATTCATCTTCCGCAAGTCCGACCTGGAGGCGTGGGAGGAAGACCCGCAAGAGTGGGAGCAGCAAGAGGAAAGCCAAGGTAATGCTTACGAATGGGAGGTCCGCCCATGTGCTGAAAAGCTCTTCCTGGACCTACTCACATACTACAAGGGGCTCCTCCTGCAACCACTTCTTGCTTACTTTGGGACTGCCCAGGATCCTCAGGCAGATATCGCAATCAAAGAGGCTGTATATACCGCCATGGGGCTTGCTGCACCGATAGTCTATGAGAACTTTGACTTCGAGTCAGTCTTGAAGAGTACAGTCAGCACGGATGCGCAGCAGACTGTCCCCTACTGTCAAGTGCTGCGGCGGCGGATCGGAATCCTGCTTAGCCAGTGGACCCCCATCAAGGCGTCCAAAGAGAGTCGTCCGATAATCTATGGGATCTACAGACACTTTCTCAACCCCAATGATGCACAGAACGATATTGTGGTACGCATCACGGCAGCTAGACAGCTCAAGGCAGTGGTAGACGAGTTCGGCTTCGATGGCGAAATGTTCTTGCCCTTTGCCTCGGACGTGATTACGGAGCTCGTCAATTTGCTCCAGCACGTAGAAGTGGACGAGACCAAGTTGGCAATCTTGGAAACAACACGAAGTTTGATTGAACGAATGGAATTCCACGTTTCTGAGTTTGGAGATCTCGTTCTTGCCGCCCTGCCAGGGATATGGGACTCAGCAGGAGATCTGGGCCTGATGCTGAAGCAAGCTTGTCTTGCCATCCTGCAGACGTTGGTCATGGCCATGAAGAGCAGCTCTCAGCGATACCACCCGAAGATCTTGCCACTCATTGCTGAAGCATCGCAGGAGGGCACGGAACTGTATACATACCTGATTGAGGAGGCTTTGGATCTGTGGAGCAACGTCTTGCTACAGACGACGCCACCCCTCTCACTCGAGCTGGTCAGCCTTGCTGAGGCCGCCATTGTAGGCCTTACCAACCAGAACGAGCACGCCTTCACCTACATGAGTATCGTCGGCAGCTACATCTCGCTGGCTCCTGAGACCATGCTTGAGGACCGGTTCAGACCTGTTGTTCTGAATGCGCTGAGTGCGTCATTCAGCTCCAAGGGCCGCGAATTGGTCGGCCTGACGACAAAGTACACGGAATACTATATACGCTACGCTCACGAACTTGGAGGTGCCTCTGGACTGCAGCTCGTGGTGAAGGACATGATGCAGACCGGGTTCTTGACCAAGATCTTCGAGAGCATCCACGATGCCTATGATGCACATCAGACGTCTGGACCCAAGCGACGGCAGCCTCGTGTTGGCATTCTGACACTGACAGACTACTTCACCGTTCTCTCTCAGATTGCCGTCATCGATCCCAATGTCTTCATGGAGGTGCTTGCTTCGCTAGGCTCTATCGAGCAAATCTGGCCGTGGCTCAGTGCTGAATGGTTTGGCTCCTTTGACACGATAGCGGACATTGGCCGCCAGAAGGTCAACATGCTGGCGCTGACCCGCCTCTTGGAACTTCCTTCACCTGTACAGCAGCTTGTCCTTGCCAACTTGCAAGACTACTTCTCGATGTGGACTGTAGTAATGGTGCAGCTTTTGAGTGAAGAGGAGCCAGGAGTAGACACTCTTGTCCTAACCTCGGAGCCGGAGGGTACGGAGTGGGACAATGCCAAGGACGTACGGGAGAGGGCACTGTGGAAGACTGACCCGGTCAAGACCGTCCAATCTCTGCAGTTCGTGCGAGAACGACTGCAGAGCCTGATGCAACGAGTCGGCGGTGAACAGGCTTTCCAGGAGCACTGGGCTGTCAACGTGGATCAGGAGGTCTTGGCTGGATTCCGAGCCCTGGACGCGCCGCGCAACTCCGCGAACTAGAAGATCCGCAGACTTTGGCAGCAGAAGACACAGAGAGAGCTGTGCCACAGGCTTTTGGGATCTCACCATTACTAGATTAATTCCATGACACGAGGCCACGAATAAAACAATGCATGCCATTTGATGCCGCACTTTTCTGAGTGAAGTTGGAAGCACAACTGTAGCATGGCCAGCACTCAGGTTATGGACATCTCGCACGAAATGCTCCTTGTTGCAATACCCTGCTCTCGATGAGAACAATTATCGTACATCTAGCTGAGACAGATGGAGACCTCTGTGTGCATCGCCTGTGCTATAGTATAGCATTGGCCACACAAGACAGCAGGCAGAAAGCATTGCGCGAGAGTTACAAACAAAATCCACACCACTCTCTGATAGTCTGCTATCTCTGTCTGCCCGTCTCTCCGTCTCTCTCGCTCTCTCATATATCCCATCACCACCATCAACAAGGTAACGGCTACCAAGAACCGACCCGGAACCCGCTCAAGACAGGCCCAGGGCAACCCACCCGCCGATCAGGCACAGCCCGCCGAGCGGCGTGACGGGGCCGAGGAAGCGGAAGCGCGCCGGGTCGACGACCAGCGCGTAGATGCTGCCGCTGAACATGGTCATGCCCGCGGTGAAGAGCCCGCCCGCGACCGTGTTGTGCGGGGCGGCCTGCGAGGCGACGAGTAGGGCTACCGAGTGGACGAGCTGGGAAAGTTTTGCGTGGTGGCTTTGGGTGAGCATGTTTTTCTTCTTTGTTTCAACTCTTTTTTCCTCCTCCTTGTTTTCTTCCAAATCTTTGGTTTTTCTTGGGAGGCGGAGGGGGGGAGAGGGCGGTGCTAGCTGAGGTCTATCTATGGGAGGACAAGAAGAAGAGGATAATGATGATGTATGTATAGGATATCAGCGACGGGCCGTAGAAAATGTCCCCCCGCTTGGGGTGAAACACGGGGAACACACGACCACGCCTGCTGAGCTGTGACCGAGGGCCAAACTTTCATGCCGCGGCCAGCAGCAAGGCAATGTAAGGCAATGCAAGTAAATGACACATACCTGATAGTGCGCGGCAGTAGCAAAGCTGGCAATCTTGGCGGGGTCCGAGACAACCTTCTTCAATCCGTGAGCCCCGAAGGCCCCAAAGCCGACGGCTGTGGCACCATAGATGCAGCCCAAGGCCCAGAACATTTTTCTGTTCCTGTTGATGATTGCTTGGCTGGTGGCGGACTGCTGTGATCCAGGCGAGAGGAGAGGGGTGCGGTCAGCAGATGTTGACATTATCTCTTGAGGTTGGGATATCGTGCCCGGTAGTTATTCAGTGCAACATTGAGTATCGTAGAGTCAAGAGTAGTCGCTCTTTGAGTGACGGTGGTCGTTGCAAACTGTAGTGGGTCACAGGTCGGGGGAGGCCCGCGGTCCACCCGTCCGGCTTATGTAATGGATGGGTCGATGAACACCAAACACAGAAATCACTGACGACCATGGAGAACTGTTATGACCCAACAACTTGCATTATTAGCTATTAAGATATTGATCCTACCAACGTTCATACCGCACCCTACGTGGTACAGTAATCAGCATCCGGCGGTCAATTGCGATCCACGCCGCTCCTCCAACACGCTCCGCGTATGTACCGAGCGTCTTCCATCCTTGTTTTTGTGCTTTTTGTCTGTTTCTCAATGCAGCTTTTTCCTGCGCAGGTCCTTAAACAAAACGACTGTTCTTGGGGTATACTGGGTATCAGTAGAGTATTTAAGGAAATAAAGGATTGAGCAGCTCCTCTTGTCAAAGTGACATGCAAAAAAGGAAAGTTCAAATCATGTAGACCGCCACGCACGACGCGCACTAAAGGAGAGGCACGACCATTGGGGTCGGGGGTATCGTTGGGTATCTTTGAATGCAGATCCGTTTCCATGCCAGATTTTCATGAATGCCGTGATCCAGTCAGGCGTGTACGCCAAAGTGGCCAGCGGCCGGTTTGGGTGGTTGTGTCCAGGCAACCGCATTTATGCGGCAGCAGTGACGGGAGTGGCAGCGGCCGGCTTCTCGGCGGCGGGGACCTCCTCGGTGGCAGGAGCAGCGACGACGGGCTCCTCGACCTTGGGCTCCTCAACCTTAGCAGCGTCGGCAACGGGCTCCTCAGTCTTGGGGGCCTCGGTGGCGGCAGCCTCCTCAGCAGGCTTGTCCTCAGCGGGCTTCTCAGCAGCCTTCTCGGCGGGCTTGCTGCTCTTGCCCTTGACGGTCTGGCGGAGCTTGGAGAAGTAGCCGCCCTTGGGCTTCTCGCCCTCCTCGTCAGAGCTGACGGCCTTCTCCTTCTTGCCGAGGAAGGGGAGCGAAGACTTGCGCTTGTCGCTCTTGACCTCCTTCTTAGTCTCAGTAGCACCAGTGGCGGGGGTGACCTCGGTGGTCTCAGTAGGGACCGTAGCGGGCGAGCTGACCTCGGCAGAGAGGGGAGCGGAGGTCTCGACAGCAGGGATGACAGGGGCAGTCTCGGCGACGGGAGCGGCCTCAGTGACAGGGGCGGTCTCAGCGGCAGGGGAGGCCGGGGTAGAGTCAGCCTCAGCCTTCTTCTTGCCGAAGAAAGAGCCGCCGAAGATGCTGGAACGCTTGGTGGGAGTAGGCTTGACGGGAGCCTCGGTCTTCTCAGCAGCGGGCTCAGTGGTGGCAGCCTCGGTGGCAGCAGTCTCGGTAGCAGGAGCCTCGGTGGTGGCAGCAGCGGGAGCCTCAGCGACGGGCTCAGCGGCGGCGACCTCAGGGGTGGCCTCCTCGGTGGCAGCAGCGGCCTCAGGCTTGACCTCCTCCTTGGGCTCCTCCTTCTTGCCGAGCAGGCTGCCGAAGATGGAAGTGCGCTTGCGGCTAGCAGAGCGGGGCTTGGCCTCCTCCTTCTTGGGCTCCTCCTTGACGGGCTCCTCAGCCTCAGCGGCAGGGGCCTCAATGACGGGGACGGCGGCAGCCTCCTCAGGCTTGGTCTCCTCGGTCTTCGCGGCCTCCTCCTCCTTGGCGGGCTCAGCAACGGTCTCCTTCTTGGCGGGCTTGAAGCTCTCAAGGGTGGTCTTGTAGGTCTCAGACTCGGTGACAGTTGTGGCAAGCTCCTTGGCCTCGGCGATCTTGAGCTTCAGCTGGGCAACCCAGTTGTCACGCTCAGCAGCGGAGGAGGCCTTGAAGGTGTGCTTGTGGCCCTTGGAGGTGAAGTGGAACTTGTTGGCACCATCGGTGGCGGGCTCAGTAGCCTCAGACTGTGATGGGACGTCAGTAACCGTTTCGGAAATTAGCTGGAAACACAAGTGTCCAATCTTACCAGCTGGATAGCACCGACGGGGGTGGACTTGTCGTTCTCCTTGGCAATGAAGAGCAGACCCTTGCCGGTGTGGGCAGCCCACGAGATGACGTGCTGGGCAGTCTCGGCGACCTTCTCACCCTTCTGGTAAGCAGACAGCTTGTCGGCAGCGACGGGCTCGCTGCCGAAGAAGAAGTGGTTCTTGGAGTAGATGATGTTCCTGAAGAATGATTGTGGTTAGTAACCGCGAAAACATTGCCCTGCAAATCAAATCAAACAATAAACATACTTGGGGAAGCTGGCGGGGGCGCCCTTGTGCTCAAGAGTGCCAGCCTCGACAGGCTCAACCTTCTTCTCCTCGGCAGCAGGAGCCGCAGTCTCCTCAGCCTTGGCCTCCTCGGTGGCAGGCGCAGCAACCTCCTCGGTCTTGGCGGCCTCGATGACAGGCTCAGTCTCGGTGGTGGTGGCGGCGGGAGCAGCAGTCTCGGTAGCGACGGGCTCGGTAACGGCCGGGGTGGTCTCGGGGACCTCAACGGGCTTCTGTGCGTCGGCCATTGTAATGGTGTGTTTGTTGAAGAAAGGTGAAGGCGGGTGTGGGTATCAAAAGGACGAGGGTATCACAAGAAAAGCAATGGAGGGGTATCAAAACTCGACACTCTTGCGAGGTGGGTATTATTAGATGTCGAAGAGAGAAACGACGGGTTGTGTTGCAGAGTAGAGATCTCGAAGGGAAGAGGAGGAGGAGTCGTGTCAGGTCAGGAGCACGGCGGGCACGTATTTATTATTGCCATCCGGGCCGTGGTTGGACAAGTTCCTCCTCACTCTCAGGCGCAGGCGGGTGCGTGACTGGCGTGCTCAAAGGGGGGGGTGGGAGAAAAGGGAGGAACGGACGGCACCCACCCGGCGCTTTCCAGCACCAGGGCAACCACGCGCGCCGCAAGCTGGCCAGGCCGTGACTATTGGCCTCCAGCACAGTACATATGCCTGCCAGCAACAGCCACCTCACATCAGCACATCAGTGTTTTCAGGCAGGCAGGCAGGCAGGCCGACGGCTGGAGCTGTGCCTCCCAAGCGACCAGCAACTGCACTGTCTGGCGGCGCTGAGTCTGTCCAATCTCGCAGCGGCGGCTTGCGTGTAAGTGGCCAGGTGGGGGGTGTCGTCGCAGGGGCGTGCCCTTGGGTGTGAGTGGATCCCCAAGTCCCGAGAGCCCATGCTCCAGTGGCAGCTGCGACAGGGAGTCGCACCTGCAGTGGTCGCCCAGGGCTGAGGCGCCCCACTGTGCTGCACAGGCCCACCCCCCTGAATCTTGCAACTGGCCTGCGACTCCTGATGTTGTGGCTCACAGTCCTCCATCACCACCACTTTCATCCCACCACCAGCGTGGAGGCGTCCCGACGGGCTGCTGTCAGGCTGCCTGGCTTGGGCACCATAGCGGTCCTCGCCACTTGTTTCTGCTCTTGTACCCAACACAACGTACGAGGCCGACAGTCCATCCATCAATATGTCACCAAAAAAAAAACATAATATCGTACCCGCTGTCCCGCATCGTCACTTTCACTTCCACTTCAGCCACCGTCCTCCTCCCCTTTTTTCTCACCCTTCTCGCCGTTGCGTCGTACCGCAACCGAGCCCCAGCGCTCTGCCGCTTGACAATGACACGCCGATATTCTCACCGCCGGTCCGCTGCTCGGCCAGCCTCTGCTAGTTAGGGGCCGCCACCTCTGGAAGATCCAATATTACCTGGGCGGCCATTTAGACTGAAACGGGGACCCTGTTGCTGGGGTGCTGCGCGGCTAGAGTCCGTGCCTCATCTTTTTGAAATGAGAGCCGCCCATTTTTGAGATTGCTTCGTCCCCAGCGCCACACCCTGCTCAGGGAACACTTGCCCGACAGCCAGGGTCTCTGCCAATCCTTCACAGGTGGATGGCCCAGTCTGTCCTCTCTGGCCACCAGCGCCACTACGCTCACGATGCTGGAGCAACCACACGAGCCACTCTGGCCGGTCAACTGCATCCGCTTCGGGACGAGGTGGTGGGAGCCATCACGCCCTGAATGCGACTCAAGGATGGCGGGAATGAGCAGGCGATCTGCCCGTGCTCAGAAGCTTATTAGGAACGACGCCGTAGGGAACCAGAGCGGAGTTCTCATCAACGTACGACTCTGGCCAGAACGTATGTTGACCATTATGAGAAACGATCCCCCCACAGTACAGAACCTGCCGACTGGCCATGCCACGCTCGCTTGTGCTATTTGAACCAATTCAACCGTATCGTCGACCACGGTACCCTTGGGCAAGGCTGGAATCAAAGCTGGCCGAACAAACGGGGCGGTTTGCTCTGCAGCAGAGCCGACTTTTCCCTGTATGAAAAGTTCCTGACGCGGATTCTTCTCAAGATGGCATCTTCCGCTGTCTCGGCGGAGGAACGCAGACTTAGGCAACTCATCTCGTCAACATAACCACTTAGTCCGTCAACGAAGAAACGAAGGCGCGGCTTTTCGGCAGAATAGGTACTGTCACTCGTCTATATGAGCGCTCACGGTCTGGCTGAATTTCGATCTCAATCGCCTCGGCGTCTACCTCGAGCCCAAGCGAAATCGATGGTTTCAAGATTAGAACTTGTTTTCGACAGTCGCGGCTGACAGTGGGCCTTTGACGCCAAGGACGCTGTGGCTAGCGCAAGGTACGAAGGGACCCGGACAAATCTCCAAAAGGTGGGCTTCATGCGGTCCCATAACCTCAGTCTCCGTCACTTGGAGTGCCGGCATTGGCTGACACCCTGCCCGCCTGCGCTCCACCCTTCAACGTGCTTAGCGGCTCCGATCTCTGACTCCATGTGACTCTTTTCAGTGGTCCACAAAAGCTAGTCTGGCCAGTGTGTGGGCAATCTCTCGTGTCGATCAAGCGACCTTCATCTTACTTGACGAGCTCAAATTTTCCCGTTTTCGCCGGGATGCGTCTTGACAACAAGTGCTTGACAACCCTGGTCACGCCATTTTCAGCATAGGCCCTTTGTCCGGATTGCCGCTCACCCAGGAGTAAGCCGGTTTGACACCACCAGCATGGGCCATTTGGTTGTCGATCCCCTGACCGCCGTTGACAACCGGCACCACGACCAGGCTTCGAGATATCGTTGAAACAGACTCGTCTCGTTGGACTACATCTCCACCCCCAAGGTGGTTTGTAGTTGATGTGCCCAGGCACGGCGGTCCCAACGCCGCAAGGCTCGTCGGAATCCGAGCATGGACCTAACTCACACCCTCGCGCAAGCATGCAGTCCTACGAGCACTCAAGGCGTGATTGTGCAGTCGGTGGGGCTTGCTCCATTCCATGCAGGAATTACCTAAGGCCACCTCTGTTTTGGGACTGGCTGACCAGGAGTCTCCTTGCAGTTTGGTCCTTTGTGCCCCACTCTGGCATTAAGCAAAACACATCTTGAGCCCAAACTTGTCGTGTCGTTCATTGAACTCCTTGATGATGGCTAGGTGATCTTCGACATTGTGCTCATGTCTGTGGCCGGGCCGACCGAAGCCATGGGATTCCTTGCTATCTTCATTCCCTTCCCGGGGCTGCCTTACACCATCGCGACGCCGGGCTGCGTGTCTTGAGTAAGCAGGAGGGTGGCGATGTCAGGCTCGATGTGGCTGAATTCCAGGCTCTATTGTGTGTTGTCCAGCAGGCATGTGACATCCGTTATCTGCATTGTGGCATGCCACAAGGGCGACGCCTGGCGATCGACAGGATCGCAACTATTGGTTTCTGCTCCGCTCCTCGCTCTCAGAAGTCCTGAACTAGTCATTGCGCACATCTCCACGTTTTCTAAGCCTGGCTAGCACTGGTCGGCGGAGACGGTGGAAATGACGAGTACGCTGACATGTCGTGAAAACCGCATCAAAGCGGCGAACGGGACAGTCTGCCAATATCCACAGCCCATATCCATGGAGCTCCAGTACTAACAGCTCGGCCTGCTCAGCACAATTCGATAAGGCCGACACGCCATATCGCGTGGCTGCAATTCCATAATGCGATTCGAGGCGCTTGCAATTCCACAATCCATGGATAACCACAAGCGTACGCCTCCCGAGGTTTCGATTCTAGAGATCGAGCTTCTGACAAGGCAGAACGAACAAGGATCATGGTTGCGCGCAATCCATGTTGTCAAAGCAGATTCCGCATCATTTTGTTGCTTTGCTGGCCTGGGTCAAACTTGACGAAGACCTGGCCCAACGTCACCTCGAGATCGCTGTCAAACTACAACGCGGCGGCGGCTGGCGATTGCATCATCATCATCACGGCCTGGCCCGAGCATGAAGAACGCGGCGAGGCAACGAAACATGGAACTACCATGTTCTCGATGCCACCACGGCATGCATCCCTGCGCGGTGCCCCTCCTTGACAAACCCAGAATGCACTTGAAGTTAGTCATGCGGACCCAGAACGCTGAGATTGGTCCCTGGCCCGGGTACTTTGCGGTTTTCAGGCAGTCCATCTGCTGGAGTATTGGCTGGACCATCAGATGTTGTCGGATGGCTGTTGTAGGTTCGCATCGGCTCAGACGCCAACATGCCTTGACTCTGGACCCAGGTAGGGTACTGCGTCCGAAAATGGAGTATACGCTGGCTGGTAGGAGGACCACGTTATCTAGCGCTAGGACTCTGCCAGGCAATTGACGGACTGGTGTGGTGGAAATGGTGGCCATGATCTTAGGGACACCCGGCGGCATCGACTTGTTCCCACCCCCGCCAAGGCTCGAGGACGCCCTTGGCGCATCCAGCGCCGACGACTCAGCAACCGCCTGCCTGCGCTTTGATCGCTGAGGGGGGTTCTGATCATGTGGCAGGCGTCATCCGACAAACCTAGACGCAGGCAATGCAGGATTCCGCGACGAGGGCATCTTCTGACGTCAGGGCTGTGGTGACGAGGGGGACGCCTTCATGCAGACTCGACCCCTCCATCTGCATGCACTTTGCATGCTATCATGACCCCTGTCGTCTAGATATCTCGGAAGGAACACCGGCTGATGAGAGCACCGCCATCCAGTCACCTCACGGCCACGCGAGCCAACTGTCGGGCGGTCTGACGATGCTGCTTATAGCACCATGGCATTATCGCCGTGCGGACAAGGGTTGGTCGCGGGACTCGTGCCGCGCATGGCGAGCGAGCTGCCAACCACGACGGTATCCTCTGTATGGTAGTCACGGCTCTGTAGTGCCCTTCATCCTCGATCTGCTCGATTCGCTCGGTTGTTCTAGCTCTGTCTGCTGGCACTCAGAACAGGTCTTGCCGGTTCACGTGTAAGTCAAGAGAAGCTCCACGGACGGGCTCGAGGATGATCTGCGGCACCGTTCCACAATATTAAGTCAGACACAAGGACGCCACCATCCACGACGTCGCTGGTCCACACACCAAAGCCCACACCGCACACTCGTCGTCGTTGCACGGGCTGGGCTGCTGCTGGAGCCGTTGGCACGTCCCACAGTCATGCATGTCGGTTGCAGTCGTAGCACACGGTTTGGTGTTGCCATGTTGGAGAAAAGGGGGCATGTGGCGCTGCGCGGGGTTGGTCTTGTGACTGGCAAGAATCGCTGCCGATCCCGCTCCAGTTTGTGCAAAGGGCCTGGTTGGTCCAGCTCAATCGACGTGGTATCAGCAGCTACCCTCCCCGTCTCTAGCTTCGTCGCCCCTCTGCTGCAGTGCCGGTATTCTCGCCCTCGTCAACGGACTGACTCGTCGTTTTCTCCCACCGCCACTCTCCATCCAACGACCATGACTTTTTGATACTTTTTATTGGTTTCTTTTGTTGCATTTATTGATAGGTGTTCTGCCCGGGCAGCTTTGGCCCCTTGTGATGCCTCCGACTGGCATGGTCTCTTTCTAGCAAGACGTTATCTTAGCGCGACCTTTCGAGGAGATGGCCATCGACCCCGTCTCTGTCTGCTTTGGACGTGGCATGCGTTGCAATGCAGGCGTGCTCGCCCTGGTTCTGGACTGCATGAACCTGCTTGGCGCCATTCGCACTAGTGACGACAGAGGCTCCCGGTCCCTTGCTCGCCCGCGGCAGTGCCTGCCTGCGAGCAGCAACAGCAACATGGTACTGGTCCATCAGCTTGGCAGGGTTTGAAACTTTTGTGCATGAGCAGCAGGAAGCCGCTGTTGCGTAGCAAGCAATGCCACCTTGCCCTCTTTGTATTTGGAGAGACTTCGAGCTCCCAGTAGATATCTGTCTGGTAGGCAGTGGCCCATGTTGTCCCTGGGCGGTGTTTTCGACTCGGAGTGTGTCTTTCTGTCTGCGAGAATGTTTTCTTTCGGCAGATCAGTTGCAGGGAGTCGAAGTTTCAGCGTCTGGATCACGGTGGGTCAAAGTCCCTGCGAAAGTCAACCGTCCGTTCCCTTTCCATGCTTGACATGAGATCCAGGGTGATCAAGAAGGGACGGTGTGATTTGGGGATTTCCCCGAATTTGTAGAACGTATTTCCGACCGTAAGGCGTGCCATCTCATGGTTATTGGCCTATTGTCTTAGCCAGTTGCCACCTCCCATCATTTTTGTGATGCTTTCGTGCTCATGCTACATGAGCATTGCAAGCTTAGAACAGCTATTGCATCGGAGCACCAGAGACCCACTTTCCTGACCGTTGGATATTGTATGCCAGAAGTGATGTGGAAGTGGAAAGGTTGGGCCGAAACGGAGACATAGGATGGGCGTGATATTTCCTTGCCGTATGCAGAACTTCATGAAGATCATGGTTGCCTGCTAATACAACAATATCGACCACTGAAAATATCGTGGTTTCGCGAGGGCTTCATTTTCGGCATCTTATATATACTAAATAAAGGACGAACTCAATCTAGAGTATCGGCCGATGGCAACTTGAGAACCCGATAGAACTGCTCCTTCTTTGGCGGTTGCCTTGACCGTTCAGTAAATATCTGTGGTAAGAGGCAAGCACAAGACATGGCAAATAATTATTCGCGTCCGCGGGTGCTTGTGCATTCCTTCAGGAGAGTTTTCTTGTCCATTATCAAGCATGACGAACATTGGTTCGCGATGAGTCTTTCGTGAGCATTTATTTTAATTCTGCTCGTGGCCCGAAACATCTTGCTTGTGCCAAGTGGCATCATTCATTCCTTCTTGCTATTGCTCCCAGCCATCACCTCTTGCATATGCCCTGTGAGCAAGTGATCTCTAGTCTTCGTGGCTACACGCCTTCTCGTTTGCCGCCTTTGCTACGCTCGGAAGAACAAAGAAGCACGGAACATTTATGCTATCGACGAGAATTTTTTCGCGACGGTGAGTCACCCTTTATCAGAAAGCCTGGTCTGCCTCCTCGACCCATCCAGGAAAACGTACTTGCCAAGGTTCAAATAGACTCGTCCTCGTTCGTCCGTTTGCCACTTTCTGATCTCGTGCCTCCGGAACCTCGCCTTGAATTTTTCGACGTGATCGCACGACGTAGGGCGAGGCACTTATACAGCCACCAATCAACTCAACACGCACAGTATTTCCGCCTCACCCACATACCTTCCCTCAGACCTGAGCACGCCAAGTCAATTTGAGCCACAACGATTCTATCTGGCTTCGGTAACCGTCAGGTCGAGTCGGCTTTCTTTCTGTCTGGCCTGGTCAAAAACTGACAAGAAGTGGGCGGCTTCCCAACACCAACTTGATATCCTACTACTGTCAGACCCTGGCAAACTAAAGGGCACTCAGCGTCATCTGCAATTCATCCTCAGGATCTTTTCTCGTCGACCGACCCGGTTCCCGTTGAGATCATACTCCTTCCAATAACTGAGTTGCCTCGATTGTCAACCATCGCTCATCCGAGGACGACAGCACTCTCCACAAGACTTTCTCCTCTCGCGCCAACTCACATCCATTGCCTGTTTTCCAGGCCGGGTCAAAGTGCTCTGTTCTACTTCGGGAACAACGATTGCAGTCGTTTGCCAGCTTCCATATTCCACAACATTCTCGTCAGCTCATGCTGGCTTTCTCCCATCCGTTTGTACTTGAGGCTCTGCACATCTGGAGTAGTCTCCCCCCTTCTGATCTCTTAGTGCGTTGGCCGTTTCTTCGAGTCAACAACTGATAGTTCCTTGAAACCAGTCCTTGTATCTCATCACCAGTTCATAACTCACCACCCTCTTTCAAAGAAATCGTTCCTCTCCAGTTACGGCGCCTTCCCGCAACCATTCCTTTTACTGATAGGACACTTCCTCTTGAGAAAGTCGTCGCCGTATCTCTCTATCATTCACACCATCCAGGTCAAGTTGGAAGCACAAAGCATTTGCTTTCCGTTCCTGCCATTTTCATCAAAGACAATACGCAATTGCCTCACTCCGCGAGTTTCAGCAATACCTAGTGATCGACTCTACAGAACCGTTTCAGTCGCGACGTGTCATACACGCAAATCTATTCACTCCAGGTCTACTGGATTTGATTCACATTCATAATATCATATCAACATACTTCCCATACTTAGTCAGAAGGCGTGAGACGCATCCGCACTCCCATTCAGCGATTCTGAGCGCTCACTACAGTGAGCGCGCTCCTTCCTCCATCCATTTCAAGTCGACTCATACCAAGAGTACGCGTGCACAGGCTGAGACCTTGCTCAGGCACTGAAGTGGAATCCCCGGGAGGCCAGCACATGCAACATAATTGAAGTCCTTGACCCAGAATCCCCGAGCTCGACACTGCTACCCGAACCAAGAGGACGCTTGCCACGCCCAGTATTTTCCCGAGAGGACAAAAAGACGACTCGCTATACTATTGAGAGTTCTTTTGGGGAAAATGGACTATAATACGAAAGTGCCAATCCCTCGACTAAAGCGCCAGTCCGGGACGGAGCTGCAGGACAAAGGGTTCCTAGAGCCGAAAAACCCCACCGTCAAGGGAGGAGCTGGCGTGCTCCGAGAGTATATGAAAGGCCAAAGAACAACCAATGCTGAAGAGTTCGGCGCCCGTACAAGGGTATACGAGCTCCCACCAATACGTATCTCAGCGCGCAAGAAGAAGATAGATACGAATGTCTTTGTTCGGCGAGATCGCGGCAACGCCGCTTACAATGTGTGGCGGAAGGACGGACCTCGCTATGAGGATAGAAAGTTCAACATCCTAAAATTCCCTGTACAAAGCGACAAGAACAATTGGGATTACGGCCAGGGCAAGACTGCCGCGGATCTAGACGATTATGGAAAGGAAATGCTGAGAATCGCTCAGTGGCCATATTGTCCGGATGTGAAGACAAAGGTACGCCATATATCTCCGCTGCTCCATATACGGGGGGAGTTGACTCTGATAAAACAATAGGCGCCGTTCCTCTGGAACAATGAAGTGAAGGCAGGAAGGCCGATGGTTCCACTTTCTTCATCCTTAGCAGAGGTATTCACCACCCCAGAACTGTTTATCATGGTCCTGGAAAATCTCGTGGGAGCATGGGAAGACGTGAGCAACCTCAGCCGGACATGTCGGCAGATTTTCCAAATCATTGGCAGCTACTTCGTGAGTATCCTGGAGCACACATTGAGAATGAAGATGAGACCTAGCGCTGACGTGCACTACCTCATAGGCACGTATCGACCAAAGGGAAAGTGAGTACCGCAGCCTCTGCTTCTACCCGCCAGGCTGCCTCAGCCCCTTGGATTCCGTCAAGGTAGATGCGGAGACGCTATCAACATTAAGATCTGGCCCTTTCCTCTTGGTTGGGAACGTCAGGAACAGCTGGCGAAAAGGCCACGAACCCGAGGCAGGCGTCGACTACACTAATGAGAACGGAGTCTGGGAGTACCCAGATCATGTCAAGTACAAGGGTCCTGGGGCCAAGAAAGCCATGCAAGGCTTCCTTGAATTCCGTAAGTCAGAGAAAAATGACAGAGACAGAATGATGCTCACGAGATACGGCCACTAATAATATTACCTAGTCCAATGTATCGAGTTGAAGCCACGCTTACTTCGCCATGCTGTCTTGCAGGGCGTCACGTTCCTTGATTGCCATGGCGTACGAGCAGTAGTGAACTCAAGCCCTGCACTGAAGACGCTGTGCATACACAACTGCGAGCTCTTGCATTTTGGGACGACGAAATCGCTTCTACAAATCATTGATACAGACAACAAGCGCCGCACGGACTCAAACGTCGACCATCTGGAGTTCGACTTCTATCCGAGATACTACCAGGGTCCCCGTAAAGGTAGCCAAGGCTGTTACGGCGTCGTTTGGAGTGATGAAGGCCATATCGATACGATCAGGGCGGTAACAGCTGTTCTGGTCACGTTGGTGCCTCTGGCTGGAGACGCTGGAATTGACCTTTTTAGTCCTGGCAAGGCTTTCCGGCTATGGCTAGACAAATTGCCTTTTCGCCACAGAACGTTACCGTACATTCTGGATACAATTATGCGACTTCGCGATATGGCAGGAAGAGTGTGTCCCAGGATCACAGCTTGGACAAGGAACCCCCTTTTGCAAACTCTCTGGACAGATATCATCATCGCTATGAAAGGGATTTCGATGAGCGAAGCAGAGCTAGAGAAGATCTTCGCGGCAAGAGACCTCGAGCATGGCCAGCTGCTAAAGTGTAGCCAATGCTTAGCCCACATGCCATCGCTATTGTACAAGTCCGATATCATCGATCGTGGCGACGATACAAGGGTTTGCCATGGTTGCCAGCTCATGGCATACCTCAACGGGCAAGGGCATAACTACAATTCCTCGCACATGAAATCCCACGCAGCTAGGAAGTTGTGGAAAGATGGCGACATCACGAACGTACATCAGCTTTTCCAGTTGAGCACAGACAATATTTACGAAAACGGTGAGCCACTTGCCGTCGTAGAGGCTCGCCTTTCCTCCTGCGAGATTGGCCGGCGCCGTGCAATTGCGATTCCACAAGAAATTGCACGAGCTCAGGCTTCCTTGAAAGCACTACAATTGCAAGGGCATACCCGCGCTTACGGCAGCAATGCCGTCACAAATGCGCTTGAAGAGGCTGAGACCAAAGTCCAAGCTTTGTTGACTGAACTTGGAGTTGGTCAGATTTCCCCGGGAACTGAGGCGCATCCAAGACCATCTGCTGCGGTCTCATGGCAAGACAATATCAGATGGTACATGTCAACCGTCGATGAGGAGCGTGGCCGGCTCAAGATCGTTGGGCCGTACGCTGGAGTAGTGACGAAGGCGTCAGCCGTCAAGAAAGCATACTGGTAGATGGCCGGCATTTCGTACGCTTGATATGCTTAAATGACCGTGGCATTCAATAATATCGGGCATTGGCAAGACTGCCTTTCTTCTGGAGATCTGCATCCCTGGATGCTTTGTCTTGGCTATCCCGGTCGCATCGATAGCTTCACTGGTAGCACTATCCTGATGGTTTTAAAGAGGTGTCTCCTTCAATTCCCGAAAGGGTCCTTCTACTTTTATGGGCGGCGTGCAGCATAATGCCTGCGGCTCACCCAAGGACAAGGGAAAATTGCTCCTTAATTTCTAGAATGACCCTCATGGCTTTTAGCTCATAGACAATTTCATTCGCTCTTCTGGTAGGCGCGAGGCAGACAAAGAACAAATTGACTTCGTCCCGTCTATCTTCTTTATCAATTGATCTGCAGAATTGGTCTTGATTGTGTACAGCGATCTCGGTCCTCTCTCCCGAACTCTCACTCTATATGAGATGTCACGTAGAGTTTTTGGCGCACAATAGAAGTTGGAGAAGAACTGTATTTTGAAACAAGGCCATATAGACAGACAAGGTGAGATTTCAGCATTTATTGATGTATGAACAATGCCATGCTCGGTCCCATCACCTCGACATCCACGTAGGTCTAGTAAATGTACATGCCCCGTCCCTCGGCCTTGGGGCTCCGCTCTCAGTGCCGCCTGACTGCCTGCGAGACACTGACCACGTTCCGCAGGCTGCCAAACGTCAGCGTGTCGCCGATGCGCTGGGTCCCAGACAACAGCATGACCAGGCGGTCGACGCCGCAGCCCCAGCCTCCGGTCGGGGGCAGGCCGTACTCGAGGGCCTGGACGTAGCTCTCGTCGACCTCGGCGGGGGTCTCGGCCGCCTCGGCCGCGCTGTGCTGCCGCGCGGCGACCTGCGCCTCGAACTTGCGCCGCTGGGCCGCCGGGTCGTTTTCCTCCTCGTACATGTTTGCGAGCTCGCGGCCGCCGATGAAGAGCTCTGCCCTGGCGGAGACGTGTTGGTTCGTGGCTGGGCAGGTGAATGACTTGGACAGCGGGGACATGCAAGCTGGGTGGTGCGTGATGAGGATGGGCGTCGTGTGCGAGAAGGGCTCAATGTATGTACCGGCCAGGTGGTCGAGGAGGCGGTTCAGCGAGCGCTCGCTGCGCACAGCAGGGCTGATGCGGTCGCCGAGCAGGGCGGTGAGCTCGTCGAACGCCGTGTCCTGGGACAGGTCTGGGAACTTGATGTCGAGGATCTTCTCGAGGGTCGGGACGAACTCGAACTGTGGGAAGGCAAAGTCCTCGTTGGGGAGGTCAGGGAGGAGAGTGTCTCGCCCCAGTTGTTGGTGAAGAACCCTCGCGGAGGCGAACAGCGAGCGGATGAAATGCTCCGTGACAGACGTCAGCTGTGCCAGGTTCGCGTACGCCCAGTAGAACTCGCACGTGGTAAACTCTGGGTTGTGTGTATTGTCGAGGCCCTCGTTGCGGAAGGACGGGCCAATCTCGAACACTCTGTCCATCCCGCCGACGACCAGCCGCTTCAGCCACAGCTCTGGAGCGATACGCAAGGCCAGCTCTCTGCTCGAGAACTCGTTTGCGGTGGTGAGGAACGGCCTGGCCGCAGCGCCACCGGCATTGTCCGCCATGATGGGCGTCTGGACCTCGAGGAAGTTCCTGTCGTGGAAGAAGTCACGCATCGTCTTGATGACATGGGACCGTGTGCGAAGCACAGCAGCCGTGTCTTGGTTTACGAGCAGATCGACGTGCCGGTTCAGAACTCGGGTCTCGTCGTCTTGCACTTTTCGCGGCAACGGCGCCAAGCTGGGTGTCAGTACCGTGGGCAACTTTGCAGCCTGGAGCGTCAGCTCGCCCGTGGCAGAACGCGTCGCGATGCCGGTGACCTCGACAATGTCACCACGCAATATAGGATGGAAGCAGCGCTTGAAGTCTTCGGCAGTCACATCGGTCAGGTCGGCGAGGCTCGACTTCACTTGCACTTTCTGGAACTCGCCCACAATATCCAGGTAGACGAGCTTGGAGCCCTGAGCGCGGCGAGACATGACGCGGCCCTGAAGAACTACAACCTCGCTATCGTGCGCCTCGTCTGCGCCGTACCGAGCTACAAAGTCAGGTATCCTCATGCAATTGTCATGATGCGTTATCCGGGGATAGCGGAGCGCGTCGTACTCGTCCAGCTTCTTGATCCGCTTTTCAATGATTACTCTGCTGCCCAGGTCTGCCTCATCGATATCACTCGCATTGTGTTTGGCATAAGATCGACGACCGAGCACCGGTTCCTGAGACCGCATGACTGGGAAGAACGAGCGTGGGCATGATGGCGCCACAGCCCGGGCGTCCCGGGCAGCGACACGACGAGCTACAGAGTAGAAACGCAGGTAGATGTGCTTGCTAGAGGCCGACGCCACAGCAGGTGGGCGCAGGAACTGGAGACATGGCCGGCAGCTCATTGTGCCTTAGAAGAATCGTCAGCGACGCGAAGGAAGCATGAGAAATTGTATAGGAGATCAGGGCAGGGTTCAACGGTCAGATATGCTGGCTAATTGTGATCAAGCACCCACGAATGGGTGTCAGTCGCAACGGTTCTAAATAAGCAATATCATCACTCCGGAGGCCATGACTGCGAACAAGTATGCAATTTAGGACTTACCGTTGGTGGATAGCCTAACAAAATGACATCAAGAAGGCAATTGGCAAGTGTCTAAAGGCTGGGATGTCTGTAGCCACGATGTGCCGAGGCAGAACGCTCTCAGGCGGATGATGTTGAAAGAGGATTGAAGTGCACCAAGCTCGCTCCGCACAGAAATACATAGAGGCGCGCTTTTTCTGCCGGGGCGGTTGTGGACTTGGTCGCTTGGAGGTCCCACTACCCATTATCGCTCGGAGCCACACCGCCTGCCGGAAAAGGCCAACCTTGGGCAGTTTGAGCTTGCAAGGCCCGCCGGGCCAAGACAATGACTGCATACGCCTGAGAAATTGGAGCGCAAGCACCAAGCAGCAGCAACACAAGCGTCGATACCTCGCAACAACGTCGAAGCACCATTGCTACCGCAACAGGCCATCATACACGTCGACCCCTGCAAAAAGCCCAGATCTCACCAGACCAGTCAACATGTCGTTTCTCGGTTTCGGAAGGCCACAGCCTACGTCGGCGGAGAAGATCGCCGCCGCCGAGGCAGAGATGAAGATGATGGCAGACATGATGACCCGGTAGGCCAGCTTCCTGCGTAGAATTCGAGCTCCTTGCTATATCCATCATACTGACAGTCCATGTCCTGCCTGCAGATTGACCCGCGCCTGCGCCAAGAAATGCGTGCCCAACGACTACCGCGAGGGCGAGCTCAACAAGGGCGAGAGCGTTTGCCTGGATCGCTGCGCCGCCAAGTTCTTTGACGTTCACATGAAGATCTCGGACAACATGCAACAACAAGCGCAACAAGCGGGAGGCGGCGGGTTCTAGGACGGTGCGGCGAGCAGTCTTGGAGACGCTCCGGCATGATACAGCTCAAGGGGAGCTTTTATGAACGAGGGGAGAGCCGCGAGCCGGGAAGGACTCTGCTGCGCCTCCCTGTCAGGAGTGTGAGACCTTGTACGATTGAGAATTCCATCTGGGCAAGCTTCCGTGCGAGGAAGCAGAGCCTGAATGGTGACACGGAGGGCGAGAAGCAGGAACTTGGAGCCATGATTGTATAGAAACGGGGCACCCACGGACATGTACAGTGTACTATCAAAATATGAGCACGAAAGTCATGACAAAGAGCCAACTTTGGCGCGGATCTCATGCGTGTCAAGAAATGAAGCAAATTCGTCCTCTGAGCGGCGGGCAGGGCGCTTGATGTCAGGATGGAGCCTGATGTCGAGGCGACGACAAGACCAGAGCCCACCGTGTTACGTGCGAGCTCGCCCAGCGGGGACAAATAACCTACAGGCTTTATAAGTCAGGTACAAACATACTAGAAAACGACGAAGCATTAGATTTCCGAGGGTGTGAATCGATCCCAGGATATTGTGCAACGTTTCGGAAGTTGTCGGAGACGCTGGCGAGAGCTGGAACCGAGCTTTCGGACAGCACGCTCGACATTGTCCTGTGATGGCCGCCGGTGGCATGTGACGAAGGTCGAGAGGACATTCGTCGAGTGGAGTTGGCGGTTCCAGAAGGCAGCAGCCCCCCCAGCGGCAGCGGCGGAACAATTAAGACCTCGGCCAAGCATCAGCGGCCGCTGGCACATTACACACATCACACATCAGGCAGGGCCTGGGGAAACAAGAAGCGCTGCGTGGTGCCGAGCCCTGGGCGTGGGCGTGCAATGCGGGGAGGCTGCGGACGTCATCCGCAGCACCCGAGCCGACGAGTTCATAACTGGCAGGACGTCGCCCAGTCTCTGCTTTCAGGGGATAGTCTGTCTTCTGTTCGTTCCCCCCCAAGGATCTCCGTTTCGTCGCCGACAGTTCTCAGTGAGGTCGAACTGTCTCCAGTGAGGTCCAAGTTCAAACAGTCAGACAAGGGACCAATTGAGGCGGGCGCGAACCTGGCTGGGGACGTGCGTGCCGTGCCGACATCCCCCCGCTACATATCAACAAGCCAGACCAGGCAGCTCCCACCTCAACATTTCCAAGGTTTCCACCCACTGGCCCTGGCTCCGGCCGCGCGCCAGCAGCTTGTCCAGTCCTTCGAGAAGCCGGCCAGGTATTTACGGAGGAGGACTCAACCACCGATCTGCAACCACCTCAAGCGGCCATCTCTGCAGTCGCGCCGACGCCGTCCCTCGCCAGTCTCGACCGTCTCTGGCGATCCTGCCCTGGCGTGCCAGCCAGACCCTGTGTCTCACTTGTCGCTGTCACCACGCCACGCCAGACCGGGCCTCCCCTGCACGCTGCTTCCCCGCGATACCGGCCCTGACCCTGGTCTGCATTGCATCGTCCCATCAAAGCTAGTCCAGCTCCATCCAATTTTGGGCTGCCACTGTAGAATTCATCCGGTCCCCCCTCTTCTTCCACAGCTCCGGCCTCTGCTCCAGCACTTCCACCATCCTTCTCGACATCCTCCTCCCCCGTGCGAGCGTGCTTCGTCGAACCCAGTCATTCCTCGCCGTTAACAACCTACGCCTCAAGTCGAGCCACGCCTTCACTATACTATGCGCCTTCGCAAAGCCGCCCGCGTCATCCTCGTCGGCGCCCCCGGAGTAGGCAAAGGCACGCAGTCTGAGCGGCTGCTCTCCCGCTTCCCTCAGTTGTCCGCCATCTCCTCGGGCGACCTCCTCCGGCACAATGTCAAGAACCGGACGCCTTTGGGCATTCATGTCGAGAAGACAATGAAGTCGGGCGGCCTCGTCTCGGACGACCTGATTCTCCGTCTCATCACCAACGAGCTTGGCCACCGCGGCTGGCTCGCCGGCGTCCAGGATAACCTCGTCGCCTTCTCGGCGAGCCCCCCTGCCGGCGCGCAACCCATCGCCATGGCCGCTGGCGAGCCGCCCGCCACCGGGGGCATCGACTCGCTCATGCTGCCCCTCGATATCAACCCCAACGCCGGCGCGACTCTGTCCGCGCAAGCTTCCGACGACCCCTCCGCCTCTTTCCTCCTCGACGGCTTCCCTCGCACTGCCGTCCAAGCCAAGAGTCTCGATAACGTTGTCCCAATCAACTGGGTGGTGTCATTAAAGACGCCGTTTGACGTCGTCATGGAGCGCATCGCCTCGCGCTGGGTCCACGAGCCTTCCGGCCGCGTCTACAATACTTCCTTCAACCCGCCAAAGACACCCGGCTATGACGACATCACAGGCGACAAGCTGGTCCGGCGTGCTGACGACGACGAGGCGACGTACCGCGCGCGGTTCAAGAAGTTCGAGGAGACGAGCGAGCCGCTTCTCGAGCACTATGCCAAGAAGGGTGTGCTGTGGGAGGTCAATGGCATGAGCAGTGACGAGATCAGCCCAAAGCTCTTCCGGGAGTTTGAGAGGAGGTTTGCGTGATCACACCAAAGCTTTTCTTCTCTCTTATTTTTTCTTCTTCACCAGGACAGGCCACCATGGGATGAAACGATTTCGAATAAAGCGGCTTTTGCTTAGATGAGCTCACACACGATTCGGCTTTGTATGGATATACTAAAACTGGGATGATACCACATTTTGTTCGAACAGGGGGGGGGGTTTCTGGTTGGCAGGCGTTCAGAGGAAAAGACCAGTTCGGGAACGACAAGCATGGGTTGGAATGAGAGGTCTTCTCTTCTTCTTCTTCTTCTTCTTCTTCTTCTTCTTCTTCTTCTTCTTCTTCTTCTATCTTCTCACGGCGTTCATTAGGGTAACTTTGTGTATGGAGGGGCGCGGTCTATGGTTTATCGGCCGCCGCTCGGGTCTCTGGCCTCGCCATTTTCTCATGGCTTGATGGCGTATTCTTTTCAAGCAACAAATTATGCTATATCTATATCCTTTGGATACACGTAATACCATGCCTTGGCGATGCGGCAGTCGATTGGACGGAGGACAGACCCCAATCGCTGCCTGCCCGCGCGCACACATTCGCTCGCACAAAATATACACGAAAAGACGTGGCGGTCCGTTGCCCACAACAAATGTATGCTGACCTAGTAGTCCTCGTTGGCTTGTGTCACCGCCACACGCCGTAGTCTCTATGCGTCAACGTCACCCCCGGCTCATGGGTAAGAGTCTGCAAAGGCTTCAGCCTAATCGGTTGTAGATGATGATGATGATTTCCCCTCGTGAGAACAGTATCGCCGCTGGCACCTATCATCGCGAGATTCCACCCGGGAGGAACCGGAGCCGGAGCCGGACTCGATGCCGATACCCCGAGCGGTTGGAACATGGTACCGGTACCTACCGCGGTCCCCGACCCCGACGACCACGACCCCAACCCCCAGGAGACGAGACTCCTGCTCACCTCGGCCGCCGCCGCGACGGCGTCCCAGAGCGCCTGGCCTTGCTTGTCGTGGAGCGAGCGCACCCAGGGGAACTCGCCGAGCACGGCGAGCACGGCCGGCCAGTCTTCGAGACCGAGGTCCTGCGAGAGCTCGTGGATCTGGGGGAGGAGCCATGTCCCGTCGTCGTCAACAGCGGATCTCTGTTCTGTTGCGGGATACGTGCTTGTGCTGTCGTCGTGGCTACCAGGGTGACGGGCTTCGTTGGTGTTCGCCGGACGGCTGGGCATTCCGTGATTGCTCCTGCCGGTAGTGGTGGTGGTGGCGGCCGCGGCGGCGTTTCGTCTCGTAGTAGCAGCAGCAGCAGCAGCAGCAGCAGCAGAAGTAGTAGTAGCATATGCACTGTCGACCTTGAAGACGGATATCCCGCCGACGAAGCACAGCCACAGGGCAGCGCGGAGGTTCTGCACACCGCTACTCGACAGGCGCAGGACAGAGGCCTTGAGGGAGTGCCGGAGCAGCTCGTGTGTGACGAGCTGCTGCGAGCCAAACTCGACGAGCAGCGTCGTCATGAATGCCGCCATGCCGAGGTGGCACGCATCGTCGATGTTGCTGATGACCGGAGCCGGGGTGCTACTGCTGCTCACACTGCTGCTGGTGATGCTCCCGCTACCGCCGCCGCCACTGCAGTCGACTATGACTTGATTGCCTGCCTCCGGGCTGTGACTACCGCCGGTTCGGCTGCGGCTGCTGCTGCGACGGTTGCACGGGCTTGTCGCTTTCGCGTTGCTCTGCCGGAGTGGGCGGAGCTCGACGATGCGGTAGGTCATGTTGACCAGGAGGGCCTCGAGCCCGTACACGTCCATGACGGGAGCGCCGTCGGTGGTGTTGAAGAAGGCGGTGATGCGCAGCAGGTCGCGCATGACGTCGCTGTACCGCGGGCTGAGCTGGGAGACGACGCCATAGCAGTGCTCCGGGGCCACGTCTGGCACGAGCGAGGCCGTGACAAGCCCAAGCTGCCCGCCCCCTTGCATCTCCAGCGCAGGGAGCGTCTCGGCCGCGCGGAAGACGGTGGCGGTGCCAAAGTGCAGGGCCAGGTCGATGTCGGCCCGGCAGATCTTGGAGGCGAGCCCCCGCGTGTGGTAGAGCTCCGAGATGCCGCCGCGCAGGTCGATGATGTGCTTGAGCCCTCGGAGGTGGACGCTCGCCCGGGCATAGTCGCCCCGCAGGCGCTCGTACATGGACATGAGCAGGATCGAGGCTATCGTCATGTCCGAGACATCGTGCGAGCTGACGTCGTCGATCTGCTTGTTGACGAGGTGCAGGCCGGACGACACATGGGAGAGGATGAGCCGCGGTGCTTGTGTGGCTGATAGTGTTTCTCGCTGGAGGGTGCCGATGATGGCGATCATGGCATGCATGACTTGGAGAGATAATCAGTACAAGCCGCCATGGGCAGTGCAAGAGAACACAGATCCGGGGCACGTACACGCATTGTCGACGATGGAGAACCGCCAGAAAAAGGAACAGCTGTGGTCCTTTGGCAGACAGAACGTGGGCACAGGGGAGCGAGACAAGGAATAGTAGACTTTTTTGGTTTCATGCAACCAAAGCGCCAAGTCAGCTTTACATGGTGTCTTGGGGACAGCATCCGAGCAAGATGTTTGAAGAGACTCACAGCTACGGAACAGGTCGACAGACACAGGGGTGAAGCCGTCGGGAAACGCCAGCCAGGACAGCTCGTGGCCAACCACGCCCGGTATCCGCATAAGCTCGTCGAAGCTTACAATGGGCCGCAGCGTGCGCGAGCTGTCCGAGGGCACCGCCGCCGTCCTCCTACGTCCTCCTGCGGCCTTCTTAGCAGAAGAGCCGCCCGCCCTGCTCTCGTGGCTTTGGCTGGCGGCGCCGGTCGAAGAGACTGCAGTCCCCTCGCGGGCGCCGTCTCTCTTCTTCCGCTGCCGTGGCGGGAGCTTGCGGCCCGCGTTCTTGCCCATCATGACATGGCTCCGGATCGCCCTGCGCGTGTCGGGCTTCTCGTCGCCAAAGACGACGAACTGGAAGCCGGCCATCTTCTACGGGGGGCGTTGCGGTTCAACCTGCCATCACGCCTGCCAGGGGAGCATTCCCGAGCCTCTTAAAGCAATGTGGGCGATGTTGGCCAGGGTGAGATGCTCGGAAATCTGCTTACCTGATTGGATGCTCTTCTAAGCATAGTCCTGTACTCCGTAACATTGTCAGCCCTACGGCAGGCACTATGGTAAAGAGTGGGGCTTATAGAAAGGAAGTGGGACTTCGTTCAGGCAGTGGCCTTCTCAGGACACTTGGTCGACTTCACTTCGTTACTTTTGGAATGGAATGGGGAAGAGAGCTACTACTAGGCCAAATAAGGGGTTGCGGATTGTAAGCATCATTTTGCCAGTGAATCCGACCCCGAGGATCTTGCCTGATATCCATATGGGCGGAACAGCGAGAAACAAGACGCAACGGCTCTGGACTAACAGCTCGTGGAGGTACTATGAAAGGTCGCACACAAGATACGAATTGGGTCAAACACGAGCTGGGTAAAGTTACTGTATGCACAAGGAATAATGTGAGGGAAATCAGGAAACAGGTGTTTACACTTGCTGAACTCCACAGCAGCCTTCCGGGCTCCATTTTTCATCCTGACGAGTTCCACCAGCGTCTCCGTTCAAGCATACTGCCACTTCGCAGGCCCGGGGATCTTGTATGTGGGCTTGTTCTCATCGTTGTAGATGTTGTGGTATACCCCAGGATCGTTCATCTTGTACAAACTCGTGCCCACCACGCCGCCCTGAGGGACTTGCTTGCCCGAGCCGGTGACCTTGATGCTGATGCACTGCGGATAGAACTGGGCGCCCCCTTGGAGGTGGCCCTCGTGCAGGGCGATGATCTCGTGCCGTAGCACATACTGGCCGGGGGCAAGGTTGGCGGGGATCTTGACATTCCAGGTCATGCCCGTCTCGAAGAGCAAGTCGTCTGCCCACTTGCCTGGGTTGCCGGCACCGCTCCCGAGCGAAAGTTGACCCTTCTCGGCGATCTTGGCCCACTCGAGCTTGGCCTTGTCGACAGTCTTGCAGTTGCCATGGCAGTCGGCGATGTAGTCGATGATGGGTCCGTGGTGCGAGCTCGGCCAGCTAGTCCAACGCAGCGAGACTGTGCCGCCAGCCTTGACCTTGGCTAGTTTGGGCGCATTCTTGCCCTTGATGTGGCAGATGATGTCTGCGCTCTGCAGGTTTTTCGCAGAGACGAAGCCAGTATCGGTGGCCCAGTTCTCCCAGCCGATGCTGTTCTGGTTAGGGGTCCAGCTAGACAGCAGACAGCTCAGCGGTTGAAAGAATTGAGGGGAACAGGTCATGTATACTCACGGCGCATTGGAAGGGTTATAGCCAGGGAAGCTTCTGTTTTTGATAGTGATCTGTTCGACGTAGCCGTGGGCGGAGACACAGGCAGCACCAGCGAGGGCGGCGATAAAAGCCTTGAAGGACATGTTGAACATGTCCACACGGCCGCAGCTGGCAACTTATAATGCTAGAAATTTGCGTAATAAAAGAATGAAGTCCAGCCCTAGGAATGGGCAGTACTAGATGACTGAACGACAGGGAAGTGGCAGCCGGTGGTTAGCACCGACGCTTCATATCAACAACTTGTGCCACGTACACTGCCAGCCAACGAGGTTGAGAAGGTTGTCGTCACCCCTGTTTTGTTTGTATGGGGAGTTAAGAAGTCGCCTCCCTAGCTCACAAGCCTTGAGGCAGTCAAGGGAGTCGTCCGACCGGCAGATGTCCTGTCAAGGGATTATCACTGCTCCATCGCAGCTGCCCGGGCGGCCCAATAGATATATCAGGCGAGATCTGCGAGGCTCCCTGGACGAGGACACATCCGAGCATAAGTGGCCATGTCGCCGAACCAGCTCGCCATTTAGACTACCTGTGGTCGACTTGGCAGAGTCTTTGGAAAATTGAGGCTTGTCATATGGAGTCGTCAACCCAAGTCCAAGGCGAGCTGGCCAAAAAGGTTTGAGACAAGCACGTGTCCGGCTAACCTAGTCAACGCCCCAAACGCTGGCACCAGAGTAGTTAGCAGCAGGAGGAAGACAGAGGCTAAGCGAGACACCCATCCTAGACCAAAGAGTGTTATTGTGTCTTGATGTGGAAGCGCCGAGTGGAGCGTGGAGACTTTCGTCCTGGGTGCAGTGGAGTGCGATGGCACCCTTGGCGCATCTGGCAGTGGCGATCGTGGACCGGTTCCTTGCATGAGGCTGTTTGTCTCGTTTCCGGCAGATCCGGTTTCGCCAAGACAGCCTCTACGCCCAAGAGATTCTGTGGGAGCCGGGCTGAGAGGCGACGGCCGCATTCACACGAGACTGTTGTATGATGGCTAACACACGGACTCCTAGGACACGCGGCCGAGAACGCCTAGCACAAGCCGCCTAGAAATTGGGGGGCAAGCAATAGTCCAGAACAACACAAACGCCCAAACACCGTGCTTCACATCCCCAACCCGCAATCACGATGCACTTCAAGCTGCAGAGACCCCTGGCGCGGGCCAATGCACCAGGATCGAGCCAGGAATCTCTCTGGTCTGTGACGTGGCAAGCCTGAGCGGCGGCACTTGGGCAAGGAACGTGGAAAAGAGAAATATGGATTACAGCTCGGCGGGGACCGCAAACAACAGCGTTGGCATGCAACACGGCAAGGTAGGACAGGCGGTTGACGGGCCAGTCCCAAACAAACAGTAACACCAGACAGACACAAGTCTTGCCTTCAGAAAGAGGTACCGGATTTAGCATTCCTCACGGCTGGCAAACCACGATGATGCCTGTAGCGCATAGGTGCATAACACTGCCTAAGGGCCTAAGCGTCCTGCCCCAGCGTCTCTGGCGCGTGGGCTCATGTAATAAGCGCGGGGCTGTGTCATGTTGACGTCAGTGCTCACCCGCCCCTGCCCGAGCGCGACTGCTGCACCACACAGACAGCGCTGGTCCAGAGCTTCGAGCTGCAGCTCTCGAGCACACCACTCCAGGCTCCGTCTCTGTCCAGCTAGCCGGCGCAATGCAAGCACGGCATAGCTTCTTTCTTTCTTGTACCGTCGTCATTCTCGCAGAGCATCCCCGCCCGGTGGCTGCTTCTCTTCCCAAAACCTGATTCTGCAGCATCCTTGGGTCTCAGCTTGCTGACTTTCCCATCTCGTACCCATCTCTTTCCCATATCTCTGCGACAAAGTCGACCTCCCACTCCGGCGACACGCATCTATTTTCTTTACACGCCGGCCGCAATCACCCAATCCCGGTCTCGATACAGACACTGATCGCCACCACACTCTCGTAGGCAGCACTTGCGCCTCTACTTTCACCATGCCGAGTGCCGGCTACGTCCAGGTGTCCCTAATCTGGGTCGCCTACGCGGCTGCGGTAGCCCTCGCGCTCCTCGTTGCATCAGTCACGACTTTTACCTGGCAGACACCGCGCGAGCGTTCCGCCATTGTCAGTATCGTCGCAATCGTCAGCTTGACGGCTCTCCTCGCGACGGTCTTTCTCCTGCCTGTCGACATCGCCCTCGTCTCCGCCACGACCTCAACTGCAACAGGCACCAAAAAGGACTGGGCGACTCCGGAACGCGTCGACAACATCCTATTGACTCTGAAGATAGTCTACTACTCGCTCTACAGCTTCGATGCACTTCTGTGCCTTGTCGTCATCCCCTTCTCTTACTTCTGGTACGAGGAGTACGATGAGGTTGAGGAGCAAGAGGGCAACCAGACTGTCGGCAGCAGATTATGGAGTGCCTTCAAGTACACCATTGCTTTTATCCTCCTAGTCATCATCATCTTCCTGATTGGCTTCTTCGTGCCGAGAGCTGGCAAGAATGGTGGATCTCACCTCGACCTCGAATTCTTCAAGCGTCTCCTGGAAGAGAATCACGGAGAAAGGGCGCTGACCTTCGGGCTCGGCCTCCTCATTACTCTCGGTACAATCCTGTACGTGCTGTACACCGGAGCTGGTCTCGCACTATTCCCTGTATCCTTCATCAAGTCAGCACCCGCTGTGTCTGCGCCTCAGCTGTCCGAGACGACAGCCTCTGCCCTGGAGCAGAACCGCGAGCGCCAACGCCAACTCGAGATGCGCAATGCCGGCCGACCTGAGGGCATGCCTGCCAAAGATCGCAGAGAACTGGACGCACTGGCTCGGGAAGAGCGCACTCTAGTGCGCAGAGAGAGGCTCGCTGCGGAAGCACTTGGCGAAGGCAAGAGCTGGATCATTCGAGCATGGACTAAGATCTGTGCCGTGTTCCGCCCTCTCAAACTCATCGGTGGCATTCTCCTCGTCCTCATTGCTATCCTTGTCTGGGTCTCGATGCTCATTACCGGAATCGACAAGGCTGCCAACTCCATCTGCAAGCAACGCTGTGGTTACATTCTCGGACACATTAATGTCTTCCAGCCAGTCAACTGGCTTTTTGTGCAGACGGCACGCGCTTTCCCTGTCGACTACATTTTGATGGCTCTGTTGATTCTCCTCTTCTTCAGCAGCTCGGTCGCTGGCGTGGCAACGATCGGCATTCGGTTCTTGTGGTTGCGCATCTTTGAACTACGCAAAGGCAAGACTGCGCCACAAGCTCTGCTTATGGCTGTGGTCATGCTCAACCTCATCGTACTCGCCATCAACTACGCCATTGCAATGCTGGTGGCTCCTCAGTACGCGACATACGGCACGCAGACGTTCTGCGACCTGCCACCACACCATCCCGACGAGCTGCCGGACTGCACCAACCACCCTGAGGCCGTCAAGCCGTGCTCGGAGTGGGTGGACTCGCGCTCGTCGATCCAGGTCTGCACCACGACGGCCATGTCCAATTTCTTGAACCGCATCAACCTGAACTGGCCGGTGTTTGGCGCCATTGACTTTTGGGCGCAGTTTGCCTTCCTCGGTGTGTTTCTAATTGTATTCCTGACGGCCTTGTTCCGCACGCCCAAGCTGGACATGGCACAATTTGATGAAGAGGCCGAGATCGATGAAGAGGAGAGTCTATTGGCAACTACATCAAGACGGTTCGGCGCGACGTGGCAGGATATCACGGGCCGATCAGGTTCCAGGAACGCATCATCTGGCCACAATTGATTTGGATAAGGCTGGATCCTTCTTGAGACGGCATGAGTTGGGTTGTTGAATGACAAGGTTGTGAATGGCTCGGAATGTACGTGGGCGTGGACTGTCATACGCGTTATTTCACTTGGTGACCCGAAGTTGTGGGATTCTCCCTGTCGTCAAGGTCGTGTTCTCGTTTCAGTGGTAAACCAAGTACATACACGAAAAGTAATCCAGACGCTGGTTTGTCTATGAGCAGCACACTGCAATCGCCCGTGCCAAAATGATCTCATTCCAGGACAGCCTTGGAGGCGGGCTTGATGAGAAACATAAAGTGACTCGACTCTACATCAAGGGCCCCCCTCCTGTGCATCACCGACCGCGCTCAAACTTCTCCCACTTGTGCCCGAGATCGTCAAACCCAGCCATAGGACCGACGTGCATCTCGCGCCAGCACCGTTCGCAGTAGACGTTCCCGCCAGCCCCGTCATCGTCACAGCCGAGGCAACGTATCGTGGCGTCGTCCAGGCAGACTGTGCACCACGACTTCTGGTCCTCGTCCGTGTACGCGCCGCCGCGGCGGGCAGTCCTACGCAAGACGCCGGTGACCACTGCGGGCTTGGCTGCCGGGTCTTGCGGGGAGAACGTTGGTGCCGAAGGGAGAAGCGCGGCGAAAGGGTCTGGTTCTGTTGCTGGGACCGAGGGGAGTGACGTGGTGTTCGATTGTGTTTTGTGCTGGGGATGGTGAGATGCGGAGGGCGTGGAGACGTTGAGGGCGGCCATGCGGGATGCTATGCTTGCCGCGAAGTCTTCGTCTTTGTTGTTGCTAGTGTCGTTGCTCAGGGTGGCGGTATCCTTCATGACCGCAGGGTCACCTTCGTATCCCGGCGATGGCACGACGCCGTTCTTCCTCTCCAGCTCAATCTCGTCCATTGCCCTGGCAATCAGGTCGTCAGCTTCTCGAGCCATGGCGTCGCCGTCTGAGTTGTCCGAGTCGCTCTCATCTCCATCCTTCTTTGCTGTCCTGACTTTGCTCGCTGCATGTTCTGAGTCACCATCACCATCGTCATCGCCGTCATCATCAGCGACGGCTGCGCCGTCTTTGCCGGGACTGAGCTCTTCTAGCAGCGCCATCGCTTTCCTGTGCTGCTCCTGCTCCTCGGCGGCAGCGACTTCCTCGACCCATTGCTGGTCAGATTCGAGGTCGGCCAGGAGGTCTTCGAGGGTCTGGTCGTCCGTCATGCTGAGAAGCGGGTCATCATCGTCATCATCTGCGTTTGCGACCCCTGTCGGGGCAGGAGCAGAAGCTACCGAGGTGGTGGTGCTGGTGATGGTGGTGCCCTTCCCCGATGAGGGCGGCTGCAGTGGCGCATCTTTGGTAGGTGCCGCATTCTTGGCTGTGTGTAACGGCTGTGATCCAGAGTCTTTTTTTGTAATAGTGGAGGCCTCAGACTCGGCCCCGATCTGACTTCTGAGACTCTTGAGCCTGTCTGACAGCGCATCCTCCCTGCTGGGAGGCTTTACCCGTTCTATCGTTGAGGCCGGTGTTATGCTGGTTGGTCATGTCAGCCATACTAGGTTCGTCTTGGGGTTGTGGGTGTAAGAGTCTTGGTGAGAACAAAGACCAAAGTTGCACAGTAGTTTAAACTTACGACGTTGATGATGAGCTGTCGAGTGTGACGTTGGTGGGCTTGAGGGCATTGAGACGGTCGAGCAGGGCCTTGTCAGACCCTTTCGGCCCGCTCGCTTTGTTGTCTTGGTCGCCCATGTTCGTTCGGTAAGTGAGCTGTTGGCTCTTTCTCTTTGGCACAACCTTGACGTGTGGTATGGCACGGGGGACAAGCCTGACACGTTGAGCGGATGACTGATCCGGACTGCCGAGAGGCCTCTTGTCGATCTATTGGCCGTCTATAAGATCGGGCCGGGCGCTGGCGCCAATGTGCTGAGGTTCACCCTGATCGCCAGGGTCTGCTGCATGCGCTCTTGGGCACGCTTCTGCACGATATGACAAAAAGTGCTGTCCGGTGGTCTGTGGCTCTAGGAATGAGGCTGTGGCTCTGGGGATGAGGTCGAGCTGGCACCTGACCAGGCCAGCATGTGCATCACGCATCGCCGACAACCTATGAAGACAGGACGGACCACGGACCCCGCATTTCTCCAACGCCTGTGAGGCTGCCACGAGTTGCAGCTGCAGGTGTGGAGCCCGCCATCTACAGATGCTCATGTTGACACAGCCGTGAACACCTTCGAAACAGCACGCACAGTCTTGGGGCTTTAGCCATCTCTGTCTCTCTGTCTCCCTGTCTCTTTGTTTGGCTGTTTGCTCGATTAGGCATCATTTCCGAGGAAACGGCAAATGTTTGGCTCAGCCGCTGTTGGCGCAGGACGAGCGGTTGTTCTCGGCGGCTCTGGAAGCGAGATGTGCAGAATTGTCCGAGCGATCAGATCTTTGATTGACAAATCATCTGGGCACTGCCCTGCGACCATTGCCACCAGACACACCTAGCTCTACGGTACGCTGCTTGCTTGGGGTGTTCTGTGCCACTTTCGAGAACGCCTCCACCTGCGTCGAGTGGAGGCACGTGGGTTTCCGGTAATATTCCCCCCCAGCACAGCCACCACCATCCCACAGTAGGACAGCACGGGGTCCCGGAAGCCACTGCTCGGTGCTTACCTAGGTACCTTGAGGTGTGCTTATGGTTGGCGCCATAGGGCACTCTCCCAACCTCAAATGTGCACTTTGTAATTGTCGCCAGAGAGTGCCTCGCATGATGCCTGAGGCGGTGCTACATAGTATGGAGCGTGATGGGCCCGAGCAGCACTGCTGGTGGGTTGTGCCCACGGCGAAAGTGCAATTTGCACGACTCCGAGTGATCTGGCATGCTTCGCCAGGTTGGGAGCGGTCAGCAGCCGTTGTTTGTGCGCAATGACTGGTCTGCAGGCTTGCGAGAGCACCGCAAGAGCAATCGCCTTGCGTGCAGCAATCTTGGGCTGGGAACACGCGAGCAAGCAACCACTGGAATTCCTCACATGGCGCTTTGTCCTGGCAGATCTTGTGATGGCAGATCGATGACGGCAGCCAGCCTGAGACTGATGGTGAGTGACGTGCTGGCAAGCCAGGAGGCGGGTTGTGATTTGGTCTGACGGTGGGCTGAGGAGGCGCGACACAGCACCATGACGCTGGACTCTTGGCATTGTGGCCACCGCGAGCTCTCTGACCCTCCCGCACTCGTCTCCTCCGCGACTGCCCGAAAGTCGCCCTCGCATGGCTCGGATGGCCCAGACGACACAAAGATTGGTTGGCAATTGCTTGCCACACCACAGCCGCGACTAGGCCGTGTTCTGCCCGTCATTGACAGCACGTCGGCTCACACTTGAGCACTTTGCAAGTGTATTTTCTCCAGGCCACCTGCGGCCGTCATCGCGTCGCCCCACCGGCTAAACAGCACCATCCATCACCGGGCCCCAGTCCCTGCATGTAACCTTGCACGCTCCGCCTGCCTGCTCCGGGACTCTATGTAGTGGGCCCCAGCAGCGCCGCCTGCTGCGCACCAATTCACCTGCTGCGCTCCTTCCGGACAGTCGCGGCATCAACGCCTATAACTGCAGGTGGCCCCCTCCTGTTTTAAGCTTATCCTGGGCCTCCTGGAACGCCCCATATCCACCTCAAACACACGCACCTCAACCCTCAGACTCTTGCTGTGACTTCTTCTCCGCACATCAGGGTTACAGGACAAACACAGCACACAGAACGAGCACATACCTCTACAACACTCTCGATACACACACTCGAAATCGATGAGGCTTCTTCACAGCATTGTCGCCGCTTCTGCGGCCCTCCAGGTCACAAGCGCGAGCGTCGCCGCGCCAGAGCCCGATCATGTCGCCTTAGACGCCAGAGTCAGCACATTGGTGCCCATCCCCATACGTGACTCGACAGAACAAGATCTTTTCAAACGGAAAGGTGGCGGCGGCGGTAAGGGTGGCGGTGGCGGCGGTCCCAAGGGAGGTGGTGGTAGTGGTACACCCAAGGGTACAACTGGCGGAAGGTGAGTTAGAGCCTCATACTTTGAGCCCGATTTTTCCGCAACTTCGCTCCTGCGCCATGCGCTTCGGACAGACGCTGACCTGCATCTCTATCTAGTGGTGGCGGCGCTGGCGGAGTACCCAAGGGTTCTTCCAGTTCCAATGTTGGTGGTCAAACAACGACAGGTAGTGGCCCACGACCGGCGTATGGTGGAGGGGCCTACTACGGAGGCGGCGCAAAGACGCCATATGGACCGCCAGGCTCGCCTTCCCCCAGTGGTATCGGACCGGCTTTTGTCGGAGCCGGTGCGATCGGTTTCTTGGGTGGCGCCTACCTCTATGGCGCATACAGCTACCCCTACTCTCACCACTATTATTACCACAATCGGACGACAAACCAGAACGAGACCAAACCCGTCGAGTGTGTCTGCTCCGCCAACGAGGTGTGTGGATGCGATGACAACGGCGACGACGCATACTTCCGCAGCATCATCGGTGACGGTAGCTACGAGGGTCTCAACAAGAGTGTCGTCACCGTCTACGACAACACATCCCGCGAGGGCAATGAGTCTACAATCCTCATCCTGGGCAGCCTGCCGAACGGCACAACTGCTCCCGGCGGAACCGAGGATCCAAATGCTGCCGGCGGCATGATGCGCCTGCTCGAGACAGTTGGCTGGTGGCCCGTCGTTGGTACGGCGCTGGCGATTACACTATCTGTCTAAGTTGACGCAGGGTGCGCAAACACGGATCGCATGCAGTGTCGTGTCCGCGGCATAATGAGACTATGGTTTGGTAATGATATCCCCCGAGACGGCCTTGTTACTGTCTCTTGTATATATTATAGACTTGTATATTCTCATCGGCAGAAGCCGCCCCATTAGCATAGCAAAACCCACGCGATTTGCTTTCAAATGAGACTCTAACGGGGACTCAATATTTATCTCAACTGTTGCTGTGTTTTCTCCTGGTGTAAGCTTTTGTGACACTTGCGATCACTTGCGTGCGCAGTATACAGGACCAGCAGGTCTCGCAGCGTGTCTTGGAACAGCCACATGCTGCACAAAAGTCACATCTGAACGCAAAGTGACGATCACGGGTGTATTTCCAAGTAAGATATCTATATCGCAAGCCATCAATTCCAGTCGCAAGAGTACGCGGCCCAGCAACGATGCAAGACGGGGTCAAGTTCGTGCGTAAAAAAAAAACCTCCAAGATGAACCTTGCATTGACTTGCATTGATCTCCCGTTCTTCACAGTCATCCCCTGGTTCCCGCCGCCAGCGTCATGGGTGTTATATATATCTAATATCTTTCCCAACTTTCTAGAGCTTCTGCTGTTTTTTACTCAGACCCTTGAGCCTTGCCGCCTGCTCTTGCTCCCTGTCTCTCTCGCTGCGCCCGCCGCTCCACACACCAGTCCCCGAGCTCCTTCCATATGGCCTCCTTCTCGGCGGGCTTGAGCGTCGCGGCCAGGCCGCTGGTGCTCGAGGCGACGAATATCCTCGCGCCGGGCCAGGGCTGCGCATGCTGCTGCTGGTCGGTGTCCGTATCTGGGACTGTCTGTGTCGGCGTCGTCGTCGCTGACGGGATATCTGGAGGAGATGGCGGTGTCTCAGTATCGGCGGTATCGGTGTTGTTGGTGAAAGGAGTGGTCTTACCACTGGTGGGAGGATGGAAATAAGAGGAGAGGGACGACGTCGATGGAGAGGCAGCCGCAGCAGAAGCAGCAGCGGGGACGTTCAAGCCCATCCGCCTCTCCCCGTTCTGCCAGCCGTACGAGAACTCGCCCTTCTTGAGCGCCCGGCCTTTCCTCACGCGGAAGATGCTCTCCCATATGCTCTTGCCCACGATGCACACCACCTCCGGCCGCCACTTGGCGCACTTCGCCTCGAGCACGGCGACGCCCTCGTCCATCTCGGCCTTGCTGAGCTCGGCGCCGTTGCGGGACGGCCGGCTGACAATGTTGGTCAGCCCCAGCGCGTAGCGGGCCGGCATGCTCCGGTCCTCCTCGGCCGTGCAGGGCACCGGCGTGATCCCCGAGGAGTAGAGGAGCTTCCAGAACAGGTTGGACCGGTGGGCGTACGCGTGGCCCGTCTGGGCGGTGGATATGCCCGGGTTCAGGCCGATGAAGAGGATCAGGAGGTTCGGCGCCAGGGCGTCGGGCAGCTGCGAGAGGTGCGCGTATGTGGATGGTGGTGCGTAGCCGCTGGGCACGCGGGTGCGCTTTTTTGAAGGAGAAGGTGAAGATGGCGATGGCGATGCTCGCGAGGCGCGTGATAATGTTGAGGACGCCGAAGCGGATCTGGATAGTGCCTGCTTGCGGTTGATGGCAGACGTGCTTGCTCGTGCTGTTGTTCCTCGAGAGAGTGACGAGGAGGAGGTTGTAGTGTTTGACCTCAAGGTTTGGGCCTTGGCCGGCGACAGGCTTGCCCGCCCTGAGCCTGCCAGCAGTCGAGGGCTCTGTCTTCGTGGTGATGCAGAAGGGCCGGTATCGCTGTCCGTGTGCAATCCGGATCCGGCCCCCGTACCCGGCGACGGAGAGAACATGAAATCGCGGATCCGTAGCTGGCCATTGAAGCTGGGCTCCTTCGGAGCGCCGTCCGGATGGTCGATATCCATGGCTTGTAAGTTTCCGCTATAGCGATGTAGTCGAAGATTCTCTGATAGCAGGTACTGCGGCAAGGTCTCTCGAGTCTGATATGTCCCAACTATGGCCAGGAAAGGCCAGGAGGCAAGGGCCAGAGCGACATCTACGCTTCAGCACCGCGTGGCGGCCGTGGCATCAGCTTTAGTAGCGAGCCATATTGTCGCCAGCTTTGTTGTCCTTGCCAAATCCGAGTCAAGTTGACGGTGCCATGATGGTAGCCTGCTGGGCTGCCTTGAGCCATGATCGTTGTGGCAAAGCGCAGGCGGCCAAAGCCGAACCCCTGCAAGCCAGAGTCTGTGATCCCCACCCACGGCGGTCCGCCCGCACTTTACGGGGCAGTATTATGCCAGGGGCAAGAAGCAGCCAGCCCCGGCGGCCAAGTCCTGCTCCATTGACACGGCTGTGATCCACGGCAGCTCGTATTGTCCAGAGTGGCGGTGGAACCTGCTGGTGGCTCTCTCTGTGGTCGCAGCATTCTGGGAAGCAAGAGTCAGTCCGTGTCTGCCATGAGCTCAAGCACAGCACTTCGTGTTGTCTGCTCCCACGCCGCGTCGGTATCTTTTCCTTTGCAAGGCTGCGTGCTTCATGCCAAAGTCAACGGGGGGCCGATCTCAAAAGGTGATGCGACTGGGCGGCGAATGGGGAAGCTCAGATGGGCAGCATGGGCAAGCAGGGCTGGGGACGGCTGAACCAGGGAGGGCTGGCCGGCATCGCAGAATGACGCTATCTCGTGTCTAAGTCGAGCACTCTTCCCACCCAGCCAACACGGGCAAGCACGAGGACCAATTGTAGTTGATGGAGGGCAGTACAAGCTCGACAAGAGGTCACCAATTGGTAGTAGGAACAACACGAGTGGCCGGGATGCAGCTTCTCGCACTGCATGAGCCCGAGTGCCTGCCAGGAGGTGAAGCTGGTGGGACTTTTCGATCGCCCAAGCTGCCCCTCTGTGCCCGGTCCTGGCGTTGCAGCTGGGCCACTTTAGCTCTGGCTAAGCCCTGTTTGCAACACGCAAGTGCCGTCTATTCCTGGCAGCCGCCCCTCCTCCGGCTTATACTTTAAGTAACAACGGGCTTCCCTCAAGAGCGACCGTCGAGTGCTGTCCTCTCCATTCTCCTCCTCATTTTCCGTTCTCGCTTTGAGCCGCTATCCCGGTGTTTTGCTACTGTCCTCCTCCTTATAGCTCCCCGTCACCCCAACCACGATATACCGACTACCTCCCCCCCGATCCGATCTCCAATTCTTCACCGACCACAACCATGGCTGCCAAGTACAGTGACGCGGCCGTCGCTGCGCTCAAGGCCGAGTACGAGAGTGCCGGGCAGGGCCACGTCTTCAAGTTCTGGGACGAGCTCAGCCAGGACGAGAAGGTCACCTTCTTCGAACAGCTCTCTGGCATCACCCCCTCCGAAGTCAACTTTTTGCGAGACCTCGCCCTCAATCCTCCCCCCGAGCCCGAAGAGACCACCGTCGAGCCTCTCCCCGCCTCTGCGAGCGCCAGTCTGATCGACGCCGACGACGAGACCATCCAGAGCTGGAGACAACGCGGCCTGAAGCTCATTGGCGAGGGCAAGGTGGCTGTCGTGCTCCTTGCCGGTGGCCAGGGCACTCGTTTGCAGTTCCCGGCGCCCAAGGGTTGCTTCGACATCAAGCTGCCCTCGCACAAGTCCCTCTTCCAGCTGCAGGCCGAGCGTATCCAGCGGGTCAAGGAGCTTGCCGCGAGCGAGACTGGCAAGACCGCCAAGGAGGTCGGCCTTCCCTGGTATGTCATGACCAGTGGCCCTACACAGGAGGACACGGATGGTTTCTTCAAGGGTACCGGCTTCCCCGCGCCGCTCGAGGAGCCTGCTATCGAGACGCGAAAGTCTGTCGACGCTTACTTTGGCCTGCCGGAGAAGGACGTCACTCTGTTCCAGCAGGGAGTCCTGCCCTGCATCGCCCCTGACGGCAAGTTCATGCTGGAGAGCAAGGGCAAGGTCGCCGAGGCTCCTGATGGAAATGGCGGAATCTACAAGGCGCTTCTGCGGCCATTCATCGAGACCGACAATGGCCCCATCAGCATTGTGCAGGACATGAAGAACCGCGGGGTCGAGCACGTCTACGCGTACTGCGTGGACAACTGCCTCGCCAAGGTTGCGGATCCCGTCTTTATTGGCTTCGCGGCCCAGAAGCAAGTCCAGATCGCCACCAAGGTCGTGCGGAAGGACAACCCCAAGGAGAGTGTCGGTCTCATCATGCAGAAGAACGGCCGGCCCGCGGTGGTCGAGTACTCAGAGCTCGATGACGCTACAGCTCAGGCTCAGGACCCGAGCAACCCGCAGCTGCTCAAATTCCGCGCGGCAAACATTGTCAACCACTACTACACCATTGAGATGCTCGAGAAGAAGTTCACCCTGCCCCCGCATGTGGCCAAGAAGGCCATTCCATGCATCGACCTCCAGACAGGCGAGAAGATCAAGCCCGAGTCCAAGAACGGCATCAAGCTTGAACAGTTCATCTTTGACAACTTCAAGGAGCTGTCGCTGGACGAATTCGCCAGCTTCGAGGTAGATCGCAAGGAGGAGTTTTCACCACTCAAGAACAAGGATGGCGAAGACTCGCCGCAGACCAGCTACCGCGACATTATGCTGCAGGGCAAGCGGTGGCTGGAGGCTGCCGGCGCGACCATCTCGGAGAAGCTGGACGGAGTTGAGGTGCCGCCCTTGGTCAGCTACGTAAGTGTTCAGTCTTGATATGATGTGTCAAATCTTGTGGTTATTAGTAACACGGCTGACAATTGCTGCAGGATGGCGAGGGCCTGAGCGTCTTCAAGGGCGAGACCATCTCTGAGCCATTTGTGACGCTGGAGCAGGTTCACTCATTAAGGAAGTAGGGGACAAGTCCTGTGGCGGTGTGAGGCAGAACTGGTTATCAAAAGCAGCACAGTTGTCTTAGCAAATGTTTATTCCCAGCACTAGAAGGCCTCAAGGCCAACGTCCAATTCATCAACCAGGAGACAATAATCACGTTCCTGTGAACTATTTCTTAGGTCTTGGACTGCAGGCCATCTCCCGAGAGCTTCGACGGCACCGAAGTGTCGTACCACTCTGAACAAACCCAATCGTCTGAGGCAGATTATGGGGAAAAGCAATATTGATAACCTACCCCAAGCTTCCGGAAGTGCAACCCGGTGCTCGGTCCGGCATGGGTGGGTGGTGGCTACCAACACGGTTCAAACACTATATCGGAATTGTGGAAGGGCAAATCATGACTTGCCAGATCCATTGGCATCTGGCTCCGCCACTGGTCGTTCGGATGGCCCCAGGAATGGTTGATGCAGTGATCGAGCCAGCACAGAAGTGCGAGAGGCGGTCGTGAAGTTACGCGGAGCTTCTTCTGAACTCCTGTGATGGGCCCCCCACGACACACCCCACACACAACAGCGTCGCCGGGACCGGGCGGTGGGAGCTATGGGCGTGCAGCGGCCCCCTTCCAGAGCTTACACACCGCAACAAGTGCGTCTTTGTGCCTGGCACGGCACGGGAAGCACGGGGGAGTGAAAAGCCTGCAAGACATCGTGACCTGCCTCTCATCTCTTTGCACTGGCCAGTGCGGGGACATCCAATTCCAAAAGAAAAATATCTTCTCGGGTATTCCCATGATCGAGTGTCTTACATGCCCGCTTTCTCCATCGTCCCTGAATTGAGCGAGCTGCACACCCACCACGTCACTTTTGCCCAGCGCAGCCCACTCCCGCACAAGCGCATCCCTTTTCTTCTCCACTTATGAGATCACTCGGGGCCCTGATCTTGTCAAGCCAGCGTCCACCCAGACAATTGGGACGTCCGTCTCCTGGCGCACACCACGCACCCCCCAAACTCTAAAACTTGACGGTGACCTCTGGCGATCCAGGGTCCTTCATTGTCTGGGTGTACACCTTGTTTCCATTGTTTCCAGCAGCTTGTTAGGCAAGAAACCGCAGACAAGGCAGCATCACATCGCCTTCTCTCCCACCAGGGCGTGCGCATCGCGGATTCGACAGGCAAGGGCACAAATTAGCTCCACCACCACCAGCATTGCTCGGCGCATCCAGCATCAGCATCTCGCTTCGCATCCTTTTTTTTTGGTTTTCGGTTGTTCGTTTCATCTAGATCCCTTAGACAAGGATACACACAGTCAAGATGCTTCGGTGGTAAGTCGTGCTGTTCTTTGTTCTCGTCGCAGGCCGGCCACGTCCTAGTCGACTGTGCCCATCGCCAGCCAGCCAACCAATGCTTCTTATCTGCCACAATGAATGGACCATATCCTCAGATCACATCAGGGCATGTACACGACCTCAGCCACACAGTCCCTTCACACAGCACAAATTCATGATCACTCATCATGTGCTCATTGCGCTGCCACTCCTTCTCCATGATCCAGCAACCATGAACCAGTTTCCGTCCAATTTCACGGCCAAGAACGCCAGGAATACCAAATCTGACTAGGGATGATATATTAATAATAATGATACAAAACAGGTACCAGTCCAAGCTCGCCTCGCGCCCGCTGCTCACGCAGGCCGTCACGACCGCCGTGCTCTTCGCCACGGGCGACGTCGCGGCGCAGCAGCTCGTCGAGCGCCGGGGTTTTGACAAGCACGAGTTTGCAAGGACGGGGCGCATGTTTACTTATGGCGGCCGTGAGTTTCCTCCTGTTGTCTCTTTTCTTTCTCTTTCGTCCTCTTTCGTCCTCTTTCAAGTCCTCCTGCTGCTGCGGCCAGTTAGGCCACACAATGGAAAAAAACAAAAACAATCCTGGGATCCCTTGGACTAACGCGGCCGGTACCGGCCACAAAAACTAGTCGTCTTCGGCCCCGTAGCGACCACCTGGTTCGGCTTCCTCGCGCGCAACGTCGTCCTGCGCAACAAGACGGCCGAGATTGGCGCCCGCGTGGCCTGCGATCAGCTCATCTTCGCCCCCATCATGATCAACGTCTTCCTCCGGTCCATGGCCACCATGGAGGGGGTGTCGGCGCAGGAAAAAGTCGACAAGAGCTACTGGGACGCACTCAAGGCCAACTGGATGATCTGGCCGTTCGTCCAGGCCGTCAACTTCAAGTTCGTCCCGCTCGACTACCGCGTGCTCGCGGTCAATGTCGTCAGTATCGGGTGGAACTGCTTCTTGAGCATCATCAACAGCAAGTAGAAGCGGGGGGGGGGGGGGGGGAGTAAAGGAATGGTTTGGTGTATCCGTATATCCACGGGTGATGGAGGGAAGGAAATGGGAATGGGTGACGAGCAGGGATGGCGGGGGAAACGGTGTTTTGATCGGAGGTGCCGGCTCGCAATGAGGTGGGCGGGAGGAGCTAAACAGCGGACAGGTTCCTTATGATAGGGGCATGCAGGCACGGAGAAACGGCAAAGCCATAGAGTTACGTACGCCATGTACTCAGCATCACCAGATAGAACCGCTCTGCCCAGACAGGCCAGGAAATCTGCCAAAAGACGAATTCCCCAGCTTCTATTGCTGGTGGACTCTAGTCAAACAGGGTTTCCTCACTCCATCCTAGCTTCTCCCGCGGCATGCCGAGGACGGTGCGGCATGTACTGAAGATTCATTACGAGAGGTGACATACTTAAGTACCCGTGGTCTACATCGGAACATTATTCAACGATCGTGTGCTCCATTATTAGTTCTACTATTATATATGTATACCTAGGCACGCAGATCGAATTGAAACAGTGACCTCGTTTGATGTGAACAGTGCAAATCGTGACCTCGTAACACGCTTGGGTGGCCATACGCCATGCATTCAAATGGGAAAAATATGGGGCAAATCATGTTCATGAAGCGAAGGAAGGGTGCCGAGAAAGCAATGCAGGATGGTGTATGTGTGCATGCGGGCGCGTGTGGTTGAGTAAGGGCAGACCCAACAACACGGCGCTCGGGAAAAGAGTTCCAATACGCCAAAGGGGTGGCGAATCTGAGCAGCTCCCAGCCTCAGCTAGACAGGGCTCATGAGAAGAGAAATTCTTTCAGGATAGGTGACCCAGAAAACTCTGGGTTGAGCATGATGCAGCTGCATAGCCAGGTATGTCAGCAACAATATCAACCAGACAACCAGATGATTTGCAGCCTGCAAAAGTCACGTACTTGAGAAAATACTGCAAGCCTGCCCTCCTCTTCTCCAGGAAACTCGGGCGAAACTTCGATATCAGACTCTTGGGCGGCAGCTCGGGCACTGCGCCTGCAAAGCTCGGGAAGCTGCGAATCAGCCTGCTACGGAGGTCGTCGAATTCCGAGTATCGCTTGCAAATGTTCATGTGGCTCCCCTGTACGGCATCATGTCTCGAGTCAGTCTTCCTCTTGTCTTCAACGGATTCAAAGAACACCTACACTGAGTGTCTCTACCCGGACATTCCACACCACAAATGCTCCTATGTTTGTCGCGCCGCCGTTGACAGTGACATAATCCCTTATCACCACGCTGCGCGCCCAACACGCGCTTCCTCGGTCGTCGATGCTGCTATTCTCGTTGTCACGAAGGGTAATTCCGCCTTCAGCCATGAGGCTGTCTATGCTAGTGGTCGTCATGCTGCGGCCATGGCTGTATCGATCGTAGCTGCTGCGCGGCGTTGTAGGGGACACGGTAGTGTCTGATGATGCGGACGAAGCTCCGCCCGCGTGGCCGCGATGTCCGGCATGGGTATCGGTTGATTCAGGTCGCGGCGACGATAGGAACGGGTGCCTCTCTGGTGATGCTGGTGGGTGGCTCCAGTAGGGAGGGGTTACGGGGGACGGCTGGGACCGTGCGGACTCGATCTCGACATTGAGATGATTTTCCTGGTGCTGTTGCCGCGTTACCTCAACCCCAGTTTGCAACGCAAGGCCTCCGCGCTGCCCAACTGTGGTATCCGGCGCATCGTCTACAGCGGTGGCATTCAAGTCTGTTGGCGACTCATTGTGATCGTCGGCCGCGCCGCCTGCTGCCTCCGAGTCTCCTCGTTCTACCGCCCCATCTTCGGTGACTATGTGGTCGACATCGAGGACAGGGAAAGGCTCAGTGTCGGAAGTGGGCGGAGTTGGTGGTCGTTGGTCGAGGACGATTGTCTGTCCGGGCTTGCTGGCTGCGTCGGCAGCAACGGCGGCTCCACTGTGGCCAGCAGCCTTTGTGCTGGAGGATGTTGATGGCGATGCCATGCAAAGCGGAGGGCGCAGCGGAGCGCGAGGCTGCAGGCTGGATTCGGGGGCAGGGTGTAAATAGTTGTCGGCTCGTCGACAGATTGATGCTCGGGGAAGCGACGTCACGACCAGCAGGAGAGCGGTAGTTGCAGAAATGGCGTGTGCAGCGCAGCACAGCCATTGGCTGTGTGGTCCTGGGGAAGTGGCCATCGTCAGCGGTGGTCCGAGAGGCAGTGGCCAATGGGCGATCTCAAGACAACCCCCGGATGGAAAAGTGGGATCTGGTATCATTGAGCATGACAATGGCATCGTACCACAACTTGACATGTGGACACGCTCTTCCGACGGCAAATTGCCAGCCTGGTCCATGGCGGCCCGGCTGTGCATATTGCTGCTGGCTTTCAGGCCCGGGAGCATATTACTGAACTGCCATTCCAGGCTTGCTTGCAACTAGGCATGGGCAACCCGCTGCTGTACGAATCAATATATTATGGTAGACTCGGCCCAATTGTTGAACTTGCAGGTGTCTGCCTGTGCTTTTGTGTGCTTCGACAACCGTCGGTCATTGTACGCGTGGCGATTTTCTGCTACAGCTCGGGCTAATGTTTCAAGCAACCTCAATCCAAACCCCACGAATGTAGCTTGTCGGACCAGCTAGCCTAGTCTGCATTTTTGTATCCTGCTCGTTCTGGCTAGTCCACAGTAATCGACGACACCCTGATGTTCGGTGGGGCTTCAACACCATCATTATTGCAGTTGTGGTGCGTGGATCTGCATGGCCAACACGAGCACCATGCTCAGCAGATGGGGTCGCCAAGCGGAGTCCCCTCACAAGTAAAGATGAATCCCGGCAATGTGCAGAGACCCAAAGGTCAGGCGTACAGAGCTTGGAGGCTCCGTGATTACGAGTCTGCGGAAGCAACGGACATCTTGCGAGGCATGAGCTGTAGAGGCGAGCATATGTACGATGCACATCTTGGGAGACCTGCAATTGAGAACAGGGCCAGCTGGGCGGCGTGAACGAGCTAGGGGGACCATCGTTGTTTCGAGTCGACGCCGCTTCGAATAATTATGACTTCCCGTCGGCTCAGACTGACACAAGTTCACATGTCACCATCGGGCTTGCTCGGAAACCTTAGAACGCGAGTAAGTATGGACAGAGTACGTCCGGTGCTGAGTTGTGACCCTGCCTGGGAGGGAATTCTGCACATGATGGGGCGGCAACTCGGCGACGGTGCCGATTGTTTTGTCTTTAGCCACCTCACCTAGCTGCAGATGCAGAGAGTGCCTGCAGCTTGGTGAAAGCCACGAAGAAAACCCCGCCGCTGGGGGGTTCCGGGCCCCGGAGCTTCCGACCATGCGTGACCACAGGAGCTCCTAATGCTCTTGCAAAGCAAGTTGTGGGCACGACGTGGGCAGGCTCAAGAAAGGCGCATGACACGATAATGGCTGTCCCGGCTACAGTCATCCTCGTCCCACAGGGACTGCCCCGTCGGCCCGAGCAGCGGTGCCCGGTGGGGGACAGGCTGGAACAAGGACCGGAGAGGTTGAATGCACGCGCTGCACTGAGCTGTCTGGCGAAGTCTGGATCTTGAGGTCATCGTTGACTCCTTCCTCCGTGTAGACTTTATTCGCCATAAAATGCCCGCTAGTCCTGCAGGCTCGCGATTGAGATGATCATGGAGGCCGGGCTGGTCTCACGGCGAGGACAGGGGCCCAGGCCTGCCATTATGCTTTGGACCAGGGAATTCTGATATGGATTGTCGGAGAGGGCAGTTGCCGCGGCCTGTGGAGATCGACGTGAAGGGTATGGCTCCCTGAGCTAGCCGAATAGATCCCTGGAGGCTCCCGGCATGCAGCACCCATGAACGCTACCGCAGGGTTGCAGCACAATGGCACTGTCCCGCCTGGGCACAGTCGCATCCTGCCTGGCTCGCCGGTTCCTCACACGGAAGGTTCTGCTGGTGCTGACGGTTGTCATGTCTCTGGTGCTGGAGCTCTCGAGCGAAGCCGTGGTGATGCTCTGACATTCCTCTCGGCTGGGTCGGTCGAATCAGAGATGCCGCCACTGGGCGGAGGATTCGTGGGGCAGCCTACTGCGAGCCAGAGCACCGAGGGCAGCCTGCAAATGGCATGCAGATGCAAGGCAAGAGGGCTCGTGTTGTTGCGTGGTGTGCTGCCTCCGAACAATGGCCAGGACCTTTTCTGATGGGGCGGGCTGGGCTACGCGGGCGTGCCGCTAGGCTGCTCTTGGGCTAGGCCATATTGCCTGGCTGACTCCTAGCGCCCCGGGGGCTCTTAGCAGTCTGTGCTGGCGCCGCACCACGCTGCCGCGCCCCGTCCCCATGGCCACCTCGGGCAGGGATTCTGGGCCCTGGCCTGGCTGCTCACGAGATATCCTGCCTGCCCGTCCTCAGGCCTGCCTGTGCCTGCTTGCCTGGGCCGGGCCTCCGCGCGCGCTCTTTGCTCCGTGCTGGTTATATCCTCCCGGCAGGCGTCTGCATGCCGCCTTCTCCCTTCTTCCTCCTCCTTCCCGCTGCTAGCCCCATACCGCAACCGACACTCGCTTCGTCTCCTTCCTCTGGGTTGAGTTGGCTCTCTGCTTCCTCAATTCGCTTTGGCATAATTTGTCTTCTCTAGTTCTCCATACTACTTGTTCACCATAATACCGTCGACAGTCCCGGCCTCCATTAATCTCTGCCTTCGTCAATCATACCAGTACCTTCATAATGCCTTCGCTCAGATCCTCTGTCCTGGCTCTTGCCACTATTGTCGCCTCTGTCGCCCGTGCCGACTACTACATCGATCCCGACTCGGTCGCTTTGAGCATTCGTACCTCCTGGTGCCAGTCCGAGCTCAGCACCTGCCCCATCATCTGCCAGCAGTATCCTCCGGGAACCACCTTGGTCAACACTTGCGATCCTGTACGTTCCTCACTCAACGTGACGTTTATATACAAATGGCAGTTGGGGACACCGACGAACTAACAAACCATTCGCCATTTAGGAGCACCTGACTTATGGCTGCCTCTGTGGCAACGGCCAGAAGCCCAACGTCACCGAGTACACCCTGACCCTGCCCTACTTCACCTGCACAGAATGGGGCAACCAGTGCGTCAAGGCCTGCGGCCAGGACAACGAGTGTTCCCGCAACTGCCGTGAGGACCACCCTTGCGGTGCCCTGAGCCCTACCAAGCAAAACGAGACGGCCACGTCCTCCAGCGCCAGCGCCACAGCTTCCGCTACCCAATCCAACCAAGTCTTCGATGGGCTCAACGGTGCGACCCCAACTCCTGGCGGCGGCAACAGCGGTGCCGCCGGCCGCATGCTCGAGAGCGGCAGCACCGTCATGTTTGCTGTCCTCCTCGGCGGTGTTGCTCTTGGTGCCGGTCTCTTGTAAAGCGCCAGGCATTTGAACCCGAGCGACTGCCTACCTGGCAATCTTCTATGGACAGACCTTGAGAACAAAACAAAGCTATGCATTCATTCGTTTCAGCGTACAGGAGTTCAGGGAAGGACACAAAGCATGGACCAAAGGCCCAGGTCCACGGTGGCGGACACTGCGGGTCTAATAGGGTGTTTCCCGCGAACATCGACCCAAAGTTATCGATACAGACGCCACTGGCAACAGCACTCTAGGATACTGTTCTGGCAAATCATTACATCATTGGCTCAACACAGACTCAAACAAGACGTGCGTGGTAATTAGCTCGCTCACTGCTACCATTGCAGATTTACCTCGCCGTTTACTGATCGGCAAATTGTGAGGCATCAAGTGATCGGCCTCCCGTGCATGGTGATGAGACTGCTTGCCGCGTGGCCGGTCTTCTGTGGAAAACGTTTGTTCTGGTCTCAGAGCCGCGGGCCGCTGGTTATCTCTATGGAATACAGTAGTGTTTGCTTTTGGTGGCTATGGTGATGAGGTCTTGACGAGGTCTGTGATTGGCCAGGTGGATGCTCCAATGGGACCCCGTCCCAGCATGCAGGGACAATCCAGGGGCTCTGCTGGAAATTTCGAGCTAGTGAGGGCCGAGCCCAAATTGGCTTCGATGACCTAAGATTGCAAAGTCGCAAGCCCTCCCAAAGGTTTTCACGTGCTGCCGCTTGACCACTTTTGCATCATGTGGTCGCACCAGCTCTGAGGACAGCGCATGCCTATATCAGTGACGTCCAAGCAATCGCGCGCGGGGGCTTCCAGAATTGGGCACCTGACAGCCTATGGTTTTTCTGCATGTCTTGAAACAGCACACATGCTGCTCTCTGGCTGCGGCCGTGACGGGCTGGCGTGAGTATAAGTGAGCGCGTGGCTCAACGTCTTGGTCTAGCGCCACCTGTACGCCCAAATCGACCAACAGCAAATCAGTGGTCAAATGGCAGACAACGTGGAAGGCTCCAGCACCCTCTCTGTTAGTCGTCACTTCCCAGCGCACAACGCCATGGGGCAGGCGTCTCCTTTCCTCTCGAGGGGGGAAGGGTGGCACAGTCAATCAATCACTTGAACAATCAACCCAATCTGCCAGGCGGGGCCTGCGCAGAGCTTGTCTGTGACCCAGCGCCATCTGTTTGGTCCCTCTTTGTTCTGGCGCAGACCACACCGCCGTCTCCTGTCTTGTGGTGCAAAGCACGGCGTCGCCTCTTCTCTTAAGCATCCGGCTGTCCTCGTTTCCTCGCTCGACTTGTATTCTCAGTGGCATCGTGAGACGTCTCTTTTCAGTCTTCATTTCTCCATCAGCATCCGCCCTTCCAGCTTCCCTCGAGGCAAACCGGCCGCCAGCTGCCAACCACGGTTCCCTGCTGCCCACATAATTGACCGCACCCGCCCCACGCGCTCGGCTCAAGACCACTTTTGCCGGCGCAGTCTGGACACCTTCCCGCATAGTGACGCCTGCCCGCCGCAAACCGGGCCCCTGTAACCCTTGTGGTCTGCCAGATCAAGGCCAAGCACGAGCAGCAATAACCGCAAGCAAGCAGCCAGGGTTTTACGCGGCACAAAGCAGCACTGCTCCTAGCACCTCGGCGGCAGTTGGCCTCTTCTTGGATAAACGGTGTCCTGTCTCGAACGTCCCGGCTTTTCTTGCTTTCTCGCTGGGCACACACCTCTTACGTCAAGTCAAGGTGGCTCTCTCAACTCCTGAGCCGTTGCAAGTCAATCTCCTGAGTTTCGCTCGCGCGTAGACTGCCCGTCACCAACCGTCATTCTCAGAATTATCGGCACAAAAGCAATTTGCCGAGATGGTGTCTCAAAGTGCGTAGGCTCCCGCTTTGTCTTCTTTCCCTCGCCCAGAGGCGGTCAATTGACATCAGATTTTGTGCATGTGCAGCAACAGCAGCTGCCGAGTGCATCTCGGATGATGCCCTCATCCACCTCAAGTCTTACCAGTACTCGGCTGTCGACAAGTCGCCTGTGTCGTACTACATCCTGCGCCCATACGTATGTGCTCCCTTTCAGAGCCTTCCCACCACCACCTCTGCGAGCCGCGTCTAACATGACTGTAGTGGAATGCTTTCGTCGAGCTCATGCCCATGTGGGTGGCCCCCAACATGGTCACCCTGATAGGATTCATGTTCATCCTCGGAAACATTGGGCTTCTGGTCATCTTCATGCCGGACTTGGTTGGACCTGTAAGTTTGCATGGACCGCAGCTGCGCAACATGGCGCATGAGCGATGCGTGCACTTGCTATGCATGAGCTTAAACTAACATTCAATACCCCAGGGACCATCATGGCTTTACTTCAGTTTCGCGTTTGGCCTCTTCATGTATCAGACAATGGACAACATCGATGGCAAGCAGGCCAGGCGGACAGGCACTTCAAGTGGGCTCGGCGAGCTTTTCGATCACGGCATTGACTCGCTAAACTGTACCTTGGCCAGTCTGCTTGAGACGGCCGCCATGGGTCTCGGCACTTCCAAGCTCGGCGTCTTCACTGCTCTATGCCCTTGTCTTCCCATGTTTTTCAGCACATGGGAGACATACCATACACACACCTTGTATCTGGGCTACTTCAATGGACCGACAGAGGGTCTTCTCATCGCGTGTGCCGTGATGGCGCTCTCCGGTATCTACGGGCCCGACATGTGGTCTGAGCCGATCCTCCACTTCCTCAGCGAGAAGAACCCCTATGCGTACAACCTGCTCGGCAAGGAAGGTCGCGAATTCTTGGGCGACATTAGCATCACCGATCTCTGGGTCATCATCATTGCTGGCTCCCTCTTCACCCTTCACGTCCCGTTCTGTGTCTTGAACGTTGCCAAGGCCCGACGGGCCAAGGGGCTGCCAGTCATGCCCGTCTTCCTCGAATGGATTCCCATGGCCATCTACACTTTCAGCATTGCCGCTTGGGTCTACTCGCCATACTCGACACTTATGCGGGAGAATCATCTCGTCCTCTTGTGCTTGACGCTCAGTCTTGTCTTCGGTAGGCTGACTACAAAGATGATCCTCGCTCACCTGACGCGCCAACCTTTCCCATATTGGACCGTCATGCTATTCCCACTCGTCGGTGGCGCCATTATTGGCAACTTGCCTCGTTTCGGCTTCAAGGCCGTCACGCCAGAAGTCGAGTTGTACTATCTCTGGGGATACTTTGTTTTCGCCTTCATCGTCTACTCCCGCTGGGCCTACCTAGTTGTCACCAGCATCTGCAATTTCTTGGGAATCAACGCGCTCACGATCCCTCTTGCCAAGCAGGAGGAGAATAGGCGGAAGCTGGCTGAGGCAAATGGCAAGAAGACACAATGAGCCTGTATCGTTCTTGGTTATGACAGGATGGATCGGGGGGGCGTGCGCGTGTGCGTCAGCTTGCAGCGTGGTAGCGTCTCCCCAACCGGATACACCATTGTATATATACTGAGTAGCGTCGTTGTTGATCGTTTTCAGACAACGGAAGAGGTGGTTTCCCCGAGGTTTAATCCGGTCATTGAAGCTCAATACTTCACCCTCGGAAGGGATGCGAAGAAACGTCAAAATGTTTTCAGGCGGCAAGGCGTTCCGGGAAGAGCATGTGGGGGTGCGATAATAGCTTCATGGCGTATGCTCATAGAAAATGGCATTGATCAAGGCGGGGCAAGGCAAGATCGAATTCAACATGGACATACAGCAGCGGCCGCTGGGACGGTGGCTGTGGTGGCTCGCGGGTGGACACTGGCAGGAAGTTGCTTCAACAAGTTATAATAATGCACCATGGAATGTCTGAGCGAATATTAGGCTTGTTCTCAGACCTGCGTCACTTCTCAGCTGCAGATCCTGTTTGTCATGTTGTGATGGTGTTTTTCTTTAATCGTCTATATGTACAAAAGCCTGAGACTCATAAAAGCACAACCTCTCCTTTTATGGGGGAATCCTCTACACCATGGCTGGAACGTAAGGGAAAAATCGACACACAGCAGAACGCATCACGCCGCATTCTCACCGGTTTGTTTCGTGACCATTGGCTTTCGGTATCGTGTCCTTTCCTGGTCTCAAGCTTTTCCTTTGTCTTTTCTGCAAATCGCAGGAAAGTCCTCCCTCCACACACACACACGGGGCTTTGTTTCATCGCTCGCCCGCGAGACGACGGCTCTGGACCTCGCCGAGGGCCTTGGTGCCGCTGAGAAATGTGGCCGTGCCGACGAGGGCGATGACGGGGAGGACCTGGAAGAGCGTCCACGAGACGTAGTACAGGAAGAAGACGCCCTCCATGGCGATGATGGAGCCGAAGAAGACGGCATGCGATATGGGCGCGGCACTGAGGGCCTTGGAGAGGTGGTCGACGTTGGCGCCGAGTGCGATCCACTATAAATCAGAAAACAAGAGTTGAGGCGGTTAGTCCCTGATGATGCCCTCGAGGCTTGAGATATTTCGGGAGAGATTGGAGAGGGTGTTTTGCATTGTTCTGGATTATCGGGCATCCTTCAGCAGCAGCAACAGCAGCAGCAAGACTTACCCCAATGAGAACAGCGGGAATCGTGGCCAGCACGGCGAGGACGAAGACGAGTGAGATGATCTTGGGCGGGCTCTTGGGGTCGGCGCGGAAAATGTGGTGGATCTCCGCGAGCTTGCCATAGCGCAAGGGCTTCTCGTACTTGGCCACTTTTGCGGTCGGGTCGTGCTTGACGGCGATATCGAATACGGGCGAGTTGAAGCCTTGCGAGGAGCCGAACGAAGCCAGCACGAGAGAGGCAGAGAGGTTTTCGGTCGAAGTCAAATGCTGGATCGGCAGGTCGGTCTGTTTCTGTTTTGGAGGGGAAATGGAACAGGTCAGCGGGATGTTTCTTTGAGCCTCCCACTCATTCCAGAGGAAGAAAGGGCAAGTAGGTTTGGGCTTGTGGGCTCTTACAATCTCCACAGTCGCCTTGCCATTGTCCTTGACCGTCAGAGGGAAGGGAGCCTCGACACCGGTGGTCGCCTCGCGCAGGATGAGAAACGCTTGGTGTGGGCGCTTTCCTTTGCCCTTTTCTTGAGCAGTCAGCGTGACTTTGAGCGTCTCGCCTGTGCCGAATGGGACGCTGCTGGTGAGTGGCGACTTCTGATTGAACCTTGAGAGCACAAAAGTCAGCAGGTGAGAATCTCGAGATAGCGCAGGGGCAGCTTCTCGATAGAGGCAAGGAACCACGTTGTGTATCAGGACCTCGCCGCCTGATAAAAGAACTTGGAAGGGGAGGGTTAGCATACTTCTCCTTGATGGCCGGGCCAGCTGCTGCGTCGCCGGCTTTCCGGCTGCCAACGGTCAAGGTGGCATCGTCAAAGCCCCACGATGAGGCAGCGGAAGCTGTGCCGGCAGCGACAAGGACGAGGGCGTTGAGGAAGCGCATGATTTCGGTTCAAGCGCGCCTGGCGAGTCTGGCCGGAGCTGCAGGGAGGATGCGAGAGGTAACAGTGGTGGTGGCGTTGTATCGTTACAGCTCGCCGAGTTGCCGGGTCGTTCGTGCGTCGTCGTCGAAGCTACGAATGTTGAAGCTCCGGAAGCTGGGGTCCAATTGAACACTTGTTCCGCCGTGGAGAGCTCCCTGCTGCTGACGCTGTTGCCGCACAAGGGTGGGCCCGACGACACAGTCCACCAACCGCGCCCGCACCGTATTTGCACTATGTCACCTGGGGATATCAGATCTTGGAGCATTCAGTCCCTTTGTTTCCTCTTCGTGGATGGAAAGCCCTCCACCTATTTTGGATTCACATCTCTAGCATGAGGATTATAGTCTGTCCTAACTAAAGCTCTGTGTGCTCTATTGTGTCTTCAGCATCGTGGGCCGATGGCAAGTGACCATCGAGCTCCATCCATTCGGCTGCAAATGCAGTAAGGATCTTGGCCCAGTCGTCTACTGCAGCGGGATCCAAATGCTCGCCATTGTCATCCATGGTATGCCACAACTTGGGGAATGGCGTTGGGATGATGTGTAGAATTGGCACGCCTCGCACCATGAACGGAACGTGGTCGTCCGCAATATAACCCATGTAAGGCTTCTCGGGCTCTTCTCCGGAGTCTGGCAGAAAAACTCCCTCGGGTTTGCTCGCTAAAAGGTTGAGCTTGCGCATCCGTCTCTCGACCTTTGCCATCTGCTGGTAGAACCAGTGTGTGGGTCTGAAATAAGACGGCACAGTCGGATCGGGGCTACCAAGCAGATCGATCAAGAGGAACAGCTTGATGGCCTCGATGGGGGACCTGTGCTCAGACGACTCTGGATATACATCCGTATCCCAGTGAGCGGCAAGCGCTCTAGAGCCGTAGATGGAGTCCGTCGCCGTCCAGGTGACCCATGCCTCCTCGCCGTCAAGCAGCAGGATCTGAACGCCTCTCTCCTCCTCGAGACCAAGACCACCGTCGCCAGCTTCCTCCATCGCTGCCCACTTGCGAGCGAGACCACCCTCGATGGACCGAGCCACATGCATCAGCATTGCACAGGGTGCGGCGCTATCAATGGCTCCGATGAAGCCCACTGGCTCAAACAGACTGTCGTAGTGTGCCGCGAGAGTCAGGTAGCCGACATCGCCTCTCTTGGCCCATGGTGGCTCGCGGCGCAGGATGAGGTTGTGGAAGGGGATCTCTTGATCACCGGTCGCTGGCGTCTTGGAGGTTGAGTTTTGCCACTCAATGGTCCACTCAGGAAGTTGCTGGCGGAAGAAGTCGACAAAGTGGTGTTGCACGGCAGCCGAACCAGCACTGCCTGGCACGCGGGGGACCAAGATTGGAGCCAACAGTGACCCGGTCGTGATGTCAAAGTCGGAGCCACCTCCGGGGATGCGGCGGAGGGAGGGATCAGAGAGCTCCTGGTAGCCAAGTGCCGGTGATAGCAGGGAAGCAACGGCCAAGTATGTCGGCAGCCGGAGATAGGCGTCCCGACCAGGACGGCCCGGGTTTAGGAGAAGCATGGTGACTTGTGACCACAAGAGTCCAGCATGGCGGAGGTAACGCGAGTGGACGGTGACGGTGGCGTGAGGGCGGTCGAGTGGCGGCCTTGTGGATTTCCAAGCTTGTTGATGCTGGCCTCAGGGTCCTGCTTGGATGTGGGGTCGGAATGATGCTAGGAGGCGCGGAATCGAGCCATATCGCGACCAGCTCGTCAGTTGAATCTTTTGCAGGAGAAACAGGCTGGCAGCAACACGATGTCCAGGTTGTGCAGCCCTGTAGATGGCCAAATTGGGGCCGATCGAGGACAAGTGGCCTAGTCAGGCACCACCACCAGCACTACCTGGCCGCCTCTGCCACACAGCTCTATCTCAACTCCCAGCGCCACCAACAGCCGGAAGAAATACTTCATCACGCTACAGCCCCAACTTGGGACAGCCTGGGCCATGCAGAGGGGCCGACTTGCATGCACCTATTCAAGCATAACCATGAACCCCGGTACTTTTTCCATAATTTGTTCAGACGCAGAGCTGACTCCAACGCATTAACTATTGCTGCCCGCCCACCAATCGCCTGGCAGCCCTGGACAAGCGGGGCCGAAATGAAAGCTACCCCGTCGGCGATTGCACCACTACCGCCGATACCTTGAGTCTCCATCGGCGCAGTTGCAGACTGGTCTTAGTTTCCGTGTCCCTCCAGACTGCGCTGCTTCTTCCACGGCTTCTACGCACTATCGCCATCGGCGATTTTCGGCCGGCGCTCTATAGTTTCTATTTTGGTGAAATGTCTTGGCACGAGAAGCATGTTCCCGCGTCGCGATTGCCTCGCGCAACCGTTGCTTCCCACGATGTATAAGTATGGACTGCTCCTGTGGCTCTCGCAAGCTCAATCGACTCCTGCTAGTCTCAACATCAGACATTGTACACTGTAGTCACTTGCTCAGATCAAGCTCTCTGCAATCTTCATCAGTTCCACGTTAAATTCATCACTCTTAAACGCCTCTCAAACGCCATGTCTACCAACAGCCTTTGGTTTATTGTTGGGGCTACCAGCGGCTTCGGTCTCGAGATTGCCACTCAGGCTCTTGCTCGAGGTGACCAGGTCGCCGCGACCTCCCGCAAGGCTACGTCCTCGGACAAGCTCAGGGCCCTCGAGGCCCAAGGTGCACTGCTGCTCGATCTTGACGCCACAAGCCCTGACCAGGTTCTCAAGGACGCCATCACAAAGACAACACAGCACTTTGGCCGTACCATTACCTATTTCATCAACGCTGTCGGCTACATCCTCGAGGGTGCCGCCGAGGAGATCAGTGCGGAGGAGGGTCTAAGGAGCATCACAACCAATGTCCTCGCTGTCATGAACCTCAGCCGCATCGAGACCGAGTACCTGCGCTCGTCCAGACCCAAGTCGGATAGTGGCAGCCCACCACACCTCGGAGGCATTGCCAACTTTGGGAGCGTGGGCAGCTGGCACGGTGGTCCCGCGTACAGCCACTACGCCGCGGCCAAGTGGGCAGTCTCAGGCTTTACCGAGTCGCTGTTTTCCGAGCTGGAGTCCTTCGGTATCCACGCAATCGTGGTCGAGCCTGGCTACTTCCGCACCGGCTTTCTCAACCCTGGCGGTGGCAACCGGTTGTTTGCCGCGAAGCAGCTTGATAATGAGTACAAAGGCACAGCTGTCGAGACTGTCAAGCAAGCTCTCACCAGCGTGGACAACAACCAACCTGGTGATGTTGTCAAGGGCTGCAAGGTCATCATTGATGTCCTCACAGGCACCGGTGCCGCGGAGGGTAAGAAGAGGGGCATGCGGCTGATCCTGGGCAAGGACTGCGTGAAGGCCGTAAGAGAAAAGATGGCCCGGACGGAGAAGTATATCCAGGAGTGGGAAGACGTGATCACCAAGACGGATCACGATGATGTTAGTGCTTGAGCAACGAACCACTGGGCGAGGCTCGGACAAGGGCCGAACATGTTAGATGGAGCATTGGGACAGCGAATGTTTAGCAAATGCAACTAGAGACAAAATATCTCGATGTCTTGCTCGCCTTGTTGGCTGCTGGTATTGAGGCTGGATCGCGCGTAGGCATTGCCTGAGCCTTTGTTGAGACAATAACAAGTGCTTGCGTGTAAGTGTGCTCTGAGTTGTCTCATACACGAAGCTACTCCAGCTTGGCGTTGGCAGCGGCTCTAGCCTTTTGGGTATAGTCATACATTGGACAATTAAAATGCTCGTGAAATAACGCCCATACACCATAGGATCCATCATCACAATTACCAATGGTGAAGGAGGTGGTTTCCAAAGCTGGGTCACCAGGAGCAGGAAAGCAGAGGCAGGTGTTCGTGTCGATCTGGACAGCCCACAGCGGGTCAGCATTACGAGCGCTAGTCTGCAAGTGGCAAACCCTGCTCTGCTGCAGCTGCATTAGCGCCACCCGCGTGTCACTGCCTGCTCTAAACTCACACAAGTCCATCGGGGCTCTCGTCCATCTTTCACTAACGCTGTCACTTCATTTGGCGTCCTTCTGGTTTTGAGGCTGGGCTCAGGCACATAATACTCCGACCTGACATCCTATTCCCCAGGCAGGAGCCTCAATATGCGGCATCCAGTGCTTATCGCGCAGTGGCACGATGTACTCGTGCCCCAACTCGGGTCGTTCGCCAAGTCAGACGACGATGACGTAGGTGTAGACCTGCCCACTTTCCCCCAGGCCGCATCGCGACCACAACAAACACGACTGTTCAGAACAGCCAAAATCATGCAAAGCTCATGACCAGGCCAATGCTGATGATTGATTCGAACAGCCCAAACGGCCTTCCTCATTTGTGGCCCTTGCTGCAGTCTTCTTACCCGCGTTTGCCTCAGCTCTGCTCTTTCTTGCCATCTTCGCCATCATCCGGCCTTACTTTCGACGACTGTATTCACCCAGAACATACATAGATTCCATCCCTGAAAAGTATGCAGGGACACTGACTCAACTAGACATGCCCAGAATCAAGCTAATATAAACAACGTCTAGAGATCGCACCCCAGCCTCAGCCACTGCACGCCTGGCATGGATCAAGACACTCTGGAACCTCGGCGACAAGTTCGTCTTGGAGCACTCGTCTCTTGACGCTTACCTATATCTACGTTTTCTGCGCACAATCATCACGATCTGCATCGTGGGGACTGTCATCACATGGCCCATTCTCATGCCTATCAATGCCGCTGGCGGGGGTGACGCCGCGGAGCTCGACAAGGTCGGCTTCGGCAATGTCCATGGCCGCAAGCGTTTGTACGCGCATGCTGTGGTGGCATGGGTGTTTTATGGCTTCGTCATGTTTCTCATTGCGCGGGAGCGCATCTGGCTGATTGGCGTCCGGCAGGCTTGGCACTTGTCGAAAGCCAATGCTAGTCGGCTGTCATCGCGCACAGTCTTGTACCTGGATCCTCCGACCGAGGCACCCCAGAACGAGGATGTAAAGGCGACATTCGGGGCGGACGCCGAGCAGCAATGGGTCGTTGTGCCTACCTCCAAGCTTGACGCTACCGTAGGAATACGCAACTCGACACTGCAGAAACTCGAATCCGCCCAGACCGGCTGGATCAGCAAGGCTGCCAAGGAGAACAGCAAGAGGACAAGATCGAGATCCCACGGTGGCCGTCATCTCAATCATGACGAGGTCAACTCCCTCCGCCCTCGCCCTCGGACTCGTCACCTCCTTGGCGACCAGGTCGATTCCATCACCGCATTCAGGTCCAGGGCAACAGATCTGGTGCAATCTGTCGACTCATTGCGCGCAAACTACTCGATAGAAGCCAAGAAGGGGCGCTCGGCCATCTTTGTGGCCTTCAGAGACCAGACGGCTGCCCAGCACGCATACAAGAAGAAGCCGAAAACTGTGCTCCCGGTGCCCAGAAACTTGACTGTTCAGTCGAAACTGATTGGTGTGACGCCAAAGGAGATCTTATGGCACAATCTCACCATGACGCACCCGGAGCGTTTGTCAGCGATGTCCTTTGCCAACTCTTTTGTCATTGCCTTGATTGTTGTTTGGTCAATACCGTCTTCTATCATCGGGTCAATCTCCAACATCAGCTACCTCAAGGACAATGTCGGATGGTTACATTGGCTAGACAGGTTGCCTCCATCGGTGATCGGAATTTTGACTGGACTGGTTCCTCCACTAGTCACAAGCACCATATCCTCATACGTGCCCATATTCATGCGCTGTAAGTGAAATCGCTCTTGATTGATGTACACTGCTAACACCAATTCAGATATTGCAAAGAAATCAGGCGAGCCCACTACGGTCTCTGCGGAGCTTCAAGTGCAGACCTGGTACTACCTATTTCAGGTGACTCAGGTCTTCCTGGTGACCGCTCTATCGTCTTCTGCGATGACCTTTGTGCCCGAGCTGCTCCAGCATCCTGCTGACGTCCCCAAGCTACTCGCGGACAATCTGCCTAGCTCATCAAACTTTTACGTCACGTATTTCGTCCTCCAAGGCCTAGCTTTTGCGGCCAAGAACATCCTGAACTACTCGGATCTATTTCAGTACCTTTTTTACGAGAGGTTTATCAACAAGACTCCTCGCGCCAAGTATGATCAATACACGAGCCTGAAGGGCATCAGCTGGGGCAAGGTCTATCCCAAGTTCACGAATTTTGCCATCATCGCCCTGGCATACTCGTGCATCTCTCCTCTGGTCATTGGCTTTGCCGCTCTCGGACTCAGTCTCTTTTACTTTAGCTATCTTTACAACCTCACCTTCGTGATTCAGGCAAAGCTAGAGACCAAAGGGAAGTGCTACACCCGAGCCCTCCAGCAGATCTTGACGGGCATCTATGTAGGAGAGTTATGCTTGATCGGCCTGTTTGGTTTGCGGAAGGCCACAGGTCCGCTGGTCATGCTCGTCATTTTATTCGTTGGCACCATCATATACAATATCGTGCTGAATCGATATCTGAACCCGCTCGAAGACCACCTCCCCGAGAAGCTCCTTCGCACTGACACCGAAGAAAACGAGTCCCTTTTAGCCGCAGCGGAGCAAGGTGAAGCCGTTTCGGACGAGCAATCCCGCCTGCAAAGAATTGGCAGAGACCTTCGTGTCCCTAGTCAGATCCGGGATCCGATCGCGCAATTCTTCGAGCCACATATCTATGCTTCGCATAAAGCCATGGCTGTATTTCTCGGCCTGGCAGACGAGTCTACGAATGTGGTCGAGTACAAGCAGGAGACGCTGCGCAACGCCTACCTAAACCCGAGCCTGACGTCGGAGCCTCCAACTGTTTGGCTGCCAAATGATAGCCACGACAGTGGCGACACAGCTGGGCTGGGCTTGAGCAAGGAGGAAATACGCGAGAATGAAAGCGTGGGAATCAAGACGGTCGATGATGGTGCTTGGATCACAAAGAATGGGCAGGTCAAGTTTGCTGAGGATGATTTGAGAAATCTGCCTACTTGGAAAGATCCTGTGGCATTCTGAAGTTGTTTCTGAAAAGACATCGGTGTCTACGTTCGTATCACGGGGCCAATTGGTGGATGAGGGGGAACGGGGTGTCAAGAGCACACAGCAAATGGTGAAGGGGAAAACACCGCAACTCTGTGAACACAGAAAGGAAATTTGGCATTTCATAATAGCTACAACGCTCCACAGCCAAGGAACCGCGCTGGTGCGTGACTTCTGCAAAGATGTTGTTTCCAAGTCCGACACGCTGGATCCAAAAGCTACTGATATGTTGTACATTGCAACCTGCTGCTGAATACAATCCCAAGGCGCACCGCTATGAGCAAGCATCTTGCATCATCGCACCGGAAGGTGCTCGATATGGACTCGATATGTTCATTATACGTCATATATTAAGGACACCGCCAGAGACGAGTAAACCTCGGACCAACTCCCCCTTCTTGTCAACCGTCCGTTGGTCCGCCCTTTTGCTCGCCTTCGCGCTCTCTTCCCCCCCTTGTGAGACCGAAACCCGGTCTCCTTGAAAATCGCTGATTGTGCTTGCCATGACATGATAAGGAAAGTAGTGTGCATGCTTGACTCAGGCCACCTGCTACGAAACAAGAATATATCATTATGTGCGATGCGTCTGTGTATCCGTGCCTCGACTGCTGTTGATCTCGAGCGGGACACAATGATGGGATCAAAGGTCATAGTTCTGATATGTGCAACTGCACGCCGCCGAGCTGTCCAACACAGTGAGGTTCCCCACGGGATTCCCCTGGCTGTCCCGACAGTCCGGCACGCCTTGGCCCGCGGTCGCGATCTGTCGCACGTCCACTGCGTACGGCCACGGGTCGAACGTGGTGCTGCTGGTGCTGCTAGTGCTGGTGGAGCTGCCGCTACCACTGGCGGCATTGTTGTGCACCGGCGAACTCAGGCCGACTGGGTAGGTCGCGGCGCGGCGGGTGTATATCGTCGCGCCCATGATGGTGTTGTTGTAGTAGCACGTCACCGTCCCAGCACTTCCGCTGGCAGTGCCGCCAGTCTGCTGGACGGACAAAGGCGGGCTGGGCACGACGGCGGCGTTCATGGGGAACTGGAAGACGAGCCGCTCGTTGGCGCTGCCGGGTTCGAGGAACTGCATGTCGACATTGTCGAACTGGGGGACGAAGGGGTTGCGGGCGGCTGAGATCTTGTAGGCGGGAGGCTGTGACGACGAGGACGACTGGGCGATTGTCCAGAAGAATACGGCCTTTGACGACGAGTTGGACTGCGCGTAGGTTGTGTATGGGTAGCACCGGAACGCCGACGTCTCTGTTGTGCATGCCGTGCTGACATTGTCCAGGGCCGTGGTGAAGGCGTAGGATCCTGCGGGGAAGGCCGGGCCGCTGTTTCCTTGGTTGTTGCTGCTGCCGCTGTTGTCGTTGTTGCCGCTGCTGGAGGCGGAGCTGCGAGGCCGCAATTAGTCTGAAGAACAGCATCTGGATATGCAAACATAAAGAGACAGGCCTTTCACCGGTCCTGTGCGGATTCCTTCCAAACAGCAGCTTACCTCGAACGCCGCAGCCCGACTGCGAGACCGACGGCAAGGGCGACGACACAGATCACACCAACGACGACCCCAAGCACAATCTTCCACCACCCGCCTCTCTTAACCATCCACCCTGGTCGCCTGTCCTTTGGCAAAGGATCCTGCGGCCCGACATCATAGCTTCTCGTGCTATTACTTGGGTCGCTTGTCGACGGCGTCGTCGAGCGGTACGCCGGCGGCGGACTGCCGGGGTACGGGAACTGCGCGTCACGCAGGGCGGCAGACCGGCGGGCGTGCGACTTGGCCGGGATCTGCGGCGTCGAGGGGGACGAGGAGAACGGATCCGACGACTTCTCGAGAATCTGCTGGTCTGCCGCGTCCGCCGCGCCTTCCGATATCACGGGCATCTGCTCGACGCTGTGCAGGCGCGACGCCGACGTCCGCTTCCCCAAGCTGCCCGGTCCTCCGCCTCCGCCTTTGCCATATCCTCCGCCCAGTCCACGTGCCATGGGGGGAGAGAAAAGAGGGAGTCCGGCCACGCGATGTGGTCTTGGAAGCTGCTTGTAGAGGGGGCACAATGGCTAATGCCGGGACATCATCTGCAGGAATCCGTTCGGGCAGACAACTAGCACAACGTGAGCACAGCCGGGAGTGCTCACGCAGCCAGCATGGCACAGGCAGGCTGGTGCTGCTCGCTGTTGTTTTGCAGTCCGCCCTGGAATCAGGTGTGGAGGAAAATAGTGAGGATGGAAAGAGGAGAAGCTCTCCGAGACGACGGGGGTCAGACACAGGACCGGCCGGAGGACAAGACGCCGCTAGAGACGCTATTCAGCTGCCGAATCACTTTGATCGTACAGGCACGGTGAACAAGTTAAGGAAAGGAGCCTCCCTTGAGGACTAGACACGACACTACGAGATAGGGACATCCTCGGCTGGGTCGGTCCCTTGTCTAGTGATGCTGTTACCCAGGGGAACTATTCACTGGAGCAAACCAGAACAACAACGCAGCTGCTGTGAGTGGGCAGGGTCCGCCAGCGACCATGCAGGCCGAGCTGATCTGCAGCGTCATCTCGATATGTGGACAGCACACTTGCGCCAGTCACCGATCCGCAACAGGTGCGGCTGTATCGTGCTCCATCGTATTAGTCCCTGCTGGCAGCTAGCTGAGGGTCGTGGGTGACGGAGGGGGTGTTCGGGGCCCGGAACGCGACCAATATCAGGATTCACCCTGCTGGCCTGCCGCCAGCAAGGCCTCGCTCCTCCCAAAAAGGGGTACTCCGGCCCAGTGGCATGTCCATCTATGAGCGCCCGGGCGGCACATTAGCCATTGTTCTCCTCACAACCAGCTCTGATCTGCCGCGGCTGCACGTCACAATCTGCACGCCTAGAGGCCAGCTTAGGTCGTGTGGCGCTGGGGCTAGCATGCGCTAGAGCACGAGTAGCGCATATCTGCGCGTGCGTGCGGGTCGATTTGTCCCGCCGGCGTCCGCGCTAGTTATGGATTTATTGCTCCTCTCTGTTCCCTGATGGGTTAGGCCCAATTGATTGTGTGTGCTTGGAGGAAGCTGAGCACACACACACACACGACACTGTTGTTGTAGTTTCGCAATGACGTAAAGGCCACCACCACAGGCGTCGTGGTGGAAGTGACCACTCTGTATTGAACATTGTCCGCTCTCCGGCCTCTCCCTTGCGCATCGCGAGATATATAACTCGCAACAGCTCGAAAAATAGAGCGAGTCGCATGACTGATGAAGATTCTAGGCTGTAACTCACAGGTCAAACCAGGATCACCGAAAGGAGAGGGATGCAAGCCGGGCTGAATAGTTCATTGAGTCTACCAGGTTGCCAAAGCTAGAAATGGTCTTGCACAAGAAGTAGGAAACATCAAAACAAGCGATGCTGAGATTATATCATGCTAAGCTCGTGCGGAAAACCACTGCGCCCTCGTACACTGTACCGTGCCCAACTCGTTCTCGGCCAAATAAAAGCAGTTCTCACCTATCCGACAGGTTGTAGACGCACCTTCATCACTACTCCTGCGCAACTTGTACCTCTTCCGACTGCTGCTCAGAGTCCGCAGGTGCCTCTTCCACAGCCGCCACGGCGGCCTCCTTTTCAGCCGACACATATGCTCGCTCCTCGAGGGTCTTGCTCTCCTTTTCACCATCGCCCCCACCTTCGCCCTCGCCCTCGCCGCTGCCGCTGCCTTCGACCCAGACCTGTGCGAGCTCGGCCTCGATCTCGTCACGGCGCTTCTTCCACGCGTCGACCTGCGCCATGCGCTCCTTGAGGTCCTGCAGCTCCTTCTCGACCTGCATCTTCTCGCGCTCCGTGCCGATGCGCTCAAACTCCCACTCGTCGCCGTTCTCGCCCATGCCCAGAACCAGGTTGAAGGTGTGATATTTCTTGAGCGAGGCGCGAGTCGAGATCGTAATGAGGGCTAAGCGCAAAGGGTAGTGGGTGGATTAGCATTCTTTTCCTTGGCCAAAAAAAAAAATCGCTCCTCCCATCAAGTAAAAAGTAAAGGTGCCAAAGGCAAAGCCAAAGGCCAAAAAAAAAAAAAGAAGAGACTTACTGATTCCCCTCTCCTTGCACGTCTCGTACAGCAGACCTTCCACATCGCTCGACACCGCGCTGGTGCCCTCGTCGATGACGGCGTACTGCGGCTCGTGGTACAGCAGGCGCGCGAAGCCCACGCGCTGCTTCTCGCCGCCGCTGAGCACGTCCTTCCACTCCTTGCGGGTGTCCCAGCCGCCCTCGCGGTCGGGGAGGTATCCGAGCTTGGCGGCGTCGAGGACCTCCTTGAGGTCGTGCTCGCTCTTGCGCTTCATCCGCATGTCGACCTCGCCGTCCGGGTAGATGACCTGGTCTCGCAGCGTGCCGACGCTCAGGTACGGCCGCTGCGGCAGGAACATGATGCCGTCCTGGCCGATCGACTTGGGCCGGCTGGTGAGCCCGCGGTAGACGGGCCACAGGCCGGCGAGGATGCGGGCGATGGCGGTCTTGCCCACGCCGTTGGGACCCGATATCAGGAGGTGCTCGCCGCGCCTGACAATGAGGGACAGCGACTCGAGCAGCTCATCGCCGCCTTGCGGCCACAATGCCGGCGCCACGACCGGCACGTGCTCCAGGCGCACACCGTCGAAGCCCTTCTGCATCGTTCCCTGGACGTCTGACAGAGAGTAGAGCTCGTTCCCGGTGGGGCGAGGGACGTAGGCCTCGGCGTGGACCCGATGCAGCGTCGAGATGAGCGTGTATACACGGCTCGTGTAGCCTGCCAGCTCAGACAAGTCTTTGATCGAGTACATCATGCGGCCGCCGGCATCGGCCAGGGAAAGCATGAGACGCTTGTTGGTGATGAAGTCCTTCATGCGGTTGTGCTCGCGGCCGCTGGAGCCGGCAGCCTCGGACAGCTCAGAAGCACCACCTAGACCACCCCAGGCGGGCAGGAAGACCGGCAGAGAGGAGAGCAGGTAGCCGTAGGCACTCCAGCTGTACTTGAGGATGAAGTCCTCCAAGATGTTGTAGCGGATCTTGAGCATGTAGATGCCCTCCATCCAGGACTTGAGGGACTTGAACTCCTTGTTGAGGAACGTCTTCTCCATCTCGGCGCCGCCATAGAATGCCACCTCTTCTGCGTTGGCAATCAGCCTGGCATGCAGGCTGCGGAAGTCTCCCTCTTTGCGTCCTTCTACGGCTTTGAGCTTCCCAAATGGTGGCGACATCTTCCGCAGAATGCTGGCCGTGAGGAAGTAGTTGCTCAACAGGCCAGTCAGGGCAAGCGGGCCCAGGGACCGGTAGAGCTGGTAGTTGAACACGCACAGATCTACGAACGGCTTGCCGAGCGACGAGTAGAGGTTAGCTGCAGACGCACAGAACAGCGTGAGGTCCTGCGTGATGAACTGATCGGCGCCCTGCCCGATGCCGCCGTCCAGGTTGGACAGCTTGTAGTAGTTGAGGTTCTCGTTCAGATACAGGTCGTGGATGTAGCGCGTTAACCGGGTACGGAAGGCGATGGACACCTTGGACTCGAGGAACTTGATCATGGAGTTTGTGTATGATGCCAAGCCACCGAGACCACACCACTATATCGGAAATGAGTCAGATTTCGGACATCTCACCGTTGCGATTATTCTAGGAACCAGCAGCGGAACGTACCTTAGCAATGCCCCACAGGAAGAGCTTGCCGTTGCCGGCAACTAGATCACGAACGATCTCGCCGTCGAGGCGCGCCACGACCAGTGAGAGATATGTGCGCAGCATGAGGAACGCGCCATGACTGACAAGCAGGCCTGCCTCTTTACTTGTCCACCGTGGGATCATGATGCTCATCAGACTGAGGAACTGGTGCAGGAACGCCAAGTTGAGACCAGGCTTGGTCTGTGCCGAAGGCAAGGCTGTCCCATCATTGCCGCCCTGCAGGCCAGAGACCTTTGGCGGATTGAGGAACAGCCGGCGATGCGCCTCAAAGGTCAGGGGCTTGGTTCTGCGGACGACGACCTTTGAGGTGCCGCCGCGCGAGGGGACGTATATTGTGCGCGAGCCGTCCTTGTTGAACAGCCACGAGTTTGTGCGCACGAGCTTGCTGCCCTGCTCCTGCTCGAGCCTCTTGCGCTTCCAGCGCCGCCGGGCGCCTTCGCCGGCGAAGATGATGGCCGTGGCGAGCGCGATGGTGGCGAGGATCTTGGCGCGGCGGGATATCCTGCGTAGACGATCCTGGACGATGCCTGTGTACTTGGATATGAAGGCGTTGAGGATGTCCTCGGACCCGACGGCGGGCTGGCGCAATGTTGACTGCGCGGGAGCCATGGTGGGCGTGTGGCAGGGACTTTATCTATTGCAGAGGGTAATCGTCGCTGTGATGGGATGGACTATGTCGCAGCCATGGGTAGTGTCGTTGTTATGGCTGGATGGTTCGCAGGGCTGTTTGTGGCAGTTTGGACAAGTCGGTGATGCTGCTCCTGCTGCTGCCACAGGTTGCCGCTGCACGACGCAGGATAGGCGATGCGGAACAGCTCTCCAGAAAGGCCCCAGGACTAATTGGGGGAGGCCTAAGGTGCTAGCAGGAGAAAGCGGCGATGCTGGCGACACGTGAAGGGCAATGCGGAAACGAGGTCGGCAGCTCTCAAGCTCCGTCGTGGCCGGTCGAGTGTGTGTCGGCGTCGGTGGTGGGTGAGTGAGTGAGCGGCATGTGACGACGGCCGGGCGTGGCTGTTGGTCCGAGGTCCAGCGAGCGGCTCGAGTCAAGCCTGCCGCACTACATAATAGTGGGCGCCTCCAGGAGCTTCCCCCGATCCGTCTGGGGTTTGTGTGCAGCCACGCAGGCTCGCGGCCCAGAGGGGGGCCACTGGATACAACCGGCACCGCCACAGGCTGGTATCTATGACCAGCACGCAGTGGCTGAGGAGCGACGAGGTACCAGGACCCATTGGGCAAAGACTCCCGAGGTCATCTTACAGACAGGATGCTGAGGTCAGCGACTACGAGACATGGCCATCATGTCCCTGGTCCAACGCATCAGATAAGAACAAGTCTGGCGCCGAGTAGCGCCTGCTCCCTTGGGCCTGGCGACCTGGTCAGCTCGCAACTCTGGCGATGCATCTCTGCACCGTTCCTGGCTTCGCTCGCAATCGTCATGACATAATCACCCCCGTGCGTCGACAGTGGTTAATACGGCGAGGGAGGCAATCATCGCGTTTGGTGGCAAGCAACGGTTAGTTTCTGGAGTGCAGCAAAAGGTGGGGGGAGGCAGCATGCCTCCCTGTCCTTGCCGTCCCTCCATCAAGCCGCCTTGTCTGGAGCTTGGGCCTCGCCGGCTTGACCCCGACTACTCCGTAAGGTACGTAGATAAGACGGTGCCAATTCATGTCGAAAGAAAAAGACCCTGCTAGCCCTGCAAGTAGCGGACTGCTAGCAAGGACTGTCTGTGCTGCACGATAGTCCCGTAGATACCCCATCACGGCGCTTAGAACTCTTATCGACAGCCAGCCGAGCCTGCTGCTGGACCGGAGCTTGCGCCAGAGACTCAGGCACCACCAGACCTGTGCCTTGGTTTGCATGAACATGACGACCATGACTGGCCGGCCAATGCTGGGTGAGACACTACACCACACCAATGGCATCCCGCGTCGTACCCATGCCCGCCGAGCCAGCAAGCGCCGAGCGTCGCAATTTGTGATTGGTGCTGCGAACCAGCACCCATTCAAGCCTGGGGTGCCCCTGTTGGTCACCCGTGGTGTACTCATTTCGCTTGGGCTCCCGGTCCAGCGTCCTTCTCAGCCATGGACCGCTGAACACAGCACACTGCTGAAGCGGATAGGGGCGACCATGGTCGGATCGGACTGTCAGCTGCTGCCGTGTGTTATCCCTCCGACGGTAGACTGGACGGGCGTCGCTCTAGTCGGGTGCGGCGTTGGCGCACGATCGCCCAGGAACGCGCCTGGCGCGGTAGAAGCCATGGCAGCACATCTGCTCTGTCTTGTGTGGCAAGAGGCCGGCGCTAGGTCGATGTGTTCCCCCGTCGGATATACGAAACAACAACGACTTGGGACGGGCGGTTTCTGGGGCTGCGGTTCCGGAAGGAGGGCACTCAGCGGTGCGCGATACGTCTCTGGTTCTGCAGACAATCCCAGGGTCGTGCATGATGAGGCTCGACGAGAGCCGTGAACACATTGGGCGGGCTGGCGGAGTGTGTGAGCCGGTGGGTCAGCGGGGCCGCTGCGCGGTAAGATTAACTGACGCCCTGCCGGCGTGCGAGGGGCGCCCTCCCCTGCCGGGCCTGGTTGGCAGTCCCTGCCATGACAAGAGCCCTGCCGCTTCAATCAATCAATCAATCAATCGACCAACCCTGGCCGCCCCCCTCTGCCTCGCCTGCTCTGCTCTGTCTGGAGCGCGGACGCACGCCTGCACTGCCGTCAATCACCTGTGTCTGCACAGTACGAGTAGCGCCCCAATCTCCTTCATCGCCGCCCGACTCCCTTTCCGTGGCGTTTGTTGGCACCATCCTGGCACTGTGCCTGCCAGCTTGGAATCATCACCACCGGCAGTCAGAGTGACTGTGAGAGGAAGAGACAGGCCTCCACAGGGAGGAGACAGAAGGGGACTTGGAGGACACCCTCCCTGCTAGCCCGCCCGCTCTGGCCAGACCTGACCAACCTCATCCTGGCCAATCTCCACCTCTGAATCGGGTGCCTCTCCCCAAAGACACGCCCGGCGCCCGTTGCTACCACACTGACCCAGTCTGAACCTCTCTGGTGCTTCTCGCCCACACTCGGCGCTGCTCATCCCTTCACGACACGCGCATCCGTTCCTTGCACCTCCCGCCCGCCGTCATCGCGCCGCCCTTCGACCTCGTCGCGATCGCCTCGGTCCTGAGTATCTCCTTCTCGACTCGACTCGACTCTGCCTGTAGCGCTCCACGCAGGCAGCTCCATCGTCTTTCGGCCGTCGTTCCCTCCGCGTGATCGTTCTCCGCTTCAGGGGCTTGGGTTGTCTCCTAGCTTCGCATAGCTGCCCAGCTCGACACAGGTCAGTCACCGCCCGAGATCCATCCTCATGGGCCTCCACAGCCAGTCGCAGCGCACAATTGTAGTCACCGCCGTTCCTCTACGTGTCGCGCTTGACCACCGCCTCTCCCCCCTTTGACTCGTCGGATCGCTTTTCGCCGCGGCGAGGCTGCTCGTCACAGTGCCTGTCCTCCTGCACCTGCAGCTAGAGTGGTGCGCCGATCCAAAAGTCAACTCCTGATCTTCTTGGGCAACCCCATCGCGCGTGCAGCCGCAAACACTTGGACGATTTGATGATCTCTTGACTGACACTGCAATCATTCAATAGCACATTCACCTGTGCCCCTGGTCGATTTTCTAGTGCAGCAAGGGCTAGCGTGTGCGAACGATGTCGAGAGGCGCCGACAGAACGGCTGCGGCCGAGCAGCAGCCTGGCCACGAGGGCCGGGACAGCATCAGTGGGCAGTCATCCAGAAACAGTACGTCATCTCGCAGTCAGTAGTGAGAGACACACAATAACCAAGTAGGCGCAGTCACAGGTCAAACGGCTACACCCAGCACAACGTCGCCCAATTCGCCTGCGGCGGCACCGCAGAAAAAGAAGAAAGGCGGCCTGCTCTCGTTCCTTGGCTGCTGTGGAGTTCCCGACAGCGCAAACACTCTTGACGCCAACGAAGAACCATTGCCATCACACAAACTAGACAGGATCCCTCAGCGGCCAACGACATCGAGTCGGCGCACAGTCACTCCATCCGGCGAGCCAGCGTCCAGCAAGAGCCAGCTGTTTGACAAGGAGAAGGAGAAGGAAATCCAACCCGTACAAGATCAGTCAAGACCGGCAAAGCGCGCATCAGCATCCACATCTCAGGACCAATCTGGCGCCGACACGGAATCGAAACAGACCACACTCGTTGGCACATCGGGGCCAAGCATCACCATCAACGCTCCACCTTCCGAGACTCACCAAGAAAGTGCTGCACCGCATGCGGTGACCAAGGACGATGACAGCGATGTGAACATGACGGACGACCAGCCAGCTGTGGCAGAGCAGCCGCAACCACAGTCCGAGGACCAGTTTACGAAGTCGATACCCCCACCTCCAGGACCTGCTCCAGTAGCAGACACACCGGCCATCAGCCAGGAGGAGCCGGAAGCAGCAGCGAACGGCGAGACCCAGAAATGGCTTTTGCCCCCGATCGAGCCAAAGTTCAAGGGCAAGAAGTGTCTTGTGCTTGATTTGGATGAAACCCTGGTGCATGCATCTTTCAAGGTGGGCCTCTTCAAGCTGCAGCTGTTCCTTACTAGTAGATCATTACCACTAACCCGATTGACAGATCCTTCACCAGGCGGACTTCACCCTGCCTATCGAGATCGAGGGCAACTACCACAATGTCTATGTTATCAAGCGTCCTGGTGTCGATCAGTTCATGAAGAGGGTTGGAGAGCTGTACGAAGTCGTCGTCTTCACTGCTTCGGTGTCAAAGGTTTGTACTTCCCCAGCAGAGGTGCTTACGTACGGAAACATTAACCATTTGTCCAGTATGGCGACCCGCTGCTCGACCTTCTCGACATCCACAAGGTCGTCTCGCACCGACTGTTCCGCGAGAGCTGTTACAACCATCAAGGCAACTACGTCAAGGACCTGTCACAAGTTGGCCGTGACCTGAAGGACACGATCATCATCGACAACTCCCCGACGTCTTACATCTTCCACCCACAACACGCGATCCCTATCAGCAGTTGGTTCTCCGATGCGCACGACAATGAACTTCTCGACCTTATACCAGTTCTTGAGGATCTTGCTGGCTCCAACGTCCAGGATGTCAGTCTCGTCCTCGATGTCACACTATGAGCACATAATTCTTTTTCACTTGCGGTTGTAGCGCGCTTGCGATTATACCAGAGATGAAGCTGTCCCATCCCATGGCGCCTGCAACACCACATCGACTTAGCGGATCACGTACTGTTTAATGCTGAAGCTACTTGAGGACGAATTCAAATTGGCGCGGTGTCGTCCCTACATTGCCACGACTTTTGACCGCGCCGGACCGTGTCTACCGTGGCTTGTCATTTGCATGGAAGTCAAGCAGAGGAAGATAACCTCGCTATCCGTCATCCGGGAGAGCGCACGTCTAGACCTAGCGGCCTTTTCGCTTAGAGACTCAGGAAAGTCTTTGCATTTCGCCACAGATTCCTATGAGAGTCTGTCGCTTCTTTTGGTATTCCATTCGACAATAGAATGGCGCGATTCACGTGAGCGAACCAGCTGGCGACAACCTCTCTTGCCGACACCCCCAGTCGGCGACGGGCACTCGGTTGAGTGTTCTGAGAGCATCACCATACTCCGAACCAAGCATTAAATTCAAGGCTTGCTTTCAACCCCTTTTCTTATGTCTGAACCCAAAATTTTCTTCATTTCTTTCCATATATAACCTCATCGCCACTTCTTCTTCTTCTTGTATCGTGTTTTACCCATCCATGTTCCTTGTCTTCGTCTTATTCGTTTTATTCTTGCGGCGAAAGCATACATGGATTTCTTCATCAGCAGCGTGTTACAGAGCAGCAGCAAGGAGAGGCACAGTACGAGAGGGGACCAGTGTCCTTGTAAGTTGATGAAAGCAAGGAGATGCAGCTATCGAAGGCAAGAGCCAAAAACTCTCGGGGTACTGTGTTGATTGATGCCATAGGAAATAAATCGGCCTAGTCTATCATCACAGATACAATCAAACATGTTGAATCAGCGTATCACGTGTCACTGCCCTTGACAGGATGGCTGTCTGCACGCAGGCAGCTAGAAGCACAGAGGAAACCGCTTGTTTCTGGCAATGCATCGTGAATTTATGTCAAAGTCAACTCGCCCGGTCGCTATACATCCTGAGCTAACTCACGAATCACTTCTGGCTACTGCACACGATTTGTAGGGTGAAACACGCGCCACAACCCGCGCGTGTGTCCTTGAGCCTGATTTTGGTCCGGTGTCAACGTGACCGGCACAGGTCACCACTGTGCAGAGACGGACGGGCGCTGTCGTCCTACAGATCTATTCCAGTCGCGCTGCTTCTTGCAGCGACCTTTGAGGCTCACTTCGTGGGTCGTGCCACCCATCAGGGCCTGAGCACGGCTGCCAACACGATGGAGACAATACTCGTCGTCGTGGTAGCCGCCGCCGAGGTTGGTCTTCTCCTGGTCCAGCAGGCGCACCCAGCCGCCTTCCTCGAGCTTCTCGCATTCGTGGTCTGTGAGACCCCAGTGATCCGCCGCCCCATCCGTTCCGTCGGGGACGTTGTCGTCGTCGCCGCCGGCGTGGCCCACACCCCTGCTGCTCCGTGTAGCGATGGGGGTTCCAGTGTTGGTGTTTCCGCTGCCACGGCCAGGGCGGCTACTGTTGCTGCTGAGATTGCTGGCGCTCTCCCTGCGTTCTCGACCGCGACGGCAGCCAGCACATCTACAACGGAACCCCCAGTTCACGAAGAGCACCGCGGGAGGGGGCCCGTAGTTGATGGTGAGCTCCTGACCGGCCTTGACCCCGTCAGGCACGGAGACCGACAGGACGAGCAGCTTGTCGGCATCGCCGGGTGGCTGGTTCTCCGGGGGACGCGAGCTGTGATTGCTCTTGCTGTGGTTGCTCTTGCTGTGGTTGCTCTTGCTGTGGTTGCTCTTGCTGTGGTTGCTCTTGCTGTGGTTGCTCTTGCTGTGGTTGCTCTTGCTGCCGTCGCTGCCGTCGCCGTCGCCGTCGCCGATGCCAGGAGATGGAGAGGCTTTCGGTAGTGTGAAGGCGACGTTGTTGTGCCCCTTGCAGGCGTGATTGAAGCGTGCGGAGAGCGGGAAGATTCCTGAGCCGAGGGGCGTGTGGAAGCTTTTGTTGCGTGATATTCCCAAAGTCAGCAAGGCGCCTCTCCCTCTCTCTCTCTCTCTGGAAGGATGGATAAACGAGCTTGTAACGGCTATTGACGGCAAGAGGCAGAAGGGGAAAAAAGAATTGCTCTAAAAGTCTGACTTGAGAGACCAATTTTGCGAACTCACCAATTCGTCCAGAATCGCGCGGCGATGTCGTCAGTCCCGTGCGTCCGTCGGAACGAGTGCAGGTCGTCAAACATCCGCCTCGCCTCAGGGCTGAGCTTGTCTACCTCTTCATACAGCGTGGTGCGGTCAGCATAGAAGAGTGCTTCCTCGGCGAGGAGCCGTGTTCCGAAGGAGAGGTCGCGTGTGGCGAAGACCCCGGATCCGCCCAGCGGCGAGGGACGGACCTCGAACAATGGTGGTGGTTGTTGCGACGCCTGCAGGAGCGACACGGGGATGGTTGGTGCGGTGGCATCGGTGGAAGAGACGTTGGGATCGACCGGGAAGAGCGACTTCGTGGTTACTTCCGGTTTCTGGGGCTTGTCTGCCGCGTGCGCGGACAATGTGCAGTCAGATGGGAGTGACGCCATCTCCAGGGTTGATCCCACATCGGTCACGGCAGGATCTCTGTTTGTGAATGTGTTGCTGGACCAGCCGGACTTATCAACCGTAGGGATATCGCAGCCGTGGCGCGACGGAGACTTTGATTCGACGGTTTGGCAACCAAAGTCTGTGTCTTGACGATCGCCAGGTACAAGTCTACGAGTTGCAATTGAGGTTGTTGGCATTGCATTGCAAGCCATGATCGCAGCCTGTAAGCGCAGATGTCGTAGCAGGGAAGGAGCTTCTGCTTTGGCCGCTTTCGATCCAGGTCGTACGCTTCCCGCTTTAATCGTTTTAGTATCTTCGACAGGATGTTGAAGGGAGTATGAACTTGCGACTTTCTGACATGAAAAAATGAGCTTGAATGGCCACGATAATGTGAAGCAGACTTGCGGTTTACATAAAAAGTAGTGGGTGCTCCGTTTGTTTTCTATTTCGTTTGCTGTATTGATGCCGTAGTACTTGAGTGTGCTGATGCCTCGTCTCCTGCGGCAATTCAATACTGTGCTAAGGCTCATGAATATTTACCGGGGATTTGTTTCTCATGACTAGTGAATGGGTATCAAGATGTTATTGCGATTGCTCGTGCTTGACTCATAGTTCATGGGGTCGGCTGGGATGACAATGTGCTTTTACAAGCCGTAGCATTGTAAATGGGCACAGGCCTTAGTGTCTGCTAGGAAACTCGAGATTATAGTTCTGTGGTGTTCCAACAATCTTCGAGGGATCCATCCTGAAGTCTCTGATTGTTTTCAGACACTGGGAGTGCATTTAGTGGCATCTGTTGACGTGGCTTTGTCATAGGTGAAAGTAATCCGTACGCTTCACATCATACAAGTCAAACCGCAACCTGCGTGGTTGCGTTTCGTGAGAATGCAAACTCGACTCCTGAAACTGATATATGTTCCGCATCATTTCTATTTGTTCGAGGCAGAATCTCCAAGTTTAATTGGCAGATGCGAAACGCAACAGGTGGGCTCACTGTATCCATCAACGTCCAGTCCTGAGAAAACCAGCCCGCTAGGGGTCTATCAGGTTCTCGTGAAACTACCTAGATTCATCTATGGCTGTCCGTAATTGGTGTGTTTCTAGAGGTAAGGCAGTGGACGTGGTACACACGTCGCAGGTGAGTCTGCGGCACGCAAACGGCTGTTTAACGATCCAGATATTTGATGAGGCACTATCTACACGAAATCATGGAGAAGTGCCATGAAACTGTACCCATAAGTGCAAGCTGGCATATCTTCGGCACAACCCAGCTTCCAATCACCCACGGGCTCGGCAAAGACGACAATTGCGGCAGATAAGCAACAGCCAGGCCAAAGGTGTTAGACAGGTTTAAATGTGATGCCAATAGAAAGGATGACTTGCGGCACTCCAACGACCATCTCAACTGGTTGGTGTATTTGGCAGATGTCAGGAATTGGCAGCCACCTGTATGTTATAAGTGGCAACAAAACTGTCCAAAGGGCCAAGTAGGATACGGCATGATTGTTGGGTCGTGAATCATGCATGATTAAGCGCAACAGTCTCATTTGAGTCCCAACTTTGTTCCTATATGAGGTTGTTGATGGAAAGTCGTTGGCAAGAGCCAATTTCGTTGCGAAACTGATCTGCATACCAGGGAACCCTGCTTCCCCAAAGTCCTGCAACACATGGGAGCTTATCGCAAGTTGTAGGAACGGTCTCCCGGAGAAACTAGTCACAGACCGGCATCTGGTATGTGTTTCCCAGTTCAATGCTTGCAGCAGAAGTCGACGCCGCGTCCTTCCCCCAAGCACCAATGAAGAGATTGCAGAGGTTCAGAGGTTATCCAAGGGCTAGCGGTTTCGTAATATTACAGGCCACAGGGAAACATGACTCATTGGCAAGTGCGCGTAAAGTTTATGAGAACAAGAACAGAGCCCTCCTGCCCGCCTGATGCTAGAGAGATCGCAAAACGATGGTGTGCGACGTTTTAGGACTTTGTTTGGCCTTGTATGTCAAAGCATACGCCGAGACTCTCAAACTTTCAGGGCCAAGGTAATGGAGAGGGCAAAAGACAGTGGGATTTCATGGCTCATTCTACGCTTCACAACTATCTGAAGGTCAAGGCTTTGGGGTATGTATGGCAGGCCTTTCGATGTTGGCAGGCATTTGCTTTAGGCCAAGCAGGAAGAATTCTGAGCTGATGCAGATTCCTCTATCAGCCGCCAATTGATGCTATCAAGCACACTGGCCCCTATGTCATTGCTGTGAGTCTGGCACAAGATGTCCAAGAAATACCCACGATGCCAGCGTCTCTGGTACCGCGCCCTGGGCCATGAATCACTGCAGATGGGAGCGACGAGGGCTATCATGGACGGCACTCTCGTGCGCAGGGGAGTCTCAGACCAAATGACGTAGCTCATGTCACGGCCACTGTAGGGTAATATTCGTGGCCGTTTCACTGTCATTGGACAGGGGAAGGTCTTTCTAATCCTAACTCAATATGGAATGGTTTCCAGTTCCACAGTCTGCCTCAATGATCAGTTCGTGCTAATTGTAAAAGCACGGTGAAGTTCACGCGCTTCCCCCTTCATGGTTGTCACTGAACGGCTGGGATAGATACTCAGGTGATGGCAAAGGATCGAAAAAAGAACCACGGGGTATCACAGACTATGATTTGGCCCGTCATGCCAAGTCCCACGTTTTCCGGAAATTGACGGGCTATCTTAGTAGCGAGGAGCATCTGGATAAAGTCTCTTGTCCTCCGAATGAAGGTGGCCTCTGAGACTGAGACATAGGGTATTCACCAGCCAGTGCCGCCGATTAATGGTAGTACTGACACCCGAGGACCTACCGAGGGGAGCAAAAAGCCTGTAATCACAACTTACACAGCCTTCTTAAAATTGGATCTGCCGAGGGGATACGACATTCCACTGTGAGTCACCCTTGCCAACAACACTGCCTCCTCAGATCCTGCTGACTTGAGTCGCCGCTGGGGTTCATGGCGCCCAGATTTTTTCAATATTCACCAGCCTGGCATCGTGGTGTTCTTACCTCGGCCCCCAATCGCTATTTCCAGTTCCTCAAGGCACTCTCGAGTTCAATGTGGGGATCTTCACGGTGGTTTTGGTGTAGGCTCTTGAGGTGGGCTCTGTCTGCGTGGGAGGACTGGAGCTCGAGGTCGGCATGGTTACTACGACGGGTTTCGATAAGGTGTAGAATGTTTCCGCACCACCCGACTGGGTGCTGAGAAAAAGACGCAGATTGAGCCAGGCAGCAGCGGCTTGAACCGTGCGATGTATTCCATGATGGTTAATATTGTAGACTGCGAATCGCAATCCGTAGTCTTGGTCAAGCTCATAGACACCAAAGAGAACAGGCTACAGGCGTCCTCTCACCGGAGTTCTCCAAAAAAAAAAAAAGAGTTGCAAGGTCTTGCGATAAGCCGCCAGGCATCGACTTGGGACGAGCGGGTTGCGTGATTAACGAGCAATTCGGCACAAAGTAGCGCAGCTCTGCAGCGTCTCTAGGCAGCGAGATGTCCCGACTACCACCAAGTCACCCCAACACGTATTCTTCCAGCTTGTCTATTCTATTCTCTTTGAGGCGCGGGTGCCACCTCGCATTGCATCCCGCATTCCTTGATATGGATTCCAAAGGGTTTGTTCCCGTGCAGCTATTCTTAGCGCCCCGGCCGCCTGGCCCCCGGCACGATCCAGCCAATCAGAGATGCGCCTCGCCGGCCAAAATCTCTAGAAGTGGCAATTGCCAAAACCCGCCACCAATCATTGGCTACACTCAGCCTTATGATGCAAGCGCAGCGTCCCTTTGTCGACTTGGGGGCGCACGAGGTGCCAAACACACACCGCTGCATATTTCGTGTAGGCTCCTGCGTAGCCACGCTGCATGGGGGTCTAGACTGCAGAGTGAGCCTTGCGATCGCCCGAGGTGTGCTCAGACGAACCCCAGTGCCTTGCAGGTCGTCACTGCCCGCTCTCGTCTAGGCGAGTTCCGGCGTGGAGCCAAATAAGCCGCGGCGGGCCAGATTTGGATGTCTTGCCGGCCAATGAGGACTCACGATCGCACCTTATTTCTCTCAAGGAAAGGATCACCGACTGGACGTTGGTCAATAGAGACCGTTCCTGGCCCTTGGTGACACCGACATCGTGGCTTCAAGAATGCCTCCATCGGATTTGACGGGCGGCAGTCCGAAGCTGCCGGCTTCCCACGAGGCGGTTCTTGCCGAGCACCTGAGGCCCTGAGGTGAGTGGATAGGGGGACTTGTCCATTCAAGGGCACTTTTCCGATGACCTCGTGACCTCCATGCCCTCGAAGGATCCTATAACAGAGTGAACTCGAATTTGTGATTGGCCGGATGTATGCTGACACATCAACGGACATCCCACACCAGAAGTATACGCGTCCACAACCTTACAGGGTGGACTGCGGCCAGGTTAGGGGCTTAAACATGATTAGGCCCCCTTCATTGAGTGGGATGAGAGCGGGATGAGTCCAAGGAGCCAATGGGAGGAGTTCCTATCGTCTTCATCTCGAGCACGTCTCCCCCCCGGCATCCTTTAGGTTGCTACAAGGGGCGCAGTACGGCGTTGCTAAGTTGCAAGAACAGTTCCTTGGTTGGTGGAAAAGGCGGCACGTTCGTGCTGACAATCTCCACTTCTCCTGAACCAGGCAGCTTCGTGCCGAAAGGCAGAGTTTCGCTGCCCTTGAAACGAGACTGGTTCCTCAGCCGCAAATGCCGTGCTGGGAAGTGCAGGATTGAACTGCAAGGCACGTTGTCAGCCTTACCAGCGTCGTCACCTCCTGGGGGCCACGGGATTGGCTCGTGGCTCCCTGAATAGAAGCTTGCTCCGGACCAAGGACACGCAACGGGGCTCTCCGGCCGGACGACCATGCCGAAAACGGGATTCGCCGCCGCGTAGTTGGCCGATGGCTCTTCGGCAGGAAACGAGGTTACTACACAGCAGTCACATTCTTTGTCGTCAGAGAACTCTAAATGTCGTTGGGCTGGTTGGAAAGCTGAGTATAAAGCTCTGGCAGGCCGCCAGCCGATACTCAGTTCAACAGATCCACAGACATCCCAAACTCTTCGAAGACTTATAAAGAGCACACAGAAAACTAAGTACGGCCACATTCACCCACATCATAGACAATTCTACGGCCAACCAGAGCGCTAACTAAGATTGTCTCGACACAGCTGTTCTCGACACTGATTATTGCGCTCCAAGATAACTGTATCGAGCTCTTGAAAAAGTTCAAAGCAAGATGCCGGATTCCGGAAATGACCAGCCCGCGCCTGACACTGGTTCGACCGGCGGCGAGACGACCGACACGACTTCGACCAGAGGCCGTAGCAGGACTGGCTACAACTGAGATCACTTCTGTGTTGGTGCCGGAGAGCAGCGAATTGCATTACAGCGCAGGCCTGCTCAAAGTCAGAGGCTCTCACAATATCGAGGACTGACGGCCAACAATACCCCTGAAGGCATCCCCTCCCCAACGATTATGTTTTGCGATGGTGGAGGAATTGCGCTCTAAACAACTCTGGGTGTAGACGAGAGCTGGACTAGAGGAAAGGGCTCATCCTACTTTTAGTGGTGAGCGTCCACGCCATGATGGGCCTGGGGATATTGATGGGACGTGGGAAGGAGGATAGAAGCGCGGAACACCAAGGAACAATGTTGTTACATTGGTCCTACGAACTTAGTAAACCAATCTCGGCCATTGTTTTCAGATGTTCGGCCGGGAGAGAGAATTGCGATGGCATTGGGATTTTTGGGCACTTGGCATGTAATAGCCAGCCATCATAGAAATCTGGAAGTATTCATCCGTAGTGCCTATGACTTTTACCGAGTGTTGGATTGCCTATGATTCAAATGTGGAATTCCCAGGTGCTTTGGCCTGGAATGATCTAACCGTCCCTTCCAATTTACATTCTCGGTGACTACAAGACCTCTTGTATGTCTCGGCCAACACATTGAGCTGCGCCATCAGGTTTGACTGGGCCAGCTTGACGAGCGTGGAGATCAGTGACAGCCAGCTCAATCACGTTATGGAGAACGGTCTAATAGCTATCTGAGCTGCAGTCTCACTGCCATGTCGTTCCTCCTTGAGAGGAAAAAGGTTTCAAATGCTCGAATATGATGGAAGGGACATGTCCGGAAAGAATCGCTGTCAGCCGGGCCTACGGATTGTTGTTGCATGCGCCAGGATGCAGCATTTCCTGGAGACGGCGCGTCTCAGAGTTCTCATGCTTCGAAACCTTGGACGGCTGAACGGGGAGATATAGGTCCGGTGCTGCAGTTTAAGACGAGTCCAACTGCAACCAGGGGCTCTTTCTCCTGCAGTATCGCGGGATATGTGTTTTCGAACCGTTCAGCCAAGCAAAACCCACGTCAGTTACAAGATAAACCGATCAGTGGTTTTGAGGTCTTTATTGCTTTGATCTTGAATGATTCTTAGATAATCGAACACAGCTAGCGAGGCTGGTCGATCAACTAACAGCGAGTGACTGATCGCCACCGTGGCGAGGGGAAGGCACTGGGCGTCGTGCTCAAACCTGGTGCTGGAACCTAGACCAAACTGTCTGGAAGAACACGAAACAACAATCAGTGACAATCCGTTCCAACTCACCATGCCGGTGATGCCAATTTGGCACAAGGCATGAGTCTCTGTGGGCAGCGCAACGAGAAAGCAGTGACTGGAGACCCACCAAGCCCTGCAAGACCACATGCAACGTGGTGGCCAGGTACTGTAGTAGCCAGCTTCCGCGATCGCGGAACCCAGAAGGTGACAGTAGCATCGAGAGACCGCAGCCATCGAAAGACTAATCGCTAATTCCCGGGGGTCGCCGGCAAACCCAGAGATCTCCTATGCTTTGTTTACCCGTTCTGGCCATGGATGCAACTCCAAATTGGTTGCCCCTTGCTTCTCGCCCCGCTTCAGGAAAGCATTCTAGCCAGATCTGGATGTGATAGGGGGCCGTTGTTGGTTGTGAACCCTGCCAGACAACAGGCCTTGGCGATCGTCAACCTGCTTCAGGAAAGTTTGCTTGTGCGACGGGGTTGAGGTGGTTCGAGACCGGTCTTTGCGGGAATAGCTGGTGTTTGATTCACGATGCACTTTTGCTCCTACCAGCGCAGAAGCAGCTTGTGAGTCCTCTGGCGAAGGCTCCGCCGCGGACGGAGGTATGCCTACTAGTAGGCGGCACTTGACCATCAAGTGGCCACTGCGTGATCCTTGAGAGGAGGGTCTAGGAGGAGCGTGATTTGAGGATGACGGTCAAAATCGCTGGTCACGTCCTTGTCTTGGGGAGAGATGATGCGAACAGCTTTGTCACTGCCTCGATTGTTTCTCTGTTCTCCAGAAAGTGCTTCTCCACAACTTCTCACCTAAATCGTATCCCACAGGAGTATATTGAGACTGGAATGATGACGCGGCTTGCCACAAGTGGCCAGGAATGTGGATGGAGTTCCGCGTGCATTTTTGTTCTCAGAAGTCTCGTATGGTGGCAAGCACCTCATCTTTCAGGACCTTGTCGAAGACTTGCGACTGCCCTTATGCCGGAGGAAGCCTACTGTGCTCTTTTCGCACATCGACTTTTGCCCTTTCCCAGACAGAACTCCCTGAGGGGTTGCAGCTGGCGGGACCAAGTCAGATGACCTCGCGACTCTGCGAGTGCTACATGCGCCATCGAAAGGGTTGCCACGCAGTATTCCAGCCATGACAGATCACATCTGAATATTGTTGTTGCAGGAGACCGGGGGGGGGGGGGGTTTCACCGGCCCGGTACAGCATTTGCCCCAAGTGGACCATCGAGTGGCCCCTTCTGGCTGTGCTCTCAACAGGGACGGTATCCCCAGCTGAGATTGCGGATTTCTTTCCGAGCAAGGGTCATCCTGGATGTGTGATCTTGGCGATTGTCGACATCTTCACATCCCCGGGCGCGTGTAGAGGTGTTGACCTAACAAGCGCCGCGCTGTGAACCCTACCATCACACTTGGCAAGGTCATTGCCATGCCTTCGTTGTCTGTCTGCCTGCCTGCCTTCCGTATGCCTGTAAACATTTAGCGCGTGACCCTCGCTTTGAAAGCCAGGGGCCGATCCCAAACCGCCTGAAGGACTGCCATCGATCCATATGAACTTGGCTACAACTTCAAAACAGTCGCGGTCGCGCTTCAGGACATGGGGGATCCATGGATCATTAATCTGGCCATTCAGGCGTTTTGCGGAGGAGCACCCAAAGGGAAATAGTCAGTCAGTCAGTCGCCAACCCATTGTGTAGAGCTCGGCCCGGTGTACAGAAGTGCAGGAAGCGGGACATCGGCTTCAGATCAGTGACAGGGGTCCTCATGGTTTGGACCAGGGACCGATGGCAGGTGATCGATTGTTCCGGTTTCCGCGACGAACGACCACAATGCCCGCAGTGCCTGGGTGGAGAACCCTCTCAGTCAGGTCATGTAGCATAGACCCGCTCAGACGGAGTATATGACGACCGTTTCTGCCATTACTTGACGTCTAGTCGGATTCACCTGACAAAGGGCCACCGGCCTCGGCAGGCAAGCAAGCAAGGAAGCAAGCAATCAGGCGGGCATGAATCAAACCTGGAAACCGAGCTTCGGCACACAAACCCCTAGGCCATTGGTTGGTCGGCAGTAAGAATTCTAGATCCCACAAGGCATTCCATTCCTCTTCTGAACCCATGAACCATAAGATACAAGTATTGTGCATCCTGCCCATCCCGTTTCCCCCCCAGCGAAGTACACCATGGCCATTGGCATAACTTAAGCACCAACAGGTCCGGGGCCCCCGTCTTTCGTACCTTGTCTTTTCAGGGATGCCCTTATCTCCCATTCGTCTGTGAAGCGCGCAACGTCTGCCCATGCCAAGGAGGTACCAGTCAAGGGTGGATCAGCGTGTTCTTATGTGGCTTCCTTGTTACGCGCGCCCCATGACGTTTGGGCTACGTCTGGTCACATCTCGATAGCCCGGGTCATGGGCGTGGGTGCCCAGCTGGCAGGATGAGAAGTCAGCGCCCAAACGTGGCAAGTTCACAAAGTCAAAGCAGCAGGTACAGCAAGTATGGCCAGATCACCAGGCTTTAGAAGTTAGACGCAACAGGCGCTGGAAATATTCTGTAAGCTCTGTAGACAGGCGGAGCTTACCACCCGCTTCCTGGCTCCAATCGGGCTCGGCCCGCTCTTTAAACGTCTCACGATCTCCGAGCAGGGGTGCATCACATCACATCACATCCTTCGTGGTCGGCCATGTCGCGGCCCAGGTCGCCTCAAGCAGGATTCCAAGAAAACGAACAGGTGTCCTGCAGTTGGGCAGGACGAGCAGTGCTGCAGAAGACGGCCTTGGGTCCACCCACCCTCTGTAGTCACGGCAAGCCAGATGCTGACATGTTCTAGTACCAACACAATGCTCCAGGACTCAGACGGCGCAGTTGGCCCCCTACTCCAACCACGCAAATCTTGTACCAATCTTGTTTCGGCCGTGCTTTTGTCTTTCAGAGACCACGGGCCCCCCTGTTAAGCACCCTCGCCTCGCGCCAGTGCCGAACCCTGGTTAGGGGACTTTCTCTCCACATCGTTGGATCTGGCAAGTGATTCCGAGCATGGGATTTGCAGTAGTGGCTCTAATTCCAAATCATGCCATCGCGTCTGGATCATGCCGTCACCGTATTGGACGGAGTTGCCGACCTTCCCATGAATGGCCAACTTGGACTAGACGAGCAAGGACCTCAAAGTCGCCTGTCCACGCTGGGCGACGCCAAGGGTGTCCTCCCCAGATTGCCATATAGGAGACTCTTTTCGTTCTCTTCATGATCTCAGTGGCTGCTTGTGTTGTATCTCATCGCGGCTCACTTGGTGCGGAATACAGTAACAGCAACAAGAAAGATGTGGTCCGACCGGTGTTCTTATCCAAGCTTGGATTGTCCCACAACCACGGCTGGTCCACGACGACGCACGTCATCAAGCCAGAGACAGTCACCTTACCCGAGCCACCATCAATTCCGCACCACAAAAGGCACCTTCTTCGAAGTTGCACTCGTCTCTCAACATCATCAAGGGAGCGAAAAGACGTCGCCGTGGCTCACTGATGATGACGATGATGGACGTCAAGACTCCCCAACAAGCTCCACCAGCCGGACAACTACCCCAGACTTGACACGCCAGCGATCACTTTCATCGTCTTCCTTTGCAACAAGCAACTGGTCACCCTCACCAGTGACGGGGGCAGTCGGATTCCCTTCGATGCAAAGCGGCATACAGCGACATGAGGCGGATCAAGCCATGACAGTACGACCAGAGGCAGAGCCCACGCTGCTGGGCACCCTGATCACGATCGACTCGCACGCATGGACAGACAGAGGCAAGGCCGATTACTGGATGTGTTATACATGCACGAGGAGACTCCCACCCGAGGACTTCAAGTGCGAACAGACATTCAAAGTCCGACTCGGTGACCACTGGGACAGCCCTTCTGTGCACCTCCGAAGGTTTTGCATCCCGTGCGGGATCAAGCTCGGTGCCCACCGGCCCGGGCCCGTCTTTGAGACCAAGCATGCGACGACGAGGCGATGGATATGCAACTGCCTGCGGATCCATGACGCGGGAGTCAGCATCTGCCCCAAGTGCAACCGGCTCAGCACCCCTACCGAGCAGGCGGGAGTGTACACGTTCCAGGTTTCGATTTCTCCTTCACCATCGTTATGAGGACTAGGCACCAGCGGCCTGCGCTCTACCGTTGTAGATTTGGGGATGCAAATCCACCGTCCAGTTTTCGTCTCATTTCTGTTCTATTCTGAATATTGCTCACCACTTTCTGGGAAACTGTGGACACGCTTTTATGCTTTCAATCTTTCTTGTAAAATGACGTTTGTACTTGCAACTTTTCACCAAGCATCGGGGGTTCCAGCCTCTTCGGTTCATAGGCCAAAAAACAAAACAAATGAACAATACCCAACAGTATTTTGAGATGTCGACGGTGCCCGTGCCAGATGATGAATTTCAATCTGTGCAGGCATCCACGTTGCTTTGCCGTGGAAGTGGGACACTGTTGCGACAAAGATCCGCACTTTGGGGTTGTGCTCTTTTCAATTGTGCACCGAATACAGAGCAGACAGTCCCCAATGCACGCAAAACCACGTCGTTTTACGGGAATTGAAATGATGAAAGTGCCACAATATCAAATCTCAACCGATACAGGAGTGCATAACCGTGGTTGTGGCTCTTATCTTTGCATCTAATCTTTCACATCTTATCTTTTGCATCTTATCTCTGATTGATCTGTGTGGCTTCAGCGACCAGGGATCGTCCCGGAGGGGATGGAGATCAATCAACCAAAGTCCTCCTGAGTGGACCTTCCTCATCGGGGCCCCCGCACATCCACTCAGGTTTCTCACTCACAAAGTGCCGGCCTCGGCGCGTGCAAAGGAGGAAACCTCGACAACGTATAAGAAGTCTCGCATGCTTGGCGCAAGAGAGAGAGAAAAACACACACACACACGCCATGGCTTCAACGGACGCGCACCACAATGGGCTGCCCAGCGAGACACAGCCATTGCTTAGCAGCACCCGGCGAGCCAACCACAGCGGGGACATCGCCATACAGCAACCTCGCAGATCAAACCAGACGCCCTTCAAGTCTGGATGGACAGCGGCGCTCGTGCTTCCCAGGGTTGCCCCCAAGGGCCGCGGGCTCGTCAACCTTCTGGCATGTATCATGTTCATAACGGCCTGCTCCGCGGGGTTCCTCATCCTCCCTCACGTGCGGATCCTCGAGGACATCTTGTGCCGAGACTACTACGTAGACAAGACTGGTCCCATCGATGAGCTGCTCTGCAAAATCGAGCCGGTGCAGAGCCGGCTGACGGCCATCACCGGCCTCAAGGTCGGGCTCGAGGCTTTCGTGTCTCTCTTTGCGGCCTTGCCGTGGGGCTTGCTGCCGATCGGTAAGGGCATTCCTCCTTCTTGCTTTTTGTTTCAAGCTGGTTCCTCCTGCAGATTCTCCTGGATGGCGAGTAACGGACCGCTAATCGGAGTGTATTGTCCCGCCAGAATTGGCCGACGGCCAGTCTTTGCCATTTCACTACTTGGCATGGTTCTTAACGTCATCTGGGTGACGGCCGTGATGTGGTTTCACGATGCTATCCCCGTGCGACTCATCCTTCTTGGAGCAGCAGGTCCTCTTCTCGGCGGCGGTGATGCGGTAATGGCCGGCGTACTATTCAGCATGGTAACCGATGCCACAACGGAGGCCGAAAGGTGAGCCTTTAATGAAAAACGTCAACTCCCCCTTGGGCGGTATGCTAAAGGGTATCCTCAGGTCGATCTGCTTCCTGCGAGTCCACGTCGCCACCATGTGCGGCTTCCTGCTATCGCCTACTCTGTCCTCCATAATGATGGAAAAGACCGGCACGCCATGGTACAACATCATTGTCGGCTGTGGACTGCTCAGCTTCGGCGCGGCATCGATCTTTCTCGTGCCCGAGACGCTGCAGAACAAATCTGCACCCACGGGATCCATCCTGCACGACGACAACCGCGAGGACCAGGAAGACAAGTCGAGTGGCTTCTGGAACCACATGGCCCACGCCAAGGCGCGGTTTACAGACAGCCTCTCAGTCCTCAAGTCCCGCGACCTGATCCTGCTACTGCTCATCTGCCTCGCGTACATGCCCGTGCTCAACAGCACCGTGCAGCTCATGACGCCCTACATCTCGAAGCGGTACAACATCACCATCGCCCGGACGGGCTATATCCAGACGGCGTACGGACTTATGCAGATTGTGCAGTCGCTGGTTATCCTGCCATGGATCATGCAGAAGGTCCAGGTTGCGACAAAGCCTGCCAGTCCTGTAACCAGCAGGATCCCCGATTGCAGAAGCGACGATAACGACAACAGGAACCACGACACAACCAGCAATATACATCACTCCCCCTCCTCGACATCACGGCAACCTCCTCCACCATCGCGGCTCTTCCTCCTCCGCAGCCCGCTCTTGACAGCTCGCTCCAACCAGCACCGCGACCTCGCCCTGGCCCGCCTGTCCTTCCTGCTCCTCGCAATTGGCGGCCTGACCCTCGCCCTAGCCCCGACCTTGCCGGTGTTCATACTCGGCCTGGCCTTCCTCGCCCTGGGCACGGGGTACAACAGCCTGACCCGCTCGCTGATGAGCCTGTACGTCGACGCGCAGCACACGTCGCGGCTCTTCAGCCTTACGGGGATGGTCGAGACCCTGGGCGGCGTGTACTCGTCGCCCATGCTCTCGGCCCTCTTCTCGCTCGGCATGAGGCTCGGCAGCGGAAGCGGCGGGGCGTGGATCGGCCTGCCGTGGTTTGCGCTCAGCGGATTCATGGTGCTGTGTGTTGTGTTGCTGGCGGGGTTGAGACTGCCTGCTGGGAGGGGAGGTGCTGATGAGGTTGGCGGAGGAGACGAAGAAGGCACGGCGGGTAGTGGTGGCGGTGGCTGTGGCGATCCTGCTGCTCGAGATAGAATGGGGGCGAGGAATGGCTCGGGGCTGTCGGCGTAAGAGGGGAAAACCCCTTTGTGTGTTTTGATGCTCTCTACCTCTTACACCAGCGCAGATAAGCCGATTGATCGGGCCTCATAATTAAAAAGTCAAAACGCTATTTGACTCATCATTACCGTCGCTCACAGCGAAATTTTACCTTGTGCATTACTTATGGCAGATACGCAAAGGTATATGACGATCATAACTAACACTCGTAGCTTTGTTCTACGTAATTACCCACTGTATGCAGTCTCAGGTGGTCTCTCCCCCTATCCAAATGCTGCCGGACAAATTTCTATTCCAAATGCTTCAACGCCCGCTACTCAAACAAAGAGAAGAATAAGAAAACCCTGAAGTGAACGCCTAGCAAACCCCAAAAAGCCCTAGGACCCAGAATCCAACTGACAACCAAGAAGATCATCTGTGTCAGTGGCAGCTCACCCCGTCATCGTGGATCGCATTGAGCAGCGCCGTGGCCGTCTCGCGATCACTACTGCCATTTTCGTCGCCGCCGCCGCCACCGCCACTACCACCACCGCCTCCATCTCCCAGCTGGCTCCCAGCGGCAGCAGCGTCCTTGAGATACTCGTCCGTCCACGCCTGCCCGATCCAGTCGTCGCCCTCCTTGCCCACCATCATCATCATCTCCCCCGCCTGCTGGTCGTTAGAGTCGTCGTACACGCCCATGTCCACGTCCACGTCCACGTCCACGGCGTCCCCGACGAGCTCGAGATCCTCGTCTTCATCGTCGTCGTCGTCATATTCATAGTCATATTCCCCTTGCTCGCTGCTCGACATGGCCCCGCCGAAGGTGCCGCCCGCCGTGGCCCCGTGCACGCTCGGCGGCGTGCCGTCGTCCGCGTTGAGGTTGTACGCCGTGAGCACCTCGCCGGCCAGGCCGTCAATGTCGAGCACGTCGGTGAAGAGCGCCGACATGTCGTGGTGCGGGTGGTGCAGGCCGCTGGCGATGGCGGCGTCGCTGACCACATCCATCGTCGTTGTCGAGGGTGACATTTGCTGCGGGTGAGCAAAGGCGCCGTCGCTGCTTCCGAGGATCATCATGCCGCTGCTGCCTTCTACGCCACCAACCAGGGTGGGCTGGTGTGTGTACAGGTTCTTGTTCGATGCGGCGGGTGAGTCGGCGTCCTCGTCAGAGTGGATGGATCGGACAGTTCCAGGCGGGATGTTGAGAGTCGATGTGCCAGTTCCGAAGTAGGTTTGTTGTTGTTGTTGCTGTTGCTGTGACGGTGGTACACTACTGGATGCGAATGAAGCCGACCGTGCCGAAGGGCCACTTCCCGTGGTGTTCGCGCCGACTCCGTTACCAGTTGTGGTGTTGTGGATGCCTCCGGTGAACAGGCCCCTCAGACTCGCGGGGAAGTCCGACTCGTCCGGAAGCCTGCCCTTGCTCAACGCCAAGTCCATCGTCATGGCGATCCGGAGGTAAAACCCAGGCTGCGAAGAGAGGATGTCGGTCCAGTCCGTAATGGGCTGCCCGCTCTCGATCGCCCGGGACCCGTGAGGCAGTGACTCGAGCTGCGCCAGGTTAACGATGTGTCGGATCGCCTCGCTCACGTAGTCGACGCCGTCATACTGGGGCTGGTAGGTCTTCATGGCTTCGATCAGGATATTCAGGCGGTGCTGCTTGACTGCAGATTGGGGGTTCTGGTCGACAGCCTGCCCTTTCCCCCTGTTTGCCGCAGATAACCTGACATCGATAATGTGAAGAACCAGTGGGAGAGCAGTACACGCGACACTATATGGCATCGTTAGTATTTAATTCACGACTGGCTGGCTTGTTTGGGCCGACGGGCTTGTGGGACATACGCGCTGATAGGCAGCCACCGTGCCAAACCCAGCTGGATGAGCTCTTTCAGGCACTCAGTCACCCCGGACGCTGCATCTTGTAGCTCGTGGCGGTTCTCGTAAATGTTGGCAAACTCCTTGAGGCTGCTGTTGAGATTGGGGGTTGCTGATGCAACTGCGGATTGCAGGACCTCATGGTGACACAATATGACCCGCGCAGAGCTATTGGGGGAGGAATGTTAGTAGATGCTCTGTAAAAAAAAATAACCTCAGACTCGGGGTAAGATCTTACTGATAGTACATGTACATCAAGTTGGTGTACAATATGACTGATTCATGCTGGAATTCGCGGCCACTGCCAGGCGTCAACCTAGGCACACTGCCGCCTCCAAACATGGGAAACCTCATGGTAGCCCCTTTGTACCATCGCCGCAACGCCAGCTTGCACTCCTTTATCCTTGCACCCTCGTCGGGATTCTGCCGGTGCCAGCCGGGGGAGTCGTCCATGGGGTACACAAGCGTGAGCAAATCCGTCAGGACGCTGCAGAGCTCCACCAGATGGACCAAAAGGTCGATGAGGCTGCGCTTGGCCTCCGAGTTGTACACCCTCGACCTGTCAATCTCGTCGGCAAGGTCAGCATAGCCAAGGCCCTGGTTGGCGTCGAGATCGAAGTGCGCGCGCGAGATTTGTATGCTGCGCCGCAAGCCAAGCGGAAGGATGCGGTCCCGAATCACACAACACCACCAGAGGCGTTTGAGGGTGTTTTGTTTCTTCCACTCGACCGGTTGGTGGATTGGTGAGAAGGTTGGCAGGGCAGACTGGAGGTGTGCTTCGGCACTCTTGGCGTTCTGTATAGCGATCGAAAGCCAGCCGGAGTTTGGCTTTTTCGTGGCCTGCGCCCAGTTTGGCGACCAATATGACAAGAGCATCGCCGTCTGCGCGAGGGATATGAGGGAGGACTCGGTTTCGAAATCATACAACAACTACCGGGCACGGTGTCAGTCATTGGGGGCTAGTGCATAGAACAAAAAGCTGTGGAAGTCACCTTGGTCCGCCTGTAAAGCGTAGCTCGCGCGTCCCGGATACTTGTGTATCCAAGTGCTTTTATGCTGCTCAATGAGACGAACTACCGATGCTGTTAGTACTTCCAAACCATCGATCACAACTTCGAGGTAGCGTCACAACTTACATTGCACGATGAGAACATGATGGCAAACAGAATGACGAGCGGAATCTTCTGGCTCGGCCCGGATGTGCCCTGGTGGCAATACATGTCCCAGAAGTCACCCTCGTTGAGCAGAGGCAAGATTGGGTGCACGTGCAAGAAATACTGCTGCACAAACTCGTCGAGGATCCGCCGCGTCGGCACTCGCAGACAGCCCTGGGCCTCGAGATAGTTGACGTCTTGCGGCATTATGACGTGCAGGTTGTTGATAACGAGAAACGGGTAGTATGAATACGTGATGTCGAGGTTCGCTGCCGCACGCTGCTCTCCGGTCCAAAACGGCTCGCTATCCGGGGGAAATGAGTTGAGTGAACCCTCCATCGACTTCAGAGGCATGGATATCGGCGCTGCAAGAGGTGTGAGCACTGACGAGGCAGTTCTAGATTCTGTCCTTGGAGGACGCTCACCTCTAAACATGGGCGCACGTGCTTGGGGCCCGACACTGCTGGTGACAGACACGGTGTCGCTGGCTGAGCTGATGGAAGGCTGGTGCTCGCGTTGAGCAGCGGCACGGGGTGTCAATTCACGTGCCTCTTGTTGCTTGTGCGTGTCGCATGGTTTATGTGCATGGCTCTCGTCGTGGACGGGCAGGGAGCTGTCTCTGGGCGATGGTGGTTCTCCATTGTCTCGGGACCGCACGACATCCTCGGCTGTTCTTACTTTGGTGTTGTCGATGGAATAAGGCGGGTATGATGCTTGGACGTCGGCTCCGTCGCGCTGCGCCCTCCTGCTGCGGAAAGAGGTGGACGCTGTGTCAGTGACTGGGTGTGCTGGATGCAGGACACGCGAGAAGGGGTAGACGTACAACCTGGAAGCACGGCCTGTGACGACGCAGGACTCGTTGTCGAGATAGCAGTTCATGCACGGCCGACCGCGCTGGGACACGTCACACCGGACTTTGCGAGCTCGACAGCTCAAGCAGGCCTGGTTTGCGCAGCGTTGGGTCAGACTGTGTCGCGAGGAACCTCGGAGGTACACACACCCAGGGGAAAGGACTCACTTTGGCGGCGCGCTTGCGGATCTTGGCGGCAGCCTTTGGCTTGGAGTCGGTAGGCCGCCCTGCCTGCTCGACGGGAGCGGTGATGGCGGCTTCTGAAGTCATGGCGGCGAAGGTCTTGTGCTGCTCTTGCAGGCAGGCGTCGCAAGTTCGTGGAAGGCTGAGGTTGACGAGGAGAAGGTCGCGCACATGGCAAGCAGTGGGAGAGCATTTAGAGTTTGATTTGCGCTCAGCGTGCCCGCACACCAGGCCCTTCTCTGTCGAAAGCAGGGACGGCCTCCTTGGGGGCTTGGCTTGGGGGAAAACGCGGGGTACGGGGTAAGTAGGGGCCGCTGAGCAGAGACGGCGTTCCCCAACTCGACCTAAGAAAGGGCGCCAGCGATCCGATCGGCCGGACGAGAACCCGTGTGGGCTCGTGCTCGCGGTGAGCATCCCTGAGCCTGGCCTGGACACCGGACTCCACCACGCCCAGGGATCCCCAGCTGCAAGGTGAGGCATCGAGGCCGACTGGCTACTACAACTTGGGTTCATGCGCAGTGGTTTTAGACAGCAGGGGAATGCTGCCATTATATGTGGTTTGTCTGGGCCAGGCCTGGCCTGCCCCTTCATGGTGCTGCAGCCCTCATCTATGGCTGGCCAATTCCATCATTGCATGCATGGCTTGCTGAAGCGACGAGTCTCGTGTCTCAATGACCATCCCCTAGCGTTGATCAAGAGACCAGCCGTGATGCAACGAGATGACCAGCTGCACGATCTTGTCCTCACGACGGAGGAGACTGGGCCTGGACTGAAAAGACTCAAATAACTGCTGAACGGTTGCACGAACACTCGCCAGGCAGTCCCACCATTACTGAGTGTATAAGGGACTTCTGGGTTCCAGGCGGGCTGTCGGGGTCTCAGAGTCTTTCAACTGCCGGTTATCTTTTGCCGCGGCTAATAGATAAATGCTGCCCTGGTCTGACTCGTGGGTCTTGACATTCCCGTGTGGGCATGACACGGGTAACGTCCCGGAACCCCACTCTTCGTCCCCGCAGTCTTGATGCATCGCTGTTGCCCACGATGGGCGGACGGATCCAGGGCAAGGACGAGGTAAGATTGATGCATTGATCGGATGACTTTGGTCTGCAAGTGTGTGAAGTGGCTAGGCGAGGAGAGGACTCGGGCCTTGGCGTTCCGCAGATGCTCCAAGATCATGGGAGAGCATGGACCCAAGCACTGTCACTGTATGGCCAGGAAGTGATTCATTCGACTTCGAGCTCCGGAAAGCGATGATTCGTTTCATGGGGTAGGCCGCGGACCAAATTCCGATGAATGCGGGGAAGAGTATCTGACAATCTCTTCGGGCACTAGAGGGATCCCGGTGGCTTGTATGTTGAACTATAGGTGATTGGCCTTGCGAGTGATCTAGAAGGTTTTCGAATATGAGGGGGGTCTCAGACGGAAGTCTTAATGTCGACGATCCCCGCACGAGCGCATGTAAGCACACGTGGAGGGTGGGAGGTAGGAGTGATATCGTCTGAACAAGCTGTTGTGCTCTAGCAAACACTTGAGATGGTCGCCGTGGCTGGAATCAATGTTCGAGGATTACGGTCTTGGTCCCCCTCGCCGGAACATTTGTCTTTGCCATATGGGCTCTTGATTGGCCAAGCAGCAGTAATTCAGCTTCCTCTCTGCTGTGTTCAACAGATGCATATCTAGAACGGCTACCATTAGGAACACCCTTCTGCTCCCGGAGGGGTTTCGTTGTGGTGCAAGTGTCAGATGCTGGGAGCGTGCTTATATTGAATGGTGTAACAGGCAAGCCGCTATGGCGAACCCTAAAATCCAGACGAAACCAAATATTCCGAGGGCCGTGTCTTTGCGCGAGCGACAATGGCAGCTTAATAGCACTTTACGAAGTTAAGAAAGGAGCCAAGGCTCCGCAAATTCCAATCGATTGGTACCCCGCATAAGAGGACAGCCGAACTTGTCGTCTGCAGGTTTGAAGGGCACGATTTTCGAGCTTTTCCGGAAGACAATCCTGTCTGCTTACAAGTACATCCAATCGTGGAGACATGAAGAGGTACAGATTCTTGCCCCAGATGCCCAGTGTGACCTTAAACGTGCTTTAAGGCTCAAAGGCATTTGGCGGCCACTTCTGCGCACGCCAAGGATCTCTGCGGGTCAACGTCACAATACCCCAACCGCGATCCGCGTGAGGGGGAGGGAGCACTAGGCCTTTCCCGACTTCACTTTTCGTTGTGTGAGTCAACACTCTAGCCATAGAGTCTGGGATGAACGGTGGCGATTGTTCATTAAATTAACCTGTTTCTACAGAGCGGTTCGCTCATTGTCAATACTCTCATCTGACCACCAACATGCGGCACTTGACAGTCATCACAGCTTTGAGCTCGCTGCAAGCGGCTGCCTCGGCCTGGGATCTTCCAGAGCAAAAGCCCTTTTTCATCCACAACTTCGCCATTGATGATGTAGACATAGTCAGTGGCAGCCAGTTCCGTGGCCTGCAGACGTATGCCAATCTACCATATGTCAATTGCTTTGCGGACGAAGAGGCCGACCATGGTTCGTACGACATAGCGGTTTTTGGCGCACCGTTCGACACTGTACGTTTGAACCCTGTCGTCGTCACTTTCTGCCAGTAGTCTCAAACGAAATTCTTTAGGGAACAACAGGTAGACCAGGAGCCCGTTATGGACCAAGCGGGATAAGGGTCGGTAGCCAACGGATCGAAGCCAGGGCCAGCTGGAATGTATACACCGGTAAGTTAGATGAGCCCCCGGATTACGCATATTCATGATATCAATCCTGACCTTGGCGTTTCATATTTCTTGCAGACAAGAATCCGTTGACATCGTGGGCCAAAATTGTGGACTGTGGTGATGCACCACTGACGTGGTTGGACAACCGAGTGGCTCTCGCTCAGCTGGACAAGGCTCACAAGGTTGGTCATCACCATGGTTGACTTGAACTCTCGCGACCAGCCACTACACGCGTCCAGCCCAGGCTACTGATGTCAGGACCTGACAAGTATCTGACCGTGAATCACCCAGGTAATATCCGGTCGCCATGCGGCAAATGTCACCAATTCGAGAACTCCGCGCATCCTGACGCTCGGCGGCGATCACACGACGACCTTGTCAGCATTGCGTTCGACGCATGCGAGATGGGGCAAGACCTCTGTTATTCACTTTGACAGCCACATTGGTGCGGGTAGTCTATCAGAAAACTGCTGGACTAGCTACTGACTCTTGAGAATCACAGATACATGGGATCCAGCTGTGCTTGGTGCGTATGATAACGACTCGTGGATCTACATGAGGAACAGGTAGTATTCCTGCTGATACTCGTGTCAATGAGACAGGGGGCGGGCTATCTGATTATGCGTATGTCTATCCGCATCAACTTGGTGTTTGTCAGCTTACCATGGCACTTAGTGGCTTGAACCACGGCACTTTTCTTCACGTTGCTCACGAAGAGGTTTGTCATCTCTCCGAGCCCTTTTTGGTGAGAATTTAGGCGGTGCACATGATTGACATGCTCACCACAGGGTCTTATCCACAACACGTCGATACACACCGGCATCCGGGCGCCACTGATCCGGCGCAAGGGAGACTATCGCAATGACGTGCGATGTGGCTTCACTATCATTACCGCCCGCGATCTGGATCTCCACGGGGCAGCGGGCATCATACAGAGAATCAAGGAGCGTGTCGGCAATTCTATGGTGTATATCAGCGTCGACATTGATGTTCTCGACCCAGCGTTCGCGCCTGGTATGTTTTGACCGAATTTCATGTTCTGGACTCGGCATTGAGTCCTAGCTTGCATGCCGTGTTCGTTATCGATATACTGACTACCCATGCTCACCTTTGCGAAACAGCGACTGGCACAGCCGAGCCAGGCGGATGGAGCTCACGAGAACTCCTCACGGTCCTTGATGGTCTCACTGGGCTGTCAGTGGTGGGTGCGGATATTGTCGAGGTAGCGCCAGCATACGACAACAAGGGCGAAACCACCGTGCTGATTGCTGCCGAGGTTGGCCGCTCGCTCATCCAGCTCATGGTCGACCAGCCTGTCAAGTCTCTTGCTGATGAGATCGAGACTTAGAAAGTTTCCGAAAGTCAGAGGTTCAGGGCAGCCAAAATGCCAGGGGTGCCAGAGGCAACAGTGAGAATGGTCGCGAATCTCGCCGCATGTGAGCCAGAAATAGATTTATAACTCCTCCCCCACCATTGAACAATGATATATGCTCTTCGATGTCTCATGCAATTATCCTTTTCGTGATGAGACACGTGACACCACCACCCTTCGCTCTTGAACTTATCGCACTAAGCCTGCGCCTTCTCAATCCATTCATACTTCTCGCCCAAGTACAGCTGTGCTCTTAGGTCGCCCGACCGCGCGTGGCCCTCAAAGTTCTCGGCGCGCGAGCAACGGCCGCACAACAAGCCCATCTCACCGCTGGCCTTGGGATCCCGGATTTCCTGGTACGTCTGCGTCTTGAGGAACTTGCCGACCCAGAGGCCGCCTGTGTAGCGGCCCGCGCCGCGGGTCGGCAGAACGTGGTTGGTGCCGATACACTGTCAGTTGGGGTGGCAGATGTCAGCAGGGTATCGCACTTGGGAAGCTCATGTGCCATTTGAGAAAGCGATGGAGGTTGCAATAAAATCTCTCTCTCTCTCCCCGACTCCACATACCTTGTCACCGTATGATACACACGTCTTCTCGCCCAAGAACAACGCGCCGTAGTTACTCATCTTCTCAAGCGCCTCTCTCGGCTCGCGCGTCAGGATCTGCACATGCTCGCTGGCGTACACGTCCGCGAGCGCATACGCCTCGTCGAGGCCGTCCACGACAATGACCTCGCCGTAGTCGCGCCACGATGCCCCCGCGAGCTCCGCGGTCGGCATCTCTTTTAGTATCTCGTCGCAGAGCCGTATCGTCTCCTTTGCGACGTGCTCCGACGTGGTGATCAGCACGGCGGGCGTGTCGGGGCCGTGCTCGGCCTGGGAGAGCAGATCCGTCGCCACGGTGAACGGGCTGGCCGCGTCGTCGGCGACGATGAGGACCTCTGTCGGACCCGCGAGCAGGTCGATCCCGATCTCGCCGAACAGCTGGCGTTTGGCGTCGGCTACGAAGGCGTTGCCGGGCCCAGCAATGAAGTCCACATTCCGGATCGTCTCCGTACCCAGCGCCATGGCGGCGATCGCCTGCGTGCCGCCCAGCAGGAAGATCTCGTCGGCTCCGGCAAAGTGCGCAGCTGCGACCGTGGCATTGGGGACCTGACCCGCGATGGGCGGTGTGCAGGCAATGACGTGCTTCACCCCGGCGACCTTTGCAGTCAAGATTGTCATGTGGGCGCTGGCGAGCAGCGGATAGCGCCCTGCGGGAATAGAAGGCTACTGTCAGAGTCAACCACGTCATGAACCTGGGAAAGATGGCGCCACGAACCCCCCGGAATGTAACACCCAACGGCGCCGATTGGCCGTGTCGTGTGTCCCATAAAGACTCCTGGATGCAGCTCGATTTCGAAATCGGTGACCGTCTTGCGTTGCGCCTCGGCGAACCTCCGGACGTTGCTCTGGGCTTCCTTGATATCCTTGACCGTCTGCTCGGGCACTTTAGATATACACTCGTCAATCTGAGCTTGAGAGAGCTTGAAGGACTCGGGCGACCACTTGTCGAACTTTTCCGAGTACTGCCTCACGGCCTTGTCGCCGTTGGCCTGGACATCGTCGATGACGCCCTTGACTATGTCGGCCACCGTCTGGTTGATGGTCTTGTTGGCCTGCAGACCAGGCGATTTGAGGTGTCTGGCTGGCATGCTTGCAAGAGTCAAGGAAGTTTCCGGCTAATGCGGATCCTATCAGTGTCAAGGCTGTTGATGATGCTGGAAAGGCTCTGATTAAATAGTGCAATGAGCCTGGCGCTCTGTCCGAGGATCGACCCGAAATGGAAACAATGCTCTGATTCGAAGTTCAGGAGATTGTCATCGTTGAGGCGCAGAAGCCACAATTTGAAGGAGGTCGTCGTCGCTGGCCACCGATCCCGGCAGGTCCCCGGGCGACGCGCTGCGGGCTTCCGCCGCCCGAAAGCCGCAACAGTGGTGTCATTGCCTGCCCAGCTCATTGCCGATAGTGGACAGGCTTGGGCTGGATGGGGTTTGGGAATCGGGATGTGCGGGAGAGTGTCCTCCGGGCCCGCTGTAAGTGGTTGTGGAGAGAGCCGGCAGCCTGTGCGGAGAGAAGTCCGATCGTTGGGAGGGCATACTATTACCCCACAGCAGGATCACCAGTTGCGAAACTGTGCTTCCTTGCGGAGCCAGCACCGGCACATCGCCGGAATGGCAATCCCGATGATGGGCAAGTGAGAGACGTGCCTGCGCATCATAAAAGTCGACAGTCGGGTTCAAGCCGAGTCGCCTCGGGCAGGCCCGCGGAACAGCGTGAACGGCCTGCCATGCAGACACCAACCGCTTCTGCAAGTCTGCAAGTCTGCAAATCTGCAAATGATCTGCTCACAGCCACGCCCCTTCTGTGAGAGCATCTCGTCGCTCTCCCGCACAGTCAGACCTGTGTAGCCCCATGAGAGAAGTGGCCCACTGAATGGCGTACTCTATTGAGATCAAACAATGGAATTGCTCGACGTTGTCCTTTGCTGCAGATGTCACCTGGGCCAAGACCACGAGTGTATCCTAAGGATATGGACCAGACTTGGGTCAAGCGACTGTTGTGGCTGAGCAGCAGGCACACAAGTGGCGCAGGCAGGGTGTGGCGCGGCGCCTCTCTCTGTCTTATCTGCCACTTCAAGGTGGCAGCCGCGTGATTGGCGCAGGCGCTGCGTGACCTCCGTCCTGCCGGGTCCAGCCGACTTCAGGACAAAGCTCAGCGCCAAACGCTGACCCGAGCCAGTTTTACGTAGGTGCCGCCTTCAACCACCACCGCCACCTCCATCACCACCAACCCTGGCAGCGTACTCCAAGGCTGCGGAAGCACGACGCTGTCCCGCCCTCTGATCCGTCCCCCTGCTTGACTCCAAGCACCGGCGGCCATCATGATCCCCTCCTCCATGCGTCGGGTCGTCACCGGGGCGCCGCAGACGTCGACTGCCCTGCTCTCAAACCTCAACCCAGTAGCCGCCCGCGCATCGCCCGCTGTCGCTTTCGCCTACAACCCCAGGTGTCAGCAGCGAAGACGATACTCGTCGTCGAAACCTTCGAGCCCCAACGACTCGCCCAAAAACGTCCCGGACGGCCAGGTCACAACCACCCCGAGCACGACAAAACGTGGCGGCCGTCGCAAGGCCAAGGAGAGCCTCCTCGCACAGCAAGCAAACCTGCCTAGCGTGCCTAGCACTCACCATGTGCCCCATGAAGGTATGTCCACAAGATGGGGGGTTCCTACCTTTGTAGCCATTTTGTCGTGACAGAGACTGACTGACTCCCTATAGCCCTCGCCCTCTCCACATTCTTCTCCCTCCACAGGCCGATGTCGGTGACACATAGCTTCCCGAAGACGGTCAGCGATGATGCCTTTGCTCAGATCTTCGCCACACGGCAAAAGGCCGACTACAACGACGTTGTATCGACACTGTCAAAGACCGTTGACGACCTGCAACAGCCGATGGAGGCCATGAGCCTCGGTGGTCAGCAAGAAGCGGACGGCATGGTGGACAACACAAACGACGGCATGCACAAGATCGATATCCGCAACGCCGACGGCTCAGAGTCGAGTGTCTACGTCCAGCTCAACACCATGTCCGGCCAATATCTGCCCTTCCGCCCACCTCCTCTTCCTCAACCGCGCTCCGAGTCCAACACCGCGGCTGCCAACGAGGCTGCCGCCTCGTCAGAGATGACAGAGGAGACAGCCGAGCACCGTGTCTACAAGGCCATCTTCACTCTCGAGGAGACTCGGGAGCACAACGGCGAGATCAAGATTGTTGCCCACAGCCCGCAGATCCTCGAGGATGCCGCGCCCCGCACATTCCTCGAGCGCATGGCTCTGCGCCAAGTGCGCCGTCACCTCGCCAGGGATGACAGCTCGACCATGCACGCCATCAGCGTCAAGAGACAGCGCAAGCTGAAGATGAAGAAGATGAAGTACAAGAGACTCATGAAGAAGACTCGCAACCTGCGCCGCAAGCTGGACCGTGTCTAAGGCGCAGGCAACGAGTTGCATTTCTGTACATACGATTTTCTGGGCAATGGGTTTTCCGCGGCTCGAGGATCTCGTGTTATGAAGGGAGCTACAGGATCTCCTTACTCTTTCTCTCTCCATAGACCACGAGACGGGCTCGGCGACATTGCCTCCCCTTTTTCCCACAGTCTCTTTCTGGCATCGTCAAGCTTGCATGGCATATCTCTTTCCCCCTCTCTCTGTGTTCTCTCTTCTCTCTCATCAGGCACTTTTCAGGCTTGTTTGATCCCGTCTTACAAGGCAGATATGAGGCATATAGATTACAGCATAGAACCTCGACCACATATACATTGGCCGTCTGGTTTCGCCCAAATCTACATGTGATGTTCCGCTGAGCCGAGATGCTGAGAGACATGCCAGGTAAAGCTTGTCGACTGCTGTGTAATTGACTGATGTGCTATTACACTACTGTACCAACAAAAAAACAATATCATCACACCCAATGGGTGATATGAAGGAGGAAGAGAGGGGGCGTAGAGGGAACGGTGTAAGTGTAGAGACTAGGTATTGTACAAGTAGGACATTTGGAATGATATAAGTCTTGGCTTTTGTAAGCTACTGCTCGTTCCTGTTCAAGGGGAATACGCTGTCTGGACGTCCCGGTTTTCATTTGATTGCCTGATTAAGCTGGGTTGCTTGCTTGCTTGTGTAATCTGAGCCCGCTCTTGATGCTCCGGAACGAACCCCCATTGTCCGCTCTGCACCCTACTTCTGGGACTCCGAAGAGTCATTCTCCACGATTTTGATAAAACACCCTGACCGAGGCACCAACCGTAACAGGAATGAGAACCGCTCGGCAAACAATGAATCCCTACGGTCTTGATGGAAATACCTGTGTAGGTCCGAGAACGGAAAAGACGAGTTCGCAGTCCTCCATACCAGTAACTCGTTATGTTTCGCTGTATCCATGTTCATCGATTTCACAAAGTGGATGACCACGGACCCCAGCAGCCTGACAGCGCCGCAGGGAATGGCGATGGTTCCTGATAAAAAACGAACGGCTGCCTCAAAGCCTGAGTTGAGTGCTCACCCTCGGATAGTAGAATATGGCTACAAGTTTCAACTGTGAATGCTGCGGTCACCTCGAATATCCAGTGCCGGAAATAATCAATCATAAGTACGGCCCGAGAAAGTCTATTACGGGAAAAGGGAAGAGATATGGCACAGCTCAATGCGTGCATAAGCTTTCAAAGGAATGTGTTGGTGCGGTCACCGATTTGCAAAGACCGTGTTTACCAAATGCTATGTGAAGCCTGACGTATCCCCCCCTTAGCCCGTCACCCAGGTCAAGGTAGTCGCAGCAGGGTTCCAGTTACTGGTGCGAATATAGGATCCTTCGACGGATCCGTGAAAACGCAGACGGACCATCGGACGCAGTCTTTGCTTCTAACTGCTTGCATTTATGTCACTGATTATCCAAGAGCACGTCGATGAACCCGTACGACCTCTAACAGATGAAAAGTCCTTTATGGTACAACTAGTTGTGCGGTATCTGGTACACTCTATGATTGGGTTCTTCGCCTTGCCCTTCCACAGAACGCTGTTCACTTCCTCTCTCATCACCCCTCCCCACGCAGCTTCTTCATGAGTTTAGAAGTTTCGGCTCATGTCGTTGCTGATTCTCTGGTAGTCGAAAAGACCCTCGATGCTGCCGACGGCGCTGATGGCCAGGTCCTTGTCCCACAGTTTCCGGTTGGCGAACTCCATCACATCCTTCTCGGTGATGGCATCGATCTGGCGCTCAATCTCGCCAGGGTTCATCCGGCGACCGGTTGTGACAAGCTGGCGGCCGATATCCTCGGCAACGGCGGATGTGCTGTCAAGAGACAGGAGGATGGAAGCCTTGAGCTGGGCCTTGGCGCGCTCAACCTCGGGCTGGGTGACGTTGCTGGAAAGGCGCGACCACTCACGCAGTGTGAAGTGGACGAGGTCGTCGAGGGTGGTGAGCTTGTCGGAAACGAGGTAGATACCCCAGAGACTGGGTGATGCATAGATTAGTAGATGCAAAATGACAGTGTGCTCGTACAAATTACAACTTACCCAGTGTCGCTGTAGCTAGTGGAGAAGCTCATGAAGCTGTTGGCAAGGTCGTTCTGGTGGACGAAACCAGCGAGCTTGCTGCCCTGGTGGGGAGCAGTGCCCATGGCCTTGTCGTAGTTGCCAACAATGGCCTGGGTGACGAGGGCAGTGAAGTAGTCGTCGTCGTTCCAGCTGACACCCTCAACGGCAAGGGCGATGTGGGCGGCAGGGATGTTGTCATCACGGACGCGGACCTCGGAGCCAATGAAGGTGGGCTTAGCCTTGGACTGGAGGTAGGCAGAGTCGTGGACCGAGGTGGTGGGGAGGCCGGAGAAGTGCTTCTCGGCAAGGTCGACGAGCTGCTCGTGAGGAATGCCACCAGCGCCGACGAGGACCATGCGGTCGGCAGTGTAGTTGTTCTTGATGTAGTTGGTGAGCTCGGTGCGGCTGATATCCCGGATGTTCTCGCGGGGCCCAAGGATAGTGCGGCCGAGGGGCTGGTGCTGGAAGGCGGTGGCGTGCAGGTGGTCAAAGACAACCTCATCGATCTGCTTCTCGACCTCCTCAGACTCGCGGAGGATAACGTCACGCTCACGCTCGATGGCGGAGGGCTCAAGCTTGGAGTTCTGGAGGATATCGGCAAGGATGTCGACGGACTGAGGGACATCGGCGTTGAATGCCCGGGAGAAGTAGACGGTGTTCTCGCGCTATGCAAGTGTCAGTGGTCCGGCGCAAATTCCGAGATAATTTCTTTGGTACACACCGATGTGTAGGCGTTCAGGTGGCCACCCATGTTCTCGATCTCAAGCTCGAGCTGCTGCTGTGTGCGTCTCTGAGTACCCTGCGTTGCCATGAGAGATGATGTCAGTATGCCGGAAATCGACTATCGAGCTGGCGCATTTTGCGTCTGTAAAATGGTCGCAGCAGGGTCGTACCTTGAAGGCCAGGTGCTCAAGAAAGTGCGCAGTGCCGTTGTTCTCCTTCGTCTCGGCACGGGAGCCGGCATCGATCCAGACGCCGACGGTCGATGTCTGGGCCCATGGCGAGTACTCGGTAGCGACCTAAAGAAGGATGGAAAGAGTCAGGACGAAGTTTCGGATAGTGTCACCACCCGCCGGCGGGGGACGAGGTGGAACGGGGTTGTTGCTCACGGTGAGGCCGTTCTTGAGGGTCGTCGACTGTGTCTTCGCGCCAGCCGGGGAGGTGACGGGCGTAGCGAAGCCTCTGTTGATGGAGCGAAGGGCGGAGGGGGCGGCGCGGGCGCGCAGGCCCTGCCCAAGGTTCAGAGCGAGTCTCCGGGACGCCATTGATGCTGGGCAGGAGGAGGTGGATGGGGGGCGGATCCGGACGAGACGGAGGCGGTCGCAGTGAGCGGTTTGATGAAGATTTCAAGGTGCGTCAGTGCCGGGCAGGAAAGCTCGCAATTGGATTTTCCCAGCGTGGAGGTTGCCAGCAGCGGCACTGGGCACGCACTGGGGACAGACGGCAGCCCACGCCCCAGGCCCGGGCCTGGCCTTGCGTTGCTGGCCGCCCAGGTGTCCGCCGGCCCTGCTCAGTGCCTGTGCCGCTGGTGCGGGCGCACCTCGTCGGCCAATCCGGCGCCGGGTAATTGCTGCACTCCTGCTCATGCCACCCGCCATCTTCCGATGCATTCTGTGGCTGACGCGTGCGAGCACCGCCACAACCTCGTTGCGCCAGCCACACTCTGCTAGTCAGAGAGCAAACCAGAATTCCTGTCTCCATGATTGGGTCGTGCAGCGACACAGTGCTCCGTACATCCGTGGTGCATCGGCCTGGCTGGCCTTGCCTCTTGTTTGAACATCAGCAACATCGTTGACCATCACAGGTCGACTGGAAATACCGACTCTGTTGTTCTTTATGTTCCAACTAGCCTTGTGATATATATTGCCACACACTGAAGTGATTCGAGAAACCATACACAACTACCATTGGCTGCACGGTAGTCATTGACACTTGTGATCACATCTTGTCACACTCCTGAGCCTAGGGCAGAACACCACAACTGATAACACCGCCAATGGCCGAGTACGACTTTGTGCCCGAATTCCGTGCCTCACTGGCAACGAAGCAGAAGAGCTTGCCGAGCGAAACAGCTACAGACATGGTAGTCAGACTCGCGAGTTTTCCTCCCCTAGCTCAAGCCACTGTCTCCACGAATGAAGTTACTCGCTTCCTCGTCGTCATCGATGTACCGAATGACCTTGCCGAGAAGCCATGGGAAGTCGCCATCTGGCACTCTTCTGGGATACAAGAGTGGGCGGAGACACGACTGCAGCGTGATCAAGGCGACGTGCTGCCAAGCAGTCTCTCAACAGCCACACTTTCGCACGCGCGGCTGTATTATCGCACGACGATTTCCACGGACTCTATTCGTAACTTCACGTTGAAATTTCGCAGCCACCCGAGCGAAACATGGCGATGGATTAAGAATGAGCAAGGCTTGAGTGACGGTCTTGTCTTGCGCCAAACGCCTCCACTGCGCAACATCACCTCCGGTGATCTGGGGGAAATCGTGATTGGACTAAACCCCCATCTTAGAGTCAAGTCAGCCATGAGTCAGTGTCCCGGCACTCAGCTGTGGGAGATTCAAGCAGACATCGAAGGCGTGCTGCACGACCGCTCTTCATCGTCGGTTGTCGAATTTGGCAGGCCTTGGAAAACACTGCAGCGGTTGGTACTACCCGTCAGAATCATTGTATTCGCGATCGCAGAATATGCTCGTGTAAACAGTTTTCACTGATGTGATTGCAGCTGGTTTGCTCTCGCCCGCCTGTGGTCGCCATGGTTGGTGCCCAGACATGGCATTGACACCTTCAATCTGGACTGCGATGCTATGATGTGTGCATTTCTCAGCGAAGAAGGACGTCACTTTGTACTGCTGGGTACAAGTGATGTCAACAATGTCACAACAGTCATTCGAGGTTCAAGTTCCGGTGTGGTCGAGCTCAACGTACGTCTCTGACGCCACCGATGCGGAACCAGGTGGTCACTGAGCTGACAATAACGAAATGACCAGCTCCGTAATGACAACGAAGCAGCAGCGGCAGGGATTATCATAGCCGTTGTTGGCAATACGTTTGACAATACTCTTGCTGCTGCGATGTACCACGCCAGAAGTGTGCGAAGTCGCATGAGCGCTCAAGAAGAACCCATTGATACATCACGCGAGGTCCGACCATTATGGCGCGAGAGCTGGTATGATGGACTAGGTTTCTGTGAGTTAGGCAACCCTTCACCCTTCGAAACCATGCTAATTCTTTGAGGCACCTGGAACGCAATCGGCCCTGAGTTGAGTAGCGCAAAAATCGAGAGCGCTCTGGAAAATCTTGCGAACCATGGGATACAAATAACCAACTTGATCATCGACGACGGTTGGCAGGATGTGGATAGAGTGGGACAAAGCCAGTATCAACACGGTTGGAATACTTTCGATGCAGATCCACAGTCCTTTCCTGGTGGGCTCCGAAACACGATTTCGCGGATACGAGCGAAACACCCGCACTTGCAACAGATCGCGGTTTGGCACGCATTGCTGGGCTATTGGGGTGGTTTATCCGCCAATGGCCCTTTGGCAAAGAAATACAAAACGGCGGAGGTTACCCGACAATCGTCGGGACGACCAGATGTGCCACTGGACGGCACCATCACAATTGTTGGGAAGGATGATGTTGCTCGCTTCTACAACGACTTTTATGCATTTTTGGACACGTGTGGCATCGATGGTGTAAAGACTGACGTGCAGTTTATGGTCGATATGCTGCAATCAGCCAAAGAACGGAGAGAGCTCATAAACGAGTATCTCGATGCGTGGGTTATCGCCGGGCTGCGACACTTCAGTCTTCGAGCGATCTCATGCATGTCACAGGTTCCACAGATCATGTTCCACGAGCAGATGCCACAGAACCGGCCAGCAATCGTGCTCCGGAACTCGGACGACTTTTATCCGCATGTGCCTGCTGCACACCCGTGGCATTTATGGGCAAACGCTCATAATGCATTGCTGACACAGTATCTCAACGCGGTTCCCGACTGGGACATGTTCCAGACTGATCACGAGTACGGGGGCTTTCATGCAGCAGCACGGTGCATCAGCGGTGGCCCGATCTATATCACAGACGTCCCGGGACGATATAATATTGACCTCATCAACCAGATCAGCGGCATAACGACCATGGGCAAGACTGTAACTTTCAGACCGAGTGTTGTTGGCAAGAGTATCGACCACTACAGCGACTATCATGACCATGTTATCCTGAAGGTCGGCAGCTACAATGGCGCAGCAAAGACCGGGACTCCTCTGCTCGGCATCTTCAATGTGTCAGGCCAAACACTCACAGAGATCATCCCACTTTCAAGGTTCCCGGGTACCGTCGATAATCTGAAGTATATTGTTCGCTCTCACGCGAGTGGCGACATCTCCCCAGTGGCCAAAGTCGACTCGCCCGAAGCTGACTTGGTCATCAGCCTTGAGGTCAAAGGTTACGATATCCTCACAGCGTTCCCTGTGAAGAGCTTAGAAGTGTCACTGAGTCAGTCCGTACAAGTGGCGAACCTTGGACTGATTGACAAGATGACTGGAGCTGCTGCTCTCATGATGAACGAGATCAAGCTCGTCTCGAATCAGCGAGCGATGATCGACACGCGATTGATGGCACTTGGAAAACTCGGTAAGAACTCTTTCATTAAGTTCTGACACTCGCCAGGATCTGAAAGCGGTTACTAACACTCCTCTAGGCATTTACATCTCAATATTGCCAGAATTGTCGCTTGAGGACGACTTCATGATCACAATTCTTGGGCAGCCGATACCTCAGCACTCTGTGGCTGTCCAAGGACTCGTGCTGCGTGTTGACTTGGAAACAGCGTGGAAAGAGATGCAGTTGAGCCCTGGCTGGAGTAACGAGGTCGGCGTTCAGGTGTACTTCAACGTTGCTCCGTGAGATTATCCATCTACAAATTGGAATCACATTCTGCTAGAAACGGAGTGATCACAACAGACTACAGCCGCGGCTTCCAGAATCAAGTCCTTGTTCGCGACATCATGTCTCCAAGGCTTTTGGATCATGGGCCAAAACTTTCCGATCGAAGCAGAGCGTGATTGGTGGAGGTTGCGAGGACCCTTGACACCGACAACCGGGACAGCGCACCCCATTCTCCCAACTCGGCGAACTGGAGAGCGGAATTGCTCTCGGTCCGTTCGTTAGAAAAGGCTCCGCATGCGACAGGCTCTGGTCCACAAAACCCACAAACTAGAAGCGCATTAGCCGTCGAGTGGATGTTACCCACCCTGTCGGAGCCATTTAGGCTAAATGTGCGAGCATGGAGAATGCCCGTTCCGAATTCGTCATACTTTCTTATTAGTCGATGGGCTCGTCGCGTCCAAAGGCGCGCGCTGCAAGGCATCAAAGGTTATACTGGGATGCCATTATGGGCTGGTATAATCGACGAAGATCGCGCCAGCGGCAGGCGTGTTCCCTCGGATTCAGGAGTTGGAATAACTGTTGTAGTCGTCGAAGTTCGGCAGAAAGCCTGGGATACTCCCCCCACCACGACCCCGCGGGAGGTGTAGAGAACATTCGCGTCCGGGGAATCATCCGTGCGTGGCACTGACCATTGGTGAAGCGACACCTTGCTGTAGACCTGGCAACAATGCTTCGGCTCCTGGGACTTGTGACACGTTGGAACCACTTGAGGATAAAGCAGAGGTGGGGGGGCGACTGCCGCACCCGCACTTGCAGGCTAAATGTGAGCAAAGGCTATAAAGAAGGGCTTCGCTTGGTTCTTCTGCTGGAGGCTGGGGGTTTGTCAAACTCTTTATCCCTTCAGATCTTCTTTTGTTGTTGCCAACACAGTCCCCCTCTGCAGTAGAGCGAGTGATTCAACCAAAAACCGACCAAATCCCCAAATCAGACAAAATGGCGTCGCCGAGCCTCAAGCTTAGCAGCGGCTACGATATGCCCCAGGTGGGCTTCGGCCTGTGGAAGGTGGGCAACGACGTTGCCTCCGACATTGTCTACAACGCCATCAAGGCCGGCTACAGACTGTTTGACGGAGCTTGCGGTAAGTCGATTGCAGAGGGTGGGAGCGAGAAATGCACTTTCTGCCGCCACTATTCACCCGTCAACAACACCCTGCTGGACCCCCTCACTTCCCCAAATTTCCCTTACTGGTGATCCCCAGGGGCTGCCCCAACTCGTCCTGCTGGAAAGGGCCCGCTCTAGCAAGGTCTTGGCCTTTGCTTGAGATCTCAGCCGTGAGGGGGGGACTTGAAGTTGCCTGTGCAACAAGAAGAAGACAGATAATACGCGAGGCACCACGGTTCTGACTTGTACAATGATTTCCAGACTACGGCAACGAAGTCGAGTGCGGCAAGGGCGTCGCCCGCGCCATCTCGGAGGGCATCGTCACGCGGTCCGACCTCTTCATCACGTCCAAGCTGTGGCCCGTCTTCGAGGACGGCGACCGGGTCGAGGAGGCGTGCAAGCGCTCGCTGTCGGACTGGGGCCTCGAGTACTTTGACCTGTACCTGATCCACTTCCCCGGCGCGCTCAAGTACGTCGACCCCAAGGTCCGCTACCCGCCGGGCTGGCACTACGACGGCAAGGACGGCGGCATCGTCCGCTCCAAGACGCCCATGCACGTCACCTGGGCCGCCATGGAGAGCCTCGTCGAGAAGAAGCTCGCCCGCAGCATCGGCGTGTCCAACTTCCAGGCCCAGCTCATCTACGACATGCTGCGCTACGCAAAGATCCCGCCCGCCGCCCTCCAGATCGAGCACCACCCCTACCTCGTCCAGCAGGAGCTCCTCAACCTCGCCAAGCAGGAGGGCATCGCCGTCACCGCCTACTCCAGCTTCGGCCCCGCCAGCTTCCTCGAGTTTGGCTTCAAGCACGCCGAGGCCCTCGTCCCGCTCATGCAGGACGACCTCATCACCAAGATTGCCGAGAAGCACGGCCGCAAGCCCTCCCAGGTCCTCCTCCGCTGGGCCACCCAGCGCGGCCTCGCCGTCATCCCCAAGACTTCCCGCGCCGACATCCTCGCCGAGAACCTCGACTGCACCACCTTTGACCTCAGCCAGGACGAGATCGACTCCATCTCCGCCAAGGACTCCGGCCTGCGCTTCAACCAGCCCAACAACGTGAGTTTTCTGCCTTACCGTCATCGATTTTGCCCGTTGAAGCGCACACTAACAAGTTGTTGTCCCACGCGTGTAGTACTTCCCCACCCAGGACATGTGGATCTTCGGTTAAGCTTGACCAAGGTCAAGCGAGGCGGCAGGAATTGTGGGCTTGTTGAGCCGACGAGCACGAGTTTAGACATATCTCGACCAATGAAATAAAGTAAAAAGTCATGCCAACAGTGGAAGCCGAGAATGTCGGTAACATGTCGTTGAGTGTTAGTGAAAAAAGTGGCCGGAGCATGTGTTCAGTGTTCTTGAATGTCATGCGAGCTTTAGCGGGGTTCTGTAACTCGCATGGCATTTCGCAGATAAAGCATGATTTATCTTTGGGGGTAAATGGCTGGCAGTCAAAGCTGCCACTCATTATTCCTCTATCGGAGCTTACGTGGCCGGCTTAATTATGCGACCGTCCGGCTACCAATGAGACGGCTGCCTCTACGCGCGTCCACGTCGTCTTTACATAAGAAACCCTTCCGTCCGAGGACGAACCAAACGCCGTGCTATGCAATGGGAAGGAAACAAGGATGGGGCCGACTACTCGCACCAGCAGACTCAGGCTCTCACAAAGGCTTTTTCACAGTTAGTACAGCCATACTGAAATTGGGGGCATGGCATAAATGGACGTACTGGCATCGATCTGCTGGACCTGCGGCAGGGCCAGGCGGACCTTGTTGCGATACAGCGCAGGCTGTCTGAGCTGCAGCGGGTTACCCTCAAAGTAAACCGTAGTGAGGTGCTCCTTGTCCTTGAGCTCGCGTTCAACGTCGGCGAAATCGGCAATGTGGTTGTAACTAGCCCAGACCTCCTCGAGCAGCTTGAGGCCACCGATGCCCTTGAGACTCTTGATCGCATTGTTCGAGACCTCCAGGGTCTGCAGGTTGACGTTCTCCTCCAGGCCCTCTAGAGATTCCAGGGCATTGTGGGAGATGTACAGCTCCTCCAGCTGGGGCACCTGGCGAAGTGGCGAGAGATCTTTGATCCGGTTGGACTGTATGCTGAGCAGTCTCAACTTGGGCAGTCCGCCGAGGCCCTTGATCTCTGTAATCTTGTTCTTCGCCAGCCAGAGCTCCTCCAGGTTCTTGAGTGCGTCGAGGTTCTTGATCTCGCGGATCTTGTTGGAGCCGAGCTCGATCTGGCGCAGGTTGACAAATGTGTCGAGACCCTCTATGGTGCTAATCTTGTTCGACACGAAGTACAAGTCGGTGAGCTTGGTCAGATGACTGATGTGCTTGATGTGCTTGATCTTGTTGAAGCTGAGGTCGAGAGACGTCAGGTTGACGAGGTCATCGAGGCCGCGAATATGCGAGATAAGGTTGTCATAGAGATCGAGCTCCTCTAGTGTCGCGCCCACGCCAGACAGGCCTTCCAGGTGCTGGATGAGGTTCTGTCGCAGGCAGAGACGCACGACTTTTGTGAACCGTTCTAGTTTGAGCGCAGGGATGGAGCCGATCCGCGAGTGTGTAAGGGTAATGTCGTCAACTTCGGGGTCTTCACCGTCGAGCAGATCTATTGACGAGGGTCAGCAAGATGCCTGGTTAGCAGAATTCGGCCACCGAGATGCGGTGCACAGAGAGTACCGGCGCACCTTCGTCCGCAGAGATCTCGTCGCCGACCAAGACGTTCTCCTCGTCCGAGTATTCTGGATCCGAGATGGCCTCTGGATTCTGGAGCAGGGCGTTGCGGTCTATGCGCAGCTTGCCATCCCAGCCCTTGCTGTCGGTCAAGGGAGGGCTGCTGGGGCCGTTTGCCTTGCTGGCATGTTCTGGGTCCTCGACGAGTTCGATGTGATTTGGCGTAGTAGGTGCCTCGCCCTCGGTGGTGATGGGACCAGGCATGGTGAAGGAAGCCGCGCGGGGCAACTGATTCACGGGAGTAGAGCAGAGCAGACTGCTTCTTTGGGCCGTCCTGGCTTGAGGGTGGGGGCGCGAGGTCGGTGACGTGGCTTGCGAGCAAGTTTGGTGAGGCTCTGCTGTACACAGGGAAGGGTCGTGCTGAGGTTCTCTGTGTGTTTGTTTCTTTGTTTTGGTCGGCGGTGGATTTCTGGGTGGTTGGTCGAGGTATGTACAAGTTTGTAAGCAGCGGTAATAGTGCATGCCCCCAGATCGAGGCGGTCGCGCACAGTAACTACCCCTGCTCACCAAGTGACTCCCGAATCGCGATTCGTGGCGGGGTACTGTCTCTGTTGCTACTATGCAGAATGCGGACCCTTTTTGACCTGGCCCAGAGTAGTCGTCTGTTGCTTGAATCTCACTAGGTGGCTGTTGTGAAACCTCGCACAGCTGCCAAAGAGAGAAACCAAAAAAAACATTTGGGCCTGGGCGAGGGCGTATTTGGACATTGGCATGGACTGCATGTGATGCCATGCAAGCAAGCAAACTGGTGCCTCTCCTCCCCTCCGCTAGCGCGGGCCGCCCCACATGGACACGGCACAGCACAGCACCTTCGGGCCTGCGCCGATCGAGGGCCCAACCTGGAATGGCCCGGGGATTTGATGCTCGACTTGCCCTTCCACACCCACCACCTCCCTCCTCCTCTTGGCATCCTATCAACATGGTCCGCTTGTCGCTGATCCACAGGTGATTCGAGATAGTCGAGGCACGGCGTTCTCTTCACGGCTACCAGCATTCTTTGGCGACCAGTACGCCCGCCTGCTGTCTCTGCGACGATCTGGCCCGGTTCTGAACGAAGCTGGCCAGTTGTCACCATGTGCTCGAGCATCACCAATGCATATGCGCTCTTCAGAGGCGTCCCCTAAGCCGGAGACACATGGCACCTCGTCTCGTGCAGGGTCGCACCCTGCCTCTGGGAGTGCGGCCCAATTCCCCAATCACCTCGCTGCTCTCGCATCGCCAGTCTTTCTCTCGTCACTGCCGCCGCCGCCTCCTCCAGCCCGTGGCGCTTGGCCCGTCGCGGCCGTCGATGCCCGCCTGCATGCGCAGTAGGCCATGCATTGCCACGAGGGCCTTCCATGCCCAGGGTCTCATGTTGGCCCCGGTTGTCTTTGCCGGCCTCTTTGTCGCTCTGTGGACATGGAAGTGCTGCATGCTTGTCCTCTTCCAGAACAAGATCATCTTCATGCCCGGCATGCCGCCCAACTCGCGCTGGGAAACCATTGCAGACTACTCGGCCCGTTGCGCCGGCATAAAGTGGCGTGAAGAGCGTGTCCGTGCCGCAGACGGGACAGATCTCGCCCTCTGTGTAGCCGACGTATCGTTAGGCAGCCTGGCAGCCTCCAACAGGCCACCCACCACGCATTTCTACATTCTCTATTTCCAAGGCAAGTCTTCGGTGTCCGCAATGGCTCCTGCTGGTTAAAGATTCAACTGACAACGAATAATAGGTAATGCCGCGTCCACTCCTCCCCGGCTGCCAGACCTGTCCTCCACGCTGAGCATGCTGAAAAAGCAGCTGCAGCAAGACGCGCTGAATGCACGTTGCACAATGGTCTGCCTGAGCTACAGGGGTTATTGGACTTCAAGAGGGCGGCCCAACGAGAATGGCATCCGGCTGGATGCCACTGCTGCGCTTAACTGGACCTCCGCTTATCACGCAGGATCGGCTGGTGCAGGATGCAAAGGTCATGCAGTCTATTGGGGCCAGAGCGTTGGCTCGGGCGTGGCCACCAACCTTGCTGCCGAGGTGGACGTGCCCTCCAACCTTCGCCTCGACAACCTGATCCTCGAAACCCCCTTCACCTCGATCAGAGCCATGCTCTCCGTCTTGTACCCTCAGAAGTGGCTTCCGTATCAATACCTGTGGCCTTTTCTTCGCACGCATCTAGACAGCTACGCCAATATTGCCGCGATAGCCGAGCGATATCGCAACACGGAATATCAACCCCAAGTTCTCATCCTCGAGGCAGCCAAGGACGAGCTCGTTCCCTCCGAGTTGAGCCAGCAGATACTGGAAAGGTGTCAAGAGGTTGGCCTTGAGGTGAGTCGTGAGAAGGTCAATGGCGCTTTCCACAACGATGTCATTTTCCGAGCCGAGGGCAGGAGAACAGTATCTGGGTACTTGGCCCGCAGGCTTGCAGCCGTGCAGCACAATAGTCTAGGCAAATAGATAGCACTAGTGTCAACCGTGCAAGGCTATCCGTGGAGCTCGACTTCGGTGGCCCACCGGGTGGAGAGTGATGCTTTCCGATTGCGTTCCTTTCATCATACTGTAGACGACTTAACGTTACTACAGACAACTTCGGTACCTCGTAACCCTTTCAAATAGTCGTGCACTACGTCATTGGCCGATATTGTGGCCGAGATGCCGCACAGTTCCGCATCTTGGTCAATCATGACCCCTTTCGTTTTGGGCTCCATGTCAAGCAGACGATATATGAGTAGCAATAGTGCCCATGATCTTTAGGGGGTTTGGAAGAAGGGCTTTGACCAGCAGGTCAGGGAGGCACTACCCGTGGTTCCGGCACAGTGGCAGCCTATCACAGCAAACATTCGGCTTGGCACTAGGGGCCAAAAGAAAAAAACCGTCAAAACAACGCCATCTCAGAATCACGACCACAGAGGCCATGGACAATCACACAAAAATGCAAAAAGAGGGTATAATAGAGGATTTTAACCTCTATGCGATGGACTCGCGGGGAATCGAACCCCGGACCACTCCCATGCTAAGGGAGTATTATACCACTAAACCACAAGCCCGGGTTGTTGGAGATGACGGTGGTAATTGATATCTATATACTTGTCAAGTTGTGGCAGCGTGCATATGTGATTCTTTCAGTGCTCGCAATTTACGTGAAAGTATATGATGGGTGGCTCCGTCGGCGTGCCTTTCGTGGCCTCGGACGGGGAAACATCATTCATACTTGGGATTATGACAATTATGGCCGCCTTTGGCTCCACAGTCCCCCCAACGTGAGGTCTTGAGGTTTCAAAGTTCTACTAATAATGCTTCCAAGGAGAATATAAGTACATGGTATAAATTTATGGGAGGATTGAGGTCCAGAGTCTGTGAGATTCCAATTGTCCTACATATCTGTTCAAAGGATGGCAATTTTTGTATTTTTTTATTTTCAACCTGGCCGTGTGCAAACCCCCCCCTACACGGTCTCGCCTCGTTTGGGAATTCTAGTACAGAATCTTGGTCATCTGCCGATGAAACTCGAGTGCCGTCATCTCTGGATACTTTGCCGGGGTCTTTTCCGACACAAACGGTGCCAGCGGGCCGACGTTTGCCCCGCGGTGAGCCTTGAAGAAGAAGACGGACGAGTAGCGCTCCGGCACGACCCCCTCGGTCTTGTCGAGCAGCGAGGGCGGGAGGTTGACCTGGTGCACGCCGGGGGGCATCTGGCCGTTGGACCAGCGGCCAAAAGTGTCGCTCAGGTTGACAACCATCTCGTTCCTCCGCTCCGTGATGACGGGGACAAACGCAAAGTCCTGCCGCCGGTCCTCGAGCTCCAGCCCGCCCAGGCTGTCCTGGAACAGCAGCGTGATGATGCCAAAGTCGGTATGCGGCCAGGCCCGCTTGATCTTGCCGCTGCGCAGCGTCTCGATGCTCACCTCTGGGTAGTAGAGCATCCGCAGCTCGCTCGCGTCGGGCTTGCACATCTCCTGGATCGACCCTTCGGGGATCCCCAGGCCGACCTCGATCGCCGCCAGGATGGTCATGCACGTCTTCTGCGCGGCGATGAAGTACTTCTCCATGAACTCCCTGAAGCCCGGCAGGTCGGCGTCGTCAGGCCACAGGTTGGGAAAGTCGGGGTCGTTGGGGGGCCCGCAGTCGAAGTGTTCCTTTTTCGTCGTTGGTCAGTCAGTCTGTTGGGTACATAAATACATATACGCATCAAGAAACAGAACGAGATATGAGATGCCCCGATTTTTGATTTTATTACCTTTTCGTCCTTGAGTTCTTCCTTACGGTTCTTTACGCCGTCCGCAAAGTTGCGCTCCTGGAGCCGGGACGTGACCTCGGCCCCGATATGGCTCCAGCCTCGTTGAGGGTCCGGGCCGGGGAGGTGCTTGAACTTGTCCTTCTGCTCGGGGGCCAAGGCGAACAGTTTCTTGCCCTGTAGGTGGTCCAACAGATTCCAGCTTTAGCCATCTTCTCCAAAAAACAGGTCCTGAACCGGCGAGGCAGGGAGACAAAGCACTTACCCAATACCAAATCCCATCAACCACATCGTCCGGCACCTCGTGGTTGATCAGCTTGGTGAAGCCATGTTGTGTCAGGGACCGGACGAGCCTGTTCGCAACGTCCTGGCGCTCGGCCGGCGTCCCGTCCAGGAACTTGCCAAAATCGAGCGTCTCGAGTTCGAGCGGTCCGGCAGAACCCATCTTGTATGATTTTTTATTTCGATTTCGGGGAGGGAGGTCACTGTTTGTAGTGTAGATGATGGCTTGTAAAGTCACTGGCCAGGCTAGATGGCACCTCCCTCTCGAGGATCTCACCAGCCTTTAAATACATGTAGCATGTTCTTCATCTTGTCGCATCTCGCTCGGTTAGCGCCGGTACGACTCCAAGACTTCGCCGAGTAAGGTAGTTCCCTCCATGGACTCATTTGGCCTTCCCTCCCCCCTTCCTCCCCTTGCCAGCAGGATCAGGATCTCATGAACGTCTGAAAGTCGTCAGCATCTCGTCTCCGCATCGAGGGCAATGCCGATCGTCGATCGTATATCAGGACCTATCGACCAACCAAGCTGCATGCAGTGAGGCTGCAATGTGACTTTCCAGTATGGGAGAAGCCGTGGTGTCCCTACCAAATTGAGGTCGGCGATGTACCGGTATCTGCCTTCAAGGGTTGCGCTTAATTCCGAGAACCAAGGTTCACATAGATGGCGTAGGACTTCCAACGCTACATAGAGAGATCCGTAAAGAACCCCCCCCCCCCCCCCCCCCCGGATGACAGCGACAGTCCTCAGTGCTAAGTGCTGCGTGTCCTCATCAAGAACTCGGAGAGGAGGCGTGCTATGAACACTCGGGCAGTATGTATGATCGCAGACAAGGGAGTGACAACAGGTTCTGATCAGAGCATTACTGTGAGGCCATTGACCCTGTCCTTGGTTCATCTCCTTCCCAGTGTTGCGTTGTCCACTTCCATTGTCTTCGTATCTAATCAACTTCAGCAGACGCATTACGGAGGGATAATAGCAATCAAGCACCCGCTTCCTCCCGGGATCTTTTTGCTTCCGGCTTCTACGCGAACACCAAATGAGCCTTGTCAAGCGTGGCGAAAGTACAACGACTCCTGAAGTGGCAACTCCGGGTATCGACATCTGCCCTTGCGTCTTTATGGCGTGGATCTTGGGCCTATCTGCGGTTGTCAGCCGGGAGCTGTAGGACTTGTCAAATCAAATTTGTAATATCTCTGCCTTGTACCAGTCTTCCTGCAAAAGCTTTGACGCGGGCATACCTCGGCAAGAAGAGTTCTCCCAGCTGGCTGCAATATTCTAGTATCACCAGCGTAGTGTTCTCGCGCACGGATGGGTACGACGTCCACTCTGCCGCTCTTGGAACTATGAGGAGCGTTCAATTCTCGTCATAAGCCCCAGGCGGCTAACTTGTACGAGGGATTTCGTTCTATCCCTGTCCGCTGCCATTATCTCTGATCACATATGCGACTCTTGCTGCGAGTGACAGCCGTCGTGTCCACCCGAGCAGTGCGAAATCATCACGCAAGGATGCTACCCTGCCGGCTGCAGCTATCCGCTGCAGAATACGACGTCCAAGAACACCCGCTAAGCTTTGGAAATGGAACTTCCCCGAATCACGCAATTCATCCAGGACGCCCAGGCATGGATGGAATCACCGATGATGGGTGCCCTTTCGCCTCAGTCGGTGAGCAGGTGCCGCATGTGCACCACGGGATATAATCCTGCTTGTATAGGTCCAAGTAGCGACCTGATGGTGGCACTCGTTCGCAGAAGCAAGAAATCCAGCTCAACTAAAAGGGGGCAGATGTGTCTAGAATCCTGCAGTTGAGGCGGCTGGTATAGCCAGGTATCGGTGCGATGTTCGGCTAGCAGAGAGAATACCCAAACGCCATTGCCGTACTGTACCGTACAAAACATCTTGGATGTAAATGAAATTTGTCATGGCACTGTCGCCAGCGCAGCCACCAGCCTCGTGGGTGAGTGAGGGAGGGTCGCGTCAGCAATGGAGATCAAGCAAACGCCACGGAAGGCACCCTGACTAGGATATGTGCCCCTGAAAAGTCCTACATGAAGTACGTCGTACAGGGCAGCGATCCAGAAAACGTATGCTCCAGGCCACTCTCGCGCTCAGTCTTTGCGATCGCACGATATCTGAAACCTTGGATTGCTCACGGCCACCATAAGATCCGTGGTAATCTTGGCGACGCTAACAAGAAACCCACTTGAGGTAGCGGGCCGGCCCGAGGCCAGCGGGCTCTAGCTAGGTGGCTGGCAGAATGCTAGCTGCAGGCACTGAAGATACGGCCGGTATTAGATCAGTCTGATGTGCCAGCACAGTCGTAACGATGGCGGATACATGGCTGGTGGGTAATACTTGCATACCCTTTTCACGCAAGGTCTGCCCGTACACGACCCAGGGGCTCGGCATATGCCGCCGGAGTTAAAAGCAAGGATGTGTCCGGCCCGGACCACGCCAAGCCTGGAGTTCCTCCCGCGGCCGAGATGCATGGGTGGTGCAGGATCGCGCCTGGGTAGATAAGGGTGTGGTGTACTTTGTTGAAGCGATCCCGAACAGCTGCCGGGGAAAGATGCCTGGGTGCCGAGGCCGAAGGCCTGCAGGGTTACAGTTGCCCTGTACCAGGAAGGCCCGCGAGAGGAGTTGCCAGACGCGTGTTCATGTATGTGGTTGTTCTTCTCTTAGCTGACGCAGCCCAGCGTCAGCATAACAACTTGATGCCTGAGCCGGAGGTGGTGTCAGTGGTCCGGAAGGTGCCGGCCCCACTGCGGGCCGTGGGCAGTGGGGCCTCGCGGTGCAGGGCCCCAGCCGGGGAGGCTTCCGGTGCCAGATGCACCTTCCTTGATAGGTCAGGGCATGCACCTGGGCAGTTGCAAGTCAAGTGCTGATGGATGGGTCCTCCTGGACCGGCACTGCACTGCACCATGCACTCACTGGTGGCTGACCGGCCCAAGTGAGGAGCCAATGCCGGGCACTTCCATTGGCGTGACGTGACCGTGACGAGGTGCTTGCGTGAGCCTTCCAGGGCCAGGGCTGCCTCGAACCGCTTGCGGCGCCTCCGGCCGGTGTGCCTGGTCGACGGGTGGGCCCCGGCCGACAACTCGGAGCCCCACATCCGCGCCAAGCATCGGTCATGGATGTCGTTGGCACGCCCTTTGGTGTTGGTGGCTGATTGCTGTCTTTTGGCAGCACGTCTGTTTCCAATTTCAGCTTGGGCTCTTCACCTTGCATCTGCCTCTCTGTACCCTCTGCAGCACCTGTTTGGCTGGCCCTCCGTCCCAACGTCACTCGCCAACATGTCCGCCACAACCACCGCCATAGCAACAGAGCCCCAGCTCCGGCCTAGCCACCAGTACCAGCAGTCCTGCTCTGCGCCCGCGGCCAGCCTCACCGTTGACACAGACCCAGATGACATCGTCGAAGCCTCACGTCTCGCAGATGCCAATGTCCCCGAAGGTGGCGAGGGCTGGATCGTCATTGCCGGCTGTGCCACCCTCACGTGGTGGTACCTGGGCATGAGTTACTCGTGGGGCATCATGCAGGCCGCCCTCGTCGAGAGGGAGCTTGCGTCGGCCTCGACTCTGTCCTGGGTCGGCGCCTTGTGCGTCACCTTCAACAGCATCGGCGCCCTCGTTTGGGCAAAGTTCATCCGCATGGTCGGCACCAGGCAAGCCGCCCTCTTTGGCATCATCTGTCTCGGAGGCGGCTGTGTCCTCAGCGGGTTCTGCACAGGCAATGTCGGTGGGCTGTTCTTTACTAGCGGTGTCCTCATGGGTCTTGGGACGAGGTATGCCCATGCTAGAATTCCAGACACAGCCAATTTGTCCAAAAAAAAAAAAAAAAACTCGAAATTTCTAAGCTGACGAATTGACAGCCTCTGCTTCTTGCTCGTGTCTGTCACTCCGGCGCAGTACTTCAACAAAAAGCGCGGCACGGCCATTGGTATCATCTATGCAGCCGGTGGCCTGGGCGGCACCGCCTTGACCCTCGCCATGAGCGGACTCATCCAGAGAGTAGGCCCTGCATGGACGTTTCGCATCTTCGGCTTCATGATTCTAGCCACTGGGGTGCCCGCCGCGCTCGTCATCAAAGAGCGGGTGCCCATCAGGAAGAATGCGTTTATTGACAAGTCAGTACCGCAAACAATGAAACCATGGATGCCTGCTTGGTGTTGTGTGCACGGGTTCAAGGAGCTTTACTGACAGTAGAAAACAGAGGCCTTCTCAGAAATTCTCGCTTCCTCACCTTAATGGTGGCTGGCGGTCTTTCTACGTTCTACCTCCTGGTCGCGCCGTTCTTCTTGCCACTCTATTGTACCACTATCGGCTTGTCCCAGACTGCGGGCGCCGCCCTGGTTGCCGCGTTCAATCTCTCGTCGGCGATTGGCAGGCTAGGCTGCGGCATTTCTTGCGACAAGTTTGGCCCCGTCAACACCCTCTTTTTCGCCCTGCTGCTCAATGCCTTGACTCTGCTCTTGGTGTGGCCGTTTTCGACGTCGGTGGGCCCGCTGGCTGTGTTTGTGGTCCTGAACGGCGTTGGTAACGGGAGCTTCTTCTCCGCCATGCCTCCCGTTGTCAGCTCCCTCTTTGGCAGTCTGCGGATGCCAGTGGTCATGGGCATGATCATCACCGGATGGGGACCAGGCTATCTGTTGGTGAGTTACAAGAATCCGGATCTCATGCCAAAGCACTTGAGCCTCGTGCATTAACATCGGAACACCATGTCCTAGGGAGCACCTATCGCCGGTTATCTGCTCGCGGCCTACGGTGGCGAACACGGCTCGTCCAGCAACTACCACCCGGCCATCTTCTTTGCTGGAGCGGCGGCTCTGGCTTCCTGCCTGCTGGTTGGTGTTGTGCGCGTACAGTCGAGCAAAGGACTCCTGAGCAAGATATGAACAAATCAGCCAGGCAGAAGAGCACTGAAATGCCACGCAAGTCCCTCCGGGATCTTCTCAACTTTTCCTGCTGTAAGAAACAATACTGGGCCTCAAGGAACTAAGCAGGCTCCCTGAATGTGACAGTCAAGGCGGAGTAAAGTAGAAACATAAGCGACAAAGTGGAGGGAAGTCGGGAAAGAAAATGGCGCCCTTCCAGAACGGGTTGCCTCTGCTGAATATGAAGATTGCCAACAACATTGAAGACTCATCCGAGCTGAAAACTGCGCCGTCCAAGCATCGATTGTCGCCTGCAAGTTATGGTGGAGACAGCGGCAGTTTGCGCCCTTCGATGCTCCGTGATGACAGGTGCATTAGCGCTCATGCAACCCTAAGCAGCTGCCAAGCATGCGTGGGGGGTGCCCAATCGAGTGTCTCCGCGCCTTCCAAGGTTGACCGGCCTCCGGAGCGGTTGGGCGGGGCTTCGTTTGTTGTGACTGCCGGTCGTGCCTCCCATTTCCAGTGTTTGCTTATGCAATAGTCACGGGTACTTATGCCTTGCTGGAACCGCTCATCGACAGCCTCCACCATACCATGTGTGCCCTGAATTGCTCAAGACTGGCACGGCTCCCCTCGTTGGCGACCATGTGCGGTGCGGCTGGCTAGACCCTTTCATGTCTGCGAACCGCTCAACTTGGCACTATCCGTGTTAGTCTCCGCGTCCGACTTACACCACCCGACGCCCGCTCGACTTACACCCTGCAAACACCCTCCATCATGTCAGCCCTCAGGAACAACTCCCGCTTGACGTTGGCGATTCTCGGTTGTGGTAAGCACCGTTACAACGACTAACTGAACACTTCATCCACGGAGGCACATGACTTACGAAGCGAAACCCACTCTCCAGGAAACATGGGAATCGCCATCCTCCGCGGCGTGGTCACATCCCAGCACTCCGCTTCCAGTCAACCCAGCCACGACAGCGCTGCCAGGCCACCACCACCACCATTCTTCTTCACCCGCTTCATCGCCTGCGTCAACCGCCCCGAGTCCGTCGTCGCCCTCCAGCACAAAGTGTCCGAGCTCGGCCCACTACCGAGCACTGCCGCCGCAATCGACGTGTGGCAAGGCCGCACCCTCGAGGCCGTCCAGGCCGCCGACGTGATCCTGCTCTCCTGCCAGCCCTCCCAGGCATCCGGCATCCTGGCCGGCCCGGAGATGGCGAGAGCGCTGTCCGGCAAGGTCCTGCTCAGCATCTGCGTGGGACTCTCGCTGCCCCAGCTTGAGGCACTGATTCACTATCCGGACGACCAAGACCAGCAGCAGCAGCAACGCCTCCCGCGCTGCGTCCTGGTTCACGCCATGCCAAACACTGCAAGCACGATCCGCGAGTCGTCGACCATCATCAGCCACTACCCCTCACAGACAGGTTCCTCCTCCTCCAAGACTACCTCTGACGACCTCGCAGAGCACATCTTCTCCAGCATCGGCAAGGTCATCCACGTTCCCAGCACCCTCATGCCCGCAGCCAGCGTGACGGCGGCCTCCACGCCCGCCTTCTTCACTCTCGCCCTGCAGGGCGTCATCGACGGGGCCGTGGCAAAGGGCATATCCCGGGAAGACGCGACCATCATGGCCGCACAGGCAATGAAGGGCACCGCGGGGATGGTCCTCGCGGGGGAGTCGCCACAAGAGGTCATGGAGAAGGTCATGACGCCAAAGGGCTGCACCGAGAGGGGCGTGCACGTCCTGCAAGGCGCCGGCGTGGATGGCGTGTATGCTGACGCCACGAGGACGGGCATCGAGAGGGTGTTTGAAATGTCTCGCGAGAGGGAGATGAAGGCTGCTGGCAAGAGCTGAGGGCTTGGGGACTCCAATCGTTGGCGAGTGTCACCCAAGGTAATACTCGAATGATCAATAAAGCTGCATTGGCAGTTGCAACAAGGCGGGCATTACTTTATGAAGAGAGTTACTTGTGGGAGCCCAACCGAAAATCATCCAGACTCATCCAGGAGGAGTGTTCGGTCAACAAGCAATCCACGAAGTCGAATGTGCAGATCTAAGCGGAGCGTCCACTCTTATGAGCAGATGGGCACGCAATTCTAGAAAGCTCAAGATAGCGGATACACTGTAGCACGCGATCGCAACAAGGGACTATCGCATCTCGGAACAAAGAACTCCTTTTGTGTACTATTCATACATACAAGATTTGAATGGTCAGTCGCCATCTCCCCAGCCTCAAACGGATTGAGCATATCCGCCATGGCAAGAAAAACACCGCCAGTATTACTAGGACTATGTTGTGAATATCTCTCTCTAGATGCCGGTTTGCTAGAAGAAGTCTCCTGGTGAGCGGCTCTCATCAAGAGACACTACACAAAGGAAAAGGCAGATAAGGGAGTTCATTAGCCTCCCATCTTCTTCTTGCCCAGGTGGGCATATAGACCCAGCAAAGGGCCACAGCCTTTCAGTGACGCCGCTCCAAATATGTCCAGCGTGGCGTCTTCGGCGAAGTCGCATGCCTTCCACCTGCACAGAAGCTTGTCCCTGCCTTGTAGCAGAGGATGTGAGGTGGCAGGCATAATCACATCTGGCAAGGAGGCCAAAATTGTGTTTGTCAATGTGTTGACTATTTTGGCTGATGCTTTCGCCATCGAATTGTTTATTGACAATCCTCATGCGAGCTTAGAATCCAAAACCAGTCGGCTGAGGAGCGAAGCCGTTGGTCTGGAAGGACGGCGAAGGGGCACCGCCACCTGGGCCCGCCGTGATCATCAAGCGGTTGCCAAGAATGGGCGTGTCGTCCTGCTGCTGCTCTTGGGCAGTCTCCTTGGCCTTGCGGGCCTCGTTGTCGGCCTTCAATAGCGCGAGCTCCTTGGTCTGCTGAGAAAGCATGTTGATCATGTATGGCATGGTGAAGTCGTGCAGGCCATGGCGCCAGGAGAGCTCGAGAATGATGTCAGGGCGGATGAGCTCATAGCAAGCATAGAGCATGCCGACGTAGCACTCGCGGCTGCCAATGTCCACGAACTAAAGGAACTGTTAGTGACAAGACGATAAAGGGACGGATGGTGAAATGGAAAACTCACGTATCGAAGAAGGTCCTCGACAACGTCGGACTTGCCAGAGATGGCAGCAGTCTCGATGGCGTCCTTGAACAGCTTGTCCTGCTTGGAAAGAGCAATAGACTTCTCCCACCTCTTGTTCTTGCGGTAGATGTTGGCTGCGATCTGGCGGAAGAAGACAAGCTCGTGCTTCTCAAGTCGCGACGCAAGATCGACAGCGTCGTAGTTGTCGTAGTTCTCGACAGAGTCACGCAGAGTCTTGTAGTCCTCCTCCTCGATCAGCAAGTCGTTGATGGCATCGTTGACTGTCCGCTTGTTCTGCGTCTGCACATTAAGCAGGAAGGGCTTGATGAGGGGTAGGTTGTCGGACTTTTGGAACATGCGAACGACGCGGTTGACATCGATGCGGGGAGTCAGAGCCTGGAGCAGGTCGGTGAGAAGGGATGGGTGCTGCTCCAGGTAGAAGTTGATGGCGCGGTAGTAGATCTCGAGGTTGGCCACCTTGACAACGATGTCCTTGAACTGCTGGTGCTCCCACGAGTTCTGAGCACGCTCCATGACAGCAAGCGCAGCGTTGTCGAACTCGTCGTAGTGGTAGTAACAGAAGACCAACTCGGGCCAGAGGTTCGCCTCCTCGCAGGCGCGGATCAGCTTGGGCAGGTTCATGCGACTCCAGAACAGCTTGATGTGCTCCATAAGACTCTCGGGGCGGTACTTGGACAGAGCAATGCCGAGCTCGGTGAACATGCCCATGTGAGCACGCTCGAGTCCGAGACCCTGCTCGAGAAGATCAATGAGCTCGTCGAAGAATCCACCATACTCGTACTGCTTCACAAGTGTCTGGAGCTGCTCCGCATCGACGATCAGGTTGAGACCGCAGATCTTAGCAAGGCGGAACTCCTTCTTGGCCACGCAGGCACTGTGAACCTCCTTCCAGACCTTGATGTTGTTGGCCTTGCGAGCGCACTCGACGGCAGCCTGGTAGTCATCAAGGTGCACGAGAGTGGTAGCGAGCTTGGACCAGTTAGAGATGCTGGTGTAGAAGATCTTGGCAGCCTGGTGCAGACCCTCGCTGGCAGCCTTGTCACCGGACTCCTCAATGTTGGCTACGTTGGTTGCGCGCAGGAAGTCCTCAAGCTCTGCGAGCTGATCAAGTCGGGCGAAGGCGAATGCAAGGGCGGTATCGATCGGGGGCTCGCGAAGAGTCTTCCGCGCCATGCGGAGGAACTTGATGAGCTCCTCGTCCTTGCCAGCGTGGGTTGCAACCTCAATCACTTCCTCGTAGTTGCGAGGGTCACCAGCCTTGATGTACGAATCAATGGCATCGGGCACACGGAGACCGTCAAGCTGGGCCTTGGCAACCTTGCTCCAGACCTCGGGAGTGTCAACGTTCTCGGCAAAGTCGTTGGCACGGTCAATGCTGACAATGTGCTCAATCAGAACATCGGTAGCAGCTGTGTGGTTGCCGACCTTCTTGTAGATCTCGAGAGCTTCCTCGTGCAGGCCGACATCGAGACAGAGCGATGCGCACTCATCGGGGTTGAAGTGCTCCATGCGGTGGATGTAGTCCATGACCCGGGACTTGTCCGATTTGGCAGCAGTCAAGATGAGCAGGTTCTGCAGGCTGGGGTTGTCGTTGAAGGGAGAAGGCTCCAGGACAATCTTCTCGAGCAGCTCGATGAGCTCACCGGGCAGATCAGCGGCCAGGAACGAGGCCACAGCCTCGGAAACCTTGGCAGGGTCGCTGCACTCAGGAACAGCAGTGGCAACAACCTGGTCAATAACCGAGCGGCGATGCATGTTGTTCTCGCTGAGGACGAACGTCCAGAGCTCGCGGTCTGAACGGTCGAGCAGGTACCTCGCCTGGGCACGGTACATGGAGTTCTCATTGGTGATGTTGATGAGCTCGAGATCGTTCTGTCCCTTCTGGTAGGCAATGTATGCCAAGTTGGGGTCGCGCTTCTCGCAGTACTTTCCGACGCTGAGAGTGTCGTACTGGTCGTTCTCCTTCAGGAACTTCTCAGGGTTGTTGTTAGAGTCGATGTAGATCTTGGCCAGAGCATTGAAGACTGCCTGCTGTTGGTTGCCGGCGGCAAGAGTGGCTTCCAGGAATGGCAACAGCATCTTGAGTCTGTTGCGGGTCTCAACCTGGCTGACAAGCTCGTCAATTGGAATGGACGAGGGCTCGACAGTTGAGAGCAGGTTCTTGATCACGCTCTCCTCGCAGTCTACGTCAAGGAGACCGCCAATCACCTCAGGAGTTCTGGCGGGGTTGACGCGCTGGACGTAGACCTCAATGGCGTTGAACTTCTGGTTCTGGTACAGGTACAAGATCAAGTCATGGACGAAGTTGAAGCGATCGCAGACGATGATCAGCGGAAGCATGTCAGCAAGACGAGCCTCCTTGAGGAAGTTCTTGACCTTCTCAGGGTTGTAGTATTGGCTGTCACGGCAGATTCTCTCAACCTCGTTGAACTGGCCAGACTTGGTGGCAGCCTCAATGTACTTGAAGTGCACATCGGGCTCCTGAGACATGTTGACAATGCTGCCGAGGTAGTAGAAGAGACCCTCGGCAGTCTTGTACTTCTCGAAGAGGTCAATCAGTCTGACAGGGCCGAGGAGCTCTGAGTACTTGGTGGCAATCTGGACGACAGACTGAAGGTTCTGACGGATGTTGGTCTTCAACATAGCGTCGAGGCAGTCCAGGGACTGCTCGACCGAAAGCTGGCCGAAGTAGTTGATGAGCCACTCCGCATTGAAGTTGGGGGTGCCCGCAATGTTGACGACGACACGCTTGACGGCTTCGGGGTCCTCGTAGAGCTCCAGAGCCTTCTGAGCCAAGCCAGCCTGCTCACAAAGAGCCGCAATGCGGGCTTTGTCAAAGTGCGTAAACATCTGGTTGCTGAGGATGGCCTCGGCGACCTGCGGGGCGTTCATCAAGTTCATCTCCAAGAGGCGCGTCTGCAGGTGACCGTGCTCTGGGTTGTTGTCCTTGAGAGCATCCAACAGGAAAGCCGTAGCTTGCTGGACCAAGCCTTGCGACTGGAAGACATCGACGACCCGCTGAATATCAACAAGAGAACCGCCCTCGTTGTTGGCAAGCGCGCTGGCGAACTCGGCGCCCTTCTCGGGGTTGGTGCGGACGATGTGTTGCAGGAGGGTAATCCAGTCAGGCTGGTAGCCGGTCTGCTGCACGTACGGCAGGATTTTCTCGTACTGGCCCATCTCGGCGAATGCAGGGACGACCTTGTGAGGAGCCTCGGCCTTCAGGTAGACTGCAAGAGCGAGGTTGACGTCCTGCATGCGGATCTGGTCACCTAGCTCCTCGGAGAAGTCGAGCTTGCCCTCCTTCAACCACTTCTCGAGAAGGTGCTTGCGGCCCTGAGCAAGGACCGGGGTAGCCAGTTCCAAGGTCTCGGTCTTGTTCAGAGGTGTAGTCTTGTCGAGCAGCATGCCGAAGTACTGGAGAATAAACGACATCTTGCCGGGCTGCTGTGGCAGGCTCTTGAACTTGTTGATCGTATCGGTGGTGCGGAGGAAGCCACGCGGAGAGTTGGCGGCAATCTTGGCAGCATTCTCGTAGTCACCCGAGTTGAACATCTGCTCAAACTGGCGCTGGTACAGCTGGTCGGCGCCAGGCAGACCAGCCCTCGAGGCCATTTTGACCGCAATCTCGGTGTTGGCGGGATTCTGGAGAAGGTAGTTGATCATGTTGCTCTCGTCGACGGTCACAAACAGCACTTGACCCTTGCGGTTGATGCCCACAATACCGGCCGAGTCCGTGTCGGAACAGGTTGTGAAGATGGTCTCGCTCGAGATGCGGTTCATGAAGATTGTGGAGCCAGTCTCGAGGTCGTAGAGGTGGATGAAGCCGTACTTGGTCACCATGTAGATGACGCCGTACTTCTGGGAGACCTGCATCGCGACGGGGAAATCGTTGGTAGCCTCGGGCGGGAAGTAAATGTCGACGGCCTTCTTGGCGAAGACAGGGTTGGCCTCCGGGTGGTCGATCTCTACGATGTGTAGCTTGGCACCTGTAGCAGTCCGCACAGCAAAGGAGAAGACCTTTGTGTCGGCCGGAGCGCCTTCCAAGCGGAGGGTGCCGAATGTGGCGGCATGGCCCTCAATCGCTTGGCTGATACCTCTGTCTTTCGAATACAGTTGCAGGCTACCGACTACGCGACCTTGCTGTTGCGAGATTCCGACCACGGACATCCACTTGCCGTCGCTGTTAGTGCGGTAGTTGATGATTTGGCAGCCCTAGGCAAACGAGAATGTCAGCAGGACGGATCAAGATGGAAGCTCACCAAGCTTTTCTTCAAACAGTATGGGAGTCACGCAAGGATCACTCACTGCCAGGTTGGCGTTGCGCTTAAAAACCTCAACAGGGGCGGCTTGGCTGGCGTCAAAGATGTCCCAGTGGAAGACTGAGGTATCTGTGACAAGACCGAGCGTCGATTCACTGATCCACTTCCAGAAAACGACGTCCTCGTTCATGGTGGCGGACTTGAGCTTGGCCTTCTTCTCGAGGTCGAAGATCTGCAATGTCCTAGACTGAGCCCGCAGGGCGATAATCTGTTTCGTCCAGTGCATAATGGCACTGTCAGCCTTAATAGGGCGCCGTGTGACATTGTTGCCGTTCTTGAGATCCACAATGACGACCTCGGGTGACGCAGCCTCATTCTTCTTTTCTCTTATGCAGATATAGTAGTCGGACTCGAGAGTCTGTTCGGCCAGGCAACAGAATTAGCATGAATCCCGGTGATCATGGTGGGGTAAGCGGGTTGGGGAGCGCCAAAGATCCAGAAAAGCCTCGGCTTCAGGTGATGTCTGATGGACACTTTGGTCGCGTCGAGGACGATGGAGTGATAGGGACAGACATACACAAGAGTTGAAGCCGATGGCTGAGGCGTCAACGCCGACATTGCTGAGCTGCAGGAGCTCCTGAAACTTGATGGGAAGCGGCGCCATGATTCTGTTTTGGAAATGTTCAGCATATATGACATAAATTGACCATGCGCCATGTCGGTCGGATGGTGGGAGACAAGAGGCTTGGGATCGTGGAGCGTGGAGCGGCGTACAGTTGTTACCGGGCGGTGCCTCCGGAAGGGCTAGTCGTGGCACTGCGTGATATCGTATGAATTCGTGAATCGCATCCAATGTGTACAGTGGAATGGAGAGGCGCCAGGCGACGAAGAAGATGGGCAGCCGGATAGGCAGTACACCTCCAGAAATGTGACGGTTGGCTCGCGCAGTGAGGTCGGGTTTAGTTGGTGGGAGGGAGGGAACGGCAATCGAGTGACGACGCGCGCTGCTGTTCGGGGCAGGACAGGGCGATCGTGACTTGCTGCACGATAATGGGAAGCCCGGCGGAGACGAGGCGTGCGTCGGATCGGAGCAAGCTGCGTGCGATTCGCAAGCAGGCTAGCGGGCTGAAAGGAGGGAGGGAAAAGGAGGAGTGGGAGGATGACGATGGAGGATGTGGTGGTTCAGGGAGGAACAGCTGCGGTCCCGTTTGGGATGGGCAGGTCGAGTTGGATTACCTGTTCGCAATGGGAGCTTGGGCTTGGCACCAGCGTAATGCTCAGCGGGCACGGGCCAACCACGGCCAGGTACAGGGTGAAGTGGAAGATGCCCCTTATTCGCGCCGCCTTAGCTCAGCCAATAACGAGTGGCTGCCTCAGGCACTCAGTCTACGGCCAGGCATCATCGTTACCATTGCTGGGCTGTACGAAGAAGCGATGCATAAAGGCAAGTAGACTTGCGTTTACCTCACATGGAGTTATCAATAGTACAATTCGGGCAGCCCTCTGTCGATCGAGCGAAGCAAGTTCAGCAATGCTCCTGCACGGCACTAATTCAGTCGCAACAAATTTGGAGTGAATTGACTTTCTGAACGAACAGGGCCAGTACAGTACATTGACGACATCGTCATCCAGTGAATGACGACCGATCACTAGCCAGTAACGTGCAACAACAATGCATGCGAGCTTGCCCAACTTTCGAGACTGTGGTCGTTTCCGACTTCTCGGCCGAGGGGACGCGCCGCGCAATGCGCATGTTACGGAAGCATGCCATTGTCAGGTTGGCGTTCATTCGATCAACGCTTGCACTCCGCCGACATCTCGACATTCACAGCCCAAAGCCGTCGATCAGGTTGAGCAAGATCCTGGCTACGAAGTTACTCTCGGCTACTCCGAGACACATCTCAAAATCATCACAGAAGAAAAAGCTATGTACGCTCAATCATTGCGATCCTCCCCACCATCCCCCTTTGGAGGACGGGGAGCACCGCACCCAAGATTGTTCGCTGGGAGTTGTTCTCCATTCTGTCCGAGAACTTCAGTGGTCGTGGGCCACCGTAAAAAGGATACCTCGCACCAAATAAGGTCTTGTCTCGAGAATGTGATAATTTGCGTTGTTCATATTTGAATAAAGAAGGAAAAGAGAAGAAACGTCCAAAGCCGCAGGGCGCCGACGACAAATTTTATGGCAGAGACGGACGGGGCCCGCTTCCAGAGGCAGGCACAAGCGCTCGGACCACTTTTCCCAAGGTGCAGACCAGACACTGCAAGCACAGTAGCTGGGGCTCAGCGACTTGGGTTACGTGCACTGTGCCAGGGCAAGGGTCCAGGAGCGACGCCGGCCAGAATCGGCCCTGGCCATGATCGCAAATGACGCTTCTTGTCCCACTACGCAGGCCATCGTGACTTGAAACTCCCGCGTGTGCCCAGCTGGAGCCCTCCCAACCACATCTTCCCTTCTCAGCCTTTCAGTTTTTCAACCGAAGGACGCGAAAATAAATCATGGCCCAGAATTCAATCCAGACACTCCCGCGATTCCTGCTGCCTCGGCTCAGCTGGACTGCGCCGGTAGCAGTGGGCAGCGGCCCCTCTGTCCATCATCACCTGCGGGCCGCTGCTGCGATCGGAGGAGCCTCAGCGCCGTCGCAACAATGGAATCAAAGGCCTACGCAACAGGTCGCGCGGTATCATGCCGCCGCTGCCGCCCCCGCGCCCGCGCCCGCCAGCAACCGATATCCTCTACCATTCTGAAGCATCACCAGCCAGCTCTGACGCGGGCGTTCCACACGACCAGGGCCCAGGCCAGAGACCACCACTTTGACACGCTCAGGTTCGTCCAGCGCCTGCGCGATGAAGGGTTTACGGAGGAGCAATCCGTCGCGATGATGAAGGTTCTCAACGACGTCATCGAAGAGAGGTAGGATCCCCCCAACTCCAATTCTCATGGCAACACAAAACGGACTGGAAGACTAACAGACAGACAAAAACTCCCGTCACGAACAAAACAGCATCCAGAACCTCACGCGGACAATGGTCCTCCGCGAAGATGCCGCAAAGGCCACGTACACGCAGAAGGTCGACTTTGCCAAGCTCCGCTCCGAGCTGCTCAGCGCGGACTCGACCGAGTCCAACACGACGCGCTCCGCGCACGAGCGCCTGACCAACGACATCACCAAGCTCAACAGCCGCCTGCGCGACGAGATCGGGCGCACCCAGGCCTCCGTGCGGCTGGACCTGAACCTGGAGAAGGGCAGGATCCGTGACGAGGCCGCCACTCAGGAGCTCAAGATCAAGGAGACCGAGACCAAGATTGAGCAGGAGCTCGCCGCGCTCAGGGAGAAGCTCGAGCAGGTCAAGCTCCAGACTTTGCAGTGGCTTATGGGTGTGTGCACTGGTTTCGCGGCGCTGCTGCTCGGTGCTTGGAGGCTGCTCATGTAGAGAGCACGGGGGAATGGATTTGTATGTTTCGAGTATATGTCAGAGAATATCATACCCTGAGTATATTATGACCAACGTTGGTAAAGACCATTCCATATTATGGACCATTTGACACAATCGATTTCTCAGAAGTGAGCATAGTGTAGTGGTTTATGGCTGTGAAATGCAGCCGTTGTATGGCACTATTGTGGAGGGCCTGCTAGAAGAAGAAGAAAATAAGAACCAGTGCTACCCAACAGATGTAGTCTCGGTAGTGTATGTACGTGGAGAATGAAGAAAAAAAAATCGCTAGAAATCATAACGGGCATAACACGTAAGGCCAGACGCTGGACAGAGCGTTCCGAATTTGCAACTCGTCAGAGGGGCTGCAAACGCGGAGATCGTGCCTAGACGCCTGGGTGTGGTGATTCGAGATGAAAGGAGACGGAGTGATGTTAGTGCAGGGCACCACTGAGACGCCGAATCCTCCGAGAGTGCAACAGGGAGTGTCCTTGGGGAGGTTGTGATGGCACCAAGTTTTCTCGCTCCCGAACGCAGGATCATCCGGCATGGCTTCTCAGCAAACGGCGGTAGCAGACCCTTCCCCGAGCATACGGGTCTGAATGCCCATCTGAGCACTGAACCTGTCAGGCACGGCTGACTAGCCTCAAGCTCGATCCGTTTCCTGGGATCAGAACCCTCCCCGAGGCAATCACTCGATCCGAGGTGGTGTACTGCTAGCCGTTGTCCTCCGCCTCTCGCCTTCCCGACGTAAATTTTCGATAATCTTCAACATCTCCTTGCGAGCACCATAGCTGTCAATCGCTTTATGCGCCATGCTCATGGATATCTTTTGTCCGGCATTGACAGCCAGCAGCCTCTTGATCAGGAGATGGCGCATTATTATGCACACGAAGACGCCACAATCACTGCCGTTCTCTTGTTGGGGGCATTCAGAGAGATAGTGGTATCGTAACGGCTTGCCAATGACATTTGACAGCCGTTTCGTCGCCTCCCAGGCTTCGTTGTTATTTGCGCCGTCGAGTGAGTCGTAATGGAAAGCTACTCCATCAATCAAACTGACGAGGAGTAGGGACCAATGGCTGCCGCCCTCGGCCATGGAAACATTCCTGTTGTCGTTGATGGGTAGGAAGACATGCGTGATTCCGCGGAAGTCTGGCAGGGCGGATCTGACCATTTCGGTGTCTTTGTTCTTCATGAGCAGGAACGTCATCGAAGGGCGAAGCAGGATAATGTGCGCTTGCGGGTACTTTGTCAGGATCTCGTGCTCCAAAAACTCTTCCCAGAACGCAATGTTCTGTGGTGCAACACGTGGATTAGCCAAGAACTTCGGGTCTCTAATGCAAGGACGACAGAACGTACATTGTCTGTCAGCCAGTCGCCCTTGAGCGCTTTGACATCCTCATATGTCACTGAGAGGCCGCGTTAGTATTGCGTACAGCCACGCAGCCTTTGGACATGCCGCCTGCGGGCACTTACAGAGCACATCGTGGTCTGTCAGATCAGAGTCAGCATGTGAGTGCATGAAATCGGCAGGGATTTGCCTTTGTGTCACATTACTTGTAGACTGGTGACTTACATGAAAGATGCGGCGAGTTCGGAGACGGGGAAGGCGAGAGCTGAAATTTTCTTGAGCGCTGGCTTCGGGATCTCTTTCTGCGATGGGGGCTCACGCTATCACCTAGACGCTGCCGGAATCTCTCGCGAAACGGCATTTTTTTTTTCCACCAGTCGTGATAAACTCGCTGTGTAGAACTGGAGGTGAATGCGCGTGGATATCGGAGTTGCGAGAGGCTCGGATTCGGGGGACGGCTCGCAACACGTAGAAATTCGAACGTGACGTGGCCGAATCGAGAGCGCTGGCTGTGTTTTACGAGGAGCTAAAAGTCGAGGAATGCGCGACGGAATGGGTCTGAGAACAGGGTCTTTCGATCGGGAGTGGATGCGCTTTTGTCGGCAGGCTCGGCGGGGTCTGGCGTAGCTGTCACTGGGGAAGTCCACCGGAGCGAACGAGTCAATCCTTGTCGATAAGAACCTAAACAATAAGCTGGCGCTTATGAGAGTTGCGAGGACAGGAAATCGGTCGGCTGGGAACGACGGCCGTGCAGAGAGAATGGCCGTTGTTGGAGCCTCAAAACCAAGCAGGACGGCCTGGGTGGTGATGACGAAAAACCCGCTGGATGCTTGAGAGTACAGATTGTCCAAAGGATTGGGGAGGATGACGATGGTGAGACTGTGGGCGAGGAGCCAAGCTCTAATAGAGCAGGTGATGACGCGCGAAAGCGGGCGCGGGTGCCGAAGACCCTGCCAGCGTGTTTCCCGGGGTTTGTGTGCCTGCCAGTGGCAGGCAGGTTGGCAGGCAGGCAGGCAGGGAAGGAGGAGCCAGAGGGGAAAGCACCACCACCACAGTCGTCACTGCCCACGCCGCTCGATGCAGCTTCGGCTCATGATCAACAAGACTTGCGCAAAGCCGGCGCATGGGCTGGGCCGGGCCAGGCACGCAACCTTGACAGCACTGTGCACTGCCACTGCCCCAAGGCTCCATACACCTCTCAGCACTAAAACCTCTTCGAGCAGCGGCAATTTACACATGCCCGTCAAAGTCCATACTTGCATCTCCGGCTGGCTCGACCATGGATAACTTGAGGTGGCGCGAATGCCTTGTATTTCGAAACAGCGTCGCGTGCAGCATCATGAAGCTCGACGAAGGCCTCCGTGACCAAAATGCGACTTCTTGTCATCCACCCAATGTCCCTGGAGCGATGCGGGTGGACGTGTTATCAGCCGGGCAGTCCCCGCTGGGAGCTGCTCAACCGCGGGGAGAAAGTGGGTCGCCAGCGTCCTCAAACCGAGCTTTCAAAGTATATTTCCTCCGCCGAAGCGGACATTAGAGTTTCTGAAATGCAAGTGGCAGGCACCAGGGGCCTTGGCCTTCAGCTGGGCTGGGATGACTGGCTGGCCGCGGCGATGCGATGCTTTGCCCTCGTCTCACAAGATATCTGTCTTTGCTGGAAGAATTCCCGTGGTTCGGACTTTGATTTCGTTGCGATGTCCCCCGATTCAAGGCGGTAGGGCAAGAATGATCCGGGCTGATCCTAGCTGCAACGGTCCGAGCTGGATTATGCAGCTGCCTGGACATCTCGGCTGCGCCTCTTCTGCCAACGACGACTTGTACAGGCTCCTAGCTAGGGCCCGCGAATCTCGGGACGAGTCGACGCCAAGATCGGCAACGGAAAAGCCGGGATGGCATTCCTCTCGAATCAGGGCCGTGCAGGACGATTGACAGAACACTCTGCTGCGCACAAGTGACGGGTACGATCGACGGTCTTGATTCACGCGTTGCGACAGGGTTCCGCCATAGTAATAAAGCTTGGCATGCAAAGCACGTGGCATGAAACAGATCTGGCTTCCTTTGATATATTCATTTGCCCCAGCACCCGTCGCCGCTTTGGTGGTCTCCCGCCGTGCTTCTTGTCCCGAGCGCCCATTACGCATTCTCGGACCTCATGCAAAGAGGGCTAAGAGCTGGGGAGCAGAATCTTCTCGCCGCCGGCTGGAAGTATGACTGTCTTCACCTGGACCTGAAGCTTCTTGTCGCGAGCTGGCTGATCGAGGACCGCGCTATACTACGGCTGATGCAATCATGAGTGCGCCTGCACCTGCCTAGGCACTTTCCGGTGCATGCCTTTATGCTTTGTCACACCTGCCTGTCACCTCACTGGATGCTATCCTGCAGGGCCGCATATTTAGACTGTGCGCAGGGCCGGTCTGCCGAACCTCACATAGTGCTGCCTCCCGACATGTAGCCTCTAGGGCTTCGCGCCCACCACGGGTTGTTCGGAGGATAAAGCAAGACCTGAACAGTTGCTATGGTGCGAACGTGGGCGCACCGCCATGCCCATCGCGTGAAGTTTTGGCGAGTTGCATGTTCAATGTGTTGTGCAGGTCCAAGTCTCTCACTTGGCTGGCTTCTTCTCCAAGAACTGCGGGTTCTGCTCCATGGTCGCAGAGATGAAGCCTCTCAGGGCTGCGAAACGGCTCGATGTTGTTGCCGGCACAGCAGCGCCACCATTGCCCTGACTACTCGGGTTGGAACCGCTAGCCTCGACGTCCATCGCTCCCGACGTCGGCTGCTGAGGCACGGCATTCAGCCTGGCCATGTTGACGCCGAACCGCTCCACCTCGCCCTTGACGATCTTCTCCTTGCGCTTGAGCGCGCCCTTGCGGCTCTTGAGACTCTTGTGCCGGATCTTGCCTTCCCTGAGCTGCTGCAAGCCCTCCTCCGTCTCGCCGTCCGCGAGCAGGTCAGGCAGCGCGTCGGCCAGAGATTCCATGTTCGTGACGAGCTTCTTGCCGGGCCTCCTCCGCTTGAGGGCCTTCTTCTGGACGCCCGACTTTTCGATGCGCGACACGAACGCCGAGTGCTTGACCAGCCGCTTGTCCTTCTTGCTGTTGATGAACGAGTCGCTCGTCTCGACGGCGTCGGGCCGGGGCGTCTTGCGCGGGGCATACACGCCGGAGCCCGACTTTGCGGCGAGCTTTGCGCGCAGGGTGCGCCGTTTCGCAGAGGGGACGACGGGAGCCTGTGTGTGCGAGTTTCTGCGTGTCAGCGCTGCCACTGGAGCGATGGTTGTCTGAAAAGCGGCGGCATACCATGATGTTTGTCTGTGAGATTTGAGGTGCTGATCTGAATTGTGGCGGTCTCGCTTGCGAACGAAAGGAAGGACCCGTGATGAAGGTTGTCGATGTCCTCATGCGACTTTGATGAGCTTCTCGCAAGTCGAAAATTTTAGTGGGCCAGGGGACCACCGTCGTGTGCCGTCACTGTGGGGTAAACACTTCGACTTGACCTGCTCGGCCATTGCAGACTGAAAACAACTACAGTGTCTGGGAAGTCTCAACGATTGAGTGCGTGTGAAGGTAAATTGGGGTGGATTTGTCGCTTGTCCAGGTACTGGGTAGACAACCGGACGGTAACTTCAGCTCGTCTTGTTGTCCTTCCTCAGGGTTGTAGTGGTAAGTCCTGTCTTGATTATTATCGTGGGGTATTCTCGCTCAGAACATCCAAGATGGAGTCGGCAACAACGACAGCAGAGGAGCTCCGGCGGCAGATACGGGAGACCGAGCAAACGTTAGAAGACCTGCGGCAGCGGCTGCATACTCTCGAGGCGTCAGAAATCACCACTGCGCCTCCTCTCGGGACTCGCGATGCTGGGGAGGGGTCACACGGAGCAGGTTCCATCTCGCTTGACCAGTATACCTCTTCAGATGAACCCTCTAAACAGCAACCCCCGGAGTGGCCGTGGCCTCTCGCTGAAGATGAGTACATGCGATACGGCCGGCAGCTCATCCTGCCGTCCGTCGGCATCCGCGGCCAGCTCCGCCTCAAGGGTTCTTCGGTACTGGTCGTCGGAGCGGGCGGCCTCGGATGTCCGGCAGCCGCCTACCTCGCCGGTGCCGGCGTCGGCACACTGGGAGTCGTCGACGGCGACACGGTCGAGGCGTCCAATCTGCACCGGCAGATCGCCCACAGCACAGCCCGTCTTGGCCAGCACAAGGTCCACAGCCTGGTCGCCTACTGCCGCGACCTGAACCCGCTGGTCACTTACACGCCCTACGCTGAGCACCTCACGCCGCAGAACGCACCAGACATTGTCTCGCAGTATGACATCGTGCTCGACTGCACCGACCATCCGACCTCGAGATACCTCATCTCCGACATCTGCGTGCTCCTCGGCAAGCCTCTCGTTTCGGCCTCCGCTCTGCGAACAGACGGGCAGCTCATTGTGCTCAACGACCCTCCCGGTCGTCAGGGAGATGTGGCCCGAGGCGGGCCTTGCTACCGCTGTGTTTTCCCCAGACCGCCGCCCGCCGACAGCGTCGTGAGCTGCGGGGAGGGCGGGATCCTCGGCCCCGTCGTCGGCGTGATGGGTGTCCTCCAGGCTCTCGAGGCCATCAAGCTCGTAGCTGCCGGCATCAATAAGCCCACCACTACCACCCTGGACTCGGACAACAATAGCAATACCGCTCGCACCTCGGGTGACTCAAATTCGGGTCAAGCGGCAGCAGCAGCAGCAGCGTCCCCAGCACCAAGCCTCCTCCTCTTCTCCGCCGGCAGCGGTACCTCCCCGGCATCCTTCCGCTCGATACGCATGCGCGGCCGGCGGAAGGACTGCTTCGCGTGCTCGCCGTCGTCCACTCTCACCCTGGACACCCTGCGCTCCGGATCGCTCGACTACATCCAGTTCTGCGGCGTCACGGCCCCAATTAAGATCCTGACGCCCGAGGAGCGTGTCTCAGCGCTGGAGTACAGCCGATTGAGGCCGACGAAGATGGAAGCGGATCCGCAACAGCAGCAGCAGCAAGAGCAGGAGCAGGACAAGGACCTAGCAACCACAACTAAGATCCCGGAGCACATCCTGCTCGACGTCCGCGAAAGGGAACACTTTGACATCGCCAGCCTGCCCGGAGCGATCAACGTCCCTTTCTCCAAGTTCCAGGCCGAGATGAGGCGCCGTGGTGCGCGGACAAATACCACCGACGCTGGAGGCGCGGCGACAGAGCAGTCATTACTACCGGCGTGGCTGCTGCCCCCTCTGTCTGATCAACATGTCTTCAGCGGTGCCCCCCCAACAGAGCATCACTTGCCAGCCTCCGCCGACCTTGGGCAGGACGGCAACAAGCAAAAGCAGCAGCAGCAGCCGGATATATACGTGATATGCCGGCTCGGCAACGACTCGCAGGTCGTCGCGCGCCAGCTCCAGGAACTTCTGCTCACCGGTGACGACGTGAAGGATGCTGAGCATGCCGCAGCCGCGGGACCGGACAAGCAGAGAAGAAGGAGGAGGTTCATCGGCGACGTCCAGGGTGGCATGGCGGCGTGGAAGCGGGACGTAGACGGGCGGATGCCGTTTACTTGATTGGGCGTTGTGAACCGGGGCCTGACTCGAGGTTTATTACTCGGGAGCGTCCAGTCAGCGGGTGCACGACTACTGTACCACCTTGTGGCTGGGCGGTCATCATCACGTAGCGGGATCCATATTCAATTCAAGTTTAGCAAGTGCCATGGCCCCTGCCGTTTGTGTAGTTGTTTCGACCTTTCGTTCCTTACTCGTGTCATGGGCTCCGATATTGGTACATATACAATGATGACTTGAAAGGGGGGGGGATTTTGCTGTGAAGACAAATGATTGAGAGGCAAGATGATGTTTCCCTCTTTCCCTTTGCCACGGTAAATCCAGCACCTGATGGACATGACAGTACCTATAACCCCAGTATAACAAAACGCCTAGAATTACATCACCCCTTTTCCTGTCCTTGCATCATCTCACCCTTGGATTCCTGTGTAGGATTGGCCCATAGGCTTCTGTCCCAGACTGACGCTCCAGCACCACAACGCCAAACATCCCCGTGCGGGTAGTATTAACAGAGCGATGGTTTCATCTCCTAAGCGGGATAGGTTGGCCTCTCGCCACGCTCACGCTTCATCGCAAAGGCCCGCTGGTCCTTCAGCCATCGTCGGTATCCGGCGACACTGGAGATCTTTTCACCGTAGAAATCGGGGACTATGAGACCGAGCAGGTTAGTCGCAGGATCGAGATAATATTCAACATGCCATATAAATTGGGCAAACATACCTGGGTTCTGGACCGAGCTCGAGGCCGGGTCGACACGGTTCTTCCTGATGCGCGCAAAGAACTCGGCCTCCTTGATCGCCATGGACTGCTTGACGTGCCCGCCGCTGTTGAGAGTGTAGAAGATGGCGTTGCCCAAGCTGGGACCGGCGAGCCAGCCAAGACCCGCGAAGCTGAGCGTGATGAGGCCCAGAGAGAAGAAAGGGTCCATGGGGATCTTGCCGAGCAGCCAGTCGAGGTCCTGGTTGACCAGGAGCATTGCGCCGCCACCTCCTCCGATGATGGTCGTCAGGATGCTGCTGACGAGCTGGAAGCGCCGCCGGGTCTTGCGGAGAGTGAAGAAGGTGTTCCAGTCGAGCGTCGGGGTGGAAGAGCCCGGCACCGTGCTGGCATGTCGGCGGATCGCGAAGCTGGGAAGGCCGGTGGCGAGCGATGCGGCGCCAGGTCGGATCTTGCTGGAGAAGTGCCTGGTTGGTGATGAGGCAGACACCTGGGCTGTGAATTGGCGGCGGGCGAGCGAGGAGACCAGGGAGCCGCATGGACGAGCAGAGGGGGAGAGGCAAGCGGTTGGCTGGAGGGCAAGGCCACGGACGCCCAGGGCGCCCTGGCGGGCAAAGGCAGTGGTTGTCGAGGTGAGCATGATGACGAGTGGCGCTGTGCCTCGGACGAGGTTGTGCGTGCTTGGGCGTGCGCAGTGGTTCAGAAGGTCGGGCTGTGATATGCGTGCCGACAATTGAACTTGGAAGCCCCCGCGATGCGCAGCCACTGTATGACGCGGGCGTGCGGTTGTGGTGGTGGGATGGCGGCTGGTGGTGGTCTGTGTGAGGCCGTTTGGACGAGGAGGCACTGGGAGCTGTCGAGCTTGAGCTGAGCTTGCTTCCCTGCCCTCGACAGTCGCGCCTCAAGCATGCAGGAATTGGAGCTGCGTCCAGGTTCCCGCACGCCGGCAGCGTCCCCGCAAACCCCCGATTCTGGCTGCTGTCATTGGTCGAGCGCCGGCCGAGAGAATACTCTCGAACTCTCCCTAGACACGGGCTTCGGCGACGCACACACAAGCATTGACTGAATCTTGAACATTGCGGGGGATTATTGTTGTTCAACCTTTGGATCAGGCGCGTGATGTCCCTTCGCGGAGAAGCAGTGCAGGGCAAGAGCGGCGTACAAGGACCAACGTAGCAGGCAGACCAACGGATGGGTATGTGCCGCAGTGCCCCGCAAATGCTTATCGTTTGTTACTCAGACACCGTCGTAGTTGTGCCACCAAGAGACGGAACAAGATGTGCGCTGGATTGGAATGCGTGCTGGTCTGCAGCTTGTTCTAGGAACAATGCCATGGCCAAGGCCCCTAGCCGGCCCTAGCCGGAACAGACCAGCACACAAGCCTTCTGTGAGGCCGCTGGAGATTGATTGTGCCTGTAATTGTTTGGTAATCCTACCATGGTTGGACGCCACCCGAAAACGGAAGTGCTGGATTAGGCATGGGACCCGTCATGCTTGTCTGGGATCTCGTGCTGCAGGCAATGCTAGTGTCGTAGCATCTCGTCTGCCAAGATGGGCCGGCTGCCTGTAGGATTCAGATTGCCCGAATGCTCACTTTGCCGGCAGGGATCTTCCCCATGGACTGCTCGTGTCAGTGCCGATGCCCTCCTTGCCGTGCCTCATTTGGGAGGTCAAAGTGATCGTCCGCCAAGCTGCAGCTGCCAGGGTATCCGGGCACTTCTTCCTGGCACTGGCGGCACCTTGCTTGCCTGAGGGGACGACAACACCCTGCCCGCTTTGGCCCTCGACGGTCGTGCAAGCACGTACTTATTAAGGGCAACTGTCGTCCCTCTCATCATGGCTCCCCAGCTGCCTCGACAAGGGCTGCACGGCAATTGGCCCGTATCAACACGATGCGCGCCGCTTTCCTCGTAGCACTTTCCGGTGCTCTGCTCCAAGCCTCGTCAACATCTGCCTCTCTCACCGAGCGTCCCAGTCAGAGTGTCGCCATCCCCGCGTGGGACATCCAGTCAACCGAGAAGGTCACCGGCGGCCTCTCCCAGCTTTCCAGCCCTGGTGTTGATACTTCCACCTGGCACCATGTTGACAGCTCTCGCTGCACCCTGATGGGCTGTTTGATCGCGGCGGGCGTCTACTTGGAAGACGATCTCTTCTTCTCGGACAATCTGCGAGACTTTGATGCCAGCATCTTCCACGCCAACTGGCTCTACCGCTCCGAGTTCGCTCTGGAACCAGGCACTGGCAAACACTACCTCCTTGAGACACACGGCATCACCTCCCGCGGAGAAATCTACCTCAATGGCAAGGAGGTGGCCAAGAGCAGCGAGCAGGCCGGTGCCTATGCCGGTCACACTTATGACATCACCAGCCTTGTCGGCGAGACGAATGCCCTGCTAGTCCAGACGCATCCGACCAACTACAACTACGACTTCGCGCTCGGCTTTGTGGACTGGAATCCATACCCACCAGACAACGGCACTGGAGTCTGGAGGGAGATTCACGTAAAGCAGACCGGCCCAGTCGCCATGGGTCCTCTGCGGGTGGTCACCGAGGTTGAGTCGTACGACAGCAGCAGCCCTGCCACGGTGCAGCTCAAAGCCAGAATCACAAACCTCGAGGACCGCAACGTCACCGTCGATGTGGAGGGCGAGATTGTGCTCGAGGGGCAATACAGCCAGCCTCTGAAGCTGGCAAAGTCAGTTTCGTTACAGCCCGGTGAGATTACAGATGTGACCATCTCTCAGACAGTCACCAACCCAGCCATCTGGTGGCCGCGAGCTTGGGGTGTACAACCGCTGTACAAGGGCACACTCACAGCCATAGTCAGCGATGCTGTGTCAGATTCCGTCCAGAGTATCTTTGGCATCCGCACTGTCACGTCCAAGCTGAATGAGTACAACGACACCACTTTCTTCGTGAATGGCCATCCCTTCCAAGTCATTGGCGGAGGCTATTCCGCTGATATGTTTCTTCGGTGGGACACTGCCAAATTCGAATCGCAGGCCAGGCTAATGCTAGACCTCGGGCACAACACTGTCCGACTCGAAGGCAAGAACGAGCATCCGGAGCTGTACCAGATTGCGGACCAACTTGGTCTCATGGTCATGGCTGGTTGGGAGTGCTGTGACAAGTGGGAGGCCTGGACCTATAACGAGGACATCGCAATCAATGATCGATGGACAGACGAGGACTACGAGATTGCTAAGAACAGCATGGTCCACGAGGCTCTCATGCAGCAAAGCCACCCAAGCATGCTCGCCTACCTGCTTGGCAGCGATTATTGGACCGACGATCGTGCAACCAAGCTCTACGTTGATGCCTTGCAGGCAGCTGACTGGCAGGTCCCAATGATTGCGTCCGCATCGAAGCGTGGCTACCCCGACGCGTTGGGTCCTTCGGGCATGAAAATGGAGGGCCCTTACGACTGGGTTAGTCCTATCTTCCTGTTGGCACGGACATGGACATGGCTGACATTCATGTGCGACAGGTACCCCAAACTATTGGTATGACGTGGAGCCATCCGAAGACCGCTACGGGTCATCTTTCGGCTTTGGCTCCGAGCTTGGTGCCGGGGTAGGCACGCCGGAGTTGAGCAGCTTGAAAAGGTTTCTTAGTGAAGCAGACATGGAGGATCTTTGGAAGCACCCCGACAAAGGTCTCTACCACATGTCTACTAATGTCTCGTCATTCTATACACGCGAGATATACAACCAGGCTCTATGGCAGCGCCTGGGTGCTCCGTCTTCGCTCGGCGACTATCTGCTCAAGTCACAGATCTTGGACTACGAGGCTACGAGAGCCCAGTTCGAGGGCTTTGCTATCAAGTGGAATGCCGACCGCCCAGCCACCGGCTTGATTTACTGGATGCTCAACAATGCCTGGCCAAGCTTGCATTGGAATCTGTTTGACTATTACCTTCGCCCAGCTGGTTCCTACTTTGGAGCCAAGGTCGGAGCGCGGGTCGAGCATGTTGCGTACAACTACGTGGACAAGACAGTTCACATCATCAATCACTCGATCGACGTGGAGGCATCCCGGAGAGTCGAAATTGACGTCATCGGAACTGACGGCAAGGTGCTGTACAACACGTCAGCGGTGGTCAACACCGAACCTAACTCCTCGAAGCAGATATCGAGCATCGCCAATGCCCTTGATGCTGTTTCGGATGTCGTCTTCCTCCGTCTTGTTCTCAAGGACGATCAAGGGGCTGTCCTCAGTCGTAATGTTTACTGGCTCTCTCCCACTATTGATACACTTGATTGGGACGAGTCAACCTGGTATTATACTCCTGTCACAGAGTTTGCCGATCTCAAGGCCCTCACCGAACTTGAGCCGGCAGATGTTACCGTGACATTAGACACTGCACCGATGCCCAAGCGCAGCACAGTATCACTACACGAACAGACCCCCAACCAACATCAGATTCGCGACATCCACGATGGTACGCTTACAGTCGTGTTGGAAAACAAATCTGAAGTCCCGGCGTTCTTCATCCGGATGAATCTTGTTGATGCTGAGGGCGAGGACGTCCTGCCTGTGTTCTGGTCGGACAACTACGTCACCCTCTGGCCGCACGAGAAAGTAGAGCTGCAGGTTCGCGGAGATGGAGCTGCCGCGATACAGGTGAGCGGTGGGAATGTCGCGAGCCGGCACATTCTGCTATGAAGCATCAGAGAGAAGACCTGCTCGACAGGAAGTCAATTCTTACATATCAAAATTGATGTTTCTCTGTTTCATCGAGGACCCCTGCGATACTCTCACCGACCGCGGATTTTATGATGATGATACATGAACAGCTACCGTGATTACCACGGAAGCCTACTTACAAGCCCCGGGACAATATCATATCCACACGGTATCCCAACCTCAGCACTCTGTACGGAATTATGACGTCAATCAGAGTTACTCTCGTAGTTCGTTCGGATGCAGCGGTCGCATTGTTGATGGCTGATGAAGGACAGTCGCAGAACGAGCCTGCCGCCTTCCCTCGCAGCTGGCCACACAACAGCTTTGCGTGAAACACTACAACCTTTTAAACCGAGGGTCGGTCCAAACGTTTGTCATCTATTGGCCTGCGAAAGAAAATCTTCCCAATAGCCCAATCTTTTGACACGGCTGCATGTGAATAGTCGATCCATGGTTCTGTATGGCCACCGTTGCGACCGAGGAGCTTTCCGGATCACAGCGGGTGCGTACCACTGGTTTCAGGTTCTTTCTCAGCGGTTTCGAAAGGCGGTAATGAATACCATAGAAGCCAGTCCGTCCATTGAAAAAGCGCGCGATGTGACAACTCGTTCTTGGTGACTGTGTCACAGTGCTGATGTGACTTTAATGAGCGGGCGGGGGCCTAACAACAGTTGGTAGCGCCCGGCTACCTACTGCGGTCAGCCAATTGAAACCCTCAAGCTCACCCTGGCGTCGACGAAAGAGGCAGTCTTCCCCACACGCTCCCCACACCACTTCCACCGTGGATAAATGTAGTTGTCTTCAAACTCAAGGTACACACTCTCATGACAGCACGTTACGCTTCCACCGCTCATTGGTCGAAATCTAGAGCATCAAGACGCAGCGGAAAGTCAATAGTCATTTGCGACGTGCGTGGTGCATCTGGCCGATGATGAGACAACTGAACTGATCAGGTACAGCTCCCAGGGTTCCCGAAAGAGATTTGCTGTCGAGCCCGAAAGCACCCACCGTGTGAATGAGTACTCTATAGACGTGTACAGATTCTACTGTTCGGCAATTATTCTTCCCTGCACGGAGACCTTTCCAACGAGACAGTGCCTGGGCTTTGCTGGCTATGCTTCTCGTGTAGATTGTCAGGGACGTGATGATTCGGATCCTCATAAGTCGGCACATGGAGAACCACAGGCGGGCAAGTCCTCTAGAGCCACACTTCTGTGCCTAGAGCCTTGTCACGTTTGGAGAATAAATTGTCACCTCGGAAACTACTCAGTTAGGTGATGTCTCTTCCGGGTTCAATAATTCGCTCTGGGGGGCGGTCCAGTCGACGTTTGACCTGCCGTGTCTTTATCCATTTCGAAGGGTTGCCCCGCTGCCTGAGGATATACAAAGGTTTATCCTCGTTTTTCTCTTTGTCCCTGTTTTGTTTCCCTTCCCTGGAGAAGTCATATCATCTGCCCAAGTGAAATTAGAGACCAGACAGTAAAGCGGAACATCTCACCTGCAAGGACTCATCTCGTATTTTCACCAGGATATTCAAACGAAGCAGAACCCCGGGACAATGCCTGCATAAACCCCCCACGATCACCCCGCACTACGACAACACACAGCTCCCTGATTCGAATGATGTATAGTCCGAGCTCCTTTGAGGAACAGGCACGACACGCCCTCTACTCGGAGGCCATGCACACACCCGCACACACATACACACACACTTGTGTCCATACATGCCACGAGACGAGGCGAGGCGCGCGGGGGGGAGAAAAAGAATGAGAGAGAGGACATGCTTCCTATACCACCACATCCAGCCACATGATCACACCAGTACTTTGACAACGTCGGATTTGGAAGAAAAACAGCAAACCATCAAGCCGCCCCAAAACTGTCGCGGCCACAAGGCCATACTGCACACGCACTACGCCGACGCAGAGTTCATACGATCGAAGGACCAAAGTCGCCAAAGGGAAAAACAATTGATATGTTATACTGTTATCTCACAAGGAATGCAGTTTTTGTTCCCGACGCCTCAAGAGTGAAAGTTCAGAAAGCGGGATCCCAACAAAACGCGCCAGCCAAAGAACTCCATGCAGAAAAACAAGACTTCGAGTTGGAAGCCTCCCACACGAAAGGCAAAAGAAAGAATGCCCGACGCTGGCCGCTGATTGGCAACGGCTATTTCTTCACAAATCAAATATACAAGACACTAGGCTCTTCACATCACAGCTCAGAAAGTAGCCGTCCCGCCCCATTCCCCGCGGAACACACCGCGTTACGCTGCTGCTCGCTCAGCCGCGCGGCCCAGTGCTGAAGCTCGGCGAGAGTGAGGTTGGATACAGCGCTCATCCAGTCCGCCCCAGCTTGGCCATTGCCACTGCCGCCGTTATCGTTCTCGCCCCTCTCCTTGGAAAGTATCGTGAAGCGCAGGACGACTTCAGAGGTGGTCACGAGAATGCTAATTACGATGAGGATGATGACGATCCAGGTAATGTAGCTCATCTTGGTGTCGTTGGCCGAGTCGGAGAGGATCTCTGCGAGGTCGAGGAAGACACGACACCGCTCGTTGAGCACCTTTGTGCGCAGGTCGATCTCGAGATACTCCCTGATGGCGACGTACAGGGGGTGCAGGTTTGGCTCCGAGTCCCAGAAGAAGTTGGGCACATCGAGGATATTGGACGACAGATTGATCTCGACACGGCTCTTAAACAAGGAACCCTGGATCTTGAGGATCTCCTCGCGCGTCATGTTGAGCTCGCCGGTGATAGCAAGGCGTCTCGGCACGTGCTCCGCGTTGAGCATCGCCTGCTGTAATTGCTCTTCAAAGAAGCACAGCTTCGTGCTTTGCGCGATCGCGTGGCTGATGGTGAGCTTCACCATGTGGTCAGAACGCGGCAGAAGGGTGATCATGTCGTTGAACACGCGGGGCCGCTTGATGTCGCTGCTGTACTCAAAGTGAAATTCCTCCGTTTCCACGTCGCTGCGGTCTAGCGGGCGCGATACCAGCGACGCGCCGTGCTCCTGCTCGGCAAAGGTGATGTCGGCGAGGATAGACTTTTCTTGTTGCTCGGTGAAGTTCCAGAACACGACTACGCCGTACGAGAACACAAACACCTCTGCAAACTCCTTGGCGTCAGGCGCCAGTCGGTTGACCGGGCTCATGGAATGTCGATTTGGTGATCGGTCGTGACGATATTCATCGTCCTCGTGGTGATTCTCGCGACCTCCGTCGCCGTGACGACCATCTTGTAGATCAGTTGGGCTCGTGCCGTACTCGTCATAGTACCCCATGTGCTCGTCTCGCCTCTCGCTCCTCTCGATCTCCAAATCTAATACCGTCTTTCCGGTGCCGGGCGACTTCAGTATGGGCCGACTGCGCACTCTATATCCGTCGAGCCCAGAGAGCAAGGGTGTGTGGTAAACAGTGTACAGGCAATCGTCGTAGAGCTTCGTCTTTGCGTCATGCTTCTTGCGCAGGAATTCCGAGGTCGACCTTAGCTTGTACGATTGTGCGGTGCAATAGGCCGTCAGCCGCGAGAACTTCTCCGTGCGCTGGCCCTTGGGCAATCTCTCTGCATAGCTCTTGCCACGCAGCGCGCCCTTGTGCTTGAGCAGCTCGAGCTCTTCATCCTTGAGCGGGCGCAGCTCGTCGTCGTCGTTGAGCACGGCCCGGATCTCCTCGTCTACCGCGTCGTCCTGCTCCTCGGATGTCTCTGGCAAGAGGACGAGCTTCTCGCTGACCCTTGTGGTGCGGGAGGGCATGTTTTGCTGGCCGGCTCGCGAGGTCAAGTTGGGCAGGCCTCCACCACTCTTCCTGCGCACGGCGGTGATACGAGGCGTCGGCCTTGGCGGCGTTCGAGGCTGACCTGACGGAATCTGTGATGCATACTGGAGGACATTGTCGACAGAGACGAAGCGCATTGACGACTGCGCCGGTGACGGCCGGTTGCTTGGCGCCATTGTATTGTCGGCAGCTTGGGTCGGAGCGTCTGCGCAAGCAGGGCCGAGTCTGCAGGCGGGTCGGTTGTGAGTAGTGGGCTGTCGCCTGTGCGATGGCGAGGCGTGAAAGGACTGTTTCAACGATATTGACGAATGGCTGGGTCAGTATGATGCTGGGCAGGTGTCGTGTTTGGCCAGCCTGGGCAACAAAAATGGCGAACGGGGTGCTGTCGAATTAGAGATGGGGGAGCGACGTCAACAAGCAGAGCTGGGGCGGGTCCTGCCGACTGCTTTCTGCAGGCGCTCTATCTTATCGGCTAGAGCTAGCCGGGAGCACAGCGTGAGGTCATCCGGCCCCCAGTTCTAGAACTTTACAGTGGGCTCTGTTCGTCGCAAACGCACCCCAGGCCCCGCATTCAGGTCCCCAAGCCGGCGCACATGTCTCGTCCCCGCCCGGCAGGCCAAACAACAAACACCAGACACCATATTCAGAGACACGACGGGCCCTTGTTATCTCTTTCAAATTATTTACAGCTATCCTGGCGGTGGGACCTGAGAAATGACTCCTAGCACCCTGTCCATCACTTCCTCAGCTCTTCGCAGCATCCAACACGGCTGTGTTGCCCTCCTCCCAGGCAGGCCGGACCCGCATCTGGCTGATCCGCCACGGGTTCTCGCCCTGGTCCTCAATGTCCTGGAAGTGCTCCAGCTCAAAGTACGATCGGCCCTACGGCACACAGAAATGAAAGCATCAGTCATAGAGCCCAGTAGGAGAAGCAACATTACAACTTACCCCGTTGTGCATCATCGGTCCTCCGCGGGCATCGCGTTTCACCATGTGAGCATTGACATATGCAACCACCTGGACCGTCTTTGGTCTTGCACTGCCCCTGTTCGGTTGCGGCAGCTCAATGAGCATGTCCCTGGATCCCAGACCGCACATCAGCATTGACCAGCTGACTACCTCTCACAGTCTCGGTTCAGGTAGGTCAGATGCAACTTACTGTGCCGTATGCTGCGTCGAGTCGAATCCAACAGTAGCGCCATCCAGGAACTTGAGCCAGTCGTCCCTGCTCGTCTCCGCGGGCTCTGTGCCGAGGATCGCAGAGTAGTCCATCAGGATTCTGGGCGCGTAAACCTTTTCGCGCAGACTGTCAAAGTCGCGGTCGTCGTAGCCCAGCATCTATCAATTGTCAGTTCAGCTACCAGGTGTCTCCGGCCTTGCATGAATCCACTAGGACGTCAGCACGAACCATGCGTGTGATTGTGTCATGGATGTTGACCTTGTCGAGCAGGAAGGTCGGAATGTCGTACGAGGCAGCCATGATGCGTATTCTCAAAACCAGACAGACAGATAAGTTGTGTTGATCTTTGTCCGTTACGAATGGTGTGCAGGCCTCGCTGGAGGGGACAGCGGAAGTGCTGGCTTGAGATCTAAGTCAATGACTGCCAGTTCAGCCACCTGGGACCCATGCCTATCTAAGTATTACAGGCCAGAGAGGAACAATGCCAAACCAAAGTGCACAGTCGTCCGCCAAGACGGACACGTAGTATCTTCGTCCTATGTCCGAAGGGGTGTTGGTTGTTGGTCATGATGGACTATATCGCGGCTGGTAGGATTTAAGTCCGGCTCGAAACCCCACTGGCCTCAAATGCTAGGGACCCACCCACTGGCCGATATCGTACACAGATCTCGTTCCCAAGCAACCTTCTCCATGTGGTCAATCGTCTCACAGCTTCTATTGTCCGAGATTGTCCGAGCTAGTCCTTGGCATTATTCTTCCACGAAGTAATCTAGAGGCTCGCAGACAATGTATTAAATAGCTTGAGATTTCCATGAAAGCAAGCAAGATTGTCTCCCACTTCACTCATCCTCCACTCATCCTCCACTCATCTTGACACACTCCACTTATATCAGCATAACCCTTCCTACCACGCATACATCTCAGCAATGGCACAGCACCAACAGACAGCCGCTGATTCTTCCAATTCTGTCCTCCTCCTCGGCGGAACAGGCAAAGTTGCAGGCCAGATAGCACCCCAGCTCGAGGCAGCTGGCTTCTGCCCAATCATCGCCTCGAGGAACCAGAAGAGCTACGGCGGCTACACAGCTGTCAAGTTCGACTGGGACGACGAGTCGACCTGGCAGAATGCCCTTCTGGGAGGCGGCAGCGAGCCCGTAAGATCAGTCTTCATCGTGGCTCCCGGCTACGTTGCCCCCCGGGAGATGGCAACGAAGTTCATCACGCAGGCACGCAAGAACGGCACACGGCGTTTTGTGCTGCTGAGCTCTAGTCAGTTCACCGAGGACTCGCCTGCCCTGGGCCAGATCCACAAACTTCTCCACGAGATGGGCGACCAGGGGGAGGTCGAGTGGGCCGTCATGCGGCCAACGTGGTTCCAGCGTAAGTCATGTCAGCTCTTCAAAGTTATAGGTAGTGAATGTGCAGGCAGCTGACCTCTGGACTGTCAAAATGCAGAGAATTACGCCACTGACCCATCCCACGTCAAGGCCATCAGGGAAGACAACAAGCTGTACTCGGCTACAGGTCCTGGACGCATGCCTGTGGTGTCGACCTACGACATTGCCGCCGTGGCCTGCTATGCGCTCACGACCACGGACACGCTCAACAAGGACTTTGTGATTCTCGGCCCAGAGCTGCTGAGCTACCAGCAGCTCGCCGACATCCTCACCGACGTGCTTGGCCGCAAGATCACCTACCACGAGCTCACCGAGGAGGAGCTCGCCGAGAGACATGTCGCCTTCGGGCTGCCCCAGGAATACGCGCCGGTGCTCGCGCATCTTGATACCATCATCAAGCACGGAGCCGAGGACCGCATCAACAATGTCGTGGAGCAGGTTACTGGTCGGCCGCCCCGGTCATTCAGGCAGTTTGTAGAGGATGAGAAGGCGGTATGGATGTGAGAGAGAGCTCGTCAGAGTAAGAGAAGTAAGGTGGAAGTGGCGAGAATGGCGATAGCAAGTATTCCAAACAAGCCGCCACTGGTCAGCATCCAGCAATTGAGTACACCATGCTCCTGACGTGTGCTGTACTTTAAGGGAAGAATGAGATTGATTGACGGATGTCAGGACCTCTCCTCCACTTGCCCGGGGCCCCACAGCTGCAGCAAGCGCAGCGGACACGCAATAGCGCCCCGCAATAACGCCTCGGGGAGCTTTAGTCAGCCAATGCGGGAGCTCAATTGATCAATGACAGCATCGGGTCGTGCAGGGCAGCTCCTCGACCCGCACGTCAGCGACCCAGCGATTCTGCTCCTGCCTCTGCTACATCCTTTTCCAACCCACAACCATTCTGCAGTACTTCGTGAACGCCCCGAGGACCACCAACCGCAGCCATGTTTGCCAGATCAGCGTTCCGGGCTGCCCAGCCCCTCAGGCGTGTACGTTCTTCTCCCTTCTGCCGGCTTCTCGTTCCCCCGCCTCTCACCCCCACGCGGTCGGCCGGAAGGCCGGGGCGCATCCGAACTCTCGCGCAATTATGAGCCTAAAACGCAAGCAAGAAGCTGACTGCCACCCATCTACAGACCGCTCTCTCCCGCAGCTATGCCACCGAGGCTCCCAAGCAGGGCACCAACCCAGCCATCTACGCCCTCGGCGCCGCTGCCGTCGGCGGTGCCGGCTACTACTTCTTGTCCGCCAACCCCGGTGCCGCGCAAAAGGCCGCGGAGAAGGCCAAGGCTGCGGTCCCCAGCGGCCCGGCCAAGAAGGCCTTCACTGGCGGTGACCAGGGTTTCATCTCCCTCCCCGTCGAGGAGGTCGAGATCATCAACCACAACACCAAGCGCATTCGCTTCAAGCTGCCCGAGGAGGACATGGTCTCTGGCCTGGAGGTTGCCAGCGCTATCCTGACCAAGTACAAGTACGAGGACCAGGAGAAGCCAACTCTGCGGCCGTACACTCCTACCAGCGATGAGAGTAAGTGACCCGAGACATGGCTGTTTGCATCTTTTGCGCGCGCACTCCGAGGCTAACGATTCCACTCCGATTCAGGCGAGCGCGGCTATATTGACCTCATTGTCAAGAAGTACCCCAACGGCCCCATGTCGACTCACCTTCACGATCTCACTCCTGGCCAACGGCTCGACTTCAAGGGCCCTCTGCCCAAGTACCCCTGGGCTCCGAACAAGCACAGCCACATTGCCCTGATTGCGGGCGGCACAGGTATCACACCCATGTACCAGCTAATCCGGGCCATCTTCAACAACCCCGAAGACAAGACCAAGGTCACGCTCGTATTTGGCAACCTGACCGAGGAGGATATCCTGCTCAAGAAGGAGCTGGCGCACCTTGAGAACACGTACCCGCAACGCTTCCGCGCTTTTTACGTGCTCGACAAGCCCCCCAAGGAGTGGGCCGGCAACAGCGGCTACATTGACAAGAACCTGCTCAAGACGGTCCTGCCTGAGCCCAAGGAGGACAACATCAAGGTCTTTGTCTGCGGCCCGCCGGGGCTATACAACGCCATCTCGGGCAACAAGAAGAGCCCCAAGGACCAGGGCGAGCTCACGGGTATTCTCAAGGAGCTTGGCTACGAGAAGGATCAGGTCTACAAGTTCTAGACTCGATTGCGTTTGAGCGATTAGAGGCAGGCTCTTGAGCCTAGGCACGGCTCTTGTGCTAGACCGAGCGTTGCCGTGTACATAAAGATAGAGTAGAACTCGCAATATGAGAGCCACCGTGCTGGCTGTGCTGAAGGAAAATGGGTCTTGTTCCCAATCCGGTTCAGTCAAATAACAACGATTGGGAAGAATTCTCAACTCATACCGGCCGAGCTTGGAGACGAGGTCCATGGGTGACATCACCACGTAGGGGGAATCAGGAATTTTGCGAGTCCCGAACGCTTGCCAGAGGGCGCTAATAAGACGACGGCGCGCCGCTTCGCGAGCTCTCGCAAGCCACTAATTGACCGTTGAGGCAGGCCGCGAAACACCACAGCTAGCTGGAGCTACGGAACGACCGGAATTGAAGACCGTACATCATGAGCGAAGGGACTACGGACAACCCTTCTTGGCGCCTACTCCTGCAGACTTCGAAGAACAGCGGGACGGGGTCGTTGAGTGCAGCAGGAATCTAACAAATACTTCCACAAACATTTGTCAAATCAACACGCAATTGTGCCAGTCAGGGACCACTGGCGCTGGCTCGACCTGCAGATATGTCATTGGCCGTCTTTGATAGCCGAGCGAAACGAGGAAATCTCGATTGGTCGGGACTAAAACAACCTTTTGGGTAAGGAGGCGGTGGGCGGGAGCAGAGATTGCCAAGGACTGTCAGCGTGATCGGATGCTGGGTTGTGACGTCATGTGCCTGGACTGCCGCCCGGAGGTCACCTCCGCCGTGCATGAAGGGTGGTGTAGCCACCATCTAACACCATATGGCCGTTTCGCTTTCCTTACTGTCCGCTCGTTCCGTGCCAAATTTGACAGCGATTTCCTTGCGATTGTCTTGTTTTTCTTCCTTGGATGCTACTGATTTCAGTCTTTGTACCTCAAGTAGCACTACTACGTCTGCGCTGAATACCACCGCTCTCGGTCTCTGCCTTTGCACAGCAATCTGGCGATTCGATCGTCGCAATAGAGACAGCCAGATGCTCATCGTCTATGCCCTCATCTTTGTGTCAACCCTCGTCGCTAACGTTGTTTTCGCCCGCGTCCGATCTCATTTCGCAACAACAGCAGAGGACAAAATGGAGACCAACAGTGACAGCAAGCCCAAGGCGCAAAGACTCCCTCCCGGTCAGGCACCGCCACGGACATTCCGGGAGCGCATCTTCCACGCCTTACCTGAATACTCGGGCCCGTACAGCGTCGGGACAATGGAGATTGAGATACCCGTCCGCGCGCCCCGGGCCTTCTCCAACATCAAGCGGGACCACAACCACGCTCTGCGTATAGACACGGTCCTGTTCTCCATGTACTACCCGTGCGAGCTCACCACGTACTCGAGATCCGGCAAGAGGCCCTCGCGCGCGACCTGGCTTCCCCGGCCGCGGGTGCTCACGTGCAAAGGCTACGCCAAGTTCTTGAGCTTGCCACACTTGCCGGTGACGGCGTATCTGGCAGCCACGTCCATGTTCACGAAGCTGCCGGCCTTCCGCAACGCCGCACTGGCAAACCACATCCCAGGCGAGACAGCCTCCGAGGACGAGCACTCCGACTCGGCGACGACGCTTACCGCCGAGCAGATTGTCAACAAGCCCCGCTTCCCGGTCATCATGTTCACTCACGGCCTCGGAGGATCGAGGACGTGCTACAGCTCCATCTGCGGCGAACTAGCCAGCCACGGCTTTATCGTGTGTGCCGTCGAGCATCGCGACGGGAGCGGCGCGAGGTCCACGGTCAACATCCCGCCCAGCAATGAGCTGGCTGACGGTCACAAGAGAGACAACACGAAGCCAAAGGACTACTACGTCGTGGACTACATCTTCCCACTTGACAACGCCCAGGACACGAGCCCCAACAATGATCGCGGCGTCGATGTCGAGCTCCGCACAGCCCAGATCGAGATGCGCATGGCGGAGATTGAAGAGGCACATTACGCGCTCGAGCTGATCAACAGCGGCCAGGGCGAGCTCATCTACAGATCCAACCTGCGCAAGAAGGGTAACCCGGGCTCCAGCTCCAAGGGCCTCGACGACGTCAACTGGGATGACTGGAAGGGGCGAATGTACACCGACAACGCCACCATCATGGGCCACTCCTTTGGCGGCGCGACCTCCGTCCAGGCCTTGCGCGAGCACAAGCGCTTCCCGTGGATCGGCCAGGCCATCCTCCTGGACACCTGGGGCCCCGCTATCCCCGTGGTCGACGATCCTGCACAGCTCTCCCTCCGCAAGCCCCTGATCTGCATCAACTCGGAGACTTTTATGCACTGGCCCGACAACTTTGAGCGCATCGACGACATCTGCCGGGAGGCCGTCCAGGGCGGTGCCAAGGTGTGGAACCTGACCATGCGCGGCTCGACGCACCTCTCGCAGACGGACTTTGCCGTGCTCTACCCGAACTGGATGTCGTGGTTCATCAAGACCCTCATCAACCCCCGGCGGGCAATCTACCTGACCACCAACTCGTCGCTCGAGTACCTCCGCCAGGTGCTGCCCCGAGAGCAGATCGCAGACAAGGCACACCTCTGGCAGGACGAGGGCATCCTCCTCACCGAGGCGATCAAGCCCGACGACATCCCCGCCGAGCACAAGCCCGACCGCAAGTGGACGGCCGCGCGGCTCAAGATCGACGACGAGTTCCGCGTGCGCCTGCGGGCGCTGTACCAGAGACCCCAGCCGAGCTCCAGGCTCGCGATGGACGCGCGCGGGAAACCGCTCACCGGCGTCGTCACGTACGAGCTGGGCAACGAGGTGTGGATGCATCGCAGCCCGGGCAAGGATGGGGTCGGCAACAGGATCACGCCCAGGCGGCCGACATTCAATATGCGCAAGAGCACGCACTACCTGCAGGCGCCGATGGCGTAGAGTGGCTGTTTGTGGCCAAGTCTTGATCCGTCGGTGGAGGAAAAAAAAAGAGCAGCTTTACTTTGATATTTCCAGCGTGTTTTACTCCGTCCTTTGTTTCATTAGCGTTGTTGTTTTTGTCTGATCATGATTCTCTGTTTTCACCATACTGGTGTTGGTGTCGGCGTCCCAATGGAATAGCTGGACAAGGATTATGGAAGATACCCCTAAAGATGAGAGAAGACTATTTGCTTGTCCCCGAAGATCCTTGAATCCGCAGAGGGCATACGGTTATACATAGGCTATATATAGCGACATATCTACGAGCATCAATACTCGAATTTATCATTCAGCCAATGAAAAAGATCCAGTGTACATTGATGGCCATCTGCCTATCCCAAGCGACCTGGTGCCGGGCACGCAAGCACGGAAGCTTGAAGCTCCGGCAGAGTTTCTGAACGACTGGTTAGGAATTTTCGAGATACCTTGTACACCTACACTGCTAAACAGGTCAATATTTTGTTTAGAACGATCTGACGGCACCGTTGTGGCAGAGTGTGGCGTGCTCGAATGGCTCGATCAAATGGCGTGAACGAAGAGCGAGCAAAAATGGCGAGACACTTTATCCGTCCTAACCGGTTCGTGCATTCACTCGATTTTCTTTTCCTGCCGCACCTGCATCCGCCTGTTTGGACGGCAATTCCTTTTCTCGAGGTCAAAATAATGCATGGCTCGAGAAAGAGTCGCCTGGGGGACTTCAACGGTGGGTAAGACTAGTTTGGTGTGCGTTTGGGGGGCTTCCTTTTCTTTGTGGCACTGAGCCAAGTTGTTGCTGTTGGTCCTATGTGCATCTACCTCATCGTGGTTATGCTCCCAGGGCTCGTGTTATTCTCACGTGGGGGCAGCTCTGAAGCTGCCTCGAATGCTGTACTGGAAGCCGGCCTCTGGTTATTTGGGAAGCACTCCTCGTGACATGTATTCCTTCGTACGACCGAGAAGAGCCGCAGTAAAAGTGGCAAGGACTAGGGGTATTTACCCGAGGGCTAGCGATGAGCCTAGAGGCACGGCCGACGATACACAATCGCCACCGTGTCACACGCACGCACGCTGGAGTCTCGGTGACCAGTTGTATTCTTTACGCAATGAGACCTAGTCGACTAGTCATGCCAAGTCCGGCTGCAGCGCCGCAGGTCGGAAATCGCCGAGGTCGCTCCAGGCGGTCGAACACGTTGTTTTGGGGGCACGCTTTGTTGTTGTACACACAGTTGCCAAGGCCCAAGTACTGGCAATCGAAGCCCAGTCCTAATGTGACAGGTGCGTAATTGCGTGTGCCAGAGTGAATCAGCGCTTGTCTTAGACTTTACATGTCGGTGCCGACTGGGTCATGCTTGGCGCTTTTCTTCCACCGAGAAGGCCACGTGCACCCGAGTACAGCTTGTGCCGTGCCTTGCGGACAAGGTTTTCGTCCTTGTTTGACCTGGCAAGACTAAATTTGGATCGGGCTGCCACGTTTTCGTGCCAGTGAGCCTCAATTGGGACCCTTCGTGGCAGAGAAGACTCGGTCACTGTGCTCAAGCGTCAATGGCATTGTGTAACTACATTCTGCACTCGGACGACGTGCAAAGCCGCGTCCTCCGAAAGGATGGCATCGTGTTGTCGTGCGAATCATTGCACGTCAGTGCGCACGCTGGAAAATTGACCTTGCACTGGAGTAGACGATGCGAATGGCTCGTTGACGAAAACGACTTGAGTTCGGCATGCCTGCCGATGGTGTGAACCCCAATGCTGACTTCTGCATGATGGCGAACTCGGCTTGTGGTAATGGCGCAAGACCAGAGTTGCTGGACTCGGAACTATTACCAGTTACATCGCGATAATAAGCAATGCATGCTAGCTTGCAGCTGAGTTTAGGGTCACAAGCGGTTCGGGATGCGCTACGAAGCATCCTGGATGCCGGCCGAGTCCAGATTAGATTGATGATCGCCACTGTCCACCAACGCCACGCAAGAGCGGTGGTCATCAACGTCTAGAACAGTTCTGCCGCCCCCGGCAATTGGATCCATGCAATGCAGCATACATGGCACTTTAGCTATTGCGACAAAGTTGAGGGCGCTACTTGGAATACGAGCCAGAGCTGACTTGCGCCTACAGGTGCCACAACAAACCTGCATGACATTAGCTGGGGCTTGTTGCATAAGCAGCAGCTGGCTTACCCAGATGAGAAGCTAGAACCGGTCAAGCCTGTGTCTACCTGGGTGTAGCACGCTGCAGGGGTCGATGCCGACCTTGCTTGATCTTGGTTCGTGGGACGCGACCCGGAATTAGCCCAAAGCCAGGGAAAATGGCCATATATACACGTTATTATAGGCTGACGTGCTGCGGCGCAGTCTCTTCCGTTGAATGCTTTTGCCTAGCCGCAATGCACTGGTCACAGTGAGCGGGCTTTTGGGTGATTGAGCTACCTTTCCAGGTTGGGCTGGCATAATATGGTGTGGTTCCCGGAAATGGCTACATCCTTGTCCGGGCAAGGGGAACAACACATGGCTTCTGCCAGTTGCCGAAGCAGCAAAGCTGGCGCCACGCACATCCATTGTGGTCACTGAGGAAAGTGAGACAATTTCGTGCTTGATCTACACTCTCGGAGAACTCTGCGCACATGGCGTATGGCGAGCCTGAGCCTCGCTGTGCCGTGTAATTCCCTAGCGCAGAATTTGTGGACTGCTCACCGCTCCCAGTAGATCATGTGGTCGAAGAGTGTCATAATTCCATGGCTGCGCTATGAGGGAGATAGCTGCGTGTGCTAAGACTGCGATGAGGTGCTGTTCTCGTCTGTGCCTGGCGCGGCTGCCAGAGGCAGCACGGTAATCTTGCCAGTGCCCTGCTTTCAAGTATATGGCCTCGCACGAGTCCAAGTACCGTAGTGGACCCCGACGGGGTGTTGAGGAGACTTGTCGACAGAAAGCGTAGTTGACACCGGAACGTCTCAAAGCCCATGCCATCATGATGTCAGTGTTGGGGTGCGCGATCATGGCCAGTCGCTGTTGTGGAACCGCTTCACCCATGCCGCGATGGGTCAAAGGGCGGAGCAATGGCAGACAAAGAAGTCATGAGCAGTCTTGCTTGGATTGCCGCCTATTGGCAGGCGCAGGCCCTGCGTTTGTGCGATCACATTCTTCCAATGGAGACTCTGAGGCTGAGTGAGGTCAGTGCTGGGCGATCTACGCCTAGGGATTGACCACCTGAAGCACACGCTTCTCCGTTAGCGTCTGACCTGAGCGACAGGCTCAAAGCCTAACCCCGCAACCTGGCAGTGAAACAAGCCAACTTGAGACGAATGGATAGATGCGACGGTGATGAGAGACGCTGCGACAACGGCTGCGGTCCTGACGCCAAGGGGCCTCGTCGGATCAGCCGAGGGTTGCCAGATGTTTCCTGGCTGCCCATGCGCTTGTTTCTGGCGATGCATCTCCTTGCTCCCAGACGGGGAAGGATTTTGGAAGCGGAAGCGATCGCCTGTGCAGCCGTCGGCGCGGGGCAGCACACCACAGCGCAGGGGTGCATGTGGTCTTTGAAGGCCTTCTCCTGAAACTCGTCCGCAGATGGCGGCTCGGCGCTGGCGGCCACAGGCGCTCGTGCCTCCGCGTCCCTCGGCGGGTAATTCCTGAGCGCATCGACGCTCGAACGTTTCCAACACGCTCGAGGAGGACGCTGATGATGGCGCCAGAGCCTTTGGCAAGACAAAGAAGCGCCTTTGTTTCGGCGTACTGTTTCCGCCTGCTCAACGGGTCGGGGGCAGAAGGGCCAAGAAAGGAGGCGTGCCGAGCAGTCTGGATTTTTACTTGGCCATCCAAAGTGGATGTCTCAGCTGGAGCGGCTAACAGAGGGGCTCGCGAGCGTCAGTGGCGCTGCCTGCCTGTCGTGGGTGGGCTGCTGCTGCAAGCACATACGACGACATACGACGAGGACCTTTTTGGTGAGCAGGACCTTTTTGGTGAGGCGGTGTCGCAGTGGTGCAGAGGAGCAGCCAAGGCGCTTGACTGGAGAGGGCGGTTTCTTTGATGGTGAGATGACGGGCAGGATCCGGCACCTGAGACCAAGCTGGTGATGCCTGGACAGACAGACAGACAGAGTCTCTGGCAGTTGCGCGATTGAGGGAAGCAGCCCCCTTAGCGTAGCCGCGGCTGGCACAGCTGCCTGAGGACGGACAACCTACCAGAAACACGCACGGCCTCGGCCATTGTGAAGCAGAAGCGGATCTGCGCCCACACGATGGATGCGCTGGCGCTGGTCCCTGGAAATAACTAGCTCCCGTTAGTTGCGGGAGTTCCCCCTCCTCCCTACCGTCAAAGGCCGCCAGACTGATGCACGGATATCCTCGTTGCGGTCATGCACCTGCCGTGTGTGACAAGCCCGCGCTTGCCAGCTTGGGCGCTGGCGGGCTGCATGTCATCGTCGCCTGCTGCTCGTATTGGGAGCCCCTGCCCTTAGCCGTCTGAGCTATTCCACCACACCAGGCCCAGCTCATTCCAGGCCATCATGCTGCCCGCGACTTTGGACGAGGCACCCGAGGTCACGGCCAGGGAACCCGTCCGGCAGGGCCCTCCTCATCTGGCCTGTGACAAGGGACGCCATAAGACAACAAGATCGCGACCCTCTTTTCCCATCCTTGGATGTCGTGCTTTCTTGGTTGCTTGCTTGGATCTACTCCCATTGCTTGCCAGTGTCATTGCCACCAATCCAATCCGATCCCACCCTGCCCTTTGATACTCCCTCTCCCATTGCCGCCGCCGTGTGCTGCTTAATTTTGCCTTTTCGACCCCTGGTCGTCAAACCCTCATAATCACGCTCAACCTCTTTCTGCGATTCTCGTGGTTCCGCGTCAGACTGGGCAGTCCGGATCACGATCGCCTTCCACAAGCCCGCCTACCGACCCATCACGCCTACCACGACTCTCTGGTCGCTCTCTTGTCCTCCCCTCCCTTCCCCTTCCTGGAACACTCCAACCAACCTCATTGCTGCCGCTGCATATCAAAGGATCACTGGCATCCCGTGGGGTGGATCTCGGCTCGCAGGATCAGCGTACAAACACCCGCCTCCAGCCCAACGCTGTGCCCTGTCGTATTCCATTCCAATTCTCCCGGCTCGCCCGCTGCCAAGCGACCTTGCTTCTCACATCGGTCAGCTCAAGCACTCCTTGAGTCACTTCCTTCCCGGCACTGCCGCTCCCACCATCTCTCTGCATCGTCTTCCCTGCCCAAGACTGCAGCTCCGCGGCCTGGTGTCCTGCCAGCAACACGTCTGGAGGGTCCTCGTGGGACCTCGCTTGGCATATGCTGTCTCAACCAAGGACGGCTACTGCCCACTGGTGCCCATCTCCCAAGCTCCTCGACGTTAGCGGGCCGTGACTTGATACGGTCCAGTGCCCTGGCGGCGCTCATCATTCCCATACACGACAACACCAGCCGCTCCTGACCCACAATGGCCAAACCCGGTGCTGCTGCCAGACGTCCCGACATGGACAACGGGAGGTCTGACAGCTTCCTCCGCATGCTGGCCCTCGAGAAACAATATCGGGTAATTATATCTTTCCCTTCTTCCTCTTCTTCCTGGCCAATCGCATTGCTCTTTCTCCCCCTGGTCTTCCTGTCTTCCTCTTCGTCGTCATTATCGCCTCAGTTTCAGCTCCCGGGCATCTTCTCAGCATCGCGACTTGTGGAACATTGTTCCTTTTTCCAGGCACGCCCCAGGTGGCCACGCCCCACCTGAGCATCAAGGCTGACCACGTCAATGTCTCGCAGATGCAACGTATTCATAACCAGGTCGCGTCCGCGTCAATGAAGACTGGCTCGCTGGATAGCTCGTCCTCGGAATCATCTGCTGCCCTACCCCTGCGCGTCCGCCGTGCCAGTAACCATTCGGCTGCGCCGGTTGGCTCCAGCCAGATCCCGGTGCAGTCAGCCAAACGATATAAGGATTCCCCGTTACCATCGCTCTCCATAGCTATCCCGCCGATGCCTTCTAGACCTGTCGCATTGGCCGTCCGAGACGAAATCCCAGAGCAAGTTCACGCCAACGAGGAACGTTCCCAGAGCTCAGCGGTCCGTCATCAGACTCCAGTCGACCGCGAGAAGGCGGACGCAGGCAAGATGGTGACCTTTGCGGCCGATCAAGACGAGAACGACTTGTCGGACCAGACGTCTATATGCCAGTCCCCGACGTGGGACTCAAGAAAGAAGAAGAAGGCCAAGCCTATCAAGGCTGTCAAGGGACCGAAGGTCGCGCCCAGTCCTGTCGAGAAGAATGGCGATGGCTCAACTTCTCCCACCAAGAAAAAGGGCAGGCGCCTGAGCAAGCAGCCTCCCACGCCAGGTCCTCAAGTCCGGTCGGTGACCAAGGCGGAGCTGTCCAAATCGGCGACAAGGTTCGACCTGGAAGATATAGAGACACAAGCTCCTCAGAACAAGGCATTGAGGACCAGACCGCCCGATGCCATGAAACATCCAGAACTCCACCAATCAGGCAATGTCTCAGACTCGAACGACAAACCTCGTAGCAAAGGATTCTTCTCTCGTATACGAAGACTAAGCTTCGATGAAAGTTCCAAGTCGCCCAGATCGCCAGCAGAGCAGGTCGTGCCGCCGCCACTAGTACAGAAATCCCATTCTAGTGGCCCGGGTACTGGGCTGGGGTTCTTCAGCTCCCTGAAGCCTCAGAGTAAGGATGCCAGCAAGGCCAGCAGTCCACGCTCACAGTCCGCGCTCGGCAGTCATCCTCCGGTGACGACCCATCCTTCGAGCGCTGGCAGAGGTAGGAGCAACTCGCTTCTGTCGGCCACACTAGAAAAGATCAAAGGAGCTGGCCAGAAAACTTCGTCTCCAGCCAACGGCGAGGACATTACAAGGCCACAAAATCCTTCCGAGACACAAGCCGAAAACGCCAGCACTGCAAGTCGTGCAAAGAAGTCAGTTGAAGACAATGTCGACCTGCCATTTGACCTCCAACCACCACCAGCCAACTTTTCTCAGAAACCCAGGAGTTACAGTAGCGATTCCCTTGCATCGCAGGGGACGACAACGTCTGCAAGCAAAAAAAGCGAGAGCAATACAAAAGGCTCTGCCAGTGCCCGACACGACCCCTACCAGCCTGCAGAAAACGCGGACGAGTCGGAATTTGGAAGTCTGTCCACGTTGCGACTCTCGCAGCTGCCTCCAAGCGAGCTGGCGCTCAAGTCTGCAAGATCTGCAGAGTTCGAAACCGCATCGATCCAGGAGTCGATCTTCAACGTTGTCAAGCTCGAGGACCGGTCCTCAGATTATCTGAACTTCATCAATGATTCCTATACCCCTCCTTTGCTGGAACTGGTGACGCCAGTGGAAGGCCGATCGTCACCAATGCGCCCCACGTCAACACCCAAACCTGTCGATACCAGCTATCGAGCTCGGGAACAACGAGCAGCGGAGTCGAAGCCTCACGGCGATCACGGGTCGAGGACTGTACCGGGGGTGACCCATAGGACGCCCACTGCAGAACCACAACAGAAGCAAGCTTCTTCAGCTACCCTCCCTTTAGAGAAGTCTCCTGCACTGGAGCGGTTTGGCCAATCTTGGAATGCCGGGCCGGAACCGTCTGTCATTGATATTAGCGATCTCAGTGCGCCTGCACCGCTCACCAGTCCAAAAGGCCACAGTCGTACGGCATCTGAGAAGTCATCATCATCATTGTACGACGAGTCGACCCCAACGCCATCAACTCCAGCTACTCCTGACAGTGTGCAGCCACAACACCGCCAGGATGTCCATCCGGCTCTTCGTAGCGGACCTTATAGCCGAGAAGCCAGCGAGGGCCATCAGATCAAAGGTAACGCAGAAAGGCGACCGCGTAATGCTCTCCGAACGTCCAGTCAGGAAACAGCCCGTCCATCTGCAGACCGTTCTACAAGCAGAGAGCGGAGAACCCCACGAGACAGCTGGAACAAGGCAGCATCTGTGCTTGGTCTCGAACCTCCTCCCGCGAATTTCTTCTCCCGGGCTGACGGCAATGGCTCCAACTCATCCCTTGCTTCGTCGCCCTCATCGATCAAGTCAGCAAGTGCCATAAAGGCCGAGATGGCAACAGCGACTAAGCAGGCCAAGGAACGAGAGCGGGAGATGCCCCCACGCGCGCAGTCGGCCATCGACTTGTCCTCTACGAGCTTCTTGCCACCTTTGAAGCATCAGCCACTTGCCACAAAGAAGAAGCAGAGGCCCTCAGCTACGGCGATGTCGGTTTCACCGCTGGAGTCTGCAGACGAAGAGAGCATCTCATTGCGACCCAAGGCATCTAGGAGCAGCAGCGCCAACAGTCAGGAGTCCGGCACAGTCTCGTCCTCGGGTGCTGCGTACCTTGAAGAGGCACGCAAGGCTGTTCAGCCAATATCGGCCGTGCGTGCTTTGAGAGCACCGTTCGCGCACAACAACTCATCAGCCACAAGTGTGAAGACCACACAAAGTGGTCGTGGAGAGCCAATTGCGAAGATGCTGGTTGAATGCTGTAGCTGCAAATTCTTCCACGACATGCCATCGAAGGTCTACGAGTGCATGGCCAAGCCTGACTCGATTGTGGAGGACAAGAAGCTTGGTGTTTCGGCGGCTGTAACAACAATGGTGCGCTGCCCATGGTGCGGCCATGGAATGTCGACGCAGTGCTGCGCCGGATACGCGGCGGTATTGTTTCTGAAGGAGAAGCTGCACGGAAAGTAATGAGTCGGCTTTCATGCGACTATGGTGATGCATTTTGGAAAATCCACTTCCACATCTTTCCCTTTGTCTCATCGACGGCTCGCCTGCGGCTTGAGGCCTGTCACCAAAAGTTTCATGAGGGCGGCGTTCGTATTCCTGGCACATTTCTGGCCATCATGTTCTTCTGTCTTCGTTGGGCCAGGGGAGCACAAGATGACGATTCACTTCATTGGCTGGCAATGTGTGAACGGCCAGGCTTGTGAGGAAGAAAGTTTGGCATTTCTGTGTCAGGGAAGCGGGGCTGTTTTATGGAAATATGCATAATGAAGCTGTACTAGCAATTCCACGAAGATAATGTGTAACGATATTGAGGGACGAAAAATAAACATTCGCAGACGCACTTCGCCTGGCTCACAGGTTCTGGCTTGGACCATATCTTCTGCACATTGCAGATTTGTGCAAGAATCGCGTGTCTTTGCCTTGGAAATGATCCGCTGTGTATGGCTTAGCTTGCGGTCGACACAGAAGTACTGCCAGTCGGTCTGCAAAGAAAGTCGCCAAAGAATGTTGATAGCTAACATGAGCTTCCAAGCCCGCTCGCACGATTATTGCAAGCCGGCACTGCTTATCTATCAATCTCTCACAGAACAAAGGCGTCAACTGCAGCTTTGTCCTTGGCCAACACCGCTTTGCTTGAGGGAACATTCTGTGTCCGATCTATATCAGACCGGGGCTAGTCCTTTCCATGACTGTGTTTGTGTTCTGTAGATACATCCACGACGTGTGCCACTGATTGAAGCCAAGGGGAAGGAGCAGAAGCAGCAGGAGCACTCAGTAGCCTCGCGATCTACCCAAGGTGTCGCGTTGCTCTTCGAAAGAGCAACGACTACCAACTTAAGAAGTGGCGGTGAAGGGACTTGCAGCAGGAGCAGCAGGAGCAGGAGAAGCAGTAGCAGCAGGAGAAGCAGCATCGTACTGTTTCCAGCGATACTCGCGCTCCTGGCCCCTGCGGCGCTGGGCCGTGTCGCAGAGTAGAATGTCGCCGCACTCGCACTCGCGAACCATGACCGGCTTCATGTTTGCATTCTGGTCATCGGGAGCGTCGGCGGCCGTGGACGTATTAGACCCAGACTCAGACCCAGACTTGGACTCAAGGCTGGGTCCGGCAGCAGCAGCAGCAGCATTAGTAGCAGCAGCGGGCGTCTCCTCGCGCAGCCAGCGGTACGTGATACTCCACCGCTCGCCCCTCGGCCTGACAACAACCATGCCGTCGCTGCCATCATCGCCTCCTCCCGTACCCTGCCCGCCGCTGCCCTTTAGCGTGTCCGTCTTGCGCGGCTTGATGCCATGCGTCCAGTGCAGCCTGCTGTCTCCCGACATCTCGAGCATGCTGCGCGGCAAGAGGTCTACCTCGACCTGCGGCCTCTGGGCTTTTGGTGGCAACTCTGGTAGCGGTGCTGTGTAGCCCGCCGCCTCATCAACTGGCGAGCAGTCCAGGGCACCGTTCCGCCCGTGCTTCTTGGTGTTGTTGTTGTTGTCGTTGTTGTCGTTATTGTCTCTACTGGAGAGTACCCCGTCGAGCCGGAACTGCATCAGCACTGGCGCACTCAGGGACAGCGCATACAGCTCGTCATATGTGCTGTGCGTGTCGACGTGTGGCGGGATGCCCGTGCCCGGAGGGTAGTACTGCAGACAGACCTGATCTGGCGGGCGTCCGCCGAGGCTGGCGTGCCGCTGCTGCCGTTCGTCTCGTCGTCGTGGTCGTCGTCGTCTTTGTCGCCGGGCTGTGCTTTGGCGTGGCGGACGGTGGCTTGTAGTGCCATCATCGCCTTCCTCTTCTTCAAGGCTGCAGTGTTGACCTTGATGGTCGTTGATCTTGGCTTCTTGTTGCCCATTGCACGCATTATACAGTTGGCCCTTCCTGGCTGATGCTTGGCCTTGCTCAGCCGCCGCTGTGGACTCTTTACTATCATCGTTGCTGTCTCCCTCCACCATCTCCCCCTCTTCCTCTTCCTCCTCCTCTTGCTGCTCTTCACTTTCTTCCACACCACCATCCTCGTCCCTCGGCGGCAGAAGCGGAATCAGCGGGACCAACCACGCCGGGAACTCACGAAACGGCACATCCTCGTCGATCCCAAACGTCTTGTACGAAAAAGTGTACCCATAGTGCAGCGAGACCCGCCCCTTGCCACCACCACCACCACCACCACCACGAGCCGGCCACTCGAGCTCCTCCCGGAACAGGCGGATCAGCTCATCCTCGTGCTCGGGCGTGATGAAGTCGCGCTGCATGCGCAGGCCGCGCGGGAAAGCGGCGCGGCAGCAGCCCCGGTCGCGGTCGCTGGTGGCAGCATTCTCCTCTTCCTCCTCCTGCACAACGGCAGCCGATGGGGAGGTCCTCACCCGTGAGGAGGGGGAGGAGGAGTAAGTGTCCTGAGAGGACGGCAGGACCGGCTGCAGGTTTGGTATCCTCATCTCTCGTCTTGAGTGATCTCCCGATCACTCACTCAGAGCGTAATAATTGTGCGGTTTCCTCGCGTGCACCAACCCCACCCCCCAGGGTGCTGGGCGAGCCCAAGGCTGTCTGTGCTTGCTTGGCTTGTTTAGAGAAGAAGAAGAAGTGGATGCTTGCCGGTTGTCGTTGTTGCTGTTGTTGTTGTTGTTGTCGTCGTCGTCTTCCACTTCTTCGCCGAGTGACAGGATGATTCGGCGTGGAGAAGACGCTGGTGTGTGTGTGTGTGTGTGTGTGTGTATACCCGGCTCTACCCGGCCTCTACCGGTACTTGTGCTCAAATGCGCCTTTTCATGAGATGATTGCAATGAAACGACGCCGCGGAGCTCAATGGGACGAAACAGCTGCGCTTTGAGTCCTCTCTACGTGTGAATCGCCAGAGTCCCTGTTGTCCTCCTCCAAGTTTTGTGCGCAAAGCACCGAGCCAGACTAAATTTGTCGTGCTGCTCTAGGACGTGGAACTGCGGAGCGTCCGCGGCTGGTGTAGTATGTGGGGAAATAAAATTTTTTTTCCAGAGTGGACGACGACGTTCCGCTTGAACGGCAGGCTTTGCCGCTCGTTGTTTGTGCTTTCTTTATTTCGTCCACGTGAGGTAAGGAGACGAAATCAGTCGAACGAACGATTTTGGGCGTGTAGACAAAAGCCCCCACTTCTGATCCAGACTTTTTGTGGAACCCTTCTGGACTTTGGGGTAGGCAGTACAAACCTCTGGTGCTAGACGTATCTCAAGTACTTAATCTCGTCAACTGGTGCGGGCAATGACTTATGTGTCGACGGAACTTCGCATGTTGTTTAGGTCAGGCCAACGAGTGTACCGTGCTATTACGTATTAAGTCTTGTTGCTTCCCCAGTTATACATTTAAATCCTCCCCGTCCTATCCAAATCCCAAGCTCGACATGTCCACATCACCCCCAACCATGTCGATCCTCCCTGAAAGGGTGTTGGCCAGCGCCGTGACGCCGGGCCGCTGCTCCTCGAGACACCCGAGGTATGCCAGCCCCAGAGCCCAGCGGTGGCCGATCTCCAGCAGCGCCTGCGCATTCGTCTCGGGCCCCAGCACGCCCAGCTCGGAGCCGGGGCTGTCGAGCCAGCTCAGCGCCGATGCCGACTGGTAGATGGAGTCGAGGATGAAAGGAGACACCTGGTCGAGGCCGCCGTCCTGCAGGACTAGTGCCATGACGTTGGTCGTGTCCTCGGCAATGTGTGACGCAGTCGACCTGAGCCCGTCAACCAGGCCGATGTGCAGGGACAACTCCTCGCCTGTCTGCGCGGGACAACCCAGATTAGGCACTGCGGGCACAGTACCGACCAAGCAATAGGCCCTGAGCAAGGTCATGACCGAGCTCAGAGCCAGACTCCTGCTTGGTATCAGGATCCAGTACGACGCCGGCGTCGCGGCAAAGTCCGCAAAGAGACTGGCGCAAAGGCTCTGGGCCGTCGCAGTCAGCCTGGCGACCCCCATGCCCTCGACCCGGTGGCCCAGAGCCTTTTGTGTCGCAGCGGCCTGGGCATGCCGTATGACTTTGGCTGCGATGTGTGCCGCCTGGCAGAGCCGCGCAAACGCACACTGGGGGTCCGAGTAGGGCGCCGAGACGTTGCGAGCCACGTGTCGATGTTGTCGAGCCGACTGGTTCCAGGCTGTCTCGTCTACCGGAAGCACATCTGTCGGCACTGGCTCTGCCATGAGGAGGCGCTTCTCAGAACTGATGGCCATGACTCTTTCGAGCACGTATACTGCCCAACACGTCCTGTGCTTCTCCTCTGCAACCAGCCACTCCACCTATATAACATCTCGTCAATATTCATGTCACTGTAAAAGGTGACCGATGTCGAGACCTACATGCTGGGCAGTGGCCTCGCTGTTTTCCCTCGACATTTTTAGTCCTAGAATCTCAACAAGCTGCACGCACTGGCCAAGAGTCAGCCAGGCCGAAGGGTTCATGCCGTGCCCATATTCGAACAATGCAACAAGGACTGTCCCCTGAAGAAAGCTCAAGGAGAATGCCTGAACGCCCTGAAGCCCTTGGATGTGCCGCTTGCACAGGGTATAGAGGTAGTGGTCTGGATCGCCAGACCCGGCATCCGGCCGACTCAGCACAAGTTCCATGGCGAGGATCAGGACAGCGAGGTCATAGCTGAGTGGCGTGGTTTGAGACATGTCCATCAAGCGTTGTTTGGATATCATGGGCAGCCACGGATGGACCTGCGCGTAATAGGCCGTTGTGATTCGCTTAATGTTGGCTTCACCACCGACGTGGTTCAAGATATCCTTTTACTTGGTCAGACTCTAGTAGAACAGCAGAAAAAAAGGACGGGATACTTACTTGAGGTGCCTCTACTGTACTCCTGGTATCCAGATACGGGTTCCGCAATAGCCTCGCATCCAAGAATCCGATGGCTTCCTGGGCCCTCAGCCGTTGTGCAAGCTTGACTCCTGGTTGTGCGATTGTTTGTTGAGATGTGCCACCGCCATAGTGCGACGTTGGGGCCGCTTCCTCGGAAAAGACCCTGCTTTCGCGTTCGGAAAGACGTCTCTCGAGGTCTTGTATCTTTTGCGTGAGCTCGGTCACCTCCGCGCTGGAGACGGTCACTGGCCCGTCCGAGTAGTCACATATTCGTCCCACTATGAGGACCATCCAAGTCAGCGATGAGAAGAATTCAGTTTGAAGCGCGCGAAAAGTTGAACGAGTCGGCCTCGAGTAAAGGTCTGTCGTGTTTCGCGGGGAGCCCCAAAACTGCGAGCAGCACCGTTGGACATGTCGGCTGATCTTACTGCGAGTGCATAGTCGACAAGCCGGCAGGGCTTTGTTACATCCTCGTTTCTGGACACAGAACACGTGAGCATGGTACTGTCACCAGAGGTTCGTGTTCAGCATCCAGTCGCGACAAACCTGCTTGCGACATGAGACGCATGCCTGTGGTGCTCGGTCGGGAGTGACGGGTCCTGCACTGGTGTCCGAGGCGCTGCCGGATTTCTCCAAAGCCAGGGACGCATTGTGGTCCATGTTCTACCGGAGGAAGAAGTGCAGAGCGCGCGATACCGGCCTGCGATGAAAGCTCAAGCGCACAGAACTGAATCATTGGTGTCGTATGCTGGCACGATGCAACAAACGCGTGCTAGTGGTCAGAGCGAACAGGCCGAAATCAACGATTGATGAGGTGAAAGGAAGGCATTGCTCTAGCCTGATCCGCGGCGAACATTTCCTTCATGTCGAAGTGTCCCGACGCTCCCTCTCGAGCTCGAAGTCGTAGGAGCCACGTCAAGAAGAGCGCAGGCACTTTGGGGGGTTTTTGCGGGAGTATATAGGCTGCAGTCGCGCAGCGGCGAATTTCAGGAGCCATGCCCGCTTCGTTTTGGGGAGGATGTGGACAGGGCCTGCACCAAAAGGCGGGCATGGCATCCCTGCAAGCCGTCCACGGCCCCCTGTCACATCCCTGCGATCGAAACCCGCCAAGACTGTAGGAGAAAGCCTTGCTGCAAGGGCTCCGTGGGTTTTTAAAGGGTCCAAGACCGTACAAATGCATCAGGTTGTGATGGCTGGCAAGGGCTGGTTCTTCCGCCCTTGGCTGAATGCGGTACCTTGATGGAAGCATTCTCATCGTCGTATGGGACGGGCCGGTCGCAAGGATTTCGTGCTCAATCCCGCGCCACGTACGACGTGCCAGGGTGAGCCTTGGGTATGTTCAAGCCGAGGACTTCGATTGGGTAAATGGTCTGGAGTCTGGAATGGTCCTCGGCTCTTGCTTCCGAACAGCGGAACATGAGATGATGTTTCGACAGCTGCCCCACGAATAATATTTGTGAACAAAATGCCTGACGTCAGGTCAAACCACGATTGTATTATGACTATCGCCTTGAAGCTCCAGAACGCCGACGGAACCGCTAATACTGTGAAATCATTGTGCTTCATCGTAACCTGTCCTTACTCGTACTGTCACGACGTCTCCTACGATCTCGAGACCGCCTTTCCTTCGTATCTCTTCCGTAGTCCTGAGGGTCATATCCAAAGTTTCCTCTCAACCCGAACTTGTCCATGTCGTCGTTGCGACTCTTCCCCTTGGACTCCTGGCCGTTGTACTTGTCCTGCGTGACAACAAGCCATATCGTCGCCTGGCCGAGCTCTTCCAGGTGTTTACTGTCGTTCTTGGTGGCGGATGTGCTGGCCTTGGGGGATTTTCCAGACATTGTTGGAGATAGCCCAGCATCTTCATCCACTGGCACGTCAAGATCAGCCACCACGCCTCGCAGATGCTCAAGAGGAGTTGCATTCGTGCTCAATCCTCCAGCACCAAAGTTCCCAGCCATGCCCTGCTGCGCGCGTGCCGCCTGTGTGTCCTGCAGCAATTTCTCCATGGAGACACCCAACAACTGGGCAACCTGCATCGAGTTCAACACCTGGGCCATCAAACCTCGCTGGCCGAGCCACTTGCCGTTGGCGACGAGCGCATATGCCGCGGCCCTCTCGCCGGGGGTCTGGGGCGGCGACATTACTGCGATTGCGGCTTTCCCGGGCAGTGTTGTTGCAGATGCTGCGAGTTTAAGACCAGTGCCGACCGTCAAGCCGATTGCACCACCGACAAGACCTGTGGCCACGCCAAAGATGTTGCCCTTCTTGGCGGACTGCGCAATGCCACGCCCCACGCTCTTTGCCGAGTCGGCGATACTGCGCCCCAGATCGGTTGGCACGTCAGAGATCTGACGACCGATGTCTGCGGCATGGCTCAGGGCTTTCTCTGAGACATTGGCTGTGAGGAATGCGGAGAGGGTGTCGACAAAGGACAGCCAGGTGTCCTGCGGGATGCCGTAGCGGAGCAGGTCCTGCGAGTATGCTGAGAGGAACGGAGAATCTGCCCTGGAGCGAACCTGGGGGATAACTATAGGCAGTTGCCCAGAGGTAGAGGAGGGGGGGCTGCCGGCGCCGTGACCAGGGCCGGCACCGGTGTCTGCTGGGCTGTAGGGCGGCAGGGTGGCATCGGAGGGGAAGTTGAAAGGCTCGGCGGCCGTTGGGCCGGCAGCAGCAGTTGGCGTGCTCCTTGCCCTCTCGGCGGCAGCCAGCCTCGTCTTTGAATCGACGATGGATTCGGCGGCAGGCGGGGCGGGTGGCGATGTTGTGGCTAGGCCCGAGGACGACGTTGACCGGGTGCCGTCTTGGCGGCCGGAGACGGACGCCGGGGCGGAGCTGCCACCAGCGAGGGAATGGCCGCTGTCTTCTATCGAGTACGGGGGGAGCGTCTCTGAGGGATCTGCGTCGAGGGCAGCCTCCTTCTGCTTCCACTCAGCCATGGCGATGAATGAGGATGAGGATGAGGATGAGGATGAAGCTCTATAGGGAGTGTGCGCGGTTGAGCAGTGCGCGATGGGGTGGAATAGCTGGGTGGGCTCAGCAGTCTTATATGTCGTTCCCTGGCGTGTGAAGGACCCCTGAACTAGTTCATTCAGGTAGAGAGGTGCCCTTGATATGCAGTTGATCCAGACATGTCGTCGTGTGGAGGCATCCCCGAAGCCAAGCTTTCCCGGCTGTGCGGCAGGACTCGCCCAGTGGTGGTGAGGGTGGGGTTGTGGCGTGCTGGGCGACAACGTCACTGCCAGTGCAGGGTCCTGGTTGCTGCCTGGGGGACAATGCGGGTGCGAGTGAGGCGCTGCACCTGCCAGCTGCCCCACTCCTTCCCGCGCTACATAACGCTTGCCCCTTTGGGCAGTGGCTCTGCTCTGCCTCACCCAGGATCCTTACCATGGTAGATAAGTCCCTCCAGGGCATGGACTGCCATGACTTGATTACAGCCGACGCTCGTCGAACCAATACACGTCCGAGTTCAGCCTCTCCTCGCGGCACGAGAAACCCCCGCCTGGGTGTCTTTCATCCTGACCTTTCCTCTGGAACCATGCATCTTGAAAATGCTTGACCTCTAACTTCATCCGAGCCTCGCTCGGGCTTCGCAGCGGGTCCCATGAGGAAAGACCTTGGCTGTAGAGATCCTGATATTCCTGACTGCTGAAAGTGCCTGTCGTCTTGTCGAAGTAGACGCTCCCGTTGGCGTGAATGAGGGTCGTAGCCGGAGAGCCACAGTTCAAGAGGAGTTGCCTCGAGTCTAGCAACCAGGCGAATGCTGGCGGTGTCCCAATATCTCGCATATGCCGGAAACGATTCCTGTCTTCACTTTCCCCGGGCTCTGGTGATCGCAAGCTCGGAAGAAAAGCAGCCAGATTCGCCAGTGAGCGGAGCGCCTCTTCATCTATGACCAAGAAGTCACGGTATCTTGGGTTCCATATCATCCGGCGGTCGTCCACGTCCACGCCGTGCTCCTGCAGCCACTGCTGCAAGTATTGAGCCAACCGCAACGGCACACCCGTCGTGTCCTTATGCCATAAAGGATCTGCCTGAGTCCGGTCAAGGCTTGTCGGGTCCTCGACAAATGTCCAGCTTGAAACGCTTCCAAAGTTCCTCGTTCCAGACCGGGTCCGGCTCATGTCGACTAGTTTTACGCCAAAGAAACAGTGGGAGAAACACGAAGCGCCGCACCCAGAGGTGCAGTTTGGCAATACACTCGGAGAACATGGCATCGGACCCGGGTGTGTAGACTGTACGCAATACTACTACATATGTCAGAACATGTCCTTCTGCGTGAGAGAGATCAAGATTGAGAAAGACCGCTTGAAATGCCTTACCAGTCCAGCCCCAGGTCCCATCACCCAGTGGGCTCCAACCTTCTTCGGCATAAAGGGCATCGTTTTGATCTACAAGTCTCAAGTCAGACTCAGCGCCTCTATCGGATCCGGGGAATGGCCGCGTCTTGCCAGTCGCGGACTGCGCGCTGAGCCATGCTCCATCTCGAACAGATCGGGCAGAGGCGTTTGGACCAGCAGTCGACATGCTGATTACTGAAAACTGAGATAGGCCGAGGGGATGTTCTGGACTGAAGCGCGTTGCGACAAGTGTCTCGCTGTGTCGAAATCTGACGCCTTGAGAATGCAGAGAGATAGCGAGGCAATAAGTTGTTGGTGTTCAATCTGCTTTATCCGGCGCGGTGTGCGGGGGGGTTGTTTAAGCGTTCAAACGTTGCAGCCAACCAACTAAGTCCCACGGTGTTGCTGCCCCTCAGGTTTGCATTGTGGATTACAATCATCGTGGTTATGAAGAGAAACTAAGGAGATCATGACCGCTTCTGGGAGTGCCGGCAGAGAATTGGAGTACTCCGTGAAAATGGAAAGCCGACAGCTATTCGCAGTCTGAGGTTCAAACTTGGGGAAGAATTCCAAATTCCGCATCTCATGGGGACCTGTTAAGGAGAAAGTACAGAAATTCAGCTCCACAAGTCTGAGAGAGCACAGAATGAAAATACATCCTGTTTATGAACCTAGTCTGTATAGTTGTTGCGGCCCGTTCCTAGTTGCGTTCCCCCGCAGGTGGTAGGAATGCCGTCTCAGCAACTCCATACCCCCATTCTTCAGCACTTCGTTACGAATGTTGTTCGGAAAGTCTGTTTCTCCATAGATTATGTCTACTAGTAGTAGCCAGCCTGTACTAAAATGCATAGCGTATAACTCACAGAGACGATACCGTGACCGCCTCGGAGCCGCCAACGACAAACCACGCGGCCATCAGGCTGTGCATCCATCGCCCCAGCTGGGCCTCGAGAAACACGGGCCTTTCGTCCTTGGCCCTCCAAAGCACGGTCTCGTTGACGAAGCGCATCTTCCTCGCCCTGCCTGTCTTTGCAGTCATCAAAATCTCGCTCTGATTCCCACCATCTTTTGATTCTTCTCCTCCATGAACAGTCAAGGCATCGTCGTCATCATCATCGTCATGGCCCTCGTGGTCGACCTCCTCAATGCCCAGGTCCAACACACCGCTCGGAGCATCCTTCCACTCGTCCTTCCCACCAGGCGGCGATAGACGCAAGACCACTCTTATCCCGCTGCCAGTCCTGCGCCGCTGCTCAACGACATACACACCACACACCCTGTCTCCAGGCACGAAGTCGCACTGGGCGATATACTCTCTGGTAAACGTCACCCGCGCCGGTACTTCCTCGCCCTCCGCGTCGAGCCCAGGGTATCTCTCGGACACAGCAGCCGCTGCTGCCGCTGCGGTGGTGGGACCAGCTGAGCCGCCCGAGGTCCCGATCTCGCGACCACGACGAAGACGCCCGCCGACATGCCGACGCACAGCTGGATGAAGACGCATCGCATACGCCTGTGGAGTGTACACTGCAAACAAAGTCATCGTGGTGCGGAGGTACGCGTTGACGAGGGCGTCGAGGTCTAGTATCTCGCCGAGTTCAGCAGGTGAGAACAATGATGACGGGTCATCGCTGTGCATGCTTGAGCTGACGATATGAATGCTGTTGTCGTCGTCATTGTCATCGCTCGTGGTGGCCGTGGTGTAGCCTTTGCGGCGGAATTCGTGCCTGATGCTCCGGACATCTATCGGATGTGAGACCACGCGCTCGCGGGCAACAATGTATTCGACATCCGTAAAGGCCTCCCCGGCTGACAATGCGGCCTCGTCATTTCCGCTGTTGGGGTTGTTGCAGTCGCTATCGCCGTCTCCTTTGTGGCCGAGCACTTCCCCGACCCGCCACGGCAGCTCACTCTTCCCTCTTGTCGTGACCCTGGTAACAGACCCCTCAGTCACAGTCCGTAGATCAAACACTCGTTTCCAATACCGCAGCCACAGCACAGGCACGACGACAAGACTGCCGCCCAGTGCCGCTGTGATGGCTGCCCAGCGGGGGACGTGCAGCAAGTGTCCGAACGGGCTCCCAGGCGGCCGTATCCAGGTATGCAACGACATGGCAGATTGCCGCAGGTGCCGCCGTAGGACTGCAATAAGTGAGAGTTTGTGTGATGCACAAGTGCAAGTGTCGCCGTTGATTGTGTGTGTCTTGTTCGCTTCCTTCAACGGTGCGTAGTGCAATGGGGCGATACTGGCGCGGGCTTCGCACGAACGAGGCTTTTGCGCGGAAGAAGTCGCGGTTCCGTGAAAAAGGCTGGTCGTTGCCAGTCGGAACTGCGTGGTGCGCCGCGCACCCCCAAAATGCGAAAAGATTTCCTCTCGGGAACTGCCCAATCCTCACAAAAGTGAACAATGTCAGATGACCCCAAGTGATGAGGGAAAACGCTCGTATTTTCGTGTTCTGCACTAGGACAATTCAAATATACAAGTAATTAAGCTCGGCAGCTCCGTTAGCGTCGCGTGGGACGGGCTATATACTTAGTCCTCCTCCAAATGATTGCCTGATCTCCGCCTCCACTGCTCCCCGAAGCGGCATTCGGTTGGTGAAAGGGTTCAGCTCGGCTTCTTCCGGGCCGACGGCCGAGTCGGCGTGAGAAGCACCGTGCTTACGCCTGCTTGTGGGCCGGGATGTCAATGGCACCAGAATTAAATCGTCCGAGAAGAACTATGGGTTGACGCCACGGTGCAATGTGCCCAGAATGCCCGAGAATATTCGACGGCTTACGGGGTCCGTACAAGTCTTCACGTGGAAATTCCTGCTCGCGCATGATCTACTTGGCATATGAAGCATGTGATGTATGTGCGTCTCATGTAAGCAGTGTATGTTTTCTACGTAATAGGCAAGGGGATATCGCAAAAGGGCCATGCATCAGCCGCAAAAGGAGACAGCGACAAACCCGCCATTCTAACAACGCATAGATCGATCAAGCTCAAAGCGCAGCCAGAGGATAAACACGAAACAAAAAGAAATAGATATTACACAAGGGAAGACTCCGTGCTATGCAAACAAGTGCGTATGTATGTACTGCCCTTTCGGGAACTCCTATACGTCCACGCGGTCCAGCGTGTCGAGAGGGACGTAGCCGTCGCTCTTCTTGCTCCTCTTGCCACCTGTAAGGGCCGCCCAGAGATCCTGCGCGCGGGTGACGGCGTAGTCAAGCGTCGTCCACCCGCGGCCGCGTCTCCGCACCACGCCGTCGCTTGTGGCACCCGCGAGCAGCGCTTCCTCCATCCACGCCGGGCGCTTCCAGAACTTGAGCATTAGCGAGCTGACGACAACGCTTACGCTGCTGGTCGCCATCGCGGCACCTGCCGCCATAGGGTGAAGATGCAACCCGAGAGGGAGGAACAAGCCCATCGCGAATGGCAGGCCAACAATGTTGTACATGCAGGCCCACGCGAGGTTGAGCTTGATGCGTGTGAAAATGGTGCGTGATAAGTCCAGCGCCGCAGGGATGTCCATGAGGTCGTTGGGCCGCATCAGGACCACATCGGCCGCCTCCATGGCCACATCCGTGCCGCTCGCCATGGCAATGCCTACGTCGGCCGTGGCCAAGGCCGGAGAGTCGTTGATACCATCACCCACCATGGCCACGCAGGCACCTTCTTCCTTGAACTGCCGGATGAGTGCCTGTTTTTGGTCAGGCGAGACACCGGCGTGCACGTCCTCCGGGCTGATGCCGACAATCTTGGCCACGGCGAGAGCTGTCGACCTCTGGTCACCAGTGATAATCGCCGTCTCCACTCCCATACGGTGGAGCACAGCGATAGCTGCAGCCGCGCCTTCTTTGACAGTGTCTGCGAGACACAGATGGCCAGCATATGCGCCGTCGATAGCGATAAAGATGTTCGTGGTTCCGGCAGGGGCGTTCGAGCTCGATTTGGACTTGGCGCTCCGGGTATTAAGTTCCTCAGAGGCATCAACGGCGTCCAAGGGCACATCGATCTTGCTGTCTCGCAGGAATGGGAGACTGCCAATAAGAACTTTGTATCTCGTCCGCTCCGCACTAGACTGAGGCTGCACTGTCGCTGTGATGCCCTTGCCGACGATGGCGCGGAAGTCGCCAATGCTGCCCTCGATTGTGGCCTCAGGGTCCATGCCAAGTTCCTCACGTGCAGAATTCAATACGGCCTTGCCCACAGGATGTTCGCTGCCCATCTCAGCGAGACCAACAACTGTCCACCAGAGCCGACGCCGCCATTCGTTATCCTGCCAAACGGAAGTCAGCCTTGCCGTGGCAACGCTCATTTTGCCGTAGGTGAGCGTTCCGGTCTTGTCGAGGACGACTTTCGTAATCTTGGTGGTCTGTTCGAGAGCAGCACCGCCCTTGACGAGGATTCCATGCTCAGCGCCAACACCAGTTCCAACCATAACGGCGGTTGGCGTGGCCAGACCCAGCGCGCAGGGGCATGCAAAAACGATTACAGAGATACACAGCTTGACACAAACCATCAGCTTGCCGCCACTCTCCTGCTTGGTGAAGATGGCTGGAGGGTTGGCCAAAACATGGCTGAGCACGATCCAGACAAGGAAAGTGACGAGACCCAAGCACAGAATGGTCGGCACAAAGATACCGGCCAATCTGTCAGCGAGTCGTTGGATCGGCGCTCGGGTGGTCTGGGCATCCTGAACAAGCTTCACAATCTGGCTGAGTTGCGTGTCTCTTCCAGCTCGGTTCACACGGAAGTCAAAGCGGCCGTGACCGTTGACAGTGCCGCCGATGACATCGCTGCCCTTCTTCTTCTGGACGGGGATGGCCTCACCCGTAACCATGCTCTCGTCGACGTAGGTCTCCCCGCGCACGATGATGCCATCAGCAGGAATTTTGTCGCCAGGTCTCATGATGACAATATCGCCGACTTGAATGAGCTCAGTAGGAATGACCTTCTCCTCCACCGTGATGCCGTCGGGACCAGGGGTCTTCACAGCACCTGTCAGACCAGGAGTCTCCCAACCTTCCGCGACCTTCTCTGCGGCGATCGCATCGGTATAGATGGTAGCCATTGAGGGTGCCAAAGACATGAGCCGGGAAAGAGCCTTGGAAGTTTGGCCTTTGGCACGATTCTCCAGGAAGCGACCTAGTGTGATGAACGTGATCAGCATCGTGCTGGTGTCGAAGATAGTGGCCGGCCTGCTGTGTGGCTCAAAGAAGAAAGAAACCGCCATGGCGAAAATGCTGAAGAAGAAGGCCGCTGATGTGCCCAGTACGACGAGAACATCCATCGTTGGCGATTTGTGCTTGATGGACTTGTAAGCTGAGACATAGAACCGCTTGCCGATACCGAATTGGATCGGGATGGTCAGGCAGAGACAGATGACATCGCCAAGGAACAGGCCTTGGATGAGCTGAACCCCACCAAAGTCGAGAGGCTTGATCATCATGGGGAAAATCATGTTGATGAAAAAGACGGGGATCGCAAAAGTCACAGACACTTGGAAAGCACGCTTCCACTCCTGAATCTCCTTCGTCTTCGCCAAGGATTCGAGCTGTGCGTTGTTGTCGTCGTTATCAGAAACCAGTGCATTAAAGCCGAGCTTCTCAATGGCCTCGACAAGGGCACGAAGACCAACTTTGGCAGGCTGGTGAGATATCGTAAGTCTGGATGTCGACAGCGTCAGTCTGGCAGAGGTGACTCCTGCGATCGCGCGCAGCGCATCCTCGAGCGTCTTGGCGCTAGTTGCATTGACTTCGCCATAGATTTTGAGCTGTGCAGTGGAGGAAGTCGCAGCTGACGACTCGGCTAGGTCGGCAACAGAGGATATGATTTCGGCGTCGAAACCCCGGTCCTCGATGATTTCGACGATCTTCTCAGCTGACAGCTTATCAGCATCGTGCGTGATCACAGCCCGCTCAGCAAGCAGACTAATGTTGAAACGAATGAGACCATCCACGTTCACGAAGCCACCTTCAACTGCCGACGTGCAAGCACCACAGGTCATGCCTTCGATCGCGACAGTGGTTGTGACAGAAGACGAGGGTGCGGCTTCCAGGCCAGCAGGATGACTCTCCGGCGACTCGGTGATCTGAGTATCGACGAGAGTTGCGCCGAAGCCGCGATCTTCGATAGTCTCGAGAATGGCGTCGACCGAGATCACCGCTGCATCGTGCTCAATGACGGCTCTTTCCGAAAGCAGAGAGACGTTGAAGCTCTTGACGCCAGGCACGCCAGTAAAGCCTCCCTCGACGGCGGATGTGCATGCGCCGCAAGTCATCCCCTCGATCGCAACGGTTGTCGTAGAAATCGGCGCCTGATTGCCATCCATGTCGAACAGGATCCCGTGGCCCGGAGTCCTCTGCGCGGAGGGAGCAATATCGGTCGAGAGCACCTCGGCGTCGAATCCGCGGTCTTCGATGGTCTCCTGGATTTGCTCGGCAGTGAACCGGTCGGGATCATGCATGACCACCGCTCGCTCCATGACCAAGCTAACACTGACACTTCCGACACCGTCAATGTTCGCAAAGCCAGACTCGACCGCAGAAGTACAGGCGCCACATCTAAAGCAGCATGGTTAGCACGCGACTGAACGGAGGACGGAGGCAAGAGCGCAGGGCCCTTTGAATAGAACATACGTCATGCCACCGACTTTCAAAGTCGATGTCGCCCATCTGACCGGCCGAGGGCTTGTTGTGAGAGTGTACCCTGAAGGGCTTCGAGGAGGAATCAATATTGACGGAGGAGCCATTGTGGGATGCGCCAGGCTCGTGCCTGCGTGACTGGCGATTGCGGAAGAGACAGATAGGTCGGCGGGGTCGGCTACAACGAAAGCGACAAGCTCATGATATCGTTTGTCTGGCTCCTGAGAATGTCGCAAGGTCGAGTGGTGTTACCGGCAACGCGGACGGATCGCTGATCGTTCGGCTGGGGGAAAGGGGCAGGCTGCGCCAGGCAGGTCTGCTGTGAGGAGAGTCCGGAGGTTTTCAGTCTTCGAGCGGCTGATGATGCACTGGGCCTCGAGCACAAAAGGCGGCGGTCTAGGCTGAGCCAGGCGCAGAGCGAAGATGCAAAGCCGGAAAGCTTAAGCTGGCTGTGCTTGGCGGTGGTGGTGTCCAAAGAGCGAGCGGGATGGGGGATGGGGTGATGGCCTGGTTTTGTCAGCCGCGCCCGCCGATGGAGAAACACACCAGACAGGTGCAAGGGCCTGGAAAAGCCGGATGGGGGCGGAGATACGGAGGCACAACGGGGCCGCACCCCGGGGCAGGACGACTGAGCATGAGAACTTTCAGAGAGGCGGGCGAGCAGCAGCTGGCGCATACCCCGGCCGCTCGCGACTGGCGAGACTGTCGCACTAGGGGCCCCCGTGCATGTGCCTTGTCGGGCTTCCGTTTTGAACGGCGGCCACGCTACTGCGTCTCGCATGCCCAACACGGGAGAGCGGACGGGTGGCACCGTCGAGGTGGCACCCAACATGGAGACCCTCAGGACCTTACGGGCGGCCGCCACCCTTCTCGGGCAAGTCGCAATAAAGCATGGTCTGGTGATGAGCTCAGCGCCTGCAGCTTAGGACAAAGTATCCCCAAGGCCCGATACGATGCTGCCGGTGACATGCTGACATGCTAATATGCTGACATTGCTGACCTCCTCCCAGTTTGGACAGAGCGGCGATCCACACGCCATGTCCTAGGGTTTCGTACGATGGCCTTGCTGAGAAATCAAGCACTCGTCCCCCATAGGCCAAGTCGTGTTTCTCTTGTCAGGGCATGAGCCGATGCTTTCGCGCCTCGACTCATGGTGCTGCGCAGCGTGCACAAAGGGGCTCCTGAATTTGCGGCGGCAGATTCGTTTCAGCGCAGCACGGGTCAATCACGATAGCACCGTTTCTGTGGCCTGTTACAGGACCCCCTTGCCCCATTCTGCAACCAGGCTCGAAACTTTGCACGGGATTGCAGTGAGTGGATCACTGGCACTATATCGCCAGTGCAGACGGCTGGGCCGTTGGACATCACCGACTTGGCACGGAGTTTCGCCACAGCGGCCGCTCTCTTTCCCAGCTGGGGCAATCAATACTGGTGGTGGTACAGTGATCCGGCTCCAAGATCCGTCGCGGCATTCCCAATCTGCATGCTAACCATGGAGGCCATCATTGCGAGTTCTCAGCACATCACGATCTTAGCCGGCCCTGAGCACGCAGTGCCGGAGCTACTCGTCTGCAGAAAATCAATTGAAACACGTTGCGTGGCCACCCTGTCGTCCTCAAAGAAGCACCTCGTGTTTCGACAACCCCGGGAGAAACACGAATGGTCTCCGGTATCTGTGGACCAGTCTGCTGGACCCCTGCGCCCCACTGGCAAGTCTTCAAGAAACCTTGGAACCACCACCTGGGCAGTACCACAGTCTTGTCTTCCGAGATCGTCAATCGAACACCGGAATCGGTTCTGCTCGCTAGATCGTGCTGACATGCTTGTACGTTCTGTACGGCTATTCGTGAAGCGTGCTCAGATCAGTCGCGGGTTGAAACACGTTCCTAGACCTGTCAAATGCACTCATTGCTTGGCACTACTCACTCGAGGAGCTTCTAGGCTGTGAGATTCGTACTAGCACGCGGTCGTCCTGAGGCTTGGTGGGCTCTACCTAGGTAATTCAGCACCAAGAGAATAGGCCAGTGTTGTTCCATCCGACTTTTTTATATAGATATGAATGCGTCTCCCGAGAGAGGCGAGAGTCAGCCGCAGCTTGCAGCAGCGCAGCCCATTTGGGTAATTCGCCTGGGTGCCGTCGTGACAGGTCTTACATGTACAAGATCATGTTTCGCCAAGAGCTGTTGCTAAACAACCTGGAAGGAGCGAGGTGTGGACTCGGAGGCGCCCACAACGAGGCCCCACTATAGCAAGGCTGCCTGCCGTCATCCACGGCAACAGCTACCCCGCGACCTTGATCATTGTTCAACACTACGTTCTGAACCCTTGAGCAACTTCACTACACAGCCTGGCTCACTGATTGCCTCGCCAGTCAGTCAGGGCATCTGGCGCACACCTCCTTCAGCAAGGCCAGGGCAGAACATCTATCGGGAGTGCAGACACAGTCACCATGGCGCAGACAAAGGCTCTCAATGCTCTGGAGGTATGTATCACGAGCTCTCCGCTCTCCTCACCCGGGCACTGAAGCGTGGCAGACTTACTGACGCATCATCTCTTGGCAGCCTTTTATGGCCCTGACAAAGTCAGCGAGCGCACCTCGCGCGGCGGCCGACCTTATAACACAAGCGACCTCAAACCCGAATACCTTCGTATTTGCCGAATTACTCCACGCTCCCCAGATTCAGGCTCTTGCCGAGTCTTCAGAGTACTCGTCACATTTGAAACTGCTCGAGATCTTCTCCTACGGCACATATCACGACCATACATCAGCCACCGACCTTCCAGCGCTGAATGAGCAGCAGATCCGCAAGCTCCGGCAGCTCTCCCTGCTCACCCTGGCGAAGAGCCCCCACAACCTGAGCTACGCCTCACTCCAGCGTGAGCTCGGCATCACCGACGACCGAACCCTCGAAGAGCTTGTTATAAGTGCAATCTACGCGGGGCTTCTGGATGCACAACTCGACGCGCGGAACAGAACGGTGCACATCAGCTCAGTCTCCCCCCTGCGCGACCTCGCACCAGGTGCCATCCCCAGTGTCCTCGACTCGTTGTCGACGTGGTCCGCACGCTGTGGCAGCACTTTGGACGAGCTCGAGACCGAGATAGCCTCCATCAAGGCCACAGCAGCCCAGCGTCATGCAGACAAGAAGGCTTGGGCAGCCGTGGAGGAGAAGCTCGCCCAGGACGTCCGGACGGAAGACCAGGGCTACGTCCACGGCCGAAACCAGCCCAACATGATAAACCGTGCCGTCCAGCATCTCCGCGGTCAGCGCTACGGGAAGCGCGGGAGTGTCGAGGCGAATGTTGGTGATGAGGACGAGGAGCCCATGGACGTGGACGACGAGGACGTCTATGATGAGGGAGATGCCAATGGAAACGGCAAGAAACGGGCCAGTCGCCGAAAGCTCTAGGGAAGCGGCGACCCTCCAGGCAAACGACCCAAAAGTGAAATCTCGAGCAATGAGATTTCCCCTCAAGATCCAACCTTCGACCAGGAGGAGTCCACGTCAACATCATAGATATTCACGGAACGGCGCCCAGAATGGCCATGATGAAAAGGTCAACATATACGTTACGGCAGCGCGACACGATGAATGTGCCATATGCAGAACACAATAGGCTTGATTGCGCAACTACCCGGGCAACAGAGCCTCACTCCATCCGCAAACACAGAGGCGACCCAAAACTCTACTACGACAAAATCGTCTACTAACAGAAGCACTTTGCAAGGCGTTCTCGATGCTTTGCGAAACACTTGCGCAAGCATGCAGGCACACCTTGGCAAGGTGTACATTTAGGCAGAGGTACGCCTTTGAAGTCTGGCTCAGCCAGAGAGGCAACCTGAACGTCTTGGCCGGAAGACACTGGAGACTCGACCGTTTCTGCCGTGCTGTACGGCAAGTGAAAGTCTAGTTTCCTGGATGTATACATAGACTAGAGACATATTCACCCGGTGAATACAGCTAGATTATCCCCCTGAACGTGCCCAAGGCAACGCATCAAACAGATGTTACGATGTCATAAATGTTGGAGAAGCAGGGCAGAGTTTGTGCAATTCTCGAGAATCACCGACCGCGCATTCATGGTCCTCGTCTCACAGCATAGGATGAGATATCAAAGTTAACAATGTTGTGCAAATCGATTTAGACTATCCGTCCATTTCTGAAAGATGACAAAATGCCAAGGAAGAGAAATCGCTCGTACAGTGAACCCCCAAGACCAAGACTTAACGACAAAAGCCGGGTGAAAACAGTGGTATAAGTAAGGAAAAGAGAACAAGACAAAGATAGAATGGTGAAAGCATACTGCCAAACAGCCAAAGATGACAACGGGCCACGACCAGCCGAGGCAGAATGTCTGCACTCCAGTGGCCACTCAGATGTCCTTCCGGAATGTCACTATTATCGATGGGGCCTTTTCACCTACGCAGTGCAAACAATTATAGACGCTTGCCAGGAACCAAGATGAAGAGCAGGCAAAGACCAGCGTCGATGATGATGGTCCAGGCAAGGACCATCAGAGATCGTTGTACCAAGAGCTTCCGGACGTATGGCTCCCTGATACGAGAGAAGTTGAAGGGTGTGTATTCGGAGAAGCCCACAATGGCCATGATTGGGTCCAGGTTGTACTGGTACGATGCCAGGAGGTAGACACCAACAGTAAAAGGGAGAATAACCTGGATCACTGATTAGCACGAAGTAGAACGAGTGATGGCATGAGGCGGTGACGGGACTCACCCAACAGCGGTTTAGTCGGTCCCTATCGAGGAAGATGAGAATGAAAGCCGCCCAGAAGCCGGCAAAGAGCGAAATAAGACCGATGATCAGTCGAGCAATGATCGTGGGCGGGATCAGGTTGCCAAGAGCACGCGCGCGGAGGAACCCAGGGAAGGCATCACGCTCCATAGCCTGAAAGACGTAGTCCTTAGCCACATCAAAAACTTCCGGGTCATCCCGACCATCCTGCTCGATGGCATTGGTTATGTCGGTGGTGATGGATCCGGGGAGGGTGATCTCGCGCTCCGCGCCGGGGAGGAGGAACGTGTAAAGAATCTTCTCGGCTGATGCCCGGATGTCTTCACGAGCCACAGTATGCATCGGCGAGTTAGAGTCCGAGGTAATGTGCTGGGAGCTGAGCTGCGTGCTCGCCCGTGTCCGTCGTTCTTGGCTGCTAGCAGGAGACTCATTATAGAGGGCCCCAGGAACTGGCTGGTCACGCAGATAAGCCGACATCTGAGCGTTTTGCTCCCGCTCCTTCTCACTTGCGTACATGGTCGGCCCTGAAGGACCATCTCGAATCTCGCCCATAGCTTCAAGTGCCTGCGAGTTGCGCTTCGATTCTGGCTTGTCCAGGTCTGGTGTGCCAACCATGACTGATCTCCTAAGTTCTCGGACGTAGTGCCGACATAGCGACATGTGCTGAGCAACATCGAGCCTGAAAGCAGCGTTAGCCCGTGCCGCTAGGAACACAATTGGCGGACAATAACAGCAACATACCAAAAGTCGAGATAATCAACAGAGCGCTGCTGGTCTCTCATATAGATGTAGAAGGAGAAAAGGTCCACCGGCGGGTGGGTTCGGCGGCTGAGAACCTCAAACAATGTCGGCAACCGGTTGCGAGACACATCTGGCAACGGCGAGGGGCTGCCATTGCCCTGAGGGTTTCGTCCCGTGTATGCCATGGTGAGCAGCCCAAGTATCTGAGACGAAGGGGCTTAGGATAATCGGCTGGGCAACGAGTGACCTGTGCTGCCAAGTGACGGTGGTGTCGCAACTTCCAGCGCGCAGCGCTCGGGAATTAATAGTCCTTGGGTATGTGACGCAATTGATCCTGCACTGAATCGAAGTGCAGATGTTGATAGGTGAGGGCGACCCGATGAGTTGATTAAGCCTGACTATGGCCTGCGATACAGAGTCAAGTGGAGGAAAGTTGAACGAGAGTCGCAAAGCCGGAACGAGTGGATGGCCAAGGTGGTGGGTAGTGTAGCGACGAGGTGGTCTTCGCTGAGGCCGTCGTCGTATCCGCGAAATGAGGGAGTTCGGGTCGGGAAGGGCGTGAAACACTGCGACGGTAGGGAGGCGCGCAAGGACGAGGCGTCAATCAATGTATTCGCGCAGGTTTGTATGAACCAGTCGACAGCTGTGTTACCGTGTCTGTGTCTGTGGCCGTAGACAGCACTTCCGATCCGGTGCCTGGCGGAGCTGGAGATGTCGCGGAAGACCAAGGCACGATTGAGTCTGCTTGGGCTAGGGGCGGAGCAGCTCGACGTCGGTGGCCGGCCTGGGGCGGGTGCTCGGGCAACCTGGAACGCGGACTGGCAGAGGAGTCTCGGGCCTGCGTCAATGCGTGCCAGAGAGCGAATGATGCTGCATCCCCTGGCCGGCAAGGGACGCTAAATGAGCTGTGGGGCTAGCGGCCAATCACGATGTCCTTTGGTTTGCCCAGGTGGGAGCAGCAGGCACAATCCCTGATAACGTGCACCAGCCACATCTACATCGCGATAGCGTCTCCAAAGCCACAACCTGAGCCACGAATGCCAGAGTGGATCCCGAGCGCACAGGGTGATTGGCTCGACTAGCGAACTGCCCTCTTCGCAAATCCCACACAAAACAGTGCTGTGTGATTTTTTTTGCAGCCCGCTCCGCCCGTCTGCGCTACCCGCTCGGATTCGTGACCAGGGAAGGCAGCGCAGCTATTTTCAATACCTCACGCCCAGACTCACCTTCGACAACCACCGAATTCACGGACACCCCTTCCATCACCAGTAAGCCGACCCGTACATTTCGACGTCTCGAACGCCCCCGAAAGACATTCGCATTTCCGCCTTGCTTCTGTCGTGCGATTCGAACCCCCAACGTCAAGCACGCACACGCACAATTGCCCGGCGCACAGGACCATTGCTTACCACCGTCACTACTGCAGAAATGTCGTCGAAAACCCAGAAGAAGGGCGGCAAGTCCGCCATCGACGAGGTCGTCTCCCGCGAGTACACCATCCACATGCACAAGAGGGTATGTGCTGGCCCATGACCTGGAATCACCAAATGCTGCTCGAAGAAGGCATTCCGCACTCGGACTCGTCGCATGAAAGATGTCAGGGAGGAACGACACCTGGGTTGGGACGAGTCCTTGAGCGGAATCTTTGCGACGCAGCAGGAATTCATAAGAGATTGGTTATGCTGACGGACCTTCAAATAGCTGCACGGTGTCACCTTCAAGAAGCGGGCTCCCAAGGCCATCAAGGAGATCAAGGCTTTCGCCCAGAAGGCTATGGTACGACCACCCCTCTCCCGCAGCATCAATATCACAAGAACATACACAACACCACGCAACACCGAACGTTTGCAATCAACGTTCACATTCTCGAATCGCCCATCACCATCACCCAGCCTTGTTGCAGGATCATTGTGCTAATACTGAACTTCTAGCAAACCTCTGATGTCCGCGTCGACCCCCAGCTGAACAAGAAGGTCTGGGAGCAGGGTGTCAAGGGTGTCCCGTACAGACTCCGCATCCGCATCAGCCGACGGAGAAACGACGAGGAGGGCGCCAAGGAGAAGCTCTACAGCTACGTCCAGGCTGTCAACGTCAAGAACCCCAAGGGCCTGGTCACCGTTGTCGTTGAGGAATAAGCAGAGAGGAACACAGACAATACGAAAACAAAAAGAAATTCAGAGTTCTCCACCTCTTCACACATACCACACCTTTGTTGTGATACCAACATCGACACAACGAAAACATCAAAAATCGACATGGTTTTCTCTCGCGGGGCGCATTCATCCAAAGGGCCGGGTCATTCCATTGTTTTTTAGAATCAACAAAGAAGAATTGATTCAACAAAGAACAAAAAAACACACATCACAAGAATACCGGGGCGTGTTGCTCTTTTCTCTTATGTTCTGTGAAGTGGTTTGAAGGTATTTTTGCGATGCGGACAACGACACGTCTCCGACAGCACGGGATCACGATTACGACGACGGCCGCGCGTGAAGAGGACTCTGGAGTTTTGCAGGAGAAGGCGTACGGGATATAATCAAACAAAAACATCTTCTGACCAGTCGTTGCTCAGGCCCTTGAGAGCTACAGCGAGTGATGCGACTGCAGTGTGAGGGAAGTAAAAGTTGGATTTTTGCCCTTTGCCGATGTGATGTCGAGGCCGTACTTCTGGGCAACTTACCGCGGCATCTTCTGGCCGTGACTAGACCTCTTCAACCATCTGTCCATTTTGCATGCGGTGTCACGCGTGGTCTCTACCGGCCATCATTGCTTGTTAGCCATTCCGCGTACCATCAGCTCATGGAGCAACATGATGTGATAACCCAGGCGCAAGTGCATGTCCGTCCATCGGAAAGGCGTATTGTATTCTCATCCAGGCATATTCATACCTGCTGGGTTGGAAACAAAGCTCCCGTAAATGCAAACTACGCAACGCAACTCCCATGCAACTTCACCGACCCCAAATCAGCCCCAGGAAAAAGTGGACAAAGCCCAAATCACAAACGCTCGTGATGAAGCCTGCCTGAACGCCCAGAATGACACACCCAATTCCAGTCTCCGAAACCTACCGGTGGGCTTTCTGCCCTGCAACCAAACCCGTCCTTACCAAGCTGACGCATGCCCTCACTCGTCGTCGATGTCCCTGTGCCGAGCAAGAACTTTCTTCTTGAACTCCGCGGGGTCCTTGTCCCACAGCTCTGCCGCCTCTCCGTTCAACGGGGAGGCACTTTTCCTCATTGTCAGCAGGATGTCGTGATCACAGGGCAGAACAACAAGACACTCACTTATTGGGCTCGCCCAACAGACTTTGCAGGCTGAGCAGCACAGTCTGGATGTTGTACGCTGCCGTCCACTTGTCCTTGAGGATGTCGAGACAGATGCGGCCGGAGAAGTCGAAGTTGGGATGATAGATGGGTGTCTTGAAAAGCACAGTCGGCGGGGCGTAGGGGTAGTTGTTGGGGAAGCTCAGGGAGAGCTTCAGCGACAGTCCGGCGTATGGTGTGCCGTCGGGCCCTTCGATTGTGGCTGTCCAGGCCATGAGGTTGCCATCCGCTCCAGGGAATGCTGACACGCCTGGCGCTGGGGATGTCATGAGTTGCATAAGCTCTGTCTGTAACCTAAGTCCGGGGGTTTAGCATGCTGTCTGCATGGTTGTCCGTGCCTGGATCTGGTCATGCTCAGCGTACCTCTTGGCCACACTCTGAGCGTCGGGACCTTTGCGGGCGGCATTCAGCTTGGCGGCCTGGGTGCTGCCCGGGACGGAGTTCTGGTTCTGGTCGGCAAAGTCCATGTTGACTGGTCTCGGCTATTGGTTGTGCTGATGCCAGATGGAATCGAATGATTGAATGACGGAGTCGTGCCTTAAGCTGCTGTCTGGAAGTGGTAGGCCGCATAGTTAGCGTTCCTTGAACTCTATCTGGCGGCTCGGAAGCATGCGCTATACGAAGTGACTGCCGGGTGACGCATGTGGTGGGTATCACGAACCTGGTGGAGAGGGGATGCTAGCAAAGACTGGAAATATAGAACTGATAGAGACAGTGAGGCAACGGACTGGAACAGATTGACGTGTTGGGGATGCTGTCAGTTCAGGATTTCAGGAGGGAAGTTCGAGGTCGAGCAAAGGGAGCGCGCTCTTTGAGAAGTGGCATTAGACCGCTACTAGGCGCCCGCCCTCGTCAGGCCCAATGCACTGTAAACAAATCCAGGCGCCTATGGCAACCACGAGCAGCTTGTGATTAGGTAAGCCGGCCCCTCCAAATGGGCGTGCAGGGCTCCAGGGTCCCCCCACTGCAAGCTGCTAGAGCAGCCTCCGCCAATCACTTGGTGCGCGTCTGGTCGAGTCACGATTCAGCAACGAATACAATCGCTTTACGCGAGACCCAGGACGCGACCTGCATTCACACAAGAGAGAAGACCCGGCATCAGTGGCTGCATTACGCAGAGGCAAACCCCTTGAAAGCGCGTCGGTCGCGTCCTTCCTTTTTGGATCACAATAATGGTAAGTCTATCGGTCTTCCCAGCTGTTGTGTGATTTCTGAATCGGGCTATCTGGCGGTGACCAGGTCTCACACCAGGACCCGGCCGGTTGACCACACTAGACCAGAGGAGTCAGAGCTTTTGACCGCCGTCTCTTTCATATGATGCCTTGCTTCACAAATTGTTTTACCTTGTTTACACTCGATGCTTGATACTAAGTGAAGTTCTACGCCATGCAACAGTCTCAGTTAGACCCTCTTCCTAGGGACCTGCCCTTTCGCATAATATCCAAGACAATAGGACGGGGAGCATACGCTTCGTGAGTGGCCAACCCTGACGTGAAACGCCAGAGTGATGTCACACCACTGACAACAGAATTGCACATCGCACGACAAACAGCATCAAGAAGGCAGTTCCTTTGGATGCACCCAAACCCATATTTGCTGTCAAGCTCATTCATAAAGGTTATGCCATCAAACATGGCCGCATCTCAGCAAAGCAAATCGCGATGGAGGTCTCTCTCCACTCTCTCATAGGCCAGCATCCCAACATCATCGAGTGGTTCGCTACCGGCGAAGACCATGTCTGGCGATGGATTGCCATGGAGTTTGCCGAGGGAGGCGATCTGTTCGACAAGATTGAGGCAGACGTCGGTGTCACTGAGGACATTGCCCACCTTTACTTTCTGCAACTTATCAGCGGCGTCAGCTTCATGCACTCGAAAGGAGTCGGCCACCGTGATCTCAAACCTGAAAACATCCTCATGTCTCTTGACGGCAGCTTGAAGCTTGCAGATTTTGGCATGGCTACCATGTTTGAATACAAAGGCCAGAGAAAACTCAGCACAACCATGTGTGGCAGCCCGCCGTACATTGCCCCGGAGGTATTGCTCTGCGGCCGAGGCGACAAGTCTCAGAAGTACTCGCCAGATCTCGTGGACATATGGTCATGCGGCGTCATCCTCTTTGTCCTACTCGTCGGGAACACTCCTTGGGATGAACCAACCTCTGCGAGCTGGGAATTTCAAGAGTATCTACGGACAAATGGGCGCAGTACAGATAACCTCTGGCAGAGGGTCCCGGCTGACGCGTTGTCACTACTTCGCGGCATGATGAACACGGAAGCCAACAAACGATTTAGTTTCGGTCAAGTCCGACAACACCCATGGTACACAAGACCAAATCGCTTCCTGAGCCCGGATGGGCAGATATCGGATCCTCTAAATCTAGCGACGAAGATGCTCGAAAACCTGCATATCGACTTCAGCCAGCGACCGACTGGCTCGCAAGGGCGCTACTCCCAGGACGCGATGGCTTTGGACTCTGAACCAGCAGCCGATGTGTCGGGCATGTCAGCGACCCAACCAGAGACACCAATCAGTGACGCGCTTTTTGACTGGGAGAGACCGACTCTCCGCTCGCTCGGCGCACAGGCTATCTCGTCAACGCAACCCGTGTCACGCGCGGATGCGACCGCCGCTGCCGCAGCAACCCAGCCCAGTTCAGTGTTCGAGGTGCTGGCAGAAGAGCCAACAATGAGTCAATTCTCGCAAGCTCCAGGCGTACCCATGACCCTGACTCAGAGAGCCCGGCATTTCCACGATATCGTGCCTGCTCAATCCTTCACGCGCTTCTTCTCGCACGTGCCACCACAGCTGCTGGTACAAATGCTTCGCGACGCCCTGCACCAGCTCAACGTCCCTCTGCCTCCCACCCCAGGTCACATCGGCCAGGCGGACCATATCAGCACAATCAAGATCAAGACTGTCGATGGGCGCCGACAGAGCCTGCACGGCGAGATCGTCATCGACAAGTACTACCTCCCCGAGTCCCAGGAGCTGCTCGAGGCGCGCTTTGTCAAAGTCAAGGGCGATCCGCTCGAGTGGCGGCGCTTCTTCAAGAACGTCGTCTTGCTCTGCAAGGACGCCGTGTATAAGCCCGAGGCCTAGCGGGCTCGTGCCCGAGGATGCATCCGTTGAGGCGACTTGCTATGCTGCAGATAGAGTCGATGGTCGGGTTTGGTATCAAGTACAGCCGACTTGTTCACTTATAGGGGAACCTACGCCGAGATGCCACAGGCATTTATTATGAACGAGACACTTGGAGATGTGAGCTAAGGGGGGGGTGTTATATGGCTTGGTTCGGGTTTGTATAAACATAGGCGGATTTCGCGCTTGGCTGGACGCTTGGGTAGGGCTTTTTGGATTTGATTTTCTCGTTTTGGTGGCATAGGAGCGTCTTTTTGTTTGTCGCATAAATACAATCATTGTCTTGGGCTCGAAGTGCCGATGATTCTATCGCTGTTAGCATGGGTCTAAGCCTTGAGATCCTGAGCTCTTGGCTAGAATAAATAAGGCTTCGACATAAGGAATGAAGCAAGTTGGATTCTTCAAATCTACGCGGAACTATGGCTGTGCAAATTGAGAAGTATGTGTCTGCTCAGAGACTGGTTGAATTGGGTGTGCTTGCAACCATTAGACAAACCTCTAGGCACGAATTGAATATTTCCGACGAGATGTGCCATTCCCGCTCCCTGACTGCCTGTTGCTTCTATCGTCTTCAACTTGTTGAAACTTTTCTAAATTTTCTTGTCCTTTTTTCGCATTTATCGTGATTTTTCTTCTGAATCTCTTTCCGGTTGCAACCAAAGCGGCCATCAACCCAGATTCCAACCGCTGTTGCCCAAAAGACCGACCACTTGCGTTAAATGGATGCATTCTTCCACCATATCCACGTTATGCCAATGCCAAGAACGCATCGAGGCTTGTTGCCGGGTCGCCTGCGGACTGCTTGGCCACCGGTGCCTGCTCGGCTGTTTTGCTGCTGCTACTGCTCGCACCAACACCAGGATCGCGTGCAGATCCGGACTTCTTAGGTTTGCGGTCCGTGGCTGCTGCCCCCTCGGGTGCGCCGCGTTTCTTGGCTTTTCTGGCGTCTTTGGTGTCCGAGCTGGTTTCGTCAATCGCCTTACCTTTGCCTTTTCCGTTGCAGCTGGTGCTTGCGTTGGCAGTATCTCCAGACCCCTCGCTCGTGCGATCGATACTCTTGTTCTTCTTGCTGGGTTTCTCATTGCTCTCTTCATCGTCCGTGGGTGTATTCTCGCCATCGTCAGAATCGGCCTCGTCTTCAGAGTCCTCTTCGTCTGGTTCATTTTCCTGGCTATCCTGGTCGCTTTCATCTTCTTCGTCATCGGTCACGACATCCGCGGGCTCGTTAGTGGAGTGCTTGGAAATCGCCGTTTTATGACTGGCTGCGCTTGGCTTGTCATTTTTCTTCGCGCGCGAGCTGGATGTCGCTGTGGCAGCCGGTGCAGCCTGGGCCGTGGCTTCGAGATGTTGCTTGACGGCCTCGCCCACATCATCCCAGTAGGTCTTCTTGATCTTGGTCCACTTTTGCCTTATTTCAAGTATGCATTAGCGTTTCGGAGATTCCAACGGCGAGTTTCATGGATAGGCAAGGGAATATGTCTAGGATGGCAGGTGCAACGGCTCCGATGTGTTGATCAAAGATGTGCCAAGAAGAGACTTACTGGGCGGAGCGGTGAGAGGTCATCTCGGGGAATACAATCCTCAGCGCCTTCTCAATCTCTTCCCATCCTCGAATGGACAAGTCGTGGTTCTTGGCCTGCATGAGCAGGAGCACAAACTTGAGTGACTTCTCGGTAGTCCATCGGTTGGCACCGTCGGATCCTGAATTTTTAGCCATGGCGATGAGCTCTTGTTTAGTGTTTGCGTGAGGAACGGAGACGACCGTTCGTAGTTAGCGATTTGAAATGCCGGAGGCAGGCGCGAATGAAATGGTTGGTGGGTATATGAAACTGGAAGATTGTTGAGAGGATTTGTGTGAAGTTGTTCGCTGTTCACTCGACTACTATCAGGAACGTAGTTGGTTTAGTGGAAGTGAGACCAGTTGGTGATGACGAGATGATTTTGACTTTTCAGACAGCCTACTGTAGAGAGTATGTCGATGATTTCTCTTGAAAATTCATCAGCCGCGCATAGATATCTCGACCAACGGCTGAAGAGGCGTTAACATGTATTGGGGAGGATGTCGGTGTTGGTGACTCGGCTGAGAGTTGCATTGCAGTAGCTGTGCGCTGTCCTGAGTCAATAATTATGGGCAAGAATGAGTCGTAGTGCCAAAGTATGATGTCCAGCGTGTAACTTGGTCTTCATGTGCTTGTGAGGTTGTTGTGGTGGAACAATGCCAACTCGTGGATCATTATCAAACGGTATAGGTTTCTCTGGGAAGAGCCGTGTAACTCTTCGTGACGAACAGCAAAGTCTCTTCCTACCACGATTTGACATGTAGTTGAGCGAGGCGCTTGATGGGTGCAACTGCCGCGTTTGTTTTGAACCTCCCTGCACGGTTGAGTGCTTGTCTATCAACAAGTGTCTTGTCGTTGATATGGGATGATCTTGATTTTTGAGCTCTAGTCTTCGAAAAGAAGATTACGGCAATGCCATAGTACCCTTCCTTACACTCATACTCTAATTATCCTTTGAGTTCCCAATCTCCTCAAGTGGCTTTGCAGACGAGAGGTCGATGACGTGTCCCCATATCATCAACACTACTTGCGTCTGGCAGTGTGATACGTACATGAAGACCGCGAAAGTATCGTGACTTCGCCCAAACATTCAAAATCGATAATATGTCTAATTTACTTGGCTTGAGGAAAAGAAAATCGTTTCATCGCGGGGTTCCAGCACATGTTGCCACTCCGGGGTTTATCTTCCTGCCATATTCTCCGCCGCTCAACCTGCCGCAGTTGTTCCTAATGTCTTCTAGAAGAAGTTTAATCTGCCGATTCGGTGACCCATTAAAGAAACTCGCGTCTGAAACATCGCTCCCGACGCCGTTCCCGAGAGCTAACGGCTTGCGGTGGTGGGTCGACGTTCGTCATGGGTTGTGGCTCAAGCCTCGGGCTCCTCGCCATGGTGGAGATGTTACCGGGTCACAAAACGCCGGCTTGGACACGGTAGACTGCAAGCACGAGTCAACGGTTTGGACATTCTAGGTGTCCCTGTTTCAAGTAGCTTGATTCTGTAATGTTCGTGTACTAGCGGCTATCCTACGAGCACGGGCCTGAGGCTATCTTGACTTCAGTCGTTCCCGTACTGTCGACGGACCACGTTTTGTCCACATACAGACTCAAATCTTCACAATAGGACCGAGAAGACTATTGGCGTCGTAGTAGAACACTCAAGCGTGGAAGGCCACAACAATCCAGGTTGAGTTTGTGACAAGATGTGGTCATCTTTGGGCATGTCAATTGCAGTGTGTACCATGAACGTGTAAGTACCCCTGCCAATGTTAAGATTTGATAAACTCGAACGACTAAACAGTATGCGCCCAGTACAGTAGATTCTCGGTATATTTCTCTGATACCCGTAAAGCCTTAGAAGTAGTTGAGGTGGTACAACGGGCTGGCCGACGCGAAGTGATCTCATTCTGGTCAACGCTCCGAATGGGACAGCAATATTGTCCGGTCCAGACAGGCCCCCAAGGCTCTCAGGCCTAGTCACTGACAGCGGTCTTGGAAATTCTTTTTCATTGATTTTAGTTGTAGTTTGATCATTGTCTCTCAATCTTTTTGTGACGGCCCGGAGTTTTTGCAGCGAATGGAAACCTCCGGTCTTGGCGAGGGATTGTGCTGGCGCCATGCCGGCGAGCCCAGCCAATCGTCCATCAAGGACTGACAGCTTCTCTAGGTAGTCTCAGTTTCATGTTGGATGGCCCCCAAGCGCCCACCAACCCTGCCACTTGCAGGTGTTGTCGTCAGCTGTTACTGATGGTATTTCGTGTGTGCACGGAGGACACCAGAACAAGTGGTCGCCACGACGATCTCGCCGCCACTTAGATACATGAGCCAGTGCACCATATCAGCATCTCCAGCTCTCTCGACCTGTGCTTAATTTGGTCACCGAAGACCATCACTTCGTTGGGGCCATGGCAGCCTTGTGAGTGTGGTGCGACCAGCCGCCTCTGATCTGCTTGCAACGCGCCAGATAGTTCAGTTGGTGCTTGACACGCCACAAGATCTTCAGGACCAACCTGCATTATCATCCCGACCGCATCTCTGGGCGTCCTTTGCAGAGCACGCGCCAGTCTGAGGTGAGGTAGGTTTTGTGACTCTCAATATAGCTGATGCCGTGGCAGCCTTGTCGGGTTTTCAGATACAACACGCTGATGGAGCTACCCCCTTGGCGGCTGTCTCCGTCTCTCGCGCAGCCCTCATGAGTCCTATTTGTAAATCACCGGCCTCCATGGATTCCGAAAAATGAAAACTTTGTTTTTTTCGTCTAAGGTTCACTGCCATTTAAGCTTGAATGTAGCACAAACTTCTAGAAAAAAAGTCCACTTTATCTTTAGCGATGATGACATGCAACCCAGATTGACAATGGCTGCCTAGTTCTCCCACGGTCTCTGCACAGACATACAAACCAGGTTCATAGGGATTTGATCACTGGTGCTCGGCTGTCAAGAGCCGGCTGGGTTCATGACTGTACAATGCTGATCACCACCATCACACCCGTACTGATGGCCTGCTGCAGCCAATACGGGAATAAAGCTTTTTCAATAGTCCTCTTCCCACACAGGGAGCACGATCTGCAGCGAATGATTTTGGGGCAGAGTGCGAGAGCTCCACACTCATCCCGTTCGCAATGCAACGCTGACCACGACGATCTCTGCCGCGAAGCTGCAGTTGGCGGGCCGGGAGTGCAGCTTCACCTGACGAGGTGCTGTCAGTGTTGGTTTGTGTTGATTTGTGTGTGTGCGTCCCTGGAGGCATGTGTCCCTTGCTCAGGCCCATCTCCACCATGGCGGAAACATTGCTCTCCCGCTTTTCCAAACGGCACAACCGCAATTCCAAATTAGTTCTTCAGGACATCTAGAAGCACACCAAAGCGGAAGCCGTACTGCCCCGGGCCTGGGTGATAATTAGACACCGTCAGCTGCGGCAATGGCGGCAATAACCGACAACCAACTGCATCCACTCTTCCCGCCTCTTCCAACTCGTCCTAAGAAATGAACTGAAATTCAGCCGTCTCACGCGCGCAGAAGCTTCGTGCCCGGCACTCGCTTATGTCCGCCACGATGTGGTGCAACAAGACACATTGTCCATTCTCACCGTGTCCTGCGCACGCGACACAACTTACTCCTGCCAAGCATGTTTGCACAACTTTGAATGCTCTGATAACCGAGACTGTGGCATACACAGCCACAGCCACCGCCGCAGCAAGACACTCTCTTTTCGCTATCGTTTAAGATCTCATCTCAGCCCATTGTGCTCGGAACATTCTTCTACAACAAGTAAATGGGGGGGGGGGGGGGGCTCTTGTCGTCGCCAAGCTTGTGATGGGTTGCGCAGGCCGTTTCCATAAATTGACCTCTTTCTGGACCCCACGAAGTGACCGAGCGCCCCTCGCCGCCCGCGGCCGAATCTGACACCGCGCACGCGCGCGCCCTTGACGGAACAACACGCAAAAAAGAATCCGACTAGGTAGGTAGGGGCGCAGCGCACGGCCGGTAACTCCACGCATCTACTAGCCAGTTCGGACGGCAACCCATATATCTTTAGAATTAGGGCAGAATAAACACGAGCGGGAAGGCTGTGCAGAACCAAACAGTGGGCTCTCCCCGCGTGAAGACAGGGATGATGGAGGGACGGGCCAGCGAAAGGTTGGCTGGCAAGTGCCGTTCGGGGCAGGTCAGGAGCCCCCTGCATGTAAGCACCCAGCCCTACGCGCAACCAACTAGTTGAGAATTGGCACTCTGCGGATTTGTCAACATCTTACGACATGGACCGTCCCGCAGCGGAGAAAAGAACCAGGAATTAGAAAATAATAATAATGGAAAAAGAAAGGAAATAATGTTTTGTGAGAAGGTGTACTCGTTCAAGTCAAGCGTGCTTCACCCCTCTCCACAACCTGTCGATCTTCATCCTCGAACTGCGCCTTTCACTGAACCTTGACGGAATCCTGGTCGTGCCTTGTCACCCCAAATGGAACAATAGCTTTCCCATCTCAAGGCTGCAGGCTATCACGAAGATAAGATCTGTGGAGATAAGGACGGCATAATGTCCGTCCACACCCATTACCTCAGTGTTGCCGGGAGTGCCTGGACATTCTGGCATACATGGACGAGGGGATCATGCAGCCCTTCCTTCAGCGGCCAGCTACAGGGGCACATAGCAGGCAACAACAGGCAAGATCCTCCATTGACTTTACCAACCACGCCCACATCCGTGCAGATCACTGGGCCTCCAAAGTCCGACAACACGCAGCAAAGTGTCAACAAAGTTGGCAGCCACAACAGGCCATCATCATCCTCCACGCCAGCAGTGTGTGGCTGATCATGACTGCTCCCAATATCGATCGCCTTTCCTGAGAATAGCACATCGAGGGCCTGCCTGCCTGCCAGGCCCTGCAGCGCCGTATCATCGCAAGCCCCCATCGTGCCGGTGTACGTCTACCTGCTGTAGGCTGCACGTTCCTTCCAAGAAAAGCCAAGGGCAATCTCCCGTCAGCCATCCATGTCCGTTTCGAGAACCCGGAGGCCCTGCGAGACAGGCTGACACGCCCAAACCTAATCTGCCATCCCACCAATGACACAATCACCACGACGAAGCCGTCAGCCAGGTCTTCCGCGGCCAATCGACTCGACAAAGACTCACTTACTATGCCCCCTGCCGCGTTTCAGAT